ACCCTAACACCCTAACACACCTAACACCCTAAACACCCTAACACCCTAACACCCAAACACCCCTAACACCCTAACACCTAACACCCTAACACCCTAACACCCTAACACCTAACACCCTAACACCCTAACACCCTAACACCTACTACACCCTAACACCCAAACACCCAAACACCCTAACACCCTAACACCCTAACACCCTAACACCCTAACACCCTAACACCCACCCTAACACCCTAACACCCTAACACCCTAACACCCTAACACCTAACACCCTAACACCCTAACACCCTAACCACCCTAACACCCTAACACCCTAACACCCTAACACCCTAACACCCTAACACCCTAACACCCTAACACCACCCTAACACCCTAACACCCTAACACCCTAACACCCTAACACCCTAACACCCTAACACCCTAACACCCAACACCCTAACACCCTAACACCCTAACACCCTAACACCCTAACACCCTAACACCCTAACACCCCTAACACCCTAACACCCTAACACCCTAACACCCTAACACCCTAACACCCTAACCCTAACACCCTAACACCCTAACACCCTAACACCCTAACACCCCTAACACCCTAACACCCTAACACCCTAACACCCTAACACCCTAACACCCTAACACCCTAACACCCTAACACCCTAACACCCTAACACCCCTAACACCCTAACACCCTAACACCCTAACACCTAACACCCTAACACCCTAACACCCTAACACCCTAACACCCTAACACCCTAACACCCTAACACCCTAACACCCTAACACCCTAACACCCTAACACCCTAACACCCTAACACCCTAACACCCTAACACACCTAACACCCTAACACCCTACCCTAACACCCTAACACCCTAACACCCTAACACCCTAACACCCTAACACCCTAACACCCTAACACCCTAACACCCTAACACCCTAACACCCTAACACCCTAACACCCTAACACCCTAACACCCTAACACCCTAACACCCTAACACCCTAACACCCTAACACACCCTAACACCCTAACACCCTAACACCCTAACACCCTAACACCCTAACACCCTAACACCCTAACACCCTAACACCCTAACACCCTAACACCCTAACACCCTAACACCCTAACACCCTAAACACCCTAACACCCTAACACCCTAACACCCTAACACCCTAACCACCCCTAACACCCTAACACCCTAACACCCTAACACCCTAACACCCTAACACCCTAACACCCTAACACCCTAACACCCTAACACCCTAACACCCTAACACCCTAACACCCTAACACCCTAACACCCTAACACCCTAACACCCTAACACCCTAACACCCTAACACCCTAACACCCTAACACCCTAACACCCTAACACCCTAACACCCTAACACCCTAACACCCTAACACCCTAACACCCTAACACCCTAACACCCTAACACCCTAACACCCTAACACCCTAACACCCTAACACCCCTAACACCCTAACACCCTAAACACCCTAACACCCTAACACCCTAACACCCTAACACCCTAACACCCTAACACCCTAACACCCTAACACCCTAACACCCTAACACCCTAACACCCTAACACCCTAACACCCTAACACCCTAACACCCTAACACCCTAACACCCTAACACCCTAACACCCTAACACCCTAACACCCTAACACCCTAACACCCTAACACCCTAACACCCTAACACCCTAACACCCTAACACCCTAACACCCTAACACCCTAACACCCTAACACCCTAACACCTAACACCCTAACACCCTAACACCCTAACACCCTAACACCCTAACACCCTAACACCCTAACACCCTAACACCCTAACACCCTAACACCCTAACACCCTAACACCCTAACACCCTAACACCCCTAACACCCTAACACCCTAACACCCTAACACCCTAACACCCTAACACCCTAACACCCTAACACCCTAACACCCTAACACCCTAACACCCTAACACCCTAACACCCTAACACCCTAACACCCTAACACCACCCTAACACCCTAACACCCTAACACCCTAACACCCTAACACCCTAACACCCTAACACCCTAACACCCTAACACCCTAACACCCTAACACCCTAACACCCTAACACCCTAACACCCTAACACCCTAAACACCCTAACACCCTAACACCCTAACACCCTAACACCCTAACACCCTAACACCCTAACACCCTAACACCCTAACACCCTAACACCCTAACACCCTAACACCCTAACACCCTAACACCCTAACCCCTAACACCCTAACACCCTAACACCCTAACACCCTAACACCCTAACACCCTAACACCCTAACACCCTAACACCCTAACACCCTAACACCCTAACACCCTAACACCCTAACACCCTAACACCCTAACACCCTAACACCCTAACACCCTAACACCCTAACACCCTAACACCCTAACACCCCTAACACCCTAACACCCTAACACCCTAACACCCTAACACCCTAACACCCTAACACCCTAACACCCTAACACCCTAACACCCTAACACCCTAACACCCTAACACCCTAACACCCTAACACCCTACACCCTAACACCCTAACACCCTAACACCCTAACACCCTAACACCCTAACACCCTAACACCCTAACACCCTAACACCCTAACACCCTAACACCCTAACACCCTAACACCCTAACACCCTAACACCCTAACACCCTAACACCCTAACACACCCACACACACACACACACCCTAACACCCTAACACCCTAACACCCTAACACCCTAACACCCTAACACCCTAACACCCTAACACCCTAACACCCTAACACCCTAACACCCTAACACCCTAACACCCTAACACCCTAACACCCTAACACCCTAACACCCTAACACCCTAACACCCTAACACCCTAACACCCTAACACCCTAACACCCTAACACCCTAACACCCTAACACCGAGTTTTATGGTAATGGTGTAATTTTATAATGCCACTGCTTATTAAGATATCACCTGATAAAAAGAGTGGCCTTACTAATTTATTTAAAGGAGTATCATGAAGCTTAATGCCCTCTGCAAAATAAATGGCACTTTTTCTCTTGCATTTTCTAAATATAGAAACTGTCAGAAGAGACAGCTGCCCGCTCGCTGCCAAAATCCTTGAAAAAGTCTTAAGAACCCTTTTTGAAAGAGATATTTCAGCTGTTTATAATATTATGCAACGAGTGAAATCAGATCTTAACAGGAAAGGCTAGGCTTATTGACCTCATTTTCCATCAAAAAGTTTCATCAGATCCTACAAGAATCCACCTCCAGCAGCCATTGTTGCCAAACGGAAAGAAGAAAATGACGAAATGGCCAAGCCTATATGAGGAGAAAGGGTTGGATATGTAGTAATTTGTGGTCCTCCTGGCGATACACTGTCTTCCCAAGTGGTAAGTCCTGAAGACTACTTATTATCACATTAATTATGCATATTATATTGAAAAAAAATAAATGTCATCCTTAATCGATCACTCAGCGCTGTTGGGATTGATGTTAATGCTTGATACCAGAGATTTCCTCAAAAAAGATGAAATGCAGTGCTGCATACCGGTAAGCCTTTAAAGCCTATTGGTAGAAATTGATCCACTAGACTTGATAAATATTACCAATCAGCACATTGCTTGATATGCAGAACTCAGTCCAGTCTTGATGTATGTGAATCTTGCTCTAGTGACACTATGAAAGAAAGACTAGCACTAATGGAGGCTTTCAAAAAGCAAGAAAAAAAGCTGTTGAGCCTTAAAGAGGTTTGTAGATCCTGCACTGGATGTGTAGGGGAAATTGAATGGATTTCTTTAGACTGCCCAATATATTTGGAAAAATTGAAAGTAAAGAAAGGGATTGAAGTAAAATTTGGTAAAATCCTAAAGAATAATAAGAGGAATTAAGGAAATTTCTTAATTAAAGTTTAAAACAATTGCATGAATAAATAAATGAAAATTTAAAATACAAATGGAAAACGACCAAAAGTCTGTTGATGGAGAAAGCAGTGCTGAAGAAGGTTGCAAGGCTTTTGAAGAAAGTGATTCTGAAGAAGCAGCTCCAAAAAAAAGTAAAAAAAAAGCTAGAAAAATCATAATGAACGTGGCGCTGACTAAATACTTACACCCCTTATGCAAAAGAGCATAAATGTGTAGCATACAAAATTTCATATTAAATATTTTGTATATAATTAATGGCATTATAATGATATCTCTAGCTGGCTCTATTGTTTTTAACAGTTTCCAAATTTCATAATAAATTACTTTAAGTTGGGAATATTTATATTTCAAATAAAAAAATTAAAAAAATGACCAAAAAAGAAATTTTGCTATAGGGGTCAGTAGTGAAGAAAGCAGCCACAAAATACTTTGGATGAAAGCTGACTAAAACTGAATGTGACGAAGATTGAGATGTATTCTGGACCGATAGCGCTGTAGAGCCTGACAAGTTGGCGAGAATGAAACTCTATCAAAAAATCAATCACTTTCCAGGCATGTATGCGCTAGCAAGAAAAAATCATCTTGCAAAGAATCTAAACAGATTGAGAAAATCTCTCCCCAAAGATTTTAAGTTTTTCCCTCGCACGTGGCTGGTGCCAGCAGAGTTTTCTGACTTAAGGCAGTACTCAAGCCAAAAGAAAAATAAAGTTTTCATCGTAAAGCCAGAAGCAAGTTGCCAAGGAAGAGGAATTTTTCTAACAAAAAAATTTGACGACTTTACTTTAGACGATCGGTATGTTGTTCAAGAATACTTAAAGCGTCCCTATCTTATTGATGGGCTTAAGTTCGACCTAAGGATCTATGTGCTTGTGGCTGGATGTGACCCATTAAAAATTTTCCTTCACAAAGAAGGCCTTGCAAGATTTGCAACGGAGCCTTATATACAGCCAAACAGCAGTAATATGTCAAAACCCTGCATGCATCTTACGAACTACGCAGTGAATAAAAATAACGAAAACTTTATTTTCAATGAAGACCCAGAAAATGATGATGTGGGACATAAGAGAAGTCTATCCTCAGTGTTTGCATACCTTGAAGAAAAAGGCCATGACATAAATAAGCTCTGAGCAGATATTAAACAGTTGATAAATAAAACCCTTTGTTCAGTCCAGCCATCACTGGCACATACTTATAAAGCTTGTCAGCCAGATGACCCCTACAACGGAATGTGCTTTGAGTTGTTAGGGTTAGATGTAATCCTGGATAAGAAACTGAAGCCATGGCTGCTAGAAGTTAACCATTCTCCTTCATTTTCAACTGATTCTCCTTTGGATTGGAAAATAAAGTATGAAGTGATCACAGAAGCCCTCACCTTGCTCAATGTTTCTTACAATAACCGTATTCGGGTTGAAAATAAGCAAAAACAAGATGTCCTGAAAAGATCAACGGGAAAGAAGAATGAAGTCGTTAAAGAAGACAAGCTCCAAGAAATTGCCAAAGCGCAGCAGCTAAGAGATAAGTGAGAAACAAAACACCTAGGAGGGTATACCAAAATCTTTCCATGCGAAAACATGGATAAGTTTAACCATATTCTAGAAGTCGCAAAAGAAATTTATGAAGAATGGACAGGCGCTTCGAAAACTAAAAAGGAAAATATTAAGCATGAACTTCCCTTGCCGAAGCCTACAACAGATATTAGGGCACATGTGAAATCTGCTAACAGCAAGTCAGTCCGCAGCATATCAATGGCAGTAACAAAGGAGGAAAACAAGAAAATCCACACTAAAGCCAATCTTTCAGGAGTTTATGAGAGATTATCTAACAATCAAAGAAAGCTGAAGCCTGAAAACGTCTCTTTCAGTCAGCCGTATCAGCCATTGATATACTAATTGACCAAGAATAGCCCACTAAGGAGCCATTCTTGGTCTGCCAGAAAAAATTTTGACAAAAGATCCTAATCTGCCATTTACCACTGAGTTTTGGTGTTTCCAAATTTTTTGGGCAAGCCAAATGCAATAAAAAAAATTGTTCTTTTGCGATGATGCATTTGGCTTGTCAAAAAAATTTGGCAACACCAAAACTCAGTGGTAAAGACAAACGATCCTAATCTGCCATTACCACTGAGTTTTGGTGTTGCCAAATTTTTTTGACAAGCCAAATGCATCATCGCAAAAGAACAATTTTTTTTATTGCATTTGGCTTGCCCAAAAAATTTGGAAACACCAAAACTCAGTGGTAATGGCAGATTAGGATCTTTTTGTCAAAATTTTTTCTGGCAGACCAAGAATGGCTCCTTAGTGGGCTATTCTTGGTCAATTAGTATACATTTAGACAGTAACTATACAACGACGCCTTCTTCTGAAGCTGTTCTAGAGCTTTGCATCCAAAATATTCAGATTCAAAAGCCAAAAAACAGTAGCAAATCTAAGGACTCTTCTCCGAAACATTTAAAGCTAGAAGAGATCCTAAAAGAAAAAAGATCTTTGGAGACAATGAAGCGAAACTGGATGGTAAAAAACCGATGCCCACTTACAATTCACTCTTTTGTGTCAAAAACCGACGAAGATGTGTCTTTTTCGTAAAATTCATATAGATCGGGGAATTTCTTTATTCCCAGAAGCATAACATCTTTAGGCGAAACTCGAAAGCCTAGCATTTATTTGCCAAAAAGTGAATATATTAGAAGGATAAAGGCTCTTGGGCTTTAACATTCGTGTAAATATAAAATCTCCAAATTTATGATTATTGTGCCTTGGCTCTTTTTAGACACAAGTGCACGGGTCATACTGATGACTAGTTCTGTATTTTCCAAAGTCTAAGATAGGGAACTGGTAATCAGTATGACCCATGCACTTGTGCCCAAAAGGTCTAAGATAGATTATTTCAATAAAATGTCTATTAGCTTTTATTTTTTCCTTTTCTTTTTCTTCGTAGACTTAGGTCCAAGGAGTTTTTCAACCTTATCAGTAGCTTCAATTTTTCTTATTGAAGTTGAGTACTCAGCAAGCGCCATAGTCAAATCTCAGTTTTTGCTCCTCTCTATTTCGCTCATATTTTTTTCAATGTTTTTCAGCTCATCAACTTCATGTTTCAAGCAGTAAATCACCTGGTTGCTATCTTCTTTGCATTTATTTCTATAGATATAAGGAAAAACTAAGCTTACACACTCAATGATCTTTTTTATTTGTCCATCATTGCCAATCAGATTGATAGAAAGCACTCCTGAGTCACTTATCAAAGAATAAAGCTTCTGTAAGAAGCTTTGATCTACAAAAATCATTGGAGGTGTGGGCTCACCTGGTAATGCAATGCAGATGTCAAGCAAAATCAAGTCATAAATATTATTGCTGGCCTCCACAAAATTTAAGGCATCTTGTATAATAATCTGAAGCCTATTGTCATTTGGGACCCCAAAAAACCTTTTACAGACATCAATAAGCTCTCCATTCAGATCTACAGCTGTTATTTCAAAATTAGGAAAATGCTTGAGGAAAAATGTAGGGAGCACACATCCTCCTGCTCCCAAAATTAAAATTCTGCTAATTTCATTAAGCGCCTTGCTTAAATTAAATGCATAAATAAAATGGCATTCGGTTCGAGAGAAATTAGCTTTGCTAATTTTCTCTCCCTCATGGAATTTTATTTATGGGGTTGGGTTTTTCTCTCGAGAACTTCTGCACAGCAATAGCTGTTTAACTTTGGGGATAACCAAAGGAACAGCTCCTCAGTGCGCTCAAGATTTCGGAGTTTTACCTCTCAGCACATCCCCACGGGAGGATGACCCTTAGGCGGAACACGCGCAGGAGCTGAGTCGAGGCAAGGGCGACGGCAACGCGCCGGGTGAGACGTGCGGCGAAGATGGGCGAAGTGCAGGTGAAGGCTTGGCCAGTGGGCTAACCATCGCGATTCCAAGATGGCCCGGCGACGTCATCAATTTTTCGCTATAACTCCATTTTTATGGGGTGCGGCACTAGACACCTTAAATACCAGACACTAAGTTAAGTTAAGTTAAGTTAAGCTTAAATTAAATGCTAAAGATACTAAAAATGCCCTCTGGCACTCAAAGGTAAGAAAGTCATAATCAGGCTCAATTTTATTTCCCCATTTCACTGCGCATGATCCTACAGAGAATAAAGAATTCTCACTCCCCCCCCTTAAATTGAAACAAAAAAATTTTGTTTCAAATTAAAGGGGGGTTAAGAAAATTTTTTTCAGAGATAAAATTTTATGGTTCATTCTGTGTTTGATTTTTAATTTTAATTTCATGAAAAATTAATTCATAAATTTCTCAATCTCAAAGTGTAAACTTGCTGAAATGGTATTCTTCTAACTCTCCCCATAACAATTGGACAAAATAGAGTTTAATTTCTAAATCTTATATGTTTGAAGCATATTAAATAGGGTATTAACGTATTTACATATAAAATAATGATTTTTACCTATAAAATTTTCTATTATAATAAAATTTTGTTTCAATTTAAAGGGGGGGTAATTTCCCAAAAAAGTAGGAAATTTTACCTATATTTTGTTTCAATTAAAGGGGGGAGTCAGAATCCTCAACACATTTGAGACGAATTTCAGACTGGATTAGCTTAGGGTTTGATAAAAAGATAAGTTGCCTCTTATAAGTATCTCCATCGCCAATGTCTTCAACAATCATATCATGTATTCTATACACTAATGACTTTTCTCCAGTTTCCTCAGAGGTCATGAATGGAATCTCTGAATTTAATCACAGCGGAGGGACAAATTTTAGTGCTGCTTCGGTGAATTGATATTGAAGTGCTCCGATATTCTCTTCGCTAAATAAATCTGATAGAGAAATAAGCAGTAGCCTTGAAACTTCAGCCTGAGATAGGATTTCGTCTTGGCCCTCATGTGTTGTGTATTGTCATGAATTTTCTAGTCCTAATGGAATAATAAAAGCACCATAGGAATTTTGAGATAGCATTTCGTTGCCAATAGAGTCCATCAATTTCATCTGGCAAATTGGGGAGATTTCTGAGATGGCTTCATAAATAAACATGTCTAATCTCTGTCCATGTGAAAGGGGAATAAAAGAATTTTGGGAGAGAATTCCTGGAAGACTGATAACTCAGCCATTGGAAAGCTTAATGATAGCACTATGTTCCATTTATTTAAAACATTATTTATTATGCTGTGCAGGAGTCGATATAGCCTTTCTTTAAATTTTATAAGAATTGATTATATAAGTCAGTCATTATATACTCCTTCCTTCTGTAAGTGAGCAAAACTATTGGAAATCCTTTTTTATGAAAAATTAACTCCTTAGAATTATGAAGAAAAAGATTTCATAATATAAGTAATAAATATTATAAAATCTTACTAATTCTATTAACTTGTAGCATTTTAACTTTAAAAACATGAATTTCATAAATAAACGTAAGCTTTTACTTCATTTAAGCTTGAATTATTAGGAAAAAAATTAATAAAAACTTCTTTCATGAGCAACCAAAATATCTGCTCTTTTTATAAAGTGGGGCAAGCTAAAATTAGCTTTACTTATAATAAGATCCTTGTCTTAAATATTTAAATTAATACTAGAAAAATAAATGTAAAGGATTTATATTTACAGTTTATTCTTCCGATGGGGTTGGCGGACTTGTATCTCCAGATATTGAGGATACTGAAATTATAATTGGAGAGCGAAATTTCTTATGCAGAGGAGACCCTGCAAGCTTCAGCACTCTAGGTTTGCGTGAAATAATTGTTTGTTCAGCAAGATACTTGAACCGTTCCATGTGCTCTGTTGATAGAGTTCTTTTTTTCCCTTTTTTTGCACATACCCCCGATGAAGGAATTCCAGTAGTTTCCTGAAGTTCCATATAAATTTCAATCCACTTTCCCAAGATCGCATTTAGCCTGTTAACTTCGGCTTGCTTTCGGGCAAGCTCCTTATTGCAAAGATCTTTGAATTTTTCCAAATAGACTTTCCAGTGATTTTTCTCAAGTTTATAAATTGATAAGTTTTCTTTCTGGATATTTGCTAGACGAGCAGAAAGTTCTTGATTTTCTTGCATAAGCAGATCATAACTTTTATGAATCTGCTGATGGTAAATTGTTTGGATCTGCAAATCACTTTCAAGGTTTCTCAGCTTGAACGTGTCAACCTGAATTTCTGTAAACCTGCCGTTGTCTTCACAGTTTGAATCAAAATTCTGCGAATTTTGTCTCTTAAAAGTGTTCATTTGATGCAGACTTGCTTTAAATGTATTTGCTGGCTTCATTTTTCTAACGAACTTAGGCTTAACAGTTTCATCTCGAGGAGCGCTTCCAGTTTCTATTTTACTTGACAATTCTACGATTTTAATGTTTGTAATGTGCATTTGGTCTATGCAAGCTTCAAGCTGTTTAACTGAATTTTCTAGATGACTTATAAGTTTATTCTTCGAGTTTAGTTTTTCTGCTAATATGTTATATTTACATTGCACATCATAGTATATTCTGAGCAATTCGCAATTTGCTAAGCCAGATTGAATCAATTGAGTTTTTAACTGGTAAATTGTAGTCTCATTACTGACTGGGCAACCATCTACTAAGGCTTCTTGCAAAGCTTTAGTGAAATTTTTATCTGATTTTAATATATCATCAAAAGGAGTTTCTATTGTTTCTTCTACTTCTGATACTAGTGTTTTATAAGGATCATCAATTGAGCTAAGTGCATCATCACTAGTCCTAGGCGAGATATCTGAATAGTCTGACTCAGTTATAATCTGGCCTGCAGCAATCTTTTTTAGCAGATGATCCATTCTCTGGCTAGATTTCTGCAGATAAAATTCGAGCATTTCAATTGTGTTTTTCAGGTTCATATTTTCATCTTTATAATACTGCATTGAGTTCGCTTCATTATTCTGCTTTAGCAAGAGCTTTTGGTACATCTCATAATGCTGATTTATTTGAATTTCTGCCTGAACTCGCTTTCTTTTTTCATGACTCAGTTCTTCTTCAAGCTCTTTTATTGTTTTCGTAAGGCTCTTATTTTCTTCTTGCAAGGCACCATAGTCACTGCTGTAGTAGCCTTCTGCAAGATTTGAAAAAGTTGTGCCTTTTTCAACATAGGAAACACATGAACTATCGTTTTCTGAGTGCGGTGAAAGAGACATCTCGTCCACATTAGGAGAGGAACAGCTTTGGACAATAAGACAATTTGATTTCATCAATATGTCATTTTCATGCTCGTCTAAAAGCTTTTTGTTTTCTTCTTTCAGGCTTTGGATCTTATGTCCAAGTTCCTTAATAATATGATTGTAAGCTGAAGGAGATTTTTTAATGTTGAGTTTCACATTATTTTTTATATTTTTGACTCTTTGTGCAAACCTAAGAGAGTTGATTGTTACTTCAACATTTCGAGGGTCAGGGTTACAGTTGACGATAAGCGTGGTTTTGTAGTTTCCTCCGAGGGATTCTTGAAGAAGCCTTGTCAGTTTAGAGTCCCTATAGGGAATAAAATCTGCTTTGCTTGAAAGAGCATTAATGACATTCCCCAGACAACTCAATGATAAGTTTATTTTTTTAGCTTCTTCCAGTTTGCTTCCAGTAACTCCTGACTCTTTTACTTTTTCAGTTCCAGCAAGGTCGATAAAATTCATAATCCCTCGCTTCTCTGTATCATCAGGTAATTTTTGATTTACTTCTAAAACAAAAAGCTGGTGGCTTCTTGAGCTCACTTCGTTTAGCTTGGTTGAAGCCACAGTTCGCTTACTTTCAGCAAGAGCAATTAAATTCATCAGTTCCTCTTCACAGACCACATAAACTTCTTCACGTCCTTGGACAAATACACCTTTCCTTGGGTCCTCTTTTATTTTAAGTCTCACGCCTGAGTTTGAAAGGAGATCTCTTAGGCTTTCTTTATAGATTTCAATGATAGAGCACTTCAAGGTATACTCTATTTCACATGTTGATTCTTGGAGCTTGCTAAAAATTAAATTGCTTGCTCTTGGGATAATTCCTTTAGTTTCAGGGTCATAGAGATCTAAGCCCATCATAGTGTACGATTTGCCTGACCCTGTTTGCCCATAAGCAAAAACAGTGCCATTATAACCTGTCAAAATATCTTCAATTATGGGTTTACCGACAACCTCAAATATTTCTTCTTGGGAAGAGGTTGGTGGGAAAACGCGGTCTACTGTAAAAGTTTCAGCATTTTCTGGCGACTTTTTTATTTCTATAGTTGAGGGATTTGGGTAGGTATAAATGTTATTTTCATCATTTTTGAAGGCATCAATTAGTGGCCTGAACCTTGCAATTGCTTTAATTTCTAAGCCTTTGTCTTCCCTAGTAGTTTGCGTAGAACTTTTTCTACTCATTTTATAGTTAATTATTAAAAAAATATATTTAACATTTCATATTGGGATTGCTTTTATTTTTTTTATTCCAGTAAGTATTATTTTTAAGGCTTTAAATAATTAGCAGCTGGAAATTTCTCTGCCTTAGTTTACCATAAGCTTATCTGATGCCAAAGAGTGTAAAAAAGATGTATAATAATATTTTATTTATACTTGAGAAAATGTGCAAGATGCTTCTGTATAAGATAATTTATTTAGAACTTTAATTTATTTTGTACTTAAGCTAAGATAAAAAAACAATTATCTCGCCTTTTAACTATAGATTATTAAGTGGTAGTCAGTTATACAAAATTGTACACTTACACGGTTCCGCATGGTTATCTACACATTTGAACGATTCCATATAAGGAATACTGCTTCATCACGTGGAATAAATTCTCTACATGTAGAACTCGGCAAAAAATATACTCAAAAAAGAATAATAATTTTAAGACTCTCTCCAAATCTTTACATTTAGCACATGAAAACTTATGAAATGCAAGCCTATACCATTTCATACGGAATACTCAATCTGTCTTTTTTTCTATAAAAATATAATAATTATTATAGTTTTTTAAGTCTAGATTCATCAGTAATTGTCAATAATTTAGTATAAGTCAAGATTATACCATCTCAGATAAGAATCCTTCATTTAAGCCTAAAAAAAGGCACGAATTATAGTCTGGTTTGCTAAAAATTAAAGGCCTGCTCAAAGATATTCGATTTTATCAAAGTCTCAGATACATATTTTTCATTTTATGTATCTTAACTGAATCTATTTACCAATTAGCAAAAGCAATGCTATTATTTAAGAGTAAAAATTATATATAAAGTTTTTATATTGACAGTTTATTCATCCGATGGGGATGGTGGACTTGAATCTCCAGGTATAGAAGATACTGAAATGATAGCCGGTGAATGGAATTTCTTATGAAGAGGAGACTGCACAAGCTTCAACTCCCTTGGCCTTCTAGAAATAATCGTTTGGTCTGTAATATATTTGATTTGCTCTATATATTGTATCGACAGTGTTCTTCTATTCCCTTTCTTTCCAGACTCTCCAGATGAAGGAATCCCAGTACTTTCCTGAAGCTCCATATACATTTCAATCCACTTTCCCAAAAGTACATTGAGTCGGTTGATTTCAGTTTGCTTTCGAGCAAGCTCTTTATTGCAGAGGTCCTTGAATTTCTCCAAATAAACTTTCCAGTGGTTCTTCTCAAGTGTATAGATTGATAAATTTTCTTTCTGGATATTTATAAGACGATCAGAAAGCTCTTGGTTTTCCTGCTTTAGCAGATAATAGCTTTTATGAATCTGCACTTTGTAGATCGTTTGAATTTGCAAATCGCTTTCAAGATTTCTCAGCTTAAATGGATCAACCTTTATTTCTTCTAATGTCCCTTTTTCTTCGCAATTTGAGTCAAAATCCTGAGACTGTTGTCTTTTCTTACATTCTGGCTGCATACAAAATTTAATAGTGCGCGCTGGCTTCATTCTTCTGACGAACTTTGGTTTGATTGTTTCTTCTCGAGGAACGCTTATAGGTTCTAATTTGCTTGCCAGGTTTACAATTTTTATATTTGTGAGATGCATTTGGTCTAAGCATGCTTCGAGCTGTTTAACTGAACTTTCTAGGTGACTTATTAGTTTGTTCTTCGAGGCCAGTTTTTCTGTAAGCATACTATACTTTCACTGGACATCATAGTAGATTCTTAATAATTCGCAGTTTGCTAAGCCGGATTGGATCAGCTGAGTTTTTAGTTGATAAATAGTGGTTTCATTACTGATTTGACAGCCATCTACAAGGGCTTCCTGCAAAGCCTTACTCTCCCCCCTCCGTGAGCGAACAAAAATTTTTTTAATAGAATAATTTTTTATATAGGAAAAAAATTTTGATATTTAAGTGATAACTAGTATCATGAAATCTCGAGCTAATTCTGTTTAATTTTAAACAAATTGCGTTTTAAAACATAAATTTTACAAATTAAATTAATATTTGCTTCCCAATTTTTGCAAATTAGGATTTTTTTTTAAAATTTCTAAAAAAAATTTGTTTCTATAAAATTTATATATAAATATTTTTAAAAAAAATTAACCCCCCTCAGTGAGCGAAAAAGATTTTTTTGTTCGCTCACGGAGGGGGGGAGTTAGTGAAATTGTTATCTGATTTTAATATATCGTCAAAAGGAGTTTCAACAGCTTCATCTACTTCAGACATAAGTGTTTTATAAGGATTATCAATTGCACTAAAGTTATCATTGCTAGCTTCTGGCAAGATTTCTCCATAATCCGACTCAGTTATAGTCTGGCCTGCAGCGATTTTATTTAGCAAATGATCCACTCTCTGACTAGATTTATTAAGGTAAAACTCAAGCATTTCGATGGTGTTCTTAAGATTTTTATTTTCATTCTTAAGATATTCAATTGAGTTTGCCTTATTGTTCTGCTTTAGCAAGAGCCTTTGATACATCTCATAGTGTTGGCTGTCTTGAATTTCTGCCTGGATTCGCTTCTTTTTTTCATGATTTAGCTCTTCTTCAAGCTCTTTTATAGTTTTGCTAACTCCCCCCCCCCCCTCCGTGAGCGAACAAAAACCATTAGAAAAAATCGCCATTTTTTGACCAAAAACCCACCCTCCGTGAGTGAACAAAAATTTTTTTAATAGAAAAAATTTTAATGGAAAAAAAATTTTGATATATAAGTGATAATTAGTATAATGAAATCTAGAGCTAATTCTGTTTAATTTTAAACAAATTGCGTTTTAAAACATAAATTTTGCAAATTAAATTAATATTTGCTTCCCAATTTTTGCAAATTAGGATTTTTTTTTAAATTTCGAAAACATATTTTTTTATAAAATTTTATATATAAATTTTTTTTAAAAAAAAAAATTAACCCCCCTCCGTGAGCGAACAAAATTTTTTTGTTCGCTCACGGAGGGGGGGGGGGAGTAAGGCTTGTTTTTTCCTCTTGCAGATTGCCGAAGTCAGTGTTGCATTGCATATATCCTTCCACAAGATTTGAAAAAGTTGCGCCTTTTCCCGGTCAGCAGTGGCTTGAATTGTCGCTTTCTGAATAAGGAGAAGTAGGCATCTCGTCAGCCATTAGAGTAGTAAGGTTTTTAACTATGAGACAACTAGATCTCATGAGTAATTCATCTTGCTCATTAGTCAGCTTTTGGTTTTCCTCACTTAAGTTTTGGACCTTCTGTCGTAACTCATTTATAATCTGAGCATAAGCTGCAGAAGATTTTTTGATATTTGGCTTCGCTTTGTTTTTTATATTTTTGACTCTTTGTGCAAACTTAAGAGTGCTCATTGCTACTTCAACGTTTTGAGGGTGAGGACTGCAGCTGACGATAAGTGTTGTTTTGTAGTTTCCCCCGAGGGATTCTTTAAGAAGCCTTGTCAATTTTGAGTCCCTGTAGGGAATAAAATCTGCCTTGCTTGACAAAGCGTTGATGACATTGCCGAGACAACTCAGTGATAAATTTATTTTTTTAGCTTCTTCCAGTTTTTCTCCAGTTTTTCTCCAGTAACTCCTGACTCTTTTACTTTTTCGCTTCCAGCAAGGTCGATAAAGTTCATAACTCCTCGTTTTTCGGTGTCATCCGGCAACTTTTGGTCAACTTCCAAAACAAAAAGCTGATGACTTCTTGAGCTGACTTGATTTAGCTTGGTTGAAGCCACAGTTCGCTTACTTTCAGCAAGAGCAATTACATTCATTAGTTCCTCTTCACAGACTACATAAACTTCTTTAAGTCCTTGGACAAATACGCCTTTCCTTGGGCCTTCTTTTATTTTAAGTTTGGCACCGGAGTTCGAAAGCAGATCTCTGAGGCTTTCTTTATAAATTTCTATAATAGAACACTTCAAGGAATATTCTATTTCTCTGTTTGACTCTTGCAGCTTGCTGAAAATTAGATTCGTTGCTCTGGGGATAATACCTTTTGTATCAGAGTCATAGATGTTTAAGCCCATCATAGTATAAGACTTGCCTGAGCCTGTCTGCCCATAGGCAAAAACGGTGCCATTATAACCTGATAATATGTCTTCAATAATTGGTTTACCAACAACGTTGAAAATTTCCTCTTGGGAGGTAGTTGGTGGAAAAACACCGTCTAATGTATAAGAATCAGCATTATCAAGCGATTTTTTGACCATGACAGTTGAGGGGTTTGGGTAGACATAAAGATCCGTTTCATCGTTTTGGAACGGATCAATCAGTGGCCTAAATCTAGCATATGCTTTAATTCCTATGTTTTTGTCTTTTCCAATAGCTTGAACATAACCTCTTCGACTCATTTACATATATTAATAAAAAAATGCTTCAAGCAGTTCACATTAGAAATGGCTTCTCTTTTTAATTACTTAAAAAAAATCTGCTTGAGTCTTTAAACATTTAGCAGTGGAAATGTCTTTGCAGTTATTAGCTTTTTAGTGCTATAATGATGCAGAAAATACGAACAAAATATTAATAACATATTTGGAGCACTTTTCGATTAGTTAAAAAATTATATAGTTTATCTTATAATTTAATTAGGTTTGTGCTACTCTAATACTAAGAAGATAATTTACACATAGGTGCTTTAATTGCAAGAATTAACAATGAAAGCCGTTTCTATAATGCTCTTATTGTGGCAGTAATATTTTAATTTCGAATTTTACCGATTTTTATTTTCAGATTAAAGAAGGTTTTAATTTAAGCGCATCCTTATTTCAGGCGGGTAATTTTTATAACTCGAGAATTTTGAAAAGTTCGCCTCATTTCCAGCCCCAAAGCTTTAATATCCAGCTTCAGATGAAGGAGAAATAGGGATCTCGTCATAGTTGGAGAAGAAGAGCTTTGAAACGTGAGAAAACTTAATTTAATCAGAATGCAATCATGCTTTTTAAGCAGGCTTTTGCTTTCCTCTTTTAGGCTTTAGATTTTCTCTTCGAGGGCCAGGGTTACAGTTGACGAATAAGCGTGGTTTTGTAGTTTCTCCGAGGGATTCTTGAAGAAACCTTGTCAGTTTGGAGTCCCTATAAGAAATATAGTCTATTGTCTACTTTAGTTTCAGTTTTTCTGACGACTTTTTGATTCGATAATTAAGGGGTTTGGGAGAGTATAATCCGCTACTTCATTTTGGAAAGGATCAATTAGCGGTCTGAACCTCACATATTCTTTGTTTTTAAACCCTTTTCTTCTCTGATAGATTACTCCTCCGCTTTAAATTGGAAAAAAAATCCTGTTCGAATTTAAGCAGGTATATTTATTTTTAAAAAAAATAAAAATTATGTTAAATTTTTCTCAATAAAATGTTTTTTTTAAAAAAATTTTTGAAAAAATTAATTGAAGCCAATTTCATTGAAATTTAATCATTTTTATAAAAAAATTAATCGATTCAGTTGTGAAAACTTTTAAATAATATATTCTTAATTTTTCTGTTAAATAGGTCAAAACTAATTATAAAAATTAGTATTTTTATCAATGTAGCTATAGATCGGGCTATAATATTTCTATATTTAGAAAAAATTGCTCCAATTTGGGCAAGGTTAAGACACCCAAAAAATCGAAATTTTATATGTATTGTTTAAATTTAAAAGAGGGAGAGTGAGTAGAGCCTATGTTACTCATCTTATAATTAATTAAAAAAAATTTACAAAACTAACATTAGAAATGTCATTTACTTGCTTTATTCGAGTGAGTTTTAGAGATTTTAAAATTCATTAGGTGAAAAATCTTTATCTGATGCTTACGCAGCCTAGAATACTAAAAAGTAAAAGACTAATTCCGCCCCTCGTGAGCGAACAAAAAAAATTTGTTCACGAGGGAAGTGTTTTTTTTAAAAAAATTATATTTAAATTTTTTTAATAGCTCGAAATTCAAAAAAATTCCAATTCGCAAAAAATTGGAAAATAAATATTTATTTAATTTGTTAAATTTATGTTTTAATATGCAAGCATTAGCTAGATATTTCATTATACTAATAATCACTCATATATCAAAATTTTATTAAAAATTGTTTGTTCGCTTATGGAGGCTGGGTTTTTGTGCAAAAAATTGGGATTTTCCAATGGTTTTGTCCGCTTATAGAGGGAACAGGAGCAAGGAAAAATATTTTAAGACAGTTCTAAAGAATTTTTCTATAAGGGACTAATTTTTAAATAGCTCTTTTACTTTAATACATAGGCATGGAAGGATAAATCAATAATGATTCTTACTATATATGCCTAAAAGAAGGGTTTTTTATTTATTGAAATTGATTTGAGATATCTTTCAAATTTTTATACTTTGCTATGAGATAACTCCTGCAGATATAAAAATTGTTCTTTTTATTGATAAAATCATATCAATGCTCTTCTTAAAATACAAAAATGGCATTTGAAGTCTATTAAATAACTAGTTATGATAATAACAGTTATCGAAGAGGAAGATTCAGGGTCATCTGACTCCAACCAACAAGAAACACAATTTTCCAATCTGAGGATAGTTCCAATGCTGATACAGTAGAAGATCAAGAAAAATTCACCGGAGAAAGTCTAACTCATCAAGACAGCATAAAAAACTTGCATAAGTTCAGGTCTGAAGACTCAAGGCGAGATTCTATTGGCAAGCCCTCAAAATCCCAGCAGCTTGAGTTTCCATCACTTGTCAAAGGCCTAGATCTTGACTTAAGTCATCATAAGATGATGGACCTACAACAAAAATCGAGCCTTCCTCATAAAGACTCAGGATCTCTTCCAAGAGGGAGGGGATGACAAGGAGCGAAATGATGCTAGAAAGGGATTCATATGACTGTCTAAGCGATTTTGAGGATCCAGCTGGCAGATCTTTTTATTCATTAGACAAAAGCCTCACAAGCAATATAGGCCAAGGTGGAGCCACTTCATCAAACTTCACAAAGAAGCCGTCTATAGAGGCCAATGAAACATTAAATAAGATAATCCAATCAACAGGCAGGATGATCCAAAAAGCATGCTTTTCACAGTCATCGAAAGACGCCCAGATGATGGAACTACCAATAAGCATAGGTTTTGGTAGAGAATTGGGCTAAAAGAAAATAAAGACAAAGACTCTCAATGGTACGCTTTAGCACTCGATAAAAAGACAAGCTGCCTCTTATAATTATCTCCATCACCGATGTCTTCAACAATCATATCGTGTATTCTACACACCAATGGCTTTTCTCCAGTTTCCTCAGAGGTCATGAATGGAATCTCTGAACTTAATCACAGCGGAAGGAAAAATTTTAGTGCAGCTTCGGTGAATTGATATTGAAGTGCTCCGATATTCTCTTTGTTATATAAATCTGATAGAGAAATAAGCAGTAGTCTTGAAACTTCAGCCTGAGATAGAATTTCGTCTTGGATACATAAAAATGGCGTGGTGAACCAACCTGCCCTTTTAACACCTGTAGCTGGATAGAGTCTTGTGGAAGGGAGAGCAGCGTTCGGTGATGTGTATCCAGCCGGTTTTACTTGGTCTGTTGGAGTGCAATGTCGAGCTGCCGACCGCAGGCTCACATCCTGGACAAGGTTTTTACCCCGAGGAGGAAGGGACTCGGAAGTTGGAAAGTGATAGCCCAGCAAGGCTAGAGGGTGTTCGCTTAGCTAATCGGGCATTTTCCTACGTGAAATCGGGAGTTACGCCCTGGGCTACGAGCTTCATCTTGGCCGACAATCCTGACCAGAAAATTCACTTTTTGAGTTTTCGGAAAATGTAAACCTCGTTTGACGTACTGCAAGATGGCCTAGCGTCTTTACCTCCGGGTAGCAAGTGCAGGCCCTTGTCCGGAGGAAGCAAGACAATTACCGTAGGCTGTGATACCAGACTGGCGAGCAAGGGGGTGGTAAACAAGTGACGTGAAAAGCCGAAATGCTGGCCGGGAGCTTCTCTATAATCTAATTAAGTAAGTAAGTAAGGATTTCGTCTTGCCCTCATGTGTTGTGTATTGTCATGATTTTTCTGGTCCTAATGGAATAATAAAGACACCATAGGAATTTTGAAATAGCACTTCGTTGTCAATAGAGTCCATCAATTTCATCTGGCAAATTGGGGATCCTTCTGAGATGGCTTCATAAATAAACATGTCTAATCTCTGTCCAAGTGAAAGGGGAATGCAAGAATTCTGGGAGAGTATTCCTGGAAGACTGATAGCTCAGCCACTGGAAAGCTTAATGATAGTAGTGTGTTCCATTTATTTAAAGCATTATTTATCATGCTTTACAGAGATCGTTATAACCTTTCTTTAAATTTATAAGAATTGGATATATAAGTCAGTCATTATATACTCCTTCCTTCTGTAGGTGAGCAAAACCATTGGAAATCCTTTTTACGGGAAATTAACTCCCTAGAATTATGAGGAAAAAAAAATCATATATAATCAATAATGATTATGAAATCTCACTAATTCTAATTAAATTGTTGCATTTAGTTTTAAAAGATAAATTTCATAAATATTTTTACTTTAAATTTTTAAGCTTGATTTCTTAGGAAAAAAATTAATAAAAACTTCTTTCATGAATAACCAAAAACTTCTGCTCACTTATAAAGTGAAGCGATTTAAAATTAACTCTCTTATAATAAGATCCTTGTCTTAAATATTTAAATTATTCTAGAAAATAAATGTAAAGGATTTATATTTGCTATTTATTCTTCCGATGGGGATGGCGGACTTGTATCTCCAGATATTGAGGATACTGAAATTATAATTGGAGAGCGAAATTATTTATGCAGAGGAGACCCTGTAAGCTTCAGCAATCTAGGTTTCCTTGAAATAATTGTTTGTTCAGCAAGATATTTGAACTGCTCCATGCACTCTATTTATAGAGTTCTTTTTTTCCCTTTTTTTGCACATGCCCCGGATAAATGAATTCCAGTAGTTTCCTGAAGTTCCATATAAATTTCAATCCACTTTCCCAAGATCGCATTTAGCCTGTTAACTTCGGCTTGCTTTCGGGCAAGCTCCTTATTGCAAAGGTCTTTGAATTTTTCCAAATAGACTTTCCAGTGATTCTTTTCAAGTGTATAAATTGATAAGTTTTCTTTCTGGATATTTGCTAGACGAGCAGAAAGTTCTTGATTTTCTTGCATAAGCAGATCATAACTTTTATGAATCTGCTGATGATAAATTGTTTGGATCTGCAAATCACTTTCAAGGTTTCTCAGCTTGAACGTGTCAACCTGAATTTCTGTAAACCTGCCGTTATTTTCACAGTTTGAATCAAAATTCTGCGAATTTTGTCTCTTAAAAGCGCTCATTTGATGCATACTTGCTTTAAATGTATTTGCTGTCTTAATTTTTCTAACGAACTTAGGCTTAACAGTTTCATCTCGAGGAGTGCTTCCAGTTTCTATTTTATTTGACAATTCTACGATTTTAATGTTTGTACTATGCATTTGGTCTAAGCAAGCTTCAAGCTGCTTAACTGAGTTTTCTAAATGACTTATAAGCTTATTCTTCGAGTTTAGTTTTTCTGCTAATATATTATATTTACATTGAGCATCATAGTATATTCTGACTCCTCCCTCCGCGAGCGAACAAAAAAATCTTGTTCACTCACGGAGGTGGTTAATTTTTTTTTTAAAAAATTAATATATAAATTTTCCTCAAGAATTTTTTTTTCGAAATTTAAAAAATTCCCAATTGGCAAAAATTGGAAAGCAAATTTTATGTTTTAAAATGCAATTTGTTTAAAATTAAACGGAATTAGCTAAAGATTTCATTGTGCTAATAATCACTTATATATCAAAATTTTTTCCATAAAAAAATTTTTCTATTAATAATTTGTGTTTGTTCACGGAGGGTGGGTTTTTTGGGCAAAAAATAGATATTTTTCTAATGGTTTTGCTCGCTCACGGAGGGGGCAGTTAGCAATTCACAATTTGCTAAGCCAGATTGAATTAACTGGGCTTTTAACTGGTAAATTGTACTCTCATTACTGACTTGGCAGCCATCTCCTAACTCCCCCCTCCGTGAGCGAACAAAACCGTTAGAAAAATCCCTATTTTTTGCCAAAAACCCGCACTCCGTGACGAACAAAAATGTTTTTAATAAAAAATTGTTATGAGAAAAAAAGTTGATATATAAATGATAATTATTATAACGAAACCTCTAGCTAATTCTGATTATTTTAAACAGTTTGCGTGTTAAAGTATAAATTTCGTAAATTAAATTAATTTTTGCTTCTCATTTTCAAAAATTGGATTTTTTTTAAATCTTGAAAAAAAAAATTTCTAAAATCTATATATATAATTTTTTAAAAAAAAAAACTTGATCCCCCTTCGTGAGCGAACAAAATTTTTTTGTTCGCTCACGGAGGGGGAGTAAAGCTTCTTGCAAAGCTTTAATAAAATTTTCATCTGATTTTAATATATCATCAAAAGGAGTTTCTATTGTTTCTTCTACTTCTGATATAAGTGTTTTATAAGGACCATCAATTGCGCTAAGCGCATTATCACTAGTCCTAGGCGAGATATCTAAATAATCTGACTCAGTTATAGTCTGGCCTGGCTAGATTTCTGCAGATAAAACTCAAGCATTTCAATTGTGTTTTTTCGGTTCATATTTTCCTCTTTAAAATACTGCATTGAGTTCGCTTCATTGTTCTGCTTTAGCAAGAGCTTTTGGTACATCTCATAATGCTGATTTACTTGAATTTCTGCCTAAACTCGCTTTCTTTTTTCATGACTAAGTTCTTCTTCAAGCTCTTTTATTGCTTTAATGAGGCTCTTATTTTCTTCTTGTGAGGCACTAAAGTCACTGTAGCAATAGCCTTCTACAAGATTTGAAAAAGTTGTGCCTTTTCCAGAACAGGAAACACATGAGCTATCATTTTCTGAGTGCGGTGAAAGAGACATCTCGCCCACATTAGGAGAGGAACAGCTTTGGACAATAAGACAATTTGATTTCATCAATATGTCATTTTCATGCTCGTCTAAAAGCTTTTTGTTTTCTTATTTCAGGCTTTGGATCTTGTGTCGAAGTTCATTAATAATCTGACTATAAGCTGCAGGAGATTTTTTAATGTTGAGTTTCACATTGTTTTTTATATTTTTGACTCTTTGTGCAAACTTAAGAGTGTTGATTGTTACTTCAACATTTCGAGGGTCAGGGTTACAGTTGACAATAAGTGTGGTTTTGTAGTTTCCTCCGAGGGATTCTTGAAGAAGCCTTGTCAGTTTAGAGTCCCTATAGGGAATAAAATCTGCTTTGCTTGAAAGAGCATTAATGACATTGCTAAGACAACTCAGTGATAAATTTATGTTTTTAGCTTCTTCCAGTTTGTTTCCAGTAACTCCTGACTCTTTTACTTTTTCGCTTCCAGCAAGGTCAATAAAATTCACAATCCCTCGCTTCTCTGTATCATCAGGTAATTTTTGATTTACTTCTAAAACAAAAAGCTGGTGGCTTCTTGAGCTCACTTCGTTTAGCTTGGTTGAAGCCACAGTTCGCTTACTTTCAGCAACACAATATTAAAAAATGTCAATTAGAGATAGGCCATAACTCCTGACTTCCAGGTAAAGGACCTATTATCGGACTTATGTGAAAGAGGTTGTCCTCTTGAGAGTCTTGATAAAGGAGAGAAGAGGTCATTGCTGAGTCTGGCGATGATCAGAGAAGTCTTAACGGACTTGTTAACTTTAACGGTTCGACGGTTAGGCCGGTCCACCTACCGTTGTTCAGAGCTATTAAACAAGTTGGACCTCAAGCAAGGAGACTGCATCCAAGTATGCAAAAGAGTAATTCAATTAAACTGAAACTTAAATTAAACTTAAACTTTCCACAAGAGCAATTATATTCATTAGTTCCTCTTCACAGACTACATAAACTTCTTCAAGTCCTTGAACAAATGCGCCTTTCTTTGGGTCCTCTTTTATCTTAAGCCTGACGCCTGAGTCTGAAAGGAGATCTCTTACTCAACCCTTCCTGGGCAATTTTTTTCTCTTAATATTTATTCTAAAATTGCCACATATAATTTAAGCTAAAATTAAAAAGGTTTCACTTTTCAATACTTTGCCTCCAAAAAGAAGAAGTTAGGCTTTCTTTATAGATTTCAATAATTGAGCACTTCAAGGAATACTCTATTTCACAGGTTGATTCTTGGAGCTTAGTAAAAATTAAATTGCTTACTCTTGGGATAATTCCTTTAGTTTCAGGGTCATAAATATATAAGCCCATCATAGTATATGATTTGCCTGACCCTGTTTGCCCATAAGTAAAAATAGTGCCATTAGCCTGTCAAAATATCATCAATTATGGGTTTACCGACAACCTCAAATATTTCTTCTTGGGAAGATGCTGGTGGCAAAACGCGGTCTATTGTAAAAGTTTCAGCATTTTCTGACGATTTTTTGATAGTGATAGTTGAGGGATTTGGGTAGGCATAAATACTATTTTCATCATTTTTAAAGGCATCAATTAGTGGCTTAAACCTTGCAATTGCTTTAATTTATAGGCCTTTGTCTTCCCTGATGGTTTGGATAGAACTTCTTCGACTCATTTTATAGTTAATTATTAAAAAGATATATTTTATAGTTCATATTGGAAATGCTTTAATTTTTTTATCTCAGTAAGTGTTATATTTAGGACTTTAAATAATTAGAAGCTGGAAATTTATCTGCCCTTGTATAGCAAAGCTTATCTGATGCCAAGGAATGAAAAAAAAACTTGCATAAACAGATTTTAAATATATTTTAGAAAATTATCAAGATGATTATGTATGATATAATTTATTTAATAATTTTAATTTAAGCTAAAATTAAAAAAAATTAATAGGCTTTTAGCTATAGATCATTAAGTGATAGTCGGTTATGCAAAATTGAGCATTAAATTAGGATTTTAATAATCTTACCAAATCTTTACATTTAGCCTATGAAAATTTTATAAAATGCAAGCCTATGCTATTTCATTATGGAATTTTCAATATGTCTTTTTCTTAGTGAACAATATAAAGATGGCTATAAATTTTAAGCCTAGCTCCATCAGTAATTGTGAATAATTTAGTATAAGTCAAACTGCATCATCTTAGATAAGAATCTTTTATTTAAGCCTTAAAAATGCACAAATTATAGTGTAGCTTGTAAAAATTAAAGATCTGCTTAAAAATATTCGATTTTATCAAAATCTCGATACATATTTCGTTTTATGTATCTTAACTGAATCTATTTACTATTTAGCAAAAGCAAACACTATTATCTAAGAGGGAAAAAAATTATATATAAATTTTTTATATTAGCAGTTTATTCATCCGATGGGGATGGTGGACTTGAATCTCCAGGTATGGAAGATACTGAAATGATAGTCGGCGAATTATATTTCTTATGAAGAGGAGACTGTAAAAGCTTCAACTCCCTTGGTCTTCGAGAAATAATCGTTTGCTCTGTTATATATTTGATCTGCTCTATATATTGTATCGACAGTGTTCTTCTATTCCCTTTCTTTGCAGGCTCTCCAGATGAAGGAATCCCAGTGCTTTCTTGAAGTTCCATATACATTTCAATCCACTTTCCCAAGAGTACATTAAGTCGGTTGATTTCAGTTTGCTTTCGAGCAAGCTCTTTATTGCAGAGGTCCTTGAATTTCTCCAAATAAACTTTCCAGTGGTTCTTCTCAAGTGTATAGATTGATAAATTTTCTTTCTGGATATTTATAAGACGATCAGAAAGCTCTTGGTTTTCCTGCTTTAGCAGATCATGGCTTTTATGAATCTGCACTTTGTAAATCGTTTGAATTTGCAAATCACTTTCAAGATTTCTCAGCTTAAATGGATCAACCTTTATTTCTTCTAATGTCCCTTTTTCTTCGCAATTTGAGTCAAAATCCTGAGACTGTTGTCTTTTCTTACATTCTGGCTGCATGCAAAATTTAATAGTGCGCGCTGGCTTCATTCTTCTGACGAACTTTGGTTTGATTGTTTCTTCTCGAGGAACGCTTATAGGTTCTAATTTGCTTGCCAGGTTTACAATTTTTATATTTGTGAGATGCATTTGGTCTAAGCATGCTTCGAGCTGTTTAACTGAACTTTCTAGGTGACTTATTAGTTTGTTCTTCGAGGCCAGTTTTTCTGTAAGCATATTATACTTTCACTGGACATCATAGTAGATTCTTAATAATTCGCAGTTTGCTAAGCCGGATTGGATCAGCTGAGTTTTTAGTTGATAAATAGTGGTTTCATTACTGATTTGACAGCCATCTACAAGGGCTTCCTGCAAAGCCTTACTCCCCCCTCCGTGAGCGAACAAAAATTTTTTAATAGAATAATTTTTATAGGAAAAAATTTTGATATATAAGTGATAATTAGTATGATGATATATCGAGCTAATTCTGTTTAATTTTAAACAAATTGCGTTTTTAAAAACATAAAATTTTACAAATTAAATTAATATTTGCTTTCCAATTTTTGCAAATTAGGATTTTTTTAAAATTTAGAAAAGAAATTTTTTCTATAAAATTTATATATAAATTTTTTAAAAAAAAAATTAACCCCCCTCCGTGAGTGAACAAAACTGTTTTGTTCACTCACGGAGGGGGGGGGAGTTAGTGAATTTGTTATCTGATTTTAATATATCGTCAAAAGGAGTTTCAACAGCTTCATCTACTTCAGATATAAGTGTTTTATAAGGATTATCAATTGTGCTAAAGTTGTCATTATTAGCTTCTGGTAAGATTTCTCCATAATCCGACTCAGTTATAGTCTGGCCTGCAGCGATTTTTTACTTACTCCCCCCATCATTCAGCGAACAAAACCATTGGAAAAATTACTATTTTTTTCCGAAAACCCACCCTCCATAAACAAACAAAAATTTTTTTGGAAAAAAACAATTTTATATAAGTCATAATTATTATAATGAAATCACTAGCTAATTCTGTTTATTTTTAAACAGCTTGCATTTTAAAACATAAATTTTGCAAATTAAATTGATTTTTATTTCTCAATTTTTACATTTTGGAATTTTGGAATTTTTTTTAAATTTTAAAAAAAAATTTATTATAAAATTTATATAAAATTTTTTAAAAAAAAAATTAACCAAACAAATTTTTTTTGTTCGCTCACGGGAGGGGGGACTTAGTAAATGATCCACTCTCTGACTAGATTTATTAAGGTAAAACTCAAGCATTTCGATGGTGTTCTTAAGATTTTTATTTTCATCCTTAAGATATTCAATTGAGTTTGCCTCATTGTTCTGCTTAAGCAACAGCCTTTGATACATCTCATAGTGTTGGCTGTCTTGAATTTCTGCCTGGATTCGCTTCTTTTTTTCATGACTTAGCTCTTCTTCAAGCTCTTTTATAGTTTTGTTAAGGCTTATTTTTTCCTCTTGCAGATTGCCGAAGTCAGAGTTACATTGCATATACCCTTCCACAAGATTTGAAAAAGTCGCTCCTTTTCCTATTCAGCACTGGCTTGAATTGTCGCTTTCTGAATAAGGAGAAGGAGGAATCTCGTCAGCCATTGCGGTAGAGGAGCTTTGAATTATGAGACAGCTAGATTTCATGAGTAATTCATCTTGCTCATTAATTAGCTTTTGGTTTTCCTCGCTTAAGTTTTGGACCTTCTGTCGTAACTCATTTATAATCTGAGCATAAGCTGCAGGAGATTTTTTGATATTTGGCTTCGCTTTGTTTTTTATATTTTTGACTCTTTGTGCAAACTTAAGAGTGCTCATTGTTACTTCAAAATTTCGAGGGTGAGGACTGCAGTTGACGATAAGTGTGGTTTTGTAGTTTCCTCCGAGGGATTCTTTTAGAAGTCTCGTCAATTTTGAGTCCCTGTAGGGAATAAAATCTGCCTTACTTGACAGAGCGTTGATGACATTGCCGAGACAACTCAGTGATAAATTGATTTTTTTGGCTTCTTCCAATTTGTTTCCAGTAACTCCTGACTCTTTTACTTTTTCGCTTCCAGCAAGGTCGATAAAGTTCATAACTCCTCTTTTTTCGGTGTCATCAGGCAACTTTTGGCCAACTTCCAAAACAAAAAGCTGATGACTTCTTGAGCTGACTTGATTTAGCTTGGTTGAAGCTACAGTCCTTTTACTTTCAGCAAGAGCAATTACATTCATTAGTTCCTCTTCACAGACTACATAAACTTCTTCAAGTCCTTGAACAAATACGCCTTTTCTCGGGTCTTCTTTTATTTTAAGTTTGGCACCGGAGTTTGAAAGCAGATCTCTGAGGCTTTCTTTATAAATTTCTATAATAGAACACTTCAAAGAATATTCTATTTCACTGTTTGACTCTTGCAGCTTGCTAAAAATTAGATTCGTTGCCCTGGGGATAATACACAATAAAATGGTGATATCACGAACTGTTCTTTCACAGACATATTTAAGGGTTTGGGAAATGTATGTTCATGAAGAAATGTCTGATAGCATATCTGAGAAGAAGCTGCTTCAGCTTTTAGCTAGAGACTGCACGGATTCAGAGAAAAATTATTTGTAAAAATTCTTATGATGATATTTATTAAGCATTTGATGAGCTGGAAAGGATGGAAGATGAGATCATACAATTTGGCATTCAGATAGGTAAAGTTAGAGTTGGATATAAAGAAGAAAATCATTTGAAGCAGAAGAATTGAATTTGAAGAGGTAAAAGCCTGCGGCTCGCGCCGCGGAACGCAATTTTCAGGAAGTGGGGACTATAAGACACTGGTCTAGTTAATGTTAATCGTCCTAGTCCTCTGGGGATAATTCCTTTTGTATCAGAATCATAGATGTTTAAGCCCATCATTGTATAAGACTTACCTGAGCCTGTTTGCCCATAGGCAAAAACGGTACCATTATAGCCTGATAATATGTCTTCTATAATTGGTTTACCAACAACATTGAAAATTTCCTCTTGGGAGGTAGTAGGTGGAAAAACACGGTCCAATGTATAAGATTCAGTATTGTCAGGTGACTTTTGGACCATGACAGTTGATGGGTGTGGGAAGGCATAATATTGAGTTTCATCGTTTTGGAACGGATCAATCAGTGGCCTAAATCTAGCATATGCTTTAATTCCGATGCCTTTGTCTTTTCTAATAGCTTGAACAGAAGCTTTCCTACTCATTTACGTTTATTAATAAAAAATGCTTCAACTAGTTCACATTAGAAATGGCTTCTCGTTTAATCACTTAAAAACATCTGCTTGAGTTTTTAAACATTTAGCAATGGAAATGTCTCTGCAAGTATTAGCTTTTTAGTGCAATAATGATGCAGAAAATACAAACAAAATATTAATAACATATTTTAGATAAATTTGGAACACTTTCGATTGTTTATAAATTATATAGTTTAACTTATAATTTAATTAGGTTTGTGCTACTCTAATACAAAGAAAGATAATTTACACATAAGTGCTTTAATTATGAATATTAATAATGAAAGCCTTTTTCTTTAATTCTGTTTCATTTTGATAGAATATTTTAATTTTTAAATTTTACCTATTTTATATACAGATTAATTAAGATTTTAATTTAAGCACATCCTTATTTCAGCTGGGTAGTTTTATAGCATGAGAAGTTTAAAAAATTCGTCTCATTCCCAGCCCCGAGACTTGAATATCCAGCATCAGATGAATGAGAAATAGGATTTCGGCACCAGTTGGAGAAGAAGAGCTTTGAAGCGTGAAAAAACTTTTAATCAGAATCCAATAACGCTTTTCAAGCAGACTTGGCTTTCCTCTTTTAGGCTTTGGATTTTCTCTTGAAGTTCATTGCTAATCTTATTTTAAGCTGCAGGAGATTTTTTGGTATTGGGCTTTACTTTGTGTTTTATATATTTGATTCTTTGTGAAACACTTAGGAGCGATAATTGTCACTTAAAGATTTTGAGGGTCAGGGTTACAGTTGACAATAAGCGTGATTTTGTAGTTTACTTCGAGGGATTCTTGAAGAAGCCTTGCCAGTTTGAAGGCCCTATAGGAAATATAGTCTGCTTTCCTTAAAAGAGCATTAATGGTATTGCTGGGACAACTGAACCTATTTGCCCATAATCAAAAACAATGCCATTATAGCTCATAAAAATATCTTCAATTATGGATTTCGTAAGAGTTTCAGCATTTTCTGCTGACTTTTTGATTTTGATAGTTAGTGGGTTTGGAAGAGTTTAAAGATCCGTTACTTCATTTTTTAAAGGATCAATTAGCGGTCTGAGCCTCACATATTTAATTTTTAAGCCCTTTTCTTCTCTGATAGATTGACTCCCCACTTTAAATTGGATAAAAATCTTCAGGCATTGATTTGCTTTAAAAAAAAACTATATTAAATTTTTTTCAATAAATTTGTTTTAAAAAAAAAATTCACAATATTTTTGATTTTTATAAAGAATTAATTCAAAAAATTATTCGATTAAGTTGTGAAAACTTTTAAATAATATTCTCTAATTTTTTCCCTTAAATAAGCCAAACTAATTATAAAAATTAGTATTTTTATCAATAATATTTCCATATTTAAAAAAAGAATGTCCAATTTGGGGCAAGGTTAGGACACCCAAAAAATGGAAATTTTATACGTGTTGTTCAAATTTAAAAGAGGGAGAGAGTAGAGCCTATGTTACTCATCTTATATTTAATTTACAAAAAAAGATTATACAACTAACATTAGAAATGGCATTTAATTGCTTTATTCGAGTGAGCTTTTGGAGATTTTAAAAAATTATTAGGTGAAAAATCTCTGTCTGATGCTTATGCAGTCTAGAATATTTAAAGTAAAAGACTAACTCCTCCCCTCCATGAGCGAACAAAAAAATTTGTTCGCTTACGGAGGAGTTTTTTTTTTAAAAAAATATTATATTTAAATTTTTTTAATAAAATATTTATCCCGAAAAATTCCAATTCGCAAAATTGGAAAATACATATTTATTTAATTTGTTAAATTTATGTATTAAAATGCAAGCTGTTTAAAATTAAGCAGAATTAGCTAGACATTTTATATACTAATAATCACTCATATATCAAAATTTTTTATTAAAAAATTGTTTGTTCGCTCACTGAGGGTGGATTTTTGTGCAAAAAATTGGGATTTTCCAATGGTTTTGCCCGCTTATAGAGGGAACGGGAGTGAGGATAAATATTTTAAGGCAGTACTAAGGAATTTTACTATAAGGGACCTTTGCTCCTAATTTTTAAATAGCTCTTTTACTTTAATACATAGGCATGGAAGGATAAATCAATAATGATTCTTACTATATATGCTTAAAAAGAAGATTTTCTATTTATTGAAATTAATTTGAGATATCTTTCAAATTTTTATAACTCCTGCAGATATAAAAATTGTTCTTTTTATTGATAAAATCATATCAATGGTCTTTTTAAAATACAAAAATGGTATTTGAAATCTATTAATAACTAATCATGATGATGACAGTTATCGAAGAGGAAGATTCAGGGTCATTTGACTCCAACCAAGGTTCCACAAATCTCAAAGTAGGAACAAGAAACCCAATTTTCCAATCTGAGGATAGTTCCAATGGTGATACAGTAGAAGATCAAGAAAAATTTACCGGAGAAAGTCTAACACATCAAGACAGTATGAAAAACTGGCATGAGTTCAGGTCTGAAGACTCAAGGCGAGATTCTATTAGCAAACCCTCAAAATCCCAGCAACTTGAGTTTCCATCACTTGTCAAAGGCCTAGATCTTGACTTAAGTCATCATAAGATGATGGACCTACAACAAAAATCGAGCCTTCCTCGTAAAGACTCAGGATCTCTTCCAAGAGGAAGTGAAGGAAGCAAAGGAATGACAAGGAGCGAAATGATGCTAGAAAGGGATTCATATGACCGACTAAGCGATTTTGAGGATCCAGCTGGCAGATCTTTTCATTCATTAGACGAAAGTCTCACAAGCAATATAGGCCAAGGTGGAGCCGCTTCATCAAACTTCACAAAGAAGCCCTCAATAGAGGCCAATGAAACATTAAATAAGATAATCCAATCAACAGGCCAAGAAGACCCAGAAAGCATGCTTTTCACAGTCATCGAAAGACGTCCAGCTGATGGAGCTACCAATAAGCATGGATTTTGGCAGAGAATCGGGCTAAAAGAAAATAAAGACAAAGACTCTCAATGGTATGCTTTAGCACTCGATGAATGGAACAAGACTGACGCCCAAATCAAACATCTAAAACGAGAAAACGAGACTCAGCTATATGAAATCAATCAGCTAGATACAAATGTAATGGTAGCTGTCCAAGAAACTAGTGAGCTTGAAGAAAGCTCATTTCAAATTAAAAAGAAAATAATTGACGAAAAGATGCAATTAGAGATAAAGCTGGAAGCCAAAAATAGTGAAATTGACGAGACACTCAGGGTGCAAGAAGAGCTCCTGCAGAGACTGCAGGACTGCAAAGACAGTTATACCTTAAGAGACGTTGAGGAAGAAGAAAGGGAAGAACGATGGACTATGAGAATTGAAGACTTGCGGTCACATTTAATCACAATTATGAACGAAAGAATTGCAGCAGAAAAAGAATGCAATGAAAATCAGGTCTTTTTGGCACAGATGGAAAATGAGAGAGACCAGCAAGCTGTGCTGAACGAGCAGATTGATATTTCTCTAGACTTATTAGGGGAGTCAATGAAATTTTTTACACAGTCAGATAAGCATTTGAATTTCACAGCTGAATTCTGTGAAGTCTTACAAAACTTAAGAGACGCTACTTTTGAAGCAATTGAAGCTGAAAAAGAGTTTAAAAAGGATGCACAAACGGACCCCAGAACTATCATGCCTTATTCAAGACAATCAGAGTTTTTGCCAGGAGCTTCAACTCGACCTGAAAAAACACGACTCCTTAAATTCAACTAGGAATTTTCCTTTGCTAAATCTATTAAAATGTTTATAATTTAAAATGGGAGAACGTAAAGTGATCAACAAATATTACCCTCCAGACTTCGACCCGCTGAAGCTCAAAAAGCCCAAAATGCCACCTGACAAGCAAATAAAAACCCGTATGATGCTCCCTTTTACTTGCAAGTGCAATATATGTGGCACATACCTACACATCGGCACGAAATTCAATATGAGAAAAGAAACAGTGACTGACGAGTCCTATTTAGGCATTGAAATCCTCAGATTTTTCTTCAAATGCACCAGATGCACAACTGAGATCACAATGAAGACAGACCCAAAGAGCCATGACTATGTGTGTGAGTCCAATGCTTCTCGCCAGTATGACGAGCGAAGAGATCTAGAAGCTGCAGAGTCAGCGCTACAAGAAATGAAGGTCCAAGAAAACGAAGACCCGATGCGCTTTTTAGAAGCTAGGACTTATGAGTCACGGCGAGAAATGGACATTATGGACGCTTTGGGGGATATTTTGAGCATTAATAAGATTCAAGGCAAGGTGGACTATGAAAATGTGATCAGTGAGGTCAGAAGGAAGAGAAAAGAGGAGGAAGAAAAAAAGGCGATGGTTGAAAAGTACATGATGACTAGTGATGAAGTTAAATCACAGCTTGTCAAAAGAATTGACGAGGATGAAGCAGATCGAGAGATGTTTAGAAAACACAAAAAAATGGTTGATGAAGTGAAGGGTTTGCAGAAAGGAGATAAGGAGAAGAAAAATACAGTCTTTACGAGGTTGAAGCCTAAATTTATTGTAAAAAAACAAGTTTTAAGTTAAAATAAGCGCATATTTAGCTATGGCTGTTTTTCATATCATGTATGATCTCATAACGGTTTAAACTTAATTTAACTATAATTTTGATAATAGTTTCTATTTTATAAATAATTTATTTTTAGATAAAGATGGAAAATGGCGAGAATACTACTATCATTCTCAGTGCTTTCTATATTCAAATTACACTTCTGAAATCATCCAATTAAAAAATTAAACAAATAAAGCTTTCAACCTTATCTTAGTGCCCTTAATTTAAGCTTAAATTATTTTTAAATTCATTTTATTCAAAGACTTTTTTTGAATTTTTAATTTCCGCTAAAAGATTTTGAGAGCGTGAGGCATTAAGATTTGTTTTTATCATATTTATATTACATTATTATTCCCCTCAATGAATGTTAGTCTACTAACTTGGGATGTGTCCCACATTTGTGAACGCCAGTGCCACCAAAGACCCAGAAACAATTCCGTAAAGAAGCCCCATTGACATTAAAGATCCAGCTTTGGCTTTCATGTACCCTTCTACTTGGGCTGGGCCCAAAATCATTGCACAAGTTGATGTAAACCCGTTTGTGTATGCAAAAATCGCCATGTTCACAAATTTGAACCACGCATAGCTGAAGAGCCAAGCAGGGGAAATACTTGGATCATCAGATGCTATCAAAATAAAGGTAATCCAAGTGACAAATCTTGCTAGGACAATGATTCACAACATCCTTATGGATAAAATATAGAACCTAGGGGTTGATCTGCCTAAGAAATCGAATATATTGAAAGTTGTGACCATGAGCGTCGAGAAGTATGAATAAGGCATTTCTCTACATAAAGGTTACGGGATACTCGTTGCCAGTGCTACGCCAGACAGCATTCCAAAAGTTATGACGTAGCAAAGCCACACTAAAAAGAGAGGCTGCCAGATTTTTGATAGTAATAGCTTGTTGTCGATTTGTTTGATAGGAGCTACTGGGACTGTGCTGAGCAGTTTTGAGGTCTTGTCGTCAGCTGGCTGTTCATCTTCTACGTAGCGAAGTTCTTCGTCTTTTCGGTCACCTGCTATTTTGGCTCCTGTTTTAGCTAACGACTCAATCATAAGAGGATTTTTGATTAAGTGAATTTGAGCAAAAATGCAGATGATCAAGACAGCAGCGGCAATGACAAAGTACACTAAAGTGCTTATAAAGTACCCAGTTCTGTCTTGAGGGAAAGATGCTAAGCAGATAAGCCTAAGTAGATCGACAAAGACACCTACAACACCGTTTCCAATCATCACGTAATTAGTGTACTCATCTGGCAAAGTCCCAGCCATTGCAAACGCTGTAGTCTGGCATACCACATTGGACATGCCCATAACCAGAATGACAATGCACATGATTGGGAATCCAATTGAGCCGCCCAAAAAGTGTGAGAACAGCGGCGAAATAACCAGCATGGCTGCGATTATTGCATAGCTTATGGTTATGCGCTTACTCCCCCTCCATGAGCGAACAAAACCATTAGAAAAATCCCCATTTTTTGCCCAAAAACCCACCTTCCATGAGCGAACCAAAATTTTTTTTAATAAACAAATTTTTTATGAAAAATAATTTTGATATATAAGTGATAATTATTATCATGAAATCTCGAGCTAATTCTGTTTAATTTTGAACAAATTGCTATTTAAAGCATAAATTTTGCAAGTTAAATTAATATTTGCTTTCCAATTTTTGCGAAGTGGGATTTTTTAAATTTCAAAAAAAAAATTTTCTAAATTTTTTTAAAACAAAAAATTAAACCCCTCCGTGAGCGAACAAGATTTTTTGTTCACTCACGGGGGGAGGAGTTAGTATAACTGAACTTATGTCCGTAAAGAACAATTAAAGGCTGAATGATGATTGAGGTCCCATTGTTAAGGATTGGGAAGATGAACGATGGATTATCACCTGAAAACTCTGCATTGAAGAAGTCAAATGAGGCAAGGATGACATTTCATGCCATTAGGATGCCAATACCTTGCAAGAGAATTTCTATCTTGAAAAGACCGTCACCCATTTCCTTTTTATTATTCCACACTAAAGAATGTCGCATTGCCATTTTGTGCGGATAGTTTTCAATTTCGTATGAGGATACTGAGCATTCTGACTAGCTGCTTTTAAAGAGAAATTAAGTTTCTTCCTTAATAATTTACCCTAAGAATCAATTAAAAGCTAATCTTTGCAGAATTAAAGCAATATTTGATAGAAGACTACCAAGCGAAAGAATGAGTGATGGAGGCGCATCAATCTAGAGGTGACGTCACAAGGCAATTTTAAGGCAAAAGACTTAATGATATGGAGAAATTTGATCGCAGGATATGAGGATCCTTCAAATTTCATACTTTCCATAATATTTTTTATATTTATTTTATGACATTAAGTATATAGTCAAATGAACATAATCTGAATCACATTACTTGCATATGCCTACGGGACTTTTATAATCGGGGTAAGCAATGCTAACCCTTTTGCATCTTGTGGGAACACCTTTTTTGGCTATGAAGTCGATATAGTTAGGGAAGCCTTAACAATAAGTGGATGAACTTATGGGACTGACTATGTTTTTGCATGCAGTGATTCAGGCCAAAATGCTACAGTTGGCCGCCAATTAATAAGTTCCAGTGGAATGGGAGATGGCTACACTTATTCTCTCCCTACTTATAATGGCCAATTGAGTATTTTGATATACCAAGATCGCCATTTCAACACTCTTTCAACGTTAACTGTATTTTCGACATGGCTGTGACTATCTTTTGTCTTAACTGCAGGAGTGGTAGGCTTGCTAATCTGGTTTATGGAAAGCACAGAGAAATCCAATGTAATTTTGATCACCAAAGAATTTTTAAATAGCCAATGGATCACTTTTCAAGGTCTTTTCTTTTCAACGACGAGGAGGCTTAGTGCTCGCTCAAACTGGGTCTTGATGTGGACGTTCTGGGGCCTAGTTTATGCTTTTACAGCGTTATTTATAGCTACTTGTGTTTATCAAGCTATTCTTGTATACAGGCCGATAACATATCCTGACTTCCTTTTTAATTTAAAAGAAAAAAAATTTCTATATTTAATGAAAGGTTAATTATTTTTTGATTATGAATAATTTTGATATTTATAAGAATTAATTTATAAAAAATTAATTATTCAGTATTTCAATTTTGCCTACACTCATCTGATTATTAGATCAAAGAAATTATTATTTGTACTATTGAAAAAATGTATAAATACCCAAAAATGCATTTTATCAATATTTTTTGTTCCAATCTGAATGGAGGAGTGAGAAGCTGAACGGTAAGAGATATTTGACATCAACAACCTATTTAAGCTTTACAAGTCATTACTCTGGGTATCATACTGAGCAAGAGATATCGCTAGATGACTATGATCAGCAAATAAAATTGCTAAAAAATAAAGAAATTGACGCAATTATATTTGAGAGGGAAGTGCTTAATCCCCATTAATTCAGAAAATTGGAAAAGAAAAAAAAATTTTTTATTGTAAAATTAATAACAATATGTAAATAGTTTTGATGACGATAAATTACGTCAAAAGGGGGGAATCAAGAATAGAAATGCAATTTAACCAATACCTCAATGAATTTATAAATTAATTCTCTATGAAAATTGTAAATTTGAGCAGATTTTTAATTCCAACCTAAGGGAAGTTAAAAAAATAGCAGCCACAAACTGTGATTACCAAGTAGTAGGTGATCCATTCATATCTATTCTCTATGCCGTAAAAATTGAGCCTGGGACCGATTCTTCATTAAAAGCAGCACTTGATAATGGGATTACTTTGCTAATGGAAACCGCCAACCTGCAGACAATCAAGGAAACCTATACATCAGTGAGCGATCCCTGTGCAATTTCTAATGACCCGAACGCCATAAGCCTCTATTCTTTTGGCGAGCTTTGGATTACAATTGGGGTTTCAGTCGTTTTTGTGTTCCTGCTGAGAAGTTTTTTAAAGAAAAACGAGCTGTCAAGAGAGAGGAGAAAGCACATTGAAGAGGTCAAAACTTTGATGTCGAGGCCTGAGACTAAAATTTTAAGAGTCACTGAAAAACAAGTCAGAGAAAGCGAAATCGAAATGACTAAGCTATTGCACGATATTGAAAAAAGCTTGAAACGGCAGAACTCCTTACAGTCTCAAATGACTAATATGCTGAGGCATAGGGAAATTCTACTTAAATAAAATCTGTATGTTCGAGGGTAATATTTAAATTTTTAATAGTAAAATGGATATCCACCTACTTGATGAATTTTCCCAGTTCTGTGTAGAAGTCACTGTAAGATTTTCTTCATTAGCAAGCATTGTGCAGGCACTTTTAATAAATAGCCTAAACGCACTTGCTGACTATGTAGAAGTTTGAAGAGATGGAACAAATATTGAAATCAGAGACAATGGATACGGGATTTCACCAAGCGTGCTTAAAAAAATGAGGGACGAGATGGGCAGCTCAACCCTTAGCAAGCTTAAAAGAATTTCAGATCTAAAAATCATTACCTTTACCCGAGAGTTTGGGTGCTGAAAAGCAATTTATAGCGAAAATACCGTTGCAAAAGCACATTCAATGAAGAAGCCTGGAACGATTATTAGACTTGAAAACATCTTCAGAGGAATCCCAGCCAGGGCAAGCCAGTTCATTAATGAGTCTGTGCTGGCTTCTGTGCAAGCTATTGAGCCTTTATTGTATCTTACACAAAGCTTGACTTTGAAATTATTTTGCAATCAAAATTTATATTGTGAATATAGAAAGGTAGAGAGTTTAAAAGAAAGATTGAGAAATGTCACAAAAATTTCTAAATTCCAGCATGTGAAATATGTTGGGAAGGCAATTGATATTGAAGGTTATATTACAAATTTGGAATATTGTGTGTTCCATGGTAATTATCAATACTTGTATAATGAATTCCAGCCTGTATACAGCCAAGAGATTTCTGATAGGATCAATGAGCTTTATAATAAATGCATTGTGGCGAGATTTCCTGAGAACTCAAAAGAGTTTATAATGAAGCAAAATCCTGCGTATCCGGTTTATGTGCTCTTTATGGCACTTCCTGAAGGAAGCTATTGGATTAATTATCAGCCTTATCGAACAGTTGAGCTTGCCAATTCTTTTGAAGTTCTAGCTTCTTTCCCATTATATAGCGAAACCTGATGTTTTTTTAAATAAAAAAATAAAGTAATAAGTTCTGAAAATAAAAAGCAATATTTAAATGAGGAGAGTAAGAGAAATTACAAATATGCTAAAGGAGCAAATATTCAAAGATGATATTAAATACAGTTTGCTAAATATTTAAGCTCTTTACTTCTATAAGCAGCATTCTGCACAGCTTCGTTAGGTGGCCCAAGCGATTTGGTGAGCTTACTTCTCGCCGAGTTCCACCTTTTCTTCACTCTTATACGCCAATCACCTGTATCAAAACTCCAGTAAATCGTTCTATTTAATAACCCTTTGCTATGTCTTCGCCTAATTTACCTTATTTTTTCAGGTCATCCCTCCAAATTCTCTCAGCAACTTCCGCAATTGGGGGAAAACCGCAATAGCAGCTTGAACAAGTCAGTCGCCCTGCTCGTCTCAGGGCTGCTGGCTGGGAGCCGCTAGCAAAAAGGAGCTCCAAGTAACTGCCCATTGGATCACAAACAAAACTGCTAATTCGTGCGCGAGTCCCTCATCTTGGGATCCCAGATATTTGCTGGGCCCACTTGAGGCTCCAAAATTCATGCCTGAATATACACGCATTACCATCACTGAGAGGGTCATCATTGCCATTTTATATATATAGGTATTTAAAGATACTATTACATCTAAAGTTTGTGAAAAATATCTCGAAAAAACTGTCAAAAAGAGAAAAAGGGCTGAATTTATAGCTCCCCAATGCTTTTCCTTCAATGGGAAAATCGATGATTTGTCTTTGCTAACTCCCCCCCCCCCCCCTCCGTGAGCGAACAAAAAAATTTTGTTCACTCACGGAGGGGGGTTAATTTTTTTTTTTTAAAAAAAAATTTATATATAAATTTTATAAAAAATATTTTTTTCGAAATTTAAAAAAATCCTAATTTGCAAAAATTGGGAAGCAAATATTAATTTAATTTGCAAAATTTATGTTTTAAAAACGCAATTTGTTTAAAATTAAACAGAATTAGCTCTAGATTTCATTATACTAATTATCACTTATATATCAAAATTTTTTTCCATTAAAATTTTTTTCTATTAAAAAAATTTTTTGTTCGCTCACGGAGGGTGGGTTTTTGGTCAAAAAATGGTGATTTTTCTAATGGTTTTGTTCGCTCACGGAGGGGGGGGGGAGTAAGGCTTCTTGATGAAAACAAAGAAAATTTATCTCCAGAAGATTTTACCTCTCAAAAACTTCCTAATGAAAATGTCTTAATAGAAGCTGAAGAAAGTTTCAAAACAATGAAAAAGCCTATCAAGCCCACTATATCAGACTTCACAGACGAGATCCTCAACACAGTGCGAGTTTCTCTTACCCCGCTTCTTCCAAAAAGTTTAAAGCAGTTCCACCCCCCAAAAGAAATTTCAATCAAAAAGTCTCAAAAGCTTCTATACTCAGACTCCTCTTTTTCAATAAAAAATCTCAAATTTTCAACCATCATCTCACAGGTCGATAAAAAGTTCATACTCTGCCTTCTTGACATAAACTCAAGACAAATCATAGCAGCTCTTGACCAACATGCATCTCATGAGCGTATAAAATTAGAAGAAATCGAGAGAAAGCTGCCTCAACATTTAGAATCTGAAGAATGCATGATTCCTCTACAAGTTTCAAACTATGAGAAATCAGTATTGCTTCAACAAAGCAAAAGACTGGAAAAATGGAAATTCAAAATAACGGCAATTGGGGATGCGCTAGCTTTAACACAGGTCCCAAAGCTTTTTGGAAAGGTTTTAGGCCAGCCAGAGCTGCTACTAAGTGCTCATACCCAATCGTTAATCCCTAATCCAATTTTGACTATCATGAAATCCAAAGCATGCAGAAGCTCAATAAAATTCGGAGACGAAATAACTGTAGAAGAATGCGAAAAAATCTGCAAAGACTTAGAAAACTGTGCCTTGCCTACACAGTGCGCACACGGCAGACCTACAGTTTACCCTTTAATGGAGCTTCCTCCTTATATCTCTGAGCTCCCACCTATAAACTTTAGTTTGTAATAATAACGCATACTTTTAAAAATGCATTCTCATCAGAAAAAAGCGCTTCTCAGCTGCTCTGGGAATCATGCAGCTGCTATTGGGATTTATGGACACCTTTATGTATGAGGCAAAAACACAACTAGCGTCGAAGAAGCCACTCTATCCCTTACACGTGAATCTGCACCAGCCAAGGTCCAAGAACGTTTTACCTCCCAGCTCGGCTTCAGTGACCGTGAAATAACCTACATAGAATCACCTATCCCGCTTAAGCTAAAACATGACGTTTACCACATTCTTGCTGACCAAGTCGCCTGTGGGCCCAATTTTACTTGCATTATTGGAAAAGAAAAAGTACCTTTTGACATTTTCAAGACTGAAGAGGAGGAAGAAGAAGGAAAAGATGAATCCCAAGAAGAAACTGAAGACAAAACAGAAGACCCTTTTGACTATGAAATAGCAGACGATGACTACAAGCCTACAAAGGCAGCTCTTGACAATTTGAGATCTCCTGAAACAAGCGGATCTCTAGAAGAAATCATAATGGTTGGAAAACATCTGAGGTCTGAAATCACCGGATATTTGAGTGAACACAAGCTTGAAATAATGACGCTTTTTAAGTCGAGCAGGCTAAAAGAAGTAAGCTTTATTAATATCTTGAAAAATCAGATCAAGACTGTAATCCATGAAAATAAACTGACCACGTATATTAAGGCTAAAAATATGAGGGTCCCTGGCTCAAAGGTATACTTAAAGCCTATTTATGAGCTAGTTAGAAAGTGCAAGGAAAGTCAAGGGACTTTGTTTATATTTGGTAATGACGCTGCACCTATGAAGGGAGAACAATATCAAACCCAAAGAATAATAGAACCAACCATGACCTATCATTTGGTGCAGCTGCCTATAGGAGTGATTTGTACGAAGGTCAGCTGTGGTGAAAATTTTGTGCTTGTGCTTTCTAATGTCGGAGATGTTTACAGCTGAGGAAAAGTCAAAATTCCGGCGCTTGGCATTAAAAAGCCTACCAACTTTACTTCAATCACTCCTATGGGGGAGCCGCTGAAGGATATAACTGATATAGCGTGTGGGAAATCTCATTGTTTAGCTTTAAGACATGGAGGTATTGTGTATAGCTGGGGCGATGGAGAGTTTGGAAAGCTAGGCCAAGGCAATAATGATAGTTTTAGGAAAGCTGAGCCAATCAATCTTGATAATGATAACGGCCTTTTTATCAGAGCTGGAGACAGAAGCTCTTTATGTGTAGTTGATTCTGACGTTTTTTATGCATGGGGAGACTCATCTCAAGGCCAGTTTGGTAAAGAAGGGATCTTTGATAAGCCTGACAAGATCAGAACTCTTTTTCCGATTCATGATGCAGCCATAGGCGATAAGTGTATAGTATTTGTGAGCCAGTATGGAGAGTTGCATGTCTATGGTCCGCGCTCCATTGCTAGTGAAGGGGAAACTAATATTTCTGAGAAGCACAGACATCTCAGCGAGGTGAGGTTTGAAATGATAACTGCAAAAGATGACGTCTTCTTTGCGCTCACTACAAATGGCTCAATTTATTCTTGGTCTTACAAAATGGACATTGACGGTAAGTTCATTGCACCTCCAAACATAGGCAGGCCAGTCTCAAAAAAATACCCAGCAGAAATTCCTTACGAAATTTTATCAGCTTCTCAACAATTTGTATCACATGAAGCTAAAGAAACCAAAGAAACTGAAGAAGTTGATGTGATTCAAAAATCGACTAGGATAGTTAGAACAGGCTGTTTAGAAGAAAATACTGTGCTTTTGAGTGACGCTGGGGAAGTTTTTATAACTGGGAGTGGGAAATATGGCCAGCTTGGGATGACTTTAGAAAGCACCCTTGAAGAAGATGAAGAAACTAAAGGGTATGAAGAAACTGAGCCAGAGCTTAAACAATTTAGTCTTATCCCAAAGCTTTCTAATAGACTGCGCTCAAAAATAGTTTCCATTGTGTGTGGATATCATCATGTTATAGCAATCAAAAGTGATGGAGTTTTCTTAGCATGAGGACTTAATGCTCAGGGGCAACTTGGACTAGGAAATTTTGCACAGAAGCATAAAATACCGATGCCTATTGAAGCTTTAAAAGGAAAAAGAGGAGTTTCAGCTGCCGCTGGAGAGTCACATACTCTTGTAATTGTAGAAGAAAACGGTGAAAAAGCAGTTTATGCCTTTGGGAGTGCAGAAAGTGGTAAACTTGGCCTGGGGAATATAAAAAGCACCACACTTATAGCGACTCCTAGAGAAATTCCTAGCTTAAAAAACGCAAAGCATGTGTCTTGTGGAGAAATTCACTCTCTAGCGATAGGGTATGATGGAAATATCTATACGTGGGGAGATGGGTATAAAGGCCAACTAGGCCATGGGAACAGAGAGTCTTATCTAGAGCCTAAAGTCTTTTCAGGGACAATGGAATGAAATGCTGCTGAGTGCGGAGCATATCATTCAGCAGCAATAGATAGACTAGGCAAGGTATGGCACTGAGGAGAAAGCAATTTTACAGATGAAGAAAGTGGACTGATCTACGCTCCTATAAGGTTAAAAGGGCTTGAACAAGTCCCTTTTTCTGCTTTGGCATGTGGCTATGGATATACAATGGCAGTCACAGAAGCCAGAAGTACCGTTTATGCATGGGGAAAGCAGGTTCATATGAGACTTTTCACCTTGAAAAACGATATCCCTGAAGGAGAAAACACTGCCAATCCTATCCCGAATACTATCCCAAACAGAGAAAAAGTCGAGTCAATATCAGCTGGAAAATTCCATGGGATCATCGCCACCAATGATGGCAGTGTCTATGTCTGGGGATATGCTTACAATGGCCGACTAGGCGACCCTGAGGCAACTTTGACCAATAAATGCAAACCTTATGATGGAAAGCCGCTTGATCTAAGCTATATCTTGACAAAGGTCGATGAAGACCAAGACGCCATGAAGACAGAGGACGCCAAACTGACCTTACAAGAGCTGCTTCACAATGAACCTGACGAGCTTAAAGAAACCAGCATCAGAGAGTGCGACAAAGAAAATATCAAGAAATTCACTGACTGCATTGACAGATTTTTAGAGCTTTCCCAAATGGACAAAGTCCAAGAAAGCTTTTTCAGCAGGATTAAGCACAAGCTGTTATCAAGAATCCAACAAGAGCCTTTTAAATGTGTATTTAATGACAAAGGTGTTGAAAAAAATGAAGAATTAGAAGAAAAGAACTTTTATTACTGCGCCATGATGACTACTTATCAAATGCACGCTTGTTACTCATTTAAGCTGCTGAATAGGAATATCCCAGATGACCGTAAGCTGAGCTTCATGAATTTGATTTTTACTGATATGGAAGAAGACAGGCGGCTTATTTATACTGCAATTTATCTCTGTCAGATGCTTCTCAAAAAGAAGCTGGAAGAGGAAAGCATTAATTACCCTGATTTTCTGAACGATCCTAACTTATTGTATAGAAAGCTCTTTGTGAAAACAATTTGTGCAAGCAGCCAAGATTATGATGTCATACGAAGCATTGCGCATTCCTGCATCAGCAATATGGTCAATGTTATAAATGATGACCCACATGGAATTGACCCAAACCCTATGGTTGGTCTGAAAACTCAGGCCCAAAATTTGATCACGGCTTATGCTATGAACAGGAGCAACGTCGATAAAAGAATGTCTAAGCTGAAATCTGTGATAGATGCGATTGCAATGAACATTAAAAAGCATTTACAGTCAAACCCAGTTTCTAGCGTCGTCATTTTATTAGTAAAAGATTTATTAATGCAATGTAAAGCAAGGTTTAAAAAACCTATTCATAAGCTGGAGCCTGGAAAAGAGCTGACAAACCGAACAGTGCATGCTGTGCTTGGGATGGTTTTTGAGCCAGTCGAATTCGCCATAAAAGACCCCACTTCTTATCTGGTGCCTTTAGAAGCAAGCATGGAAAATCAGCAGAAAAACTTGGACTCATTAGGAGAAGCTGTCAAAGGCTTTTTCGCTGGAGTTCAGCTTGGAGAACCAGAAGAGAGGTGGTATCGTGAAATAAATGAGCTTAATATCAACAATGAGTTGTACCTTGTCAATAAAAGAGAAATCGTCAGAGAGATTTTCACACAAAAGGCTGTTTTAGAAGAAGAAGCAGTCTTAGCGCTATTTGAGCACTCGCTGAATCCTACTGATAAGGTGATCACTATAAATGTGCAAAACCTTGTAAGGCTGCATAATGTGACTCAAAGCAACTTAGAAGCTTTGAGGGTGAATAGTCCCAGTTATGATCCGCTCTGCATATTAATGAGCGCTCTTAAAAACGTCCCATCCCTAAAATCATTCGGAAAAAACGAAACAGTTAACCTCAGACTTATGACAAGAGCCCTCAGACAAGACCAGTCACTTGTAAGATGTCCTAACTGTTCAATGCTTGTCCCCAGAGAAATGGCCCCTAACAACTTTAAGCCTGTTATCTCTCTTTATGATCCAATGCCCCCTAACTCAGGACAGTATATGCTTACTAAAATCATGGGTGAAGGCTACAAGAAAAATGATAAGGTCAAGATATCAGAGTATTTAAACGAGTACAGAAATTTATGCGAAAAATACATGAAAGACTTCGACACCATTGAAAAAATCACTTTACTGCTGATTGATGTAGACACAAAAATAGCCTCAAAAGATGAAGTGGCCGTTATAAGTGACGAAGATGAAAGAGAAGATCTCTGTGTGAAGCTTAGAGAAGAAAACTTAAAAGGGACTGAAGCACAGTGCAAAGAAGAGTTCAAAAGGAGAAAAGAACACTATATTCAGCAGAAAAAACTGATGAGCATGCTGGACAGGCTGGAAAATGCTTTAAATCAATATTCAGCTACAACCCTGATCCCTGAAGGTACGAGAAGAAAAGTGCTTTTCAACGTAGAATACGGATGCAGCAACAGAGACCTTGAAAAGTTTTCTGACTCCGTCATATATTCCATCTATATGAACAAAATCAGAGACTACACAGTCAAGAAAACCATGTCTATCGAACTTTTTGAAAACCTCAAAGAAGACATGAAAGACAATCTACGAGGCTTCTGCAAGCGAACTCTCGCTGAGCTAAAACGGAAAAAAATCATCAGTGACTTCATAATCCCTCAAAAATTCAAGCCAAAAGACATTTACCTTACTTTTGAGATAGAGGAAGACATAATTACTTTTATCGCGACCTATTCCCCAAGCAAAATCAACTTTTTAGGGAGAAATGACTTTGGGGAGGAACAAATTTTATGCAATGAAAAATTGACGATACATATGCTGGAACAAATGAGGGAGGAAGTAAAGCAAGCAAAGGAAGAGGGACAAGAAAAAGTAAGAACGATTCCTGAACAAAATAAGGCCTCGACAGTAAAGTTTGAGTTTTTCACAGATAAGCTGATCAAGCTTATTGGGACCATTGAAGACCAAGTAGCAACATATGTGCAGAATGTGATTATTAATGAAGGAGAAGTGGCAGCTCCAGAGACTCATCATAGAGGGTAGAAATTGATAATATAATTGCTTAAATAAATCCCAATTAATTAAGGCAAAGTGTCTTGGGATGTCTTTATGATGACCGTTTTGCATTCTAAATAGTTCGCAAGCCCTTCTTCTGTGACTTCTCTTCCTACTCCTGACTGTTTGAATCCTCCAAATGGAGTGTTTTCTGTTGTGTAATCATAACAGTTTACGTAAACGCTCCCTGCGCGGACTCCGTTTACAATTTTAATTGCTTTTTCTAGGCTAGTGGTTTGGACGCCTGCCCCAAGGCCGTATTTTGTATCATTTGCCCTTTTTATGACTTCGTCTATTGTTTTGAATTTTAAAATAGACATAAATGGACCGAAAATTTCTTCTCGGGCTATGCTCATATTGTCAGTTACATCAGTAAAAATGATTGGCTCAAGGAAATATCCTTTGCTTCCCCAGCGGTTTCCTCCGATTACAAGTTTTGCTCCTTCCATTTTGCCTTTGTGGACATATCCCAAAATCTTTTCTAATAAGCTTTCCTCTATTTGTGGACCTGACTGGGTTTCAGGGTCTAGTGGGTCACCAATTTTTCTTACCTTAGCCAACTCTACAGACTTTTCAAGGAATTTGTCATAAATTCCTTCTTGAACATAGACTCTGCTCCCTGCAATGCAGCATTGTCCGACAGCATCAAAAATCCCAGTATGTGCATTTGTAACGGCACAGTCTAAATCTGCATCATCAAGAATTATATTTGGGCTTTTCCCTCCACATTCTAATGAAACTCTTTTCAGACCATTCATGCCTGCATTTCTTTGGATTTCTAGTCCTACTTCAGTTGAGCCTGTAAATGCAATTTTATCGACCCCAGGATGAAGTGTCAGATCTCTCCCTACGTCTCCAAATCCTGGTAAAATATTAACTACTCCTTCTGGAAACCCAGCTTCTACTATTAAATCGCCGATTTGTAAAGCAGTTAGTGGGGTCTGTTCTGCTGGTTTTAGTATCATGGTGCAGCCAGCTGCTAGTGCAGGAGCCATTTTCCAGCACTGCATAAGTAAAGGATAATTTCAAGGGATGATCTGTGCACATACCCCGACTGGCTCATATCTTGTATAGCAATTATAAGGGCCTGTAATTGGGATTGTTTTTCCTCTGATATTATTAGCTAAACTTGCGTATTGGCGGTATGTGTCTATTGTTAAAGGTAAATCTACATATGTAGTGTCAGTGATTGTTTTGCCTCCGTCAATTGTTTCTAATTTAGCGAGGTTGGCTTGGTTTTTTATGATTAAATCAGTGAGTTTATGGATCAATTGGCCGCGCTCTCGGCCGCTCATTCTTCGCCATGGGCCATTATCATATGCGGTTCTTGCTGCTTTTACAGCTAAATCGACATCTTCTGTGCTTGCTCTTTGGACTTCAGCAATGACTTCTTCAGTTGCAGGGTTTATAGTTTTAAAGGTTTGGCCTGACTTAGAATTAACCCACTTGTTGTCAATAAATAGCTGTGTCCTTAGGTGAGAAATTAATTTTCTGCTTGATGAGATCATTTTATTTCTAAAATTTAATTTTTCCACAAATAATATATTTTGAATTTTTATAATGAATATTAGGTTTTTTAGCTTAAATTTGGGAATAACTATTCCTAGCTCCCCAAGTATTGCTTATTCGTGAGGATTTAAATCCAAATAGTAAACTTTATATGAATATAAGAAATTGGCTTATTATTGAGGATAAATGTCTGCATTTTGGCATTTTTATTTGAAAACCCTATAATAAAACATTTTGATCAATTCATATAAAATTTGCTATTTGTTAAACCCCAACAAATAAGCAAAATTTTGCTTATTACTGGGGTGAGTAAGATAATTTCCTCGTTTATGCTAATTAACGATTAATTATTTTAATATCATTAATAAAGCTTTATGGAAGGGTGTCAGCAGAATTCTTGATTATTACTGTTTTGCATTCTAAGTATTGGTAAAGTCCATCCTCACCTAGCTCACGGCCAAACCCAGACTGCTTATATCCACCAAACGGCGTATTTTCAGTCTGATAATCATAACAATTCACATAAACAGTTCCCGCTTTCATTGCATTAGTCACCTTAAGCGCTTTTTCAATATCCATAGTCTGCACACCAGCCCCAAGACCATATTTTGAGTTATTTGCTCTACTAATCACCTCATTAATATCTTTGAACTTCAATATGCTCATAACAGGCCCAAAAATCTCTTCTTTGGCAATCGTCATTTCATATACATTAAAATGGCGTGGAGAACAACTCACCCTCTTCATTCTTGTAGCTGGCATCCTCAGGGTGTGCAGGGAGCTTAAAGAAGAGACATGCGCTCCTAAATGTGCATTTCACCCAGGTTTTCTTGGTTTGGAGAATCGCAATGTCGTTTAGTTGACGTATCCTTTCCTCCAATGCCCAGTTTTTGCCTCAGAAGGAATGGTAAGTTCTCTATAAGTCTAACAAACGCAAACGATACAATCGTCATCTCATCTTTCACATCAGTAAAAATAGTGGGCTCTACGAAATAGCCTTTATTTCCCCATCTATTCCCTCCTGTCACAAGTTTGGCTCCTTCACTTTTGCCTTTCTCTATATATCCTAATATTTTTTCCATCTGAGTTTGATCTACTTGCGGACCATGATGGGTTCTTATATCCATTGGGTCTCCAAGGAGCCTTGCCCTGGCCATATATACAGAATTTTCAATGAACTGATCATAAATCTTCTCATGGACATAAACTCTGGTCCCCGCAATACAAGACTGCCCCATATTCCCAAAAACTCCAAAATGGGCACACGCAACTGCGCACTCCATATCACAGTCATCAAAAATAATATGTGGGCTTTTCCCTCCACATTCTAAAGAAATCCTTTTCAGCCCTTTTGTCCCTGAGTTTCTCATAACTTCGCATCCGACTTCAGTTGAGCCTGTAAATGCAACTTTGTCAACCCCAGGGTGTAAGGTTAATGCCCTTCCCACATCTCCATACCCTGGTAGTATATTAATAACGCCTTCAGGGAATCCAGCTTGAATAATGAGTTCTCCAAGTTTTAAAGCTGTCAGAGGAGTCTGCTCAGCAGGCTTCAATACAAGTGTGCACCCAGCAGCAAGTGCAGGTGCCATTTTCCAGCACTGCATCATCAGAGGATAATTCCACGGGATTATTTGAGCACAGACCCCAACTGGCTCATATCTAGTATAACAAGTATAAGGGCCTGTGATTGGGATTGTTTTACCTCTGATATTATTTGCCAGTCCTGCGTAGTATTTATAGAAATCAATAGAAAACGGAAGATCGATCGTTGTGACATCTTTAATTGGCTTGCCGGAGTCAATGATTTCTAAAGTGCTCAGAGGGCTGAAGTTGTCTGCGATTAGATCGCTGAGCTTCAGTATTAAATTTCCACGCTCTTTTCCGCTCATTCTTCTCCATGGTCCTTTATCAAATGCAGTTCTGGCTGCTTTTACAGCTATATCGACGTCGGCTTCGTTGGATTGCTGGACTTCAGCAATGACTTCTTCAGTGTAGGGGTTGATGGTCTTGAAGGTTTGTCTGGATTTGGAATTGACCCATTGGTTGTTGATGAACAGTTGGGTTCTTGCAGAAGATATAACCCTTTTAGGTAGTGATCTTAGCATTAGTAATGAAATAAGAAAAAATGTGGAATTATGTAGGGAACTTGTGAATAATTATATGATTGTATATTAGGGTATATAGGACATAAATTTTGCTATTAGAATTGGATTTTATCATTAAATTATTTCTGATCTGGATCATCATGTATCATTTCATTTACGTTCTTGAGAAGTACTGTCTTGGCTTCAAGATAGTTATAAAGTCCTTCTTCTCCCAGCTCACGCCCTACACCTGACTGCTTATACCCTCCAAAGGGTACGTTTTCTATTTCTAAGTCATAGCAGTTGACATATACACTTCCAGTCCTAATTCCATTAGTAACTTTTAGTGCTTTATCAATATCCTGCGTTTGTACTCCAGCCCCCAGCCCATAAGGCGAGTTATTTGCCCTTTCAATTACATCATCAATATCCTTAAACTTCAAAATGCTCATCACAGGCCCAAAAATCTCTTCTTTAGCAATCGTCATTTTATCTTTCACATCAATAAATATAGTAGGCTCCACAAAATAGCCTTTATCTCCCCATCTATTGCCTCCAAGCACCAGCTTGGCTCCTTCACTTTTCCCTTTTTCGATATACCCCAGGATTTTTTCCATTTGGGCTTTGTCTACTTGTGGTCCATGCTGGGTTTCTGGGTCCATTGGGTCTCCAATTTTTCTAGCTTTGGCGGCTTCAATGGTTTTATCAATAAACTTTTTATAGATTTTTGAGTGGACATAAACCCTGCTACCAGCTACACAGTTCTGCCCCATATTCCCAAAAGCTCCAAAATGGGCACAAGATACAGCATTTTCTAGGTCACAGTCATCAAAAATAATATGTGGGCTTTTCCCTCCACATTCTAATGTAACCCTCTTAAGCCCATTAGTCCCTGCATTTTTTTGAACTTCTAAGCCTACTTCTGTTGACCCAGTAAAGGCGATTTTATCCACCTCAGGGTGCAAGGTTAGTGCTTTTCCAGCATCTCCGAATCCAGGCAAAATATTGACAACACCAGGTGGGAAGCCAGCTTTAATTATAAGTTCTCCTAGTTTTAAGGCTGATAGAGGTGTTTGTTCTGCAGGCTTTAAAATAAGGGTGCATCCAGCAGCTAGTGCTGGAGCCATTTTCCAAGCTTGCATAAGGATTGGGTAATTCCATGGGATGATCTGGGCACATACCCCAACTGGCTCATATCTTGTATAGCATGTAAAAGGGCCTGAGATAGGGATTGATTTTCCTTTTATATTATTAGCCAGGCCAGCGTTATACTTATAAGTATCAATTGTAAAAGGCAAGTCACCGTTTCTTATATCAGAAATTGGCTTGCCGGAATCCATTACTTCTAAAGCTGCTAGCTCTTCAAAGTTAGCAGATATTAATTTGCTTAAACTGTAGAGGAGTTCTCCTCGTTCTCTTCCACTCAATCTTGACCATACTCCTTTTTCAAGGGCTTTTCTGGCTGCTTTTACAGCAATATCGACGTCTTCTTCGTTTGCCTGCTGGACTTCAGCAATAACCTCTTCAGTGGCAGGATTTATGGTCTTGAAGGTCTGTTGTGACTTTGAATTTACCCATTGGTTGTTGATAAATAGCTGGGTCCTAAGAGTTGAATTGAGTCTTTTCAGAATTGACACCATTTTCAAGAATGCTGGCAATATAATATGAATTTGTTGTGGTAATTTCCAATGGTTCTATATTTAATTTAGCTTTTATTAACAGTTTGGTATTTCATATATTTAAATAATTCAAAAATGCTATATAGAATAAAATTGGTATTGAGGACAAGCAGCCATTTCTTATGCATTTAATAATTAGAAGACAATATAAGTCTAATCTTATGAATGGATTTTTTGGTTTTCTAGCTATATATAAAAGGAGGACCAATTTCCATTTTTATTCATAATATATTAATATAAGTCTGATAAGAAAGGCAAGCTTTTACAATTAACTGATATCGATAACTTTTTTTTCAATAACTTTTTTTAATATTTCACGGTAAACTGGCTTTTATCCTTTCTCCCTCTATTTGCCTATAAAACAATAATAATTTCTGTATCAATTAGAAAGCCAAAATTCCTTTAAAAAATCTGCTTTCTCTTATAACTATCTTTTTGCATTCAAATTTCTTTCAGTTTCGCTCTGATGAATTAAATTCTGTTTTAAATACATTTTTAATAACAGAGACCCATATGCACTCAAGAAGAAATTCCTCAAGAATAATCATTACATCCAATGAAACACATAATGACCCTATTCCTCTTAAAATTAAAGTCCTAGAGCCTTCAAAAAGTACCGTAAATTTAAAAGATCCTTTTTTGAGAATGTGCAACTCTAGAAAAGGTACACCCTCCTTAAAACCTATGTGTGCATCCGCAAAGCAGACCCCAGAATCCTCTATCCTGATCTCATCCCCACCCACAAAGCCCAAAGAGCCCAAATTTTTACGTCGACTTTTCCCCAGCCCAACTCGCAAGCTCCAAAAGCACGCTTCTGAAGCTATTTTGCATATCCCTCCGCCTTCACACCGTCCAAACCGTTCAGAACTTCCCAAAAACCCATCATTTTCTAAGCCTTTTTCTATAACCAAAGATACGAAATCGTCAAAAAATCTTCCACCTTTTTTAAGATGGAATTTTATTCCATGTGAAGGCAAGCAGGAATCCTCAAGAAAGCTGCAGACGCCTATGTTTTCAAGGAGAAAAAGCGAGTATAAGCCTTATGCAAGTGAAATAATGTCGATGCCACAGAGTCCAAATGCGAGTTTTAGGAGACTGAATAAGCAGCAAAATATGAATGAGGAGGTAGCGAAGAAGCTGAATTTTTTGATACAAAAAGAAGAAGGATGGGATAAAGAAATTTCGTTCGGGAATATAGAAGTTAACGAAATGAATATGATTTTTTCAAGAAAAGTGTGGTAATATGTCTAAATTAATTAAGCTTATAAAATCTGCTGCATACTAATTATTTGCCACTGATCAGTCTGTTGATTTTGACTTGCTGCGAGTCCCTCAGCGTTCTCCAGGCTTCTGCGAAAACTGCTGACTGCCTGCTATTAAGCCTCATCAGTATTTCTTTGATTTTCCCAGTTGTCTCAGCTTCAATATACTTGGTTTCCAAAGCGTCGCTTAAAATATGTAGGACTTTGAGCATCCTTTCACCGTTTTCTCCTAATGCAATATTTTCAGAGCTTATCACAAGGTCAGCTAAAACGTCATTCATATATTTAGCCTCCATTTTGTCGAATTTGATAGGTAGCAGCTCAATAAAGGCAGGGACTACAATTGCCATGTCTAAGTTCATATGCTGGAATTTTATTACCCGTCCCATTGCGGCGACTGCGTTATCTCGGGCATAGCCATGGGATTTTGTATTTTTCTCACAAGCCACTTGTAAAGATTTTTCTATAGCAGAAATCACAAATGGGACCCAAGGCTTGAATCCCTCTGGGCTTGTATTTGCAGCAAAAATGCCAAGACCATAGCAAGCTGCTTGTCTGACTGCGTCATTTGTGTCTGTAGCAAATTTCACTAGGACTTCTCCAATTGCGTTTCAATAGTCTTTTATTAAGTTTTGGCCTAAAAATTCAATGATATCGTCAAGAATAAAAATGACCAATTTATGGTCTTCGTCAAGTGCTTCTTGTGAGAGCAGCTTTGGGAAGGTATTTGTCATTAGATAATTTATGATAGGCAAACTCTTTTCTTTTTGGGTTTTAAATATCACTCCAAGTACCTCTGATATAGCTGTATGCAAGTTGTCTTCTTCGCCTTTCCGGTATTCGTTATAAGCTTCGTCTTCTTCTTCGTCGCTGTTTTGTGCCACATTTCTATTTTGGATACTTTTTTGTAGCAGCTTTATCAGTTTTTCTCCCATAGAAGTGACGTCAGTTTGGGTAAGATATGGGACTCCAGTGATGTCTATTATTTTTTTGATAGCTTTAAGCTGGTCAGTTTCTGCTTCACAGACGTATTCTTCTTCGACAGCATGCCAGAGAAGCTTTAAAAAGACTTGGGATAGGTGCATAGTATCCTGGACTGCGTTTTGTTCGCCACTTACTCCCCCCCCCCCCCTCCGTGAGCGAACAAAAAAATTTTGTTCGCTCACGGAGGGGGGTTATTTTTTTTTTTTTAAAAAAAATTTATATATAAATTTTATAAAAAATATTTTTTTCGAAATTTAAAAAAATCCTAATTTGCAAAAATTGGGAAGCAAATATTAATTTAATTTGCAAAATTTATGTTTTAAAACGCAATTTGTTTAAAATTAAACAGAATTAGCTCTAGATTTCATTATACTAATTATCACTTATATATCAAATTTTTTTTTCCATTAAAATTTTTTCTATTAAAAAAATTTTTGTTCACTCACGGAGGGTGGGTTTTTGGTCAAAAAATGGCGATTTTTCTAATGGTTTTGTTCGCTCACGGAGGGGGGGGGGGAGTTAAGAACTTTACCTCTATAAGTCCTGCTAGTAAACTGGCAGCTGCTCCTCTGACTGATTCATTCAAATGGAAATGCATCATAGGGACAGCCACTCTTACCACTGAGTCAATATATTTAGAAAACTGCCCTTTCAAAGTGGTCACAAAGGACAATAACGTTTGCATTGCCAGCTCTTTGTTTTCGGTAATAGTCGTACTCACTGTCGCTTTTTGTTCGCCTAGCTCTTTGTGAATGTCTACAAAGGAGTCTGGGTTGGTATAGACGTGGATTTCCATCTGTCTATCTACCATCTGTATAAGTCCAGGGACAACTTCATCTAAATAGCCAGAAAAATCACTTTCCATAATTTCACAAATTCTTTGCCAGCCGCTTAGCAAGTACCCGACCAGTTGATCGCTGTTTTCTAGGTCTCCTTCTTGCATATTTTTCATAATGTTTATAATAGGCTCAGCATGCAGCATGAAAACTTCTTTTTCTACATTTTTGCTCATTGACATGATGCACTCAATGACTCTTCCCCTTACTCCCACCCCATCCTTGATCGAACGACCCTCTGTCGCTTGTTCTAGGATGGGGGTTTAAAATATTTTGAAAAAAATTATATATAAAAATCCTATATTATTTTTATTGTTCTGGTGTACTTTTTAAATGAAAGGATTAATATAGTAGATATTAAAATTATTAAAATGAAAAACTGTGTTAATTAAAAAATTTTAGTTCTCTTTCCTCTCTATAAAATATTTCTGTTTCTTATTATTAATTATTTTTAATTTATAATAGTTATATGAAATCGTTTAATAAGGGGCTAATATTCCCAATTTTAGGAATTTTAAATGGAATCGTTTGATCAAAGATAGGGAGGAATTAGTGTTTTGTAGTAGTCTTCTTTGTATTTTTCAAATAAACTTAAAAGATAAGGCATAATTATGATATAATCATCCTTAAAATAGTCTTTGCAGGAGGTTGCAATTGCAGCGATTGCAGTGCAGGACTGTTCAACAACAATGGATGGGCAGTTTTGTGACAGAAATGTGATTAGTTTTGGGATAAAAGCGACAGCATAGGATGAAGCAAGAGAAATTCCTGCATCTCTAATGAACTTACTGATTGCCAGGCAGCAGTGAGCGACAACTCTAGGAGTTGAATCATTTAGACCTTCTACAAGTATTGGGTATATTTTTTCATGGTGAGATGATTGGAATTCTTGAGGGTAGTCTTGGCTGGCTTCTCCAATTATGCTAGATTACTAAAGATTTAATTGAGCATTGCTATCAATCTTCCTAAAAAATTTCATATAAATTTCATATAAATGAGTATAAATGAAAGACCGCGTATCTTACCTTAGGATTTTGTGATTTCGAAAATATGGTCAAAAAATGGACAAGCTCAGTAATTTTTTCTGGCTCTGAAATATAATTCAATATCTCGCTCAATGCCATCAGCGCTACATAAGTCATTCTTCAGTCATTTTCAGCACTTAAAGCTTGCTGTATCAATCCCAGCGTCGGATCCAACAAATACCTATCTCCTACCGCCTCTATAAGCCTAGAAATCAATCTTCTGCCTATTTTGGCATAGTCCATTTCCAGGTCTCCTTCTTCGTCATCTTTATCCTGAAACCCTTCTTCAGGCACTTTTCACGCCTCATCGATTTCTTGGTCAATCCCAACCATCATTTCCATAATCTTCGAAATCGTCTGAACTGCCAGCTGGACATTCTGATGTATTACCTTTGGCATCCTTTCACATACGCATACAATGAATTCCAAGGCTAAATTTTTGCTTGAAATATCAAGGCCTTGTTTATTACAAAGGTGATGGATCAGCTCAAAACAGTGTAGAATGGACGGTTTAAATATTTTTGGCTCACTGTCTACAAGTTCTCGGAGGAGCTCTAAAGATTTATTTCCTGTGTATAAGTCTATAGAAAGAATATAGTCAATGGACTTTAGGATGTCAGGGACAAGATCTTTATAATATAAAGCGGTGGCTGTATCTACTATTGAGAGTAAAGAATTTACTGCTTTTAGGCAGGAGGATCGGGTAGAGATGTCTTCGTCGTTTAAAGCGACCTTGAAGACTTGGAAAATCTTGTCGTTGCTATCCATGAATTGGTCAAATAAGTAAGGGAACAGTGTTGCTAATACTTCAAGAGCGGAAACTCTGAGCTGCCCACTGGCTTCTAAAGATCGGTATATGAAAGGTAGAAGCTCATCCCAAGTGCCATTTTTGCCTTCAGAAATCAAGATATTTGAGCCTAGCAGGCCTACAACTTCACAGATATGCTCTCTGATTTTTCTATTTTCTTCGTTAGAAATTTTGTCAAGCAGCATTTGTTTAGCTAAATTTTGGACTTCTAAAGGTAGTTTATTTCATATGTCGTGCGTAGTGATTGGGGCGACTAGTTTTTTTATGCTTTTTTAGCTGAGCTTGGCAAAGAAAATATGGCTATTTAGTATAGAAAAGTTTCCTAATTCAGCTTTTCTAGTATAAGTAAAATGCTTGACAGAGTTTTGACTGATAAATCAGTATTATTCAGATTATAAACTAAGCACATAAACAGCTTCCCAGGCTGCTGCTGAAGAGCAGCGTTATATTGAGCTTCACACTGCTTTCGAAATGTGTTATTCGATGCCAGAACTCCTGCTAAAAGCTGAGAAACCTCCTGGATTTCCGCCTCTGTCACTTGTTCCATTTTTAGAAATAATAACTACTCAGTTAGTTAAGTGAATTAAAGAAATTCGTCCAGTCAGAAACGCTAGTGAAATTATACGCATCAGGCACCCACACACCGTTTACCAAATATGATGGGACTCCAGGAAGATTTCTTGTTGCGCCATATTTCCATGAAACTCTGGTGCTCCAGTTGACTGTTTGGTTACTAATTCCCTAGCGGGGCATTGAAAAATCTATTAGAAAATCAAGCCTTTATCTTTCACAAAGAATAAAATATATATGAAAAATTTTACTATAGAAACAATTGGATATAATAGTTATAAATTTATGCTTGATGTGTAATATTTGAAGGAAAAATTAATTTTTTTTTCATATAATTTTGATGCTTGCTCATTGCCGAAGTAAGCGCATTAGTGATACCAGTTATAGGTACTCCTGTTGCAGCGTTGGTGAGCTGAGCAATTTTAGCATTAGCAGTTTGGAAGTCAAGTGTACCAATGCTTGAAATGAAGGACTGTTGATGGGCAAACCAATAATTCACAAAGTCCATATATTTGGTTCTGTAGTTTTGTTGGATATATCTTCCAGCTTGAGAGACAGGGAATGAGAAGAGATTGTATGACATTGGGAATTGATGAATGATCAGTTCTAGCCATCCTTTTTGTGAAGACCAATAACTTAACACAGCTGGAAAGGCTGTAGCTGATCTTGTATCAAGAAAATCGATAAAAACTTCGAGAGTGTAGTTGGAGCGGGAAGGACCTTGAATGAATCCATCAGAAGGGCTTGGGACTGGGACTACTTGGATAGCTGCAGCAAGGGAAAGTAAGAAAGCACAAACTATGAGCTTCATATTTATTTCACCATGTGAAAGTTTAGAAATGGGAATTTAATACAATTTCGTAATTCCCCATTGTGATTGAACTAAATTTTTATTTAAAAATAATAATCTTTTGATTTTTTTTTAATAAGGCAAAAGAGGAGTGAAAAATTTCCTAACCAAATGAAATAATTTTCTGATGCATAATGGCACATTGTGCCAGAATAGAAGGAAATTATCCATGTGGGTTTATTGAGAAAATCTTATGGTAACTGCAGTATCTGTGGTGAATAGAATTGAAGATTGAAGACTTGAAAAAGAATTAGAAGATCATTTAATTTACGGAATGATAAATTTATATTTAAAATGTTTAAATTGTTGTAATTAGCTTGAGATTCATAATAATTATCATTAATTATAAGCCAAAAGATTTTATAATACATTGCACTATTTATAAATCCATTTTAGAAGAGTCAATTTAATACAATGGAGTAAGAGTTTTGTGGAAGAAAGGATAGGAAAATGCATGTGAAAACGATTAGTTTAAGTGTAGATAAGGTTTGAAGGGATTCAAGAAGGATTAATAGAAAATCATTAATAAATTAAGATAATCAGAGTATCGGCATTTTGTTAATATTTGAAGCATATAAATCTTTTCTTTTGGCATCCTTGTCTTGCGTTGGGAGGAGGCTTGACTGGCTGGTATTCATTTGGATTGAACCTTTCTTCTTTGTCTCTTCTGCTAAAAGCACAGCCCATATTTATTATATTCAAAAAGCAATTGAAATCTCTCACAGATTCTTGCATGTTACACTTGCCAATAATGATAAAATAGCTGCATTTAAATTACCATAAACTTTTGTGGCAAGCATTTTCTTGAAAAATTCTTTATATATAATCAATTTCGTAAAATAATAATCTAAATAGGTAAAATATAATGATTTCCCTAATTGGCAAGGATTTTTATAATCTCTAAATAAAATTCTGGAAAATAGCTCTTCTCTCAATAATAATTAATTTTATTATGGCAAGTGAAGGGTCAGAAGAAATAGTAAAATTAATCCAAAAAGTAGATCAAGCAGGACAATCTCACATACTGCATTACTTACTCGCCCCTTCCGTGAGCGAACAAAAAATTTTGTTCGCTCACGGAGGGAAGCTAATTGTTTTTTTTAAAAATTTCCAATTTGTAAAAATTAAGAAACAAAAATTAATATTATCTGCGAAATTTATTTTTAAAATGCAAGCTGTTTAAAAATTAAACAGAATTAGTTGAGATTTCATTATAATAATTATCATTTATATATCAGATTTTTTTTCATAAAAATTTTTACATTAACAAAATTTTTGTTCGATTACGGAGGGTGGGTTTTTGGGCAAAAAAAATAGGGATTTTTCCAAAGGTTGTTTGTTCACGGAAGGGGGAGTTAGGAGAATTGGATCGAGAAAAAAAAGAAACCTTATTAGAAGAAATAAAAAGCGTTGATTTCGGGCTAGTTAGCGAACTCTACAAAACTCATCATGTCGAAGGAGTCAAACAAGCTGAAGAAATCATAATCGAGCCATACCCAAATATCCTAGACATCAGCACTCTATCAAAACAACACCTAAAGAACCTTCACAAAGATGGACTCAAACTGATTGCAGAAGGCAAAGTAGCCGTTTTAATGTTCGCTGGAGGCCAAGCTACACGTCTCGGAGTTTCTTACCCTAAAGGAATGTATGATATCGGACTACTATCTCACAAATCTCTATTCCAAATTTATTCAGAAAGGCTTATCTCTCTTCAAACTCTTGCATCAGAATCTTTATCATCCCCAGCCCCACCCATTCCTTGGCTAATTATGACAAACCAAGAGTCCTTGCTGCTTATCCAAAGCTATTTCCGCTCAAATGCTTATTTTGGCCTAGACCAGTCCCAGCTTTTTTTCTTCCCCCAAGAAATGCTCCCAGCTATTGATTTTGATGGAAAAATCCTCCTCTCCCAAAAAAACAAACTCAGCTTGTCCCCTAATGGCAACGGTGGGGTATACGAAAGTTTAGAAAAATCAGGCGGCTTATTGTGGCTCGAAAACAAAAGAATTAAATTTTTGCACATTTGTGGAGTTGACAATGCTTTGCTTAAAATTTGTGACCCAAAGTTCATTGGGTATGCAGAAGACCAAGATGTAGATGTGGTAAGTAAAGTTGTGGCAAAAAAAAGCTATGTCTATTTATAACAAATAAAAAATCTGTCTATTAGATTCTAGTAAAAACTTACTTATATTTATTAAAAATGAGGATATAATGAAGCATGTGGAGTTTTGGCGATGAAAAATTCAAAGCTTTGTGTGGTAGAATATAGCGAGCTTAGTGAAGAAATGGCCAAATCAGTTGATGAAGAAGGCAAACTGAGGTATTTTGGCGGAAATATTTTGAATCATATTATGAAAGTTTCTTTTATTAGGAGAATTGTGAGTAACCATTTATCTGAATTAAGGTCAAAATACCATGTGGCTAGAAAAAAGGTACCGCATATTGAAAATGGGCAGGTAGTCACTCCGAATGTCCCAAATGCGCTTAAATTTGAGCTATTTTATTTTGACGTGCTAGAATTAGCAGAATCTTCGGCTGCACTATGCTGTGATAGAGACAGCGAATTTTCTCCTGTAAAAAATGCAAGCGGTCCTGATAGTCCTGAATCAGCAAGAACATTGATAAATAATTTACACTTAAAATGGGTGGAAAAAGCAGGAGGGATTTTACCACAAGGAATTCCTGATGGAATTGTATGCGAAATTTCTCCTTTGGTCTCTTATGATGGTGAAAATTTGAAATTCTTGGAAAATAAAAAAATTTCTCTTCCGTTTTACCTTTATTACTAACTAAAACATTCTTTATACCATTCATAGAATTAAGTTTTATAGACATATTCAGCTGAATTTAATAATAAGATTAGCCTTAATATAGTTCTCTTGACTTGGGCCAATCTTCAGCTGGCTTCCCTTTTTCTTCGATGTATCTCTTTATAGAAAGAGATGGCCCATCTTCGTGTATATCGGTAAGCGCTTTTTCTAAAAATTCTTTAGCTTCTTCCCATTGCCCGGAAATATAGTCTACATAAGCATGCCTAAACGAGTCAAAGAAATGCTGTGGAATATCTTGTTGCAGTCCTGTGATATCAGAATCCAAAGTAAACATATAATCCACACCTTTATGCTGGAAATTCTCAACATTGACTGCATCAAGCTTGGCTAACTTAATTATTCTTAATATAATTAGGCCTTATCTTAGCCAAATAAAGGCTTTTTCTTTGCAAAATTACCAATTATAATGCAATTTAATCTAATATAGGTTAATTTCCCAATATAATGAGTATCTGGGGCTGGGAGCTCTTTTTCCGTGATATCAAAAGTATACAACCCAAATGTATTTGGTAAATAATTTACATAAACAGTGTCAATCCTTCTGCAGCAGTTTTTGGCTTTGACTGACAAGTAGCCATAGAAGTCTTCACTCATAAGAACAGAGCAGCCATATTCTTTTCTAGCTTCTACTAAGTTGTACCCAACTGAGATGTGAGGGGATAAATAAGCTGGGTCAATTTTGAAGTCAGAGCCAATCACCCCTTCTATAGCCCAGCCTATGTGGATTCCAATGGTTAAGTCTGGGGAAAAAGTAGGCCCAAATCGAGAAATAATTCTGGGGTGAACTTTATATGCCTGGATTTCTGCAGATCTCCTGATTTCAGCTATAGTCTTTATAGTAGAAACTAAAGCACGATTAGCGAGATCAGTGCGCTGCATAGCAGGATTGGATAAATCGTCTTCATCAGTGTCCTTTTCACTAACTTCTGGAAGCTTCCAGACCAGCAAAAATGACCCTTGAATGTTTTTAGATACTAATCCGCCCCATTCTTTGCAGCATGTATGTATAACATTGCTAAGTTTATTTATAAAAATATGGTATAGGTATTATATAATGGTCTATTAAACGACAAAAATTTTTTTTCCAGTATATTAATAGGAAAAAAAATTACCTGAAAATTCGCTGTGTTTATTGAGGATTGCCCAAAATATGGGACTCCTCCTGCAAACATTCAGAAACCAACGTAAAATTTTCTACTTTTATTACCTGAATTACCAGTGATACTTTATTTCCAGGCCTCATCAAATTAAGCTCCCCTTCCCCACTGGTAATATTTTTGCTTAAAATATCAGCACCATCTTCCCCAAAAGACAGCTGCAATAGTGCACTTATTTTTGCAACGGTTTCTTCTAGCATATATGTTGACTCTTCTTTCCTTATATCAGAATCTTCAGTTTTTTCTTCTTTTTCGATCCTTTTCAAAGGATCGTCAGCCAAAGTTTTGATAATTAAAACCATTCTCGTAATAGGCCCAATCAGGATTTTTTGTGTATCTGCAGTAAACATGACCGCAGCTACAGTCAAAATCAGCCCTACAAAAAGGGTCGTAAAAATGTTCATCAAAGCGTCGTTTTCGCTTTGGGTTTTTATATCATATATAAACTGGCGTGAAGAATCAACCCAATCTCTTAGCAACTGTAGCTGGGAGACCCAGTGACCTTGTGGAAGGGAGTTTTGGAGTTCGATATGCGCATCCGGCTGGGCTTTACTTGGTTTGGTGGAGCGTAAAGTCTGAGCATGCGGACCGCAAATTCACATCCAGGTCATGAGTTCGGAGTTGGAAAGGGTAGCCCCAAAAATATTAATGGGCTAGTCTTGGTCAATCGGGAACCTTCCCCAGAGTGATACCACGCAGTGCGTCCTTGACTACGAATTTTCATTTTGGCTGAGAGGTGACCAGAAAAATTTGTTTTTCGAATTTTCTAAAAGCCAAACCGTTGGTGTATGGCACGGTGACCCAAACTTTCTGACTGCCAGGGAGCATGTTCAGGCCTATGTCTGGTCGGAGCAAGACTTTGAAGGTTGAGAGAGATGCAAACTAGTGGAACCCTTATTGAAGGGAATAAGGATCTTCGGATTCAGGCAGGGAGCTTTTCTATAATCTAACTAAATCTAAGTGTAAATTGTAAGGGTTTTTATATCAAATCTAGCATAAGCTTGCAGGTTCTCACACCCTGAAACTGTTTTGTCTTTGCATTCATCAGGAGTATATACAGCCAGCAGCATTTCGACATCTCTTAGGTTGCATTCAGAGCTGAATTACTTTAATTATTGAGGTTTTAATTTTTTCGTGGGGCTTAATATCAAAACCACTTTAATTCCAAATTGGTTCGCTGTGAGCATTCTTCCCTATCCCTTTTTATTGGAAGTACTCTTATCGCATACAATCTCTCTGTCCAAAGGCTTAATGACTGCGTTCCCTTGCTTTTCACTAACTCCTGAGAGTATGCTGGCTAAGGATCTCTTTCCTTAGGAGTGCCAAGTACCTAAAAATGAAAGGGTCAAAGCCTCCTAGCCTATGCAGTTGGTCTTCTGGCATAGCTAGATATGGGTTTCCCATGAAAAGCCTCATTTGGGTTGCTTTTTTGGTCTGACCAAGTAATCTTGGTCAGAACAAAATTGATTAAAAATTTTAATTTGGTCGGACCAAAAAAGCAACCCCTTGGTCAATTCATGGCCAAATTGGGCTTTTCATGGGGAAAACCCATAAGAATTACTAAGAAAGCTGAGCCTCATAATTATTCTGGGAGAGAACTAATTCCGACGATATCATTTTATTATTCATTCAGAGCCGACAGTCTTTCCTGAGCAGTTTTCATCCTGTGTTCATGCAATGCCCGAAAGATCGCTTTTTTTAATAGACCTGATTTCATGGATTTCTCCATTTTGAAAATAATCTGGCAAATACATCCATAAGAGAGGGTATTGGGCGCTTTTCCCATCAGTTTCTATTGTGCATAATGTATAGCGATATACAAGCTCATATCAGCCAAAACTTGTCTCCCAATTAATATTATTAGGATCGTCACAGAGAAATTGGTCAGTATTAGTGCAGGAACTCCAGCCCATTCAAAAGAGCTGCTGGAGGCCATATTTTGGAGCGTTATCAGTTTCTAAAACTTGCATAATAGGGATAAAAATGACCATCAGCAGCACCACAATGATCACTCTTCTCGTCGTTGTGTCCGAAAGAATCTTCCCTAGTCTTGTAGGGTCCATTTCTCTATTCATCGCGGCTTGTTTTGCAGTTTTTGCTAACTTCTGAGCTTGTTTCAGCCTCATTTCTTGTTCTTCTGTATCTCTTTTGGTCACATATTTATAAAGTTTCACTATTCTGACCAACCTAATAAGCCTAAACGACTTCAACACCTTTTTCGCAATATTTTGCCCTGACTGACTTTCCCCAGTCGAAGTGTTCACAGTGACATCAGCTGAATAAGGCAGCCCTCCAAATAGAACCGTGATGTAGTTAAAAAAGAAAGGGATGTCTGGGATAAGCGAAATAGCAGCAATTATGTCCAATCAGAAGAAAAATGAATACTTATAGTCGTCGACGGCTATGCTGTTTAGGAAGATATCGAGTATGAACAAGCCAAGCATGATGACGTAAGAGACGTAGAAAGCGGTATCTGCGTCTTTGTCTGTGGTTAGAAGCCGTATATCATCTCCAAACAGGGCTCAAAGGGTAGCACTTGTCATGAGCAAAGTTACGAGTTTTCCATCCAGGATGTCTCGAAGACGCTGCCTTATCTTTGTGTCTTCGTCTTCAGGTCTGCCTGATCTCGGTTTTTTAGCAGAAGTACTCATTTTTTGAATTATATGGTTACATTTATGCTTAATTTAAGAAGTTTCTTTTTATTTTATAATGTTTCTTTTTCTCATCTCAACAGTGAAAAAATTTGTGAAAAGAGCGCCTATAATTCCACCCAAGGAAGGAGCAATAATGAAAATCCAAGTATTTTCAAAATGCGTCCCATGCTTGATGTAATAATATATATTAACTCCTAATCCAATTGCAGGATTAAAACACCCATTCGTTATATGCCCTACTGTAGAGATACTTCCAAAAACAGTCAGCACAATAGCAGCATTAAAAACCACTTTATCTATATGCCACATTTTTCCCATCATCACTGCGTTTGCACAGATAAGCATTGTAAAAATCAGCTCAGCCCAAAAAGCCTGGGCAATTGAGTAGTCGTCTAAGGCATCGAAAAACATGTTGTGATGGACAATTCCCCATGCGCATAGAGCGGAAAATAAAGCCGCTATAAATTGGGTTACAATGTATAAGAGTGCATCAGTCACATCTATTTTTGAGACTTTTTTATTTAAATATTTGTCATAGAGAAGAGCAATTGTTACAGCTGGGTTGAAATGAGCACCTGAACACAATCCAGAAATACCTTGGCCACATCAGATAGCACCACATACAGCAAAAGGTTCGCCACCACTTACACCTGAAGTAAAAACTATTAAAAAGACTCCTGCGAACTCAGCACAAAGGCGTCTGAAAAGCATGGGCTAGTTAATTATGGATTTTTAATATTAAATGAGTATAAAATATAATACTTATTTTAAGCTAACTATTTAAATGCTATTTGCAATTTGTTTGCTATATGCAAATGCCTTTATTATTCACAAACAATTTTAAAGTCTGACAATTGCATTTCCTCTTACTAAGCTTAATAATAAAAATGGTGGAAAAAGTTGTGGGAAAATACAGTTAAACATATCCGAGAGTTTATCGGGATAATGTAAAAATAAGAGAGATTGACTTCTTTTGAAGTGGTAGGCTTAATTTAGAATATATTATTTTATAAAGTCTCTTTTATTCATCTCTGCATTGAAAAATTCGTGAAAGAGCTCCTATAATTCCATATAAAATTCTATTCCTCCTAGAATCATTTCGTCCTACTATTCCGTATTGGTGGATAAAGGAACTCATAATAAATATTGCGGAGGAAGAAACCATTTCATGCATAGGCATTTTCTTCTTATTCCTCTTCAATCGAAAGAAAATCAAATCTTATATATAATTTTCAAGTTTCTATGATTTTACTAAACTCCTGCATTAGGAAATTATTAAAATCAGGTGATCCGTAATTAATCCACTATTTATTGAGAGAATGAGAATAAAAAAATTAAAATGTTCAACAGACCCTATGCTCAGCTAATTATAATTCAATGAGCAGCCAGCTCATAGTCAGCTACTAAAAGTAAAAAACAGCATCTCAGAAATAAATGATAAAAAATGCTTATCAAGCTATTAAATATAGAAAACAGATTGATAAATTATTTAAGCAACAGAAAGTATAAATCAGAAGTTTGAGCGCCCCTTTTTAAAAAAAATGAAGGATATCAATACTAAAATCCAAAATTTGAGCTTTTTTTAGAGAGCGAGCAGATTTCTTTTCTCTAGTTATTTATTTTCACGTGAATTTTTAATTCTGCAGCATCTGGAACTGGTTGATAATTTTATGCACCTAATATAGCCCAATTGAAGCTCCATCTCTTGCAATTGGTTCGGGCCAAGAATATCACGAGCTGACAAATGTCAATTATGAGTACTTTTCAAATCGTGGAGTTGGCTTGATAAGTTTTAATGCCAAAATGAAAAATTAATTTTTATTTGAAATATGAAATTTATTGACAATTTAATCAATTAGAGGCAAATTTAAAAGAATAGAGAGATCAAAAGCATAGATTAACTTAAGATTATATTATTTTGAATTTTTGATTTCATAAGTTAATATATAGAATTTGAAATGAAACGCAAAATTTGCCATTATCAGCAAAGCGAATTTTTCAATATGGATGCAAAAAATTGTTCAAGCTCTAATAAATAGCTTTGGCTCCTTTTGAACCTCTTAGCTGATTTTTTATGAGAAATATTACTCATAGTTTATTATTTATAGACTCTCTTATTTTTTAAAATTAAACAGCTCCATTCTCAACCCTTAAACAACTTTATTAATAAATTTAGTAAATATTCTCCATAATAATTCATTAAAAATAAAACTTATAGCCTCAAAAGTGCGTACAACTTCCTTAATTTACCTCTAAGTAAAGAGTTATTATTATAAAGAAGCTAATAAAAATATTCCATAAATAATCGTATACGAACTAACTCTGAAAGGAGAGAAAAAAGTAATATTCGGCTTGCTTAATAATTTTTACCTTGGGATATACTTTTTCTTTTTCTTATCTACCGACATAAATATTAGGATATTCAAATTCTGATATTTATTAAAGAAGCTGTTTTCTAAGTTTTTTGTCAATTTTTATTAATTTTAAATCCTTCAAAAATTCTGATTATTTATTTATATTTACCAGTAAAAATTTCTTTGATTATCGTTTGAATTCCTCATTTTCTTTCAAAAATCCTTTAAATAAAAATTTTTGTGAACAAATTAAAATTATGAATTCTGAGGCAAATTCTAGAATATTTCAATCATTCCTATCATTCTTAGGATATCGTTTATCAGATTTACTTAACTTTCCTCCACTGGACCATATTCGAATAATGAAAATGGATGGTATACATTTGATTTAAAATGCCACAGACATCTATTTCTAACTACCAAATATTCACCGAATAGCCATTACATTATAATAAATGAAATCAGGAAGCCAAAATAACAACCAACCAAGACACCGTAAAACCCAAAGGCTTATTGAGCCACTTTACCAAGCATCCTACCGAGAAGTAATGCATGATCTCAAACTGCTTAATGATTTATCTCCAAAAAAGCCAGTTATCCCGACTGAAACAATTCTTCCCCTAAAGCGGCCGAGACCTGAAAGACCCGTCGAAACCATCGAGGAGACCCAAGCCCTTGAAATGCTCGTTTCTTTAATAGAGAAAACTGAGGTCAAAATTCCTAAGGCCCAATCTCCAAGAATAGAAAAAACAACAGTGAAAAGTCCTAAGGCCCAAACTCCTAAGTCGGTGAATGTACAACCAACAGGAGCGTATCAGCAAGCCCAGATGATGAAGTTAGGCATGTTTTGGAGCCAATACATGATGATGATGCAGTGGCAAAATTATTATGCTAACTTGAATTACTATGGAGGCCCAGTAAAAAAGTTTCAAACAGAAATCAAGCAGAACGTTTACACTGATGTGTCTGCTGGAAATTTGTAATAACTTATGACAAAATTAATTTTTTATGATGTTTTGGTGAAAATTGAGAAGGGAGAATAATAAATTAATAATGGGATTATTCTTGGGGATGAAGGATATAAATTTTGGCTTTTATGGACAGAATGCTATGGTTGATAAGCAATAAATGATGAGGTAGTTTATAAGGATTATGATATCTTTTAAGGTAGGTTTTCTGCTCATTTTGCATGATTAGTTTTTGTTTGTCAGATCAGGTATGAGAAAAAAATTAAACCAATTTTTCAATTTTCCTTGGAGATTTGTGATGATGAATTTTAAACAATTTTTTTTATTTTGAGTTTGTGAAGCTTTAGAAAGCTTGCTCCCCGCAATCCCTCTGAGCAAAAAAAATATTTGGTCAGCTCACAGGTTAGAGTTTATTTTTATAAATTTTATTATATTTTATTTTAAAAATTAAAAAAATCCAAATTCCCAAAATATTTACATTATATAAACCTAAATTTTGAAAATTAAATTATGTTAAATCTAACAGATTTCCTTATAATAATTATGATTTATATATTTCAAAATTATTTTTCACAAAAAAATATTGATAAAAAATTATTCGTTCACAGAGGGGTAGTTTTAACCTCAATAAAAAATAGGGATTTTTCCAATAGTTTTGCTCACTAATAGAGGAGGATTTAGCATAAAGATTTATTAATTATTAGTTTTTTGAAATTTCCATATTCTTCTTACTCAATCGAACACAAATAAAATGATAATTTATCCGACCCGTCCTTCTCCGACACCTTGGGGGTTTTCATTGGTTTAAGTGGACAGATCTGGAAATTATGCCCGGGGTAGGTTTTTTATCCCTGGTCAGGACCCCACAAGTAGACCAGAGTCCACATGACAACTCCTCACTTCTGTATGCGAAAGGTAATGGAGACCAGAAGGAGGATTTGGGGTCGCCTCCTACCTCCCATCTCCGGGTAGATGGTACTGACTCCTAGGAGTTTGTCCAAAGAAGTGCCTGGGTGCGTCTCCCCAAGAGATGCTGACCTCACCATTTTTTGATGAAGTCGATAGAAAAGGGCATAAGTGCAGCCCGATGCTTAGGGCAAGAAACCTGAAGTCAGTGAAGGCAAATAAGTTCTGAAATAAATCCTGAAGATCCATTCTAACTTTAATCTAATCTTACTCAATCATAATAATATTTTTCCAAAAATAATTCAAACACAGAAATTAAAATGATTATTAACCCAAAAAGCTATACTTCTTTTCTTGGAGTGGCGCTGCAAGCGCAGGCCACTCCATGTGGAATTCCTGTGTTGGTTTAGCCAACATAGGAGCTGGTCGAACCAAAACTGTGCGTTGGTTCGACCAACCCATGAATTCCGCATGGAGTGGCCTGCGCTTGCAGCGCCACTCCAAGGAAGTTTCTATAGCCAATTTTCTGCCTTATATTTCCCCACAAACTATCACTTATCCTTCTATACTTATCTTCTTCCCTTTACTCCTAATCTAAATTCTTCCCAAATCCATCACATTAATTAATCATTCTGTATTAAATAATCACGAAACTGCTATTAACTGACCCTTAGGTTTTGTTAGATAGAATTTAACTTTGCCATTATCCTGGCGAATAAATGGTATCAATTTGGCTCTTGATTTCTCTAATTGGAGTATCATATGCAGCATCCCCAATGTGCTATGCAGTCTCTATTGAAGGCGGCGGAAGCCATGGAGCATTTGAAGCTGGTGCTCTCTGAACTCTTGCCTACAACTCGACCCAAAATGTCCAATGGAATGTTGTAACAGGAATTTCCACTGGAGCTTTAAACGCTGGAGGTTGCGCTCAATTTGCCCAAGGACAAGAAAAAGCAATGTCTGATTTTCTAATAAATACTTGGCTCACACTTAATGGCTCTGCTAGTGTTTTTGTGGAATGGGATGGTGGACTTGTTGAAGGCCTTTTGTTCCAACGTGGGGTTTATGATAACAAGCCACTTGTTAAGACTTTAAACTCAAAATTCATATATGGGGTTCATAGAAACATTACAATAGGCTCCACAAACTTAGACACTGGGCTTTTTGGGCAATTTAATGAAACTCTTGGGCCTCAAGGTCTCTTAACCGCTATTACTTGTTCTGCATGTCCTCCTTGGTACTTCCCTCCAACTAACTTTTTGGGCAGCACTTGGGTTGATGGAGGCGTCGTGATAAATCTCGATGTGTTTGCAGCTGTAAACAGATGCCTTGACGTTGTTTCTGACCAATCACAAATTGTTGTTGACTTAATTTATGATAGCACTAACTATACAATCCCAGCAGAAACTAATATGACTACTTTTGACGTGTTTAGACGAGTAAAAGAAATTAAAGACTATGATGGACAAATGTGGTTCTATTATAACGCAATTACGGCTTGGCCTAAGGTGAATTATAGATACGTCATTTTCCCTAGCCAAGCAATGCCTGGAGGTCCTGGAGTTCCACTTGACTTTAACCAAACAGTACTCGTAAATGAAGTAGCGCTTGGAAAGAGTGATACCCTTAACGTACTCAATAGCAAAGTTGATGGAAAAACGATTTTAATGCAAAGATATCACGAAAACAAGAGTAAAGTCATTTACCCTTAATTTATTATTCTTCCGTAGCTAAAACAGACCTATTTTTAATCAAATTAAATGCATTTTCAGCTTAAAATCCTAAAATTTATATAAAGATTAATCATTTATTAAATAATCAATCATTCCAATCACTTCCAAACTCTCAGCCTTTAATTTGTATTCCTCCGCAGCCGCTTCTCTCAACTCTTCCAGTTCTTTTTTCACTTCAGGGTTTATCAAAGAAACAGCAGAATACATATCCACAACAATATTAGCCAGCGGAATGACCACATGAGAGTATTTGGGATTATTCACTTTTTCAGCCACCCAAGCAATAATCTTTGCGATATCTTGTGGCTCCCTCTGCTTTAGCGCTGCAATTAGCCCATCTCTTTGTTCTAATTCCTGAATAATCGTTATAATTAGCTCAGGTCTGTCTAACTCAAAAGCCAAATCTATCACTTCTGAATATCTGAATTTCTTTAGCAGGACGTCATACTCCTTTAGCTTCTTTTTTATTTGCCCTTCAATTTGTATTTCATTGCCGTCTGGCTTGCTATAAACTCCTCTATTAAAATACTTATAATCCTTTACTGTCTCTGTTGGGGCTGTTTTTCTGTATTCTTCCCATTTTTCTAAATAAATCTGGTCAGTTTCTTCGATTTTCTTTTTTCGCTTTGGTTTTGCATTTTTGTGCTGCCTTACAGAAAGTTTTCCATCAGCCATCCCAACAACTAGATGGGAATTTTCATTGGTTACTTTGGCAGATAAGACTGGGCTGGGGTATTTTATTGTATGTCCTACTGTAAAATCCTTCAAATTGTGGATTTTGACAGAGCCGTCTAAGCTGGATGTAATTAGTCTTGTATTGTGTGAATCTGTTGAGATTGAGGTAATATTTTTACTATGTGTGCTATAAGTGTGTAGTAATTTGTTTTGGTTTATTTTTTTATTAATCAAAAAAAATATTAATTTTTTTGATTTTTAAAAAAAAATATAATTTATTTTGGTTTAAGTCCCAGACTTTATAGTTTGTATGGCCAGCTGTGATTAAAAAGTCATTAATGCCAAGCACTGCAGAAACAGGGGCATTGTGGTTGAATTCTTTGACCATCCCGATGCGCTTGTCCCATAGCTTGATTATGCCGTCCATGCCACCACTGATAGCTAGCTCCCCTACGGTTCCTATAGCTCTGACATAATCATTGTGGCCTTGCCAGGCTTCTAATTCTTTGTTTTGGGATAAATCCCATAATCTTACATTCCCATCGTCACAGCCTGTAATAAAGTTTCCATCACCCCAAAAAGTCATCGCATAAGCAGGCTTTGGATGCTTATAATTCCTCAATAAGGTTTTTGTATTTTATACCCATTCTCTCTGAATTTTCCAAATTAATTTTGAAATAATCTATATTTTTTTTAAAGATAAATTAAATTTATTGAAAATACCTGAAAAATTGAGACTTTACCTTCAATATCTCCTGCAGTGAAAAGTTCACCATCGTTTCTAAAGCACCCACCCAGAGCCAAAGTGCGGAACCTCGATATTGAAAATTCATGAGAATTTTGGTAATTAAAAAATCTGACTGAATTAGATGATGTGCATGTGTAAAAATCTGAAGAGCTTGCTACATTTACAATAGCAGCGTGGTCCTGGCGAAGCAGAACATTACGAAACGACTTCCAATACTTTTGTTCTGCAGTTTCTGAGGTAGGCTTTTTAGGAAATTTTATAAGCTCTAAAGGCTGGTAGTTTGCCATATTAGCAATTAAATGATTTCAGGGTTCAAGCACTGAAAGGGGATAATAATTAAATTTTATAACAAAATAAGGCTATATGACGTCAATAAATGTGGTGAAACTATTTTTCTCAAAATTTTTTATTTTTTTTTAAAAATAATTATATTATGGTTTCTCCCAAAATGTGAGAACATAATTAATAATTTTTACTATAATTCCAAATATGATCTAAAAAAATTTTCCTCAATATGATTATAAAAAAATTATTACTTGCTTTGTTAACAAAAGTCGACTTTAAATTCTATGGTAATTAAATTAATGGTTCCATATTAAAACTAGTTAGTATTTAATAGAGAAGTCATGTGTATTTTTACACAAAAGCCTGAGTTTTGCGAACACCCTGAGTGTAAGCAATTTTACGCTGTTTTTGCTGCAAGTCGCTTCCATTTCCCAACTGGTGAGGTGGTGCCTGGGATTTCAGAAATACTGGAATATCAAAACACTGTCCTCAGTTCGTTATATAGCAATAACCTCCAGCTGGAACTGCTATTCGATAAGGTACTGAACGAGGCCAAAATTTTAAACTCCTATCTCTCGAATCCCCGGCATTCAGACTTGATCATCCCTGAATCGTGCAACCCAAGCCAAGCTTTTTCAATGCTGAGTTGAGATCTGGACTACCACTTGGCGCTTGAGTCTCAGTTGCCAGAAAATATTTATAAAGAGAGAGGATTCGCTATTTCAGTTTCCCTTCGAAATAGAAAGGACGAAATCTGTTTTTTGCCCACCCATTCAAGGTATAAGGTTTTTCTGTTCACAATGGACCAGCAGCCTCGGCAATTGACACTCAATATCTCTGGTAAACGAATTATCAGAGGAACAGTAGAAGCAGAAATGCAGGACACTGGCATCGTAAATATGACGAATATTGTGATAAACGAGGTCAGTTCACACTACGCGAAAGAATCATTTTGTTTGGTTATAATGAGCACCAGCAGTTCTCAGGTCAAGCCGCTGCTAATTAAGGACCTCGCTGTGAAGGCTCGTAAAATGCTAAAAGAATAAGTATGAAATATAGTAACATAATAGGGTCAGTAATTTCAAATATCAGTATCGAGGCCTATATATTTTGTTCAACTGAAATAAGTAATAGAGATATTCCCTAGGTAATTCTAGGGAATTTTTATATTTTATTTTTAAAATGGGGATAGTTATGATTTATTGGTATAAAATGGATTAAATTAAATTCAAAATTTTTTTAAAATTTCTGACTAAATAAATTTTGAGAAAATCTAAACCTAATTAGGCTTTAATTTTGTATTCTGATGGGAGGAAATAATTAGGTTGCGGGTGAGCTGAATGCATAATGCCTAATAAATGAGGAAGCATGGGAAAAAGAACCAGGAAAAAAATCCTTTTATGGTGTCAATGACTGACAAGAAAATCTGACGGATTTTTAAAGGAGTAGGTTTAAGGGCAATTGACTAGCAAATTTAGGAATTCAGGATAGCAGACACTTTTAGTAGATTTTGAATATTATGATTTGAGATCAAAATTTGCTTCAATAAAGAATATAGGAACTAGAGCTCTATAAAAAAAGATCTATAGGGCATTACGCAAAGGTATTAAGAAAGAATCATGCTGCCAGCAAAAATTCGGAGTTTAAATCATATAAATATTAAACAAAAAATAGCTAAATCCCCCTCCATGTGAACACAACCATTGAAACAATCCTTTTTTGGGTAAAAACTCACCTCAATGAGCGAAAAAAAATTATAAATTTTGATATAGAAATTTCCCATAGATGGCGCTGTTTGCCCTTGATTTGCCCATGAGAAAAATTTTTTGGCTTGACCAAACCATATGTGACTGGTCGAACCAAAAAAATTTCCCCAGTGGGCAAATTAAAGGCAAACAGCGTCATCTATGGGAAATTTATATATATAACGATAATTAGTATATGAAATCTCTAGCTATTTCTGTTTAATTTTTAGCAACTTGCATTCGAAAACATAAATTTTACAAATCAAATTAATTTTTGCTTCTCAATTTTTGTGAAAATGGACATTTTTAAATGAAATGTACTATAAAATTTATCTATAAATTTTTTTAAAAAAATTGTTTGCTTATGGGGGAGTAAGATAATTTTGAAACTTAAAATTCTAGAAGGCATTGAGGCATAATATATTCCAGATGGGAAAAAATTAATTGAACTATTATTGTCTTTATGATGCAATCCTAAACAGTAATAAAGTTTTTGATGTAATCTACTCTGTCTATTGTTGAAATTCAGCAGAAAATTGGGAATTCAATATGTTCTTGATATAAAATGGCAGAAGAAGAAAATATTTCAGCATTGGAAACTTATATTCTTTCCTCAGATAAGCAGTCAGCTATAAAATCTTTTCCACCAACTTCTTCGTTTGGGCTATTTTTGAAAGCTAATCTTTTACTCAAAGAAGGCCAATCCAGCAGTTCAGAATACGAGGAAACATTAAAAGAGCTTAGAAAATCAGATAAAAACCTTTATCTTACAATGACCACTAGACAAGATATAAAAGATCTTGATTTTATAGAAACAAAAGAAAAAATCAACGAAAAGATTGATGAAATCAGTTCAAAATTGATGGGATTTCAGTTTGATTATCCAGTTCCGATATCATCTGATATTAAAGAAAAGAAAGAATTTAATGCTCATTTGACCGAAAATTTATTTTCAGAAATTTTTGACAGCTCGATTTTATCTCATGCAATGCTCTCTGATTTAACTTCTCACTCCTACCTTTAAATTGGAACAAAATATCCATTTTTGGACCCCGTTTTAAAACTGGAACAAAATTTTGTTCAATAGGAAATTTTATATTTAGCATACGAATTTTTTATAAAAATTAGTTTTGACCTATTTAATAAAGCAATTAGAGTATTTAAATTGTTTTTACATTGGATCAGCTAATTTTTGAATTAATACTTTATAAAAGTAAATTAAAATTCATTAAATTGTTTTAATTTTTAAAAGAGAAAAATTTTATATGAATTTTTTTTTGTAGCCCAAGTTTTTATTGGAATATTTTTTTTTTAAATTTAAAAGGGGGAGAGTCAAGGTAAATTGAAAATAAATACTGCGAAATTGAATCAGGAATTATTCAAAGAATTATTAATTGACTGAAATTATTTATATGTTTTGCAAGGTGTTCCAGAAAAAATAGATGAATTGATAAAAGAAGACAATTTTCATTTCGTTCAATGCTTTACATGCATGAGCCTTCAGCAAATGGAAGATTTATTGAAAATAAATAAAAATATTATCAATAGCTCAGGGTTCGTTAAAGCATTTTTATATAAAAAATACTTTTATAAGCTACAGAGTGATAATCTGGAAAATTATGAAATTTATAGTAGAGTCTGGGAAGAAATTAAAGATTTTCCTGAAAAATTAAATTCGCTAAAAACGGTCATACTTTTGTCTTTGCTGAATTTAGGGGTAAAATTTGGAATTTATGATGAAAATTTATTTAAAAAATATTTAGGGCTCCATAAGAATGGTCAGATTTATAGCTCAAATAACGAAAATATAGATAAAAAAATAAGCAAATATGCAGATTTTGGTTATGATGATTGGAAAAATGATCAAGAATTGGTAGAAGAATATCTAGAGGAAATATTGAAGCAGAAAGAGAATGCTAATAAATATAAATCGTTTTTTGAAGAAAAATTTCTTATTGCCCCCATCCTTGATCGAACGATTCTATTGAAAAATTCCTAAAATTGGAAAAATTAATACCTTGATTGAACGATTTTCTTATATACAATAAATCAATAGATTAGTTAATATTTATTATAATTTATGAAAATTAGGCAAATTAAAAGTAATTTACGTGTTTTCTTAATAGTCTGCACGGAATTAATCATTTAAAGTGCTTTAGACATCAACCTGGCTTAATAATCTATAAGTTTAGAATTATTACAAATTAAAAATAATTAAAAAGGAACAGAAATATTTTATAGAGAGAAAGGGGAACTAGACTTTTTAAATTAACACCGTTTTTCATTTTAATAGTTTAATAATTACTATCTCAACCCTCTTATTTAAAAATACGCCAACCAATAAAAATAATATATATATTATTTTTATATATAATTTTTTCAAAAATTTTTTAAACCCTCACCATGATCGAACGATAAAGATTCGTTCAATCAAGGATGGGAAGGAGTTAGAAGAACATTTGCAAAAATAAAAATTCAAACTGGAGTACCTCCATCAGAATTTGAAGACATCATTACTCAAAATGATCTAGCCTCTATTTCCTCTGAAATTGTGCTTGAGACATGTAAAGACAATCCCACTTCTTTCCACAGAGATGAGCTTGTTAGATTCTCTATAAAAACTAAAAATATCCCAAAACTCCTCGTTAAAGTCCTCGAAATAAATACAAAATTTTACTATCTTAAGCATAATTCCAAAATCCCTAATGATATTTGTTCAGAAGGCCTCATTGCAAAATACGAAAAAAATTATGAGTATTCAGAATCTCCATTAATAAAAGCTAAGAGAATTTTAGAATTCCCAGAACTTAAAAATAAAATTGGATTATTTGTTATTGAACTAATAGGAAATGGAAGACATTCTAGAGCTATTATAAGAAAAGGATCATTAAAATATGCATGAAAAATCACAGCCTCTGGGCAGCTCGTTATGATTTTAGATGAAGAAAATAAAATATGCAAGAATAATGGAGCAGGAGTTTATTTAGATGAAAGATTTTATTCTTGTGAAAATAAAGATGGGTGCGCGCTGTTGCCGTTCGCTAATGAAGAAAATATAAAAAATATTATTTTAACTGATGGAATCATTGCAGAACTCGTTGAAGGATTTTCACATTATACTGAATCTTATGAGTTAAAATCAGCTTTTTTCGTCCATGAAGAGCAATTATTAGTAGGAAATAAAGCCAAAATTTCAATATAGTTTTCTTTATTATTTTCTTCAAAATAAGAAAAAGCTATTTTTCTATTTCTTATTAAAAATCTTAAATTAAATTTAATTAAGCACAGTATAAGCCAAACCTTTATGTAAATGGAGTAAAAACGTTCCTATCTTTATTAACTGACTGCAAAGCTGTTATAGAAACAGTAGACTATGAAGGAATTTCTTCATCTAAAACTTATTCAGATTTTTCGCTTTTAGATGAGAATTCAATTATTAGCTTACAAATTCAAGTTCCACCAAGGTTAAAAAACGTTATGATATCTTTTACAGGGGAGGTAGAAAATTTAACAAAAAATAAAAAAATTCCTCTTGAATCAAATTTTTCAATTGATGTGAATACTTACTTGGGCAATGATGCAATATATGGTGCTTATTTAAATCTTGGGAGTAATGGGTACCTAATTCCCCTCCATGAGTAGCAAAAAGCTTTATCCGCTAACGAAAGGGGTTAATTTAATTTTTTCAAAAATATCATTCTCGCAAAAATTTAGAACTAAAAATTCATTTAATTTGCGAAATTTATTTTTTAAAATGCAAGTTATTTAAATTGCACAAAATTAGCTAGAAATTTCATTATAATAATTATTACCTATATATCGAAATTTTTTTTTCAAAAAACATTTTTGATCGCTGAAAATAGTGATTTTTCAATGGTTTTGCTCTCACAGGTGAGAGAAGTAATAGAAATCAAAGGAAATAATGGAGAGCCCTGCTCAGATGTGCAAGTTGAAGTAATTTTAGAGCATGATGATTGGCTTAGTACCAGATCAGAAATACTTAAAACTGATGAAATGGGGAAAATATATTTAGGAAAGCTGACTGATATTACTAATTTATCTGCTAACTCCCCCCCCCTCCGTGAGTGAACAAAAAAATTTTGTTCACTCATGGAGGGGGGTTAATTTTTATTTTAAAAAATTTATATATAAATTTTGGAGAACTTTTTGGGACGGCAAAAATACTGCAAGGCTCTGCAAAAAACTGCAAGGCCAGTAAAAAAATGGCAAAGCCAAGCAAAAAAATGCAAAACTTGCAAAATTTTTGCAAGTTTTGTAAAAACATTGGACAAAAGCAAAAGCAATTTAAAAAAAAAGCAAAGCCATGCAAAAATTTAAAAAAAAAATGAAAAATTTCGCAAAGCAGGCAAAACTTTTGCAGGGTGGCAAAAAAGTTGCAAAAATTGGCAAAAATCACGATTAGAAAATTTAACAGTAAAATTTAATAATTTATTGGAAGTGTAGTACAATGTTAAATTATTTAAACAACATATAATATAGAAAAAATAGAAATTAATTTCGTGAAATAAATGCTAAAGTCTAATACAAATATCTTTTAAAAGAATTTTCCAAAAACATAACTTAAGAATTTTAAAATTTTGGAAAATTTAATTTTGGCAAAACACTTTGTTGTATCTCATTTTAAAATTTTGCCAAAATTAAATTTTCCAAATTTTGAAAATTTTTAAGTCATGCTTTTAGAAAATTCTTTAAAAGATATTTGTATTAGACTTTAGCATTTATTTCACGAAATTAATTTCTATTTTTTCTATATTATATGTTGTTTAAATAATTTAACATTGTACTACACTTCCAATAAATTATTAAATTTTACTGTTAAATTTTCTAATCGTGATTTTTGCCAATTTTTGCAACTTTTTTGCCACCTTGCAAAAGTTTTGCCTGCTTTGCGAAATTTTTCATTTTTTTTTAAATTTTTGCATGGCTTTGCTTTTTTTTTAAATTGCTTTTGCTTTTGTCCAATGTTTTTTGCAAAACTTGCAAAAATTTTGCAAGTTTTTGCATTTTTTTGCTTGGCTTTGCCCATTTTTTACTGGCCTTGCAGTTTTTTGCAGAGCCTTGCAGTATTTTTGCCGTCCCAAAAAGTTCTCCATAAATTTTATAAAAAATATTTTTTTTCGAAATTTTAAAAAAATCCTAGTTCGCAAAACTTGGAAAGCAAATATTAATTTAATTTATAAAATTTATGTTTTAAAAAGCAATTCGTTTAAAATTAAACAGAATTAGCTCTAGATTTCATTATACTAATTATCATTTATATATCAATTTTTTTTTCCATAAAAAATTTTTCTATTAAAAACATTTTTGTTCACTCACGGAGGGTGGGTTTTTGGGCAAAAAATGGCGATTTTTCTAATGGTTTTGTTCACTCACGGAGGGGGGGGGAGTAAGGTGAAGTTTCCAGAAAATGAACAAAATTTTAGCTGATATCTTGGTTTTTTTAAAAAAGCAATCCAATATCCAAGCATAATAAATTTATGTGAGGGGGATGAATTTGGAATTCCTGTGGATTTTACTATAGTTAACAGTAAAGAGATAACTTTGGTATTGGCTCATGATTCAACAATAATTGATATTTTTAATCACAATTTGCAACTTGATTACGAAAATTCAGTAATTTGGCTTAAGAACATGACAGAAGGGACTTACGAATTGAAAATAAATTCATATACAATTAGTGTCCATGTGAGCCAGGGGATACATTGGGATAACAATCAATTTATTTTGTCAGAAAATTTAGTTATTCCGACTTATAACCAATATAAAACTTTAAAAATTAGCTCAACCTCTTTTGAAGAAAATAAGCTGAAAATAAAACTTGGAGGAGACACTGAAAATGCTTCAATTCATGCTCTTTTTTTCAATTATTTATCAGAAAGTTTAATTCAACAATTAACTCAATTTATCTCTTTATATGAATTGCCATCTAGGCATTATCAAAATTTTTCTCAAGAAAAATCATACTATATGCAAAGCAGAAAATTAGACGAAGAATATCAATATATCCTTGAGAGAAAATATCAGCCAAGATTTGTAGGGAATACTTTGCAAAAGCCACAATTGTTATGTAAAAGAAATTTTATAGAAGATACTGTGACAGAAACTCAAAGAGCTGAAAAAGGCGAAAAGCTAAAGCATGCAAAACTTGGTATAGCCTGAGCCTTTTTTTGGCTCGAGTTATCGTGGCATCTCCTGATGTTAATGGGAGTAGGTTTTACCAACATTTGTCGGTAAAACCATTTATCAAATGTTAACTCTTCAATAAGAAGTGGTCAAGTTGCAAAAGATATTAGAGTTAATTTTATTGCAAGGACATCAGATGAAATCAGAAGCTAACTTTCAGTATGCTGATAGCACTGTACTCATTGTAGAATCTTAAAAAGAAATTGAAACGATATTAAGAAGCTTGAAGAAATGATTGGATGAAAAAAATGCGAGGCCGAATATAGGGTTAGAAAAGACGGCAATAATGCCAATTATTAATAAAATAGAAAATCGAATATAGAGATATTTTTAACGGCACAGAAATACCGCTAGTAGAAAAATATAAATGCCTAAAATTATGTTAAAAGGTAGAATAAAAGCAACAGGATTTGATCAGGCTCAATATACTCATTTAAAAGGCATAACAAGGGTTACTTGCTGTTCCGTTATACTGACAATAAAAAGGCTATTACATATACCCACTAAAACTCTTATTAATTCCTTAAAGCAATTTTCTTGCCGAGATACACATATGGTCTGGAAATCTGTTCGAGATCAAATTGGTGAGCTTATGAAAGACACCATACGAATGAGAGATTGGAGTCTGAGCTAGAAATTGAGGTAAATATCTTGCAAAAAGTTGATTGTGTGATAAAGATGAATTTAGCAATATTTGACGAAAATTAGAAGAAGCAGAAAAAGTAGCAAACATGACAATTTTTTTTCAAATTCAGGAGACAGAGCAGGATTTGAAAATTTTGGAGTTACAGAAGCTTATTTACTAGATTAAAAGGATGGGGAAAAAAAAAGTTATTGGGGCATGCCCTGAAATAGCAGGTAAAATGCAATTTTAATGAATTGAACTTGTCATCTGGGGAGTTGGTCTTACCAACAAATGTTGTAAAACCATCTCCCCGATTGATGTCAGGAGATCTCGGAATAGCCCGAACGTAAAAACGGCTTGGGTGATACCTATATGCATAACTCAAAAAGGAATTTAAATTCATGTGCATGTTCAGGAGGTAATTATGATAATTTTGGTCAAAATCTTGATTTTCTTGAGCATCCTGCTATTTGGGTATTTGATGTTGATATCAATGAGGGTACAGCAGAAATCTTACTTGATAACTTTAACTATAGCCAAATTTGTGTTATTGCTACAAATGGAGAAGGGCTCTCATATGAAGTTTGCAGTGTCCCTAATCCTACCATTGGACTGAAAGATATGAGGCTGCAACAGTCTCTTGATTCTTCTATCTTTTTCGCATTTAAATATCTCAATAGGCTAATTTCCGTAATAATATATCATCAATTATAAAAAATAACTAATTTAGAGTAAGTGCATTTCAGAAAAAATTCAAAGCAAAGCAGTTTTAATTGGTGAGTCATTTAAAATCAATGACATCAATAGTACGAGCTATGAGATTATAGACTCCATAGAGAAACTATATAGGATTCAAAAAGAGCTTATTAAGCTGAATAAAAGCTTAATCAGCTATGAGAGCTGGGATTTTCTAGGAAAATGGGAAAGTTTATCATATGAAAAAAAGCTTGAAGTTTATGACAAATTTGTTTCTCATGAGCTTAATATATTTATATATAAAAAGGACCCGAACTTTTTTAAAGAAATAATTGAACCTCATCTTAAATGCAAAATGGAAAAAGATTTTGTAGATATGTATTTGCTATCTGAGCCTCTAGATTATTATCTTAGCTTATCTAATCTTGCAAAATTAAATACTTTACTCCCTTTAAGAGAGTAAGATCATTGGAAAAATTTATTTGAGAAAAACTAAGCCAATTAAAGAGAGCAAAAATTTTTCTGATGCATTATTTTTATATATAAATAACCATTTTTATTTAATTTATTAATTTTTTATGGCTTGCAAAACAATTTTAGATATAAATTTAATATATACCTAAATCAATGAATATAATTTTTTTATTGATTAGAATGATGCCCTATTTTATAATTATGCCTTGCATATTTTGATCATCATACTGGCGATATCAATATGGTAATTTTTGCAGAAAAATATGCTACTAATATCACCAGCATGACTCGCATACTTGCGATCAAAAATGTTCAAGGCACAATAAAATATCTCCTTTAATGCTGATTAGGTATCATTTTTTAAAAAAGTTAAGCAAGAAAATCTTGATCACTCTTAAAGGGGAGTCAGAAAAAATTTTACTTATAGACAGAATTTCTGAAAATAACCCTGATTTTGCCCTTAGCCTAGCAAGATTATTAAAAGATGAAGCTGATTCAATCTCTATTAGCCAACAATTAAAACACAAACAAAAAGAGCTAGTCTTAAGATTTAATTTATCTGATGATTTGATGAAGCAATGTGAAAGCCCTCAGCCTGACGAAAGCGAATTAGATGAAGAATTAGAAATTCAAGAAAGACGTAATGAATTTCAAAATAAATTTAACCTCCTCAGCAGAATGCTAATTAAAAGTGATGGAAGCTCTGATAGAGAAAATGATGAAAAAGAATGTAAAAAAACAAAATCCCGGAAAAAAGGTATGAAATTATTTGGCAATCAGAAACAAAAAGAAGAAAAAGATGATAAAAAAATCCCAGTGTATTATTATGGATTGGAAATTTTATTTATATCATTTTACTATAAAGGTTTTTTTGGAGTGTGGAAGTAGAAAAATCATGAGTTTTTATATTTGAAAAAGGAAAGAAAGGGAGAAATTTTTTCAGATATGATACCAAAAGCTTGATGCCACAAAGGAATTTTGTGAAACTTTTTATTTTGGGGTTACAAATAACGCTGGAAATAAAAATTTGGTGCCTAATAATTTATTTTGGTCAGAATTAGCTAATTTAATTGCGAATAAAGAAAGTTCACTAGTACTATCTGAAGAAATTTTAGGAGCGACATCAAGCTTAACAGAATTGATTTGCGCTTTAGCTTTTACAGACCTTCCTTTAGTCCCCAAAAATATTAATTATCTGCTTGAAAAGAATTCAATTACTTATACTGCCAATAGCAATTTTCTTATTTTTTATAAAGAACTCTATGAAGCTGAATCAGAAATAAACAATAAAATTTTATGCTTCGTTAAAAAGAATAGTGAATTAATAAGAGATTTCATTTCCCTTTATACATATAAAATAGTTAAAATCGCCTCTAATCCATCAGTGTGCTCAGCTTTAGGGCTATAATTTCCCAGCATTATTTTGATGCCCAAAACAAAGAGAAAAATATAAACCAATTTATCAAACAAAAAATATATGGTTGCAAAGTTGTTTTAACTAATTCTTCAGGATCAAAATTAAATGTCAATCTTTTAGCTGAAATCCCTCAAGGAAGTATCCCAGTTGGAAACACAAAATATATCCAAAACCCGATTTTATCATTAGAGAGCTATCATACACAAAATTTTGAATACCTTTTTTATTTTCCGGAATCTGGAAATTTTACTCATTTTCCAGCCAATGTTTCTCATAATGGCAAAGTGATAGCAAAAACTGAGCCTAAGGTTATGAATGTAGATTGCGTCATAAGGACTGATAAACTTGAAAATTTCGATGATTTAGTACTAAGTGGGAGAAAGGATTTGATTTTAGAATTTTTATGATACATGAGTAAGAATAAGTGGGGTAATTATAAGAGATTTTTTATATGAAAATAAAAGTAATGTTCTATGTGAATTAATATGAGGTAGAATAAATATAGAAAATTTATATAGTGAAGAGAAAGGATTTAATGCCTTAAAAATCTGCTGAATGATGAAGGATTTTGATTTTTGGAAAAAGACAGTAGAAATACTGAAGAGAAGGAATATTTATGTAAGAGAAATTTGGAGTTTTAGTGTTTTTCATCATTATTTGGAGGTGTTTAAAGAACTTATTTCTCTTGAAAAAGAGGTATTAGCCATACTTGGCAATTTCTTTGAGTCACCAACTATATCAGCAGATTAGTATTATTAAAGACAGACTCTAGCCATATTGGTGATACAGTCATCAAAGACCTTCCGTACAGGAGCTTCAACACTTCGCGACAAACTGCCCAGTAAGTCTAGCCATAGCAGATACATTTGTCTCTTCCTTTGCTTGCACTTCAGCATTGAATGAGCAGCTTATGGATTTCTGTAGTCTGCGACTGGCGATTGGGAGTAACTTGATTCAGAGATTAGCTCCATGAAGTCTATCGGGTGCCAGAGTGCCTTTTTTTGGCAGCTAAAGGAAAAAGACTGTTTCCCTATAGCCCAGGCTTAATCCCCCGGTCCCTCGGAAGAGGATGCTCAAGGGTCCAAAGGACATTACTGAGCATCTCCATTTCCAACCACAGGAAATCAGCCAAAACCTACCCGATACACATCTGCTTAGGCTGCACTTGTTTCTCAGCTTGGAGTCCATTCCAGTTCGGTGACCTTAAGATCTGGACTGTTGTGCCAAGAGGACATGTTGACATGCGCCGGCATTTGAATGCATACCACTATATCAACAGGAATAAATAGATATAGACATGTTGAATTTGATCCAATTGTTAATGCAAGAGTCCATAAACTGAGAAATCAACCAAAAATCACAAACACTCACTTCAAAGAAATATATAAAAATTTTTTACAATTTTTATCAGAAAAACCTAGTCTTGATATAAAAGATAAATTAGCTTTTGTCCAATATTTGATATACCAAGACCGCTATGAAGAAGCAATAGAGATTTATCGGACAATACCATTAGAACCATCTATAAATGCTCCAGGTCAGACTTATCTTCAAATACAGTATGACTATTTAACATGCTATCTTGATATTAATAAGGCTTTATCCATTGCCTCTTTATATAAAAATTACCCAATAAATACATGAAAAAATCTTTTTTCTGATGTTACTGATCTTCTACAAGAAATAAGCGTTCAAGATACTACTAAGGAAGCGAAATCAGTGGATATTGAGCCATCTCTAATGTTTTCTATAGAAAAAGGCATCGTAATGCTTTACTATCAATTTGTTAGCAGCTGCAAAATAAAAATTTATAATATTGATCTAGAAATTTTGTTTTCAAAAAATCCGTTTTTAATTGGAAATACTCAAGATTTTACCTTTGTTAAGCCAAATTTCGAAATTCCTATTAATTTGCCTAAAGAAGGAGAATATCACTATAGCATTCCTGATGAATTTTTTAAAGAAAATATTATGCTGGAAATTGACTATGGGGCTTATACAGTATCAAAATCATATTTTGCAGCAAGACTAAAAATGAATCTAATAGAAAGGTACGGGATCATTAAAGTCATGGATATGAATTTGATGCCAAAAGCTGCATCTTATGTGAAAACTTTCGTTAAAAGAAAAAATGGGCGTGTGGAATTTTATAAAGATGGGTATACTGATATTAGAGGAAATTTTGATTATGCTTCATTAAATAGTGATACTTTATCTTCTATTCAAAGATTCTCAATATTGGTTGTTGACGATGAACTTGGTTCTATAGTTCAAGAAGCAAATCCTCCAGCACAGTAATAATTAGCAGATTAATTAGATTTTATTAAATGATAGAATTATTATAATGCTATAATAAATAGTAACATAATCTCAGATAGCTTGATATTTATATCTTTAAGCCATTTTGTTAAAAAATCAGAAAATTAAGATGCTTGGATTAATTTTTCGCAATTTTGTGAGAAAAACATATATAATCATAAAATGGAGGATTTTTTAAGGTACCGATCTGCGGATCGGCACCACTCATCCTGCATTTTATGATTATGAGGCTTGGCTTTATATAGGAATTATATTCCGGCCAAGGCAGGTAAACAACTTGGAGGTGAGGCGCCTGCCCTTTGGCCTGCAATTAGAGAATCTGGAAGGCCTGCGGTTTTTCACTTCCATCCTGCAGCAGCGAAGGTGCCTTTAGTCGGTGCACAGCATCAAGGAAGACGGAACTCGCTAACTCTTGAGCCGTCGAAGTCCGCATACCCTTTCCAAGTGTACTCTAGCAACCAAAGCAAGCCTGCCCAGTATCCTGTAGGCCTGACACGTGTAAAAATGGTGGAAATATTGGTGAGGCCACCCCGTAGTGTACCTTAGCGAGGCACTACACATCTAAATTTCTTTAATTTAATTTAAATGAGAAAAACATCTAGCTCCCCCCCCTCCGTGAGTGAGCAAAACCATTAGAAAAATCGCTATTTTTTGCCCAAAAATCCACCCTCCGTGAGTGAACAAAAATTTTTAATAGAAAAAATTTTTTATGAAAAAAAATTTTGAGATATAAGTGATAATTAGTATAATGAAATCTAGAGCTGATTCTGTTTAATTTTAAACGAATTGCTTTTTTAAAACATAAATTTTATAAATTAAATTAATATTTGCTTTCAAATTTTTGCGAATTAGGATTTTTTTAAATTTTAAAAAAAAAAATTAACCCTCCTCCGTGAGTGAACAAAATTTTTTTGTTCAATCACGGAGGGCGGGGACTAAGGCAATTCCCAAGCAAACTCCTAAACCTCCAACCACAAACAAATTGGAGTTCCCAGAAGACTTTAAAAAACTAGGTCTAAAGAAAAAAGAAGTCGACCCTGAAGTCGCCGATATTTATAATCGCTTAAAAGCTAAAGGTGCAGACAAGCTCGTAGACAAAATCATTGACCAAAAAATAAAGGATGGCGAAGAAGACGAACTATTCAGCCAAGTTTTTCAAACAGATATCGGTGAAGAAAGAAAATTACACAATCCTAAGCCAGACTTTCCTGCAGAAAATCGTCAAGAACTAATGAGCTACGAAGAAATGGAAAAATACGAACGAAATTTCCCAGTTGAGCTTAAAGAAAAAGCAGAGAAGCTTCTTGAGCAAAAAGTACTCGAAAGCAAATTGATGGAAAATTTCAAAAAAACAGTAAGTGAGGATATTGATAAAGCGACTGGGAGAGTTGACAACAGAAGAGAGCTAGAAAAACATGAGGAATTTGATGACCCATTTCCATTGGATGAAAAAGAAAAACATTCATATTGGGATGAAATGATGGAAGATCTTGATCCTGGACTCAAAAAACATTTTGCACAAAAATCTTTAAATGATAAAAAAATGCTGGTTAAACATTTACAACAACTGTAAGGCTTATTTAGGGATAAAATAGGTTTTTGATATTTTTATTTAATTTTTCTTAGAAATTGATTTTTTTTAAATTATAAAGTTTATATAAAATTCAGCTAAAAAGGCAAATCCGAGATCTTTACAAAAAATTTAAAATTGAGACGCACGAAGAATAAATAAAATGGCGTCTCGGCCAGGGCATTGCCTCCTGGCAATGCAGCCTTGAGTGCATTTTATTTATATTCGGCAAGGCTTTGCCAACTTAGAAATGAACAGATATTATGCAAGCAATCCTAGTAATTTGCAAAGTCTAACCCTAGTTAGCTTTCAGGATTGGATTTAACCTCAAAGGAAAAGGTGAGTTCAGAGTTGGAGAGGGAAAGCTTAGCAGCGTCTACTGGCAATGCCTAGGCCATTCAAGCAGCTTCCTAGTGTGAAACTGGGATATAAGCCTCAGGCTTTGAATTTTTCATTTTTTGCCGATACTGACCAGAGCTTCCATTTTGGGATTTTTGTGTGGACAGCCTTCGTCAAGCCCAAGCAGCATACTGCAGAAATCCATAGCTTTTCAACTCAACATTGTGATTGACAAGACAAGGAGGAGACAAAGTCACAAAACCCTACTTCACAGATACCATGGCGTCAGTGGTGAAGAAGAGGAAAGGTTGTGCTCGAGCCGTAACTCGCCCCGTGAGCCATCTAACTCAAAAAAGTTCTCCCTGCCATCATCGCAAAAAAAGGTGATTCCCCAGGATCCTTGCTGGCTGTTTACCAATAGGCAGCAGCCAAATGTGTAATAATTTTAAGTTAAGCTTAAGAGACGCGCGATGAAAACGAACCTAAAAAAGTGGATATTTATATTGAATCAGCCCAAAGAAATGTAAAAAGATGGCTTGAAAAAATTTTAAACACCGACAAAAGAGTTTTCACTGGCGAAGTTTTCCAAAATGGCTTTATAGAAGTCTTCAAAGTCAATCTAAGCCCCAGCATGTCAGTCTGCACAATATTTTTTGACATGTTTTTCCCTTCAATATCTAATAGAGTAGACGATCCAAAAAGAAAAGAGGCTATTGAAACAGTCAGAAGAAAACTAATCCATTCTTCCCCTTATTTAAGGTCAAAATTAACTAATTGTGTAGGACTGAAATATGCTCCAGAGCTAAGGTGAATTCCTTGGACTATTGGTGCAGACCAAAGTCAAATTTTGGTAATTTTTATATAGAATGGGGTGCCTGATGAAGAAACTATCAATAGGAATTTGCTGACTGCAAAAGGTGAGGAATTAAAATTAATTACAGAGCCAAAACTGCCAGGCAGAAATGCAGTCAAAAATGCTAAAAAAAGGATGAAAAAAACTGAGGAGGAAGAAAAAGATTTAGACCAGCTTAGAACAGAGAAGTATAAAGAGAAAATTAAAAAAGAAAAAGAAAAAGAAAAAGAAAAAGAGAAGGGAGGAAAAAAACACACAAAGCCATTCTGGATTGAAAAGCGGGATAAAGAAAAAAAGAATATAAGATATAAGTAAATATGGTTTCATCTTTGCTGACTAGCATCCTACCCAAACCGAGATTTTTAACATAGTTTTGTCAGCAGCAACAGATCTTATTGAGCGGCCGAAAGAGGCTATGCGAATTGCTTTCACAAGCTGTTTTTCAGCCTTGATCTGCTCAAATCATATTTAAATCTACATAAAAACCTGATTATCTTTAGAATTTATTATTACCAAGAATATATGATTTTTATGCTAGACCAGGAAGGTTAGCATGACTCAATTGATCCTGAAGGACTCTACCGGCTGAGAACTCACAGAAATTAGGAAAATAAATTCACAGAATTAATCTAATCGCCAATGGTTTCATCTTAAAATTTTTATTTTTCACAAATATTGTTTTATTCCAAATCCATCGCCAAACGCCAAAAAAAAACAAATCCAACCATTTTATATAATAAAAAGCTGAAAATGGATCAATCATCAGATGTTGAAGTTGAGTCTGAAGAAGAGGCCGTATCTGGAGAAGAAGAGGTCGAATCCGGAGAAGAAGTAGGATCTGAAGAAGTTGGATCTGAAGAGCAAGAAGAGGAAGAACAAGAAGAAGAGGAACAAGAGGAAGAAGAACAAGAAGAAGAGGAACAAGAGGAAGAAGAACAAGAAGAAGAGGAGCAAGAGGAAGAAGAACAAGAAGAGGAAGAAGAACAAGAAGAGGAAGCAGAGCAGGAAGAGCAAGAAGAACAAGAAGAGGAAGAGCAAGAAGAACAAGAAGAAGAGGAACAAGAAGAGGAAGAAGGAGAAGAGGCAGAGGGTGAAGAAGAAGCTGAACCTGAAGTCAATTCTAGCGCTGAGGCTGAGCAAGAAGATGACCTAGAAGCCTTAAAACTCGAACACGACGAATTAGAAGCCAAACTTGAAGACCTGCGAAACCACCCTCGACTTTCTGCCGCTCCACCCCAGCCAGCAAATTTTCAAAATTTCGACAAAGAAATCGAAGCTTGCCAAGTAAAAATTTCTGAGCTCAACCAACAAATAGTCAAAGAAAAGGCTGAATACCGCAAACTCCTCGTAGAAAAAGAATACATCCAAAGTACCATAACTGAAGAGTAATTTTTATTTAGCAAATCTGAGTTTTCTCAGTTAACCAGAAGAATCAACGAGCTTTCAGCTGAAAACCAAAGACTAATTGAGCAAAAAATGAACTCAGACAAAGAAGAAGCCCAGCAGTCGTTAGAATTAATGAAAAATAAAAACCCAAAGCTGTTTTTCTTGATGACCAAAACAATGCAGGCTGAAGAAAACAACCAGAATTTGAAAATTGCAATGGCTGAGCTGACAAGGACCAGAAATGATATAAGAATGGAGTATTATGATATAGTGTTTTCCCATGGATGGCACTATTTTTGCCTTGATTTTCCCATTAGGAAATTTTTTGGTTTGACCAAACCATATGGTACTGGTCGAACCAAAAAATTTTCCCAGTGGGAAAATCAAGGCCAAAACAGCGCCATCCACAGGAAATTGCAATATTACCTCAAAGCTTACTTATGAAGACCAACTGAAGTCAGGCCAAAGATCAATGGAACAGAATATAGAAGAATATGAAAAGAAAAATAAAGAGCTGGAAGGAAAACTGAACCAGAGAAAAGTCCAATTAAAAGACTTTGAAAGACTTAAAGACAGGCCACATGTAAAAAAATATTTAAGAAGATTCCAGACCTTGGAAAAAGAACACCAGTATTTCCAAGAAAAAATCAGAGGAATTTATGATGATTTTGACGAGTGTGAGCTAAAAATGGGTCAGTTTATTTTTTTAAAAAAATGATAATTGGGTTATTTTTTTATTTGGAAAAAAATAATTTCGAACCTTAAAAATGCTTGAGAAAACCAAAGGCTTGACTAAAATGTCTGAGACAGAAATGTGCAAGAGATTAAGGGAAGAAATAAGATCAATGGAATCTCAAATTATTCAATTGACTAAAGAGGATAAAGAAAAGGAAAGAACACTTAAGGAATTGAAATTTAATTATGAAGAAATTGGGAAGCAAGTTATAGATCGTACATGCCTTTAGCGTGCCATGAAGTAAAGTTCCTCTTAACAACCTGGAGCTCTGACGAGTCACCTAAAGGTGGCAAATCGACTCCAAGTTGACAAAAGTACAGCCTTTGCCAGGATTCGCCAATTTGCATTTAACTTGCCGTCTTTAGGTGACCTACCAGAACTCCAGGCTGCAAAGAGAAACTTCACTTCAAGGCACTCTAAAGGCATCCAGTAGCTATACTGTCTTTAGCAGATGTGTGACACCTATGAGTTTATCTCAGCCAGAACAAACTCCAGCAGCTGTTAAAGAAAAGGAACCTAAGTCTCCTAAAAGAAAAAAGGTTAGTGAAGAGCAAAAACGGCAAAAATTAGGATATTTAGTTATTTCAAAATAATATTTTCTATGAATTATTTGTTCAATAGAATTATTTTTTTCTAAAAAAATAAATAAATACCAAAATTAGTCCTTTTGATTGAAAAAGAACTACAAGGCGGACAGCCAGATAAAATATTGAAAGAACTTAAAACAATTGGTAAACCCAATCAAGGTGTAGCAAGCAAAATTGTGGAAATTAACAGAGGTGAGTTTTTATCTCAATATAAGCCAGCACCATCATTAGGCTAAAAATAAAATTAAATTATTAAAGCTCGGTCTGTCTCATATGATAAGTAGCTCTATCCAGCTCAGCCCCTCCGAAATCATATAGCCTTCTTGCATAGTTCGCTGCTTCTTCATGCATATTTTTAGATAAATAATACTGCTTTAAAAACATGATAGCTTCAATCGTCTCTTCTCCTGTATCATTTTCTTGGTCTTTTCTCGCTAAACTTTCAGAAAAACATTTTGCGGCTTTTTCAGTCATATTTAGTCTATTATCCTTTAAAATAAAAGATAATTTTTTTTTTTTTTTTAAAAATTAAATTAGATGGTATTTTAATATTGAGGTATATATAGTCTGGCAAGTCTATGTAAAACGACTCCTTCTCTGTCTTTTAGCCTTTCAGCTTTTTCATAGCATTTAGTAGACTCATTAGTTTTCCCCATTTTTTCATAGCAAGTCCCAAGAGCTACCCAAAGTCTTGAATCTTGTGGTCGGGTCAAAATAGCTTTATAGTAATAATAAATAGCATACAAGTTCATATCAGACACTTCATAAGTTTCCGCTAATCCATATCAAGCTCTATAGTCTTTAGAATCAAGTTCTATTGCAGTCCTGTAGCTTTCGATAGCTTTGGTAACATTCTGCATTTCTAAGTACTCATGGCCCATTAAAATTCATGCAGGCAGGTAATTCTTATCTAACTGAGTTGCTCGCTTAAAATACACCATAGCTCTTGTATGATCATTTTTCAAACTATAATAATTCCCCAACACAAAGCACGTCTCAGGCCTATATTTATCATTTTGATACATCCTATAAGCTAAATAACTTAACTTCCCCGCTTCTTCTCTTACATAAAGAATATTCGAATAGACGTCCATAAACTCATAACGGTATGGGTCTACTTCTTCTACCTGCTCAAACCAGCTGATAGCATTCGTATAATCGTCCATTAAGAAAAACAAATTCCCAATTTGTGCATATAAAAAAGATGAGCTTGGAAAATATCCTGTCCTGATACCAATATTTTTTTAATATAAAATATTTTTTTTTAAATATTAATTTATTACAATCCTGTATATAGCTCATACCCCTTTATAGATTTCTTTATCGAGCAAAATGTACTGGATTATTGAACGACCAAGAGAGACTCTATTAAAGGAACGGGCTGGATATCTATATCAGGAAGTGCTAAAAAGTGACATGTCAAAAAATGGTGACAAGTCTGAAAAAAGTTGACAAGTGAACGCGCCAATTTTTAAAATGGATTTATTATTAAAATAATTTTAAACTTAAGATACCCAATTAGACAGAAGATATAATTACACATTATATATCGGCTTTAAATATTTTGATTTATATATATTTAAATTTAATAATAGTTGTAAAAACCAAAAACTTGCAACTCGATGTGCATTTTTCCGGCTCGATAGAATTTCTTTATTTTATGCTAATTTATATATGAAGACTAGAGCTATAATTTGCAAAGTGCGTGGCTTGTGATTCTCAATATATACAAAGTTCTTATCGACTCATATGATGTGTACTTACTCCCCCCCCCCCTCCGTGAGCGAACAAAACCATTAGAAAAATCGCCATTTTTTGACCAAAAACCCACCCTCCGTGAGTGAACAAAAATTTTTTTAATAGAAAAAAATTTTAATGGAAAAAAATTTTGATATATAAGTGATAATTAGTATAATGAAATCTAGAGCTAATTCTGTTTAATTTTAAACAAATTGCGTTTTAAAACATAAATTTTGCAAATTAAATTAATATTTGCTTCCCAATTTTTGCAAATTAGGATTTTTTTAAATTTCGAAAAAATATTTTTTATAAAATTTATATATAAATTTTTTTTTTTAAAAAAAAAAAATTAACCCCCCTCCGGAGCGAACAAAATTTTTTTGTTCGCTCACGGAGGGGGGGGGGGGGAGTTAGCAAAAATTCAATATGGCTTATAAGTGAAAACCAAAAACTTGCAACTCGATGTGCATTTTTCCGGCTCGATGGAATTTCTTTATTTTATGCTAATTTATTTATGAAGACTAGAGTTATAATTTGCAAAGTGCGTGGCTTGTGTATCTCGATATATTAGAAGTTCTTATCGACTCATATGAGAAGTATTTAGCAAAAATCAATATGGCTTATAAGTGAAAATCATAAACTTGCAACTCGATGTGCATTTTTCCGGCTCGATGGAATTTCTTTATTTTGTGTTAATTTATTTATGAAGACTAGAGCTATAATTTGCAAAGTGCGTGGTTTGTAATTTTAAATATATACAAAGTTCTTATCGACTCATATGATGTGTAATTAGCATAATTAAATATTGATTAAAATTAAAATATCTTAAGTTTAAAATTATTTTAATAATAAATCCATTTTAAAAATTGGCGCGTTCACTTGTCAACTTTTTTCAGACTTGTCACTTTTTAGCACTTCCTGATATAGATATCCAGCCCGTTCCTTTAATAGAGTCTCTCTTGGTCGTTCAATAATCCAGTACATTTTGCTCGATAAAGAAATCTATAAAGGGATATAAGCTATACTTTTCAGCCAAAACAGCGAACATGTCGATACTCTCTTCACTTCTCTGCATTTTGTGGTAAAACTGCGCAATAAAAAAATTCTTCATCCAGTGGTTTTGAATCAGGCTTAAACTTTGGATGTCACAAATGTCTGATAATTCTTGCCAAGCTGACCAATTCACTGGGAACTCATTGAGACTTTTTATAAATAGCTGCTTGGCAGTCTCCAAATCTCCTCTTTGTTTTTTTACGACTCCTAATAAGTAGCTAGTCATTGCATCAATTGGCTTCAGCTGTGTTTCTATTGTATAAAGCTGCCGGTTTTCGACGTCTTTGCCTTCTTCTATTGATTCTTCTTCTTTTCTAAACTCTCCGTACATATAAAGTGCGTAATTATAGAGGAAAAAGGCTTGAGGAAACTCAGGTTTTGCAAATTCGGTAAGGACTGAGGCAGATTTTAAATATTCTTTTAAGTCAAAGAGAACACGGCCAAGCTGCAAGTTGTCGTAAGAAGCGTCAATTGGGTCTTGGTAGGGCGCTTGTGGAGGAAATTGGACAAGATTGCCTAATAAAAGTTCTCCGGCCCATTTGGCTGCTTGGTGCAATCTGTAGGAGGTAAGCAAGGATATAGCATATCGTAGTTCTTGACGAGCAACTGTCATATCAGCAATAGGAATAGCAGGCTCGGTGATTTTATTGAATGGGCTTGCCTCTGTTTCTGTCCCGCCAACTTTTGGTTTCTCATGTGCCATAGACATTTTGAAAATCCTTTATTATTCTTTTTTTTTCTAATCCTTATAAATTTTTTTCCGTTATTTTTTCTATTTTTTCAAAAAAAAAACATTTCCCAAAAATTATTATATTTAGCCTTATAAGTCTCCTATATTTAATCCTAACCTATTTTAATTAACTGAAGTTATGGCTTGCCTCATTTCTGTGAAGTTTTTCGAAAAGCGGTCTCTATTTTTCTGGTCCATACTTCTAGATACCCCATTCATTAATTTTGATAGCGATGCATTCAAGCTTTGTTGGGTCTCTAAATTGCTTGACGCTCCAGAAATCACATAATTTTTGATCTGCTCAAAAGAATTTTCATTAATAATAATCAGTCCTAGCAGAGGTTTACTTAACGATCACATATAATTAGAATCCTCATTTAGTACAACTTCTAATACAGCAGTTAGCAGCTCTGAAAGGCAGCCAGGGAAGTCATTAAAAACTCTGTTGATTGCTTGTGAATCATTATTGTCTTTTTGGCTGGTTTTTATGATAAATTCGCACATATAAGTGATAGAGTTTGCGGTGGATAGGCAGTGTTTCATGTCTGAATAGAAAATACTGGAAGCTTTGACTCCTCGGAGTAAGAAAAATACAATAGCAGAAAAATAAGAAGATCTCAGCTGGGAAAATACAGTTTTTAAGTGGCTTTTGCAGATTAGCTCTAAAAATTCGTAGATTACGTCGAGAAGTTTGGAATAGGCCTAAATAAAAGATACAACTGCGTCGTCTCGAGGAATCTTTTCTATGAGTTCAAAACAGGTGCCTAGGGATTCTAAAAAGCAAGTATCGCCATATACTTCGAAAATACCGAAACTGACATATCCACCACTCATCATTTTTGCCATAATTTCCAAAATTCTTTTTATGCATTTTTTTGGTAATTGTGATGTCAAATATTTATTTTTTTTTAAAAATAAAATTTCATTGTTGCATAGTATAATTTTTTATAATACTCCGCTGGCGCAATATTATTTTCTAATATCGCTTTCCCATAGCTCATCAAAATATTGCTTAAATTCCTAATCCCCTCCTCTGTGAGCAAACAAATTTATTTGGAAAAATCCTATTTTTTGGGTAAAAACCCACCCTCCGTAAGCGAACAAAGTTTTTATGAAAATATTTTGATTATATAATTGATAATTATTATATTTAATTTTTAACAGCTTGCATTTTAAAACAAAAATTTTTTTTAAAAATTAAATTAATATTTGCTTTAAATTGGGATTTATTTTAAAAATTTTACTATAAAATGTATATCTAAATTTTTAATTAACCCCTCCGTAAGCAAAAAAATTTTTTTGCTCGCTCACAGAGGGGGAGTAAACAAAATAATCCCATAGGCGCACGCAATATCAAACCTAATCCTAGAATTTCTTGAAAAAACAAGCTCTGCTAGAAAAGCTAACAAAGAATTCATGACAGAGTCGTCATAAATAAAATTTGTAGACGCTGTAAAAATAATATCTAAATTCCCTTCATAAAACCATTCAAAGAAATCGACATAATGTCTTTGTGACTGAAAAGTAGAGCAGATTCCTTTGAGCTCTCTAAATAAATGGACTAAATTAATAGATGAAGGAGAATTTATAAGCTCTCGGATATAGGCCCCAGTCGGTCTTAAAAAGGACTCTAAAGGTTCATTTACATCTTCTATTATCCATAAATTCGAGATGGCTGCGTATACTCTTTCTTTGTATTTTGGGTTGTTGGCACAGATACCATAGCTTCTATAATTTGCCATTAAATTCTGCATCACGTCAATTTTCACTAAAATTTTATTACTGTAATATCCCTTGCATAAAATTTCGAATAATTCTAAGCTTCATTTTAAAGCTTTCCCGTCCTGATATCTTGATAAATTTTGGATTAATTTTTCCATCACAATTTTCACTACAAATTTTACAGTGTCTTCAGGTAAAGTTTGTACAGAAGTCGTTTCTTTTGAGCTGGTTTTGTCAAAGAAAAACCATATGTTGTCATGTGGGGAGTTTATATATGATTTGGTCAGACCCATAAAAAAATATATTCGATTTTTATTAAAAAAATTGTTAATAAATATTATATTTTGATATAAAATAGATTTTCAAATATAAAAATTAAGAAAAAAAAATCAATATAATCACTATACAATTGAAGATTCCAAGCATTCTAAAGGATTCATGTTTTCAATTTTCCCTATTAACTGGAACACCAAATTTATCATTTGGGCGTCCAAATGGTCTTCATTTTCATTTAATTTTTTCTCTCTTAGAATAATAAATCCTGAAGCTATATAAGTAAGCCAAGCAAGCTGAGCCTCAATTTGGTCCTTATTTTGTCCTTGAGCAGCCGCTGCATCATAAAGAGATAGCGTGGCAATAAAAACGGTTTGAAGCTCCCTTATAAGGTCTGAATAAAAATAAACACAAAAGGACGTGATCTGCTCAATATGGTCTTTCAGCTCTGTTTCTGTAGAGTCGTCAAGTAAATCTGGGCTGGCATTGATAGATGTATATTGCAGAAACGCTTTAAAAAGCCCTGGGACATATAAAGCTATTTGGTTATCTGCTGACAGCTGATGATGCTGCTCATAAGCGAGGTAGCTCCATATAAACAATGAGCTTTCGAAGCCAGAAACGACAGAAGATCTATTAGAAAAAGCGACAGCTGAATAATTAGCTAAGGCTTCTAGTCAGCTCCAAAAGGAAGCTAGAGGTGTTATATCTCTAACTCCCCCCCATCCTTGATCGAACGATTGACTGTAAAAATTCCTAAAAAATTGGGGAAATTAACCCCCATCCTTGATCGAACGATTTTCATATCATGACAATTTTTTTATATATATAAAAATATATTATTTATCAAAAGCTTGGGAAGATGTTCATAATGAAGTTGTTTTCAGAGCGTTGAGACGACAGAAAGCTGCGGAATCAACTATCCGAAGTGATTTATAGAGGTTTCCTCTATATAGCGCTGAAAGCGCAGACATTTCCCCAGGAGCTTTCCAAGTTCGTCGGACCAAATCGCTTTTTGGTCCGACCAAGGCATTGATTTGGTGCAACCAACCGATAAATTCCGATCAGAATTTATCGGCCTTACAGCGCCAAACATAGGAAACTTCTATAGTTATCAACATAAGCTTAAAAACTCAATAATCTAATAAAATAGAGATTCTTTCAAATTTTTAAAAACAAATTTAATTTAATAAGGAACAAATTAAAATTTATACAGTTTAAAGGGATAACTAATAAATAAAAATATTAAAAATTGGTATTTATGAAATTAATTAAATTTTTTGCTGTAAAAATAATTATTAAATACTCTATATATATATATTTTTTATTTTTTATATAAAATTTTTTCCCAAAAATTTTTTTTTAACCCCCATCCTTGATCGAACGATGGCGAGTCGTTCGATCAAGGATGGGGGGGGAGTAAGAGTAAAGTTTGTAATAAAGCGCTTTGAGGTTTGGATATACTCGAATTTGCTGTCCCCGACAAGATTTTTGTTTTTTATGATTTCTTCTAACACTTTTAAGTATTTTCCTACATATGCTTGACGCTGCTCTACGTTGCCTCCGAAAATGCTTTTTCTTATAGCGCCCATATGATTGAAAGCTCGTAAGGCTAAAATTTCGGCTTGGTCTGAGCAGTTAAGTATTAGAAATTCTAAGTATTCTAAATAAGCAGGATTTTCAAAGTGAATTTTCCATGACAACGGCACTTGCAAGCTTAAAGAATCTTCATTAGACTCATCTGAACAAATTCCTAGAAAATCAAATGTCAAGCACAAATTTAGAACTGTTAAGCTCTGTACAATCAAATTTAGTGAAATTTCTGGGACTTTTGATATAAAAATCCAACACATTCCAAAGATTTTTTCCAGTGAATCATCTCTAAACGCGATTGCAATTTTTCTATTAGTGGAGAGCGGCCTAAATTTGATAGGCTCGACCATTTCTGTGATGATTTCTTCAAAGAATTTAAAGCCAATTTCTGCAACAAACAAGTTTTGGTTTATCATTTCTTGAATCGTTCGGACCGTTTGTGGAATAACTTCAAGCTCAAACCATCCAAGCCGACAAATTCTAGCTAACGCTTTGGCAAGACCTGCTAAGATGTAGGACGGTTTATTGGTTTGTTCAAAGTACATTTGGAAGATGTTTTGATAGAGAAGATTCTTGGAATCTATTGGAAGACGACGCCACTCTGAGATTAGCATCTTAGTGAAAATGCTAACTCCCTCCCTCCGTGAGTGAACAAAAAAATTTTTTCGCTCACAGAGGGGGGGTTAATTTTATTTTTAAACAAAATTATATATAAAATTTTATAGAATTTTTTTTTCGAAAATTTAAAAAAAATCCACATCACAAAAATTGGAAAGCAAATATTAATTTATAAAATTTATGTTTTAAAACGTAATTTGTTTAAAATTAAACAGAATTAGCTCGAGATTTCATTATATTGTGAAATACACTATGTAGCGCGGGACTTTTTGGCTCAAGTTCCAGCCAAAAAAGCCCCGTGCTACATAGTGTATTTCACTATACTAATTATCACTTATATAATTTTTTTTCATAAAAAATTTTTTCTATTAAAATTTTTTTTGTTCACTCACGAAGGGTGGATTTTTGGGCAAAAAATAGGGATTTTCCAATGGTTTTGTTCGCTCACGGAGGGAGGGGAGTAAGAGTTAAATAATTCAGCTGAAGATTTTGGGAAATACGAAGGATTGATAAAAGATTCTCAAAATTTTCTGAAGTTTCTAAGGCACTGTATATGGCTTGTTCAGCATTTTTTCGCTCCTGGTTAGAAATTACCTGTGCGTTGTTCGAGGTGTAAAGAAGAGAGCACCAAGATTCCAGCTGAGAAATGTATTGCTCGTTCATTTTTGATTATTACAATTGGGGCAGAAATAGCGCTAAATTCTTAATTAATATTAATTTATTTTTTGACCTCTTAATAGACAAAATATTAAATTACTTTCTATAGCATTTAATTGAAAATAATATCTTTCAGTCATATATAGTTTATTTTAAACAAAATACCATTTAAGTTACTCATAAATGAATAGGAAACATAAAAATGACCACTAAGTAGATTCATTAGCTTTACCCTTAATAGGAATTATTGAAAGAATCACTTTCAGCCTGTTTAATTTGCTTATTTCTCTTGAAAGATATGGTAAAAAATATAGCAAGTATAAAAAGACTGAAAGAACTATATACTTAGTTATCAAGAATAGCCCACTAAGGAACATTTTTTGGTTGGCTGGAGAATAGCTGGTTGCCAAATTCGTTGACATGTCATATTTTCTGGCTAACCAAATTTAAGATGGCGAACTAAAAATGCTCCTTAGTGGGCTATTATTGGCAAGCAGGTATATATATGATTGCTGTATTTACAATATCGCTGAGTCTGTCTGATATCATTTCTTTAGATCCTTCGTCTATAACACTAAAAACACGCGCCATCATCAATTGAAGTTCAGTGTACCTCCTGGTTAAAATCCAAAGCTGGCTCATTTTTTCTGACTCCCCCCCCCCCCTCCGTGAGCGAACAAAACCATTAGAAAAATCGCCATTTTTTTTGACCAAAAACCCACCCTCCGTGAGTGAACAAAAATTTTTTTAATAGAAAAAATTTTAATGGAAAAAAATTTTGATATATAAGTGATAATTAGTATAATGAAATCTAGAGCTAATTCTGTTTAATTTTAAACAAATTGCGTTTTAAAACATAAATTTTGCAAATTAAATTAATATTTGCTTTCCCAATTTTTGCAAATTAGGATTTTTTTTAAATTTCGAAAAAAATATTTTTTTTTAAAATTTATATATAAATTTTTTTTAAAAAAAAAAAATTAACCCCCCTCCGTGAGCGAACAAAAATTTTTTTGTTCGCTCACGGAGGGGGGGGGGAGTGAGTCATATTTCTGCAATGCAGAAGCCTCAAACATTAATAAATTAGTCCATCATATGGATCCCAGATTTGATTGATAAATTGGAGAAGAGCCGTGCTCAAATAAAGAGGTTCTCATCATTGCTGGTAAATATTTTCTGTTTCACATTAGATTAGATTAGATTAAGCCGTTTGCCTTGCAGGGCCGGGGATTTCCACCCCTACACGCTCATCGCCCCTGAGGAGCCTCGGCGGACACCCTCCTTGTTGCCTCAAACAAGGGATTCGCACCACCAGTCTTGACTTCCATGGCTTCTGGAGTCTAAGGGCCAACCACCTGGGTCGAAACTCCCAGTTTCTCGTTGGGGCAAATACCATCTTCTGGGTCTGAAGGCCATATTGCCTTCAAACATTGGGCCGACCTTGCCCCTTTCCAATGGTTGTCCTGGAGGAAAAACTCCAAGTCCGAGAATTATCTCCTCGGGCTTGATGAAAACCCAGCCCGAACATACATAAAGGATTACCGGCCCCTTTCCACCTAAATCTCCACCACTGGGCCGTTGCCTGCTGATGTTGAAGAAATAGGGTCGAGAGGTCGGTGGTCTGTCGTCACCATTTTTATGTATTTTCTGTTTCACATAAAAGAGTGGGTGCATTTCATAAAGATCGTAATCGCTTCTGCTAGCTCATTATTTGCGTTAGGAAAAGAAAGACTTTTAGGAATCAGCTGTTTTAGCTGCTTTTCTTGGTCGTCAAGGGCAGCTTCTCTTGCAAAAAAGCCTATTTTTGGGATAATTGCCCTTCTTTGTACATATATGTACATAATTTGTGGCCTTTTTTTTAGATATTCTTCAACATCAGGATACATAATTCCATGAACTAAGCTATAATATATCCCAGTCAAACTTATAAATAGTGCTAGTCTTGTGATATATCTCATTCTTATATTTATTGAAATTCTTTTGTATTTTTTTCTTAATGGAATATCTACTTCTTCTAGTTCTTCATTGTGTACCAATGCTAGCCTATCTTTGCAATTTTTTATTAGCTCATAGTAGCAAGCATATATTTTTTCTCGGATAAAATTTCATAGGTTGTTATATTTTTTGCTGATAAACAATATATAAAATACAAGAAATGCCATACAAATACCAAGTATGCTTGCTCCAATGACATCTAAAACAATAGTAAATGTTCCTATAGTGCTAATTCTGTCTATTTCACAGTTGACAAGTCCATTCAGCGATGAATTTGACATATAAAAAGCTTCCCCCAAGCCATTTGCAACTAAAAATTGCAAGTCATTAGTATAATTTTCTGAATTTTTAACATTCCCAATCATACTATTTATCTAAATATATTTTACATGTCCAATAAATTCACTCAGAGCATCATACAAATTCATGAAAATTCGCCTAGGCTCCTCATTATTATTAAAATCTCATATTGGGATAATATCAAGCATAATTATTTTTGATGAGTCACAATAGCTTCAGTCCTCATAATGCTTATACAAAGTACTTTGATAAGTTAATAGATCAGACCTTGTTTGCTCAAGCATGCTAGTATAATAAGAAACCTCAGTATGGTTATAAGATATAGCCAAATCTATTAATCTGGAATTTTCTGCAGCTGATGCAATTCTATACAAAATAATTCCGAGGTCATTGAAAGTGTTGATTGATCTAGAATGATTCACTGCATCTGCTATATAGATTATTATTGCAACATTTGTTATTAGTACAGAAATGATCTACATATATAATACCGAAAAAAATAAAACTAATTTGAATTTTCTCAATGACTGCTCTGATTGATTTATGATTGATTTTTCTTTGCCTGAATATTACTTACTGTTAATGAAATTATAGGAACTGACTTGAAATGAAATATTTGACCCTAATTCTTCAAATTTGTGCCTGCACTTTTCTAGATTGTTTGAATCCTCAACATCATCTATAAAAGTTGTTATACTCGCATTGCTTTTTCGTTTATAAACTCTATCATCATCATGGTCAGTTGGTATTTTAGTATCATTTTGCTTAGGCTCATTTATTATAGAGCGATTTGTAAGTTGGCCAAAGAATTCTCGTTGCTCATAAGTGCTCTTTTGTAGCCATTCTGTTATTTCGCTCTTATCTGTAATTAAAATAGCATAATGGACTTCAGATTTTTTAAAATATTTAATACCATGAACAACAGCAATAGCTTGCTTACCTACAATTAATTCTGGCTCAAAAAGCTCTAACTCAAAAAATTTGGGAATATAGGATAAAATATTCTGATAATTTATAAATTGATTAGGCAAATCTAAAGCATTTGCAAAAAGATCACTATGGCAATATATTGTGCCATCTTCTGATATTAATGCAACTTGATGACTAGAAGAAATAGGCTTCATAGATACCATAAAAAATAAATCCTCTCTAAGTGCTGTCAATTTAATTAGTGTATACGATTCATTTAAATATCCTTGGCAATCCATTGTAAACCATGAATAATTTTTAAATATTTCAGGGCCTGTACAGTTATCAACAAATTTTTTCATAATTTCTAAATGATTTTCATTATAAGGTGATGGGATATATTGAATTATATTATTTTCCAAAATGTTTGTTACTGTTCCTTTCAGCATTTGAGCCGCTATTTCATTGATATATACAATAACTCCGAATGAGTCTTTATTAGCAGAAATTAAAATATTCCCATTTCCTTCTTCAAAATTTTCTATTTTTTCTATTTTTTTAGGCTCTTGAATAATCGAGTTCTGTGAAGCTTTGTCTAAAATTATTTTTCCTCTGCTAAAATCATAAAGGATGTTTTGTAGTAGACTCCCATAAATTTCATAAGATTTTGGGTGTTTTTCTTTCAAAAGTTTTGTATAAATTGAGTTCACTGATTTGATTAATGATGCTGAATTTTTGACTAAATATTCAAGCTTGGAAATTTTAGGTTTTTCTATTGATGCTTCTTTTCATAAATCTAGTAAAAATTTGCATAGAGCTTTGTCATCTTTTTTAGCTAGTTCTAACTCATTCAAATAGGATAAAAAGTCATTTTCATCTGAAATGCTTTTTTCGTTGATTTTAAATCATTGGTATATTCTTTGCTCTTGGACTTCTCCTTCAAAACTATTATGAACTTGAGACATTCTTGCAAGCTTTATTTTAGCTAACTCCTCCTTTTAAATGGAATAAAAGATCCATCTCCAATTGATAAAAATTTTATATAATTTAAAAAATATACAGTTTTTTTGAATAGAGGTAAACACTGCCATCAAAAAAATATACATAATTAAATTTTATAAAGATTTAATTAAAAAAGATAAAGATTCAGTGTAAAAAATTGTTTAAATAATATCGCCGCCCATAGAGCTTTTTGTGCACTAGTAAACCTTGCTTTACTGGTTGCATACAGCTAGGAAATAGCTGTAAACTAGTTTATGGTGCAAAAAGGTCCAAAGGGCTATATTTTATTGAAATTATGTAAATCATTCAAAAATAAAATTATGATCCAATTTAAAGGGGCTAATGTACCCAAAATAAAAATTTTGCCAATATTTTGTTAAATATTTAAAGGGGAGAGTAAGCTAAAATCTTCTGCTGAAAATAAGCAATAATTTACTTCCCAAACAACCAAAAGCTTATCTTTACTGATTTGGGAAATTTTATGTATTTCTGAAAATTTGTTATAAATTTGTAAAAAATTTTTAAAATTTTTTGAAGTTAATTGCTTCCTTAGCCTCAGTTCAAAAGTATACTCGTCTAAATAAGTCCCTTTATACGATTGCTTTAATGAAAATTTATGCATTCAGTAGAAAATAATCCCAAGAGCAAGCGGTACTACGCAAATGCTTAATAAAGCAATAATTCCTGAATTATCCATTCATATGCCTACTAAAAAATTAAATGATATTCCCATTACGCCGAGCATCATTGAAACTTGAATAACATTGGTTATTAGATTATAATAGGGCTCAGACTTTCAAACTTTCAATGCAAGAATTCCAGAAAAAGTCATAATTATAGCATAGTATCAGACCTTCTTAGAGCTCATAGACACATGCATAAAAATAAAAAGCTGCTTATAAATCATTAAAAGCACATTAAATGAAGAATTTGACCTTGATTTTATATTGTTCCAAGCAAATGAATGGCGAACATCAGCAGTAAAAAGCTCACGGAAGACACACAAACAAAATAGTTGGATTAATGAAAATATTCCCAAAAAAATTCCAACAGCTCCTACATCAACGTCTTTTTGGGTAAGATTTTTATATTCGTCTATATTCGAATGCGAAAAAAGTGAGTATTTAATTGTAACTATTAATATCAAATTTGTTGGAATAAATCCTATTGTTGATATTATGTCTAAAATATGAGTTGGAAAAGTCAAAAATAATTTAAATAGTTTCCAGTTACTTTGATTGAAGAGAGAATTGAAAAAAGAAAAAACTATTATAGCTGATGTATATAATAAAATTTGGGAAATAAATGCATAAAATGCAATTTGATACACATTCAAGGCAGCAAAAATAGTGTCAAATGAAAAATAGCCTAGGACTTTTCACCACCCAAAATAACTATTTCAGTTTTTAATTTCCATTTCGGGGTATCATAAAATAGTCACCATTTGACTAAAGGAAATTATATTGGAAATAATCTCTATCATATACTGAGTTGAAGTTTTGGTGCTTAAATCATATTTTAGGAAAAATCAACTTCCTAAATTTTCTATCAGATTGGCTTTGATTTTAAAATAAATTGTATTTGAAAGAGAGCTGAGTTTGTTGTCGTTGGAGAATATTGACGTCTTGTAAAGACTGTCTATCCCGTCAGCCATTATTTGTGAATTATAATTAAAGATTAGAAATAGAAACAATAATGCAAAGAGAATTAAATTGCTTACAATTGCCTAAGCAAAAATTTTTTATCTCGTAATTTAGAAGCATATAACTTTAGGAATTTGATTATCACTTACAGGTGTAAGAAGCTAATTAGCTGGATCATTATTTTTGTATTTTTCTAGATTAATAGCCATTTTGGCTCCCATAAACTTTATAACATTAAGAAAGCATCAATGATAGCTTGCCTTATTATTTATGGATTTTATGATAATTTTTTATTGTTTTCAATAAATTTACTATAGTTTTATTAATTATTACATAATATTGTAAAACTTAAATATTTTAACGAATTTTCAAAGTCTAATAAAATCTTTAAGCTATTTAATAAATATTATTTCCTTTTTTGCTTAATAGACATATGATTAAATTACTTTCTATAGCATTTTCTTCAAAACTATATCTTTCAATCACTAGAAATATTATTCTCCTTTTAACAAAATGTCATTTTTAGTAAAATCTACCCTTAAACAGATTCATTGGTTTTTCCCTTGATAGGAATTATTGAAAGAATCATTTTTAGCTTGCCCAAGTTGCTTATTTCTCTTGAAAGATATGGTAAAAAATATAAAAAGTATAAAAGTACTGAAAGAATTATATATGAAATTGCTGTATATACAATAATTTCAAGCCTGTCTGATATCATATCTCTAGATCCTTCATCAATATATTCGAAAATATTAGCCATTTCAGCCTGAAGATCAGCATATCTTTTGGTTAAAGTTCAAAGATCAGTCATTTTTTGTGAGCCAAGCTCTTGCAAAGCAGAAGCATCAAACATTAATAAATTCGTCCAATAGATTGCTCCATAGATGGACTGGTAAATATTAGAACTGCTGTGCTCAAATAATGAGACTCTCATGGATTTTGATAAATATTTTCTGTCTCACACAAATATGTGAGTGCATCTCATAAAAATAGTGATAGAATCAGTTAGCTGTTTATTTGCATTAGGCATGGATAGACTTTTAGGAATTAGCTGCTCTAGTGTCTTTTTTGGGTCATCAATAGCAGCTTCTCTTGCAAAAAAATCTATACCTTACCTTTTTCTATTAATTTTAAAGCAAATATTAATTAATTGACCTTGGAATCTTCCAAGCTAGGTATATTTTTGGAAAAATTGCCCTTCTTTGTACATAAACGTAAAGGATTTTTGGCCTTTGCTTTAGATATTCTTCAACATCTGGATACATAAATCCATGAACTAAGCTATAATAAATTCCAGTCAAACTTATAAATAATGTTAGTCTTATGATATATCTCATGCTTGTATTTATTGAGACCATTTTGTACTTTTTTCTTAACGGGATATCAACGTCTTCAAGCTCTTCATTGTGGACTAGAGTCAGTCTTTCTTTGCAATTTTTTATTAACTCATAGTAGCAAGCATATATTTTTTCTCGGATAAAATTTCATAGGTTGTTATATTTTTTGCTGATAAATATTATGTAAAATATAAGAAATGCTACACAAATGCCAAGTATGCTTGCTCCAATGACATCTAAAATAATAGTAAATGTTCCTATAGTATCAATTCTGTCTACTTCGCAGTTAACCAGTCCACTTAGAGATGAATTTGACATATAAAAAGCTTCACCTAAGCCATTTGCAACTAAAAATTGCAAGTCACTAGTATAATTTTGTGAGTTTTCAACCTTCGTAATCATGCTATTTATCTAATTATATTTTACATGTCCAATAAATTCACTCAGAGCATCATACAAATTCATGAAAATTTGTCTAGGCTCCTCATTATCATTAAAATCTCATATTGGGATAATATCATTCATAACTAATTTTGACGAGTCACAATAGCTTCAGTCACCATAATATTTATATAAAGTATTTTGATAAATTAATAGCTCAGACCTTGTTTGATCAAGTAAATTAGTATAATAAGAAACTTCAGTATGGTTATAAGATATAGCCAAATCTATTGATCTGGAATTTTCTGCAGCTGATGCAATTCTATACAAAATAATTCCGAGATCATTAAAAGTGCTGATTGATTTAGAATGATTCACTTGGTCTGTTATATAAATTATTATCGATACATTTGTTATTAGAACAGAAATCATCTGTATAAAAAATACTGAAAAAAATAAAATTCATTTGAATTTTCTCAATGATTTTTCTGATTGATTTATAATCGATTTTTCTTTGTCTAGCTATTTTTTACTGTTAATAAAATTATAGGAGTTGACTTGAAATGAAATATTTGACTCTTTTTCTTCGAATTTTTGGCCTTTTAGGGTAATGCTGACATCGCCAATATCATCTATAAAAGTTGTTATGCTCATATTGCTTTTCCGTTTCCTTATTCTGTCATCATCTTGGTCTGTTGTTAATTTAGTTTCACTTGGCTTATGTTCATTTATTATAGAAGTATTTATAAGTTGACCGAAAAATTCTCTCTGCTCGTAAGTATCTTTTTTTAGCCATTCTGTTATTTCGTTTTTATCAGTAATTAATATAACATAATGGACTTCAGATTTTTTAAAATTTTTTATCCCATGGATAACTGCAATTGTTTGTCGAGTTACAATTAGTTCTGGCTCGAAAAGCTCGAGCTCAAAAAATTTAGGAATATAAGATGAAATATTCTGATAGTTAAGAAATTTGTTTGGTAAATCTAAAGCATCTGGAAAAAGATCACTATGGCAGAAAATTAAGCCATCCTTTGATATCAATGCAACTTGATGGTTAGAAGCAATAGGCTTCATAGACACCATAAAGAATAAACTTTCCCTAAGTGCTGTCAGTTTGATTAATGTATGAAGTTCATGCAAGTACCCTTGATGATCCATTATAAATCATGAGTGAGTTCTCAATATTTCAGGATTTATACAATTATCTATAAAGGTTTTCATAATTTCTAAATGATTTTGATTATAAGGTGATGGGATATATTGAATTATATTATTTTCCAAGATATTTGTTACTGTTCCTTTTAGTATTTGAGCTGCAACTTCATTTATATAAACAATAACTCCAAGTGAGTCTTTATCAGCTGAAATTAAAATATTCCCATTTCCTTCTTCAAAATTTTCTATTTTTTCTATTTTTTTTGACTCTTGTTCGATGGCATACGTCGAAGCTTTGTCTAAAATTATTTTTCCTCTGTTAAATTCATAAAGAATATTCTGTAGTAAACTTCCATAAATTTCATGAGATTTTGGGTGTTTTTCTTTTAAAAGTTTTGTATAAATTGAATTCACTGATTTGATTAATGATGCTGAATTTTTGACTAAATATTCAAGCTTAGAAATTTTAGGTTTTTCAAGTGAGGCTTCTTTTCATAAATCTAATAAAAATTTGCATAGAGCTTTGTCTTCTCTTTTTGCGAGCTCTAACTCGTTTAAATAAACTAAAAAATCATTTTCGTCATCAAGGTTTTTTTCGTTTAATTTAAATCATTGGTATATTCTTTGTTCTTGAACTTCTCCTTCAAAACTATCACGAACTTGAGACATTCTGGCTAATTTTATTTTTGCTAAACTAATATCTTTTACTGAAAATAAGCAATAATTCACTTCTCATGCTACCAAAAGCTTATCTTTAATAATTTGAGAGGTTTTATGTATTTCTGAAAATTTGTCGAAAATTTGTGAATAATTTTGATAATTTCTAGAAATTAATTGTTTTCTTATTGTCAATTCGAATGTGTGCTGGTCTAAATAAATCCCTTTATTTGGCTTATTTAATGAAAATTTGCGTATTCAGTAAAAAATTAGTCCAAGAGCCAGAGGGACAACACAAATGCTCAGTAATGGAATAATTCCTGAATTGTCCATTCAAATCCCAATTAAAAAATTTAATGAAATTCCCATTAGTCCAAGCATCGTAGAAATTTGAATAAGGTTAACTATTGGACTATAATAAGAATCAGACTTTCATGCTATGAATGCAAGTATTCCAGAAAAAATCATGATTATGCTATAGTACCAAACCTTCTTACCCCTTAAACAATAACAAGGTAAAAGTTTTAGCAAAAGACTTTGTAGTAAGATAAAATTATTATAAAAAAGTTAAAAAAAAGTTGAATGGGTTTTTATTTTACAATTGATTTTCTATAATAAGGTGTTTAATTAGGTATTTATTTTCTTTGGTTAATTAAACTCTCTAAAAATCGTAAACCAAAAAGTCCAAATATAGCAAAATTGATTTATAGTTAACTACACTGACTGGCACGGGGTGCTTTTGGCTCAGTTTCGAGCCAAAAGCACCCCGTGCCAGTCAGTGTAGTTAACTATAATTTTTTTTCTTCAAATTTATTATCACATTAACATTATTACAGGGTGGCGTCTGCCTTATTCCCATACGGGAGGTTCATTCAGTTGCGCCGTCTTCAGCTTCGCCTTGCTTGAATTGAGGCAATGATTCGCCGGGCAAGTGTTTCGGCTCTGACACCGCCTTTCTTCTCCTTCAGCGCCTGATGCCATGGCACTTCTGAAGTGTGGGATTCTGTTTAGTACATCTCCTCCTCCCCTTGTCGGGTCCAGTGTTGAGTGGGCAGACTATGGACTTCTGGGGGCTGCTGCATGGGTCACGAGTTGGCCATCCAAAAATCCCAAAAAATGGAATTTCTGGTCGACCTCTCGCAAAAAGGAAAAGTCTGGATCCTGGGACGTAACTCCCGGTTTCACGCTAGGCAGTTGCCCGATTGGTCTGGGTATTACCTGCAGACCTTGCTGGCTTGCCCTTTCCAAACCCAAACCCTCCTTTCCCTCGAGGTGAAATCCAACCCTGAAATTGGACTTGGGCTAAGGTCTGTACATTACCAGAATTGATTATCTAGCATTGCTGTCCATTTCTAGATTGGCAAACCTTGCCGGATATAATTAAAATATGTGCTCGGAAGCTGCATGGCCGGAGGCCATGCTAGGTGGAAACGCCATATTATAATTCAAATTTATTATCACAATTAAATAAAAACTTTGTCATATTAGGGGAGTTAGAGTTCATCGAAATGTGCATAAATACAAAAAATTGTTTGCAAATCACTAAAAGCATATCATACGAAGAATTTGACCTTGATTTAATATTTTTCCAAGCAAATGAGTGCCGAGTGTCAGCAGTAAAAATTTCACGAAAAATACATAAAACAGTCAGTTGGACTAGTGAAAATATTCCTAAAATAATTCCTATAATTCCTACATCAATTTCTTTCGGCGTAAGGTTTACATATTCATCAGTTTTTGAATAGGAAAAAAGTGAATATTTAATTGTGATTATTAATATCAGATTTGTAGGGATAAAACCTACTGTCGACATTGCACCTAAAATATATGTTGGGAAAACCAGTAATAATTTACATATTTTTCATTTATTTTGCTTGAAAAGGCAAAAAATCACCAAAGCCAATGTGGATGCGGAAATTTGGGAAATTGATATATAAAAAGCATTTTGAAATGTGTTTAAATCAGCACATATAGTGTCAAAGCTAAAATAACCTATGAGTCTTCATCATATTAAATAACTGCTTCAGTTTTGAATTTCCATATCTGGGTATCATAGCATAGTATAGGTTAAATCCCGTTTTGGATCGGTCTTGAGCACCTCCTCCCATGCCACCCACCCCTAACTGTCCCAAATATTTTAACATGTTAAATATGAATTTGACAAGTTAAAATATTTGGGGAACTTGTCAAATAATATTTTAAACATTTAAAATTTTCAGGACTGTCAAAAGTGGGTGACATCGAAGGGGGTACTTAATGGCGAGCAATCACGAGGGATGTGCTATAATCATTTGGCAAAAAATAATTAAATTTACAATAATCTCTATCAAATATTGAGTTGATTTTTTGATATTTAAATCATATTTTAGGACGAATCAATTTTCTAGCCTCTCTATCAGTCTGATTTTGGTTTTAAAATAAATTGTATTTGTAAATGAGTGTATTTTGTGGTCTTTGGAGAATATTGATGTCTTGTACAGATTATCTGAGTAGTCTATCATTATTTAATTATTATAATTCATTATTTTTGAAATTGAAGCGAGAAAGCAAATATAATTAAATTATTGACCGCTCCTTGAAAAAAAACCCATTTAGCTCAGCATTTGACATATTAGAGCTCCTGAAGTGTACTCATTTTTATAAATTTAAGTGATTGGATAATTATTTTATTTTCATATGACTCTAAATAAATTAATTTGATGATGAAATTTGAATATCGCTAAATGTTTTATAAATAATTTATATTTTTTGGCACATTTTTTGTGGTTTGATTAATTAATTTCCTTATAAAATGTCTTTTTAAAATTCACAAGAAGTTTCTAAATAAATAATAAGTGGAAAAATATTATGTAACATATTTTTTCTAGAATGTAGCCACTTATTTCAGTTTAACTCATAAGATTGCTATAATTATAATTAATTTATTAATTTCTTTTCATTATGCATAGATCTTTTTAACAGCCAGTTAAATATTGTATTATGCCTAATTTGTAATTCTAATGCATCTTTCTGTTAAATAAACTTTTATTTACTCCCCCCCGAACAATCAAAATCATTGGAAAAATCCCTATTTTTTGCAAAAACAAAACACCCTTCGTGAGCAAGTAAAAATTGTTTTATGAAAAAATAATATATAAAAAGTGAATATCATTATAATGAAATCTCTAGCTGATTCTGTTTTAATTTTGAACTAATTGCATTTTAAAATTTAAATTTTAAGATATATTTTTTGTTCAATTTGGATTATTTTAAATTTTGAAAAAAAATTTACTATAAAATTTATATATAAATTTTATAAAAAAAAATTAATCACCCTACAAAATAATTTTTTGTTCACTCAGGGAGGGTGGGAGCTAGATAATTTCAAAAAATAGACCCATATTTAATGAGTTTTTTTTAATTATTTAAATTCAATTAAGATAATTTTATTGTAATTATTTATAAAATATGATAAAAAGAATAAAATGAAAGAATCAAATTGAATGAATTTAATATATTTTATATATTTTATATAAAAACTCAATAAAAAACTTATAAATTTTCTTATCTTCAGATAAATCTTATTAATAAATAGCAAAAGAATGATAGATTTCTTTTAAAAATTTTTCAATCAAAAAATTAATCTTTAAGACAAAATCTAAATAAAAGAGAATTTTTAGATTATAGTAAATTAAATTTTAAAAACTATCCAGTGGATTTTAATAAAAAGTTAAAAGTAATAAAAAATAAGCTTGCTGAAAATATGATTTTTAACTGCCTTTACTAGGCTTAATTAAAATCTTCCCTGCAGACATATTATTTGAATATCTTTGGATAGCTTCTTGAACCCCTTCTAACGGATACTCTCCAGCAAAATCAGTTCTATAAAGTTCACCAAGTGAATTCTGTACCTTTCTCACTGTATTTATCGCCCCAAAAATATTTTTAGACTGCAGCCAATCTGTAAGCCACAACCCTTCCAATTTTTTTTTCTCACAAATTAACCCCACTGGGTTTATATTTCCACACGCTTCCAGAGATAAAGCTCCATACAAATAAACAATCGAAGTTTCTGGCATTAAATTCAATAAAGTCCCAGTAATATTTCCACCTATTGCATCAAAAGCTATCGTTGCATTTAATTCTTTCGCCAAAGCCCTCAATTCTTCTTCAAAAGTAGGCTCACTTGAATTTAATACAAATTTTGCCCCTAAATTTTTGAGGGTTTCCACTTGTTCTTGACGTCTGACGATATTTATAATTGGATAATTATTTTCGACACTCCACCTGACCATCATTTTTCCTAATTGTGAAGCAGCGGCAGTGTGGATGGCGGCTTTGTGCTTTCCTTGGTAAATTACGTCGGCAAACATTACTGCTGTCATTGGATTAACAAAAAAGCAAGCTCCTTGGTCGAAGGTAATTTGGTCGTTTAGCTTAACGCAATGTTTTGCGCTTGTTACCATGTATTCGGCCCAGGTTCCTCCCATTTTTGGAGTCATTGCACAGGCAACTCGTTTCCCAAGAAGTGTCCAGCCTATAAAGCCGCCTCCGTTTTGGATTACAATTCCTGAGCCTTCGAAACCGGGGACTATTGGAAGGACTGGGTTTGAATTTCCGTATAATCCTCGAATGAATAATAAATCTGAAGGATTAATTGGAGCTGCTTCCATTCTGATTAAAACTTCTCCAGGTCCAGGAGTCGGAATAGGGACTTCTCTTATAGCTACTTGAGGGTTTTCAGAAATTGATTCAAGGATTGCTGCTTTCATAAGCTTAGACATTTTTAGTATTATATTTAATGACACAATAACAAAGAATAATGTTTACAAAATATATAAGATTTTATATAGATAGCAAAAATATAATTAGAGTTGGTTTTAGGTGGCAAATTATGGAAAAGTGCTATATATATATTTTAAATTAAATTTAGTATCAATGCTATTGTGCAATTATTAATGAAATAATGATTTAAAAATTTTATATAAAAATGCATACTGTATTGGATTTAATGTAGCATTGATATAGTTTTAATGCAAAAAAAAATTTAATGCGAGATTTTTAAGACAGAATTTTATATAATTTAAAGAATCATAATATAATAAAGATTTAACCATTGTGATTATAATAAATAGAAAATTTGCCGATAAAAGATTTTAAAAAGAATAAAAGTATGCTAAACATCCTTCTTTAAGTTAAGAGACAGGATAAGAGATTAATATTATTAGATTTAAAATATAAACACAATGATAATTTTAGACTAGAGAATCAAAAATGAATCACTTAAGTTTTACTTATTTATATCAGCACAACTCATTTATTGGCGAGTAAAAATAATTGATAGAACTAGTCTAAATTGATAACAGGATCGTTTTTTTTATAATAAATTTGTTGAAGATTATTTCTTTCGCCTTCATGAAGATCAATAATTCCTTTGCTTACAATGGCTTTTAAATTACCATTTTGGCTGTCTTCTTTTAGTAACTCATGTATAACTTTCATTCTTGCTTTAGCTTGATTATTCTTTATTGCGGATGGCTTTTTGTTGTAAATTCGACGCTTAGCCATATACGCTCAAGCAATTATTTTTAAATAATATTTTGAATAAAAAAATAGAAATAAATAAGAAAAAAACCCAGGGAAAAAATCTGAATATTTAAGGAGAGAGTATTTATTATACTCTAAAGCAATTTATGCCCCCGATATTTTATATATATATACTAATTTAATTGTAATATACCACTAATAATTAATAAAGTTTTTGCTTGCCATTGGGATATTTAACAAAATTATTATAAAAGTATATAAGCCTCTTTCTTCTGAAATAATATACAGAAGAATTCAAAAATGTATAAAATGCTAGATTGCGAGAATAATTGAATTATATTTCAATCGCAATTTCAATATCCAAGAAATTACAGTAGAAATGATTTTGGCGTTAGCCATTATTATAAGGATCAAGCTATAAAAAATAATTTTTAAAATAATTAAATCAATTTTCATTAACTTTCCCATTTAAATTAAGCTTTTTTAATTAATTATGAATGCTATTTTTTTCTGTAAAAATCTGTAATTAGTCTAAAAATGAATAATAGTTCTCTCAACTCTAGTGCAAAATTCAATATAGAGCATTATATAAATTTATTAATAATTAATTTATATACAATTTAAATTTTCTTATAGAATCATTAATTTTGATAATTTTGCTTTCTCTTTGACTGAAAAGGTAAGAGAATTCTATCGTATATATACCCCCTTTTTATCAAAGCCATAAAATTTAAAGGATTATTTAATTATTCTAACTCCCCCCCCCTCCGTGAGTGAACAAAAAAAATTTTGTTCACTCACGGATGGGGGTTAATTTTTTTTTTTTTAAAAAAATTTATATATAAAATTTTTATAAAAAATATTTTTTTAAAAAAATTTATATATATAAATTTTATAAAAAAAATTTTTTTTCGAAATTTAAAAAAAATCCTAATTCGCAAAAATTGGAAAGCAAATATTAATTTAATTTATAAAATTTATGTTTTAAAAAGCAATTCGTTTAAAATTAAACAGAATTAGCTCTAGATTTCATTATACTAATTATCATTTATATATCAAAATTTTTTTCCGTAAAAAATTTTTGTATTAAAAACATTTTTGCTCACTCACGGAGGGTGGGTTTTTGGGCAAAAAATAGCGATTTTTCTAATGGTTTTTGTTCACTCACGGAGGGGGGGAGTAAGCAAATGATTCCCGTATATTTTTCAATTTTCTTTCTTTGCTCTTCTCCAATTTCTTCATCATTGTCTCCTAATTTAATTTCTAACTCCCCCTTTCAAAAAGGTTCTCCGCATGGAAGCTATTTTTTTAATGACTATTTTTTTTGTCCTTTTTGTTCTTGGTTATTTTTTTAATCCAAAAAGTTTATAATATAACTTCAGTAGAAACAATAGAGAAAAATTGATTGAAAATCAACTCGAAATAGGCAGTATATTTCAAAGGCAAATAAATCAAAAAAGTTTAAAAATAATCGTTATTAAATAGTCGTCGATTCCAATAGAATTTTTTAAAAAAAATATTTTTATATTTTTATTTTCTTTCATCTGGGGGGTTAAGCTTTCTTTTGCTTCTGAATTAGCTTTTTCGTTTGATTCCCTTAATATTTTGTGAAGAGCGTGTTTTCTGACCTTCGAAACCCTGTTAGAAACGCCTTGACATCTTCTTCCTTCTGGTATCTTCTTCATATTTATTATAACTCCCCCCCCCCCCCCTCCGTGAGCGAACAAAAAAATTTTGTTCGCTCACGGAGGGGGGTTAATTTTTTTTTTTAAAAAAAAATTTATATATAAATTTTATAAAAAATATTTTTTTCGAAATTTAAAAAAATCCTAATTTGCAAAAATTGGGAAGCAAATATTAATTTAATTTGCAAAATTTATGTTTTTAAAACGCAATTTGTTTAAAATTAAACAGAATTAGCTCTAGATTTCATTATACTAATTATCACTTATATATCAAAATTTTTTTCCATTAAAATTTTTTCTATTAAAAAAATTTTTGTTCACTCACGGAGGGTGGGGTTTTTGGTCAAAAATGGCGATTTTTCTAATGGTTTTGTTCGCTCACGGAGGGGGGGGGGGGGGAGTAAGTAAATAGTGATCCGAGGATATTTTTGTATCCCCCATAAAATTTATTGAGCTATTTATAAATTAACCTCTGCCTAAAATTCTATTAATATATATGCAAATTTAAATAATAAAAAAAATATGTTATATATATATTATATAAAAAAATCGTATTCAGCAAAATATGGTATACATGCTTAGCTCATCCTCTTTCTAGCTTTTTTTAATTATAATTTATATCGCCCTTTAAGTTTAAATGGTTAACATTAGCATCAATAAATAGTTATTAATATATTAGAATTAAATCAATAAAGAATTGAGATCAATTTATTTAATTTCGACAAATTAAATATTGACTATGCATTTCTGCTATAAAATATCAATAAAATACAATTCTATAGATAATTTTCACTAGAATAATCTAAATTAAGTTAAAATTTCTTTCTTAACAGACAGAATTTCTTCAACTGGCTCAACTTTTTGAATCCACCTGCCTTTCTCCTCCTCATCAGTTCTCTTCAGCAGTTGAGCTCTTTCATTATGAGTGTTAGCCCACTTTTCTCTATAAAGATTCACTTGAGCAAAGAATTCATCTTTCATTTTTGCTTCTTTTTCCTTTTGGGCTTCTCTGGCAGCTCTTTTTACTTGTTTGTCTTCCTCTTCATATTTTGCTGCAAGCTCATCTAATTGATTTTCAATTTTATCATAAATTTTAGGGTCTAAAATTGATTTCGGTCTTAGTCTCCAAGAAAATTGATAAAACTTTTCCAAAGCAGCGTGAGTGATATCAGACCCTTGGCAATTAAAAATTAAATACCCTGACCCCTGCTGCTGTGTGGCTCTTTGCGTAATCCCTTGCAAGCTTCCTACAGATAAATATCTTCCACTGGGATCCCATTCTAAAAAGTTCATATTCATGTGAACTCTTTCTTCTATTTGATATAAAGTTTGATTTTTCACACAGAAAAACTCAACTCTTCCTTCAGTATTATTTTTAGCTGCAAAACTATAGGTGACTAAGTGCCCACCTTGGGGTGCCCATGCAATTGCTGAACATTTTGTATCGCATTGGTCAATCTTTTTGGTTTCGATCTTTTCTGAGTCAACTTCATAGACAACCAGAGTTTTTGAAGAATGAGCTCCAGCGTAAATTAAAGCGAAACGATTTCGGTTTGGCTCCCAAGAAAAAGTGCTAACCACAAAATCTAAGGAAAGGGATTCTACTGGGATTCCTCTCTTTTTTACATAAAATATTTCAATAATACTGTTTTTAGGCTTTGGATTGTTTCTGTGCTTTGTAGTCACAACTGATATTAAAAATTCACCATTATTATTCCAAAATGAGTAAAACCCAAGGGCTTCATACACCATTCTTGTAGCAATTAATTCCCTGCTAGGAATAGCCAAAAGTCTCACTTGTGCAGGCTTGGCTTCACTTTCTCTTATATGAAGGCATATCACATTATCTCCGCTGCTCCATGAAAATTCAGCTAATTGGGGTATCGGAATTGGTGCCTTTTTACCGTCATTGTCTTCAATCATGGCTCCTGATTTTTTTTTAAAAAAATTAATTAGAATGCACCCTCTCAATATAGGACTAAATTTAATAATAACCCTCTACCAATCATAGCCATTGTTTCTGAATTGTAAACACTTATCATTTCATTTCCTTTTTTCGCTACAAATTCTCCATTATAGCTATACATATAAGTTCCCCAAGGCTCATCATTGGCTTGAAAAGTCCTGATTTCTTCCCCTTTTTCTAAACTCCACATAATAAATTGTCCAGCTGCGCCTGGGGAGTAAGTCATTAAATATCGCTCACATGGGGAAAATTCAATTTGGCTTACACCATAATGAGAAAGTCTCATAATTTCTTCGAATTTTGGCCCACCCCAAAGTACAATTCCACGCTGATGCAAAGTTGCAAGATATGTGCCTTGGGTTGACCATTTTACATATTTATCAGTCCATACTTTATCTGATGGGCCAGCAGTGACTAGCTCAGGGTTCAACGAAATTGAGTCATTCCAAAACACTTTTGTTGATTCCTCATGGCGGATTACAAATTGGTCACGTGATCTATAATCTGTGAGTCAGCTTTTAAGCTCTTTTTGTGTAAAAACTCGAGGCTCCAGAAATAAAAAAAATTGTTTAAATTTTTTTTTTTCAAAATTTAAAAATAATTAAAAAAAATTTTAAAAACAAAATTAAAAAAAAATTGGAACAAAATTAAAAAAAAAATTGGAAAAAAAATTAAAACAAATTAAAATTAAAAAAAAAATTAAAAAAATAATAAAAAAAATTAGGCTCCACATATTCTGCAGGAGTGTCCATAAGCCTATCAAACTCATCAAAAGACACGACTGTAAGTGAGTGTTTTTTATCAAATGCCAAGCCATTGCATTTGACTACTGCAGTTTTTGCTAATTCTTCATCAGGAAATGTGACGAATGCAAAACATTGGCTTTTTCCGTCAACCATAGGCATATAAACTGCACTTGGTTCAATAGGAACGACAGCCTTACTAATAACTTTTACAAGAACCTTTATTAAAAGCTCTTCTTTTTCAGCTGTGACTTCTGGGAGATTATCCACAATCACTCGGTTTGTCCATCGAAGCTCAAATAATGGTTTTGGCTCTAATAGAGGATCATTTCGCTCTTTGGCTTCACGTTTTTGGTCTTCAATATAAGGTTCGTATTCTGGGTGAGACTGTAAAACATCAGAAAAATCGATGAGCTCAAGAGGATGCTGATCTTCCATTTTATAAAGGATTTTTGTTCAAAAGGAAAGATATTAGTAATAAATTAGAAAATTAGGATAAATTTTTCTATAATTTGTAATAGATTAGGGTTTTTTTATGTAGGCAATGTTTAAGAAAGCATATTTATTTTTAAATTATTAAAAAATTCTGACTTTATATACAAATGCTCCCTAGATGCATGAGCAAAATTTTTAAATAGCAGAAATTGTCATTTTCCTGATTATAAAATTAGCAATTATAAAGATTTTTATGATACAGTAATCTTCTTAAAATAAATTATTCTGCAGGTTTATTCAATTTCTTTCCCCAATTCCTTTAAAAATCATTTTTCCTATTCCTCAAAGAATTCGTAATTAATCTTTATACAAATTACACAATAAACATTTTAATAGAGAATGCTAAGACCCGATCTTGAATACCAAAATATGTTTGAACTCTTCAATCTTCCTTCTTTTAACTTTTTCCTCGATATCCCAAGCAGAACTTCTTCTTCAAGCACAGAAACTCAAGATGTTTCAAATTTCGATCGCCAACTTGAGTCTCATTTTGACCAGCTCTCAACATCTTTTTCTTCACAAAAAGATTTTCTTGAAGCTACCAAGCTGAGAATTTCTAAACAAAAAAAGACCTTCAACGAAATAGTCACTGAAAAATGAGAAAAAATTAACAAGGAAAAAGAGCTGTGAGAAGAAAATATTTCCAAGGCAGAATCCCTAGCAAAATTGTCAGAAAATTTAATAGAAATCAATATTGGAGGCTCCCACTCGATTATAACCACTTTGGATACTATTAGGAAATACCCAGATTCTGCCTTAGCAGCAATGTTTTCAGGTCGGCATCAATTAGCATTGCAAAACGGAAAAGCATTTGTGGATAGAGATGCGAAGCCTTTTTGCCAGATGATTGATTTTTTGAGGACTGACAGAGCACCGATTTTTAAGCACCCAGAAGAACAAATCAGCTTTTTGGAAGAGCTTGATTATTGAGGAATTTTACTCCCCCCCCCCCCCTCCGTGAGCGAACAAAACCATTAGAAAAATCGCCATTTTTTGACCAAAAACCCACCCTCCGTGAGTGAACAAAAATTTTTTTAATAGAAAAAATTTTAATGGAAAAAAATTTTGATATATAAGTGATAATTATTATAATGAAATCTAGAGCTAATTCTGTTTAATTTTAAACAAATTGCGTTTTTAAAACATAAATTTTGCAAATTAAATTAATATTTGCTTCCCAATTTTTGCAAATTAGGATTTTTTTAAATTTCGAAAAAAATATTTTTTATAAAATTTATATATAAATTTTTTTAAAAAAAAAAAAATTAACCCCCTCCGTGAGCGAACAAAATTTTTTTGTTCGCTCACGGAGGGGGGGGGGGGGAGTTAGATAAAAATCCAATAAAAAATATTGACCAATCTTGAAGGCATTTCGACCCTGAATGGTGTGCAAGTACTTTAACCCTCGAAAGTGACGCCACAGTTGTCAGAAAAATCAGCTCTTCTCATGGTATCATTTTTGGAGCCAACGCAATGAGCGAAGTCTGCCCATACGTCGAGCTAAACATTTCTATAGCAGAATTCTCTAGTAATGGCTCACATATTTTTATCGGACTTGTCGACAAGTCAAAGTACCGTCTCAATCAGCTTTTATCGACCTTATGAAGAGATGCGCCATCAAGCTGGTATTGGGACGTCTGGAGCACCAAGCTGATTAAAACTGACGAAAATGGCTTCCACAAGGTAATGACAGGTTATGGCTGTGACTGTGAAGATACAGAAACTGTTATAGGAATTTATTATGATGAAAAAAACAGGACTATAAGTTTTTTCAAAAAAGGGATTTCTCAAGGAGTTGCCTTTACGGAGGTGCCGCCTGGGCTTTATCCTTCTGTAGATGTGTGGCTTGAAAGTGGGACTGTAACTATGTTACAGACGAAGGTCCCGAAAAATATTAAACTAATGTAATTTGAATTTATTAGCTAAAATTATTTATTAATTATTATCTGATTGGATTTCTTCTTTAATTAGTTTTTCTTTTTCAAGCTCTTTCTGCTTTCGAGGCAATGTCACAAAGCCATGCCAAGTGTGTCGGATATAAATAATGGCAACAATAATCCCTAGACCAAATCATATTATAGCAGCATGGTAATATTCCATATAATAGGTAAGCCAAATCATCATAGCAGGGCCTAGTGCAGCACCTAGCATAATTGCTGTGACATAAATTCCAGCAATTAAATCTACCACTCTGTCTGTCAATTTAAGCCCTATTTTATTCATAGCTGTGCCTGTAATGATAGGAAACCCTGAAGCTGTGCCAACTGACATGCCAAAATCCAGAAAAATAAGTCCATATAATAAGCACGGATTATATTCCCCAATTATTGTATATAAAATTAAGCTGACTATATACCTAATTATTTTTAATTTTAAAAAAAACTATTTAAATTAATTACTTATATTAACAATTCCTATCAGAATCAGCCCAATTATTGCTCCAATAATCCCAAGCAACATAATTACTTTTCTATCAATTTTTTCCAAAAATAAACAAAATATCCCAGTGACTACAAATGATACTATGGAGCTTCCCACAATAAAAATTGCTAATTATTTCTTACTTATTGTTCCGTCATCTCTATCTGAGTCTTCTAAAATCCCATCAAGCACAGGATCTATACATCGAGCTGCGGCGACCACAAAAATAATCACCATACAATCCAATAAAATTTCATTTTCTTTTATTATTCTTTTCCGATTGAATTATTTTTCTTACAAATAAGCCTTTTTTTAACTCCCCCCCCCCCCTCCGTGAGCGAACAAAACCATTAGAAAAATCGCCCATTTTTTGACCAAAAACCCACCCTCCGTGAGTGAACAAAATTTTTTTTATATAAAAAAATTTTAATGGAAAAAAATTTTGATATATAAGTGATAATTAGTATAATGAAATCTAGAGCTAATTCTGTTTAATTTTAAACAAATTGCGTTTTAAAACATAAATTTTGCAAATTAAATTAATATTTGCTTCCCAATTTTTTGCAAATTAGGATTTTTTTTAAATTTCGAAAAAAAAATATTTTTTATAAAATTTATATATAATTTTTTTTTTAAAAAAAAAAATTAACCCCCCTCCGTGAGCGAACAAAATTTTTTTGTTCGCTCACGGAGGGGGGGGGGGAGTAAGTAAAATTTACCATATTTTCCTTTAAATCTTTTATTTCTAAATCCAAATTTTCATCATCTTCTCTTGGAGTTTTTTTGACATATTTTAAAGTAAAAATAAAAACTAAAGCCAATAATAATGTGCAGGATAAAAAATAAAATAAAAAATGCTCTTTTTCAGAGAGGTATAAAGGCATTGTTAAACCAAAAGTATAGCCTAAATCCCATGAAAACTCAGCAACAGGGAATAAAAGATAAATGTTTTTAGGGTCATGAGCTAGAAGTAAAGTCAGTGCTGGGACATAAAATCCGACAGCTCCAAGTGATATAAACACAATAGAAATTGCAAGCCAAATAATGCACAATGCAGGGGTTAAATAAGCAGCGATTGGATAAATTGCTACCCCAAAAATCTAATTATATGATACCACTAATAAAACGCTGGAAATTAAATAATTTCGCCTTCTTACGTGTTTGAGGTGGTCTGCTACATAAGGAGCTAGTAAAAATCCTAAAACATAGGCAAGTGTAACCACTCCACGAGTAGGGGAATCAGTAGAATCTTCAATTATAGGCAAAGCTGCAATAGAAGAATAATAGCTAAAAAATACAGTCGCTATTAGTGGAAAAATTCCAATCTTAAACATTATTTTTATATACGTAAATGGCTGGTGAAGAGCGGCCAGTCGAAGTGGCAGGCGTCATTATGTAAAACAGATTGATTTTTTGGTTTAAGAAGCTGCCCAAGGGTTGAGTTAGTCTTAAAGCTAGAGGTCCAAAACTATTTCCGCTGATTAGTGGCCTGGATTTTTGCATCTTTTGGGCCAGCTGGCCAAGGTTGGATATCTGATCGAGGCAGGGCGACCTACCTGCTTAGGCTACTTCAAGGCCTGCCCAAATCTTGTAAGCGGCTGGGGCTTTTCTTTTGGTTTAAGCCAGAGAAAAAGGGAAGATAGGTTAGACAAGATCAAGGGTTCAAGTTTCTCTAGTTGAAAAGGATCCTTATGGGGCAATCTATCCTAAGCTAAGCAGGACTCGGTATGTTGGTTTGCTTAGGTAGGAAATGGAGGTTCCCAGCAAAGTCCGTATGACTCAGGCCATGGATGGTAAATGCCTCTACCGAGAATCCGGGGTTTCGGCTCAAGCTCAAATAAATTGTGGCACACCCACCCCGCAACTCACTATTACTCAGGAATTGAAGACTATAAATGTGCATCTCTATCTAATCTAAACATTATTTTTGTGTAAAAAGGCGTTTTTCAATAATAATTCGTAAAAATTTTCCTTTAAATTTTAATTTCTGATATAAAAATTTCTGTTCAACTCTATCCATAAATAATTTTTATTAAAAATATCGAATTTAAATAAATTTTAATCGTCTTCTTCCCATCCTCCGCTTGCCCTTCCATCTAAATCAATATCTGTACAATGGGTGATAGCATAAAGCATTTTTTCCCTCATAACTTCTTTGCTTGTGTATGCTGGCAATTCAATAGAAAAGAAACAAGTGTGAGAGACTGGCAAATAATTGTTTACTGGCCCTTGAGGCAGATATCGAGTAATTTTCATATGTTTCCATTCTTTTCCTGATGGCAACTTAGATCTTCCCCATACAAATTTCAAATATAAAGATCTTTCTTTAGGAGTCATTTCTAATAAAACTTCCCAAAAGGTAGAAATGTGAGGGTCATTTATGCTGCAGTTTTCATAATCAGTATTTCCCTTAAGAATTTCTATACAAATTACCTTTAAACATGCCAATTTTTAAGTAAAAATAATTCCATTACAATTCACAATATCTAAATATATATAGTCTTTTCCTTTAGATTGCCTATAAGCATTTTTTACACCAAGTTTTAATTAAAAATACATCAAAAAACCGCATATCAATATTAGAAGCTCCGCAAACAAGAGTTTCTACCTGTTTTCAGCTAAACAAATTCAAATAATCAATCGGCACCACTGCACTTATTCCATTCCTAATCGCCTCATACGCCTTCGCGCCTTCACTAAGCCTAAATTTTTCAATTAAATCTGCATACTCTTTGGCAGTCTCATAAGTAACCGAAATTTCTTTTCCATTCGGGATCAGCTCAACTTCACGTCCACTTGAGTCTTTTGTAGCAAATTTCTCATCATAAGCATACGCAAAAGTTTCAGGCGTCAGCTGATTTTCTTCAGGATTTCTCAAAATTTCTAAAATTTGGACAGTGCAGACATCAATGCCTCTGAGGTCTCTTGTTGATAAAGGGTCCATTAGGAGGCGTTTCCAGAATAACGGAGGGAAAGAAATATTTAAATTATTTTGAGTTCTTATGGCTGCCCCCATAAGTTTGCCTAGGAAGGTAAAGAGTTCAAGGTCTTGTGGGGAGTCAGCTGATGGGTTTATAATCCATGATTCACGGTTTTCCCCGATATTGTTGACATTATTAGGGCAAGGCACCAGAAGTCTAAGGTAGCTTGACTGAAGCTCGTCACACATGTTGCTCATAGACTCATTGTAAGGCCCTCCTGCATCAATAGAGGCTTCTCCACGATAGGTGACTCTATATACTCTTTCTGAATTTCTGAATTCTGTATTAGGGATATTTATCATGCACCTATAAATTTGTCCAAAAATAGAAAACTGGCCATAGACGTCTACATCTTTTCTGTCCCTATGTCGGGCTGCTTTAGGCCGATCTATGGTAATTTCTGTTCTTTTTTCATTAGCTGTTTTGGTTAAGCTGTCTTTTAAAATCCCATTTTTGAACCTGAAAAACACGTAGCTTCGAGAGCCTATGAACACCCTTTGCAGCTCAGACATAGAAGCTATAGAGTCTAGATGCAAATTAAATAAATACAAAGAAGATTCTACCCTTTTATTGAACCTCAGTAAAATTTGGTATAATTCTCGCATGTCGTCTTTGCTGATTTTTTCTAATTCTTGATAGTAAATTAATTCGTTTTCGTTGGGATTAATTTCTTCGTTTTTTAAATTTAGGATGTCAAGACCTTTGGATTGGGTGAATTCATCAAGATAATTTACTATATAAATTTCTATGAATTTTTTGGTAACTTATCAGAAATATTTTTGACTGGGAAATATAAGGGAAAATGCATAATTGTTCAGCTGCGCCATTTTTAAATAAATGCTTGTACTTCTGGGAGTAATTTTGTTGCCAGTCATTTTTGGTTTCTTCTGAGGCGTAATTAAAATAAGAATTTATCACGTTTTTGGTCCTCCCAGTAAATTTTGGAATTATTTTAAATTTGTAGCCATAGTAAATATAATCGTTTTCTGAGGAAATATTTATAATATCGATATCTGCAGGAAATTTAGGAAATTCTGAAATAGTAATGCTTTGTTCAGGAATGGTCAAAACTGATACAAACTTCAGCGGCTCCATTTTGTCATTAAATTGGAAATTTGGCCTTTTTGTGACTAAAAATTTCCCATTTTTATAAAATTTGAACTTTCCTTCTTCAAAGTCTATATAGCAGCCAATAATGTCATTTACAGAAAACCCTTCTACATCTGAATAAATTATGATAGAGTTTTCGTGCTCTATGAGCTTCTGGGCAAATATTGATGAAAATGTGAATCCAAGACCAATTTTTCCTCGTGAATTGATAAAAACTTCTATATAATTTCTTCCAATTTTCAGCTCAGGAGTAGTCGCATATATTGAAGGGGAGTCCTCAAATTTAATTAGTGTCCTTTTATCAGTAGAAATGCTAGCATTTTCATTAGAATCGCTTCAGAAATGCTTTATTAAATAGCTGGAATTTATAGGATACCAACCATAGACAATGTCACCTTTTACAGTTAAATTGTATTTAGTGCCTTCTTTTTGTATGCATTTTAAGGAAACAGATAAAGAATTCTCACCAAAGCAGGCAACTGGGGTTATGTCTTCAGCGATTTGAGTGAATTTGCAGACTTCTGTATCATTTTTGAAAAAAATTAATTCTTTTGTGTCGAAGTTTAGCAGGATTGAAAGTAAGTCAGCTGAGGAGAAGCTGGCACCATGGGTATTTGAGCCTTTACTGTAAAAGTCGCCGGATTTTTTCCAAGTTCATGATTCTTTTTGGTAGCCAATCCCTATACAGCTATTGAGAGCTGAGTCTATTTCGTCAGATTTTATAGCTCCGATATAAAAATTGTCATTATTTCCATCACTGTCTATAGAAAAAGTGATTTTTATGATCCCGCTATTGAAATTTTGATTTAAAATAGCTGTTGTATACCCATTTCCATTATCTCTTCTTGCAGTCCTGTTTTTATTTTCTAACAAAATTCCATTACCTTTAGGATTTTCCATCCAAAAGCAATCATTAATCTGATTAAACACCAAATTTTCCACATTTTCAACAGGAATTTTGCCTTTATTATCATAACTAAAATAAATTGTCTCACTTGGATCCAGCATAGAATTTGGATCGATTTCTATATTCAAAAACAGCGCCCCTGGTATTTGAATTTTTTCCACTTTAGTCTGCCTCTTATAAGGGTGCAGGGACTCTCTCACCTCTTCTGCATTTTTGCTGATCCTTTCTTTAAACCTGTCAAATAAAAACATTTCTAGTGCCTCGTCTTTATCTGTAAGCCCTTTCATATCAGAAACCAGCTCATTCAACTCCATAAATCACTGTTCCTGGTTCTCTAAATTCGAAAAATTCCCAATTTCAAATAAAAATGTGATCAGGGCTTGCAAAATTTGGTTCCATGTTTTTGCAGCTTCATTTTCATGGTAAAGCTCATTGGCTTCTAATAGTGAAATTTCTATTATTTTTTCAATTGTGGGGTTATTATTAATCATATAAGATTTCAAAATATTTAAAGCCCGGAGTTTGTCGTCAACAGAATTTGCAGATAAAACGAATAAAAATAGTGGCTGAAGGAACCGAGGAGTATATAAAATTCTTAATTCTTCATTGGTAATTGCGAATTCTCTGAGTTTTTCTAGCATCCAAAGAGCGCCGTTAGGTTTTACTGTTTTTTCACCACCAAGAGAAGTGGCGGTAAATCGATATCCTCAGTCATTTCGAGAGCCGTCACTATGAAAATATCAATAAATGGTACTTTTTTGGACCTCAAAACCAGTTCACTTACTCCCCCCCCCCCCCCCCCCTCCGTGAGCGAACAAAAAAATTTTGTTCGCTCACGGAGGGGGGTTAATTTTTTTTTTTTTAAAAAAAATTTATATATAAATTTTATAAAAAATATTTTTTTTCGAAATTTTAAAAAAATCCTAATTTGCAAAAATTGGGAAGCAAATATTAATTTAATTTGCAAAATTTATGTTTTAAAACGCAATTTGTTTAAAATTAAACAGAATTAGCTCTAGATTTCATTATACTAATTATCACTTATATATATCAAAATTTTTTTCCATTAAAATTTTTTCTATTAAAAAAATTTTTGTTCACTCACGGAGGGTGGGTTTTTGGGTCAAAAAATGGCGATTTTTCTAATGGTTTTGTTCGCTCACGGAGGGGGGGGGGGGGGGGGAGTTAGAAGTTCCAGTTCCAGAAAAATTTTTAATTTCTCCTTGTTTTGAAGGTTTTTCATAAAATTTCAAATAATCGCATGATTCTTCAGTCGCGCATCTGGGGTCGAATTCTATACGGATTCCATTTGCCCCTGGGAAAGAAATGACTCCTTCAGCGTCAAAATTATCTGCATAAGGATGGACACTTTCGTAGGTTGAAGATCTTTGTCCTGAGGTATTGCAAATTAAATAGGAAATTAAAATATTTAAGCACTCTTTTGCAGCTTTTAATCGGAAATTTTCACCGTCCAGATTTTGTAGTAGTTTTCTAATAGGAGCTTCTAGATGGTCTAATTCAGACTCCAGATGAGTTAAAAGACGCCCAAGGCTGGTTCTGCCTGGCATTGTGGTAATCATATTGGGGTATTTTTTCAGTGTGCTGACTAGTAACTTCTTTGATATTGCAAGTCTTCTATTTTCTTCTATATCAAGCAAGGAATTATAAAGCTCCATAAGAGATAATGCTTCATAACTAGCTGAGTCGTCGACTTGGGCACCATTTGAATTTTCTCCAATTTTATGATCTACTAGTCCATGAGTATCGGTCCCTGAAATTTCCATAGATTTTAAAGGAACGATAGGACAATTTAGCACTGAGTCTGGGTATTTTACTGCCACTAAAATATAATAGCTTTTTATGTCTTGTGACGCTATATTTAAAGCTTTATTATCTTTATCAGTAAGTAATTGGTATCCGTATGGCAAGACTACAGAATATACTGAAGAGAATTTATCATATAAATATAATGGATTTTCGGCCAGGCAATGCTGGGAGGCAATGAAGCCTCGAGAACATTTTATTTATATCCGGCAAGGATTTGCTAAACCAGAAATGATAGCAATGCTAGGTAATTAATTCTGGTAATGTATAGAGCCTAGCCTTAGTCCGCTTTCAGAATTGGATTTTACTTTGAGGGAAAAGGAGGGGTTCAGAGTTGAGAAGTGAAAGTCCAGCAGCGTCTACGAGCAACGCCTCGACCATTCGGGTAACTTCCTAGCATGATACTGGGAGTTACGCTTCAGTCTTTGAGTTTTTCCTTTTTGCAGACAGTTCCATGTTTTGGGATTTTTTATGCTGATAACCTTCGCCCAACCCAAGCAGCATGCCGCAGAAGTCCATAGCCTTTCCAATCAATACTGGAGCTGACAAGATAAGGAGGCTGCATTTTTAAGTTAATTTAAGAAGAGACTTTTATAAAAGCAATATCCTTTATAGAAGGGCTATTTTTGTCAGGTTGAGAAATTTTGATGGAGACTTGATTAGTCCTGTCATCATTGATACTTAGATCTCCAATGTCAGTATATCCCGCAGCACCTCCAGCTATAGAAAACCCTACGCAAGCGTTTCCACTGACTTTTTTTTCTTTTTTCATAGCTAATATTTTTCTTTTACTCCCCTCTGTGAGCGAACAAAACCATTGCAAAATCCCTATTTTTTGCCAAAAGCACATTTCGTGAGCAGACAAAAAATTTTTTAATATAAAATTTTTCGACAAAAAATATTATATATAAGTGATTATTAGTATAACGAAATCTCTAGCAAATATGTTTAATTTTAAACAGTTTAGATTTTAAAAAATTAATTTTACAGCATAAATAAACATTTGATTTCAAATATTTATGAATGGAGATTTTTTTAAATTCGAACAAAATATTTTACTATAAAATTTTTATATAATTTTTTTATAAAAAAAAAATTTTTTCGCTTACTGAGAGGAGTTAGGAATTTCAAATTTTATTGGATTTCCATTTTCATATATTTTTACGATATGGAATCCAGGTGGGACTTTTTCAATTTTATCAAAAATTTTGATATCTGTCACCATTTCTTGTTCTAAACTTAAAGGTGGATTGTTCATATTTTCTACCCCAAAACGATTCAACGCATAATCAATTGCTGAGCTTAAATCATTTGACGCTTTTAATGCTTCATCTATTTCTTCGTCTGAAAATCCAAGCAATTGCAGCCTGAATTTATCTAAATTTTGGTCTTTTAATTGGATTTTTACATATCTTTCTCCTCCTTCTAACTCTTTGGGAGGCTCAATTTTTGACTGAAGATCACCTTCATATTTATTTTCATAGACTTCAAAGCATAGTAAACTGGCAGAAGCTCCGATATCTAGGTAAACTCCGAAATCCCCTATTTTAATTCCATTAAAAACTGTTCCACATATTTTTTCTACATGAATTTTTGAATTTTCGTTTGTAATTGAAACCTCTCCATTAGCTTTTGCATAAATTCTTATAATTAAAGGCTCAAATAAGCTTGCTTCTCCATTTGGTTCATTATTTATAGCGAAGTGAGGCCTTCCTATTGCTGTGGTGATCCCAATTTCTAAATCCCCAACAATAAGTCCACAAGAAAGCTTATTATTTATAGCTTGTCCTTGTATAGCCGCCATTATTGTGATAGAAGCTAAAGGCTCTATATTTTTTTGGAAAATATCATAAGGTAAAGAATTTTTATATTCTTTTCTTTCAGCTGCTTGCTTTGGGTTTTTTATTACTAAATGCTTGGTTTCATTTTGGTAAAATTCGGATTTTCCAGTTAAATCTTTAATTTATACCATTTTATTTAATAAATTATATTAATATTCTATATTACTATAAATAGAGATTAATATAAATAGAATAAAAGAGCTTTCTTTAAACAGCGCCAATCTATAGATCTGCCCTGCCACTTTTTGTATCTTTTCTGGTTCTTTTCAATCAATAATAGCTTGCTTTTCTTTGATCCCCATTTCAAAGCATTTCACGATTTTCACAATTGGGATATCTACAGATACCAATTCAATTGCTAATAGCTGGTCATTGTCGTTCCATTGGGCAATTTTATTTTGAGCTTCTTCTTCAGTTAGTGGCTTTTCTTCTTCTTCTTTTTTTTCTTCACCTTGTGATGCTGGTTTTGAGTGCAATTTCTTGGATATTTCACTGATCAGTCTAATATAGCTATTTTTACTAGTCGTTAACTGTTAATAGTATGAAAAAAAATGTTAGAGATTTTTTTGAAAAATTAAAATTTTTGTAGAAAAATAGATTTTCTATAAAAAATCATTAAAATAATGTCTTAAATAGCATAAATAAATTACAGATAAAAAAAACTCATAAATTTTTTCACACTTAGCTCGTTAACTGTGGCTTACTCTTAGAAATTACATTTCCTATAATGTTTTCTATTTCTGAATACTTTGGCTCTTTTGATTCTAAGGTATCAATCATGCAGACCATAGAGATTATGTCAAGTTTTGTATATAAAGCACGAAGATTAGCAATAGAGTCACAGTTTGCATTTATTAACACATTTGAAGAACTTCTAAGGGTTTCCCAGAATGAAATAGTGGAGGCACTTAAGCGGTCTTTTTCTTCGCTATCAAGCTGTTCATTTAATTTTATATTAATTTGTGCTTCTATTGAGTCGATTTTTTCAAGATTTTCAGTTATTGTTGTATCTTCAATTACTGAATAAAATCTTGCATTAGGGCTAGTGATTTCTTTAATAATTCCTCTAGGCAGAGAACAGTTTAGCAGCTTTGCTTGAGAAAGAACTGTTGGAATTACACCATACCCATCAAAATTTTTAGATGATGAAGCCATGAAATACAAAGCACCTGCATGAATTGCAGACAAAGGAGTCCCTAGCATCAAAGATTCAGAGCCATCCCTTAGGGTTCTTATTAACACTTCTACTACTTCATATCTTCACCTTTCAACAGCAGTCAGTGATAAAAGTAAACTTTCAGCTTCATAAGCCCATCTAAGCGATATTTCTTTTGAGCTTTCATTTTCATACCAAATTGCACCTTTTCCGATTTTAATAAGCAAAAATGAAATAAAATCAAATTTATTTCCAGTTAATTTTCCAATTTTTTCCCAATAAGGAAGAAATGTCTGGGGAGAATGCTGGGTAGGAATTATGTGCCGCAATATCCGAGTTCCTAGTAAAATTGTTTTTGCAGAGGGAATTGCAAAGGTAATTTTTAATAAAGTGTCAAAATATTCCTCACGGGCGATGAGTTTTGTAAGACAATGAGAGCCTAGAGACCCGTATAGTGTCCATAATAATGAGCTGATAAAGTCAATTTGTCCTGAAATTGCTTTTGATGTAGATTTGCATGACGATGGCAGGTCGTTGTACATAGAAATTGCATCTTTAATTTCATTGTAATAGTCTTTGAATTTTTCTTTATTTGAGGTTATAGCTTTTATTGTGATATAAAAATCTATTGTGTTTTTATTTAAATTTAATTTTATAATGAAAATTTTGGCTTTGGTTTATATGAAAAATAAGTCCTTGTTTTTAAGTTTATTAAAATAACTAATTCCAATCAATATAAATTTCCTGCTTCATCTTTGAATTCTGCTGGTGCATTCTCAGGTATTTTTTCTGGAATAATTATCCCTGGCTCATTTGCCGATAAAAATAATTCCAAAAATTTTGAAAAAGAATTTTCGACTGACTGCTTGATTCTTCTATTAAAATTTTCTATCACTTGGCGTATATTTGTCATATTATAGTCTTCTAAAGCTTCATAATAATCATTTCTAAGATGATGCCACAGCTGGGAGCTGCCTATATAATCCTGTATATCCTCCGGAAACTGGCTGCTGAAATTTTTAAACACATTTAAATATCTGAAAAAATCATATTCACCTTTAGAATTTTTATTTTCTTCATAGCACTCCAAAGTATCTACAATAGAAGAGTCGAGCCTTATAAGATCATTTTGGTGGATTATTCCTTTCATAGCAGGGTCAGCTTTATTTATAAAATCATCAATAATTTCACATAAATAAAATCCTTCGAAGTTTTCTGTTTCTTTTTTAAACTGCCTTATCCATTCTTTGACTGGATTTTTTACTAATTCACTAGAAATAATATTTTTTCCGATTCAGTTTTCTCCTTTTACAATTTGTGAAATTATGAATTGGTCGGTATTTTGAGCCATAAAAATTTTGTCAAACTTAAACTCGTCAAATAAAACTTTAATGAAAATTTCTTGAATTAAATTTTTTGTCGATTCGTTAGGCTCAACCCAGGAGCCGACTATTGAGTATAAAATTTGTTTAAATAATCCTCATGAACTTTTGGATAGTTTCAATTTTAATGATTCTCGAGTTTTTGTGTCGATATCGAGCTCAGGGGAAAGCAAATCTTCATAATTTGTGAAAGAAAATTCTAAATTGTTTGAAATTCCTGTCAGATATTTTTGATTTGGTTTTTCTGAGTCTCTTTTTATTAGAATGTATTTTCTTTCACCTTTAAGTTTAGGTTTATGATAACTCTTCAAGTCTTTCTTGGCCTCAGCATGGAAAAAAGCTCTGAATAAGGGTAGGCGAGCCTGCCTAACTGTCGACCTGTTTCTGTCTCCAAGCCTCTTAGGACCACTCTGATCTAACCAGACTCAGTGTAACCCATTCTCTTGAGCCAAAACTCTCAAATAGTCGTGGACTCTCTCACTGAGTTTGGATGTAGAAGCTGAGTCCTACTTCTAACTGACATTTTTAATTGTGCTTTCACCTTTAAATACAAAGTCTTCTGTTGCCTTTTCATATCCATTAATTAGATGGCTTTCTAATAAAATTTCGACAATAGGCTGAGCATTTCCACCTTTATCAATTACTAACTCCCCCCCCCCCTCCGTGAGCGAACAAAAAAATTTTGTTCGCTCACGGAGGGGGGTTAATTTTTTTTTTTAAAAAAAATTTATATATATATATTTTTATAAAAAATATTTTTTTTCGAAATTTAAAAAAATCCTAATTTGCAAAAATTGGGAAGCAAATATTAATTTAATTTGCAAAATTTATGTTTTAAAACGCAATTTGTTTAAAATTAAACAGAATTAGCTCTAGATTTCATTATACTAATTATCACTTATATATCAAAATTTTTTTCCATTAAAATGTTTTCTATTAAAAAATTTTTGTTCACTCACGGAGGGTGGGTTTTTGGTCAAAAAATGGCGATTTTTCTAATGGTTTTTTTGTTCGCTCACGGAGGGGGGGGGGGAGTAAATAAGCTCATCAAAATAATTATTTTTTATTATTTTAAAAATAACGCTAAATTTTATATGAAATAGTAATATTCTTTGCTATTTATTAAAATTACTGCTTTAATTAGCATATAAATTATTCTCGTCTCTTTTTTCTTCTAATAATATTTTTTCAGAATTTTCAGGCACTTCATTTTCTATTAAAATCCCCAATCTAGTTATACACAATTCTTTTTTAAAAGGCTTTACAATTTCATCTTCTCCAAAATTACCTTTAGCCCATTTAAGTAAATGTGAAATCGTCATTGAAAATTGCTTTTCCAAAATCAGATCTCCATCAATTCCTTTCAGAGGGTAACTCATAGCTTCAATCACTGATAAATAATACTCATAATCAGAAATTTTATTTTTATTGTCATCATTTTTTTTCAGTTCTTTTTGCAAAGTTTCATACACTTCAAAAAATGAATGTTGGACACATTTTAACAAAAATGGGTCAATTCCTTCTATACCCAAATCGGGTGTTTGAAATAATAATTAATTAATTTTCGCTAATAAAAATTTTATTAATTTACTCTGATTATTGATTTTAAATACCTCAAAAGGATATAATCCATCCCAGCAATGGTGTTTTTCACCTTTTTTCTTCAAAGAGTCACTAAAAATTTTGACAATCGCAGTTTCATTTTTATTAGAATTTTTAATCAAATCAGAAAACAGCAATAATCCAAGTACTCTTGCGATCCCTTTAGTCCGCCTTTTTTCTATAGTTTCCATGATTTCTTGGAGCGAAATTGATGATTCTAAAAATTTGGTAACAAAATCAGCGACTTTAAGAAATTCTTTAATGTCTTCATTTTCAGGCTGTTTTATTTTGGAGGCTGTAGTAAGAAGACCCTTTAGTTTTGATGAGGTTATTACAGCTTTTTTGACAGCTTTTCATTTGCTTGCTGTTTTAAGAGGAAGAGAATTTTTATTCTTTTTGAGAAAAAAATCTCCTACAAAATCGTTAATAATTTTTTATTTTTAAAAATAAAGTGGATTTTTAATATTAAAATAAATATTATTTTAAATAAAATAGACTAGTTTGCATTTTTGCAACGCTTGACAATAAATTTTTCATTACTTTGTTGACACCAAGCTCATTTAAGCTAAATCTATATTCCCCTGCCAATAATAATGCTGATTTTATTACTATATCTCTATTTATATCTGTATAAGTAATATCTGGGTTTCCATGATCCATTAGCTGCTGCTTATGCTTTTGTGCCCATCCTCTTATTAAATTGCTTTGTTTTATAATAAATTTCAGCGTCAATCCAACTTCTTCAGGAGAGTCAAAAATTTTATTAACTGTGTCAATTACATCAAAAAATGCAATATAAACTGCAAAAATTGCTCTTTCAGCCTGATCCATTTCTGAGCCTCCAGTATTAGTCGAAGGTCCAAAAATTCCTGATTTTTTCTTTAAATTGGTCCACGCTGCTTTAACTCTGTCGCTTCCATCAATTAATTCTTGTAAAAATTGGATGTTAGAGAAGCTCGGATTTTTCTGAATTTTTTGATATGAAGCAATATATGCTTTTTTATATGGCTTGGTTTCTAAAATGCATTGCCAATAATAAGTAAATCCTATTATTTCTAAAAATATATAAATGTCTTATTGGGAGAGTTTATAAATTAAAGAGCTAGTAAAGTAAAAAAAATATAGTCTCCAAGCGTGATAGCTGAAGATTTGCTTTTTATTATTCGATTTTTGATTACTTCAGGGTAGCCTGATAATGTTAGCGCTCTTTTAGCTTTTTTGACCAAACTTTTATTCGTCGCTAGGGTAATTAAATCTTGGTTTACAGGCGAGGGGTCTTTGATTATTGCTAATGCGTTATCAGATATTCCATATTTCAGCATAGGGTTTGCTAATAATTTATAGTCATTTATACATTTTTTATTTTGATAAAAATTCTATTAATTTTTATATTCGCCAGGGAATAGAGCCTATATGGCTATTTCTAAATATTTTATGTCTTTAAGAGGTTATAACAATTTCTTCATTTTCTGGCTTATTATCATATTCTCCAGACACTAAATTTGACGCAATAATTCCCATCAAAACATTCACAGCTTGCATAATACCTGTAGGCCAAACTTCTGTGTATCTTGCTTCTATATAAGATTTTATTTCAATTTTCCATCCATAGTCATTTTGCGAGCCATCTGAATGAAAAGTAAAAAATAATAAAGGATTTTTTACTTCAAAAGGTTCTTTAGGCCAGTCAGTGCCAGTCCATTTAGCGAGTTTATTCAACTTTTCTTTTTCAGTTCACAGTTCTAAATAATCGCAGCTATTTTCTGTTTTGCATTGAGGGTCAAAGATCAATGTATATTTTTTTGCTCTCGGAAATTGTATAGCTAAATTGGGATTTTTTTATTAAATAATTTTTTATATACCAAATAGGATTTTTAATAGGTAAAAAATAGATATATAGAATATAAGATACTCAGTATTCATATTGTCTTTATAGTTATGCTCACTTTCAAAAATCTGGCTAAATGCTTTTGGCTCTGTATTCAAAATTGGAGGTTTTGCTGGAAATCGGTGGAGAGTCCATATTAAAGTTTGGATTTCTGATAAAATTTTTGATAAGAAATTTATATCTGATTTTGTGACCATAAGTAAATGCAAAAATATTTCGAGTGTTTGGTTAATCATAGTGTCTTTGGATTTTATGTAAAATTCGTCAGGTATTTCTCCATTAGGGTATAGCTCAAGAATTGTTTTAATTATTTCGGAGGTGGCTTTGAAAAAGGAGAGGGAGTATAAAGATAAAATTCCAAGCCATTTTGATGAAAAAATGGATTTGGCAGCTTGAGAAAAAATGGCGGTTTGGGCGGTTTCTAGTAGTTTTATTAACTTCCCCACTTTATTTTTCTATATAAAATAATTTTAAAGTTTGTAAAACATATAAATTGAAAATACTTCGAATTTAATTTATTTTTGTGAAGAAATAATTAAATAATTTAATTGGTTTATTGCGAAACTGTTTAAATAGATAGAATTCGGCTTGCACTTCCAAGAATTAATTAAAAGAATTTATCAATTCAGTGTTAAATGATATGACTTTTATTTTATCTATTAAATTAAGCCAAAACTAATTTTATAAAAATTATTATTATCATTGATAAAATAATTTTTTTAATTAAAAGGGTGTTATAGAACCAAAAAAATGGAAATTTTACGATTTTTTGTTTCAATTTAAAGGGAGAATAAGGAAATATCATATTGCTTTCCTTGTATTGCTTTTATAGATTCTTGGGCCGCAAATTCAATTAGCAAATCTATAAATTTTCTTATTAATATTTCTTGATCTTCTCCTACAAGCTCTAATGCTGAAAATAATTTTTCTGGCTTTTTCATTTCACTGAAAATTTTGTCTTGCAGCTTAATCAATCCTTCATTATCTTCTTTATTTTTTTTCCTATTTTCAAGCCGAGTTACCATAAATAAAAGTTTTTCTTTGGGATCTCCATAAAATATATCAAAGCACAAACTTATGGTTGATGAAGCTTCTTCTGAAGATTTCGTATTAGGCAAAAGTAATATGCTATTTTTATATTGAAAATCGCATAACGCCTAGCATATTTTTAAAAAATTTGCATATAAAATAATTAAAAAATTTCAGGCTAATATAAAAAATCTAGCATATTAGTTCTGTCGAATGGTCAAATATTCTTTTTTTTATTAGAGAAGTTAAATCATTTTCACTGTGAAATTCTGATATCAATAAATGCGCTCTAATAATTTTTTGTAATGATATAAAACAGCTATGACAATTTTCTAAATTCAGCTTCGAAAACTCATTTTTTTTGGCTATAATAAGGATTTTTTCAAAAATTAAGTCAAGTTGGTCTAATGTAGAGCATCGCAAATCTATTGAAATTCCTTTCTTTTTTGGCTGAGTACATGCTTTGTTTTCACTTTGAAGGAAATTCAAGACATTTTCATTTGCATTAGCTAGCTTATTCAATATAAACGTCAAAATATCTCCTGACGTCACTCCTAAATATTCATCATTAATTTCTTCATTTCCAAAAATTTTAAATAATTTATTTTCTTTGAATAAATTACTGTCCACATGCTTTTCTATGCCCAATAATTTTGCAACCTCTTCAGGGTAATCCTCAGGATTAACCAGTCGAATTTTGGATACCCCGCTTTGGCTTGTATAAATTTTGACGACATCAGGCAGAGGTTTATGTTTTTCTTGAGGTTCTTTTATTCCGTTTTTATAAAAAGTGACTGTTTTCTCGTTCATATCTAAAAGCATTCCTATTTTGTCACCAATGCTTCATTTTTCCCATTTATAAATTTCAGTGCTTTTTAACCATATAGTGGAATCTGCTTGATATGAAATAGTTGTGAAGCTGTTCTCTGCCCAACAAGTAAGTGAGTTGTATTTTGCATCAGCAACTCCGAGCATTAAATTCTCAGTAGAAAGCTTTTCTATTATTGCTTCGAAATAGTGGATGCCTGATCGGAATTCGTCTTCACCAAGAACTGTTGACCAGCCACTTTCTCCAGATACGGGATATTTATTTTCTTCAAAAAAATCAATTCTGGGTAAATAATCAACATTTTCCTTATTTTGTATATAGATTATATTAGAGAAGTGTATTTATAGTCCCCACTTCCTGAGCGCCATTTTTTCAATGGCGTGAGTCGTGGGGGGGCTCCACAGTCAATTTGAGCCAAAGCCGAAACCCCTTGTTCTTGATAGAGGTATAGAACTTGCCCGAGGATGGCGCTATTTTGCGCCATCCTCGGGCAAGTTCTATATTTTCCCTTCATGGTCCGAGCCATACAGACTTTGCCGGGAACCTCCACTTTCAACCTAGGCAACTAGCTTAGGTCAGATCGCCACATATGAGACCCTTTTCAATTGGAGAGACTGTAGCCCTTCAGTCTTATCTAGTCTATCTTCCTTTTTCCCCTAACTCATAACCAAAAGAAAAAATCTCCTCCTAAGGCGTTTTGGGACAGGCCAAAAACAGCCAAAGCAGGTAAATCACCTTGCCTCTACCGGACACCCAACCTGGGCCTAGACACTGTTGGCAAAAAAGATGTCACTCAAGCCAGGCCACTAACCAGCTTAAATAGTGCTGGGCCTCTCGTTTAGGCTAACCAAACCCTTGGGTAGCTCCTTTCACAAAAATACATAATGAAGCCGCCACGAGGACGTCACCGGCTATTTATGATATATATTTGTATATATAAATTGCTGCCAATATCATTTATAATTTTGGACACTTTTAATAAATATTTTTCTCATAAAAAATAACCTATGCCCAGATACAGCGGTCCCATAATCTTCTATATTACTTTCCGGCCCACATTTATCTATACTTCATTTCGGGGATAACGCCCCAAAATCTTTAAAAATTTTCAACAAAGGAAAAATTGCTTCTAAAACTTCTCTATCAACTTGTCTCACCACAAAAAGGCTTACAACCAGCGCTAAAATAGTATTTAAATTCCCAGAAGCAATACATAGTGATAGCAGCGGGACGAAATTTGTTTTTCTTTCATTTCTCAAAATTGAATCAAAAAACTGAGTAATTACAGTTAAACTGTTAACAATAGCTGGCTCATTTGACTGTAAAGACAGCGGCGGAATTTCTTTCAAAATTTCACAAGCCTGCTGTATTAATCTCTCATGCAGCTCTGGCTTAATTTCTTTAACAGTCTCTATAATCATAACAATAGTTCTAAGCCCAGCACTAATCGCAATTTCTGCTTTATCTGATATGGCTGTTTTTTTTATTTTCTCTTTTTTCTCCTCATTTTTGCCTCTCAATTTATTAAATTGTTCAATTCTCAATAAGCTCTCAAAGGATTTTGAAATTGCTTGGAATTTTTTTATAATTTCTTTTGTGGATGAATCTTCAGTTCTTTTTCTCAAAATGTCTTCAATTAGATTTTTTATGGCGTCAGCGTGTTTTTCGTGAAAGCGATCAGGGTTATCAAGGCTTAAAATCATGGATTCTTCTTGGTCAGTTGTGACGTCGTCTTCTTTTGGTTTGGTTTTGTCGAGTCCTGGGGCTTGATAGACGTCAAGATCAGATCTAGATAAGAGAGAATCTATGTCGAAAATAATGGAAGGGTTTGATATGAAGGCTAAGTCATCTTTTAAGGTTTTGGAAATTCGGTCGAGGTCTAAGGAATCAACTCTTGATAATATATCACTCAAAGAGTTACCCATTTTTCTATTATAGGCAGTTTCATATTGAAATAGACTGAAAAAGCTGGGGTAAGAAAGCTTTAATGAATTATTAGGAGAAACTTTAGATAACGAAAATATATGAAGGGTTTGAGGATTTTTATTTTTTATAGGGATAATATATTTAATATAAGAAGAATTTTTAATTTATAGTTTGTGTGTGAAAAAAGTATAATTAAATACATATTTTGTTTAAGATAGAATTTTTATTTTAAATTAAATTTGAGACAGTTATCCCTATTTTTGTATGCAATGATATCAGAAACTAAATAATGTTCTATTATTTTAAGCTATTTTCCTTTATAACTATATACAAATATCAAATGAAAAAGGCTACCAAGCTTGGCGCATTATGCTATTTATAAACAAACAGAGTTTATAATAAGATTAAGCCTTATATATTTTACGCTCCATGCAGTGATAATAATTGTATTTGATTATAAAGGAAATTTTGCAAAGAAAATTTATTAACGCTGCCAAAATATCATCATTAATACTGCAGTTAATAATCTCTGAATAAAAAATATTTTAAATTACAAATGGTAGTCTATTTGATAAATTTTTCTTCAGAAAGTTAAATTCCTTTATCCTCTTAGAAACTAAATGGTGACTTTGAAGGGAAGTGGACCCATCCTGATGAAACTGAAAGCAGGGCCTCTGTCCCTTTTAAGGAGACCTTCAGCTTGGGGATGGCTTGCAGAAGAGGGAAGTTTTTTTCTCCCCCGAAGGTTTACCTGCCCCTGCAAGATGGACTAGACAGGTTTTTACCTGCCACATGGTCTTCTCTAATTGTGAATATTGGGATATCTCACAGATGATGGCTTTGCCCAAGGGAGCTGATCCCTGACAGGTGGCTCAGGTCGGAAATATCAAAAGGGCAACCTTTTGGAGCTAAGGTTGGCGATGGCTAGTGGCTATATCCACTTATGGCTAGCATAATCTTTTTAACTTAACTATTATCCTCTTAGGCAAATTAGCAGCTGGAGGCAATTTAAGATTTTTATTATTTTTGATTTTCTCCCCAGTTTCAATTGTCAATGCTTCTTTTTTAATTTTTCCAGAATTGAGTCCTTTTTTTCTTAAGCTGCCCTCTGAGTTAACCTTCTTTAAATAAGTACTATTTAGCGCCAAATTTTGTTTTGACAAGCTATGCTGACTATTTCGATTATTTGCTAATCCTTTAATTTTATTATTCTTTGGCCTAGAAGAGGGAACTCTACTTCTTGAAGAACTATTTATCAGGTTTTTTCCAAGTTCGGTAAAGTTATTAAGCTTTTTGATTGTAATTTTATAGTCTTGATCAAGCTCATAAAGGTGATATGATGAAATTCCAAGCTCTATTTTATGAACTGGGACTGGACTTCTTATCGGTGTATGTGCCAATTTATATAAATATATGGCAATAATGAAAAAATGCCTTCATTAAAACTCCAAATCATCTTATTCTCACTTGAAAAGTATAATCAAAATTTGTGAAACCCAATAAAGTTTATTATTTTCACATGAAATTTATAAAATACCAACTAATTAGCTTGTCTTAAAAGGCTATAAATTGTTCGTTATATTTTCTAAAATTTATTAATCATACCCTACTTTACTTAAAATTTATGAATAAATAAGTAATTATTAACCCATAATTAAAATTCTCAACAATGACAAATACACTTGAGCAATATTCTATTCAAGTTCTGACTGAAGAATCTGATAAAATTCACACAGAAGCTTGCTCATGAAGCCAAGAAAAAACGTGAGAGTCTTATAGTACCAGCATAAAATGCTTCCTAAAATCACGTGATAAACTTTCAAACCCTTTCCACTACAAAAAGAGAAATTATGATATAAACTTTAACAAAGACAATTTTAAACGAATTTTACTAAATCTTGAATTTAATCCTAGCCAAGAAGAGCCTTTTATTAAATTTTCTATGCTACCAAGCCCTCCAAAAGCTGATATTTCTGCATGAAATGAATATATGATTTTTTATTTAAAAAATATTTAATTAAAAAAATAGAAAAAATGAATAAGAAATATTTGCAAAAATTAGACAAAAAAAATCAAACAAATAGATGCAAATGTTTATCAATTGACAATGGGATCTGCACAAGCTCTAACATAGAAAGCCGGTGCGATTCCCCTGATTGTTTAATGAAAATGCATAAACCTCAGCGGTCGCTGCTATCATTTCCTAAAAGGGAACATATCAGAATTCCTTCATATACCCCAAGCGCCCACAGATTTTTAAGCCCAAAATCTGATCATATGTCCATTCGCCGTGCAGGATGTAGATCAACAAGCCCTGAATGTATAACCATTTTACTATTAATAATACAGATTACTATAGTCTTTTATGAATATCCTACATAATATAAATTAGAATAATCCCAAAAACCCCTACCAGTGTTCTTAATACCTGCAAGCCAGAAACTGTTGTCAAAGACAAAACTTCCCCAAAACCTCCTAATCCTAAAATGGCTCCTATAATAGCCCAAAGAAGTGAATTAAGGCTTCCTTTTATATGTCGAAGCTTAATATGTTAGAATTTAAGTCGGTTTCTTAAACTTTTAAAATGGCGTCTGAAGAACGGTTTGTCTTTGTGGTGGATTGGTTTGATCAAGCAGCTTCTTTAATTAGGAAATACCAGCTTACTTATTTCTGTGTCGACAACTCTATTGAAATGGTGATTTTTATGTAGTATGACTTAAAAAACCGAAGAGTTTTCTTAAAAAGGTGCCAATATCCTAGCTTAGCGCTAAGTGATTTGTATTTGCAGGCTACTATTACGATTTTTTCAAGGCAGCTAAAAGTTGTGGACTATGGCGATGTATTTTACTATAAAAAAAACAATTTTTTAAAATTTTTAATTTAAAATTAAAAAAAAATAAAAAAGCCAATGTATTTTCCCGATCCAGATTTGAAGCTGAAAGAGGGCGCACTTTTGCAATGATAAAACCAGATGCTTATAATCACATTGGAAAAATCGTCGATAGAATTTTGGAAGCTGGCTTCAGGATTTCTAATATCAGGATGGTAAGATTTTCAACTGAAAACGCCAGGCAGTTTTATGCAGAGCATGCAGGAAAACCATTTTATGACGGTTTAGTTGGATTTATGTCAAGTGATGTTGTAGTTGGAATGGAATTGGTAGCAGTTGACGCTGTTCCAAAATGGAGAAGTTTAATGGGGCCAACTAACTCGAATACAGCAAGAAATGATGCTCCTACCAGTATTAGAGCGACTTTTGGTACAGATGGACAAAGAAATGCGACCCACGGAAGTGACTCTCCTGCTAGCGCAAACCGAGAAATTAATTTCTTTTTTAGCATCCCAAGCAATACAGCTGCTCTTAATAATTGCACCTGCTGCGTTATTAAACCTCATGCAATCCAAAATGCAGGAAAAATCATTGACATGATCTTAAGTGAAGGGTTCGAAATTTCTGCATTAAAAATGATCCACCTCGACAAACCCTCTGCTGAAGAATTTTTAGACGTTTATAAAAATATTTTGCCTGAATTTGTCTCACTTGTAGACCAATTAATATCAGGCCCTTGCATTTGTCTAGAAATTCGACAAGAAAATGTCGTCCAAAGCTTCAGAGATCTGTGTGGGCCACTTGATCCTGAAATAGCTAGGCATTTAAGACCAAATACAATAAGAGCAAGATATGGGGTTGATAGAGTACAAAATGCAGTGCATTGCACAGACTTGCCAGAAGACGGGGTACTAGAGTGTGAGTATTTCTTTACCCTATTTAAAAATAAAAAATATTTTATCTAAAAAATATCCTAAAATATTTAGGTTTATCTGATTTTTTTTAGGAGAAATTAGAGTTTTAGCTGGTAACTAAGCCTTTTTATTTAATTTCATCCATAAAAAAATCTTAATCTTAATGCAATTTCCCCAATTCTTCAATTTCTTGTTCATACTCAATCTCATGCCTTGGTCTCCTCTTCGGTAAAATTTGGTCTAAATCTTCAATTTCTTGGTCACTTTCCTCAATGTCTTCCTCCACAAATTCAATTTGTTCTTCTTCATCTAGCAGTTCATTGTAAAGTTTTGGTGGATAATTATAAATTTCATCATAAGTCCCACTTTTCAGCCTCTCTAACAGCTCTTTTTCAATGCTGATTTCGATATTTGCTGCTTTTTCTGCTTTGGCTTCTCTCGTTTTTTCTCTTCTTTCAGCTTTTTTGCTGACAGTGACTAATTTTGTGTTGTCTTGTTTTTTGATTTTTCGCTGTCTAATTAAATATTGAACGATTTTTGTGAATCTTTGTTTATTCTTGTGGATAAGAAAGTCTGGCCAAAATTCAAGATGTTCGTCTATCTGTTCCAAAGCCAACTTATAATTTTGTAAAAGCTTAATTCTTTCCCAGAGCTTTTTCGGAGTATTTGCACGTTCAGGGACTTTTTTGTACAGATAGCAGACTCCTTCTTTTTCAATGATAGTCGCATAGGTGCTATTGGCTAATGGGCAAGATCGTCTATTGCAGAGACCTGTCACATTGTACTGGTTTCTGCAGAAGTTTTGTGTTTCAGTTGATGCACGATAAGAACAATGGTTTGAGCCTATTATATTTTTTAAGGTATTTTTGCTAGAATTATTATGGTTTTGTTTCAGTATTAGGTAAATTTAAAGATTTTTGACCTCAAAATAAATAAAAAATTATTTATAATGGAATACTCCCCATATGACTTCATCGTTCTGCATATTTATTTATCTTTTACTTAAGAATATTTGCTAACAGCATTAAGCTTGGTGCAGGTTTCTTCTAATAAGGTCAATAATGTTTCTTCTGAGGATTCTCTGTCTTTTCGTTCTTGATCTAGTTCTGCTTTTATACGAGATACGACGTCTCTGACCATGGCGAGTAGAGCTTCTTCTGTTTCTTCACGGGCTTTTCTTTCCATTCCTAAGGTGTTATTGATTTCTCCTATACTTTTCTATAGAGATATGCAGCATTTTTTCTGATATTTAATAAAATTTACTATAAAATATAAAATTTTCAACTAAAACTGCAAAGTCTATTATCCTTTGCAAGTAATAAATCATTTTGCAATTTTTTCATCAAATTTGCTTCTAGCTCTTCTCTTTCCCTTACAGAATTTTCCATATACTCATAAAGTTTTGGTGGATCCTTGCTAAAATATAGCTTTGCTTCTTTTTCTGCCTCTTCTCTGGCTCTAACCTCCTTTAAAAGTTCATTTTTTATGCTTTCAATTCTTTCGTCAATCAGCCGTTGTGCACGAATTTCATTTTCTTTACGTGAATTGCCAGCTTTTACAATAATTTCATGCATTCGGTCTTGGATTTCTGTAAGTTCGCGTGATTTTACTTCAAAAAATGCTTCACGTGTCGACCGTTCTTCGTCAAGTGCTTTTTGGATTTTTAAAAGATTCTCTTTTAAGGATCCGAATTTTGGTATTTGTTTTTAACATATATAGAAAATACTTCCCACTTGTTAGCAAGCCAAAAAATATTGTTGCTAGTCACAGGGGTTAATAGTTTTAATAAACATAATTTTTTGATTTTTAATTCAAGAAATCTAATTTAATTTATAAAATTTATGTTTTTAAAGTGCAAGTTGTCTAAAATGATAGAAATTTTATTGTTAATTATAGCATTTTTCTCAAGGATTAATAAATTTCCAAAAATAAGGATTTTGTCCGGTAACTGAAGGAGGAAGTTATGATTTGTCAAAAAGAAGAATATTTTAAAATAAAATTCTTATTTAAAATTCAAAAGATTTATACTGATTAGATTTGCTTGCGTCAGAATTTTTTAGTATTTTGTTCTTGAGATTCAAAGAGCTGTTCTTCTATAGCTTGGAGCTTATCATTTATGGAGTCTAAACGAGATGTGCGGTCTCCTTCTAGAGATGTTTGGATTGAACTGAGTTTATCAGAAAGACGGTGAATACGGTCTCGGAAAGCGGACTCTGAATGATTTTTGCTCATTTTTAGATTATTTGAAAAAGTTTTAAGAAATAATTAAGAGAGATATGATATAGAAGATTTAGCGATAATAATATGGAGTAGAAGAGGATATTAGATATTCTGAAAATGGATAAAGCAGTATTGAAAAGATATGGGAATTAAAAAGATTTCCATATTAAGTTTATGACATTGAAGTATATCACTATTAATCTTGCTTTCAAATTGCTTACCTCATTTAAATAAGCTTTGGAGAGGAGAAATTATAAATAAGGATTTAAGATTAGGATTTGAGGTATTTTTTTAATTAGGAATATTTTAAATCATAATAATTATTCATTTGTTATTCTATAAGACTTTTTGAAAATTCTCACTTAATTAGCTATAATTGTGACTGAAGTCAAAATAAGCAATATAATAAGAATTGGCTCGCCACGCAATGTTAAGTTTCTTAATAAGCCATATTCTGATATATAATAGTGCCTTATTGCCTTCAATATTAACATTTAATTAGCTAATTTCGTCCTATTGATAGACAAACACTTTTTCATTTATAATTTATAATTTAATTACTTTTTGACTTACAGCACCAAAAATGAGTTCTGAATTAGAAATTTAATTTTCGAAAATCTTGAATCAGAGAGACAAATTTATAATTTTTTTCATAAATTCAAAAAAAACTTTAAAATATTTTTAAACATGAATTGTTATTTAATTGTAATGGGGAGTAAGCGGTATATTATGACCGTTTTTACAAAATTAAGCGAAAATTAATTCTTGATTTTTCTAATCGGTAACAGCTTTATTTTACATGAGTTTGAACGAAAGGATTTGCCTTAAAAATGAAATTGTTGTGGCTGAAATTAAGAAAAAGTCCGGGAAATAATAAGCGGGCAAATAATAAATTTCTAGTACTCTTTTTATTGCAGTATAATGAAAAGGAATTGATTATTGTTTCTTTCTACAAGAAACTTCTTATTATAATTGCTTTTCTTTTAGCCTTTAAAATTGCTGGATTTTTGATGAAAAATTTTAATGTGACTATTATAAGTTAATCTACACAGCTCAGCCATTTTAGTTAGCGTTTTTGAAATATTTAATTTTTAAGCGATTATAATTAAATATTTTAATGCAAGACGTTTCCCAATGGGTCGCCTTACTCAGGAGCAATATCTTTTGCTTATTAATTATTTTTTTAAAGATAATTTCGAGTTAATTTAATAAAATATCGAAACATCTTATATTTCTAAAAAATTAATTTCCATTGATTTTGTTCCCTAGCAAAAGGAAGATTAGCAAGCACTCTTAGCGAAAATAAAAACAAATTTTTTTCCCACATTGAGCCCATAAAAGAAGCTGTAAACACTATCGAAGATTTTTTGGAGGAATCGAAAAAACAAATGGATTCTTTATTATCGAATGAAAATATTACCGATCTCGACTTTAAAAGCCAAATTTCTCATATAAGGATATTAACAAAGCTGCTGTTTCAAAAGAGAAAATCAATGATTTTATGTTGTGTAAAAAAGTGCATAGATAGCTTAAAAAAATATGAAAAATCCAAAAATGACAAAATTATGAAAGAGATCTGTGTTGATATTCTAACTCCCCCTCCGTGAGCGAGCAAACCATTGGAAAAATCCCTATTATTTGGGTAAAAACTCACCCTCCATCAGCAAACAAAAATTTTTAATATAAAAAATTTTGATATCTAATTGATAATTATTATAACGAAATCTCATGCTAATTCTGTTTATTTTTAAACAGCTTGTATTTTTAAAACATAAATTCTGCATTAATTTTTATTTCTCAATTTTTACAAATTTCAAAAAAAAAAATCTACTATAAAGTTTTTTATATATATTTATAAAAAAAAATTAAGGTCTGTGAGTAAACAAAATATTTTTGTTCACACAGAGGGGGTAAGCACAATTGAAAACGAAAAAGGACTGCCTAAAACTTCTGAGGAACTAAAAAAAATCAATAAGCTGAGGACGATCACAGAAAAATTGATAAAAAACTTGGAGAGTACATTAGAAGAAGATAGTCAAATTTGTATAAACGTGAAAGCATAAATTAACAAAATCAAAGAGAATTGATATAGAAATTCATATTAAACAAATTGAATTAATGCTTGCTTTATTATAAGATATTTTCGCTTTTGAATTTCTCAAAAATGATATATATGTTTACATGAATAGCCTACTAAGAAACAATTTTTAGAGCAAAAGAATTAGCAAAGGCACTCGTTAAAGAGCTTCTTAGTCGGTATATACATTAAAATTGTATGGCGAACTAGCCTGCTCTCTTAAATCCTGTAGCTCGTATCCCACAGGACGTGCAGGGACCTTGAGAAAGGGAGGCTATCACTCGATATGTGTATCCGGCTAGAATCTTGTTGGTTTGGTGAAGCGCAATGTCAGGTTAAATGACTGCAGGCTTTACTCCAATTCAAAGTTTTTGCCTCATTCGAAAATGGTCCGGAATTTAGAAAGCTATCTCTAAACAGAGCTAATAGTGCTAGCCTAGGCCAATCAGGACTATTCCCTAGCATGAAACTAGGAGTTACACTCTGGGCCTCAGATTTCCATTTTAGCCAAGAGGCGGCCAAAAAATTAACCCTGTTAAATTATCAATAGTGGGCAACTCTGCTGAAGTGCGGCATCGTGGCGCAACTTATTCGGCAGGCCCTCTTCAGGACCGACTTTCTAGATATAGCAGTTGCCCGATGATGGTGCTCAATGCACCATCATCGGGTAACTGCTATATCATGAACGCGAAATTGCAAGCAAGATGAGAAGCGTTATGAGTTGAGGTCATCCCTATGGAATTACAGCGAACTTCTCTACAAGTCTTCTTAACTAACTTCTTACTGGGATATTCATCATAAATTATATATCAAGTTATAGTGGTATGGGGCCTATTTGATGCTTAATGAGTTATATACATATCCGAAGGTGAATAAAAGCATCGAATTTTAAAATTTTAAAGAAAAATTAAACATTTTCATTTTATCTTTCATAACTTCTAATATAAGCTTTCAAATTAATTTATCGGAATGAGTTATGTATCATAACTTAACAATTATCATGAAAAATTAAAAGAATAAGATAAATATGGGTTTCATTATTTTGAAAAAATGGATGATATTTCAATTTTAATTACTTAAATTCAGAAAATTTTACAAATAAATTATATAAATAATCTTATAACAATTGATTCAATTTCTCTACGTTTCTAATTAATATAAAACTAGGCCTAATTATTACTATAATATTTAATTTTTAAGAGCAGGACAGCTAACTTATAGCGAATTTAGGCTTTTTATTCAAATTTTACTTTAATAACTATAAATTTCTTTTGATTTATTTAAATTTCCTTAATAATGCTACATTATTAAGCGTTGTTACTGATATATTGTAATAAATGGGAGCAGCGCATGATAAGCCTGAAATAGAAGAAACTTCAAATAATATTGCAGAAATAAATCAAAAAACAGCGGACAGCATAAATATTCATCCTGTTCATTTGGACAAATATAATTTTGATGGGAGTTCTCAAGAAGAAATTTTTAATTCAATTGTGTCAAGCTATGCTTTAATCAATCAAAAAATTCGTAATATGAAGAGAACAATACGGCGGAGTAAAACAACAAAGATCCAAGCTGAAAATCACCTAAAAGCGTGGGGAAAAATTTAAAATTTCACTTTGCCATATAATGATAATTTTAGCTAAAAACGGCTAGTTTCTAAAATATATGTTGTATTTATATTTTAAATCAAAGCAATATAAATACTGGGAAATGATTATTTATTTAGAAAAACTTTATACAAATAAAATACTATTAAGAAACTTATTGATATAATTTAATTCGCTAAGTATTGCTATAGCCCAAGAACTAGTCAAATTTCTTCTAACAGAGAAAGATTTTAAAGTCTAATCTTTTAGTGCTTTGGAAGCGTAAAGATATTTGAGAAATTTATAAGAAACTGTTTTCATGCAATGTTGTAACTCATAATGATAAAAGTTATATAAATTCCATAAGGAAAAATTTATAAAGATGATAATTCTTTTCCAAATGAAATCAATTAAGTTAATTATTAAACGTCACTATAAATAATTAGCATTATTGTTCCTAAAATCGCATTGAAAAATTCAATAATTCTGCATTTATAATTTATAAAATCCATTTCAAATCTGCAAGTATAAATATGGTAAAAGAAATCAAAATTTTGCCATAATAACTGAATAGTTTTATAGCTCAAAAATTTGAGGACAAGTTAATATTGATAAAATAAATTATTTCTAATCTTTTCCTAAAATCTTTATATTTTTAAAAAAATAATTTATTTTGAATTTGGATTAATACTGGAAACTTGATAATCGCTTTTTCAAGCTACAAAATTTTTTTCCCATTTTTACATTGAATTGTTTCACAGATTTTACTCAACATATAATAATATGGGATCAAGCAATTATAAAATTGCAAAGGAAGAGACAGAGCAGGATATAGCCCAATCTAGCACATTAGGGACCGAACTAGATCTATCACCTGTGCATATAGACAATTATGATCTAAAAGGGAGCTCACAAGAAGAAATGTTCAAATTCATAGTTTCTAATTATGCTCTTATGAACAGACGAATAAAGGACACTAAAATGAGCATTAGAAAAGAACAAAAAAGAGCCAGCAAAACCAAAACAGTGCCACCTCAATCACCTGACTCCACTCTCCGTGAGCGAGCAAAAAACATTACAAAAATCCGTATTTTTTCCCATAGGCCCACCCTCCTTGAGTGATTAAAAATTTTTTTAATAGAAAAATTTTTTATGGAAAAATTTTGATATATAAGTGATTATAATTATTATGAAATCTCTAGCTAATTCTGTTTAATTTAAAACAAAATTGCGTCTTAAAACATAAATTTTACAAATTAAATTAATATTTCTTTCCAATTTTTGCGAAATGGGATTTTTTAATTTTCGATTCTATATAAAATTTATATATAAATTCTTTGAAAAAAAATTAATTCGCTCGCTGAGGGGAAGTGAGAAACACAAACGAAAGGCTATGCCACGCTTAACAGCTGTTGAAAATTAATGAATACAAAAGGTTTTCTATATATAAATCTAATTGAATCTTTAATTATATTAGATTTCTTGTTCCTTTGGTGTGGTAATTAAAGTTTGTAAAGTGAAAAAAATGGACACCATATAATTAGTTTAGAACTGTTTTTAGATTTTTATAAAAAGGGCATTTAATTCATTATACTTTTTTCATGGAATCCAAAGTTCTTTAATTGAAGTTTTAATCACTTTTAAAGTTGAGATAATTTATTTTTTGCTAAAAAATCAACTATATAGCATTAAAGTGATTTTTTTTGAAATAATTTAATTTTAATTTTGTCAAAATTTCTTATAAGAGATTATAGTAGTTCTAAAATATTAGCAATTATAAATAAAATAAGAAATTTTAACATTGATTTATAAAAGGATTATGATAGAAAAAAAAGGAAGCGAAAAGCACCATAGTAAAAAGGTGGGCAGGATTGTATGTAAAGAAAATTAGGGGAGATGCTTTTTAGGCTTGATTTATTGGAAAATTATTATTATTTTACTTTAAAATTTTTTCTAGCTATTATTTGATGCACACGCTTTGATATAGACTAAAAATAATCAGAAAACTCAAGAAAGAGAGCTTTGTAAAAGTATTCTCTAGGATACCTTAAAATCTTTGAAAATTAATAGGAATATAATAAACAGCAGCAAATAATATAATTCTCTGCTGGTAAAAATTGAATTAAACGATTATAATGCTTGACCAAGCCAGTTAGTCAACCTTTTATTATATTAGCTAAACTACTATAGCTATATGTTTGATTAAATAAAATGAAAAAATATAAAATTTTAAGAATTAGCTTTTATATTCCAAACGATTAAATATTATTCAAAATAGTAAAATTATGAAAAATTTTAATTATTTATTGTAGAGCTAATTATAAAATATTAGAAAAATTAAATTATTTTGAAAATTTCTAGATAGAAACTTGATAGAAGAAGCCAAAATTTTGCTAAAACTAATTGGTATTTTTCATGAATTAATTATTTTTAATTAAACAAAAATAATTGATAACCTTTGGGTTCGAATTGTATGCTTTTGCATATTTTTGCAGCATTTATAGTAATAATAAATACAGAAATAAATTTATATGAAATTTTCTAACGTAATTTCAAAAATTTTTTCCATTTTTACATTGATTTAGTGCAAAACCCATCCACCCCATCTATATTAAGATGGTCTTTAATTACAGAAAATTTTATAAAAACAGCAATTTATATACTTTTTTTTCACCAGCAATTTATTTTATCTCTTTATATGAGCAGCTTATATATTTTCCACATTATTTGTCTTTTATTATTAAATTGCATAATGCATTCAGGTTTCTTACCATAAAGAGCATATACTGACCACCAAAAGATTTATTAGTTTTTAATCAAACAAATATCATTATGCTTTAACCCCTTTAAACTGGAAGACAAAATTTTATTTTTATGGGAAAATTTTATAAGTTTAAAATACTAATTAGTCTTGACTATTTCACTATCATATGGTCTTAATTTTTCTATAAATTTTTATCATTAAAGTACTTATATGATAGAGATAGTTAATATGATATCTGCCAATAAGCCGCTGCAAATCATAAGAATATATATACTGTAGTATTTATATATATATATTAAAGAAGGGTAGAATGCATAGGTAGTAATGTTTAGCCATACATTGATTCAATTTACAGAATTAATTTAACTTATAATAATATGGGATCAAGCAACGATAAAATTGAAAAGGAAGAGACTGAACAAGACATATCGCAATCTAGCACAATAGATTCTGAAAATTATCTATCATCTTCGCATATAGATGATCTCAATCTAAAAGAAAGCCCGCAAGAAGAAATTCTCAAATTCATAGTTTCTGGTTATGCACAAATGAATAAGCGAATACAAGATACTAAAAAAAGCATAAAGAAAGAACAAAGAAAGGCAAGGAAAAACAAAACTGTGCCATCTCAGCAACCTGAAAGGTTTAAAAGGAAAGTAATGCCACGATTGATAGCTGCTATAAATTAATATGTTTTCTTTATTAATCTGCTTAAAAACTTAATTATTTTGACTTAGAGTTTATTTCGGTTTCAAAAGGAAATGTATGCAGCATATATTTAAGACTGAGCTATTTACTTTTTAAAATAAAAAGGACGCATTTATAAATTTTTATAGCCTGATATCTGCTTTGGATCGGGCTTGAGTGACACGGGAGGCGTTTTGTCAAGCTAGCGCTTGTTGGCAAAGCCAAACTCCCAGATGGAAAGTCTTCTTCCTAATGAGATTTAACGTCTGGGAGCTGATTTGCTAGTAAATGATTCCTTGAAAGATCAGTCAAGCCCGATCCAAAGATATAATTATATCTAAAATTATTAACTATAATTCTTTTAATCGATTGTATAAACATGCTAAAGTGCTAGAATATTTTATTTTCCTATTTATTTTATTTTATATCAAGTATAGAGGCCGATCCAAAAGGAGGCTCAGACTATACTTGAGATATTATCAATGCAATATTTGAGAATACTAAAGATTTTTATTATAATAAAAAATTAATTAAATCTCGACTTTATGAAATATAGAACTAAATATTTAACTTAATATAGGTTCGGGAATTAAAGCTATATGAGAATTTACTATATATTTTATATAATATCAAGCTTATCATATTTATGCTTGATGGCTTCAAATTCATTCATTCATTAATTGTAGCGCTTTTATGTCAAAAATACTTTAATGACTATCAAGAATAATATTTTAAATATCCCAGCAATCAGAAATTTTCAGAAATATGATTGATATATGAGTCAGAATTAATCCATTTATAATGGGAGCAAATATCAATAAAATTGAAAAGCAAAATTCAACCAAAGACTCAGCTGATTCCGAAACCACAGAAAGCAGTGAATTAGACTTGACCACTACTGACTTAAACAGTTATAATATTAAAGGAAACTCAAAAGCAGAACTGCTAAAATCCATAGTTTCGAACTATGCATTAATGAATAAAAGGATACAAGAAACTAAAGCAAGCATAAAGAAAAGCCAAAGAAAGCCAAAAAAAAAGAAAGACATTTCCTACAAAAATTAAAGCTTTCTTGTAAAAAATAATCTAAATAAGTATTAAAAGCAATGATTTACTTTTTATTCCAGTTCTCCTCTCTAAGAGTTAATTTTTTTTTTTAAAAATTTATATGTAAATGTTAAAAAAATCCATTTTCGTAAAAATTAATTTAATTGCGCAATGCATGCCTTAAAATGAAAGCTGTCTTATTAAACAGAGCTAGCTAGAGATTTATTCTAATTATTACTTATATATGAAAAAATATTTTTTTATAAAAACATTATTCAAACTTTTTACCCAAAAAATAGTAAATTTTTTTTTCTTATAGGGAGTAAGAATATTATATTAATATTTTGATAAGATATAGTTTACCTGTTCGTATAAAATTTCACCTTTTATAAAACAAATGAAGAAATAGTTATGAAGAAAAATAGAACAGAATTAATTAGCTTGGATTATTAAATTATTATCTTATTCAGATAATATATATAAAATTGCTGGTGAAGAGCGACCATTCCTCCTTTTTGATGCAAGGAGCTGCCCAAGAGTTGGGCTAGCCTCGAGATGAAAAGCCTAGAATTATTTCCAATGATTATTGGCTAGGCTCGAGCATCAGTTTTTGCATCTTTTTGTACTAGCAGCACACTGGCCTAGATTGGGTGTCCAATAGGAACAGGCAACTTACTTGCTCAAGCTACTGAGTGGCCCATCCTAAAGCATAAGCTGCTGAGCTTTTTTGTGGGTGGTTCAGGAAGGTAGGCTCGACAAAACTATAAAAGGTGAGTCTCTCCAGCTGAAAAGTGTCCCGGAAAGAGGCGATCCGTAATGAATGACGCAACAAGGGCTTAAGCTGAAAATGGAGGCTACCAGCAAAATCTTCAATGTAAGATCATATAAGGAAATCTCTATTGAAAACTGGGGTTTTTGGCCCAGGCCATGCTAAGGTGGAAGCCACCTACATGCCTCTACAATCCACAGGGCAGCATTTAGGTCCATCTTCATGGAGCAGTGTCATTTGAGTTAGGGACTATAAATACCCAGGGTAAATATAATCTCATTCAGATTGATTTAACTGAACTGGTTTATATAAATTAAAGAAATAAACCCTGATTGTAATTCAAAATATTTATATTATGATATAAATATAGAAGCAGGTTTAACATGAAACCATGAAATGCGCATTGTAAAAAAAGTGATTTTAATCAAGTTGATATAGCATCAACCCGTTAAAATTACACTCATATAATATCTCTATAGTAAATAGTTCCTTAAAGTTGCTCTTAAATTCTTTAAAACTGTTTATATTCCCAAATCTATTTTCTGCTAAACATTCACTATATTTTCTAATTACAATCGCTCCCCAAAGCCAAATAAAGCTCGCAAAATTTATTATTCAAAAAATTTCCCATATTAAAATTTCTAAAAAATGCAATAAAAATATTTTAAAATAAAAAACTTTAATAATAACATTTCCAATAATCAATCACCTAATGCTTTGCTATTTAATTTTAATATTCCTGCCACTCCTTTCTCGCTCTCTGCTTCTCTCACCACCAAATTTGATATAAAATATGGACAGGTATCAGCTTGCCACTTCTCTTTTAGGTTTATGGGACGAAAAGACATGGATGCCAATATTTAGAGGTCCCAGATATCGTCGTTACCAATCAATTGACAAGATGATGGATCTCATCGAAATTGCTGGAAAATCAGCCCCTGTTTTCCCAGTCGAAGCAGTCCTTTTGAATCCAATGGACGACGAGTGGGACGACCAGATGACTTATATCAATATTAACTACGGCTGGATATGGAGTCATGTTTTTGTGCATTTAGGATTACCATTGAGCGTTTATATATCCCTTCATATGAATATTTTACAAAAATATAATAAAAAAAATAATTTGCCTATTTATATAATTATTTTTATATCTACAACCACAACTTGATTCATTATAATGTCCACTATCGCGCTCTCAAATGGTTTTTACCTTTAGTTATGGTCTGGCAATTCGAAAAATGCTATAAATATTATAGAACTCAGCTGACAAAAGGGATTTTGTTTGATGAATATGTACAAGCAAGGGCTGATGAGCTGATAGCGCAAAGAGAGCATTTACTCCACACTGAGCAAGTAAAAAAATATTTAACCTGGCAAATTGACTATAAAGAGACATTAAATAAAATCAAGAGAGAGCAAACCAACAACCATGCGAGTGATTTCAAGCAGGCAGAACTTGCCTTACAATCTTTTATTAATAGATGGGTAGATCCTGCTGTAGGAATCAAATATCCATTGGCTGGACCTCGCTACCAGTGGGGAGGATTTTAAGATTAAGCTTAAAACAGGTTCGAAAATTGGGAATTTAATAAGTTTTTGTGATATAGCTCGAGCCTCCTTTTGGCTCAGGCTATATTGGCGTCCCCTGATGCCGAAGGTAAATTGGTTTTACAAGCATTTGCTGTTAAAACCAACTTCCCAGATGGCAAATCTTAAATTTACAGTGAGTTTTCTTTTGGGGAGTTGGTTTTGCTAAAATGCTCGTAAAACCATCTTCCCTTTGACGTCAGAAGATGTCAGTATAGCCCAAACTAGAAGGAGGCTGTTATAAACATCTTAAGTTGGAACATATAGAGAAAAATTTATAATTCATGATATTAAAGAATATGAGTTTATTTCACAAATTAATAATTTTTTAAAATTAAATAAAATTATCGAATTTATATATAACTTACTGACAGCTTTCGCAGCCTAAAAAGGATTATTTTGGTCAGTTAAAAGATTTAAGATTTTATGTGTCTAAATAGCATCATGATTAATCTTAAAATTTGTTTTGAGTGACATAAATTAATTTAGGCGAGGTAAAACTGCTTGAGAATAATTATTTAATTCTATTGAAACCTAAATCTAAATTTATTATTCTTCAATCAATCATTTTCTTTGATATCTATTCCATTTATATTTTAAAGACTTGTGGTTTAATCCAATTTATCAAGAATGAGACTAAAAATCGATGATTCTAACAACTATAAATAATAAAGCGATCTCTCCATATTAAAGTTTAGCTATAAAAAGTAATATTTCAGTGAGAGATTTTTGTGGGTTATAAGTTATACCATATAACTACCCGAATAGACCAGCAAAATAATCAGAAAAATTAAGAATTTTTGGAAAATTCAACCCCCTTCCAAAAGTTTTTTAAAATAGATAATTTGGCTTATAATTAATGATGATTATGATGAAATTTATTAAATTGTAAACACCTATGTAAATTTTATAAATTAAATTATATTAAATTTTCAAAGTCCAAATATAATTATTTTTATACAATTTTAATTAAAAAAATAATCCCTTTGTTTTAGTGAGAAAAAAGCATGCTCGCTAGCCAAGAGGGAGTAGTAAGTAAAGTTCTATGACATAGAGCTCAATATTTTAATTATTTCGAAAATAGTGCATCATTTTTTAAATTAAATAGTATTGGCTTATTCTAGCCTAATCAATATATATACCATATTACTAAAATTATTTCCTCATTCTAAATCATATTTTACTTTAATAATTCACAACTATTTGTATATTTATTTAATTTACTCTATCTTAAGGAATTAAATGTCTTGCTTCGGTGGAGTTCGCGTTCTTTTGGTCTTATATCTTCAAGAATATTTACAAGACCTGCTTTCCTCTCAATCCCTGGAGAATCATCCAGTTCTTTTTTAAGATCAGTAAGCATTCTGTTTACTCCATCGAATCCGGACTGTGCGTATATATAAGGTAAGTACTTTAGTGTCCTCCCTGATTTGTGATTTCCTAGATACTCGCTAGAAGATCCTATACATGCATTGCAACTTTCAATTCGAGGCCTGGTTTTTGTTAAAGGTGGTAGCTTGATTTGTTCAGAAAATCGTCGATGGGGAATTACTATGAATACTCATATATTTAAGGATTATTTATGACCAATTATTATGTGCTAATTAATAGAATTTTTTATTAAAAATAGGTATTGGAGTAATAAATAGGGGAGATAGGTGATAAATAAAAGGATAAATGATAATTAAAAAAAAATAAAATAAATTTATTATAAATGGTATATATTCATCTTGAACTGCTTTTTTAGGTGACGGTATTTGTACTGATGGCTTACGCTGCATCGCTAAACTTATTGGCATGTGTAAATTATATGATCGTGGCATCTCAAGTTTGAGTTCCATCATTTTTTAATTTTCACCACTTATTTATTTGGTATATTAATTGAAATGGAGTTAAGGAATCGAATTTTTCATTATTCTTATTTATGAGGCTTATACAAAGAAAATGAAAATACATTTGATGCCGACATTGGCAGAGTTTTGGGACGTTGTTGCAGCCTGAAGCAAGCGCCGATAGGGAAGAGAGCTTAATTTGTTTTGTATTCATTCCAAAAATGTATTCCTTGCGGAATAGTTGTCATATAAGTTATGGTTGGGTTAGGATTTTAATTCTGGAATTTCCTGTTTATTTTTCACATACTTTTTTGGCCTTTTTTCTTAATTGTTTTTGGTCATTTGCTTTGGGAAATGATTCTATATTGACTATTTCTAGGTAATTTTCAATCCATTTTAGTCTATTTTTTCGACAGAGGTTATATTATAAAATTTTAGCATTAAAAAATAGGCCAAAACAAGCCTCTATGGTACAGAGGCGTTTGTGAAAACTTTAAAACCCAACTGTTATACTAGATATTTTAGGCACTGTGATCAAATCCACTCTAACCCAACAAATGCATACGCCCACAATAGGAGACCTTTTGGCGCTACAGGAAGCCACCAACAAATTTAAAAAATAACTAACCAATTTATGATGGTATTAAAACATAGGATTAATTTAATTGATAACCTAAACTAATCTCATGAAAAATTAATTATATTTAGAAATCTAAAAAATTATTGGAAATTTTTTAATTAAAAAAATAAATAATTCTGTCTTGAAAATTAAGCAGTATAATAGCCAAATTTTTACTAATTATTATTTCATATCATTTTATTTTATTTTTTATTTTTTCCAAGCTATTATTTTAAAAAATTATTTCTTCATGCTCTTATCTAATTTTATTCCCATTTTAATGCAGCTTATATATACAAAATTCTCTTGGCTCTATATCACCATGAGTAATTTATTATACTGTTAATACAATTAAGATGGGAAACTGCAACCTTCGAATGGACAACTACGATCCCACAGTCAGCTTAAATCGGCAGAATTTTCAATTCCATTACCCAATCGGCAAAGGAGGGTTCGGTAAAGTCTGAAAAGTGACGCAAAAAAAGAGCAAAACGACCTACGCTTTAAAAGAAATGCTCAAATCTCGAATTATAGCAAAAAGATCTGCTCATTCTGTTATGAACGAAAGACGGCTTTTAGCGATTCTCAGGCATCCTTTTATCGTTAATATGCACTATGCATTCCAAGATCGCGAAAATCTATATTTATTCAATTTTTCTTAAAAAAACTCTTAAAAATCCAATTTTAAATAATCTTAATTTATTTTAATAAAGAATAGTCATGGATCTTATGCCAGGTGGAGACCTTCGCTATCATCTCAGCAAAGTTCACAAGTTTTCTGAGGAACAAACAAAATTTTTTGTAGCCTGCTTGGTCATTGCATTCGAATATCTCCACAAAAATAACATAATTCACCGAGATATCAAGCCTGAAAACATTGTTTTGGACGATCTTGGGTATGCACATTTGACAGATTTTGGGATAGCCAGGGTTTTTCAGCCTGAAAATTCTAACGAAACTTCGGGGACTCCTGGCTATATGGCCCCAGAAGTTTTGTGTCGGCAAAATCATGGTTTTGCCGTTGACTATTTTGCTTTAGGTGTTCTTGGATTTGAATTTATGACTGGGAGAAGGCCTTATTTAGGTAAGCTAGTAAATTAAAGGCTAGGCTTACCATAAGTGGCTAAAAAAAACCACTTGGCTCCAAAAGATCTCTCTTTTGGATGTCCAACCTGAACCACCAGTCCAAGAGATAAGATCCCTAGAGCAAATCCACCTTCTGTAAGGTAAAGCCTGTCTAGCCCATTTGGCAGAGGATGGAAACCTTGGGAAGAACAATCTCCTCTTTGGCAAGTCTTTCCAAAACCAATTCCTACTTCAAAAGTGGCAGAGGCCCTGCTTTCACCTTCATCAGGACGGGTCCTACTTCTCCATATCGCGCGCTTCAGAGTCCAATGCCACCACTTTATTTCTTTTAGGTAAGGATAGAAAAGAAATTAGAGATGCAATTTTGGCAAGACAGGTACAGTTAAAAAGAAGCGACATACCTGAAGGCTGGTCCCTTGAAGCTGCAGATTTTATTAATATATTCCATTTTATAGAGTAAATTGGTATTAAAAATAATCCAAAAAACATCTAAAAAACGAAAATTACTATATTTAAAATCTGCATTTACTATAAAAAGAATACTATTTTGTGTTATTTGTAGCTATTTGCATATAAAATATAAACATTTAATCAAAAATGATATAAATTAATACAAAGAAAGCCACAAAATCGATTAGGATCACTTGGTGTAGAAGAAGTAAAAGAACATGCATGGCTTAGAGACGTCCAATGGGAAAAATTATTCGATAAAAATCTGAACCCTCCCTATAAGCCACCAGTCGCTGATAACTTTGATAGCCGACAAGTTATGAACGGGTGGAAAGACGAAATTTCTAGCAGCACAAAAGAAGCGTCAAATCAGGGCCTATTTAATGGGTACTTTTACGACCTTAATTTGCAAAGTGAAGGAGTTAACTATACAACGGATACTTCTAAGATTGAGAAGAAAATATAATTATTGATAAATTATGAGTTTTTGGTGTAAAAATATATAAAAATTTGGAGCCTGGCTTAAATTTTATGATTATTTGTTAATTAAAGAAAATTCCCGAATCCCCATTTATTTAACCTCCATTTCAAAATTCCCGATGTAATCCATTTATAATGACTGAATATTGTGATAGGATTTATATCAGAGGATTTCCGTCCTCCTACACCTCAGACTCTCTGCGCGAGCGCTTTAGAGAGTATGGGCCTATCAAGTCAATTTACATTACCAACAATGAATGGTCAAGTATTAATGAGGTCCAAGTACCTCTCCTTCACCTCGTCAAAGAAGCATCCTATTCTTGATAATTAAAATATAGAGATATTGCAGAGTATTCGCTGATAAACTATTAACGCGATTTATAGCATATTTGCTGATATATTAAATCCTTCGTTCTGTATCTCTAGTGCATGCAGAATTTTTAAATTAGCATTTATTAATAGATTTAATCAGTTTAAATAGCTTTTTTGCTGTGTAAACATAAGATATCTCATTCAAATTTAATAAAAAATTGCAAGCCAGCTTGCTAATCACAAATATTTTTTTCTATAAATTTATCTTCTAGGGCTGAGAATTAGTGTATTTATATATAAAAAATCCAATTAGCATTTTTTTGAATATTAAGTAGAGTAAAGAGAATTAAAATTGCAAAATAATAAGGCTCATTATCTATTGTCTAATGCTATATAAAATCTTAAGCAGCAATTAAAATCACTTGGCACCAATTTTTTTAATTAAATCTAAGAGGGATTAACAACACAGAGTATATTTTATTACACCTCATATGTAGATTTATATCAACTTTTCATATCAAAAGTTTCATATAGGGCGTACCTGAGTCTCATTTGTGATTGACTAAATGAAGGCACTGCTCCTTTTGGGATCATCAGATATAAAAATCCTAATAATGCCCCAAAAGCAGTCGAAGCAGCCAACGCTAAACAAGAAGGCGATATCACTTGGTATGTAGCAATATGCGAAAAAAAGAACGAAAGAAAAGCAAAAAGGGTCAATGCCCACAATCAAAATATTGAGATATGGAAAAAGACCAATTTGTTTGTCAAAGGGCTGCCTAGCGATGTCACTAATGAAAAGCTGCAAGCCCATTTCGGAATTTATGGAGATATCACCTCGATTAGCATAAAGAATGATAAAGTTTTCGTATGCTTTGATAAAGAAGAAGACGCGAAAAAAGCAATTGAGGATGCAAAAACGAGGCTTTTTGAAGAAAAAAAATTAAATGTCACGTCTTGGATCCCAGAGAGGGAACTAAAATTAAAAATGATGATTAATCAAAGGAAAAGACAAATGTATAAAGTGAGACAGGAACGCAAAAAAAAGAAAAGTGAAGAACGAGGGCAAACGGCTACAGAGGAAGCTAAAGAAGCAGAGCCAGCAATGGAAAAGCAAGACATCATAGCTAAAGAAGCAGAACTAGCAAAGGAAGAACAAGAAAAAACAGCTACAGAGGAAGCTAAAGAAGCAGGACCAGCAAAGGAAGAGCAAGAAAGCATAGCAAAAGAAGCAGAACCAGCAAAAGAAGAATAAAAAAATCCAGCGAAAGAAGAAGGTGAGTGCCAATGATAGAAAATTTAAAAGGAAAAACTAAATAATTACTCATCTTCAAATAAAATTCTATTTATATAATTTATGTAATTATAGATTGGACTCAAAATGTGTATAAAAAACTGTTTATGAATTTATTGATGCTTGATAATTTTTCTCAGCTTTTAGGAATGAAAACTTTTATTTTCAAGCAACAGTCATTTTAATAAATTTATTAAATTTCATTGTATTGAATTCATTTTTTTTAATAGAAAATAGCTCATATGTATAGGTTTTATAAGAGAAATTATATATTTCTCCAATAAATCGCTTATGATTACTGAGGTAATTTCTTTAAAATCTATAAAATTCTATATCATATATTTTAGATAGACTGTTTTTCTCTTCAAACAGCATAGTGTTTAATATCATCTAAAAATTACCTGAAAAATATTTCCCCGCTCTAACTTATCATAATTAAACCATTCTTGATTTTATTACCTAAAAAATTAATTTCGATAGCAAATAATTTCTATAGTACATTGCACTAATTATGAACTGTTGTCAAAACATTTTCTCCACTATGTAACTCAATCCATAATCAGTACAATTCCCTATAATATATGGCGAGCTTGACAAGGAGAATCCAAAAGGAAACTGAGCGTTTGACGAATGACCCAGTCATCGGCATTTCAGCCCATGCAGACCCTGCTAACCCAAGATATTTTCACATCCAGATAGCGGGCCCTGTTTCTTCTCCTTATGAAGGAGGACTTTTTGAGCTCGAACTTTTCTTACCTGATGACTATCCTATGTGTCCTCCAAAGGTCCGCTTTCTAACTAAAATTTATCACCCAAATGTGGATAGGCTTGGAAGAATCTGTTTGGATGTTCTAAAGGACAAATGGTCTCCAGCTCTTCAAATTAGGTCAGTCTTATTAAGCATTCAAGCGCTTATGAGTTGTCCTAATCCTGATGATCCTTTAGATCCTCAAATAGCAAGACATTGGAAAGAAGACGAAACTGGTGCGATCAGAATGGCTACAGAGTGGTGTAGACAGTATGCCCGTGGATAAAAAAGTTAATAAGATAATAGACTATTTCATTAGAAGGATTATTTTAATTATTTTTTCGAGAGAATATTCAGTGGAACAGAAAATGGGATAATGATATGCACGATTTTAAAAAGATTAATCTTTTTCATTATTTTATAATATGAGCTTAGAACGAAACCTCTACAATCCTCAACAAAATAAACAAGTGCAGTTAAAAATCCCTCCGTTAAATATGGGCTGAACTGAGAAAAAGCCAAAACCAGAATCTTTGTCATATGATCACGATTCCATGAAAAAAATCAGTCATAGCCATGCACAGTCTACACTTGATTTTTCAAGTTTTTCACAAAGTAAAACTATGAGGTCTATTAATAGAGTTAATAGAGAACAGTTGAAGGATTTTTTAAGTGTCGAGCGCAAGGCAGGCTTGATTGCAGCTAAATCTTGCAGAGATGTTTCTCATTTAAAAGATGAACACCAATTAAGCAAACACAATGTAAAACTCCCAGATTTGGCTGGGAATAAATCTGTGACCCAAGTTCTGCCAATTTCTCCTGAACATTTGAAAATGTTTATTAATTCTACTGATAAGCTAGGCTTTCCAGCTACATCTCCAAGAGGAATTATGAATGGACTTGGCTGTTCAAAAGAAAAATGTTTACTATCTTTTTTTTAGCGAGCAAAACATTGAAAAGCCCCTTTTTTTGAGGGAAAACCCATCTTTCATAGACCGTAAAGTATTTTTGATGTATAATTATAAAATTATATAAAAAAATCTCTGAAATATTTAATAGCTCAATAAAAATACATAAATTTTATAATTCAATTATATTTTTTATTAAATTTAAAAGTAAATTAGCAAGAAAAATTTCGTTCACTAAAGGAAGTAGACTTTAGAAAAAGTAATGGGAGATACTGAAAGCACCAGCTCTTTTCAAGACAGTTTAGATCAATTTAAATCAAAAATAAAAGCAAAAAGCCTTATCCAGAAATCTTCACAGTCAAAATTTCTTGACTCAGTATTAACTCAAAAAAAAATTGTCCAAAAAGAAGACCCCTTTATATACCTAGGTTCCCCAAGTGGGAGACAAGAAGTCCAGAATTTAAATGAATGATATAACTACATGCAGGAAAATTATCTTAACAAATTTTTGGATCAGAAAATATATTAACTCTTTATACTATTTTTTATAAAAATCGATTTTAATAATATCTTGCTCTATAATTTTTTATTACTTTAGAGTAAGTGAAATGGGCGAAGAAGAAAAAAATGATAAATTTGAGATCGCAGACGTTATATTAAAAACTGGCCTAAGAGAAATAGTCAGACAAGTGTCTGTTCACTGTGTAGAAAGAGGAGAATTACTGTCAGTCATTGCAGAAAGATATCTTGATTATTGAAAAATCTGTTGTTCTTTACTAGAAGACGCTAATAAAAAAATAAAAGAAGATCTCACCAAAGAAATCGACAAACTTCATGCAATTATCAAAGAAAAAGACCGCATGTATAATCAAAAAATCCTGGAACTTGGCCGTGAAAATGCTTTTATTCAAGCTTCTTCTAATATAAAAGACATTGAAATTAACCGTTTGCATGAAAATATCAGAAAATTCAAAGCTGAGCGTGAGTATCGCATGAAGAAAGACTTTGAGCACTATACCAATGCTATAAGGAAATTTCAAGAAGAGCTAAAAGAGTCTGAATTTAATAACTCAGACTATGTAAAAACAGGGAAATCCAAGGTTTTTATTATGCAAAAACTAGATGAAGCCCAAAAAATCGTATCAAAGTTAAGGTTAAGGAAAGATTTTAATGACGCTATGACTATAGTAGATAGCGAAGAAGGCGTAGCTTGGATTGACCAAGATATGCTTGATGAAGAAATAGAAGAACCTTATAAAGATGAAGAAATCCAAGTAGAAATTTGTAAAGAAACTGAGGATAAAGAGACTATGACTCTGAGAGATATGGTAAATAGGTCAATGGAAACTGATGAAATTGAATATCATGAGTACTAGCATATTTTATTTATGGGGTTTACTTTTCCTGGAGAAATTTTGCACAAAAATAGCTGTTCAACTCGGTTACACCAACCTTATGGATAGAAATTCTCGAAATGCCACCATTTTTGGCTCTGTCCCTTTATTGGGAGTGTGACGTTAGACACCTTAAACGCTAATCTAAAGAATATCATGAATACCATGAGGAAATGCCAAGAATTGAAGATCAAGGAGAAGAAGAGGAATATCAAGAAGAAGCACAAGAAATTATGATTCTTGAAAATGATGAAAATAATAGCTTTTTAATTGATGAAGATGGACCTGAAATAATAGAAATTAAACAAGATGTGGAGACAGTAAATACTGAAACTGAAGAAGCTGAGATAAGTCAGGACTCATCAGATTCTTCAAGATCAATTATAAAAGAAAAAATAAAAAAAACTACAGATAAAGGAAAGCTCAATAATGCTCCGCAGCAAATAAATTTTCAAAGAGGCATGAGAAGGTCTTCAACTGTATTAGGGACTATTTCAAAATCAGCGCTTGATAATATAAATCACGCAGAAATTTCATTTAATCCTAAAAGTAAAATCCGAGCGGACTCCACAAATGGGTATATATATCCAAGTGAAAATAAAAAATGACTGTCAGAAACAGTCAAATTTTTTTAAAAAATAATTTTTTTTTTACTTTTTTATTTAAAAAAAATTAAACCCACCAGAAACAAAAAAGAGAAAAAATCGAGAATGCCAGACTGAAGGCCTTTTAGATGAAGATATAAAAAATAAAGAAATTATTGAATTGATGATCAGCGATAGAGAAGAGCTGCTAAAAAAAGTCCAAAAAGAAATTTTAACAAATAAAAATGAATTAAATAAGCTGAGACTAGAAGCTGACAGATATAGGACTTTTATTCATGAAATAAGTCAACAAAATCCAGAAGAAGCTAAACATTTGTATGAAAAAATTGAAAGAGACGTAGAAAAACTTAAAGAGAAAGGCTATATTCCAGAAGAGCTTGATTTTTCTTCATGAAAAGCTGGGTATTATTCAGGATTTGACAACGGGCATTTTGAAGGGAAAATACTAGGTGAAGAAATTGGGTTTGAAAGAGGCATGACAGAAGGTGGATCAAATCCGCAATTAAATTCAAGTATTCTTGATATATCAAACTCAACAACAGAAGAAAATGGAATTCCCAAAGAATTATTATTAAAAGCAAAAGAAAGAAAAGGCAAAAGAAGACCGTCAGTTATGGTTGCTGAAGAGGTAGAAACTAGAAAAAATAAAAGAGCTATATAAATTTGCAGTGAATATTTAAAAATTATTATTTGATTAAAAAATCATTTTTTTAATATTTAAAGAATACTACAAAAATAATGGAATTTACTTTCAATAAAAGAGAACCTAAAACGCAGGCAGACAAAAAAATTCACATGGGGCCAAAACTTCTTGAGCATTTCTTATCAAAATCGCTAGAGAGGATTAAAAATTTCGGAAAAATCAGCAGAAAAATGCTGACTAAAAACCTATCTTATATATATTCTTGTGCAATAGCAAAACTTAAAACTGGGGAACTCATGGATTCCTTAGCTGAGTTTGCATATGATGAATTATTTGGTAAATATGGCCTTAAAAAGGTAGCTGATAAAAAATATTTAGAAATTGTATCAACAGCGTTAAAATACCCAGATTCAATAAAAATAAGCACTTTTGCAAGGCTGATGGGTATTGGAAGCAAAATTGATTTAATTGATTTTTCAAGGCCAAAATTGTCATTTATTTTCTATATATCAAGTATTTCAAATATTTTTAAATCAAAAGCTGGGATTATTGTAGGCTACGATGATAGCTCAGAGTATCAGATGATCCCAAGCATTAGAGCTACTGAATGCATAAAAGAAAAATTCAATGATTTGACCTCACAAAGCCAAATTCAAAGAATTATAGCAGCAGTAGAAAAATTGTCTCAGCCTGACCCTAAAAAGGTAAATAAAAGTGGAGTTATAGACCAAGACGTTCTATTAGAAATCATGCTATCAGAATATGAAATATATCAGTCAGGAATTGTTAGTGCTTTAAATGTGATTTTTGATGGCTTATCTGTAGCAAATAAAGTCGTATACTAAATTTAATTAAATTTATTTTCTGGATATCTTCTATTATTTATAGTTATTTTTATTATTAAAAGTATATATATCAACAAAGCAGATTTAGTATTAATTACTAGATATATTTCTCCACACAAAATAAGCTTATTGGTAAATAAAGATGAAAATAATAAAGAAACTTATAGTCAAGCCCTTGTAAATCTTTGCCAGAATGATGAGGAGGAAGAAGATGAAGAAGTCCATATAGATAAGGTCATTAATTTCTGCATAGAAAAAACAATATGCAGTCCGAATGATTTAGAAAATTATGTAGGAGGAGAAGTTACGAGAAATAGACTGTTTAATTTTTTTGAAGATAGCAAAAATGAAAATATGAATATTTTGATGAAAATATTGAAAAATAAAGCAGCTTTTGGGATGTCAAGTTCTTTTGAAAGATCTTGGATTGAGAGAATTCAATATTTCTCTGACCAAATAAACAAAAAACAGCCAAAAGCTTTATATTGTGCTTGGAAACTTATAACAGATGAGCTTGCAAGGTTGAATGGTGAGTTGCAAAGTTTAGAAAAATCGAAATCATAATTAAATATGGCGTTTTGACCCGAGTCTGGCCTCCTGCCAGACAACCTCAAACAAATATTTAATTATGCTCTGTAAGGTTTTGCCTATCAAAAAGCCGGGCAGCAATATATGCGCTGATAGCGTTCAGAGCCTACACCCAGAGTTAGATTTTACCTCGTTGGAAAGTGGAGCTTGAATAAGAAAAGGTCTTCCAGCAATGTCTATAGGTGCCTCTAAGTTATTCCAACATTCTTCAGGATGATACCATGAGATGAGCCCTAGGGCAAAACGTCTTTCATTTTTGTCAAAAAAAGTACTTGCAAATTCTGTTTCAAGACTGAGCTGTCGAAATCTGAACACACGAAGCTGATAATCATCTGATCAAACCCATGCTGGGCCTTTTTATGGTGGGGGTATCCTGAAGCAGGAGTGGAAGCGCAGATCGGCAGTGGGCTATTGGACGTTAACGCTATTAGCATTAAGCAAGCAAAATCGAAATCTTTGTTGTAGGTAAATATTTTATGATATTTCTAATAAATAGTCTGTTAAAATCATATAATTCAATGTCGAAACGAATAATTTAGTCATCTTTTATTATAAGTTGCTATAACTTATGATACTGCTATAGTTATTTTTACACCAATTTAAATTTTAAGGGATTTATTTGATAAAAAATATGTCACATTTTGCTAGATAACTTCTCAAAAGTCAGCAAGGCTTTAATCTATGAATATTTCACTAATAGAAAAAAACTCATACATATTAATAATACATATTTTCTCAATAATTATATCTTATTTCATAAGCAAATATTCTTGCTATATATTTGCAAACTTTTAACTGATTTACCTTAATTTTCTAACAAATATCATTCCTCACCTTATTAAAACTCTTAATTTAATTAAAATTTATCTTTACAAAACTAAATATAAAATTGGTGAATTTTCTTTTTATTAGTAAAGAGAAAAAAAATTCAAATTAACACTTTTTATCAAATTTTTTTTATTGTTAACTTAAACTATTTGTGTGTGTTGTGTAATAAATTATACGCTCATTAAGTTGTCCCTCGCCATTTTAATTCGCGATTCTACCGGGGCGTTTATAATTCTGCGTTTGTGTACTCGTTCTCAAGATTGATCATTTAGAGAATCATTCTTGAAAATTAAAATCCCTCCGATATTTTCATAAAATCGTTCCTTCGCTATTGGAATTCCCAATTCTCCAATTGAAGCCCTCAAAGACTCTAAAGAGTCTGAAGATTCAGGTTTTTCAAAAATTTGAATTGTTTTTGGAGCTATAGCTACTGTGGAGGCAAAGTGCTTTTTTTTCTTCCTAACGCAGTTTAAGAAAGAAAAGCACATTGATTTATTATTATTATTTGGTGATGAAATTTGTCATATTTTTAAAGTTTGATGGAAAATGCATTTCTAAAATATAACTTAGGAGAATGAATATGGAGTCAGTGAAAGATATCGTCAAGGGTGGGCTGTTATAGTCTTTAATTTAAAGAAGTACCATTACTTGAAGGCTGGTCGAATTTGAAATATTTTGAATTTTAGGATTTTTTTGGATCAGTAAAATTTGTGATGATAGGAAATAATGACTATAAATTTTAAAAAATAAATAATTTTTAGAAGTAAAATGATTTAATTTAGTAAAGAAAATTAAAGAGGAAACTATCAAAAAGTCATATGTATCATTAGATTCAAGATCTATAAAACTCAAAAATCGTGCAAAATATTCAGTAGAAGTTATAAATTATGATTAGAGAATTCTTTTGTAAAAATGGATGCAAGTTTATACAGCTTAAAAGTTAAAAAAGAAAAGATGAAATCTAGATTGTTTTCTTACTCCCACCCTCCTGAGCGAAAGAAACCATTAGAAAAATCCATATTTTTTGCATAAAAACCCACCCTCCTTGAGCTAACAAAAATTTTTTATGGAAATTTTTGATATATAGTGATAATTAGTATAATGAAAGCTCTAGCTAATTCTGTTTAATTTTAAACAAATTGCGTTTTAAAACATAAATTTTACAAATTAAATTAATATTTACTTTCTAATATTTTGCGAATTAGGATTTTTTTAAATTTTGGAAAAATATTTTTTTTATATAAAATTTATAAATCAATTTTTTAAAAAAAAAATTAACCCCTTCCGTGAGCGAACAAAAAATCTTGTTCGCTCATGGAGGGGGGAGTTAGTGAATTTATTGCAAGCAAATAATTTGGCAGATTTGCGAGGAATTGGAATTAAATTAAATTTCAAAAATAAAATAATAAAATTTTAAATAGATTTTCAATGTAAATAATGCATTTTCTTTATAAAAAACAATTTTTATCAGTCAAGAAATATATAACTCAAAATATAAATTTTTTTTAATTAATAGAAAGTAGCTAGCAGCATTTTTTCTTTTTCTTTATTGAAGGAGTGCTGCTTTCAGTTAAAAAAACTGAAGTTTTCATATGTTTTGGCGTGCTCACATCTTCTCCTGTATCTAGCCTCACAGCCAGATCTTTAAACATTTGTTCGACCCCATAACTTGTTTTTGCACTTACTTTTCTATATATTGCACCTATTGATTTTGCGAAACTTTTGGCTTCTGACTGCTGGACATCTTCCATCTCTACTAACTTTTTTTAAAAAAATAAATAAATAACCCATATTTTTAATTTATTTTTTTTTTAAAATATTTTTTTTAAAGAGAGTAAATCTTCTTTATTTCCTGCGATGCAAACTACCATATTTCTTGGCCCGAAGTCTTTTAATTCTTTATACCATCTCATGATCCCATCAAAACTCGACCGCTTTGTAATATCATAAACCATAATAGCCGCATTTGCATCTCTATAGTACATTTTAGCTAAGCTCTGATATCTTTCTTGGCCAGCTGTGTCCCAAATATTGAATTTTATCATTTTATCATTGACTTGCAGAATTTTTCCAGTATAAGATGCACCTACGGTCGCGTTTTGTTCATCATTATAATCATCTTTTACAAAGCGGAGGACTATGCTTGATTTTCCAACACCTTGGTCGCCTAGTAAGACAATTTTATATTGATCTTTTTCCATTAGACGACTTTATGAGTTCAAATTATTTCTTTTATTAGTTTTTGTCCATATAGCACTGATTATGAGCAATAAATTTATCCGATATATTTCAATAAATTAATATTTATTAAGTAAGCTTAATTATTTATTTCTATTCGATTTATATTATTTTAGGTAAAAATATATAGTCAAATTTCTATTAGTCTATCTAGTTTCTAGAAATTAAACTTGATGCTGATTCTTTGATCCTTCCTGATTCTCTGTCTTTTAAGAAATTATATTCCTCCAGCATCAATTCTAATTCTTCATCTCTTTCTTCCTCTTTTTCAAAGTACCACTTAGGCAGCTTATGCTTTATATATTTCTCCCCTTCTTGCCATGTCATTGTAGCTGGTGTGTCTTTAGCTCTCTCAATAAGCTCATGCACGGTATAGTTTCTTTTTTCTTCTAAATTATAGAAATACTGGAAGTCAGCTGTATTTTTGTATTGATTTTCATATCTTTCTATTATTTTCGAAAAATCAAACCCAGTTTCCTTTTCAATCCCTCTTTCCCTCAAATATAAAATTTTATCATAAAATAGTTTCCACCTCCTTATTTCATAAAAAGTTTTTTTATCTAGCATCTTGTACACTATTTGCCATATATCAGGGTCATAATACTTCATCCTGTCTAACATATCTATTAAATTCATAAGCTGCTTCGGCACATTTAAAAAATCTAAACGGCCCTGTGTTTCTAAGAGCCTTGGCATTAAATGAACTTTCATGTAATCTTTAGCGTCATAATCAGTTCTATTATTATATGAAATTGCTTCAATAAATTCAAAACATTGTGTTCCTTTCAATGTAGGCAGACATCTCTGATTAAATTCTTTTTGAAGACTTTCCACCGTTTGGAGCCTCAGTTGATTAGACCTTAATACCCCATAGAAGCAACCATAAAACATTCTGTCGTTGAAGTTAGTCCACCACCTGAGAGCTTGGAATTCAAGAGTTTTCCAGAGATCTTCATCCAATTTGTTGTTTTTGGCACAATGGTAGAACATGTAAGCTATAGCGTGTGGTGCGATATCGGCTAAAGGATTTTTTATGACGTAATTTACGAGTTTCTCAATATGAAGAGTATCTTTGCGATTCTTGTGATTTTGAATACCACTTAGGGAGGAATGCACCTCGAGAGGGTCGTCAAGCTTATTGTGGAGCCATTTGGCACGATGCTGCTTTTGGACGCGGCGCCAGAGATGGTGGCCTGGGAGACCATTGTACCAATAATTTCTTTTGAGTATGCACCACATAAGAAAATATAATTAAATTAATAGCCCATTGATTTTAATTTAGGAATAGAGGATTTTGTGAAGAAAATAGGTTTTTAAGGATTTTGAAGCATTATGATATTTTTATTACTCCCTTTAAAATGAAAAAAAATCTGTTCTAAATTTATATTAATTTTTCTTTTTAAAAGAAATTTTAAAAAAATAATATATTGAGCGCAATACTTTAAATTTTAATTTATTTTATAGAGAATTAGTCAAAAATATTATTTATTTAGCGTGAAAACTGTTTAATATTATTCTATTTCACGTTTTACATCAAAATAGCTAAAAAACTAATTTTTAAAAAAAACATTATTTCATTTTATAAATAAAATTTTCCTATTGAAAAAAATTGTCCCATTTTAAAGGAAATTTTAACGATATTTGTTTATTAAAAAGGGGGAGTTAGTAATTTACTCTTCTTTTTCCTGTTTTTCTTCTTGTCCGCAGTTGATTATTGTGACTTTTTTCTTTGGGGTTCCATTTTGTGTGCCCTGGGCTTCAATTGTTTTGAGAACTTCGAAGCCTTCTACTAGTTTTCCAAAGACTACATGTTTTCCATCTAGCCAAGGACAAGGGACTGTGGTAATAAAGAATTGAGATCCGTTTGTGTTAGGCCCGCTATTAGCCATGCTTAAAACTCCAGGCTCATTATGCTTCAAAGTAAAGTTTTCATCATTAAACTTGGCTCCATAAATTGAAACTCCACCTGTTCCATTTCCCTTCGTAAAATCGCCAGATTGGCACATAAACCCTGGGATTATTCTATGGAATTTTACGCCTTTATATTGCAGTGGAAGTCCTGTGTCTGTTTTTCCATAACCTCCTATGCAAAGTCCTCTGAAATTTTCAGCAGTTTTTGGAACCACATCAGCACGAAGCTCAAATAGCATGCGGCCAACCTGCTCACCTTCAACCGCTATAGCATCTGTACTGATATATCCTACCATGGTGCACTCTTTTCTAGAGCAATTTGAGTTCTGGTGAGCTACCTAAATGTGGAAAAAAGTCCATACTTTTGCAAAAAATTGTCAAATAGAGTTAGCTTATCAACTTTAAGTGTCTTGCCAGAGCTCGAAGTTGCCATGGAAAAGTGCCAAGACAGGCTATAGCAGTGCAGATTCTATATGTCAAGGAACACCCGAGGATTTTTTTTGGTAGAGAAGAACCTAACTATGCGGAACATTTTCAGCCTGTAATATTTAATTAGTAAAATCTGTGGAATAAGATGACGATAATTAATAGGTAATATGGATATTTAAGGGAAAATTGTATCATATTATATGCATTTTCCCTCTAATTGAAATAAATAGTATATCGGGCTTGACTCATTTAATTTTCTTTTTCAAAAAATCATTGAGAATAAACCATTATATTAAGATTTCTCTAATTATCCTATCAGCTATAAATTTAGTAATTCTTAATTAAAAGAAGATTTTTAAAGATCCTCTCTTCCGTATATTGTGGTCTTATGGTCTTTTTTAAGTATATCTTCTAGCTCACTTAATTTAAATGGAAAAGCCGTTAATAGTGTTTTAATTCCACAAGTCTTGAAGTGCTTGATTAATTTGGATTTACTCTTATTGTAAAATTTCCTTAATAATGTCGCTTTTTCGGTATATTCCTTTTTTACCTTTTGTATATTTTCTAAGGCTTTATTCACAATTTCTGGGCATTTTTCTCCTTCTTGCATAAGTGCATTATGCATAACTTTATTATATATATCATCGCTAACTTTTTCAGGTTTTTCAGTATTCCATCCAAAAATAATATTAATAATTTGCCCTAACAATTTCCCAGTTTCTTCTGGACTTTTTTCTCCATTTATAAATCCATTATTCTCCCCTCCATGATTTAACAAAATAAAGTTGTGATTGTAAATTTTTTTTCAGAATTTAAAAACAATCCAAATTCAAAAAATGGAAAGGAAAATTTGTAAAATTTGTAAAATTTATATCTTTTTTAAAATTTCAACAGAGTTAGCTAATTTTTCATTATAATAATTTTTCTAAAAATATTTTGTTTGCTTTAAGAGGGCGGTTTTTTTTACTCAAAAATAGTGATTTTTCAATTGTTTTGATCAGAGGGGGTGGATTTAGCAATTTCAGTGATTTTTTCTTTATTCAAATAATATCTAAAAATGGAGTATACTTATTCACAACAGATGAAAAGTTATATTTTTATATAAATTTACTCAAAAAAACCCTATTTTTATGTAAATAGAATATTTAATTCCTTCATCTGCCAAAACACTGATGAGTTTATCTGTAGCAGCACTTAATTGGCAAACTTCACTTAAGCTTTGTATATTGCTAATTAATGGTTTTATTTCAAAAATGAGACTTGAAATTGCCATTAGATTTCCACTTGATAATTGAGACGCTTTTGAAATAATGTTGCTTGCAGCACTAATAATGCTGGTAATCCTTTCTGAGCATTTAGTAATTGCAGATTGGTCTGCAATTTCATTGAAAAGTTCACTTATCACATTGAAATAGTGGTCATTCGAAATAGAATGTTGTGTTTCTAACTCTCCCATCCATTTAAATTAGATAAAATTTGCATTTTTGGGTTACTTTAAACCCCTTTGAATTGGAGCACAGTTTTTTTTTCAATATGAAAAATTTTATCGGTGGTAATATTAATTTTATAAATTAGTTTTTGAGACAAAATACATATAGAGCATTATTGAAACAGTTTCGCATTAGGTTGATTAAATTCTTCATAAAAATAAATTAAAATTCAAATTAGATTGCTCAATTTATATTGCCTGTGGACCTTTTTATGCACCATAAACTAGTTTACTGGCCGCAATCAGTCTGCTATTTTTCAGATGAATAGCAGACTTTTTGCAGCCAGTAAGCCAAGCTTACTGATGCTCAAAAAGCCTTAGGCGCGTTTTTTTGAGAAATTTTTAAAAAATAATTTATTATAAAAATGCTTATTTTTATAAATTGTTTTATCAATATCCTTTTCTATTTGTTTTAATTCTTTTTCACTCAATAAATTTTTCTTTTAAGTTAAGCTTAAATATAATTCTACTTGCACTTTTTTCTTAAAATTAGGTCAACTTAATTATTCGGTGTTTAAGGTGTCTAGTGCCGCAGACCCAAAAAATGAACCTTTTAGCTAAACTGGTGACGTCACGGAACCATCTTGGAATCGCGGTGGTCAGCCCAACCGGCCAAGCCTTCTATCGACGCTTCGCCTCCAGCCGCCGTACATCTCACCCGGCGCGTTGCCGTCGCTCTGTCTTGACTCAGCTCCTGCGCGTGTTCCGCCTAAGGGTCTCCCGTGGGGATGTGCTGAGGGGTAAAACTCCGAAATCTTGAACGCACTGAGGAGCTGTTCCTTTGGTTATCCCCAAAGTTAAACAGCTATTGCTGTGCAGAAGTTCTCGAGACAAAACCTAACCCCATAAATAAAATGCCATGAGGAAGAGAAAATTATTAGAGCTAATTTCTCTCGAACCGAATACCGTTTTATTTATAGAATTATATTTAAGCAGTTTTCTCACTTATGTGATACATAAAAATGATTAAAGTTGTGCTCAATTTATATTTTTCAGAGAAAAATTTAAACCCTCTTTAAAATTGAACAGGATTTTTGTTCCAATTTAAGGGGGGAGTAAGGGGAAAAGAATTTTCATTAATTGCCCTATGTTTTTTCCTGCACCTTTAAAAAAGCCCATCATTAAGTTGCCATAGCATTCTTTTATAATCCCTTGAATTTCTTCGCTCTTACTCTAATTTATATCATAAACAGCAATTTAAGAATTTTTACGGAAAATTTATTTTTATATAAATATTTAATGATTTTTTTTACTTTTTTATAAGGAGTTAGTAGCAATATTGACGTAAAATCCTATTTGAATAGCATTGTCAGCTATAATATGTGTAGGAATATTAAACCCAGCATCACAGATATTTGAAAACCTGACTATATCATCTACCAGCACATAAGCTGTTAAGGCTGCATCAAAAAGGTTCAGATCTTTGATTTTTTGATCAATTGTAACTAAATTGTCCTCAAATTTTTGAAGGAAATCTGGATGCATACACTTATAGAGATCTACATTTTCTGCTCCTGTATAAGTTTTAAAAACCTCAGTCAAGAATTCATCAAAAAACGCCAGGCTCCCATCAAACCCAAAGGTATGGTACTTTACCGCTGAGACCGCTGTGATAATTCCAACAATCAAAGCCAGAAATCCCATATTTATTATTGCTCCTAATTTTATCACATTAAATTTATTTGCTAACAACCCCTTTATGATGCTGATTGCAATATTCACAATGATTTGGGAGCTTTCGATAATCTTGCTCTTTTTCACAATACATACAGACCATTCTATTTGCATAAACCCACTGATGAGTCTCTTTTCTGTCATGGCACTTATTGCAGCAATAATATTGTGAGCAGCAGCTTGGGACCATCCAGTAGGTTACATTTTTATAGTTATCGCACTCTATTGGAGCAATTATGAGGCTAAGTGGCATTTTCTCTGTCTTTTTGATATCGCAAATGCTTTAATTTTCCAAAATTTTTGATAATCATTTGAGAAAATAGTTAATTTTTGAGAAAAATTATTTTATTATTAAATCTAGAAAAAAATGACACCAAATTATGCTTCATTTTCCGACCCTTCCTAGATTTTTAATAAAATTTTCAGCAGCTTCATCAATCACATATTTTCAGTTTATTTCTACAGCTGGAAGCTCAGTAAGCTGGGCTATAGGCTTTAAGTCTTCTTTATCTAAGTCTAATTCATTGCTGCCCATTAAATGCTCAAATGCAATATTGGACGCGTCATAAAGCTCTTGCGCTTCATCCCTAATTTCTTCAAATTTCTCAATTTCTTCGTTTGCTTTATTTATAATTTCTTTTTCTAAAATACTTTGCCGCTCTTCTAATGCTTCTTTTAGCATATTCTTTATTAATCCACTAAATAATTTTTTTTATATAAAAAATAGTTTTTTTATTATATTATGCCTTGGTATATTAAATGATGTGCTGATTTCCGTCAAAATTTTTTGTTTTTTCTCACTAATTTCTGTAATTTTTGTATTGGCTAAGCCTATATGGCTTCGACATTTTTCTAGATTTTCTTCAGCCTGCTTTCTCATTGCAGTTAGTCTTTCAGACGGCGACAATTTGAGGTATTTTAAAGTTTGGGACATGTCAGCTAACTTTTCTATAAGCTCAAGGATATGAAAAGAATGAGAAATTTGTTGAATTTGCCGATTATCATATTTTCGATCAAGCGGACAGGTGATTTTTCCTGTTGTTTTATGAAGATTTGTAGCACATTTCTTGCAGAGAGTATGGCCACATAGGAGGACGAGCGGGAGATGAGAGGATCTGTCATATTGCTCTACACAAACAGGGCATTCTAAAATTGCTTCCATAGTAATTATTATTGAATTTTCGAATATAAAAGAATTATTTATAGATAGAAAAGGAGGTAAAATATATGCAGTCTTAATTCAATGCAAAATATAACTGATAGATTAAAATTTATTTTTGACTGATAGATTTGAGCTATTATATGTAAAATAATTATATTAGTTTATTATTTTAAGATCCTGAATAAAGGTCTTGCCGAATCTTTTGAAAAAATCCCACAGCTGGCCAATTAAGCTGCAATCTCCATTTAAAATTTTATTATATGTAAAATCATATATTCAGTAAATCTAAAGAATTATATGGATCTTTTACAAATAATATGAAAACTGTCCAGATAATTCCTAGTGCTCCTAATCATAATTTATGCATATCACTTGGGTGCTACGATGAAGTCTTTTTATTAGCATTTGGCAGTGGCAAAAACATAGTCATAGTCAAAGCCAATACTTTTACGACCCATCAAGTCTTATCTGGGTTCCATCAATTTGATGTCTCTTCAGTTGGCTGGGCAAGGACTGGAGGAAAATTAGCGACAGGAAGCCACAACTTAATTGTAATTTTTTTTCCAAAATTAAGGTCTATTTCTGATTGGGAACCAAAAATTCATCTCAAGCCTGAGCATTCTCCAACAAGCTTATCCTGTTTTAATTAATTTTATTATACAATTTATATGATATTCCTATTTTTTATAGTAAAAATATTTATATATTTTGAAATTTTGATTTTAATTAATAAACTTTCTATATCTTGGTCATTTTTTGGTGATATCCTTCTCAGTGTCAGTAAAAAAGTATGTGTCTGGACCTTTGATTCCAAAATTTCTGAAGGAATCGAAACAATAGACCAGCCTTTCTGGTCAGCAAAAGTGACCTACGACAAAGGAGTGATTTCCCCAGACGGAAGATTAATTGCAGTATCAAAAAATGACTCAAAAGTGATGGTTTACTACAAAGAAGGCGACTATACTGAAGAATCCAAGCTTCAAACAGACGCTTTAAAGCTCCTCAGACTTAACCATTCTTCATATGTTACATGACTTGATTGAAAAGATATCAGCGTTTTCAAACTTTATTTAAATAAATACAACCCAAACTCCTTACTAACCATATGTGAAGATGGCTGAATCAGGATATGAAGCGAGTATTCGTCACCACAAGGAATCGGATTTAACGTCCTTTTCCAATTAAAAACTGATAATGGTATGGCAAACTGGCTTCGTGACTTCAGAAATATGGAAAATAACATCTCATTGCTAGCCCAAAAGCAAGATGCACTGCGGCAGCAGCATGGTGATATAGAATTCACAATGAATTCCCGGTCTTGCTTAATAAGGTCTAAAACAAGTGAGCCTGATAAAACTTTATACGGAGCCATGATGCGCGAAAAAACACCTGTAGAGTGACTTGTGGTCGCTGAAAAAGAAAAAGTCACCTTTTTCATGTGTGAAGGGGTTGGTGCTTTTCCATTGACAGCTATTAATATAAAATCCCAATTTCAGTATGAGCATTATTTTGGGACTGAAGCAGTCAGATGGATTCCTGCACAGCTGCCATTTTTTGTGATACGAGAAGTCGATGAAGTCCAAATAATTAGTGCAGATATTATACTTTTTTATATTAAATACATTAATTTTTATATGAAATTAATAAAATAATCAGAATAAACATACAAGAGATTTAGTCAGATGGAGAAGAATGTTCCAAGCTGGAGCCAAAGATAGCCTTTATGCAGTGCTAACTGGAGTCATGGGTGGGCATTTTGGTGAAATTATTCAAATAGAAACCCATAAGTCTCTGCCTTTAATGTGCACTATTGATATTACAGGGGCTGTTAGGATATGGACAACAACCAGTGGAGTCAGAAATGATGAAAAAGCTATAGATGAGTTTAGACATTGGGGGGTACTTGAAGATTTTGATTACACATATGTAAAATGGCTTACTCCCCCCTCCGTGAGTGAACAAAACCATTACTCCCCCCCCCCCTCCGTGAGCGAACAAAACCATTAGAAAAATCGCCATTTTTTGACCAAAAAACCCACCCTCCGTGAGTGAACAAAAATTTTTTTAATAGAAAAAATTTTAATGGAAAAAAATTTTGATATATAAGTGATAATTAGTATAATGAAATCTAGAGCTAATTCTGTTTAATTTTAAACAAATTGCGTTTTAAAACATAAATTTTGCAAATTAAATTAATATTTGCTTCCCAATTTTTGCAAATTAGGATTTTTTTAAATTTCGAAAAAAAAAATATTTTTTATAAAAATTTATATATAAATTTTTTTTAAAAAAAAAAATTAAACCCCCTCCGTGAGCGAACAAAATTTTTTTGTTCGCTCACGGAGGGGGGGGGGGGGAGTTAGAAAAATCGCCATTTTTTGCCCAAAAACCCACCCTCCGCGAGTGAACAAAATTTTTTTAATAGAAAAATTTTTTTATGAAAAAAAAATTTTGATATATAAATGATAATTAGTATAATGAAATCTAGAGCTAATTCTGTTTAATTTTAAACAAATTGCGTTTTAAAACATAAATTTTATAAATTAAATAATATTTGCTTTCCAATTTTTGCGAATTAGGATTTTTTTAAATTTCGAAAAAAAAATTAACCCCCCTCCGTGAGTGAACAAAAAAATTTTGTTCACTCACGGAGGGGAGCTAGAAAATTCGCCATGCTTGTATGTGGCAGAAGAAATGGATATATCTGTATTTATAAATGGTTTTCTGATACCCCAGAGCAGCTAAAACTTTTGACTATGCATTGGCAGACTATGCATTGTTGGATTGGGCTGAATGGAGAATGTGAAAAACTGAAGGTTGGGGACATTGAAGTCCTGAAGCATACAACTTTTAGGTTTTTAATGCTTGCGAAATTCAAAGGGATGGGATATATTATTTATGAAGTATTTTATGATGGACTTTTTGATTCAAAAATAATATATCAAGATGATAAAGAATTTAAGGACTCCAATTTCCATTCATTTGTGGAGGGCTCTGAAGGGAATAGTCCTGGAAAGTTTGTAAATCATTTTATTCTGCTGAATAAACATAAAATTGAGTCATTTTTAGTAAAAGAAAACAGCTTAGAGCCATTATGGGCTAGAAATTTAGAAGATGAAGCTCACACTATGAAATTGACAAGAATGATTGCAGTTGTATCACGCCAGAGCGTGCTTTTCTTGAATTTTGAAGGAGATGCGCTAGGCAAATATGATGCTCCTTTTACTGGAAAAATAATTATTGATTTCTTTAACATTGGCTTAGCCACTGAAAACGTGATTCTTGGTCTTGGCAAAAAAATCCTTATAATTTCTCAAGAATTTTTAAATAATGTTGAAGAATCTGATATGCCATGAAGACTTGTCAAAGAAGTAGAACTTGAAAACGAAATTTCTTGTATCGGAATTACTATGTTTCAACAAATTGTAACAGGAAATGATAGAAACTTAATGATCTATAGAAATACATTTTTACAAGAAAAATTAAATGTAAATCAAGAGCCAAAGCCGCACTATCACCCAACAATTTTATTTGAATTAATGAGAAGCAACAAAAATGAGCTTGTACTGATGATTCTTAAAAAATTAGAAATGCAATTAGATGAAGGAAATGTTACGCATAGTCTTAAACTAAAAAGTGAAGAATTTCTTGAAGCTAAAAATAGTGAACAAAAACCACAAGAAGCCCCTAAGCCACAAGATGCCAGTTTTGATTGGTTTTTTGAGTCGCAAGTCGTGCAAGCCCCATTAGCTATGACAAAAGAAGAAGAATTCACTGAAAAAGACGCGGCAAGGCTAAAAGAAAAACTTCAGACCTTAGAAGTGGAGCTACCAGGGATAAGCGGAAATATTTTTTCTTTAATTCAGCTGCAAAATGCTATTGACTGTTTTGCGTTTGTAAAAAATCAAAGTAGGACTATGGACGAATTTTTGAGAGTTTTTTATATAAACTGCAGGATTTTTAATTTAAATTTAGACCAAAAGCAAAGAAATAAAACCCAATGCTTGAATACAATGGATATTGCGTGGGCGCTGCATTCAGATCAACAAGACACGTTGTTCCAGACACTTTTTACACAAGAATTGACATGGCCTCAGATGAGGATGTTTGGGATGGGAATTTGGCTCAAATCTATATGGAAACTGAAAGCTATGGTGGAAAATATAGCGAAAAATGAATTCCGAGCTAATAAAGACCCAAAAACAGTCAGTTTATGGTATTTAATATACATTTTTTATTGAATTTTTTTAAATTTTTTTATAAATTCATGTTTTCTATTTTTATCTTATCAAGATTACTAGGGAAAAAAAATATTTTACTCGGTCTTTATAAAAATGACTACCAAAACCAAAAAATCTATTCCTTTTTACAAAACGATTTTTCTAACAAAGAATGACAAATAAAAGCTCAAAAAAACGCTTTTGAGCTCAGAAAACAAAGAAAATACGAAATGAGTGCAGCTTTCTTTTTATTAGGAGATAAGCTTATAGATGCTATAGAAGTCCTAGTCCAAGACTTAGGAGATCCTCAGCTAGCTCTTGTCGTAGCTAAGCTTTGTGAAGGTGAAAATGGGCCAATTCAACGCCAAATAATAGAAAAATATTTTATCCCTACTGCACTTAAAGCAAAAGATCCTTGGCTGCTCAGCTTGTCTTACGCATTATTAAATATGCCAGCAGAAACATTAGACTGTTTAAGCTTCTTTAAAAATGAGCAGCTAGAAGACACAAATATAGAATTTTGGAACGAAAAAGTTCAGCCCACGCTTTCCGGCTTCCACCCTACAATGACTTACTATATAAAACTGCTAAAATCCAAAGTCCAAATAAAAAGAAATTTTGAAGCAAAAGGCCTTTCATTAGAAAAATTCGAAAAAATCGAAAAAGACATGGTATCAAGATGTGCTGAAAATTTTATTAATGCAGGGTTATCTATAATAGCATTGAAATCTATAAAAGATGAGCCAATAAACCTGGAGCTTGTAGATGAAATATTAAAAACTCATTTATTGATGATTATTAGAGATACAGCCAATAAAGAATGAAAAGAAAAATTCCCAACACTGGTATCAGAAATAAGATACCTTACCAAGGCTTTTAATTTTTCTGAAAAAAGGCTTATTGATTTCTTTTCAAACTTGTTTTATAAGCGAGATTTGCGAAATTATCAGTGTTCGTTGCTTGCTGGTATGAATTTGATGGAAAGTGCGGCTGAGTCAGTCCTCCATATAGCAGCTTTGGTCCATATCATTTTATCGCGCTATTCACGAGACCCTTTTTTTGAAATAAAAACCAAAACTTTGACAAATGTGACTCATGATGTTTTGAACTGCATAGAATTATTAAAAGTCCCAGGTATGCCTATTTATAATGAAATATCTGGTAGCCTATCTATTTACTATTAAAAAAGTCATCATCGTTATAAATAGGTATACTGATCTCTATCAGCTTCATATCAGCCAAAAAACTCATTTATTCCATATGGCATTCAGTTTGTATCTTGGGTATTTTGTTCAAGCATATCTTGGCGGTCTTTGGAACCAAGCGATTTTGATACTACAAAAACTTCAAGATTTTTTGCATAATATAAACTCCGAGAATTATATTGATATAAAACTTGACGAAAGCCGAGCTGTCGTAGAAAATAATATTATTACTACATGGCTGAGATTTCTTATAATGAATAGATTGAAAGAAATTATATCAGAATTTGACTATAAAGAAATGGACGCATGGATTGATGAAAGTTTATATAATTATAATTTATTGCTGAGACCTGGGCAGAGATATCCGTTAAATAAAGATATGACACCTATGCTTTCTATAGAAATGTCACTTGGGCCTGGCAGAGGGACCAAAAGAAGGCCATTGATGGCTGTCTCGAGGCTTCTGGAAAGAGTGTCATCATGGAGAAGACGTCTCCTGCTGAGAGCTCAAAAAGCAATTTCCAATGAAACTATGCAAGAAGCACAAAAATATATAAACAGTCTTATAACAACAGCAAATGATCTTCCAGATATGTTAAAGCCTCATTTTGCTGATGCTTCAGCTTATCATATTTTTAATTCGTATGCACATGGGATGACACAAATCCATTTATTGATGCAGTCTTCTGCACAAGGGCTTTCCACTTTTATATATGAAAATAAAGGGAAAGTAAGCAATATGCTGGAAAAAGAAGGATTTATTTATGAAGAAAATATGAAGGAAAACGCAAATATTTTTCGAAATGGAATTGAAATATATGGTTTTAGGCTTTTTTTTGAAAAATTCTTACTTCCCCCCCCCCCCCCTCCGTGAGCGAACAAAACCATTAGAAAAATCGCCATTTTTTGACCAAAAACCCACCCTCCGTGAGTGAACAAAAATTTTTTTAATAGAAAAAATTTTAATGGAAAAAAATTTTGATATATAAGTGATAATTAGTATAATGAAATCTAGAGCTAATTCTGTTTAATTTTAAAACAAATTGCGTTTTTAAAACATAAATTTTGCAAATTAAATTAATATTTGCTTCCCAATTTTTGCAAATTAGGATTTTTTTAAATTTCGAAAAAAATATTTTTTTATAAATTTATATATAAATTTTTTTTAAAAAAAAAAAATTAACCCCCCTCCGTGAGCGAACAAAATTTTTTTGTTCGCTCACGGAGGGGGGGGGGGGAGTTACGAATATTTTTTTTAAAAATAAATATTTTAAAGAAAATAGGATATAGGCTAAATTTCTGGGGAAAAAAATTATATTAAATATATAGAAGTAAAGATCCAGTATTAGGTTTTGCAGTAAATCATTGCAATAATAAGAATATGGCAATTGCTCACGGCGGGAAAAAAGAAAGAATTCGAGAAATAAATATTGAGCACTCATTGAAATACAAAAAGAGAAACGAAGACTTAGAAATAGACACAGAATACCCTGACACTTGGCAAGAATGCATGCATTATCTTGACAATAAGGCTGGAGCTGGAGAATCTATATACAATCCAGCTATAAATTCAGCAATCTATACACTTTATGCACCAAGAACACAAGTTTTTCTAGAAGAAATGGAACTGCCACCTCCTGTATGAAATAGAACACCTTTTGATGATCTTTTAATGCCTCTTGCATCAACTAAAAATCGACTTGATAAAGTTGACCATATTTGTGGACATCCACTATTGCCTCTTTATGTCACTGGGAATGAAAACGGACAAATGACTTTGTGGCAGTATGAAAGACCTAACAGTTTGCAAGATTTTACACCAAATATGGCTTCATCACAAATAAATTTCTTATCATTTAATAGCTATGGTGACAAATTAGGTGTTTGTGATGACAATGGAAATTTTTTCTTATATAAAATAATGGGTGCTTGCAAATTTAAAATCATATTAACACCTTAACACCCTAACACACCTGAAATGATAAATTTTTTAATCAATTTTTATGGCATATATATAGTTTGATTTGCTCCCGTCATCATTTTCCCCACAATTAACTATGATGGGATCTATAAGCAGTAAATCTTCAGCATTTTGTTTTTTGAATCTTGGTTCTGTGGTAGCTGTTATTGGTAGCAAACCAAGAGGTTTTGTATCAATTTATGATACTTTAGTGCCACTTTCACAATCATTAATACACACTGATGCTGTAGGTGGGACAACATTAAATTATATTTCAAGGTATCAGCAGCTAATTATTGGTGAAAAGAGTGGGAAAATGACAAGATATGACTTAAGGATGCAGAAAGTTATAGATAAAATTGATTCTGGCCATGATTCTATAAAAGATATAGTCTGTGACCCTACAGAAATCACATTTGCAACTGGCGGGAAAGAAGGTTTAGTAAAAATATGGGACAGCAGAAGCTTTACACTAAGAGAAACTATTGAAGTTAGCAAGAAATCCCGAAGCAACAAAGCAATTACCAAGCTCCAATTTGTGGAGACATCACTATTAGCCTCAGTAGAGGACGGTTCAGTTAAGTTATTAAGAATCACAACCCATTAATCTAATATGGAAATAAATGCGAGTTTTTAGAAAGTTTAGTATTTCTCCTTGGATAACTTACCCAGTAGACGACATAACAGCCACAAAGACTCGAATTTTTTATTCCCTTCTCAGCGACAACACAATGCTTAAATTCACACCTGTAAAAGCCGTGTTTTCTAGGAGAAAAGAAGAATTTTTAGTTGTAAAAAGAAAAGGGTTTATGAAGGTCGAATTTATCCCTCGAAAAATCGACGCAAATAATTTTGGTAAAATTGAAAATGACTATGATAGCGCCAAATTGTTTCAGCTGCAGCCTGAAGATATAGATAGCTTACTTACATCAAAAGAAGGCACATATGAGTATAAGCAAAAAATTAAAAAGAACTTCAGAGTCCTCAGAGTGGAGAAAACTGCAGGAGACTGAAAATGGGCCGTTGCACAAACAAGTATAAGTCCGACTGGAAATCAGATCACAAGTGGAAATGGGAAAACTGAAGGCCCTGAGGTTGTTGTGAATGCACAAGAAATGTTTATTATAAAGCACTTTTTCAATGTAAAGGATATTTAGTTTACAATTCCTTATTTGATGGGCTGGCAAGTAATTAAAGATGATGGTCTGGCCAAGTTTAGTATGGAAAGTCATGATGAAAGCTTGATTTTTGATGAAGAAACTTTAACTAGCAATTAAGCTGCAAATTAATAAAAATAATCAGGCATTAAATTTACATTAAATCAACAGGTATCTGATCATATTGATTTTTTATAAATGTATCATACTCAGATTGAAGATGACCCATTTGGGATCAAATGGGACCAGAATATCCAGATTGAGTCTTTTGAGCAAAAACTGCTGGAAGATAAGCCGAAAGACCACTCATATTACGAATGCACTCTGAAATGCAGTGTAAATAATAATGAATACAAATGACCAATTACGTTTTCCATTACAGATGCCAGAAATTTATATGAAGAGCTTAAACCAAAAATTAAAGATCCAGATATAAATTTACCAAAAATCCCAACCAAAGCAGATTTTAAATCTTTAAATATCCGAGACCGTTTGGATTTTCTCCACTCTTTCCTTCAAAGCGCCATTTTAAACTATTTCTCAACAGCTGAAGTTCGAAAAGTCCTTGAAATTTCCCCAAAATCTTTTTCTTCCCATATCAAGCTTAAAGAAGGTTATATCAATAAAGAGAGACGAGACCGTAAAATGAGTCATGCCTATATAACAGATTACATAAAAAGAACTTATGAGTTAAGGTGGCTAAGGCTCAGAGAAAATGGCTTGGAATTTTTAATTGACCAAGTTTCTGAAAAAATGAATGAGTCTATGTTTTTTACCCGAGATTTTTCAGTCAAACCATATGGGTGCACAAAGCTAAAAATCACTTCTGATGAGTATGATTTAATAATTGATATAAACAGTAAGAAAAAGAGGCAGCTTTGGCTTGACTCAATAATCCAAGCTCTAGGCCGCTGTGATCAGTATAATTTTGTCCCAAGATTTGGGTCTTCATTTCCAGTCCGCCATGGAAACCGTGTCAAAGCTTATATAGATGGCGAAAATTACTATTCCGACGTATATGACAGCTTAATTTCTGCAAGAGACATTATTTGTATCGCAGACTGATGGATGTGTCCTCAGCTTTATTTAAAGCGCCCACCTACTCAAAATGAAGACTCAAGGCTTGACAGAGTCTTAGTCTCCGCCTCTCAAAGAGGCGTAAAAGTTTATATCATAGTATACCTTGAAAGCAAGCTTGGAGGCACCAATAATTCTTTATATGTAGAAAGTACATTTGCCAAATATTCAAATATAAAGGTTATTAGACATCCATTTAACCCCCGACTTCCTCATGCCCAAGATCTATGGTTTTGGTCACATCATGAAAAAATGGTGATTATTGATAATGCCATGGTATTTATGGGAGGCTTAGATTTGTGCCTGGGAAGATGGGACACACAAGAACATAAGCTTAGAGATGACGGAAATGTAAAAATATGGAACGGAATGGATTATTCCAATGTGAGGGTCAAGGATTTTGTAGAAACTGATAATTATTTAGTAGGAATTAAAATATGGCGTCTTCGTCTGGGCATGGCCTCCCGGCCATGCAGCCTCGACACATATTTTAATTATATCCAGCAAGTTTTTACCAATCCAGAAATGGGCAGCAATGCTAGGTAAGCAATTCTGGTAATGTACAGAGCCTAGCCCTCAGTCCAATTTCAGGGTTGGGTTTTACCTCGAAGGAAAGGAGGGTTTGGATTTGGAAAGGGCAAGCCCAGCTAAGTCTGCAGGTAATACCCAGACCAATCGGGTAACTGCCTAGCGTGAAAACCGGGCGTTACGTCCCGGGATCCAGACTTTTCCTTTTTGCCGAGAGGTCGAGCAGAAATTCCATTTTTTGGAAATTTTGTTTGGCCAACCTCGTGACCCATGCAGCAGCCACAGAATGCCATAGTCCGCCCACTCAACACTGGACCCGGAAGGGAAGGAGGAGACGTCCGAAGCAGAACCCCACACTTCAGAAGTGTCATGGCATCAGGCGTTGAAGGAGAAGAAAGGCAGTGTCAGAGCTGAAACACTTGCCCGGCGAATCATTGTCCCAATTCAAGCAAGGCGAAGCTGATGAACCACCCGTATGGGTAGGTCCTTGGTGACTGCGTAATCAATATGGCAGACGCCTCCCTGTAATAATGTTAATGTTAATGATAATTATTTAGTAGACTCAGTTAATAGAAGAAATGTTCCAAGGATGCCTTGGCATGATGTAGCGATACAGATTAAAGGAAATGTGGTATATGACCTGTCAGCTCATTTTAGGGCTAGGTGGAATTTTATGGTAAAAGACACTTTGTCACAAACTGAAAGTTTGCCTATAGCTGATATACTTTTTTATGTATAATTCTCTATTGTTATTTTTAAGCATTTTTTAAAATAATTAGGGCAATTAGCTATATCCCAGTTTTGCATTTGGATTATGATATTCTTGACCCAAGCCATGATGACCACCAGCAACTTAAAGAAATAATCCAAGAAACTTTTAGTGACATTAATGATCCTCATTTGCTATATACAGACATTCTGACCACAGAAGAAGACATCTATGAATGTCAACTTGTTATAAGTGCTTCAGCATGAAGCTTAGGAAGGACTCAAACTGAGCACTCTATACAAAATGCCTATATAGAGCTAATTCAACAGTCTGATCATTTTATTTATATAGAAAACCAATACTTTATCTCGTCAACTGCTTCTTCTTATGTAGAAAACCAAATAACTAACGCTTTAACAGACCGTATTATAAAAGCTGCTTCAGAAAATTCTCCTTTTAAAGTCATAATTTTGCTTCCTTTAATTCCTGCTTATGAAGGAGAGCTTAACATTTATAATTTTGCGACGACTGCAATAAAAGAAATAATGAGCTGGCAATATAAAACAATTTCTAGGTCTCCAAGCTCCATTTTTAGCAAACTAAAAGAAAGAGGAATAGACCCAAGCCATTACATTAATTTTTATTCACTAAGAACTCATGGAATCCTCAATGATGGCCCTGTCACTGAGCAAGTATATATGCTTACGATAATTAGCTCATTTTGATAAGCCAAATAATTTTTAAGCGTCTGAATAACCAAAAAAATGATCCTTAAGCTATTTATCATAAGCTAGTATATATATTCATGCAAAAATAATGATTGTGGACGATAAAAATGTGATTATAGGAAGCGCCAATTTAAATGATAGAAGCATGAATGGGGATAGGGACTCAGAGGTTGCAGTTGTGGTAAAAGAGGGAAAAATGCAAAAAGGAAAAATGGCTGGTGAAAGCTGTGAGGTGTCTGAATTTGCACACAAGTTGAGGGTAGACTTGTGCATGGAGCATTTGGGGATTGAGGAGATTTCTGTTGTGGAGGATCCATTTGAGGCAGAGTTTTGTGAGTTGTGGGAAAATACTGCGAGGATCAATACTGAGCAATATAGGAAAGTATTTAGGTGCTATCCAGATAACGAAATCAACTTATTGTCAAGAATTCAGAGTTTCAGGGAGCAGAAAGAAATAAATGCATACTCAGAGCTTTCAAGAACTGTTAAAGGGCATCTTGTGCAATTTCCATTAGAATTTTTGTCTGAAGAAAAACTTAAGAAGACTGATTATTTGCCAAACATTGTTCTAAAAGATGAACTTTATACTTAATAAGTTCAATGTATTTTTCTTATTAATTATTCTTAATAGCTTTTAATAGATATTAAGCCAGCTGCACCAATAAGATAAAACAATTGCAAAATTTTATATTTAATTATATTAATTATTTATCATTGAAAGAAATCATATGCTATTTAATCATATAGGGTATAGAGCAGCATAAATATTTTTTAGCTTTATTGCTTTATATATTAAATTTATGAGGCTTTTCTCTTTAAATTGCGAAATGTGAATGCTGGCCAATTGTGCAATCAGATTCATTAAAATTTTTTACGGGATTGAGATCTTATTTTTGTAATTTTGTCGATCATTCTTGAATTAATGGGATTTTTTCAGCCAACACTGACAAATCTCTTTGGACTTCTTTTAATTATCTAAACAGTTGCTGATATTTTTTATGGTGATTGTTAGGTTTAGATTTCAAATTTATATGCAGATTTGTCTATATTTGAAGTATCCTATAGAGAGCTTACAATTTATATTTTTATAATAAAAATTAAAAAAAAATAATTATATAGCTGCAAATCTTTACTCACAAAGGCCCCTTTGATCATGTACCAATTTATTAATAGGATAGAAATAAATTATCTATACACTTAATGTATTTTATTTGAAAGAGTATAGAATAATTGATTATATTTCATTACCTTTTAAATGAATAAACGTCTGATCTGTTCTAACGTTGAATAGCGCACTCAGAAGAGGGATCCAATTTTTGCCACCTTTCTTGCGTTTCCAATGTTTTACAGACATCACTGTCCAAAACGCAGCATATCGTTCTTTATCGCTAAATCAAAGCAGATGACATTCAGAAATTTGAATCTGATGCCATAATGATCATCCATGATGAATCAATTATATCACCGAATTAACCCCCTGGAACAATTAAAAATGGAGCGCATGAATTAGGGTCATTGTCCCCTAAGGTTATCCTAGTGAGGGAACTTCAGTCTTTCTGAAGGATATTGGCGCTGGAACTGCTTCGGCAGTTCCTGGTGTGCTTGAATCAAGTTCAAGGAAGGAAGAGAGACTCGTCTAGGTCATAGGCTACTGTAACGGTTCGACGGTTAGGCCAATTCCACCTACCGTTGTTCAGAGCTGTTAGCCAGTGATGGAATTCAGGAAGGATGAGCTTGTATTGTCAGATCCTAAGCTAAGTGGGGGTCGACAAAGTGTTATCGTAATCTTAAATCTTAAATCTTAAACCCCCTGGAGCTAATTTTTTAATGCAAACCCCAAATCTACGAATTTCTTTGCAAAAATCCCATCTCGAGCTACTCTTATTGCCGACACAAGATTTTGAAGATCTCTAATTGTACATCGTTAAAAAAATCAAGGTTTTCCCGGCAACTTCTTCCACCAAATTCAATTTAAATTTTTCATTGAAAAATAAATAAAAATATATCCCACTAATAATTAATTTCTACAAATTTACCTATAAAATCCAAAAATCCTGTATTCTTTAAAATAAAATATACAAAAATATTTTTCATAATTTTCGACCCCCAAGTTCATAGGGTTCCAAATGTATAAATCCCTGCTGAATTAACGCCTAAAAGCCCGGGAAACTTTTGGGGAGATGGCCCAACCTTTACGAGATTCTCAAAGGTGACTTTTGAATAACTGGGTATTATCTTTCATTTTCTGGCTCAGAATGCAGCAAGAACAAGATATGGAAGTTGTGCGTAAGATTCACATAGATTACACTTATTACAGACATAGCGCCCCAAAAGATGTTATTTATTACCGCTGCTCAGATAGGCGTTGTCCTGCAAGGCTTCACTATGATACTCAGACGAAAGAAATTAGTTTTAAAAATAATCATTTGAGCCCAGCGATTCATAGGCCTTCAAACTCAAAAAGAGCCATCACTACCCAGCAGCTGCTGAAAATGCCTGACCACAAAATGAGGGCTCCTGTAGTTGTAACCCAAGTAATCCCATCTCAAAAGGTGAGAAGTGAAGAAGAGTTAAATTTGCCGAAGAAGAGAGAAAGGTTTGTCACATTAATCAATGGCTCGCCTCAAGAAATATTTATGATCAGATTCTTTGTGGACAACGTTGATTCTGCACACCTATTTTCAAGAGAAGTGATATATTGCTTTGCATTAATTTTTTCTAGCCAAAAAGGGATTTTATATGTGAAAATCTAAAAATTTCACATGAAGATAATTTTTGATGGTCAGAACTATAAAGAAATTAAAGCAGCATATAATATCAAAATGCATTGGAAATAAAGTCAATTGTTTTACCACAGGAGTTCAGCTTACCTTTGCAAATTCGCAAGATCTAAAAGTTGTGATTGAGGTGGAGACTGTACAAGACCAAATTTCAAAGGTTATTTTGTTGATGAACCAGGTTTTTGGAAAAGAAATTGATGTTGATATCTTCAAGAAGCATTAATAAGCAATTTAATTTAAATTGACTAAAAATCGTACCGTTAAGGGAATTGGGTTTGTGAATTGGGCTGGGCAAACCCCAATTTGGACTATAGAAATGGATGGTTTTTGGATTTTTTCAGGCAACAGTTTAAGATAAGTTAAATATGATGCATTTCTATGATGCTCAATAGATGCTTAATCCAAATCAGCTATTTATTAATTAAGAATGACAACTATAATTAAATTATGATTTTATAAGCCATGGGCTACTTCTATGATGTGGCAAATAAGGAGGCAAGCTTGTATCAACCTTTGATTGATTAGTAAAACCTCTTGGAGTGCTAGAAATATAAGTATCAAGAATTTCTGAATGATGGGCATTTGGAGGGTATGCTAGCTTATGGTTCTGCGTCGGTAAATCATAGGTCAGGTTTTCTTGATATGAGAGATTTCGTCTTCTTACAGTGTTATGGTCAATAAATTCTTGAAGAATAAAAATAAAATCGCTATTCTTCTGCAGCATTTGGGTAATAAGGGAATCTTTATTACTCCTGTTAAATATACTTAAAACTAAATTGCAGGTTTCTTCAGGACTTAGCATTTCAGGTGAAATTGGCTGATTTTCTTCTGAATCTTTTAGTTTTACTGTTAATTCTTCAATTGCTTGACTAAGCCTTGATCTTTCTTCATTCCAAGCAGTTTTTTCATTAGTCGCATTTTCTATCCATTTTTTTGTTTTTAGCATATGGTTTTTATATTCCTGGGAGAGATTTTTAAGCTCGTCTTCATATTTTCTTTGTTTCTCTTTGATCATCGCTGTATTTTTTAGCTCTTCCTCATACCTTCTTTGCCTTTCTTTATATTCTTCTAAAGCTACTCTTAATTTCGCTATTTCTTCACTATATTTAATAATATTCTGTCCTTCATTTTCAGTAAGAGAAGAGCTTTGTCTCTTTTTTACTGCCAATTGGATTTCCATCTTTTTATTAATTTCTTGCTTCATCTCTTCAAGCTCGGCTTTATGCTGGCTTTCCCACATCATTTGTAAACTATTCACAAAAACTGACAAAAGCTCGGTAAATTCTGAAAACTTTTTCTTCATATTTCTATTAGGTGTTTTAAGCCACATCTGGAAATTAATATAATTTTCTACTTCAGCTTCTAAATATTTATAAACTTCTTCCAGCTCATTTTTCTTGCCTGAAAATCCTTCGTTTTCTTCATCCCCTCCCCATCTTTTTCTGCCTGAAGAAAACGGCATATCACTATAATAAGAGCTGTCAAAAGAAGTTAAGCAGCTTTGTTTTCTGAAATCTTCTGATCTTTTATGCAGCTCTTCTCTTACTCCCCCCCACCCATCCTTAATCGAACGGCTCGCCATCGTTCGATCAAGGATGGGAGTTAAAAAATTGTTTTAGGAAAAAAAATTTATATATATATTTTTTTTATTTACTTTTAAATAGGAGGGTTAAGAGTATTTAATAATTATTTTTACAGCAAAAAATTGAATTAATTTCATAAAATACCAATTTTTAATATTTTGATTTATTAGTTACCCCTTTAAACTGTATAAATTTTAATGTGTTTTTTTATTGAATTAAATTTTTTTTTACAAATTTTAAAGAATCTCTATTTTATTAGATTATTGAGTTTTTAGCCTAGGCTGATGACTAAATCACTTCGGATGGTTGATTCCGCAGCTTTCTGTCGTCTCAAAGTCTCTGAAAACAACTTCATTATATGCATCTTCCCAAGCTTTTGATAACTAATATATTTTTATATATATAAAAATTTGCATGATATGAAAATCGTTCGATCAAGGATGGGGGTTAATTTTCCCAATTTTTAGGAATTTTACAGTCAATCGTTCGATCAAGGATGGGGGGGGAGTTAAGGTTTCTTTTTCTTTTGCATATTGCTCTTCGAGCTGTTTTACTGCATTTATATAATTTTCTTGAAGCTCTTTTCTTATTTTAATTTCAATTTCGTGTGATTTTTCAATTAAAGCGGCTTCTTTGACTTCTTCGAAAAATTTTTTGGTTTCTTCTTCTCTTTGTTTAAAAGTTTTTTTGAGCTGCTCAGTAATGGATTTTATAGCTTCGTTTTTTTCTTTTTCAGCTTCTAATTTGAGGGATTCTTCTTTGTCCTGAAGCTCTTTTTGGTGCTTTGACTGCATGAGACTGATTTTTTGTTTGGTTTTGCGTTCCCATTCTTTGCGCTCATGGTTAAGTTTTTCTAATTCAGAAACTTCGACTTCTTTTTTGGCGGCTTCAAGAGAATTTTCAGCTGCTTCTTTGAGCTTTCGCTGTTCTCTTTCCCATTCTCTTTTCTGCTTAAGGTGTTCTTGTTTAGCGTTGTTTAGCTTTTCTTTATAATCCTGCTTAATTTCTTCTTTTATTCGTTTTTGTTCTATTTCATGAGCTTCTTTTAGAGATTCGATTTTTTGTTCTTTTAGCAGCAATTCTTTTTCAAGCTGATTTTTTTCTTTTTTTAGCAATTCTTGCCACTCTTTTTCTTTTTCTTGAAGAATCACAAGAAGCTCGTCTTGGCTTCTTTGAGTGTCAAGCAATAAAGACTGTTCTTTTATATTCATTAAATCTTGATGTCTTTCTCTTTCAATTTGGATCTGTTTATCGCAATCTTCTTTTATTTTTCTGATATTTTCTTCGCACTCCATATTGATTTTTTGCTCTTTTTCTGTGAAATCTTTTGATAATTTTGACTTAAATTCTTGAATTTTTTCTTTGTACTCAATTTCCATTTCTTCAAGTCTTGACGACAATGTGTCATCAATTGATAATAGTTCTTCTTGGGTTTTTTCATGCTGCATTATTTTTTCTGAGCGAATTTTTATTTCATTTTTCAGCCTTTTGATTTCATCTTCTAAATCACTTTTTTCATGCTCAAACCTATCAATTAAATTTGACCTCTCTTTTTCGTATTTTGTCCTTATTTCTTCATAATAATAAAATGGCTCAGTGCGGAATTATTTCTCTCCGAGAACTATTGCTTCCCTCGCTTTTATTATTATAGGGTTCAGTTTTCCACGTGGCCTTTTATCCGCAACACCAATATGGAATACCGCATAGGGTATTCAATTGGTCCAGGATGCTAAGGACATCTGGGTTTTCTGCTTGACACACCCGAAGAGGTTGACCCTTAGGCGGAACACGCGCAGGAGTCAAGTTCGGGCGAGGCAACGCTGCCGGTGCGGGATTTCTGGCCCAGCTGAGGGCGGAACTTTATAGAATGGCTTGGTAGGGCTAACCGGTCCAAGATTGCTTGGTGACGTCACCAGTCGGGAGTTAAAAGGATGGGCTTAAGCATGCCTATCTCATCCTGCTGAAGAAATCAAGACACCTTAAATACCTAAGTAACTAACTCCCCCCCTCGAAGTTCGACCAAGATATAGGGAAATTCCTATTTTTTTGGAAAAATTAACCCCCTCAAAGTTCGACCAAGACCTATATAAATTTACTAGGAAAATAAGCAATTTTTCAAAAATTTTAAACTATGTGGGGGTGAGCTTGCGATTTTTGAATTCAAGTTCTAAAAAAGCGTTACAAAACCATCTTGCACTATTTTTTCTAACCCTTACACCCTCTCAACCATACAGAAAGAATATGATAAATATTTTTTTTTTAACTAATAAATTATATAAAAAAAATTCTATATAAATTTTTTTTAAAAAAAAATTTTCTTAACCCCCCTCGAAGTTCGACCAAAAAAAAATCTTGGTCGAACTTCGAGGGGGGGGAGTAAGTAAGTAAGTCCTTATTTCTTCAATTTTTTCTTTAAAAAGTTTTTCGCATTCATCTAATTTTAATTCCAAATTTTTTTCGTATTTTTCTTCAATAATCCTGATTTTTGTTTTATTTTCTTTTTCAGACTCAGAAATTTTTTTCTCAAAAATCGCAATTTTCTTTTCATATTCTTCTCTAATATCTTTTTCAAGATTTTCAGGGTCTGGATATGAAGAAATTTCGTTTTCAAGCTCCTCAATTCTTTCATCACGCTCTTTTAGAGTTTGTAGCAAATCTTCAGTTTCTGCTTTATATTTAGCTTGCAAAGATTGTAGAGAAGATTTTAACTTTTGGGCTTCTTGGTTAGGCTCATCTTTTTCAAGCTCTATTTTTTTCAATGAGTCTCGATGAAGATGTCCTCTTTGTTCTTCAATTTGCCGCTTATAATTATCAATAAGATTTTGTGCCTGATTATTTGCATGCCTTAAATTTTCCATTTCTTCTTGATACTGGCTTGCTAGCTCTTTTGATAGCTGTAATTCACTTTCAAGCCTTCTTATGGTTTTATTTTGTTCTAATTGATTATTTTCAATAATTCTTATATCGCTTTTCTTTTTACTTTTTTCTTCTTCAAGCTCTTGAGCTAATTCTTCAATTTTATCATTTAAATCGTGTATAATCTCATTAGAATTCCTATCATTATTTTTATATTCTTCAATTTTTGCAGTTAAATCAATTATTTCTTGGTGCATGTTGTGAATTTCTGCTTCCATAATTGCGATTGTTTCTTTTTCTTCTAAATCGTCTATTGCAGTTTCTGGCTTATTTTTTGAGTTAATTTGCCATTTTAACTGTGAGATTTCTTCTTCATAGCTGCTAATTCTTTTTTTCAAAATATTGTTTTCGTCTTGAGATTTTAATATTTTTTTTTCATATTGGTCTTTTATTTTATTTAAATGAGTTTCATAGTCAGCATTTGTAGTCCTGCCAGCCTGGACGTCATTAAGCTGGGTTTCTAAGGTCTCGATCTGAAGTTTTGCCATTTTTAGGTCATCAAATTCTTTTTGTGAGTCTTCATTAAATATTTTCAGCTTTTTACTAGCTTCATTAAACGCTTCTTTAAGATTTAAAATTTCTTTGTCTTTTTCTTCATTTTTTGCTTTTTCTTTTTTAAGCTGCTGATCAAATTGATTTAATTTTACTTCACTTGACTGCTTAAAAGCTAAAAATTCATTTTCAAGCTGCTCTTTTGATTTTTGTAAAAAATCAATTTTATCCAAATGGGCCTGAATTTCTTTCATTTTTGCATTATTTACGATTTTCAGCCCTGAAATTTCCATAGTTAGCTCTTCAATTTCTTTTTCTCTTGGGGTCGTGCTTTCTATAATACTTCGCTGTGATAGAGCTGGTGCAGATTAAATAATCGTGTATTTTTTTGATAATAATGATTTCATTGAAGTGCATTTGGTCAAAAAATTGGTTAAAATCTTTTTATGGAAAAAAACCATTAAATTTTGACCAAAGTGCAAATCATTTAATATGTAGCTGATAGAGCATGTGTTAAATCTTCAATTTTTTTATCTTTTTCATCAATATACAGCTTAAGCTGTCTTATTTCTTCTCTAGCATACCCTAATGATTTTCCTTGCATTTGCTCCAAGCTTGACTGGTCTTTATACTTATACTGAAGCATTTTCAAATGCTCTTCTAAGTCACTAATTTTTTGCAAAAAATCCCCTCTTTCAGCTTCAAGTTTTTTCGCATATGCCGCATTATCATAAAGCTCTTTTTGGGTGATTTCATGCATTTCTTGTTCTTTTTTTAATGCAATTTTAATATTTGAAATATCATTTTTCAGCTTTTGGTTGTCGTCATAAATAATCGAGTTTTCTCTAGCTTGTATTAAAGACGCATCATGGGTTTTCATTTGATTTGATAATAACGCACTGCCTTGGCTTATAGCGTCACTTGCCAAATTTCCTTTTTTATTCGCTCTAAAGCTGTTATTAGCTGACGACCTTTTTGAATTGATATCTGTAGGCCCCATAAACCACCCTTGGTCATGATTTCCAGGTGAAAATGTAAGTGCTTCATTTTCATCATGAGTAGGATAATCCAGCACAGGTAGCCCATGAGATGACCCTGGCCTTCTGCTTGATGGTATTGCAATATCAATTTTTTCAATTGAAGAATGCGGCCTTACCAAGGCTGGAGGCATTGAGGAATCGTTTTGCGACTGGTCCCAAAAGTCAAGATCTTGGTCAATTGACATGCTAGGCGCTGAAACCTGAGGAAAGAGACCTTCAGTTTGAGTTATATGAGCTCTGCTCCAATTCATCATTTTTGAAATCTGCTTTGGGGTGAAGGCTCGAGACTGAGGCTGAGAACAGCTGCTTTCAGGCCGAGACTCATCAAAATTAAGGTGTCTAGGATGCTCTATATCAGTGTTTTGGTTAATTGTGGAATTCATAGAACTCTCGAAGAAATCTTCAATTGGAGGTCTTTCTGGGGAAGTTTGCATATCTTTGTAAGCACTTGAGTCGTGGTCGTATGCAGATCGGCCAGAAATAAGCTCAGATGACATGTCGCTGAAGCTTCCTTCTGGGACTTCAATTTGGTCAATTAGCTCGTGGAGTTCCCTATTTCTTTGTAAATCGCCGACACTGGGCTTTCTTTCCATTTAATTTATTTATATCCCGGTTATAATTATAGCTACTATCAAATTTTGACTGATTTTTTAGTATTATTAAGATTTATAATAAATTAATTTTTTAATAAATAAGCGTTTTCTGTAGAAATTATATAGAAAAATAAGTATATATAATACCTACTAATTAATAAACATATGGAAACCAAAAGCTTCAGATGGTTATTAGAAGTCTTAGCACATGAGCATGTCAATTTGCCTGTATTAGACACGTTTCTAGTGAGCAAATCTCAAGTTTCTTCATGAATTATCACTGATAGTAAAGGAAAGCTTCACAAAAAACCTATGGATTCTGCCACTTATACGCTAAGCACAATAGATCTTATAAGCTCTGAATATTTTGAGGCGATTAAATTAAGACAAAGAGGATCAGATATCGCATATGTTTATACTAGAGAAGGTAGAATAGTTGTTTCGCAAAATACATTAGAAGATTTCAAAATGAGGAACCTTTATGGGGTCACTGTTTTTTGTATTCAAAGGGCCAAGCCTCATTTAGGGGAAAATTCAAAATTATATAGACTTAAGCTTGAGTACTCGAAAAACGAATATTCAGCTGAATTTTATTTGATCAATCCTTTACTAAAAGTAAAGAATAGAGAATGGTTTCAAGAAGTAAAAGATATTGCAACGACTATTCTTGCTGCAATTTTAGAAAGTACAGAAAAAGTGATAATTTCAATTGATATTGACTTTATGAAAGACGAAAGAAACCAGTTTTGGGTTGCCTATGTGTGGAATTGTAAACTAGTTCCTTGGGATATTTTTAAAGAAGAAAATTATGACTTCAAAAGCACTTATATAAGAATGGACTCAAAGATAGATTTAGGGAATAAGTTGAAAAGAAGAGATGATAGTCTTAATAAATTTGGAAATAAAAAGAAAAAATTGTATCAGTTTAGGGTGAGAACGCCGGAGGATTCCGTGAGTAGTGAAGATGATGAATATGAGCATGGCTGATTGAATTTATAGTATTTTATATTAAATTTATGCTAGGGGTATAAAATATTTATCAGGAGATAAATCCTATTAGTTAAGATATAAAAAAAAAATTCAAAAATAAAATTATTAGGGTCAGCATTATTAAATGGAGTTTTAGCTGTCGAGCCAAACCTTGAGAGTAGAGACTCAAGGAAAAGATTTGCAATGGGTGGAAATAGTGTAGGAGGAACCTTAAGTGATAGGTCACTAAAACACAAAAGTTCCCAAAATGTGGACTCTACTTATGAAATTAATCCGCATTTTTTAGAGCTTCTATGCAAAACGAGAGGAAAAATTAATTCAATTAAAGAAGGAAATTTTTTAAGCTTAAGACATGAAGAAGATAGTGAAATTGATAGAGAAAAAGAAAAATTACTAAAAGAAATAGGGGAGGAAGAAAAAATTCCTAATAATGCTCCAAAAATAATACCGTTTTTAGCAAATCTAATAAAAAAAGAAAAAGAATCCGCAAATAAGCCTAAATCTGACCGAACACCGCCAAGAAGTAATATTCAAATTACCCCAAAGCTAGATTTCAAAATATTTAGCCCTGCAGCTGCAAAAAAACTGTCTCCAATTGATAAAAAACCTCAGTCATCAGCTCGCCAAAAGAGATTGAGAAGAATTGAAACAATGAAAATCAGAAAAAGTGCAACAATTACAAAGAACACTACGTCCGCTACACCATTACCAAGGGCAAGTCTTCCTTCCAAGCTATTATTAACTCCTACAATGAGTTTAAACAACCTTTCTCCAAAACTGACTACACCACAGCCAAGTCGTTCGCCAACTCTCCGATTTAATTTTACTTAATAATGATATGAAATTCTACTCAAAAAGCTGTTATATTCACAAATTTTTACTTTCTTGACTGTCTTCTTCTTTTTGGTGTTCTTTTTCGCACTAATCTAGGATCTATATCTTCCTCTTCAGTTGATGATAATTTTCTCATATGATTTCCATCATGATTTTTTTTCGTTTTTTTCGGAGATTCATCTTCTGATATGTCTCTAGTAAAATCTTCCTCACCTCTATCTCTTCCTGTAGTGATCACATCATTATAATTATTTTTCTTTCCATTTTTCTTTTTACCAGTTTCTTCTTCTGAGTCACTTCTTGAGTTCAGTTTTGCTAACTCCCCCCCTCCGTGAGTGAACAAAAAAATTTTGTTGACTCACGGAGGGGTTAATTTTTGTTTTTAAAAAAATTTATATATAAATTTTTTATAAAATTGTTTTTTCGAAAATTAAATAATCTCACTTCTATAAAATTGGGAAGAAAAATATTAATTTAATTTGTAAAAATTATGTTTTAAAACGCAATTTGTTTAAAATTAAGCAGATTTAGCTCTAGATTTCATTATACTAATTATCACTTATATATCAAAATTTTTTTTCCATAAAAAATTTTTCTAATAAAAACGTTTTTGTTCACTCACAGAGGGTGGTTTTTGGGCAAAAAATAGGGATTTTTTCTAATGGTTTTATTCACTCACGGAGGGGGGGAGAGTAAAGAGACCTCTTTTCTCGATTTTCTCTTTTTTTTAAAAGCTTTGGGCTGCTCTTCTATTTCAAGCTCATCAATAGGGGCTTGGTCTAGCAGTGTTTTGACAGAGCTCATGAGCTCTTTTATGTGTAAAAATGTAAATAATAATTTTGTTAGATACCAAATTATCAGGAGTGCTATCACTCCATTTTCTAAAAAATCTTTTTGGTCGATGAAGTGGTATATAACTAAAACACCTGCGAGTGCAGTTTTTATCAGTCTTTGGGCAATATCCTCTAAATCTTCAAATAAATAGATTTTTTTTTTATAATAAAAATTAATTTTCAATTTATTATTAATTGAAGACGGTCTAGTGTATTAATTTATATTTGAATGATGAAAATATGTGGTAAGTGAGGATTAAGTTTGTCCTGAACACCCGGAATGGGCGAAAAACACCAATATATACTAGCATAGCTGCATGCAGTGTGACTACAAGTATAAGCTGGATATCTTTATATTCTCCTATCATACATAAGCTTGCCGCAATACCAATATTCTCGAATTGCTCAAAAATCAAATGAAATTCTCTTATAAAATACCTATAAGCCCTATAATCAGCCCCAAAAATTTTTTTAATTTTGGATGCTTCCAAGTTCGCTCTATGTTTAATCCTTAAATATAAAATTTTCCCAATAGGGTAAACCGCTAAAAGTGCTATGCTGACACCAAAAGATAACCCAGAATTAAAATCAATAGTCTTTCCATCAAGTATTTCTTTTAAATCCAAGAAAAACGACATTACAAGCCGAAAATGCACAATTTTCAAAATTTGCAAGCCGACTTCAAATTCCATTATCTTCGTCAAAATATTTTTGTCATATGTGCGCTTTCATATGAATTTAGATGCCACATAAGCCAAAATATACCCGCCTACGATGCATATAACAGTAAATACATTATAAAAATAGTAAGGTTCTCATTCATCAGTCGCAAAAAAATAATCAGGATAATTGATCGTTTCAGGTTGGGAAATTGAGTTTTTTATATCTTTATCAGCGTAGTTTATAAACACCCAAGAGTGGTTTGCGTGAATTATTGTTGCAGATGAGTATGTGTACTTCAAGTTCAAATATGCAAGAGCTGTGAGAGTTTGGAGCTGAATCCAATTTCTGGCAAATCCGTCCATTACTTCTTCGAGCTCTCTTGTGAGTTTAGGTACAAAGATACCAAGTAGAAAAAGTGCGGTTGCTGCGTAGGAGCAAACTAAAAATGCACCAAAGACTATAAACACAGTCTCAGTGGTGTCAGCATCATAATTCGCCATTTAAAAACTAAATAAACTGCTAATTTGTTGACTTATGAGTCTATCAGTTTTCCTTTCTGATTTTATCTTTAATTCTGAGAATTTAATTCATTATTTTACTCACTTCCCTATCTTTGATCATTTGCAATCAAAATTTACAAAATTAACTCTATCTAAGGTCGATATAATTCATGAGCCCATTCCAAAATCTAGCTAACTATGTTTAATAATGATGAATCTTAGAGATTATGCCACATAATTGTTCTTATGCAATTCTAATGCGATTTATATTAGTTAATTTATTGCAAATCTATATTGTAGGACTAATTCATGAAAACATTTTATATGAATAAATATTGGGATAAAAATTTATATATATTATTTTTAGATAACTATCCTTGATCAAGCGAACGAAGTTCAATCAAGAATGGGGAAGAATCAGATGTTAAATCTGTTTGCTTACTCCCCCCCCCCTCCGTGAGCGAACAAAACCATTAGAAAAATCGCCATTTTTTGACCAAAAACCCCCACCCTCCGTGAGTGAACAAAAATTTTTTTAATAGAAAAAATTTTAATGGAAAAAAATTTTGATATATAAATGATAATTAGTATAATGAAATCTAGAGCTAATTCTGTTTAATTTTAAACAAATTGCGTTTTAAAACATAAATTTTGCAAATTAAATTAATATTTGCTTCCCAATTTTTTGCAAATTAGGATTTTTTTAAATTTCGAAAAAAATATTTTTTATAAAATTTATATATAAATTTTTTTTAAAAAAAAAAATTAACCCCCCTCCGTGAGCGAACAAAATTTTTTTTGTTCGCTCACGGAGGGGGGGGGGGAGTTAGATAAAAGTCAGGCAATATATCTTTAAATTTGCTATTTCTTATATCATGAGAATAATCTGCTATAATTTATCTTAAAAATTTAAATAAGCTTTTAGGTCAATATAAGCTTAATATAGTTAAAACTGATTATTTACAAAAATTATCTCTGTATGTGTTTCACATCATATGTTCTAATATCTCCATTTCTTCAAACTATTATGGATTCGGGTATTTTATTTAGATCATTTTTAGGGATCAATGATAATTTTCCATTGCATGAATACGATTTTTCTATTAATTCCTTAACTCTCTCTATCACTTCACAATTATTTTCTTGATTTTTCAGCATTTTTCTAGTTTTTTTGCTATTTTCAAATGTAAATTCAAATGACTGTTCCAAAGACGTTATATTCACATCTTTTGTTATTTCTTGTATAGGACTAATATTGCCTAGAGACTCAAGCAGAGATGAACTCAATAGATCTGGGGCTGGATTAATAGAAATATAGCTGTGTGACAAGCTTGATTCATTTTCAGGGTCAATAAAATCGTTTCCAAGATGTTCGCTTGGAGACCTTGATGGCTGCTTTTTTCTATTTTTCAGAAAATCATTAAGCCTAGACGGCGAGTGACTGAGATCTTCTAATTTTAATTCTACCCGTATTGGCTCAGCATTAATATAGCCATATTATAATAAATAGTCTCCTAATAATTTTTACCTAATTCTATATTTTTTTATGATTAAGCAGAATATTGGTAATCTATTTGAAATAAATTAATTTTAAATATAATATCTTTATATTTATTCGAGGAGTGAGATCTTGATGAGCATTTTGACGTTGAAAAGCTTTTTCGGTGAAGATTTAATTTAATAATCGGCTGTTTTCTGTCAGTTTTTGGAGGTGATTTTGGGGTTTTTGCATGAATATTTTGTCTTTTTGGTGGCGTTTTTAGTTCGTGTAATGATATATTTACTTCTTTGACTTCTAATGAGCACCTAATTTGATTATATCTTTTTAGGTAAGACATTATTATTTTTTATATATTAATTCTTGAAGTAGAAGGCTCAAAATCAGTCACATCTCGGCTACTCTGTCCTCTGCTGACAGCTGTTGATGACAATATTTTCATTATTTTTGTTTTTAAAATAACAGCTATAATTGATAAAAACACCATGAAAACAAAACAAATCACAATTAGCAAGATAATCATGATATAGTCCACCCCATACTTTTGTGCATGAGTTATTATCCACCAAATCAGCCCAGCAATTATAATGCACCCTACAACAATAGGAATTATCAGCTTAAAGTCTCTAAAAAACTCATAATCTGCCTCTATTGTAGCATTTTCAATTTTTAATGCAATTTCTGTATGGCATAACTCGCAGATATTTTTACTCCCTGGTGTTTTTTGGCTGTATCTTATTCATTGTTCTAAGCATTGCTTGTGGACATATTTGACGCTTCCTTTGCATAAACAAGGGGATATCATATCTTCTCAATTAGATGCGTCAAGACAGATGCGGCAACGGAAAGGGCTGTTTGGGGATCTTGCATTAAAGCTGCTGTGTGTCACTTGGAATGGGAGTTTTGGAGTAATTGTTAAGATTTCGACTGATTCGACTGAGTCTCGGTTTGAGATCTTCATAGAGGTTTCTTCAGAAATATCTGAGTCGGAACCTCTTCGCTGGGCTGGGATAAAATCAATTGGAGATAGCAAGGCTCTGTTTTGCTTGAATGATGAGCTCGGCTCGGTGCTTATGTAGTTTGATTCTTGCATATAAATTTTTATAACTCCCCCCATGAGCAACAAAAAAAAAATTGTCCGCACACGGAAGCGGTTAATTTTCATTTAAAAAAATTGTATATATATTTTATATCATTTTTTTTTCAAAAAATCCCAAAAATTGGAAAGCAAATATTTATATAATCTTGTAAAATTTTATATTTTAAAAGGCAATGTGTTGAGAAATTTTATTATAATAATAATTACTTATATATCAAAATTTTTTTTCATCAAAAATTTGTTGTTTAAAGGGTGGGCTTTTGGGCAAAAAATAGGGATTTTTCCAATGATTTTGTTCACTCACGGAGGAGGAATAAGTACTTAAAAGATCGCGATCTTGATAGTGGAAAATGGATACGAAAATTTATCTAATTTATTTACAATCATAAGAAATAAAATGGTGATATATGGAAGCTGGGCTCTGAGGCGCACTCCCTATGGAGCAAGTGGGAACCATTCTAATGAAGCTGAAAGAAGGGCCTTTGCTCCTTTTGAAGAAGGCCCTTCAGACTTGGAGAAGCCTTGCCGAAGAGGGGGGAGCTTTTTTTCTCCCAAAGCTGCCAGATGGACTAGACAGGTTTTATCTACCACATGGTCCTTCCTTGTCAGAATCAGTGGGGCACTGTTTATTGAGACTGCTCTGTTGGATTGAACCATACAAAGGCTAGTGGATACCCACTTATGCTCAGATTAACCTTTTTAATAATAATAATAATTTACAATCATAAAAGAAGTCTATAAAAATGAACTGGAGAAACTTGAGAACTTATGGGTCAGGCTAGACGGTAAGTCTTATAGCCATAATCTAATTAAATTAAATTAATTTACAATCATATAAAACTCCAGTAATCCTAGAATAACCTGCATTAATGTTTTTAATAAATCAAACTATAAATTTGTTGATTGTGACATAGAATAGCTTATGCGTTATTTGATTTTTGATTTTTATATAAATTTAAAATCTTCAATACAAATAACAAAGCTAATCATTATTGTAATATTTTTTGTCTAATAATAAATGCTTATTATATAATTTGAGCTCGGCTTATTTTTTGTACCAAAAAAGAAATCTTAATCTTAAATTATTTATAGCGTTTAACGTCCACTACGGGGTAGCCTTGCCTAGAGCTGCCATTATATTTATCCACATGCCGGGTCCATGGACCTCTGGATCGACTCACTTTAATTCGCCAAGGCAGGGATAAGTGCGGCGTTCCGGCTTCGACGGGCTTCGCTGCTGTCACGGCTTTATACGACTCAGCTCCAGCGCGTGCTCCTCCAAGGGTCATCGGGTGTGCTGAGGTAAAGACCTGAGCCTCTTGAGCCCACTGAGGAGCAGTTTCTCTGGTTATCCCCAGAGTTAAACCGCTGTTGCTGTGCAGAGGTTCTCGAGATAAAACCCAACCCCATAAATAAAATTGCTTGAGGGAGAGAAAATTAGCGGAGCTAATTTCACTCGAACCGAATGCCATTTTATTTATCCCACAAAAGAAATCACATAAAATCAATTAATATATAGGAGAAGAATAAAATCCTTACTCTCCATTCGTGAAAGAGAAAAAAATTTTACTCACATAGGGATTAAGATTTTTTTACAATTTTATCTATAAATTTTTATATCATAATTTAATGTAAACAACCCCAGTTCAAAAAATTGGAAAGTTAAATTGATTTAATTTGTAAAATCTATGTTTTAGAGAAAAAGTAACAGAATTTGTGAGAGATTTCATTACAATGATATTGTTTGCATATCAAAATATTATTTGCTCACTCACAGTGGTTGTTTACCCACAAAATATGGATTTTTCCAAACGTTTTTTACTCAATTATAGAGGGGATGCTAATAAAATGTCATATAAGCCTAACCCCCAATCTCAGGCCTATATGATCAATAGCATTTATGTGCATTTTTCTTTTAAAAACAAAATTTATTCTTACAAAAAAAAAACAAATGTAAAATCAGATAGTGAAGCATATGGGAAATGCAGCATACCCTAATGCACCTGGCTTTAATCCTCCCATGCCATCAGCTCCTTCGATGTCATTAGATTCTTCATCTCCTTTTCAAAATCAGGGCTTTTCCCGTCAATATTCAAATCCTAACCCATTTAGATAATTTATATGGTGGTGGCGATGAAATATGCCTTTGAAGATGACGAACCACTTTGGGCGCCAAAGTTGTATTATAGCCTAAACCAAGCTCAGGCCCTTTAAGTTGCCTCGAGCAGCTGTATGGATAAGTAGGTTGTAGGAGTAAATTGGTTGCGATTCGAATCCAAATAGATTTTGGGCCATGGGCTCTTTTCCCCGCTGGTTTTTGGAGGCAATGGTTCTTTTTGCCTGAGTGTCACCCTTCCTTAAGGTGGCAGACAGGAGACATTGGGCGAGCATTTGCCTCCATAGCACCAGAACCTGTCAAATTAAGAATATTAGCAAGCCCCAAATCCCAGGAGTAGACTGCTGTTGAGATAGGGTTCAGGAGACTGAATTCTTCGGCATTCAGGTTCCAATGATTGCAAGCGTTCGGAGGCATCAAATCTGGAAGATTTTAAACCCTTTAATTTAGGCTAAGTCAACCCATTTCCGCCAGTCGTTCAGCCTCAAGTTATTATTGTCTCATCTCCATCAACCTCTACATCCTCCAAAAAATCAAGGCAAAAAAATCAGCGAATCTCCAATAGTTTATAAATCTCTCTATATTTTTCCTCAACACTATAATTGTCAATATATATTTAGGGCACCAGCCAATTTAAAAATACCTAATTTATTCATTTTTTTAAAAATATCGAAATAAATCATACAACTGATCATACCAAAAGCCAGCTCAGGGTGAGAAGAGGCATTTTGTGGATGCTGTTCAGACCCAATTTGCTGTATAGGATTAATAATCTGCTTTCCACCTTTAAGCTGCTGCTGTGGTCAGATTTCTGCAGTTACTAGAGCAACAAAAGTATCCTGCTGTTCCCCCTGTTGCTTAAACTTATTTTGCTGTTGTATTGGTTTTGCCATCAACAGAGGAGCAATAAGGAAGGCTTATGGAATCCCAGGATCTTTTTGTGGAGACTGCTGTGCACATTTATTATGCACGCTTTGTGCTGTATCTCAAGAATACAGAGAAGCTCATAGAAGAGCTTAAGTTAATATTAATATTTACTATTAGTTAATATCTCATATATTTGCTGAATTTAGTAACTAGTTTTCGTTTTTGTTGGAAAAATTCTTGGGCTGCAAGATCGGTAATGAGTTTTTTCTGGGTCTGGGCTTCGAATTGTCTGATTATTTTCATAGATTCATTGAGGAACCTCTTTTCATATTCGGGACTATTTAGTCAGATTTCATCGATATCTTCATATAGCCTGAGCATTTTTATTGCTTGGAGTCTTATCTGTGCTGCCTGAGCAACTCAGAGAAATTTTGATTAGTAAAACAATGGCAGAGATAGAAATACTAAAGAAGGACTATTGATAAAATCTTGAGAAATAAGAATGCCCAGGCCATAAGTATTTTTTATTTCATTTATTCATAAATCCCTTGACTCAACTATTTTTGTGCGTAATTTTTTTCTGATTTCATCTATTTCTGATTTTGAGCCCTTTGTGGTTTGAAAACCATCAGAAATTTTTTGTAAAATAAATTCTTTAAATTGGATTATTGACATTAACTCTTTGCTTTTGTGGACTTTTTCTAGTGTAATGATTTTGCAGGTTATTTCTGGTTGCTCAGAGATTACTCTTCTATGACTTTCTTCGGAAAATTGCTTTATTTCTTCTGTACATTGGATTGATAAATTGCTAGGTCTAACTTTGATGAGATTTATAGTATTTTGTTTAGATTTAGGACTAGGAGATCTTTCTTGGCTACTTTTCAAAGGAGAAACGTCAACAATTACATTATTATCAGCCACGTTTTGGCTTGTTGGGCTTTTTTTATGAATATTTTTTGGAGATTCACTTGGAGATATACGAGGGGATGATTTTGTATCTTCAATTTTATCTTCAATTATTTTTGGTGGATTTATAATTGGAGTAGGTATTTTTTTTTATAATATATTTAATAATTAGACTTTATAAAATTTTTTAAAGAGAAAAGGTTTTTATTTATATAAATGAGAATACTTTTCTATAGTAGCTTAGAACACTTTTTAAGAAATTATATACAGCTAAGAAAGGATGCTCCTCTTCATATGCTTGTAAATCAATCTTGCATAGCAGCTCATCAAGTGCGCGTGGCCGTATTGTTATGTAGCCGACAAGGACCTTTAAGGTTCATCCTATTTGCAAAATTCCTTTAGGACACTTGATCGGCTGAAATGACTCCGCCGGTGAGAAAAGCTTCGAACTATCTTGATCCTTCTTCGGCTACTGACGCAAGGAACTTTCAGATTGTTATGTGCTAAGAATGCCTCTTTGCCTTGTCCGCTCCAGTGTTGAGTAGGTTAACTTTGAACTTCTGCAGCTCTGCATTAGGCGATTGGTAAGTAGCTTGATCCAGAGGGAAAAACCTAGAGTCTAACAGGTGCTGGGTGTCTGCCCTCAGCAACTACAGAAAAAGTCTTAATCCTTGGGTCCAGGCATCAAGCCCTGGTATCGCAGTGAGTTCCATATTCGGGTTCCGAAGAATGCTGTCAGATTAACTCTTTCCAATATCAAGAACTAAGACGAAACCTACATGGATATATATAAACCCTATTAGACCTGAATCTCGGCTGCTCTTTCCAGCTCCCCTTGGTCATAAGGTTCGAGAAAACTGCGTCAAGAATTCAGGTGCGCTCAGATCGCCACTTTTATGTATTCACAGCAGCTCATCAATTTTTTTCTTATATTTTCATCAGAAATTCCATCAGAGTTTATAAATTTATATGCATTTCTCACTATAACTACAAGCTCTCCCGGACTAGTTGCGCATTCTCTAATTGCATTAACCAGATCATTTCCATAAGAATTTTTGCATTTTGATTTCAAGCTGCCCTCTGCACTAAAAATATATATAAAAAAAGCCAAAGTTAAATTTTCAATCACCTTCTCTTTTAATGCTGCTTTTTTCATTGATTCTATAATCCTTGCTGTCACTTTTGCTGAATTTTCTTTTAATATGCTTAACGGATCACTTGGCTTCTTTATAGTTGGGGTATCATTTATTTCTTTATTTTTCTTTAAACTTGCAGAATATTTCCGATTTTCCAAATAATCCCCAAGCTCCAGCAATTTTGACGCTAAAGGGCATATCGAAATTGAGTCATCTTTTTTATTGATTGTTTGGATTTCTTTCAAAATTGACGACATTAATACATAAAATTGTAAAGAAAGGTCTGGAATTTCTGTAAGACAGTCTTTCAAAACTCCTTGCATGCATTCAGCTTTATTCAGTACTTCCATTTCGATTTTAGCTGATTTTTCAATTGATGAACAAATTTCTGAAAAATAGTTTTCTATGCTTATTTGCCAAGAATAGCCCACTAAGGAGCATTTTTTGGCTGGCTGGACAATAGCTGGCTTGCCAAATTCGTTGTCATACCATATTTTCTGGCTAACCAAATTTAAGAATGGCGAACCAAAAAATGCTCCTTAGTGGGCTATTCTTGGTAAGCAGGTATAAGTCAATAAGTGACTGGGGTTTTGATGTGCTTGGCCTTGGAGTCGTGTTTTGTGATATAGAATTTTCTTGAGCTTTTCTTGGGGTCACGCTTCTATTTCTGTTATGGCTTGATTGGTTAGGGGACTTAGATCTACATTGTTTGTGCTCGTCATTTTTCTTATAGCGGTCTGTAATTAAGGTATTTTGAGGTTTTTCTTCATTAAAGTACTTTTTTCTTTCGACTGAATGGCTTCGGTTGTTCAGGTCTCTTTTAATAATGTTGAGCTTTAATTTAAATTTCGACTCAAAACTGTGGTTAACGAGCTTTTGTGGATTTAGGTTTTGAGGAGATTTGCTGCTTTTTTTTAAGCCATAATCAGATTCTTTGTCTGGAAGCCTGAATTTGACCTTTCGATCGTAGTTTTCTGAAAAATCTTTTGAGTCCGTTGAGTTTTCCATTTTTAAAAATTATTTGCTAATCTATATAGTTTTAGGCTTTTCTTCATATTTTCCTGCTTTTTTAAGTTTTGCTATTAGAACTCGACGTTCTTTAAGAAAAGGCTGGAGATCAGCAGGAAGGTCTCCAACGTTAGGTCTTCTTCCAATTTTTCTTTCTGTTTCTGCATATATCTGCTTAATATTTTCTTCAACTTTTCCTAAGTCTTCTTCAAGATTTTCTTCATTTCTTATTTCACTGAACCCAACTTCACCTAAATTTTCATGCTCTCCTCCTTTTTTATGCAAAATTCAATGGTTTCCTATTCCTTTATTCACTGGGCACAAAATCGTGCCATCATCTCCTAATTTTTCTACTAAAAATTTATACAAGTTTTCTGTAGCTGTGAATCCTACATTAATTAAATCAAAATTTTCATCAATTATTTCATGGGCTTCGCATTTTCTAAACATCAAATTTGGTAGCTTTGACAAAAAAATAGCTTTTTCAACCAATTCTTTATGTATATCAATTGCGATAACTTTACTATTAGGGTTTAATAAAGCTATGCACTGTGATAAGTATCCATTTCCACATCCAATGTCAAGTATTTTATTTGAACTCAAAATATTTGGCAATAAAATTTCCAGTGTTAATGCATGTGTTGATGGAGATGTCATGACTTCTCCACAAAGGATTCCTTTTGGCTTATTTTCATATGGATTTTCATCATCTGTAAAAGCTGACCTGTCTAATTTAGAAAAAATTTCTGATATTTGAGGAGATTTAATAAGGTTGGATTTGACCAGAGATGACGTGAGCTCTAATTGAGATGAAAAGCGAGAGCCTATTCAGCTTTGGCTTGCTGATAATAAAAGGTTATCTGATAGCACTTTTCTTCACGACATTTCTAAAGAAATGTAGCAATCATTTAATATGGGCAAGAACAAAAGAAATCAGCAGAAAGGCTATAATAATCAAAGAGAGATGCTGAGCCCTGAAGGATTTAAAGATATGTTTCCTCATCTTTCTATAGGGAAAATAGGAGAAATATTAAAGAAAAATCAAGGGAAAAATCAAGAAGAAATATTGGATATTCTATTGAAAATAAATGAAGAAGAGGAAAAGACCCAAGTGGCTAAAAAAGAAATAAGAGAAGAAAAAAAAGAAGAAATCACTAAAAATCCTGAAATAAATAAAGAAAAGCTTGATACAAAACTATACAAAACACAGCTCTGCACAAATCTAAATTGTACAGACTCAGAATGTTTTTATTATCATGATGATTATGATTGCAGAAGAAACCTTGATAAATACCACTATAGGCCAATTCCATGTTTTAGCACGTATGATAAAGGTGAATGATTTCACCCAAGTTATTGTGCTAGAGGATTTGATTGCCATTTCTGTCATACGCAGAATGAGTGGCATTGTCATCCAGAATATAAGAAGAGACCAAATAATAAATTACGACGAATTCAAGAAGAAAGCAAAATTTCCAATAAAAACTCTGAAGAATTAAAAAAAATTTTAGAAGACTTAAAAATATCAATAGAAGCATCAGATCAGCAAATTCATCAAGTGAAAAACGAAATTGTAGGGATTGACCAAGAAATTCAAGGGATGGCAAAATTTTTGAATTGCGGAAAATGTATGCAAGAAGAAATGGATTGATTGATTATTCCTTGCTGCCATGGAATATGCACAAATTGTAAACTTACTGCGTATGAAGCTTGTCCGCTATGTGGAGCCATAATGCAAAGCAGCCATCCAATTAATACTGATTTTTAAATATTGCAGTAAATTATTTATGATTGGCTAAATTAAGCTTGATATTATATTAAAAAAATTAGCCTTAATTCGTAATAAAATTGCTAAACTTTCCATTATCAAGTTTATGAGTGTTTTGCTTATCTAAATTATTAATTTTCTTTTTTTGATTTATATTTTCTCCACATCCTTATTAACGCAAGTGCAGCCAAACTTTTGGCTGCTGCAGTTCCTTCAGTTCTTATACTTGAAGTATTTGGCTTGCTATATATTTTATTTGGATAAGCATTATTAAACGCTCTTACAATTTCGCTAGATGTCATGTCTTAATGTTATGTAGGTATTTAAAGTGTATTCACTCTTCAGTAGGATGATTTAGACATGCATAAGCCCATCCTTTTAACTCCCAACTGGTGATGTCAACAGATGCACCCTTCAGGCCAGATGGTCGCACTGGTCGCATTTACCTCGCCGACACTTGACTCCTGAGTGTGTTCCGCCTAAGAGTCACCTGTATCAAGCAGAAAAACCATATGTCTGGGACCAAAGAAATGCCCTATGCAATATTCCATATTTGTGTTGCGGATAAAGGTCCACGTGGGAAAACTGAACCCCACAATAATAAAAACGAAGGAGGAATCCGTACGTAGCCATTTTATTATTATTCTAGATGTCATATCGCTTGCGCTAACTGCATTGGCTAAAATAAGCAAAATTTCTGCAAAATTTACTTTTCCATTATATTCTTTTATATTCAAAGCAGAAATAAGCCTTAGCATGTCACAGTTTGAAAGCATTTGCCCTTTGAAGCCTAAGGGGAGCTCTAAAGTATTCAAAAGGCTTGGAAGCCATTTTGTTTTTATGAAATGGTCCCCATAAGGAGCAAATTTGCTTCATGCTTTTTCGAAGTTCTCTAATTCTCTATATAAAAGTAATTCATTAATGTTTCTTAAATTATTGCTAATTTCTAGTAAAATGATTCTTTTAATAAATAAAATTTCGAATTTTAAACTCTTATAAAAATTATTAATTGAAGGGAAAAATCTATATATAAAAAAGATTAAAAAATAAATATTAGAATTAATAATGCAAATAATTATTATTTATTGAAATTATTTATGACAGATATTGCTGAGTAAGTCTCTTTTTGTTAACCCTGTGATAACCGATTCTTTTGAATTTGCATGAGTGAAGTTTTCCAAAATAACTACGATAAACATATTTAAAAATATAAACCTTGAAAGAATCTGAAAAGATGCCCAGTAAATAACTGCGAAATAAGGATTCCCACAAAACATAAACCCTCCCTCACACTCTGATTTCCCAAAGCACTCAAAATAAATTTCATTCCAGTTTTCTCCTGTGCTTGAAGTAAATAGCAAAACAAATGCATTATAAAAATTTTCAAAATTTGAATTTTTGTTAATATAAACTTGATGGCGCATTCCTCCCCACAGTACAACTCCAGCGCATGCATAAATTGAAAACAAAAGCAAAAGCAAAATAGCTGAATTTATCATTGACGGAAGTGAGAGCAAAAATGTATTAAAAATGTTGTTAAAGTGCTTCAAGAATTTTATTATACGAAAAGCCCTTATAATTCTGAAAATCCTTGCCACAGAGCCACTGGAAGGCCAGATAGAAATAACTGATAAATATGATAGTAGGGAGATTGAAAAGTCAAAGATGTCCCAATTATTAGCAAAATAAAATCTAGGTCCTAAACCAATAATTTTTAAAATGGCTTCAAGCATAAATGCATTGGTAAAAATAGAATCAGCAACAGTCAGCACCGTTTCCATTTCACTTGACATTTCAGAAGTATGCAGACACATAAATAATATATTTAACGCAAGCAGCCCAGCAATTAAATTTTCAAATCGATAATCATGCACCAAGCTAAATATTTTTCTCCTAACTCCCCCCCATCCTTGATCGAACGATTTTCATATCATGCAAATTTTTAGATATATAAAAATATATTAGTTATCAAAAGCTTGGGAAGATGTACATAACGAAGTTGTTTTCAGAGACGTTGAGACGACAGAAAGCTTCGGAATCAACCATTCGAAGTGACTTAGTCATCAACTAAGCTTAAAAACTCAATAATCTCTAAAATAGAGATTCTTTAAAATTTTAAAAAAAAAAATTTTAATTTAATAAGGAATATACATAAAATGGCCGGAGACGAGTGACCCGTCCTCCCGTGGCGGGTGTCCTTATGTATACCGGACGTGGTTTTTGGATGCGGAGAGCTACTCAAGGGAAGGTTAACCTCGAGGCGAGAGGCCTAGCCCAATTTCCGCTGATTTTGGGACTTGACCCAGGCAGCAGTTTTTCGCATTCTTTTTGCCAGTAGCGCTGAGGCCCAGACTCAGTGTCCGAAAGAGGCAGGGTGAACTACCTGCCTAGGCTACTTGGTGGCTTCGCCCCGAATCCCACAAGGGGTTGAGTTCTTTCTGGAGCTAATCCGGAAAGAGGGGAGGCGAAGCTCGACTCAGATCTCAAGGGAGTCAGTCTCTCAAGTTAAAAGGGTCCCTGAAAAAGGGGGCAATCTGGCCGAGCTAAGCAGGGTTGGGTGATGCTGGCGCTTAGGTTGGAAATGGTGGTTCCCGGCAAAATCCGTATGACTCGGATCCGGAGGGAAATACCACTACCGAGAAATCGGGGTTTCGGCCTGGGCCTAAGTTAGCCTTGAGGAAGCCCACCCCGCAGCGATATCGCTGCGGAACGCATAGTGCTTAGGAAGTGGGGACTATAAATACAAAGCGTTAATCTAACCTAATCTAATTTAATAAGGAACAAATTAAAAATTTATACAGTTTAAAGGTGTGACTAATAAATCAAAATATTAAAACTTGGTATTTTTATGAAAATTAATTCAATTTTTTGCTGTAAAAATAATTATTAAATACTCTTAACTCTCTTATTTAAATGTAAATAAAAAATATATATATATTTTTTATTTTATATATAAATTTTTTTTCCCAAAAAATTTTTTTTTAGATCGAACGATGGCGAGTTGTTCGATCAAGGATGGGGGGAAATAAATTTATTTTTTGGTCTAATATATCGAATAACTGGTGATGACTGTAATAGCAGCCTTTGTATTTTCACTCATTCCTGCTGTTTTCGTGTCAAGAAAAATGACTGTTTTTCTTCCCTAAATTTTTTAAAATTCTTGTATAAGGCTCCAATATATAAGTTTGCGATAAAAAATATAATAAAAAACGTAAAACCAACAATATAAAGAGAAGCAAGCTGGTTATAGTCTCTTTTCATAGCTTTATCTGGGCCTACTGCGTCAACTGAGTTGTAAAGATAAATAGGCCAATTTTCTAGAGTTGAGATTTGGAAAAGGGCATTTATAGCTGAAAAAATGTTGTTGAAATTATAATCAGAGTCTCTTCATACCCTTTTTTCATAATTTCCTCCATTTCAAAATTCTCCTGTGCAATCTTGTTTCGTTTGTATGTTGAAATCTGAGCAATTATAAAAAGAGCCTTTGAATAGAATTACTCCAATAATACCAAACATAAAATAATTCAAAACTGCCATAAGAAAAATGTTAAACAGCATAGAAAAAGATCTGTAAAGAGAATTCATAATAGTTCTTAAATGCTGATTTCTGGATGCCATTCTTATAGGTCTAATAGCAAGCAAAGCTCCAATAGCTGCTGATGCAAAAGTTCTTTTGTCATAAATTTTTCTTAGGATGTAGCCAACTCATATAAGGAGCACTATAAAAAAATCTATTATGTTCCAGCCACTTTTTAAATATGTATTTTCTCCAGATATAAAACCAAATGTAATTATTTTTATAATGCATTCCGATGTAAAAAAAGCTGTTAGGATTGTTCTTATCAGCATGATTACGTTCATTGTATATAAATCTCAATAGAATCGATCAATCGCTATAAGGATTGTTGATAAAGAAGAAAAACTAAACATATATATATCGAAATAAGGATGGGCAACTAAAGATCTTAAAAAGAGCCTAATACGGTTTTTTGGCCCAAAAATAAATAGAGAGGTCCCTTCTAATTCAAATTTATCAGCAGGCTTAAACTTTTTACTTTCTAACGATTTTTCTTCATAACTTATACTTTTGATTGGTTTTTGCATATTTTCATCACATTTTTCGTTTTTAAACTCTTCTAGCAAGATCGCTAAAAATAGTGAAGAAAGTATATTTGTGATAAATATAACAAAGGATAAAGAGTAAAAGATTGAAACTCAACCCATCGAGTGAACTAAATTATATAGAATCTGTGACCAATTGCCAGTAAACAGCTGAAACACTGTAATAAATGACCAAAACAAATTGTCGAAATTAGACCGCAGAGAATATCCTTGATTATCTTTTAATTTATCCTTAAAATGAGCAGCTCCTATAAGAGTATACACATATATTATAATTGCGCAAAGAATAGATAAATAAAAAAAAGATTTTATGCAGTTTTCTATTTTTGAAACAAAGTATCTTAAATATTTCCATTCTTTGAACAGCTTTAGAATTCTCAGCGCTCTAAGTGCCCGTATTATATAATAATTTTCTGTTAATAGATCGCTAGCATCATGTATTAAAAGGCATTCAGTTACTGCTGAGCATAACAATATTAATTCAATAATATTAAATTTTGTTGAAAAGTATCCTTTAAGCCCTAAAGCAATGATTTTTATCAAAAATTCGAATAAAAATATTGCAGTGAAAATTATATTTGTATGTATTAGCACTTTTTTATGATAATCACTCATTCCATAATATTCTGTTGACATCATCATTGTATTTACTATAATAAAAAAATCTATAATTCTTTTGTATCATTTTGAATTGATCATGCTATAAAAATTCAGTTTAATCGCATACCAGCAATATTTCAATCCTCTATTATCTTCTGGCTCTTTCGGCTTATAACTTTCAGCTTCTTCAATCTCAACTTTAAGTCTAGATTTTTCTTTGATTTCTTTAGCTTTATTAACTGCCTCATGAAACTTCATAAAGAAAACAGCTATAAAAAGATTTGTAAAAAAAAATGACCCAATAATGATAATTATCATAAAATAAAGATCAGTAACTGCTTCTATTTCCAGGGTAGTTCTGCAATAAAACATTATTTTGCTTCAAGATTCCACAAAAACTACATTTAGAACAGTCAGGAAGCCAACAAGAACATTATCAAATGAGGTTACTCCAAAATTTGGATTTGTATCTTTGGCACAATCTTCGACTTCAGGACACTTATAGTGCAGACAAGCTAGATCTTCTTCTTGGCAATAAGTATTTTGAAGGCATAAAGAGTAAGAAATATTACCATATGCTCTATTGCAGCTTCCATTTAATCCTCCAGAATAAATATATTTTTCTGATAAATTTGGCAGCTCTTATAAATAATTATAATTATATAAAAAATATATCTAAATGGGTATATTAGTCCCAGCAATCGCAAATGCAAGAATCATAAACAAAATCAAAATCATAACATCAGCAAGTAAAGGCAAAGAATTTGCAATAGTGATTACTATAAAATTAGTTTCACTAAACCCTTTAATAATCTTCAGTGGTCTAAATGCTCATACAGTCTGAATAAACAGCAAATTTCTCCCATCTATTACTTTTCCAATTCATCCAGAGACTACAATAAAAAAATCAAGACAGTTTCAAAAATCTCTGAAATATGAATTTTTATAAATAATTTCACCAAGGGCTGTAATTTTAACTGTGCATTCTATTGTGTATATTATAAGATATAAAGTTTCAAATGAATTGACTAAATATGTATTCCCATAGGTTACATAAGATCCTAAGCCGATGCTATTAGCGATAGCTGTTAATAAAATAAATCTCGAAAACCAGATATTAGATGAAATATATATGCAGGCTTGACGGAATGGGTTAGTTGAATTAAAACATCCACATGATATTTTTGCATAAGGATTATTTGTGTATTTACTTTTCATTTTCACTAGCGACACATCTTCATGGCCTGAAAACCTTTGAAACTCTTTTTGTTGGTTGTAAAGTGCTTCAAAATCATAGTTTACTCTTGAAATTGGGCTATTGAGGTTGTTATCATAATTTGTTTTTCTTTTGATAATCATAATAAAATATGCTATTACCTTAAAGTAGCACTAGCAAGTATTTTAAATGCCCTTATTGAGTTTTTTCATGGGTATAATAATTTTTAAAAAATTAATTTTATCTGGACCGTCCTTGCTCCAAAATTTAAGTATACAAGGATCTTCGCTTATATTTTATCAAGTTTTTATATGTAAATAAGAAGCTTTATAAACTATTTCAAAATACACATATTATTTATTAATGTGTATTAAATTCCTTTATTATTTAAAATTTGTAAATCGCATTAGGAAGAAAGAGCATTAAACAAATAGTCACCACAAACAACCCAAGGAAAAAGTCTGTATGGAGGATTATTTTTATGAGCTATTTTATATATTGCTGAAGCAAGCTCCATACTAGCTTTCTGCTCAAATATTTCTCTGTATTTTTCAACTATTTTATTTGACAAATAAGTAAGAATTTCTCTCATTTCTTCTTGTCTTTTTCTTTTTTTATGATATTTTGACATAGTTACAGGCTGTGCTATCAGCATTTCAATTTCAGTCCTTATCCCATACTGATCTAGCAAAATCTGCAAGTCCCTTTTATATCTCGCAAAAATCTCTTTTGCATTGCCTTTTTCACGCTTATATCCTTCAACTATTAATTTTTGATTTATTCCTGGGATACTTTCCTTAGGTAATTCTACAATTTTCCTGTATAATTTCCCTAATATTTTTTGTGATTGATAGTAATTCATATCTTTTTTTTCCATAAAATCAGGGAATGCTTGTGGTTGTAACTCTTTAGGTATAGTAACGGTGTTTCCGGTTTTAGCGAAATCAACAGCCACAGAATGAAGCTCGCAAAGTTCTATGCATTTTTCATCAAATGCATAGTTTTTGCTTGCATCAGCTAATGCTAAATGAGCATTATCAATTTGCCCAAGCCTATCATTTGCTATGAATAATGAAAAAAAATATATTAAAGTTGTAAAATCGTAAGGGCCTGGCTCTTTTTTAGGCTTTGCAGTATCATACTCCATAGGATGAGCATAGTGAGGAGGAATTAACCGAATGTCCCATGTAATGAAATATAAATCGCCATCAAGATCTGAGCCTGAACATTCATTAGTATGTGGTCTCTCTCCTTTTTGAGGAAAAACAACTACATGGTAAAGATGATGCAATTCTGGATGATTAACTGCCATTAAAATTCTGATATCTCCAGGGTGTAAACAAGGATTTTTAGCTACTACAACAAGCCCTTCGACAATTCCTCCTTCTTGTGTTTGTAGGAACACTTCTCCATAATTCAATAATCCTTTTTCGTCTAGCACACCCATAAGACACCCTGATTTTCTTATCCATATTCTTTGCTTTTTTTTAAGCTCTTCTAATGATCTTGTAATCAATAACTCTTTTAACTCTCCAAAAATTGGCTCTCTAGGGTAATCCATTAGCCTTTCTAACTCCCCCCCTCCGTGAGTGAACAAAAAAATTTTGTTCACTCACGGAGGGGGGTTAATTTTTTTTTTTTTAAAAAAATTTATATGTGAATTTTATAAAAAATATTTTTTTTTCGAAATTAAAAAAATCCTGATTCGCAAAAATGGAAAGCAAATATTAATTTAATTTATAAAAATTTATGTTTTAAAAGCAATTCGTTTAAAATTAAATAGAATTAGCTCTAGATTTCATTATATAATTATCATTTATATATCAAAATTTTTTTCCTTAAAAAATTTTTCTATTAAAAATATTTTTGTTCACTCACGGAGGGGGGGAATAAGCACTGAACAGTTAGGTTCCCTCTACTTACTCCTCTGATATACTCTATGTATGATTTTAAGTCACTTCTAAGTGTCTCTAGCATTTCTTCTTGCAAAATATCAAAAGTACTATCAGGAACTCCTAAAGTGCTTAATCTCCTTTATTATCCAGAAAATATTTGCTCGTTCATAGAGAGATTTTCTATTAAAAAAAAATTATATAAAATTGAAAGTCAGTTAGGATTTTTAAGCAGCAGTATGCTTGCTTACTTTTCGTGACCAGGAGTTTATTCTAGCAGTCTTCTTACTAGGAAATAGGCAACTGGTTGCAATTAGTTAACAAGTGTAATGACGCCTTAAAAATTCCTAATGGACTACAGCTTTCTTTTAAAATTCTATTGCAAATATTTGAATAAAAATATCAATTTTTTTTTTTAAAATACAAGCTATATAGAGGATTTCTTTTAATAATTACTTATATATCGATATAATTTTATCAAATATCTATTGTTCGCTTAAAGAGGGAAAGTTAGCAGCATAATAAGTTGTCTATTTAAATATCCAAATCTGAATTCAGCTGGGTTCAGAAGCTCTAAATCTCTAATCTTAGATTCAAACTTTACTTGGCTTGGCCTTAAATATACCACAGAGCCAGTTAAAGTGTCATCAAGTGCAATCACACCTTTGCATCCTCCAAGCCTAATCTGAAAAGCACACGCTCTGCATCCTGCAAGTGTATTAATTGCAGTAACCAAATCTTGTGAAACCTTCCCTATCCCATCGCTAAAAGTATATTTCTTATTCTCAGTTTTAATATCTTTAATACGTATAATTTGGTCTTCGGCCAATGTCATCATAAATCGGCTTGCTGAGAACGACTGCCCTACCCTTGCCACATATTTACCAGGACAATCAATCTGAGAAAAGTCTCCAAGTTTTTTTCGTATTTTTTCGCCATTAACTTCTTCAGTCTGATGAAGCATTCATGCTGAATGCTCTTTAAGCTGAGAAGCGCTAAATCCTAATACTTGATAAGATTTTCCAGCAAAATTAAGGCAAGCCAGTAATGATTCAACCCTTTTTTTTAAGTCGTCAGGGTATGGAAGAATTTTATTGAGATTTTCGTCTTAATTAAAGGTGGGCTTGGTAGTATTAGTTGTGCAGTCACTATGAGAGTTCATCCATTATACATCATTCCTGTCGGGCACATGATCTGTTGAGATAACTCTACCAGAGAGTAATGTATATGCGCCTTCTCTGATTCCTGACGCCATGGAAGCTCTGGAGTATTTTGTAGTTAACTAGCTTCCTTTCCTTTTCAACTCCAGTGTCGAGAGGGCGAACTATCCTGCATCGGGCGATTGGTGAGTAGCTTGATCTAGGAGTAAAACCTAAAGTCTCACGGGTATTGGCTCCTGATTAAGCCCAATCCCCACCCTTTATAATTAGACATATATATTAATTTAGCAATCAGACCCGCAGCCGCCTATGCCCCTATATAGACTTCCCTATCGAGTAGGTTAAAATAGATGGGAAATGATCTTGTATGGCACTATCAAAGGGACATGTGTATCTCTATGGTAAAAGTAGGCATGCCAAAAAAATGGTTGGTTATTAGACTAGGTTGACAAGCAAAAGTGCCAATTTTTAAAATTGCCTTATTATTAAAATTAATTTTAAATTAAGATACACTTTTAGAATAGCATCGATAGGTACCTTACTAGTTTTTTTCTGTTTTCTGTAGAATTTAGGTTTAAACAAGTAAATGCTTTGTGCCTAATCCTTATTAAATAGCATCCTTGTTTGAGAAGCCTCTAACTCCCCTCTCTCCAACTAGTTCTCGTCCAGTTTCGCCTTAGTCATAGGCTGAGAAAATTGCATAAAAGAGGCTAAGTTAGGACCAGTCTCCATTTTTATGCATATATTAAGATTTTCGTCAGTAAAAGAAACTCTTAACAAGTTTTCTTTGTCTTCATAAAAATAGCGTCTCGTTACACGATTTGATAGCTCAGGCTCTCCTGCGAGTGCATAAAAGGTAGTTGGGGTTATCAAAAGTCTATTAATTGTTTCGTAGCCTTCTGCAATTTTTACAGGAAATTCTGTATTTTCACAATATACTTCATTAAATAGTTCTTCAAATTGTGGTATAGACCTGATTGCGAAATTTCTTTGACTATTTATTATTCATTTTAAAGTATCAACAACTTTTGGCTGATTTAAAGATGCAAGGTTTGATAAAAAATCTCTAGTTAACTCAAATAAAGAAATATAGCATAAGCTGAGAATACTATAAAGCATAAATTTTGTTTGGAATGAGACTTGGAGAGAATTTATTTCATGAGATGTGATTAAATTTCTAGGTGATGGAACAGGTGTAGGGTAATTTGGGGTGGTCACAACTGCAGTCGCAAGTGCTTCAAGTAAGCCAGTTTCAAGCTGGCTGAATATTGTGAATTGAAAACAAATATTTTTTATTTGGAAACTAATTCCCCCCTCCTCCGTGAGCGAAAAAAAATCTTGTTCGCTCGTGGAAAGGGGTTAATTTTTTTTTAAAAAAATTTATATAGAAAATTTTATATAAAAAATTCCAAAAATTAGAAAGCAAATATTAATTTAATTTATAAAATTTATTTTTAAAATAACAATTTGTTTAAAATTAAACAGAATTAGCTCGAAATTTCAATATACTAATTATCACTTATATATCAAAATTTTTTCCCATAAAAAATTTTTCTATTAAACAAAATTTTGTTCGCTGACGGAGGGTGGTTTTTTGGGCAAAAAATAGCCATTTTTCTAATGTTTTTGTCGCTCACGGAGGGAGGGAGTAAGGAGATCTTCAAAACCGTCAAAAAAGTTTTCTATTCTAACTCAGCTTGGCTCTTGGATTCCTAACGTTCAAATTGGAAATTTTTTACTTCTTGGATTTAATTTATAAAGCCTAGGAGGTCTTATACACCTTATAAACGCTCTAAATCCTCCAGCTGCATTCATACAAGAGTATTCAATTATATGCTTTAGCGTTATAAGCACTCTATATTTGATTCCACTCTTTATTATCCTTATATCGAGTTTCCTTTTCTGTAGGCTAATAAAGGATAAGCAAGGTAATGCATAAGAATCTAAAATAACAAATTTATATGAGTTTCCTTCCCATTTAGGTATACCAATATCAAGCCTATTATAAATCAAATTTGGAACTATATCATCAAATTTGTAGTTTTCTGGCTTCTGTGGCGGGTCTAAAAGTAAGCGAAAATTTGTAGTCTCTATTTGAGATTCTGAAATCTCCTCACGGACTTTTTCTGCATGAAAAGTTATAAAAGAAAATCCTTTTTCATTCGTTCTTATTCTGAGGATAAGTCCAAATCTTACCAAAAAATCACGAAGATCTAAAGAGTCTCATTCTTTGGGGTATCCCCTTATCATTCTTTCTATCACTTGTACCATCTTTATTCCCTCAGTTAAATTTTATAAAACTTTAAATTATACAATAGACCAACCTCCATTAGCTGCAGTCACTTTTATTTTGGCAATTTTCCTACTCCTATTGAACTCTTCAATTTGTTTTTTCTTCTCTTCTTCTGCTTTTTTCCTCATAGCTTCAGCTTGTTTCTTTATATCCTCAATTTTCGCCAATTCCTGAAACCTCTTAATTTCTTCTAATTTTTTGGCTTCATCAATTTTTTTCCTCCTCATAGCTTCTTTCAGCTTTTTTTCCCTCAAAATTTCTCGTCTTTTCCTAGTCTCTGCTTCTTTAATCATTCTGAGCTCAATTTCTTTGCGTTTCTCATACTCCATTTTTTCGATTTCCCTTCTAATCTGCAGCTTTTTTTCGTTTTCAAACTCTTCTAGCCTTGTAATTCTATTATTTATGGCACTGACTTGGTGCATGGTTTTTTCGAGTTCTTCTTCATTTTCTTCAATATATAGATTGGTATCACTTGGCTGCCTGCGGTTGGGGTGATTTGGTGGTGGCTTTAGGTCGAGGTTTCGGTCAGTTTCTAATGTGGTGCTTGAAGGGACTTGGCTTAAGTCTGATGATTGGTTTATTTGAATTCTTGGGGATAAAGAATAATGGATACATGGAAGAGTTATCTTGCAGACTGGGCAGAATGGCTGTAAATATTGTTCTGATTTTTGAGAAAAAGTGGGGCTTCTCCCAGGAGAAGTCATCCCTGGCATAGGAGTATTAAAGCCTTCTATTAAGACTGGAGAACCTTCCAGATCTGGAGAAGGCGATATAGTTTCTCTTGTATCTGTCATTTCTAAGGTACTTTTCGCTTTATATCTTGCTTTTTCACTGTTTCTATACATATCAGCCATCTGTTTCAGCTGCTCGTTTTCTTCCTTTAGCTCTTTAATTTTTTTCCTCATCTCAAAAAGGTCATCAACCTGCTGCTGTGCTGAAAAATTATTTTTTAATTTTTCAATTTCTCGCTTTAAATGGTCTATCATTAAGGCTTGATCTAAATTATTTGTATTTTTCTTTGATTTTATCATAACTTCTTTCGCCCTATCTGCAAATGTCAAAGTGCTGATAGTTTCTTCAAAATTTTCTGCTGATGGCGAAATTGTGGCTATAAGGACAGTTTTGCTGTTTCCTTCTAATGAATCTTGTAGTAGCCTTGTCAGCTTGGAATTTCTATATGGGATATGCGACACATTTTTGCTGGCTAATGCATGGATAACTTGTCCTAATGCGCTCAATGACTTATTAATCTGTTTGAGTTCATTTATATGCTCTTCCGCCATTGAGTTTTCTTTATCATATTTTTCAGACCCTGCTAAATCACAAAAATTGATTTTATTTCTCCTTAAACTGTCACTTTGGTTATTTTCAATAAAAATTTGAAAAATCGTATGAGACCGACTGCTGCTTTGGTTCATGCGTGTTTGCCTTATAGCTTTGTGACGGTTTCCTTTTGATAACAAAATTAAGCATTCCTCTTCAGTTTCTACTTCAAATTCTGAAAGACCTTCAATAAAAATGCCATGGACTTTGTCTTCTCTGATTTTTAGTGCTGTATCTCTTTTAGGGTCTCTTAAAAGGTCATAAATATGCTCGTTATAAATTTGTAAAAAACTGCTACTAAAGGAGGCAGAAGAGTTTTCAAATTCATTAAAAAGCGAAGAAATGGACCTTGGGATCATACCTATTCGGTTTGTGGCGTATTCGTTTTGATTGTGTGTGCATCGGGATAACTGTGAATAAGTGGTACATTCCCAGTCATTCCCAAACATAGTGTACGTTTTTCCGGAACCGGTTTGGCCGTAGGTGAAAACAGTTAAGTTGGATCCTTTTAGTGTATCTTGGAGCACAGGCTCAATAAATTCAAAAATTGTGTCTTGGGTTGCTTTTGGGCTAAAAATTATATCATATGTTCCAGATATGCTTATTTTTGATATTTAAATGATTTTTAATTAAAAAAATGCTTATTTTTTATAAAAAAAGGAATTTTTAGATTATAAAGATTTTTTGGTATTGGAAATAATATATTTCTTGATCTTCGTAGTTTACTTTGATGGACTTATTCTATATAAGTGTTACATCATCTATTGTAAATGTAAGAGCAGAATTTATGTCCATATCCAGCAGAGGTCTAATCCTGATTGCGACTTTGATGTGACCAGCTTTGGAATCCATTTACTTTTTATAAGAGTTTTTAAATACTACAAGTTCGATATGTCATTCATCAATTCTCCGTGCTTAAAATTACTGAATAATATTAACATTATAATATTTTTTGGAAATTTTGAGGCAAAGTTCAAAAAATCCTGGCAAGTTTTTGTTTTTATAAAGAAAATAACTTGAATCCATGGAGTTTATTATGAATAATAATTTTGAAGAAGTTTTGATAAGAAAAACCTTATTTTCTTACAGAAGTTCCCTTCAGGCCAGTAGATCACTAATAACTCCACATAATGCTCTACCACTTGTTTGCTAGTCCAGATACGCCTTCCACTGTGCTGTTGCTCACAGACAAGGCTTGAACTTTTATTTGGAGTAACAGATGCAGGGGATTCATTGCGGTTTACATCAAGAAAATTAACAAACTAATTTTCTGGTCAAGATGCTAACCAAAATGGAACTCGAAGCCTGAGACGCAATGTCTATTATTTCGCTGGACAATTTGCCCAATTAGCCAAGTAGCCGCCTCAGCTATGCTAGGTTACCTTTCCAGCTCTGACGAATCATCTTTCCGCAAGGTAAAAGTCTTATCTGGATATTGTCAGAGTTCAGCTGAATCCGACATTGCATTCAGCTAGGAAAATCGGTCGCATGCACATTTTTGAGCGCCACCTTTCTTCCAACAAGGTGGCGTTTCCCAATGAACCTTTCCAGGTACATAGGCGAGGAGAGCATGCTAGCTGACCACACCGTTTTAATTTATGATAAGAAAAAGCAGTATTAAGCTCCATTGAAATGGTGACAGTATCCCTTAATATAGTGAACTACACTGACTGGCACGGGGTGCTTTTGGCTCGAAATTGAGCCAAAAGCACCCCGTGCCAGTCAGTGTAGTTAACTATAAATTTTTAATTGTTATTATATTTAAAGCGAGAGGAGAAAAACAGAGAGACTCTTCTTACCCAGAATTTGATGATTCAAAATTCTTAAATAAAGAGTCTATACCAACTCTACCGTTTTCTCATGCTAAACATTATTAGCGTGACTGTTCTTAGTAGAGACATTCTCAATACCTGCCCATATCAAATTTTTATTGATGAATTAATAAGCTAAATAATTATAATTAAGAGATAAAAATTAAGGGAAAGTCGAAACAAAAAAACAAACCTGGTTTAATTATTAGAATTTAAGACTGAAGTAACCTGAAGTTAGTGATGTTTTGAGGTAGTTACTGAATATTTTATCAAGAAAAAATCACTGCTTGGTAAGATAACAGCATCTTCAGTTTCAGCTCAATTATTTTGAAAGCCAGCTATTGTATTATCAATAGGGAGCATTACACTGCATATCATTGTTCCTATTCTCTTAAAACCTTTCTCTAAAACTATGCAATTCTTAACTTTCCTCAAACTGCTAAGACAAATTAGTTTTTCGCAAAATCTATCTTTATATTTAAGCTTGTTATTGTTAAAGCGATTCTCTTCGTCAATTTTTACACACACGTCAAAATCAGAAATTTCATAATTATTCCCATAACGATCATGCCCAATTACATCACGAATGATATTGAAAATATTCTTTCTTGGGCTGGTATCACTATTTGCCGCATAAGTTGATTTTTTTATAGGTTCACGCTTTATAGCTTCTGCTATTGGAGCCAGTTGATTTGAGCTGGTGCTTTTTATTAGCGTATATTGATTAATCTTTATAGGACTGTCGTTTGCGATATCAGCTCAAGTTTGGTTAATTTCAATACTGTTAATGCAATTAGGCATTGTATTATTTATAGTCCTTCTACTTATGGCTTGAGGATATGTAGTAGGCTCAATTTCACTTGAGCCAACTGTACTATTAATAGCGTTGCAAGGCATTCCTCTATGGCTTTTTAAGCATAAAGTGCACATTGAGCATGTTTCACAATGATAATCCGAGTAATTATATCATCCTAAACGACTGCAGAAACTGCAAAAATAGAATCAGGTTTGGATTTCTTGAAAGCATGGAGCTTTACAAAAATTGTTTATAATTAATTTTTCATTATCAGACACTTTTGGGTTGCATTTTATTAAATGTTTCAAATCTTTTAAACTGATTTTAAATACAGTTTGGCACCTATAAGGACATCCTAATTTTGCTATTCATCCATCGTAGCCTTTAGCCCCTGAGCATAATTCACTTCAAAGCTCAGTTATCATTCGAGCATATAATGAAGATACACAAAGCATGCAAATCTGATGAGAGCAGTCAAGCGGAGCCAAAATTTTCTTAGTTTTACAATTTTGACAAATTCCAAAAATCCTTTCCATTTTCTATCTATAAATTATTTTACAATAAGCAATGGATTTTACTAATCATAATTATTTTTTCTTCCGATAAACTTCCAGCCCATTTGGTTTCTTCTTTGCTGGCTTTACAGGCTTGGCTGCCACAGATTTCTTCGATAATCCATCTTCAATTATTTTCCCATTAATCATAAGTCCCATCCCAGGGGCTGGGCCTAAGTCTGGTTTTGGCTGGGTGTTTTCTACCTTAGTTTTTATATCATTTTCTTGTTGTTTTTTAATAAGTCCTTTCCCTTTTAGCATAAAATCAACTGGGCTTTCAGTTTGGTCAATATCGGCAGAAACCTTACTTGTTGCTAACAAAAGCTCGCTTGTTTCAAAATCCTCGTCCTCACAAGGCATTTCTTCTTCCTCATCTAAAGGCTCAGTAAAGTCGTAGCCGTCTAATTTAAGCTCTTCTTCTGAAATTTCTTTGATTTCTTCAACCTCTTCTTCAGTAGGAGGGACTATTGTATCGATTTTATTCCACAATGAAGACCCTGACTAAAAATTACCATCATCAATCCCTTGCTCTTCCAGTAGCTTTTTTTGTGCTAGCACCAAATTCTGCAAATCCGTTATGGTCTTTTCTTGGATCAGCAGCTGCAGCTCTAATTCTACATTTGTCTGCTCCAAAATATGGCTTTTTATCAATAGTTCCAAAAAGTCTCTTTTATCTTGCAATCTGACCCTGGACACAATAGAATCCCTAATCTGTTTCCCTCTCCCCATATTCTCTTGAAGCTGCTGCAGCATTAATTCTTTCCTCTGTGTATTTTTATCCTAATTCTCCCTTACAGTACTCGCCTTCAGCATCTGTATATCTTTAAACTGTTTTCTCACATGTGGAGGTACCGCGGACAACGGTCTTCCTTCTACATATTTCGGAAGCTCTTTTAATTCTTCTTGCTTTTTCCAAATCAGCACCTCTGCTTGCCTTCTTTTAATTTCCAGCGCATTTAGCGAATTTTGTTCTTCAAGCTCTAATAAAGCTCGTCTCAGCTGGATTCTTTCTTGGAAATTTTCGAAAATTTCGGCTTGGAGCTTTTTCATTTCGATGTCTTCTTCAAGCCGTCGGCATGTACATTTAATTTCGCCGTCTGAAGAAGGAGGCTGGCTTGGCATAGGACTGTGGTGAAGCTGGGTTTTTAAGGACTCTATTTCGCTACGAAGGTCAGAGATGATGTTTTTATATTCAGTTATGTGGAGAGCGACTAGCTTTTTGTTAGCTTGAACCTTGTATTTTATGTTTTTGGCACGGCTGGCGTATTTGAGAGTATTAGCAGATTCTTCGAATTGTGAAGAAGCAGGGGAGATGTTAGAAATCATGACAGTTTTGCAGTTACCGCCAAGAGAGTCTTTGAGCATCCTTGTAAGCTTGGAGTCTCTATAAGGGACAAAAAAGCCTTTTTTGGATTTATCGCCAAGTGCGTTTATACAGTTCGCTAAGGCTAGTAGAGATCTATTGATTTTTGAGCCTTCGAAAAGTCTCATTCCTCTGTTTTCAGTCACATTTCCTCTTTCAGAGCCAGCCAAATCAATTAGTGACAATTTCCCCTGAAAAACATCCAAAACTGTATTAGTGACCCTATCCCTTTGTGAAATCATAGCTTGGAACACTGCATGAGACCTTGACGAGGTCTGGTTTGCATTGGTGGCTTCAGTTGTTCTTCTTTTATTTCCTGCTGTAATTAAGCTCATCACTTGTTCAGTGCTTTCAGCTGTAAACTCAGAAACCCCTGCAATCACAACACCTCGAGTAGGGTCATCTCTCAAATCCAAATACCCTGAATTTGGGATTAATAGATCTCTGATGGCTTCATTATAAATTTCTACATATGAAATTTTGATTTCGTAGATTTTATCAGAGTCTGATTGGACTTTTTCAAACATTTCACGGATTGTGAGGACAGCTATGCCTGGGTCTTCAGTGGTCCCGATCATTGTATATGTTTTTCCAGAGCCAGTTGGACCGTATGCGAAAACACATGCATTTATCCCAGATAAAGCAGGCTGAATAAGGTCTGAGACTGTATTCATAAATACTACCCTTAGTTATTTATATAAAATCTCTATTTGAGTTTTCTCCTCTATAATATTTCACAAACCCTTATGCAAAATTTAATAGTGGGAACCCCTTTTTATGAGAAAATGCTCACAAAAAGGGGTATTTCCCTATAAAAATTGTATATTTTCCTTTAGAACTATTCATAAATACAATTTCATTGCTCACATCTTGGAAGATTTTGTCGAAAATGTACCTTTTCTCCCTCGACCTATGAAGAATGTTTTTCCTATCTTCGAAGTCATTCATATCAAGCATTATTAATAAGTTGTCTTCCACTCTTACTATACTTCGATCATTATTTAAAATTTCTTTTTGGTTGAGAGGCCTGATACGTATTGCAACCAGCATATTCTTCGCATCAATTTCATTCATTTTTATATGAAACCAAAATGAGGAATTTAAATAAGCAGAATATGAATTTAATGGAAAAAATGAATTTTGCGGAAGAGTTAAGGTAAAATTAAGAGTTAGGAGGCTTCCAGCATGTTTTCGTCACGCTTTGTTATAGCTTCGATAATCTCGTTTTTTAGGAGCTCAAGGTTACGTAAGCTTTCTTGCATTTTATATTCGTTAAAAGTGGAGCTAAATAAAAGTTACTCGTTAAGCTGGTCTTGGAGCAGAGAAATTACGTTGTGGACTTTATCAGCAAATGGGTTTTTAGTTTTTGAAGATTTTTTAGGAGATGGGCTGCTTTCATTAGGCTTCATAAGCTCGTCTGAAGGGTGAATATTACTTTTTTCATCTTCAGGCGCTTTTGGGGCTGTTTTTATGTCTTCTTCAGCTCTGAGTGGGTCATTTATTTTGGATTGGCTCGTAATAACTCTTGGAATCTCAGATCTTGGCTTAGGCTGGACTAATGGTTTTCCTTCAATTATTCTGTCTTTATAAGCAATCCCTAAAGCAATAATAATATGTATATCTTCTACTGGAGGAAACTTTAAAAGCCTTCTCAAAATCCCAGTCCCATCACTCTGCAATAGCGAAATCCTCACAAACACAATCATCGCTACACAAATAAAATCAAGCAAAATCAGCTCTCTATCAAAATTTATTTTCCCCGTCACAATTTCTCCTCTATTTTCTACATTCACCCCAAAGCTAGCAAAAAGTGCATCCCAAATGATCAGCGTATCTGCAAACGTAAACTCCCTGCTCAGCATACACCTTAAATACCTTTGCAAATACATTTGCGGCTCTATTTTTTGTCTTTCTAAATGGTTATAAAGTTCACTATCAATAGCTTTTAGCAGCCTATGGTGTATTAAATGGCATCTTTTTAGAATTGTGGAGGCATTATCATGAAAAGTTTTATCTTGGTTTACCAGCTCATTATGTTCTAATTCTGCATCCCAGGAAAATAAATTATTTTTTTTATTGTCATTTCGCTTTTGGTTTACTACAGGGTTAAAAAGTTCCATAATCCCTAAATCCATGACTCTTGAAAAAATCCAAAAAATATCAGCTTCCATGTGCCTAGAGTCGTTAAAAATTTCTAAAAACCTTTTGGAGTCTTCTTCAATGCCTTCAATAGACTGGCTTACTTGCTCTGCGTAAGCTATAAATACAATGATTCCTAGGAGCTCGTGCATCCCTTGCTTATATGACAGCTCAGGATGCTGCTTGGATCATATAAAGAGAACTCCGACCATGATGTCTTTGACTTTTTGTAAAGTAAACAGCTGTTTTTCTTGAAAACACCTGTCCACGTCTTGCCTTATCAGCTGCTTCAGATGATTATTTTCGTGAAAATTATTCCAAGGGTTCTAGCTAGATCTTACTTCTTTTGCTGAAGAAAGTGGGTTGAAAATGAGAGGGTCTAGGTTTTCTGTTTTAATTTTCTAAATATTCTATACATTATGTGATTCCGCAATTGTATAGTAATCGTGGCGGAGCTTTTCTGTAATATTTGCCCAGTCTTCTAATGATCGTGATTCTGGAAGAATTCCTAAAAATATTCGCCAACTTAAAAACCTATTGTGAAGGGAGCCTAAATGCCCATCTAGAGCAATATGTCGGAGATCTTGGTAATTTTCTTTTTTGACGAAGATAGTTTCGAATATTTTGGGGTTAAGATGATAATCAGGAGGTATGATATCTTCATCCATTTTATATTTAATATACTGTTTAGGGTAATTTTTAACTAAAAAAATGTTGAGATAACTAGGAGTTAGGCTGATAAAAATAGGAATAAATGAACCCAAAGCTGCTTTTCTGCTCATTTCTTGCTGCAATTCTGGCTGCAAAAGATGACCCAAGTAAAGTCTATTTAGATGTACTCAGGGGCAAATGGGAGCTTATACCAATTATACCGGATTTAGTTGATGGCACCACATATTTTCCTGCATATATTGATGATACTCCTAATGAAGCTGATGCCACGATAGATATGTTTATTTTTCAGCCAGGACTTGATGCATACTGAATATCGTCTATTCGTGGCTCAAGTACTAGCGAAGAGCTTAAACATATATAGCCCCTGAAATTATTTATATCATTATTGGCAATCCATTTTAATTTCCAAAATTAATTTGTACTTGTCAGCTTTTTTGAAAAGTAAAAACGAAAATGACAAATCTCCGTTTATGGTTTTAAGGTACCTAATTAGACTTATACTGTATAAGGCAGGTGCCCTGTACATATATTTTTTGGGTCAGTATTCTGCTGGGGTATAGAGATCTATTAAGTTGCATGAGCTATAGCAGACAGCTATTTTAGCATTGCAAAAGTTTCATATTTCGATAATGATGCATACCCAGATCTACTTATTTGTACAGCCGTAAAGCATAATTAGGATAGAAGAACTCTAATTCTCCCAGCGAAAAAAAAATTATTCGCCCATAGAAGGAGTTAATTTTTTTTTTTTAAAAAATTCATATATAATAAATTGTTTTAAAAAATCCAAACAATCCTTCCTAGCAAAAACTGGAAATATAAAATTAATTTAGTTTGTAAAATTTATGTTTTAAATTGAAAGCTGTTTAAAATTTAAAAGAATCAGCTAGATTTCCTTATAACAATTATCATCTATATATCAAAATCTATTTTTTATAAAACATTTTGTTTGCTCACAGAGGAATTTTCAACGGTTTTGTTCTCTCACGGAGTAAGGTTTTTGAAAAACAATGTTAGAGCTAATATCGAGGCCCAGAAAAGAGAACAAATAAACCCTGAGCATATAGATCCAAGCGATAAGCTTGATGACTGGTCTAAAACAGAGCTATATACAGTCATAAGAAACTCAAAAATTATGGATTTCACTGTGGCAGATGTAAATCATGACGGAATTCCAGATATCATCTTAGCAGTCTGTCAAAAAGAAGGAGCCTGTACAATGGTAGAACTGATTTTTTCAGACACAGAAAAGCTTATATATACTTCTCTTGAGCTTTGGTTTGATAATAGCGGCATTCTGCAGATTTTAAGCGCCAACGACTTAAATAGCGACGGAGTCACTGATGTTTTATATCTATCTCAAGACCATACCATAAGTTATGTAGAAAACCATGACCCAGTCTATAATTCAGCTTTTCTCATAAACACTCTTTCTAATAACACAAATTACATCAAGAGATTTACCGACCTTGATTTAAATGAAGACGGAAATATAGATTTTATATATACAGAAGACCAAAAAGTAGTTCTACTCACAAGGGTTGAAGGCCTATGGAAGCAGGAAATTATATATCAAGGGCCATTTGTGGACTCAATGGTATTTGAAATCACAAGGTCTGGCAGTAACGACATAATGCTACTTTTTGAAAACGAAGTGAAATGGCTTTCACAAACCCCCATTTCGGAAGCCAAAAATGAAGAATTCAGCTTTACATGGACGAATAATAAAGTAGTATATGGGTATAAGGAGTTTCTGCTGGAGTTTAAAGATACTCATAAATGGGCAAGCTTTTTGGTGACTGTAAAATATATGTAGAATCTAGTGAAAAAAGGGACTATAGATATTATAATGTACTCTGAAGAGGAAGGGAGTTTGTATTGGGGAAGAAAAGAAAAGCTGAATTTAGAAGGATTGGGGTGGGATCCGAATTTCTGGATTTATTTGTCGTCGTATGTCATTATTATGTCGATGGCAGCTGGATTGTTCCATGCGTATTATATTGAGAAATTGAATAAGGAGCATCAGAAAATTTTAGAAGGACAACATCCGTCTGATCTTAGTGAGGAATGGAAAAAGAAACTGGAGATGATGACTCCACAAGAGAAAAGGCAGCATTTTAGGAAAACCACGTTTTAGGGGTATAGATAAGTATTTAACGCCAATTTAATTTATGAGAATTATAATAAGAATAAATAGGATTATATTTTGGAATATGATATAATAGATTGGAAATTGATATTTATTACAGCAACAAAAAATGCTTAAGAATACTTTTAAATTTATTAATTTAATGGATTACTACCAGCTTGGCCCAAAAGCCATGGTATCATTTATATTAGGGATCTTCAACATTGCAAACATATTTTAAAAAGTTAAAAAGCTCTCATGCGAAAGTTCGCTTTTTATCAAAATTCACACTCCGCTGATTTGTACTTGATACGAATAAAGATATATTTTATTACACAAAAAAAGAATCTGATATAAAACCAATTGATAAATAAAATGGCATTCGGCTCGAGTGAAATTAGCTTCGCTAATTTTCTCTCCCTCAAGCAATTTTATTTATGGGATTAGGCTTTCTTCTGAGGACTTCTGTACAGCAATAGCAGTTTAACTCTGGAAGATTAGCCGAGGCACTGCTCCAAGTGCATCAAGAGGCTTGAAGTTTTACCTCTCAGCACACCCGAGGAAGGTGACCCTTAGGTGGAACATGTGCAGGAGCTAAGTCAGGAGGAGTGAGGCAACGCAGCCCGTCGAAGCCGGAACGCTATATTTTGCCTGTGTCAAGGTGGAACAAAGTGGATCTATCCAGAGGACCATGGGCAACACATGGACAAATATGATGACAGCTCTGGAAACGGCTATTCCGTAGTGAACTTTAAACGATATAGATAATTAAGTTAAGTTAAGATATAAAACAAATTGAAACATATAGTCTACTTGATCTTTTAGACGTTGATCCTAACCCTAAAGTTACTTATGCATCTGAATATAAATTTGTGTTTCAAGTAACCTTTTCTTCAAGAAATTTTATGCTTTATTCAAATTCTTTATCAGCACATAGGCAGTGAACTGATATGCTAAAAAGATATTTAATACCGACTAGAAAAAATATAAGGGCTCCAAGGGTCTGAAATAAAAGCAATTCTAATGAAAGCCAAGAAGGTGATGATCAGATACTCAATAAAGCAGTTCAGGAAGAGATGATATCTCAAGATGCATCGTGGAGGCTTGCAACTGAAAGAGGAGAAATTAATGAGCATGAAATAATAACTGAACAGGCGAGAGGTGAAAATATTAATTACCCTGTAGAAGATTATAACTCCCCCCCTCCGTGAGTGAACAACATTATTAGAAAAATCTCTATTTTTTGCCCAAAAACCCACCCTCCGTGAGTGAACAAAAATTTTTTTTAATAGAAAAATTTTTTATCGAAAAAAATTTTGATAAATAAGTGATAATTAGTAATTAAATCTCGAGCTAATTCTGTTTAAAACAAATTGCATTTTAAAACATAAATTTTACAAATTAAATTAAAAAATTATATATATAAATTTTTTAAAAAAAAATAATTAACCCCTCCATGAGTGAACAAAATTTTTTTGTTCAATCACGGAGGGGGAAGTAAGAGAAATGCTCAAAATGAAGAAGAAACCTGGAGAATTTCAGGCAATGAAAGAGTTTCAAATGAATATTATACCTGAAGTATAAATAATCAGCCTAATATTAATTCAAGCAAATGAGTTGCAGAGGAATTTTCTACTTCGAAATCAGAAAATAAAGAAAATAGCCAGAAATTCGACACAGTCTATGTTTTCCAAGATGCTTCTGAAGAAATTGAAGGTTTTCAAAAAAATAAAATAATTGAAGTCGAAAAAGATCTAAAGAGCACTCTTCCATTTGTAATTATGCCGACTGTGCCTACAAGCCCAAAAATTCATGAGGAAAAAGTGCTGCCAGTTTCTTTTAAAATTAAATCTGGCATGCTTGATATGCTTGAAGACATTCAAAGCCTGGGCTTAGAAGATATTGAAATTTCTCCTCCCAGACAAGTATCTTTAAAAAAAGCAGCATCCCAGAAAAACCTTTATTTTGAAAAGAAAACAATTGAGAACCGCAAATCATCAATAGGCACTCTAAATGAAGTTGCAAGCCAATATCCTGTGGATTCTCCTAAATCCTCCATCAATAAATAATTTTTTAAAAAATTATTTTTAAAATTATTTAAATAATAGGGTAAGAATGGACAATGTGGGTGGATGAATCGCAAGCTGAAGACCAATAGGAATGGTTTTTTTAGTCCTGAAAGAATAGAAGGAAAACTGAAAGCAAGCGGCTCGCAAAAAACGATAAGACCAGCATTTGTATATAAAAAGTAAAGTCAGTAATAACATATTTGCCATTTTTGCTTTAACTAAATTAAGAGTTTTCCATCATTAGCATTTGTTTAAATTTTATTAAAGAATTTGGAAGAATATTTTTATTTTCTGCTAACTCCCCCCCTCCGTGAGTGAACAAAAAAATTTTGTTCACTCACGGAGGGGGGTTAAAAAAAAAAATTTATATATAAATTTTATAAAATATATTTTTTTTCGAAATTTAAAAAAATCCTAATTCGCAAAAATTTGAAAGCAAATATTAATTTAATTTATAAAATTTATGTTTTTAAAAAGCGATTCGTTTAAATTAAACAGAATTAGCTCTAGATTTCATTATACTAATTATCATTTATATATCAAATTTTTTTCCATAAAAAATTTTTGTTCACTCACGGAGGGTGGGTTTTTGGGCAAAAATAGCGATTTTTCTAATGGTTGTGTTCACTCACAGAGAGGGGGGGAGTAAGCATTCACAAAATTGCAGAAGTTACATTAATTTTTATGACTTATCCTATGAAACTGAAGAGTGTAGCAAGCAAACCTTAAACCTAAACGCAAGATATCACAATACATAAAATTTCGACAATTAATGAAATCAGGGTTATACTATGATAGTAGGTATGGATTGGGTTTAATTGCCCCTTCCTCGTCCTACCTCTCCTGCTTTTTTTTTTGGGTGTTGGCGAAGGGTGTTGGTGTTGGTGTTGGTGCTAGCGTTTGCTTTTGGTGCTGCTTTTGGTGTTGGTGTTAGCGTTCGCTTTGGTGCTGCTTTAACTATTGCTAGTAGGGTAGGATAAGTAAATTTTCTTCTTCTTCTTCTTCGTCCTACACTTTTATTTTAATGGAAGATTCGGAAAGTAATGTTTCCTATTCTTCTTCCTTTTGTGAAGAAAACAGAGCTTTACCGGATGAATTTTTCGAACTTTTACTATTAAATGAACTTATTGATACAGGATTACTTGATAATTCTGAATCAGAGTATGAATGAAATGATAGTGATACAGAAAATGTTGATACAGATGACAAAAATATTGGAGTTTTTAAGTCGTTTAGATGGAAAAATACTAGATGAAATGGAACTATTCAGGAAACCTTCAAATATAGGAAGACTGAGGTGATCATTGATGATAAGAAGACAATCGATAAGAAAATCCTGAACACCAGAAAAATTAAAATTTAAATCAACCTTAAATCCTATCAGAAAAAAATAAAATTGATATCAGAATCAAACCCTATCAGAAAAATAAAAATTAGATCAAATTCAAATTTTATCAGAAAAATAAAATTGATATCAGAATTAAACATTATCAGGAAAATAAAATTTAGATCAGATTCAAATTTTATCAGAAATAGAAAATTCACATCAGACTCAGAAATCAAAAAATCGCCGATTACGTGGGTTCAGAAAATTTTACTAAAATTTTATCCAAAAATTTTAGGAAAAGAAGAAAGTTAAAAAATTTTTTTAATCGGGGCATGGTCCTGAAATAAAGACCTAATGCAATAAAATTATCTCTCTTCATCCTACATATTCTCTGAAATTAAATAAAATTTCAAAAAATATAAAGCCAATCATTATCGATTTTGCATGCCAAATTATTTTTTGATATTTGCCTGGGCAGAGCGGGTGTTTGGGTCGATCTATAATGCCACTCTGCCATACAAAATTATTTCAGATCAGAAATTTATTTTTTTACCTCACACCCATAAATAAAGTTCTGCGTGGATATACCATTTCTAGAATTGTCAAAACAATTAATCTACCAAATTTTGGCGAAGTTTTAGACGGTATTTAAAGCTGAAAACTCAAAAATGCAGCCCAAAATTAAAGGCTTCTTCAATTCCCTCCAAAATTCGTCAAAACCCTCAACTTTTCAATTTCCTCTACACATTCAAGATAACTTCTTCCCTATAAGCCAACTCTAATTTTTTATCTAAAATTCATAATTAATCCTAATAGAATAAATTAAATCAATCATTAATATTGACCACGTTGTGGCACCATTTATATATAAAAATTGTCAATGTATAACCTTACACCTATGATAGACCTGATGATCGCTCAGGTTTCCACCTACGCCAAGCACATCCACCGCAAGAGCACTCTTGAGGCCAAAATTCGGAACATGTTTTTCCATACAAAAAAGAATTCCCGGATTCCTCCCAAAAAGGAGTACCTACGGTGCCGTCTTATTCGTGGCCACAAACGTATAAATAGACAGATCAGCAAGAAATCCTTGCCGATTGGTATTTTAAATACCTATGACATCGACGACCCGTCCGCTATCAAGCTCTGGAACATTCTGGAGACTTGTTACTTCAAAAACCAAGAAGAAATGGATTTCATCAGCAGAACAGAAAGTGGGCCAAAAACAGACGGGATTTCCAAGCGAAAAGGAAGGATCAAGAATCTAGAAAAGAGCTTCAATTTGTCCTTCTGCAAAAGGTATTTCAGCTCCCCAGCTGTTTTGGAATCCTTCTACTATTATATTGAGCTGGTTTTTCTGAAGCTGGAGCCTGAGTTGCTGTGTAAAAAATTCGACTTTCGATGCTGCGAAGGTGAGCATCAGCCAGAGTGCATAGAAAAATGACTGATCTTGAAGCATTACGTCAGAGTAATGATGATTGAAGAATTAGGCATAATACCTTTGCAAGAAACTGGACGGTTTCTTCCAAATGTATTTCAGCCTGAAGGGAAAAGTGAAGAAATAAGTCCAAAGTGTGAGGATAGTGAAGATGGAGGCGAAAGTGAGTCAGCCATGACATGCACGACCGCCATTGATGATCCTGAAATTTTGAGTGGGCAGCTGGACTCTGTTCAAGATAACTAAGAGATAGTAATCTAATACGTTATCAACTCAATAAATCTCTAATATTGTTTTAATTATCATTAAGTAAAACCAATCCTGGTTTTAAGTTGTGTATATCTGTCCATATAATCGTATACTAAGAATTAGAAATTATCATAAAATCATTCAGTCATAGACATAGTCAAATCCTAATGAAATTATCATCATAAACCAATCATTCCACAATTAAAACTTAAAAATATGCAGTCAGATTTATCAGTTCCAATCATTCCAGTATATTAATCTTGTTCTAGCTTATTAACGTTTTCAAGTATAATCCTGACAGCACTAGCAATGGAACTTGTGCTTCCTTTAAGGGTACATAGCCTAGCTTTATCTCCTTCAGGTGTGTCAACCCCCTCATAAGTCTTATGAAAAGTAATGCAGCAGCTGCTCATATCCATCATATTCTTCACTTGTTCTCCTTTCCTTCCAATAAGCCGGGCAACCAGTTTGTCAGGTACAGTTATGCTTATATTGGATCTATCGTCTCTAGGCTCACGTCTGGGCGAGGGCGAATTTCGTCTCTGAGGCGGGGTGTCGTAGTTTTTTTCTAAAAATTCAAAAATCATAATGGTGGCGTCTTCTTTGGGAACTGGCGGGCCTTCGATTGCAACAATTACATCGTCATCTCTATCAGCACGTTTATCAATTAGCACCCTTATCTTTCCACACCTGGAGCGGTATTCTATTTCTTTAAGGGCTGCACTGCCTGAAGAAAGCAGCCTTAATTTTTGGCTTGGGGTGACCAGCATTTTGACAGAAGGATCATTAAAGCCGTCATTTACCATTGCTTCATCAATTTTTTGGATTATTTTGGGGATTGCTTGGGAAACTCCGCTTTGGCTGCCTGTAAGGATCTATATAGAAATTACTGCTGTATGCTCGTCATCTCTGAGAGGTCTTCTGTCACCTTTGATAAGTCGTATGTCGACGTCAAATTCTGATTTGATTCTTTTAGTGAAAAGTCCTCCTTTTCCTATCAAAATTCCAGCACAAGTGCTAGGGACCACAAACCGAACTTGTGAACGTCCTGGAGAAGGGGCGGGTTTTGACTCAGGGCTGAAATTTCTGTCCCTGATCAGCTGATAAATAGCTTTGGCCGCTGTTTCAATTTCCATTGGCCGTCCGACAATTTTTACCTGTCGATCAGAAGCTAAGGACTTTTTATCGTAAACGGAAATATTGGTATTGCTTTTTTCTTGTAGATACTTGACCTGTTTTCCACCTTTTCCAATCAGCAATGACACCATATTTTCAGGGATGAGAATAATGATCCCATCTTCTTTCATTTTATAGTCTCCAATAGCTAAGAAATCATTAATGATTAAATGAAAAGCTTGGAGCTGCTTGGATAAGTCAACGCTGTATAGCTTATACATCCTTATTGACTGCTAAATGTGGCTACCTTTAGAAAAAAGCTAAAGTCTCCAGCTGAATCATTATTTTTAAGCCAAAAGAATGCATAAGCTATACAAGGCAATTATTTTTTCCCGGGTCACCCCATCAGGCTCAAAAATACAAATTTTGTCGATCTTGGACTCTTCTTTGATGTGGTTAGTGACCTCTGGGTTTATAAAATGGGACACAAGAGACTCAGGAATCAAAAGCATTAACGATAAGTCAGCTGACGGCGAGTTCATAGGGGAGGGAGATCGAGAACGGGATCGACCTCTTCGCATTCCATTTTCTCTTGAATCCATTAATTTATAATCATAAGTCTTTTTATTTTCCTATGTAATTTTCACTATAGCAATTTAAAATAATCACTAATATCATTATTATAAACCTAAATTAATTCGTCATTATTACCTTCCACTGATGACTGCTGGTAATACATTTGCAAAATCTGTTCTGGGGCTGTTGATTGTTCTGGCTTTTTGTCAGGTCTTAATCTAATGAATCTTGGAAACCTTATGCTGAGACCTTTATCTGGAGCAGCCTTGCACCATGCACTTGTATGGATTGGGGAAATTGAGATGTCAGCTCCTTTAATTTCCCACACCATTTCAGGCTTGAACCATACATCAATGTTTGTATGGAAGGTTAGGTTAGGTTAGGTTTAAGATGTGTATTTATAGTCCCTACTTCCATGCGTGGCATTCCTCCGCGCTCCTTGAGGAGCCGTGCTGGCACGAGCGAAAAGGATGGACTTCCATCACTGGTTCTCTGAGCCCAGGCCGAAACCCCTGGTTTCTCGGTAGTGGTTGCCCTATTGAGTCGTCAGCCGACTGTCGCTGAGCACCACCATTTCCAACTCAGTCTTCCGCCCCGAATTACGCCAGTCTTTGCCTCCGGTTGACCAGATCACCCTCGTAAGAGGACCCTTTTAACTGGAGAGACTTGTGCCCTTGAGATCCCTAAGTCTAGCTTCGCCTCCCCTCTTTCCCGGATCATCTCCAAGAAAGAACTCAACCCGTTGCGGGATTCGGGGCTAAGCCACCAAGTAGCCTAGACAGTAGCTCACCCTGCCTCTTTCGGACACCGAGTCTGGGCCTCGGCGCTACTGGCAAAAAAGAATGCGAAAAACTGCTGCCCGGGTCGAGTCCCAAAATCAGCGGAAATTGGGCTAGGCCTCTCGCCTCGAGGCTAACTCTTCCCTTGAGTAGCTCTCCGTATCCAAAAACCATGTCCGGTATACATAAGGACACCCGCCACGGAATGACGGGTCGCTCGTCTCCGGCCATTTTATGTATAATGTTTGTATGAAAACTTCTGTAATTTTTAGGCATTCTTGGGACTTCAAAGTCTTTTAAGCTATTAGTCAAAGTCTGCAACAGCTCATCGCTGAACCCAGTGCTTGTTTTGCATACAGTTTGATATTCATCATTTAGCGAATCATAAACAGCTAACAAGTAAGACCCATACACCCCTGCCCTTTTTCCTGTCCCATAAAATGCTCCTATAGGTACTAGATCTACAGAATCAGCCATTTTGGAGTCAGACCCAGCGTCTGTAATATAATCTTTTTTCAATTTCAGCCAATTTAATGATCTTTTTGCAGGCTCATAAGTGGCATTTTCATGGAGAGTTTTTACCATAAGTCCTTCACACCCAATTTTTACTGAGTCCCACAACAAAGTTTCTATGTCTTCAAAAACGCTTACATTTTTATGAGTCACAAACTGCAGAAGTCCAGGCTCTTCTTTAATTGAGCTTTTTAAATACTCCCTCCTCTGTGAAAGTGGTATATCAATTAGGCTTGCCCCATTTAAGTAAAGCATATCAAAAGGGAAAATGCATACTTTTACTTCAATTTGGTTGATATCTACATTTTTCCTTCCTCTGTGCTGGATGTCTTGGAATGGCTTAATTCTATTTGTGGCTGCATCAAAAGCGACTACTTCTGAGTCCATAATACAGTCTCTTACTACATTAAAATCGATATGGCTTGACAAGAACTGAATTACATCAGGGTACATTTCAGTGATATTTTCGGAGTTTCTTGAATAAATATGTATAGTCCTGTCAGCTAAAATATGGATTTGGGCCCTCATCCCGTCATATTTGTACTCACATGTAAATTCGATCCCTGTGAATCTTTTTAGGATCTCTTGGATACCTTTGGTAGGCTGGGCAAGCATAGGTTTGACTGGAGTTCCTGGGGTGATGTTGCAAAGCTTGGTTATTATAGACAAATCTTCTCCGTCTGGCCCATATTGTAAAACAGCATTAATGATTTTGTCATAATCTGGGCACTCGTTAATGGATTTTTTCAAAATATTTTCTACTTCTTCTTCAATTGATTCTGCATTTTTGGCTTTAATTATGGCTGGAGGAAACCCAGCTTGCTTTGGCGGAGTCATTGCGATAGCTCTGGCTAAGGCACTTTGCATTGTAAGCTCTGAAGCCCCAATTTTGAGAGATTTCTGAACAATTCTGATAATGTATTTTGCTTCGTCGCTGTCAGCCTGGTTAAGCAGTCTTACTAATTCGTCTTCTTTTAAGGCTGTTGAGTTCTGGCCTTTTAGGTTGCAAATTTTCCAAAACCCTTCGTAGACGTCTGAGATTGTGTGGGGAATTGTTTTGGTTTTTTTGGAAAAATAGCTTGTCAGGTTTTTTTGGGTCGCTTTGCCTGTTGCTGCGACTGAGCCAAGGTCTCCTGTAGTATTTTCTTGCTGCTTGATTTGTTTGATGCTCAGTCCGGTGGTTCGAGCTACAGCTTTATAGAGAGCTTCATTACCAACTCCAAGCTCGATGCCTTGGTGATCAGGACAGAATTTTCCTACGCATAAATAAAAGCACTTAACTAACTCCCCCCTCCGTGAGTGAACAAAACCATTAGAAAAATCGCTATTTTTTATGCCCAAAAACCCACCCTCCGTGAGTGAACAAAAATTTTGTTAATAGAAAAATTTTTTATGGAAAAAAATTTTGATATATAAGTGATAATTAGCATAATGAAATCTAGTGCTAATTCTTTTAATTTTAAACAAATTGCTTTTTAAAACATAAATTTTATAAATTAAATTAATATTTGAATTCCATTTTCGCGAATTAGGATTTTTTTAAATTTCGAAAACAAATATTTTTTTATAAAATTTATATATATAAATTTTTTTTAAAAGAACAAAATTCACCCCCCTCCGTGAGTGAACAAAATTTTTTTGTTCACTCACGGAGGGGGGGGAGTAAGTGATCAGGGCGAAGGACAATAATTGACCTAAACAAATTAGCAATTATGCTCGTATAGGCTATATTGATAGTATTTTTTGTATGATAAATAAATATTTTTTTTTAAAAATTAATTAATTATATATTTTGTACAGGTTTACATCTTTTTGAATTGTCTTGCTGCTTTTTCCTTTAGAATTCGCTACAAGCTCATATGCATCTACTAGGATTCTGAATGGAGGTGGCTGAAGATATTTGAATTTTGCATCCAGAATTGGGTCGTATTTATCACTGCTTAATGAATGAGGGTTTTCATTGAGCTCGTAGTCTTGAAAAGCATATTGTGGGAACTCTTGAGTAGGAGGAGGTGATATGCCATTTTTTCGCATTTAAACATCTGCTTTGTGAGCTTATTCTATTTTCTTATAGATAAATAAATAATTGCTAAAAAATAGAGAATTTGAATATAATTAAAAAATATATCTCTATCTTTGATTCTTCAGGCTGGAGATTTTCTTGGTTTTCAGGAGTTTCTTCTCTTTTACGCTTCAGTGGTGCTTGTGATTTGTTTTCTTCTTTTCTTGAAAAATATTTCAGCATAGACTGCTGCCCTATACGAGAGTAAGCAACTTTAAATGTATGTATAAACTTACCTTGCATCCCGCTTTTATTAATATTATGGCGCAATTAAAATAATTTTCTAAAAAAGCGCTTTGGTGGTGCTTAATGTATACAGATCAAGAAAAATATTATTCATAATGAAAAACATTAAATTATGACGAGAATCAATATGGGAAAGGATAATTAAAGAAAAATAATTAAATAAAAATATAATTATTAAGAAAATTCAAATTTATCAGGCACATTTTCAAAATTCACAAAATTATCCTCAAATCCAAAGAAATCCGTCATAATTTCCATCGCAAAATCATAAACCCGCTCATTTCTATAACTTTGCAAGTTTTCTAGCGCATTCAAACAGTTAGAATCATCAATTAAGCAGCAAACTTTATTCACATCTTCATGGTTTTTGTCCGCATTAATTTTCCCCACCTTTAAAGCTCTTTCCACAAAGCATAGCAAATTAAGTACAACTTGTGAGTCAGAATCAATCAAAACTTCTCCAATTTCAGAAAAAATATTTTTATCATCTACTAAGACCATTATGTCTTCATTTTTTGCAGTCCTCGAAATATTATAAAATACCCAGCTTGCCTCTAAAACGACATCACTATGTTGGGAGCTTAAAGCCTTGATGATTTTTCTTATGATAGGATGGGTAATGACGTTGTGTGTATAAGAGTTATTTTCTCCAACAATATTGCTTATTATGTAGCATATATCAAATTTCTGCGTTGGAGTGATAGATCCTCTGTATAGATCGTATAGACAATCAAGGGTGTCTAACTTTAGGAGTAGCTGGGTTAAATCAAAATAAGACGTATCTCCAATCACTTTTACAGCTATTATGGAGTTATCTGATGCAAATTTTGATAGGATTCATCTGAGGATAACTTCGTTTACTAGCTCATTTACACCACTGAGGTCTGAGGTTAGACAATAATGGAAAATTCATAAAATGACTTCAATTATGCTTGAATCTTCAATATATGTAAACTGGATAATAAAATTTCAAATTCTTTTAAGCAGATCAAAAGACTTTAAGCTTGAGGCTATGTTTAGGACACAATAAAATATTCCTTTTAGTAACTCGATATTATTTTCTTGTAGAGCCCATTGTCCATATGGCATTAAAAACTCAAAAAATTCATATTTTTTTATCAAAATTTCTTTAAATTCTTTGCAATCCCCTAATATGTTGCTTAATGCATAAAATGAATATTCAGTAGTTTTTGGTTTTTGCAAAGAGATTGAGTTCATAAGAATTTCAATAAAATTGTTTTTTACAAGCTCTTCAGTCTGATTATGGCTTCCTTTAGTAATCATAACAAGTGATAAAGCAACTTCAGATGAAATTTCATCAGAATACCCACAATCTAAATACTTTGTTAAAGTTTGTATGCATTCTTTACTAACTCAACCCATCCGTGAGCAAACAAAAAAATTTATATAAATTTTATTGTAAATTTTTATTTTCGAAATTTAAAAAAAATCCCAATTCGAAAAATTGGAAAGCAAATATTTATTTAATTTATAAAATTTATGTTTGAAAATGCAATTTGTTTAAAAATTAAACAGAATTAGCTAGAGATTTCATTTTACTTATTATCACTTATATATCAAAATCCTTTTCATAAAAAATTGTTATATTAAAAAAATTTTTTTGTTCGCTCACGGAGGGTGGTTTTTGGGCAAAAAATAAGGATTTTTCCAATGGTTTTGTCCTCTCACAGAGAGGGGGAGTAAGCATTTCTTTATAATTCTCTTCACTTGTTTCGTTTAATATTTTCCTAAATTGTTTTAAATAGATCAAAGTATTATAATCGTTATGTATTATACCCATACTCAATATCAGCGCATTTAATCTCTCTTGCTGCTTGAGTTTTCCGTAATTTGGGATTAATCCAAAATCATTTTCCTCAATATTTGTGTCTGCAGATTTTAGTCCTCTTTTTTGTGCCATATGTTTAATTCTTTTGTCTTTTCGTAAGTTCACAGATAGATTTTCAGCTCTCTTGATAAGTTCATATGAATCGACTTTCATGAAATAGTTGTTTCTATCTTCTAATCTTCCATAATCGATTTTACCTCCAAAGTTAATATCAGTCATTTTTATTATGAAATTCCAAGATTTTAACCTTTTTAATAATACCCCTATGGAAAGCTATAATTATTTTACAGATTTTCTCGGCTCGTTTGGCTTTTGAGAGATGCGGGGCTGTATATAATATAAGAAGCCAATATATAATTAAAAGAAAAGAGCCAGTGTTTTCACATCAATAAGATATCATTATTTACTATAAGTAACTTATAATAAGAAACAAAAAAACCATTAAATTTGACTGTAAAAATTTTTTTTTTTTATGTCTTAATGAAAAAAGCTTGCTGGTTATATAAACTATGATACTGTTAAGTCTATTAAATAAGCAACTTATATGTACTGGAAATAAGATCTGACAGTTTCATATAATAGCAAACTGACGTTATACCTTGTTTGCAATTTCATTCTGAATATATTAAAAAATCAATAAACGCTTCTCTTAATAAAAAAATAAATCATTATGTCACTAAATTGGGTTTAAGTCATCTCAGCAAAAAACGAATTTCATCTCTTTTTCTCAAGAGATAACGGTTTATTAGGTGCTGCAAAAACCCGCTTAAAAAGACCGTTATATTTGCGCCAAAATTAATATAATTTCTGCACCAATTTGCGTTACAACACACATCAATATAGTGAAACGATGCTTTATTTTGATCCTTAATTATATTATATTTTATGTCTTATATAAGAGAATTTAATATGATCTTTATATTTCGAAACTATCAGCTCATGAAAATGTGAAATCGTTTGCTCAGTGAAAAAAGCATTAAACAGAGCTCCTTAAAAAAGAAATTTTATTTTTTTAAGAAAAATAAATTAAAATTTTGTTATTAAATACTTTTAGAGCAAGCTTTACTTATTTATTACGCTTTTTTGTACAAATAGTAACAATATTTAAGGTAAATCATACTATTTCAGTTCTAAGTGTGCCTCTTTCAGTGGCTATTAAAGATATTAAAATTATTAAAAAATATATAAAACCGTTTTTCAAGACATATTCTTCAAAATATATCAAAACGATGACCAAAATTTGCAATATTTTTTGGGTTAATTTCCTAAAAAAAGGTTTTTATAACTTTTTTAATAATTTTAATATCTTTAATAGCCACTGAAAGAGGCACACTTAAAACTGAGATAAGTAAGGTTTTACCTTAAATATTGTTATTATTTATACAAAAAAGCGTAATAAATAAGCAAAGCTTGCTCTAAAAGTATTTAATAACAAAATTTTAATTTATTTTTCTTAAAAAAATAAATTTCTTTTTTAAGGAGCTCTGTTTAATGCTTTTTTCACTGAGCAAACGATTTCACATTTTCATGAGCTGATAGTTTCGAAATATAAGATCATATTAAATTCTCTTATATAAGACATAAAATATAATATAATTAAGGATCAAAATAAAGCATCGTTTCACTATATTGATGTGTGTTGTAACGCAAATTGGTGCAGAAATTATATTAATTTTGGCGCAAATATAACGGTCTTTTTAAGCGGGTTTTTTGCAGCACCTAATAAACCGTTATATCTTGAGAAAAAGAGATGGATTCCGTTTTTTATTTAACTGGCTGAGCTTTGACTTAAAACATAGCAATTCCGTTTTTTATTGAAGCAAGCGTTTATCGAAATTTTTTTATTTTCATTAGACTCTCGCAAATTATCTAGACCGTTAGGTTGCATTGATGAATTGCTGGTATCGTCTATTTTGCTTAGTTACTAGGTTTTTTTTATTAAGGACTCAACTGTTTCCATTTTTGTGGAGATCTAGAATCTTCTATTTTTGTGATATAAAAAAAATTTTTTACTGTCAAATTTAATGGGTTTTTTTGCTCCTTATTATGAGTTACCTGAAGGACATAATGTTTTCTTATTGATAAGAGATACTGACTCTTTTCTTTTAATTACATATTGGCTCTTCATTTTATGGACATCCCGTATCTCTCAAAAGCCAAACGAGCCGATTTTCTCATTTGGTATATTAATTTTTTAAAATTTTGATTAAAGAAAGAAACAGCAATAAAAAAAGCTAATTCATAGAAACATTATTACTTACTCCCCCCCCTCCGTGAGTGAACAAAACCATTAGAAAAATCCTTATTTTTTGCCCAAAAACTCACCCTCCGTGGGTGAACAAAAATTTTTTTAATAGAAAAATTTTTTATGGAAAAAAAATTTGATATATAAATGATAATTAGTATAATGAAATCTAGAGCTAATTCTGTTTAATTTTAAACGAATTGCTTTTTAAAAACATAAATTTTTTTATAAATTAAATTAATTTTTGCTTTCCAATTTTTGCGAATTAGGGATTTTTTTAAATTTCGAAAAAAAATATTTTTTATAAAATTTATATATATAAATTTTTTAAAAAAAAAAAATTAACCCCCTCCGTGAGTGAACAAAATTTTTTGTTCACTCACGGAGGGGGGAGTTACGAGATTGGCTATTTTTGATACCAATTGCTATTTGTCTGAATAAAGCATCAACGTTTTCTGCACTTTTTGCTGAAGTTTCAATAAATTCCATCCCATGTTCATCAGCAAATTCTTTTGCTTCCTGCTGATTGACTACTCTTGGCTCCTTATCAATCTTATTTCCAACTAAAAACAACAAACAGCCTGGCTCATTATTTTGTAGTTCTTTCACCCAGTATCCGCAGCTCTCAAAAGATTTATTAATTGTAATATCATAAACAATAGCTGCAGCTCTTGCACCTTGATAATAAATCCTTGTTATTGACCTAAATCTTTCTTGTCCAGCTGTATCCCATACGAATAGCGAAACGCTTTCATTATTTCCTATACTATTCATATAAAATTAATTATATTAAAATACAAATAAAACCATTTTTTTTATTTTTTAATATAATTTTTGTTTTTTTAATAAGCCATTCTTTATTTTTTATCGGGGATACATCAATTTTGGTTTCTTCGACATTGGCACCAATATTTACGTTCCAAGAATCTTTGAATTCGTGCCTTGTAAATCTATATACTAATGATGATTTTCCTACACCAGAATCTCCGAGAATAACAACCTTTGCACTTTCTGGTGGTTTTAAAGGAAGTGGCTTGGGTTTACTGCCTCCACAACCCATTTATAAATTGGTTGAAAAATTAAAAACATAAAAATCTTCAATAAAAATAAAGAATTCTGTAAATGTGAATAATTTAATTTTGGTATTTTTTAGTAATGATGGTATTTTTATTAAAAAGATCCAAGGATGCAAAATAGAAAAGTGAGGTAAATTTGACAGCTCGGCAATATAAAATAATCTGTTTATTTTATAAAATAACTTGCATCATTAGTCTAGAGGTTAGGATGGTTGCCTTCCAAGCAGTCGACCCGGGTTCGAGTCCCGGATGATGCATTTTTATTATTTAATTTTTATAAGCTTATTATTAATTTTCCCCCTCTCATTTCTAAATAAAGTCAATAAAACTGATACCAATTTATCTTAAGTTTGCATAGATAATTAAAAAATTATTCATTTTGGACTGAAAATAACAAAATTTATTTAATTTTCTGTTTTTATTGTTTCCAAGTATTTTTAAGCGTTATTTCATTTAATATATCATTTCTTTACAAGGTTTTGCTAATTTGAAAATATGCAGGTCACTAAACTTATCCATCAAGATAAAGAAACTCTATGAGATTACAAATGGCATAAGGCACCACTAGGAGTAATTCACCCAGAGCACACTCCTGTAATCAAAGAAGACCCAACTGGCGACTTTTCTGATTTAGCTATAACAGCAGTCCCATTAAGGCCGCACGAAAGAAGTCCTCGCCATATCGAGCTTCCAGAGCACCTACAAAAGCTTGACCCTACCAGTCTCAAAATGTACCCAAAACAGCCTCGTCCTGAGTCAGCAAAATCTTCAAATATCAATAGAAATCCTAGAGATCTGGATTAAAATTAAATTAAGAATCTTAAAGTCTCCTAGGATTGATGCCTCTGTACGTTTTCTCCCAACGCCAACTCTAAAGTGACTTTTGTGGCCAGTATTTCATCATTATCAAGGACACATTAAGTCGACACTACCATATTAATTATCCTAGAGATATAGGAAACGAGATGCTAACAGGAATTCCAAAGGCCCAAGAGCAGCGCAAAGCCTTTGCACGGTTATCACTAATAGCTGGAAAAGATTTAAAGAATAGCGTTTCTGACATGAAAACAAAAATTCAAAAAAATAAAATTGATGACAATACAAGAAGAAATCAAAAAGAAAAAATTCGATTTGAAGCCAAAAAAGCAATAGAAATGGTCGATGACGCATTTATTAGCTCAAAAATGACTGATACTGAGTTCAAAAAAGTAAAAGCAGAGCTTGAACATATTAGGACTGCATATGATGGACAAGTTTGGAAACAAAAAATAATCGCAAATTTCTTATCGTTAAGAATGGGCACTGACTTTGATTTAAAAGAATTATCAAGAATGTTCGCAGAGCTTCAGGTTCAGCGTGAAAGAGAAGTCATCACAATTCAGCAGTTTATTCTAAGAATAAAAGAAGTTTCAATACAAAAAACAGGCGCCTTTGCCCCTCATGTAAAAATGGAAGATTTAAGCCAAATTATAGGGGGTTATTCATATGAAGCCCAAAAAGTTGAAAGGGACATCCTCATAAATTATCTTGAAAAAGTAAAAATCGAGCTTAAAAAGTCCCTTATGGAAAATGAAATAGTAGAAAGCATCCCAATCGCGACTTTAGAAGCAGCTTTAGCTTCAATTTTCGCTAAATGGGAACGAGAAAAAGAGTTGATTTGAACTTTCACTCAAGATATAACCAGAGCATTTTGCGAAGAATTTAACCTTACTCCCCCCCTCCGTGAGTGAACAAAACCATTAGAAAATCGCTATTTTGTGCCCAAAAACCCACCTCCGTGAGTGAACAAAAATTTTTTTAATAGAAAAATTTTTTATGGAAAAAAAATTTGATATATAAATGATAATTATTATAATGAAATATAGAGCTAAATCTGTTTAATTTTAAACAAATTGATTTTTAAAACATAAATTTTGCAAATTGAATTAATATTTGCTTTCCAATTTTTGCGAATTAGGATTCTTTTAAATTTCGAAAAAAAAATATTGTTTATAAAATTTATATATAAATGTTTTTATAAAAAAAAAATTAACCCCCCTCCGTGAGTGAAGTTAGCAATGATGATATTTATTCTGATAAAATGAATAAGAAAAAACAGTTAGAAATTAGAGTAGTCGCTGAGTTCATTAGCCAATATTTAGATAATCTGCATCTTAGCATTGAAAAAAAAATCAGGGAGCTGGAACAAATAAAATATAAAATCCAATATGGAAAAGAAATGCCAAAATCCTGAAGTGAAGTCATAAGGGAAGGAAAAGAAAGAAAAATTATTGAGGACAAAGAAGCTTGAATGAAAAAAGAAGAGGAAGAAAAAAGGAAAAAAATCGAAGAAAGCAAAAATACGAGGTCTAGGACTAGGCCTGCAAGTGCGAAAAATAAATATGACCCAAAGAAAAGTATTGAAGAAGCCAAGAAAAAAGCAAGGTCAAATGTAGGGAAAAACGCGTCGAAGTTTACAAGTCAACAAGAAGAAGAAAAAAGGAGATTCGAAGACAGTAAATTGTCATCAAGAAATTCTAAATTTAGCCAGAGCATTTTGAGTAAGAAAAATCCATTAGATTCTTCAGATTCTTTCAATAAATCAGCAACTGATGAAATGGATGATATCATTTCTGGTTTAAATCCTCCTAAGCCTACCACAAATACTTTATTTAGAAGTATGACACAAGCTGAAAGCTCATCAAGGCCTGAAACTAAAGTTAATGAGCAAGAAGGCCAAAAATTATCAAATCGCTATGAGGGTTCTAATTTAGCTCGGTCTCAAAGTGACGTTTCTGGAATCAGCAAAACTGGCAAATCTTGGGGAATTCTGAAAAACCGTGACCAATCTCTAGAAAGGATTGAAGAAGAAGGCAAAAGTTCTCCAGACACTTTTAATAAAACCAAAGGAAGCACCGAAAACAGTCCTTCTATGAGCAGATTTAAATTGCATGACAGTCCATTTTCAAGCATTGACCTTTCAATTCCCAAAAAGAAAGTTACAACCGACAGAGAAGCTTTATATGAGAGCATTTCTCAGCTTGACTACGGCCGAGATATTTTTAAGCCCATCACCAGATCTGAGCTTATAAAATCAGGAAAAACTGAATATACTCCTTATTTAGACTCCGATGGGTCTGTTTTCGATCCTAATGAAAGATTTGGTAAAGATGTCCCAATCGAGCCAGAAAAGCCATTAATTGACCCACGATATGTAGAAGGGCTCGCTAAAAGTGCCCCACAGCCTGACGAAAACTGATTTATTACTTCTCATCACCTTAGATCTGTCACAAATCACCCGCTTTCCATTAATGATGATCCAGATTACTATAAATATCAATTAGAAAATCAATACATAAAATCATCCTCTACAAATTATAATGGAGACCTAAGGGAAAACGCAATAGGACAACTAGAACAAACTTTAGCTGATCTTAAATGTGAGTTAAATGAAAGAAAGCGCCGGGCATATGTAGACTCAATTAAATTGGAGGAAAAACCATTAGGCTGGGTCGCAAAAGCAGCTGAAAATGTCTCGTATGGCTTCACAAATATCGAAAAAGACGCTCTTGTATACAATACTTATGAGTCTATTCTGAGAGAGCTTCGACAAAGGGAGAAAGACCTGCTTAACGTCCGGAGAGCTGAAGCTTATGACATTCATCGACCTCCTCAAGAGAAATGGTATGAAATAAAATCTGCGGAGTTCGCATCTGAGATGCATAGGCACCGAATGTCACTTAAGCCAAACGATGAAAATCGTAAGTTCTTAAATACATTGATAATACCAGACCTTTATAGGCTAAGTAGCTTTATTGAGTGTCTGGATCTTTATTTTAAATCAATTTTTGAATTATTTTAATAAATAAAAAAGAATTAAAAAAGCGGGCTTATATTATAATTTTTTAAAAAATTATCATTTTACCTGAAATTATAAAACAATAAATCTCAAAAAGGGCCGATTTACTATATTAATCCTTTATCTAAATTTCAATGGTCCATTAAAATTAAATGACTGAAGCAACAGTAACAACTCAAGCCTTCTTTGGGTTTATGGGAGTATCCAGCGCTCTAGTCTTCGCTAACTTAGGAGCAGCCTACGGGACAGCCAAAAGTGGTGTCGGAATCTCATCAATGGGTGTAATCAAGCCAGAACTCATCATGAAGTCAATTATTCCAGTAGTCATGGCTGGTGTCTTGGGGATTTATGGGCTTATCGTTGCAGTCATCTTGCTACTTACTTAACTATTTAGTTTTAACGTGTTATCCTTCTTCACAAAGTGCAATATAAAGTCCGCTCTTTTAACTCCGAATTATGACTTCTCTGTGCTACTCTTTTCATTCAAAACTATGAAATATTCCATCAAAGATCCATCACCGAGCCCAGCCAAAAAGCTTCTCGGATTGCCATGCTTTGCTTGGTAATTTGACTCTTACGCATATTCTGTCTTAGAATCTCTCTCTTCAGGAGTGCCAAACACCGAAAACCCTATCTAAGGGCCAAACCCCCCACACTAACATTAGGATTTTTCTGGCATATCTGAATAAAGGACCACAGGGAAAATTAGCTCCATAATAATAAAATTGTCTAAATATGGATAAATTCTCTTCTTTCGATGATACCATTTTATTATTATGCAGTCATCTTGGTACAGAAGATCAATGACAATGATTATAGTTTCTATGATGGATACAAACACTTAGCCTCTGGACTTTGTTGTGGACTCAGCTCTCTGGCAGCTGGAATGGCAATCGGCATAGTGGGAGACGCAGGAGTCAGGGCAAACGCACAGCAAGACAAGATATTCGTAGGCATGATTCTGATACTCATCTTTGCAGAAGCCTTGGGTCTATACGGCTTGATTATAGCTCTAATCTTATCGCAGTAATAGCAATTATGAGTTAGAATATAAACATTAAATTAAGCATCAAATGAAGAACATTTCTGTGATAATTGGCATGAATTGTATAAGTTTTAACTATAAACAGTTCAGCAAATACCTGGGGAAGCAAATAAACTAATTGTTGTTTAAATAGCTATTTCATTATATTATTTTTAATTTTTGGGTCAGAAGATTTTGCGTAAGCTATTTTTTGTTATCTAAATGTTTTCCATAAATAAATCTATTTCAGAACAATTTTCATTAAAAACTATTATAAAATGATAAATTCCCCCATAATCAGTAGAACTATTATCTAATTCTATAACGAATACCTATTTCTCACACAAAACGACTCCAATTATAACCAAACATTTAAGTTAAAACATTGTTGAATATTCAGGGTATTCCTGCGCATACTGATCTATTGGTTCTGGATAATAATTTTCTTGAATAAAAATTGGCCTATCTGTATCCTCCTCACTTTTTCTTTCCATTGTCAGTTTTCCAGTAGTCGCAGGCTCCTGAATATTTTCGCTAACCACATCTTTTTCTTCTTCCTGCATTTCTTCAACCTCAAACTCGTCAAACTCTTCTTCAATTTTCGCATTTCTCGCTTGTGCTCTTCTATAAACGACTAAAAGTGCAAACGCCAGTGCCAACATTGCTATACCTTTGAGTATCATTGGCAATTGTGAAGGTTGCTTCCATAAGAGCTCCATTAGCTGCTCATTATTTATGTGATGGGAAAGTCCTGATGCATTTAATGCAGTTCCAAAGGTACTTGAGCCTAAGTGCCTTAAAAATTTCCAGGAATATTTGATTATTAGTTTTGAAAATTCCAGAACAGGAATACTTGAATACAGGATTTGTACAACTCGACTGAGGCCTTCCATAAATGAATGAACGTCGACTGCAAAGTTATTAGGCTGATTAGGTTGTGGTTGGTTTGTTTGTGGTCTCATATATACTTAAAAGCGATGAATAGCATTTTTTAGATTTACAAAAGCAAATTAGATCGTGACTTTGCTGAGCTATTCATAGTAATTAAGCATATCTCGTATTGTACATACCGTAGTTCATTTCTTTTTATTATAATGTCATCAAATTTTTAAACTTTTTTTGATGAGATTGAATATTTTTTTATAAATAATAAAAATAATGATGGGGATCATATATTGTATATAAATAAGCAATAAATTTACTAAATCAATGAAGAATTTTAAAATAGTAAGCAGCGAGATTCAGATTTCGCATTTTTTGGAGTACACCAAAAACTGCAACCTGTGAAATTGCTTTCTTTTTCTAAAAGAATAGGTTCTGTTATATGAATGGGCTCATGAATCTCTATGGACTGAATCATATCACTTTTTTCATCTATTTGTTCAGCCTCTTCATATGCTTTTTCTTCTTCTTTTTTATAGATTTCAATCTGGCTTGTATCAGGCTGCTCTTCTTCATATACATTTTCTGGCTCAGTTGATGTATGTCTCCTCTTGCTTTTTCTCTTTTTCTTCTTTTTCTTAGGCACTTCTTCTACAACAATATCATACACTTCTGGGTCCAGGCTTTTGTCAACTGGGTCGTCTTCAGGGGCAGAAAAGTTTATAGGGTTTTCTCCTTCATATATCTCTTTGCCTTGATACTCATAAAATTCAGGCTCCCTATGCTTTTTTTTGCTAGGCTCATGATATTTTTCAAAGGATTCATTATTGAGCTCATGAGTCTCCACTTCTCCTGTATTAACAATAGGGAAGAATTTGTGGTAGGTGTCGTATTCAGAGTTTGTCTCATTATCAGACCCTTTTATATCTCCTTTTGAAGGCAAATAAGGACCTTCAGGAACTACAGGTGGCCAAAATCGTGTCAAATTGGGAGCCGTGCCCCCATATTTCTGTTCTACTTGGCTTGGGTTGCAATGGGCAAAGAGATGAACCAAATTTCCATCCCTCTGGAAGGTCATTTTCTCTTTGGCAGCGTCATCTAAAAACGGCGAAATGAGCTTATACATGAAGAAAAAGCTATTTGTGGCGTTTATAATATGATTGACTCCAAGCCTGCATCTATAGTTTTCTTGGAGAATATTTGTGATTTTCTTCAAAGAGCCGAGATCAAGACTTCCAAACCCCTGCTTGGACATGTCACTGATAGCGACCCAGTTTTCTACTTGCCCTGGGATCATCATGTTTGTTACGACAAATTCTAAAACAAAAGCAGTGTGCATCATATATTCATCGACAGTGTGCTAAATAATAATTACTTTTTTGAAATTGTATTTGGCGAAGTTCATTACAATAATAGGCCTGAATTGGTGGTCTCGGCCATGTACATATAAACAGCCTTCATTCTAAATAAATATTACAAGCATTTCTTCTACTTTGGGTATAACAGTTAATTTTTAGCCAATTGTGTTTAGCCTTTTGGCTTTAATTAAATTGCTTTTTAAGATATTTTATAAGGTCTAGTTTACTCAATAAGGCAAAAAGCTAGTCATTGCCCTTTTTTGGGATAATTTTTCTATTTTTTTTAAAATTTCGGTTAAATAATATTTATAGCAAAAGTGAGAATTTCCTAGAGGATAAGAAGGGACCTTGGGTATAATTCCATATAGCCATGCGGAAAATTTATTTCCCTCCACTTCAAGTGATTCAGCAGCACAGTTACTGCTTTTCTTGTTTTTCAGCCAGTTCCATAGCAGAAACGCAGCAAATGGTTCCTATCCCACTCATCAGGAACCTTAATTTTGTATTTTTTTATTTCTATCTCCAGCCTTGACTTACTTAATTAGTTATACACGCTTAACATCCAATACCACATCTCCCGCACAGGATTCCGTCCTGCTTCTGGGTTTCTCCGCTTCACCAAAATGTCGTGCTTCCATCTGGCTTCTAGGCTGAATTGTCCCATTGGCTTGGGGGTTAGGATTTCGACGGCCGTCCTTCCGGCTCTCGGGCGAGCCAACTTGGGTCTGTCAGGCACCCTAAAGGTCCCAGTCTCCACCGCCTGGGGTTGGTGGCATCCTTCCAGAAAATTAAAATTTCCTGAGGGACAGGAGTCCTGCGTCGCGCACCGTAGGAAATTAAAGCCCTGTCATAACCGGGATAAATTCGCTGGGAAACCCAAACCTCATACTCAAAAAATTGAGGAAGAGAATTTTCGGCTGGGATACCAGAAAATTCGAATGACGCCATTTTTTGATTACCTCCAGCCTTGACAGTTTTTCAAGCTCAAACTCTGTCAATTCTTGGTACCAGAAAATATTTCGGTTAATTTTTTTGCCTTTCCCATGGATGATTTCATGAGGGGATGGACGAAAGCGATATGCGTCTCGTGGCGGATACACGCTATCAGGTATTTGCATATTATGATGCCATTACTTTGAATGATTTTCCATGGAGAAATTTTAATGAATATGAAATCTGTTTTAATCATATTTCGCTAAGCTTTAGCCTCTTGGTCTTCTAGGTCTTCTTTCACCTCTGCCTCTTCTGAACCCTCGACCACGAGGTTTTTCTGCTTCTGGCGGCGGTGGCTGGCGTTTAGGCTTCTTGCGTCCTACCTCGACAAAGCCTTCATCTTCAGGGTCTACTTTCTTTTCTTCTTTTAGCTCCTCTTTAGGGGATTCTTCTTCGTCTTCAGCTTCATCTAGCTGAGCCCAGCTGTGGGCGATGGCTTCTGGCTCTATTATAACTTTTTCTTCTTCAGGCTTTGGCAGCTCTTCTACTACTTCGGCTGGGGCTGGCTCTGGGACTTTTTCTGTCTCTTGGACTTGTACAGGTTCACCAAGCTGGGTATTTTGTTGGGCAATTTGATGATGAACTTCTGTGGTCTCTAAAGAAAGCTCTGGCTTTACAGGCTCTTCTGGGCATATTTGTGACTCGCACCATCGTTGTGCGCGCTCTGCAAATTCATAGAGGTTTTTGTAGGTATTGAGTGTCCCAGGAGCTACTTCTTCGCTTTTATTCAGATAATTCTTTACAGATTTTTGAAGATCAGTTAAAATTCCTGAAAATCTGTCTCCAGCTTGTCCTCTGGAGCTGCTGTGGAATTGGAGGAACGAGTCTAGGTTGCTTTCATCAGGATTTTCCTGTTTGAATTTTTCTTGTATGTCTGGATGTTTTAAGAATTCTCCTATGGCCCATAAATTGACAGCATCAGCGCTTCTGTCTTCTTCTACTTTAAGCTGGACTGGCTTGACTTCTTTTGGGGCTTCTGGTTGTGGGAGCTTGCAAAGTTCGATGATTTTTTCGACTTCTGCTAGCTTTCCCACAAATTAAGCAAAAATATTGATATAATCCTGCTTTTCCTAGCAATCCCTTCATGAGCATGCAAAAATGTATGCTAATATAATATATAGCAATTGCCCGAGGATGGCGCTATCTTGCACCATCCTCGGGCAATTCAAAAATGGCCCCACACCGGGAATCGAACCCACGTGTGGGGCCATTTTTGGTGTGTGGCCAACATCGACTTTACACGCACCAAAAATGGCCCCACACGTGGGTTCGATTCCCGGTGCGGGGCCATTTTTTGAATTGCCCGAGGATGGCGCAAGATAGCGCCATCCTCAGGCAATTCCTATAATCCGTTGGTAAATTTCTTGTGCCTGTTATACGCACAATTTTAATATGAAATTTCAAATTATGAATTTACCTCACTAAAATCTTCGTTTTGAAACGCATATTTGGTTTTCACATGATAAGGAATTATTGCAATACATAATATAATTTTTTTAAACAAAAAAACCTTCAAAAGTAACCTTTTTTTTGCTCCGTCGCTAAGGAGTAAGTAATCTTCTGTTTGAGATTTAGAGTCAAGCATTTTTCGTTCTTCGCCTTTGACCTCTTTTCCAGAAGCTTTTACTTCAGCTTCTTTAAGCTTTATTCTATCAAGCTTTTTGGTGAGGTTCCTTTTCCTCTTCTGTAGAATAGCCATGAAGTCTTCTTGTGCTGGCTCCATTTCTTAATTATTGTCCATAGTTAGAAAGCTAAATAACATATGAAGATCAATGAGTATTAATATGCTGATTTTATTAAATTTTACTATTTTTAATATATATTATAAAAATAATCAATTAGTCTATATGGGTTATTTTAATTCCAATCAGAAATGGTGATATTTCACATTGACTTGCTTGGAGAGATCTTGAAATTTCTAGAGCCTAAAGAGCTAGCGTTAACACTCAGGACTTCAAAATCATTTTATACGTATGGCACTATCGATTCAATATGGAAGGATTATTGCACTTTACTTTTCCCTTACTATACAAATGGAAATTATTATAACTTTATTGTGACGGAAATATGAAATTACCTGAAAATTGTAGAAGCCTTTCATCAAGTGATTTCGACTGTTAAATCACAGTTTCCTTCTCATTCTGTGTATAGGAGTTTAGAAGAAAGAGGAAATAGAGATATGGCGATGTTTTATAAAAATATCTATGCTAAACAAGATTTTGAGATAAATCCGGAGAATATACTGAAAGAATTTAAAGAAGAGACAGGAGTAGACATGCCAACTGATTTATATCAGATTTATGTGACTTATGATGGCCAAAAATATCCTGGATTTTTCGGAACCTATAGATTTTATGACAATCTCACATCTTTATCATTTTTGCCACTAAAAAAAGCATTGATGAATACTTCAGTCCCTTTATTTTGTCTAGGAGAATCTCCATATTCAGATCAGCAGTTGCTCTATGACTTAACAGGAGAACTTGGAAAAGGGATTGGTGCATTATATTATAGCATGGGCTCACAAAATACTTATTTACACCTTTCTTCTAATTTAGCAGAATATTTGCATTGTTATGCAGGAAAAATAAGTTCTGGACAGATAGAAATTGAGTCAAAATTAATCAATGCATTTGAATGAAATGATTGCTGCAGTGATGTAACAACTGAGGGCATCAGAATTACAGCAAGAAGCATATTCGTCCCTTATCTTAGCAGCAGAGAAAGGTATGCATGGGCTTACCAAATTGGAATAGAGCCAAATAGACCTTCACAAAGATGGCGGCTAGTGACGAGAACTTGAAATATTACTGATAATAATGGAAGAGTTGATACTGTATATCGTCAGCCAGGCGTCATAGGACTCTTCCCTGAGGTGTATCAAGGCTCTAAAAAAGTCATCTACGAGTCCTGTTGCATTCTTGCGACCCCAGGGGGGACAATGGATGGCTATTTTACCTTTGAAAACATGGACGACGAGTCCATCACTATTGACGCTACAGTCGGAGTTTTCAGACATCAGCTGCCTCCTGGATCCTCCTTTGTGACCTATCACCACGGATTGCCATAATTTATTAAATTTAAATGGAAATTCTCTCGACCCTCAAAGTAATTCTCGAATCAAGAACCTATTCAATCCACAATTTCCAATCATTTGGGTACCAAAAGCTTTATCAGTATTTATTATTCAGATCAATTGCAGAATTTCTTGAAGATTCCAGCCCATCATTCCAATTGAAATGTCCATATTTAAATGACTGGGTTCTGATCAATGATGAGGACACACTGAATACTTATATAAAGCACAGTGTTTCACCCTTAGTTTATGTGGTTTATCCTGGTATTTTCTAATTAGATGCCCCTTGTGTGATTAGGATTGAGACTTATAATTTAGCAATTTTCGGGATGCATGCGAATTGGGATCAAAGAGTCCATATGATTGCACAGCAAATAAAGCAAATCAGTCCAGACATATTAGGGCTGCAGGAAGCCAAATATGATCCTTTTTATGGGCTGAGCAAGAGTGAAAGAGCATTAGTAGAAGAAAATGAAAAAATAAGATTTGAAAGACATATGATGAATGATTTAATGGCACTGCTGCCTGAGTATCCTTATTCGTATTGATGTGATTCAATGCATTATGGAGACGGCTCTATTGAAGGAATTTCTATTGTATCGCGTTTTCCTATTATTGATATTAAAGCAACCAAGCTTTCTTCTGCTAATGATGATGGAAACCAAAGATCGTGCGTAAGAGGAACGATAAATCACCCTAAAAAAAGAATTTTCTTTTATAATACACATGTCACTTATGGCACTAATGGACAAAATACTCAAGCAGCTGAAATTCTCCAGTTTATGGACTCTGAAAAAGATAGGCAAATCCCTCAAATTTTGGTAGGCGACATGAACTTGTACCAGCATTATCAGTCGCCAGCCCACATTTTTGAAGGGAAATTGAACGCGTCAAGTCCTCCTACAAAGCTAAAAGACGCATGAAGCATTGTGAGAGGAAACGAAGAAGGCTTCACACATCCCAGCTGGAATCCCCAGGACCGGCTTGATAGGATTTATTATAGGAACCTTGAAGACCCTTTTATCTGCGAAATTTCAGGCTACGCCGAAAGCCCCACCGTATGGCCTTCTGACCATTGCACTTTATATGCTGATTTTATTATTTCAATTTAATAATTTGTGCTACTTAACTCTAATTAAAAGAATGGAACTTTGCTCAAGGCTTGCTTCAAAATGAACTTCGGCACTGCGCCCATCCCCATAGAAAACATGAGGGCTACAATTGAGAACACAAATAAAAGTGGATACAAAATGATTGGACTTTTCAGCAGCCACATAAACTCATTCCACCCTAAAATGATGATAAGCAGCAAATACCAGCCATTTACTTTGTTTCTGGCATACCCGAACTCTTTGATGTGGACTGCTTCTTTGTAAGCCATTTCTGCGTCTTTTAAGAAGCTTTCCATGATTAGGTGGAATTGTTCTTCACCAATTAATTCTTCATAGTCATGCTCTCCATGGTCAGTGTCCCACTCACAGACGATTCTGAATAGTCTTAAACTTTCTAAGGTAGCTAAAACTGTGTCTTTGCTTTGAGCAAAAATTTCGTCAATCGGAGCATTTTTCCATTCTCTAGGAATACCGTTTTCGTTTTTTAAGAAAAGTTGGTTGAATTTTTTCGTCAGTTGGTCGACGAGGCCGTTGCAGTATTTGGTGGCTTTGGATTTTAGAGTGGAATAGCATTCTCTTCTGATTTCGGCCAATTTTGAAGCGATTTGATCTTCTGAGAAATCTAAGCCTTTAAGGACGTTTGTGTATCTGCTTTCAAGCTCTTGCATGGTGCTGGCTTGGAATTCTTTAAGCTTAGACCACATGTTGTCATCAAAGGGGTTTTCTAAAATCTTATTGGCGTTGAATGAAAATTTTCCTGAAAGGGCAGATTTTACTTCTTTTTGGAGAAGCTCTAATTGTTTTTCTTTTTCAACTGATTTTTTCTCTTCGATTCATTTCATTAATTCTGCTTCGTACTCTGCAGTTTCCCATCCACTGTTTTCAATGATACTAGCTTGAGCATTGACAGCAAAAAGGCTAAGAGTTAGCTGCTCCACCTCAGATATGGTGGCAGAAAAATTTTCTATAGCTTGGCCCTTGTTTATTTTACTTTCCAAGGTATCTTTGAAATATTTTGTACTTTCTGTTACTACACACCTCATCTGAGAATGGAACAAGTCTTTTATTTGGTCTAACAGTAGCTGATTCAGCTCATTTTTTATGCTCAGATATATGGTTTCATAATAAGCTGAGCCATTTTTGTCATACTCTGCCAAGGCTTCTTTGATTTTTTCAGAAAAAATCGTTGAAAAATCTGGTACCGTACATCTCCCAATAAGTTTTGCAGTTGGCTCAATTGCAGTGGTAAATAGCCGTAAAGCTTCGAATTTTATTTCATTGCATCTTAAATTAGCCAGCATTTCTTTTTGTGAAGGGATGTTTAGATCTTTATCATTCCCTATAACAGTCCAAATTTCTTGGAAGTATAGTGGAATTCCATCAAGTGGGATGTCTGTATCTTTATATCTGAACAAATAATCCATCCTTTCTTCGTTGTGAAATCTGTCTCGGAGGTCGTCAATGTCTGCTTTGAATTCTTCAGGCTTGAAATCTTTTACTGATACAGTCTTGAACTCGAAATCAAAGCAGTCAAATACAGATAATAAGATATATATTTGCTTATAATAGATAGAAAATTCTATTGGTTATAATAAAATAAAAGTTTTAATTTTATATAAATGGCTTAGCTTTCTGGCTTTTTAATTTTACTCCAAAGCTCCTCCAAAGTTCTGCTCATTTGCTGCTTTAGCACTGTAAGGTTATTTTGCTGATCGTTGAAGTCTCTCACTCCCCCCCCCCCCTCCGTGAGCGAACAAAACCATTAGAAAAAATCGCCATTTTTTGACCAAAAACCCACCCTCCGTGAGTGGACAAAAATTTTTTTAATAGAAAAAATTTTAATGGAAAAAAATTTGGATATATAAGTGATAATTAGTATAATGAAATCTAGAGCTAATTCTGTTTAATTTTAAACAAATTGCGTTTTAAAACATAAATTTTGCAAATTAAATTAATATTTGCTTCCCAATTTTTGCAAATTAGGATTTTTTTAAATTTCGAAAAAAAATATTTTTTATAAAATTTATATATAAATTTTTTTTTAAAAAAAAAAATTAACCCCCCTCCGTGAGCGAACAAAATTTTTTTGTTCGCTCACGGAGGGGGGGGGGGAGTCAGCACAAATAATATCCTCTTTTTCTTTTCTAATGTGAACAACCTTAAATTGACTTCAAAAATTGTCTTAAGAAGTCCTACACTGGCTGCCTTGTATCTGCCTATTTCACTTGTCCACATATTCACCATAAGGACATCGGCACAAGCTAAAGCGAATAAAGCAGACATGTGCTCAAAAGCAGCGCCATCATCACCTCTGATTTGACTATCAGTCCCTTCAATGTCAATTATCAGAGTCTTACACTCCAAGTTAGCTCCTAAGTGAATTCCTTTTGTTGTTTGGTTTCTTCCTTTATAAGCATCTAGTGTATCAAAATCAGTACCAAAAAGCATGTTTAAGAGAGTGCTTTTGCCTGTACTTTGACAGCCTATGATTGCTACAATATGATAATCGGTGGACCGCAAACCGGAGACCTCAAGGAAAGGCTTCATGGCTTGCCTGAATAGAGATTACGTGAACTCGCCTTCAAAGGTGACAATTTGTACGGACTTCATCGCCATTTTACATAAGACATGTGAATTTGAATGATTTTAGATAGATAAAATAGCAAATATTTAAAGCATCTTTTAAACGCAAAGTAGAGATGTTGAAAAAATATTAAAATCAGATTTACATTTTTTATTAATAAATAATCTTGTTGGCAATAGATTAGGGTAAATTTCTTAAAAATAGTAATAGCTCAGGTCTAAAGAAGATGTATTCGATTGGTGGGAATTACAATAGAAGTGATTAGAAAAAGATTCATGATGAATGAGATCGTTCTATATGCACAAAAGTTTGTTTATTGAATAAAAGATGAACATGCTGGAGATTTTAAGAGATGGATAGCAGGATAAACACTTTTATTTATGGTTTGAGAAAAAAAAAGAAAGAAATACTGTTTCGCAGCATTAAAAAATTTTATTTATTTATTTATATTTAAGATGGGAGGATGCATAGCTTCAAAATCGAAAGCATCAAAGACAATGCCAGAAATAAAAGATAAAAATTCAGACGATTCTCAACGGATTATGGCCCCTAGAGCACCAACGATCTCAGTAACTGCTGAAAATGAACACCAAGCTCTGCCGCATTCATTAAGAAAATTTTCCCTGTTTGTTGTTGGTGAAGAAGCTTCAGCTCTAGAAGACTCAGCCTTGCCCCCTTCAGCTGCTGGAAACTTCCAATCAAATCTACTCAGACAGTCACTCCAAACTAATCCAAGGACGTCTATCGCTTAAATTTTCAGAAATTGAGAAAACATGAATGAATAAATGAAAAAGTTCACGTAAAATTAACTCCTCCCTTTAAATTAGAACAAAATATCAGTAAAACTTCCTTTATATCGGAACTAATTTAATTTTTATTGGTAAAGATAAAACCCTTAATTTAAATAGATTTGATAACAAGATTTATGCAGTTAGTGCTCATTAATAATTATTTTTTAAAAATAAATTTGGCAATTGAAAAATTTTATTTATTTTATTTTTTGAAAAAAATTAACCCTCTTTAAATGAAAATATTTTTTAAGCGGAGAGTAAGTATATTAAGTTTCTTTAAATTTTTGAAATAGTTCCCTAAGTTTGCTGATTTTTAAAGATATTTTAAGCAGCACGCTTTTTAATCATTTTTGTGGTCATTCTATTGGCTTTTCAAATGTTTTATTGTTAAATAATTATGGCTTTTAAACTGTTCAGCTTGTTGCGTTTTGTATTTAAAAATATTTATTAATAATTAATAAGTACTTTGGCTTAGCAATAATAAAATTTGCATTTAATTGAGAAGGATTTTATATTAGTTGTAAAATGCAAAAATAATAATTTCAATATGACAGAGGGAAACTCTTCCAATTTTTTTAAAAATATAATTGGGAACCAGGTATTGATAAAATTGAACTGCGGAGAAGAGATGAAAGGAGTCCTTGAAGCATTAGATGGAAAAATGAACGTCGCACTAAGAGATGACATAGGACTCGTTATCATAAGAGGAAACAACATTCTTTATATCACAAGAACAGAAGCTCCTGCACAAAAATCTAAATAATTAATAAAATCTTTACTGTCTAAATTAAATTTCTAGTTTACATGATTTCGCATTTCGCAGTACAATTTATTGTTTTGCTATAAACCATTCATATTTATCTCACCAACCTCTATCTTAAATTTTAATTTAAAAGGCTAATTAATCATCTTTTAATGCCAAAATAATAGTTTATATGAAAATTCTAAAAAAATATCCAATATATTATATCTTTTTCTAAAGATGTGGCTTTTCTTTCATTCATGTTCTGTATTAAATTTCCTAATAACTCTTTCAATTTACTATTTTCTTGTCTTTTCGCATAAAGTTTAAGCTCATTTTCTGATAGCCTTGTTTGCATTACTTGTATATCATCATTAATCGCTTTCAATTGTTCAAGCAAATGATACTCATTCGGAGAAGTGTCACAAAGGTCCATCCCTGATTTACTTATCTTTGTATCAATTTGTTTTGAAAAATGTGAAAACTCACTAAAGGCTTTTTGGCTGCTATTCATATAATTGTCAGCTTCTTCTCTGAGTTCTGCTAGACTTTCTTTTATTTGTTGAGTTAAAATATGAGTACGGGAATTTTCTGGTAGAGAAATAGGGGATCTAGCCTGGCTGCTCATAAATTTAGAAGTAATTTCGCTTTCACTGTCTGAAAGCTCTTTTGGGGTGCTTTGTTTGGAATAATTTTTTATTCTGGGGTTTAAAGTTAGCCTTTTAGTTTTACGGTTGCTGAAAACTGCTTCTTTGGGTAAGGTTGGGGATCGAATTTGGTTAGAATTGGACCTCGCTCTAGGGTTTGAATCTGATTTCTTTGGGTGTTTGAAAAAATGCATAGATCCGTTGTCGAGTTTGTTAGGACGATTCCGAAATTGAGGTGTAAGATTATTCATCAATTTAATTTTAAAAAATTATATTTTGGTTTATTTAATAATTATTTCTGGCTCCGGCACAAATAATTAGTACCTTTATCAGTCTTTTAGGGAGAGCTATTTATAAATAGACGGTTCATCTATATAAATTAAAAATTTATATCCAATTAATCCCAATTATTTAACTTATGTCATCCCAGTACAACAAAAACTAAAATTCATACAAACCCAAACTGTATTCTAGATCTCTAATTATTTATTTAAATGGAAGAACGCGGATGTAATTTTTCATTTAGCTGATGGAACCCCCTATGAAGAAGAGCTTACTTCTGATGGGTGGATCCAGTGGTTTTGCAGTCTTGAAGGTCACGAATTCTTTGCAGAAGTTGATGAAGATTTTATTAGAGATGGCTTTAACCTTTATGGTCTTGCAACAAGAGTTCCTCACTATCGTGAAGCCCTCGAAATGATTTTATCTCCTGGCACTCCAGATGACGATGATCTACAAGATGAACGATTTCTAGAACTTTATCAGGAAGCAACTGATATTTATGGTTTGATCCACGCACGGTACATATTATCGCCACGTGGATTGGCGGTGATGAGAGAAAAATATTTATCCGGGAAATTTGGGACTTGCCCCAGAGTTATGTGTGAGCGGTCAAATGTGATTCCTGTAGGCGAGATTAGGCTTTTAAAGCTATTAAGCAGTTACAGGCTCGCTGTGTGAACTGTGATTCATCTGCCTTTCTTCGTAGATGGCAACTCATTAGCTGATTTTGCCAGATTTCTCTAGGCTAGGAGTAGTCATATACCTAGAGTGAAGTAACCCCTGACCACATCTGATCTGGGGTTCAGCCTAGAAATTCGAAAAACGAATTTCTGGGAACTTGTGGTGAGCCTGGATACTCGAAGTCCAGGACGCAAAATCGATATTGCTTGAAGAAGCTGTCTTATAGGCTTAGCGAGTTAGGAAATGCTTGGTGACCCATTTCACTTCTCACAAGGAAATATCCAGTCTTGAAATAGGCTCTAAACGCAGCCAGATTTGCTTATTTATTATGCTGTCCATTTCTGGGTTGCCTAATATAATTAAAAATATGTGATCAAATCTGCAAGACGCCATATTTAATTATGGTTCCTGTAGGTATGTCTGATATTTTGAAGACATCAAGAGTTAAAATATTCTGCCCAAGGTGCCAAGAAGCATATATTCCTAAACACAAATATGCTGATGTTGATGGGGCGTATTTTGGGACATCATTTCCACACATTTTGTTGGAATCTTATAGTGATTTTTATGTTCTGCCACTTGCAACTGAATATATACCTAAAATTTATGGGTTTAAAATATATAAGCATAAGGGGTCAAAGTATTATCAAAATCAGAAAGAAGGTCAGAAATGCGATGATAGGAAAATAAATATACAGTAATGAATGTTATCTAGATTAGTAATTATCTGAATTAAATAATTTTCTTGAATAAAAAAGAATTAGATTAGATTATGCTGCATATTTAAGGTCCTATACTTCTATGGAATGATTGAGCCGCCTGGAGGCATAAATAAATTGGGTGGCTTCCGCATCTGGTAAATCCAAGCTTAGGCCGAAAATCTGGTTTTAGATAGTGGTTGCCTTTTGGGTTGACGACCTTCCAATTTGATACCTTCGAATGTCTAGTTACTCCAAACTGCCCATCATTCCCTAGTCAGATCACCGAAGGCCTTTAACTCGAGGATCGCCTCGATAAGTGATGTCTGATTCGCCTCTCTTTTAAACCAAAGCAGCAACTTGAGCAAGGAAATCACCTTGCTTCATTTTTGGCGCCCACTGGCTTTTGTTTAAAAGAAATCATAAGTAACAGTTCATTGTATAAGACCCCAAACCATCGGCTTTAAGCTTAAGTCCTTAGCTGGACATTTGTGTCCCGGTTGGGTTTTCCCTCGTCCAGCAATGAAGGCATTGGGTCTTCCAGTGGGCGTTTGAGAAAAAAACGCTTTTTTACCCTAGAGACCACTAGTGACGACGAAAGCATTGCTGGCGCCAATACTAGCTAGGGATTTTATCCCTAGCTGGAACTCTAGTTACTCAAACAGCAACCGTCAAGTCCCAAACCTGTGTAATCCAAGGCTCCGAGACAACATCAAGAATCAGACCGAAAGCCGGAAGAGAGGTGTTTCTCATGGAAATGCTGACATACCCGGGAGGGTCGCTAGCATCTGAACGAGTCTTTTGCGAAGATTGTCTTGGGCGAGACGTTAAAGAAGAAGAAGAAGAAGAAGAAGAAGAAGAAGAAGAAGAAGAAGAAGAAGAAGAGAAGAAGAAGAAGAAGAAGAAGAAGAAGAAGAAGAAGAAGAAGAAGAGAAGAAGAAGAAGAAGAAGAAGAAGAAGAAGAAGAAGAAGAAGAGAAGAAGAAGAAGAAGAAGAAGAAGAAGAAGAAGAAGAAGAAGAAGAAGAAGAAAGAAGAAGAAGAAGAAGAAGAAGAAGAAGAAGAAGAAGAAGAAGAAGAAGAAGAAGAAGAAGAAGAAGAAGAAGAAGAAGAAGAAGAAGAAGAAGAAGAAGAAGAGAAGAAGAAGAAGAAGAAGAAGAAGAAGAAGAAGAGCCCTAATCTATAATTAATGTTAATGCTAATGCAGGGCCAACTTCAGACTTCAAAATTCATGCCCTAATATATATGGGTAACTGTCACAAGAGAGGACAAGTGGTCATCACTCGCCCATTTTATTTATATGCATAGAAAAGAATAATTAACTGTTTTTAATGCACGATTTCTTCTTACTCCCCTCCGTAAGCTAACAAAACATTGCTTGCTCAAGGAGGGGTTAATTTTTCTTTAAAAATTTAAAAATTTTATAGTAAATATTTTTTTTTTAAATTTAAAAAAAGCCCAATTCACGAAAATTGGAAAGGAAATATTAATTTAATTTGTAAAATTTTATGTTTTAAAAATGTAAGTTGTTTAAAATTAAGCAGAATTAGCTAGAGATTTCATTATACTAATTATCACTTACATATAAAAACATTTTTATTTAAAACAAATTTTTGTTCGCTCATCAAGGCGAGTTTTTGGGCAAAAAATAGGTTTTTCTAATGTTTTGTTCGATCACTGATGGGGGAGTTAAGCAATTTTATTCTAAAATAAATAAATCAAGCTCTAGATAAAAAATTTTAACAGAAAAGAAAAAGGCCGCTTGCTGATTAAAAAGCCAATGATTTATTTTCTTTTATATTAATTTAAAGCAAAGTGTCAGTTAATAATTTGAAGGGATTTTTGAATTCAAAATGGAAAATGTAAAAGTTTTGCTTTTTGTACTCTTGGGACTAATTGTGAGCTCTTCTTATTTGTAAATGATAGCATAGACAAGACTGTTTAAACATCCCTTTTACACTATGTATGAACAAAAAATCATACGCAATTGCTGATTTAAACAAGATTAACACGCTTATAGGCTGATGGACTTTTGACGATAAATTTGGGCACGATTATTCTCACCATATAAACCCGCTTGAAACTGTTCCAATGGCTGGACCTGGGCAAAGTAATCTCTAATTAGAGAAAGGGTCTTCTTTATATTTTGACAGCACAAACCAAGGTGTAATTCCTCATATATCATACTACGAAATTTCTGAGTTTTCTGTTATGTTTTGAATATTTTTAACAAAAGATTCCACTGGAGCGTGAAGGACAATTTTTCATAAAGGACAAAATTCAAATGAACTCACCCCTACAGTACTTTTATGGCCTAAAGAAAGGCGACTTCATGCAAGAGTTAGCACAGACTATAACTGAAATGAAGGAGTTGACTCAACTGCTATTATTAATATGAGGAAATGGGCCCACATTTCACTTGTAGGGAGCGGCCAATTATTGCAATTATATATAAACGGGTATTTGGATAATCAAATCATACTGCATGGAAATATTCAGTATAACAGAGGTGACATTTTTCTTGGAAAAGATCCATGGCATATGGGCTTTTCAGGATATTTTGATGATTTAAGATTATATGATGCAGCAATTCATGAAAAAGATTTACTCGCTTTAGCAGAATCTGCTTCTCCTATGGCTGCCGCGAATGGTGTTATGCTTGGTTGCCAGTCTTGCAGCTATCCTGATGCAACCTCTGGTTGTATTGACAATTATCATATATGTTCTCTTGAAGAGCTCTACAGTGGCTCCTATGAAGTAGCAAGATCTATGGGCTGGTTTAAATCAAGCCCAGACGTTTGAGTCCACAACACCCCAGAGAATCATTCCACCAAATCAGAAGAAATGTACGATTCTGACGTATTTAAGTTAGGATTATGCTGCAGAGATTATTAATTTAATTATAAATAGCTTATAAGCAATCTTCTCCTAATAGCCCATGATATTTAGCAACCCCTTTTTTTCTTTCATCAATAACCCATTGAAATGAAGTATTATTTAAAATTTCATCAAATAAGCTTGGGTTGTATCCTAATGCGTATTCTAATTCGATTATATCTATAGTCATTTTGGAATTCATAGCTTCTTTTGCTTTGGTGTTAGAAGTAATTCCTGGGTCATAATTTGCTTCGATAAACCAGAGCTTCATGTTATCGTCCATAATAAAATCTAGCCCAAATAGCTCAAAAAGCTGAGGATGCCTGGGAAGCCTATGAAGGGCAGATCGCATAATGTGAATGATGGCTGATTTTATAGTGGGCCGAAATTCTTTTTCTAGTCAATCAGAGCCAGCGTCCTTTCTCTCGACTAGATAGTCGAGAAATTGAGGGTACATTCAGCCTAAATCTTCTAGAGTTTCTGAAATAAGCTCACTTGTGTAGTTGTTTGCTTTAAAATAGCCCTTTGCTTGACCTGTGTTTGTAATGTGCCGCCAGCCATCAGTTGAGGTGATATTAAACTCATCAACAGAAATCCTTAAGAATCCATCGTGGTATAATACCATCAATGGATCCATACTGGCTACAAACATATAAGCTCTGAAATCGAATTTTTTGCCATTTATTAAGTATGGATTGCTTATGTATTTTTGAGCAATTCGTCCACTGTGAGATTTACAGCTGCCACTTTTCTCAAAGTCTTCTAAAAACGTTGAAGATAATTGTTTGTCTACAACTTTCACCCCAAAGCCTTGGTTACTTTCTTTTGCTTCTTTATAAATCCATTGGAGCTCATTTTGTGATATATGTTCCTTGCAGATAAATGAAAATAATATACTTTTACATTTTCTATAAGAGTATTTATCTAAAATATCATATTTTCTTTTAGGTTTTGCATAAAAAGAGCACACTCTTTTTCGTTACTCAAAATTAATGTATATGGAGTAAATGCTCATATATCAAAACATTGTTTTCGACCACTAAACTGCTCACTCCCCCACCCCTCCGTGAGTGAACAAAACCATTAGAAAAATCGCTATTTTTGCCCAAAAACCCATAAGGAAATCTTGAGCTAATTCTGTTTAATTTTAAACGAATTGCTTTTTAAAACATAAATTTTATAAATTAAATTAATATTTCTTTCCGATTTTTGCGAATTAGGATTTTTTTTAAATTTCTAAAACAAATTTTTTTTAAAATTTATATATAAATTTTTTAAAAAAAAAAAATTAACCCCCCTCCGTGAGTGAACAAAATTTTTTTGTTCACTCACGGAGTGGGGGGGGAGTCAGAATATTTTACTAAGTCCATAATACTTTCATCTTTTGCGTCAATATAGGTATTTCCTGGAATGTGATTATATCGTTGCCCAGGACACACAAAATGTTTCCCAATTTCCATAAACTGATGTGTATTGAATACCATATGGAAAAACATTGTGATATTTAAAGGCAAATGAGCAGGCTTATTTTTACGTACATTTGTTAAGTAATATTCAGGATATACAACATTGTAATTTTCTATAACTCCTCCCCTTTAAGCAAACACCAATATTAGAAAAATCACATTTTTTGGGTAAAAAATCACTTTCCATGAACTAACAATAAATTTATTAATAAAAAATTTTGATGGAAAAATATTTTGACGTATAAGTGATAAATATTAAAAATTAAATTTGTAGCTAATCTGCTAAATTTTAAACAGCTTGCATTCTAAAACATAAACTAAATTAATTGTAATTTCCAATTTTGCGAAATAGGATTTTTTAAATTTTGAGAAAAAAAAACTTACTATAAAATTCCATTTATGAACAAATAAAATTTTTTTGTTCGATCATATAGGGAGCAAGTGTTTTTTTAGTAAAATATCATTTGGGGAAGTTCGAATAAATTATCTTGTCCTCATGCACCGGAAGTCCTCTTGAGTCCAGCTTAACAGGGTTATTTAGTCTATATTCCTTAACACTATCACAATAATCGTCATCTGCAAGGATTTTATGAAAATTAGGTTGATAATTTATTGTGCTTAAATAATATTTTCAAGCTTCAGATTCTTCATAGTTTTTATGTGTGATTTCTTCATAGATTTTCTTTAAAAAAGTTTCTTTTGAGATAGGGTGGCTTAAATAGATGCTTAAAATGTTCAAAAGCAGCAAAACGGATATGAGAGATACTACCACTGTAAATAATTTCATATTATATTTATAAAAAGTCTCATTTACTTTAGAGCTTTATTTAGGATTTTCCAACTAAAGAACAAAATTATACATGCTACTCCTAGTAAGATGTGTATAAAAGTTTTTATTCATACACTTTCCAATTCTGTTTCAATGCTTTTCATTGCATCTAGTAATGAATTTAGCTTAGCTTTGTAGTCTTTATCGAAATTTTCAGCTTCTTCTGCGTTTTTTTTGATTTTTTGATGCAGATCTTTTATATATATTAAAATGGCGAATCAAGCCAACCTCTAACTCCTCTAGAGGGGCCTTAATGAAAACCCAGGATTTTGAGGGAGGAAGATAAATTTCGCTGGTGCAGGTGGAGCGGTGATGCTGAGCTGATTATCCAAAATTAATATTTTTCCTCATGATAAATGGGACACAAAGCCGGAAGGGCTCTATAAGCTTTATCAAAAAAAGATTTCTTGGATAATTTGGACATTTACCCAGTGTGCTAAGGTATTGCACCCTAAGCTTTGAATTTACATTGTACCCAACAGCTGACAAGAAAATTCGGACTTTTGAATTTTCTTTGGAGGCAATCTATGGTGTGGCAAGATGGCAAACAAATTAGATTTATGAGGAGAAAGCTCAGGCCCTAGTGAGAAGAGAGCAGCTCAGTTCAAGGCTTGTGCGAGCTAAAAAGCAAACAGTAGAATAGGCATAGAAGTAAATTGGGGGTTTTTAACTCTACAGTGGGCTTCTCTACAATCTAGCATGAATAACGATGCAGATCTTTTTCTTCATATTCCACAATTTTACCTTCTAATGCAGATAAATTTTCACCTAACTTATCAAATGATGCAATAGCATCACGGGTCTTATTTTCATTGATTTCCATAGTGCTTTTTGCTAATTCTGATGCAAATCTATCAAGATTATCAAGTGATCTTCCGATTCTGAATAAATTATCTCTGAGATTATTGATTTCAGTCATGACTGACATGATATAGGATTCTTGACTGATATCTTTGAGCTCATGCACCAAGTCGGACACTAAGCCTGCTTCATTTTCAAGCTCTTTTTCTGTTTTAGCCAGCTCAATTATTTCTTCTCCGTGACTGATAACTCAGAAAATGAAGAACCATATCATTTGAAAAGATTTATTTAAAAGTGAACAATAATAAAAAGATGAGCTAGAAAGTGAATTTACTAACCTTTATATTTAATATAGTTAACTACACTGACTGGCACGGGGTGCTTTTGGCTCGAAACTGAGCCAAAAGCAACCCGTGCCAGTCAGTGTAGTTCACTATATAAAGAATGTGAGGGATTTTTATACGAGATCTTTATTATAGTCTTTAAAAATTATTGTTATATAGCAAGCTATTAAATAGAGGATTAAGAGTATTTGGGATAGCTAAAAGAAATTTATGTGACGGAGAAACATATAATGAGGTTATAGAGGTGAAATAAAAAAGTGAACCCAGAGCGACTTGAACGCCCAACCTGCGGATTTGGAGTCCGTTGCACTACCAGTTGTGCTATGGGTCCTGCTTATTTTTCTGTAGTCTTGGCACGAATTTAAAGTCTTAATTTGAATATCTAATATAAAAAACCTCTCTAGATCGAAAAAAATAAGTGTATGCAAGAAAGTATGGACCACTTTGGTCAGACCTTGAATTTTCCACATTTATTCATTTATCTATGAAATTCAATATATTTTTAAGGTTTATTAGCGTTCTTTCAGTAAATCAGACAAACTCTATTCATATTATAAATCTATTTTACAAAAATAATTAAAATGACTTTAATTCTTTTCTGCGTGCTTGCAGCGATAGCATCTGCGTGAAATCCAACAAATGGTTCTATAAACGGCTATTATAACCTTACAGAAGTCAACAATCTCTTATTCCTTCCCCTGAGAATGAGTTCATATTTTTAAATATTATGTATAAATGCTTTATTTTAAATTTTTTTCAAAATTTAAAATATAAGGACATTGCTAATTAAATTTTAAATTCTAATTATTTAAAATTTATTGAATTACTGATAATTTATATTTCTTAATATCATAGTTAGAAGAATGAACCAAAATTCATAATGGAACAGAAACTTTTACAATCGGCAAATCGCTAAGAGGCAAAGAAATAAAAGCTTTTCGTCTTAATTTAGGAAAAGGTCCAGCTGTTCTTGTCATAGGCTGCCACCACGTGACTCTCGAGGCAACTAACCGCAAAGACTTTTTTAGCCTATTTTTGACCTATTTTTTGTTTTATGATCTTTTACCTATTTTTTTGCTCAATTGTTTTGACCTATTTTGTGCTAATTGCTTTGTCAATAATTCCATATTATTTATAAATACTTTATTCTATTGTTTTATAAATTTTTTAGCATTAAAAAACTGTCTTTATAATATAGTCGTTATTTCAAGTAGCCATGCCACCATGCTCGTGAACTGATCTCAACAACTCAAGTTCTGTCAATTTTGAACTACATCTTACAAGAAGAATCTGAAGAAATAGATTACATAAGAAAAAACAGAGAAATAATATTTATCCCAGTCTTAAATGTAGATGGCTTACAAAAAATCAGTGAACACTATGATAAAACCCATACAATCATCGATATAAGGAAAAATCAGAGACCAACAGAAACTTGTCCTGGAGACGACCATGGGGTGGATTTAAATAGAAATTATGAGTATATGTGGGGCTTCGACAATGAAGGGTCTTCAAATAACTCATGTGGCGAAGACTACAGAGGAAGCTCCCCATTTTCAGAGCCAGAAACCAAAGCTATTAGAGACTTATTATTAAACAAATCATTTTCAGTAGCTGTTTCCTATCATAGCTGGGGTGACCTTTATGTGCATCCATGGTGCTATAGAAATTCTTTTAACCCTTCTGATTTAAGGCCTGAAGATTGGAGTCTTTATAATAGCGTAAAAACTATACTGCCAAGCACTGCCCAAATGGGGAATCCAAACCAACTTCTTAATTATGCTGTAAATGGCTGCTTTATAGATTTCGCATATTCATTAGGCATATTTAGCATGGCCGTTGAACTCGGGCCTGAAAATGATTTTCATCCCCCAATTGGCAAAGTTAAAGGTATTCTTGAAAACCATCTTGCTCCTTTTATGTACTTACTCAAACACTCAGGCCCAGTTATGAACTTATGGCTTCAAAATTTAACAATCCATGGCTCAGTTGTGGAGTTTTATTTAGAAATTTATAACCAAGGCATGCAAGATGCTACAAACCAAACCCTCACATTTGAGCTGTCCCACGAGTATTCCATCCATCATTTCTTTCCCTATAACACTTTTGCGCACAACAAAAACGGCAGGCTCACAAATATCCATCTTCCTGCTATCTCTAAGCGCTCCAAACAGGCTATAATGTTTAAAATCAGTCTAGACGAGTCTGCAGACGAATTTTTATACAGCTTTTACTTCCAGCCCCATTCTCCTCTTAATGCCCAACTTTCTAACACCATTCAGTATAAGATAGTAAGAGGGAGCACTGCGGTCCTCTTATGGATTGTTATTCTCATTATTGCTCTTATAGGAGTCGCAGTAGTCGTGGTGTTCAGATTTACCAAGAAAAGAATCACCCCAATCAAATTTGTTGAACTTGACAAATTTAACAAAGCCAACAGTCAGGGCACTCCTACCATTTAAGCAGGTAATAATTATAATCTTTTAAATATCATGAGCTATTGCAATTTCCTGTGGATGGCGCTGTTTTGGCCTTGATTTTCCCACTGGAAAAATTTTTTGGTTCGACCAGTACCATAAGGTTTGGTCAAACCAAAAAATTTTTCCAGTGGGAAAATCAAGGCCAAAATAGCGCCATCCATGGGAAAATCCCATATATCAGAAGCTTCCAATCCCTGCATTTTCCATGAAGATTCAACGACAGGAGCCCATTTACCCTTTTACCTCTCACAGATGTCTTGACAAATGAATTACAAGTTTACAAGCAAGGCTTTATTACAGCATTTCGCGAAACCTTATGTGCACTTGAAGAAAATGATACAGATTTCTTGAAAAGCGTAATGGAGCCACGGCTTTATCCAGAAGTTCACGCTGGGCTTGACACATTGAAGAGGAGAGGCCATAGCATAAAAAGGACAAATACAGACCAATTCATATATGCTTATTACTATAATGACAGAATATATCAAGGGGTGAATATTGATAGGTCTCTAAATAAAGGGAAAGAGATGGAAAAAGCTCAGATGATGAATGTCGATCTTAGAATCGGGAAATCAAAAGAGCCAAGAATGTATATGGAAAATATGAAAATTTTTACAGGGAAAGACGGGCTGCTGACGAATAACTTGATTTTCAAGGTAGATGTGGTTTACAATACTGCAGTTAAGCTGATTGTGCTGGATGAAAACGGAGAAAAACTCATTGGGGATCAGAATAAATCGCCGGAGACACACAAGTTTAGATTTGAAACGATGACTGAAATGCCGAGTGGGGTAATGACACAAGCTTTGACGAATTTCCAGATCATGCTTTATTATTTGAATTGTATGGGAACGAATCCTATCAAAGTCAACGAATGGATTATCACTGATATTGACGATCATTTGAAAGGAAATCCGTTTATTGAAGATTCTGGTAATTAATGAGATTTTCTTTTATAGCATTTTTTGTGTCGATTAAGCTCTATAAAATAAGTTAAAATATTTTTACCATATGGAGATAGCTTTTTAACCAAAATTAAAATTGTTATTAAACAGCGCCAAAATCAATTTTTATTTTTCCACATATAGTTTGATTAGATGATATCTGCATCATTCTTACTCTGATCTCATCCTTATAAATGATAGAAATTATTCTATTGGTTAACCGTTTTTTTCTATTCACTATATAAAATAGAAAAACAATAGCCAGTACCAAAGTTTTTATTTATGAAAAAGGCATATAATTTTTTTAACTTACAGAATTTAAAAAAAAAAAATTTCTCATATAAAAAGATTTGATGCAATTGCATAGACTATACAATATATTAGCAAATTCCCGCAAATCAAAATATAATATTTTTAAAGCTAATATACTGTAGCTCCTCTAATTTTCATTATTATCGAATATAAGTTGTTAGATTTTACGTTTCATGAAAATAGTACTCTCAATAATGGATTAATTTGAAAATATTTAATGTAATTATTCGATTAAGGATGAATTAGTATTAATCTTTATATTATAACGATTTACCTCAATCTATTTACCAATAAAAGTTTGATTTTCATCAAGCTTTCTGCTTGTGCACAAAAATGCAAAGAAATTATTGACTCCCCATAAAAAATCAAAATAACCCGCAAAAATTATTATTTTTTAAAGCAGATTAACAGCAGCATCAATTTTCAGCCTACTTATAAGTCTTTCTTATCTCTCTCACCTATCCCGGCAACACTAATTTGAATTTAAATCAATGGCAAAAAAAGTGCGAAAAATACCTTTTCTTACATTATTTATTCATGTTTAAAGAAGACCCTTCAAGCCAATTCACCCCCGCAAAATCCTCCAAAACTGAATTTCCTACAGACTTCCAAACCCCACAGCATTCAAATCTCTATTGTCTCCAATGTTCTGCCTTAATTTCCGGCCCATTTCCAAGCTCAGAGTCAATTTCTGTCATCAATGTTTCAGCATCCCCTACTATTTCCACCTGCCCAACCACTCCAGAGCTTTTCTCTCAAAAAAAGCTCTTCAGCTGCGAAATTTGTGACCGCAATTATACGCGGCCGTCCACTCTAAAAGTCCATATGCGTAAGCACTCGGGCGAAAAGCCTTATTCTTGTGACATTTGCCACAAGTCCTTTGCAGAGAAAGGCAATTTAAAGACCCATATGAGAATTCATACTGGGGAAAAGCCTTTTGAATGCAAAGAGTGTGGAGGGAGGTTTACCACTCAGGGACATCTGACAGATCATAGTAGGAGACATACAAATTCCAGACCTTTTCAATGTGACGAGTGTGGGAGCAACTTTATGAGGTCAAGTACACTAAAGATACATAAAAGAAGGCACACAGGGGAAAAACCGTATAAATGTGACGCCTGTGATAAGTGTTTTAGTGAGTCAGGGAATTTGAAGACTCATATGAGGACTCATACTGGAGAACGCCCTTATATGTGCAATGTAGAGGGATGTGGTAAAGCATTTAAGACAAAGGGGCACCTTGCTGATCATTTGAAAACTAAGCAGCACCAAGAGTCTCAGTAATTTAATAATTTGAAATACTCTCTTATAATAATGGTCTTCCTTCAGTATTTGTGTTTTATAAGGAAAAGCTTCAGATTTTTATATTGATATCTATATGCTATGGTTTTCTTTGTAAATTTTGGCAAATCTGTGGCAGTTTTCTGTTGGTGATTTGTCATATTTGAATGCCATTTAAATTTTGATCTTGTGATTAATATAATTCCAATCAGTTAGAATATAGATTTAACTATCCCAAGTTAATTTAGAAATTTATATTTATTAATAATTACAAAAAATTATTTAAATACCTTCTCGCTTGTTTAGAATCACCCTTTGTATTATTACTTACAATAAATTTTCCATCCTGGAAAGTCTGATATTATTTTCTTCGGTCTCTGCCATCGTTTTCCAAAGTATTTTTTCAGCTTGTGCTTTTAGAATGCAATCATTAATAATATCATTCGTAAATTCTTCGTAAAAATTGATCGGGGCAGGAGGCTTCTGAGCTTCTTCATCTTCATTTCTTCATTGACTTACATTAAGTGTCATAAAAATTTCTATGCCCTGCCTATAAAACTTTCAATCTAATGTATGTTTCTTAATTTTATCTTTTTTAAACTCTCTGATATAAAGAATTTTTACATACTCAGGAATAATTTCTTTTTCTGGTGGCCTAGTAGCCCTAACTACTCTATTTGTTTGTGTTTTTTTCCGTTTCTTTGTCCTGCTTTCTGGCTGTCTCTTCTGGTCTTCAATTTCTGCTTTATTTCATTTTTCTAGCAATTTCAAGTTCAGAAGTCTGGAAGACACTAAACAGCGTTTCCATATCCTCTGAATTTTTAATATAGCCTGCTTCCACTTGCTCATTAATTGTAAAAATGTATATTGTGCGATCACTTTTTCAAATAGCGAAACTTTCATTCTTAAATATCGTTTTCTTCTCCTTATGAGTCAGCACTTTAAGTGAAATATAAACCTCAGCTTCAAAACCTATATAAAAGCTACTCTGATGCTCCTCTTTCTTCTGATTTCTTTAAGGACCATTATGATCTTCCCTACAGCACGGCTAAGACCTTTGAGTCAAGTTAATGATTTTTCAGCCCTTTTATGCAATCTTCAACGATTTTTTATGAGATTTGCTACAACTCAAGCAGCTCCTAAACTTGAATATAAAACAGCTCAAGCTACTTTCAGCTGTTTAGCTTCCTATATTATTTTTACATCTTTTCTAACCCTCATATCATACCTCCTAAACTTATCAACCCACGCCTCCTGCTTCTGCTGTTTCACTTCTTTCAAAATTGCGGAATGAGCTCTTTTAGTGATCTCTAAGTGTTCCCATTTCTTTCTAAAGGTTTCTCTCATAGCCTTTTCTTTATTTACAGGTACATATACAGTCATATCTTTATTCTTCCGAATCCGCTCATTTAAAGATTTTCTTTCTTCCTTCGTTTTTCTCTTAATCACAGGTGAAATTCCTTAATAGAGTATACAGTTATATTTAGCTAAAAATCCTTCGTCAAATCTTGGGGTTGTTGAAAATTGTAAAGTGTTGTCTTGCGAAAAATGAGAACGGTGGGATCGCTGGGTTGTATAAGATCTTTCTTCAAATCTATAGGTTTTTGATAGTACAGGAATTTCGTAGGATACACGGCGACTTTGGTTGTTGTGTGAAGATGTGTCTAGGATTGGCTTCGCATGTGAAAAAGATAAAGAGGCTTTATGATAATCGAGGTTGATCATAAGTAATATTGCCATATTAAGATATGGTAGAATCTGATAGATTTTGAAAAATATTTTTAATTGAGTGAAGTCATTTTTGATAGACTTACTCCCCCCCCCCCTCCGTGAGCGAACAAAACCATTAGAAAAATCGCCATTTTTTGACCAAAAACCCACCCTCCGTGAGTGAACAAAAATTTTTTTTAATAGAAAAAATTTTAATGGAAAAAAATTTTGATATATAAGTGATAATTAGTATAATGAAATCTAGAGCTAATTCTGTTTAATTTTAAACAAATTGCGTTTTAAAACATAAATTTTGCAAATTAAATTAATATTTGCTTCCCAATTTTTGCAAATTAGGATTTTTTTAAATTTCGAAAAAAAAAAATTTTTTTATAAAATTTATATATAAATTTTTTTTTAAAAAAAAAAAATTAACCCCCCTCCGTGAGCGAACAAATTTTTTTTTGTTCGCTCACGGAGGGGGGGGGGGAGTTAGAGAAGATTATGTATGATTATAAAATAAATATATTATAATTTTGGTATTGCAAAAAAAGACGGTTAAACGAAGCATTTTTGCTAATAATGGTTATTTGTTGTACGTAAAAACGAGTTAATTTAGCTGATATAAGAAATTTATCTCTTTACGAAATCGCTATTCGAAAAATGAGTGATTAATCCGAAGCAATTCTGATTTAAATTCAAAGAAACGGGCTAAATGAGTCTTATTTGACTACTTTAAAATAGAAGTACTGAAAAAAAGAGATAAGCAATAGGAAAGGAAAAAATTAAGCAAAATTTTCCCTAAAAATCATTCTAAAAAAACTCTTTAAAACTTGCTAACTTAAACTGCCAAGGAAAAACTATCAAATTTATCTCTATATCGATTTAAGGTTCAATTCATCCTCTTTCAAAGTGGCCTAAATTAGTCCAGCAGATTCCATTCAATGCGCAATCCAAATTCTTCACAAATTATAATAACTAATCTGATTTATCTCCAACAAGCAGCTTAACTTCTTCTTCTAATAAAAACTTAACTAAAGGAATATTATTTAGAATCTAAGCTTGCTGAACAAGAACTTAGTATGTTGGCTGGCTCCTTTTTCTGCTTTCTTTGCAACAGTCTGTGATGTATATTTCTTGGTAAGCATATTTCTGAGTTCCTTGCGAAGCTCTTTCCTGGACTTGACGCTTGCCATCTTTTCATCAGTGACGACACCTTTGAGATCAATATCGGTGGAAACCAAATATCTAGTTGGTAAGATGTGTTGATAATTCACATACTTTACGAATGCCTTGACTCTTGTTCTCCTTTCCTTTTTCTTTTCGTGCATCTTTTCTGTAATGAAAAGTGGAGCTTTGGCTACTCCTGCGACCAGAGCGTGAGGGAATTTTCTATCCTTTGTACCTTCATCATAGAGCTTGGCAATGACTGCTTTTTTGCCTGCATATCTTCCAGTTAAGAGAATCACGACTCTTCCAACCTTTATTGGCTTCACCATTTACCAATTATAGCCACAGACATTTTTAGAAAAGAGATTAGTTATATGAAATTCCTATTAAAATTAAGGATTCTGGTTGGAAAGAAAAGATGTGAACATATGGTAGCCTTCAGGTCTCTTCCATTGAATTGACATATGTCCTGTTCCTTTGATAGTCATAAAGGTCAAGTTGTTCGTGTAAGTAACATAAAACCCTCCCACTTGGCTGTTCAAATACCATGGAGTCCAGTCTTTAGTTATTTTCAAGTTAAGGTTAGTGATCCATCTGATGGTGCCGGTGACTGGGACCACTGAATCGGTATCCCCTGAGTAAATCCTGATCTTAATTCCTGAGTTGAGAAGGTAAGGATACACGTAAATTGAGCCTCTTGCGTAGTCATATTGATAGTCTAAATTAGCGCAGGAATTCCAAACAAGTGAGAAACTGCTTGGAATATTAAATGCTTAATTAGCTAATTAGGTATTTAAAGTGTATTCCCTCTTCAGCAGAATGATTTAGGCATATAAGCATAACCTTTTAACTCCCAACTGGTGACGTCAGTAGCCATCTTGTCTAGCAAGCATTCTAGAAGACGCACTTGCCAGACCAGAAGGTCCGACTGGTTAGCGATGACCTTGCCCGTACTTGACTCTTGCGCGTGTTCCTCCTAAGGATCACCCTCCTCAAGTGTGTCTAGCAGAAAAGCCATTAATACCCTTGGACCAAAGAAATACCCTATCCGATATTCCATATTGGTGTTGCGGATAAAATCCATGAACCCCGTATAATAAAAAAAAGCGAAGGGAGGAATAGTTCTCGTAGAGAACTAATTCCGAACATAGCCATTTTATTATTATGGAATAATAAATGCAGCTCTAACTTGAGCATTATTAAAATAATGAGTTAACCCTAAAGAGTCTACACAAGGTGAAGAAAGAGCTCCTAATCCTGCGTGCATCCATGGGGTGTATAAGTGCATGTTTCCAATAGGATCATAAATGCATGTCCTATAAATATCATAAGGGTTAATATTGTTCATTAAGTTCATCATCTGGTCAAATGCGTCCATGCAGATTGGGTCATTCGTATAAGGATACTCATCAACAATGGAGCAGTTATTATTTACCCATGTATTTCTCAATGGATACCCATACATAGTATGCCACCACAACAAGTCAGGAAGGGTCGTTATCTGGTCATACTTCCAATCTGTGATCCCATTTCCGACCATAATTCCTTGGAGATTAATAGTCATTGCAGGTTTTCCTGCATTGTACTGCAGAATAAAATAAGCCAAGGTTGGAATATAGATGCCTGCATAACTTTCTCCAGTTATATAGAATGGTAATTGGTTTAGTTCTGTGAAATAGTCTGAAAAGAAAGTTACAAGGGCGTTCAAGTTGTCTATCGCAGTCTGGTTGTCGCTTGTAACGTTATTTGCAAGGGAGCCCATAGGAGAAAAGCCTACACCAGCTGGAGCTTCGAAATAGAGCATTGAGGCATTGAGATTCCAGGAATATGGGTTCTGAAACATTTTGGTGCTTTGAGTTTGGAAATAGTATGGACCATTTTCGTATAAAAATCCTTCCATTGAGGAGCAGCCTGGGCCGCCGTTCAGCCAAAGGACTACTGGGTCTTTTGCAGGGTTGCCTTGACTTTTGACTAAAACATAGTGGATTTGCCTGCCTCCTGTGTTTGGCAGTGGGATAAAGCCAGAGTACATAGGGAAGGTTGGTTGAACAGGTGCCCAAGGAAGAGTTTTTATCAAGTCTTGTGGTCTATCTGCAGAAATGAAGACAGAGAGAAGAGTCAACCAAAGAAACTTCATATTTTTCACCATGTTAAAGTTTGGGTTTCTTATCACAAAATTGACAGCATTTGATTCCACAGTGAAAGGGGATTTTAAGTAAATTAATTTTAGAATTAACTAGACTTAATGTAAAATAAATTTATAGTAGAATAAATTTTGATCAAAATCAGCTTTTTCTTGACTCCAATTCTTCATATAGTAAGAATGGTAATACATTGCATTTTTGTGATTATTTGATTTTATTTATCTTATAATTTTAACTCGTATTGGTTAGTTTTATTGGATTTTTATTAATCAGCTATTTTATGAACAATGATAGCATAATTGGCTGATTTTATTGGCATTCAATTGATAGCATAGTTCAGAAATTTAGATGCTTGTGTTTTTATAAGTTTTGAAATGATAAAAAATACCTGGACTCTGGCAATTTTCGTTTAAATTCTTTGGATATATTAATTATTTACCCTAATTACGCGAAACTGAATATTGATAGAAGCATTTCATTAATAAAGATACCTCATCATTGAAATATCTCAACCATATTTATTAAATTATTGTAATGCTAATTGCCATCTGGTGGAATTTTCAATTTTTAGTATTGGTTTTTTGATAAATAATGGACGAGTAACTTATTTTACTATTATAATTTATTTAGTTTTGTATGTAAAATTAAAAGAAAATCAATTTTAATGCATGATTATTTATAGTTAAGATTATTAAAAGCAAATAAGCTAGCTCTATATAGTTATAGCAAGCCAAATTATTCATATTTTATTTGAATTTATATGTCAGAAATAGATTTTAAATAGAAATAAACATTTGGCAACCCACAAAATACCTGGGTCCAAAAGAATTTACTACATGTCTATTTGCTTATATCAAAGGGATTGTAGAAAAATCATTTTTCTTGTATTTTTTAATTTAAAATGCTCACTCTTTCACTAGTATATTTGTAAAATAATATTAATTAATTTTAATAAATGCTAATCTTAATGTTAATTAACGCCGTTCGCCGAGAAGGGCAGTGGTTTCCACCCCTAAACGCTTATCGCTCCCGAGGCCCCGGCGGACACCCTCCTTGCTGCCGCAAACAAGGGATTCGCATGGACCAGTCTTGACTTCCATGGCTTCTGGAGCCTAAGGGCCAACCGCCTGGGTCGAAACCCCCAGTTTCTCGTTAGACTAATGCCACCTCTTGGTCCTGCTCGAGGGAATTAGCTTCCACTTGGGACTGTCGCCAGTTTTGTCCTTTCCAATGTTGCTGTTCTGGAGGTAAAAGCCCGAGTCCCACGGATTAGCTACATAGGACCCAAGTAAAACCGAGCCCGATATACACAAAGGATTTCCCAAACCCCTTTCCACCTGAATCCTCACCACTGAGCAGTTACCTGCAGGTGTTGAGGAAATAGGGTTGAGAGGTCAGGTGGCACGCTGTCGCCGTTTTATGTATATAATTTAATAAATAAATGTCACTTTTTGCAAAAACTCCATATGTTTCTACTTTCTTCAAATTTATACACCTGATTTCAAAATTAATTTTAAAATATTACTCTTTCTACAAAGTCCTATTAATTTTTTTATTTCCTTACTCCATAATGAATTGATATTTTTTAGAAGATTTTATAGCTTTATTAATCCTTAAATAGTATTTATAAATTATTATAATTTAAAGAATAAAAATGCTTTGTGTGAAAAAGTTAGAAAATTCGGAGTCTTTAATTATCGAATTACATTTATTTTCTTAATTTTTACTTTCCCCTTAATTATAGTAAAAATTATGATGCAGATTCCTTTACCTGAAAAATTCGACACATACACCGATGAAAATCATTCTGTTCGAACCACAGCAAGTCTTTCTCCTGAATCTCAATATATCCAGTCAGTGTGTCTTTACTGTGGCAAATCTAAAGGAACCCTTGTACCTCTCCCAACTGGAAATCTCGCACATGTATTTTGCAGAGAAAATCGTCCATGCTGCATTTGTGGTACTCCCCATATGTGCCTACAATGCAAGCAGCCAGACTGCCCCCAAGTATTTCATCCTTTTTGCCTTAAAAGGCTTGTCCCTTCACTTTCATCCGTCGACCAAATGGCCTATTGCGATCTTCATTCTTTAAACATAGCCAAGAAAAAAAGATACCTGAAGATTGGTTCAGCAAAGCAAATTATCAATAAGATCGGAATCAATGAAAACGTCTTAAGAATAATAAAGGCAGCGCAAGGCAGGCATAAACAAGAAAACGTTTGCTCAGGAAATTTGTTGTGGCTCAACATTGGGATTCAATACTTTTGAAGTGAAGCAAGCACATGCAGCCTCCCAATTCTGGAGGTCAAAGAAGACAAAGAACTGAGGTTCCGCAGCCCTAAAAGCGATAATTTTGTTGAAGATTTGATAGAAAAATACGAAAAAAAGCTGCAAGACTTAGAAAAAGAAAAAAATCGCCTTTGGCCAGTCAGAGGGGCTTGTGAAGAGGAATCATTTATTGAGTCTCCATATGATTATATTTTCAATGAAATTAAATCTCTTAAATTCAGAGAAGAGCATGAAAATTTTTTAAAATATGTTGAGTCGAAATCCAAGCAAAATATAGTTGAAGACGAAGCTATACAAAGTAAATGTAAAGACGAGGTGGATTTGTTATTCAGCGAAAACTCCAACCAATCGGCAGCAGGGGAAGGAAAAGAAGTGAATAAAGAAGAAAAAAATAAGCCAAAGTCAGATAATGATTATATTTGTGAAGTATGTGGAGATGGGGACTATGAAGATGACGATTTAATTGTAATTTGCTCAAAATGTGATATGGGAGTTCATACAAAGTGCTATGGAATTGTTACTGTGCCTGAAAATGAGTGATATTGTAAAGCTTGTGAAGAAAATGTTGACCAGAAATCATTAAGATGTGCACTATGTCCGATTAAAGGAGGAGCGTTAAAACCTACAATTAATTCTACAGATTGCTTTGATAAATACCCAAATTATGACTGGTATTGCGACTCGAAAACAATTTGGGTCCATTTATACTGCATTATGAGCATTTCCCCTTCGTCGGTTGGGGACAAAATCTCTATGTCAAATATAGATATATCAAAGATTGACAAGCAAAAATTCACACAAAAATGCAGCATCTGCAATACATCGAACGGTGCTTCTATTGAATGCCAGCAGTCAAAATGCTCTACTACTTTTCATCCTTTTTGCATAAAAACGAAGCTACAAAGCACGGGCTATGATGATGACAGTTCGTATTGTCTTAAACATAAGCCTTTAAAGCTGAGAAAATTAATTGAAAATAAAGATAAAAAGGTTATACAGACCATAATGAGCATTAGCATGAGGACGAATTAAAGATTAGGGTCTTCCTCCTTTTACGTCTCAATCGAGACGAGTCTTCATAAAAGACTTGTTCAGCTACTAGCAACCTTCCTGGGTATGTTAGCATTCCGCCAGAGATAGCTCTCCTCCTGCTTTCGGCCTGGTTATTAATGCTGTTTCGGAACCTTGGAGTACGCAGGTTTGGGACGTGACAGCTGCTGCTTGAATGACTAGAGTTCCAGCTCGGGATAAACTCTGCTTCCTGCTCGGTTTTGCTTCAAGCCGCAGCAAGATCCCCAAACTCGAAACAGACCCGGGAGAGGACGGCCGGTGAAGTCGCCATTTTATTTGTGGAGACCATAATGAGCTTCACTAAGATATATGAGAAGTCTGGAAATAAAGTCCAAAGGGCAGAGCCAGTTGAAACTGCAAAGAAAAAATTCCAAAATGGGAAGCCTTTTAATTATGAGGAAAAAGCTTTGCTACTTTCGACAATTGAAGAAAGACTTCAAGAGGAAAAGAAAGATGGGTTCAGCTTTGTGTTTAAAGCAAATCAGCCACAAAAAAGCTTAAGGTGTAAAATTGATACGAGCTGTCCTTATTGGTTTACACTGATAGACCCACAGATTATTATAGCTGAAAAGCTAACAATTCCAGGGAGGAAGCCAGAGGACTGTTTAAAATGTTACACAGATTTAATATGCCTTTTAGAGATACTAATATTTTTATTTATAATGCTGAATCTATATGTTTTACAGAGATAGGCTATTAATTATTTGTATCAAAGTAATGAATCATTTTAAATGTTAGTACTTCCTCTTCTCAAAAAAGAGCTACATATTCTCCAGCGTCCGAAGAACGTATTTAAACTTTCAAATAAAGGAAAAAAGAGACCAAGGGCCGAAAGAAAAACCAAACGAAAGGCCAGCCCACTCTTACTCCATTAGAACTAAAAAATCTATAAAAATTTAATGTAATTTGAAAAAAAAATTATGGAATTTATAGATCTAAGCCGCTAACTATGTTAAATAGTATTCTGCATTAGTCTCCCTTTAAATAGATAAAGTTTGGTAAATTTTATATTTTAGCAACGTTAAATAGTATTAAGCTTATTTACGTAGAAATATTATTTTAACTATAAAAATCACCAAAAAATTATTTTTTTCCTCAATTTAGAGTGGGGAGTTAATAGTAGATCAGCCAGTTTTAGATGAAATTGTTACTGAAGAACTCCATTGCATTTGCAGAAAACCTTTTATAGAGGCAGCACCTCAGAGACCTGGAGAATCAGTAGAGGACTGGGAAAAAAGGGTTGCTGAGAATGAAATGATTTTGTGCGACCAGTGCGAAAGTTGGTATCATTTAAAGTGTCTAGGAATCAAACCTACTCAAGTCCCAGAACACTTTTTCTGTTCAAAATGCAACCCAAAACGAACTGAACTGTGTGTATAGGTTAATTAATTTATCTATAATCTTAAGTCAGAAACATTTAAAATATATTTAAACTTTATTATCATAGAAAATAATCATTAAATATTAAATTTGGCTTAAAACCGATTTTCTCATTTATAAATACCAAAATTTATAAAAACCCTTTGTTTTCAAGATAAACTTTAAGCTCTTCTAAATTTATTGCTCCATCTCTATCTCTATCAGCTTCAATTAAAAACTGATTCCATTCTGTATTTTCTATTCCTGGGACATGAGATTTTAAGTCATTTATAGCAATTTTTCCATGGACCCCTGAAGCATATGTCTGGAACGATTTTTTAAGCTGATCTTTATGTGATTTTTCATCCCAATTAGATGCTGCATTAAGAAATTCCACATAATCAATATACCCTCTCTCGTCCATGTCACAATTTTTCATAACTTCTTCAACATCAAGATAGTGGCTCAACCCCAGTATTGCAGAACCATTTGCGAGGTCAGCTTCAGTTAATTTTCCACTATTATTTTTATCTAAACTTCTGAAAACGCTTTCTAATTGAGCTCTTTCTTCTTGATTTGTGACTTGAGCAGCTATAAAAGTATAAATTGATTTTTTCAGCTTTGTTTGTGCCTATATTAAGTTTTACGCTGAATTTTTCGAGTTCTTCTTTTGCTTCTCCTTTAATTGGGATTTCAGCAATATCGTTAGTTGCTTAAATTTCAACATTACAACAAGCATGTGGAATCTTTTCCACGTGTGAAAAGAAGATTCCACATGTGAAATCAAAAGGGCTTCACATGGAATCATCTTTTCACATGTGGAAAAAATTCCACATGTTGGTCGTAATGTTGCAATTTAAGCAACTAACGATATTGTTGTTAGCGTGAGTTTTAATTCAAGGATGATTTAAAACTCTTTCTGCATTTAATCTTTCAGCAGGATTTACACAAATCATTTTGCTTACTAGGTCTTTTGCTTCGTTTGAAATAGTTTTCCAGCACCCTTTATCCATGTCAAGTTTGCAAGCTTTTATTGAGTTTATTGCTTCTTTTTCAGTTATCCCTACAAAGGGAGGACGACCGCCTTATTAGAAATTACTAATCCCCTATCGTGAGCTAGTGAAAATAATGGAAATTATACTTTAGAGAAATAGCACACCCCTATTAAAATATTATTTGATATATATAAGTGATATCGAGTATAATGCAATTTCGAGCTAATTTTTTTAATTTTAAATAGATCATTTTTTAAACTTCAATCTAAAATTTATATATATATGTTTTTAAAATATTTCAGTATAAATAACAAATTTTATTTGATAACGAAGAGGAGAGTAAGCATGAGATATAAAATGACTCCTGCACTTCAGATATCACATTTATGATCATATGATCCAGAAAATACTTCAGGAGCCATGTAGAGTAAAGTCCCTACTGGATTTGTAAATTTTGACCCAGGGATTAGTCTCTGTGAAATTCCAAAATCAATTACTTTCAAGGGAGAGTCAGGATCTCTTGTAGCTAAAAGCAGATTTTCAGGCTTCAAGTCTCTATGAACAATTCCTTTTGAGTGGCAATAGCTTATTGCGTTCATAATATCTCGAAGATATTTAGCTGCCTTATTTTCACTAAATCTCATTTCACTGACTCTTCTCTCCATGAGCAAGAAAAACTTTGCTTGCTTGTTGATGGATTAATTTTTATTTAAAATTATAATGTAATTTTCTAGAGATTTAAAAAATTGGAAAGCAAAAATTAATATAATTTTGTAATATTTATATTTTAAATGTAAATTAAATAGAATTAGCTAAATATTTCAATATAACAATTATCCGTATATAAAAAATAGTTTTATAAAAAGATTTTTGCATTTTATAAGGTGATTTTGTCAAGAGGAAAGGAGAGTGAGAACTTTTTCAAATAATTCGCCGCCAGTTAAAAGCTCAGTGACTATATAATAGCATGTCTCTGAGTCTAAGACAGCATAAACCTTCATTATATTGGGATGGTTCTATTTAGAGATTACAATTTCTTTCAGTATTTCTATTTCTTGCATCATTTTTCTTTGATGGTCAGAGCCAACCTTGGATTTTTGAATTTCTTTTAAAGCTCTTTCAACGCCTAAATGATTGTCTATGACTTTAAAGACTGTTCCAAATCCACCAGTTCCTATTGTTTTGACAATATCATAATAATTTCTTATTGTACCCCTCCTTAATTGAATGCTTCCTCTCCTTTCTTCTTGGTTTCTATTAGGATTACCCCTCCTTTGTGGGAGGTTTTCAGGAGGTCGATCAAGACAAAAAAGGCAGCCCATATTTTATGTCATTAATCATTAGGATTTAATCATATGCATTCTTTAAAACAAGAGAATTATATTTAAAGCATTGATTTCCTTAAATCATGAGATAACAACAATTTTTTAATATTATGTGATGGCTTTTCTATATAATAAAATAAAAAAGGAAACAGTTATCTATAATTGAGCAATAGACATAAAATTTCATCAGGGTTTTAGATTTTTATTTTGATTTTAATGGATTTTCAAAAAATATAGACCAATGGGAAGCTGCTCAAGCAAGAATAAAATTGTAAATAAGCAAGCAATTATTACTACAAAAAACAATCCTTCTAGTGCAGCACATGAATCACAAGACTCTGCTGGAAATAAAAATCCTGAATTTGGGAAAGGAAAAAGCAGCATAAGTGTTTCTGAGAATCTTGAAAAGAAAAAAGGAACAGACACAGAAACCTCATTACCATATCTAAAAAATGACACTAAATTAATTGCTTCTGTGCGATCCCCTGACAATTTTGAATATGCCTCGAAAAATTACGAGCTTAGGAGATTTGAACTGAATGTACAAATCACTATTAATTTGTTAATTCAAAAAGTTACAAATGGGATAGGGAATTATAAAGCCTACACAAGCAATATTAGAATTTTGATAGGGATAGCAAGGCTTTCAGATTATGTTATAAAGCTAGGCCAATGCATCTATATCTGCCCTGATTTCCCTGAGAAAGAAAATTATGCAATTTTTCCGACTAATGATTGTTATGATGAGCCTTATCAATTGGCTGAGGTAAAAGAAGGTATTAATTTTTTAGTGCAATGCTGCAATGAAAGATGCAAAGCATATGAGAGATTGGTTGTCTGTTCTTTAGGATTTGGGACTTTTTATTATTCTGATTCAGTTGAAAGTCTAAAATGTCCTTATTGTAAAAAATTTATTGATAAGGTCGAGTCTGTAGGATTTTATAAATGCTTTTGAGTATTAACAAAGAGAGATGCTTTTAGTGGAAAGATAAGTGATGTTGAGGAGCAGCTTGCCTGGAATCAAACTTTGGTTGAAAATTTTGAAGAGATTGGACAAATGGATTTGAATTACTTAACATTGGAGAAAATAAATATTTTTAAAATAATAGCATACATATTAATTATTATTTTTTGTTAAAAACATTGAAAAATTATTTATTTTAAAAAGATGCAGGTTAGTTATTAAAGTGAGAAAAATTCCAGATTATGAGGTCTATCTCTTTAAAAGTGATGATATTTCTGAAAATTAACTCATAAATAAATGCCTAATTTTATTTTAAATTAATCAGTTTCCCCAATAAAAAGGATTTTTGTATCTTTTTTTACTATAAATTATTTTTAATTAAATGCTTTTTTGAATTTGAATTTGATATACCTGTTGTAGTGACTTAATTACTTACTTTTTGAATATTTTATAAGATATAAAAGCTGTCACAGTAGCAGCAATAGCTGCTCCAATTGCTAACGCTTTAAAATTCATTCCCTCTATAAACAATCCTTTTTCATTTTCAGTACTCACATTTTCAAATCTAGTTTTTTTCTTTTTCTTTTCATATTTTAATTCAATTTCCCCTTCAAATCCTGTTGTCCTTGGAGATTTTAAAGCAGATTTCAATTTTGACGGCTTTGGAGTCAGAGACCCTTCATAAACCTCGAATTCTTCTTCCCCATCTTTTTTATGACTCGCCACAGGAGTTCTTGGTGATTTTTTTTTTAAAATTCCTTTGCTTGTATAAGTTTCATACTCTGATGATGATTCAGTAAAGGCACCAGTTGGAGATAATAAGCTACTGGATGGAGCATACTCATATTCATTAGGGAGAGGCATGGTTAAGTTTAAATCATATTGCGCATAGTATTTCTTTTTGTGTGAGTGGCTAAAATTTGAAATGTCAGGGGTTAAAGTTCTTTCAGTGTTTGACCCATTTGAGGAGGTCATATCTTGATAATCAAAAGACGCTGATAATAGATCTGAGGAGGAATTGTCTAGGTCAGCAGATAAATTCTTGCCTCTTCTGGATTGACGTTTTCGCTCAAGATATGTGCTCTTCCTACGTGGCCGAACTTTATAGTAAAACATTGGTTTTATATTAAAAAAAGCATCTTTAAATACTCAAAACTTACTATTTAAAAGAAATTAAAAATACTTACTCTCCCGCTCTGTGAGCAAACAAAACCATTGGAAAAATCCCAAAAGCCCACCTCCATTATCGAACAAAAAACTTTTTATTGAAAAAAAAATTGATATATAAGTGATTATTAGCATAATAAATCTCTAGCTAATTCTGTTTAATTTTTAAGAAATTACCTTTTAAACATGAATTTTACAAATTAAATTAATTTTACTTCTCAATGTTTACAAATTTGAATTTTTTTAAATTTAAAATAAATTTTTTTAAAAACAAATTAACTCCCTCCGTGAGCGAACAAAATTTTATTGTTCGTTTACGGAAGGGGGAGTTAGCATTTAATATAAAGATCTATCTTTAATGTGGACTTGGTTTCCACGAAAACTGTAGAAGGATTGTTTGCTACTCATATTTCAAACAGCAGGATAAGTCTAGAAATCCTTTGTATTCCAAAATGTTAAAACAATTATTACAGCTAAGTACAAATTTAACTAACACTAGCAAGCTCATTATTGATATGAGCATTTTCCATGATTTTATAATTTTGCCTTCTAATGGCGCGTACCGTTGATTTTATTGTGTCAGTGAAATGCTCATACTGCTCATTCGAAATATACAAATCGAAGTCCAGCAGCATCAAAAATTTCTTTTCAAGATTATTAAAATCTGATACCTGTATCCCTCCTACTTTTGCATAATAGGAGTTTTTGTAATATTTATCTTCACTATATTTCGCGGCAACAACAAGGCCAATTAGAAATAGTTTATGCAGAGAAATGTTATCAAAAATGTATTTTCTGAAGTTTGATATATAACTATTAGGATTAATGCTATTATAAATAAATTCTTTTATCATCAAAATTATAAGCTGCTAATAAGCGTAAAATTAAACAAAAAGACTATAAGTCTCTCTACATATATCAGTGACAGAACATAACAATGTTCTGAACAGTGCGTGTATGTATTTAAATATGCCAAGTAATCATACATAGAAATAGATGGAATTTTGGCCTGCTCGAAGAAAAGACGTACGTTTTCTTCAGAACAGCTCGAATACTTTGAGTAGTTTTCAAGTATAAAAGCTACTGCTTCAAGTATTGATGACATTTTATTTTGATATAAATCCAATTATGGCAAACTAAGGTTATACCATTATGCCTTCACTGCTCTGGAAAAAAATAAAGCTAAGTTTGTTTTGATTTTAAAGTTATTTAAGGTTACGAATAAAAGCGAATTGGTCCAATGTGAACATATCTTTGAGGATGCCAGCAGTTTGTCTTCTCAGCTCTTGAAATTGTGCAACTGTCATATGAAAAGAAATTTCTTTTTCCCCATTGGTCATTTTTACTTGGACTTCTGGCCTGAGAACTTTGCTGAATGAATTAGTAGATAAGGATACATCAATTCTTCAATTTATATCAACAAGTCTTTCTTTTTCTTGTCGACGGCGGAATTCAGTATCAATTTCTGTAAGATTTCTAATAACGACGTCTTTTAATGCAGAAGGCCAATTTTCTTCTTCGATTTGGTGAAGATATTCAGATGAATGCTTACCACATTTCTTTCTAGCTTTTTGGAAGAAAATTATCTCTACTATATAAAAAAAAATGGTTAACAAATAATAAATAAAGCGAAAAAATTAATTTAAAGTAGAAAAAGATTATAAAGAGTAAGATATTCTATGCAGATAGTAAAGTTTTCCCTTTGCGAAAAAGGAATTTGCTTTAAGACTGTAAAATCTTGTAAAAGATATTTGGATGACAATCCAAATAAGGCAGATAAATTGTCAGCTGACAAAGTTTTCAAAGACTCCATTTATTAAGTGAAGTTTTGCTATATAAAGGCTTCCAAATTTATAGCAGGACAAAAGAGCCATTGAAACTATAACAGATATTATGACCTAGATATTTTATAATTAAAAAATCTTAGTCTTTTACTTCAACTTTATCCTTCTTTGAGGCTTTACAAGACTTAAAAAATTTAGCACAATTGCCGAATGATTAATCTCGCAGAAAAATTGGATAAAGAAGTTTATGTTTGCAACTAAATGATTAATAAAGAAAAATTACTTTTTTATAAATTAGTGAGATCAAATAATTCATCTGTTGGGTAATTTCTTGATATATTGAGGTTTTGAGTTTTCAATATATGCATTAAATATTTGAATAAAATCGATTACTTCAATATTAAGCGTAAAGTTGTTAGTTAAGTATAAATCCTTTGAAAAAAATAATAAAGCGCTTTTGTGAAATAAAACTAATTCGTCTACATTTAATGAAAAAATGATGATTTAATCTCGCAGCTTTTATAAATTATGGAAAATAGAAAGCCTCGATACAGAATATCTCACTATATATTTTTTACACTATATTTCACTGTTATTCCTCTGAAGATTGCAGCCATGAGTGTCCAAGACTGATATAAGCAAGGACAAGATGTAGATCCCCCAAAAAATAATACGTACTGGGAAGGCTCACTTTTTGAGATCTTTTCTTCTAAAAGCGTATATATCATAGGCGAAAAATCTTATGATGAACTTTCCGATCATTATTGCAAAGATAGCTACAATAATTCAGAATGATTTGACAAAGCTGCATGCGAAACTTTTACTAATTTAAATGGAGGTGGCATTAGTTTTATTGCATTTAGCAGCTTAGAAATCTTATTTATCATTGCCTATCTGATTTTCACAGCTTTAACCACATATCAAAAAAGCTATTTATGCTTAAGGGTGTTTTTTTCTATTATATCAACTCTTTGTGGCTTTTTTGGGCTTGTTGTTATGGTTGGCACTGCGATGGTCACTTATTCAAATGCTTGCCATTCGGTAGCAGGGTATTATTCAACACAAAGCAACACTTGTGCAATGACTGGACCTCAGCTGGATTTATTTAACTTTTTATATATTCTTGCAATATCCTTTGGATTTTGAGTTTTTCAATGCTCAACAAAATGCGAAAATAAGATGGCTGATGAAAACAAGCGTGCCAGCTTAATGGACAACAATCGCCTGAGTCATGACCAAGGGCAAATTCCAACTCAACCTTCTCCTATTAAACAATTAAGCCCTTCTACAAATCCAGAATCTCCACAGGATATACATCGATTTGGGCAGGATGAAGAGCCAGATATGATTTATAGGGATAGATCTGAAAATGGTCAAATAATTGTCTAAAGTATTGCACTTGTGAAAAGTTATTTTAAATTAAAAGTATATCGTTATGTAATAATAATCATTTTTAATCAAATTTCCTGCAATACCAACATTTTTAACTGGATTCCGAACACAACTGAAATATTAATTGTTATTAATAAATTTGGTTTAATAATGATAATTTTTATTAAAAGAAGAGATAACTCAACCCTTGAACTTACTGTAGATTCTAAGCTTCCAATTTGGGATTTTAAGAATATGATATCTATTTATACTAAGGTACCTCCAGAAGACCAAATTTTAACATTTACACTGAACAGTTCTGACATTGTCTTAGAAGATGACTATAATCTAGAATTTTATGGAGTTTTTGATAACTCATGTATTGTTCTTAACCGTGTCAATGAGCATTCTTACAGTGCTGAAATCAAATATCAATCAGATATTACCAATACTCTAGAAAACATCAGAAGACATACAATTGATGCTTGTTGGAAAAACGACCCATTTGACCTGTTTTTCGAATTATGTGCTAAAGGAGACTGCGATGCAATTGCAAGAGAGCTTGAAATAAATGAAAGGCTCATCACCATTTATTCAAGTGAAGGCTGAAATGCTTTGCATTATGCAGCGTTTCACGGGAACCATATATTGGTTGATTTTCTTTTTGATTATCCTATCGATCCAAACCAGCTTACAAAAGACAAAAAATGAAGCGCCTTGCACTTAAGCTGCATTCAAGGGCATTATAAATGTACTGAAGCATTATTAAAGCACCAAGAAATTTATATTGACATTTTAACTGAATATGCAGGGACACCTCTACATTGTGCATGCTTAAGCAATTCAATTGAAAATGTTAAATTATTGTTGTCAGCAAAGGCTAATTATGAAATTGAAAATAAAGATGGAAGGATTGCTATTGAGTTTGCTTTTGATGCAGGCATAAAAGATTTATTGAATAAATATATGGGGAATAATGATGAACTGTCAGATATATTTGAAAGTCCGCTTTATATTCCTCACTTATTTGGAGATAGACATGTATGGGGGGTTCTAAAACACTCAGAAGGGGTTTTCCAAATATTCAGAAGCAGAGAAGATTATCAAAGCCAAAGGCAGAATTTAAAATCGTATAATTTAAGAGAAATAAGAGAGGCAAGAAGATGCAAAAATCGGTTTTATCATAGTGATCAGTATTTTTACTTCCATATAATGACGAATAAAAAGAGCACGGATATATATTACTGTAAAGAAGAAGAACTTGCTAATCGATGAGTCAGATCGATCTTTGCGTCACTTCTTTTAAGAAAAAGCCGCTCTCATTCTTTTTCTGCTAAAAAAGCAATTTTAGAAGAGTTTCCTGTGTCTTCACCTGATATTGGGTATTTTTCTTTTGAAGTTGATAAGCAGATTGGCATTGGATCATTTGGACAGGTTTATTTAGTAAAAGAAAAAAGCACAGAAAATATTTATGCCTTAAAATCTCTTTCAAAAGAAAAGATTATTAAGCAAAATGTGATGAAACATATTGTTAATGAAGCAAAAATAATGCATAAGATATCATTCCCATTTATTGTGAAATTAATTCACTCATTTCATTCTCCAAGGACTTTATATCTTGTACTTGAGTATTGTCAAAATGGATCTTTAAGCTCTTTATTAAAAAAGCTGGACAGGCTTCCTTTGAATTTCGCAAAAATTTATTCAGCTGAGCTTGTAGTAACAATTGAATATCTTCATAGCTTAAATATTATTTATAGAGACTTGAAGCCTGAAAACATATTAATTGATTCAGATTGGCATATAAAACTTGCTGATTTTGGGTTAGCAACTGAAGTTACTCCTGAAAAGCCATTATCAAAGTCATTTTGTGGGTCTCCAGCTTATCTTTCTCCTGAAATGCTCTCAAACCATGGTGTTGGCAAATCAGCAGATATTTATGGGATTGGATGTATAATATATGAACTTCTAGCAGGCTATTCGCCTTATTATTCTGATAAGTTGCCTGAACTGATTCAAAGGATTCAAAGTTCGAAATTAAAGTTTCCTTATTATGTTGATAAGATAGCTAAGAATCTTATCAAAAAATTGTTAATTAGAGATCCTGGCCAAAGGCCGAGCTTTGCAGAAATCAAAAGTCATGCATTTTTTGAAGGAATTGATTGGGATTCTTTAGCACTAGGGCAATTGCCAGAATTTGATCCAGAAAACCTACAAATTAACTAATGCTAAAATATTTTGTGCATAATTCATGATTTTTATTTTTCAATTTTATAAATTGGTTATCTAATCTAACCCAAATTTAAACAATAATTTTCTTAGGATTTACATAAAATTCGTCTTTTTCAAGTATCATTATTTAATGATTGAATTCTTGTTTTTTTAATTTTATATAAAATTATTTTGACTAAGGTCTGCCTATTATAATAAACAATATAACTATTGCGTTGACAATCGCTTCATCATTCAAATTCAAAACTTTTTTAGCGCATATAAGTATAAATTTTGGCAAATATGTCAGAAGATTCATTAAGAAAGCGATTCTCTATCTTCAAAAAGAAAATACTGAATGATTCAGAGACTACTACAGAGACCCCGCCCAGTACATTTGATGAAACTTCAATAAACTTTGAATTAAAAGGAGGACCTTATAACACAAATTTAATTGAAGCATCAGCTACTGTAAAAAATGGTCAAAATGCAGGCATGCCTCTTCCTCTCAGATGCACATGGTACAGATCAACAAACGAAAAGCAATTCGTTACAATTGAAGGAGTTAATGGTGCATTTTATCAGCCAAACGCTGACGATATTGGCTGCAAAATCTGTGTACACGCAGTCCCTGTAAGCGAAGTAGAAGAATATACAGGAATGCCAGCCTTTAATGAAGTCGGCCCTGTCCAAATCGACCCTGACATGCAAAAAACAGTGCAGGAAATTTATGAAGCGAACTATGCAGAATTTACAACAAATCTTGTAGGAGGGACAATAGAGAATTTAATCCCTGGAACTGTTAGTATCAAGCTTAGTGGGAATCTTATAAACGTATCATATAAAGACGGTAGTGATATTTTAAGCACAAAGCTTGGTATGGGTTCCCCAATCATAAATCTGTCACAAAAGACAAATACTTCCTTTTCAATGACTTTTGAGAATGAAAGAATTGATTTTAATACAGAAAAACACACTGAAAGAGATATAATTGCTATCACTATAAGAATGTTTTGCTCAAAAGTAAGCACTGAAAACCAAGCTGACTGCTTAATTAAAATAGAGCAGCTTTCCACAAGACTTCTAAATCTTAATAAAGACTATGAAAGAACAGTATCTGCTCTTAATTTGCTGAAAGAGGAGCATAAAATCAATATAAAAACTATTGAAGATGACAAGGCAAGAATTGCGGAATTGGAAGAAGAAAATTCCAGCCTATTAAACCAAGTTTCTGCACAAGTCGTTGTTTTTGAAAAAAATGAAACTGAACTAAAATTCCTCAGACAAGATATTTTGGTCTATAAAACCCAATGTGAAGCTTTAGAAAATGCAATTAATCAGAGAAGAATCAATGATAATAACTGGGAAATTTTATTGAGAAGCGTTAAAGAAGATTTAGAAGAAATTTTAAAAAAGCATAAATTTTGTGAAAATTGTAAAAGAATTGAAAATATTATTATTGGTGCTTTTGGAAAGCTGGATGGAAGGGTCATTAACTCACATCAGAGCTCAGCAAATTCGAGTGCAAAATCGTACCAGGATGAAGGCTCAGAAAATACAGAAGATCATGAAAAAGAAATAAGAGAGTTTAAAGACCAAATTTTAAAGTATAAATGCAAACTTAAACAGTTAGCAATAGAAAGTGCTGAGCTTGTAAATAGGGCTGAAGCTGAGAAAAATTTTTATAAAAGAAAAGCTGATTCCTTGGCTGCTGAAAATGATAAATTGCTATCAAAGCTTGGAAAGAACCCTAAAGAAATCACTACATTTGCTAAAGAACGGCAAGAATTTGAAGCAGAAAAAGAAAAAATCCTTCATGACTTAAAAGAAGCCCAAGAAAATGCTTTAAATTATGAAAAATTAGGCAAAATAAACAAGAAAAAGCTGGAAGAAGAAATAGAGAGAAATTTTGAGTTAAGGAAAATTCTCTCAAAAAAATCCAAAGCAATGACATCCTTAGACTATCAAAAAATCATAAATTCATTAACAGTGACTGTAGCAGATAGAGAAGAAGAGTTATGCCAGCAGAAAAACATTAGCAGGGAGCTAATGAATCGAGTTCAAGAACTAGAGTCAATATTGAAGCTAACAAATGTAAATTAACTATTAATTCGAATAAAGATTAAAATGTTGCACCAGCATAGCCGGCATCCCACAAGCCAGATACCTTAATCCCAGAATGGCAGCCTACCCTGAGTGAGTATAATCAGGTTGCAAATGGTGTAAAGCCCGAACAATTCCGCCCTCTTGAATTTTCTAGCGAAATCACCTAGCCTAAGGATTAACTCCCTAGTTTAGAGCTACCCTCTGCCGGGTGCAGCGATAACCCTATAGATGAAGACTATGTGAGAGATAAACCTGTAAGCCCACCTGGCAGGGACAGCAAAACCTTCAGGCGAACAAAACTTCCTCTTCGGCAAGGCGTTATCAAGACTGAAGTCCTACTTCAAAAAACAACAGTGGCCCTGTTTTCAGCTTCATCAGGAGGGTCCAGCCACCTTGTAGACAAACTTTCTTCAACATTTTATTTTTTTAATTCAAATAAGGAATTCTTACTTTCACATCATATTTCTCTTGAATTAGCTCAATCTCTTTTCCATAATAAGAAAATGCATAATAAACTTTGGCAGCATCCATTAACCCAATAAAAAGCGCTGCAGAAATTGCGAGGTTTGCTATCGCTGAAATTGAATTCATTCTATAAAAGATTGCTCCACTTGTAAAAAGGAAAGTTAAAGGAATCCCAAAAATTATAATCGGAGCACTATCATAAGCTTTAAACGAGTTGTGTATTCTTCTTGCAATCCCTCGCTCAGGTCTTTGAAATGTATTCCACCTCTTCGCAATTTCTTCAGAAATCACCCTTTTCCTCACGAATTCCATAGAAATTTTAGAATAAATGAAGTTTTTTACACTTGCATGGTCTTCCATTTATAAAATAATAAAAATTAATTACTTGCAGACATAGCTTCATCGTCCTTCTCCAACTTTTCCATGCCCAAATTCTTTTGATAGGAGCTTATTAATTCCAGTAGAGCTTTCATGATATCTCCAATCTCGCCTATCTTATTTTTATTGTTCTTAAATTGTCTTTTCCAGCAAAAAACGTTCAGGTATTCTTGAAGACAGCTCATTTTTCTGTATTTTCTCTTGATATCATATTTTGCCCAGCACCAAGAAATTTCGATATGCTGAGTATGAATTTCTCTGCTGTGAGGATTTACAAAAAACCTTGAGTGGTCAACTGTAAAATGAGGAAACCCGAGCTCTGGAAGTTTATTATAAGCAGCCCATTGATCTGAAATTATTGTAGTGCCTATTTCACAATGACTCTGAATTATTGGCAATAAATATGCAGTTGTTCTTTTTGCGACGACCTCCATATAAACTCTTTTTGACTCTCTTTCGTACAGCCCAAACACCCACTTTTCAGGTGCACTCTGTCCAAATGAAAGAACTTTGCTTGAATTTCTGAAGCAAGACTCATCAATTTCTACAATTCCTTTGAACTTTGGAAGAGTTCTGATGAAATGCTCTGATATGATTTTTCTAAGTTTTGCATCAATACACATGGCATCAATTTTATTGATATCAATAAGCTGAGTGATTTCTTTATCGCCAAGGTTCATCGCCCATAGGAAAATATACATCAAAATTTTATCCTGGGACAGTCTGGTGCCTTCCCAAATGCTGCCTTGAATCAGACTTTTTTGTTTGCTGCAGTCACATATGAATATATATTCATTACGCATATCATCGTGTGCAAGGACCATATCGTTCCCACATTCGCATTTCTTTTCGGTGGGAATTGCGCCTGTTTGGAGGAGGAAACTGATTGAAAGCTGTTGGTCTCTTATGATTGTGAAAAAATTGGTGGGAACTTGCATGTCGAGAAGGTAGTCTTTGAGGGAGTGCTTTTTGACGTAGGAGAGTGGAAGCTTTGACTCTGGTAGCAATGAGTTTTTGGGCATATCTGAGAAGGCAAGCTCAAGGTTTTTCAGTTTTTCTTCCAGATTGAATGTAAGGGATTTCAAATGCCGAAGGTCTTTTTGAAGCTTGTGGTTGTCTTGCTCAAAGGACCAGACTGCTGAGGCAGTTTCTAGGCAAGGGCCACATGTGAGCCAATTTTCTCTGTGAGTGGGACAGATATCGAGAAACTCTGACATTTGATGATTATTTTTATAATGCTTTAACCCCCCCTAAAATCTTAAATAAATTGTATTGTATAAAAATTTATCTAAAGCCTTATGACATTTAAATTTAAAATAATAGTTACCTTTAACTTTAAATTAAGAAATTATTTAAGCTTATATATTTACTTTGTCTTAAGGGACTGAAATAAATGGGTCTGATAATATAGGCTATATTGACTATTTGATCTTTTTGCATTTATTAACTTATGAAATACATAAATAATATGGATGAAGAAAGCGAAGAGAAATACATCGTAGAAAGTTTGGTTAAGTATCAGTATAAAGGTTTAACTGAGGCATGCTTTGATAAATGCATTACGAAATATGAGGCATCATTAACTCAAAGTAACAAAGTTTGCTTATCCCCTCCATGAGCGAGCAAAAAAATTTTGCGTAATCAAGAAGAGTACTAATTTTTCCAAATTTTAAAATATTTAATTTGCAAAAATGAAAAGTAAAATTAATTTAATATGTAAATTTATGATTTAGTATTAAGAATTATTTGAAGAATTTGCAATAATAATCTACACTTATATATCAAAAAACTTTTTATAAAAAAATAAAAAAAAAATTCATTTTTAAAAAAAATTTTTTGCTCGCTCACGGTGGGTGGGCCTATGCCCAAAAATATGGATTTTCCCGATGATTTTGCTCTCATGGAAGGACAAGTTAGCCATGTGTCAAGATCGATATCAAGAAGCTTTTAGCTCCACATTTCTAAGAATTTATGAAAAAGTAGTAAAAGGTATGAGAGAAGCCATTAACATAAGCGAAGATTAGGCTAATTAACTGATTCAATAGCTATTTTAGAGTTACGATGAAGAAGAAATAATAAGTTTAAACATCAAATTGGAAATCAATGCAAAGCTGGTCTAATTGGTTCTTCAAAGTCTGTATAAATCATCCCATTTCATATAAATCCACAGTTTTTCTTTCATAATCATCCAAAGGGTCTAACGATTTATTTGCAAATACAAAAGTCATCACTGTTGGTTGACTTTTTTTGATCTCAATATTCAGAAGTCGGCTGAGAACCCAGACATGCCGAACAATAAGTTTCCCTTTTTTTCTTTCATAAACATACATAAACTCGTCTTCAAAACTTATTTCTCTTTCCAGAATTTTCGGTTTATTCTTGAGGATCATCCCTGTCAAGCCTTTTCGTTTTTTGATTTCTTTGCATGGAAAGAGCTGTGAGGGAAAATCAGTTATTATACTGCCTTTAGGCAAGGAGAGCTTGGGTAGTGTGTTTGGCATAAACGCAGGGTGCATTATTTGCTCTTCTTTTTCTTCTTCATCACCTATAGCAAAAAGATCCATTTTAGCTGAAATTTTCCAATTTATTTCTCTAGATAGTTGTTAATTTATTATGCGAATTTCTTATGGTTTTATAATAAAATAATTTATGAGATTTAAGAGACTAAATTAATTATATTTTCTGAAAGAATGAGATTGAAACGTCATTAAATTGAAATTACCTTGGATCCTTTTCTTTGATACTCCCTACCTTACTTGCAAGTAAAAACAAATCAATTTCTTCATATCTGCTGCTATATTCTTCATTGCTGCATTTTGACTCTTCCCGAACATAAGGCGGCATAAAATTTTCAGTGATTTCAGTTAGCTTATAAATTTCCCGATGCTCAAAAGTAATTTCAATAAAATTATCAATAGCATCAATAACCTTGTCTTCATTAACATTAAGCGAAAATCAATCTGTATTGCTTAGGGAAGCTTTAACCTTCTCAAAATCTTTCAAAATCGATTTAAATATCGGGACATCAGTATTTTTATTAATTCTCGTCATTCTTGCAGTCTTTTCTAATGCATTAATAAGTCCTTGCTGCATAATCATAACCTTCCTAAGCTCTTTATCCACCTTTTCATGAAAAGTTTCAAGAATTGTCTTGGAGGCTTGGATAACCTTTGTAAGCTCTTCATCAATTTTTTTCTTGGCTAAATCTATTGTTTCTAATATAAATTCTAAGTCTGAGTCGTTAATTCTCATGTACAGAAATTCTACCTTGTGGGGATTTTGGTATATTTCTTCCATATGGATCATGAGATGGCCATGGCATAAATAGATGCCATTTGAAATGCATCTGCAAATGGATTCGACCTCTTTTTCGCAGCCCTTAAAATCGCACCTTTTGCTGTTCATATTTTCTAAGTAAATGATATGAGTAATATAATAATAAAATAAATGTCTAAAGTCAGCTTAGGGCTCCTTGGCACCATAAGCGTTACCATAGACTGAAATAGAAGCACTCTTACCACCTTAAGGTTTTCTTAAGGCTTTAGACGTGCGCAGATTTCCAACATAAAACAAATCTGATGGTTAAATTTTCACTTGAGTGTGAATAAAAATTTTAGGATTTATGGCAATAAGTAATTAGTTAGGCATATAATTTCTTTTTGAAATCCTTTACTAATTAATATTTAAGGCAATGCTGCTGACTCAGATGACTGGCGCCTAGAATCGCTCTAATTAAAATTAATTGAGAATTTTTGATTTCAAATTTTTATACTGCAACGATTTCTTAGAACCAAAAGAAAGCTTATTGGCAAAGATATAGTTGATTGTAAGCTTCTTTAACATTATTTGAATTATCTTTTTCAAATAGATAAACTACACTAGTATGCCAGAGATTAACTCTCATTTATAGCGTTATATTTATACCAAAAAAGGAGACTGCGGACTTGCTATTAACTCAGATTGGTCACAATTTGTATTAAAAGGATTTCCTTTGCAAACCGGACATCTAGGTATATCCCTTGAGCCTTTAAACCATTCTTCAATACACTTTGAATGATATATATGCTTACAAATCAATTTTCTCACCTCATTCCCATTAAAAAAACTATATAAAAATTACTCCTCAAAGCAAATGCAACAAGTTTTAACTCCTCACTCTGTAAGAGATTCATCAAAAATTAGTTTAGGTAAATGCAAGTCTAATAAATCGTCTGAAACGACTGAAATCGATTGATTATGCATAATCATTTCATACTGTCTTGCTCTATCTGCATTAAAATTTGCAATATTGTGGATTCTTGCATTTCTTATAGTTGATCTTACTTTATATATGCAAGCAGAGCAGCATGAAAAAACTACCACAGACACCACAATTACCACAACAATGACGACCACTTCATTTGGAGGCTTACTTGAAGAATATTTATTTATTCTTCATTTAAAAGTTAACCCAGAATAAGTTTTATAGTCATCACCTGTAAAATAGCCTAATACAAAATAGTTTCCATCGTCAATTTTATAAGTGTTTTGGTATCCTATATTATTTATAATAATTTCAGTTGCAGAATACTGCTGGTTTCCATTTGTAATGTAATCTGGTGATAAATTGTAATAAAGTAGCTTTAAACCTCCAGTTTTATAAGTCCTTGAAAAGAAAAATGACAATGAAACGTAGTTCGTTGAATTTGTAGTTTTATATTTGGTTAAATCAAGAACTCATACACATAAAGCTCCTTGAGAAAATGTTCCTGTTTGAATTAAGCCATCATCACTTGAAAATACTTGAGACTTCCCACAGGTTGACTAATTAAAAAATACGCTAGTAGAAGTGCACAGAGAATAGTCATTGCTTTGGCTGTTTAAGCAGTAATTTAGAGTTGGCTGGCGTTCACAATTAAGACAGGAAGTTGAGCAAGAGTTATCAGCTTTAGAACAAGTCTTTTCAGAGCAACTGTCACTAGATTAAGGTTACGTGTATCAATTTAATCCAAATGCTGAGCAGGATGAGCATTGAGTTTCACATGCTAAAGAATAAGTAAATAAGGCTAAAAGTATTCTTTTTATTTTATAATGATTCATATTTTTTATAATAACTTCAGCTTATACTTACTTTTTAATTCGAAAAGACTTCATAAAAAATTGCATTTTAAGGGATTTTCTCTTAAGCATGGCCTTTTAAATACAAAAAATTTTTAGTCTAAGAAAAGCATAGCTTAGCAAATTTGAAGCTATTATTTATTTGCTTATAAAAAATAAACATTTTCTTAATTATTTTCAAGCTTAATACGTTTATTCAAAAGCAAACTATTTAAAGCCAAAAGAGTATACTTTTCTAATAGAGATCATTTTATTACTGTATAATAAGTAATATACATACATTAATAAAATTTCGACTTTTGAAAATAAAAAATAAAGCGATAAAGCAGATATATTCTTAACTTTCATGATATATCTAAATTTATTAATTTTAATTAGAAGCTTTGAGCTTTATCTCATTTATAAAAACTCTAAAACAGCAGCTTATTCTCAATATTAATCAAGCTAATCTTAGATCCTTCAATGTGCTTTAGAATTTGGTTAAACAAACTCCAAAAAACAGCAAAGTTTTAGCATAAGCTCCAGATGGGCCAACTCTGAAGAATATCAGGTGGGTTGATGTCAGCCCAATCCATACTTGAGATATAAGTTAACTCTTTTTATCAGAAATTTAAGAAAAATTCTTTATAAGAATATTAATTTTAAGTATTTTCTATTGCATTTTATAATCGGTACTGGTAGAAATCACTTAGTCAGTATTTGCTCTTAGAAAAAAAAATTCTTTCAAAATTGAATCTAATATAGCTAAAACTTGGCCAGTCAACCGCACACAAGCATGCTAAAATGCATCTAAGCCTTTCCCCATATTGAAGCAAGCATAAAGAGCCATTTTTTATTTTTTTGAACAGTTGTAACTTATAAGATAATGAAGGTAAAAATCTTAATGAGAATTGAGCTATTTGAAGGTATCTTAGATATATAGTTTTAAGCAAATAATTTTAGGTACATTAAAAGTATTAATTTCTAATAATATCTGCATAAAGTGCTTATACACTCATTTTTTAATAAAATCAAATTTTACACAAAAGAAAGCATCTAATTCATTCTTCTTAGATATCTAATAGCCTATCAATTGCTGATATTAAATCTCTTTCTTGTATATCTTAGAAATTCTTTGGTGACCCTTTTTAGTCAAAATTTAAATTCATCCATCATCCTGAAAGAAGCATAAAACTGCAAAAATTCAAATTCTACAACGAAGCAAAGAAGATGCTTCTTAGGGAAATATACTTAATATTTTCTTAATAATTGCTAGAAATTTTAACCAAAAAACCTGCTCTATTCATATAAAATTTTAATTGTGCCCTTATGCATAAATATACATCAATAAAACATTGAAAATCACTAATATATGCTATGGTTCAAATATTTCCACTCTTTATAGCCAATTTCATCAGAAACAGTCTTTTACTAGTTCCCGATTATATCTAATAACCTCATTATGATTTTGAAACATTTAAAATTAAATATGAAAAAACTCGATTTTTCCTGCAAAGATAAAAATATTAAAAATAGTTTTTTAATCAAGGAACTTCTTCACATAATCATAAGAAAGCAGAGATTCTGTTTTAGGTTCCTTCTTCAATTGATTTCTTATTAAAAAAATATATAAGATGGTAAATATAATAAAAATGAAAGCTTATCGATGCAGCTACGAAGGCTGTAACCAGACATACTCAAATAAGTACAATCTCAGACGTCACGTATCAATAAATCACTATAAAGTTCGATTTACATGTCAAATTTGTGACAGAAAACTCTCATCAGCGCAAGGATTAAGGGATCACGTCTATTGCCACACAGGCGAGAAACCCTACGCTTGTAAGTTTCCAGGATGCACCAAAAAATATCGGCAAGGAAGTCAATTATCGGTACATAAGAGAAAACATGCTAAACAACTTGGATTGAAAGATTCAGATTTTGCAGAATTAAAGGTATTTTTTATGTAGTTAACTTGACTTATAAAAGATGAGATTCCAAAGATTTATCAAGTACCAACCAGTCCATTTGCAATTTCTAATGTCATTTTGCCACCATTGAGGGCATTTTTCGACATAAAAGTTTAATTTCATAATATAATCATCATAACTAAAGACCTTAAAAAGTAATACCATTAATAAGAATGATTTTTCTTGAGAGCTGAATTTATTAAAATATTTTACCAGGGTTAAGAGCGGCTTACAAATAAGAAAATTTGACAAAATTAATTTACAGAATTTTTAAAAATTCGTATAAAATCCTCAAGCAAGGCCATAGAGTTGCAAATTCTGTTTTGAAAATTGTTAATTTGTAATAGGATATAATATTTTGAAATTGCTTTTAGAATTAATTAAAAATCATTGATTTTTAAGGTTTCGGTATCGAGTCATAGCCAGGAGCCAAACTCATTGCACCTCTTCTGATAAAATATTTAATATCTAATTGACTTATAATATTTTGGTAGAAATATTGATGTTTTTATGCTATTTTTGCCTATTCTTATATTTATTTGATTTTGATGCTTTCGTACAGGTATTATAGAGAAAAGACAAATTATTTCTAACGTAATAATTTCATTTTAAAATTTGGCAGTTTCATTTTTGGCATTTTAGTTAAATTTTTTCTATACTTCAATAATGTACGATTAGTGAGCAGGTTCAATAATGAAGATTTCTTATAATAATACTATTTTCAAAGTATACCTTATAAATCAGTTTAGGAATATAACGTTTAACCATGCCCATTAAGTAATATTATAGTCATAAAATTATAAATAGTCTCCTCATTCGTTTACGCTCATAAATTATATAGCTATAGTAATTCTTCAACTCATATGCTATCTAAGGCTATTTTACCAAACCTACTGTTTCTTAAACCAATTTTTGATTTCACTTAGAATCTAATCTTTAGCAATAATTTTTTAAAATTAATTTTTTAATCCTCAATCTCCGCCCATAGAGGCAGAGGTACTCTGAAATCTAAATTTTGTGTAAGCTTATATCTAAATGCATGCAGTCAAATTTCAAGCTGTTTCTGGTTCTTTTTCGATCCTTGAAACTCATCATTTAACTGATCATTTTGCACCCACTCGGCATTCGCTTGATTTATAGCCTCTCCTCCATAGCAAACATCATTAGCAATAGGGTATCCTAAATGCATCAAATGTACCCTTATTTGATGCGTTCTTCCAGTAAATGGTCTACAGTATACAACAGTTTGATTTGAGGCAGGATCAAATCCTTTCTTCTTAAAATATGTGCGGCTTGCTTTTCCTGTCTCATCCACTTGATAAATCCCTTCTTTATGGCTTTTACATGAGATTCCAGCATCTACTTCTGTTTCACTATAAGGGAAATTTCCTTTTACTCTTGCCACATATCATTTTTCTGTTGTGTGAGTTTTTAATAAATTAGTTAAATTTTTTGCCATTTGAGCATTTTTTGCCATTATTACAGTTCCTGAAGTCACTCGGTCAAGCCGGTGTATTAAATTTAGATTTTTATAGCCAAAATCATTCTCAAGTATCGAGACAAGTGTATTTTTATTGTACATTCCAGTAGGATGGCAAGGGATTGAAGGTGGTTTATTTACAACTAAAATATTGGGGAGATCAGCACAGATTGCAATTGGAATATCAAGTACAAGAGGCTCTCGCCGAATTGTCTTATGAGTAATACAATCCCCGTTCTTGACTATGTAATTATGCTCAACTGTAAGGCCATTGACTAATATTGAACCATTCACAATTGCATTGAAATAATATTGCTCGTCAAAGGCTTTGAAATCTTTTGTAAAAATGTCTAATATTGGTTTGTTTTGTCACCTTTCTTTGCAGTATGTTGTATAAACGTATTCATATGGCTTGATGTATCGAAACCCGATGCCTCCTATTTCGACATGCTCGTATCCAGTCATGCTAAATATTTAATAAGATAGATCAATATTAATTTTATTAAGGCAAAGTAAAAGCTTATCACTGCAAACCCCAAGATTAATTCCTCCTTTTAAATTGACACAAAATATACAATTTTTGATTATTTTAGCCCCTTTAAATTGGAACAAAATTTTGTTTTTTTAACAAGAAAATTTTATAGATAACAAACTATTTTTACGATCTAATTTAAATAGCATTTAGAATTTTTATTTTACAGTTTAGCACTTAATAGAATAAAATTTTAAAAATTAATTTTTCATAAAAATAAATTAAAATTCAGGGCATTGCGTTCAATTATTTTTTTTTTTTTTTTAAAAATTCTTTAAATTAACCCTTTAAATTTGACAGATTTTTTGTTCCAATTCAGAGGTAGAGTAAATTATAGATAAGTCAGAATTATTATTTATAATAAGCAAATTCTAAGCTTATCTAATTATAAGATCTAAATTACTACTTAAATTATAAAACAAAATATTAAGTTTGATGCTTATCTTCATTTAACCCACTTTTGACTCTCTTACCCTAGATTTTATTTGTCTTTTCGGAGGATTCATGATCTCATTTATCTTACGATAAAGTTCAGTATTTTCCTTTCTCACTTCTTCAATACTTATTGCAAGAATATTTTTTTCCTCAATTATCTGATTTACCCTGCTCATGCTTGTTTTCATATTCTCCACCTCTGCTTCAAGCCTGACATTTTCTCCGTTTAAATAATCAATTCTATCATTCAGCACTTTTACAGTCTCATTCTGCATTTTTCTTTCAGATTCCAAAGGTTTCTGCACATAATCTCCCACCCCTAAAGTATTTGACAATCTTTCGATTTCTTCTTCTCTATGTGCAGTCAGAACTTTATATCTCTGCAGTTCATCTTCCAGCCTATTTTTATTATTATACAGTTCTTCAAGTTCTTCTTGATATTTCTTAGCTCGATCGTCAGCTTTTCTCAATTCTTCAGCCCAGTCTTCATTAACCCTTTGAAATTGGCTCACAATTTCTCCGCTTCCTAATTCTCTTTCAATTTCAAACCCTTGGACTCTTCTCATTACATTTCTTTCGCTTGGTGGCAAATTGGCATTTTTTATGCCTTTTTCAAAGCTTGACAAATAAGTTTTCGATAAAAGCAAATCCACTTTGTTTTTGAGCTGCTCTTTGTCGTTTTCAAGATTTGCAATGGTGTCGCGAGTGTGCTCTATTAAATACCGCATATCTGAGATTTCACCTTCAAGTTTCCTGGTGTTTGCCCGCCAAGCTTCTTCTTTTGCGTTGAATTGTTCTTTGGTTTTCATGAGCTCGATGTGAAGGTCGTTTTTCTCTTTATTTAAACGGACAACTTCTCGCTGAAGGGGGGATTTAGAGAATTCTGTTTCTTTTGAACGCTTGGAGAGCTGCTCATTTTCTTGCTTTAGAGATTGGCAATCGTCTTTTAATTTTACCAAATCATTTAGTAAGGCTTCAACAAGTGCAACTGATTGAGGAGCGAGAGGATGGCAGTAATGAAGGGCGTCCAGGCGATTTTTTAGAGCTGGTTAGATCTTACTTTGGAATTTTTTCTCAGCTATGTCCATTTAAATAGTTTTGTGTGTATGAAAAAATTAACAAAACTACTGTAAAAAGTACAGTTTTATGTTTTTGATAATTATATATCTCTGCATATTCCAAATATAGCCCCTGATTGCTTTTAGCTTGACTTGATTAATATTCCAACTATTGAAGTTGGCAAGATTAGAAAGAAGTCTCAGGCTAAAAGATCTATTTGAAAGGTCAAGTATTGTCTAGTGTAAGCTAAAAGCGATTCTTGGCAATAGATAAAAACTTATCTTTGATTTAAATACGCTTTTATTTTATCATCAGTTTTAATTTTCCTTGCATAATTTTTGCTTCAAAATTTATATTACATCGATGAAATTGTTAAAAATTGATTTGAAATGCGCTCTTATAAAATAGTTCGAGAAATCAATTTATGCGACTAAAATAAACATTATAATTTTAATGATATCACGTACAATAATAAATGGTGGCCTTATTACTTCTCCAACTAACAGTAGTGTCCGCCAATTTTGCGTTTCTTTTTGACTCAGACTATGACTACTACCTTTTTGTGGTGGAGTGGAAGCCTAGTCAATGCTACTCAAGGAAATGCCCTGTTGATTACCTCAATAGCAACTTCAATATACATGGACTCTGGCCTGAGAGATGGTCAGGAACTTACCCAGAAAGCTGTGGAAGTGATTATTCATTTGAAATCTCTGAAGAGACCTCAGAATCCTTAATGTCTTATTGGCTCTCATACAATGGAGACCAAAAGGTGTTTTGGGAGCATGAATGGACAAAGCATGGAACCTGTGTTACCCCAGCAATTACTTGCAATACCTATTTTGAATTGGGAGTGCAGATGTACGAGGACTTGAAAATTCTTGAAACCTTACAAAGCAAAGGGGTTATCCCAAGTAATGCAGTTGAGGTAAATAGAACTGCTGTCCAGACTGCATTTAGCAATACAATTGATCTTTTATGCTTAACATACAGTAAGAAGCAATATCTCTCAACGCTTAGGTTTTGCTATGATAAGGATTTCAAAAAAATAGACTGCAAAGGATCTAACAGCTGTAAGGCAACTTTTTGGTTCCCTCTTGCTGAGCAAGCCAACTTAATAAACTCGGTCTTCTCTGAGTAGATAAAAAATTAAGCATGATTTATCAAGACTAATATATTTAATTTCAAATAATCAAAATTAAATTAGGTTGTTTCAAATTTTGATTATTAGTAAATTTAATTTGCTACTGTGAGTAAATGAAAGGCCTTAATGATATTTTTGCATTTTAATAAATTATAATGCTTAAAATTCCTTATTTGATATAAAGTGATTTTTGCCTAATTTCGAAGATATAATAAGCATAAAGCTTGTCTATTTGTGCAATATAAATAATTTATAGATTTAAGGATTTTGCTATAATTCACAAAAAATATTTAGAAATCTTACTGACTCATGACTTTACGCTCTCTTTTATTTTGAATATTTCCAAAAATTTGCTGTTAAACATCAGCATATGAATATCAAAAATATGTATAAGGTTTTCCCCTATATAGCCCTGTAAGGGCTGTGGATTCTGTCCGGAATCCTTTGGTTGGTGGAATCAACTCAGTATCCAACTCACTTGTTGGTTCCACCAATCAAAGGATCCCGGCAGAATCCACAGCCCTTACAGGGCTATATAGAGGAAAACCCTATATTTAATTTTATATTAAAATCTTGACGCTAAGCTTTTAGGCATGCTTATGTAAAATAGTTTTTCAAGTGAATCTATAATATAATATGCTTATAATATGAATGCCATGCAATCCCATTCCCAGCAAAATGGATTTTATTAAATGATCTGATAATTCGATAATTGAATAAAGTATCGTTTATGTAAGATGAATTTTTATAAAACAATGGATTATAATATTAGAGTATGTAGTGCTTAAATCATATTGACCATTTTATTCTTATCTCCTTTTAAATTAACCAAAAAACTTTTTCTAATCAGAGAGGGCAATATTTTTAAAATAAATTAAGTTGACGTAATTTTTTTGTAGTTAAACAATTTAAGTTTTAGATAAATTCAGTATTATACTTAATCATTATAGCATATGTCTAATTAATTCTATAAAATCTTCTACAATTTGAATTGCTAAACCTAAATTTATATATTAAACTTTGATTTTATTATATTTGCAAATTTGTTTTTTTAAAATCCTGAAAATTTTTTGATAGTTTAAGAGGTTACAAAAATCTTAAAAGAGACTTAGCTATTTTTATATATTAAGAAAATAGTAACTAAAGAATCTTCATATATATATAAATAACTCTATTTCAAATCACAAAAGATAAAACATAATAATCTGATTTGCTTAGATTAGATTTAAGTCGTTCGCACATTGCAGGGCCGAGGATTAACACCTCTGCACGCTCATCGCTCCCTAGGAGCCCCGGCGGGCACCTCCTGGTTGCCGCAAACAAGGGATTCGCACAACCAGTCTTGACTTCCATGGCTTCTGGAGCCTAAGGACCAACCACCTGAGTCGAAACTCAGAGTTTCTCGTTGGAAAAATGCCATCTCTTGAGTCCTGTTCAAGGGAGTTAGCCTCCACTCGGACTTTCGCCGATCTGGTCCTTTCCCATGGTTGTTCTGGAGGTAAAAGCCCAAGTCTCACGGATTAGCTCCATAGGGCCCGAGTAAAACCTAGCCCGATATACTCAAAGGGGTTCCAACCCCATTCCACCTAAATTCCTGACACTGGACCGCTGCCTGCAGGTGTTGAAGAAATAGGGTCGAGAGGTCGGGTGGCACGTCGTCGCCATTTTTATGTATATATAATAATCTGATAATCATAACAAAAATACTGACTGATTTATAAATTTTCAGATTAAGATGTAGAATTTCTCAGCTTATAACTACTATCATGTACACTAATTTTGAGCATTTTTTAACGCAGAAACACGAAAATAATTGTAATAATTAAAAATTTAGCTAATTCTTAACGTTTTAATGTGACTTTATATTATAAAAAACCGTAAAAATATGAGTACCTTACTCCCTCATTATCTAATAAAAATTATTTGCCAAATATACCAAAATATTCAAATTTAAAAAGAATATGCCGATTTGGAAAATTTTTAACTCCCCCCCCTCCGTGAGTGAACAAAAAAATTTTGTTCACTCACGGAGGGGGGTTATTTTTTTTTTTTTAAAAAAATTTATATATAAATTTTTTATAAAAAATAATTTTTTTTTCGAAATTTAAAAAAATCCTAATTCGCAAAAATTGGAAAGCAAATATTAATTTAATTTATAAAATTTATGTTTTAAAAAGCAATTCGTTTAAAATTAAACAGAATTAGCTCTAGATTTCATTATACTAATTATCATTTATATATCAAATTTTTTTTCCATAAAAAATTTTTCTATTAAAAAAATTTTTGTTCACTCACGGAGGGTGAGTTTTTGGGCAAAAAATAGCGATTTTTCTAATGGGTTTTGTTCACTCACGGAGGGGGGGGAGTAGTTTTTTCATACCAAATGCTAATCAAAATAAGTGTTCATTAACAAGGGAGACTTAGGAAAATTCTTCACAAATCTATCAAGCGCAATGTCAATGAATAAAGCAACTCTATCTGGTGCTTTAGACGTAATCGTCATTCAACATCCAGATGATTCCTTTCATGCTACTCCATTTCATGTTAGATTTGGTCGTCTAAAACTGTTGAAAAGCAGTGCAAAAACTATAAAGGTCTATATCAATGGAAAACAAACACACATTCGTATGAAGCTTGATGAAGAAGGAGAAGCCTATTTCGTTGAGCCTTCAGTAGGAGAAATTGAAGAAAATTTAAAATGCTCCCCAATTTCTAGCCCAAAGCTAATTAAAGGAGAAAAAACTGGCGACTCAAGCCCTATAAAGGTTGAAGAAAGCCTTGGGCCTGTACGAAAGAGTGGGGCATTTGAGCGATTAAGAGTCTCCAAGCTCTTTATAGGAGGACAAATTTTACCAATGCGAGGAGATGATTGTGAAGAAGTTGACCCAGGCGAAGACCTAGAACCATCCACTGATAATTATGAATCTGATGGAAACCAAGTCGATATCTCGCTTTGTGGAGATTTGGTAAAAAACCCTGATACTGATTTAGAAGAAATTTTTATAAAGCATCGAATCCCATTCAGTGAATTCAAAACAAATCCATGAGCAGTCATAAATGATCCAAGACTTATGATAAAAATTGACAATAAACTGTATGGAAAAGAAGAAGGGATCCCTCTAGTTCTAGCTTTGCTTATTTATAAACAATCTCTAAATGATGAAGAAAGCTACATTGTAGAATCACCTAAAAAGGAATTTGAAGTCCAAAGACCAGCTGATACTACAGTCTACAAAAAAAGTATTATGCTAGATTCTGATAGTCTTCGCTCATTGGGGCTAAAAGGAGGCAGCAATGATATTACATATATAGTAGAAAGTAAATTGCAAGGAATGCAATCAATTCAAGGAAAAATTTATTTGTGGGATTCTAGCTGTAAGATTGTAATTTCTGATGTTGATGGGACAATCACAAAATCTGACGTACTTGGACAGTTGTTACCGATTATAGGAAAAGATTGGAGTCATCCAGGTGTTGTGAATTTATATAATGATATTACAGCAAATGGGTATAAAATTCTTTATCTGTCTTCAAGGGCAATTGGGCAAGCTCCGAAAACAAAAGAATATTTGGCATCACTTAGAGAGAATAATCGTGGGCTACCAGAAGGCCCAGTTATATTATCCCCAGACCGTCTTTTTAAGTCATTTGTACGAGAAGTCATCAAGAGAGAACCACAAAATTTTAAGACCCCAGCACTAACAGAAGTTTTAACTCTTTTTCCAGAAGATGTCAACCCATTTTATGCAGGCTTTGGCAACCGTGATACAGATGCTATTGCATACAGAGCAGTTGGTATACCTATGGATAGGATTTTTATAATCAATCCAGTCGGAAAGATCTTTGTATTTGACAATTCCTATATAAATTCCTACCCAGAACTCAATGCAGCAGTTTCCGAGAAGTTCCCTTTAATTGTGTGTTAATTAAACCAGATTACGATAACTCTTTTAAAAGTAAATTAGTATCCATAAATGGCAGGCAAAAAAGGTGAGGCCAAGAAGACAGCGAAAGCAATCCGCAAAGGAGACAAACAACAAAAGCACAAGAGGGTAACAAGCGTGAGGTTCAGAAGACCAGACACCAAAGTTGTATCACGAACCCCTAAATACGCCCGCAAGAGTCTTCCAGGCAAGACAAGACTGGACAAGTTCTCAACCATCACAATGCCACTCGCCACTGAAAAGGCCTTAAAGACAATTGAGGATCACAATACTTTGGTTTTCTTAGCTCATCCTATGGCTAATAAGAAGCAAATTAAGGATGCAGCAGAGAAACTTTATAACATCAAGGTTGCCAAAGTCAACACTTTAATCAGGCCTGACGGGAAGAAAAAAGCTTTCATTAAAGTGTCACCTGAATACGAAGGCCTTGATATCGCAAACAAGATAGGCATTATCTAATTTATAGAGTTATTTGGGCTTATATAAGTTTTACTGCTAATTTAAGAATAAATCAGCTGGATCTTGCTTTTTATATGATCAGCTAGAGCATACTCCGACATATTTGATTGAACGAATCCATTGAAAATTTCTTAAAAATTGGGAAAATTAGCCCTGAATTTATAAATTCAAGCCATTTTCCTACCCACTTAAATCTAACTGCCTATCTTTGATAATAATTAATCTTAGAGGTATTGCAAGATAGCAATTGGCTCAATTAATAGGAATGAGTTAGCAAGACTACTTCCACAAGAATTCTTTTTGGTAGATTTTAGCATAGATATGACGTAGATAATAGAGTGTTTTCTGTTAAGTTGCTGCTTTAAATGAGCATTTCAACGATCTTTGATTAAATTGCGTAGTCAATGTCTTAATATTCCTCACCATATCAACCATTAATAAATGCAAATTTTTGTCAAAACTCTCACAGGGAAGACCATCACCCTTGATGTCGAATCCTCTGATACCATTGACAACGTCAAGGCTAAGATCCAAGACAAAGAAGGGATCCCACCAGACCAGCAAAGACTTATTTTCGCTGGCAAACAATTAGAAGATGGAAGAACACTTGCCGATTATAACATCCAAAAAGAGTCCACACTTCACCTTGTCTTGAGACTCAGAGGAGGAGTTATTGAGCCTTCACTCCAAGAATTGGCCAGAAAATACAAGTGTGACAAGAAAATTTGCAGGCGATGCTATGCAAGACTTCCATTGAGAGCTCACAACTGCAGAAAAGACAAGTGTGGACACAACTCAGACTTGAGACTTAAGAAAAAGATTAAAGATTAAATTTCTCGTCTTTATCTTATTTTAGGCTAATTATAAAATTATGGGCTGATAAGGAGATTTCTTTGTAGAGCCAGTCTTTGTGATATAAGATTTTAACTGGATCTTTGATTTGAATTTTCTTTGTGATATAAATTTTTTTAAATCATTATAAATGAATTACCAGACAGAAGAGTCAATTCTTTAGGCTTCGCTTATATGAAAAATAAGTCATGATAAAACATATAAGAAATTTGAAAAATAAAAGAATATTTATTTTTCTTTATAGAGTTTGTGTGCCAGAGATTGAAAACTTAATTATTAAGTTTTAAATATAATAAAGATTAGCAATATATCAGAAAATTAAAATGCACGTGATAATCTCTTTGCTCCCCCCCTCCGTGAGTGAACAAAAAAATTTTGTTCACTCACGGAGGGTTAATTTTTTTTTTTTAAAAAAAATTATATAAATTTTATAAAAAATATTTTTTTTCGAAATTTAAAAAAATCCTAATTCGCAAAAATTGGAAAGCAAATATTAATTTAATTTATAAAATTTATGTTTTTTAAAAAGCAATTCGTTTAAAATTAAACAGAATTAGCTCTAGATTTCATTATACTAATTATCATTTATATATCAATTTTTTTTCCATAAAAAAATTTTTCTATTAAAAAAATTTTTGTTTCACTCACGGAGGGTGAGTTTTTGGGCAAAAAATAGCGATTTTTCTAATGGTTTTGTTCACTCACGGAGGGGGGGGGAGTTAGAAAGATTTTATTTTTCCTTTGTGATATGGCTATACTCTAAATTTGATAAAATAATTATTTTTTTAATTTAATTTCTTCAAAAATCTAAATGATGATAAATAAATCTCAAAACAAAAAATGGACCCATCTGCAGATGATTCATTGTTGAAAGAAGAAACAATTTTGAATTTAAATAAGCAAGCCCTCGAAAACTTGCACAACCCAAGCACCGCTTTATCAAATCTGCAACAAGCAGAACGAATTTTGCTTGAAAATGCATCACAAAATCTTAAAAACCGTTTAAAGCTAATGGCTTTAACATTTAATAACTTTGCCTGCTACTATAAGCGAATGAATCAGCCTAACGTGGCTCTGCTATATTTAAACCAAGCGTCAAAGCTGGAATATCAAACTTTATCAAGCCCAATTGACCTGGCATCGACACAACTTAATTTATGTGCAATAAACTCACAATTAGGCAGACATGCAGCAGCACTTGAAAATGCTAAACAAGCAATAAAGTTCTTTAGCCAGGTTAATGAAAACGAGCTCAGCAGCAACGAAATTAGTAAAATTGTTGCTGCTTATTTTAATGCTGGCACTGAATTTGAATATACTTATAACCTTGAAGAAGCTTTTGAGCATATGCAGAAAGGATTTGAACTGGGAAAAAAATATTTGCATTTGAATCACCCTTTAGTGAAAAATATATGCAAAAGTTTAAATAATCTGAAGGAAAGAAAAGAAAGACTTAAATTGTTGGCTGATGAAAGGAAATCTGAAAGAAAAATGCAAAAAATTATATCTCAAAGCATTAGCCCTCCTCCATTAAATAGGAATACTGGAGGATTATCAAAAAAATCCACCTCAAAAAGGCATTTTGCATCATTTGGCCAAACAATGGTTTCGCCTAAGTATAACCCTTTGAAACTACCGATTACTATGACAATGAGACATGATAGGCTAATAAAGAGAGATATTGACGTTGGATTGAAGGTATATCTTATGGATAATGATTCAAAGCATAGAACTCCACATAACGTAAGAAGCATCGAATAAATATTTTCGTTAAGGTCGAGTATATAAGAAAATTACTAACTCCCCCCTCCGTGAGAGGTCAAAACCATTAGAAAAATCCTTATTTTTTGACCAAAATTTTTCACCTCCGTGAGCGAAACAAAATCTTTTAATAGAGGATTTTTTTTTTTGAAAAAAAAAATTGATATATAAGTGATAGCTAGTATCGTGAAATCTCTAGCTAATTCTGTTTAATTTTAAAAAAATTGCTTTTAAAACATAAACTTTACAAATTAAATTAATATTTGCTTTCCAATTTTTGAGAAGTGGGGTTTTTTTTAAATTTTGAGAAAAAAAAAATAATTAACCCCCTCCGTGAGCGAACAACATTTTTTTGTTTACTCAAGGAGGGGGAGGGGTAAATAATACAATTGAAGCTATTTTTATAAATTGGGTAGAGATATTTTATAATATGCGCAGCAGTAATTACTTTTACACAACTTCTCTATGTAAGGGAATAACTATTGTCTACAATTTTGACTTTTTCCAGAGCTGATAACTGAGCAAATTAATTAAATATTCTAATATCTAAACTTTTAAAATATTTTATACAGTTATTGGTTTTGGTTAGTTAAACTCTATATTAATTTTAGATAATTTGCATTTTTAAATTGCATAGCCCAAATCTTAGACATAGACATTCCATTATAAAAGCAAAGGAAAAAGAATTATGATAATTACTTTTCATAAATAAGTAGCATTAACCTATGCTTTTGTGTTTCATCTATATAATTCATTGTTTATAAAGATTTGAATAAAAATGGACGTGTTTTATAGGTTCTAATCAGTTTAATATTAATTTACATGTTTGCGAACAAATTACTTCGCGATTATTTCATTAGTCCTAAATCTTATCAATCAATTTTGCACTATCAATCTCAACCATAATTGGCACAGGTGAAAACGGAGATTCATCTTTTGCTGAAAGGCATGGGCTTTTTTCAAATTTTTTAAATGAGCTTGATCTTGAAAATGAAATCTCTTCAGAAATTCCTTGAAACCCTTTTGGTGGGTTTTCATCAGCATCAGCCATCATATTCAAGATATCTAAGCGTTTCTCACTTTGAGTCGCATCAATAATAGGCGGTGGCCGATTTTTCAGTTTTTTTCCATCAAGCTGCTCAAGCTTCCTTACAGCAGCTCTGATCCATTTAACATAATGATATTGGGGCCATTTCTTTTGGATTTCTCTGACTTCTTCTCTCATTGTAGCTTTAAGTCTTCTCCAAGTTTGCTTTAGTAAAGATAGCGCAGGTGGCTTATCTTTGAATTCTTTTAAAATCTTATCCCAGTCTCCCAAATGTTTTTGGATCGCCCTTAGTAGGGTGATTTTATCCTGATTTCCAAGCTCATCGTCAATAGGTGGGTCAAGGGCTACTATTTCAGGCACAATTTGTTTAGCTACTGATCTATAACTAGGAAATTGTGGCATAGGGGATTTTGATAACTCTTGAGCCCTCTTTATAATTTCTCTTCTACTGAAATGATTGGGAGAAGGATTCGCTTGAACCTCTTTCAAGAAATCTAGAATATCCAAGGTACTTTTTGATACAGGGGTGTATGTGTTATAAATTTGAAACCTAGAATTAGCCAGCTCCTCTTGCTCTATGTCTTCTCGATTCCAAACCAAATCAAATCGCTTTTTACTTTCCGCAAACTCTGCTTATCTCTTACTTTTTTTGTGCTTGTGAGGGTCAAGAATGAATTCCTGAAAGAGTTCCTTGCATTCATTTTTGGAAATCTGGCCTCCAGTTTGTTCTGACACTTGAGAGAGGGCAATTTCGATATCTTCAGTGGTGAATGGGTCCACGCTTTTGATGAGAACTTCCATAAAGGTGCGAAATCGGCTGAGTTTTTGAAGATCTTCAGCTGTGGCGACTCTTTTGCGTCCATCTTCGTCTTTTTTGGACCAGCGGCCTCTCTACTTGAAAGTCACCTTCTTATAAATAAAATGGCATTCGGTTCGAGAGCAATTAGCTCTGCTAATTTCCTCTCCCTCATGGAATTTTATTTATAGGGTTAGGTTTTCACTCGAAGACTTCTGGACAGCAATAGCGGTTTAACTTTGGAGGTAACCAGAGAGGAACCACTCCTCAGTCCACTCAAGATTTCGGGCTTTTACCTCTCAGCACATCCCCACGGGAGGATGACCCTTAGGCGGAACACGCGCAGGAGCTGAGTCGAGCGACAAGGGCGACGGCAACGCGCCGGGTGAGACGTGTAGCAAGGCCGGTGAAGCAGGAGTTGATAGAAGGCTTGGACGGGGCTGACCCGTGCCAAGATGGCTCGCCTACGTCATCAGTTTTGCCATAGGCCCTTTTGGGCTGCGGCACTAGACACCTTAAACACCAGATAATTAAGTAAGTAAAAGTAAGAAAGTCACCTTCTTAGGGAGTTTGCCTCCTTTGTCACTTTGGTTCATGGTTAAATATGGTGAATCTCGACTGTTTCCTTTCTAGGAGTGCTCAGAATAGTAATTGGAATCCTAAAATGCATAAAGGGACTTTAGGATAATATTCGAAGATTTGTAAAAAAGGAATGAAGAGGGTGAAAATTAGATTTTTGAAAAACAGAAAAAGAATTATGGACCCTTTCCACGAATTTTTAGCAAGAAATAAACACTTATGGGCTTCTGCAAGCTTTGCCAAAATTTTTTGGCAGCATTGGAATTATCGTAATTGCGGTGATTAAGAAAAAAAGATTGGCTGAAAAGGACTGCTAATAATCTACGAACATATAATTATTAGTTAATTTAAACTATGAAGCGATCAGCAAAAAATAATTGCCAAGCTTTTAAAAATGGAAAATTTAGCTTAAAGGCTGGGTTTAGGCATTTTACATAAAACTGTGTATTTTAGATTAAAATTATCATGGAAGTAAAAACGGAAGAAATTTCTAAAGATGATCCACCAACTCCTATGAGTTTACCATTCAAGCCAGCAGAGCTTCCAAAAAGACCTACAATTCCTCACTTACCTCTTGAAAAAGCAAAAAAATACATCCAAGAATCAGGCGGCTCTGCCCCAAAATCATCTGGAAAGCCAGTTCAATCAGAAACCTCACTCAAAGACTCCTCAGACTGGTCAATTGACAAGTCTCCTTGGGGATTTGATCCGAATTCAATAATGAAAGAGACTTCACCAATCCTAAAGAACACAAAATCTGACCAAAACTCCACTGAACTTATTAACGAAATTGAAGCTTTTTTGCATGATATCAAAAAACAAACCACTGAAAGCAAGTCTTTATCATCTGGGTCTTATAGAGACAAGCTTAATCAATTTAGAAAAGATTTAGAAATAAAACGGCAAGAAAATAAATATAAAAAGGCAGAAAAGCCAGGTGAGAGTAGGCTACTTAAGCATTTGGAGAAAAATATTAAAGAAGATTTTAAGGAACTTCACCAGGCCATTTCGCAGATTTCGGCTAAAGATGTGGTGTCAGTTAGAGGGATAACAAACCCAAATCCAAGCATTGAAATGATAGGGATCATATTTTTGTTAATTTTTAATCAACAAATACCCAGATTTCATCCATGGGAAGCTTTTGTACCTTTTATAGCTCAGCCAGGACTTGTGATTCAGAGGCTGAGGGCTTTGCCATTAGCAATTGATAATAAAGAAATAGGTGATGATATGATGTATCAAGTAAAAAAATTAGTTAAAGAAATAGATCCAAATGAATTAGCTGAATATAATTCGGCTCAGCTCTTATATCAAGTTCTCGTCGAAATAAGCAAGTTTTGCAGAGTTTCTGTATCAGATTCCAGCATCCCTCTTTCTTTAAATACAGCTAAAGACGTTTCTAAGCCAGCCCCTAAAAACCCATTTAAAGAAAAACCAAAGCCTCTACAGATCCAATCTAAACCTCAATCAAAACCTACATCTCCTGCACAACCTCTCAGCCCCAAAGAAATATTAGACTCAGAAAACCCTGACCTCATAAAAAAGCTAATCCAAGAAGAACAGCAAGCTGTAGTAAAGCTAAGGGGAGCTCAAAAAAAAGCTTATTGGGATGAAAAAAGATTCACAAAGTCTGAAATTATCCTTGAAGAGAAGCTTCAAGAAGAAAGGGAATTTCAATATGACAAAGCTATGAAAGATCATTATGAAAAACTTGACAGAGAAAATGAATTCAAAATGCAGAAAGAAACCAAAGAATTCCAAGATGAAGAATTTATTGATAATAGGATGATCAAAAACTTTAAAAAAGAAGAAGCAAAAATGGAATTGCTTGATGATATTCAAAGGGAAGAGGAAAGGATTAATTGGAATTATGAGAAACAGAAGAAGGAAAAGGAAAAGAAAATAAAAGAGCTCAGAGAAGTAGCTGAAAAAGTGAAAGAGGAAAGAAAAAGTAAAATAGATAGCGCAAAAATTAAGAGAAAGGAAGAAAAAAAGAAGAGAAAGGAGAATGAGATTTTTGAGCTCAAATATTTGTATATGAAAACTATTCAAGAAAAGGAGCAAATTTCGAAAGAATTAGAATTATATAATAAACAAAATAGAACAAGTTTAGTTTAAAACTAAATCTGTATTTAAATTTGTGCGATAGATATAATGATATTGTGTTTCTTTTTGAAAAAATATTAATAATCTTTTAAATTAATAACGAAGATAATTTTAATTCGATATTGAGTGCCGAACCTTTCAGATTATTTAATCAAATACCTCACCAAGAAAATTTTGCAAGATAAAATTGTAATAAAAATTTGTTTCTAAATAACTTTTGCTCCCAATTTTCCATTTTTGTGTTAATTTCGTACAAACGCTTACAAAACTCACATTTGTAGATGGCTCTGCTGTGAAAATGCCGGAGAAATTACATGACTAATCTGGCATATATGCCAAATAACTTTTTATATCTTCGACTTCAAGAATTCTTACTAGACATCAAATTGTTTTCACCACTTAAATTTTCATTCCCAAATCATTTCTCAGATTTTTAATTCAAACCTAATTAAGCCCATAATGATCTTTCTCTATATACAACTCTCATCAGAACAATTAATGAGTTATTATACTAAAGTTGATTAATTACTTAAATAGAAAATTCTTGAGAAATGGAGCTGATTTAAACCGCGCCACTTTCAAGTCTCAAATAAGTAAAGAGGAAATCCTTTAAAAATTTTTGATTTAATGAATCTAGTTACTTACCAACACGCTATTAGAATTTATTGATTTGCCATAAGTTCTAAAACTTGCCTGATCAAAACTTTAAACTCATCTAAACTGATCCTTCCGTCTCGATTTGTATCGAGCTCCCTGAGAACGTCCCTTACATCTGAATCTGAGGGTGAGTCCATGCCAATATCTCCTGCTACGCTGCACATAACTTGTTTGAGTTCTGGCTCATCAATGAATCCAGATCTATCTGTATCAACTGCATCAAAGGCTGCTTTTGCGATATCATGAAGCTTTCTATCATCTCTGAGAATAGCCTGAATTTCTTGAGGAGTTGCTGATGCCATTTTATTATTATTGAACTGGACATATCTAATTAATAAACTGTTTAAGTTCAATTAAAGTTTCCTCCTTTAGGCGATAATTAAAAATTAATCTTTAATTAAAATAAATTATTTTACATAATTTTTAACAGAAAAAACTGTCTGGCTATTGCGGTGTTTATAGGGCGAAAAACTATTATAATTAGTTTGCTGTTTTGATTAAAAAAATAATAAATTAAGCAAAATGGGAAATCAATGTTGCAGTGGAAGGAGCAGAGTGCCGACCACAAATATTCCTGAGGGTATTTTAGAAAAGCATTCTTTAGAAACAAATAGGACCGCTAGCACAAGAAATACATGGACGTTAAGGTAAAATATATAAAGATCAAGAGAAGTTGAAAGCGTTCAGATTTCAACTGAAGATAATGCGCTAAAAGTAATTAGCGAAAATGAAGGTAGAAGCAGCCCAACTAGAAGTGGAAGATGCCCTTATTGCAATTCAACACAAACAATAACCAGCAAACTGAAGCATCTAGAATGCACCAGCTGCAAACAAATCTGTATGCAAGACGGATGCACTTCAACTCTCTATAAGTAACTTCCACATAGAGTCCCTCCTGGAAGCTCTTTATTCAGATTCAATTCCCCTAAACGGAACGAAAATTCCTAACCTTCACCATGTCTTAGTCTTAGTCTTACTCCCCCCCTCCGTGAGTGAACAAAAAAATTTTGTTCACTTACGGAGGTTAATTTTTTTTTTTTAAAAAAAATTATATATATAAATTTATAGAAATTTTTTTTTTCGAAATTTAAAAAAATCCTAATTTGCGAAAATTGGGAAGCAAATATGAATTTAATTTATAAAATTTATGTTTTAAAAACGCAATTTGTTTAAAATTAAACAGAATTAACTCTAGAATTCATTATACTAGTTATCACTTATATATCAAAATTTTTTTCCATTAAAAATTTTCTATTAAAAAATTTTTGTTCACTCACGGAGGGTGGGTTTTTGGTCAAAAAATAGGGATTTTTCTAATGGTTTTGTTCACTCACGGAGGGGGGGGAGTTAGTTAAATTTATAGAGTAGCTCCCGGCCAGGACCGAAGGTCCTTTTCTTCCGCCTTTTGGACGCATCGCTTGCTTTCCTTGCCCTGCTCCCAGTGTGCACCTAAGTGCCACAGGCTACCACTCAGCTCCTTCCGGTCATGGGACTTGGTCATGCTATCCCGGAAGTAGGCGAACTGGGTCACCGTGCTTCACGTCGCCAGACTAGGGTTAGAGCTAAGGATTAACTCCTTAGCTCTTGTTGGCTCCTGCCATGCCCTCCAAATTGGCACTAGCGGTCCCTAAAGGAAAAACCCTTTTTGCCCCGTGTCATATCTGGACGACCCTAGGATCATCGTTGCTGGACTGGAAGGGAAACTTAGCCGGACACAAACTACCAGTACCCATTCCAGACCTTTCCCTGGGCGGATTGGCTTCAGGCTGCAGCAAGGTCCCCAATCTCGCCACAGTTCCGGGAGAGGACGGGTCGGTGTCGTCGCCATTTTATTTGTGTTAACCTTCACCATGTACAACTTATTTTTCTAATAGAAAATCCAATTTAAACCTAACTTTAATTCCTCACGAGTCTTATTTCATCATCCAATGATTATTTATTATGCCTTCAAAGCAGCTTTAGGAACGCTTTCTTGGTTCTCTGTAGCGATGATTTCGATATGGCAGTTTGAGCTTAAGTAAGGCTTGATTCCACCGTGGGCTCTGAAGGTTTTTCTTCTTCCTTTTTGTGCTCTGTTGACTTGTACGTGCCACAGCGACATGTTTTCCACATCCAGTCCTTTGCTATCAGCGCTAGCTTCAAGATTCCTCAGCAGATCCAGCACAACTTTGCAAGACTTCTCAGGCCATCTTCCTTGTGTGCATCCCCATTGCTTGGCTTGTGCGTGCCTTCCTACGCCTCCGTGATATCTCCTGAATGGAACGATTTGTTTTTGTTCAATGACATCTTCTAGGAATCCTTTGGCTTTCTTGAGAGGCATCCCTCTGATTGCGGCAGCCACTTCAAATGTATTTTTGAAATGCACGCGGAGGTCACTGCCTTTGGTGGAGCAAGATTTAGCTGGGACTGCTGGTGACCGTGAATAGCTCTTTACCATTTATTTGATACCATAGTTATCAGAGTTTAGTTAATTTTAAGAGTGATGGCGTTCTTTGGAGTTTAGCTTAAGCAGAAGGGCTTTGTTGAGCATTATTGGACTATGGTTTTAGCCAGGTTGGCTGGCAATTACTTCCTAGGACTTCTTGAGCAAGGATTCAGAAAAGCTGATTTATATTTGAACCAGTTTTGGCACTAACTTCCATATATTGAACGTTTAAATAGTTAGCCTTGGCTAGACATTCTTCAAAAGAGACAACTCGTCTATGCACTAAATCGATTTTATTTCCAACTAGCATAATGATTAAATCACTGCCTCGCTCATCTCTTACATTATGAACTCATTTTTCAATGTTATTAAAGCTAGAAAGTAGAGAAATATCGAAAATAATGATAGCTGCATCACAATCTCTAATATATTCAGGGATTTCAGGTCTGAGTAGTTGATCAGATGATGTGTCTAATAATCGTAAAGAAAATTTTTTACCATTAATTGGCATTGTTTTAAATAGAATATCAGGGCCAAAATGACTCTTAGGAACTTGCCCAAATTCTTTATATACATATTGATAAGCAACAGAGGTTCTTCCTACTCCCGCATCTCCTAAAATCAAAAATATATACGGTTTTAGATATGTAGCTCGACCTCCATTTTGCATCACTTCAATTATATATTCAACTAAATTAAAAATTAGAACTCATTAAAAAATTTGAATATCATAGCATTTAGGACTGCTAAAAACAAATATTTTTTTGTCGATTAGTTTTATAAGAGAGATTATTCGATCTTTCATATTTAATAAATTTCTGATGGAGTCTAAAAAATCTTCCAATAAGATAACTATCTCAAGAAGTGCTTTAAATAGAAACAACATGCCTTTCATTGCACCCCCTCAAGCTCCTGTAATTTCATTCGCTGATGACGAAGTTATCCAAATCACTCATTCCTCCGAAGAAGCAAAAGCTGCACTTTCAAAAAACGCGAAATTAAACCTTTCGATGAGGTTTGCCATGAACTATTTACAGTTGAACAGCAGAGAGAACCAAGAAATCCCATGCGAGCTTATATTAGAAGCTGTTGACGAAGCTGGAACAAGCAACCCTAATGCTTCTAGAGGAAGGCCAGGGGTCGATATCGTCTGTGCAATCGATATAAGTGGCAGTATGAGAGGCTCAAAGCTCGATCTCGTTAAAAGAACCCTTGAATTTATGATTGACAAGCTCAGCGATAATGATAGAGTTTCTCTTGTAACGTTCAATAACCAATCCAAGAGATTATGCCCATTAACTGCAATGACTCCACAAGGAAAAGGCAGACTCAGAGCCATTGTGGGCCAAATTCAAGCTTTTGCTGGGACTGAAATTGTAGAAGGCCTATTAACTTCGTTAAATATTTTGGCACAAAGAAGAATCACGAATTCAGTTTCATCGATTGTGCTTTTGTCTGATGGAAATGATAATAACACTCATAGCGCTATGGGAAGAACTAAATCTGCATTAATTGAAGTAGGTAGCCTTATATCATCAGGATATTCAATCCATACATTTGGGTATGGAGCAGACCATGACCCTAACCTCTTAAACTCTATGGCTGAAGAAAAAAATGGTGGCTTTTATTTTGTGGAAAGAGATGAACTTATTGGAGAAGCCTTTTCTAGCTGCTTAGGAGAGCTTATTTCTGTGGTTGCTGACAATGTACAGATTTCTTTACAAACATTGCAAACTGATATAAGATTTGCTTTGACAAAAGTTTATAGTGAAAGCGGTGACCAAAGCTTCAGGTTTCCACCTATTTTATCTGGCGATAAAAAAGAAGCAATTTTTTTACTTAACTTTTTCCCTACAATTGATGCAGTGCCAAAGGGTCATCAAATTCAGCCTGTGAAAGCTACTGTTCAATATAGGCTTACAAGGTCTGGCCATGTTATAAGAGAAGAATCATTTTTGCAGATACCGATTATTAATGAAAGCGAAATTGTCAATGAAATTGAACTTGATGAAGATGTGATGGTCAATTTTTATAGAGTAAAGGCTGCAGATATACTTAAAGAAGCGGGAGAATATGGGGAGCGAAATAACATGGAAGCGGCGAGAGAATGCTTGTTGAGAGGAGCTAATGAACTGAAAAATTGTGTGGTAGCTGGGCATGAAGTTATTCAGGTGCTGATTTCTGATCTTGAAAAAGCGGTGAATAGGTTTGTAAGTGTGGATGCGTGGGAACATGGAGGAAAAGCTGAAATGAAAAGCAAAGCAAGGAACCATTGGGCGAAAAGAGGGCCTGATGTAGCTTCATATCAAAATTGTGTCCAGAAAGCGTTTAATCTTGAATCTAAGAATTATTATTAAATTTTAATTTAAGCAAGTTCTTATATAATAACTATCCTTACTCCCCCCCTCCGTGAGTGAACAAAACCATTAGAAAAAATTTCTATTTTTTGCTCAAAAACTCACCCTCCGTGAATGAACAAAAATTTTTTTATGAAATAAAATTTTGATAAATAAGTGATAATTAGCATAATGAAATATAATTCTAATTCTGTTTAATTTTAAACAAATTGCTTTTTAAAACATAAATTTTATAAATTAAATTAGTATTTGCTTTCCAATTTTTGCGTATTAGGATTTTTTTAAATTTCGAAAAAAAATATTTTTATAAATTTATATATAATTTTTTTAAAAAAAAAAAAATTACCCCTTCTGTGAGTGAACAAAAATTTTTTTGTTCACTCACGGAGGAGGGGGGAGTTAGTTGATAATTTATATAAAATTAGATATGACTATTTTCAATTGATTAATAATTAAGATAGAGAAATGCTATCTGCAGAAATTGTAGCTCGACCGGGCAAGAGCTATATTTTATTAACTCTCCCCTCCCTCCGTGAGCGAACAAAAAATTTTTTATATAGAAAAATTTTTTATGAAAAAAAAATTGATATATATGTGATGATTAGTATATGAAATCTCGAGATAGTTCTGGCTAATTTTAAACAACTTTCATTTAAAACATAAATTTTGACATAAATTAATTTTTACTTCTCAATTTTTACAAATTAGATTTTTTTAAAAGAAACTCCCCTCCGTGAGAGAACAAAATTTTTTTTCTCGCTCACGTAGGGGATTAAGTTAATTTTCTTTCAGGAGAGGTTTTACTCGGCTGAAAAAGAGCTTTTCCTCAAGCCAAGCTCTGTCATAGGGTTAACAGAACTTGGGCTCCTGAGATATGATGGCTGGCGAGATGGACTGTTATCAAGTCGTGTGCTACGAAGACTGAGCAGCGTAGTCTGCACAAGTCTCATGGATCGTTTAAGGCAATATGAAAGCAAGTCCAGGCTAATCAGACTCCAAAGAGGAGATGCAATCTAATTGGGTGTATCACAGACGGATGTTTTGAATAATTAGCTTTGGCCCCTCCATAAATAGTTCACAACCTCTAAATAAATTCATTAGCTCGATTAATAATTAAGACATTAAAAAATCTCTATGTTAGCAAAAGATTTTTTTACAAAGCTTGTGAATTCTGAAGCTTTAGAAAATAGCTTAAAAGGGAGACAGTTTTTGCTAGACAACTATATAGAGCCTCGACCTCCGAAACCAAAAAAAGGTCCAGGTAAAACTATCCTTGAAATTCCGAAAGAAGAACAAAAATACGATCTTTATATTAGGCTTCATGAAATGTGAAAAGAATATCTCGCAGACCTCCTTGATAATAATTTCAATCCTAAAAACATCCAGACAAGGCTCCTTAAAGCAGACATGCATGGAGCCAAAATCTCAGTCTGAAAAGCCAGCTGCAAAAGCTACGAAGGACAAAAAGGTATTATTTTACATGAAACATTAAGAGCTTTCAAAGTAATAACCCCTGAAAACGAAATAAAAAGTAAAAACTAATCAGTGTTCCTAAAAAAAGATGCAATTTTCTTGCTTGAAATTGGAGATAAAGTAATCAAGCTGTTCGGAGAAGGGTTTCAATACAGAGCAGCTGATAGAGCAAAAATTAGATGGAAGCAGCGTGATAAATTAAAGATGATGAAATCATAAAGTTTAAGCCTAATTAGATTTGAACATAATCGCTGGCGCTTTGGTAAAAAGCTTCATGGTTTCGTCTTCTCCTCATCTGCTTGGACGGGTATAATTTCCTATAGATAAAGTAAATAATGCAGATTGAAACTAAGAAGGTCAGAAAGATATTCCAAAAGCCTTCACTGCTAAGTGTAGCTATTTTAGGACTATTTTGGCCACAAAGATTGCTCATGCATTGAGAGACACAGGCTGTATCGCTATCACTCATTTTGGAGCAGAAAGTTAAGCATTCTTTATTGCATGATGATAACTCGGTGATGCTTGAGTCTGATTTTATTAAGGTTTGTGAGCTGTCTTGGGCGCTTGATGGGAGTTCAATATTTGACTCATTTGAAGCTTCTTCTTTGGCATGCTGGTTTTCGATGGTTATGGGTTGTTCTTCAGAGGTTGGAGTTGGCACTTCAGAAACGACTATATCTGGATTTGAGCTTTCCTCCTCTGAGCTAGGAGCTTCTGCTGGCAATGTTTCTTCTGCTTCTGGGGTGCTTTCAGATATACTCTCTTCACTTTGCCCAACTTCTTCTTCTTCTTCTTGGCTGCTTGATTCTTGATTATTTTCTTCACTTGCATCAGCTTCTTCAGAATTTGTATAAGTTGCTTCTGGATTTGTTTCAGCGGCTTGCTCTGCTCCTTCTTCTTCTTCGTGATCTGAGACTGGGACACTTTCTTCTTCTTGCTCAGAATTCTGATTTTCATACTCATCTTGTTTATTTACACTTTCCTCTATTTCACTTCCATTACTTTCTTCTTCCTCGCTTTCCTCTTCCTCATTTTCTTCTTCACTTTCTTCTTCCTCATTTTCTTCTTCTTCCTCCTCGTTTTCTTCTTCTCCTTCCTCGTCCTCTTCTTCTGATTTTTCATCCTGATCATCCATATCAACATTGCCAAAGAAAGGTATTTTCCAAAACTTGAGCTGATTTGAGCCTCCAAGAATATCAATGCATCCGCAGTCCTTTTCGCATGCAATTGCTTCTTCTCCAGTCTTTGTAGCAAAGCAAGTATTGGCGCATTCTAGATCGCATCCTAAAACCTGTGCTTTTTGTTCAACGGTTAGAGGTTTGATATAAACCACTTGGCCGTCTTCAAATTGATAAAATCCCTCAGTTATTAAAGATGTAGAAAATACTGCAAATGATAGCAGTATAAGAATTTTAGCCATCATTTTGAAATAATTATTTTATCAGAGAAACAAATCAAAATATGCTAATCTGCAAGGAATAAATTCTTCTACTTATTCTCAGAGTTCTCAATTTAGTTTATATATTTTAGTTAATAGGCAAAAGCATTGAATGTATTGGGTTTTTTAAAAATAGATATTTAAGGTCATCAATTTCAAATTCATATTTATTTAAGTCATTTTAATTGGTCAAATAAATTGATATTATGAAGAATGCGATGAGAATAAAGATGCATAGTATATAATATATATAAAATGGAGTCGCAATGGAAACAAGCACTTGCAATAGTGGCACTTCCTAAGATCAGTTCAAATAGTGAGCATGATCAAAGGCTACTTAACGATCCTCCCATTTTGCCAGAAATTGATGTCAGATTAGAACATAGTGTCCTTTCTGCAGACCCTGAGGTAAAGCAGCCAGTCTCAAGACTTGCAGCAGTTGTAATAAATCCTCCTCAGCCTAAAAAGAGCACAGGCGTGATCGGAGGACTTAAGAATCTTGGAAAAGAGTTATACAGTGAAGCAAAAGGTGGGATAAACTCTTTGAAGCAAAGATTTCAATAGTAAATTGAATTTATAAGCATTTGTTAATGTGAGATATCTAATAGTTTTATTTTCTAATCTAAACTCTGATAATCGCTACCAGTAGGAATCAGAAACGTAAAAACAAACTAGAAATTAATCATGCTTATTTCGAAATTCACTGAGATATATCTTAAAATTCCAACAGAAATTGTTGGCGTTTTAATTTCTCAACAATTTAAGGTTTAAAATTCCTATTTATAAATGACAGAAATTGACCAAGTTATAGAATCAATCAGTGCTGACCTAATAACTCCATTGATGAATGGAATTCATTTGGACCCAAAATTCCAAATGCCCATAGATAAGCTAAGCACTGTTATCTCAATGATTCAAAAATGCTATGACGACTATAAGAATGGACCAATTTTTTATGAGGTTTACAATGAAAGTTTGCAGCTTTATGCTAAAAATCTGTTTCTAGCTGAACTAAAAGATGACAACGTTGACACATTTTTAGATAAATTTCTTGAGGAGTGGGAAAAATACAAGGCTTTTGTGTATTGAATGAAAAAAGGGTTCTGCTATGTCGACAGACGATACTCAAACCGCTTTAAGCTTCATTCATTAGGGAAAATAGGTTTAGAGACATTTAAATCAGAGATTTTTAAAAAGATTGAGGCAAAGCTAAAAGATTGCCTTATTCAATGAATTATTGCTATCCGAGAAAATAATTTAACTGATACTTCTAGAGCTAAAAATGGGATCAGTGTCTTTCTCGATACATTTAAAGATAACGCAGATATTATAAAAAATGAAAATAGGGATATTATATGGACTGGAGACCAAAATGATTTAAATGCTTACCAAAATAATGTTGAAGATCCTATAATTCATTATTTGAAGCATAGCTATCGAGAATCTGGCAAAGATTTATCGCAATCTTTACTTACGGGAGAGGTCTTCGCACAACTTCAAGCTATTTTCACCTATGAAGAAAACATGTGAAAAGAATTATTACTCCCATCATCTTTAGAAAAAATCAAAAAAGCAATAATCCAAGCAGTTGTGGACTCTTTTAAAGATGTTTGTGTAGAATCTGGATCATCTATACTAGAAAGTCTATATGAAGAAAGCCGATGGGAGATTTTAAAGAACGATTTCGAGGTATACTCGTCTTCTCCAGACCTTAAGAAAATGATTCAAATTCAATTTGAAACATATGTCGAATCAAAGCTAATAAGTCTCAGTTTAATTGATTGGAAAGAAACTGGGGATCTGATAGATTCTATCAGGATAAATAAGATGGCTTTCGCTTCAAGTGAAATTAGCTCCGCTAATTTTCTCTCTCTCAAACAATTTTATTTATGGGGTTGGGTTTTACCTCGAGAACTTCTGCACAGCAACGGTTTTTTAACTTTGAGGATAACCAAAGGAACTGCTCCTCAGTGCGATCAAGAGGCTCAGGTCTTTATCCCTCAACACACCCGAAGGAGGTGGACCCTTAGGGGAACACGCGCAGGAGCTGAGTCTGGATAAAGCCGTGGCGAAGCGAAATCCGTCGAAGCTGGAATGCCATACTTACCCGTGCCTTGGCGAATCGAAGTGGGTCGATCCAGAAGTCAATGGGCCGACACGTAGATAAATATGGTGCAGCTCTGGACAAGGCTACCCCGTAGTGGACGTAAAACGGTATAAATAATTAAGATTAAAGATAGATTCTATCAGACAGTTTAAAGAGCACTTGGATAAAATAGTGTCAGCTTGCTATGGAAATGACCAATCCTTTTCAAAATCTTGTGAAGCTATTATTAGAAAATGCATCAATACGATACCAGATATTGCATTTATTGTTGCGAAATACTGTGATAAATCGATGAGTAAAGATGCTAATAGATTGGAGCATGAAGAACTGCAGATTTTTTTGAGTGATCTCATTAGCTTGATTTCTTATTTAAAAGAGCAAGATTTGTTTGTTGCTAATTATTCTAAATTTTTAGGAAAAAGATTGTTAGAAGATGCATTTTTTGAGGACAGCGAAAGATCTTTTATTCAGATGTTGGCTACTGAATGTGGGAGCTCGTTAGTCGCTAAATTGAGTGCTATGATTAAAGATATAACATCGTCAAGAATATCTCAAAATGAATATATTTCTCAGTCAAGATCAAAGTAAATTAAATTAAGAGTCTTTAAGTCTTCCAAATGCCTTCGAACGCATTCGACAACACTAACCCGCTTGCCAATGAAATATTCAGCCGCTATTTGGAGCAGTGATCTTCTTTAGAAGTAAGGCTTACACGGTGATTCCCAAACGTCTTGACGGGCTAAGAAGACGCCTTGTCAGTGTGCGATCGGATGCTATGGAGGCAAAGTTTAGCCCAATGCCTAAAATCAGCCACCTTGAGGAAGGGAGACACAAAAAAAAAACTTCAGTCCGTCTTAGAGCCAATAGGGAAAGAACCTGTTGCCCAAAAATTATCCGAATAACTAATACCTCTGGGAATGGCCACCACGCTTGCCCACCCAATATTGCTGCTCTAGGCAAGCTAGAGTTAGAATTAAAGGGCATGAACCTTGGTTCAGGATATAGAACGCCTTTTGCGTCTAAAGTGGTAGTCATCGGCAAGGATATTTTTTTCCTGCCGCCATATTGCTATTTCGTCATCATCAAAGGGAGCTCCCAAAGGAATTGAAATATATGTAAGGCTTTTAAAAGAAGGAACTTGGCCAGAACAGAAGATTGAGGAATTTCAAATTCCTTATGAGCTTGGTGTTGCTGTGGCAGATTATTTATCATTTTATCATCAGCGTCATGTAGGGAGAAAGCTATCATGGCTTCATCATTTAGGAAGTGTCGAAGTCCGATTACTAGGATATTCATCTGGTTATGTTTTAACAGTCAATACATTTCAATGTTCCATTCTTTTGCTATTCAACCAATTCAGCGAATTAGCAGTTAAAGACATAAGACAAAAAACAGACTTATCAATAAAAAATCTAAAGAAAAATTTGATAATGTTTTTTAATCCAAAATACCCACTTTTCTTGAAAGAGAGCTCTGGTAAAACTCTGAATGATAATGAAATCATAAGGATAAACCCAAATTTTTCATACAGTCTTTTCATGATAAACTATATGCCAAAAGTAAAGATCGCAAAGCAAGCAGGACAAGCAATAAATCCAGATACTAATGAGATTCAGAATGAGAGGCGGTATCTATTGGAGTCAATAATTATCAAAGTTGCAAAATCAGCTATAGGGCCTTCCTATAGATAGCGTGCAATGCGCCATCACTGGGCCATGTCGGGAGAGGGTTCCACACGAGGAATAGTTCTACGTATGGAACCCTCTTTTTGGCTCGTGGAAAGTAGTTTTCTCACAGGTCAAAAAGAGGGTTCCACACGTAGAACCATTCCTCGTGTGGAACCCTCTCCCGACATGGCTCGGTGATGGCGCATTGCGCGCCATCTATAGGAAGGCCCTATAAAAGAATTTCGCATATAGCTTTAATCGAAAGAGTAATAAATGAAATAAAAACTTTTACCCCTCAGAGCTCAAATATTAAAGAAAGAATTGAGGATTTAATATTTAGAGGGTTGCTTGAAAGAGATAAGTTGGATTCAAATTGCTATCTCTATATTGCTGAGCAGTAATTAATTATATTAATTTAGATATTTATAATTTATTTGTTTAGAGCTCCAGCTTGAAAAATATTTAAAGATATTAAGCAAGCCTAATCTATACTAATATGGTGGATAAAGAGCAAAAAAGATTCAATATTAAGAAATGGAATGCTGTGGTATTGTGAGCTTGACATGATGAAGTAGAAAAGTGTGCAATTTGTAGAGAAAGTAATAGTAATCCTTGCATTAATTGTCAGCTTGATGAGCGGCCAGGAATATCGAACGAATGTGATGTGGTATGTGGGGCTTGTAATCACATTTTTCATTTTCATTGCATCTTTCGATTTTATACATCAAGGCATGTGTGCCCAATAGATGGTAAAGAATTTGAAATAAAAAGGACTAATAGTAATTCTATTAATTCAATTAACTATTAATTTTATATTATCACCTGTGCTAAATCAATAAAATCTACATTTTTGAGAATCAATAAGAAATATCTAAAGCTAGCTATCTTAAGTTTATTGTTTATAAACCCATGGTCCAAAGAGTGCAATATAAAGCCCATTGATCAAGCCATATTCAGGTGTGCCAGTGCAGATGCTCTGTAAAGCATTAGTTCCCCAAATACGATCACAAACTAGCACAAGTCTACAATTTTGATCACATGATGTCTGAGCTCCTGGTACTCCATAGTATGCATCTAGATACTGCAAAGATCTGGTCTCATTGGCCATCCAAGTGTTAGCGAAGTCAAGCAAAGTCTGAGGCTGTAAATCTGGAAGTCCATAGTAGTCCAAAAATGAATAAGCAAGCTCAAATGTCGGAGTGACTGATGGGTTTTCATTGGCTGCTGTAAGATTGAGTCTATATTGATGAATATCAGTAACAAGCTTAGTCACTGTATCTGCTTCATAAACTCTAAATGATGGATTCATGCCTTGATAAGTGGTCACACTTGGCGCTGCCCATTGAACACTAAGTGGAGTTAAGCTTTTAACCCCTCTGGTGATTGACCATTGATCCTTATGAGTATGCCCATAAAACTGTCCAGCAATAGTATTAGAGTATCTATCAACCAATGCATTGACATGTGCTGCCCAATCATCTCTAACTCCCCCCCCTCCGTGAGTGAACAAAATCATTTAAAAAAATCGCTATTTTTTGCCCAAAAAACCCACCCTCCGTGAGCAAACAAAAATTTTTTTAATAGAAAAAATTTTTTATGATGAAAGTTTTGATATATAAGTGATAATTAGTATTATTAATTTCGAGCTAATTTTGCTTAATTTTAAATAAATTGCGCTTTAAAAAATAAAATTTTATAAATTAAATTAATATTTTGCTTCCCAATTTTTGCAAATTAGGATTTTTTTAAAATTTCGAAAAAAATTTTTTCTATAAAATTTATATATAGTTAGTGACACTGACTATATATAATATTTATAAAACAAAAATTAACCCCCCTCCGTAAGTGAACAAAATTTTTTGTTACTCACAGAGGGGAGTAAGCAATCTCCACTCTCAATTGGAATATGAGAAAACAGGTACACGACTTGTCCACTTTGCTCAGCAGCTGCTAGCTCTTTTGCAAGCCACTGAATTTGCCCCATAGGGTCAGTTGCATTTTCTAACAAAAAGAAGTTATCGTTATTGCATGCTTGAGTATTGATTGCGACCATTTTCAAGTTAGTTCCAGGGTGAACCATTGAATAAGTCCACGTAGATTTTAAAGTTTCGATTGCCTGAGCATCTAGCCAATTCGACCAAATTTGCGTGAAAGGATCTATAAACACTGACGAATTTCTGGGGTCTAAGTTGTTAACTGGGAAAGGTCCATGATTTCCGAACATATAATAAATAGGGGTCGTTGGGAAATATTTTTCAAATAAATCGGCAACAACTTGCTGATAGTTTAGGTTGTATGATAACGATTGGTTCCAAACGTCGTGGGCAGGAATGTCTCCAGTGACTATTAAAAAGTCTAAATCAATCTGACTCATTTGGTCAAGTGTAACTTCAAGTGTTCTGACTGGGAGATCACACTGTAAGTCGCCCCAATAGCCAGAATTGCCTGGACCATTCCATGATCTACAGCAGACAGGAAGTCCACAGTTATTATTTGTTCCTTCTTGATAATAAATATCAATATGCAAATCACTGATGTGTCCAAATTTATATGTCCCTTGTCCAGAAGGAGTTGGTGCTGGTGCTGACGGTTTCGATTGCAAAATGTTGTCTTGCCATTCTGTGAAGTTTTCTTTAACGTACTTAGGAGAGTCACAGAATTCCAGCATCGAGCAAGCCCACTCTGGGTCTAAATAATGTCTTGCTATGCTCCCTGTAACTATCAGAACATTTTCTTTTATTGCACCAAGACAAACTGGAATAGTGTATCCTTCGAATTTTTTGCAAATTTCCACTGCAATATCAATTGGATACTCCCAAATATTCGGATCTAAGGCCCATTTTTGCGCTTCTCTGAACACTTCTCTGCAGACTTCACATTCCACTAACTTATTTTTGGTTTCTAGTGAACCCAAAACGCCAAAAAGCAAACATATGAGCACTAATAACCTCATATTTTATAAACCATATTTAGGAGAGATAATGCAAACGCAATGACACTTTTAGCAGAATTCTTAATTTATTGTGAATTATGTTAAAATTTATATAGTAAAATTGAGCAATATTTTGATTAATTTTAAATATTTTATTATGGCTGAATAATCTTTAGAAAAACCATAAGAAAATTAAAATAAATACTAAATATCATATATTTTTAGTTTATAGTTTAGATATAGCTAAATAAAAATTGTTCGGATATAATTCTTATAAAAAATCAATTTTTTACTATTCCAACAAAATCCACTTTTGAACTTTTTAGTTGCTTTTTTATAATTTTAAATCCAAATTCTCTTATCTTTTATTTAAATTTTCTTTAAATCCATGCCATATTATACAACTTAAAAATGAGTTGGAATAAAAATCCTCCTCCATATGGAGTAAACCCTCAATATTCCTCTTTCAATTCACAATCCAACACTTTTAGTCCTCCACAAAGGCAGAACCAATATGGCGATGCTCAGCATAGAGCTGGAGTTCCAGGAGGAGGATGGGATGAGGGCGATGAAGAAATTCGAATCCAACGCCCTAACCAAATGTCTCGTAACCCAGTGATTTCACCTCCATCAAGACCAAATCCCCCACAAGAAGTTCCTATATCCAATTATGAAATGGAAATCAACGAAGAAGGGCCGATAACTCAGGCTCGGCCAGAAATAAAAGTAAACCAAGCCCCTTTGAGATCGCCCTTAGCGCTAGGACTTCAACCTGGCCCTTATGAAAAAAAGCTTATCGAAGACATTTGCATGCCAAGTGGAGCAAGGGTAAAACCTTCTGAAAAAGACTTGCTGGAATTAAGCAAAAAGTGCACATATTTGCCATGTGAAATTATAGGAAGTCTACTTCTGCAACAATTAGAGAACCCGCCCAAAGCTTTAAAAGCTCTTTTTGTTATAGACAGACTAATCACTGACTATCAGACTTATTTTGATTTTGCAAACGAAAATCGACACAGGATAGAAAGTGCGGGATACTCACAAGCACATTCAAGGGCCATACAAACAATTATCAGCAAATTAGATCGCACAGGAGCAGTAACGACTGTGGCAGCAACTTCAACACCTGCATATAACCCAAATTCGTTTGAAAACATTTTAGATCTTTAAATGCCTTAAGCTTATAGTTTATAATTTAAATGGAATCACTAAAACAATGGAACGACTTAAGAGGCCAATACCAGCAAAAACTTGGAAGGCCTCAAACAGCCCCGCGACAAGTAAAGTAAATTAAGAGTCTCAAAGTCTTCTAGAGCTGATGCCTCCTCACATTCGGATTACGCTAGCCTGTAGTCTCCTTAGGAGCAGGGCTTGAATTGTAATCCACAGTAGTTTGGCTAGGAAGAATCCCTGTCAGAACTTCATCGGATGCAATGGAGGTAAAGGCTAGCCTAATGCCTCCTGTAGGCCACCTTTGAGAGGAGTGAGGCCCCTGAAAAGATAAACACTCTCCAGAGCAGGTAGGGAAAAAAGTGGTCCAAAAGCCACCCTGATAATAATATTTGGGTTTTGAGTCACCGCCAGCTAACACCAAAGGTTTGCCACTACTAGGTGGGCAAGATTAAGATTTTACACAGCCATAAGCGGGTTCCTACTAGCCGGACTACCTTAACTCCAGGAAAAATGGCCTACGTTGGGTGCATACACCTGAGTGCAATTGGTGTAATACCCAACCAAAACTTCGCCCTCTTGAATTTTCTGGAGAGATGCACCTAACCTAAGGATTATCCCTAGGTCAGAGTCACCTTCTGTAAGGTGCTTGGATAATCCCAATAGATGAAGACTATGTGAGAGGCAAAATCTGCCTAGCTCACCTGGCAGGGACAGAAAACCTTCGAGGAAGAAGCAAAACTTCCATCTTCTGCAAGACATCCCCAAGCCTAGGGAGGCAAAGGGTTAGAATTAAAGGGCTGAACATTGGTTTAAGTTATAAAGTGACTTTAGTGATTAGGGTGGTACGTCATCATAAAGTTCCACCACGATATTAACTACAGAACAAGTAAGGTTTGATTTCTCAGAAAAATATAGCTTAAGAGAGTTTCGGAATCTTATCCCATATTTATTAACGAGCTCTTTTTTTATTCATTTTTTGTTGAGTATATGTAGTTTTTATAAAATATTTTATATGAAGTTTTGCTATTAATTTATTTCAATTTTATTCTTATGAAAGATAGAAAAGAATGAGGTAAACAAAATAATATATATATTATAGCGGAAAAATTATTCCATGTGTGGATCCAAACACATATGTGGATACCTGATCAAAATGGCTCCACACATGAATTTTGGCTCCACACATGTAATGATTTCTGTACTTGCCGAGTCCAATTCTAATTAATGCAAAGCACTATATCTGTAAGTTCTCTATGATATTATAACCCATTATAATTGTAATAAAAAAATCAAATTTTAATAGTTAAGTGTTAAAATAAATTATAATAAATTTTGTTCAAAGACAAAATAGTTTAGTTTGTTATTAATGGAGGCTAAGTTAGAGAAACAAAAGCTTTGGAACTTTTAAATTTCACAAGTTCGAATCTTGCGTATTCTGAAGGCCAGCGAACTCCAGAACTGTCAGTATTTGAAAATCCTAGTTTTTCTAATAAGTTGGAGTATGCGGAAGAATATATCTGCTTAATCAAGCCAAATTTAGACATTTTTTATATTTCAAACCAAATTGAGAAGGAGCATTCAGGAAATGAGTCTTATGACGAATGAAAATTGCAGCATATTAGGGAGGACCAAGAAGAAGAAAAATATAATGACTATCAGCAGTTTCTTAAAAAGCTGAATTCTCCACAAGTGACTCAGATTATTGAAAATTTTGATGAAATCGCTTCAAAAAGATCCTCAAAGGGTATTAAAATTGAAGATCCTTACGAAGCTGAGCAAAAATCAGTCTCTTCACAGAAAGAAAAAAGTATTGAAAATAAAGAAAATTCTCACGAGTATATAGATGAAGAAATAAAAGATGCTGTTTCTAATATTGAAAAAAATGAAAAAGAATTATCAGACAGCTCATTTGATTTCAATATTTCAGATAGCTATCCTTTGGATAGTTTGAAGGTCTCAGAAAGCTTGAGGGATGGACAAAGTAAAGCTATATATCTAGATGTTTTTGAGTGCCTAACAAGGCCTGAAATAGACATTGATTATTATTCAAAGAGAAAAAGATCAAAACGGTCTCATAGGTCTCATAGGTCTGATAAATTAGCTGTGAGCGATACTAATTTAGAAGAAACCAAAATCGAAGTTTTTGAAGTTTTAATAAAGCCAAAAATAAAGAAAAAAGGAATAACGATCATAGGGAAGAAGAAGGTAGCATAGCTTAGTTATAAATATGGACTGCTAAGCCTTGACTCTTACTGGTAAGCGGAGAGCTGAAAAATCATCTCAAGATGGTAAATCAGCCTCAATTTGGCCAATATGTGATATCTTGTATATTTTCCAACAGCTACTTTTACTTTCCTCTTTTTCTCTTGATTTATATACAAAGAAATGGAAATTTCACTATAACTTGAGCAGCTGTATGGATTGTTCAAGACTTCAGCTCCTAACTCCAAGTGGAAAGCTTGCAAAGTCAACTCCAGTTGACAAATCAAATTGATGATTTGACTAAGCTAAATTGCTTAATAAAGCCCGAATCTTATATAGATTATTATTCATTGAAGGAAAGATCAAATTCCCCTTCTACTGATAATAAGTCCATTCATATTGATAGTAAAAGTGGAGATTTATCACCTTTCTCTAGCAAGTCCAATGAAGAAGACAAATTAAATTTCAAATCTGATGAATTTCAGCGTTTTTCAAAACCTAGAGCAGATTTAAGTTACCACTCAATAGGAAAAAAAACTGAAAATTCCATTTCTGAGCATAAGTCTATTTATGAAGAAAATAAAAGTGGAGATATTTCGCCTTTCTCTTATAAGTCTAATGAAAATTAGATTAATTCTAGCGGGCCAATGAGGTTTATTTCAGCCTCTACCCTTACGAGTTATTTTTTACACTAGGTGGCGCTCGATGCTAACTCAAAATAACCCCTTTCGGGGAGACTTACTAGCTCAGGTCTTGATTATTGACCAGCGATTCAGGGCTGCCTACTGTCAGCGGGCTCGCTGTATTGCTGAATCGCCCAAAATCTCCTTCTTGGCCTGCCTTAGTCCTATTGCAGACTCAAGATTGCTTCCAAAGAAGCACAGAAGGATGACGGCTCGGTCTGTCGTCTGTGGGTTGATGAAAAAAAGATTTATCACAAAAAGACTATTTCGGAGAAATTATCACCAATGGGATCCTCCTTCCTCGAGCCTGAATCAACTCACAGGACACTATTACCTTACTTCGCTCTCCATTTTAATAATTCTGTCTAATGAAGAAAAAGAAGAAGAAAATATTAAATTGAGCGAGTTTCAGCTTTTTGAAAAGCCTGAAGTAGACTTGATCTATCAATCAATCGGGGGAAAATCTGATATGCCATTCTCTGAAAATAAGTTTATTTATGAAGAAAAATCATTTTTATCAAGCAAAGCAAATAAAGAAAATAAAATTGAAGATGAAATAATATTTTATGGAATAAAGGATAAAAGCTTGCAACCTCAAGAAATGCCATTGAATATAGCAAATGAAACTAGTGACAAATTTATATCTGAAATGGACAATTTAATAAGCAATGCTGAAAAAGAGCTTGATTTTGACATTAAGCCAGATGAGCTTACTTTCACTGAACCAATAAAAATCCAAAATAGAGATTATATAGATGAGCAAAAAGCCTATGAAACCTCATTACGTACTAGAAATTTATTAAGACAAGAAAATAGAACTACTCAAAAACCATACGAAGCTCTAGACACTTGGAGAAGAGAAACTAGAAGGCCGATGCCAAAAGAAAGAGAGATAAACAAGTTTATAGAAAGATGAGAGTTTATTCATACTTATCAAATTTTTCAAGCATTTATTTTTATTTGCAAAACCCATAGAAAATGAATTAACGGCGTTAAAGCAGAATTCCAGCGAAGAAAATTGATTAACTTCTTGCAGAATTGGAAATTGTATAAGAAATACAAAATAGCAAAGAGAGAATTAGCTGTTAAAAAAGCCAAAAGAATTGCAGATAAATGGTATAATTTAACGATAAACAAGAAAAGGATGAAAATTTATTCATATCTTTATTGGTATAAAAGCATGATCAGCAAAGGACTATTAGGATGAAAACTAGTCACCCAGAATATGGTTTTTAATAAAAACAGAATAAATGAATGCAGGAGGCGACACAGGCAAAGGCTTTTTTATAATACATTTTATGCTTGGAAGCATATGAAAGCATTAGTGCAAGCTAATAATATTCCTATAAGAATTAGCACAACCACCTCTGTTTCAAAAACCCATGGAAAACTTCGAGAATTCCACAGTATTGATATTAAAATTATGAACCGTTAAAATATACTTCTAATTATTTTCTTAATCATTTTAAGTAAAACTTAAATTGGACTTTTATCACCAACTGGCTTAAAATATGAAGCTTCTCCAGTTGAGAAAGATTGCCTCAAAGGGCAACGATAAAACATTCTTCTTAAGCTTGTAGGTGTTTCAACTGAAAAGCTAAGTGTTTGATTTATCAAATTTTTGATTTCAGCAAAACTTGTTTTTGATAGTGGTTTCTCATCAAACTGAATTGATTCCTGCAGTTCCATAAATTTATGGATTCATTCTCCTAGTAATTTATTTAATTTTTTGACCTCAATCTGTTTTCTTGCAAGCTCTTTTTCACATCCAATTTTTAGCTCAGAGAAAAACAGTTTCCACCTGTCTCTTTCTTGTTTTTGGGCCAAAATTATTTTTTGTTCAAATTCTTTTAATAATTTTTGGTATGTAATTGATTGATTTTTATTTACTTCATTGCTTCTTTTTAGTTCAGTATTATATAGTCTCTGCATTTCTAGACTGGTTTCCAATGCTTTAGTCTTCATTGCCAGATTTGATGGTTCTAAAGAATCAGTGTCTACATAAGAGCCACAAATAGACAGTTCAGGCGTTTTTTCTCAATGATCAGGAAATACTCTTACACTGCCTCTTGGAGCATACATATTTTTAGATGAAGGTCTTGGGGTAAAAGGTTTAAGAATGATAGGTTTTGGGACCGCCAATGTATCTGGTGTCTTTGCTGCGCTTGAATCTATTTTTTCAGATAATTTAACAATGTGAAGAAATGAGTCATGAAGATAGTCGATCATTTCTTCTAGAGATTTAATTTGTTCTTGTTGGTGCTTGCATAAATTTCTTTTCATTTCATGCTTGGTGTTAATTAATTCTAATTTTCATTCTAATGAATAAATTGATCTTGCCATGTTGGAGTTTATTATGCTGGCTTCAATAACTTGATTTTTTAGCTGAAAAATTGTAAAATCTTTGCTTAATTCAGTATTTTCTTCTACAGCATTTTTGATCTCGTCTGTATAATTGTTAGATGCCAACAATTTTTCTTGATCTATTGAAATAAACTTAGCTGTCGTTGAAATACTAATGTCTTCAAATGATGCGTCTGCGTCTGAGACTGTATTTAAAGTATTCCTGGCATTAGTCTCTAATGCATCGTTAAATTCAATACAAGTGCTTTCCTTCATATTTCTTGCGTTTTCAATAAAGGTTTTATATTTGTCATCCAAATCTTGCAAAGCATGCGTTAGTTTACTAATTTGAAGTGCTGCCTGCTCATTTTGCTGCTTTAAAAACCTATTTTCTTCTGAATCTTTATTTATCATCAGCATGCTTTTATGATAATGCTCATAATATTCATGAGCTTTTTGTTCAGCTTTAAGCTGCTTTTCAATAGCTTTTGCCAATTTTTTTTCCAAGTCATTTATTTTTTCAGAATGAAGACTGTTTTCTGTTTTTAACTTTTTTATTTTCTTTTTATGACTCTCTTTTTCCCTTTCACACTTTTCACAATTAAAAGGAATTTTTTCAATTCCAGGGCTTGGAATAGAATAATCAGATTTTTTATCTTGTGGCAATGAAAATGATGCTTGCAGAGAGTCCCCTTCATATATTGAAAATGGATTCTTCTTTGATGACTCTTCTGTTGAGGTCCTTAGATCATCAAGAGAAACCATGACTTTTAAGTCTGAGCCTGAGTTTGGTCTTTTATGCTTTCCTCTTGGAGTTTCTAAAGGCTTGTAAGTCTTTGAGCGACTTGGTGGGGATTGGCATAAGCTTGATCTGGTGTCTGTGCAAGATGTAGCTGAATCTCTCTCTGCTCTAAGTGCTTGGATTTCGCTTTTTGCTAAACTTAATTCAAGCCTTAATTGTTCAATAATAAGATTGATGCTGTCAGGAGAATTTTTGATATTTATAGAAACTTTGTTTTGGATGTTTTTAGCTCTCATAGCAAACCGAAGAGTGTTTAATGTTTCTTCTTGTGACCTTGGAGAAGGCGAACAAGCCACTATGAGGGTAGTTTTATAGTTCCCTCCTAGTGATTCTTGAAGAAGTCTTGTCAATTTTGAGTCTCTATAGGGAATATGATCCGAGTTTGATATGAGTGCATGAATCACATTACCAAGCGCTGACAAGGAAAGGTTAATTTTTTTGGCTTCTTCGAGCTTATTTCCTGTCACCCCTGACCTATTAACATTTTCACTTCCAGCTAAATCAACTAAATTTAATTTCCCTTTTTTCTCACTGTCATTTGGCAGTTTTTGGTTAACTTCTGTTATAAAAAGCAGATGGGACCTAGAAGATGTATTATTCCGTCGCAAGTCATTTATATGCTTATTTTCCTTGCTTGACATTTTCTCGGAGATTTTTGATCGAAAATTTTCCTTATTTGGCATAAGGGAGGAGCAACTGGAAGACCTTAGGCAAGCAGGGATCACAGAGGAGATCATGCAGGAAATCGAATGGCAGATTTCTGAGAAGGAAAGAAAGGACCTTCTGCTGGAGGAAGAGGCTTGGCGCACAACAGCGAAGGCCATTGAATCATCCGGCTGCTAAAAGGCGGCAGAGTTTTCTGCGTGAAGGGCCTGAAGGAATGTCGCTGCGGTGGAATTCTGCCTCACGGGGAAAGGGCCTGATGCCCTGAGAAGAGAAAAAATATGGCCTGTGCTGATTTTTAAAACCGTGGCCTCAGGAGTTGTCGGCGTGAGTTGTGGAGCGTGAGTTGTGGAGCATGAGTTGTGATGCGTGAGTTGTGGAGCGTGAGTTGTGATGCGTGAGTTGTGGAGCTGATTTTGGCGAGGTTTTTGAGTTGCTGTTGGCGTTTTTGTTGTGCCTTGGGCACAATAAACCATTGGGATGTTATGACGAAGCAATTAAACTTGTAGGGTAGGGATAAGCATAATTTTTCTTCTTCTTCTTATTTGGCATTTGTTCAGAAGAAATCGCACAGGTAAAAATTTTTCCGACAAAAATCCTCGAGAAAATATCATTAAGAAAGTGTTCCAATAAAATGAAATGTAGCCGAATTATTCAGTCTTGTTGATGCAACTGTTCTCATTTGTTCACCTAATGCTAAAACCTCAAGCATGTCTTTTTCAGAGGTTATACATACTTCAGTTAGTCCATGTACGTATATTCCTCGTCTTGGGCATTGCTTAATTTTAAGATTTACCTGCTGGGCTTGTAATAAGTCCCTCAAATTTTCTTTATATATTTCAAGCATTGAGCATTTTAATATATACTCCACTTCTCCAAAATCTGAATTAACCGCTTCAAAAATCTGAGACGCGGCTCTTGGTATGACACCTCTAAATTCTTCATCAAAAATATCTTTTCCCATCATTGTATGGGTTTTCCCTGACCCTGTTTGGCCATATGCAAAAATTGTGCCGTTGTATCCACTGAGTACATCCTCTATAGTTGGCCTTCCTAAGAACTCGTAAACCTCGCTCTGAGTTGACTGAGAAGAGAAGACGTGGTCAAGGCTAAAAGTTTCTGGGTCTTTACCTTCTCCTCCTATAGAAACTATTTGATCGGATACAAAAGTTACAAATTGTTTATTTTCAGATAAATTCTATATAGAGCTTGCCATTTCAAAATCATTTAATGGTCTGAATCGACCAATGACCTTAATTTTGGTGCTTCGTGCTGCATTTTGACTTGGAGATAGATCTGAGGTCTTTCTAGGTGTTGCAGGAATTGTCAAATGTTTGACTTTTTTGGTTGACATTTAAGTTTTATAATAGATATTATTAGTTCTGAAATATGAATAAGGCTCAACACAGGTTTTTTTAGAAATTTTTGAAAATCCAGAATTCATGGCATAGATTTGTATATAAATAAATTTTGAGAAGCAATAAAAAAGAGCAAAGCTCGGTAAACTGATCATAATTTAATTTGAGGAATTTAGACTATATTCAAACACTTTCAATTGAAAAATAATTTATTTATCAATAATTTTTATAGTTGCTAAAATTGTGTTATTTTTATCATTATAGCTTGAGCACTCTTTTGGCTCAGGCTCCCCGACTTTTTCAAATCAATAATCCAAAAAAAGAGCCAAAAGAGTGCTCGGGCTATAAATAATTTTATGATAAATCTTTTCATAAAAATAAAATAACTATCAAAACCTGTGGCTTTTTATAAATCATTTAGAATTGCCCTTAATAAATAATATTAATGGCGAAAAGGCAAGGGTCATCAAAAGAAGAGCTTGTTCTCCTTACGAAACCAGTGTCTTTCGTCAAAGCTTCTGGTAAAGATTCAAGTGATGAGTCTGAAGACAGCAGCAGTGAAAAAGCAAAGAAAAATAAAGTTAAAGCAAATAAACACACAGTTTTTTCCGAATCCAAAACTAAAAGTAAAAAGGTCAAGGATTCTTCAAGTGATGAAGAAGAAAAACCACCAAAATCAAAGAAAAAGAAGCAAGAGTCATCTGAAAGTGAAAATGAAGAAAAGAGCTCTAAAAAAGCTAAAAAATCTAATTCCCACTTTAATGGCGAATAAAATATTGGAAAAATGCCTTATTTTGGTCAAAAATCCATACCTCCCATGAGCGAACAAAAATTTTTTTATGAAAAATATTTTGATATATCAGTGTAATTATATAATAAAATCTCGAGCTAATTCTGTTGAATTTTTGACGACTTACATTTTAAAACATAAATTTTACATATTAAATTATTTTTGCTTTCCAGTATTTTCTAATTGGGATTTTTATGAATTATGAAAATAAAATTTACTATAAAAAAATATTAATCCCCCTCCATGAGTGAACAATTTGTTTTTTTCGATCACAGGGAGAGTAAAAGAAAAAACACTGAAGACTCATCTGAAGAATCAGACACAAAAACAAAAACTAAACCACAAAAGAAAAAAATTATTAAAGATTCTTCAAGTGATTCTGAAGAAGAAAAGCAGCCTGCTAAAAAACAAAAGAAAAATAAAGCAGAAAGCGATACAGATAGTGACCATAAAGTATTGAAAAAGCAACCTGCAAAACCTTTGAAAAAGAAGAAGATAGAAAGCTCAGATAGCGAAGAGGAGCCAATAAAGGCAAAAAAGACCACACAAAAAAATAATTCATTAGACAAAAAAGCAAAAGAAGCACTGAAAAATAAGCTTAAAATGGAAATAGAAGAGTCTGATTATTCAAGCAGTGGAGAAGAAAAAAATAAAGCTGCAAAGAAAGAGACAAAAAAAGTTAAAAAAATCAAAGAAGATTCTGAAAGCGAAGAAGAAAAAATTGTTAAAAAATCCAGAAAGATTTCAGAAGACAGTGCCAGCTCCAAAGAAGTAAAAACCTCAAAAAATAAAACCAAAAAAAGTAAAAAGGAAAGCTCAGATAGTCAGGAAGAAAAAGTGATAAAGCCAAAAGAAAAAGCCTCTAAAAAAAGTAAAAAGATAGAGAGCTCAGACAGTGAAGAAGAAGAGAAGCCAAAAGATAAAAAAACTAAAGCCCCTAAATCAGATTCAGAAAGTGAAGAAGAGCCTAAAACTAAGAGTAAGGACAAAGCATCTAAAACAAAGAAAAAAGAAGAAAGCTCTGAAGACAGTGAAGAAGAATTGCCCAAAAAACGAAAAGGCAGCGACATAAAAGAGCCTCAACCAATAAAAAAACCAGAAATCCCAGCTCAGCCTGTTATCCAATCCAAAAACTACGAGCATACAAACTTTAATCCAAACCCAGTCCATCCAGCAGGCCAAATAAGATATACTCCTATATCCGGAAAACCCAAAGAAAAACTCAGAAAAACAGGCGTGGTTCAGCAATGGGAAGGAATTAAACGATATTTCTAAAGCTTTACTAAAATTTCTCTTTAACTAAATTTCACTTTCTTTGTCGGCTCTGATCTCTCATCTTCATTCAGCTCTTGAAGCGTGAATTTCGCTATTTTTTTAAATGTGGCCTCATCCAATGCATCAATTCTCAGCTGTAACTTTTCTTCTGGTAAATGATGCAACGCACTTGGGCAGTCTTTTTCTATCATTTCCACCACTTTTCCTAAAGCTGGGTGGCTGATTTTCTTTAAGCTTTCGCTTACTCCCCCCCCCCCCTCCGTGAGCGAACAAAACCATTAGAAAAATCGCCATTTTTTGACCAAAAAACCCACCCTCCGTGAGTGAACAAAAATTTTTTTAATAGAAAAAATTTTAATGGAAAAAAAATTTTGATATATAAGTGATAATTAGTATAATGAAATCTAGAGCTAATTCTGTTTAATTTTAAACAAATTGCGTTTTAAAAACATAAATTTTGCAAATTAAATTAATATTTGCTTCCCAATTTTTGCAAATTAGGATTTTTTTAAATTTCGAAAAAAAAATATTTTTTTATAAATTTTTATATATAAATTTTTTTTAAAAAAAAAAATTAACCCCCCTCCGTGAGCGAACAAAATTTTTTTTGTTCGCTCACGGAGGGGGGGGGGGGGGAGTTAGATCAATTTTTTCTTGTAATTCAATTGTTTGTGAATCTGGCTCAGTTTTGGGTCTCTTGACTGGGAGATCAAGAGGAATGCCATGCTGGCTGCAATATCTTTGCATATGCCTTTCCATGATATCGGCTTGATGGTAAATTGGGGAGTCACTCATATTATATGTTCTGCAATTGTCCCATATCAGCATTACATCTTGTAAAAATTCTTCAAAGCTGTTGTATCGAGAATTTTTAAGGTTTTTCTTAATTGTTGAGAGGTCCATAGGCTTCTTGATAATTAGAGGGTAGTCGTCTAAGCCAAGTCCTTTGAAATCGACTGGATGATGAAAATCGAAACTTTCTGGCTGCTCTTCGAGGAACTTAATTAGTGTTAAGGCTCGATTAGTTTCTTCTCGTGAAAAACCAGGCCTTTTAGTTGACATATTACTTTACTTAAGGGGATCTCATAAATAATCTATAAACTTGGGAAAAAATAATTTGATAAATCAATTTCTTTATTTGAATTTTTTTTTATTTATTTTCTTAACTATTATTTTTAGAGATTGGGTTAGCTTTTTGAACTTAGTCATTAAATTTTGATTTATCTAACTTGCTGAAAATTTTTTTATTAAATTGATTTATGATAAAAAATAAAAATCTGCAAATGTTTTCTTGCCAAGTGTCAGATTAAGACAGAGTAAAATGGAGCTTCTCAGACTTGAAGATCTCGATCATAGTGGAAGCATCAAAGATGGCTTGCCAAAAGAAAAAGAGCTAGAGCTCTTAAACGAATCTTTAGTCCTTATCAGAGACATTGGTGAAAAAGCTAGAAGTACCCAAGTTTGTATCGCTACTGCACAAGTCTACTTCCAAAAAGTAAAATTCACATAGTTCGCCTATAAAAGGCCCTATAGAAAATTCAATCGCCACTTTATGGCAGCTGTGTGCTTGATTTTAGCTTCAAAAGCAAACGAGGAGTCTAAACGCTTTGAAGAAATTTGCAAGATTTATATGACTGTTATGAATGAGCATAAAGGTCTTAGAACCCAGCCTGAGGTACCGAGCAGTGTAATAGAAAAATTGAGAAAACAATTTGTTGAGTGTGAATATCAGCTTTTAATGGAAATTGATTTTCAATTTATAGTCTCAATGCCATATCATCACATTTCACAGTTCTGCAGAACTTTAAGAGATTTTGAGCCTCAAATCAGAGACACATTTTTAAAAGTGGCTTATAATTTCGCCAATGATAGCTTTCTTACACAAGTTCCGCTAATCAGGGATGCAAATAGTATTGCATACGCCTGCATATATTTGGCTAGTAAATACATAGAAATAGATGTAAATGTAGACGCGGATCCAGTAGCAGTTAATTTGATATTGGATCAGTACCAGCAATATAATAGGTAATGATGTGCTTTTCTATTAATTAAATAAATTTAATAAAATTATTAACATATTTCCAAAATTTAGCAATGATTAGTAAAACAATTTTAGGTAAGCCAGCGCATAAGGTAGCATTTGTCTAATATTGGATATTGATTTATATAAATCTTTATAAGTAGTAAACATACAAATAATCCTAAATTTACTTTTACTATGCGTTTCTTAGTATATGAGATTTCTTAAGGACTCCTATCAGCTGACTTGTGTTTCATTGTGGTAAAAAAATTCACTAGTAAATAATTGTAGATGCAAGCCTTTATATGTGATCTTTTTCTCACACTTTGAGGAATTTCCAAATATGAGATTCTATAAGAAATTTGTCCAAGAGAGTATATGAAACAACTTAAGATTCATTTTATTAATGTGTTTCTTTTTAATCATCCCTAAATTCATGAAAACTCCAATAATAATTATCTCAAAAACTTAATTACCTTATAGATAAGTTAAATTTTTACTAAATAAAGCTTAAATAAGTTTTTATTTAGTTTCTCAAGCATTTTCACAAAAATTCAAAAACTCTATTACTAGAGCAAATTATAGACCTGAATTAATGCATTATCTTCTTTCTCAAACTTTTTTACAACTGATGAAATCACAAGCAATAGTATAGCCCAGGAACCGATATTGATCGGTCTGGGTTAGGAGAATGCCTAGAAACTCTCCAAATTAATTATCCAACTCAAGGCGATGAGCCAACTTGGGGAGTTAGCAAATAAGCCCAATATAAGGCATTTTTCAGCTCACCGATTTGGCTCGCTAACTTAAATTGGAGAATTAATTTGGAGAGTTTCTAGGTATTCTCCCAGCCCACGCCGATAAATATCGATTCCTGGGCTATATTATTAATTTAAAATTTGAATTAAATTAATATTCTCTTTAACCTTTATACAAGATTTCAAATTTTGTAACGCATTCTTACTCACAATCCTCCTTTGCGAATAAAGCTATTGGAAAAAATACTGCATTTTGGTAAAAACCCGCCCACAGTGAGCAAACAAAAATTTTTACGAAAAAAAATATTTTAATATATAAGTGATAATTATTATAATGAAATCTCTAGCTAATCTGTTTAATTTTAAACAGCTTACGTTAAATCATAATTTTTTTAAATTAAATTAATATTTGCTTTCCAATTTTGCGAATTGGGATTTTTTTAAACTTTGAAAACAATTTACTATAAAATTTATCATAAAGTTTTATAAAAACAAAACCCTCCATGAGCGAACATTTTTTTTATTTGCTTAAGGAGGGAGGAGTTAGGTTTTTTAAATACCATTGAGTATCCCCATCTAATAAATGCATTTATATCGGCTAGTGATGTATTAAAATCTATTTTAAAACACAAATATCCCCAACGATATTTCAAAATCATTCTAAATAAAAAATGAAAACATTAACTCCCCGTTGAACAAAAAATTTAGATTTATTTTTATAATTTTTATAGTACAAATTTTTTTAAAAATAAAAATAAAATCCCAATCACAAAAATTGGAAAGTAAAAATTAATTTAATTTTGGTTTTTAATATGCAAGTTGTTTACAATGCAACAGAATTAGTTAGAGATTTGTTATCATAATTATCACTTAAATATTAAAAGTGTTTTATAAAAAAATTTTTGTTCAGCCACGGAGTGTGGATTTTGGCAAAAAATAGGGATTTTTCCAATGATTTTGTTTGCTAACAGAAGCTTTAGTAAGTACATAATAATAAAATGGCATTGATGGATAAATTATCTCCTAGAAGTTTTATATACCATGCTATTTTATTATAAAATGGTTCAGATTTCCCAATGGCCAGCTTCCCAGCTATGCTAGAAAAGATTCACCACATAGGGTTGAAGGCCATGGTATTTCGATTTTATGGGTCATATTTTTTTTTATTTATATATATTTCTGACCCCCTTGGAGCCAAACGGCAAGCTAAACACTGACATAATAAATAAGCAAGAAAACTTTAATCACTAAACAGTATTGGGCTCTCAAATTCAAAGATCTATTTAAGATAATCACATTACACTCGAATTGCTCATTTGATAGCTATAATTTGCAAAGAAAAAAACATAAATAAACAAAAAATGGTTTACTTGTGTACTTACCCCGAGTGTAAGAAAAGATTGAGCTCTAAATACAACCTGAAAAGACACATAGAATGCTGCCATAAGAAAATACGGCGCTTTGAATGCATGGTCTGCTTTAAAAAGTTTTCATCAGCCCAAAATTTAAAGGAGCACATGTTCCTCCACGACGATATACAGCAGCAAGAACAAATTAAAATGCCAGAAAATTACGTTCCAGATCGTAATATTGGCGTCCCTAAACTTACAGATTTAGTCTTTCTTTCCATAGACCCAGAAATCCGCCCACTGATGAAGGTTATACGTTTATACCCTTATGCACCAGTTACTGTGACTAAAATATAACCACTTAAATTTTTAAGAATTTTCAATTATAATTCGTTTTTGTGCTTTATTGGATGAAAAATTTTAATCTAGCTTAATTTGTCGATTAATTTAGCATTGCCATTATTAAAGTCTAAAATAACGTATAGTTTAAATCTATCTGATGCCTTTAGCAAAAAACTCATAAGAAATCACGCCTAGTAGCTTGCCAGAGCTTGTGACATAGATTTGCATAAGTCCCAGCATTAAGAACAGGTAATGTACTTTTGCTAAAGAAGTAGACTCTGACACTGATAATGGCGCATTATTGAGGCGCAGCAAAGGTGACCTAAAATCGACTTCACTGCTCCAAAACTTGTCAATTTGCTCTCTTGACTGCTCACTTATGTCGAAAATCACTCCTTCGCCCTTTGGATGTGTAATTTCTCTCGCAATATCTTGTTTTGCTTCTTGAGATATCCCTTCTGTGTCTAATTCATAGCATGCCGTTAAGTAATTTTTTATACTTGCAATACTAACGTCTGCTATAATGTAGCCTTCAGTGTCAACGACTGGAATTCTTGTAAATCCAGTGATGTTTTTAACGGCATCGAGCAAATCTTTTAGAGAGCATGGGTAAATGATAGAAGTTATACTTGTATCCAGCATATCTTTTGCATGATATGAGTAGACATCTGAAGCTCTGAAAGCAGGAAGATATGGCAAGCCTCTGAGGCCTAAAAATGCATCATAAATGCTTGTATTCAATGTAAATCCAATTGTGTAAGCAATCACGCAGCTGATGCACATAGGAATCAGATATTGGATTGAGCCAGTTATTTCAAATACTATAATAGCAACAGAAATTGTGTGGGTTGCTGAAGCAACTAATGCTGCTGCTCCAACTGCTGAAAAAATCCCTGCTGGAACTGTATCCCCTGTCAGAGATGAAATTTCTCCAAAAAATCTCCCTACAACTGCCCCGAGTACTAAAACAGGCATAAAAAAGCCAGCAGGTGTGTTAGCACTAATATCCATCCCGCTCAAAAGAAATTTCAAAAAAAATAAAGCAGCAATCGTGGGGATCGGACTTGATGTTCCCCAAACTCCAGGTGTCCGATAAAGATCGCCAAGTTCATCTGTTCCAAAAAGATGGTTTAGTAGCTTTCTGTCACTATTTTGGAGCCATGGAATAAAAAACACAAAGCATGCAGTCGTAGTAGCTAAAAAGCAAGCATATCTATATCGTTTATGTAGCCAGGGGATAACTTTTCTATTCCTATACCAAACAAGCCTTTTTCCAAATTCTACAAATGCTGATCCCATGAATCCGCAAACGACGCCCATAGCGATAAAGAGAAAGATATCAAGATTATAGTGATACTTTGGATAGTCAGTTTTTTCTACTAACTCCCCATATTCGAGGGCAAACAAATTTTTGCTCTTGGAAGTCAATTTTTTAGGGATTTAACGCAAAATTTAATTTAATTTATAAAATTTATCTTTTAAAATGCAAATTCAATAGAACTCGTTTGAGAGTTAATTATATTAATTATCACTTATATATTTCATAAAAAACAAATTATATTAAAAAATTTTTGTTCACTCGCGGAGTGGGTCTTTGGCCAAAAATAGAGATTTTCAATGGTTGTGTCCATTTATGGAGGAGGGAGTAAATCAGTTATCCCTAATAAATGCAGAAGCCAAAATGTTATTGTGCTGACAACTCCACAAAATGAGGCTCTCCATAAATTGTTAACAATATAAAATGATGCAGTAACTTCAATGCTAAAAATAACCCCTCCAATTGGCGTTCCAAATGTTGCTGCCACTCCTGCTGCAACAGATGCTGCCATAATTTGATTTCTGTAAGTCGTATTATTTCTAACTCCCTCCTTTAAATTAGAACAGATTATTTTTTTTGGCTATTTTAACCCTTGAATTTGAACAAAAATTTATTTCAATAGGAAAAGTTTTTATATGAAAATACTATTTTTTATTAGATTAGTTTGACCTAATTAAATTTGAGGAGTGCATATAATATTATTTAAGCAGTTTTCACACTGTATCAATTATTTTTTTAAATTAATTCTTCATAAAAATAAATATAAAATTAAAAATATTATGTTTAAATTTTTCAAAAATTTGATAAAATTTTGTTTATACAGACAAATTTAAATTAACTCTTACCCTTTGAAATTGGAATAGAATTTTGGTTCCAAATTAAAGGGGATAAGATGTTTTAAAAAGTCTAGAGTTAAAAGTCTATCTGCGACAATTGCTGCCAAATGAACAAATGGTCCACATCTTCCAATCATAAGTCCTGATCCAAGTGCAAGAGAAAGTCCACACACCTTTGCAAATAGACATTTCCAATTCAAAAAATTAGGCAGCTCAACTCCTGCAAGAAAAACTTTAATTTCAGCAATTCCTGCGCCTTCAGCTGCTTGGCTAACATACTCCCCGAAAGACGCTGCACCTAAGACAAGAACTATTGCAGTAGAGACCCAAACAAATAAACCTAAAATAGGTTCATCAATATTAAAAGCAATATACTTTCTCCCCATAACCATTTCTTGGCTTGCTAAGTCTACTATAAATGCTAAAAACGCTGTTATCACTGCAGTCAAAAACATAGCGATCCATGAAGAAAAGCTCAGTACATGAAAATTTGCGATTCAGCTATGCTGAAATACCTCAATTTGCTACCATATTAACTAATATATTAATTTATGAGGCAAACTTTGCAAAATACTATATGAATTTTTGATTCTGGTATTGGAGGTTCAAGAAATGTTCTTGCATTTACTTCTTCAATTTTAGTAAAGTAGTCAGTCAATAAATAGTTTTCTCTTGTATATCTCGATCCAACTGGCACTACTTCTTGAACTATTTCACTTCTATCGTCAAGCCTCTGATATGAAGCAGGCTCCATACAATAATATAAGAAATTATTACTTAAAATTAACTGGTAATTAATTTTGGATAATATTAAAATTGATCCCTCTTGCCCAAAAATATTCTTCTTGTAGCCAAGCCTCGTGCTCACTGATTGGTACTAAGTTTTCCTTGTATTCTTCTGATAAAGTTTCTTTGTCTTTTAGCCTGAGCGTGATTGCGATTTTCATGCATATAATTTCAGTGAGGGTTTTAATGTCAAGCCTTTGTGAAGCAAGCAGAAGTTTGAGCAGAGACTCAATTTCAATCCCTTCGACAAACTCAGCATCCCAAGTATCATATAAGTGACTTACTAAATCTCCTGAATTTAGATGGCATGAAGCTAGATTTAGAGGTTTGAATTCATGATGCTCTAAATATGTTAGGATAAGTCTTAAGGGCTCATCGTCGATTTCAAGAGGCTCGAGGTGGATTTGGGATTCATAGTCAGGGCTCTCTTTTAAAGGTTCTGATACGTCTAGAATAGAGATTGGAACTGTAAATACAGTCCCTTCATAAGAAACGAGTTGGATTGTTTGTCCCTCCATTTTATCAAATTTTTATTAGATTTATTTACTCCCCCCCTCTCCATGAATAAACAAAAAAATTTTGTTCACTAACGGAGGGGGTTAATTTTTTTTTTTTAAAAAATTTATATATAAATTTTATAGAAAAATTTTTTTTTTCGAAATTTTAAAAAAATCCCACTTCTCGAAAACTGGAAGGCAAATATTAATTTAATTTGTAAATTTATGTTTTAAAAACGCAATTTGTTTAAAATTAAACAGAATTAGCTCGAATTTCATGATAATAGGATCACTTATATATCAAAATTTTCTATTAAAAAAATTTTTGTTCACTCACCGAGGGTGGGTTTTTGTGCAAAAAATAGGGATTTTTCTAGTGGTTTTGTTCACTCACAGAGGGGGAGTAAGAATTATTCTTTGCTTTTATTTTTGGCCCTTACTCCTACGTATTAACGAAATGCTATAAATTGTTTTCTTGAATGACTTATGTATATATTTTATCTAAATTCCCTGAAATTATATTCTACTTTCATAAAAAATTATTAAAACTTAATAAAATAAATCTGATTAAATTTTAAATATATAAGATGAGTCAGTTTCCATTTTCTTCCGTATAATTTCTAAATAGCAATTACTGCAAAAACAACGCTTCGTATCGGTTTTAATGCTACACATATTTCTTCGTCAGTTGGCTCACTCATAGCTGCCACTGTTGGACAAAGTGGATTACAGTCCATGTTTATCCAATGATTTTGCAGTATTTCAAACATTTTTATCCTTGTTTCCGGATTCTTGTCGAGAAGCCTTCCAATTAAGTATCTCAATTCAGCTGAAATCGGCATACTTGGATCAAATTCCAATTGGAAATTCTGAATTGCTTCAAAAATTCCAGCTAAAGAATCAGCTGTATATGGAAGTTTTTTATATACTAGCGCATATAATGTAAGACCTAAAGCCCAAATATCTGCAGCTTTCCCAGAAAAATCTTCCGACTCCGCAGAGCAGCATTCTGGAGGGAAAAATTGATAAGTCCCAATAGTTTTGCTTTGTCTATCTGAATCTCCAAAAATTTGAGCTTGTCCAAAGTCTCCGATTTTAACATTCCATTCATCTGTAAGCAAAATATTTTGAGGTTTTATATCTCTATGGACAATATTGTGAGAGTGCAAATATTCCAATCCACAAACCATGTCTCTAAAAAATTTCCGAAGCTGCTGTTCTCTAACTCTCCTATATTTTTGGAAAATTAATCCCTTTTAAGTGAGCAAAAGATTTTCTAAAATAATATTATTATTTTTATATATAATTAATAATTGCTATAGCGAGATCTTTGCTTGACTGCCATAAGATTTTTGTTTTAAATATTTTTCAAATTTGTATTTCTAAAATTTAAAAAAATTATAACTCGTTTTAGATATTCCTTCGCCATTTTGTATTTTAGGTTAATTTTTGAATTATCACATATAGTACCACTGTTATTTGGCGGTTGGAAAGCCTGTTAAAAACGATTTGGTTTGTCGAACTTATAACGTTACATTTTTTATTGAACTGGCATTTCATAAATAAAATTCCATGAGGGAGAGAAAATTAGCAGAGCTAATTTCTCTCGAACCGAATGCCATTTTATTTATGGGGTTAGGTTTTCACTCGAGAACTTCTGGACAGCAATAGCGGTTTAACTCTGGGGATAACCAGAGGAACTGCTCCTCAGTCCTCTCAAGATTTCGGGGTTTTACCTCTCAGCACATCTCAACGGGAAGATGACCCTTAGGCGGAACACGCGCAGGAGCTGAGTCGAGACAAGGGCGACGGCATCGCGCCGGGTGAGACGTGCAGCAAGCTGGTGAAGCAGGAGTTGATAAAAGGCTTGGCCAGGGCTGACCTGTTCCAAGATGGCTCGCCTACGTCACTAGTTTTGCCATAGGCCCTTTTGGGCTGCGGCACTAGACACCTTAAAAACCAGATAATTAATTAAGTAAGTAAGTAAGATACTGGTATTTCAGGTCCAAAGCCCAAAAAAGCTCTTAATGTAAATCTTAAAAGGAAGCTGTATATAGTTTTAATATAAAAATTTTTCAAAAAAAAACTTCTCTTCCACCCTTAAAGGTGGGATTAAGAACTCCTGAAGGGTTTCAAGGAAAATAAAATGAGCTCGTGTCAGGGTTTCATTCCATAATTGCTCCTTTTCCACAATAATCAAGGACCATATACAGCTTATCTCTCTCGTCATCATCAATTACTTCATGCAATTTTACAGCATTGATATGATTAAATTTCTTCATCATAGCGATTTCTCTTGCAACGTCTTGCATTGCACTTGTTGCTGTCATTTCGCCGTTTTGGTTTCTGTGAAAATCGCGCTTTCTCCGAAGCAGCGCTTTATTATAAATTTTCACAGCGTATAAATTATTTTCATATTTGCATAATTTGACCTTTCCAAAGGCACCTTCTCCTAAATTTTTAATTAGAGAGTATTGGTTTACGGTTGCATTTCCATCTTCGTCTAGGCCTCTTTTGACTTCATGTGTTTCTCTTACAATATGTTTGCACTCTTCTTCTTCCATTTTATAAAATCAAATCAATAAGTAAAAGTAGCAATTTCAGAATATTTATAGCCCATTCCCGGCTATAGATCGGGCTTAGCCCGATCTTTGCCGGGAAACTCGGGGGGTTGTCTCTGTCACTTTGAGGTGACGAGTCAACTCCCCGAGTTGGCAAATCACCATATAGCGGCTATTTGCCAACTCGGGGAGTTGACTCGTCACCTCAAAGTGACAGAGACAACCCCCCGAGTTTCCCGGCAAAGATCGGGCTAAGCCCGATCTATAGCCAGGAACGGGCTATATTGGATTTAATTATTTGATGATAGTTCTAATTGGTTACTAAAAGCCAATATAATAAATCCGCGAAGAATTTTTGGATTTTAACGGCGAAATTTATTTTGGGTCGAGGAAATTATTGAGAAATTCAAGCAAAATATGACGGTATTTTATTCATTTCAAGTGAAAATAGCATAATTTATAGCAGAATTATTTATTTACTATGCATTAATTAATATCAGATCATGAAAGGGAAAGAAAGAAACAAAATTAAATAGATCAATTTATTTATAAATAAACTAGCTAGAATCAGTATATGCAATAAAGTATAAATTATAAAACAAAACAAACCGTGTGAAAATAAATAGTTTGACTTCTGTAGATGGTAGCTTACTTTCAGCGAAGTTAAGTTAAAAGTTTATAGACGTATTCAATTTAAAATTTTTATGTGAAGTATTTTACTAATATTATAATCATAGCTCATTAAATAAGTGGTAGAGTAAAAATATTCCCTTACTCCCCCTCTCCATAAGTTAACAAAAAATTTTGCTCACTTACGGAGGGGTAATTTTTTTTGTATATAAATTTATACTATAATTATTTTTTTCGAAATTTAAAAAAATCCATTTTCGTTAGCAGAATTAGCATGCCTTATATATCGTATATTTTTCATAAAAATTTTTATTTGCTCACACAGGGCGGATTTTTACACAAAAAATAGGGATTTTCCGATGGTTTTGTTCGCTAACGGAGGAGGGGAGCTAGTTTAATTAAGTCACAGCTGTTATTAATCAATTATATATTATTGCTTATTAAATCTAGAGTAATAGATGGAAATAATTTTATCATAGATTCAATATGTGGAGTTAAAAATATTTACTTTTTATCTTCTAAGATCATCTAAAGACTATATAAGAAAAGTTCTAATTAGGCAATTTTAAGATCGGATTAATTAATATTAAATCTAAATTCTCTCACACTACAGCTTACCCTATTTATAGCAGAAATATCTCAACTTTACTACAATTATTCAAATAATAGATAAAAAAAATACTCGTTATAGTGGAAAGATATTTAATTAAGCATTAAATTTTTATTTATTAAATTTATTAGTAAATATTAACTTCCGCCTTTAAATTGGAACTAAAAATCCTATTCTAATTTCAAGGGCAGTTTTAAAAACACATTATATTAATTTTTTTGTTAAATTTTTGAAATTGAGCAGAATATTTAAATTCTAATTTATTTTATGAAGAAATAATTAAATAGTTACCAATTCAGTGTGAAAAATGTTTAAATAGCATTCTAATTGCACTTTTTCCATTAAATAAATTTTATAAAAATTAGTATTTTCTAATTATTATTTTAATAATTTTTCAAAATTTTAAAAAAATATAAATTAAGCAATGTTGTAAATAATAAATAAAAATATTAATAGATTCATTGTAAAAGCTGTTTTTAATTAGCATTCTACTTGCATTTTTATCTATGAAATTAAGTCAAAATTAATTTATAAAATTTTTCTCTCTTATAGTTTGAATTTTAATTTATTTTTTATTTAGAATAAATAAAAAATTAATAGATTCAGTTTAAAAAACTGTTTAAATAATATTCTTCTTGATTTTGCCTACCCAGTCGTTAAAATTTTCCATTTAAAGAGGGGTTAAAGCATCCAAAAAATGCAAATTTCATCAATGTTTTATTTCAATTTAGAGGAAGAATAAGAGAAAGCCACCGTTTCTTATGAAAAATCAGAAACTGCTGCTATAAATGGCACAAACTAATTTCATTGAAAGATTCAAGAATAAAGTGTCGACTATAGGCAAGTCTGGCGAAATTGAGATTGACCCCGCAAAACCTATCCTCAAAGCAAACAGCGCACAATTCCATAAGTCAATTATGCAGTTATCTGCATCAAATATAATCCGAAACAACCTTCAATCTCCAAAGCCAGATACTTTTGTCTCAGCAAGGCCAATAAAAGTCGCAGCCAAAGATGACAGTCCTACATCTCCTAAAACAGTCACTGCAACTTTTTCCGCTCCATTGCAGCCAGAAGTTATAAATGGAGCAACACCTAATATTTCACAATCAAGGAACCCAGACCAAAATCAAAGGCGAAATTATAGTCACTCGGCAACTCCATTTAGAAAGCCACAAGTAGATGATGTACCGAAAACCAGTGATGGGATTACACAGTCTTTTGAATCAAGATATGCAAAAAAGCAAGGAGTTATTGATTTCTCGCCATATACACTAACTGATTATCATATGATAAAAAACGATAAGTATTATGAGCTGGGAGGGCTTGGGGCTGTAAATATAGGAACTGAGGAGTGAATCAAAAGAAAAGAAATGCAGGATAGGAGGGTGGATTATGCTAAACAAGTAAAATATATAAATGCTGCTAGTTTACCGCCATCTGGAGCTAAGAAGACACCAAAAATCACAGAAAAGGTGCCGAGCAAGATGCAAAGAGCAAATGAGTTTGCAAAAAATATTCCGAAACCGCAATTAAAAATAAGAAATGATTCGATAGAAGGAAAGGAAAATCCAAGCGAAAAGGATTTTAGCCCATTAGAGTATCAGCTTGATAAGCATGATAGTTATAGAACTATTATTGATGAAATCAAAGCAAATATTGAGTATGCCACCTGATTTAAGATTGCCATTTTTTATTTAAGAACATTTTATAGATCAAATTAAGCCAAAATTCAATAAAATTTACTGTTTAAAATAATTTATTAATCAATAATTATTTAATCTTTCTGTGCTAATTGATAAAGAATTCTGAAATATGAAGGAATGCTTTGAACCAAACTGCAAGCTTGAAATCAATTAAGAATGCCAATCCACAACTCCTGAAAGCAGGCTTTATAAAACAGATCCAAAAATATGATATCTTTTGAACAAATCATAATGTTCGTCCAATAAAGTTTGCATGAGTAAGCAAGAATGAAAAATAAATCATACTTAAGCTTCTCTCTGAAGAAAAGTGAAGACAAGAAGATATTTAGACCAAATTATTAACCTCTGTCTGACAAAATATTCTTAATTTAGAAAATAGCTTTGACAATTTATTACAAAGGTTAGATTTCGATTTAAATAGCATCAATTATTGTTTTGAAGGAATTTACCAGGTCCAAAGAATATATAGTTTGAACAAGACCCAATTTTGAGACTGCTAACTATAGAGTCTAATTAGGCAACTCATAAATTTAAAGAAATTGCTTTAGTTGCCCATAAATCATATAAGAATTCTAAGTTTAATTGCGAATCAAATGAAATAGAGTATATATTGATTGAGGGGCTAATTAAGGACAAGCTAGAAACTTTCTAGAAAAGGCTTTCCAACATTTAAAGCATTCATGAAGAGCACGGTGCACTTGATGCACAATTGAAGAAAGGACTCTATTTCCAATCTGATTACTGAGGTACATGATTTTAAATCGAACTCTTTGACAGTGTGCCATTTCCTAGGACAATTAGGTCGGCATTTAAATAGTGCAACCAATTATTCATTTATGACATTTAAAATTAAGCAGAAGAAAATACTCCAGAATTGCTATGCTTTTTTGCCTTGAGTGGCGCGGTACGGGCGCCACTCAAGGCAAAAAGCTATAGTCGAGGCACATGCATTGAATTAATTATTGAAAATAGATTATTTTTGCTTTGGAAAGGCGTTGCCGGCTTCTGAAATTTTATTGATCATAGATAAAAACTATGGATTACGAGTTTTGCCATTGGAGTATCTTGTTGCTATTAGTCAGCTATCTTTTTTGAGAATAATGTCTTTTATTTGGAGGGCAAATAATGACCGAAACTCATTGGCTCTTTCTGAATATTAGAAATCAATGGATCAAATTAAAGTCGTCTCAAACTGATTCCTATTGCTATTGTATTCTGTTTAATGGCGATATTCTAATTTCAGGATATAAAGTAGATATATCTTACATATTCAATAGAATGCGACTTTTTTATAATACCTTTTGAATTCGCAGAATGGACAAGAAAAAATCTTGATAATTGCTGAGAGGCTGAGAGGATGTATTTCATTGAATGGGGCTCTGATAGGTTTGCATACAAAAGTGAGAATAAAAATCAAACAATCTGAAATCAAATTGCATGTACTGAAATTATTAACTATTTTTTATCAAAGTTTATTGCACAGTTAATAATTGAATAATGCATATTGAATCTAGGCTTACAGATGGATACTATAAGTTCAGCTTAAAAGAAAAAGAATTGATAAAGCTTGGCCCCAAAGGTGATAATTAGTAATTAAATTGCATTTCTCTATCCATGTAAATTTATTAAATTTATTTAAAATGGAGCCCAATTTCCAGCTACATCATTCTTTATAATTTCTGGAAAAGTTTACAAAATCTCATTTAAATTTATATTTGAATATATATCTCTTAAAGTCTAGAAATTTCTATCAGCTCTGATCAGACCCATCGTCTACTTAATAATTTTATTCAAAACTAATGAGCTCAAACATTAGCTTAAAAATCATAAAAGGTGAAGAAATTAGAAGAGTTAAAGAATTACCAGACTCATTTTCCTCACTTCAAGCTGTCTTGAATTCTTTATATGGCTCACCTGCTTTCCAAATTTCATACCCAGGCGAGGGTTCCGATCTTATTTATATTTCAAATGACGATGATCTCAAAAAAGCTTATGAAAGATTTAATGGCCAAGTCAGTGTTAGGCTGATTATAAAAGAAATAAATGAAGAAGACTTGATGGCCAAAATAGATAATATGAGACAAAGTTTATCTGAAATAATATTAGAAAAGCCTATCAACCATGAGCCTGAGGTAAAAGTGGTAGATCCTCTTATAGCAGATCCTACGAGGACTGATATTGTTTTTGAAGAAGAAAAAAGTGCAAGCCCCCAAAAAGAAAAAAAATTAGAAAAGAAAGAGAAGAAAGAGAAGAAAAAAAAGGTTGCCAAAGAAAACAAAAAAGAGGGATTTAAGCAGCAACAGCTTATACAAGAAATTAAAAAAATAGCTAAAAAAGAAGCTGCAAAGGCCGCAAAAGAAGAATCAAAAACCCTTGAAAAATCACTTGGCAGTCAAATTAAAAAGGAATTTCAATCTCTTTCAGGCTCTTCCATTGAAAACATCGAAGATAGATCTCTTTCTGACCTAAGAAGAGAATATGGGGATAAAATTCATTTGAATGTCACATGTGATGGATGTGGGATGAGTCCAATACTTGGAGATTTATACAAGTGCACAGTTTGCGAAGACTTTGAATTCTGCATGAACTGTGAAAACAATATTAACCACCCCCATTCATTTATAAAAATTAAGTATCCTCAATCTATTTATAGGGGTTTCCCCTAGATAGCCCTTACAGGGCTGTGGATTCTGTCCGGAATCTTTGGTTGGTCGAACTACTTACTATGTTGGTCGGACCAACTGACTTGTTGGTTCGAACAACCAAAGTATTCCGAACAGAATCCACAGCCCTGTAAGGGCAATCTAGGGAAACCCCTATATAAAGCCCCTGCTCAAATCAAGCGAAAAGATAAAGATATTCTGATGGGCTCAATGGCTGAGCTATTATTAATGAAAACACTTAACCAGCAAAAGTCTAAAAAACTTAAAGCTAAAGTGTTGAAAATTCTCAGTCCTATAGAAAATGAAATAGTGCAAGCAGGAAAGCCAGTATCCCAACAATGGAAATTAAAAAATAAAGGCTCAAAAGCATGAAAAGCAGGCACTAAAGTTGTATTTTGCAAAGGAAACTGTGAAAAGGTAAGTGAAGCAGCCTTAGCTCCAAAGGTAAACCCAGGAGAAAAAGTCATTGTAGAAGTCCAGTATTTTACACCAGAACAAGAAGGAATTTGCAAAGGAACTTGGCGTTTAGAAAGCAAGGGGAAAAAATTCGGGAAGCTTGTGTCCAAAGTAAGAACTGTAAACTGCCTAGACAATGAGTTCGAAAAGCTCAAAATTCTTATGAATATGGGCTTTACAGTCGAGCAAGCTAAACTAGGTTTATCATCATCAAAAGAAGATCTTAATATGGCAATATCCCAGATATTCAGGTTAACATAATTACAATATCCTATTAATTTCATTATAAAATAAATGCAGCTCCCATTAAAAGCTGATATCTATTATAGCCATAATTGAGAATTCATTTAACTCCCCCCCCCCCCTCCGTGAGCGAACAAAACCATTAGAAAAATCGCCATTTTTTGACCAAAAACCCACCCTCCGTGAGTGAACAAAAATTTTTTTAATAGAAAAAATTTTAATGAAAAAAATTTTGATATATAAGTGATAATTAGTATAATGAAATATAGAGCTAATTCTGTTTAATTTTTAAACAAATTGCGTTTTAAAACATAAATTTTGCAAATTAAATTAAATATTTGCTTCCCAATTTTTGCAAATTAGGATTTTTTTAAATTTCGAAAAAAAATATTTTTTATAAAATTTATATATAAATTTTTTTTTAAAAAAAAAAAAATTAACCCCCCTCCGTGAGTGAACAAAATTTTTTTGTTCGCTCACGGAGGGGGGGGGGGAGTAAGTAATTATTTTCCTTCTACTTCACTCCTCAGTGATGACAAAGTAGTTAAAACAGTCTGAATAGTAGTATGAGAAACCGCTGCATCAGATGCGGCCTCTTCTAAATGATAGAAAAATACATCAACTTCATGTTTTGTAATCCCCAAGCCAGCGAAAATTTCAGACAAGGGAAGCCCTGTATACATATTAGAATTCTTTGTGAACAATGATTGCAAGTATTCAGTAAATCCTTGCTTAATTTGCTCAATATCTCTGCCTCTGAAGCGGTTTTTCACTCTAGGGTCATCTAGGAGTCTTTTGAAGACATCTTCAATTATTTTAGAAAGTCCTTGGCCATTTCCGAGTCTGTCTAGAACGTCGTCTTCCATTTATAAATTATGAGAAATTAGTTACAACAAAATTAGAGCTTGAAATGCTGTGACTTGAACTTTTGGTCAAATTCACTGTGCTTTTGGAAGATATTGATTTGGAATTGGAGTAAACTTTGTAGGAGTCTCGTTTTCCGATAAAGAGAGTTCTTACCCTTGATCTGGGGACTGTTCTTTCATAGCTATTTTGGATTGCGCTGTAGTCAGGAGATGGTAGTGAATATTCAGTGTCAAAAATGCTGTTTCTGGAACTCATTTTGTCAAAAGGTAAAATACCTTTACTTAATGACTGTTTTAAAAATTCATGATTTGGGTGATAGTTCCCATCATGAATTTCATGATTAAAAAGCTCTTGCCTTGATATATATTGTTTAAAACTCGGTGCTTTAAGCGACTCTGATTTTTTCACAACTGGCTCTTTATCAAGAACACTTTCATGCATCTGATTTAAAGGGATTCCTTTTCTCTCTGACTGTTTGCTAAAAGATATTTTTGCCATGTGAGACTGGTAATATTTAGCACTTGTTTTTTTCCTTTTACAACTTCTAATTTCAGCTGAATTCATAAAATCGCTTAAATTCATTGTTTTTTGAAGCTCAGATTTTCTTTCAGCTTTATGTGGATATTTGCATTCTAAATCTTTTTCATCGACACAATCAGGCAAAAAAACTTTTGGGTCCCTTGGGATGCTTGATCTCTGGGTTTCTCTTAATTGAACATTAGTGGGTGTTCTAGGTCGGACTCAAAAATAGTTTGGGGAATATTTTGTTGAAGGCGGAGCATCACTGTAATTTGATTTTTGAATTTCTTCACGCTTTTCTCGTGTAACAGATAAAAAGGAAGAGCTAGGGACTTTAGTCTCTTTTTTCATTAATAAAGATTTGTGAGGCTTTTGGGGAGTATTTACAAGTTTTTCAATTTCTTCAGAATTCAAAATAGATTTTCTGGCTTCCACAGCGCTTTTGATAAATTTTTTGGTTGGGATTAGGCGTTGTGTAAATTTGATACTAGATCGTCCATGGTGGGAATATCTCGGGACATCATTGATAATGCTTTCGATTTCTTTTATTAGACTTGACTTATCAGTTGTCATTATTTATTCATTTATTTTTTTAGTTTATATTAAAAAAGGTAAAATAATCGAGAATTAAAACTTGTGCAGGGTAATTAAAAAGAAATCAATAGCAATCAATAGAGAGGATTATAACACATGATAAAATATTAATATTTAAATAAGTTGAAAACGCTTACTGACTAGTAATTTTATGATATCAGCCTTGCAGACTATTGTTGCATCAATATCAGATATTTTATTAGACTATATAATTTTTTACATAAAATTTATCAATATATTATTTATTTGCATTCATGAAGCTTCATGCACTTGAGATGAATAGGCTTTTTGCATTCATGACAACAGTGTCTAGTTTTACTACATTTCTTACTTTGTAGCGTTTGATGCTCCACACAATACCTGCACCTTGATACTTTATTCATTTTCTCTGCAAGCTGTTCATTTTCTTCTTGGCTGACATCTTTTGTAAGCTGTTCCGCTAGTAATCTTGTAAATTTCTCATGACTCATTGCTTCTACTATGCCTTTAGTACTGTAATGCTTATAAATGATGAAAGAATTTGTTACTGCAATTTCAATTAAATAGTGGAAGCATGATTTCCATCATTTTACAGACTTTCTATGTGTGCTATACGCTTGTATGAGCTGATCATAATAGTCCACTCCGCCCATCCCAAATGTGTATTTCGATACAATAACAGGCTTTTCCACATTTTTTTCAGTCCCCTCTTTTGCCGTTCTTTTAACAGAGTTGAATTGGATTCCTTCAATATTGGATAATAGATATATAGGTCTATGGTCATATCATGCACAAAATAGCAGGTCCCCTCTCAAGAAAAATTGGTTTCTTGTTTTTTTGCTTATGCTTGCTTTCGGAAGCCCTTTTCTGTTTGGATTCACTGTTCCTGTTGCTGCAAGGCCAAGATTTGAAAGCGAATTGAATAGTTCGATACTAGAATATCAGCGATCAAAAAACAAATAGTGCTTGTGAAAGCTTCCTTGCAAGCTTTCAATAAGCCGCAGCACAACTCTCATTGTCGAATGTACATCGTCTTGAGATTTTCCAGAAAAAATATAAAAATTCCACATATAGCCAGACACAGAATCACATAGAGCGAACACTTTAAAGCCTCATTTTATAGGTTTCGCTGGCATATACTGTATAGCTTGATGCCTTCCTTTGAATTGAATCATTGATTCATCAATTGAAATGTATTTTCCAAGGCAATAGTTGGCTTTGCATCTTTCCCGAATCATGCTTAGTATAGGTTCTATTTTGGAAAGCTTGTTGCTTCCGTAGTATTGCAATGGAGATAAATGCATCATGCGGCTGATGGCTTGGAATCTTCTACTTGGCATTATCCCAGATATTAATTTATTGTGATAAAGAGGGATCGTTGACCAGTAATCCGTTTGCTTTGGTGCTTTAATTAGGCCCATCATAATGGCTATTCCAAGCCAGTTTTCAAGTTCTCGAGGGGTGAGTGGAGTCATGTCTCCCATTCTCCTTGATGGGATTGGATTTGCCTCAAATATAGATTTTGCATAGTCGTTTGAATTGTTTGTGATTTCTTCGAGAACTTCTTCATCAAAAAAGATTCTAAATAAAGATAGAGGAGTAATTTGATCAGGCTGAGGCTGACCTGGTTGAGGATCCATTAAAGGAATGGTATCTTGTCTTTTGAGCTTTGTAAGTTCGGTTCACTCTTCTGTACTAAATTCATCAGTGCAAGCTGTTGCTTCATCTTCGCTAGAGAAAGAAGCGCCGGAAGAGTAGCTGGATGAGTCTTCAAATTCATTTTCAAAAATGTCTTCTTCAATATTAAAAGCACTCTGCATCTTGATGTTGTCGAATATCTATTAAATAAACTTGGGGGCTTCAAATTGTTTGCTCGTATGCATTTTTATTGCAATATCTTAAGTTTTCTATGTCATTTTTAGAAGTATATTTTAATTCTATCAAACAATTAAATAATTTTGGTTTAAATTTCTTGTAAGTAAAATTTGCTTACTCCTCCCTTCCGTGAATGGACAAAAAAAATTTTCTCTTTTCGGAGGTGGTTAGTTTTTTTTTTATAAAAAATTATATATAGATTTTATAGTAAAATTTTTTTTTTGAAATTTAAAAATATCACAATTCGCAAAATTGGAAAGCAAATATTAATTTAATTGTAAAATTAAACAGAAGTAGCTAGATACTAATTATCACTTATATATCAAAATATTTTTTCATAAAAACTTTTCTATTTATAAATTTTTGTTCGCTCACAGAGGGTAGGTTTTTTAGGCAAAAAATAGAGATATTTCCAATAGTTTTGTTTACTCAAGGAGGGGGAAGTTATAATTATAGATTTTATGCTTATTTAGTCTTCATGAAGGATATCAATAGGATCAGGTGCTTTTCTTTAAACTTAAATGCTAATTTTTACTTTTCAGATGGCTGAGGCTGAATTTTAATCCAGTAATGATTTTAGAATACTAATCTCCATTATAAGTTTTAATCTTTCCAATTTTTCATTTCATCTTTAAAACTTGCCACGTGCTCATTCCATATTCGTCTAAATCGCTTATATAATCTACTCTCATTATTCTTAATAAGCTTAATTATAACTCCAATCAAGAATTCCCAACACTAGCTGCATCTTCTTTCCAATTTCTGTTCAGCATCTAACAGTAATCATGCATAAATATGCTAGTCTTTTTCATCTATATAAAAATTAATATGGCCAGCAAGCCTGAGGATGAGAAAGCTACCGCAATTCTCAACAGAAAGAAAGGACCAAACCGCCTTATCGTCGAAGAAGCCACAAACGACGACAACTCAATCGCAGTTATGTCGCAAGCCAAAATGAACGAGCTCAACATAATGCGCGGCGACACTGTGATGATCAAAGGGAAAAGACGCAAAGACACTGTTCTCATAGCACTGGTCGATCCCGAATTAGAAGACGGCAAAATTCGGTTGAACAAGGTCGTAAGAAACAATCTCAAAGTGCGACTTGGAGACTTAGTAAGTGTGCATACCCCAGGCGATATCCCATATGGCAAAAGAGTCCATATTTTGCCAATAGATGATACAATAGAAGGAATCACAGGCAACTTGTTCGAAATCTACCTGAAGCCTTATTTCAAAGAAGCATACCGACCAGTCAGAAAAGGCGATCTGTTCTTGGTTAGGGGAGGATTCAGACCAGTTGAGTTCAAAGTCTGCGAAACTGACCCTGGAGAGTGCATCATTGTAGCGCCTGATACCGTAATTCACTGTGAAGGAGAACCAGTCAAAAGAGCTGATGAAGAAAGGGCTGATGATATAGGATATGATGATATAGGAGGCTGCAGGCGTCAATTAGCACAAATCAGAGAAATGATTGAGCTACCACTCAGACATCCTCAGCTATTCAAAACTTTAGGTGTTAAGCCACCAAAAGGTGTTTTACTTTACGGTCCTCCAGGCTCTGGAAAAACCTTAATTGCAAGAGCGGTCGCCAATGAAACTGGCGCATTTTTCTTCTTGATAAACGGGCCTGAAGTTATGAGCAAAATGGCAGGAGAAGCTGAAGCGAATTTAAGAAGAGCTTTTGAAGAAGCTGAAAAGAACTCCCCAGCGATTATTTTTATTGATGAAATCGACAGTATTGCTCCAAAAAGAGAAAAGACTGGAGGAGAAGTCGAAAGAAGAGTCGTCTCCCAGTTACTTACACTTATGGACGGAGTTAAAGGAAGAGGACAAATCGTCGTAATTGGAGCTACCAATAGGCCCAACAGCATTGACCCTGCATTAAGAAGGTTTGGAAGATTTGACAGAGAAATTGACATTGGAGTGCCTGATGAGGTAGGAAGAATTGAAATTTTGAGAATCCACACAAAGAACATGAAGCTTAGTGACGATGTTGACATTGGTGACCTTTCTAAAGGAACCCATGGGTTTGTAGGTGCTGATTTGGCTCAATTGTGCTCAGAAGCGGCTATGAACTGCATTAGAGAAAAAATGGACATCATTGACCTTGAAGAAGACACTATAGATGCAGAAATTTTGGACGCTATGGCAGTCAACCAAGACCACTTCAAAAGCGCCTTAGGCGTTGTCAACCCTTCATCACTCAGAGAAACTGTTGTTGAAGTTCCCAATGTGACTTGGAATGACATTGGAGGCCTTGATGAAGTCAAAAGAGACCTACAAGAAATGATTTTGTATCCAATTGACCATCCTGACAAGTTCGAAAAATTCGGCATGAAGCCTGGTAAAGGGGTTTTGTTCTATGGACCTCCTGGATGTGGCAAAACTTTGATGGCAAAAGCGATTGCAAATGAGTGCTCAGCTAACTTCATTTCTATCAAAGGGCCTGAATTGTTAACTATGTGGTTTGGAGAAAGTGAAGCAAATGTCAGAGATATTTTTGATAAAGCAAGATCAGCAGCTCCATGTGTGCTGTTCTTTGATGAGCTTGATTCGATTGGTTCTGCAAGAGGATCAAGTATGGGAGATGCTGGTGGGGCTGGAGACAGAGTTATGAACCAGCTTCTAACTGAAATGGACGGTGTTGGGACTAAGAAAAATCTGTTTATTATTGGAGCTACAAATAGGCCTGAAATTTTAGATGAGGCATTATTAAGACCTGGAACACACAATTAAAGTGGAGGTGTTCTGATAAAGTGTAGCTTCCTTATTTTGGACTCAAAGGTAACTCCGGTTCTTCTGAGAGCTTTGCCTAAGAGACACTATCCACTGGCACTGGATAATAAATAAAAAGTGTTCTTTGAAGGTGATGATGATTAGAAGTTCTAACAGTTGTGTAACTGCCGATCCGTTGCTCGGAGTGGAAGTTGTATTTCACCTGTAAGGCTTCGGAAAGCAGAAGACGAGTTATTTATGAGTTATATTATAGCTAACTAAGACCTGGAAGGCTTGACCAATTAATTTATATCCCACTTCCTGATAAGCCAAGCAGGATCAGCGTTTTGCAGTCTTTAACGAGAAAATCGCCAGTTGCCAAGAATGTTTACTTACACCGTGTTTAATAAAAAGCCCTGTTCCAATTTAAATGGGTTTTTAAATTTTTTTAAAAAAAGCAATTCATATTTAAAAATTTTCTCTATAATCATTTTTTAAGAAAATATAAATTGAGCACAAAACCTTTAGTTTATTTTATGAAGAAATTATATAAAAAATTAATTGATTTCGTGTGAAAACTGTTTAAATAGTACTCGACTTATCTATTATTTGGGTCAAAATAATTTTATAAAATGTTTTTTAAAACAATTGTAAAAAATATAAATTCAGCACAATAGCTCGAATTTAATTTTTTTACAAAAAATTAATAGATTCAGTATGAAAGATATTTAAATAGCATTCTACTTGTATTTTATTTATTAAATTAGGTCGAAAGCAATTTTACAAAAATGATAATTTCATATTTTATTTTTTTAAAAATTTTTTATAAATTTAAATTGGCTCAATGCTTTAAATTTTAATTTATTTTTATGATTATTAAATAAAAAAATTACTAATTCAGCTCGAAAGCTGTTTAAATAGCATTGCATTATGTCTATTAAATAGGTCAAAACTAATTGATAAAAATTAGTTTTTCATCGTTATAATTTTCATATTGAAAACAAATTTGTTCCAATTTAAAAGGTGGTTAAAGTACCAAAAAATGCAAATTTCCCAACGTTTTGTTTCAATTTAAAAGGGGGAGTTTAGATTTTATCGCTGACCTTACTGAGGGATTCAGCGGGGCAGATTTAGCTGAACTTGTGCAGAGAGCTGCAAAGTCAGCCGTTAGAGAAGCAATTGAAGCTGATGCCCAGAGGAAAGCTTTGCAATCAGAGCAAGGAGATGAAAACATGGATATCGCTGATGATCCAGTCCCTGAAATCACAAGAAGGCATTTCGAAGAAGCCCTTTCAACTGCCAGAAGATCAGTCACTAACGTAGATTTGAACAAATATGACCAATTCAGAAGGAAATTCGACCCTGTTTATGCTGCCAGGCAAGGTGGGCAAGTGTCAAGTGCTCCAGTTTTCAGATGGCCTGAAAGAGCTGACCAAGTTCAACAAGCAGCAGCTGAAGAAGAAGATCTTTATAGTTAAATCATCAATTTCTAAATATTTTCTTTTTTAAATTGATTTACACTTAATCTATATTTGAAAAATGATTAAACAAGACAATATATCATAGAGATAAGGCCAATAATCATAGCATTATCATGGCTCATCCAATCTTCTGTGTCAAAAAGTCCAAACTTCAAAGCACAAGAGTCTATGAATCCGCTTTTATAAAGAGGTCAATAATTTCTCTGATGCAAAATGTGATAGTAAAAGTTATAATTGTCACCAGTTATAGAGGTGCATGCAAATAAAATATCAGGATCTATTGAATGGGCTGGATCTCCAGAACATTTAGTATCATTAAATACCAAAGCTTGAGAAATATCAATCGAGCTTACTCCAGGCGTGTCAAATCAGCAAAATCCTGTTGAATTTCCTCTATCACCTCCACAATTGCAAGATTTGCTATAGGCGAACTTCTTACTTCTTTCTACATGAGTGAGCGAAATTTTTTGGTTAGTAATTAATTTAAGGAATTACAAAAATATAGTTTATATCTAGATATCTTTAATATAGGGTTGATTTTCCATCAAGAAGTTTTTTTCCCCAATTGTTTTGATTGCTAGATAAGGGACAATTAGTCATTCTATATAAATACATGCAATTCGATCCCATATTGCATTGAAAAGGATAATCTAAATATTGTTCAGCTTCTGAATAAATCACAATATTATCACATATCCCATCTTGCACCAGCATGCTTTTGCAGAATTTCATGTTCTCCGATTTCTCTCCATCATCTAGCGATAGAAGCCCAGTGCATTTCTTTAAATTGCACCCACATCCAGGAGGGCATTCATAATCAGTATCACAATTTGAGCCTATTTCTGCGCTAACTAAAGTGCAGTAGCCTGAACAATAATATCAAGGCTGGCATTGTCCATGATATTCACATTCTTGCCCAGATGTCAAGCCTTGGCAAGTATTATTTATGCAACTTCCTGAAATGCAGTCTGAATTTTCACAGCATGACCAGCCTGTTGGATTTAAATCCGGGGTTCATGTGCCTCTGCCGCAGTTATCAATAGCGGTGCTTTCACAAGTGATGTTTGGGAATGAAGTTGTTGTTGATGATGCTAAAAGAGCTGCTGCATTTGTGCAGGTATAGTTGCCAAGGCAAGGACTTAGCGTCAAGGTTGTTTGACTGTTGTTAAGCATGCATTGCTTTCAGGTACCTGCACCACATTGAAGACCGATGCAAGTATAACTTGCATCTGCAGCTGCATATGATGTGATAGAAAATAGTAAAAGTAATATCATGTTTATTTATAACTTATTAAATTTCTTCATCTTTCTTTGTAAACTGCTCAAAGTAGTCTTTATATTTTATTCTTTCAGGATTCTTTGTCATTGCTTTTCCACTTGTAGATATTCCTACTTTCGAATCAATTCCTTCAGGTGTTCTAAACATACTCTCATTGCTTTTTTTCTGTGCCTTTTGCTGAAAGTTTTTCCAAGAGCTTGTGTAATCTCTTGTTTCTTTTTCAATTTGATTCTGCCTCCATGCCTTTTTCAAAGCTTTTATTTTTTTCTTTTTTTTAAGTCTTACGTGTTCATTGTCATTTGGAAGAATTTTTAAGCTATTCGGAATCTCAAAAATTTCCCTTTCAGGCAATGGTCTTTTTTGAGGATTTGTGCAAAATCTTACACAGTCATAAGAAAGCTCATGCATATGTCCCCATCGGCTGAGCTTTACTGTTACAGCTTGTTCATTGAAAATCTGGATGTTTGCAGGGTATCATTTTCCATCTTGCAAAAGGACTTCTACTTCTTGGCCTTCGTGTAAGTCTGGCTGCTTTGGAGGTACAAGCATTTGAATATAGGAAGCTGGAAGTTTATACTTATCAGCAAACCCTAGAAAAATGATTTCAGCTGTTTGCTCTTCTTCATTGACTTTGTTAATATGGGCTGGATGCCAATTTTTATCTTGCTCATAATATGCATTGCATTTGTGATTTTCATTTGCAACTGTAAGTCTTACACTTGAAAAAAATTCTTGGACCCTATTTTCAGCAATTTTAAGCAGATCTTGGTTATACTCAATAGCTTTTTCCAGATCATTTTTTAGTTTCGTGAGATCTCTTTCTCGCTGAGTCCTTGCTTCTTCATCTCTTACCTTATCAGCATTTCTTTTCAAAGCTTCCTCAACCCTTGCTAAATTATCTTTGTATTCATCGATTTTGGCTTGAATAGTGACAAAGTTAGTTGATTCCATTTATTATTATAAATTTAGCATATAATGTTATGTATACATTTTAAATTTGATGTATTATATATTATTTAAACTTGACACTTTTTGGTGAATAAAAATTTTTAATGTTATGATTTAACATTACATTTTACCATATAAAATTTGTTGATAAGCTTAAACTATACTTTTTTCAACACGAAAATTCACATTTCTGAAGGTCATTGACATTTTTATTGGCTCTTCATTTGCAAGAGTTTCTTGTGTGCAGGGTCTAGTTCCATTTATATTATCAACTTCATAAGATTCGCTTGCAGAGTTATCTAGTTCATCAATAGTTTTATTTATAGTGACAAACTCGTCTAACACTTTTCTACTTTTTGTTCTTTTCAGCTGAGGCTCAGATTTGATTAGAGGTACAGGAATAGTTCTTCTGCTAAAAATAGCTATATAAAGGAAGGAAGATAGGCAAAAACAGAGAACCCCTATTAATGAAAAAGTTGGACCTTGCTCTGCACAAAATGAGATATCGGTATCTCCAGCTTGAATTTTGCAGGTTGAGCTGTAAGAAGCTCCTGAAACTATGAATCAGCTCATATTTCCACATAGATTAATAACAGTGGTTAAAATTGGCCAAAAATAATTTAAGGATACGATTCCAAAATTTATTTTTCGCGCTAAAAATATAAGATGCTCTATTCACATTATCAATAATATATATGAAATACAAGTGAATCATAAGTAGTAATAGTTTGCAATACCTAACTTATGAAAAGCGTTGCAATTTCTAATGGAATTTGCATATTTAGGAGTTTCCTCACATCTCGGACCACTTATACACATATAATCAAGTTCATCATGCCCTTCGTATTGATTCATGCCTACTAAATTACCATAAATTTTGCTCCGACTGTGATAACTGACCCATTTTCACCCATATCCAATTCCAATAAAGCAAATTCCTAACAAAAGGATAGGAAGCACTTTTCATGAAAACCAAGACCCATAATTTCCAAAGTTTAATGGCTCTCTTATAATTTTATCTCTGCCTTTATCTCTTGACCTTAGAATAATAATACTAGTAACCACACAAATCCATGCAACAGCATTTGACTCTATCACTAGCCAAAGGCCATTTCCACTGCATATTTCATTCTTTTCATTGCACGAGCACAATACAAAATGGCACTTAAGGGTAGTACTACCTTCCTACAGCCGAGCTCAGTAAGAGAAGTCCTAGATTTCCTGAGAATCTCGGCTCAAAGAGAAGCTATAGAAGTTGCCCGATGATGGCGCTCAATGCGCCATCATCGGCAGCATCTATATCTGCATTGAGTCTGATGCAGGCAGAGAGATCCTAAGGTGCTTGGAGACTGAAACAGGTCTAACAGTCAGGCTAGTCTTACCTACCGTTACTCAGAGCTGTGTCCTAGTTGAGGCTATAAAAATGTAACTTACAAGTGGTTTCTTAAATTTAAGCATTGCACGTACTGCTCACACTGACTCCACTTACAAAAATATAGACCATAATACCAACAATTTGTATCCCTGCTGGGAGTACTGAAAAAGCATAAAATATCCTTATACCTCCATATGGTCTTTTTAGGACCATATAAAATAATCTTTCAAATAGTAAGAGAGAAACAAAACTCCCGAGCGCTAAAAATACCAGTAACACCAATCGACTTTTGCTCAAAACCACTGCCTTTTCGCAAAGGGATGATTTTTGGCTGTCGTCACATGTGAGTTCAGATAAGCAAGAATAGTTTGTGTGAGCATATTCGCTTGGGCAATCTTCACAATCAAAAAGCCCATAATTAAATTTTTGATCCATAACAGAAAATCTTGTCCAATCTGGAGACATGATCCCCACAATTAGCAGTGCTCATTCTCCAATTATTAATAATAGTGTTGAGCTTGTTAACAACGAGAGAAGGTGGATTTTTTTGAATCTTAAACCCATTTCAGTCGAAAAATTGATTATTCTCCATTAGAAATTTAAATAAAAATGCTATTTTAGTGTATTCGAAAGAAATGTGTTACTCCCCCCCTCCGTGAGTCAACAAAAAAATTTTGTTCGCTCATGGAGGGGGGTTAATTTTTTTTTTCGGGATTTAAAAAAATCCTAATCTGAAACAAATATTAATTTAATTTATATAATTTATTTTTTAGAACGCAATTTTTTTAGAATTAAACAGAATTAGCTCGAGATTTCATTATACTAATTATCACTTATATATAAAATTTTTTGTATAAAAAATATTTCAATTAAAAACATTTTGTTCGCTCATAGAGGGTAGGTTTTTGGGCAAAAAATAGGATTTTTCTAATGGTTTTGTTCACTCACGGAGGGAGGAGTTAGGAAAATAATTGGAATTTGTAAAAATATGAGACAAAAGCCTAAAGAAGAAAAGCCAATTCTGATGCCGTTTAGGCTAATTAGATATACACCAGCATTTGAAACACAAGTTTTATAAATAAAATGGCATTCGGTTCGAGAGAAATTAGCTCTGCTAATTTTCTCTCCCTCATGGAATTTTATTTATGGGGTTGGGTTTTCTCTCGAGAACTTCTGCACAGTAACAGCCGTTTAACTCAGGGATAACCTGAGGAACGGCTCCTCAGTGCATCAAGAGGCTCGGAGTTTTACCCCTCAGCACATCTCCACGGGAAGATGACCCTTAGGCGGAACACGCGCAGGAGCTGAGTCAGGGCGAGGCATCGGCAACGCACCGGGTGAGACGTGCGGCGAAGACTGGTGGCGAAGCTTTGATAGAAGGCTTGGGCCTGGGCTGACCATGTTAATCCAAGATGGCTCGGTGACGTCACTAGTTTAGCTAAAAGCCCTTTTTGGGGCTGCGGCACTGACACCTTAAACACAGAATTATTAAGGAAGTAAGTAAGAAACACAAGTTTTAATGACGACGAGAAAAGAAAAACACATGCGTATGGAAGCATCAAAAAAAAAGAAGCCAGAGTCAAGCAACCATTCTGACTGTGTAAGATCAAATAATGTAACTCCAAGCATGGAGACTACTAAGGCAACAGAACAGCTGCTGAGCACTTTTAGGTCTTCTTTAAAAGATTTAGATGCAGCTCTGGTACCTACATTTGACGAAAATATTATGAGATTAAAATCAATGACACATCGCCAATTAGCAACTGTATTGGATTTACTTAAAATGGCATGATGAGCTGACCCCCTCTTAAGTCCTGCAGCTGGCATTTCAATGGGGGTACGCAGGGACCTTTAGGAAGTGATGATGGCGTTCGGGAATGCGTATTGGCTAGGTTTTCTTGGCTTGATGAAGCCAATGTCGAATAAGCTGACTGAATGCTTTACTCCAATGCCAAGTGTTTGCATCAGAGGAAAATTAGTTCAGAAGTTGGAAAGGGTTTCTCAGCAGACCCAATGGCGATAGTTCTGGCAAATAAGGATCATTCCCCAATGTGAAATCAGGTGTTACGCGCTGCAGATTTCCATTGAGAGTCAGCCAGAAAATTCAGCCCTTTTTAATTTTTATTGGCGGGCAACCTATCGACCCTCGCCAAAGCGACAAGACTCACCCAACTGCTTGTTAGCGAGTGCAGGCCCTCTTCCGGCAAAGCAACCTTCGCGACATCGTGATTCGCAGGTTGTTGAGTAGGTGGGGAAGTGTTATGGGTGGATATAGTCAATTATAATTCAGCAGGCTTTTCTATAAATAATTAAGTAGGTTAAGTATGTAAGGCAACTGTATCACTCCCAAAACTGAAAAAGCCTTTGACCTCGAATGGAAAGCAGCTTATGTCTCAAAGATCCATTATAACTGCTATGAGTATCCCGGGAGTTTCAGGTAGCGATCCTGTTCCAGGAGGCTATGATAGTGAAGAGTGTAAAGAATTATCGTTAGTTGCTTAAATTGCAACATTAAGACCAAAATGTGGAATCTTTTCCACATGTGAAATCAAAAGGACTCCACATGTGAAATCATCTTTTCACACGTGGAAAAGATTACACATGCTGGTCGTAATGTTGTAATTTAAGCAACTAACGATAAAAATTTTTAAAAAAAATTTCGATCGTTTTTTTGGATTTTGAACTATAAAGCCAACTATTGGGGAAAAACTGAATTCAAGAGAAGGCTGCCAAGGGGTTATCGTAGAAAATAAGCTGTATGTTTATGGAGGACAAAGCTGAACAAAGCACACGGATATAAAACAATTAGCTATCCCTACATGGACATGGAGACAAATAACTGCATCTTATAGTCCTCAAGGAAGACTGGGGCATAGTCTTGTAGCCTACAAAAAAAAGTTAATAGTCTACGGAGGTTGAGGAAGCCATAGAGAAAATTTAGGTCCCAGAAGATGTGCAAGCAAAGTCTACTATCTATCTTTATCTAAGCTTAAATGGCAAAGATACAGCGGATCTGGACCTCAGCCTAATCCTAGAATGCATCACTGTGCTGCACAGCTTGGAAAACATATGATTGTTTATGGCGGAATTGATACACAAAATATAGCTACAGAGGATCTCTTTCTTTTTGACATAAAATCCAAAGAATGAAGTCTCCCTGAAGTAACTGTTGCTCAAGACCCTGGGCCGCGTTCTCATGCGAGTTTGACAGCAGTTTTCCATGAAGACTTAAAAAATATTTTCGACTTTTCCATTTTCAACATTCCTTTATTGAGGCAAGACTATATAATCCCAAACAGTGGTTTTTATCTTTTTGGAGGCCTTGACAGAGGCGGAATGCCTTGCAATAGCTTATTTGGGCTATATATTCAGCTAAATAAAATTATATGAACTGAAGTTAGTGGCTATGGAAGACCACCTCCTCCAAGATATGCCCACACTGCATGCTCAATTAATAATCTGCTGTTTATTTTTGGGGGAAGAGATGATTTTTCTCATAAGGCAGGCGAAGATATGAGTTTAAATGATCTTCATGTTTTCAATGTGGAGACTTTGATGTGGTTGAAAGTTGATACGATGGGAACTCCACCGGCCGGAAGGTGGGGACATTGTATGGTATCGATAGCAAGCAAAGTCTTGATTTTTGGAGGCATGACCTTATCAAACTTTTTGTCATCTGATATATATTGTTTGGAAACAAATAGAGAAGCAATAGAAGAGCTGATGAGAGAGAGTAAACGAAATGTCAAACAAGAAAGAGTTGTAGTTAGAGAGAAAACTGTGGGGAAGGAACTTAAAGGGTTTATTAGTCGTATGTCAAGTATTGAAGAGCAAGAGACGTAAAATTTTGAACAGAATATTATGAAATATCTTTATTATAATTATGAATTTAATTAGCAATTTTATTGAAATTGAATTTTATATTACACTGAGATTAAGGAATAGAGTAAATAATCCGTGGCTAGCTGCAATCTCTTAAGAAAAAAATTGTTTAGATAAGCTCGATACTATTACATCTCAGAGAAATTCGTGTAAAACTTTTCATATTGCAATCTTATAAAATATCCCGTTTTGATTAATTGCTTAATAATAAAAATTTATTATAGTATTTGCCCGAGGATGGCGCTATCTTGCACCATCCTCGGGCAATTCAAAAATGGCCCCACACCGGGAATTGAACCCACGTATGGGGCCGTTTTTGGTATGTGGAGAACATCGACTTCCAAGCACCAAAAATGGCCCCACATGTGGGTTCAATTCCCGATGTGGGGCCATTTTTTAAAACTGCCCGAAGATGGCGCAAGATAGCGCCATCCTCGGGCAATTGCAATAATAAAAATATCATATGCAAAACCTGAGAGGGAGATCAATTGATGATTCGCCAATTCAAAGAAATTTTATTCAAAAGAATATTGAGGCTATTCAAATCTATAAGAAAAGAAGCATCACTCCTCCTCCTATTAAAATAGTTCAACCACGAAAAACCTTGCCATCTCCTATTTCAGAAAGATCCCATTTGCTAGCACCAACAATTGCTTCGTTAATGAAGAAAAGAGAAGGTCAAAAATCTGAACTTACTAAAAGTAGAAGTTCTAATAATTTGCTGACTTATAAGCCAGATCCTGCTGTTTTTAACAGAAATGATGCAGGCAAAAATCAGCGTGTAACTTTTGATAGCCCACAGCTCTATGGCGATTTTTTAAATGAAGATCCCTCGCCTGAGCCTTCTTTAGTACCTATAAGAATCAAAAAAAGGCCAACATCACAAGATTTTATGAAGCCAATAGAAAACGGTTCTCCGAATTTATCATTAATATTTTTACCATCAGATGATTCTCCTATTGACAATAAAAGTGACTCCAGCCAAGTACTTATGAAAAAACTAACTTCCTTTGATAGTGAGCAAAATGCAATTGGAAAAATTAACCCCCTTCTTTAACCAGACAAGCTCCCATTTTAATATAACTTTGTTATAAAAAAATTAATATTTAATTAATAATTATAATGATGAAATCTCTAGCCAATTAAATTAATTATAGAATTTTATTATAATCAAAGAAGATTTGATTTATCAAATTCCAAAATCATTCATTTATTAAAATAATCACTCCCTGATGCTTATGAACAAAAACCTTTCTCGCTAGTCAAAGGAGGAAGTAAGCAACCCAAAAAATCTTGAAATTGATACAGAGAAAATTGAAAATGAATATGCGACGCCAAAAGAATACGAGCCACTTCCAATTGAATACGTTAAACTTGACACTTTAAATTTTTACTCAAGTCATTTTTCTATCAGAGAAGCTATTGTTTCTGATATCTTGACTGGGAAAATTTTTATAAGTAAAAAAATATTAGAAGGAGGAAGCTTATTGAGAAAATGCAAAGGCATAAGAAAGAAAAATATTGAAAAACTTGTATATGAGGTTGAGTTCAAACCAGAAACCTCTGATTGTACTCAGTGATTAGATATAAAAACGAAATTGATTTCGAAATTTAAAGGAGAAGTGTTTGATATTTTAGAAAAATTAAGCAAGAGTAATAAATTTGCACCAAAAATAATCCCATTAGAAAGAAGATCACCAAACAGAGCTTTAAGAAAATTAGATGACCTTTCAGCAAAAATAGGAATGGTTATAGAGTCAAAGCTAAAAGCCAACAAAAAAGAAGACTGATTAAAGCAAGTAATTAGCAATGACCCAACAATTCCTGACATAACTTTAGAACTACCCCAAGAGTATACAAATTCTGATGAAATGATTGTAGATCTATTTCTCATACTCTGAAAGCACCAAATCAAGCCTCTTTCTCCCAAAAGACTTGCTCTTTATCTAGAGCCTGACCGATTAATTCTAAAACTCCCAAAAATCCAAGACCCTCCCACAAAAATAAAAAGTATCCTTCAGCTGATTCCTCTATTAATTTTAAACCTGAAACTTAAAGAAGCAAACCACTATATAAAATCTGTCGACACTTCTTCAAAGCCAGCTAAAATATGAGAAGCATGAATTTCAATTTTATATCACGTCTATAACAATGGAAGCACTAAAGAAGCTTATTATATGCTACAATCAGTGAGCCCTTCAACAAATTATACTCTTCTGTATAAGATTGCTTGCATTTATACATTTTATTTCTCTTGCATATTTAGAGGAATTCCTAGATCAGTTAGCTATGCGAAATCTTTAGATTTAGGTGAATGGGAAGGGATTGTTATTGCAGATTTAATGCTTAGGAGTGAAGCAAAAGACCAAGAAGAAAAAGCTGTAGAAATACTAAGAGGCATGATAGAGAACACGCCTCATTTGAGATTTTTAGCAGCATTTAGGCTATTTCAGTATTATAAAGATTACAGTTTATTACCACAGGCTTTAGAAATCGCAAACCAAAATTTAAGTTTTTTCAATGATCAGTTCAAAGACTGGAACTCGCTCTTTCAAAGTTGTGTGTTTAAAATTTTAGCTCGAAATCGAACAGAAATCACATATAAGCCAACAGATCCTTATTTACAGTATCAAATTTCCAGACTTTCTCTAAAATATAATCTTAACACAGATATAGTTGATATCATCACTTATTTAAACACAGTCATCAAATATGGATCAATTTATAATCTTGCTAACCAGCTATTCACCTTTACATTTTGAAAATTCATTTACTTCAGAAGAGAAGGATTTCACCGAATTGCAGCGAAACTTGGGGCAACTGCACTAGATTATGAACCGCTAGACAATGATAAAATCCTTTCTATCAAAAAATATTTACTCCCCCCCCTCCGTGAGTGAACAAAAAAAATTTTGTTCACTCACGGAGGGGGGTTTAATTTTTTTTTTTTAAAAACATTTATATATACATTTTTTATAGAAAAATTTTTTTCGAAATTTTAAAAAAATCCTAATTTGCAAAAATTGGAAGGCAAATATTAATTTAATTTATAAAATTTATGTTCTAAAACGCAATTTGTTTAAAATTAAACAGAATCAGCTCGAGATTTCATTGTAATAATTATCACTTATATATCAATTTTTTTTTTCATAAAAAATTTTTGTTCAATAAAAATAGGGATTTTTCTAATGGTTTTGTTCACTCACGGAGGGGGGAGTTAGCAAAATATAATAAAGTTGCTGAAAAACTCAAACAATTAGGCAAAGCTAAAAGTCAAAATGATACGAAACTTTGTAAGGAAATTCAAGAGAATCTAGAAGATTTTGATAAAAATATGGGTCTATGCATATCGTTGCTATTAGAACTGAATACAACGCTATCTCCTCCAAAAAATATTTCTTTATGTAAGTCATTATTAAAAGTCCCGCATAAATTTGAAAATATGTTTGTTAACTGATACAATCTTTATAAAAGCAAAAAAATTAAAGAAAAGCAGTTTAAATGTTTGGATGGGCAAGAAGAAATTGATAAGAGGGATAAGAATAATCCTTTATATGTGTTAAAAGTACATGATATTTAGAAAATTAAAAGTATGCTAGAAAGTTTTGAATTAGCAGAATCAAATTGCTTATCTTTGAAGCCAGAAGTCTTATGAATATTAGTTGGAAAAGGCTTTGGAGGAATAGAAATAATAGATTCTCTTAGGGTTATGCAAGGAAAGACTTACCTTCGAATCAACGTATCAAGATCAGTGCAAAAACTTAAAAAAGGCACCCATAGATCTAAACCTCATCCAATCCTATACTATTATTTAGCGAAATTTCAAATAGCCCTAATAAAGCAAACTCGCCATGCAAGTGAAGCCCAATTCAACCAAATAAATCTCTATCTAAATAGTTTCGTCTCTACAGAAAAAATGAACCCAATTTATCTTATGGTATTTATATCGCTTAACGTCCACTACGGGGTTACGACCCCAGGTTTATCACTCGCCTTTCGTCGCATCGGGCCCACCAGTCCGCTGGGGACAGACTCGCTTTGATCTCCAAGGTGCTTCTAGGGCAAATGTCCACGTCTTCGACGGCTCATGGATGAGCTACTTGCTTGTACATGGGTTGCTTTTCCGAAAAAACCCAAAAAATGGATTTTTTCTGGTCGGCTATCGGCAAAAAGGAAAAATGCAAAGCCTGGGACGTAACGCCCAGTTTCACGCTAGGGAGTTGCCCGAATGGTCCAGAGGACTTTGCTGGGCCCCTTTCCAACCTTGCACCCTCCTTCCCCACGAGGAAAAATCCACCCCTAAGAACAGACTAGGGCTAGGCTCTGAAAGCTACCAGAATTGCTTACCTAGCATTGCAGTCCATCTCTGAAATGGTAAAACCTTGCCGGATATAATTAAAATATGAGTCGAGTATGTATGGCCGGGAGGCCATACCAAGACGAAGACGCCATATTTTAATTATGAACCCAATTTATCAGCTTAAAGTTTTGTACCTTAATGCTGAATTAGCATTTATGTGCCGAAACTATGAGTAATTTTTATTCAGACAATCTTTACGTTATTTCCAAGAATCAGAAAAATACGCCAATTCGATTTCTTCCAATTATCTGAAAATTCCTAAAAGACTGCTAAATGCTGATATAATTACTCAAAGATTACCTAAATATGAATAAAATTTTTGAATAAAATAAATTTAATGAATTTTTTAATTTTCTCAAGCTTTTCGTTTCTACTTGTGTATTCAGATAGGCTTGAAAACTCAATCACTGAAAATTTGAATGAAATTTATCAGGAAATTGCTGGGAAAGAAGAAAAAATATATGAATTTGTAGAGATTGTTTTCAAAGAAGAAGCTTTGTATAGCGGCAGACAGGTTATACTGTTGAATAATACAATGTCAGGAGAGATTTCCCTGCATTATGTGGTATATGAAAAAGAAGATGACTCAAATAAAACTGATATCATCCTGCATCAGACCCCAGATTTTGCTTACTTTCTCCAATCCTTGATCGAACGATTGCATTTAAAATTCTAAATCTCCTATTTTTTATCATATATTTTTCATATATTAAAGTATGAAATCAAATCTTTACTATTCTCAAAATAGAGCTACCTTAATTTATCGAAAACGAATAAAGACATATTGAGGCCTATTTGATAAAATATTATGTACTCTATCTCTTATCAGTAGTGCATAAAATCTCTTATGTAGAAAAAAATTTTAAATAAATAGTTAACAAAACAATTTATACATAATTTATTTTTTTCAAAATTCTTGATCGAACTATAAGATTATTCGATTAAGGATTGGAAAATTACAGAGAAAGTGATATTAAGCATATCACCGAAGCAATATTTAAAGAATTTAATACCCAAGAAATTCAGTACAGTGTTTTAACGTCCCCGAAGCGTCAAACTGTAGAAATTGAGAAGGACAAAGTTTTTAAAGATATAAGCTTGGTGAACGCAATTATTTTTTATAAGAATCAGACTTTTTCTATCAATGTAATTATAGACGGAGCAAACAAATCATCGTTCCACTGACTTACACTACCAATAGATAGGAAAGAAGTCTATACCTATTCAACATCGTCTCCATTTACTCTTGCAATTATGTGCACTCTTATAGTAACTTTTATTGCTGTTTATTTTGCGCTTTTTGCTTACTGAAGGTACTCAAATAGTGTTCCGTTTACTAAATTCAGGCTATCCGACTTAAGAGCATTAATCACTACTACTCAAACAGAAAGATCTTTTAATTAAAATGTCCGAAAAAAATCACATGTGCTTCCTTGTTAATAAATATTTATTTTAAAATGTAAATTATGGACTATCTATTGAATTATTGCTAAAGCAAATAAAAATTAAAAGAAAAAGAGAAAATATTGTAGGTCTTTTAAGTTTATATAAAAAATTAAGATAATTTTGTTAAATAAGCACAAAATCCAAGAATTAGCTTGAATAACACTTGTAAGTATCAATAATACTATTTTAAATGTCTTTAAGTTTGAAAAATTCTGATAAAAAATGGGTTCGAAATCAAGTAAAGATACTCTAGATGATACCTTATTTAATCTGAGATTTGCAGGCAAAACATTAATAAAAGAATCAGATCGAAGCCAAAAAGAAGAAAAAATAGAAAAGGATAAGGCCAAAAGAGCTTTAGAAAAAGGTCTTATTGATAACGCTAGAATAGCTGCAGAAAATGCTATCAGAAAGAAAAATGAAGCCTTAAACTACCTAAGATTATCCTCAAAACTAGATGCAGTCGCATCCAAAATAATGTCAGCGAGCAGAACAGAAGCTATGACTCGTCAATTTTCTCAAGTAATTCCACAAATGAACAGAGCCATGAAAAGTATGAACCTTGAGAATATAAGTGAAACAATGGGACAGTTTGAAAAGTGCTTCGAAAATTTAGACGTTGCTTCTGGATATGTTTCTGAATCATTAAATCAAACTACGACAGTGTCAACGCCAAGAGATCAGGTTGATAATTTGTTGGGAATGATTGCAAGCGAGCATAATATTGAGGTAAGAGGGCAGCTAGGAGAAGCACCGCTGGGGATTAGCGCAAAGGAAATTGAAGAGAGTAATAAAATTGATGTCCAAAAATTGAAATAATCTAGTTTATTTTAGAAATCTTCTAATAACTTTGTCTTGGGATGTTTCTGTTGTTATTTTCTTTAAAATTTCTTGTTTAAACGAAGCAGATAATTGCTGTTTTGTTATTTTGTTAAGCAAAATATATGTGATTACGTCTTTGCAGCCTTGTGAAAGATCTTGATTGTCGTTATTAACGCTATTTATTATATTTTCCATTGCTTTGTTTGAAAGATAAGGGAAAAATTTTTCACAATGCTCTTGCAATATTATCTGCAAAGCAATAAGACATTTCATCAATATTTCAGCTTGATAATTTTCAATAGCAAAATTAAATATTTCAGCTAAATTTTCAAACGATACTTCTTCTTTTGTTTTTATTATTGATTTAGAAACAAGAAAAAGTAATTCAGATAATTCACTCATCAGCTCATCTGATTCTGCTTGCTCTTTATCTAGCTCATAAAAATCAATAATTTTTCGTATTGAATTAATAGTGCCACTGGTTAAGCCTTTTTCTATTTTAGATTTGTTGAGTTCGCTTCTAAATTGTTCTTTTAGCCTCTGTAAAATTATGATATGAAAATACCAATTTATGATATTGTATTCTTTTTCCTTGTCTAAAAATGAGGATATTGGAATGTCTTTTCTTTTGGAGAAAAGCATTGATATATTGCACTTATAAAGGTAAAAAAACTTCATTAACCATGAAGAAGTGTCAATGTTTATGATTTCTAGCCCAATAACAAACACTATGTTAAAATTACACATAGAGCCAAACATCCCTGCACCGCTTACTCCGCGAATGTAGTCTCTTTTTGTAGCCTTGATATACATTTGCTTTGCTTCATAAACTTTCTTCTCATATCCAAATTCCTTTTGAAAGTGGCTTGCCCTTTGGATAATTTTCTTTATCATATTAAAAACAGAAGGAAAATATTATCTGATTTATATATCTCATCAAAAAAGAATAATATATTATTAGAAATAGATGTAGATTTAAATTCATTGTATTTATTATAAATTAAGGAATATTTATAACCTATCTTTTGAGTTACTATTGTAGATTTCTTTAAATAATATCAGTCCTCTATCTGTTAAGAAAGCTTATTTCGAAACAAAATAAATTTGTTTTAAAATTTGGATAAATGGATTATAATTTAAATTTATATCTTATTATATGGTAATTATTTATTTATGCAATTTAAAGTAAATTAATTATCTTTAGTTATTTCATTACCACTTCTAATTAATTTTGAGTTCCCTACGCATATTTGGGAAGTGTAATTTAAAAATTTTAAATCTTTATGAGAAAAAGACATAAAATATTATAAAACCAAGCATTTGTAATAGCCAAAGATTCTAAGAAAAAGAAAATTTCTAATTTTTTAAATGCAAAAATAAAATTAATTCAATGGCTCCGTTACTTATAATTACTGTTAAAACATTAATAATAAATGATAGCAAAGATCTTTATTCAAAGTAGAATCACCTGTAAAAATTCAACTTTGCAACCAGGCTATGATATAATATAAAAATTTTTATCGGAACTAGCCTCCTCAATAGCTTTTCCTTCTTTGGCATTTTATTATTATGACTTTTTGTTTACCTGGAGCACTTAAGCTCAGCAATATCAGAAACAAGCCAGCGTGCAGCAAGAATGTCTGATCCTTTCAGCTTGAGGAGATATGCAGATTTACCACTTGAAACCCACAAGGAGGATACCATTAAGCGAATCTCTGCATAGGAGTGAGGCTTAGAACGAGACAATGCTCATGTGAGGTTTTCTGGCCGAATTGTGGAACGTAAAGTTTCGAATTGTTTTCACTAGATAAAAATGGTGAAGTAGGAATACCGATGCACACCAATTGGAGTTAACAGGTTGAGCTTCAGCCTACCACCCTGTACAACAAAGTGGCAGGCTGATTAGTAAGTAAATAATTAAACAAACAGACTATGATAGATTTATTTAAACATCAGGCTTGAAGATTTCTTGGCATTGATGATTATTTTCTTCATATATAATAGAACAAATGAATTTTACAAACCGCTCTCCATAGTCTTCACTTCCTACAGCAGAAATATCTAACTTTGATACTCCTGGCATCACAAAAGACTTGCTTAAAGTTTCCAATCTTTTAAGTCTCCCATACGTTTGCAAAAAATCAATAATTCCAATTACATATCCTTTTCCCTTATCATTTCCAATAGCTCTAAAACTGTTTTTTACAGCCACTTCTTGATAGCTTATCCCAAGAAGCAGTGAATAGTCCATAATGTTTAATCTTGTAAATAGCTGCACATCACTATGGATTCTCTTTTTCAAAGCCAAACCATCCTCATAAGAAAGAAAAATCGATTTTTTAAGGTGAAGAAAGTCCAAGTCTTTATAAATTCTATCATTTAGAATGTCATCTATGCTTTTCACACTTACATGTGAAATTGTTTGTCTGGCAACTTTGCTACCTTTTAAGTCAAACACAGCTTGCATATTATAGCTGGGCAAAATATTTTGCATGATAATTAAATTGCATTTGGTGTTATTAAAAGAAATCGCAAAAAGGCCAAATAAGCGCGCGATCAAACTATCAGGGTTTTGTTTTATATGAGCATGATATTCAGGTAGAAGTACTTCTAGTAGCACTTTTTGTTCAGCTTTAGTTATAGTTTTGACCAAATATTTTTTATCAAAAGAAAAATAAAAGAAAGCGCTGCTTCTTCCTCCTTTATTTCCAGAATTTTTTCTAATATATGGCAAATTTCTCATAATATCAAATGACAAGCACAATTCTGTCTCTGAAAGTCCTTCAAGACTTCTTAAATCTTTAAAGACCATTGGTGCATACTCTTTAACTTTGCATTTAAAGCTAGCCACTAAATATTCCTTACAATAAGTTTTCAACGATGGACTTATTTCTTCATTTTGGAAATCATTTCCATCAAACGTCCATTCAACAGATTGCTGATAATAATCATCGCTGTTTAAATATTACCTTCAAGGAAGTATCATTTCTTCTTCGATATCCTCATATCGATTTTCGCTTGAAAGCACCAGCTTTAAGGAGATTATTGAATTTATAACAGCTTCGTCAAACATTGCAGAAAAAATCTGCGTATAGTCAGACTCATAAATGCTTTCTCTTGTTAATAAAGACTCATCTGCTAAAGAAACACCTGAATCCCGATGGTCACCTATCAGCTTCGCAACTGTATTTCTTCTGCTCATTTTATTAGAAAATCCTAATCGCTTTTTTATATATCTTATAAATACAGGATCCGTTAAACGGACCGTGTTAATTGCAAGGCCAGAGGAGCAGCCAAATACCATAGCAGTTTGATTAAATCATAGATTTTTTTCTGATAACAAGTCTTCTTGTAAAATTAAGTCCAAGCATACAGGTAGCCAAAACACTGTATAAACGATGAGGAATACTGAATGCTTGATTAAAAAGGTCTTGAAGCTCTCTGAAGTTGTTTTTGTGATTATATATATAGACATGATAGATACCACTATACTGAAAGGGTAATAAGTGAATAAAGGAATAAACATAATATTGTTTACCCATGACCCCTTTTTAATTAAACAAATTCCTATGACAGATTCCCCAGCGCTATCTAGGGAAATAACTAGAATGGCTATAATAAGACCTATTGAATGTGTAGCAATGTGATATATGGGAGATCTCTTCCTGTAGCTGCTATCCATAGGGTTGTTGATTTTAATCAAAACTTCATGACTGAGGCATAAACTGTAGTTTCAGCTTACAAAAAAGAAATATAAGGTAATTATCCCATTTACAGAGCAAAAGATGGAACCCGGAACTTCGCTCTGAGTTCAGTACCGAAATGAAAAAAAGCTTCATTGAAAATCTACGATTGTCTGAGCAAGGGATTGTCCAAGAATAAGCATTCCTGGGTGTTTTCGCATTCCTTTTAAGATAAAGTAAGCAGCAAGTAAAAAGAGACCTGAAATAAACGAGAGCAGGCCAAGAATTCCATATACATAACCTCCTTCTTTTGTTTCCATATTATCTTTAAACAAATTTTAAAAGTTTTATATGGATAAGTTATAATTAGTAACAAATTTAAGCAAGATGGGATGTTTTGTGTCGAAAAATAATTGTCAGTCTTCTAATAAAGCCTTACTCCCCCCTATTTTTTGCCCAAAAACCCACCCTCCGTGAGTGAAATAAAAATTTGTTATTGAAAAAAATTTTGATATATAAATGATAATTATTATAATGAACTTTAGAGCTAATTCTGTTTAATTTTAAACGAATTGCTTTTTAAAACATAAATTTTACAAATTAAATTAATATTTGCTTTCCAATTTTTGTTCACTTACGGAGGGGGGAGTTAGAAGAATTTCATTCAAATCCGAGTCCTCATAAAAGCGCAATTGACCCAAGTATCATTACAATGGACATCAGAAAGTTTTATGTTTTTGAAGAAAGAATCGGGAAAGGGCATTTCGGAGAAGTTTATTTAGTGCATCGTATAAATGACATCAATAAGAAATTTGCTGTAAAATCTATATCAAAGCCTCAATTCTCCACCCATAATGTTAAATATGTCAAATCAGAAATAGAAAATCTCCAAGCCTTGGATCATCCAAATATCATAAAATTATATGAAAGCTATGAAGATGATGAGCATATACACTTACTACCCCCTATGAGCGAACACAAATTTTGTTCGCTCGTGGAGGGGATTAATTTTTTATTTTGAAAATTTCAATTTGTAAAAAATGAGGAGCAAAAATTAATTTAATTATAAAATTTATGTTTTAAAATGCAAGCTGTTTAAAATTAAACAGAATTAGCTAGAGATTTCATTATAATAATTATCATTTTGTATAAAAATTTTTGTTCGCTCATGGAGGGTGGGTTTTTGGGCAAAAAATATGGATTTTTTCAATGGTTTTGTTCGCCACGGAGGGGGATGTTAGTAACTGAATACTGCTCTGGAGGGAAGTTACTTACGAAAATGAAAAAGAAACCGATTTTTACTGAAGTTGAAGCTGCAGCAATAATTATGAAAATTTTAAGAGCAGTTAAATATTTGCATGAAAGAGGAATTTGTCATCGAGATATTAAGCCTGATAATTTCCTTCTTGAAACTGAAGCTGAAGATTCAGATATTAAGATGATTGATTTCGGACTTTCTCACAAGCTGGAAGGAAAAGTCAAGAGAATGAAATCTACTGTTGGAACGCTAAATTATGTTGCTCCAGAAGTATTGAAAGGGAATTATGGATTTAAATGTGATTTATGAAGTGTTGGCATAATAATGTTTATATTATTAACTGGAGATATGCCAATAAAAGGAAGATATCAAGCAGAAATTTTAGAAAGCTTAAGAAACTACCAGTTAAATACTGACTCTGAAGAATGAGCTCAGCTAAGTCCTTGGGCCCAAAATCTTTTAACAAATTTGTTAGAAAAAGACCCTAACAGAAGATATGATGCCCAAACTGTATTAAAGCATCAATGGCTTCAAGATAATTATAAAGTTCCTAGAAAAGCAATAGATCCCAAAATTTTTGAAGCTTTAAAAAGCAGCAAAATAACTTGTAAGTTTCAAAAAGAGGTTCTTGATTTTATCGTTAAAAATATCGACTGCGAAGAGCTTCGAGACCTGAAAAATGCGTTTTTAGACTTAGATACAGAAAATATAGGAGCTTTAACTTTTAGCGAGCTTGAATCTGCATTGCAAACAATGAACCACTCAAATAAATCAGAAGAAGTAAAAAGAATAATCACAAATCTCAAAGCTGAAGATAGCATGAAACTAAATTATTCTGAATTTTTGGCAGCCACTTTTAGCTCGAAATTAAAGTTTGGAAAAGAGTTATTAAAGGTAGGATTTAAGCATTTTGATAGAGATAACAAAGGGTTTATTAACGAAGAAGATATATATGAAGCTTTGAAAAGAAGTGGGAGAAAAATAAAGAAAAAAAAAGTGCATGAAATTTTTGCTGAAATTGATGCTGATGAAACAGGCAAAATCAATTTCAAACAATTTAGAAACATTTTGTTAGGAAAGAGCAGAAATCGGATTTAATTTCTAAATCTTTCTTAATTATTAGGAAAAATAACTATCTTTTCATTTGTCTTCTCCAAGCAACTAGCAATTCTTTAAATTCTTTTTTGGTTAGGATATCTTGAGAATTCACACTTTTGAATCTAGCTTTTTTCCATCTGCTTCGGTTCATTTCTTTGATTTCATCAGATTTAATTTTTGAAATAATTTTTATTTCATCTTCTAAAGCTTCACATTTTCTTTTAGTTTTACTCAAACTCGTCTTTAGCCCATCATTAGTCGCTTTATCAATTTTTGATAGAACATCATTTATTTTATCCAGCCTCAATTGCTGTATAGGAGACCCTGAAGTTAGTCCAGCTTTAGTAGTACAGGATTTACAGGAAATTTTAAAGTTAGGTATTGATAAAGATTCTTTCAATGAAGAAATAATTGAACCTTGCCGCATTAATCCAGGTAAAGTATGGAAACTTTCTCTGTCGGTTTTTCTTGCTTTAAAAAGTGGGGAATTATTTCTTGATGTAGCATCATACATATCTGTGTCACCAAAAACTACAGATGAAGATCGATGCTGAAATAAAGGTAAGGAAAATTTTGTCTGAGGATCTTTCTTTTTACCAAAAGGTTTATTAGTTAAGGTTGGCCATATTTTCATATTTTACTATTTATGCAAAAAAAGTACTTAAGATAGAATTCTATATGCATATATAGTGAAAAAAATAAAAATAAGTATCTTCTTATTGAAAGCTGCAACTATGAGCTTTCTTCACTGGATTCACTTTCTTAGGAACTGCTTTGAGCTTTTTCAGTTTCTTCCAGCTCTCCTTTGGAGCTTGCATCATCACTTGAACTATCACTTTGCTCAGTTTATTTTCTCCTGAAGATATGCTTTTACGCAATTAATGCGAATATCTAACTAATTTTCAATGTATATTATTATATATTATAAAAATGCCTGATTATCATAATAAATTATGCTTTATTTTGATTTTATTTATTCTCAGCTTTATTATTTTCATTTTTTTGGCCTCTTGGTTTTTTACTTTTAATCATAACGATGACTCCCCCCCCTCAATCTTCATGTCTATTGCAACAAAAATTTTTCGAAAAAAAATCTTCATGCCTACTGCAACATAACATTTTTATAAAAAAAAATTAATGCATTTTTTCTAGGTGAGTTTCTCAAAAAAGCCATAAAACAGCGCTGTTGTAGCGTGCCAATGACCTCTCATCGAGATTTGGTCGGCTATTGTCATCGCTCGCCATTTTATTAAATTTATCTAGCTAAAAAGTACAAGAAAATTTAAGATGCGCATCGAAAATTTGTTGCGAGAGGATTAGGATTATTACAGACAGGCGCTAGCCATATTGGTGACGCAGTCACCAAAGACCTCCGTACGGAAGGTTCTACTGTCTATCCCTCTTATAAGTGCCCTTCCGGTACCTTCTGTCTCCTCTTTGACTTGCGCTTCAGTCTTGAGTGGGCAGCTTATGGATTTCTGCGGCCCTGATACGGGCGATTGGAGTAGCTAGATTCCAAGGATCAGCTCCTTGGAGTCTATCGGGTGTCAAAGTGCCTTCCTTGACAGCCACAGCAAAAAGACTGTTCCCCTGTGGTCTGGGCTGAAACCCCCAGTTTCTCGGTAGAGGAATGCCCATGGGTCCTCGGATCCAAAGGATGTTGTTGAGCACCTCCCATTTCCAACCACAGGAAAGCAGCCCAAAACCTACTTAGATGCACATTATCTCAGGCTTCATTTGATTCTTTACTCGGAGTCCGTCCCAGTTCGCCGTAGCTATAAGGTCTGGAGTGCTGCGCCAAGAGGGCAGGTTGACACATGTCGCCATTTTAATGTATATAATTTGTTGCAAGAGACATGAAAATTATTATTTTTTTATATAAAATTTTATATTAAAAATTTGCATTTTTGTTGCAATAGACATGAAGATTGAGGGGGGGTCATCGCTACTTATTGAATTGCTTTATTTTTGATTCTTAATTAAAAAACTTTGGAATATAAGCAATTAACAAAATTGGCCTTAGCAATTCCTCTTCTTTCTCCTGCTCACCAATTTCCTCTTTATCCTCCATTTCATCGAATCTTTTTTAAGAGCTTCTCAATCATGTTTATATTCATCATTATTGACATATTTTATAGAGTTCATTTCAATATCCATATTATATATATCAAATCATATGCCAGGATATGGCATTTCAAGCCGAATGAAATGGAAAAGAGGAATTAAACATCAGAATAATGTAATAACCCAAAACCGACTGCAATAAGAGTATCTTTGATGCAAAAGGTGTATGAAATGGTCTTCATAATCATAATGTTCTGATTAAAATCTCAGCTGCGCAGCGATCGATTTTCCACATCCCAGTTATTGGGGATTTTCCATAGGGCTGCATATGAAAATCCGCTGAAAATTCAGTCTTTTCGTGTGCTTTCAATCTATCAATAGGCCATTTTTAGAAGCATATTTAAATTTATCATATCAGAATTGATGGATGGAAAATATACTGTGCTGGCTTTATTTGGTTCATATAAGCCTTGTAGGTATTATACACTTTTTTATTATAATACTATTTTTTCAGTGCTATGCCAAATTCAACCCAGCACACAGCATATTTATAAATGATTTTAATGAACCTAATCATGGCCTTTTCCTTAGTTTAATCAATAAATAAACCCTTAAATTTTATTGTAATTTTCAATTATCGATCAAATTAAGTTCTTTCAGGCAGTAAGTAATATATTTTAATAGCTATAAAATCATGATTGATGGCCTACCTCTGGTTCAAGCAATCATTATTCATAAAATTTACTGAATAAGATATTTTAAATAAAAAAAGAACTAAAATTTACATTTACAGTCACTAATTTAACATCAGTACTCTCAAGCATCTTATTTAGTAAGTATTAACATAATTTTCAAACCAATCAACCAGCTTTTCTTACAAATAAAATGTCAGGCCCAGATCTTCGCAATATCCCAAATGACGTGCTCTTCAATGAAGTCAAGCGCAGATTTGATTGCTCTTTCAAACCTAAAGGAAAAGTAATCTTGACTGGACCTCCAGGCTCTGGCAAAGGTACTCAAGCTCCTCAATTAAGCCAAGAGAATTGTTGGTGTCATCTTTCTACTGGCGATCTTCTTACTCTTTCACTTAAAAATGTTTTTTAGCATTAAATACAGCATGATTTATTTATTATTAAATTTATAATAAAATTTTATTATCTTACACAAAAAATGTTTTTAAAAAAATTTTAAATCTTACCCAACAATAATTGGCTGAGCTAGAGACGAAGTATCAAGAGGTACCGAGCTCGGCAAAAAAGCGAAAGAAATCATGAATCAAGGCGCCCTTGTATCTGACGATATTGTCATAGGAATGATCAAAAACAAGCTTAAAGAGCCTATCTGCAGCCGTGGTGCCATTTTTGATGGGTTCCCAAGAACAGTTCCACAAGCTGAAGCTTTAGACAAAATGCTTGAAGAAGAAGGCAGCAAAATTGATAAAGTCGTTGAGTTTAACATCCCAGACGAGATTTTGGTAGAAAGAATTACTGGACGAAGAGTTCACCTTGCCAGTGGAAGATCTTACCACGTCAAATTTTCACCTCCAAAGGTGCCTGATGTTGATGATATCTCTGGAGAGCCTTTAATCCAAAGGAAAGATGACACTGCAGAAGTTCTCAACAAGAGACTTCAAGCCTATCATTCAACTACAACTCCAATTCTCAACTATTATTCTCAGAAAGGACTTTTGGCTACTATTAATGCCAATCAGCCAGTGAAAACTGTATGGGAAGATCTTTTGAGAAACATCAGCCCATAATTAAGTTCTTACTGCATTTTTTATTTTTATGTTAAAATTGGTATTATAAGATAGCCATTTTTATTATTTTATTTAAGAGAGTTAGCCAAAATAAGTGAATTAAATATTAAATGGAAATTCTATCTTTGCAATTAGCGATAAACTCTATAAGTGTTTCACCAGATGCCAAATTACTCATATGTGGGGGAAGGGAAATCCTTAAAATTTTTAAACTTGAAAATAAAATAACAGAAGATAGAAGTCTTAGGATAGGAAAGCCAAATCTTAATTATAGCACCCAAGATTTAGCTTGGCATCCTAGGCAGTCCAATTATATTCTTTCAGCAGCAAAAAATTCATGTATTGTTCTATGGAATTTAGACAAATCTGGGCCAAATAAGCTTGATTTAATCTTTAAAGGTCACTCTAAGGTTGTGAATCGAGTAAAGTGGCAGCATACTAACTATGACGTCTTTGTGTCAGCCGGACAAGATGGGATGATAAAACTATGGGACAAACGAGTTGCTGACCAAGTTATCCTAAATTTACAACTTAAATTAAAGTTATTAAAATCTTCGAGATTTGATGCCTCCATGTTTTTCTGATCAGAGCTACTTGTTTATCAGAAGGGAATTCAGCCTCTATTGGAGCAGAAGTTTCTCAAGGATATCTTTACCGCGACTCCAACAATCTCGATGGGTTGAAAGTCTCATCCATCGTCTTGTCATCGTGTGCCATGAAAGCACCTGTCAGCTTGATGTTTTATCTCAGCCATTTGCAATTAGTGAAAAAACCCAGGAAAAAAGGAGCATTGCCACAAGAAATGAGGTAAAGTATCATGACCTAAAAAAGCCGGATCAATAATAGCATGGATTGAGTGAACGACAGCTTCGACCTAAGTTTACCCACCCCATACAATTGTTATAAACAAGCTAATGTTTAGAGTTAAAGAACATGAACCCCAGGCCATACTATAAAGTGGCTTTTGCAACCATAATGGTTCATTTTCGTCAAGAACATAATTATTGTCTCCACAATATTAATTTTGTGACGACAGTGGCATGCAGTCGTCGAGTATATATTTATTGCCACATTTATATTAAATGAGTGAATTTACAAGGAAACGCAGAAGGCGCCAGAGATGTCAGCTTTTCGCCGTTTAAAGAAAATTTAATAGCAGCAAGTTTTGATAATGGACAAGTCCAGATATGGGATTTAAAGATGCCAAACCCGCTTTGCAAAATCGGTGCCCACAAGAGAAATGCATTAAGCATTGACTGGCACCCAAATTATGCAGATTTATTAGCATCTGCTGGAAGTGATAAAAACATTAAAGTATGGAATGCTCAGTCTAGTGAGCTTGTATGCAAGGTGCAAGCACCCGAGCCTGTAGCCTAAATTTAAATTATTTATAGGGAATTTCCCCGCAGATCTATAGGCCACTACTAGCCTCTGCATAACGCTCCACAACATGCTTGCCAGTCCGAACACCAAATGACTCCTAGTTCCAACCCAAGCGAACCATCTCAAAATCTTGGCCTGGATGTGAGCAGGCATCAGCTAATCTGGCATTACGCTCCACCAAACCAAGTAAAATCCGGCTATATATACATTTTCGAATACTTTTAACTCTTCTACAAGGTCCTGGCTTTCCCACTAAACTGCGGATACAGGTTTTAAGAAGGCAGACCAGCTCACCACGCATTTTAATATATATCCTGAGCCTGTAGCCAAGGTATCATGGGTTCCACATGAGAATAATCAGATTGCTTCTGCTTCTCATACACTAGATAACAATTTATATATTTGGCATTTAAACGAGCCATCTTTGCCACATTTCGTATATCGAGGGCACGCGCATCCCATCAAAGATTTTTTATGGGTCGGGGACTCGATTATTACATGTAGCGAGGATGGAAACTTAATTAGGAATCCTAGAGAAAACGCTTATAGGCCACACAAGTATTTAGCAAAACATTCATTGGCAGTAAGTCCATTGAATGTGTTAGCAACTTATTCAGACTCTCAAACACCTAGTAACCCAGATGAATTGCTATCCCAAGCTGATCGATCTTTAATTCATCATACCTCAAAAATGAAAATTTATGACTTAGGAGACTATAAAACAGAAATTGAAAATCTCGCAAGCAGCTATCAGCTCAAAGGAAAAAACGTTGAACAATTATGCAAAGAAAACGCTGCAGTGTCTAGGAAAAAAGCTCCAATTTGAAATTCAGTTGAACACCTATTTAAAAGCAGCTATTCAGTTGATTACCCATGAATCAACACAATTATTCTAAACGCTTTGCAAGAAACTATTGATTATTATTCAGAAATAGGAGATGTACAAACTGCCGCCTGCTTGTCAGCTGTATTTAATTATAGGGGGCCAGTGAGAGAATATGGGGATTTGTTAAGGCAGCTGAACTTGCATCATGAAGCCACAAAACTAGATATCCCTCAGCCAAACGTAGAAATTTTTTTACGATGCAAGTGTGGGAAAATTAGTGAAGACCAGCCTTGCAGTAAATGCAAAGATATTTCTAATTGCGCGGTTTGCAACTTACCTGTGAAAGGTCTTTATTCTTGGTGTCAAGGATGCTGCCATGGAGGCCATTTAATGCATTTAAAAAATTGGTTTAGTAGAGAAACATTGTGTCCTGCTGGATGTGGGCATCAATGCTCGTTTGAAAATTTTTAATAGTGAATAAGTTAATATACCAGCTAATCTGACTGAGCCATTAGGCTTCGTTTTTATCTATATCTAAATCATATTGGGCAATCCAGTCAAAAATATAATTATTTTATCATCTAAAATAAACCCAAATAGCTCAAATCACTTTGTTTCACTATATCTTTAATATGGAAATGGCGGAATCTCTTTTAGATCTCCATCGCTTCGAGCAGAGGAAGCAGGAGTTTCAGAATATCCCTGTCTCAGAAGAAATTAAAAAACGGAATGAAAACTATGCAGTAAAATTGAGGAAAAATAAAAGAGACTTGCATTCAGCGAAAAGAAGAATCTTAAGCTCTTTTACAGCTCCATATTCTGCAGTGATGAACAGTGATGCAGATTTTTTTGAAATTCCCAAAGAAATTTGTGAGTTATATCCTGGTGTAAATATTGAGGATTATGATTTTGACCAAAGACTTTTATTTTTAAAGCGTGCCATCAATGAAATTGAAGAAACACGAATTGTTTTATTAGGATTAGTAGCTTTTAGAAAGCTATCTCAGAAAAGCTCAAACAGTGTCCCAATTTTAGTGAGCCTTGGTTTAGTAGATATCGCTTTAAACTTTATTGACACAAAATATGAAGAACCTTTAAGGGTGGAAGCAAGTTGGATATTGTGTAATATAGCGGCTGGAAGAGAAGATTTTAGCAAATTTCTACTTGAACAGCCAGCATTAGACAAAATTTTTGGATTGATTGATTTTAACTATTCAGAAACTTCTCTCCACCTTATTTGAACCCTTGCAAACTTATGTTGCAGCATGGTAGCTGCAGAAAAATTGATAAAAATTGGTGTAATAGATGTTATCTATGAGTTATTGGCAAAACCAAGGAAAATACCCTTGGAATTTAAACAAACTTGCATATGATGCCTTTGCAACATCACAAAAAAGAGTGAAATCTATGACCCTGACACTGTTGAAAGAATATTAGTATGCATCGGGAATTCACTGATTGAAGAAAATGATAATTTAATTGCAGACTGTTTTTGGATTTTGGGATGTCTAACTAAAACGGAAAATTCAAATATTCGCTACGTTAGGGATTCAAAATATATATCGCAAGCTATTAATGGCTTAAAAAGTGACTCAGACAATGTTGTGCAGGCATGCATGAGGCTGATAAATTAAATTAAGGGTCTTAAGGTCTTTCAGATTTGATGCCTCCGCATGATTGCCACCATCGGACTTTGCTGACAGGGATAGCATAGGCTACCCGAGCCCATCAGCAGCAATCTTTTCCTAGGATGAAGGGCTTGAACTATGTCCCTGATTTTTTGACAATGTGGCCGCCATACAGCAAGCCTAGGGCTAGAATCAAAGGGCCTGAACCTTAGTTTAGGCTATAAAGCCATTTTGGTGTACAAAGTGATGCGTCATCGGTAAGACATAATTAGTCTCCACACCATATTAATTATTATATATGAGGTTAATAGGAAACGTTGCTTCAGGCAGTGTTGAAGATTCTCTGTATTTGCTTAAGCTAAAAGTACTAGACAGCTTAATATATTTAGCTGAGTCTAAATTGCCTGAACTTCTAAAAGACTTGTATTGAACCTTAAGCAATATTGGAGCCAGTGATGTATTTCAAGCATCAGAAATAATGAAGCATGAAATCGTACATAAAATTATTGAAGCTTTGCTGCACGAATATCTAGAGGTAAAAAAAGAAGCTGCACATACTATATCAAATATGCTATACAAAGGAAGTATGGACATTGTGTTTAGGTTCATGGAACTAGAAATATTCAAAACCATTTCTATAGGTCTAAAAGAAAATGACCCGGAATATCTTTTACTTATTTTAGAAATTTCAAAAGAGCTGCTAGTTAGCTGTGAGGAATTTGGAAAAATAAATGAAGCTTTGGAGAGGTTTAGGAGCTCAGGATGTCTTGAAGCAGCTGAAAAGTTAAGCTCTCATAAAAATCCATATGTGGAAAGAGCTGTTGAAGAGATTCTCAAACGATATTTTGATGCTGAAAATATAGTACCATGAGCCTCTGCGATTGGGGGGAATAGAATATCTTCTGATGTTGAAGTGTTTATCATATAAAAATTAATAGCATACAAGATAAAACTTTCATTAAATGCATTAATGAATTGAATAATACCATTATTCTTATTAAAGTTATCTAGTTTTTAAATTTTGGCAATAGGATTATTACATCTGTGTAATGCAGTTAAGTTATTAATTAGTTTTAAAAAGTCTAATTAAAAGAGCCTGTATTTTCTGAAATAGGGAATAGTTAAAACTTAGTTAAAAGTTTATTCGATTATAAGCGAGACCCCCGCTAACTGGACTCCCTTGACTCCAGGAAAGGTTGCCTGTATTGGGTGCATAAACACCTGAGTGCAAATGGTGTAAGGCCTAAGAAGAATTCTACCCTCTTGAATTTTCTTCCAAAATTCACCTAATCTAAGGACATCTTCCTAGATTATAGCTATCCTCTGTCGGGTGCCCAGATAGTGTGTATAGATGAAGACTATATGAGAGACAAAACCTGTCTAGCCCATCTAGCAGTAGCAGGAAAACCTTCAGGGAGAAAACAAAACTTCCCTCTTCGGCAAGGCTTCCCCAAACCTGAAGGCCTACTTCAAAAGAGACAGAAGCTTTTTTTTAAACTTCATCAGGATGGATCCGACCTGCTCCATAAGGAGTGCACCTAGGAGACCTATTCCATCAATCTCACCATTTTAAATCTATAGAGGGATAGAAATTTATTAAATATGAGTGGGTTTTCAAGCTCCAGCTTCCAGCAGAATAAATTCCAAAATCAAGGCCCTAAAATGAGCATGCCAACCCAAAATCTTTCTAATCAAGGATTTCATAGTGGCGGTGGCAGCTTTAGCTCGTTCTCAAATCCATCAGGAAATTTTTCTCAAAGGCCAACTGTAGAAATTGATTATGGAGGGCCTAAAGCTCAAACGTTTAACAAATCTTTTCAGCCTGGATCATCTTCTAAATCTACAGCTCAATCGCAAGGATTTAATTCTCAAAAAGGATCATCATCAAGCCAAAAATCAACACAGCCAACCCAAGGAGGTTTTATGTCTTCAGCACCGCAAGGGTCATCACAATTTGCTCCTTCACCGGGAGGATTTGGGGCTTCATCATCTCAGTCATCTTTTCAAGGCTTCAATACAGGCAAACCATCTTCCAGCTCTACCTCAACTGGGTTTTCCCAATCTACGACAGCTTCAAAAGGAGCCTTTTCTTCCAACCCAATTTCAGGATCATCATTTCAATCTCAAGGATCTTTTCAATCATCTCAGCCATTTTCAACCCAAAAATCAGCATTTCCTGCAACTCAAGCTCCAACGCAGGGATTCGGAGCTCCAAAATTACTTGCTTCTTCAAATCCAGCAAGCCAATCAAGCCAAATATTTTCATCAGGGTTTCAGGCTTCTGTCCCACAAAACAAGTCATCATTTGCTCCACCCCAAACTGGGTTTGGCGGAGGAGGGCCACCAACTGCATTTCAAGGGTTTAAGCAAGGACCTATAAGTACCCCAAGCACATCTTTGTCCTCAGGGGGGTTTTCTTCTGCTTTTTCAAGTTCTGGAGGATTTTCTGCACCACAGCCTAGGTCTATGTTTCCTTCGAAAAGTGATACAGGAGTTTACTCAGATACTTTAACTGAAGAAGAAACCAATGCATTTAAAAGTGATAAATTTGAACTGGGAAAAATTCCTTTAAATCCTCCTACAAAAGAACTGTGCCAATAAAATTACTATTTGATAAATTAATATCTTTATTATTCCAGTGTTTTCAGTTACTTTTAATCCATTAAATATTCATATAAGATTCAGGAGAAGTAATTTTTGGCAGTTTCAGCTCTTTTTAATAATTTTGATCAAATTTTAATAGCATGTCTTTAATATAATACAATATTGTAATAAATGATTCAACAAACCTTTAGCTCTATGCTAAAACAAGCTTTATTTTTATGATTAATTGCATATAATATCCTCTGCTCAATTTAATATTACATGCATTACGTTAGCTAATGATATCTAAATAAGAGGAGCTAATTAAATGTTACAAATAAAAAATGAGTAATCCAAGCCATGACATTGGGTTGACATGAATTTACATACATGTTGTAAATTACAGTAAATTTTGCTCCTACAAAAGTGACTGTAATTTTGTTTTTTACGAATTTTCCATGAAAAAACAACATCAGAAGAAAAAAAATTTTTAAAAGTGTAACTGAATTTACAACATCATAAAATTTTTTGCCATTTTTGCATGAAAAAACAACATTCAAAAAAAAAGTATGAAATCGTTAATTTATAAGATTAAAAAGAGAAATCTCTAAATAAAATAGATTATAAATACTAGACAACTTATAGATTATTAGGCTATATAATAAAGATCAAATGAATTAAGAAAGTATATTGCACCTAAATCAGGGCTTGATTTTGCTATTTAAAAGTTTTATGCTCCCAAAAAGTTGCATGAAAAAACCCGGAAAAAATTTTAAAGTTTATGTGATGTGCATACAATCGAGCACTCAAAATAATGTTTAATAGCAGATATATGCTCTTCTAGCAATTGTATCTTTTTCGTTCAAAATTAAAAGCGCTTTATTCATAACAAATAATATAGGTAATGTTTAAAAAAAAAATATTAAGCGCTTCAAAAAAGTTGCATGAAAAAACCCGGAACTTAATTTTTAAAAAAAAAATTTGCATGAAAAAAAAACCCCTTGTTGTTTTTTGACGCCCCAAAAATTGCATGAAAAAACCCATAATGGATTTTTTTTTCTCGAAAATTGCATAAAAAAACAACAGTTAATTTCTTACTCCCCCCCCCCCTCCGTGAGCGAACAAAACCATTAGAAAAATCGCCATTTTTTGACCAAAAACCCACCCTCCGTGAGTGAACACAAAAAATTTTTTTTAATAGAAAAAATTTTAATGGAAAAAAAATTTGGATATATAAGTGATAATTAGTATAATGAAATCTAGAGCTAATTCTGTTTAATTTTTAAACAAATTGCGTTTTAAAACATAAATTTTGCAAATTAAATTAATATTTGCTTCCCAATTTTTGCAAATTAGGATTTTTTTTAAATTTCGAAAAAATATTTTTTATAAAAATTTATATATAAATTTTTTTTAAAAAAAAAAATTAACCCCCCTCCGTGAGCGAACAAAATTTTTTTGTTCGCTCACGGAGGGGGGGGGGAGTTAGGAAATTTAATGAAATTTTTAATGAAAAAAGGGAATTTAGGCTTAGCAGTTTTGATAATAATGATAATTTGTTTCTAAACAATTTCAACACAATTTCTAGCATATTTGCAAATGTATTACATACTTTATCTCTTATCTCTGGCAAATACTGTTTTTAAGCGAGTTACTAAATAAATATGCCTAATTTAGCTTTATTATATTTACTTTTAACATAAATCTAGCATAAATTGCTATAAAAACGGATAGACCATAAAGAGATCAATAATTATTTGTATCACTCCATTATTTATTAATTTTTTTTTATTTTATATATTTTATTTATTTAAAAAATTATTTTTTGCAAAATATATTGAATACTGCTCATGAGAGACAAAAGTGCTATTTATAAGCGAATACATGATAAATAGAATTAGAATCGCATAAGAAAAAATCAACTTAATTTTCTATCGACGCTAATATGTCATATATTTTAAAAAATTATAATTGCAACATGGCAATTTGATTTATATATTTATTATAAATTTAAATAGGTATTAAGGTTTTATAAATAAATAAATGATATAAACAATTTAAACATATTGATTTAATGTTATCAGCGATAGATTGTGTACCGATATTGAACTATCAAATTGGAATTGATATTTTGCAAAAAATAATTTTTTAAATAAATAAAATATAAAAATAAAAAAATTAATAAATAATGGAGTGATACAAATAATTATTGATCTCTTTATGGTCTATCCGTTTTTATAGCAATTTATGCTAGATTTATGTTAAAAGTAAATATAATAAAGCTAAATTAGGCATATTTATTTAGTAACTCGCTTAAAAACAGTATTTGCCAGAGATAAGAGATAAAGTATGTAATACATTTGCAAATATGCTAGAAATTGTGTTGAAATTGTTTAGAAACAAATTATCATTATTATCAAAACTGCTAAGCCTAAATTCCCTTTTTTCATTAAAAATTTCATTAAATTTCCTAAGAAATTAACTGTTGTTTTTTTATGCAATTTTCGAGAAAAAAAAAATCCATTATGGGTTTTTTCATGCAATTTTTGGACGTCAAAAAACAACAAGGGTTTTTTTCATGCAAATTTTTTTTTAAAAATTAAGTTCCGGGTTTTTTCATGCAACTTTTTTGAAGCGCTTAATATTTTTTTTTAAACATTACCTATATTATTTGTTATGAATAAAGCGCTTTTAATTTTGAACAAAAAAGATACAATTGCTAGAAGAGCATATATCTGCTATTAAACATTATTTTGAGTGCTCGATTGTATGCACATCACATAAACTTTAAAATTTTTTCCGGGTTTTTTCATGCAACTTTTTGGAGCATAAAACTTTTTAAATAGCAAAATCAAGCCCTGATTTAGGTGCAATATACTTTCTTAATTCATTTGATCTTTATTATATAGCCTAATAATCTATAAGTTGTCTAGTATTTATAAAATCTATTTTATTTAGAGATTTTCTCTTTTAATCTTATAAATTAACGATTTCATACTTTTTTTTGAATGTTGTGTTTTCATGCAAAAATGGCAAAAAATTTTATGATGTTGTAAATTCAGTTTACACTTTTAAAAATTTTTTTTCTTCTGATGTTGTTGTTTTTTCATGGAAAATTCGTAAAAAACAAAATTACAGTCACTTTTGTAGGAGCAAAATTTACTGTAATTTTACAACATGTATGTAAATTCATGTCAGCCCCATGACATTAAGCACAAGCGATCTTCAAGCTCCATTTCGCACTCACTAAAACACTCTTCAAGTAAAAAAAAATTTTCGTCACCTGATTCTAATATAAAGAATTCCTCAAATAAGCCTACACGAGAAGAAGAAAAAGCAACGATTCTATCCATGGAGAGGCCTGATTGCCAAGTTTATTATCTGATAGAAGCTTCTTGGATAAAAGAATGAGCACATTATATCTCAGGAAGTGAGCCGCCTGGGAAACTCAGAACTAAAAAGCTTTTAGATTCAAATGGCAAACGAAAAAAGAAGCTAAGTTTAAAAAAAGATTACAGAATGCTCAACAGAGACCAATGATACTTCCTTAAATCTATATATGGAGCTGATCCGTCTGTAAAGAAAAAGAATAGACCAAAATTAGATGAAAGCAAAGTGATAGAAAAAGAAGAAAGTCATGAAGATTCCCAAAGCACACCTAAATCGTGTCCTTTGAACTTAAAACTGCCAGCTGCTTTTCGAACATCCAACGCATCTGAAATTTCATTTATTAAAGAGACACATACAAGGACAGTGTCTGAAATCACTATACAGAAACTAGATCCTGCAGATGCAGAAATAGCAAACCTAAGTCCTCTTATATCTGCAGAGTCAGGAAAAGATTCTTTAGAATCATTCACAAGAAGCACGATGCATAGCACTCCTCAAGAAACAAATTCTGACTATGCTTTTGTTAGCCCGTCAGAATACTTAAAAAAAGGCTTAGTAGGGCTCGATAACCCTAAAAATTACTGCTATATGAATGTTGGGGTCCAGCTGCTGCTATCAATTGTTCCACTGAGGGATTTTTTTTACAAGCAAAAGCTTGATGAATCTGATTTTCCATTCACACACAGCTTCATCAATGTTACCACTTCAATTTTCAAAATGGACAGTGGAAGTATCGGCCCACTTTCTTTGTGAAGACTTGTCAACAAATCCTTTCCGCCTGGAAAGCAGCACGATTTGCCTGATTTTTTGAGGTTTTATATAGACAAGCTAGACACTGAGCTTACAAAGCCAAATATTTTGACTTCATTTATATTCAATGGTGTCACTGCAAGCAGGTTGAAATGCAAAAACTGTGGGTATGTCTCAGAAAAATACGAGCCTTTTATAGATCTTCAGGTTGCTTTAGCGCCAACGTTGAGACAGTGCATCCTTCAATATGCTGAAGAAGAAACATTGCATTACCGCTGTGAAGAGTGCTCTGAGGACGCAGTTTCCTGCAGGCGATTCATTCTATCAACACCTCCTCGATATTTACTGATCCAAATCAAGCGGTTTAAATCTGAGCCAATCCCTATTAAACTAGACACCCCTTGCAAGTTTCATAAAATTTTGGATCTTACAACTTTTTCTGAAAAGAAAACCGAATATAAGCTGATTGGCATTGCTGTTCATATTGGATCAATGTCTTCTGGGCATTATAAAGCGTTTTGCAAAAGGGGCAGAAACTGGTATTGCTTTGATGATAGTTTCTGCACAAAGAGCAGCCTGAAAGAAGTTCTTTCACAGCAAGCTTATGTTTTGCTTTATAAATGTATTAGTTTGTAATTATATTTAAATTAAGAGTGTTTGCAAGTGATTTTGTTAATTAAACTTAATGTATTTCTTTAACACCCAGGCTAAAGCTGTTATTAGAATAATGCCAATAATTGTATATAGCCAATTCCATCCTTGTTTTGGCTGCTCTTCTAATTTAGCTGCTCGTTTTGCTCTATCTTCTTCACTGCATTTTTCTATACAAAAATTCAATAATTGATCATTAAATTTTCCGCCACTAAATGCCATTGAAATTTTGAACCTCTTAATAGACTCCACAGCTGCAATTACTTTTTTATCATTCACATCAAATCCAGCCTCTTTCAAAGCATTGCCCAGCACTGGGTTTTCCACAGTCAACCTTGAAATTTTGTTCATCTTATAATAAATCGGTTGTACTTCAGCCAGTTCTTTTCTGATATTTATTCTTTGATGATATTTATTTCCTTCTTGATAGAACTTCAGCATTTCTTCATATTTTTGCATCATCCTATTAATAACTTTTTGCTCAAACTCCATTTCATCACTAACTTCTTCAGTCTCTCCTACTCCATGTCTACTCAAAGAAGTCAATATTTCTTTGACCAGGTTCAGCTCTTCTGATTTGCGTTCTCTTATCTTGGCTTCTACTTTTTCTATCAAATTAGAAAATTTTTCTGATAAATGTGCTGCTGTTTTTGCGTCTTCCAAAGCCAAATTTAATTCATTATCATCTGATGCTAAATTGTGAAACCTTGCTTGTGATCTTTTCGCATATAAAGAAGCGTTGTCTGGGTCGTATTCTAAAGCTTCAGACAATGCATAAACGGCCTCATTATAATGCCGTAGAGGAATCATAGCAGCGCTTAAGTCAAGCAAAATAGTTACCATTGCAGCTTTAGTGATTTTATCTTCGTTTATTTCTTTAGGCTGAGGAGCCACCAAATTAATTGCATTGTCAATTATTGTTTTGAATTTCAAGCCTTCTTCGGTTTTAAATTCAAGATATTTAAAAGCGCCATACCCTTTTTCGTAGCATTCTAATGCTTTTTCATATTCTTTTGTATGGTAAAGTTTATTACCAGCTTTTTTGAAGTCGTCAAGGGCGATGAGCTTTTCCATGAATTCGCATCTTCTGAGGTTTTTAGAATGGTCAGGCTGGAATAAAGTGTTTTTAAGGTAAAGAGGATATTGAATAAATTGCTTTCTGTTGTCGATTAAATCTGCTGGCTTGCAGTAGTCAATCAAATTTTGAAAAGGAGAAGTTTGGGTAATGGGATAGCCATCTTCAAATAAGAACTCATCTGGGTCTTGACAGTTTTCAGTGCTTTTTCCTTGTTTAGCGAGAAATGGGCATGCCATATTAAATATGTTTTTTAGAACAGTAAATAGAATTTTGATAAAAAACATTAAGCTAATAAGTATAAAACAATATATATAACTGATTACAAGTAAATAAAAACATCTATTGATAACTGCTAATTTATTTTAGTATTGTTTTTAACTATTTAAGCTGCTAACTAAGATTTTAGAGATTTATGATAAATAGCCTTTTATTCTTTATGCTTAAGCTCCAATTCTTTCTGCTGGTCAAGTTTCATCACGTATTTCATGATTTTCCCTGATATCGTTAATGGGAATGAATCAACTACTTTAATGATTTTCGGGACTTTATATTTAGCGATTTTCCCTCTGCAAAACTGAGCTAGGGTTTCGTGAGTAACAGGGGCTTTGTCTGGCTTCATTTTGATCCACGCGCACACTTGCTCTCCGAATCTCTCATCAGGAATTCCAAAGACAGCCACATCTTCAATGTCTGGGTGGGTTTGCAAGAAGTTCTCGACTTCAGCTGGATAAATATTTTCACCTCCCCATATAATCAGATCTTTGCTTCTTCCGACAATTTTCACATACCCATCCTCGTCCATGGATGATAGATCTCCTGTATGCATCCATCCGTCAGCGTCGATAGCTTCATTTGTAGCTTTTTGGTCTCCCCAGTAGTATTTCATGACAAAATAGCCTCTTGTGCACAATTCACCAATTTCTCCTCTTTCGACAGTTTGCCCGTTACGGTCAATAATTTTTGCTTCACCATGTGGGTGGACTACTCCTACTGTTGAAATTCTTTTTTCGAAATCTGCTTCTGGATGCAGCTGGAAAGAAACTGGACTGGTTTCAGTCATTCCATAAATAAAATTGCTTGAGGGAGAGATAATTAGCTTCGCTAATTTTACTTGAAACGAAAGCTATTTTATTTATGGGGTTTTCTTCTGAGAACTTTTGTATAGCAATAGCAGTTTAACTCTAGCAGATAAGCCGAGGTACTGCTCCAAGTACATCAAGAGCCTCGAAGTTTTACTCTTCAGCGCCCGAGGAAGGTGGCCCTTAGGCTGAACACACGCAAGAGCTGAGCTAAGGAAGGCAACGCAGCCTGTCGAAGCGGAAATCGTATTTTGCCCATGCCATGGTGCAACAAAATGGATCGGTCGAAAGGTCCATGGGCCCGACACGTGAATAAATATGGTGGCAGCCCTGGAAGCGGCTACCCCATAGTGGACGTTAAACTTAAATACTAATGTAATGGTTTCAGTCATTCCGTAACAGTTCGTGACGTGTGGGAGGTGCAACTGGTCAACCATTTTCTTCATCAGCTCCGGAGTGCAGACTGACCCTGCAACAACACCAGTTCTCAATGAGTCAATATTCCTCTTCTTCCTTTGTTGCTCTCTCAAATAGGCGATGTACATGGTTGGGACGCCATAAATTGAAGTGCATTTTTCGTTTTCGACAGTATCCATGGTTGCAACTGGGTTGAATCCTGCATCAGGATATATCATAGTAGACCCGTGAGAAATGCAAGCTAGGTTTCCAGCAATCATTCCAAGACAATGATAAACTGGCACTGGAATGCAGACCCTGTCGTGGTGAGTGTACTTCAAGATTTCTCCACAATAAAAGCCATTGTTTATCGCATTATGATGAGATAAAGTTGCTGCTTTAGGCTTTCCAGTAGTTCCAGAGGTAAACTGGATATTGTAAGGATCTTCAAAATTGATATTTTGAGTTCTAGTTATATATTCGTCACTTTTAAGGTTCATGAGTTCTTCAAGCCTCATCATACCTTTATGGTGCTTATTGTCAGTCAAAATGACCCGTCTTAAGTGAGGCAATCTGGCTGAATTGAGTTCTCCTATTTTTGAGTCCTGGATTTCAGGGGCAAGCTTTTCAATCATCCCAATGTAGTTGTCATGCCTATTATGGGATGGCATGATTAGAGTGTCTACTTGAACTTTGTTCAATGAGTATTCAAGTTCCGTTTCTTGGGAAGCAGGGTTGACATTTACCAGAATTAAGTCAGCCATTGCTGCTGCGCATTGAGTCAGAGTCCAGTCTTTGCAGTTTGGAGCAAAAATTCCTACTCTTGTTTGCTTTGGGAGGCCAAGGGCAACAAGACCTTCTGCCATGGCTTCTGATCGTTCGAGCAGTTCTTTATAACTCCACCTAGTCTTTTCGGCAACATTTACGATGGCATCAACCTTAGGGTGCTTGTGAGCTGTTTCCCTCAGCATCGCTCCTACAGTTTTCCCTAATAAGCCTTTGCCACCGGCAGAGACATAGCTCAAATGCTTGGCCCTCATACTTTTACTTAACTATTAATAAACGGCTAAAAAAGTGATACTATATAAAATTTCACCTAATATGAGTATTTTAGCATTATTAGCTTAATGCATAGCAAAAAACTAGCAACATTTATTTAAATAGCAACTAATTATTTGAATGTCTACCCTAGGTATCGTTCAATAATTTCTGTAATTTCCCATTTCATTAATTCCCGAAAATTTATGATTTATTCTCATCTATTTTCAATTCATATAATTGTAAAATATGAATCGTGGATCATTCAGAGCGCAACCTCCTTCTAACCAAGGCAGACATGTGCAAATAATAACAAACTTTTTCAGGCTCAGCAATACTCCTTCTGCAAATGTTGGTCTCTATTCCATAGACTATTCTCCTAATGTCGACGATAATAATCGAAGCCTTCAATCCAAGCTCATCAAATCAGCTAAGCTTGACATTGAAGCACAGATAGGAGAAATTGTGAAATCAGGGAACAACATTGCAGGACTGAGAATTCGTACTGAGCCTTTTACAGTTTTTGCAATGGGATTTGAAAAAAAGCAATACACTTTAGTGATTAGACTTGCAGGAACAGTGGGTTTAGACCATCCTCCAAGCTATAGAATGTATTGCAATAATATACTGAAGATGATGATGTTGAAAGACTTGAAATATATACAAATGACGAGGCTTCCTGTGTTTTATGATAAGAGTAATATTGCTAATGTGCCGCAATATCAGCTTTCGGTCTATAGAGGATATTCAGCAAGCTTTTCTCACAATTCTGACCAAATGCTGCTGACAATAGATTTTTCAAGCAAAATTGTGCGTGATATGACTGCTTTGGACATGATGCTGGAGATTAGAAACAGTAACCAGCAGAATCTGAAGCAGCTAAGTCTAAGTTAATTATTATAAGCAACTTATTCGCATTTTCTACAAAGTTTTGCTTTCAGAAAACCCCATTTGAGCTTTGAGCCTGAAGATAAAAAATTGAGAAATCTGAAAGCAAGCTTTTGAGAGGCAAATGAAAGACACCTGGGTTATGACTAACTATGGAAACTTAAAGACCTATAGAATAGAAGGATTCGACTTCACTCAAAACCCTTCCAGCAGCTTCAGAGGCAAAGATGGGCCTATTACCTATATTGAATACTATAAAAGAAATTATAAAATAGACATAAAAGACAAGAAACAGCCTCTAATTCAAACTTCTATAAACAGAGGTCAAAAAGTAATTTTTCTTATACCTGAGCTATGCAAATTGACTGGAATCCCTGAAAGAATGAAAAAGAATTACAACGTCATGAGAGAATTAGCTCAGTACAACAAACCTGAGCCTCAAGAGCGTCTTAGTTCTATTCAAGATCTATCAGCTGAGCTCACAGGTGAAAAAGTCCAAGGAACATGCGAAAAATACAGCCTCAGTATAAACCCTGCACCTATCACAATGGAAGCCACTCTATTGCCAATGGAAAAAATCAGATTATTTAACCAAGAAATCTACCCAAACGACCAAGCCCAATTCAATATCCGAGGTAAGATTTTAAGCTCAGTCAATATTGAAAATTGGGTAGTTCTCTCAACTCAAAATGACAGCAATATGAGAAACGAACTCATAAAAAGTTTGAAAAGATCAGCTCAATCTTTTGGTATAGAAATTGAAAGTCCTGCAGTAGTCACATACAACCAAAATAATTTAAAAAACGTCATTGAAGGCTTGAATGCGAGGGGAAATGAGGACTTACAAGTTGCTGTTATATTGCTCCCTAGAAGCTGGAGCTATAAGTATCATGAGATTAAAGCAGCTGCCTGCTTGAACTCAGGAGTTGTGACACAAGTTGTGTTAGTAGAGACACTGAATAACCAGAAAAGGTTTGAGCAAATAGTGCAAAAAATAATGCTCCAAATTGCTGCAAAGACAGGATTATTGCATTGTATTACATTAATTTTTTAAAAAATATTAGTCCCCTCCAGGGTGAACAAAATTTTTTTCGCTTATGGAGGGGGAGTAAATGGTAAAAGCCTAAGCCTCTTATTGCACAATGAAGGAATTTCTCTGGTTGTCTCTAAAGTTAAACCGCTCATACTGCGTAGAGATTCTTAATAGAAAGCCAAGCTTCATGAATAAACTTCCATAAGGTAGAATAAATTAGCAGGCTAATTTTCTCTCAGGTTGAATACCATTTATTTACTTAAAGACAGGATCAGACTTGTGGGGAGTAACACCAGCCCAAAATGTGGCGAGAAGAAGCATGATTATTGGGATTGATGTCTTCCACGATACTATTAACAGGCAAAATAGTGTCCTTGGGTTTATAGCATCGCTTAATGACCAATTTACTAAATACTACAACACTGTAAAAATCCATCCTTCAGGGAAAGAAATTGCAAACTCATTAGGCAGTTGTCTTGGGGATGCACTAACGGCTTACTATGAAAATACTAAGAGAAGCTATCTACCAGATCATATCATTATATACAGAGACGGAGTGGGTGATACAATGTTCGATGCTGTGAGACTAAACGAAATCGAAGGGATGAAAGAAGCGATACGCAATTTTCAAGGCTATATTCCGAATCTCACATATATAATTGTGAATAAAAGGATCAGTGCTAAGCTATTCACTCAAGTGCGTGGAGAAATCAAAAGTGCTCAGCCAGGAACACTTGTGAATAGCGTCATTGTACCTGACCAAAATTCATTTTACCTTGTAGCTCATTCTTCTGGGCAAGGAATGGCTGTGCCTGCATTGTATAGAGTGATTTACAATGATTCTCAAACAAGTGTAACAACTTTTGCAAGACTGGCATTTAAGCTTTGCTATATGTATTATAATTGGACTGGAGGGATCAAAGTTCCAGCTCCAACTATGATGGCACATAAGCTAGCTTATATTGTTGGCCAAAGTATTACAACTAAATCTGACGTCTCGGCCCATGCATGGCCGCCTTGGCTATGCAGCCTCACAGTGCATATTTAATTGTATCCAGTAAAGTTTTATCAACTGAGAAATGGGCAGCAATGATAGGTAAGCAATTTCAGCACTGTGTGGAGCCTAGCCCTCGTCCGCTTTCAGATTTGGATATTTACCTCAAAAGGAAAGATAAGGATTGGAGTTGGAAAGGGAAGCTCAACAAGATCTAGAGGCAAGCCAAGATCAATCGGGAAATCTCTAGCGCAAAACCGGAATTTCCGCCCCAGACTTTAAAATTTCCCTTTGCTGAAACTCGGCCAGAAAGTTTATTTTTTTAGGATTTTTGTGTGGACAACCTTCTTTAGCTCAGGCAGTAGCCCCAGAAGTCCATAGTCCACATACTCAAACTTGAAACGCAAGGTAAGTCAAAGAGTTGGCTCAATATAAAGAGCGAAGACTTCGGATGTCTCATGATGTCAGAGACAGAATTAGGAGCAAGGTGGTATCAATTCTTTTCGAACTGGGGGAGTAATCTCAGCCGGACAGCATCTCAAAGCGGATGAACCTTAGAAGGGGTACTTGGTGACTGCGCTGCCAAAAGCAGAAACCAACCTGCAATTAAGTTTAAGTAAATTTAAGTTGGCCAAAGCATTCATCACGATTATTTGGAATCTCTCAAGACATCTTCATTTTTCTATTAGGCTAAATAACTTTTATTTATAAACTCTGGCTTTTCATTAAATAATAAAAATAAATACAAGTAAAGTTTTTAAACAAATATTATTCTTACTCCCCCTCCCTCCGTGAGTGAACAAAACCATTAGAAAAATCCCTATTTTTTGCCCAAAAACCCACCCTCCGCGATGAAAAAAAAAATTTCAATAGAAAAAATTTTTTAAGGAAAAAATTTTGATATCTAAGTGATAACTATTATCATGAAATCTTAAGCTAATTCTGTTTAATTTTAATAAATTGCGTTTTTAAAACATAAATTTTACAAATTAAATTAATATTTGTCTTCCAATTTTTGATAAGTGGGATTTTTTTGAAAAAAAATTTATATAAAATTTAAATATAAATTTTTTAAAAAAAAAATTAACCCTCCTACATGAGTGAACAAAATTTTTTGTTCAATCACGGAAGGGGGGGAGTTAGATAAAAATCTTAATAATAGCAGATATATAAATCTACCTTATTTTCTTAAGCTAACTTGATGCTTCACAAGAAGAATTATTAATAAGAAAGATGCCCATTTAACTATGCTTAAAGCAGTTCCAAAATCTCTATAGAAGACACGTAGCAAATTCAATAACTTTTAAAAATTTGCAATAAATTATAAATGGAAGAAGAGGAAAAGAAAAATAAACCTTCAGACTCTGATTTTAAACAGCAGCGAATAAAAGCATGAAAATTAACTCCATCAAACACTTCATTGGGAATTATTTATATTGCTATGGGAGTATTCTTTGTAACCTTTGGAGCAGTTTATTTGTATGAATCTAGCGAAGTAATAGAAGTTGCCAAACGCTATGATAATCTCGATGAATGCAAAGCTGACTGAAAAAACCCAAAAACTTGCATTATAGAAATGGATATTTCAGAGCACATGGAATCTCCTATCTTTATCTATTACGAAATCAATAACATGTATCAAAATCACCGAAAATACAATAAATGCCGCGATATAAATCAGCTTATGGGAGAAGACCAATCGAAAAGCGAGATTTCTTCATATTGTGAGCCGGTTGTAACAATGAAAGATCTAGGGCTTATCACAAATTTGTCTGAAGAAGTTGAAATTGCAAACCCATGTGGGCTAGTAGCAAAGTCATATTTTAACGATACTTTTTTGCTGATGCCACCTGCAGACAGTCCTAAAGATATTATTGAGGTAAAACATGATGATATTTCATGGTGGGTGGACAGACATGAAAAATTCAAGAGAAATGAGCACTGGGAAACTGTTCAGTGGACTGATGTAGAAAATGGTAATTAACATGTAGAACATTTTATCAATTGAATGAGCACGGCTGGATTGCCAACTTTTAGGAAACTCTGGGGGAGAATTGAACATGATTTAGATAGTGGGAAATACCGAATGCAGATTACTAATAATTATGATATCAGTTCTTTTAGCGGAGAAAAAGGTATCATAATTACTACTCATTCAATTTTTGGAGGGAAGTTGAACTTTTTAGGGATAGTTTACATTGTGGTGGGAGGACTCTCTTTTGTTGGAGCAATAGTTATATTTGTGACTAATCATTATATAGCAAAACTACAAAGTAGATAATGAGTAACAATATCAGTAAAATTTATCAAAATAATTAATCTAAGCATGACTCCTTGATTTAAATCGAGAGACCAAAGGAAAATACTATGCTCAATCCTACAGACTTAATTTGAAAATATGAGTTATGAAAGCTGATGTAGAGCTTTATATATAGAAATATTAATATTAAACTAATAGAATGAAAGAGTAAATTTATATTCCATAATCTTGTCTAACAAATTTTAAATCTATAAGCTTAGTCAAATAAAGTCGATAAGCTTTTCACTTTAAAGAGATAAAATATCTATAATTGTTATGTTCATCCCTAATTTAAATAGCACAGTGTTTCTTCGATATAATATGAAAATTATGAACTATTAAAATTATTAAACATTCATATAAACAATAAACAACATATAAAAATTACAAAATTGTTTATATTAGGTCATCGCCATTTAAAGATGTTAAATCTATCTTGTTGCCAAAATTTAGAACTTCAACCATTTACTAATATTTTATTTAGTATATTTTAAGACCTGCATAGCATATTTCTATATCTAGCTATTATCAATATAGATAAAAATCATTTTAATATCATAAAGATTATCGTCTCATACACCTCAAAAAACAAAAAAATCTATTTCTTTTTATTATACCAACAGATTTTAAGAATTCAGGGTCTAGCAATCTAAGATTTCAAGATTCTTGTATATGGTGAATAATTTAAATGTGGAAATATTTGCTAGTCCTTGGTCTCTCTTTTGCAGCAGACCCCATCGCTCCTCACTGACCAAACACTTTTACCCAAACTTTTAACGAGACTTTTTGGAGCCCAAGCTATGGTAAGCAAGTCACAAATGGCACTTATTACTATGATTGAACAACACAAAACACCAGAGTAGATCGAGCTAATGGAAGATTTGACCCAATGTGCGGTTTAAATGGCTTCAAAATTCTTGTAAATTCTCCATGCACACTTTATACAGTTGGAGGGAACAGATATATTTATTATCCAGATGATCCTTATTGTTGCTGGTGCTGCAGTGATCAAACGCATTGTGGATCATTATATCCTACTTGGATGGACAATGGTACTTTTCTAGGGACAACAACTAAAAATGGTGTGCCAGCTTATTGGTGGAATAAAGAAGGAAGCCAGCCAAATTATTATTATGAAACTGCGGCTACTGATCCGAGCAAAAGAGTCATGCTAGGGATTTTTGAAGTTCCAAGTGATGAAAAAAATTTCAATAGTAATATAGTTTATAGTGTTCCTAATGGCATTTTTAACCTTCCAAGTATTTGCGTTCCAAGTAACGTTTGCCCTGAAGCCTCAATTTGTACTCAGTTAAGGGAAGCTGGCAATAAAACAACCTCTGACCATTAGTTTAATCATTTTATTGATTATCATTATTTCTTAATAACCCTTTTAAATCAATTTGCTGAAATCAGTCCAAACTCTAATTGTTGACTTCCGATGTTAAATTTCTCCTTATCTCATCAATTTCTTCTCTAAGTTTCTTATTTTCCTCTTCAAGACTCCTGTTTTTCAGCTCCAGCAATCTGTTTTCATTAATTTGCATTGACAATTTTTCCTTCACCAGCGAAATTTTCAAGTTTGACTCTTCCAACTTATCCATGGCTTCATAAAAATCTTTATCTACCGAATTGATTTCATTGACATGATTGATGTCTTCTATCTCATTTTCTTTAATTGCTAAGCTATAAGACCTTCTTTCTATCTCAACACAAGCTAAAAGTTCATTTATTTGGCTTAATAAGCCTGAAAAAAATTGGTCTTTTGAGAGATGGTGTTTGTCTACATAGGATTGTGCGCAATATTTTATTTCTAGGACTTTATCATATAAGGTTTGAACTCCAAACCAGGTGAAACCAAGCTGATTTTCTGTTGTGCATTTTAGGGTATTAAGCTCTTTAGTAATTTTTGTGATTTCTTCAGCAATTTGATCATGCTGCAGCTGAGATTCTGAACTCATATTTCTCAAATTAAATGATTTGATAAGTAGATTAGCTTAGGTTAGATTAGAATTAAATTTTAGCGGGTCTTCAGAGATTATTTCAGCCCCCTCACCTACCATGGATAGCTTCTCGTTGGGGCTAAGCATTTCCCACACCTTCTTAAGGCGTCTTTCGGGAAGATCAACCTGTTCGCCTTTTGAGTCCCAAGAAAGACTTCCTCAACCTTCAAGAGAGCTCTGAGTATGGGCAGGTAAAGAATTAGTAAGAATAGCTTACTTCCCTTATTAAGAAATTTTAGAAGAAATAATCAATTAATATTCAGCAATATTAATAAGATTCCGTATAATGAAAAATATTGAGTTTTTCTTGCTCTTTCCCGCTGACTAAGCGAGCAAAAGTTAATTGCTCGCTAATGTAAGGAGATTTAAAGAAATGTCTAAAATCACAGCGACTGCTCCAACCAAAGTTATCCTCACAGGTGAGCATGCTGTTGTTTATGGCAAACAAGCTATTGGAGCAGCTTTAAACCTTCCTACAACAGTATCCTTAACCATTCACAGCAATTCTAGCAATCCAGGAATTTGTCTTGAAATGAAAGAACAATTTTTTTATATTGTAATTTCTATATAGTCATGGGAAGAAGCAGCAGAACGCAGAGGAGAAATCTCAACCAAAGGCATTTTATCTCTTTTAACCTTAAAAGTTTACCCAGAAAACCCAACCGATTTATTCGAATACAAAATTGACATCTCTTTACCATTAGGCTGCGGGCTAGGAACCAGTGCTTCATTATGTGTCGCTGTGTCTGGAGTTTTACTTGTAAATAACAATTAGAAAAGCAAAAATCCAGATGCAACTCCTGAACAAATAAATAACTTGGCTTTTGAAGGGGAAAATTGTATTCATGGGAAAGCGTCAGGAATTGATAATACAATTGTGACTTATGGAGGAATATTAAGCTTCAAAGACGGGCAGATCACACCAGTAGAATTTGATGATTCTAAAGCTAAAATTCTATTAGTCTCATCAGGAGTACCTAAAAATACTGGGAAAATGGTCAAAGGGGTCGCTAATCAGCTTGCTATGTACCCTGGAGTAATATTAAATTAGTTAACTGAAGGGATTTTCCATAGTATTGACTGCTTATCAAAAAATTTGGTAACAGCTCTTGAAGCGCAACAATATGACCATGTAAAAGAACTATTGAAAATTAATCATGGACTGTTGTGGAGCTTAGGAGTTAGTTCAGAATTATTAAATGATATTGTAAAGTAAAAAAAATTTAGCACAGGGCTCAAATATGGAATTAAAGGAAAGCTGACAGGAGCTGGCGGAGGAGGATTTTGCTTATTCTTTGTTACTGATGAAGATACTGCAGGGTTCTTGCAGGAATGTGCAAGTCATGGTTGGAACGTTATTGAAGCATCTTTAACCCATTATGGTATTAAGTTTGAGCTTAGTTAAACTAATATTTCTTTTAGAAGTAATAAAAACTTTAAATACTATATTAATTGCTTGCAGAAAATTATTTATAAAGAATATATGTTATAAAATGAATTTTACTTAGCCTGATGCTAATTATTTAAAAAAACTCTTAAAAAATTAATTTTAAATTAAAAATTTAAAAAACATTTGAGAAAAATTTTTATAGTGGTGAAGGGGTCAAGTTTTCGAGCTCTAATTTCAGAATTGAAAATTCAGCTTAGAGATCTAATTTGGAAAATAATTCTGCTTAGAATTTCAATTATTTAATTTAAGTAAAATAATATTTTGAATGTAAACATAGCTTATTGAATTTCTGCATAGTCTTTGGCTTCTTTTTTGAAATATATATTTTAAATAAATGGATTCTGTTAATACTAAATTCTCGAGTTCTGACGAAGAATCGATAGCTCAAGAAATCCATGCAGTTGAGGAAACACGCTTCAGTCGTCAAAAATCAAAATCTTGTATATCAAGATCGACAGTAAAAAATCGCACTGCCATAATTGATGAAAGAGTGGGCAGTTATCTATCAATAGACGCTCCGAATGCATTAATAGAAGAGATTCCTATGTCGGGCCAAGAAAAGGACATTGTCTATTCAGCCATAAATAAAAACTTTTTATTCAGAAATTTACCTGAAGAAAGCTACAATTTATTTTTTTCACAAATGAAAAAATATACATTAGACGCTTTAGAAATAGTTTTTGAGCAAAGTCACCCTGGAAGAAATTTCTTTATTATAACATCAGGGAGAATAGAGGTTTTAAGCAACCAAAAACAAGTAAATATTTTAACAGTAGGAGATAGCTTTGGAGAATTGGCATTGCTTCATGATTCTTTACGCTCAGCTAGTGTAAAAACCCTAGAAAGAGTTACCATGTGAAGTCTGGAACGAAATGTTTTCAGGAAAATTGTTAAAATCATAAATGATCAAAATTATGAAGAAAATTTACAATTTATTGAGACTATCCCTATTTTCCAAACTTTAACAAAACTTCAAATTGAAGCTTTAGCCTACTCACTCTCATCAATGACTTTTAAAGCTGGTGAAAAAATTGTTAATGAAGGCGATTTAGGAGACTTATTCTATATAATAAAAGATGGAAGTGTTTATTGTTTAGAAGAAGGAAGGGAAATTAAGATTATGGCCAAAGGCGAATTTTTTGGAGAGCAAGCATTAATTTATAATAATGAAAGAACTGCAAGCATCGTAGCTATAGACAATGTAAAATGCGTAGGGATTGGAAGAGAAAAACTGTCAAAAGTTCTTGGGAATCATTTAGAGCATATAATTTACCAAAATTCCATTATGATCGCACTAGAGCGTAGCAGCATTCTAAGACTGCTTAAAAAAGATCAACTATTAAGAATTGCAGATGCTATTCACATTTCTAAATGCTTACCAGGAGAAATAATAATTCCAAAAAACACTAGGAAAGGGCTTTTCATTTTTATAGTCCTGAATGGCTCCTTAATAGATGAAAACGGATCTATTATTGCAAAAAAGTTTTGCATTATAGGGGACAAAGAAATTAGACTCTCAGAGCAAGAAAATATTAATGAGGATATTATTTCTTCTAATGATTTGATAATAGGTACTATTTCTAAACAAGAGTTCGAAGATTGCATTGGTGGCCCGCTTGACCAAGTATTAATAATGAATGAAGCAACTTCATGCCTTAAACGTGTTAATATATTCAGATGTCTATCTGATGATAAACTCCAATTACTTGTAAGAGAGTTAAGTGTACAAGAATATTTTCACCAAGAAATAATAGTTGAGCAAAACAGCTCGGGAGACTCAATATTTATAATAAGATCAGGGACTGTTGATGTCTTTAAAGACGGAGTAAGAACAAGATCAATCACACTTTATGATTATTTTGGGGAAAGAAGCGTTCTATTTGATGAAGTAAGGACGGCTACTGTAATCGCAAATGGACCAGTGTCATGCTGAGTTTTATCAAAAGAAAGCTTTCTTACTCACCCCTTCAAATTGGAACAAAGCATCAGTAAATTTGCATTTTTTGGGTGGAAAAAATTTGCTTTTCAATAGGAAAATTTTAATGTGATAATAAATAATTTTATAAATTAGTTTTGACCTAATTTAATAGGCAAAAAGCAATTAGAATATTATTTAAACAGTTCTCACACTAAATCGATTAATTTTTTTATTTAATTCTTTATAAAAAATAAAATAAAATTTAAAGTATTGTGCTGAAATATATTTTTTTAAAATTTTAAAAAATACTTTTTATAAAAACAACCAAAGGTGAAAATACTAATTTTTATAAAATTAGTTTTGACCTAATTTAATTGAAAAAATGCAAATAAAATGCTATTTAAACAGTTTTTACGCTGAATCGGTTAATTTTTTAATTATCTCTTCATAAAGATAAATTAAAAGTCAAGCATTGTGCCAATTAATTCCTATAGAAAAAAATTTAAATATAATTTTAAAGAAAAAAAATTGACCCCTATTTAAATTGGAACGGGATTTTGTGTGCTAATTTAAAGAAGAGGGGAGTTAACGTAATTGATGCGATGATAAGAGAGCAGTTGGTAAAGCGAATTGAGCTTCAAGATAATAACATTTCACTATCAGAACTAGCAATAGTAAAATTGCTTGGCAGAGGAAGATTTGGGATTGTTCATCTTGTGGTTCATAAAGATAATAAGCGGCTATATATGCTAAAAAGCATCAACAGGAAAAAAATTGAAGAATATCATATACAAGAGAATTTGATATTAGAAAGAAATATTTTACTTCAAATGGACCACCCAAATGTTATAAAGCTAGTCAAAACCTTTAAAGATATTAAAAGGATTTACTTCTTAATGGAATATGTCAGAGGAATGGATTTCTTCGACGTGATCAGAAGAATGAATGAAGTAACAGAACAAAATTCTCAATTTTTTGTTGCTTCTTTATTGACAAATTTAGAATATATCCATGAAAGAAGCATTGTCTATCGAGATTTAAGACCAGAAAATATTATGATTGACGAAGATGGATATATAGCTTAGAACCACTTTTCGTGCGCCCTCTCGTTGAATCTTTCTTGGCAAACTTGAGAATTCGCTATTCACCTAGAAATGATGAGCCAACTCCAAGTTTGCAAATCCTGAGATAAGGATCCGGTTCGTCAAATTCGAGTTAGATCGCCACTTCTAGCGATTTTTAAGGTCTCAAGGCTGCAAAAAAGACTCAGCGTGAGGGCACATCAAAAGAGTACCTATGCTATACGAAGTTAACAAACTTCGGCCTAGCGAAGATTTTAAACGGGAGGACTTATTCAATTGTAGGTGCTCCACACTATATTGCTCCAGAAGTGATCGTGGGGAAAGGATATTCTTATGCTGTAGATATATGAAGTTTAGGGATTATTTTATATGAATTAATATGTGGAGGTGTTCCGTTTGGTGACAGCGAAGACGACCCTTATTGCATATATGAAGCAGTTTTACAAAGGAACCTGACTTTTCCGAATTTCATAAGTAACCGCACAGCTGAAAAAGCTGTCATCGCTCAGTTGCTATCTGAAGATCCCCTTGCTAGAACTGGGGGAAGCATAGAAAAGCTAAAGCAGCATTCTTGGTTTAATAACTTTTCATGAGACGACCTAATGAATCGCAAACTTGAAGTGCCATTCAAACCCAAAGTCCTAGACCTTTCCCGAGAAATAAATAAATCCTTAATGAGAAATTCGGAAATCGATAACATCATAACTATTGAAGAAGAAAAAGCAAGACCAACCAAATTAAAATGCAGGAAAAAGAAAGATGCTCAAGTTAATTGGGACATCGAATTCTAATTATAAATAAATTCATTAAAAGATTAAGCAGGCGCAGGACCCTCGCTTCGCAACTGGAACCTGGTTACTAGCTTTTTTCTCTCTTTCTTCGAGTTCTCTTAGCCTGATTGCATATTCTTGTTCTCTTTTAATATTTTCTGCTTTAAGCTTTTGGATTTGGAGCTCTTTTTGCTCAAGGGCAGTTTTAAGTGCTTCAGGATTTTCACTAGGAACTATAGTTTTGCTATTATTATAAATTTCAGAGTATCCTGGATGATCATTTTCTAGTATTTCTGGCTCTTCTTCAAACTCTTTGATTCTTGCTGATTTCACAGGGTTTGATGCCTGCCCATATTTTTCTCTCAATTTGTTGAGCTCTCTTTGTTTGGTTTCTTCAGTAATATCCCCATACACACTAATAGCAAGTGCATGGTGTAAAAAATCGTCAGCTACCTCAGGAGTGATTTCTATATTATGGTCTCTTATATAGTTAAACTTCGGGTTTACAGTTGTCTGCATGCATTTTTGAGTCATATATTCTTCTTCAGAAACAACAGCAAACTTGTATTTACAATAGCAATTCGTGCTGAAATTCTCAGGAATATCTGTAGCTTCTCCAATAGCTACCTTTAAATTCAGGTTCTTGCCTAAAATTTCTTTTAAATTGTCAAATTCTTCCATTACAATTCCATCAATCTTTGGAGTAATAGCGACTTTTAGCATTCCTTTTTTACTCCCTCTGTCGTCAATGATGGGTACCTTATCCTCATCGACTGTTATTAGATAATAAATACTATCGAGGTAAATATAAGAATTTCCTATAAGCTTATATAGCTTTTCCCTTTAATTGTCTTATATAAAATAATTTTATATTTTAGCCAAAATATTGATGGACCATTTAAGATAAGCGTCAATAGGTATCCCCTAAAGAGTCTACTTTGTCAAAGAATGGGTCATAGCCAATATCCACATCATTTATATCCCCTCCGTATTCTAGCTGATTCGAAATTTCTTGCATGTCAATCAGCCTTGCTTCAAGCTTGTCTAGTGGCCAATGAATTTGGAAATCATCAGAGATGTCAGGAATAAGGACTTTTACACGAACTTGTGTTTGCTGCATGCCAGTCCCTGGCCTACCACTATTTAAAGAGTTATCTCTATATAGTTCAGGCTGAAAAATTGTGCTTTTACCTAGCAAAACAGCACGCTCATTGGCTTCATTGATTTGGGTAATAGCTTGTGTTAGCACTTTTTTCAGCCTTTCCATTGCCAATCTATTTTCCTCATGCTGTTTTAGCATGATTTCCTTTTTCCTCATTTCCTCTTCCATTGCTCTTTGTTTTGCTTTTAATTCCTGCTCTTTTTCAAACAAAGCTTTCTGTGTAGCAGCATCTTCATTTTTCTTCCCTTTCAGCATTTTTTCAAGCTGAGCTTTTTCATCTTCCATTTTTTTTCTTGCTTCTTCCCACTCAGCTTCTAATTTTCTCCTCATTTCTTCTTCTTTTGCCTTCATTTCTTCATTATTTGCACCAATCAGCCCATTAACTTGATCTTGGCTGGCTTCATTTACAGCTTTTTCTCAGTCAAAAGGAGCTCCTCCAAGTTCATCAGGATCTATGAATAGAAAATAATTGTGGTTCCCAAAGCGAATTCTGTCATGATGCTGCAAGGTGATTTCTTGTGTAAGGACTTTTCCGTTTACAAGAGTCTTTAGTGAAGGATCTGTGGATGGTTTTAGCTTTATTTCATCATTATATGTGACTGTACAATGGTTAATGCCGATTCCTAGCCCTTCAATTGTTATATTAGGAGGACTTTGTGGATTTTTTTTGCCTATCACATTTGTCCCTTTTTTAAAAGCGTGCTTAATATAGCCAGAAAGTAAAGGATCTTCATTTAAATTTGAGAGATGTGGGGTTGTTATTTTTTCTTCTATAAATGCGGCTCTATGCACTACTTCCTGAGTTCGCTGTTCACGCGTTTTTTCAGCATCTTCTTTAGCTTTTCGTAGTTCTTCTATTTGCCGCTCATATTCTTCTCTCATTTGGTCACTCATTCCTCCTCCAGCACCTCCACCTCCACCTCCTCCTCTGCCTTCCACTAGCGCTTTTAGCCTTTCGTTTTCCTCTTTAAGCTCTCTTATAAGTTTTTCTTGTGGAGTTTCATTAACTACAGCTTGGTTTTTGATCGATTTGACAGCGTCTGCATATCTGAGAGTGCTGATGGTTTCATCATAGTTAAATGTAGCAGGGGAAATAGCAGCAATCATAGTAGTCATACTATTTCCTCCCAAGGCATTTTGCAAAATTCTGGTTACTCCCCCCCCCCTCCGTGAGCGAACAAAACCATTAGAAAATCGCCATTTTTTGACCCAAAAACCCACCCTCCGTGAGTGAACAAAAATTTTTTTAATAGAAAAAAATTTTAATGGAAAAAAATTTTGATATATAAGTGATAATTAGTATAATGAAATCTAGAGCTAATTCTGTTTAATTTTAAACAAATTGCGTTTTTAAAACATAAATTTTGCAAATTAAATTAATATTTGCTTCCCAATTTTTGCAAATTAGGATTTTTTTAAATTTCGAAAAAAAAATATTTTTTATAAAATTTATATATAAATTTTTTTTTAAAAAAAAAAATTAACCCCCCTCCGTGAGTGAACAAAATTTTTTTGTTCGCTCACGGAGGGGGGGGGGAGTTAGTTTACTTTCTCTATATGGGATAACTTCACCTTTTGCAAGCTGTCCTGATGATCGTTTGGCGAGAGCTGTTATTACTTTTCCTAAAGAAGACAAAGACTTGTTGATATTGCTGCCTTCTTGGAGCCTGTCCCCAGTTGCGCCAGTTTTTGCAGCTCTTTCAGAGCCTGCAAGATCGACTAAGTTTATATTGCTTTGCTTTCTATTAAGTGGCTTTCCCGTTGCTTCATCATATCTTTATATCTTTGAATAAGCCATTATAGCAAACACCTCTTCACTAATTTTCCGCTTTAATCTATCAAAATAAATAAATAAAAATTCTTTCATTACAAGATTTCGCATAAAAAATCTGGGTAAAAGAGATTGTCAAAACTGTATGTGCTCGCGAACTAGTAGCATTCATTTGAGTAGCTGCTACCGTTCTGCTTTTATTCCCTCTATCAAGAACAGCCGAAATTTCTTCATAAGATGAACAAGGCTGCTCAATCAGTCCTTCTACAAAGACACCTTTTTTAGGATCTTCTCTGATTTTCAAGCCTCCTTTTACTCTGTTTTGTGGAGGCTGAAGTAAATCTTGTACCTGCTCATTATAAATTTCTAACATGCTTGCAGCAGGATTAGGATTATTAAAGTCAGGCGCTAGCCATATTGGTGACGCAATCACTAAAGACCTCCCGTAAGGGGGTTCTACCGCTTTTTGACTCCAGCCCAGAGGTTCTATCCCTCTTACGAGTGCCCTTTCGGTGCCTTCTGTCTCCTCCTTGCTTTGAGGCTTCAGTCTTGAGTGGGCGGCTTATCGATTTCTGCGGCCCTGCTACGGACGATAGGAGTAGCTTGATTCCAAAAGACCAACTCCTTGGAGTCTTTCAGGTGTCGAAGTGCCTTTCTTCGTCAGCTACAGGAAAAAGACTGTTTCCCTGTGGTTTGGGCCGAACCCCCAGTTTCTCAGTAGAGGAATGCCTATGGATCCTCGGATCCAAAGGACGTTGCTGAGCACCTCCATTTCCAACCACAGGAAAGCAGCCAAAACCTACCAGGATACATAATTATTGAGCTTGCGTCTGATTCTCGGCTCGGAGTCCGTCCCAGTTCGCCGTGGCCATAAGATCTGGACTGCTGCACCAAGATGGTAGGTTGACACGTGTCACAATTTTAATGTATATAGCATGCTTGCAGAAACTTTGCATTCTATAAAAGGAGAAGCCCTCTGAGAGATCCTAATGAAGACTTCTTCACAGGCAATTGGGATAATCCCTTTATTGCTTCCATACCCGACCATGGAATAGGATTTCCCAGACCCTGTTTGTCCATAGGCAAATAAGCAGCAATGATACCCTTGCCATGCGTTATCTAATACACCAACACCAATATCATTGAAAACTGTTTGTTGGTCTGCATATTGAGAGGAAGGAGAAGCCTTTGTCAAGATACCAGTTGTAGGATCTTCGTTAAAGCCATCATGGGACCAATATGAATAGTCATAGTGAAATTCTTTTATTGTCCCATTTTCTTTATTTCTTACTTTTGTCGTATTTCCTCGCATCTCAACGCAGAGTTCTGCACCTTCTTCTTTTTCACGGCTGTTAAATGGACGCACACGAACTGCGACTTTAACCGAACAGTCTCCCATATTTTAATTATTGCTTATTTCTATGCAATTATAGAGAATTGTGATAGGAGCTTTGCTTTATTATTTTAAAATTTATCGCAAACTACTTAAAAAAGCAATTTTATTGTGATATAAGAAGAAAAAATAAACTTGTAACTTATTGAAAAATATGAATTTTATATATGATTTAATAAATCAGATTATTGTGTAAAAATCTTCAAGAATTGATAATGGGATTTTGATTATCAGTTTAGATTTATCCAGTGTTTTATAAAATCTACCATTTATATATGCTGATTAAACAATTTATTCCAAAGCTTGCAACATCAAATTTCTTTCGAAGGTTTAGTACAATTAATGCATCAAAAGATCATTACAAAGCTCTTGGACTTTCAGAGAAATCAACAGAGTCAGAAATACGTCAAGCTTATTTAAATCTAGTTAAAAAGCATCATCCTGATTGCCCTACAGGTAGCACAGAAAGATTCAAAGAAATTAATGAAGCCTATGAAATCCTCAGTGACAAAACTCTCCGTTCTCAATATGACACTTTGAAAAACTTTAAAAATCCGACTAATTCTTCTTACACTTATCAAGATTATCAAAATAAAAATGATCGTGCATATAAATATTGAAAAGAGCAAGAGAAAAAAAATTTATATGAAGAGTGGGTAAAATATAATGAAAATAGAGCAAAGGCTAGAGAGTATTATAAACAAAGAAACCAAGAAAGGCCAAGAGGTTCATGAAGAAGAAAAACTGAGGACTTTTGGGAATCGGAATATGAAAGAGAAAAAAACTACAATGAGAATCTCAATGATAAAGAAGATGATCGGCCTCATATGCTACTGATTGATAGCCTGGCCGTGATCTATTTTTTTGCATTTTTTGGGCTGTTTTTCTATGCAATTTATATAGTTAGACAGAAGCGCAATGAGCGCGACAGAGAAGCTCGAGAATTATACATCAATGAAATACAAAAATATCGTCAAGAAATAGAGATACTCAAAGAATACGAGCGAACCAGATATTTCCCAGCCAAGCCTGGCTCTTAACTAAAAATTTATAATTTTTAAATGGATAAAAACTCAGAAGACCTGGATATAAGTGACAGAGAACTCTTAGAAGAAGATGATGACGCAAATCTTGACGAAGAACAAATCAGACTGCAATCAATTTTAGAAAGAGCTACAGAAGAGCAAAGGGACAGATATGAAGTCATGCACGAGACTTATTTATGAAGTCCTACGATAAGTGCTTCGAATGAAAAGCTAGAAAGAATTGTCGCTGGGATTATTGGGGGGACTCCACAAAAAGATATTTTATCAGCTGTAGCGGCGGCTGCAAAAATTTATGTAGGAGAGTTGGTGGAAGAAGCGCTAGAAGTAGCCAAAATTAATGGAGATGTAGGCTGCTTGGCAACTAATCACGTTCAAGAGGCGAGGAGAAGACTGAAAAAGATATCGAAAAGAATTTTGTAATGATACCACACATAAGATAAATAAATTTATATGGAAACGAGCAAATTTAAGATTTCTATGGTTAGGCAGTTGGATAAGAATTTATTATTGGATTAAATGAATGATAGATAAAATTATTTAACTTATTAACAAGTTAGATTCTTACGACTTCCATAAGAAATGTAAATAATCCAATTCCCAACAAATAAGAAAAATACTTTTTGTATTTATGAGCAGGGTTGGAAAACTCGTCAACTATTATATCAGAGCACGATATATAGAGAAAAGTTCCAGTGCATAACCCTAGAAATACTGCATCTAATAATGGCAGCTCCATGCTTGACATTCCTATTCCTGCTGCAATTCCAATAGGTTCTGATACCACAAATGAAATCATTAGTGGCAAACTTTGCGCTTTTGGAAGATCTTTTATGTTAATACCTAACGCAAAAGCTGCGAAAAAATGATGCAGCAATACTGCTAACGCGATATTGAAAAAATGTGCTTCTGTCTTTTGCAATCCAATTGCAATGCCTTCTAATAAATTATGCATCGTTAGTGCTGCTGCCATAACTAGTCCTGATATTAAATCTTGTGAAAAAATATTTTCAGCGTCTATTTCGTCTTTCTCTAGTAATGGAGAAAAACAATTTTTTAAAAATTCTTGTGAAATTGAATCTGTGTATGAGGTTTTTCTGCTTTGATTTTTGAACGAAATAACATTATCGTCGGCTTCGCTGCTGTGAATATTAATTATATGATGGTTTTTTGAGGCAAATCCTATTTTCTCAATATACAATATCAAAGAATAGCCGCATAGGACCAAAATATTCGCCAAATTATTGGTTGACCCCATGACTTCATGGGCTCGCTTTGTTGCTTCTGGAAGTAAATCTACAAGGGCAACCGACAGAAAAATTCCTCCAGAAAAGCAGGTTCCAAGATTGGCTCATACAAGACCTTTGCGGAAAATTTTTGAATAAAGAGGCAAAATCCCTACTGCTAAGGCTAAAAGTCCGATCATCAGTAGATATAAGACTTTCATAATAAGCAAATCATCCATTATATTTTTATTATAAGATCTATTTAACTGAATAATTTATAGTTAAGATAAAAGAATTTAAAATTTCCCCATGTCATTTATGAGAATAACTTGTTTTTAGCTATATTATTATAATTTTTGTTGCTTGAAAAAATGGTAAAAATTTTTATTTGTTTAAGTAATAAAAGTTAAGGAGAGTAAGTGGTGATAAAAAAAATCAACCTTGCGATTTTAAGGAAAACTTCAAAATAAAATTATTAGAGCAAAAATGGGCTTTTAATGCCATTAAAATAAGAAGGTATTAGTTCTCACAGAATTCTTGATAATTATCAAAAGAAATCTAAAAAATGCACAGTTAGCTTTATATATTAAAAAATAGTTGAGCCTAGTCGGATAGAAACTAAGGATAATCTTCGAAATACCTATAATTAGATTAAGCAGTCTATTTTGGCTTTTAAATAAGATTATGGCTATTAGACGTGATAAAATGAAATTTGAAGTATTTAAAATTGATTAAATGCTGCCTATAAAATAAAGTAAGTGTTTGAAAATATTTCAATTATATATAGCTTTTAATCCAGAATAAATATCTAAAATTAATCTTAACTTTAAAAATTTATTTGATTGAAGGTTGTACCTGGACTTAAAATCATTGAAATTCTTTCAGCAGACGTTTACAGGCTTATCTATTTAAAAATTCGAGATTAATTCACCATATTAAACTTTATCCATATTTTAAGTTACAATTTAGTACAGATACTTTCAGAATTTGCAATTAAATCCAGTATTATTTTACTCGTGAAAAATTGTGATCAAAGATACAAATAAAACTACTCCAAGGAGGTAAGAAAAATATTTTTGGTATTTATAAACTGAATGAGAAAATTCTTCGACTATAATTTCTGAGCATGATATATACAGAAATGTCCCTGTGCACAGGCTCAAAAATATAGCGCTTAGAATAGGAACATCAGCACTTGACATTCCTATTCCAATAGCTACACCTATAGGCTCAGATAGTACAAAAATAGATAGCAATGGCAAACTTTCTTTTTTATCTAGATCTTTTATATTTATTCCAAGTGCAAAAGCAGCAAAGAAGTGATGAAACATAACAGCTGTCACTATATTAATGAATCCTGCTTCATCACTTTGTAAGCCTACAGCAATTCCTTCTAATAAATTGTGTATAGATAATGCAATAGCCAAAATAATCCCAGAAATCGAATTAGATGATTCTACGATATCAGGACTTTCTGGCTCATCATCAATCAAATTATCCTTGATATCTTCAAGAGTGATAGAAATTGAGTTTATCTCTAACTTTTTCTGTGGGATTGCCATAGATATCGTCGTTTCTTTTTTCATATGAACAGTGCTATGATGGTGATGGCGATGGTGATGCTCAGAGCTAAAAGCCAATTTCTCTATAAAAAGGATCAAAGAATAGCCTGTAAGAACGAGCACGCTGGCTAAAGGAAAGCGGGAGCCTATGGCTTCTTCAGATTTTTTAGTTGCTTCTGGTAGAAGATCTGCAATTGCAACTGATAAAAAAATTCCTCCTGAAAAGCAGGACCCTAAATAAGCTCATTTTAATCCCTTGTGAAAAAATCGAGAGTAGATCGGCAAAATTCCGAATATCAGACCTCCAAAACAAATAATGAATAAGAAAATTATTTTCATCATAAGTAACTCGTCCATTATTCCTATTTTTACTCCTTTTAAAAAATTCTTTTAATTTTTATTAAATAAATGATCAGTCATAATTTAATTATCTCCTTGAAGATTTTTAAGCTGAAGAATAAAGAAGAAGAAGACTGAAATAAAATAATCAGTTTTAAATTGATAATTATAGCTTATGATGGAATATTTTTGTCTTCTTCTAAAAATTCTTTCCAGTCTTTTACTTCTTGAGGAATTGTAGGAGCAACCTTCTTTTCAACCTTCTCTGGAAGCTTAGATCTAGTCATCTGCGGCCTTCCAACTTTTTTCACAACCCTTTTCTTTCTCATTTCTAATTTTTCATTTATTTCTTTCAATTTTTCTAAGTTTTTAAGCCTTTCTTGCTCAACTTTTTCTGATCTTCTAACTTTATCAATATCCTTTTCTATTTGCTTTAATTCTTTTTCACTCAATAAATTTTTCTTTCTAACTCCCCACTCCGTGAGTGAACAAAAAAACCATTGGAAAAATCACTAATTTTTATATAATTAATAATTATTATAATGAAGTCTCTAGCTAATTCTGTTTAATTTAAGTAGCATGCATTTTAAAACATAAATTTTATAATATCTACCTCAAAATTTTTTTTCGAATTGAGATTTTTTAAATTTTGAGAAAAAAAAATTAAACCTCTCTACGAGCAAAAATTTTTTGTTCACTCATGGGGGTTAAGCAGCTGCTCAAGTTTATTTTCTATTTCCAACAGCATATCGAGATCTGTAGGATTATTGCTTGCATCACCACCAATTTCTTGATAAAGCTGAAATATTTGTTCTCTTATTTTCATCATCGTCCTTTCATCAACCAAAAAATTTTCCTCTTTATCTGCACTTAATGCTTTAATTCTTTCTTTAAGTTTTTGTTTCTCTGACTTTAATCTGTTTATATTAATTGCAATTTGCTCAAGCTTTTTATTAAGTTCATCTTTTTTTATTTCATTTTTTAGCCGAAGGGCTTCTAATTCAGTTTCAGCTTCTTGACCATGTTGAATTAAATTTACGTTTTCTTCTTCAAGAGATTTTATTCTAGCAATTAATTGTCAAGGGGATTTAAAGAATAATTGAGGAGTGTCTTGCTCTGTTAGAAAAGTTGGGTCTTTAGGGTCTGACGGTTTTTGAATGAACTCAGGAGGTGTAAGCTCATCTATGAATTTTTTATATTCTTCAAGCTGTTTTAGCTCTTCGTTTTTTCTGTCAAAAAGACCATTTTTCATTTCAATGTCATTTGCTAAATCATTTATACCTTCTATGTATGAATATCTATATTTTTCTAGTTATTTTGTGTATGCTGAGAATGCTCTGCAATATATGAATGGCAATTTATTTACATTAAATAGCATATCCTCGTCTGCTTCGATATTCTTTCATTTGTTTTTGCTTGAGCTTCTTGAGCTTTTTTCTCAGCTTCGATTTTTAAATTATCCTCATATTTATCGACAATTCCCATATTATCTTCAAGCATTTTTACATTGCTTTTGTGGGTTTCTTCTTCCGCTTGGATAATTTCTTCAAGGTATTTTGTTCTTTCTTTTTTATTTTGGATGCTCTTTTTAACAAGCAAGATTTCACGTTTTCGCTGAATAAATTCTCTGATAGTCTCTTTTTTGGAAGGAAATGAATATTTTGGGGCTGTGGAGGGTAGCGCTAATAGTTCCTTTGAATCTTCATAACGGATAGAATTATTAAAATTGCGTGATCTCACGTAGACTTCTGGTGACCCGTGAGTCGATCCGGCTCAGGAAGGCGAGCCACATGGTAATAGTTCTCCGGGGTGGGTTTTTGGTCTAGGGGCTGACCCTAGATCTTTGTTCCTTACCTGCAGAGTCCCTCCCTGCGCAAAGTCCCAATACTACTCAATAGAAGCAAAAAGGTGGTGTGAGGATAGTGCTTAGCGCCAGCGCGAAGCTATCCGTTGGACGGAGAGGGGCTGAAATAAACCCCGACGGTCGCAATAATTTTAACTAATCTAATCATAACGGATTTCTCCAAGAACACTTGGATGATGGTAAGAATCATAGTTGTGACGCTCTTGGATAGGAATTAGTTGACGATCCTTGCGTTCCATTTCTTCTTTGGCACGCTGGACTTCACGCTCATGATAAAGCTCTGGGTCTTTGTCTGGAAGGTAAAATGGGTTAATCATAATTTTTAAATAGGGAATTATTTATCCCTCCCTCCATGAGCGAACAAAACCATTGGAAAATCCTTATTTTTTTGGGTAAAGCCTAATTTCCGTGAGCAAAAAAAAATTTAATAGACAAATTTTTAATAAAACAATATATTTTGATATAAGTTAAATTATTATAAAGAAATCTCTAACTAATTCTGTTTAATTCTAAACAGCATACATTTTAAACATAGGTTTAACAAATTAAATTAATATTTGCTTAAAAAATATTCGAATTAGGATTTTTTAAATTTTAGTGAAAAACATTTGCTATAAAATTTATATATAATTTTTTGATGATTTTTTCAAACAAACCCCTCCTGAGCAAAAAAAATTTATGTCGCTCATGGAGGGAGGGAAAGTTAGATGATTAGAATTATTACAATATTATTGCATCGCAATATATGAGAGCAACATTTTTATTGTTTATTTATGCCATATTAAAGATCTTATCCTAATTTATTCAAATAATTAAATACTTATAAATTTGTTCAATTATATTAGCAATTTAATTCGGCAAAAGATATATTTTCGCTTATATGTTGACTCCCCCATCCTTGATCGAATGATTGACTGTAAAAATTCCTAAAAATTGGGAAATTAACCCCCATCCTTGATCGAACGATTTTCATATCATGCAATTTTTTTATATATATAAACATATATAAGTTATCAAAAGCTTGGGAAGATGTACCTAATGAAGTTGTTTTCAGAACTTTGAGATGACAGAAAGCTACGAAATCAACCATCCGAAGTGATTTAGCCATCAACCTAAGCTTAAAAACTCAATAATCTAATAAAATAGAGATTCTTTAAAATTTAAAAAACAAAATTTAATTCAATAAGGAACAAATTAAAATTTATACAGTTTAAAGGGGTAACTAATAAATCAAAATATTAAAAATTGGTATTTTATGAAATTAATTAAATTTTTTGCTCTTATTTAAAAGTAAATAAAAAAAAATATATATATATATATATATATATTTTTTATTTTATATATAAAATTTTTTTTCCCAAAAAAATTGTTTTTTAACCCCATCCTTGATCGAACGATGGCGAGTCGTTCGATCAAGGATGGGGGGAGTGAGAGTATTTAAACAAAGCTAATTGAGTTTTAAATTATACTTAATTTTAAAAAGAGAGCTGCATGATAAATCAAAATAGTCATTTATATTTAGCAATTATTAATTTCACTATAATATTCTATAGATGAGCTTATATAAGTAGTGCTCCTACTGAAGTTTAGTATCGATTAGCATTTATTTTTCTATCAATAATCTTGTCTTTTCATGCTTAGGAAATCTTAGATTATTAGCTCTTATCATCAATTTTTTAATATATTTCAAGATTTTCCAATATACAGGTTGGTTAAGATATTTAAAATAGATAGGAAATAAAAATTTAGAATTCCTGATTTTAAGCTTATAGAATATCCTCGAGTTTAGAAAGTAGTAAATATGGCTTAATTGCATGTGAATCTCTTTATGAATATAGGCGCATATATAAGTGCTTTATAAAACGAGATAAATCCTTACATATAATTTAATTTCCATTAAATTCTCACATTTAGGTCTAAAAATAGTTGACATTTATCCTTCAAAATTATTTTGGCAAAAGGGATTTTTGTCAGTAATTTATCGAGCACATAAGAAATAAAAACATTTTTTTATCAAATATCCACTTTCCTTCAATTGAAATTCTTTCGCCATTTTAGAATTCTTATAATAAACGTGCAAAATAAAGGTATGGATTATTGTTGATTTAAAATGGCATTAAAATTCATAAACTCTTGCACAGAATCTCACAAAATCACACTTTGGTATATCTTTCTTTAAAAAAGATTTTCAATTATTCAGCAGAAAATGCCACAAAAAATAATTTTGGCGAAGTTTTTTCCTTAAAAATAAAAACGTTTCAGCAAAGCTCATTCCTAACTCCCCTCCCCAAGTGAGAAAAACCATTGGAAATATCAAATTTTTTGCCCAAAAATCCACCCTCCGCAAGCGAATAAAAATCCTTTTTAATATAAAATTTTATATATAAGTGAAAATCAGCATAATGAAATCTCTAACTAATTCTGCTTAAATTTTAACAACTTGCATTTGAAACATAAATTTATAAAATCAAATAATTATTTGCTTTCCAATTTTGCGAAAATGGATTTTTTTTAAATTTTTAAAAAAAAATTATCTCCTCTGTAAGCGAACAAAATTTTTTGTTCAGGAGTAAGTTTTTGCATAAATAAAGCCTTTTTATTGTATTTTGTCTTATAATCTTTTATATTTTTTATCTAAAATTTCAATGATACAAAATTGATTTTTTAAATCAAATCCCTATCACTAATAATTATATCAAAATGGACGACACACTCCTCATGCTAAAGCTGATCTTTATCTTTATTTTCGGAGTTGGAGCCTTATTATCAGGCTTATTCCCAATCTCCGCAAGTATTTTTAAAAAAAGCATAAAGTGGGCTAATATAGGGATCTGTTTTTCAGGAGGCATAATTTTGACTGTAGGCTTGGTTGACCTTTTCCCTGAAGCTTCAGAAAACGTCGCTGATGCTTTGGATAGTGATTTCCCACTGCCAAGCATTTTGGTCATTTGTAGTTACACCCTGATGCTTTTCCTTGAAAAAATTGTATTCACCAAGACCCATCATAGCCATGCATTTCATGATGAAAAGGAGGAAGAGGAGCACGATGATAGGACTCCGCTGATTTATGTATCTTCAAGGAGGAGAAGTAATTCAGCACCAATATGTAGGCCTGATGAGACGCAATCGATGATTTCTTTTGATGAAACACCTGGAACGAAAGCTGATGAAAAGGATGAGGACGATAATGGGATTATAACTGGACTGATTTTGGCGCTGGCGCTTGGGATTCATAATCTTTTTGAGGGGATCGCCATTGGGTTGCAAAAAGATGTCTCGAGCTTTATTGGGATTGCTACTGCTGTAATTCTTCATCACTTTTTTGCTGCTTTTTCATTAGGAATAAATATAAAAGGACTTAAAAAAAGTAAAAGCTTGCCTATGTTGGGCTCTTTTGTGCTCTCAGAACCTTGTGGAATTGCAATAGGGATTGGCTTATCGAGCTTAGAGGTCCCGTTGCTAAATGGTGTGTTTCTTAGCTTGTGCGTCGGGACGTTTATTTATATTTCATCTTCAGATATTTTAGCTGAGGAGTTTTCAATACCAAAACAAAAATATACTAAATTCGTAGCTTATTTGTGCGGAGTTGGGGTATTTTTGATATTACTTATAGGCGTAGAAAGATCGGTCGAATAATTTAATTTAATAAACTCGGTTCGCTTATTAATTTATAATTGATAATTTCGATATTTTTATTAGTTTGTGAAATGAAATTATTTAGATGGCATATATGACAACTGCTTATACTGAGAAAACAACTATTTCAGGTCAGCTTCGAAATATTAGGTAGATTTTATCTAGCATTGCAGCTTCAGAAATGCAAGGATGGAGAATTCATATGGAAGATGCAAAAATTGCAGAACTGAATTTAGATCATGATGGGTTTCTATTTGGAGTTTATGACGGGCATGGTGGCAGCGAAGTTTCAACTTATAGCCCATACCCCTATATAGATTTCTTGATCAAATAAAAGCGCAATGGACGGTTGAATGACCAATTCAGACTCTATAAAAAGGGACGAGCTGGATATCTACAGGGGTTTCCCCGAGTTAGCCCTTATGAAGGGTTAAAGAATAGCATGCCAAAAATGATTGACGAGTGAAAACAAAGTTGACAAGCAAACATGCCAATTTTTTAAAATGGCTTTATTATAAAAATTAATTTTAAATTAAAGATACTTTTAGACTGGCACTGATGAGCATCTTACCCATTATTTCCTTCTTTCTTAAGACACCAAAGTAAAATTATAAACACTTCCTTAATAATTCATATAACTCCAACTTTAATATTACTTTCCTATGGAATTTTTAAACAATCATACTTTTTCTAGATGATTTTCAGTTGCAATCGAAACATAATTATTACTCTGATAGTGCTCTCTAAGGCTTTAGAGAATCATAGCGACTCTTAATTTTTATTTAAAAACAATTGTAAAATTTATTGTCATCTTTATATAGATTTTGTATTGAATTTAAAAAAAAATCAAATTTTAATAGATGATTTTCGATGAGAATTGCAACATAAGCATCGCTCTACTAGTATTATTTGCTGCCTTTATAGATTGTAGCGACTCTTAATTTTCATTATATAAAAATTATAATATAAGGTAACTCCATCTTTAATATGTATTTGGTATCGAGTTTTAAAAAAGTCAAATTTTTAATAGACGATTTTCGATAATAAATGCACCATAAGCATGACTCTATAAATTCTCTTTAATTCTTTTAAAGGTCGTAACGACTCTTATTTTCATTGGCATAAAATTCCTTATGATGCAATACCATCCTTATATGGGCTTTTGTATTGTACTTCAAAAAAAATTTTTAAAAGATAGTTTCCAAATATAATTGAAACATAAGTATCTATCTATTAGTTATCCATATAGCCTTTAAAGGTCATAGCGACTCTGGAATAATACTAGCAAATTTTTATCGATATTTAATTTTCTCTAATTAATAATAATATTTAATTCTATAGAAAATAGCGACACTTATCAGTGCCACTCTAAAGTTACCTTTAATTTAAAATTAATTTTTATTATAAAGCCATTATAAAAACTGGCGCGTTTGCTTGCCAACTTTGTTTACACATGTCAACCATTTTTTTAAATGTTATTTTTCAACCCTTCCTTGTATAGAAATCCATCTCATCCCTTTCAACCGCCCATTACATTTTGTTTGATAAAGAAATATATATATAGGCGCATGGACTATATGTATCAAAACATTTGTGTAGTCTTTTATTGCAAAATGAAAATTATCAAGCTGGGAATTATGATATAGACTTTTTATTAATAAAAATCAATTTTATGATGGGCATTTATTACCTATTTCTTTATATAGAATATAGTCTCAACCTCTATTTAAAAATACTACTTTTTCAAATTAGCGTAGCCCTTCAAGAAACTTACTTAAAATTTGATGAACTTCTCCAAGAAGAAGATGCGATATCAGAATTAAAAAGAATTAGATTTAGTGTATACGGGGAGTATCCTAACTATGAATGCAATGCTGGATCAACAGCTCTAACAGCATTAATAAAAAGCAATAAAATTTACGTCGCAAATTCTGGAGATTCCAAATGCATATTAGTTAAGGGTGGAGAAGCTTTTTCAATGTCTTGTGAGCACAAACCAGAATATGAAATAGAACTTAATCGAATAAAAAACGCAGGAGGAATTGTAACGGATGGAAGAGTTAATGGAAATCTAAACTTGAGCAGGGCAATAGGAGATTTTGATTATAAGCAAAACAGGGAATTATCACCCCAGGAACAAATGATAACGGCATTCCCTGATATTGCAATCCAAGAAATCACTCCAGATTGTGACTTCTTGGTACTCGGGACTGATGGAGTTTGGGAGTTGCTAACTAATCAAAGTTGTTTGGAGTCTATATATCAAGGGCTGAGAGATAGAAAACCACTTACCACGATTGTTGAGGATTTGCTAGATCAGTGCCTTACTCCGGATTACTATGCTTATTCAGGGCTAGGAACTGATAATATGACATGCATAATTGTTAAATTTCATGACTAACTCCCCCCCCTCCGTGAGTGAACAAAACCATAGGAAAAATCCCTATTTTTTGCCCAAAAACCCACCCTCCGTGAGTGAACAAAAATTTTTTTAATAGAAAAATTTTTTATGGAAAAAAAAATTTGATATATAAATGATAATTAGTATAATGAAATCTAGAGCTAATTCTGTTTAATTTTAAACGAATTGCTTTTTTAAAACATAAATTTTATAAATTAAATTAATTTTTTGCTTTCCAATTTTTGCGAATTATGGTTTTTTTTAAATTTCGAAAAAAAAAATATTTTTTATAAAATTTATATATAAATTTTTTAAAAAAAAAAAAATTAAACCCCCCTCCGTGAGTGAACAAAATTTTTTTTTGCTCACTCACGGAGGGGGGGGTGGAGTAATTAAAAATAATTTCTTTTTCAGAAAATGTCATGGATTATCCTTAAAGATGAAAAATATTAAAAGCTTAAAATATTTGAGCAAATATATTAAAAGACTACACAGCGGCTGCATCTACAATTTTCAAATTTCCCATCTTCAGATCTAGGAGTTCTTCCCTCAAGATAAGAATTATAAGCTATAAAATCAACCCGAGAGATTGGTAACACCGACCCTTTTCCAAATTCACTAATTTCTGATTTTAAAGTAGCATCAATAGTTTCCGTAGTAATCCTCGACTCCATTAATGCGAATTGCTTTTGTATGTCTTGTATAGATAAATTGCATTCTTTTGGCGAATCTAATGGGGTTTTGTTTTCATTAAGATTGCGTTTTTTTATTTTTGGGGATTTTTGAATTATATCAATAACTTCTATGGGATAAAAATCTAAAGATTCACTATAATCAATGACAGATTTTCTATTTGTTTGATCTTGGAAAGGCTGTAAAGCATTTGAAGACTCACTGAGTGTTAAAGAATCTGAATAAATTTTAGGAAATCGTTCAACAACGGACAAATTAAAAGGAGTTATCACCTCACTTAATCTTTGGGTTGAATTTGATTGTTCATCAGAATGGGAGTACTCTAAATCTGAGCTGCAGGTAAGCAGTTGGTTTTTATGAGAATCATTTTCAGACTCAAAGGTAAAAAGATAGCTGTTTTCCATAGCTAGAGGGGTGTCTGAAAGTGAGCCAGCTTCATTTAATTCTTCTTCACTTAAATCCGTATTTAAATGTAATTTTATTTGATAGGACTTTGGGCTATGAAAATGCTTTGAGGGATGGATCGCCAGGATATCAATTAACGGCTTTTCTAATATTTTAAAAGAGGATTTTTGGACTATGACTGAGATAGAGCTAGTTGGAGGCTTTTTAATTAGATAATCTCTTTGTGCTCACATTGGAATAGTATTTTCTTGATGAAATGAATCTGAGCTCCTCCCTGACCTATCTGTATCTCCTTTCTCAGAATCACTTTTAGATGACGGGACATAAAATAAACTTTTAGCCTCTTGCAGAGCAAAAAGGAGCTTTTTTGCTGGGATTTTTGAAGAAGTATAAATAAAATTTGCAATTTCTTCAATAATAATCAAAATCCCTTCTTCTGTAATTTCTGCTGCACTTAATAAGCGTTGATCTTTAAATATTAGCTTTGCCGCTAAAGCTGTGCAATAAGACTTGGGATAATCTTCAGTTATAGCTATTGTTATTATCTCAATCTTACTTTTGCTTGACACAGAAGCTGTTATCTTTGCAATTTCATCAGTTAAATCATCAGTAAAAGTAAAGCAAGTAATATTTATATTTGTTAATTCTTTTTCTAATACAAAAAGCTTCCAGCTTTCCATAAGTATCAGAATTCTTGAATTTTCTCACAAATTTAAATCGCTTGGAATAGTTGACATTACAATGAAATCTTTGGGAGCAATAGATCTAGCTAGAATTTACCTAATATAATGGTGAATCAGTTGATAAGTTGCTTCAATTTTATACTCGACTCGTAAGAGGTCAGTGAGATGAATATTTTCTGAAATTTGCAAATCCAGCCCAGCGTTTATTAGTATTTCGTCGTTATAATTACAGCTTGAATAATTTTCATCTGAGGAAGTTCTGTAGTTCATTTATTAGCATTTTATTAGAATCTAGACTATTAAGCAGGGCTAGCTTTTCTTAAGAAATTATGAAAATATATGTATCAGATTCAAAAAAATAATCAGCAATCATTTGACACGCTTCTCTCATCATAATAAATATATATATTTTAATCCATTCTTTTCTTTACGAGTTTTCTTAGAAAATGCTTTTATTTTGAAACTCTAATCCTATATGATAAAAACTTGCTTAGCCATATAGACTATTTTCATTCTCTGAGCTATAAATCAATTATAAACTCATAACAGTAGGCTTCTGATGCTAGGGTGATGCAATAGTTATGATCCATTTTAATATTAAAAATATAAAGAGCAAATATATCTCTAATTTTGTTTAAAATTGAATTACATTTTCATAAAATCTGCAAGGCTAATTCTCCCTTTTCTAAACTTATTTTCTTCTTTTTTAGCTTCAGTCTTTTTCTTCTCTAAGCTATTAATATTAGTACCAATATCATCCTGCTCATCAATAATATTAAACACATTAACGGTCTTCTGTTGGGCTTCTTTTTTGGAGTCTGCTTCAAACAGTTTTATAGCATCTTTTAATTTATCTCTAGTGATTTGGAATAGCTTTAAAGCCTCTTTATATCGTTCAATTTTTTTAATGAGCATCTCAATTTTTAATTCATGAAATTGTATTTTGGAGTCTTTTAAATCTTGCTCTAAAATAGATAATGTCCCGATGATTACTTTCATCTTATCATCTGAATCCCTAAGATGAGCTTTATACTGCTCTACCAGCCTTCTTTTTTCCGTTTCATCAAATTCATCTTTCTTTTTAGCTTTCATTACAATACTTGCTCCTCCCCTCCGTTAGTGGACGAAAAAAAAATTGTTCACTCACACAGAGGGGAGTTAATATTTTTTTTAAAAAATTTATATTTAAATTTTTAGAAAAATTGTTTTTCAAAATTTAAAAAAATCCTAATTTGCAAAAATTGGAAAGCAAATATTAATTTAATTTATAAAATTTATGTTTTAAAACGCAATTTTTTTAAAATTAAACATAATTAGCCCGAGATTTCATTATACTAATTATCACTTATATATCAATGTTTTTTTTCATAAAATATTTTTTCAATTAAAAAAAAAATTTTTTGTTTCACTCACGGAGGGTGGGTTTTTGGGCAAAAAATAGCGATTTTTCAAATGTTTTTGTTCACTCTCACGGAGGGGGAGAGAGATAGCAATCTTTGAAAAATCGGTTTTAAATCCATCAATAAATTTTTTCTAGTCTGTTTCGGTTCATTTAATTTATCAAGATCCGCTTCTTCTTTATTAATAAGAGAAGCCATTGCATTTCTTAATTTATATAGCTCATGAGTTTGGCCGTCTAATTTTCCATCTTTAGACACATTAAAATAGCTTAACTCTTCGCTATGAGAAATTGGAGTTTCTATTGTTGAGACTGTGAGTGAAGGTAGTGACGCTTGCTTTCTGTGAAGATTTTCAAGTAAACCAAAATTTCTTGTATTAATCATTGACATAGAAATGTTATAAATGCTGCTTACGTTTAAATTTTGATATTTTGTTTTGCTTTTATTTTGGCGCAGCCTTATAATTTCACCCTTAATGTTCTCATCTTCTAAAGTCATTCCGTTATAGCTATTTGACCTTTGATGGCGCTTTTCTACTTCTTGATCATGCAGCTTCATTGTAATGTTTTGAATTTTGCTATTTTTTTTGAATTTCTTTTTGGAACGCTTCGGTATGCACTTTTTCTTTAGTTGCAGCTTATTAGAGCTAATTGGAGGAAGATAGCTATGGCAGCTTGGAGTTCGGCTAAGTGAAATATCTATATTTGTTCTGGATAGATCAGGAGGATTCTCTTCGTCAAAAGAGATTATGAAATTTTTAGTCGGACCATAGACATAAGAAGCTTGCATCTGAAAATTTATTCATTTATAGACAAGCTGGCGAATAATAAAATTTTGAGGAGAAAACAGATAGATATAATAGAAATTTATAATTTTTGAGAGAAATAAAATAAGAATGATTTGCTCTTTATGAAGTAAGACTCATAGTATTTAAAGACTATGCTAATTTATATAAATTATAACTTTTAATTTTAGGAACCTATTAATACCTTGCATTAAACTTTGGATTGATTTAATAAATGCATACAAAGCTTGCTTCGCCTTCATTAGTTTAATTAAGTTTTGCTTATTCCATTTATAATAATAAATTATCACAATTTTATTTTCATAGATTACACACATTCTAATCACGATTGCTGTCAAAAAGAGTATGCAATATTGCTAAAATTAATATCTAAAAATAATTGATTAGACCCCCAATATAATGAATTCAAATAAAGAGAAGAACAACAGTCATAAGAGAGTCCACAAAAAGCTGCAGAGTAAAAGGCAGCAAATTAAAACTCAAATTTTCAATTTGAAATGACTCTATGATTTTAATAATAAAATCTATTTCACAAAAATGCTGAATGTAAATATGTCCTTATTGAATCCGAGCACTCCTGCATTTGAGCCTTTGTCATTTAAATTTATTCCTCCTCACTCCCCCTATAAAATAATTTTCTAAATTTATTTTTTTATTATTTTTATTTAAAATAAATTTGATTTTGCTATAAAATATTTGGGAGAGTTAGCAAAATGAATCAATGATAAAAAATGTATGAAAGCACAATTTAAAGTCTGAAATTCTCATTATTTCAAATCTACTTGAAAATTATCCCTACGTTGCAATGGATACTGAATTTCCAGGTATTATCGTAAAAGCTCAAGGAGAATTAAGAGACATACAATACCAAAACATTCGCCATAACGTTGACCGCTTAAAACTTATACAGGTCGGCATTACTTTATCAGATGGACAAGGCAATTTCCCATCAGGCATCTGCACATGACAGTTTAATTTTGACTTCGATTTATCCTCAGATGCTTATTCAGAAGACTCAATCCAATTACTACGACAGTCTGGCATTGACTTCGACAAGCATGCGACTGATGGAATTTCACACTTTGAGTTTGCTGAGTTTTTTACTGTGTCTGGTCTGTGCCTAAATTATTAGATTATATATTAAATTCTAGAGGTCTTCAGGGCGTATTTCAGCTCCTCACTGTCACACAAGTAGCTTCGCATTGGCTCAAGACGCTATCCTCACCTGCCCTTTTACCTCTGATGTTACCAGAAAATGGTGAAGTAAGATGTCTTTCGGAGAGATCAACAAGAGGCCATGTCAGATTACGCCATTTTAATAATTTTTGTGCCTAAATGAAGATATTTCATATTTAACTTTTCATAGTGGCTATGATTTTGCATATTTACTTAAAACTGTGACAAATCAAAAATTACCTGAAACACAAGATGAATTTTATAAGCAGCTTTCGCTGTATTTTCCTGTCTTTTTTGACATAAAATTCATGGTGCAAGGAATTGATAAGTACAGAGGAGGGCTAAGTCGAATTGCAGAAGAAGTAGGAGTGAGACGATTCGGGAGGATGCATCAAGCAGGAAGCGATAGCTTGGTTACGCTTGAAACGTTCTTTACAATTAAAAATGAAGAGTTTTCTGAAGTTAGTTTAGAAAAGTATGCTAATACGATTTGCGGATTAGCCCCAAATAGTCAGAACCAAGAGTTTTCGCCTAGTTTTGCAAGATAATAATTTACATTTTTAGTTATATTTCTTATTTATCAATTTTTTGAGCTTTTGCGAAAATTTATTTAGAATGCTTAATTAGAATAACAGTTTATATTAACAGAAATTTGAGCAAAGAATGCAAACATCAAGATCATCATTGTTCTCATTATCTCTATAGTGAAAAGAACCTATATTTCAATATTCACATTCGCATACATTGCAAATAAAGCTTTGAGAAATTCCATTTCAAGTAATATTATATGGTCTTGCTGTTCATTTTAATTTCTTATAGCCCATAAATACGCCCTTTACAATTGAATTTTTTAGTTGGTTTAAACAATTAAAGCAAAGATCAAAATCACACATATCGCAGCCCTTGCAAATTCCACCTATAGTTATACCACAAGAGTCGCAGTATGATGGGTCTTCATAATAGCAAAATTTAGATTGCAGCTTATGCTCTCCAGGGCAAGAAATTTTGAAATGCTCCCTTAAGACTTTATTTTCACAACATTCGCATATAGAAAAATTGCATTGATCACAATAAAACGATCCATAATCAATCGCTCTATAACAAACATCGCAAGATTTTGGCTCGGGATGTCTTACTCACGTTAGTTCATGATTATTCTCACATACAATGTAGCGAGTCGTTCAGAATAGTTTTCATGGCAGTTCAAGTCTTATATGAATGTTCTTGTTTTTTGGAGACGGATTTGAATTAGGCTTGTCAATCAAGGATAGGAGTGAGTAATTTGGCTTAATTTCATAAAGCGGCTTTTCGATGTCTTCTCTGCAAAATGGACATATGATATTTTCTGTATTAAATATTAATCTTAAACACAATCTACAGAGTGTATGACCGCAGGTGATTACCATAGGTAAATTCGCTTGCAAGTTGAACTCTTCTAAACAAATTTCACATTCCATAATAATATATTTTATTGCAATGGTTTCATATTCGGATCAACTTATCTATTACAAATAAATTGTCATTATTTTTATGTGTGCAAATGAATGGCTAAGTTTAGTTATCAAATGATGTATACGTTTTGGAATTGAGTCATAGAAGATAAAGCATATTTAGGAAATGCGATTTTCAAGATTTTAAGTTTTTTAGGATTTATAAGCAAAAAAATTAATTTCTTTATAAGAAATTAAAGCTTTGCGCATCTTTACCATTTTATATTAAATATATAATTTTAGAAAATCTCTTTTTAATTAATATATGACTTACATATAAGGTGCGTGCTATCAACCACAAGAAAACCTATTCAACCTTTGCTTTATTATGTACATGCGAAAGTTGAAATCAGTTAATTTTTATAAGAGAAAAAGGTTTTGGGGTGTTGAAGAATTGAATAAATTCCCAAAAATACCAAGTAAATTTAATTATGCACTCAATTTAAATTATTAGTTTAATTTCATGCTACAATAAATTAATTTGAGTTTCAGGTGAGAATATTTATTATTGGCATTGATCTGAATTTTCGCAAAATATTTCGAAAATAAATATTAATTTTACTGACCTTTAATAAAAATTTGAATTAATATTTCAAATTATAAACATATTTTATAACTCAGATTTATGAGTAATAAGACAGTTACATAATTTTATCTTTCTGAATAAATATATGCATTAAAACTTAATTTTATTATTTTAAATTTAGAATTTTTGCTTACGATCTAGAACTAATAATTCAAATTATTTATAGTTATCATATTTATATAAACTATTTAATATGGTTATTTACTGATTGATAATTTGACTACTAAATATACTTGTTGGAAGCATGCAGTACTCTTGCGGTGCTGATATGGGAGGCAATTCATATCTATGCTCTTCATTTGCGTTTAGCTTGTATGGTATTGCTTCTAACTTGAAAAAATCTGATTTTTCAATTAATTGTGTGAGAATGATATATTCGTTTCTAGGATGATTAATTTCGCTCTTTTGGGTGTACTTGTTTAGTGCCAAATGGATCCTTTTGTGAGCAGAGAGTTGACTTCCCTGGCGGAATTTCATCCCACATCCAGGTTCTTTACAGTTATAGGGCATTTCACCCGAGTGGGTGAAGATGTGCTCCTTCAAGTTTTGTTTTGAGGATAAAACCTTCGTACAAAATCTGCACTGGAATTTTTTATTTTCACTATGATATGCTTCCATATGACGTTTAAGATTGAATTTGTTCGAATAGCTGCTTGTGCAGCCTGGGACTTTGCATTTATAAATTGTGTCTTTCATATTAATATTTATATTAGACTTTTACTTGTAGCACTGTATGGGTAAAATGGAAGAAAAAACTATTCGATTAGGAGTTTTATTATCAACAATTTCAAAAGAGATGAATAACTTGCTTTATAACTCAAGAAAACCTTTTACAGAACTTATATATGCATATTTTAGCATACAAAAACTATATATATAATTATGAGACTATAAAAATAGAGTTGACGGTTATTTTCTATTAAAAAATATATATTTGAAATATATTCTAGAGTTAATATTTTAACTAAATATAAACTATCTGCTTAATGCTTTAGCGCTTTTCGTTTATACTTTATATTATCTTAGTTTATATATTTCAGTTCTATAAGAAGATGACATTTTAATTTAAAATTATATACCTAAGCTCAAAATAACGCTCAATTGAATTAGAAGCAAAAAAATATTTTCAGTTTTTAATTTAAATAAATCTAAATGAATTAAAGCAGATTTATTTGAATTCGAATTTACTTACCATCTTCTTAATTAGCATAACTTAATTTTTATTTTTAAAATTCACGATGACATATAGTCCGATCCCTGCTTTGGGTCGGGCTATAATAAACCTCTTGAAAAAAATTATTTTCTTGATATTCCCTCATTATTCACTCTAAATTTATTATTTTGTAGCTTAAAGATTCTAAATTATTTTAATAATAAGAAATTTAAATTATTCTGCACCAATTGATTGGTAAATTCTTTGAATCTTAGAAACCTTAGACAAATCCAGAATCTCATATTTAGGAAATATTTCTTTCATAACCTCATCACAAACTCCAAATTTATCAATTAGTCCATGCTTTACACTTTCATCTGCCGTAAAGATATCTCCATTATATAAAACTTCATCTTTTTTTGCATTTTCAACCTTAATTTTCCCTTTTCTAGATTCCTCGATTACATTTTTGAATTCTTCTCCTGTTTCTTGGACTAATCCCGCAAGTCATTTCTGGGTATCTGGCTTAAGCTCTTTTACTCCCCCCTTTTAAATTTGAACAAACCTCAGTAAAATTCGGATCTTTTGGATAGCTTAGCCACTTTAAATAGGAAAATTTTGTTTTTCAATAGTAAGATTTAACAATGAAAATTATTTTTAACATAATTTAATAGACAAAATACAAGTAGAATGCTATTTAAATTTTTTTGCTCTGAATCGATTTTTTTTTTTAATTTTCATAAAAATAAATTAAAATTCAATTTATGTTTAATTGATTTAATTTAAAAAATTTAAAATTTAAAAGCAATTTAAAGTTGACAAACTAATTTTTCTAAAATTTGTTTTATTATTTAATGAAAAAGTGCAAGTAGAATGTTATTTAAACAGTTTTTAACTTAATTGATTATTTTTTTAATTATCACTTCATAAAAATAATTTAAATTCTAAGTATTGTGCTCAATTTATATTTTAATAATTTATAAAATTTTTATTGAGAAACATTTTATGAGTAATTTTTTTAATAAAAAACTATGCCCTATTTAAATTGGAATAGGATTTTTGCTCTAATTTAAATGGGGAGTTAGTGGGTCAACTCTCTCTTGCAAATCTAATGGAGAAGTTGCCCAGCTTCTACGCTCAATACCATATTTAGCTGCAAGTCCTTTTATACCAAATAAGCTAAATCTAGCTCCAATACTTCCTATAAGCGATGCAGGGGTCGCATATAGCTCATTTGCAGCTGACATCACGTAATATCCTCCAGATGCTGCAAGATCTTCAGCAAATGCGTAGACTGGGATGTGATGATGCTTAGAAAATGCTAATAAACGTTGCCTAATTAAAGAACTCTGAGCTGCGCTTCCTCCTGGAGAATTGACTACTATAGCAAGGGCCACTGGGCTTCTCCAGCGTTTCCTTTGTAAATCTTTGTTTAGCTTTTCAAGAGTTTTTTCTGATATACAGCCTGAAATGCGGATTTTAAACACGGCTTTTCGGAGATCTGAAATCCTCTTAATAGCTTCCATTTATTACATAATCCAAGAATTTATATCTTAAAGAAATTATGTAGATTTTTCACTGCTATCAGATAGATATTATGACAAAATATATTAAATTTTTAGTCATCAAGAACCGACACTACAAGATGTAAACAAGTTTTAGTAATGAAGACTCATTTTGCATCATTATTTTGCTATAATAAGTAATAAAATATAATTAGGCCTCTCTAAGATATAAAATTATTTTATAAGGTCAGAAAAATATAACAAAATTAAAATAAGTCTTGAAAAAACTAATTTGCTTGTTATATTAGTGATAAAATTTTAAATTATAATAAATACAGCGTTTTATCATTTAAAAATTCGACTTAGCAGTAAAACCTTAATTCAAGCTAAAAAACTTAATTTAACTCAAAATGGCTCGTAAATATAGTTTAAACGTTTGAATTCGTTATAATTTAACCATTTAATTCTGACTGATTCTTAAAAATTTTGTTATTTAGAAAGCCCATACGGATATTAGCAATATTTGAAGCAGTTTATAAGCAATTGAGCAGTTGATTATGAAAATTAAATGAGGAAAATATTAAATGATAAGTAAAATTAAAATTAAATAAAACAATCAAAAATTCAAGTATTCCGTAAATTTAATTTAATCAGAAATATTAAATGCTTGCGTTGTTATATTAAATAAAGCTAAGTATGCTTATTTTAAAAATACGTCGCCCAAATCTATTAAAAGTGAACATATTTTATTAGACATTATTTTGCTCTTTATTACTTAAAATTGAGTTTTTATTAGAATTGATACTTATTTGGAATCACTCAATTAAGGTAGAGGAGCTAATAATGAACACTTAAAACTTCAAAAAATTGAAGTCTATCAAAGTGTTGACGATGAGATCTTAGCCTATCCGCATTTAAACCTTCTTAAGTAAACAGAATGAATGCAAAAAATTCGGTGAGCTATTAATTCTAGGCTTAATACTGACCCTATGAAGTTAACTGAAGAAGATAAAATAGAGAATCAATTTAATTTTAACAGATAAGAGAAGTCACCAAAAGAATTTAAAAAACTGATGCTCTCAAATGCTAATACACTGGCTTCATTTATAAACCATTTACGTTCTGATAGTATTTATCGAATTAGATATGAGCTAATAATGAAATTTTCTGCTATTCTATTAAGGCTTGATTGAAACTTATTGCATATGACTACAAGAGGCAGAAACTCTATAATTTTCCAATAAATGTTTGATCATTTTAAAAATATAGGAAATTTGAATTCTTGCTTCGATTATAAAATGAAACCTAATATAAGCTTTAATCTGATTACAATATACTTGATCCATTGTCTGCGATAGTGAAATTTATTGATCATGAGCCGAATATTATTATTTTTTATTTATTATAGATTGTTTTTCAGCATAACTGCTTACTGAATGAGCTTAATAAATTTATTAAAATGACTAACTAAATCTTTACTATACATCAGAGTTTTAATAAAATACTTTCTTATCAAATAACTATTAACAGTGTGGACTAAATTTAACATTACTAATCAATAAAAATGCTCCAAAAGAAACCTCTAACACTCCCAAAAATCAAAGGTTGCAAGAATGTTACTGAAGCCTCACCATCAAATTTTAAGCCCATAAAAATTCCATCTCCTAAAAGCGCAAGACACTTATATGATATAAAACACCGGATTACTCCATCAGGACAATACACTAATCCTAGAAATTATATTGCAAGTGATAAGATATCAAGACAAATGAGTTTTTCTTCTTTAGCTGAACAACAAACTTCGGTTCTGAGGCATTCACTAACACAAAATTCTTTACCAGCCACAATAATTAGAAAATTCGAATATCTCAAGATAAGGAGAAGATTTAAAGAGATGGGAGAATTCACGAAAAGAATTCCGGAAACAGATCCTCTTGAAAGTTTATATACAAATGCTCCGTTTATAGACCATGTTCGAAGCGATAACATTCATCGAATCAGAGATGAGTTAATGAGAAATATAAAGCCAGTATACGAAGATCTAAATGAAGCTTGTGACACATGGCGGCAAGACTCAGAAGTTCTTTATATTTAAATATTAACAATTTTCACTATTTACTATAAAATCGTATTTTTAAGTAAAATAAAAATCGTTTTGAAGCATTTTTATCATTAAATCTAAATTTCCTTATTTTTTTCTCGTTTATATACATATTACAAAATCTAAAATTACCAAAAGCTAAATATGTAACCGAAACAGAAATAAATGCAATATGGTCAGTCATTAAAGTGCTTCTTATTCAATTTCTTTGGAAATGATTTGCATAAGATAAATAATTTAGATATTCATAAGATAGCAATTCAATTTCAAAAGCAAGATTTTTAATAAAAAATATAGATGATAAGCTAAATTAATATTTAAAGATTTTTTAGATATAAAAGGAAAAATCTAGGAAATTACTTATATTTAAGATATCTTTATTTTAAAGGATTTTTATTAGAAATAGCAAACCATTTAAATTTATTATTCATTTATTCCTAGAATTTGAGAATTTCTTTGGAAATTTACTATTTCATGAAAGCCTGCCAAAGCAAGCTCAGAAAATTTTTTTATCATCTTTTCGTATGCTGATACTCTATTTTTTTTAAAATCAGGCAACTCTTGTACACAAAGTCTTATTATCATAATACTCAAAATCTTGGTAATATCTTCAATTTCTTTTTTAAGACTTATAGCAGTGGCTAAATCTCTATTTTTACATACGATTTTATTTGAATTGTCTATTCTTTCTTTATCCTTGACTTTAGCTATTTTACAAAATTGTTTTTCTTTTTGCAGTTTAATATTTTCATAATAATTTTTTTTACTGATTGCTTCTAAAGTCGACTTTATTTCTAAAATTTCTCTTTGGATCCAGTCAAACAGCTCTTTATAAGGATTTTCCAATTTGATTTTGTCAAAAGGAAAAATCATCCCATCTCTGAAATCTCTCATATTTCCAATATATCTTGACTCAATATCTTTTATTCTTTCATTCATGTTTGAATACAAAGACTGAAAAGTAATAAATTCGCTTAAGATCGATTTTACATTTTTCTTCAAATTTTGAAGATTTTCTAAGCTCTGCTTCAAAAATTTTTCATCATCTATAAGCTGAAACAGCATTTTATCTGTAACTTTTAGATCAGAATCATATGTGCAGATTCTCTCATTTGTGTATGCTATATCATGAATAGATCATCTAATTTCGTTACTTCTTTCTTCGAAATCTGCGGCTCCACGGATAAATAAGTGGAATTCTTCACTTTTATAGAGAAATTTGTGCTTTACTAGTTGGCGGAGGAAGTAGCTGAGCATTTTTCTTCTTGATTCTATAAAGGCATCAGAAAAATTGCCTATGAACTTTTTAGGCGGCAGAGGAGCTATCAAGCAGCCAGGTCATCGGTTTGTTAGTAAGTTTCTTAGGACTAAGAAATCACTATACCTTCTGTATGATTCAAACCTTCCTTCAATATCAATTCCATGAACCATATAAACTGTATATTTAGAGAACGTGCTTTCTTCGTAGAGACGAGGATTTGACACATGGATTTCAACAAAGTCTTCAGGAGGGCAATTTGGGTCTCTATCATAGTGTGACACTTCTATTTCATTTCCAAAAATTCCTGCATTCATTAGATTTAATTTGGTAGTGTTAATTTTAATGTTCTAAGATCATTGATTATAAACAAAAGTCACAATAAAATGAATTTTATATAAATAAAATTTGTGGAGCTTTAAAACATCTGGCTATTTTAAATTCTTTGAGTAAAAGATGCCATCTATTAATAAACGAAAGCAATGAAAATTAGATTTATTAATAAGAAATTAGTATTAAATCTCTCTTTATAAGAAAATTAATAGAATTAATAAATATAATTTGATTGGAATTTTTTAGATTAAGATATCCCGTTCATTCTCATGACTACGTCAAAGATGTCGCTTTTTTCATTGAAATCGATTACCAGGATGTTTCCCATGCGCCAATATGGAGTCTTCTCGTATTTTTCCCAGAATTTAGGTATAGAAATTTCCCATAGATGGCGCAGTTTGCCCTTGATTTGCCCACTGGCAAAATTTTTTGGTTCGACCAGTACCATATGGTTTGGTCAAACCAAAAAATTTTTCCAATGGGCAAATCAAGGGCAAACTGCGCCATCTATGGGAAAATTCTATAGATGCTTATTGCAGTGATCAGAAAGATCTTCCACAGTGTGAGATTCCCAAGGCAGTAAAGTATGCAATATGGTGTCAGCAGTAGGCTCAAGTACCCATGACATCTTGTAAAGTACACCAGGCCATAGCTTGCTGTTATATTCTTCGACAATTGGAGTTGTTTCATTTATCAGTAATGATTCTTTATCAACATTAGGGTTTGTTGTTTTAATAGCTGTGCCTGGCCAAATACTAACTCCGTCATATTCAAGCTCCATGGTCACAACAGCTCTCTTACCGGCCTTGATCATATCATTGACTGTAAAGTTGAATGATGTATTCACTGGGTACATATAAGATCCCAATGTGCTTTTAACTGTGGATTGGAGGTTAGTCAAGTTCAGTTTGGTATAGCTTCCTGCAAAGTGAGACAATTCGACAACCACGATTTCTTTGTCATATGATTTCAAATAATCAGCAATTGTCTGAAGCATTGGCTGAATGGCTGTTCCATACATATTGTTATAGACAAACCAGTTGTTCATGGTCGAGTTAAATGCAAGTTTAAAGTCGAAATATCTGATTCCTTTCTCCAATTGGTCTTTAATTTGGATGCCTTGATCTCTGGACCATTTAATCATTTCCTTTTCTTTGTTTAAGTGAAAAGGCTTGATCACAACGTCAATGGCAGGCCAAAGCTCAATAGCTTGGCCTGGAACTTGGACTTCGGTTAAATCGTAGGTTCCACTATTTTGGGTACCTGGAAGTGTTATATTTTGAAGTGATTTTGGACCAACTTTATCAATGCCATCTGCTATCCATTTCTTTGGATCTAAAGCAGAGAAAAGAGGAATGATTGCTAATAAAAGAAAAGCAGAGACCATCCTAATTATTATAAGGCTCAAAATGGGATTGAATTATGTCGACAAGTTTTTATGCAATAAAGATGAGAAGTGAGTAAAAATTAAGGGAAGGCATATGAGATAAGATGGAAGTATATTTATTATAAAAATTTGAAAAACTCTTGAGGAAATATGAATTTGGCATAATTTTATAATTTTAGCTACAATTTTCTGTTGAAATAAATGCTTTATAAAACTAATCATTTTTATGAGAAAGCAGTATAAGCATTTGGCCCGAGGAAATTTTATTAACTTATTTAATTAATTTCCTTGTGGAAAATATAGGAAAGCATAAAATCGCTATGTCTTTATCTAAAGTGCATGATGAAGCATTAATTTAATTGTTTTAAGTTTCCTTAGCATGTAGCATTGGCATTCTAACCCAAAGCAATGTCAGTGTCCTTTATTTTGTGTTAAAATAAATAAGCTGAATATTAGAATTTTTCCTTGGTTGGTGATCCTCATTGTGCATACATTAAAATGGTGTAGTGAGCCAACCTAACCTCTTAACAGCTGTAGCGGAAAGGTTTATGGGAAGCTGGAGAAGTGAAGATATCATTCGGAAATGTGCATCTGGCTAGTTTCACTTGGTTTGCTGAAGTGCGATGCCGGTCTAGCCGAACTCATGCTGATATCATTACCCTATAGGGAAATAGCTTGTCGGGGTTGGAAAGGGAAAGCCCAGTAAGGCCGTAGGTGTTTACTTGGTTAATCGGGCAAATCCCAGCGCGATGCCAGGCTTTGCGTCCTGGGCTTTGAGTTCCATTTTGGCTGACAACCTGACCAGAAAATTCGTTTTCGAATTTCTGAAAGGCAAGTCCCGTGGACATACAGGATGTGATCTATCTTTTCAGAGTCTCGAGTAGCAAGTGTAAGCCCTCATCCGAGAAGAGCAATGCAGTGTCCAGACTGGCAACCAATCGGTGAAGTGTTATACAGAGGTGAATAGTACCTTTGGGTAGGTGAGGACTTATCTATAAGTGGTTTAAGTTAAGATGATCCTCATAGTTTATTAAAGCTAACTCAAAAATTATTATGTTTCAGCTCTGTTTTGTCCTAACATATTGAGATAAAAGATAAAAGCCGGTTAAAAATGTCTTACTTTTTTTTTAATTTGCTTGAAAAAGGTTCCTAAAAGTGCTTTTTATTTATCTTTTTAATTGATTAATATAAGGATAATACTTCATTAGCAAAATTTGAATTTCCCTATTTTTCTTATTTTTACAGTTCAGGGCAAAAACTCTTCAATGAACTCAAAATTTTGCCTTCTGTTTTTTTTTTCTATAATATTCAAGATTCATCCATCAAACATTTATTCAGGCAAATAAGAATTTCAATAAAAAACCTAAAAAGGGATGATATATTTAATTTACTTTTGTTCAGTTTGTCAGTAAAAACATTCCCATTTAAATTTAATGCGTTTTAATTAGAGCTTAAGTGATAAATTGCCTATTAATTCAAAACAGAAATTTAATTCACATTTATTTATTAACTTTTATCACTTCCTAACGAAGCATTTTTTCTTTATTATTCAAAATAACTTCGTAGAGCTCCAAAAAATTTCAAATCTTATCATCAAAAACTTCAAATCATAACAATAAAAAAACAACAGTCATCCATCTTCAGCAGCAAATCCTCCAGCAACAGCCCTCTCCATCAATAGAAGCTATTTCTCCAGAATTTTTTGATACAAAAACCATATTTCTCAGCCGAGATCGGACACCAAGAAAATTCCTGTATAAATTTGTGTCACCAGAATCCTTAAAGTTTTCCCAAGCTTACGACCAACCTTCAGTCCTCCAGGAGATGCTCAGCTATCTGGCGCGATGCGCCTTAAAAATTACTATGAATCAAGTTTCATTCATAATTATCCAAAACGACATAATTTTTTGAATTTTTTTTTATTTCTTTTCTACCTTTACTTCACATTTCTCTAAGCTTTTATAATCTTCAAAAATTTTTTGCGTTATCCCTCTGGTTCTCCAAAAGTAACGACATCAGATTTTTTTTTACTTCTAGAATTAATTCACTTGAAAACATGTCCAGTTTAATAAATTAACCATGGGAATAAAAGTAAGCAAAGTAAAGCACACAGTCTCGCTAGACACAATGGTGGAGAGATCTTCTCTCACTAATCAAGAAATTTCGATACACAAAGCATACAAATTTGGGAAAATCATAGGCGCTGGGAACTTTGGAGTTGTAAGAGAGGCGTTTCCTACTGACTCCTTAATAAAAGTCGCCATAAAGGCCATTTCTAAAGGCATGAAAGGGTTTGATATAAAAAAAGCTTCCAGAGAAGTGGCCATACTTAAGTCAATAGACCACCCCAATATCATTAGATTTAATGAAGCCTATGAAGACGACAGAAATATTTTTATTGTTTCTGAACATTGCCAAGGTGGCCATTTATGGAAAAAAATGATAACACAAAGAAAACTCACAGAAATCGAGGCACAGATTTACATTAATCAGATGCTTCTAGCTATAAACTATTTGCATCTCCACAAAATTGTACATAGAGATATAAAGCCAGAAAATTTTTTATTTGTCTCCCCTGACCACAATGAGCTAAAGTTAATTGACTTTGGCTTTGCAAAAAAATACAATAAATTTTCATCAATGCGCAAATGTTTAGGGACATCTTATTACATGGCTCCTGAGGTTTTGAAAGGAAATTATAACCAAAAATGCGATGAATGGGGGATTGGAGTCATCATGTACACGATGCTTTGTGGAGAATTACCTTTTTACAGTAAAGATTTGCATACAGCTTTTGAACAAATAAAAAAAGGAGCCTTTTGCACAACAAGTGAAAATTGGGACCAAATTTCTTTAGAAGGGAAAGATTTGATTGGCAAATTGTTGTCTGTGAATCCTTCTAAACGAATTTCTGCAAAAAAAGCATTAAACCATCCTTGGTTTCGTACAATGACAAATAGTGATCCTTTAGTCGACGGTTCCTTAATCAGCTCTTTTCAAGAGTATTGCAAATCATCAGTTTTTCATAAAGAAATCCTTAATATGATGATAAAATACATGACTTTCAGCGAAATCAGGGAAATAAATCAGCTCTTCCTAAACTTCGATAAAGAAAAAAAAGGTGAAATTTCTATAAAATCTTTTACAAGATTTTTGCAGAGCTCACTTACCAGTATATCTATAGATACAATAAAAAACTTGCTTAAGGAAATTGATACTGATAAAGACGGCATCATTAATTACACAGAATTTTTAGCAGCTGCTGTGAGCTCAATACATATTAAACTTAAATTGAAGGTCGTAGCTTTTGCCTATCGGTAACGCAGTCACCAAGGATCCCCATGGGGATTCACCTTCTATGCGATGTTGAAAGGGAGAACTTCTTCGAGTTTGATGACTCACAGGGCGAGTTACAGCTCTTACACCACCTGACGCTGTTGCACCTGCGAAGTAGGGTTCTTTATCTCCGTCTCCTCCTTGTCTTGCCGGCTCCAGTGTTAAGTGAGAAGGCTATGGACTTCTGCAGCATTCTGCTTGGGTTAACGAAGGCTCACCACCAAAAATTCCAAAAAATGGAATTTCTGGTAGGCTATCAATAAAAATGAAAAATTCAAAGCCAAAGGCGTAACCCCAGTTTCAAGAGAGGAAAGTAGCCAAATGGTCTAGGCATCGCCTGCAGATTATGCTGGGCATTCCCTTTCCAATTCTGAACCCGCCTTTTCCTTTGAGGTAAAATCCAATCCTGAAAGCGGACTAGGGATATTAAGGGTAAAATCCTATAGGCCCTGCACATTACCAGAATCTTACCTAGCATTGCAGTCAATTTCTGGGTTAGAAAAAGATTGCCGGATATAATTAAATATGTGCTCGGAGGAGTCGGCAAAGCCGACAGCTAAGCGCTGAGACACCATATTTAATTATGGAGTTCAATACATCAGTTTACTCAAGACGAAATTTGGTTCATTTTTGATCAGTTTGATAGCGAAAGGAAAGGATTTATAACACCAAATGACATTAGAAGAACATTGCAAAGGTCAGGTTGTACAATAGAAAAGGACATAGAAAGTAAATTGCTGAAAGATATTGGAAGAAAAAACATTGCGAAAATTGATTTCAAAGGATTTCTTGATATCTTTACAAATGGGTGGAGGAATTAGATTATACACAAATTCTGTGATGGAATCGTCATGGATATATAAAATTAATTAATTTTTTGGTATAATTTTGGATTTAAATCATAAGTTAATTATTGATACCAAACTGCATGAGGTGCAATGTCTAAGAAATTAATTCTTCTCTCTTGAATTTACACCAATAAATAGCTTACAAGCTATAAATGGTTTGGACATAGGTTTAACCGAATAAGATTTGAATAATTTACAAAATACTGGAAAATATGGAAAATCAATCAGAATAGTAACTCTCAATCAGCGACTATCTTTTTAAGATCCTCTTAATTGGAGACTCTGAAGTTGGAAAATCTGCTCTTTTGCTTCGTCTTTGTGATGATGTTTATAGCGAAAACTACACAGCTACCATCGGGGTAGATTTCGTAAGAATCATCTAGAAAATACGCACAATTCAAGATTCAGGAAAAACTGTAAAGCTCCAGCTATGAGACACAGCAGGCCAAGAGCGATTTATTTCTATAACTTCCAACTATTATCGTGGCCCTCATGGAATCGTAATTATTTATGACATCACAAACCGTGAGTCTTTTAATCATGTCAATAATTGGCTACAACAAATCGAATTATACTCAGAACCTAATGTAAAAAAATTTTTAATTGGAAATAAATCAGATTTAGAAGAAAGAAGAGTTGTGACATATGAGGAAGGGAAAAATTTCGCAAAAAGCAAAGGTATGAATTTTATTGAAGTGTCTGCCAGGACTTCGAATAATGTAGAAGACGCTTTTATATTTTTTTCTAGAGAAATAAAAGAAGAAATAGCTGCGAAAATGATTATAGGAGCGAACTCAAAAGCAAATAAGCTTGGGTATGGAGAAGCAATAGTAACTGAAAGTAAATCTAAATGCTGTTCATAGTTATTAAAAATATAATAAAGGTTTAGAGATCCAGCTTGGAAATACAGGGATTTATTTATATAATAATCAAATATAGAATAAGAGAAGTCTTTAAGGGGGTAGAAATCTTATTTGCTATTAAAAACCTTAATCTTTCATTCTGTTGAAATTAAAATGTCAACTTACAATAACTCAAATTCAGTCTTCCAAGAGCATGCTGCTCTCGTTAAGGAATTTCAGCAGCATATTAAAAAACTAAAAGACTTAACTGGGCAGCTTGGAACTGCTAAGGATAACCAAAAACTTCACGCTTCGATTACTCAAGAACGAGAATTTTCAATCAAACTCTGTAAACAGATCATTCAATCTTTTAAAGAGAAGCAACCATCAAGAGCAGAAAAAATTCAGCATGATAACCTTACAAAACAATTCGAGGCTTTATCCAAGCAATTCCAAAGCCTCTGCCAAATGTCACTGGAGGGATACATTGCAAAAATGATGCAAAAACTGTGAAAATGCAAAAAATTAAAAAAATATTTGCAAATTATATTTAATTTTTGCCTTTTGCTCTTTTTTGCATGAGTTTTGCAAAAAAGCATTTGATTTTGCATTTTTGCGGTTTTTGCACCACTTCTCCGTCGCTGGAGAAACAAAAAACATATGTGGAAGATGAAAAAATGACACAGGCTGGAAATGAGCCAGAAGAACTAGAAGAGTCATTTAAAAGTGTAGGAGGGCTAGATGAAGCACTGCTAAAGGACAGATTTGAAGAAGTTCAACAGCTGGAAAAGGATATGATCACTGTTAATGCAATGTTTAAAGATGTAAGCAATATGGTTGTAGAGCAAGGAGGTATGCTAGATTCTGCTGAAAACAATGTAGAAGTAGCTGTAAAAGAAACTGGAAGAGCTGTTGTTGAGCTTAATAAAGCCGAAGTATATCAAAAAAAAAGTAAAGGAAAGCTGTTTTGTATTTTGGGGATTGTGATAGTGGTAGTTTTGGTTTTAGTTGCAGCAGTAGTTATACCTGTAGTGATGACTTAAATATTAATTTAAATGCATTGATATTAAGAAACTGCTATTATAAGATCTTCCTTTAAATTACCTGATAAGAATTTCTGCTCGTTTCCTTTTATTAAATTAAGAAACAGTTTTATTAATTTTATAATATTTTATTGCAGGTTTGCTTAAAAATATAAGATTATATAGAATCTTGAGCTGAATTATTTTACAGTGCTTTTATTTTTTGCAAAATCACATAATTTTAATATTTTTTAGTAAGATACTATCCTATAAGAAAATGGAAATAAAAGATAATTCTGATTGGGAGTTTAAACTATTTGATTGTGCTAAGAATCCTTTAATGTGTGCTTGGGTATTATGTGTTCCTTGTGGCGGAGACTGTATGCAAGCTGTGACTGCTAAAGTTTCTGATCCTAGAAATAGAAATGCGGCTTGTGTAGCTTGCTTGTGCTCTTTTACTCTTTTTTGTTATGGAGGTGTTTTTAATCGTCATAGACTATCAAAGAAATTAGGGTTAAAAGATAATATTTTCTTTAATATTTTGACTGCTGCTTGCTGTGAAAGTTGTGGAAATACACAAGAATGAATGGAAACAATGAAAAGAGTTAAAGGAAATCATGAGCTCACAATCGTTGATTATATCCAAGGTAAAATATAAATATTAAAAATTTATAATATTAATCCTGGAATGAAAATATCAAGGCATAACTTTTTATATTATAAGTTTTTCTTCTGCAAATATAATATATTTTTTATTTTAAATTAAGGTACCTCCTTAGGGATAAGCAATCTCATTTAACAATTTTAATTGAAATCTAATTGATAGTTCTATAAAATGATATTGCTAGTTTGAATATAATTGCAGTTTCATATCTATTCTTTCAGTTATAAAATTTGCAAATTAAATTCGATCTCCAAATAAGATTAATTATATAAATGGAGGCTGATATTGCTCGGAGCATTGGAGAGCACATAGGAATAGTAATAATAATTGGTGACGCTCAGGTTGGGAAAACGAATTTAATGACAAGACTTACAGATAATTATTTCAATTTAAATTATTTTCCTACTTCTGGAGCAGATTTTGTAAGCTCTAAGTAGATGTATAAAGAAGTGGAAATAAATAATATAAACCTTTCTCTACAAGTATGAGATACCGGAGGACAAGACAGATTTGCCAGTATATTTTATAGCGGTGCTGATTTTTTTCTTTTTGTCTATGATATTACTAATAGAAATTCATTTGAGAACGTTCATGGATGATATGAATTAATAAAAATCAATGAAATACCTAAGAAATTCGAAATGATGCTTATTGGGAACAAAATTGATTTGAATAAAATAAGAGAAGTGACATATGAAGAAGGGATGCTATTAGCTAAAAAATTAGGGATGTACTTTTTAGAGGTTTCAAACTTATCTAAGAATAATATAGATGACGTTCTTTTGCTTTTGGCTAACAACATATCCATCAAATATTCGAATTCAATTTAAGTTGCTTTTATTTAAACAATTCATAATTTTTATTTTTTCATAAAACAAAAAATCTAGCTTATCTATAATAATCTCGATGCAGATTGATTTAATATCATATGCTGCACAAAATTTCTGATTGTACAAGACAACGGGAGCAATTATCGACACATCAAAAAAATTCAGCATATGAAGCTTTATATAAATGCAGGCTTCACATGAGGAAATTTCTCCACATGTCTTACAATCAGAAATTTGTGCAATAGACTATATTTAAATTTCATATAATAACAAGACAAAAATCACATATAATGATAAAAAACTGCATAAAAGATTTATTTTTTTAAAATAAAGCATTAATTAATACTCCCATATCTTTAAAATATACACTAAAATGGCGATACGTTCAGCCTGTTCTCTTGGTTCAACAATCCAGACCTTATGGTTACGGCGAACTGGGATGGACTCCGAGTCGATAAGCAAGTGCAGCTTCAGGAAATGTGCATTCGGTAGGTTTTGGCTGCCTTCCTGTAGTTGTAAATTGAGATGCCTGGACTTCCTTTGGATCCAAGGACCCATGGGCAATCATTTACCAAGAAACCAGGGTTTCCGCACAGGCCACAGGAGAGTAGTCTTTTTCCTGTAGCTGTCTAAGATCGGCACTTTGACACCCGATAGAATCCAAGGAGTTGATCCATGGAATCAAGCTACTCCAATCGCCCGTAGTAGGGTCGCAGAAATCCATAAACACTCAAAACTGAAGCCGCAAAGAGAATACGGAAGGTACCGGAAGTGACAACCTTTTGGAGTGATAAACTCTCTGGGCTGGAGCCGAAAAATGATAGAACCTCCTGCATAGGAGGTCTTTGGTGACTGTGTCACCAGTATGGCTAACCCCTTACTTTGAATAACCTAACCTAACTCCCATATCTTTAAAGTGCAATCATAACTACCAGATAAAAATATATTTCCTATTTTTGGATGATATACAAGCCCCTTAACCCATCTATTATGGCAATTTATCTCTCCACATATCTCGTTTGTATCAAAATTTACCAACAATATATCATTTTCGCTGCTAACCCCCAAAAAATTTCCTTTGCATGAGAAAGATAATGAAAGCAGTCATTCACTAACAATTTTTATTTCTCTATTTAATTGAAAATCTTCAACTTTATAAATGCATATCTTGTTCATTCTTGATTGAATAAATGCTAGAAATTCTCCATCAGGTGAAAAAGAAACCGAATTAGCATTCGAGCACGTATTATATATCATTTTCTTTATTTCGAACGATTCAAAATTAATAAGCTCAAGCAGATCAGTGTCATCAATTGCTACAAAATATTTTTTATTTGGAGAAAAAATCAAGCCTTTTACGTGTCTGTTAAACGCCTCTGTCGCTTTTATTATTGAGAAATTTTCAAGGTCTCTTAAAACTATGCCATTGCTGCCGTACAAGATAGAGTTTTCGTTAGGAACAAAGCATACTGAAGTCACATATCGATTGCTGTCATTTATAGAGATTATCTCGGAGTATGTTTTTGCGTCCCATATCCTGAGAGTTCTATCAGAACTTCCAGAAGCAATCATTAGCCCGCACGGAGAAATTGATACAGAGGCTATATAGCCTGTATGACCATTTAAAGTCCCTAAAAGCTCGTATGTTTTAGCACTTCATATTTTAATTTTTTTATCTAAATTGCCTGATATAAAGTACTCGCCTGTCGGAGAATAAGCAACTGTACTAATCGGATCTTGATGGCCCTCAAATTTTTTATAATTGTTTTGTATATCAATTTCAAAAATATTGATTTTTCCATCGTCGTTTCCAGATAATAAATATCTACCACATGGAGAAAATGACATGGCGCATACTTCTCTACTGCATATAAATTTATTTATTATCTGTTGGGTTTCAATGCTTCAGAGCCATATGCTTTTCCCTTTTCCACTAAACGCAAGAATTTCGCCATTTTTTGATACCTCAATAATTGATACAGTTATATCACCAGCTATTTCTATAATTTTTTTTGCTTCATCCAAGTGCCATATATTTATCACATGCTTATCAGTCCCGAAAACCAAAAATTTCCCCTTTGCCAAAAAATTCAAAGTTTTTACTTTGTTTGGCCAAGAATTTATAAAATAGTAAATTTCCCATGTATTTGTTTTGAAAATTTTTAAGCTTAATGTCGATGATGCAACCATATATTTTCCACAAGGAGAAAATACAACAATATTTGGATTTAGGATTTCCTGAATTATTTTAATGCATGATGATGTTTTTATATCTCATATACAAATGTATCCTGACTTACTACAGCTAGCTAGAATTTTGTCGTCTGGAGAAAATGAAACAGATAAAATGCTGTGATTATCTTGAGAGCTTAGACATATGGATTCTCCGGTTTCTAGATTTAATAAATAAAGAGCGCTATTTCGACTTCCTGAAGCTAGGAAAACACTATTATTTGAGAAAGCTAAGGTAAGTATATTTCAATCTCCCTGGATTTTGAAATTCCAAATGATTTTTTCTGTTTTTATTTCAAGCACGTATAAAATGGCTCCACCTCCTCCAATAGCAGCATATTTTCCACAGTTAGAAAAAGCCATGACAACCATAAGACTTTTATCTAGATTTGTATTAAAGACCTCAATTCCGAATTTTGCATCTTCCAAGTGGCAATTTTCCAGATTCGAATAATAAAAACTTGATTTTGAAAAATTCGTCGCTTTGAAGTTACTATCTTTAAAATTTGTTTTAATAAACATATTTCCAGATAAATCAGCGTTAAGGATTCTTACTCCGTGCTTTTGGGTTACAGTTATTTTCCCTGCCGGTTCCGAGGGTGTGGTTCCTTTTTCCTGGTGTCAGGTGGCCAACAGAAGACATCAGGCTAACCGTAACTTCATAGTACAGATAGCGTCTAACAGTGAGTCTTCTTAATCCATCGAGACTCTTAGAGATTAGAGACTTTTCCAATGCGGCTGAATTTCAGTCTCGCATGCAGGTTGGTGCTGGTCGAAGGGCATCAAATCTGGAAGACTTTAAGATTCTTAATTTAATTTTTACCCCGTGTAAATCTTTATTTGAAAAAGAATAATTGCATCTATTAAGTATAGTAGCTGCATTGCTTGATGCTGTATCAATTTCATTTGTTTCACGAGAGAACAAAATGATAGAAAATAAAACCGATTTTAAGTCTTCAGTTAAATATTTCTCAAGAAATGGGAGAATATTACTTTTCTGAGGGTCGAGATTAAAATTGATATGATTGAAAAAGGAATATTTTATGCTGGTTATGTCTTTTAAGCTGCATATTTCTATAATGATTTTTTGAGAAAGTGCTTTATTTATGTCTTTAAGCTTGGAAAGATACAGTATGCTATAATTTCCCGATGCTCTATATTTGTTCTTAGGTTTTGAATTTTTAGATTGAGCCATTTCTTTACAAGTTTACAAGCTAGGGTTAGGATTTATTAAGCAGCCTGACGCTGCCGAATGAGCCTTATAGCTCAGTTTTTCCTGCACTTCCACGATTTCTCTTCTTTTTCCTTAATTTCTATCGCTTTCTTTCATCTCATCTCATTCTTCAATTCCATAAGCTTTGTTACCTTCTTCACTTTCGTTTTTCATTACTTTATCAGTTCCACCAATTTCAATGAATGGTTTGGCTTCAACTATAATCCTCATATCATTTTTTATCCATTTTCGTGGATTTAAATCAGCAAATAAGTGTTATTAGAATTAATTGATAAAATGCTGTGTAAAGTAGTATTTAATTTCTGACATTTGTCTGATTTCCTATGGCATATTAAAAGCCAAAAACAAAAAGAGACTGTCAATGCAAAAACCCAAGATAATTTGTTTGATGGCTTTCGCATTATAAAGAGAGCTTTAGCAATCTGCTTTTATATAAGCTTTCATATTGCCTTCTGAATCTCTTGATAAAGCTTTATCTATATTTATTAGAAAAATGATGCTAACTCCCCACAGCAAGCAAACAAACCATTTGAAGAATCCCCATTTTTTGCCCAAAAACCCACCCTCAGTTAGCTAACAAAAAATTTTTTTAATATAAAAATTCGATATATAAGTGACTATTAGTATAATGAATTCTCTAACTAAATTCTGTTTAATTTTAACTAATTTTCATAGAGCTGTGCATTCCTTATCTGCTCTTTCTACAGCTTGGACTGAAAGTTAAATAGGTTCTGCATCTAACAATTCGATATCTCCCCTATAAATATAATTTATAGAATCTAATTACCTTTTCCTTAAGCCACTTTTTTGACTTCCTCCTAAATTTCTCCACAATTCCATATTTTCATCGGATAAAAATATGCTTACGTGACTAGGACACGCTTCCTTCAAAATTGAGTGCACTGAGCCCACCACCCACGCTAAGAGAATTTTATTTATTGATCCTTGGCTTTCAGGCCCAACTTGCCCTGAGTCAGAAAGAAACCAGGCACATGCAGACGTAATTTTAGTCACCCATGGCCACTATGATCATTGTGCAGATGCCCCAAAATTGTCTCAACAAACTGGCGCTATAGTAGTCGGGACTTATGAGTTGGCCAATATAATGCAAACTCAAGGAGCTGCTCAAATTTATGGTATGAATAAAGGAGGAGTTTTCGAGAACGATTTTTGTATTGTCCACATGGTCCATGCTGATCATTCTGGATCTGGCCCTGCGGACCAATTTCCATATGCAGGAGATCCAGTGGGCTATGTTGTCAAGTTTAAAGATGGGACCCCAAGCATTTACCATGGAGGAGACACCAATGTAAACGCAAACATGCAAATTACTACTGATTTGTATGTTCCTGTCATTGGTTTGCTGCCTGTTGGAGGAAGGTTTACAATGGGGCCAAGGGAGCTAGCTTATGCTTTGAATAAGCTGCTGGGGAGTATTAAGACTGTTATTCCTATGCACTATGGGTCTTTTCCTCTGCTGACAGGAACTCCTGAGCAGCTGCAGGTAGAAATTGAAAGAGTTTTCCCTGTCGATCCTTCTAAAAGAGCTATAGCGCTTTCCCGAGGATGGCGCGGAAATGGCGCCATCCTCGGGAAAGCCGGGAAGGCATCCACACGGGAACTGGGAGTTCTACGTGTGGATGCCATTTTGACATGTGGAAGTTTGGATCCCACATGTCAAAAATGGCATCCACACGTGGAACTCCCAGTTCCCGTGTGGATGCTTAGTTGACTTTTCCCGAGGATGGCGCCATTCCGCGCCATCCTCGGGAAAGCGCTATAGAATCTTCACTATGAGCTATGGAGGCCAAGTGGAGTTAAGAACTTTGGCTTAATTCTTTCGATTATGTATTTCGACCAGAATTTATAAATAAATATGACTTCTCTCATCTTGACAGATGGGAATAGCAGAATCTCATTGAGTTTTACATTGAATGCAATGCTGAGTGGATTTAAAATGAATTATTTTGAATCAAACATATATTAAAAATTCACGAGAAATACACCAAAGATCTTATATTTATCCTTTTGGCAAAAAAGTAATTATATGAGTTTCTCTTTTTCTAATTTCAGTTTTTCTAGTTTGATATGCAATTTTTGGAACAAATAATATAAGATTCTATAATTAATATGGCTTCTCTGATCTTGACTAATGGAAATAAGCTGGAACTTACTAAGTTTCACATAGAATGCAATACTGAGTGGGTCTTAAACGAAATCACCTTGCATCAAACTTATTATAACAATTCTCAAGAAATAAGTGAAGGGTCTTATATTTATCCTGTAGTCTCTGACTCAATTGTCTCAAAATTGATAATCAAGTGCGGAGAAAGCGTAATTGAAGCTCTTGTATATGAAAAAGAAGAAGCTATAGAAAAATATAATGATGCTATTGCTGCTGGAAACAAAGCTTACTTAGGAAAGCTTACAGAAGAATCATCTGATATGATGGAATTTCATCTTGGCAATTTATTACCCCAAAGTGAGGTAAAAGTAGAAATCACTTATGTCACCCAAAGCGAATTCATGAGTGAAACCAATAATTATAGAGTTTATATTCCGCATGTACTTATACCTCGCTATTCGCCGTCAGGGTCAAGCATAACTCAAGAAATGTCAGTTTCAACTCTCAACTGGACAGGAACGGTCAGTATCAGAACTCCAAATATCCTTACCTCAATTACTTCCAATGTTTCAAACTTCGATATATCGGTTCAAAATGACTACTGGAAGACCCTTAACTTTAGTATCCTAAATCATTATGATGATCTTTGCATTTACTATCAATACAGGGCATCAGATGATCCATTTATCGTTTTCCAGCAAGACCCAAGAAATCAAAAATACGCTTTTCACCTTTCATTTACCCCACAAAAAAATGACACTGACAGCCCAGTCTGGGAACCTAAAGGAGAATTTATTATTCTTTTAGATAGAAGTGGATCGATGGAAGGAGGAAGCATCAAACTAGCTAGAGAAGCAGTGTATTTATTTATAAAATCTCTTCCGGAAGACTCTTATTTCAATGTTGTTAGCTTTGGTAGCTCGTTTAATAAGCTTTTCCAACAAAGTGTTAGATATGAGCAAGATAAAATTGAATTCGCCTGCAACACAGTAAAAACTTTTGATGCAGATATGGGAGGAACAGAAATATTAGAACCTATTAAATCGATTTTGTCAGAGCCTAATAGAAGTGAATATTTGCGCTATGTTTTTATTTTAACTGATGGAGAGGTAGGAAATGCAGCTGAAATAATAAATTATATTAAAAACCAGAAAACCCCTTCCCAAATCAGCACTATAGGCATAGGAGCTGGAGTTTCTACTTATTTAATAAATGAAGTTGCGAAAGTAGGCCATGGATCTGTTCATCATATTTTAAATTCTTCAGAAATTAAATCAGGGGTCATTTCTTCGCTCAAAAAATCTTTACTGCCAGGCATAAGCAATATTGAAATTGCTAATCCCCACGAATTCGAGCTTGTTGGCCATAAAAATCCTTTTAGCTCATTCTATGGAAGTAAAATAAGCTACTCAGGGATATTAAAGCAGGGAAGTACACCTGAGAAAATATCAGTGAAATATACAGATGATGCATCAAAGAATGACCATTTAATTGATTTTTCTATTAATTATGAAGGAATGTTGAAAAGCTCTGCAGCTTTAGTAACAGCAGTTAAAAATTATTTTAACGACTGCGAAAAGAATGAAATTATTGAAAAATCAAAGAACTACCAAGTCTTAAGCAAGTATACTGCATTTTTGGGTGTTGAAAAGGTGAAAAATCCAAATCTAAAAAATTATAATTCTGATGAGGAAGAATGTGAGGAAGATTCTGATGAGGACGAATGTGAGGAAGATTGTGGCGCGGAGATAAACGAAGCACTATGCGAATGCTTATGTGCGCAAGAGGATTATGAGTTAAATGAGGAGTATGAGAGTTTGGGCATTGAAGAAGTAAAAAATATGGCTTCTGCACGGGCATTTGATTATAGTGCAAGGGAAATAGATATTTATGAAGAAATTAAGCCTGAACTTAAATCGAAGAGTGCAAGTAAAGTGGAATATGTTGAAAGCTTAATTGGTTATCAATTCGCAGATGGTCATTGGGAATTTTCAAGAGAATTAGAATTGTTAATAAACTACTTCCTTGGAAATCAAGAAATTAGAGATAAAGCAGCACCTTCTATGACTTTATTGGTAGTTGGCATACTGATAGAGAAGTGCAGAGAGCATGAAGAAATTTGGGATTTAATAGTAAATAAAGCCAAGAGATGGCTGAAGAAAAATGGAGTTCAAGAAAGGAGCTTGCATGACTTAGGCTATTAATCTCATTTAAATTAACTCTTCATACAGTCTGTAAAAGTTAAGTCTATTTTTTTAATTATTTCAATAAAATAGGCATGCAATGTTTTAAGATCAAGAAAATTCAGTCTCTAAATCTGAAAGAGAATCTCTTATATTTAACCTAAACCTACACAAATGCTTATTCCCCCCCTCTGTTAGCGAACAAAACCATTAGAAAACCCCAAAAACCCACCCTCCGTTAGCAAACAAAAAATTTTTTATGAAAAAAATTTTGATATATAAATGATAATTAGTATAATGAAATCTCTAGCTAATTCTGTTTTAATTTTAACAAATTGCGTTTTAAAACATAAAATTACAAATTAAGTTAATATTTGCTTTCCAATTTTTGCGAATTAGGATTTTTTTGTTCGGTCACGGAGGGGGGGAGTTAATAAAATTAATTTCGATATTAAGTTTAATAGAAAAATTTTTAAAAAAATTTATTCGATAGTTACACGAAAAATTATATATTTATTTCATAATTAATTCTGAAAAGCTTGATGCAACTGGTCGTTGTAAATCTTTACTCTTACGCTTTAAAGCGAAGCAAATATCAATAAATTTTCCATATTTTGTTAAATTAAAAAAATTTGGACATATTTTTTAATCCTTATGAGTATCAATACTGCGTTTAAATCAAATATTAAAACTGTTCAAACTTTTAATAGACATAATATATCGAAAAAATAAGATTTTATGATCCAATTTCTGGATAACTTGAAATTGATGAAAAATTTATCAAATCTTATAACACAAGTATTTAAGAGAAAATATTGGATACATCAGCCATGAGCCAATCTTTTTAAAGAAGTAAATTTATAACCGAAAATTGGAAAAGAAGAATAAAAGAAGAAGTGATTGAAGCTATGAATAAATCCCAAGCATCGGAAATTATTGAAAAATATGGATTGCATAGTGATGCTGGGCTAAGATGTCATATGCTAAGTGGAAGTGAAAAACAAAATGAGTTGCTATTGCAAGAGCATTGGCAAAAAACCCAAAAACTTAGTGCTAGATAATTCTACAAGCACTCTGGATTCTGTAACAGAAACAATGTGCTAAAAGTATTGAAAATGAAAGAATTACTATCATATCAATAGTCCCGTCTAAGAACAATTCGATTTTGTGACTTAATAATTGTTTTGGATAAAGTATAAGTAATAGAAAAGTAATTCATCAAAAATTGGCTTTCAAATCATCATTTAATCTAATTTTAACTAGCTTCTAGTTAACCCTTTCGGCAGTGTCGCGAGAGAGGCTTGTTTTCTCCGTCTTTTCGCTACTCTCAAAATCATCATATCGGGCTTTGAACCCCTTTAAGCCATTTGGGAACCCAAGAGCAGTGGCTTGGCGTTTTGACTCACTCTATCCGACTTTCCTCCAGCGCCTATTCTGCCTAAGGCTCCTGCCTCTTATATAATCTGTGGAATGAGATAAAGCCCGATGCACAAGGAGACGAAGTATAAATTCCACACTATTTTATCCTCTTTTACAGAAGTCCATGTGCAAAAACTTAACCCTACAATAATAAATTTTAGTGAGGGAAAAGGAATTTGTAGAGCGAATTGCCTTTTCACGTGAAGCCATTTTATCATTATATAAATGATTTCAAATCATAACTAACTATAGCTTAAAAAATTAATATTTGTTTGGTGATTTACCTATATTTTCAATACATTGATAAAACTTTTTTGATGACGCAATAACCGATATTTAAATTAATTTAAATTATAATTTAACATAATTGCATGGGTGACCTCGATACAAAGCGAACTGAATCAAACGATTCAGACACAGAATTTTGGAATGAGCTTGATAAGGTATTCACTAAACAGAAGCCGATCCTGCCCGAAAATAATCTTGTTAATTTCGCTCAAAAATTATTTTCCCATATATCTCCACCCCCAAAAGTTCAAGAAATTGCCCAAAAGCCAAGTGAGCCGAAGCTGGAAACTGAAAAAACAGCTATAAATCACCCTGAAAAATCCGATTGGTCTACACATCAATTTAAAGAAAAAATCACACGAATTCGACAAGCAAAAGACGAAGAGTTAACAGCGCACTCTATTATGATCAGAAATAAAACGAAAAAAGAATACAAAGATATGTTCAAAGAGTTAGAAATTAAATACAACCAAGACATTGGGACTTTATTGCAGGAACATGAAGAGCTGAAAATGGTGATTTTTTCAAAAGAGAAAATCATTGGGCAGTTGTCTTCTATGCTAATTGATTTTCAGATGTTTTTTACTGAACAAAGATATGAATCTGCCTATAATGGAAACGAATCCCCGAGATCTCCAAAAGGAAAAGCACAAATGCAGCTTTTGGATGAAATAAAAAACTTAAATAATCAAGTAGGTCATCTGAAAGAAATCTGCTACTTATATAAAGAAGACACAACTAAAGCAATTGAAAGAGCAAAAAAGGCTGAGGAAGAAAGAGAAAAATCGAAAATATTGTATGAAAAAGAAATTGCGAATTTAAAAAATATGTTAGAAACGAAAGAAAAAGAATGGAACGATTGCAAAACATCTATGGAGACCGAGTAAATTATAGTTAGATTCCAAAAATACAAAGCTAATATCCAAAAAGAGCTTGAATTAAGAGAACTGATCGATGAAAGAGCAAAAAATCATATAAAGTCTTTACAAGAAGAGCTAAAAAATGCCAAAATTGTAATGCAAAATCCACGACTTCGGTCAAGAATAAGAGACAGACTGAGTGAATATATGACAGATCATGAGAAATCCTTAAATGAAGCGTCAAGACCTCCATCGATTCCTCCTTCAAACCCTCCATCACAAAGTTACCGAACAAGAAAAATTCATTCTTCGTATAAAAGTTCAACCCCTTCCAATCAAATGACATCATTTGATCTTTCTACGTCATTTGAAGACGAAACACTATCAACAAAAGGAATTTTTGCGAGAAAAGTAGAATTTCCTTTGCACGCCCCCTTGTTTAGAAGAAAAATTGCTTCTTCTGGTTGCAGTAAATCACCGATCCCTTCGTTATTGTAAATTTTTGATAATTAATAAATATATTTAAAATTTAATATTATCGAACTTAACTATGATGATTGAAAAATAAACCGTATTTTTGTTATTTTCATAAAAATCATTAACTTTTTTTTAATTAATGGAAATTTGGAATTAAGCTATAATTAATACAATTTTTTCTTCAGCAGAGGAGGTGGAGAGTCATCTAATACATACTCCGGCTTGCCTTCAGCATGTCTTTGTGCTTCTTCTTCCCAATAGGCTAAATTATTGAATATATTGTTTGTACAAACTTTAATCTCCAGCTCATCTTGATCTTGCCCTTCATTATTATTAATCACAAATTCTTCATAACACTCAAATAATGGTTTTGCTAGAAAATTCAAAAATCCCATCTGCGATCTTGACACTACAATATTATTTCTATCGCACAGAGGTGTCACACTCATTCCCTTCTGTCTTTCTGTGTCTCCTTGTCTGAAAAACTCTTTCGTAATAAGCCCTGACCATATTTTATGCAATTCTAGCGTTTTCGATCCATGTCCGATATCTGCACATTTCAATGTAGTTTGCAAAGCTAGAATTCTGAATTTTTCATCTTCATATTTTGCACCATTTTTCACACAAGTTTTGAATTCATTGAGAACGTCGTAATGTCTCTGTAAATCAGTGGCAAGGATAGACATGATGACGACTTTTCTGAATCTTAGATAGTCAGCTCTTGATAGTTTACTGATAATATTGCAATCATCTCTTCTTAAAATTTTGAAGGTTGCACAGCTGTGCATATTTTCCAAAACACTTTGGTCGTTATATTTTAAAGCTAGCTTATCATCTTTTGCAACTAGAAATGCATTGTTGAATCCTGGATGGCCAATATCATGGCATAATGCTGCGACAATTAAAGAAAATACATCAATTGATAGCAAATTTCCACATCTTCCTACACCTTCTCTGATTAGGAATACAGTTGAAGCTGTAACATCAGCAGAATGCAAAGAGTTATGATAATAATTTGTAGCGTTGTAAGATCTCTCCACGTTTGTAAGAAATCTCAATAAATTTTCACTGTCAATGTGAAACTCTTCAGTTAAACCTAATGTCTCAAAAACATAAAATCCAACTTCAAAAGCTGGCTTATCAGTTAGTTCTAGCAGCCCAAGGGTATCGAAATCCCAAGTTCCTATTGTTTCTAAGTGGCCGCCTAAATCTTCATTCTCTTCGACTGTGCTCCTCATAACACTCATTTTTGATAAAGCAATGCTAGGCTTTGTGCTAGCTCTCTGGGTCTCAAATATTTTTTCTGATTTTTCCCCTGTATTTGAGAATGCTTGTGTATACCTTCGTTTTGCTTCAATACTTACATTAGCAATATCATTTTCTTCTTTTGGCTTTGCCTGAGGCCATAAAGCTGTCTCAGTAGTGACTAAGTTGTAGATGATATCTTTGATTTCTTCAGAAGAAAGCCAAAATCTCGCATCTAAAGGCTCATTTCCTTCAGTGTTATTAAATCTATCCCGGTTAACAAATTTTATGTCAGGATCGATTTCTTTTTTTGCTTCTAAATTATCTAATTCCATAGAATCTTGCCTCGATATTGACTTGCTCCCATTGCTTTCCTGCATCAATTTCAATTTCTTTACTATTCTTCTTATCCTCATTGAAAGATTTGGTTTATTGTTATCTCGTTCTTTTGAAGCTGCAAGTTCAACTTGCAGCTCTTCCAGCTTTGTATGGAGTTCAGACTTATTGTAACTATGATAAGTTTGGCATGAAGTGTGAATAGCAACTAAAACTATCAGAATTGATAGTTCAACTTGCATCCGATTACTTGTAGTTTTTTAACTCCCCCTCCTTGAGTGAACAAAAAAATTTTGTTCACTCAAGGAGGGGGGTTTAATTTCTTTTTTTTTATATATAAATTTTTTTTCGAAATTTAAAAAATCTCACTTCTATAAAAATTGGAAAGCAAATATTAATTTAATTTGTAAAATTTATGTTTTAAAAAAGCAATTTGTTTAAAATTAAACAGAATTAGCTCGAGATTTCATATAATAATTATCACTTATATATCAACATTTTTTTCCATAAAAAAATTTTCTATTAAAAAAATTTTTGTTCACTCACAGAGAGGAGAGTAAGAGAAATCATAAAGTTAGCTTGATAATAATGTTTTTGGGCTCAGATTCTTCAATTGGAAAAAGAAAAGTCGATAGAATGAGCCCAATTTCGAAAATGGTAGGATCTGAGGTAGTAAAATAGAAGATAGAATAAGTTATTAGATTTTCAGGTACTGGAAATTTGAAACATGACAGAGATAGCAGGATTATAGCTTTGGATAGTGATAGCAAATCAAATTTTGATAGAAAAATTATAGAGCCTAACACTTGGTATATGCTAGCTTTGCTTCTGATCATTTTATTAAAGATATTACTTATTCCCTCCCTCGTGAGCTAACGAAAAAAATTATGCTAGCTCACTGAGGGGGGTTAATTTTATTATGTTTAAAAATTTATATATAAATTATTTATAAAAATAGGGATTTTTTCCAATGGGTTTGTTTGCTCACGGAGGGGGAGTTAGAAATTCATAAATAAATATAAATTTATATAGCATGAAATTAAACCCGCATTAAATATAAATCATAAATTTGTTAGATAATATACTCCAGAACTTAAATTTGAGCCAAATAAGCTATTTTTGAAATTAAATTTTCAATTGATAAATTTAATCGAATTTCATATTTATAAGTAATCTTGAAAATTAAATTTTGGATGCCGGCTCATTTATTTCTAGAAAACATTTATTTAAATTTATTGAAATTATAATTCCAGAGGAGTTTTTTTTTGTTGATCAAAAATATATAATATTCTTATGTCTTATATTGAGACCTTATTGATACATAGATAACTTAGATATTTTCCATCCACTTAATAATAATTTTATTTAATAGCATTAATTTACATAATTTACAATTGCATAGCAATATATTTAAGAATAGTTTTGTTTTATTTTGCTGACTCTTTTCGGTCTTTTTTTATTTGTCTTTAAACAATTCGAATCTTTCATAATTTATATTAAAGGTACCAAGGTTGGTTTAATTTATCGAACTTAGATGTAATGCATTTTTAACAATATAAAGTATGGAAAGAGAAGAATGGTAATATTAATTTAGTGATTACAACTATAAATTAATTCTGCTTGGAGATTTTGGAGTTGGAAAAACCACTTTTTTTGAAAAATATTCCCATAAAACATCACCAAGGTCCTATAGTGATTCTTTTATTGTATTGTTTATTTAGAATTATAAAATAATAGAGCACTGCGATATCAAAATAAAAATTCAACTCTGGGATACAAGCTCAATAGAAAGATTTCGAAAAATATTGCCAGGTTCACACTATAGGAACGCAGATGGTGCTTTAATATTTTATGACATAAGTAATAGAAAATCTTATGAAAGAGTTATCAATTGGTGAAATGATCTTTCAGTCAATACTCCGCTTGCTTTACCTTGTATATTGATAGGGAATAAATGTGATTTAAGAAATAATCGAGAAGTTTCTTATGAAGATGGGTCAAAATTAGCTCAAAGATTAGGAATTTTCTTTATGGAAATGTCAGCGATTATGAGATTGAATGTGAACAAAGCATCATCAGTTTTAATTTCATATATCAAGCAACGTATTGACCTTTAATATGCTAAAGCGATTTTGATGTATGGAGACTTGATATTTTCAACTTTTATGTGTCAAATGCTTTCCCAACGATAATAGAGATTATACTTTATTAATACTTAATATTATTTTTCGTGAGCATATGCATAATAATTAAATCAAAATAAAGGCAAATCAAGGTTATAAAGTAGATTTATAATTTAAACAGCTCATCCTTAGTTCGATTTATTTTAGATATTGATAATTTAAATTAGAATAAATTTTAAAAATCATTTCATTAGATCCTCAAAAGCTGAGCAACGCTCAGAAAAACTGAAACCTATGAATACTTAGATAGACATAGTTTGCGGAGCTAATCACTCTATTAATCTATTCTTATTTATTGTAATTTTGATGAATTTTTCTTAAAATATATAGATCACATTGGTATAGAAATTCCCACCGCTCTTACTAAAAACATTTTATAAGTTGGAACTGATGAAAATCTCAATATAAATAACTGATAATAGCCATATATTATTGAACATTATATTTCTTGATTTTAAGATGACTCAATTTTCCTTTTTGAAACCGAATTTGGTATTGAAGAAGACTTGAATAGTTTTTATTCTAAACCATATTTGATGCCAAAAATTGTTAGTTTGCACATTTTCTTAGGTACTATCTTATGCAATATTTTCAATTCAAAATTCATTTATTTAAATAACACATCTTAAATATGAAAGATAATATATGAATTCTAAATCTCACCATTTTCAATATGGATTGCTAATGAAACGACTATAAAAATGCAAATTTAGCATTATTGGGAGAAATATCTTTCATAATTTTTATTTAACAAATTAACATTTGGATTATATTTATAGCTTGACTGACATTTAAGTTAAGAATATAATTCCTTTAGAAATTTCATATTGTATAATAGGAAAATTAAAATAATATAAATCATTACTTCTATAGCTATATCATACTGCTTTAATCTCTCTTCCTAATGAAATTCTGATACAAATTTCTTCATTTTAATTTCTAATAAGAAGCTCTCTAATATTATTTGGCAATCAGACACATAAATATCGAGTGAATTATTATGGTTTCAGCTTAAATGCATTAAATTTTCATCTTTGCTTGCAAGAACTGCTTTTCAATAAATATGTGTTTGATCACACAGAGCCCTGAGCTTTGCCAACATCCAGAGTGCCTTTTTTTTTATTCAGCCTTTGCCCAAGGTTTGTTCTCCTTTATTCAATCCTCATCATTTGAGCATGCCTACTCAATCATTGACAATCAAAATACGATGCTGCGAATGATAATTAACAAGAATTTAGAGACTGAAATTCTTCTTAATCAGGTTTACGTGGAGGCCCAACAACTAGCTGTATTCTTGTCCAATCCCCGGCACTCTGAAATTGTAGTCGAGCAATCATATGATTCAAGTGAGGTCTTTAGATTATTAAGATCACGCAGCAATTTCCAATATTCACTGCATTTGGAATCAACACTGCCATCAGTGCTTTTCAAAGAACGAAGATTTACATTAGAAGTCTCTCTAAGGAATGTTTCCAACGAAATAGTATTTTTAAGCAGCCATACCCGGTTCAGAGTACTACTCTTCACGTCTGACGAGGAGCCAAGACTACTCAAATGCAATATCAGCGGGAAAAAAATCCTTCGAGGTACGACAGAAGCAGAAATAAGTGAGACGGGAATTGTCAAGTTTGAAAATATGGTCATTAATGAAGTAAGTAGCCACTACACAAATGAAGTGTTTTTATTAGTAGTGATATGTCTAAGCAGTAGCGACATCAAGCCTCTTGTAATTACTGATGTAAATGTAAAAGCTAGAACAATGCAGAAGAAAAATCAAAAGTAAGAAGGATGTATGCTATGAAATACATATTACTACTTAATATAATTTTTATAAATAAATTCTTAATAGCTCTTCTTGCCAAATTTTAAAAATATCTGGCTAGAAAATTTGTTTCAAGCGCCTTTTGATATAAATATTAATTACTGATTCTCATCGAATTAATAGGCACAATGAAAAATGTAATTTTTTTATCTGATAAGTATATATATCTATAGATAGAAATTTTAAATTTAATCATATAACACAGATTTGGTTCTGATTAGCATCACTAAGCATATTGCCATTTTCATTTCCTATAAGTCCACACACTTAATGTTGCAGAACTCGAGAAAGCCTAAACCTGGCTGGAGACAACTAAACTTCAAATATATGATGTGTGTCCCGACAGCAAAATGTGCAGCAATTCTCTTTATCATCCTCTTTGCAATATCTTTGATTTTTGGTTCTGTTCTTCTCTCTACATCATACAGCATAGTAGAATACAGCAAAAGGTACGACGATATTTGCCATAATAATGAGGATTGTACAATAGAAATTAGTATATCAGATTCAATGACTTCTCCGGTATTTCTTTACTATGAGCTGCACAATTATTATCAAAACCATAGAAAGTACGTGAAGTCATCATGCCAGCTGCAGCTGGCAGGAGAAAAAGTAAGTGAAGATGATTGCTCAATGTGTGAACCGCTTACAAAGGTAAAAGACTATGATTATCCTTTGTATAATTTGAATGGGCAGCAATTAAATAAAACTCAGCTTGCCAACCCATGCGGATTAATAGCTGCAAGTTTATTTAATGACACCTTTGCAATAAAAAAAGACAGTGAAATCATTGATATTGACTCAGGCGATATCGCTTGGTTTACAGACAACACCAATAAGTATAAAAACAGAAAAGACTATAAAGAAGTACAGTTTTTAGATGTAGAGAAGCAGCATTTTAAAGTCTGAATGAGAACTGCAGCAACTTCTACGTTCAGAAAATTATATGGGAAAATCAATAAGGATCTAAAGCACACTTATAATGTCACCATTCACAATTTGGTAGACGTAAGTGAATTTGATGGAGAAAAGTGGATCATTTTGAGCACTGTTTCTACTTTTGGAGGGAAAAATTTAGTATTAGGATGGAGTTTTATATCAGTTGCTGTGGTGAGTCTTATATGAGCAATTGTGTTTATCTGGCTTGGAAAGAATTTAAAGCCAGTTTCAATTGAAGATAGATTTAAAAAGCTAGAATAGTGTAGTATAATTATTTTCAAACAAATAATTTCGCTGTAGATTTAAACAATAATTTTATGGACTTAATATACATTATCTCGATTCATACCATAATTTAAATGTCTGAAAAGTTCAATTCTTACCCAAGTTTGCCACCAGAGATCCAAAATTCAATTCACGGCATTTTAAAAGTTCTTTTAGGGAGTGTAGTTTGACTTGATCCTCCTTATAATCCTGAAGGTCTTCTTTTTCGAGTTAAATTCTGGGGTGAGAAAACACCTGGGATAATTTTGAAGCCAAAAAGCACCAAGCAAGACTCTATATCCAATATCGCAATTTATACAATTAGATGTACTCAGCCAATATTCACAAATTACCTTAATGATATGTCAACCCTTACTATTGATACTATGGATGCACAATGGCGGCTTATTGGACAAATACATATTAACGTGAGACTTTACATTAAAAGAGATCCAGTCATGGCCAAAGGAAAATTAGCCTCGAACTCAGGGTTTGCAAATCTTGAGGTTGATGGAGTCTTTCCTATATTAACATGTGAAAACGAACCGAGGAAAATAGGAGAAATTGAAATCAAAGCTTTTACAAATTATCATGGATGGGAAAATGAAAGGACTAGTAAAGAAGTACTAGCTAGTTTTGAGATGAATGAATTAAAAGCAAGGTTTGAAGATCCGATTGGTAATATTGAAGAAAGAAAAGTTCAAGACGATGACAGAATCCCAAATTCTTACTCCCTCCTTGAGCGAATGATTAAATTTATAGTAAAATTCGTTTTTTTCGAAACGTAAAAAAATCCCAATTCACAATAATTGGAAAGCAAATATTTATCATTTATAAAATTTTTTGTTTAAAACGCAATTTGTTTAAAATTAAACAGAATGAGCTCGAGATTTCATTATAATAGTTATCACTTATATATCAAATATTTTTTCATAAAAATGTTTGTTCCTCAATGGGTTTTTGAGCAAAAATAGGGACTTATCCAATGGTTTTGTTTGCTCACGGAGAGAGGAGTTATGCAAATAAGAATAGAGGAGAATATAATAAAGAAAAATTAGATGAAATGAAGCTTGAAATCGAAGGAAAAAACATAGAAATATATAAGAAAAACGACCCTTCAAAAATTTTTGTTCCCAAAAGTTCATTAAAAAAGATCCCAAAACCAGAGCATGCTGTAGATGAAGAAGTAAAAGCAACAGAGAAAAATATTGAAAAAGATATTAATCCACCAAGTTTAAGTACTGAATGAGAGAAAGTCAAAGCCAAAGGAGATTCATTGAAAGCTAAACTTTTAGTTGCAAAAGCAGAAGAAATAGCATTAACTACATCAGTAGAGCAATCCAAAATAGATGAAGGAAGAATTCCTAGTGTTCATGAAGTAGAAGCAATGATGTTACCAGAAGACATTACTGTAGCCAAACTTCCTGGGCCTACTGATATTTTTGAAGTTCCAGAACGCGAAAAGAAGCCATTTTCTGACCTAACATCTATGAAACATCTCAAATTATCAATTTCCACTCTTACACTTCTAATCGACAAATCAGAGCTCAAAGACAAATCATTATTTTTAGAATGCATAGTTCCAGTTCCAACATTAGTTCAAAGGACTCCATCAGAAAAACTTCAAAATTCTCCTATTTCTATCTTCATGGATTCCTTTAAAATTACCAATAAAAATATCTCAAATAACCTCTATACTTTTAACCACGAATCAGTGCACCATTTAGGTCTAGGAGAAGGCATCTTTGGAAAATTAGCCAACCAAAATATTAGGATAAAGCTCTGCACAAGTGAAACAAAGGAAAAGCCTATTGAGCTAGGAAGGGCTGATATTTTGTGGGAAAAAATTCTGCTCGCTCCAGGATTTATTTATTCAGAAACAATTGATTTGATTGGAGAAGATAAAAATCCAAGGGCAAGGAAAAATACAAAAGCTAGAGTTATAGGGAGGCTAAATGCGTCATTTTTTATGGTTAGTGATGAGAATAAAGATTTGAAAATTGCAGAGGCGAATAAAAAAGAAGAGGTGAAGGTGGAAGAAAAGCATGAAGAAATTTTAAAAAATTATAGCTCCGAAAAGCCAAGCCAAGAACTAGAATTCAAATCGTTTCAGCTTTATTTATATATTGAAAGTGTAAGCCAAGTTGTCAGATCAGATGGATCTTATCTTATCTTATGGAATTTATATCGCTTAACGTCCACTACGGGGTTACGACCCCAGGTTTATCACTCGCCTTTCGTCGCATCGGGCCCACCAGTCCGCTGGGGACAGACTCGCTTTGATCTCCAAGGTGCTTCTAGGGCAAATGTCCACGTCTTCGACGGCTCATGAGTGAGCTACTTGCTTGTACATGGGTTGCTTTTCCGAAAAACCCAAAAAATGGATTTTTCTGGTCAGCTATCGGCAAAAAGGAAAAATACAAAGCCTGGGACGTAACGCCCAGTTTCACGCTAGGGAGTTGCCCGAATGGTCCAGAGGACTTTGCTGGGCTTCCCCTTTCCAACCTTGTACCCTCCTTCCCCACGAGGAAAAATCCACCCCTGAGATTAGACTAGGGCTAGGCTCTGAAAGCTACCAGAATTGCTTACCTAGCATTGCTGTCCATCTCTGAAATGGTAAAACCTTGCCGGATATAATTAAAATATGAGTCGAGGCTGCATGGCCGGGAGGCCATGCCCAGACGAAGACGCCATATTTTAATTATCAGATCAGATGGATCATTACCAAATATTTTCATAAACTATAAGACATTCCCTGATCCAGAAAAAATTTCAACACCAGTTTTTTGGGAATGCGATGAAACTATCTTGCTGAGCTAATTTGGCATAAATATTGCAAATAATATTTTTTTATTTTTAATTAGAATAGGAAACCAATCCTTCAGTAATACGCATAAATAATATGATCTAGTATAAAAAAATTAATCATAAAATGATGATCCCCATAACAGCTACAGAAAGTATAGTATCAAAACTCAGAAATGCCTTTATAACTCTAGAAGTTTGGGATAAAATAAGTACAGCTAAAGACGAGCTGCTTGGTTTAGTAAAGCTTCAATTGAACTTTTTCGCAACTGCATTATCTTCAGGAAATCTCGCTCTTTTTAACAGTGTTTATCCTATAATAGCTGTTGATGAATACAGGCCAATAAATAATTTAAGAACTGCAAAAGATATAGGGTACTTAAGAGTTTGCCTTGCATTAGGAACACCTGCACAAGTCCACAGGCTGCATTTATCACAAAGTAATGCTGATAATAACTCAGAAAAATTCTCCTTTACCAATAAAAGGCAAGACAAAAAAGAGCAGGAAATCGAAGTCAAAGTGTATGAGGAAAAAAATTGAAACCAAAAAACATCCAAAAAAGAAGAAAAAAATGAGTGGGACATAGAAAATGTGAAAGGAAAGCAAGATAAAATAGTAACAGAAAGCATTGAAAGTATTGGAGACATTGCTGCATTCTTAAATACAAAACCACAGCAAGAAACTGTAAAAGAGTCTCCTGTAATAGAATTGCCAGTAAAAGTTGAACCTCAGCCATTAGCTGAGCTTCCAAAACAATCTCCAAAAATTGAAAAAATATTCGAAGAGCCAAAAATGCAAGAAATTCCAAAAGAAAAAACAAAGGAAGAACTCGTATTTTTTATTAAAAAATGTTTAGATATAGAAGAAGTTAGCATAGAAGAAGAGCTTAAAATTGTAGACAGGTTCAATCACCGTTTCATTCATAGTGAAAATTTTTCACACCTTCTACAAGAGCATACACAAATAAAATGATAGCTTTTTCGACCCGCTCTCTTCTCCCATACTCTCAGTTATTTTGGGGTTTTTGAGAGCTGAGAGCTGGCGGAGAGGAGCTGAAATATCCCTGATGACCCATTTTGACTTTAATCTAATCTAATCTACAAGAACTTAGGCTAGGAATACCCCCGAATGACATCCAAGCTTTAATTGACCTTATCATCTCAGAAAGTCCTGAAACATCGAATAAGCGGAGAATCCAATTTATTGACATTTTCCATACTCTTGGAATTCAGCCTAAATCTTCAAATACAAAACATTCTTTTTCACTTACCTTAAAAGATATTTTTGCATGCCCATTTCTTACAAAGCTTCCTAACAAATCTACTTACCTCAAATATTTATTCCCTAAAGAAGAAACATACATGGAGTCTGAGCTTTTAGAGGCTAACAATTCAGTTTCAATTAATATAAGCTCGCTTCATTCCTTTACATTACCGAATCATTCAGATATTTCTGACTCCCCCCATTAAATTGGAACAAAATATAAGTAAAATTTGCATTTTTGGGCACTTTAACCGTCCTTTATAATTGAAAGACAATTTGCTTTCAAAAGGAAATTATAAAGATGAAAATATTAATTTTTATAAAATTAATTTTGATCTAGTTGAATGTAAAAAGTGCAAAGAGAATGCTATTTAAACAGTTTCCACAGTGAATCGATTAACTTTTTTCATAAAAATAAATTAAATTTCAAATTATTGTAATTAATTTATATTTTTTCAAATTTTAAAAATAATTAACCCCCTTAAAATTGAAATAGGGTTTTTTGTTCCGATTTAAAGGAGGAGTGAGTGCTTTTCTTCTGAAGATGAAGGAATTATTATTTATTTGTGTAGAAATGTTTCAAGGTCTGAAGACCAAGTTATTGCGAAAGCGGTATTGCCTATAGAAGAGTTAGTAGATCTTGAGCCTAATAAAAAAATCACAAGAGTGGTGTGCTTATACGGGGATAGAAATATTAAGGTAGAAAGCTACTTGAATGAAGTCATAGGGAAAATAAGGCTAGTTATTGAATATAAGCAGTCAATGACATTTGATGATCCTGGGAAATCAGTTGAATTAGTTTATGAAAAACAAACACAAATTGATATAGAGATTTACCTTGAATTTTCTAATTTTTAAGCTTATACAAAACCAAGATAATTTATGTTAAAAATCATAGAGTTTTACCACGGCAAAATATGCTGACCATTTTTATTGAAAATTTAGGTGATTTAAGCAGAGCTCAAAGGTATTTAAAGAACCTTGGAATTGAGATTGACCAAAAATGCAAAGTAAAAGTCTTAGTCAACATTTTCTGTGAAGATGAAAGTTTGAACAAAGAATTTGGAGTTTTGGAAATTGATGAACGTGATTTTGGTGAAAATGTGAGCATAAGAGAAAAATATCAAATAGAAATGACACTTAACAGTGAAATTTTGAATTATTTGAAAAATAAATCAGCCACGATCAAAGTAATTTTAATATCAAAATCCTATGAAGAGATCACTTTGGGAACCACAAAAATATCATTGATTCCATTGCTTTTGCATTCAAACGCAGCAGGAGAGTTTGCATTATTGAATGAATATGGACAGTTTATGGGATATATAAATATTTCATTTTCATTTCAGATTGATGATACAAGGCCTCAGTCCCCAGAGCAATTAGAAATTGCTGAAGAGCCTAAACCTTTAAAAAATCCAAATCTTCCTGATCTTGAGCCTTTGCCGACTCTTATGATAGAGGAAGAGCCAAACACTAGTAAGGTTCAGCTAACAATAGAGTCAGCAATGCATCTCCCTAAAGAAATTAACGGTGAAATTTCAAATCCATTTATTCAGTTCAAATGGTTTGACTCACAAACGTACAAAACTCCGCCAGTTTTGAGATCTTCTTGCCCTTCGTGGAATTCATCACACACTTTAAATATTCCGCTTGACTCCTCTAAGCTGAGAAAGCCAATTATTTTTGAAATATGGCATAGATCATTTACTAATCATTCTGATACAAAATTAGGAGAGTGCGAGGTCGATCTTTCTGCACTTATGGTTGTCGATCAAATTGATGGTTGGTATCATATAATGGATTCTTTTAAGAGTTCTGGGCAGCTAAAAATCAGGATAACTCCAACTGAAAATCTGTATGAAAAAATTACAGGAAAGCAAAGAAAAAATTCAAGAGCTCCTAGTCCAGCCCCAAAGCTCAGGGAAATTGAAGAAAAGCCAAAGAAAAAGAACGTCTACGAGGAGAGAATTAGCCTAATAAGTAAAAGTTTGGAAAATGAAAATGATGAAGAAATTTATCAGAAACATTTACTTCCCATCATTGATTGAACGATTCCATGATAATTTCCTAAAAATAGGAAATTAACCCTATCCTTGATTGAACGATTTTCATAATAGTTATGCATGAGACTACCTTCTCGGTCAGCATCATATCTAATTAGCTATCCATTATAGTAATCAATATTAGAGATTATACCATATAATCGGCTTTATGTGATTATATAGCGAGTCTCGCATCTTTACTAATAATAGATTTGATATTCCATCACGCATGAAATATTTTATTTAGATGAATAAATTTTTAATCCTTTAATTATGACGATCGTTTCGATCAAAGTAGGGGAGTTAGAAAATATGAGAACTCTAGAAAGTATCACTCATAATTACGGGTCATGGGGATTGAATAGAGATCGCTCACCACCAAGAATAGAGCAAGATAAAGCAGCTTTCAGACATACATCTCCTTTGAGAAAATCTAGAGTTTCTCCACCAAAGTATTTTGAAGAAGCTGAAGAAAAACAAAGGCAGTATAACTTTTCTGATATTTGGAAAGAAAATACCAATTTAGCACCACATTATTCTGAAGAAATTGCTCATGTAGAGCCTCACTATGGCAGAGAATTTATAAAATATGAAGAGGAAGAAAAAAAATTAGACAGTGATGAAGAATGGGACCAAAATAAAATTAATGATATCTTGAGCTCAATCGAGGAGGCTACAAAACTAGCTGACCAACTTCAACAAGATCAGTATCAGCTTCCTATTGAAGAAGAAAAAAAGCCTGAAGAAAGCCATATAAGAGCATATAGCTCTGATTATCGAGAACCAACACTATTAAGACCTCCTGGCAGAATAAGTCCAACGAATTTAGTAAAAAATCCACTGCCAAACATGATGGTTACTGATTCAGAAATCTCAAGAATTGCTGCAATTATGAAAGGAAAGATGTCTTAATAAACTAAATTAATTATTTTCATTTAATAAAATCCACATTTTGATGAAAATCTCTTATAGTAAATGAAGGTCAATATATATGGAAAAATTATATATTAATAAATTTCTCACTCCCCCCTCCGCGAGTATACAAAATCATTAGAAAAATCGCCATTTTTTGCCCAAAACCCACCCTCCGTGAGTGAACAAAAATTTTTTTAATAGAAAAATTTTTTTATGGAAAAAAAATTGATATATAAATGATAATTAGTAATATGAAATCTAGAGCCAATTCTGTTTAATTTTAAACAAATTGCTTTTTAAAACATAAATTTTATAAATTAAATTAATATTTGCTTTCCAATTTTTGCGAATTAGGATTTTTTTAAATTTCGAAAAAAAAAAAAATTTTTTTAAAAAAAAAAATTAACCCTTGTGAGTGAACAAAATTTTTTTGTTCACTCATGGAGGGGGGGAGTCAGCATTTAATAAAAAATTCAAAAATTATAAATATTATATAATCCATCAATTATGGTAAATTCTAATAATTTAATAAAATAGAGAATGAGCTCTTTATTCTATTCAGCTGACCGCAGATCAAATCCAGGGAAAGTTTTTTGATCTCCATTTACTGATAGCATGATCCCTGATTTATCTCAAAATATGATCTACGCAGGGTCTCTTTTTGTCAATAATTCTACAGGCCACCTTAAAAAGCGCCGTTTCATTTTGACCAACATTGGACTTTACTATTGCCCAAGCGCTAAATCTCCTCCTAAGAAAATGTGTATAATTAGCTGAAAACTATTATCAGTTTTTACAGAAGAGAGTGAAAATGGACCTAGACATGGGTTTTCACTTTCTTCTGGCAAGGTGAGCCATGATTTTTATCCTATAACGCCGTTAAAGCTTCAGACTTGGGTAAAACATCTTTCAATATATGCAATTGCAACAAGATTGCAAGATCATTATTTAATAGTAAAAGAAGCAGGCCACGGCTCAACTTCAACGGTTTTTCTTGGGATTGAGAAAGAAACCCAGCAAAAATTTGCAATTAAATCAATTTCTAACTCCTAGCTTTAAAAAAAATATAAAACTTATTATTGAATGATATAATAATATATAAAATCAAATAATTTCATAATGATCATATAAAGAAATATTAGTTTTTAATAAAAGAGCTTTACCGGCTTTGATAAATGAAATTGAATTTATGAGAGTTTATAAATAAAATAGCAAACGGTGCAAGAGAATTTGTTCTGCCTCATGGAATTTTATTATCCACAATATCATGATACTCATCGAATAAGGTGAGAACTCTAATTCAGTCAGAATTATCAGGAATGGATTTTTACTGCTTGACACTTCCGAGAAGGGAGACCCTTAGGTGGAGCACATGTTGGAAAGGCAAGGCAACGCAGTCTGTGAGTTCTGGAGGCAAACTAGCTTCTACAAGCTTAGAATGGTCCTTTAACTCGATACAAAGAGTGACGTAGGAAATTCCTGATGAAGTCACTAGTTTTTCTCCTATTCGGAGCGGGCTCTGTGACGCTTGCAATCACCCTCGCGGATCCAGACAACATGATAAACTTTCTAATTAATTTTAATTTATGAGAGTTTTATCTCATCCACGACTAGTGAAACTGCACAAAATTTATGAAGATGAGCAGCATGTCCATTTAATTCTAGACTACATGGAGCATGGAGACTTATTTGCCAGACTTACAAGACGAGGCTCCTTCAGTGAAGAAACAGCCATTAAGTTTACCAAAAATCTTTTAGAAGTTATCGAATACGTTCACTCAAAAAATATCATCCATAGAGATTTAAAACCCGAAAACATCTTAATGATGGACAAAGAAAATGACGTGGATTTCAAAATTGCAGACTTTGGCTTAGCCACTACTTCCAGCAAAGATTTAACTTCAAGATGTGGGTCGCCTGGATATGCTGCTCCAGAATTGTTATGGAAAACTCCATATGGATTTAAAGTTGACATTTTCAGTATCGGGGTTATTTTATATGTTCTGCTTACAGGGAGAGCTCCTTTTTATGGAAGAAATGTCCAAGAGCTATTAGTAAATAATAGAGAATGCAATATTAATTTTTATGAAAAACATTGAAAGAATATTTCAGTAGAAGCTATGAATATTGTAGTAAAATTGACAGAAAAAGACCCAAATCTGCGATATACAGCAACTGAAGCTCTGGCTCATCCATGGTTTATTAAAAAAGAGAATAAAAAAAGGACATCAAAGCGCGCAACATCAAATGTGGTAAAAGATAATCTGAATTTCATCCCTCCTTATGGGCTATCTAGCACACAAAATTACAGCAATAACAGTCCTTCTTATGCATCTCATGCTGTTCTAAATGGAAGATTTAAAATAAATAGAAAAAGTACAGTAAAGGTCCTCATGGACCCAGTGAAGGAAGATAGTCCAAGAAGAAACTATCAAAATCGGAATTTATTTATAACACTGAGGAAACTGGATCCCATTGAGACAAGAAAATAATTGTTTAAATTAAATCTATGCTTGATTAAGCTTGATATGCCAAATTTTATTATTAATACTTATGGTGACGATAACTATAAATATATTATAAATGGAAAGAGAGTACCTTGAGAAATGACTAAATGATATAGACAATTCGATTAAAGAAGAAGAGCAAGGATTAGAAAATCTACAAGAAGCTGCCTTATGGCCAGGGGCAAGCACACTGTCGTTATCGTTATCAATACTTATCTATAAGGACTATAGAAGTTTCCTATGTTTGGCGCTGTAATGCCGATAAATTCTGATCGGAATTTATCGGTTTGGTTGCACCAAATCAATGCCTTGGTCGGACCAAAAAGCGATTTGGTCCGACGAACTTGGAAAGCTCCTGGGAAAATGTCTGCGCTTTCAGCGCTATATAGAGGAAACCTCTATATCTAATCGTAATGCTCCCTTCACCTGCTCGTAGATTTTTATACGACCTTATAAAGGTTGCTCCTCTGGATAAGAGCGTACACTCGCACCCGGGTAGTTGAGTTAGTTGCATCACCGTGCAGTATGCCAACAGGGTTGCCCGCGCTTGAAAATTCAAAAGTACTGAATTCTAGTAGACTCTTGACCAAGATAGAAATCAGTAGTCAGGGCTAAACTCCTGGTTTCACGTAGGGTAATATTCAGGATTGCTTAAAAAGAATGCCACTAACAACTTCGAGACCCATCTATCACTGAGGCAAAAACTTGGCATTGGAGTAAAGATGCTGTCGGCCAACACAACACTGCTCTCTTCTCAAAAAAAGCCCCCGCCGCATACACATTCCCCAACACCATCATCTCTTCCTAATTATCCCCGTGCGCCCTATGGGATGCCAGCTACAGGAGCTAAGAGGGTGGGTTGGTTCGCCATGCCATTTTAATCTCTGGCAAGCACACTGTCAGAAATAGAAAATGAGTCCCAAGGCTTCAGCCATTTCTCAGAAAGCATCACTTCAGATGTAAAATTACCAGTAGAAGAGCGGCTAACTTACTACAAAGCTAGATCTCTAAGATCAATTCAGCAAAAGCGGCAGCAGCAAGTACAAGAAGAAATGGACAACCTAAAAAATCCTTTGATTTCAAAAAGGTCGCAAAAATTGGCCTCAAGCAATAGAGATGGAAAAATTGAAGATAGATTAATGCAGGAAGGGATAAAGCAAAAAATGCTGCAGATTAAAAAGGAAGCCCAGTTGTCGAAAGAGGCAAAAGTTCAGGCCAATCCAATAATAACTCCTTTAGCTGCAAGCTTAAAGCGGGAAGGAGACATTGTGGACAGACTTTTTGAATACCAAAAAATATATCAAGAAAAATTAGAAAATAAAAAAAATGATTCCCCAAAAGACTCCAAAGGCATCCCAAAAATAAATAAAATCAATGGGATTGAAAGCAAATATATGAAGCCGAATTCCCCAAAAACAGTCTACGTGGAAACATTTTCATATAAACCCGAAGTCAATAAAAAATCAGAAATCCTGGCTTCAAAGTTAGGAGACCCTAAAGACAGGCTCCTGCAAAAGCCAAAGGAAAAAAATCTTGAGGACTCTGAGTATACATTTAAGCCATCTATAAATAGAAGAGAAAATGACCCAAATAAAATTGAATGATGGGAGTCATTATATCAGCATGGCCAGTTTATAAAAGAAAAAAGAGAAAGAACAAAGGAAGAAATGGATAAAATTAGAGAAGATATTTATGGAAGTGATTTACTCTGAAACTTTACTCATCTACGAATTTTATTATTATCGGTTTCGGTTTATCTTGTGCACACTTTTATCCAAAATGCCAAATATGACTTATAAAATTAAGGTCAGTCACTTTGTCCAAGATTTTAGGACGTATAGGAGTTTTACCGCTTGTAAGAGCCGAGGAGTAAAACCCTTAGGTGGAATAGCGCTGAGTAAAGTATATATCAAGGTCAACGTGACCAGTGAAGGCTTTCTAGCTCTTTTATTGGGGTCTTTTGGAATACTTGCGTGGCAAGATGGCTTCTGATGTCATCAATTGGGAGTTAAAAGGGAGGTTTTGACATTAGAGATTATTACTTTAAAAATCTGATAATTAATGTTAATGACAAAATTAGAGAAGAGACCCAAATTTGACCTTTAAACCGACTATAGTTACAAAAGGGCATAAGCAAGAAAGCAATGAAGAAAGGTTTAAAAGACTCGAAGCATGGAGTAAGCAAAAAGAGCAAAAAATAGAGGAAGCAAAAGCACAGAATTCAAATAAAGATTTAGAAGGCTGTACTTTTGCTCCAAAAATCAATAAAAGACTTTCATCGAGCAAGCCAAAAATCGAAACAAAAGGAGTTGATAAGTTTTTACAAAGGCAAGGATTAGCTAAAAAGAATAAAAATGAAAATGATTCACCAAAGAAGTATCAAACTGAGACCCGTAATGAAGATATTTCGGCGGCTGAATTTGAAAATGCGATGAAAGCTCTTCATGATGAGCTACATTCAATTAATTTAAATATGTAACTCAAGACTAAATAGAGAATTTGAGCTTTCTTATTGAATTAGTCATAAAAAATATAAATAAATAAAACTAGCAATAGTTAACTGTGCCTGCCAGCATTAATGAAAATTTATTAAGATGGCATGCTTAATCCATTTATTGTATAATTTATTAAATATCTTCTGAAAATTGAATCAAGGAATCATAGCTAAATCTATGAAATAATTATTACTTCTTATAAAGGATATTATAATGCTAATAGTTCCAAGTCTTTTTAAGTTCAGTAAATAAGATAATTCTAGTTACAACCTTTTAATAATTTTTATTCACAAATTCTGTGGCCAGAATTTTTTATTGCATAATCTATAAGAGGCAATGCACTTATTAAATTGCAATGCTTTTTAGAATTTGGATGCATTTAATGTCTAAAAAATAGCAGCTTATGCTTTACGCATAAAGCTTTCCATTCTTCTCTTCTTTGATTGTGGAAATATTTCTTAATAAAATGGTCAAAAACACTTATGAAACCCTTGGCGATAGAGCTCCTAAACCTTGCGCCATAGGAGATGCTCATGGTGTTGCTATGGCCTTCACAGAACCAGGCACAACAGTCACCCCATTCCCATTCCAACACCCAGAGCTCCTTGATAATGAAATTAGAATCCACGTCACTCATGCAGGGCTTTGCCATAGTGATATCTTTGTTTCAACTCTTGGTTGGGGAGAGAATGTAAACTTCCCTCTGGTTCCTGGACATGAAATCGTTGGAGTGGTTGAGAAAGTCGGTGAAAGAGTTTCTAGGTTCCATGTCGGCGACAGAGTTGGTTTTGGTGTTTGGAGAGAGTGCTGTGAGCAATATGAAAGCTGCAGAGAGTGCAGAAATGGCTTTGATAATCTATGCCCTAGCTCCCCCCATCCCCACTTGAGCGAACAAAAAATTTTGTTCGTTAATTTTTTTTAACAATTTATGTATAAATTTTAAAGTATTTTATTCTTAAAAAATTCCAATTCACAAATTGAAAGCAAAAATTAATATTTGCTAGTAAAATTTATGCTTTAAGCGCAAGCTTTTAAAAATTCAAAAAAATAAGCTAGAAATTTCATTATAATAATTCTATTCTTACATATAAAATTATCTTAAAAAAACTTTTGCTGCACATGGAGAGTGGGCTTTACCAAAAAAATAGGGGCTTTTCTAATGATTTTTTCGATCACAGATAGGAGAGTAAGGCAAAGCTTACCTATGATCCATACTTTGGAGGATATGCCACCTCATTCCAAGCTCACGCCAGCCACTTTTATAAAATCTCAGACGATTTCCCAGGACAAGCAGCCCCACTTTTCTGTGCAGGATTGACCGTCTTCTCTCCGATAATTTAAATATGGCATCTCAACTTAGGCTTGGCCTCTCAGCTAAGCAGTCTCGAGCCCTATTTAAATTATATCCGGCAAGGTTTTGCCAACGAATGGACAGCTATGCTAGGTAAGCAATTCCTGTAAGAGGCAGGAGCCTAGCCCTAGTCCGCTTTCGGAGTTGGTTTTTTTCCTCAAGGGTAAAGGAAGGTTGAAGTTGAAAGGAGGCGCCCAGCTATGCCTGCAGGGAACATCCAGGCCATTGGGCAATGCCGCTAGCGAGAAACCAGGAGTTTCGCCCTGGGCTTCAACTTTTCCTTTTTGCCATTTTTTGGGTTTTCTGCATGGACAACCTTGTATCCCACAGCCTCAAGCAAGGCCGCAGAATTCCTAAATCTGCCCACTCAACACTGGAGCAAGGTTGTAGCTTGCAAGGAGGAGACGTTCAACAGAACAGGCTAGCCATTAAGTTGGAGTCCTGTAGGCGGCGTCGCAAAGCGGAGGAACCTTCGGGGTCTGGTGACTGCGTCAAAACTAACAGCTTAGCAGCTGATAATCTCGTAATTAAGATTAAGATTAAGACCGTCTTTTCTCCTCTTAACACTCACATGAGAGCAGGCATGAAGGTCGGAGTTGTAGGAGTCGGAGGATTAGGACATCTTGGCCTCAAATTTGCGAGAGCTATGGGTGCTGAAGTCACTGCTATTTCCACAAATCCCCACAAAATAGAGGAAGCAAAATCATTCGGAGCTCACCACTTCTTGAACTCAAGAGACGAGCAACAAATGAAGGAAGCCGCCAACTCTTTTGACTTTATCCTAGATACTGCAATCCAAATCAATATTGATCAAGACTGTAAGTTGATAAAACCAAGAGGGATATACCGTGAGCACAGTTTTAGATCGACCTGAGAACCCCCTCCCCACTAACCTTGATGGTTTCAGCTTTATTGAAATCTACAAATTGAATTTGACTAGTCAAATCCTTAGTGAGGGACTTGCCATTTTGAATCAACTATTCGTTCAAACTGAAACCGTCAGGTGGTGGGGGAAGAGGAGTTTCAGGTCGAGCCATACCTGTTCTGAAGGTATATTAAATATCGTGGGTTTACCTGATGCTAGAGAGAATTTAAACTTCAACTTATTTACGATTTTAGGCAAAAACATTAATTTGACTGCAAATCCTGTTGGCTCGAGATGGGAAGGAGACCAAATGCTTGAATTTTGTAGGGTGCATGATGTTTATCCTTTGGTTGAGGAGTATAAGTTTGCGGATTGTCAAGCTGCTGTTAATTCTTTGGCTCATGGAGTTCCTCATTATCCTAAGTTCAGAAATGTAATGGAAACTGCAAGCTTTATGGAAACTTTCACACCTAGCAAATAACCTTTAATTACTCAAATCAAATTAAAATCCTATTCATAAATATTGCAATTCCTTGGAAAAGGAATTAGTGAGATTTCAATGGAATTTTACTCTGCTTCATTAATATTATTAGATCTTGATCAATTGTTTTATGATAAGAAGGAACTATTGTTGCTTCAGATAGGAATCGGGACTGCTTTACAGCAGATATATATAAAAGTCTTAGAATTTTTGAAGAGATTTTCAGGATATATTTGCATGAAAACAATAAATTTGGATTTTTATTAAATTTTGATTAGAAATGAATGAAGTGCTATGAATTATCTATTACTTCTCTTCGAATTTTAATATTTGCTATTTATTAGATATCAATAGTTCACATAGTAAATTACTATTTTGAGTTTGAAAATACTTGCGTGATGACTATGTATTCGATTAAAATAATTATATATTAATTGTAATAAACTAGCAACATTAAATTTATTGCTTCTTGGCTTGTCATGACAGCCTAAACAAAATCAAGCTTGTGATCATCCACATTCCCCAGCCCTCCAAAATAATAGCTAATATTGCAATCCCAAGAGAATCTTCAAATCCTTGCTGACCTAATGGGTCGCAAGATTAAGATTATTAAATATCCAACCATAGGCGCTCCCGCAGGCACTGACCATTCGCCCCCGTCTAGGCTCCAAAGATGGCATGAGGCCATTTTGGATTTCCGGCCTGAACCACCTGTCCAGGAGGAGATTAGCTCATCCTGGGCAGAGCTGCTTCTTGCGAGCGCCCCGATGGCCACGATGAGGAAGGACCATACGGTAGGCAAAACCTGTCTAGCCCATCTGGCAGGGACAGGGAAAACCTTCGGAGAAACAAAACACCCTGATTCGGCAAGCTTTCCATTTGAGACAGTCCACTTGAGCCCTAAAGGCACATTTCGCCACCACTCTCGCCGGTCCACTGCTCCATAGGAGGTGCGCCTCGGAGTCCAATTTCCGTCAACGTCACCATTGTATTTCTATGGGTCGCAAGGAATGCATCCTTTATCTGTTGCTGGATCACAAGTTTGGCAATATAAGTTTAAATCAGTGTATTCATTTATACTTAACGCTTCATATCCATACTTGTAAGGAGAAATGTATTGTATTCAACTGAAAGCCGCTGGAAGTGAATTTAGATTAGCAAAGCTCCCTCCAAAAATAACGAAAGGAATAGTAATCAAAGGTCCTCCAGCCATTGCACCGCTTTGAGATTTAAACAGAGATCCAGTAAATAAGCCAAATGAGTTTCCACACATATTAAAAAGCAGCATAATGGCATAGAATATAAAAAATTTAGAAGCATCATGATTATTTAGGCCGACAGCTCAATATACAATTAAGCATTCTAACTCCCCTCTGTGAATGAACTTAAAAAATTTGGTTCATTACGAAAGGAGGCTCGTTTTTTAAATTTCTATATAAATTTATAGTAAAATTTTTTTTTCGAAATTTAAAAAAAATGCGCAAAAATTGAGAAGTAAAATTTAATTTACAAAATTATGTTTTATAATGCAAGCTGTTTAATATTCAGCAGAATTAGCTAGAGATTTCATTATACTAACTATCTATCACTTATATATCAAAAATTTTTCATAAAAATTTTGCTAACTTTCGGAAGTTGGGCTTTAACCAAAAATAGAGCTTTTCCAATGGTTTTGTTTCGCTCACATAGGGGAGTAAGAGAACTGCAATTACCAAGTTAGGCAGCTCTGTTAGTGATTTTGCTATAAAATAAGAAAAGCTATCATAAAGGCCTTGGCCTGATTCTTTCAAAAATAAAGGCCGTTCTGATGGAAAACAAAGTAATTCGTTTTGAGAGCCTAAGGTAAAAGCTGTTAGTGAAAGCATAAACAAAATCCCATTGCGGTTTTGTATAGCTGTGGCACCTGTGCCTAAATCATTAAAAATCAGCACAAAGAGAATGCTGATTCCAATAGCTTGAATGAATTTGACTCTGCTAAAGATGACATTTCTTCTTGCATTTTTACTTGCTCTTTTAAATAAAATTAACAATCTCTCAAAAAAGCCTATTTTATGTGGCTTTTCATTAAGATCATAGTCATAGTTTACTGTCTCAAGTGTTTTCTGGCCACTGGTGCTGTCTTGAGACTCATATGATTCTATTAATATTTTTAGAGTTTCCTTTTCTTCCTCAGTTTGTTCATATCTGTTCACCACATGCATAATTTTCATATAATAGTCACTTGGAAGGACATGTCTAGGGCATTTATATCCTAGTGCTGCAAAATATTTTCTCGATTTTTTAGCGCCACCTTGATAGACAAATTGGCCTTCACTCATAAGAATAAGTCGATCAAATTTATTGAAAATCATTGAACTAGGCTGATGGACAGTTGAAATGATATTTCTTCCTTTTTGTGATTGCTCAACTAGCAATGTAAATACAATATCTGCTGTATAGCTGTCTAACCCAGAAGTTGGCTCATCTAAAATTAATATGCTTGGTTCTGTAATTAGTTCAATTCCAATGCAAATTCTTCTACGTTCTCCTCCAGAGACACCTTTTTTAACGACACTCCCTATAACATTGTCAGCTATATTGTCTAGTCTTAAATCATCCAAAATTTTATTAACCCTATTTTTATGTTCCTCCAATGTTCCTGGACATCTAAGTCGTGAAGAAAACATTAAGCTTTCTCTCGCTGTTAGAGTTGATAATAAAGTGTCTTCCTGAGTCACATAAGCACAATGCGATCTATAACTAATTTTTCGAATATCGTTGCCATTAGCAGTTATCTTCCCTGATATATGGCTGCCTGAGATACTGGCTATTTGCCCAGCAAGAATAGATATTAGTGTTGTTTTTCCTGCCCCAGAGGAGCCCATGATTGCCAAAATTTCGCCGGGATTAGAATATCCTGAAACTCCTTTAAGTATGCTTTCAGACCCTTTTTTAGTTTTTACAGTGCACTCGATTTTTTCCCACACAAGCTGTATTTGGATTTTTGAGTCACTTGTTTTTTTTAGAGATACCATTTCTACGGATTGGTCTCCAGAAGAATTATAGTTTGAGTTTGAAATTTCTTCAGTATTGATATCAGAAATACGCAACGCAGGACTTGGTGAGTTTCCTGACATTAAATCACAAAATATGTTAGATTATTCCTGATCAGAAGAAATGGTAAGAGTTTCTAATTTAAACTATATTTATTATTAATTAAAAGCATATGCAGAAAATAAGAGTTTTTTGATGATCTATTTTAAATTTATAGAAGTAAAAATGATATATAAAAATAATAAATACAAATTATAAGAAAAACATTTTAGCAATAATTCTATGCATAAAATAGAATTTTACTAACTATTAGCAGAATATTAAGAATATATTAAGTTTTGATTCAAAATTAATCGATTATTTTGAAATTTTCTTAAATACGTCAAAATCTACATAATTATTCCCATTTGTTACAAAGTGAATCATATTTTCAACATCAGGATCTGAAACTTCCTCTCCTAAGCAATATAAAGCATACTTCAATTCGTCAGGTCCTAGTTGTCCATCATGATCTCTATCAAGGGCATCGAAAATCTGCTTCAGTATATTTTCTTCTGCTTCTCCATCAAAAATATCATCCATTACTCTTTCAAACTCGGAATACTGAATATTTCCATCCCCATTAGCATCAATTTTTTCAATAAGTTCTTGCAATTCTTCTTGCTCAATATTTATTCCTTCGTTTAGAAGGTACTCTTCCAATTCTTTCGCATTAATAGTTTGGTCTCCATCTTTATCAAACTTTTTGAACATTTCTTGAATCCTTGCATGCTTGTCCCCATCAGCATCCATTATTATAAAACTCCTTTTTATTATATAGGATCCCAATCAATTATGAAGCTTAAAATCGTACTGTGTAGGATTTATAGAGTCTTTTCTGATATCTTCAGGTAAAAATCCAGATTTAATGCCTGATACTACACTTGATTGTATTTGAAAAATGACTGGATTGAGTTCTTTTGTGTATTCCTCATAACCGAACGCAAACATATATCCAAATGAGGCTATGAACATTTCAATACAAAATAAAAACTCATGAATAATTATAGCAAATTCTTCAGAACTTGGAGTAAAAGTTTTGTTGATAAAATCTAGTTGCTGCAAAATAATTATTAAGGTACTTTGCTAAAATGAAAAAAATATCACTATTCTATTGCATAAAAACTTTGGTAATGGCTTATATAGGCCTCTAGAAATTTATATCACAAAATTACTAGTCAGCAAGCGTAGTTAGCTTCTTTAAATATTAATATTTTATATGCTATAATTCTCTCTATTGATTTCTTTTTAAATGCCCTGAACTACTCTTTGCAAATTTAATTCTATAATTATTATACTTTTTTTAATAAACTAAAAAAATAAATGAATAATTAATGACAACTGAAAGCATTATCAATGATGTCCCGAGATATTCTCACCATGGATCATATAGTATCAAAATAACGCAATGCCTAATCCGTACAAAAAAATTTATCAAAAGCGCCGCGCAAGCCAGAAAATCTATTTGAATTCTGAATAAATTGAGAAACTTGTAGATGCTCCAAAAGCTTCATAAATCTTTATTAGTAAAAAAGTGCCCAAAGTCCCTAGCTCTTCCTTTTTATCCGTAACACGAGAAAAAAATTAAAAAATTCAAAAATCAAATTACAGTGATGCTCCGCCTTCAACAAAATATTCCCCAAACTATTTTTGAATCAGACTTAGAACACCCACTAATGTTCAATTAAGAGAAACCCAACGATCAAGCGTACCAAGAGACTTAAAAGTGTTTTGTCTGATTTTTTCGATGAAAAAGATTTAGAATGGAATATCCATATAAAGCTGAAAGAAAATCTGAGCTTCAAAAAGCAATAAATTTAAGCGATTTAATGAATTTAGCTGAAATTAGAAGATGTAAAAAGAAAAAAAAAAGCGCTAAATATTGCCAGTCTCACATGGCAAAAATTTCTTTTAGCAAAATAATTATAAGATTAATATGCAAGCAATGCATTTATTGGTAAGAAATTTAATTACCTGAAGAATTCCTTTTATTTTGAATTGCTTTCTGAAGAAATCCATGTCAAGCAGAGGATTCGTTGTTTGGATCTAGTGCTGCAACAAATTCATCAATTCCTTTCATATTCGCAAGCTTGTAATGAATAAAATGGTGCAGGCTCTTCCTGTATTTCCTTAATTGTGGTAGATCACCTAACGTAAAACTATAATTTCTATCTAGAAATGAGTCCATAAAAGAGTTTACATCTTCCTTATTTACATTTCTATCTTCAATGAAGAGATCAATCTCCCAAAACCCTTGTGGCTTCCTAATGAAAAAGCTTTTTGTAGCATCACAAAGCTGATTCTCAATATGTTCGATTACTTCTCTATGCAGAGATTTTAAACTTGCTTCTCTCAATTCAAAATCAATATTAGCATTTTCAACCTGTAGCTTGTCTATTATATTTCTCAAGTCTCTTATCTCTTTATTATAACTATCAATTTCATTTCGCAGTCTATTGATTTCTGTTTTAAGTTGTTTTCTTTCTTTTTTATCTTTTTTGCGTTTTTCTCTTGTTTTTTCACTTTCTTGTCTGCTTCTTACTTCTGCTTCATTCATATTTCTTTCCATTGTTTTCATATTTCTTTCCATTGCTTTAAATTTTTCTTCCGTAGTATTTTTATACTGAGTAAATTGGCTTATCATTTTATTTTGTAATTCTGTTGAGCGTGACATTGAGCTTAGTGCTTCCATGTGTTTGCTTTTTTCATTTTCTAGTTCACTCAATAATTTTTCTTTTTCAGCCGTTAATTTTAATGCATCTTTTTTAAGTGATTTCAATCCTTTTGTCAACTTTTGCACCAGGAGTTCTTTTTCAAGGGCATCAACATTCTTCGATTCTTCTTCTATGCAATGTTTCATTTGCTCTGAAATGAGTTTGACTTTGATATCTATTTCTTTGAGCTTGCTGTCAAACAAGGCTAATTTTTTTGTAAGGTCTGGCTGTAATTCGAGAGAAACTATTATTGCGGAGTGCTTGATTTTAATTTCTGCAGCTTCATCCTCATTTAGAGGCTGGTCTTGATGTTGCGTTCTGATGAGTTCTAATCTGATTTCTTCTCAATCAATTTTAGCGCCAGATACTATGATGTTGAGACTGCTCAGTGCTTGGTAGATATCTTGAAGTTTTTGACTACTTTGCTCGCTTCCTTCTTTGGTTGTGCATTGATATGACTGAATGATGCTGCTGGGGCTGGAGTGTGGGAGATCGAATGATTTTTCCATATATTTATTAAAGATATAATTTAGCTTAAGATACGCTATCGATATAATTATATCAATAGTAGGTTTGGACTTTGGGAATATCTGGAAATTTGTAAAAAATTTATAGACTTAATTATCTAAATTCTAAGCCTTTATTATAACTCCAGTTCAATTATATGCTTAAAAATCAGAATAATTTCCAAAATAATTACTTAATTGATTTATTCTAAATTGACAGCCATCAAGCTTCTAAATTATTATCAACGTCTTAAATCCCTTAGCAAATTAGCTAAAAATCAATATTTACATTGAAAAATAATCCTCAACCCCAGGAAATTTTATTGACCATATGAAAAATTTGAATTTCCCATATTTTAGAATTTAAAAAGAATCTAAGTCAAAATAACTTCAAATTTAACACCTTTGAGCAGTCTGAAAGTATTTTAGAATATTTTTTATTAATACAAAATCATATCAATCAGTAATGCAGACAAAAACCATCAAAGATCCTCTAATGCTTTTATTTGCCTAATACAATTATTTATTTCAAGCTAATAATTTAAAGTTTAGCAAATAATTAAATATTAGCCTAAATAAATAAAAATGAGACCAAATATAATATAAGGCAATAGAGCATATACTCCACATAAACTTTTTCTTCAGTTTTCCCTGAGCTTTTATTCTCTAATTGCATCCTCAAGCACAAGCACGCTGCTAATACTGCTGTTCCAATGCTACAAAAAAAAGCTGATAGAAATGCATTGAATGGAAAGCTTCCAGCAATTTTCATATAAATATACTGAATTGTTGTCAAAATTAAGTTGAAAGAATAAAAAGATTAATTAGCTTCGTTCTTTTCTAAGTCTCCTTTGAGTATTTCTCCTTTAGCATTTAAAAGACTCTTGCATGGAATTTATTACTTAGGAAGCCAATGACCGCTAAACCTGAAAAATTACTAAAATATATAGAACTCTGTTGGGAGAGAGAAGCCGGTCTGCCCATGTATCTAATTGGGGCAAATGAAATGTGCTGAGCTACTGGTACAATCTTTCGGCTTAGGACTCGCTCCAATTCACAAATGGGTGTAAATTCATCAGGCATCTGTTGAATCACCAAAATGCCGATACTGTGGTGCTGAAGTTGAAGATGAAATTCATGTAATTGAATTATGCAAGACTTATGAAGAAAGTAGAGTTAAGATTATCAAGTATTTATCAGAACTGTTAATGGAAGATTTCTCTCAGATGACTCTGAGCGAGATAATCTTGTGTAGTTGGAAATTTGAAAAGATTTTGAAGCTGAAACATAGGGAAAAAAATTGGAGAATAAATGGAAGGATTAGACTTTTCCTTCGGGAAGTTGTAAAAACTAGGAAATTATTAGGGGATAAATTTGGTCCGAATTAAATGGATGATAAAATCATAAAATAATAATAATAATAATTACTGAGGAAGCCATTTAATAATTATATTAGAAATATTAATTATGATCCTGCATACATACATTTGATATCAGGCTTAAAGAAATGCCAAATTGTTTGCATAGCATATGAATAGAGCCTATCAAAGACCATAGCTCATAAGTACCTCCAATCCCATATATCAAAATTAAGCCCTTATACATTATTGAAACTACTATCTCAAATCTACAGACAAATATACAGCCTAGCAATTTTATTTTTAGTAAATATATTTGGAGCTCTTTTTATAGACTCTCGGACATCTTTTACACTATGTAAGGAGTTTAAAAACGGCAATAATTTATGCAGCTCGCAGTCAGTCATATCTCCATATCAGCTTGATATTAAAATCCCATTATCTTTTTGATTAGAAATGCAGCTTCACGAATTATCAATAATGATTATATCTTTTAAATTTCGGTTGGAGAAAATCCGTAAGTCTTTTACTTTATATCTCCCTTTGTGGACGCAGCTTTCTCTATATATTCTTCTTGCAAAATACTTATGCTCTGGATCTAGCGAATCCAAGACGGGATCTGCATAGAATGAATTTGAAGCTGTAAAAACAAAAACTTCAAAATTCTTGTTCACTTCGTGTAAAAATTCTCTTGTAAAAGGGCGAATTTTTAGACCAAGTCTTTCAATCGTACCATTTGGTAGCTTGATTTTGATAATAATATCATTTTTATCAATATATTTTGAGCAGTGAACCAGAGTTTCATCCAAGTCTAAAATAATTGTTTTAGGAAACTTGCTATGAGGAAGCGCTATTCTTTTTCTCACAATTTCTTCAAGTTCGTTATCGAAATTCTTCCTATGCAGGTTGATTGGAATTCTTTCTGAGTTATCACACATATTATTTGATTTTTCTGGCAAAAAATTTCTGGGGCTGAATACTGCTGGCTTGTAAAGAGAATGGAGAGGGTATTGTTTTGGCTTATAAAAGCCACTTAATGTAATAGATGGCAAAAAAGCTTTATCGTTTTGCAGATTTATTTCAGATAGATTTACTGAAGGAAGAATTTGGTCTGAGGCTTCCAGTTTTGGTTTTTGCTCTAAAATGTTTGGCATTGACGAAGTTCCATTATTTACAATAGTCAACCCTTCATTTAGGGGCAGCGAAGATTTTCTTCAATCCCTAATTGTTGCATTAGCTTGTATCGATCTGTTAAATGTTGGATGCCTCTCTCCAAGTCTGCTAGTAAATAAATTTGAAAAGGAATGAGAATTTTTCCCTGAATTACAATTTGACATATTTTAAATAATGAATTATCAGTATTATACAAAAAAAGCTGTGTAAAAAGGTAACTCTTTGGCAATATAAGATCCTGTAATATCTAACTCCCCCCCCCCCCCCTCCGTGAGCGAACAAAAAAATTTTGTTCGCTCACGGAGGGGGGTTAATTTTTTTTTTTTAAAAAAAATTTATATATAAATTTTATAAAAAAATATTTTTTTCGAAATTAAAAAAATCCTAATTTGCAAAAATTGGGAAGCAAATATTAATTTAATTTGCAAAATTTATGTTTTAAAACGCAATTTGTTTAAAATTAAACAGAATTAGCTCTAGATTTCATTATACTAATTATCACTTATATATCAAAATTTTTTTCCATTAAAATTTTTTCTATTAAAAAAATTTTTGTTCACTCACGGAGGGTGGGTTTTTGGTCAAAAAATGGCGATTTTTCTAATGGTTTTGTTCGCTCACGGAGGGGGGGGGGGGGGAGTAAGAGAAAAATAGCCCATGATGGTTCATCCGACTATGCATTTTTTCAATTGTAATTCCATCTTTATTTTTCGCAATTTTTTCAGCAAAAAACTCAGCAAGTCTCCTTCTCTTGATATTGACCGCATCGAGATGGTTAACAAATAAGCTAAGCCCGTGCTTTCCTGGCTCTTTTGGGGTAATTAATGGTGCCACTTCATCACTTAAGCACTCTTGGTTTGTCCGAATTTCCAAAAATCCGACTTCATTATGTGACCCTGATAAAACATCAAGGAATAAATAATTTCTTAAAATATTGGCTTCATCTCATAGGATTTTGTAGAATGCTTTGATAAACAGCTGAATTACATTTGGCCTTATAGAGTATAGTTCAGGATACTCTAGCATTAACTTAATATGAGAATCCCCTATATTGTTTGGATCAGAAATAACGTCTAATAAGTCGTCGATAAGTGTTTTTCTTGGATTCATTATATCTAATCCTTCTACTGAAAGTTCTCGTTCTATATGAGAAATAGAATAGTCATCAGTGCACATATAAAAATGCTCTGAATCCATAAGACTCAGCCAGTCTTCTAAGTAGCGATCAACATCATCCTGATCCAAAGATTTTTCTGTAATATCTTCAAATACAAGTAAAGCCAAAATAAATTCACCAGCATCCCCGCCTGGCGTCCCTAAGATTTCTCTATTAATTCTTCCATCTAAACAGCCAAATGAATTTTTACTAGATTTCACATAAGTAAAATTCTTACTTGAAAGCTTTTCGCTGACGGTTTCATAACTAGCTCCCTCTCCTTCTTTATCCTGAGAAAGCTTGATTTTACTTGGATGACATTTTACCCCTTCAATTTTTTTAACAGCCACATCAGAGCAGTCACATGCAATTTTATAATTTTCATCGTAAACTTGCAAATTACTTTCAAACTTTTGATAGTCATCGTCAGTTTTTTCTAGGCCTATATTTGTATTTAATTCAATAGCTGCTTGCACGATAATCCCTAACAAAATTGCAAACTTCATAATTAGACATTTACGTTAATTAATTCCTGAGCATAAATGAGAAGTAGCCTGGTATTTTATATAGTATCTATTGAGTGGGCAATTATATTGATTTTATAATAAATTATTATATCAATTATAAAATAAAGTCTCTTACGCCGTTTCTATTCTCCTTTTTAGAGCTGCTTTGTGTTGATGAGTTTAAATACGGGGATTTCGGTCTTATTTTTCTTGCTGACCTAGGTCTTGATTTTTCTTCTGAAGAGTTGTCAATTAGTTCTCTTCTTGGAGTCGGAGTTGTTAACCCATCCTTCATAAATCAAGGCGAAGATTTTGTTGTATAAGGAGATATATCTTTTTCTTTTCGTTCATGTGTAGAAGCAGTTGTAGGTCGACTTGAATACTCTGTTAAGACAGCATTTATGTCCACTTTTCAATTTGGGTCCACAATGCTTGGCTGCTTATTTTTTGACACAAATCTGGGATCAAAAACAATATGATTTCCAATATAATAGTATCCATTATTCGAGGTATCTTTTGCTGCATGAAGTTGTTTATATACAGGTGTGTTTTTTACTTTAAGCCTTCCTATTGTATTGTAATTAGCATCATATGCTCCTGGCCCAACTCTGAAGCCAGTTCGTCTTGCTTCCACTTCATATTGCATAAACCGTTTGCTTATAGGAAAATCTTGATGACCTTTTGTAGGAGTTGTTGATAAAGATCTACCATCACAGGTTACTTGTGGATTATAAAAGTCTGGAGTTCTTTCCTTTGGGCTCCTAAAACCTAGATCTGTTGGCCTCATTTTTGCAGTTAATCTTATAATGAGAATATTTTATATTAGTTTTTCTTTCGGAAGTGACTGAGAAATCGTTAGCTCAAGCAATGATCCCAAACTTATTTGTTAGATAATCACCATAAATATGTCAACTTCGAAGCTCTGGCTTAATCCTCCTCGTGGAGGTGGTGTTGTTTTTGTAGAGCCTACAATCAACAATACAGCTTATTACAAATGGGGCAATCATAGACAAAGAGTGTGGAGATTTCCTCAGAATACCGCAACAGATCTTCACCCTATGGCACGTCATTGGCTCATGGACTATACTTATGGGAAAGGCTTGATTGTTCATCAGCGCTCTCACTATACACTGAATCAGAACTATATTAGGAAACCATTCACAAAAGAGTGGCTCCAAGCTATTTATTGGAAGCAAGCTCCTGGAAAAATTTATCTGATTCCATGGCTTTTATTCATATATGGAGCAGGTGCATGCGGCATGAGAGCTTATGACAACTCAGCTTATGATTACTTTTATTTCACTGATTAAGCTCATTAAGTAAACCCTTACTCCCCCCCATCCTTATCGAATGATTGACTGTAAAATTTCCTAAAAATTGGGGAAATTAACCCCATCCTTGATCGAACGATTTCCATATCATGCAAATTTTTATATATATAAAAATATATTAGTTATCAAAAGCTTGGGAAGATGTACCTAATGAAGTTATTTTCAAAGACTTTGAGACGACAGAAAGCTGCGGAATCAACCATCCGAAGTGATTTAATCATCAGCCTAGGCCTAAAAACTCAATAATCTAAAAAATAGAGATTCTTTAAAATGTTAAAAAAAATAAATTAATTCAGTAAGGAAAAAATTAAAATTTATACAGTTTAAAGGGGTACTAATAAATCAAAATATTAAAAATTGGTATTTTTATGAAATTAATTCAATTTTTTGCTGTAAAAATAATTATTAAATGCTCTTAACCCTCTTATTTAAAATTAAAAAAAAATATATATATAAATATTTTTTCCCGAAAAAATTTTTTTTAATCCCCATCCTTGATCGAACGATGGCGAGTCGTTCGATCAAGGATGGGGGGGAGTTAAAGGAAAAAATAATTAAGGACTTTAAGATTTAAATACAAATATTTATCCAATAAAAAGCACGATAGATTTCTCATGCTTTTGCGTTCTGTGATATTGAAGAATCAAGTCACAGTAAGTGCCATAGCCTATTGGATTCAATTCGTTTAAGAGATGATTCCGAAAATTATCTCAAAAATTTTAATTAGATCTGATGATTAAAACCGCAAACACCTCACACTTATTCGCATGAATAATATTTTTACAGCAGAAATCCAAAATTTAAGATTTCAAATAGCTGACTGAATTGTACTGCAAGCCAAATTAATTTCTGATATTTAAAATATTTTGGATTTGAATGGGAGGATAAAGACTGATTAATCACTTGCCCGGAATAATTAGGCTCATAGCTAAAAAGATTATGCTCATGAAATTAAATCAGATTTTTGCTTGATAATTTCTTCAATTTTGTAGTATTATAAGTCATTTATTTAGTTTTATGGATAATTTATACTATTTTATGTTTGTATTGCTTAAATTTTGTGTTTTTACAGATTTCAACCTCTTTTTTATCTATATAAGCCGCTCAACACATTCTTTCATCTTATTCTAATATTACTATAAATTATAAAAATTTTAAGAAATTGAAAACTTAATCATAAATTCACTAATAGTTTTGTCTTCTCAAATCGTGTTTCAACTCTCACAAAAATAATCAATAACAAAAAAATTTGTGAGGAGATGTGCTCTCCATCTAACTAAAGCTATCAAAGACTTAGTTCTGAAGGGTTTTAGGCGTTTCTAATATATGTATCTAGATATCTATTGTTTTACTATTCTTAAAGAAAGAAATTTATCATAGGCTCAGGCAACTTGTTTCATAACGGTTTTGCCCTATTCACTGATCCAATTTTCAGTGACGTAATTAAAGAAATTCGCATAAATGTCCGAACTCGTTCAAGAGGGAAATATCTTTATTCTCTCCATTCCCATATCCTTTATGATTCCAAGAGTTGAAGAAATCCACAAGCTTCTCGACATCGTAGAGAATCATGAAGGACCAACAGCTTTAATTATAACCTCAAAACACCATAAAATTTTTTCAGCTGGAATGGACCTTAAATACATGCAAAAGCATGGTGCTTGAACAGGCCTTTCAATATTTTCTGCACTTATGGGACTTTATGGAAGGCTTTTATCCTTTAAAGTGCCTACAATAGCAGCACTGAATGGGCATACGATAGCTGGGGGTTTAATTTTCGCACTTTCAGTAGACTATAGAATTATGGCGAGAGGCAAATTCACTATAAAAATGACTGAATTAGGCTTAGGAGCAGTTATTCCTAGAGGTGGGAATGTGGTGCTGTCTACAAAGTTAACTCCCTCAGTGCATAGAGATCTTGTATTAAGGTGTAAAGAATATTCATGTGAGGAAGCTTTAGCGAACAATATTGTTGATGAGCTTGTTGAATCTCAAGATTTAATGATAAGAGCTAGAGAATTAGCAAATGAATTGGCAAGCTTAGGAGAGAAAAAAGATGTTTATATATGCGTTAAAAAGAGCATGTATTATGATACAATTGATATAAACTTAAAAGCAGAAATTAAGAAAATTGAATGGAAAATAATGGGTAAAGAAGAGTCTAAACTTTAAAACTTAATAAGTTTAAGATGATTCGTTACAAAATTTTAATATTAAAATGAATTCTTTGGTATTTTTATCGTATTTGTCAAAATTGCTATTTATTTTTTGGAAATAATTTATAGTATATTGGCTAAACTGAAGCTTTCTTATTATTCGTTACGGATTTGGCATGCTGTTTGGTAAATAAACGAGTAAAAAAAAATTTAATAAATTTTGCAGTTTAGATATTCTTTCTCCTTCTGAAAACGAACTCATTCAGCGAGCAAAATTTATAAATTAAAGTGAAACAATTTTGTTAATGAGCAAAATTAAATAAAAATTTTTAATTATTTTAATATAAGAAATTATTAAATAAGCTAAAAATTTTTTAAAAAATCATATTAAAAAAAGTGCTAGAAATTAGAATTATATTAAACACAAATTTTAATTAAATTACACCTATAAGATTTTTTAAATATTTTTATTTTTACAGCTTTACTTCAGCTCTATAAATACTTTATATATATTTACATATGTATATTTTTTTCAAACTCTGCATCTTTGAGATGGACTTGGTCTATGTGGCTTGCCAAAGTATACTTATTATATTTTGACACTCCACAATATTTACAAACAACTCTGGTTGATTTTTCATGGACTTGTCTTTCATGAAACCTCAAGGCATGCTTATGCTTGAAAGCTTTTCCACATTTTTCGCACTTAACCTTCTTTTTTCTATTTATATGTGCTCTTCCCATATGTTGTTGCAAGCCTTTTTGGCTTTTGCAAGATTTTAAGCATTTTGGACAAGAAATTCCAGAAAAAACTGGATTTTCAAGTGAAGGAGAATCAACAATGGGGCTGTAGTCTAAATGCAAATCAGAATAATCATCAACTCCGAGCTCAATATCTAATAAGCCAATTGTCTCATTATCCAGCTTAAATTCTTGAACAAGATGCTCTCTAAGATCTTTAGGAGATTTAAAAATTTGTTTACATAATTTACATATATTGGTCTTTAGGCAGCATTGATCAGAAAGCACTATTGGGAGAGCTTTTACATCGGTTTCTTGAAGGGAAAGTGAATGGGAAGCATTCAAAGTTGTCGTCGAATCAAAATCCATCTTTGTTACAAAGGCGTTGCTGTATAAAAATGTATTTACTGAAAAAATTCTTTTAATTTCCAAAAATATTAATTTTGATTTTATTAGGCCTGAAACGTTGCATAATTATCATTTCAATTTAAGCACAGCTTTAAATTATAAAGAAATTGAAAAGCAATAAAAATAAATGGCAAAAAAGAGAGCTTAGGAAAAATGAAATATCTCTGACTGACAAATCAAAATGAAACAATAAGAAAACAGCTTTTATGATGATATTTGAAAAAGATTTTTGGAATGTTTAGTGTCGTACTCACTATTTATTAATTAATTTTAGATATTTTTTAAAATTTCATACTTAATTCAGAAAGCTGTTAATTTCAATCAATCAAATCAACAACACTCTTATCTCTTCAAATTACAACGAGATAATCAATTTTATCAATCTAATTTTCATTATTTATAAACCCACAAATATTAATGACGTAATTATATAAATTTACATAAATGTCCGAATTAGTTCAAGAGGGAAATATCTTTATTCTCTACATTCCAATATCATTCTTAATTCCAAAAGTTGAAGAAATTCATAGATTGCTTGATATTGTAGAGAGGCATGAAGGGCCAACAGCTTTAATTATTACTTCAAAACACCCTAAAATATTTTCTGCAGGAATGGACCTTAAATATATGCAAAAGCTCGGAGCAGGTCATGGGCTTCCAATATTTGCTGCACTAATGGGACTTTATGGAAGACTTTTATCTTTTAAAGTGCCTACAATAGCAGCTCTTAATGGACACACAATTGCAGGGGGTTTGATGCTTTCCCTTTCTTTAGATTATCGAATAATGGCAAAAGGCAAATTTACTATGAAAATGTCAGAATTATCCCTAGGATTAGTCTTACCAAGGGGTGGTGCGACTTTATTATCAACAAAGCTCGGCCCTGCCACATATCGAGATCTTGTGCTAAAATGTAAAACATTTTCAGCTGAAGAGGCTTTAGCAAAAAATATTATCGATGAGCTAGTTGAGCCTCAGGATTTAATGAAACGAGCTAGAGAGCTAGCAAATGAGTTATCAAGTCTAGGAGATAAAAAGGATGTTTATGAATGCGTTAAAAAAAGCATTTATTATGATGCAATTGAAATAACTTCAAAAGCAGAAATAAGAGACATTGAATGGAAAACCATGGGTATGGAAGTTCCTAACTCCCATCTTTAAATTGGAATAAAATATATGTAAAATTTCCATTTTTTGGTACTTTAAGAAAGTTTAATTGGAACAATTTTATAGGCAAAAATATTAATTTTTATAAAATTAGATTGGCCTAATTTAATAGAAAAAAGTGCAAGTCAAGTATTATTTAACGCTGTATCATTAAATCTTTTGAATAATTAATCATAAAATAAATTAAAATTCATAATACTGCTTTCATCTATTTTAAAAATTTTTAAAAAAAATTAAAACTCTTTTAATTGGAACTATTTTTTTTTAATTTTTACAGGGGTAGTAAACTTTAAATGTTTAAGCAAATTTTAATTAATTCGCTTTGGAATTAATGCTTAAATAATCAAAAAACCTTTGATACTTTTTTGATAAAATTATAGCATTTATTCTGAAACAATAAAATTTATCATCTTGTTATTTATTGTTTCTTTGTAATATTTTACCCCTTTTTATTCGAAATTATCATCTTAATTTAAAAAACTTCTGAACTTAAATTAATTAACTGCCGTTTTATCCGTGTGGATATAATTAAGAATATAAATGTCCGAGCTCGTCCATGAAGGTAATATTTTTATTTTGTATATCCCGATTGGGTTTACAGTGTCAAAAGTTGCTGAAATAAATAGTCTTCTTGATATTGTGGAGAGTCATGAAGGGCCTACTGCATTGATTATTACCTCAAAGAACCACAAAATTTTTTCCGCTGGGATGGACCTTAAAGAAATATTAAAAGAAGGTGGAACAGCAGAGGCAGCAGCAAGAGTGTTTATCGCACTTATGAAATTATATGGTAGACTTTTAGCTTTTAAAGTGCCTACAATTGGTGCACTTAATGGGCATACCATTGCTGGAGGATTGATGTTTGCCCTTTCTCTAGATTATCGTATTATGGCTAGAGGAAAATCTACACTGAAAATGACAGAATTGCCTTTAGGAATGGTCCTTCCAAGAGGTGGAGATATTGTCCTAACTACTAAGTTACCGCCTACTGTTCATCGAGATCTTGTTCTTAAAGGAAAATCTTTTTCCTGTGAAGAAGGCTTAAGTAGTAGCATTATTGACGAGCTTGTAGAGCCTCAAGATTTAATGAGAAGAGCAAGAGAATTAGCAAATGAATTGTCAGCCTTGGGAGACAAAAAGGATGTTTATATGTGCGTTAAAAAAAGCATGTATTATGATAGTATTGAAACGAGCTTAGAGGCTAAATATTCAAGAGCTGAGTGGAAAGCTATGGGTGAAGAAGAGCCTAAACTATAAGAATAAATGATTTAAGGTCATTTCACGCTTATTGATATTTAAGAATTCATCATTTTTTTTATTGTTTATTTGACAAGACTCATAAAACACTAGATGTATATAAATCTTAAATTTTAATAAAATAAAAATTTATTTCCAGAATTTCCATAATGATTTTTCTTGCCTAAATACTTTTTTAATTTTCCTGTTGATTTAATCTCTTATCAGGTGGTTAATTAGCACAATATTTTAAAAAAATGCTTCTTTTACGATATTAACGCAAAGTAAATGAGTACTTTTTGCATTGGAATATGATTTTCTAGAAGAAGCCCAAAGATCAAGCCATTTTTAGTTCAATAATTTAAATTATATATTTAAGTTATATCATACCTTTTGTATGAGCATGCTCAATATGGACAGTAAGCATGTATTTATTGTAAATAATAGAACCACAAATATCACACTTTACCCTTGTGGCTTTTTCATGAACTTGCGTAATATGGAATCTCAACGCATACTTGTTTTCGTATCTTTTACCACAGATCTTGCAAGTGCATCTCTTTCTTTTGTGTATGTGAGCTTTGCCCTTATGCTGTTCTAGGCCTTTTTTACTTTTACAAATTTTTGAGCAGAAAGGGCAAATTAAATTTTTCCTTACTTCGTAAGTTGATTTGTTCACAATTTGGGTTTCAGTATCATCAGACAAATCGAATCCTAACTCAAGATTCAAGAATCCTATTATTTCATTGTCAAATTCTAGCTCTTCAATCATATGCTTCTTAAGAAGAATTACTTCTGAAAATATCTTCTGGCATAGCTTGCATTGATATGCGCTTAGTTTAAATGTGTCAGCTATTCTTGGTGAATCATTGCTACCGATTTGCGTGCAAACTGGGAATGGCTCAGGTAGGTCTTTGAGCTGTGTGCTTTCTAACTTCATTAGTGTAATTTATTTATTACTGATTAAAATGGTAATACTGAACAGGAGGATTTATATCAGTAACTCTTTGTCTAGTTCTAGCTAAGCATAGTATACAGTTTTAGATATAAAGAAGAGGTGATGAAGTCAATTTATTATGGCAAGTACTCATTTTGACAATAATTTTAAAATAGATGAAAATAAATTAATCAGGATTTTTTATTAACTCCCCCGTCCTTAGCACCATTGAAAAATCCTATTTTTCGCCCAAAAATCACCCTCCGTGAGACTACAAAAATTATTTTAATATATAAATTTTTTAAGAAAAAAAAAAATTGATATATAAGTGATAATTATTATAATGAGATCTCTAGCTAATTCAGTTTCATGTTAAACAGCTTGGATTTAAAACATAAATTTTACAGATTAAATATATATTTGATTTCGAATTTTTGCGAATTGGAATTTTTTTAATTTCGACCAAAAACATTTTACTATAAAATTTACATAGAATTTTTAAAAAAAATTAACCCACTTCGTAAGCGAACAAAATATTTTGTTCGCTCACAGAGGCGGGGAGAGTAAGTAATGGAGGACATAGATGTTATACCTATGAAAAATAAAAACAAGATAACGACTTTATGCTGAATGATATTAATAAAAATCATTTTCACATTTGAAAGCTTTGCAAGCATTTCATATTTTTAATTATTTAGAGTATAAATGGACTAAATAAAGTAAATTTAATGATAATAAAGAAAAAATTACTGCTTTAATAAAAAATTTCTGCTTTTAATAGACCTAATATTTTAAATATTTTATTTTTATTAATTTTTTGATTTCTCTTATTAATATAATAATTTTCTATTATTCTTAAAGAAAAGTCTTGGAAATTTATGCATTATATCTCTTCAATAGGGACTAAAACGTTCTCATTATTTATAGCCCCAAAAAGACTTAAATAACAAATTTATAAAAGCATTATAAAATTATGCAGATTCTTTTGCGATTCTTTATACAATTATATTATATTAATTAATATAAAACCATATATTTCTCCTATTAAGAAAATTAATAATTAACATGGCATTTTCTAAAGCCCATCCTCAGATAAAGTATTTTTCGTCCCTACAAAAAGAAGGAAACATTTCAGCTAAAGCATCAAAGCTCACAATAGATGTTCCAGAAAACGAAGAAGATATATTATCATCTGAGATTTTATCTATAAATAAGAATTCTCCTTCTCATTCAAGAGACACCTTTAAAGCAATAAAGATACAATCTAATTCAGGAACTCCAAAAAATTCCACTCCCATATCAAAGCAGTATAAGCCTAACTCCCCCCCCCCCTCCGTGAGCGAACAAAACCATTAGAAAAATCGCCATTTTTTTTGACCAAAAACCCACCCTCCGTGAGTGAACAAAAAATTTTTTTAATAGAAAAAATTTTAATGGAAAAAAATTTTGATATATAAGTGATAATTAGTATAATGAAATCTAGAGCTAATTCTGTTTAATTTTAAACAAATTGCGTTTTAAAACATAAATTTTGCAAATTTAAATTAATATTTGCTTCCCCAATTTTTGCAAATTAGGATTTTTTTAAATTTCGAAAAAAATATTTTTTTATAAAATTTATATATAAATTTTTTTAAAAAAAAAAAAATTAACCCCCCTCCGTGAGCGAACAAAATTTTTTTTGTTCGCTCACGGAGGGGGGGGGGGGGGAGTAAGCAAATTCATAGTGAAGGAAACATTCCGACTGGAAAAGAAAAATCATATAATTTTTCTCCGGAAATTAAAACGTCTTCTCGAGATCCTGCTTCTTTTTACGCTTTAAAAAAAAATTCATCCTATAAAATCGGAGCTTCAACGAAGCTGAATCATAAATCTGGCACTCCTGACAAATCCAAAAGGCTTCTTGACCTCCCGCCAAGACCAAAAATGATACATAATAAAGGATATCTAGGGAAAATTGAAATAAAGCCAGAAACAGGCTCTTCTCCAACTTTGAATATCCATATTACGCAAATTAAAAAGTCAGCCTCTTCCTCTATACGAATAAAAAAGCAGCTAACCGAAGTGGAAATTAAAGCTATGAGTGAAGTGCATTATAAAGAGCATCTGTTTCAAACTTTTCAAGCAATGAAGTTAATTAAAAATCTACCACCTCTAGAGCTTAGTCTAATTCGAGAAAAAAAGATATATTTACCGAAAAAAGTTGGATGGGAAAACAAAAAAACGGCTATTTTTGATCTAGATGAAACATTAGTGCATTGCTGTGATAGGACTAATGATTGTGATGTAATTTTGCCTATTTCTTTCCCCTCAGGGGAAACTTTAGCTGCAGGAATTAACATTAGGCCATATGCTGTTGAATGCTTAAGAGAAGTTAATAAAGATTACGAGATCATTATATTTACAGCTAGCCATCAAAGCTATGCAGACGCTGTATTGGATTATTTGGACCCTAATAAAGAAATTATTCATCATAGGCTCTATCGAAATCATTGTGTAAATGCTAAAGGAATTTATATGAAAGATCTCCGAATATTTGCCAATAGGAAAATAAAAGATATAGTAATTATTGATAACTCAGCTTATTCATTTGGAAATCAATTGGATAATGGGGTACCTATCATATCATGAATAGATGACTATTATGATAAAGAATTGTATAATCTTATTGACTATTTAAAAACATTAGCTAAGGCAGAGGATATAAGGGATATAAATCGGCAAACTTTTCATCTTAAAACTCTCTATGAAGATTATATTCAGGATTTTTTAGCAAATGACAGAGAAGAAGCCAAACTTGTAAAAAATAGCAAAAAGGGATAAAAAACTGATTAACATTATTTTAAAATCAAAGTTCCTGTTGCCTTTGCTTAAGGGAATATTTATTAATTAAACCTTAATTTGAATCATTTCTTTAATTTTGATTGTATGAGGAATTTGAAAAATTTAATTTTTTCTAATTATATAAATAAAAATGGATTATGATGCACCTTGGAGATGCAGATCTGCAAGCAGCTTCGAAAAAATTGCTCAAGTAGGCGAAGGGACTTATGGGAACGTATTTAAAGCAAAAGATCGCATAACTAATGAAGTTTATGCAATGAAAAAGATCAAAATGGACCGAGAAAAAGAAGGCTTCCCAATTACAGCTCTTCGTGAAATCAAGCTTCTTAAGCAAATGGACCACCCAAACATAGTCAAGCTCAAAGAAATCGTGACTTCAAAATCAACTGACGACCGCACGCCTGGAAATGTATATCTGCTGTTCGAATATATGCATCATGACTTAGAAGGTCTTCTTAACATGCCAAAACCTAAAATAGAATACACAGTTCCTCACTTAAAATGCTTTATAAAGCAAATGCTCCAAGCTATCGAATATCTCCACTCCAAAAATATCATCCATCGGGACATCAAATGTGCAAATTTACTAGTCAATGATGATGGAGAGGTAAAGCTGGCTGACTTCGGGCTTGCAAGAAGTGTCAGCTCAAATCCCCAAGAAATGTATACAAACCGTGTCATTACTTTGTGGTACAGGCCTCCAGAACTGCTTTTAGGATCAACTAAATATGGAGGAGAAGTCGACATGTGGAGTGCTGGATGCATTATAGGTGAAATTTTAGCAAGAGCACCTATGTTTCCTGAACCAGATGAGCCAAAAATGATACAAAAAATTTATGATCTTTGTGGAACTCCTAGTGAAGAAATCTGGCCAGGTGCTTATTCCTTACCGCATTTTGAAAAATTTGCTCCACGAGAAAGAAGGACGAGAATGCTGAGGGTAAAGTATGCTGAAAAGGCGAAGTACCCGAATTTTGATGAGCTCGCCTTAGATCTGATTGACAGACTGCTGCAGTTAAACCCAGAAAACAGATTGACGGCAAGGCAAGCTTTAGATCATCCTTATTTTACAACAGAGCCTTTGCCTTGTCTTCCAAGCGAGCTACCAAAAATTAATGAAGAGCTTCACGAGTGACTTGTCAAAAAACAGCGGAAAGAGCAAAGACCTAATTATCCTCCTGGCTATAAGCCTCCTACCAAAAGGCCTGCTGATCGTCCTAATCCTTCACCTACAAAAAGAGCAAAGCTAGATGAAGAAAGTTAATATTAAAAATTGATCTGTTAATCTTTTACTAATAAATCATATATTTCCGCTGACATCTTATTGTTCCAATATTAATTTTATAATAAACTGCTTAATAATTGATAAGGTTTCTTGTTTCTAAAATTCGAGAGTTTGTGATGGTGGATGGAAAAATAGTAGTTCAATTCTTGGTGAGGTTGAATATAACTATTTATAGCAAACAGTTGATTTTAGTAATCTTTATAACTATCTTCAGATCAGTTGGCAGCTGCAATTTTATCATGCTTTATTTAAAACCTTGTATTCGAATTAATGATATTAAATAGTTATTCAATCACAAAATTCAAATTAAGCATTTAATTTGTTAAGAATATATAGATTTGAGAAACTAATGATTGCTTTTATAATCAATTAGTGAGTATCAAAGCTTATTAACTTAATATATGACATTTTTTCTTGATCTGCTGTTGAGGCATCTTTTGACGTTTATTTGCCTGATCATTTAAAAATTTAATCAAAGAAATAATTAGATATGATTTTCTTAGAATAAAAATACTTTTTTGCTTAGAATAAATTATTGAGTACTTAATGGGATTTTTCCCTAGGAAAAAAAAATTGTTGTATTTCGATAAGAGAGTATTTTCTGATGGTCTTTTTGATTTCCTTGATTAAAAGCAAAGCTACTGATATTCATTTTAATTTAAGTAAAAGTTTTATTACGAAATATGTTCAGTGGAGTATTTCCATCCATTTTTGTCTCAACATAAGTTGGTTGTCTGCTTAATAGGCTTTTATAAATTTTTCTTACTTCTTACAACTAAAATATTAATTAATAAGTTTATATAATGTCAATGCTCATATTTATACACAAAAAATTATGTTTTTTCAAAGTATAGGATGGGAGAGTTATTAATTTATTTAAACTAATCGAAAATATCCCACTCTCCTATTTATATGAAAATTTTTGCTTTAGTACAGCTATAAATTTAAAGATAAAATGGATTTAATACTTTTTTCAAAATTAAATAAAACTCATGGATCAATTAAATAACTTGCAGCTTGGCCTTCAAGTCCCACGAATTATAGTGCCTGCTGGCTTTCCTTCTTTAACGAAATCCGACGACTACCCCTTCAAATGCTCCCAATGTGGTCTGTGCTTCAAAAATGAAATTGAACTTACTGCTCATGATTCTCCAGAACCGAATATAGAATCTTATAAAATTCTTGTTTACAAACCACCTCTTTCCGCAGTTAGATTGCCATGCGCTAATCAATTTAATTATTGCGAGCTATGTAGTAAATATTTCAACTCAAACCAAGGCTTTAGGCAGCATCTTGGCAAAGTGCATGAAAGTCAAGGGATAAAATAAAATGGCATTCAGTTCGAGCGAAATTAACTCCGCTAATTTTCTCTCCTCAAGCAATTTTATTTATGGGGAAAGGTTTTCTTCTGATAACTTCTGCACAGCAGCAGCAGTTTAACTCTGGCAGATAAGCCGAGGCACTGCTCCAAGTACGCTCGAAGTTTTTACCTCTCAGCACACCCGAGGAAGGTAACCCTTAGACGGAGCATAAGCAGGATCTAAGTCAAGGAAGACAAGGCAACGCAGCCTGTCGAAGCCGGAACACTGTATTTGTCCGCGCACTGGCGCAACGAAGTGGATCGATCTAGAGGTCCATGGGCACGACACATGGACAAATATGGTGGCAGCTCTGGAAACAGCTGCCTTCATAATGGATGTTAAAGGTTATAAGCTTAATAAGACAATATAAGCATGAAAGTCAAGGAAAAAAACGCTGAGTGCAATATTTGCCACAAATTATTCAAGCATAAGCACGCTCTGAAGTTTCATGTGGACCAAGTCCACGATACATTTAAAAGAGTACCTTGCATTCGCTGCAAAAAAGAATTTTACAATAAATATAAGCTTAAAAACCATTTGAGGAAATGTAAAGTCGTTGAAGATTTGAGTGCTGGAGAGAGCGTTTATGAAAAGCCTGATGATGAAATAGTTTAATTTGAATTTTTCTTAATTTTTAAGACTTAAATAAAAAAAATAAACGTATATAAAAAAGGTAATTACGATAATGTTTTAAAATAAGATAAAAATAAAGCCTCAAATCCTATTCGATTTCAAATTTTGTTCATTACGATTTTGCTGATATTAATGAAAATGCTCAGGCTCATAAATTGAATTTCTATAGATATCTATCCAAAAATATGCAATTCTTTTTACTGATAAAATATAAAATTTACCTAAAGAACTAATTAAAATCCATAATGTTTTATTTAAGCCATTGCCATTTCAGGTCTAATACGTTCTAGGGGTGCAAACCATCATTCTAAAAATGTTTCTTTATCGATATATCCATTTTTGTCACTACCTTCTTCTCCATATAAGATAAATTTTTTAAAAGTTATCGGCTCAATTTCTTTTTATTTTTTATCTGCTGTTTAAAACATAGAAACCACTTTTATATTTTTTACCATTAGCTGTTTAAGTCAAAAATTTTAATTGTTCAAGCTTAAAATTTACAATTATTTTTTACAAAATCTCCTCATTAAAAATTTCTAACACATGGTGGAATAAGCAATTTTTCAGCTTGTCTGCTGATTACATCTTGATACTTGAACATGTAAGACATGTCATCACTGACGCACAAAATATGCAAATGCAAGCTCAAGCATAGCCTATGCAGTAATGAACCTGTCAGAGTATTGATATTATTTTCAGTGCAAACTTTATCATATTTTTTTGCGACTTGCTTTCTGGTCAAATGCTCTTTTTCCAGCTTTGTTTTCCATAAGCTCGAAACTTTTTTCAGGAAGTATCTTTTGGCACCTTCTGAAGGCCAAACCCATCTTCTTTCTTCCATTTTAGATACAAGTGGCCCACAATGCCTGGTTCTCTTGCACCCAGGATCTTCCCATTTCCCTCCACAGCATCTCCAATGAGGCTCCCAAAGCACGATAGTATCTTGCCCTTTAAGTATTCCTGAGTGTCCGAAGTCCCAATAGCCAGTATGGCACTGGCAGGCTCTATCATGATTGTCAGTCTCTTTATAGGTTTTTTCACATGTGGAATTCAAGCAATATCTGGCCTCATTATCAAGTGCTTCTTTATTTTTTTTCTTCTGATAAGGATTTATGTATGGCTTAATTTCTGTATTGAAAAACCTTGAACTTGTAGCCGTTTTCGAAAAAGTTTCCTTTTTAGAGGTCCGGTTTGGCTGGATCCCTGGATTTGTGACAGATTTTGTGATAAAATAAATTTTTGCTTCTTCATCGGGATACTCTGCAAATCGATGCTCATCATCAACGCATCCGCCAGATTCCATACCCATTGGGTCGGCTTCAGCGTTGCAACAAGACCAAAAGCAGCCCCCTCTTTCGTTGAACTCTAAGTGTCCACTGTGGTAAGAGCAAGAATTGTTTGGCTTATTTTTTTTACCACATGTATTGGGGTCTGGGAAAGATCTTCCACAAAATGAATCGGGATGAAGACTGACTGGGTTATTTTCACCTCTATTTATACACTTATGCATGACAAAGGAATTTGGAACTCCTTCGTGGAATCCTACTTTGCAGCCTGGGCTTGTCCATTCTCCTCTACAGCATGTCCAATTTTCAGGCCATAGACCATGAATACTCCCGAACTCCCATCTTCCAGGATGATATCTGCAGGCTCTTTTATGATTTTTACCATAAGTATATATATCTCTATTTACAATATAAAGTCTATTTTGGCTGGTTAACCTCATGCAATCTAAATAATAATATGTTTATAAAATTGATTTAGACCTCAAATTTTTTTTATGTCTGTAAAACATGGAAATATATGGTAAAGATGTATATTTTTGATTGGCAGCCCCAATGCTTACAATACATTTCTTGATCAGACAACAGTTCCAAGGTCTCCTCTCGCTTTTTTTGCCCACTCATTCTGGGATCTTCTGATAGTGTTATCAAGCTCATAACGCAATCAGGATGTCTATTATCTTCTCCAGCTTCCTTTCTATACTCTGCTTGGAATTTTGTTAATTCTTGCGTGTTTCCATACACATAGGCAACTAAATAAATAGAATCCAATACATACCTCGTTACTGGCCTTTCATTTTTTATTTTATATAGCTTAAGCCTCCCAAATTTATCTTTATATTGATCAGATCCAACCCCTTCAATAGATGCTGCAAAAGTCCCAATCCTTGGAGGTCCATATTTATTTCCTACGATCTCACATGCAGGAAATTCTTCTGAAATATCTTTATAGGCATCATTAAACCAGGACTGGTATTCTCTTTCGCTATGTCTAGTTGTAGTCTGATGTGAGCCGCAATTTACACAAAAATCAATGCACACTTCAAAATTTCCGCTTCGGTTGTTCATGAATTCCTCACAAATCGTGTAGATGTGGTTAAATTTCTCACGAGGGTCCATATCCGCTGAGCCAAATTGCTCGCCGAGTTCGATGGAGTCTGTATAAGATCGGAGATTGTCAAGGAAGTCCAAGTAGTGAATTAAGTCTACTGGGTCGTCATTTGGTCTTTCTGGGGGTACTGAGCTATAACTTTTTGCAGCTTTGGCTAGGGCCAGAAGTTCTTTTTTGGTAAAGTAGAGATTTACTTGGTAAAGAGGTGGCATCATTCTGTCGAGTTCAAGCTTGTCAAGGATATTTCCTTCATCGTCTCTATATGTTGGCAAAGCTGCTCTCAGTATTCTATAAATTGCTGCAAGCCAATCTTAATCTTAATTAATAGGTAGCAGTGTGTCTTATTGATTTTGCAGTCAGAATCCCATAAGGAGATTTATACGCTTTGCGACGAGCTATCAAGGATATGAATGTTTAGGATGTATTGCTTGACAAGTTAGCTCTGTCAACACCTTGCTCCTTCTCAGGTCCTGATGCCACGAACACACGAAATACCGCTTGCTATGCGTCTTCTCCTTCCCTTGCCGGCTTCAGTGCTAATTGGGCAGGCTAGGACTCCTGCGGCCTTGATCGAGGTGGAGAGAAATATGATTATTCACATAAAAATTTCAGCTGCCAGCCAATCAAAATACGGCAAGAGCTTCCCTACCTTCATATACATTTTGGGGTTTGCCTGGAAATACTGATCCAGTCTCTCAAAAACTGTCAGCTGCGCTGCTCCTTTATCTTGTTTCTTAACTGTTCTTGTAGTTTCTAGCATTTTTGGAGCTTCTGCATCTTTAATCAAAGTTTGTGTCATTCCTTCTGTTTTTTTCATATAAAATATGGCATTTTCCCAAAAATTACCCTATATTCTATTAATCTATTTCAGTGAGAAAGTCCAAGAAATTCAGTATATCTGTGAAGTCTTAAATGCATTCGACTCATTCCAATTCTGCATCCCGTGCTGGTACATCCTTGAAACTTCATCCCCAGGCAAAGCAGAGAAGAAAAATATTGGCTCAGCAATTGACCCAATAAAACCATGATTCCAAGGATCTTTTCCAATATAGCACTTCCCTTCATTAAACAAGCTTTCGTTCCTTACAGCAATCTCTGAGTCCAAAACCCCATTAATATATAGAGTAGCTTCTGTATATTCTGCTTGGTGAAGTGTGAAAACCACATGAACCCATTTTTTCAGTTGAAGTTCGGCAGATGCAAATAATCTTTCACTGCTCCCTCTCTCAGTATCAAATTTTACTAGCTCCCATCTTTTAAATAGAAAAAAAGTTCCAATATAAAGGAGGGTTACTACAATTTTTTATTTTAAAATAGTTGCTTAATCAAGTTTTAGGAGCCCCTTAATATTCGAGGATGACTCTGCATGCCAAGACCTCTTAAATTTAAGCAAAGCTCTAGAAAATATATTTTGATATTAATATAAATATATTTATTGTGCTTAAACTTCCTTTAAATATGAGCAAGATAAATGTTCGATTTTAATAAAAATTAGCCAGTAAATTGCTATCAAAGCAATTTACTATTTTTGCCTATAAAATTTTTCCAAAGAAAATAAACTTCTGATCCTATTTAAAAGTGGTTGTTTCCTAAAATTGAAATTTAATTCAATTTAAAAATGGAGTAAAAGATTTTTCTCTTGCAATGATATTGTAGGCTGTGAGGTGAAGTTGTCTCCTTTGTGGAAAACTGTGACTTGGCGACCTTTTAATACTTTTTGAAGATAGATTCAAAAGGAGATGGAGTATTCTTTGCCAAGTTCTTTGAAATTGTCACTTTCAATGCTTTCTATCACATCACCTTTGAACTCAATTGCACCTGTGAAGAGCTCTAAAAACTTTAAGGACATATTTTGAGCAGTTATTTATATGCTATTTCAAATCAAATTTGATTCTGCCCATTATATGTGCTATATTCAGTTGAGTATAGCATATATAAAGTTATTAAGATTTAAATTTATTAGTTTTATATGCGAGTGGGAATTTGCTGGGACGATATTAATCATCCTTTCTCTAATATGAAACTTATGGATTATGTATTATAAAAGACATGAACAAATTGTGCAGGTTTTTTGCCTCACTCAACAAAATTCAAACTGGGACTGATAAAAAGGCATATGTGGGGTATATTATTTACCGTGACTCCGTAGCCTTAACTCCCCCACTTCATTGGTCGAACAGCCTAGTTCTGATAGAGGATGGGGTTAAAAAAATTTTTTATTAATTTTATGTTAAGCTTTTTCCATATAAATACTTTAGGAAATATTATAGAAGTCGTACTATAAATGCTCATTGTAAAATATAGCCAGTTAGATTTGAGAAGAAATAGGAGAGCTTTATGAAAATCATTTGATTTAGGATGGGAGCGAAGTTTTCAATTGTAGGAAATCTCATTTGAATCGTTCAATCAAGGTAAAGGGAGTAAGTGTTTCTCCCTTGAAAGCTAAATTTACAATGTCTACAGGAGGATACTTAAAAAATGCCAAAAAAGGTGCTCTATTAGTTGAGTTTATTCCATACAGAGATGACCCAATTGACAACCAGAGACTAAACTTGCTGCCAAAAGAAAAAAAAATGATTTCTCTCACAGAAGACCACATTATTAAACTGATAGCTCTTAAAGAGGAATCTCTAGAATTTCAGCGTAATAATAGATGGGACGAAAAGAAGCTTACGGTCTCCAAGCAAGCCGAGCTCTGGAAATTTACTTTAGCTACTATCAATAGAAGCACAGAACTATTAACTAAGAGTGAAATAAGCTTAAAGCCTCAAGAGTTCTCAATGATAAAAAGACTATGTGAGGTATTTTCTAATATAGTTTTCTATGCCTTATATACAAGGTTGGCAAGTGCTTGAAAACCCGCAGCTTGCAGATGGATTAATTATTTCTCCAGAAGAACTGAAAAAGCCACAAAATGATGACATGATTTAAATAATTCATTCGGATATTCGCCTCTATACAAATTTTATTAATAAGCGCTGGATCTTTAGCAGGAAACCTTAAGAATATATTAGCCAAAAATTTTAATATTAAAGCCATCTTAACAACTTTGGATTTTTGCACTCAAGCATTTGCAAAATGCCTTGAATGTCGGTTAAGCTGCTTTCTTGAGGAATCAGCTTCGGATCAATCACAACTCTATGCAAGGAGCATCGATGCGATCTTTTATTTTGATTTTCTTTATGGGAGCTATAAACAATTTCTTGCTTAAGATAATTATCATCAGCCCTAAAATTTCTCTTTTCTGGGGTTTTTGATTTGGAGCTAATTCTGTTAAGCTTATAATGCTCAATTCTATCAATTATTTTTTTCCTTTCATTTTCAACTTTCAGCGATTTATCTCTAATTTTCAGCATTCTGCATAATATATTTTTTCTTTGACTGAATGAGTCTACAAAAGATCTTTCCTTAGCTCTTATATCTCTTAAAATTGATTGGGATCTAGTATAGCCTGGCTTTTTTGTGAAAAAGTTTCCTACTGATGGCGATCTAATTATGCCTGAGATATAATAAGTAGAAGAATTGAAATCGGTTGCAACGTTTTTGGAGTTCTTAGATGACGGAGTGCAAGAGTGATGCTTGGAATAATGTCTCGGGGTAAAAGAGGTTTGCACTTCTACTTCAGACACAATGTTCATTTATACATTTCTATATCCTTATAATAAGAACAGTTGGTATTATATGAAAATCTTACACTCTATTCAAATTAAACCATCAAGAGAATTAGCCGCTTCTATCTTATTCTTGAACACAATAAATAAACAATAGCTGATAGGAATTAAAGAATGCTCAAGATATTATATTAAATTGAGTTTAGAAATCTCTCATTTCTTTATATCGTTGAATCTTCTTATCAGATTTAAATTTAAGAAAAATGGTATAAAAAGTACTATTACTGTAGATGAATTAATGTCTTATTTATATATTTATAAATTCAACAAAAAAAGCATAATTTTAAAATGTCATCATCGTTTAAACCCGTTAGCTTCCAAAGCATCAACATAGGGAAGCATATAAAAAGTTCCAAAAAAAGATATGAGTGAATCTTTGAATTGGACTCAAATGTGCATACAATCGACCTTTTTGTCAGCAGAATTTCAGGGAAAAGGACAATAATCGTTGATAATGCCAAAAAAGTTGATTTCAGAGAAAATTCATCTGATCCTGAAGCATCTGGCAACATCAAAATAAGTCACTATATGTTGAGGATTCATGAAACAAGTGGGCTGAATTTTGACCTGACTTGTGGAAAAGCTTCATTTTCTGCTTTATTGAGCAAGCAAAATGAAAGTAATTCAAGTCAACAAAAATCTGTGTGGGAAAATAGAAAGGATACAAAAGAAAATGTTGTCCCAAATGTAGAAAAACCAAATAAAGAGGCAATTACCAAACCTCTAATAGTAAAAAGAGCTAGTCTAAATCCTCAAGAGCAGCCTAAACCTCAATACCCTGCGAGATATTCTGTTGATGCAGGAAAACCTAAAAGTGTAGCTGCTGAACAAAAGCCAAAAGAAATTGATCTTTTGGCACCACCTGAGCCAGATTTAAGTAAAATCCCTGATGATTTGTTCGCAAATATTGAAGTGCAGCCAAGATCATATAGCTGCAGCGCAAATCCATTTGAAAGTGGAAATAATTTTGATTGGAAAGGAGAAAATCCTTCCAAAAATGTCAAAAATGCCGCACCAGTGCATCAGCCAGAGCAAGGCACTTTTGATCTTTTCGATTTAGACAGCTTGCATCTTGGAGATGGTTATTCTCCAGCTGTGGCTAAAAAAATCGAAGAAGCGAATAAACCAATTTGCTATTTACCCTCAAATATTCCAAATATGCCATTAAATCAGCTTCAAACTAATAGACCACAGCCTCAGAATCCATTTGGCGCTCAAATGATAAACCCTATGATGATGGCATACAATCCATATTATATGAACATGAATCAATGGAACCAGTAAAATGTTTATAAATAAAAGTTTATACATAAAATGGCGTATGGCGACCGACCCACCCTCTCAGTGATGGTTACCCATGTATATCCGGGCATGGTTTTTGGAGCCAGGAATTAGCCCAACAACATCTGGGACCTCGAAGCGAGAGGCCTAAGCGTGAGAGCCGCTGTTTTTGCGACCAGATCCATGGGCAGTTATTCGTGACTTCTTTTTGCCAGCAGCGCTCAGCCCAGTGAGTGCCCGAAATGAGGCAGGGTGAATTACCTGCCTAAGCTGCTTTAGTGGCTTGCCCCGAATGGCGAAAGCTGTTGAGTTCTTTCTCGGGATGACCGGAAAAGAGGGGAGGCGAGTTAGACACCAAAACGGGGGTCTCTCCAGTTGAAAAGGTGCCCTTCAATGGGCAGATCTGGCGGACGACGAAGCGGAGTTGGCGTAAACTTAGGCGACGATCCAAGTTGGAAATGGAGGTGGTCAGCAAAGCCGGTATGAGACGGCCCTTGACAATGCCTCTACCGAGAAACCCGGGGGTTTCGGCCCGGGCTTGGTGAACGCTCTGCCACCACACGGGAAACCGTGGCATGCGACCTCGGACGTAGTAGGGACCTAAATACCCAGCGTAATCTTAATCTTAATCTTAATAAATAAAAGTTTAATGCTTTTAATAGTAAAAAATTCCTTATTAAGTAATTAGGGTGGTGGAACTAATTTCATAATCATGCTAAAATTAGTCAGCAGTTAATAGTCATGAGTTTTCGACTATTCTAAGCTAAAATATAAAAATAGCATTTTTATCTAATATTAGAAATTTGAAAGCTGGTATTAGGACTTTTAAGCTGATAATTTATATTAAAAATATGCAACTCTGTTTGTATTACTATCGCGAAATAGTAGATCATTAAAGATAAAAGGTTGTGCAATTTTATAGAGCACAAAATTCATAACATTTTTACAAACATACTAATATTAATAAATGGTTTTATATATTTATAAGAATCAGCCAAATAGAGATGATTCGAAATAAGCATACATTTTTTGGAACTTAAAATGTTTTTATTTAAAATTGAAACGCTTTTCTACCCACTCCATTTAAAGTACATTATTTTATTATATAAATAATAATATTAAAGAATTGTTGCAATTTTAGTTAAAATTTATCTATTAAAGAATAGAAAAAATAAATAAAATATGAAAAAATCGAGTTCAATATTTTGAGGCTCTCTCATTATGAAATAAAAGGAGTTAGGAAAATTCGATTGATTAATTTTTAATGTTATTTCTACCTGATAATATAAATGGGCTGTGGAACTTCCAAAAAGTCCTTCAAAGATGTTAGTCCAACCAAAGTTGTCCAAAAAGAGGTAAAACTTTCAAATAATGTTGCCTCCGCTACTCCTTCTTCAAAAAATCAAGAGCAGCAAATATCGTCTCAAAAAAAGCCTGAAATCTCTAAACCTCAGCAGCCTCAATCAAAAAATCCTTCATCCGCTCAAAAGTCAGCGAAAGAAGAGAAATCTCTTGAGCCAGCCAAAAAAGCTGCTGCATCTCCTGTCCCAGCGGAAAACTCAAAGAAATTACTAAATTCACATGAGGTTCCACAAAAGGGTCATGGAGAAACCAGCATAGACGGCCATCTCTCAGAAGGCATCAGATCCAATAAGGCGAATTTAAATAATACTTACGAAGCTCTAAAAGACAGATCTCCTCAGCCTTGTACTTTAGGAGATGCTCAAGGCGTAGCGATGGCATTTTATGAGCCAGGTACTACGCTATCACCTCTTCCATTTCGCCACCCTGAACTTCTTGATAGAGAAATTCGAATTAATGTGACTCATGTAGGCTGTTGCCAAGGTGATGTGCTTTGGGGAACCCAAGCTTTCTTTCCTGGCGTCCATTACCCTCTTGTTCCTGGTCACGAAATTGTTGGAATTATTGATAAAGTTGGAGAAAAAGTGACTAAATACCAATTTTTAATATTTTGATTTTTTGGTTACCCCTTTAAATTTTATAAATTTTTGATTTATTCTTTATTGAATTTTTTTTTTTTTTTTAAATTTTAGAGGATCTCTATTTTTTAGATTATTGAGTTTTTAAGCCTAGATTAATAACTAAATCACTTCGAATGGTTGATTCCGTAGCTTTCTGTCGTCTCAAAGCCTCTGAAAACAATTTCATTAGGCATATTTCCCAAGCTTTTAATAACTATTATATTTTTATATATATATAAAAATTTGCATGATATGAAAATCGTTCGATCAAGGATGGGGGTTAATTTTCCCAATTTTTAGGAATTTTTACAGTCAATCGTTCGATCAAGGATGGGGGGAGTAAATACCACAAACCTGGCGACAAGGTAGGCTTTGGAGTATGGCGAGACTGTTGTGAGCAATACGATTCTTGCTTGCACTGCCGCACTGGAAACGAAAATTCTTGCTCAAAACGAGTAGGTACTTATGACCCTCACTTTGGAGGATATGCGACGTCATTCCAAGCGAAAGGAAACTTTTTCTATAAGCTTGATGACAGTTTTCCAGGAGAGGCAGCACCTTTATTCTGTGCAGGCATGACTGTATTTCCGCCACTCCAAAAAGATGTCGTTGGTGGGATGAAAGTGGGTGTTGTTGGAATCGGAGGACTTGGACATCTAGCTTTAAAATTTGCAAGAGCAATGGGTACTGAAGTTACAGCTATTTCTACGAGTTCGAGTAAAGAAACTGATGCAAAGGAGTTTGGCGCACATCATTTTATTAACTTAAAAGATGAAAAACAGGTGAAAAACGGGATCGGTAGCTTAGACTATATTATTAATACAGCTACAAGCTATGATATCGGCCAGTGCTGCTCGTTATTAAAGCCAAGAGGCACCCTTAATCTTTGCGGAGCTCCAACTGCAGGAGAAAATTTGAATTTCAATTTGCTTCAAATTCTCATTAACCAGCAAAGAATTCAGGCAAGTCTTGTAGGATCAAGACTGGATGGAGAAGCAATGCTTGACTTCGTAAGGATCAAAAATATTTATCCGACAGTCGAAGTTTATAAGTTTGCGGACGTCCAAAATGCCATTAACTCTTTAGCATTTGGCAACCCTCATTATCCTAATTATAGGGCCGTTCTTGAGATGGGAAGCTTTATGAAAACTTTCACCCCGGCTAACTAATACATTTATGGAAAGATAATTATTTCTTTAATGAGTAATAATGAAATCTAAAACAGATTTTAGATTACGTAAGTAGTTTTTCTGACAATCTAAAAAGACATAGAATGTCTCTGATTGCAGTTCGTAATTCTCGTCAAGGTCAAAAACGGCATTTCTAAATTTATAGACGACCCCATATTATATGAATAGGAATCAGTTAAATATTTATAAAAAAGTTTAATGCTTTTAGTAGTAAAAAAATTCCTTATTAAATAAACTAGAGTGGTAGAACTAATTTCATAATCATGCTAAATATAGTCAGCAGTTAATAGTCATGAGTTTTCGACTATTCTAAGCTAAAATATAAAAATAGCATTTTTATCTAAAATTAGGAATTTGAAAGCTGCTATCAAGACTTTTAAGCTAATAACTTATATTAAAATTTGCTATTCGGTTTGTATTGCTATCGCGAAATAGTAGATCATTAAAGATAAAAGGTTGTGCAATTTTTATAGCACAAAATTCATAATATTTTTACAAACATACTAATATTAATAAATGGTTTTATATATTTATAAGAATCAGCAAAGTACAGATGATTCGAAATAAGCATACGTTTTTTGGAACTTAAAATGTTTTTATTTAAAATTGAAACGCTTTTCTACCCACACTCTAGTTAAAAGTACATTATTTTATTATATAAATAATAATATTAAAGAATTTGTTGCAACTTTATAAAAAAATTACCTATTAAAGAATAGAAAAAGTTGAATAAAATATGAAAAAATCGAGTTCAATATTTTGAGGCTCTCTCATTATGAAATAAAAGGAGTTAGGAAATTCAATTGATTAGTTTTTAATGCCATTTCTACCTGATAATATAAATGGGCTGTGGAGGTTCTAAAAAGTCCTTGAATGATGCTAGTCCTACCAAAGCTGCCCAGCAAGAGGCAAAACTTTCAAATAATCCTTCTTCAAAAAATCAAGAGCAGCAAATATTGTCTCAAAAAAAGCCTGAAATCTCTAAACCTCAGCAGCCTCAATCAAAAAATCCTTCATCCGCTCAAAAGTCAGCGAAAGAAGAGAAATCTCTTGAGCCAGCCAAAAAAGCTGCTGCATCTCCTGTCCCAGCGGAAAACTCAAAGAAATTACTAAATTCACATGAGGTTCCACAAAAGGGTCATGGAGAAACCAGCATAGACGGCCATCTCTCAGAAGGCATCAGATCCAATAAGGCGAATTTAAATAATACTTACGAAGCTCTAAAAGACAGATCTCCTCAGCCTTGTACTTTAGGAGATGCTCAAGGCGTAGCGATGGCATTTTATGAGCCAGGTACTACCCTATCACCTCTTCCATTTCGCCACCCTGAACTTCTTGATAGAGAAATCCAAATTAATGTAACTCATGTAGGCTGCTGCCACAGTGATGTGTTTATGGCTACCCAAGCTTGGTTTCCTGGCGTCCATTACCCTCTTGTTCCTGGTCACGAAATTGTTGGAATTGTTGATAAAATTGGAGAAAAAGTGACTAAATACCAGCCTGGCGACAAAGTAGGCTTTGGAGTATTGCGAGACTGTTGTGAGCAATACGATTCTTGCTTGCACTGCCGCACTGGAAACGAAAACTATTGCCCAAAACGAGTAGGGACTTATGACCCTCACTTTGGAGGATATGCGACGTCATTCCAAGCGAAAGGAAACTTTTTCTATAAGCTTGATGACAGTTTTCCAGGAGAGGCAGCACCTTTATTCTGTGCAGGCATGACTGTATTTCCGCCACTCCAAAAAGATGTCGTTGGTGGGATGAAAGTGGGTGTTGTTGGAATCGGAGGACTTGGACATCTAGCTTTAAAATTTGCAAGAGCAATGGGTACTGAAGTTACAGCTATTTCTACGAGTTCGAGTAAAGAAACTGATGCAAAGGAGTTTGGCGCACATCATTTTATTAACTTAAAAGATGAAAAACAGGTGAAAAACGGGATCGGTAGCTTAGACTATATTATTAATACAGCTACAAGCTATGATATCGGCCAGTGCTGCTCGTTATTAAAGCCAAGGAGAAAATTTGAATTTCAACCTGTTTCAAATTCTTATTAACCAGCAAAGAATTCAGGCAAGTCTTGTAGGATCAAGACTGGATGGAGAAACAATGCTTGACTTAGTAAGGATCAAAAATATTTATCCGACAGTCGAAGTTTATAAGTTTGCGGACGTCCAAAATGCCATTAATTCTTTAGCATTTGGTAGCCCTCATTATCCTAATTATAGGGCCGTTCTTGAGATGGGAAGCTTTATGAAAACTTTCACCCCAGCTAACTAATTCATAATATGGAAAGATAATTATTTCTTTAAGATAGTACTGTATTATAATGAAATCTAAAACAGATTTTAGATTACGTAAGTAGTTTTTCTGACAATCTAAAAAGACATAGAATGTCTCTGATTGCAGTTCGTAATTCTCGTCAAGGTCAAAAACGGCATTTCTAAATTTACAGACGACCTTGCTGAGACCTCTAGAAAATGATATCCAAAGCTATCTGCGAATTCTTTTCCCTCCTCATACGCCACAACTCTTTGATTTTCCAAATCGCTTTTATTTCCAATTAAAAACACAGTAGAATCTGCACCTGCATAGAGCTGTACGTCCCTGATCCATCTTTTTAGATTTACAAAAGATGTTCTATTAGTAATATCATAGACAATTATGATACCTCTTGCATCTTTATAAAAGTGAGAATAAATCACTTTATATCTCTCATTACCTGATGAAGTCCACAATTCCAACATGCATCTTCTACCATCTTGAAGGGCTGAAATAGAATTCTAACTAAGCCAATACCTTTTCTATTCCAATTGTTGGAAGATAGAGATCTGAATATCTGCCAAGACAAAAACGATTGATCAAGGTAGATTTTCCGACTTCTGAGTCACCGATTAGGATGACTTTTAAGGTATCTTTGCTATTTTGAGATTACTTTGCATGCTCGTCCATGTGTTAAATTTATGTAAGAGAATTTTTCCTCATATTAATATTTTGTTGCCGAGAAAAAGGAGATTTGGCTTAAACTTGAAAAAAGAAATAAAATAATCATAAGCTATAAAGCGCTTAATTTTAAGCTTAACACAAGACTCTCAATTGAAGGCAAAGAGAATTTATATGTTTTTGTTTGTTAAGTCAAGTTTGATTTATGGGAAATACAAAACGATGCTGTAAGATAATTAGAAAATTCTTAAAATCTTTGAAGAAACCTGAATAATACAGCATCCTAATCCAATCACTATATTTCCAGATAATTTGAGAGCCCACTACAAGAAAAGCGACATTAAGAGCTTCCGATTAGTGAAATACGCTGCGGCTTAACAGGGAACACTTTAATAATTCTGACTATAGAAATATGTTCTGATTTATTTAAATATTGAGTATAAAACGATTATATCGATGCTGTACACAAAGATTTTAGGTAATATAAAGTGCCAAGTTGATGAAGGAAAAAGCCTATAGCTATTTTCCAATAAAATTTTACAATTTTTTCTTTTTTTAAAAATTTCATGTTCTGGTGAAACCATAAAAACTAATGGAAGATAATCTAAATTGATGACTCATATTTTCATAAGCATTTTTCAGCTAAATTTGCAATTCTGATATAAATATGTCGCTCAAGATAAGCAGCTTCAATATACTCAATACTCACAGGTTTTATGAGCAGCGTATCCCTCTAATAAAACGTGCAATCCAAGAAATGAACTGTGATGTTATAGGCGTTCAAGAAATAAACTATGAAGGAAATAAAGAAGTGTATATAACCCCAGACTATGACTTTAAATTCTCCCCATTAGCAGAATCAATGGGACCTTGGAATGTTAATGAGATCCCAGAAGCTTATCGATGACTTGAAGGATTTAGAATAGATGGAAATGCTTTTTTAGTTAAGCCAAAAATTAAAGTATTAGCAGAGGGATTCCATCAATATTTGGACAATTTGCGAAATGCTCAAAGGATGAAAATAAGGGTTAAAGATCAAGAAATATGAATCGTCAATACTCATTTAGACTGGCAAAGCGATGAAAGCAGGGTAAAAGAAATCGAAGAGCTATTAGATTGAATAAAACCAATGATGGATTTTCCTATTGTTATTACTGGAGATTTTAACGCCACACCTGACTCTGAAGTATATCGCTTACTTTCAGAGAAGTTTCAGTCTGCACTGTATTCAATGAATGGAAAAGAGCCTGATAAAACTTATCCATCTGAACTTTTGGACCATGAGGAAATCATGCGAACATGACATTATGAGCTTTTAGGCCCTAAAGTACCCAGAGTATACGATTATATATGATTCAGAAATATCAAGCTTAAAGATGCGAAGGTTATAAATAGCATCAAAGAGGGATTATTTTGTCCTAGTGATCATTATCCATTAGTAGCTGAATTTGAATTGAATTAATATTGCTAAGTCTCCCTACTTTTGTGACCAACATCATTGGAAATCCCTATTTTTTGGTAAGTAGCCATCCAAGTGAGTGAACAAACAAATTTTAAATATAAAAATTTTTGATGGAAAATATTTTAATATATAAATGATAATTATTATAATGAAAACTCTAGCTTATTCTGTTGAATTTTAAACAATATGCATTGTAAAAATAAATTTGGGTTCTCCAAATTTTGCGAGTTGAGACTTTTTTAATTTCGAAAAAAAAATTATATTAACCTCGGCAGCGAACGAAATTTTTTTGCCCATCTCACGGAGAGAAGGAGGAAGTATATCATATGTTTAAATATTTGTAAATTTCAAGCGGAATATAGCATAAATTATTTTCTTGGTATATTTTATGATTTAAGCATTATGCTTAATACTATGAATCGAAACGTTTCTGCTTCTCCATGCCATTCTATTTATTATTTAATATAAGATATAGCTCACCATTAAACATAACAGAATTTCCACTTTATATAAGCATATTTAATATTAAAAGTAAAATTCTAATTTTAATTTTAAGAAGATGTGAGGTCCTTATAATAAATATGGAATGATGAAATTGTGCTGAGGTTTTTCTGAATCTTGATGATTGACTTTCTGACTATTACATACAGAAATAATTTACTAAATAAATCCTCTAATTGCATACAATTCCTTTCTGAAATCTAATTAGATATAGTTTTAAATAAATACAGATAGGAAGCATCCTTTAGCCAGAAGAAATTTTTATTTTTACTAACTAAGGTTGAGCTTATACAGAAACTCATATAAATTAGCAGCTTTCATTAAAGTTGTTAAGGCTGCAAATTGCTACCTCTCTACCTGCCTTTAAGTGCAAGTAAACCATTAGGAAATGCGTATTTCGGGATAATTAACTCCTTAAGAGATAGAAAAAAAATATTTAAAATTAGAAAAAAATATTATGGATAATTTTAATATAGAATCTTTATAACCAAGAAAGAGAGCAAGCAAAATTTATCCTACTAGTTAGGAATTAAAAAAGCTCTAATTACTTTAGCTTATATAAAGAATATAAAAAGAGATTTCTTAATATTGGATATAGCAAAGAATGATTTTATAAATTGCGCTAAGTCTTGAATCTATGTAAACTTTTTAATTATTGTAATAAATTGATGCTCTAAAAATATTCGACAGCGATCATAATATGTTTAATAGCCAGTTATCATACAAAAGTAGTTTAGACCAATTTAAAAGCCAAGACCGTTATTCTTACAGCCCTGGAAATTATCAAAATTCACTCTATGAGTCTTCCTCAAAATTTCCAAGAAATGAAAGATCATCATTGGAAACGTTTTCTCCTAATCTTCCCAATCCTTTATTTAAAATCAATTAAAATGTTCTTAAAATTCGTGAAAGGCTAACCCTATAATTTATCGAACAATTTTATATGGTAAGCGTGAAACTCACTCCTCCCTTATTAATAATAATGAGTCTTAGAGATTATATCTGATAACTGTTCCTTCGCAATTTGAATGCAATTTATAGCATATATATATTATTCAATCTCTTGAGCTAAAAATTTTAATATAAAATAATATTTCTTTTTTACAATTTTTTTCCTCGATCTTTGAGCGAGCAATGATGATTGGCTCAATCAAAATGGGAAGTAAACAAACTTTTAGTTCCTTATCAACCTACTCAAAGGCAAGCTATGAAATAGAATCTGAAGCACTTAAAAGAGATATGGGACGCTTACGCAGCCGCATTGACTTCAACAACTCGGAACATTCTCGCAAAATTGCAGATCTTAAAGATGCTTACGAAGAACAATTACGAAATATCCAAAAACAAAAAGAATACGAGCTTAATAGTATTGACAAAAAAATACAATTCAAAGAAATAGATCTGGACGCTTTAAGGGAAAGAATTGAAAATGAGCAAAGTTCGTTGGCGAAAGAAAAAGCAAATCAAGAGAGAAATACATCGAAATTAAGTATTGATTTAAGAAATACTGCAATAGAAATATCAGAAATGAGAGGAGAATTTGAAGAAATCAGCCAAAATGACATTGAAAGGAAAAAAATTGAAATTGATCGACTCTTGGATTATCAACAAAGAGAATCTGATGCTATCGCTCAAGATCAACAAATGCAATATCAAGATATGCAAAACAGGATATCAAATAAAGAAAAATTAATCAGAAGCTTGGAAAATGAGCTTAGACAGTTAAGAAAGGACCTTTTATTTAACACTGATGAGCATGAAAATCAAATCGCTATGCTTAAAGAAAAGCTTTATAATGCCAAAAAAGATATTGAAGTCAATGAAATCGATATTAATAAAATCATTGCGACTAGGGATGGAGCCAGAAATGAAATCCAATACCTATCAAAAGAAGCAACCGCAATGGAAGGAGAGCTTTCAACCCTTATGAGGAGAAACTCCAACTTAAAAGAAAAATCTGGGAAATTAGGAGAACTCGTTTATGGAAAAAAAGTAAAATCTCCAAACAAATCTCCTAACTCCCCTCATGGGCAAGCAAAACCATTGGAAAATCCCTATTTTGGCTAAAATCCACCATTTGATCGAACAAACAATTTTTTTAATATTAAAATCTTTCTTAAAATACTTTGATATATAAGCGATAATTATTATAGCCAATTCTATTTAATTTAAAGCAGCTTGAGTTTTAAAACATAAATTTACAAACTAAATTAATATTTACTTTAAAATTATTTCGGTTGGGATTTTTTAAATTTCGAAAAAAGTGTTTACTAAAAAAATTTTCTATAAATTCTTTTAAATAAAATAACCTAACAATGTTCGCTCACAGAGGGGAGTAAGAAAAATAAATTTAATAATTAATTATGATTGGAAAGATCCTCAAACCTTTTATAAGAGGTAGAGATATCCGTCGCAAAATATTAGAAGCCCAGCAGAGAGCTGGATTTCAGAACGAAGACATAAGTGCTAAAGAAATAAAAGCAGAGATGGAAAAAGTAAATATTCCAACATCTCCATCTCGAGGTATGCTTACTATATGTCCAACACCAATCGGAAACTTAGACGATATAGCAATTCGCCAATACCAAGCCATAAAAGCAGCTGATATAATTGCATCAGAGGACAACAATCTTGCATCTCATTTAGTTCAATCATTATTGCAATATGACTTTTCATCAATCAAAAATACAGAGTTCCCACCACAAGACATATCAAATTTGCCAAATGCTGATGATTCCGCGAGTGATGCTCATAAGGATTGGAGCGCAGTAAGTATGGTTAGGAAATTTAAAGCGGAGTCTGGAAGAGCTTTATTAGTGAGCTTAAAAGCAACGAATGCTTATTCAAATCCACAGCTTAAGCTGATAAGGGCAATGAAATCAGGGGTTAAAGTAGTTTTGCTGGCACCATCAGGGTCACTGCTGACTGGAGCAAGCTTAAAGCTAGTTTCAGATTCAATAAAAGAAGGAGTCAGCTTAGAAGCACTTCCTGGGCCTGCAGCAGCTATAGTCGCTGTTTGCTCGTCTGGATTTCCTGCTGATAATTTTTGGTTTGTTGATTATCTTCCTGATCTATTATTTGAAAGAAATCTGAGGCTTGAAACTCTAAAAAAAAGCGAAAGTACTGTAGTCTTTTATGAAAAAGCTGATAAAATAGTCAAAACTGTCGAGCAAATCAATAAAATCTATGGAATAAATCGTTTCATGGTTATTGGGCAAAATCTTACAAGAGAAAATGAAAAGGTTTTTAGAGGGACAGGAGTTAAATTGCTGCAAGAATTAAAGGAATACACAAGCCAAAGCGAAAATAAAAGTGACTTTGTGGTGGTTATATCTCCGTTTATAAGCAAAGCAGAGAAAGAAGTTTTTGAAGTAAAATTGACACACATTATCAGCACATTAAGGAGCAAGTTAAGTATAACTGAAAAGAATCTAGCATTTTTGGTTGAAAAGATGACAGGTGTATCAAGAGTGCGTGCATTGAAGATTCTTAATAAGCTTGAAAAATAATATTAAATGGAAGATCTCCTTCTTAAAAATGAATACTCACAGCAAGAGGTCTTAAGAAAAGCCATATCAGATCCACAATCATTACCAACTTATACCTTATAAATATGTATCAAAGTAAAAGCCTCCGTGAATCTTTTTTGCTTAATTTCAGCAAGTCAGTAAAAGAAATTGATAATTCAACTCTTTTTATTAATTTTAACAAGCCAAAAAATGCTTAAAGCAAATAAACAAAGTTTGGCCACTTTTAATCAAATATTTACCATATATATGAGCTACTCATCCTTCTGAGATATACATATGGGAATTAGAAAAATTACTCTCACAGACAAACCAACGAATAAATGTCCTTGCTTCCCAATACCATCACAATATCCTTGATCACCAATCTAATCTCCAAGAAATCGGAGTCAATTTAAAATCCCTTCTAAAAAAAGCTAGATTTTTGCAGTCCCAATCACAAAAAATGAGTAGAGAAATGTCAGAAAGTTATGATAAAATCTGTGAATGTGTAAGGCAACTTGAAAGAGTCCAAGAAGCCAGCGAGCTAATAAGGAACGCCCAGCAGTTTTTCTTTAAGATCAAAAAAAATAAAAATAAAAAATCACCAGAAATAGAAGAACTTGCACAAAGCTTAAGAGGTGTTAAAGCAATAGAAAAATTAATGAACAATTAGGATAATTTTGATAATTTAGCAATAAATCGAGCAAATTTACATCAATTTACATATTTCACATGCAGTGGAATTAGCTTCTGCCTCAACAATTATGTCTTCTTTTCGGCTTCTATTGCTAAATCCGCCATAATTCCTTTTCATTGTTCTCACTCCATTGCTGTCATCTTTTAATTTTGAAAGAATCCTGTGCCTGTGCCCTGGTTTTGATATTTTTATTTCATTTTTCAGAATTTCATCAGTGATTGGCCATCGCGAATTCATTAAAGCTAATAAATGCTCTAGGTCATCATATCCTGAATTTTCAAATAAAGGCAAAAGCATGTCTAAGCCTAAAGTAAGCAGCCAATTCCTCAGGGTTGGAAAAGAAACCCCTTCACTTGTAGGTGTAGCTACGCTGCAGCATCGCCATTTTTGTCTTCTTTTCGAGTTTAAGCTAAAAGGTTTTGGCAATGCATCTTCATCTAGAGCAGCTAGTAGCCTTTTCCTAAGTCCAGGCTTTTTAACCCCAATTTCTTTAAGTATTTCATCATTAAGCGGCATGGACGATCTCATTTGTTCACACATCTGCTTAATATCATCGTATCCCGCATTTAATAAAACATCAAAAAGCTCATCTAACTTTGTCATCACAAGCCAATTATACATTTGTGGCTTGTTTTCTCCTCCAAAAGAAACTTCCCGTTGCTTTTCAACCATAGTCTCGTTTACAAGTTTCTCTGATTCCGGCTCTAAAACTGAGCTTAAGCTTCTATTTAAATCAGGCTGAGTTTGCGTTGAATTATGTCGAGAATTTATTGTGAGTCTTTTCCTATTTTTAAGGTCTAAGAATTTAAGCTCATTTGAAGGAGTTGAGTATCCTGAATTACTCCTAGAGGAGTGAGGACTTAAAGAAATATTTTCAAATGATTGCATCGGAATAGAAGGGATGGTGTCTATAGGGTCGAGGCTTGGCATACATAACGGTGAGGTCCTTGTAGACTTTTCAGAAGAGTTTTCAGCAGAAATTTTATGTGTCAAAATTTTTTTCAAGTCATTATTAGGTGCTAGATCCAGAGGAGTTTTTCCTATTCTATCCTTAATTTCGATAGAAGCTCCATGCTTGATAAGAATTTTAACAATCTTCTCATGGCCGTATTCAACTGAATAGTGTAAGGCTGCTCTGCCAAATACATAATTCGTGATATTTGGATTAGCTTTATAGCTTAATAGTAAGCTAGTCAGCTTTAAGTCACCTTTAGAAGCAGCATGATGAAGTGGAGTGTCTCCATCATGCTGCTGATTGTTAGGATCTGCATTATATTCAAGCAAAAGTTTAGCCATCCTGAATTTGCTGTTATCAGCTGCTTGATGCAAAGGAGTTTCACCTATTTTGCTTGGAATATTCGGACTTGCTCCTTTATCTAATAAAAACTGAGCAACTTCGAAATGACCACAGATAACTGTATGATATAGGGGTGTCCACCCTAGCTCTGGGTCTATTTGGTTTATGTTGGCTTCTGGGTGAGATAGTGTTTGGTTAAGGAGAAAAAGATCACCTAACCTGCATGCTCTAAAAATATCGTCTTTTACAGATGATTTTTCCATAGATTTGAAATTATAGCAGTGATCATGATTTTAGGAATTGTTTTGCAGTGCGGTTTATTCAATTTAATCAGAAAAAGGAAGGATAAAAATTATAGGCATTCCTTTGACTATTTTAGCATATCTATGTGTACAAGAAGAAATAAACACAATTTTTTGCAATTATGATGGAATTCTTCATTTAAAGCTGAATTATTATAATTTTAAATTTAAAACTCTATTTTCTATTATAATATGATTAATGAAAATTTATAGCTTAAGCTATTGATGCTATAATAAATTTATTAGGTCAAGCAGTCTGCGAGTGAGCAAACCCAATTAATTTTTGATAAATTAAATTTCTCTATAAAACAAGAAAAATTTTCTTTTAAATTTTTATATATAAATAAGACCTTATATTGAAGCCTCTGCTAAAAAATTAATAAATATAGGCAACATGCATTCTTAAACTTATAAATTAAATTAAATTTTCTCGTATTTTAATTTAAAAATCAATTTTTTAGTATACATACAATTTTTATAATAAAATTTCAACAAAATATTAGCAGCATTTGGATATTGCAAAACGTTTTGGCTCGCTTATAAGCGGAGGAGGAATATGCTCTTAAAAGTTTTTATCTCTATCTGTTTCAATCTATTTTTTTCACGAATGTATGCATAAGCTAAAATCAGCTTAATATTCATGTGAATCCATGAATTTTTCAACTTAAATTATTATTGCCTCTATTATGTAAAACTTCGTTTAATTTTTTATCTTTGATTTCTAATTCCTCCCTTAATGAGCGAACAAAACAATTAGAAAAGCCCCTATTTTTGCTCAAAACCTTCATGAGTTAACAAAATATTTTTATGAAAAAAAATTGTATATAAGTGATTATTAGTATATATAATGAAATCTCTAGCTGAATATGTTTTAATTTTAATATACATAAAATGGTGTATAACGTCGACCCGTCCTCCCAGTGACGGCAAACCATGCATATCCGGGCATGGTTTATGGGGAAATGAGTATATCCAGCAGCATCAGTAGCCTAGAGGCGATAGGCTTAAGCGCAGATCCGCTTGCTTGTAACCTGATCCATGGGCAGTTATTCGTGACTTCTTTTTCCAGCAGCGTCCTAGCCAGTGGATGCCTGAAATCGAGTAGGGTGATTTCCCTGCTTAAGCTGCTCTTGATGGCTAGCCCCGAATTACGGAAGTGGTTAGTTCTTTCTAGAGATGATCTGAAAATAAGGGAAGGCGAGCTAGACTAAAGTATAACACGGCGATCCCTCCAGAAAAGGGCTCCCAAACGGAGCGAATCTGGCCCCAGGATAGGTACAGTTGGCGTAATAAAGGCGAAGGGACTGAGTTGGAAATGAAGTGCCCGGTGAAGGTCTGCAGGCCCAACAGGGCAACCCACTACCAAGAAACCACGGGTTTCGGGCTAGGCTCAGAGTTACCAGAGGTGGAAAACCACCTATTAGCTTGGGTCAACACGCGCCTGGAAGTAGAGAATTTAAATATCAGCGTTTAATCTAATCTAATCTAATCTAATTTTAGCAAATTGCATTTTAAAACATAAATTTTTCAAATATTTTCCAATTTTTGCAAATTGAGATTTTTTCGAATTTCGAAAAAAATTAATGATAAAATTATTTATAAATTTATTAAAATAATTAACCCCCTATGTGAGCGAACAAAATTTTTGGTTCGCTCATGGAGGGGAGGTAAGAGGGGTTTCACATGTGAAAATTCTAAACTTTACGTAAAATTCCTTTATGGCTTGTCGGAACCATAGCAAATTTAAATCAAAATATTATATATTTTTGCCATAATAAAATTGAAGTAAAATGATGGTTATATAATAAACCAAGCCTGAAGAAAATTCGAATATGGAAGAATTCTAGATTTAACAAAATTACTTCTTCTGTGCTATAAACAATTAATTGAACCATAGCTTACTTAAAATAAATTATTAATTAGCATATGTTTTTACCTAGCTAAAATAGGCAAATAACATTTTGGGTTAATTCGATTTTAATTCAAGATCTGGCATCTTACAAACTTTTGCCGCCTTGATTTCTGCCTTTCTAGCTGTTTGTGTGGAGGGGAACTTTCTTCATTCAATTGATTTTTGCTTTGGTCTGCCGATTTAAGCAACTCAATATCTGATCGCTTGGTGAAGTAGAGCTTGTTATTTGTTAGTGATTTGACTTCTACGTATTTGCTCACTCCTCTTTGCTAGCAAACAAAAAAATTTTGTCCACTCATAAATTTTACAGTAAATATTTTTTCGAAATTTGAAAAAATCCCAATCCGCAAAAATTGGAAAACAGTTATTTAATTTGTATATTTAAAATACAGTTAAACATAAATTAGCTATAGATATGATCTATTAATAATTATTTATATATAAAATTATTTTTCATAAAACATTTTTGTTCGCTCATGAAGGGTGGGCTTTTACCCAAAACATATGATTTTTCTAATGGTTTTTTGTTCGCAAACGGAAGGATGGGATTTAGAGAATAGTTTGGATTTACTTTACTGTTTTTAGACTTGGAAGTGTAACAACCCATAGCTCGATAGTATGGAAAATAATATGGAACAATAGTGGATTCAATATATGGAAGCTGCTTCTTTTTTTTTAAAAATTTATTGAAATAGTAAGCCAAGCTTCTCACTCTTTTCAATATCGAATAAATTGCATATAAAATGTTTGATAAATAAAAATTTTATTGATCACAAAATAATGACTATTCTCTATTAATATATCTATTTCCTCATCTCAGCTATAATTTTCTAAATTTTTATAACTCCTCCTTTTAAGATTAACAAAACATTAAGTGATAACTATTTTTGAAAAATTAAAACTCTTCAAAGCAATCAATATTACGAAATCTCTTACTCCCCCCCCCCCTCCGTGAGTGGACAAAAAAATTTTGTTCACTCACCGAGGGGGATTAATTTTTTTTTTTTTAAAAAAATTTATATATAAATTTTATAAAAATTTTTTTTCGAAATTTAAAAAAATCCTAATTCGCAAAAATTGGAAAGCAAATATTAGTTTAAATTTATAAAATTTATGCTTTAAAAAGCAATTCGTTTAAAATTAAACAGAATTAGCTCTAGATTTCATTATACTAATTATCATTTGCATATCTAAATTTTTTTCAATAAAAATTTTTGTTCACTCACGGAGGGTGGGTTTTTGGGCAAAAAATAGCGATTTTTCTAATGGTTTTGTTCACTCACGGAGGGGGGGAGTTACCAAACCTATTAATTTTTAGGCAGCTTGCATTTTTAATAAACCTCTAACAAAAGCAACTACTCTTAAAGAGAGAATTAAGAAAATAAACCACTTCTTTCATATTTCCCTCTAAGTAAGAGAGGCTGTAAATGGTTGATGGCTATAATAATTACCTGAGAGCGATAAATGCAACAGCGCCCTAGTGAAACACAAATAGTCGTAAGCGATCTTCCCCCAAGTGTCACAGAAGCTGACCTTTATCAGCTGGCATCTCAATACGGTCAAGTTGCATACATTAGAGTTCTCAGGCATATTGACACAAAGACCTCACTTGGAGTCGCATTTATCAACTTTATCGACACCGCAGCAGTTGAGAAAGCAAGGAACGAGATGAATGGGCTAGCTTTCAAAGGCAGAATCATCAGAGCTATGAAGTTCAACAAAGAACGCGACCCTGAAGCAAACATTTTCGTCAAAAATATCCACGAGAGTGTCACTTACAAGGATCTTGAAAGCCACTTCAAGAGCTTCGGAAATATTTTGTCTTCGAAGATCAGCTTTGATGAAAACGGGAACTCCAAAAAGTACGGCTTTGTACAGTTCGAGAAAAAAGAGGCAGCCCAAGCAGCAATTGCAAACGCAAACGGGTCAGCCCTCAAAGGAAGCGAACTGCAAGTAGCGAAATTTATCCCTATCGGCAGCAGAATGATATCGAGCAACAATAACTTGTATGTGAGAGGGTTCGGCGCTGATATGACAGCTGAAAGATTTCACTCAGTCTTTTCTTCCTTTGGAGAAATCACTTCACATGTCATTTTGTCGAACAGAGCCAGAGATGGCACTGACAGGCACTTTGGGTTCGTCTGCTTTGCCAACCCTGAAAATGCAACAAAGGCCTTAGAAACCTTGAACGGGAAGTCAGAAGACGGGTTCACCTGGTACATTGCCGTCCACATGAACAAAAAGAAGCGACTTGCAATGCTCAGACAAGAAAACGCCAAAAAGCAAGAAGACTGGAAGAGAAGAAACGTCTACGTCAGAGGTCTACCTTTAAACATTGATGAAGAAAAACTAAGAAAGCTCTTCGCTGAGTTTGGAGAAATTGAGTCAGTGAGGATTCCAAAAGTAGAAAACATTAGGTATGAAAACGCAGAAATGATCAAAGAATTCACTGTAAAAGGTGTCGCCTACATTTTATTCGCTCAGCCTCAAGGCGCCACAAGAGCAGTGCAAGGAATGAGAGATAAGTCAGTAGAGGAAAAGAGATTATATGTAAACCTGTGGAGACCAAGAGAAGAAATTGCCAAAGCTATCAACATCTCGAAGATGAAGAAGATGCAAAGCTTCATGTTCGACTATGGAATGATGCCTGGACCAATGATGATGCCTGGAAGAGGAAGACAAGCAGCTAAAGCAATGCCTGGAAGAGGATGGGCTGGTCAGCAGCCAATGGGAAGAGGCAAGCCACAAGCTTTCCCACCTCAGGCCTTCCCTGCTCAAGGGTTCCCTCCTCAGCAAGGATTCCCAGTTCAAGTTCCAATTCCACCTCAGCAAGTAGCTCAGCCATTAGTTCCATTGAACTTTGACATTAAGACTTATGAAGTTGCACCACCAGAGTTCAAGAAGAGAATGCTAGGTGAAGCCTTATACCCAGTCGTGCTAAAGAGTTCAAATACTAAGATCGCAGGGAAGATCACTGGAATGCTGCTAGAAATGGACAATCAGGAGCTATTTTTGTTATTAACCAACCCAGAAGGATTGAAATTGAAGGTCGGAGAAGCAGTTGACGTGCTCAGAAGAGCGTGGGAAAATGACCCAGAAAGCTTGAAGCTCATTGAAGGTTAATAATACTTAATTTCTTCCTCAAAAATCATTATAACCTAAAATTGGTCTAAGACAAGCCAAATTGACATTCTTTATGAATTAATTTTGGTTCAATATGAACTATGCCTCTACACTAGTTGTATCGAAATTTCAGAAAAAAGCTGATGGATGCAATACGTGTAGCAGCTTACTCCCCTATTGTAAGTGAACAAAAATTTTGTTCTCTCATGGTGTTTTTTATTAAAACAATCTATATATAAATTTGGTAGTCAATATATTTTAGGTAATTGAAGGCAAAAATTAGTTTTATTAATATATAATTTATGTTTTAAAGTACAAGTTGTTTAAAATTCAACAGATTTGGCTAAAGATATATTATACAAACTATCGCTTATATATCAAAATATTTTTTTATCAAAATTTTTATATTATAAAAACGTTTTGTTCTTTCATGGTGCAGAAAAGTTTTTATCAAAAATAGGGATTTTTCCAATTATTTTGTTCGCTCACGGAGTGGGAGTTAGAAATTCTGAAGAACTTGGCTTGCAATTCTACATGTTTGGCTGATGCTTAATGCTTAATACTTAATTAAGATTGTTGAAAAGCTTCGTAGGCTCAAGGTCGAGCCTCTTTCACCTCTATAACGCTCCACCTCTGGCTTGCTAGTCCGAGCATGGCCTCTCACTGTGTTGCTCCTTAAGGGAGAGGGATTGGACTTGCTGCCCGTAAGTTAAAGGCTCTGGGTCATCATGCCGTACGTCGACAGGGACTAATTTCCAGAAAATTCGAGAAACGAATTTTCTGGTCACCTGTTGGCCAAGATGGAAATCCATCTTGAAGAACCACTGGTGTTGCTCGGACACCCCTTTCCAACCTGGATGTGAAGTATACGTTCCGCTAAGCCGGATATTGCGCTCCACCAAACCAAGTAAACCTGGCCGAATAGTTATTACTGAGCGCCATCCTCCCTCTCTACAATTTCCCTTTATCTCCCCCAGCTACAGGTGCCAAAAGGATAATGTATACATGTCTTGCTGATACAAGAAGTGAAAGAGAAATGATCGCCCAAAAGCTGATAAAATCGCTAGACCAAAACTTTGATGTTTTTCTAGAGAAAGGCTTGGATCATAAGCATATGAATTACCAAGAAAGAGTAAATAGCATTGAAGAGAAAATAAGTGAATTGTACGAAGAAAAACGTAATAATAAATCTGTAGGACTGAGAAGATATGAAAATAATTTGCAGAGCAGTTCTCTAGTAGATAAGAGACTTAGGGACTTAGAGCAGAAAATGATAGATCTTGAATATGGGTTGAGCTTAAATGTCGCAGAGCATTATGATAATTTTGATACCGCTCATACAATTCCATTAGAGGTAAATGAGTTTGACCCAGCTGTGGGACTGTATCATGACGATCTTAATGACCAACTTATTACTCTTGAAAAATTAAAGCATCTGAATAATTCACATGAAGAATTAATCAATAATTTATTTGAAGAATCGAACTTTGAGCAAAAAATGATTGCTTTTAAAGAGGAATGAGATGAATTTAAGTTAAAGAGTCACAAATAAAAAATGGAGAGTATGAATTAGGGTCCTTGTCCCCTAAGGTCATCCTAGTGAGGGAAGTTCAAACTTTCTGAAGGATATTCGCGCTGGAACTGCTTCGGCAGTTCCTTGTGTGCTTGAATCAAGTTCAAGAAAGGAAGAGAGACTCGTCTAGGTCATAGGCTACTGTAACGGTTAGACGGTTAGGCCAATTCCACCTACGTTGTTCAGAGCTGTTAGCCAGTGATGGAATTCAGGAAGGATGGGCTTGGTTTCGTTGGTCCTAAGCTAAGTGGGGGTCAACGGAGAGTTATCATAATCTTAAATCTTAAATCTTAAGTTAAAGATTGATACCATCAATAACCAATTGAAAAATATTCAAGAAATGCAAGATGTGTTGTATAAGAAAATCAAAGATCACTATGATTCAATAGCAGAAATAAAAGAAAAGCTTAGTCTTCTATAAAAAAAATTGCTTGCAAATTGATAGAGCTATTTATTTAAAAATTGTCAATTAATTTGCATTTTATTTGTTAGCCTAATATAAAAAATTATATCAATTATATGCAAATATTTTAAAGCAATTCATAGTTATTTATGCCTTTTATATAACAATTTTTTACTAGTTCCTGGAGGCAGATTAATTAGAAAAAAATGAATTTATCTATTTCTTGTTCAATCTCGTAGGGTAGGATTAATAAAATGAAAGAAAAAGAAAAATCATTCAATACTTTAAGCCTAAATTCTCTTATAAATGCAGCAGAAAACATCTTTAAGGGTTATCATTCTTTAAAACACTACCAATCCCAAACTAAAACAAATTTAAATAGCCACCTTAAGCTACTACAAACGATTCCTCAGCTAAGAAACAAAGCTCAAACTTTCTCGGCCGAATTAAGTAAATTAATGTAAATTCTGAAATTATTAAGTTACAACTAATTCTTTTAATTACTTTCAACAGCCCCTTCTTTCCTACATACTGGGCATGCTTCTTTATAGCTCAACCATTTTCCCAGACAATTTTCATGAAATATATGGTTGCATGACATTAATATTCCTATTCTTTGCCCTATGTTGAAGGCATCCAAACAAATCGCACACATTTCTTCCTTCATTTCTGACGAGTAGATTCATATTTTTGGTATCAGCTTTTCTCTTATATTTGCCAAAGTTTGGTATTGCTCAATATATGCTCTAATCACATCGGTACAGCAGCATAAGCTTAAAAAAATCAGTATTATAGATGTGATGAGAAGAGCAAACAAGTATAGTTTTTTTCCCTGGGATTGGCTATTATGCGTTGCATAAATTTCTTATGGACGTTATACGCGCCATTTTCATATGAAATTTCAAATTATGAATTTGCCGCACTAAAATCTGCATTTTGAAACGCATATTTGGTTTTCACATATCAAATTCAAATTGACATGCATGCGCATGATAAGAAATTATTGCAATACATAATAGAAGATATTAATTAGTTTTTGTTGCCATTATTATTTAATTTATAAAGTGCCAGGCAACTCTCCATTTGTTAACAATTTATTATATCTGTTTAAGTAGCCTTTTATTTCTTTTTCTTTTCCTATAAAATAATATCTCTAACTCTTAATATCGATATACGAGATAAGGTAATTGTTCACTGGGCAATTTAAAGGTAAAATGCATAAATTTGAGGCTCTTCTATTGAAAAACCTTCTCCTTCCAGGTTAGATCCAACAATAAAAAATTGGCAAAAGACATCTAAAATTCCTGTTGAGCACAGTTTTCCTATGTAAAGGTAAAATATTGAGTAAATTATTTTGCTGAAATCTGTAACTCCTATTAGAAGCATCAGTTTCTGCATTATTATGGGGTTCAGTGCTAAAAAGGTATTGGAGAGGATTATTGAGAGCGGAAAGAAAAGAAGGAGCCTTAAAGTATATTTTTGAGAGGAAAAGGTTGATCCGTCCTTGGTAGCAAGTGTAAGCATGATTGGATTTGTCATACAGCTTAAAGAAAAGAAGGCTAATCCGCAGAACTTGAGAATTGGTTCTTTAAATTTGGCCGCAAATAAGTAGCATAAAAGCAGACAGTTATAGATGATTATGCTTCCTATTGAACCAAAGAGAGAAAGCCTTTGGGCCCAGTTCATTTAATATTTATGAATTGAATTGATAAATTAATTTAAACGTCATTTCTGATATTAAAAATAGGACTGAAACAATGTGGGATATTTTTAAAGTAGCAGTTTTTTAGACTAATATGGTGAAAACACTTATATTTGATTTTTCAATATTAATCCTCGAAACACTGATAAATAATATGTTTTATTACGTTTTTTTTAAAGTCATTACATTTTATATATTTTTTATAAGTGCATTAGGCTACATGCTGAAAGACCTTAAATAACTATTATAAAATAAATTATTTGTCTATGTGCATTAAAAGGCTCTATATCAAACGACTGTGCACTTTTGATAGCGCGGCATTTCCCAGGAGAAAATCGTTCGAAATTTTTTGATAGTGAAAAAATTTGAATGATAAAAAGTTAAATTTCAACTCATGATAAACTATTTAAAAACCTTTTAACAAATTCTCTTTAATGAAATGTATAATATCAAAAGTACATCATCATTTGACCTGCACCCCATTAAAACATATCAGATCTTTGCAAAACTATAAAGCTGCATCATAATCAAAAATATCCCAGCTAATACTGCTATGAGAAAAATACATGAGAAATTTTAGTTTATGCAATTTCAAAAATATCTATATGTCAAGCATGACCAAAAGCAAGGTCTGATATATAGCGCTTGACTCCCTATTAACACTTATAAGTAAAAATATCAGAAAAAAAAATTCCTTTGATATTTTAAGATAATTAAAAATGTGAAATTAAAACTTACAAATACGAGATATAAAATAAAATTTAAATTTAATTTTGACTTTGAAATTTGAAATTTGAAATTTTTTGGAATTATTAAATATTTTTTCTTTATAAGGAATTGTCCTTAAAGATCTATAAAGGTTGTATGTCATGTATGCTTTATAAGTATTACATGCTGAGAAGAGTCCAAATCGCTTATAGAAAATTCCCTTTAAATTGCCCGCTGAGTTCGCAATTTGGTCCGACCAAAACTAAAGATTTTGGTCGGACCAAATTGTAATTTTAACGGGAAATTCAGCCACTGATAGGGCTATCTATTGGAATTAAGTATATGTAAAAATAAAAAATCATATCAAACTTATATCCTACTGCTTTCTCATTTATACATTTTTCACACCTGTAGAGGTCTAATATCATTATCATCCTCAGATTTCTCATAAATAAAATCATCTTCAATCTCCCTGATATGCTTAAGATTAGATTAAATCCAGTTGCAATTTTGGAAGGAAATCCATATATAGCCATTGCATGTGACAGTTGTAGAGTAGCTGAGCTAATAAGGCAGTTTCTTTCTCAAATTCAATTCCATATGATAAAATCTGGTGTGACAATAATCCTCAATAATCACTCAAAGGTCTTAGTCCAATGAAATGCTCAGTTTGAGCTCAGCAGGATATTTTAGTGATAACTTTATGACTGCTCAGAGTAATATACAACACTTGCTCTGCCTTTATATAAATCTTAAGATTTCAAAAGAAAATGTAGGAACAAATGAAAGTTAAATAAATAATTAAAGATGAAGAAATTACAATAATTTTAAGCTTACTCTTTGATCAATCATGTCTGGAATTGCAACACCTTAGCACAACTAAAAAATTGTGCATTTCTTCCTTTATTATTAATCGAAATTTCCATGATTTCTCAAATATTTGCTTTCTACCTTCATAAATTCTATGAATTATCAATTTTTGAGCAATCCTCATGGCTTCTTTATTTTCAATTTATCAAATCACTATTCTGAGTCATATTATTTCAATTTCTAATATTATACATTTTAGCATAGGCAAAAAAATAAACCCTATTACATAGATTAAGATTTATCTAAATAACACAACAATTAAGAAAATAAGAACTATTTCCCTAACATGGTTAAATATTGATCTGATATGGAGTATATTCCTAATGCTAATAAATTCTAAGCCATATCCTAAAACTATATTGATCCGCTAATTCAATACAAAAGATATATATCCGAAATGGCAGGAAACGAAATTAAATCAGGCTGGATCGAAAAGCGATCACAATATCTTAAGTCCTGGCGAGAAAGATGGCTTGTGCTCTCTCCTTTGTTTCTCCAAACCTATAAAACCCCTACAGACCAAGAGCACGCCACAATGAGTTTAGAATTATCCACTATAGACGAAGCAGTTCCCAGTGAATTTGAAATAGCAAAAGAGCACTGTTTCAGAATAACAGCTCAAGGCACCCGATATTACATAGCCACTGACACTGACCAAGAAATGTGCTCATGGCTCAACATCATTAACCATGCTCGCCACATTCAGTCAGTGCCCTTGCTTTCAATCAATTGCATGCAAGAAAAAAAAGCGACCAGTGAAGTATGCTTAATAGCGACATTTTCAAAGATTAAAGAACTTTTGCATGAAAGAGAAGAAGAAATGGTCAATGAGCTTGAAGAATGCCAAAGAAACTATATAGAAAAGGTGGAACAAGAACTGAGTGAACTCACCCAAACTTTAGATGTGGAGAACGAAAATTACAGGTATTTTACCGAAATTTATAAGAAAGAAGATTCTTTGATTAACAAAATCAGAAAAATTCAAGCAGGGAGAAGGAATAATTTGAGCTTCAAAGAGTTTGACAGCTTGAATTGCTCTACACTTAGCGTATCAATAAAAGAAGAAGTTTTAAAGAATTTGATTAATTTTAGCACAAGAGTTAGCTTGGTTAATCCGATGGAAGTAAGTATTAGGAGAACGAATATAACTAGAGCTTTGAAATGAAGGTATACAGGTGAAAGAATAGATGCGCTTACTTTTATGGTTAGCAGTGATGTTAAACTTACTGGAGTTGGTATTTGCGCTCCCTACAAACAAGGAGGATCTGTCACAGTCAAGGATTTTCAAATTGTTAAAGGTAAGGTTAAGATTAAGATTAATGCTGGGCATTTAAGGTCCCCGCTTCACAAGAGTGACATTCTGTATAGCGCTAGCCATCTGGCTGTACATCAGATTGTGTGACTTTAGCCTCTGGTATCTCCAAGCCAAGGCCGAAATTCTGGTTTCTCGATAGTGGAATGCCCTATTGGATCGAAACCTTTGTTGGGCTCCACTATTTGAAACCTCTTACCTTCAACCGCCTAGTCATTCCACCCTGCCTCACTCCTAACCGGATCTCTACCTATCTGCAGCTCTTCAACGGGGTGTATCTATGTTGTCCAGTCTGCCACTCCCTTTTTTAGGTCACCCTAAAAAGTCTACGCAATTCGGGGCAGACCAATATTGCAACTTGCGCAGTTCATTTCGGGCGCTCCATGGCTCAGGTGCTGCTAGCAAAAGGAGCCAGAAGTAACTGCCAATTTGGATCAGGCCACAAACCAGTGAATTTGTGCTTAAGTTCTTATCTGCAGGATATGAGTCACTCCTGGCTCCAAAAATCATGCCCGTATATACATAGATAGCTGTCACGGAGAGGACGGATCGGATATCATCGCCATTTTATGTGTATGAATTTTTAAAGGTAAATATACGAATTCAAGCTCAGTTTATAAAAATCCTAGCAGGATAAATATTACTTATAGTCCTGAAAATTCAGTCACAAAGGTGCCTGTAGTTGGTGGGCTGAAAATAAAGAAATTTGCTTGGTATAGTGTAATTTTTTGCATTGAAGGGGATCATACTTACAAATGTGTAGACTGCTCTCAAAAAGTGCAGGGGCCTGGCGATGTTGAGTGGGAGTTTACAAATACATCGTTTCATCAAAGCCATCAGAATAATAGATGTGACACTGTATGTGGACCAATTGCAGATTTTTATTATATGCAATTGCAAAAAAATGACATGTAAAAGAAAATTAATAAATTTTTTATAATTATGATTTTAGAACTATATTAAAGCTCTGCATTATATCAATCAACACATTAAAATGGTGTGGCGAACTAACTCACTCTCTTAACACCTGAAGCCGGGGTGACCTAGGGTCAATTCTTAATGGAGGAGGTCCTAAGCAATATATATCCGGCTAGGCTTTCCTTTATTGGATGGAGCATAATGACGGGAAGCGACAACATACTCACATCAGGTAAAGGTTTATACTCTTAATTAAGATTAAATTCAGTTGCTATATCAATCTCAAAATTATAAGAAAAGTCACAATTATAATAGCCAATTTTTAAATTATATTTCCGCGTTTTTAATTTGAAGAAGCAATTATAGGGCAAATTGCAATTAAAGTTAATTTTCTGAGACGAATTTATCAATTAACCTTGAAGTTTCAAATTTATTTGGTATTTCCCTTATTATAATATAATGTGTTGGTTTTTTTAGACACTTGAACGCTGAATGTACATGCAGAATAAAACTCCGCATTTGGAGTTGAGCAAATACGAGTGGATCACTTTTTGAAATAAAGCCAATGTATTATAATATAATTCAAAATAGCCATAAAGTTATAAATAATAAAATGGGAGCAGACTGCTCATGCTTACGTGAAGATCCAAAACTCAATAGAGATGAAATGACTATGCAAGACACCCGCAAACCTGGTCAAGCTCAAGAAGCTAATCAAGAAACAAAAGCCCCTGATATAATTGTCGATTTTCAGATATCTGGCCCAGATAATAATGTAGATAGCATTGGAATCCAAAGCGTAGCAAGAGGTTACTTACTCCCCCCCTCCGTGAGAGAACAAATCATTAGAAAAATCGCTATTTTTTGCCCAAAAGCCCCCCTCCGCGAGCGAACAAAGTGTTTTTAATAGAAAAAATTTTTGATATATAAGTGATATTTATTATAATGAAATCTCAATCTAATTCTGTTTAATTTTAAACAAATTGTGTTTTAAAACATAAATTTTACAATATTTGCGAATTAGGATTTTTTTAAATTTCGAAAAAAAAAATTTTTTATAAAATTTTCTATAACTTTTTTTTAAAAACAAAATCAACCTCTGTGAGCGATCAAGATTTTTTTGTTCACTCACGGAGGGGGGAGTTAGACAGAAAAGAAGTAGCAGCTCTAAAAGAAATAGGTAAAGTAGTTAAAAGTTTCAGCCCAAACTTTCATTACGAACCTTTTAACGGATCCCTTTCAAGCAAAGTCTCTTCCCGTGTCAAGAAAATTGAAAAAGAGTGGGGTCCTTATGATCCTGAGTCTCCTAGTGATGATGGAGTAAAAGTTATTTCCTTTCCTGCTTATGTCCTCGATGATGGAACTATTTATGAAGGGGAATGGAACAATGATGGAGAAAAGCATGGAAAAGGCACTGAAATTGAGCCAGATGGCTCAAAATTTGTAGGATATTTCAAAAATAACAAAAGATATGGAGATGGACGATTAATCACTGCAGAAGGAGATATATACCAAGGGCAGTTTAAGAGAGGAAAGCTAAACGGAAACGGAATCGCAAGACACCCAGATGGCTCAAAATATGAAGGGAATTTCAAAAATGGGCTTCCTCACGGAAAAGGCAGAGAAGAGTTCGAAGAAGGAAACTATGAAGGAGAATACAGGAATGGGAAGAAAAATGGCAACGGAATTTTCAGCTGGGCTAAAGGAAGCAAATATGAAGGAGAATTCAAAGATAATAATATCGAAGGCTATGGGCATTATGTCTGGCCAAATGGAAAAGAATATAGGGGAGAATGAAAAGAAAATAAAATGCACGGATCTGGCACTTTTCTGTGGCCTGATGGGAGAAAGTATGAAGGAGATTATCAAAATGATATCAAGCATGGGCATGGAGTCTTTTCATGGCCAGATGGAAAAGTTTATAATGGAGATTGGGAAAATGGAAAACAAGAAGGCAAGGGAAAATTGACCTACCCAATTAAAAAAACAAGAAAAATGGAGACAAGATATGGAATTTGGAAAAATGGAGTGAGAACTGCGTGGGTTAAAAAAGAGAAAAATAGTAAAGATGAGGAATAATTATGAACGAAAGCAAACTAGTCATAAATTAAAAAAATTAATCTTTTAAATATTTCGCTGACAGATAAGCTCTATTTGCTTACTCCCCTGCTCATGAGCGAACAAAACCAATGGGAAAATCCTAATTTTTTGCCCAAAAAAACCTCTGAGAGCGAATAAAAAATATTTTTAATATAAAATTTTATGAAAAACATTTAATATAATTGTGCAATGAAATCTCTAGCTAATTCTGTTGAATTTTAAACACTATGCATTTTAAAACATAAATTTTACAAATTAATATTTGTTTTCTAATTGGAATGTCTGGTCAAGCACAGGTCGCAACCAGACACCCCCACCCCCTAAAAGTGGTACCCCCACCCCTAAAAAATGGTATCCTCACCCCCCCTTTCACAGATGGCACCCCCGCCCCCACCCCCCTTTAATATAGCATAGATATATGACATATGCTAATTTAGAGCAGGCGTAATAAATAAATTATTATTTTAAATATTCAAAATTACTGATTTATACTATATTCACATAGCGTAGCACAATCGATTAAGGAGTAAGTGGAATGGGGTGAGAATTTCCTATAACTACTAAGACGCCACATCTGAAGAAATTTGTTAAAAAGCATAATAATGATCTTTGGTATTAATTAGCAGTATATCCTGCATATATTTATGAACTTTGTGGAACAATGGCTAAAGAGTCCAATTAGAGATCCAAAAGTAAAACTGGCAATAGCAAATACTATTTTTATTAGCAATACTGAATCCTGTTGCCAATTCAGTCCTGCAATCCTTGTACAATGGGCATCAGATTAGCTTTAATTTATGAATCAATAAATTTAATGCAAGTTTTGGATTGTGCTTGGCTCATTTAATAATTAATGCCATTATCTATATTTGCACTATATTTATAAATCTAAAAACAAATTTAATATATTTTCTCATTAATTGTTAATTAATTTAAATTTATTAATTAATCACAAATATAAATAATTTATGGACTTAATTTATGAATATAGTGTTTTAATTAGATTATATTTAAATTATTGTGCTTGTTTCCTATCAATTACTTCTATAGGATAAAACCCTTTATTTTTTGAGGGGGGTGGGGGTGCCATCTGTGAAGGGGGGGTGGGGGTACCTTTTAGGAAGGGGTGGGGGTACCTTTTTAGGGGAATTGGGGGGATTCCCTTATTGGGGGGTGGGGGTGTCTGGTTGCTACCTATGCTTGACCAAATGTCTTAAAATTTTTAAAAAAAAATAGTCCCCTCCGTAAGAGAACAAAATTTTGGTTCACACACGGAGAGGGGAGTTAGGAGCAAATTGCTATAAAATCTCTAATGGATCTTTAATAACTAATTGAGTATTTAATTATATAAATTTTTTGGTCATTTCAGTTTATTATTAATATATGGAGCACTAATTCAATAGCAATAAAAATAATTTCGTCTGAGTTGTAGAGCATTTTGAGAGAAATAAAAGGAATCATTAACCGTTAATTAGATAAGACTATATATCTATATTATGCTATAACATACAGATTTTGCCAGTGCAAATTATATTATTGTCTAAAAAGCTATTTGTGGCTCAATAATATATTGTTTTAACCTAATCCTGGAGAAGATAATTAAAAAATAACAGAATTACCTCTGCCGAATTAAACTTTCTATATCAAATAATAATATTATAAAATGAACTCTAAACTTCTAGAAAATTACTACAGGAATTTTTTCCCATGCAATGACCTCTGCAGATGGCTCAACTTGGGAATTGATCTTAAAATCGATGATTCTACCACCAGAAAATCATACTTTGAGAGAAGAGAGTTTGTTTTTTACTACCACGGAGATATCTATTGTCGTCACATAAGTTTTAGCTCAGCGGATGAGCTCAAAGAGCAGCTTATCCATGATAAGCCGGAAAAGTTTGGGATTGGAGCTGTCTACAGCTTGCCTCCAAAACTTCGAAACCGAAAACAAAAGAAAATAAAGTACGAGCCAGTCGAACGCGAATTTGTTATTGATATAGACATGAGTGACTATGATAAAGTCAGAACTTGCTGCTCTGGGGCAGTTGTCTGCCAGCTTTGTTGAAAATTTTTAGAATTGGCTTGAAAGACAATAGACAATATTCTAAAAGAGCTGTTTGGTTTTAGCTCCCCCCTTCTTGCATTGAACAAAACATCAATAAAATTTGCATTTTTGGGTATTTTAAATCCCCTTTAAATTTGAGGAAAATCTGTTTTTTCAATCGGAAAGTTAATCGATAAAAATACTAATTTATATAAAATAGCTTTAACCTAATTTAATAGACAAAATGCAAGGAAAATGCTATTTAGATATTTATAAAACTGAATCAATTAATTTTTGGAATTAATTCTTCATAAAAAGAAATTAAAATTCAAATTATTGCGCTTGATCTATATTTTTTTAAAAAATATCAAATTTGATAATACAAATTTTTTATTTACCTAATTTAATAGACAAAAAACAAGTTAAAATTTAATCATTTTTAACACTGAAAATTTATATTTTTAATTCTTAAATCCTTCCCTCAGTGAGCAAACAAAATCATTAGAAAAATCCCTATTTTTTGTCCAAAAAACCCACCCTCCATAGGCAAACAAAAAATTTTTTTATGAAAAAAATTGATATATAAGTGATAATTAGTATAATGAAGCTAATTCTGTTTAATTGCATTTTAAAACATAAATTTTACAAATTAAATTAATATTTGCTTTCCAATTTTTGGGCAGCAGGATTTTTTAAATTTCGAAAAAAAAAATTCTATAAAATTTATATATAATTTTTTTTTAAAAAAGCAAATTAACCACTCCATAAGCGAATAATTTTTTTTTCGCTCAAGGAGGGAGGGAGTAAGAAAAATGAATTAAAATTTTAAATTATTATGCTCAATTTGTATTTTTAAAAAAATTAAAGTGTAAATACAAATTTTTATTGGCATAATTTAATAGAGAAATTACAAAATAGATATTTAATCATTTTTAACGCTGAATCTATATAAAAAAGAAATTAAATTCAAAGAATTTATATTCTTTTACAATTTTTAAAAAATGCTTTTAAAAAAATTAATGATGAAAAAATAATTTATAAAATTAGTTTAGACTTATTATATTCAAAGATAAAATTATTTAAATAATTTATTTAATAAAATAAATTACAGTTCAAAGCATTATAAAAAATATTTTTAAAAAAAGATCAAGATAGCATTACCGATTTTTATAAAGTTAATTTTGGTCTGTTTTAATGATAAAAGTGCAATTAACGATATTTAAAACAATTTTCAATAATATTTGATTAAATTTTTAATTATTTCTTCATAATTATTGTGCTAATTTTTATAACTTTAAAAGTTCTTTCATAGAGAAAAATTAAAATATACTTTTTTTAAAATAGTTTATTTTTGTATTTTTTGTTTCAATTTAAAGGGGGAAGTAAGGTTAATCTGTGGGTTTTTTCTGGTAGAAGAGGGATACACTGCTGGGTGTGTGATTCTGAAGCAAGACGATTAAGTGACTTCGAGCGAAAATCATTAATTGAGTTTCTAAACTCAGGACCAAATTTCAGCATATATATTCTTAATATTTGCCGAGCAATTTTTAATAATCGCTTTGAAGAAATCATTGTGAAAGACCAGAAACTGTTTGAAAATCAAGAAAGATTAGACGAATGTGTTAAAATTATTAACAGCCAACTTGGCACTACTCTTAAGTTTGCAGCTAAAGGAACTAGCGAAGAAACATGGGCAGAAATTCTAGACTTCATTAATTCGCAGCTTGATCAACAAAAAATTGACGAAATAAAAAACAAAATCTATTTCAGCTATTTATATCCAAGGTTAGACATATATGTCTCGATGGAAATATCAAACTTGCTTAAGTCTCCATTTTCTGTCCACCCAAAAACAGGTAATTTGAATGGCAAGTTTTGCTTTCGTCTCTTTTGCTTTTTTTAGTAATAGAGATTATATATTAAAAATAATTGTTAGTCAGACAGATAAATTCAAATTTATTAACCCATTATAATATATCTATTCCATTCTTAGTTGAGCTGGCAGAAGAATTTAGAGTTGACAAGGTTCCAAACCTAGTAGGTCTAAATGCTGGAGTAGATGATCTTGCCCCTCATATAAAAGTTTTGAACATTATAAGTGATAAGCTTAAAGAATGCTGCCGAAAAAAAAGAAATAGAAAAACAGCAAATTTCGATACACAAAATTATGTACCGAAACTTTAAATTTATCTAATTAATTAGTCTTTTCTATAGAAAATGATAAAACTTAATTTCTCATATTGATATTAGTATAATTATAAATTGCGATAATCGTTAAGATTCTATGAAAGACATGAAATTCCAAGATATGTTGATATAGTCGTATTATTCCCCTTATTTAATTAATTCAAAGTTGCGCCATAATGCTGGATTTTCTTAATTTTAGTTGATTCATATTTGTGCAAATTTTGAATTGGGATTTAAGTGTCATTTGAAATGAAAGACAGCAATAAATAGTCCTATAAAATGATACATGGAATGAAGAGCTCAACAAAAAATCAAGTATAAATTCAAATGATACCAAATAATTTTAAAGGAAATACAAACCAAAATTACTTAAGGATTGAAAAATTGAGTCGCGATTATAATAAAAATTGCGTTCAAAGTAGAGAATTAAAGGAGAAAAGCATCCAGATGGTAGACAATAGGTATTTATCTATAATTAAATTGATGCAAATATATTAAAAAGAACGATAAAGTAAACAATAAGTGAACCTTAAGAAATTTATAAGCAGTCGAAACGATTTTATGAGCAAAACAAAGCAATTAGCTAAAATAATCGATTTTTTATTGCAAATTTTACAAAAATCCATTAATTGACTCATCATTTAATTATGGTTATTTGAACAGAAATCTAGTAAAAAAAACTTATAAATTAGATTTGAAAGCATTTCTATTTTCAATATTGTTTTCAGCATCAATATTTAGTTTCTTATCTTATGTGCTATAAATTGCGAATTATCAAGCTATCCTATTCTAGAATTTGCTATATATCTTTTATGCTGGTCAAGAAAAAATTATCACAAAAATTGAAAAATTTAAATAATTTCTTAATAAAATCTGTAAAATGCAAGTTTTTAATAGGAAATTAATCTTAATTATTATTTACCGAGGAGACTAAATCCATCTTAAATTTTTTCGATTTTCAAACATTTAAATCTTAGAATCGACTTCTCTGTATATACCCATCATTCATTCAATTAATTTCTACAGAATTATCTGCGGATATTTTGATTGAAGTGCTGAGTTTTAGGCTTCATCTAGAATTCACTAAATGGCGAACAATAATTTGTTAACTAAACGCTTTAAAACAGCCTCACTGAACAATTAACCTTAAATTATCTTATATTAGCAAGTTCGATTACTCTGATATTAAAACTTGGGAAGTTTCAGGAGTCTTTACATGAGTAACAATAATCCGAAAAATTGTTCCATTAGCACGAAGGTTGAGATGGTTTGTGGCTACTTTTGGTGAATTTTGGCCTGATAAAGACTCCTTGGCAATCGAAGTATCTTCATCGTCTCGAACCTTAGATTTAGATAAACCACACCCCATTTTTTATTTAAGACCTTCCAATTATTCATATCATTTAACTAAAGATAGTCGCAAATATAATTAATTCGAAACATTTTATATTGATAAATTTTGACAAGTGATAGAAATTAAAAAAAATTAAATTTGATGGATTATGGAATAAAAAGACAACTCCACTTTTTATGCGAATATCTTAAAGATGGCTGGTATTGTGGTGCTAGTGTAACAGTAATTGTATTATTCATAAAACAGCCTTTGCCTGACTAATAAAATGATTTAATTTTAGATATATAACTAAAGCGAAATTCAGCAAATATTTGGCATAGATATATGATTGAAGAGCTTTAATTGGCTACTACTAAGCAATAGCGTGAAATATTTTAGCCTAAACTAAAGCTGCATCATTGAATCTATTCGAAATTTCTTTACTCCCCCCCCTCGAAGTTCGACCAAGATATAGGGAAAATTCCTATTTTTTTGGAAAATTAACCCCCCTCAAAGTTCGACCAAGACCTATATAAATTTACTAGGAAAATAAGCAATTTTTCAAAAATTTTAATCTATGTGGGGGTGAGCTTGCGATTTTTGTATTCAAGTTCTAAAAAAGCGTTACAAAACCATCTTGCACTATTTTTTTCTAACCCTTACACCCTCTCAACCATACAGAAGAATATGATAAATATTTTTTTTTTTTGACTACTAATTATATAAAAAAAATTCTATATAATTTTTTTAAAAAAATTTTACTTAACCCCTCGAAGTTCGACCAAAAAAATCTTGGTCGAACTTCGAGGGGGGGAGTTAGTTAAGATTCTGAATATGCAATAAAGCTAAATGATATAAGTAGCTCGAAGCTATAGGGTCTTAGCACTAAAATAATGCAAGGTATGATAGAAGCTTATGAATTTTCAATATCAAAGCTGTAGATTGTTATAAATAAATTGCTAACATAAGTGGCAACTTAATCATAACCTCAAGAAGCTGCATATAAATTATAAAAGCTCCGAAGCGAAATATGAGCGGTGATAATCCCATATTTTTATAACTCAATATCACAGTTTTATTGTTTATTAAATTTTTAATTTTATTAAGACTTTAATTTTCAAGAATCAATTTATTCTAATCTGCTGCCATTTAGTTTAATTTATAGCTCTCCTAAATGTTTTGAATTCCTTAAATTGTCAGGTGCAAAAATATATAATATCTAGAAAAGACGACTGGAAATTTTGATTAAAATCGCAGACTCCAAGCAGTTATATACATAAAATAGCGTGAGAAGCCAACCCAACCTCCTAACAACTGTAGTGGGGAAACTCAGGGACCTTGTGGAAGGGAGTTTTGGCTTTTGGTATGTGTATCTGGCCAGGCTTTACTTGGATTTTTGAAGTGCAATTTCCGAGTTGGCTGACTGCAGACTCTCGTCCAAGCCAATGTTTTACCTCGGAGGAGTGTCCCAGAAATACCAGTGAAGCTCCTCCCGGCCAATTTGGAATGTTTCTAAGACGACACCAGGTGCTGCGTCCATGACTACTAATTTTCATCTTGGCCGGCAGATGACCAGAAAATTTGTTTTTCGAATTTTCTAGAACCCAAACCCCACTTTCCGAATATCAGGAGTATGCGTAGGCTCATGTCTGGCAGAGTAAGATTTTGAAGATTGTGCGACAATTTCTGGTGAGGGACGTATTGCAAGGGAATAAGGGTTCCGATGCTGAGAAGGAGCTTTTCTATAATCTAACTAAGTGAAAGTGTAATGATTCTCCAAGCATCTAGAGTTATTGAAATAATGTGATACTTCATGGTATTAGCTTCTTACCCTAATTAAATAATAAAGGCTTGTATATCACATTAAATGATTATAATTTGAAATTTAGAGAGATTCTATTTAATCTAAGAGGAGACCACATAAAAATACAATTATAGTTATGATTTTATTAATGGTAGCTAATTGCTTTTTTATTATAAACAAAAATTATTTCTAATAAAGGCATAAGAAATTAAATGTATTTTTAAAATTGAGGGGTTATTTATGCAAAGATAAAGGCGATCTTTTAGATTTTCGAAAAAATATTCAAAATCTTAAGCTTATTTTATATTAATGGGGCATCAAAAAGAAAAAACGAATAAATTAATGTATGGCTTTTTTAATACAAAACTTGATATTTCAAGAAATCAAAAGGAAAATGCTAATTTGCAAAGCAAAAAGAGCAGCTAAAAGTTTCTAAAATTCTATAAAAGTTTTCTGCTAATGTTCAAGCTTATAGAGAAGATAAAAATGGTTTTATTTATTGCGCCAATGTTTTATCCAAGCTAAGTATGCCAAAATTTAAGCAAATAAATATCTCTTAATATAAATTTGCATCTTCATTCTTTGTGTTATTCCTAAGCCTTAATAATTAGTGCACATGTTATGATTTAAACATAAGATAGCTTAGAATGATGCGATTTCTGACTGTGATTTTAATTTTATTGGTATTTTTTGTGATGGAAGAGTAATAATTTATTTAGAAAAAGGTTATTATCAACAGGGAATATGATTTCTTCGATTAAAAACATTCAAATTCAAGAGATAGGGGGTACACCGTTTTTTGTTATCCCAATGTTTGCTCAGCCTCCTTCAATGTCTCAAGCGCCTCCTAAAGAAATTGGCAGAGATTACCGAGAAGAATATAAAAAGCTTTTAGCTGAAAATGAAACCCAAACTGGCCAGCTGCAAAACTTACTAGCCGACATCGACAAGCTTCAAAAGGACATTCAAGGGTTAGAACGCCAGCAGCCATCTATAAAGCACGAAAGACCTCAAGCTAAAGCTCAAAGGACAAGAAGGCCTGCCAAGCAAATTAATAGGCATTATCGCTGCCGACTGTGTCCGAAATCTTATGGGTAAGAACTATTCAGTTCTGAAGGATCGTTAAATCAGCATATGAAGCTCAAGCATTTCGAGTTTTACCAGCAAAGAGAAATGTCTAAAGATATGGGTGAAATATAGAGGATTAAGGATTAAATAAATTGATATTACTGTCATGCTGTACAGGGTTTCGATTTCTTTTATAAAGTAATAAAATGCATCATAAGTATATGAGTGAAATTGAAAGCTCACTTGCTGCAAGAAGAATAGGGAAAAAAAGGTTTAATGTACATAAAAATGAGACTTCTGAGCAGTTTACTATTGGAGAAAACCGATCTGTTTCTCCAAATCCAGTTAAAAGGGATACAACCCCAGTTCCTATTGAAAAAATGATTAAGAGAGATATGACACCAATCCCAACAATGGCAACTCCATATAGCATAGACCAGCAGCAAGAAAAATGAAGCGAGCGCAGACATTTTGAAAACAGATCAAGTAGTATTACTGTGGAGGCCGTTAAAAGCCCAGTGATTGAGAATTTTTCTAAGCCAATATCTCTTCGAGAAAAAAGGCCTAAATTTAACTCAAGTTTGAAGCAAGACTATCAAAACTCTCCTGATTTAGATATCTTTTCAAAACCAATCATAAGTGCTTCAACTCAAATTATTGAAAATAAAGAAGTTCCTAGTGATGCTTTTCTAAAACCCCTTTTACATCAACCAATGTTTACCAAAAAAAATCCAAGAGTCCAGGATTATAATCCGATTACAGGGTATATAATCAAGCCAGAAAGGAATTCTCCTGAAAGAAGAATTGGAATGAACGATTATGGGAAAATGGTGCTCCAACAGCAAATGGATCGGCCTTATTTTTCAATTTCATAATATAAATTTTTCTAGATAAATTAATTAAATACTTCTCTCATGATTGGATACTCTTGATCCATGATTTTACAACTAAATTTGACTAACTCCCCCCTCCGTGAGTGAAACAAATCATCATTAGAAAAATCGCTATTTTTTGTCCAAATACCCACCCTCCGTGAGTGAACAAAAAATTTTTTTATGGAAAAAATTTTGATATATAAATGATAATTAGTATAATGAAATCTAGAGCTAATTCTGTTTAATTTTAAACAAATTGCTTTTTTAAAACATAAATTTTGCAAATGGAATTAATATTTGCTTTCCAATTTTTGCGAATTAGGATTTTTTTAAATTTCGAAAAAAAATATTTTTTATAAAATTTATAAATAATTTTTTTTTAAAAAAAAAAAAAATTAAACCCCCGTGAGTGAACAAAATTTTTTTGTTCACTCACGGAGGGGGGGAGTAAGTCACATGTAACAGTCCCTTCAATTGTTACAAAACTAATGTCTTTTCTATTTTTCACCCAAGCTTGCTCGATGTTAAAAATGTCTGGTTCATCAAACAGTACTCATACTCCTGGATTTTTCATGAGTGACCACTGTGGCTGGCCTACTTTTGTATTGACTCTTTTTATAGACCTTTCTTTTCAATTATTTTCAATCTCTTTTCACCTTATTAAGATTAAGAGCCTTGTTTAAAGATGGCTAGGATTTCACCTCTACAAGTTAATCCGCATCAGTTTAAAAGCGCCCTACTGACACCGTCTGCCTTGCTTAGGCTTCGACAACCTGACTTGCTCCCGCGGCGTCGTTCGCTATCAGCTTGAAGCCTGGGGCGTAGCTCCCAGTTTCACGCTAGGCACCTGCTGCCTTCAGGGCCCCTAATTCGAATAGGGATCATACTAATCTAGGGGCCGATAGCCGGCTGTGCCCTTTTCAACTCCATGTCAGTAGGAAAAATCCCATGTCCCAGGTATCATACCCTGTGGCACGGAGAAAACCGCTGCCGAAATACATAAAGGATGCCGAACCTGCATCTCGACTTGGTTCCTCCTCCTGGGCGTTCCCTGCAGATGTTGAGTAAATTGCATCAAGAGGTCGGGTGCTCTCCTCCGCCATATTAATGTAAATTCTTTTCACCTTATAAAATCAACCTCAAAATTGGATTTCGTAAGTCTTGTTTTATCAAAATTTGATTTGTAAGCAGACTCGATCATAGCTGTGTGCTGAGCAGAAAACTCTCTGAATTTTCCGTCATCACCTTGTCATGCCCAATATATTCTATTACCTCCTCTCTCAAAATTTTCTCTTCTCTGCTGTGGAGGTGGATTTCATCCATCAATAACAATTTTCCCACTTCTCATTTTTGCTTCTAGATTTTTGAAATGCTTATCTGTATATGCTTCAAAATGAGATTTCAGTTTTTCTCTCTCTGTCTTTTGGCTTTCAGCTAGTTGAGCCTTTAACTTTGCCTCTTCTTGCCTCTTAATTTCTTCAATTTCTTCTAATTTTTTTTGCTCTTCTTGAATTCTCAGCTTAGCCATGCTTTCTTCCATTTCTTTCTGCAGCTTTTCTCTCATTTGCTGCATTGCTCTGGCATTGTCCTCTATAAGCGTCATCATGTCATAAGCTGGCTTTATGGAGGAGATATCACTTTTTTGTTTATCTATTGGACATTTCAGCATAGAACCTTGCTTGAGCATGTCTTTACACACAACACATATAGTATGACCACATCTTAATGTGATAGGCATTCTGTCCCTTGAGTAGACCTCAAAACAAATTTTGCAATCCGGGGAAAATTCACTTTGATTTGCGTCCATATTATTATCTTCTCTACATTATTTTATTCTATAAATGGACTTTACATATTTAGAATCTATTTTCATATAAATAATTATAAAATACCATTAGCAAGCCTTTGAAAAGAATCATATTTTACGGTTTTCCAGTTATCTGCTGCCTTTTCTACTAATTTTTCAATAAATTCCATGCATTGCTCTTCTGATAAATCCAGTCTAAATCTTGCACTGAATTCTTTTAAAGCCCTTTCTGAGTCCCTAAAGCAATTTAAAGATTCCCCAGGCCTCATCATCTCAATTATAAGCAGCAGCTCAGTTGTGTGTTTCCTTAATGCTAAAAATCCTTGATAAAGCAAAATTTTATAATAAATGAAAAGCTCTCCTTGGTATCCTCCCATCAAGTCAACCATCTCATTAGTCAATTTAAAAGGAGCTGACTCAAAATTTATGTTCCCTCCAGGAGTATTTGTTAAGAAAAATCCGAAATCAATATGAATTATATGGCCTTTGGAGTCAAGCAAAATGTTCCCATTATGACGGTCTTTTAGATTTAGTATGTAAGAGATAAGGGAATAGCCAGCTAAACTCTCTATGAAATTCTTTTGGGCTTCGAGGAAGTGGGAACGGAAATTGAGAGAGAAAAAATCTGATAAGTTTGTGTAGTTAGGGTAGGTTTTCTTGATCGCATGAAGTGAAACAGCATCGGGGATACATTCAATGAAGCCTGAGTTGTGGGAGATTATGAGGATATTGTAAGGTCTTAAATATAAGCGCAGTTTGGCAGCTTGAAAAATTTCGTTGCATTTTTTGATGACTTGCATCGCCAGAAGTTCCTGTCGGAGATCATCATGGCCTTTTACTATTAGTGGGCGGAGTTTTCAAGATTTGTAGTGCCCAAAAATAGATGAAGCTTGGATTCGAGATTTTGTATCCTCCCAAGCTTCTCCTCAAGGAGAGTCTAGAGATGTTTTTATTTGTGAATTAGAATTTTCTATTTCTATTTCATCAGTTCTAGAGGCTGCCAATGCATCTTCTGATTCTGCAGTACTAATGCTTTTTATTTCATTTATTTCAGCAGTTTTTATGCTTTCTCCGTTTATTTTATTGCATTTTAAAGGGTTTCTGATCTCTGCTTCATTTTCTAGCTCTTCTTCATTGATATCAATAGTCTCCACAATGATTTTATAGGGAACCCTCGCTTTAGTCTTAAAGCATTTGCACTCACTACTAGGTATACTTACTATCTGTTCACTATAAGTTTCTTCTGCATAAAATTCCAATGGCAAAACAATTCCGCGATAAAGTCTTTTTATATAATTTGAATGTTCTGGCCTGTTATAATATTCCCTTGTATTTCTCACCCAGTTATCTAATTCTTGTATTTGTTCAGCCAAAGCTGTATCTTTTTCTTCATCAGGAACTGAAATAAGTTCTATTGATATTCTTCCTAGCGTTTGAGCAAGTTTGTGCTGGTCATTAAAATAATCAGCCCTTGCTTGCTTATGGATAAGTAAATCTTTCTCAGATTCAGAAATATTTAGCTTAAATAGATGAGGCGGCTGAGTAGTTTGGCCTTTTCTTGATTTTTGGCCATTCACGATGACCTTTTCGAGATCTCTCAAAGTGCTACGGAGAAGCGGAGAGTATCTTCTAGGTCCATCATACAAATTCGCTTGTAGCATTCAGTATGCTTTCTATATATTAAAACAGTCTAATTTAGAATTTAGTAAATTAATATGCCAATTATTGATGCAAATCCTTCATTTTATTTTTCGTAAGCTATTTATTCACAATATTATATAATTTGACTGCAAATACATGAGACTTAACCGAGGTGTCTAAGAAGAATGACGAATAAGGAGCATGCTCTTGCTTTTGTGTAGAAATATTGATCAGCTGAGGTAAAAATTCAAAGACTTTTTCAATCGGAATTTCATATAGTTTGTTTATCAGAAAAGCTTGAACGCCTGAGGAATCATGCTTGTATAAATAATAAAGTAGAAGCTCTATGGGAAGACTAGGCACAGAAAATAACGCTGGCAATAAACTTTGTTCATCTGTCATATTATCATTCTATAGTTTTGCTTTAAAGATGGTAAAAACTATTTAAAATAGTCAAAATTAATATTTTTAAACTAGTTTATTAATGCATAAGGGCTCGACAATGGCTCTGGGCTTGTCCCTTCCAGTGCAAAGGCAATTATTTGGGTCTAACTTCATGATGTTTATTCTGCATGTGTCGCTTATAACTGTCTCATAATCGTTTGCTAGAATTAGCTGAGAGATTCCTGAATCTTCATAATGCTTTTTGGCAATATCTTTATACCTTGATCCTTGAAAGGGACAGCGTGTCATGGCATTTCATTATACCATCTTTAAATTGGTCTTCAGTTATATCAAAATTTATGAAACGATTTATACTAAACATAATTTTTTAAAAAAAACTGCAGATAGTGCTATTAAAAAATTTAACAAGAATGCAATTAAAAAATTTTTGATGGAAATATCTCTATATACTTACCATTTACGTTAATTTCATTATAAACTTGCACTAAAGCTGCTGTAAATATCCACACAGAGGAGACCAATGAATAGGAAAATAAAGCAATATCATCTCTATTCCTTTTATTTCCATTGTTGAAACTTCTTCGTCACCATGTTTTAAACTCAATCCTAAATAATTTTCCATTTATTTTAATTTTTAAAAGTCTTATTGTGTGATATTCGTTTCGCAAATTCTAATTTATTATTTTAAGTTATAGCTCAGACTCTCTTATTCCAATTTCTTACTTAATTCCTTTGGACTCTTCATAAACTTTTGACAAATATGTTTTCCAATCGAAAAAGCACCAAAAGAGACGCAAAAGTTAGCTATGACCACTATATAGCTGAGCAAGTTCGTGAAAGTCAATCCTGGATATATAATAACACCTAAATAAGCTGAAGGGATTACAACACAAAACATATAAACAGCGGAAATGCATGCTGGTCCTAAGAAATCTTTATTAACAAAGGTTATAGTAGATGAGATCAGTTCTGGGATTAAAAATAAAAACACTCCTCCATGAGTGAGAATTAAATGCCATAGTTCAAAATCTGGCGAGGCTGTAAGAGGGTAGGCATAAGCCCAATATAATATAGTAACATTAAGACCCATAGTCCATGATATTGATAATAAGACTTTTCTAAAATTCTCACTTCCTAATTCTCTAAAAAAGCACAAAAAAGTCAATGTTTTTGCTAAAAGGGTCCAATGAGTTAGATAAAGGAAAAATTCAAGTTTTTGAATCGAAATTCCCCTAATAATCAAAAAAGTGCACACAGTTAGTGCTAGAAACCGTAAGGGTTGCTTATCCATCATGTCAGAATCTATTTTATCAACCAAAAAATGTTAACAAAATATGCCCATTAAGGTGAAATAACAAGTCCTTCTAGAATTTCTTAAATTTTTTAAATTCCCTAAAATTTATCTAATTTTCTAATTTTGATTAGCTTTCAAAGCATCACAAATGTTCTATGCATTAATTTTAAAATTCTGCAATACCATTTAGAAATTTGAATATCTTTTTTTGATATTTTTAATAATTTTATTGCCCTGTTATTATTCTTATATCTGGCCTATTTTAAAAGTTATCTAGACAATTTAGAAAAGCATAATTAAAATCTTCAAGTTAAATTCAATTTCAAGCATAAAAAATAGATCTATATAGTGTCTGAACCGCTATAGCTTGCCTTGGCGAGGGTTCTCTGCAGCAACTTGGAGCTCTGACAAGCCACCTAAAGGTGACAAGTCAACCCCAAGTTGACAAATCCTTGCAAAAGAGCGCACTTTTGTAAACTTGGAGTTGACTTGTGTCACCTTTAGGTGGCTCGTCAGAGCTCCAAGTTGCTGCAGAGAACCCTCGCCAAGGCAAGCTATAGCGGTTCAGACACTATAATAACTATAAATAGTGATGGAAAAGATCTCTCTCAAGCCTCTATAGCTCAGTCGGCAGAGCATTTGCTTTGTAAGCAAAAGGCCACCGGTTCAAACCCGGTTGGGGGCTCTTTTTATTGCAATTATTTTTTATCTTATTTATAATTTTTGTTGCTAGCTATAATCAAATCAAACGAAAATTCTTTCAAACTCACAGCGGCAGCTGCATTATCATCAACTTACCTCAAAATTTATTCCGACATTTATCAGTGACAATTATGTGGATTTTTAATCCCTGCTCTAATAAATTAATTTACTAACCCAAATAAGCTGACTTTTTCATAATTTAAGCTTTTTATTAAAAAACGCTATAGGGCCTTTTCTATAGATGGCGCGCAATGCGCCATCACCGGGCCGTGCCGGGAGAGGGTTCCACACGAAGAATGGTTCTACGTGTGGAACCCTCTTTTTGGCTCGTGGAAAGTAGTTTTCTCACAGGTCAAAAAGAGGGTTCCACACGTAGAACCATTCCTCGTGTGGAACCCTCTCCCGACATGGCTCGGTGATGGCGCATTGCGCGCCATCTATAGGAAGGCCCTATACTAATTCATGAGGATTAAAATGAAGTGATCTAATCTTAAACCACTAATATGGGACTTTGCTGCAGCAACCCAGAGTTTTCATTCTCGAAAAGTGGGCCTCTATACCCTAATAATTACAGCCTATTGATTCCCTATCATGATCATAAAGCTCAAAGGATATTTAAAAAACAAGTTTCATGCACGCTAACATTCCCGGTGCATGAATATTCAAAAGTAAGTAACTTAGGAAATCAAGAGATTTCCATAACAGGCTGCGTATTGCCAGGGATGGATCCATCCCAGGTTTATTATAAAGAATGCCAAGACAATTTTGTCTGTATCGTTACCCCCGATTTCATTATTTCCGTGCTTTTAGATGGCCATGGAAAACATGGAAAACTAGTATCAGAACATTGTAAAAAACACATCGAAACATATTGCAAAAATAAACTATACAAAATTCAAGAAAACCCAGCAAAGTATGTCGAAAAAATTATATTAAATTGCGACAGAAACCTAAATTCATCAAAAATTGACACAAATTTATCAGGAACCACAGCCGTTGTTGTATACTTTGGATTGCATTCGATCCATGTATCAAGTGTTGGAGACTCACGTGCGATAATTGCTACACGCCCCTTGAGTATCTGCAAAACCCCCATAAAGACACTTCAAGCGGTTCCTTTAACTATTGACCAAAAGCCAAACCATGCATCAGAATTGAAAAGAATTACAGATTCTGGAGGCTTAGTGCAAAGAGCAATATCAAAAAATGGCAAACATATAGGGCCTTATAGAGTGTGAATTAAAGGGCAAACACTTCCAGGTTTAGCAATGTCAAGATCAATAGGTGATAAGCTAGCAACTTCAGTCGGAGTTACTTCTAACCCAATAATTCAAACATTCCCACACTATGCAAATACAGATAAATTTATTGTTTTGGCTTCAGATGGGATTTGAGACGTCATGACAAATGATGAAGTTGCTTTATATTTGGAAAAATTTTCAAAACTTGCTAATCCTAAAGGATTAAGAGCACAATTTCCAGTAACACCTGCAAAGGCAACAATCGCAAGATTACTGTGTGAGGAAGCTAGAAGAAGGTGGATTGAAGTTGTTAAGAAAGAAAGCGTGCTTATTGATGATATATCGTGCTTAGTTCTAGAAATAGGAGAAGACAAAGAAGTTTTTATAAAAAGCTTGCCTGAAAGAGTAATAGAGAGTAGGAACAGCTTGGATGATATTGAAGGAAGCGGAACTTTGGATGTCTTAGATTTTAGTAGAAACGACCCTAATAGAGGAACTTCTGTTAATAAAGAAGACATAAAAGAATTGTTATTATAATAATAACTTTTCAATATATAATCATGAATTATCATTCTTTAGATAAAATAATATTATTTTCGAGCTCTGATTTTAGCCCAGCTAAGAGCATCAGCAATTTCTAGAAATAAAATTTTATTGGATTAAATAAAATGGATTTTGAAATATTTGGTATCATTTTGGTTGTTTCATTTTTTAATTTTCCTCTTACTCCCCCCGTCCGTGAGTCAACAAAACCATTAGAAAAATCGCTATTTTTTGCCCAAAAACCCACCCTCCGTGAGTGAACAAAATTTTTGATATATGAGTGATAATTAGTATAATGAAATCTAGAGCTAATTCTGTTTAGTTTTAAACAAATGCTTTTTAAAACATAAATTTTATAAATTAAATTAATAATTGCTTTCCAATTTTTGCGGATTGGGCTTTTTATAATTAGGCTTTTTATAAATTTAGAAAAAAAAAATTTTCTATAAAATTTATATATAAATTTTTTAAAAAAAATTAACCCCCCTCCGTAAGTGTACAAAATTTTTTTGTTCACTCACGGAGTGGGGGAGTTAGCAGAGATTGGCTTGAATTGGTGTTCTCAATTATTTATTTTTTTATATTTTTCAAATTCTTTTATTGTAACATTTTTATATTTCTTAAATTACTGAAATAATGAAAATCCGACCAATTGAGAGCGATCGTCAAACAGCTCCAGACCATGACGATCGAATGAACACTTTATCTGTTTTAGAAGGTTTAGAAATTGACGAATCAAATGCACATTTAAGAGGAGATGATACCTTTAATGGCCCTGTTGGCAATCGAAAATGTACAGACACTCCTTTTCTTATCGCTTTCGCAATAGGAAATGTCGTGCTGCTTGGGCTTTCAATTTATGGTAATTTCTAATTAGTCTTTATTATTGGTGATCCTGATCGACTTTATCGAGGTTTTGATTTTCGGGCTGATGTCTGTGGAATTGGAAAGTTAGATGACCGAAGATTTATGTATTGGCCAGATCCAAGCAATATGGATTGAAGCTTATGCATTCACGCATGTCCTTACTATTATATGAAAAATTATTACTGCATTTATGACGATTATAATACCAGTGTATATTTAAAAGAATGGGGGTGCTGAGACGCTTATGAGTCTACTTCTTATGGATTTTATTGCATCCCTACAGCTAAGTCTGACAGAGAAAACGTTATAGATGAGCTTGGCAAGCCTATGACACAAATGAAAATCGCAAGCGGCGATTTAGTTTTGAGCTGGGATTCTATATTACTTGGAGGAGTGCTAAGCATAGTGATGGGTTTTTTATATTTATCCTTGTTTAGAAAAGCACATGTTATCAAGAAAATTATAATTTTCAGCATTTGCTTATTGGCTGGGCTTATTGGCTATTTTATCTATTTATGGGTAGAAGCAGCCAATAAGATACATAAACTTTACTGTGAATCATATGGGCCAGCCTCTCCTGATTATTGTGAAACCAGCAATTATAATTTTTATATCGCCTTAGCTGCATTATCAGGATTTTTTGGGTTACTGTACTTATATCAAATATATTTAAAATACCGAAAATTCAATGTAGGAATAAATATGATTGTTTTAACCTGCAAACCTTTGCATAACATTCGAGAACTTTTCTTTTTCCCTGCTATGCAAATTATAGTAGGGCTTGGAATCATGATGCTACTTGCTCTAGTTATATGCTGGACTTTCAGCACTGGGACTATTGTGTATTATAAAAATAAAAATGTCCCAAATGGTGAAGCAAATAAAATCGAATTCAGGCAAGGTGAAGTAGCAATTTTTGCATACAATGCACTTATATCTGCTTGGTGGCTCAGCTTTATGGTTGATGTCGGGTTTTTCGTTCTTGCTGGAGGAGTTTCTACTTGGTATTATTCAAGGCAAAAGGATGCGCTTTATGTAAGATATATGTAGATGCCATTGTGAAAATCTTTTAAAACTTGTTTAAGATACCATCTAGGATCAATTGCTTTTGGCTCTCTTGCAAGACCTTTTTCAGTTATCCCTTGCTGGCTGATACGCCCCTTTGACAAAATGAAGCTTAAAGCAAAAGACCCAATGCCGAAAAGTACGAAATTTATTACTGACTGTTGCTTCTGTATTAAATATTACCACAAATATTTAAGATTCTTAACAAAGTACTCTTACATTTATGTAATATTCATATAGCTCTCAATTTTTGCAGACCCTTATTTCCGCTCTTCAAAGCGTTCCTACTATTTAATGAGACGCAATTACTTCAGAATTGGGAAACCTGCTGCAATTGGCAGTTTTATAATTTCTATAGTCCAATATGTGATCACCCTTTCTGGACTGTGCCTTACTATGTCTCTAATTCTCCTCCCAGACAAAACTGCATCAGGCCAGCTTTCCATAGAAATTGTCTCAACTGCCGGCCCTGCTCTTTTCACTTTCCTTATCTCCTGGTTTATCGGTAAATCATTTGCAGGAGCCCTCGATATAAGCTTAAACACAGTTTTGCTTTCTGCTGCCAGCGACGAAGAAATGTTTACCCGTGAGCAAAGATTTGCTGAGAAAGATCTGATTGATTTTATGGATGGGATTGGAGAAGAGCAAAATGAGTTTCATAGGGAAGAAAAAATGGGCGTGAGAATGGAGGGTAGGAAGCTTGCATGGTATGAGGAAGATGAAAATATTTTGAATGAAGACCAAGTGTATAAAAAGGGAGATCTGCCTTCAAGAGATCATGATGTAAGCGGATTAAGAACTACTATGAACAGCCCTGCTAGTATTTTATATGTCCAAACTGCTTCGTCAACTGTGAGAAATCCGGTATTCATGGATGAAATTGTAGAGGAGTCAGTTGAGGAAGATCCAAATCATCAATATGTGATAGGCAGACAAGCTAAATATGTAGGGTAATAATTAACTATATCAAATTTTCTTTGTGAAAATTATAGCTTTTAAAATAAATTTTCACATTTATTTATATAGAAAACATTTGCGGATTTTAGAAGTGAGAAAGATTATTTTTAAATCAAAAAATAGTGGTTAATTAGACCAAAATGATCCAAAGTAAATTGCTAAATTTACATTTAAGAAATAATGAGACTAATCTTTCATAATTTATAAACCCATTCCTCTTGGAATGCTCAGCTTTCTAGTCAGCATCAAAGGATTCCCTGCCTCCATTGGGCTTTTACAATTGCTGCAAAAATACGTAACACCGTGGAATTGCTTATCAAAAATTGGAATTAAGCAGCACCCGAACCAGCACCCTAATAAGCACATTGACCCACACATATTCCACGTCATAGAGGTAGGATCATATTCTTTAATGGGTGCACTGATTTTCATACAATATGGGCATTTCCCGAGTTTTGTCCCTTTGCCATGCTTAGTCCCAGCCATAGGTGTTAGATTCATCGTTGTGCTCAATTCATACCCATAATCTTCGTACTCTTCTTGGCTTTGCTCATCTTCGTCCAGTAAATATCTATTTGCATCTTCCATCATATGATTTTAGTTGAATAAAATTAAATGGAAAAGACTCAAAATTCTGCTTCAGGCTTTGAGTGTCATATATGTATGGAGACTGCGAAAGAAGCCGTAGTAACACAATGCGGGCATTTATATTGCTGGGCCTGTATTAGTCAGTGACTTAACCAAAATAGACAAGAAAGGACATGCCCAGTCTGCAAATCGGGTATTGATCCAGACAAGATGGTCCCTATTTATGGATCAACTAACAAAGAGAGGAGCAACTCTGAAAGGCCAAAAGCTCAATGGGAAAAGCCAAAGCCAAACCCTGAGTATAGTAGGTTTAGAGGCTTTCAAGAAGGCATGGATAGATCTGGAATAAATTTTTCTGCTGGATTCGGACTATTCCCAGGCATGTTTGGATTCACAATCGGGACTAATTTTAACCAAAACGACCCAAGAGCCGACACATTGAGCAAAATCATGATGATTATAGGATTATTGATAATTTTGGCTATTGTTTTCTAATTATAAATCTCCCCTCCGTGTGTGAATAAAAAAAATTTTGTTCACTTACAGAGGGGGCTATTTTTTTTTTTAGAAAAATTTATAAATAAATTTTATAGAAAAAAATTTTTTCAAATTTTTAAAAAAATACCAATTTTGCAAAAATTGGAAAGCAAATATTAATTTAATTTATAAAATTTATGTTTTAAAACGCAAATTGTTTAAAATTAAACAGAATTAGCTCGAGATCTCATTATACTAATTATCACTTATATATCAAATTCTTTTTTCATAAAAAAGTTTTTCTATTAAAAAAATTTGTTCACTCACGGAGAGAGGGAGTAAGATATTTAAGATAACCTGATACCACTAATGAAGATTGTTAGAACAAGTAAACGTCTCTTTGGCCTGCTGGTTCTCAATTTGTATAGTTGTGTGGGATATGTTGTACTTATCTTGACATATAGCTGTAGCTTTGGCTAAAGCAACTGCAGGGTCGTCTGAGCCAAGATGGCATGATAAGGAAGGTTTCCCAATACTAAGACTCCATACGTGCAGATCATGTATATCATAAACTTCATCAATCTATATAAATTTTACCTCCAAGATATCATTAACCAAAGAATCAAGGTCAACGTTTATGGGAGCTCCTTCCATAAGCACTTTTATGCATTCTTTCATGATAGGTAAAGTTGTCCCAGCAACGATCACTGAAAAAATAAATGTGCAGATTGGGTCAGCTATGCTCCATTCAGGGTTAATTACAATGCAAATGGCTGCTATTGTAACCCCAACACTTTGCAGCAAATCCCCTAAAACATGTAAAGAGGCTGCTCTGATATTTACGTCTTCTTCAAGCTTGTGGCCAGTTTTTTCTTTTCTGGCTTTAGAAGGGCTGTCTTTGCGCTTTTCTTTATGGTCATGAGAGTGCTCGTGGCCATGAGAATGCCCCACTCCATGCAAATGAGAAGAATGTAACATCCAGCCCATAACAATGTTGCACACAAGACCGATTCCTGCCGTCACCAGCATTATTAATCCATCAACTTCTTTTGGGTTCTGCACTCTAATAACTGCTTCGTAAAAGAGCCAAATTGTGAGGCCCCAAATTAAAGCGACGCTCATTATGGCTCCGATTATTTCAGCTCGGTGGTAGCCGTAAGTCATTAACATTAACATTGGAAATTAGTCTTGGGTCTCCCCTATTGGTAACGCAGTCACCAAGGACCCCGAAGGGTTCACCTGCTTTGCGCCGTAGTCCAAAACAAACCATAAAGGTCTGCCATCGGGACAAGGTCTACTCCTCCCACAGCGAACTGCGGCTCAAGTGTTGAGTGGGTGGGCTATGGACTTCTGCGGCTTGCTGCTTGAGTACAAGGTTGTCCACACAAAAATCCCAAAAAATGGGATTTTTGATGTCCTTTCGGCAAAAGGGAAAAGTTCGTCACCTGGGGCGTAACTCCTAGTTTCACGCTACGCAGTTGCCCGATTGGTCTAGGTATTACCTGTAGACTTAGCTGGGCTTGCCCTTTCCAACGCCGAACACCTCCCTTCCCTCGAGGTAAAATTTAATCCCAAAGTGAACTGAGGGCTAGGCTCTGAAACACAACCAGAATTGCTTGCCTAGGATTGCTGTCCTTTTAGGGTTAGCAAAACCTTGCCGGATATAATTAAAATAGGGCTCGAGACTGTCTGGCTGAGAGGCCAGACCCAAGTTGAGACGCCATATTTTAATTGCTAGCCCTTAGTCAATTGGCTTGATGCTGGGCGAGATGATATATAAAGTGAAGCAATTGCAATTGCAAATCCAGAGAGATCTGAAAACATATGAGCGGCATCTGTCATGATGGCAATTGAGTTTGCGAGAAACCCGCCAACTATTTCTACAACCATAAAAATTGCACAAATAACGGAAACGAAATACAGCTTCGAGAGAGACTGTGATTTTTTGGGATCTAGTTTAGGCTTTGAAGGAGGAGATATGCTTACAAGTGGTATTGAGAGGTTATTATCTGTCATTTTTTAATTATATTTCGTATGGAGGTTATTTCAAAACAAATGATGTGAAAATATTTTATGTGTAAATGTTTCCGGTCAGCTGATTTTGGTTGAATTTATGGAAAACTGACATAGACTTATACTGAATTGGATATAAATGGCAATAAATCGCTCGATATTTAGATTAATACACATGCTAAAGAAACAATAAATTAATAATTCTGCGTTTAATAATTCCCGGTGAGACGTTTGTTGTGCTGTGAAGAAACTGCGTGGCTTTTTAATTGTGATGATAATATAGTTGAGTTGCATGAAAGACATTTCAGGCTTCTTTTTGATTGATCATGTTTATAATTCTTTTCTATTCTAAATCTGCTTCCATCATATAATACAAAAATTTCACCATTCTTCAAGCCCGTGGGAATTTCGAAATCTGTGTCATCTTCGGAATATTCAAAATTACTATAGTTTGATGATTGTTCTTGAGAAAACTGACTGCTGGTAATTGAATTTTCCTGACTCGGGTCGTCTAATGTAATAATATATGAAGCTTTTAATCCTTTTAAATATTCTGAAAGCATTTTTATTCGATTTTCTTCAATATCTTCGCCGTCAGGTTCCCTTTCACTGCACATACAAGTTCCCATAATATTATTATAACAACTAGCTTAGGCAAAGAGCTGGTTGATGATCTAAACATTTTGAAAATTTTTGAAATGGTTTGTGTTAGGTAAAAATATTTTAAAATTTAAAAAGAAGGATTTAATTTTTAAAGAAATGGATAAGATTAATATTTATGCAAAACTAAAGGGCATGATAAACTATTTCCTTAATTAAAGCAGCTTAAATATTCTAAACTACCATTAATAGATTCTCTGTGAATAAATAAATAAGAATATTCTTCTCTGCTTTATAAAATTATTATTGCATTTAAATTTCATACCAATTTTAATTCCTATGAAATTTTAGAAATTTAAAATTAAAAATAATAAATAGCTTTAAATATTAAAACAATTTTGCCATATTTTACTTCATTTATCTTCCTATTGCACCTTACTAAATATTTATATCAAAAACTTTTATAAGATGTAAACCTCATTTCAGGGAAGAGAACTCAAAACGCTCGAAAGGAATCCAATCTCCAATGAAAACCAAAACAATCCAAGGATATGAGCTGCTTGAAACTCTAGGAAAAGGTACTTTTGGAAAAGTAAAACTTGGGCTGCATCTTCTTACAGGAGAAAAAGTTGCTATAAAAGTCCTCGATAAGAACTGCATTTCTGATGTTTCAGACGTCGAGCGGATTTCTCGAGAAATCCACATCTTAAAATTGATAAGTTAGTTAGTTAGTTTTAAATGGCCATACGTGGGCGAACCGGCGGACCACAACACCTCAGCTCGAAAGACGACTCCAGGTCGGGTTCTGATGCGACCATACTCCCAGGCCGGACGCCATCTTGATTTCTGTTCTGAGCCACCTGTCCAGAGGATCAGCTCCTCAGGGCAGAGCCACTTCTTGGAGAATGCCCAGATGGTCCTGATGAGGGAAGACCATGTGGTAGTAAAACCTGTCTAGCCCATCTGGCAGGGACAGGAAAACCTTCCGGGGAGAAATAAAACTTCCTTTTCGGCACGGCTTCCCCACCTCTGAAGGCCTACTTAAGACTGGGAACGAGGCCCTATATTTCAACTTCATCAGAAATAGGTCCCTACCAGCTCCATAGGAGGTGTGCCTCGGAGTCCAATTTCCGTCAACAGCACCATTTTATTTCTAAAATTGATAAGGCATGAAAATTTAGTCCAATTATACGAGGTATTTAAAAATTAGGTTATAGAGACCAGCGAGAAAATCTATTTGGTCATGGAATATGTTAGCGGAGGAGAATTGTTCACCCACATTGTCAATAGCAAACGATTAAAAGAAAAAGAAGCCTGCAAATTTTACCAACAGATAATTTCAGGAATTGAGTACATTCACAAGCTAAACATTGTGCACAGGGACTTAAAACCTGAAAATCTATTGCTTGACCACGATAAAACTTTAAAATTTGTAGACTTCGGGCTAAGTAATACTTATCTTGAAGGAGAGATGCTAAAAACTGCATGCGGAAGTCCTTGTTATGCAGCCCCGGAAATGATAGCTGGAAAAAGCTATATTGCCTCGAGAGTTGATATATGGAGTTCAGGAGTTATTTTATTTACCATGCTATGCGGGCATTTACCATTTGAAGATTCAAACACTCATCAATTATATAAAAAAATACTAGCGGGCGAGTATCATGTGCCGAAATATGTGACTCCAGAAGCTAAGGAGCATTTTTTGATTCGCCATTCTTAAATTTGATTAGCCAGAAAATATGGCATGCCAACGAATTTGGCAAGCTATTGTCCATCAAACCAAAAAATGCTCATTAGTGGGCTATTCTTTGTAAATAAGTATATTTTTTTTGCCATCAAAGTTAATCTTTAAATATAGATTTTTAATTTCAACATGAAAGACGAAAAGTTTTTAAATATAACTTTTATAAAAATAACTCTATAAGGGTTGAGTAAGGATTTTTTTAAAATGCATCTTGAATACTAATCCAGAGGAGCGATATAGAATAGATCAAATTAGGCAGCATCCTTGGTTTAATTTGATTAAACCATCACCTGATTCTTTTGGATTTATAATAGGATACGATGATCTTCCTATCAATCAAAAAATTTTAAAACAATTATCAGGCTATGATTTAGATCCTTATGAAATTCAAAATCAACTTATATCAAATAAACAGAGCAATGAAGCAACTGCGTAAAAGTTACTTACTCCTTCCCTCCGTGAGTGAACAAAAAAATTTTGTTCACTCATGGAGCGGGGCTAATTTTTTTTTTTAAAAATTTATATATAAAATTTTATAAAAATTTTTTTTTCGAAAATTAAAAAAATCCTAATTCGCAAAAATTGGAATTCAAATGTTAATTTAATTTATAAAATTTATGTTTTAAAAAGCAATTTGTTTAAATTAAACAGAATTAGCACTAGATTTTATTATGCTAATTATCACTTATATATCAAAATTTTTTTCCATAAAAAATTTTTCTATTAAAAAAATTTTTGTTCACTAACGGAGGGTGGGTTTTTGGGCAAAAAAATAGCGATTTTTCTAATGGTTTTGTTCACTCACGGAGGGGGGGGTTAGATACTATTTATTATTAAAAAAATCGCAAAAAAAAGGTGAATACAACGATACCGAAGAAGAGCCATACGATAATGGGTCTACAGCAAGCCCCTCCTTTCATAATAAGCATCGAAAAGTCGTGGATTTAAGTCAAACTTATTCTTTCAGCCCGCATCCTCCTTTACCGAAAACTGGCTATGATATAACAATTAGTCCAAGACATAAAAGAATTGTCGAGACAATCTCATTCAAAATTAGTGTTAAAAAGAGAGCTCTTATATCTGATTTGAAAAATTCTCATCTCTTCTTCTGTGAGTATGCAAAAAATTGTATAATCAATTGCATATATTTCTTAATGTGTAAGACATGTGGGAAAAATCCCCAATGTCAAAAAAATTTAATAGTCTTACATAAATGCAGACTTCACATGTGGAATATTTTTTGGCATGTGGGGAAATTTCCCACATGTCTTGCGTATTAAGAAATATGTGCAACGGATAATAGTATTTCTTAAGCAAGATTAGTTTTTCTTTTACACAAAAAAACTAGGGATTTTTCCAATATTTTATCCCTCGCTAACAATGGAGGGAGTTAGAGCAGACATCAAAGGGTTAGTTCATTACTTCCAAGTGTAAATCCGCGATCTCCTCGCAGCATTTCAAGACTTTCAGAGTCTCCTCAAGCTAAGCACACGAAAACGAGTGTAAATGCTACAACAAGATTGCCAGGCCATGATAGGTTTTCAATAGCTGCTACGAGAGTGTTGAATTCTCCTAAATTCACTGAAGAAAACGATGAGACGATATCAGCAGTTGAAAGCACATTTAAAATCAGACCAAGAGTCGGCACCGCTATGTTAGTCAAAGCGTTGACTAAAAAAATGTAATTAATTTTGAGTTTATTAAAATTATTTATACAGCAATGCTAAAAAAATGATGCAGAAAAAGGTTTAATTCTAATTACTTGAAAGGCAAAATAAATGGAGTTCCAAATGCTGCACTTTTCACATAATAAATAAAGAAGTTTGCTGTAAAAAAGCAAGAAATAATTTGCGACCCTAATACAAAATATCCGGCTAACCCAGGAAACAAATTAATTTTCACTGATTTGAAAACTTTATTTAACTCTCTGTAAGTTTTAAACCAAAATATTGAGCTCATTATCTGTGAAGCAGCCCTTGCAGCTACAAAATGTACAGAAAAGTTTTCAACAGCTTCTGTGCTTTTTAATTTTTCAATTAAAGGAATTAATGCGACAGCCTCCATGTACATTGATAAAGTCCACAATCAGTCAGTCAAAAAATTTCTGTTTAGAGTTGCATGAACAAAAAGCGATAAAATTATGCATGGAATTGAGTAAAGTATCATGATCGGTGATTCTTTTACTTCAAAAAGTTTTGAGGTTATATATAAGCTTTGGCCAAAAGACGCAATTTCGACAATTTGATAAAACCAATCTCCAGATGTATCATAAGGTAAGTAGTTTTCAAATGGGATAATTGAGTTGAGGCGGCTGAAATATATAATGCTATAGTATAAAAAGGAATAGAATGATAAACCATCTGTGTTATGAGTCACTTGAATACAGATTCCTATAAAAGATATCAGGAATAAAATAGTGACATCAGATGGACTCTGAGATGCACAGGTCGGACCAGTTCTGATGAAACTGAAAATAGTGCCCATGTCACTTATTGAAGTAGGTCTTTGTAGGATGCCTGCCAATGAAGGAGTTTTCTTTTTCCCTGAAGGTTTTCTGTGCTCTTGCCAGAAAGGCTTGGGGCTTTACCTTTTACTTAGTCTCTGCTTATAGGAACTAGCAGGGCATCCGCATAAAGTGTCTCTAATTTAAGGAGATAATCCTTAGGTTAGGTGAGCTCACACGAGATAGGCAGGCTAGAGGCGTATCATCTTATGGCCTTATAACGCTAAACTTAGCTTAACTTAACTTATAAAAGATATCATTTGGAGTGTTGAGCATAGGGTCAAAAAGAAAGAAAAGTCACCATTTGATGTGTATAAATAAATCAGGATGAGGATTAGAATAACAAGAAGCCAATATTTTATTTCTCGTCTTCTGGTTAAGTTTCTAAATTTTCTTGGATTCTTCAAAATTCTTTGGAAATTTTCCCACCACATTTATACTTAAAATTTCGTGTCTTCACAAGAGATCTACTCCATAACGACTATTTTTTTGGCCTAATTTTTTTTGGCCTATTTTTTTTTGGCCTATTTTTTTTTGGCCTATTTTTTTTTGGCCTATTTTTTTTTGGCCTATTTCATAACGACTATTTTTTTTGGCCTATTTTTTTTTGGCCTATTTTTTTTGGCCTATTTTTTTTGGTCTATTTTTTCTGTCGAGGATAATTCATGAAGCTGCTGAGAGACTAAATAATTATTGGTAACGGATATATTTCCTTACACAATTAATATTGAGTAAATTAAGTGGAAAAATCCTAATTAAATTTTAAAATTCTCGAAATTTAAAAAGTAATGAATTAGCATTCATGGAGTAAGAGATCTGTTAAAGGTGTATTTTATGTTGATAAAATCGTTTAAAATGCATTAAAAATTATATATTAAAATCATTAGTATGAAATTAGGCCCAAATATTAGTAAAAAATAGCTAAAAAATGGCCAAAAAAAAGTCCAGAAAAATAGATCAAAAAAAAAATAGGCTAAAAAAAATAGGCTAAAAAAAAATAGGCCCAAAAAAAATTAGGCCAAAAAAAATTAGGCCAAAAAAAAAAATAGGCCAAAAAAAAAATAGTCTTTATGGAGTAGACCTCGTGTGAAGGAACCTTAAAATTTATGATATCTAGATGAATCTTATTGAAATTTTTCATCAAAACTGATATTTTGTTTGCATTATTTATTGTTTTATTCTAAAGATGACAATCTTAAATTCAATTATGTGTGCAAATTATTTAATTTAATCCTAAATAGAAGTGGTAACTGTTGAGTTATAGACGTGCCTAAGAGTAGCGGTGGCAAGTTTTTCCAATACTGTTTCTTTATTTCCAAGCATTGTATCATAAATTTCTGAGCTAACTTCCATAAACTTTTCAGTGCTTTGGCTATGATTCCTCATTTCCAAAATCTTTAATGCAAGCTCAAGGTCTGCTATTTTTTTTTCTTCGTCCGCAAGAAGATTATTTGCTTTTTCTTCTGTAGAAAGCCTTTTCTCTTCTACTTCCACAATTTTCTTGCATAAGCTTGTTCTAAGAGATTGGTATCCCTCTGATTCCAAGTCAAAGTCATTATATCACTTCTGAACAGAGTTTTCTATATCTCTCGCATAGTTTTGGCCAATATTCTTTTTAATGCCCGCAATGTATTCAGACAGCTCATCAAACCCTCCACAAGTTTCACTTTTCGATTCTTTTATAATCCTGGACGAAGCTGTCGCTTCGAAGCATGAAGATCTTGAAGTATTGACGTCTTGAAAATAATTCTTTTCTTTTGAAAAGTTTTTCTCTTCTAATGCTTGTTTTAATTTTTTATTTTCATCTTGAGCTTCTTTTAACCTTTTCCCCATCTGCTGTACTTCTGATTCTATAGCCATCACAAATTTTTGTGTTTTTTTCTCATACATTTCTTGTATGGCTTTAGTTTGAGGATCAGAAACAATTTTTTCTTTTTCCTTGCTTATAGCAGTTTTGAATGAATTCAGTGCTCTTGATTCATTTTCCTTTTTGTTCGCCAGTTGCTTTTCTGTAGCTTTTTTAGCTTTTAAATATTCATTGGCGAGAAATTCAAGTCCTTTTGGATTTGCGGAATTTATGCTAGGTTTTGAAGGAGCCTGCGTTGGAACTGCTATTTCTTTAGGCTTTGGAAGGGCAAAGAGTCTTGGGGAAATTGTGTGTGGGAGTTTTGGAGATTTAATAGGAGAAAAAGGAGAAGGAGATGCTTCTGGACTTCTTTGGCTCATTGGAGGAGTTTCTTCAAAAGTTGAAGAAATGCTAATTGACTCCTTTGGAGTTTTATCAGGAACTATAGAGATTGATTGAGGGGGATTTACTGCAGGTGGAGAATTTTCGATTTTTTTTGGAGGGGGAATGAAGTCAGAGGATTTTGTATCTTGGGCAAGTTTTTTGGCTCTTTCAAGGAAATCGCTGACCCGAGAAGATGTTTGGGACATTTATAATTTAAATATTATTTAAGTAAAATAAGTTTAACATTATAAGTTTGATTTCAAATCTATTTTTATAGTCCCAGGAACTTAATAGCAAACGCTATAAAAAATCATCAAATTATGCATAAGCAATTATTAATAATATTTAAATTGCGCAATTAATCATAAAATCCTTCCTTCAATACTTGCTTATTTTCTAGTAAATTTGTTAGAAACCAATATTAGAAAATTTAAGTTAATAATTATTTTGATATTGAATTAAAATTTTCATGAATATAAGCGTTATACAAAAATAAAGTTTATATATATTAAAAAACTATTAATATTTTAAGCAAAAATACTTAATTATCTAGTAAAATCTGATAGTTATATATTATCTCCAATATACATTACACTTTAAATGGCTTTTTCTCTGCAAGTATCAGATAATCCATCGCTTTTTTTATTGATACATTTGACTTACTCGCTCATTCTTGATCAAATGGCACCATTAAAATCGGATAAATAAACCCTATTTTGATCGAACATTTTCATATAGTGAAACATGAAATCCACCCCTCTACCCCCTTTCAATATAACTGCCTATCTTTTCTAGTAACGAATATTAGAGATTATACCTTATAATCTCTTCTACGCAATTCTAATATAATCTATTTTTTTTAATTTATTGTATGCTCTATCTCTTATCACTAACGCTTCAAATATTTTATTGAAAAAATAATAAAAAATTTATATATTTTTATTTTTCTTGAATTTTTTAATGATCAAAAGATAGCGATCGTTTCGATCCAGGATGAGTAGAGTTAGAAGCAGGCGGAATAATTTCGCTCATAAACATTTGCCTATGTAAAAAACATCGATTCTTTACAATACTTTGTCTTTTTCGTAGAGGTGTATAATTATTTTCATTATTTTTCGTTTGAAAGCCTATATTAGGCAATTTTACATTAGGAACAGTTGCATTCATAGATTTATTCTCGATTTTAGATGAAGGTCTAATTCTCGTCCTTTGTTAGCAAGTGAAAACCTTGCGCTAGCCAAAGGGAGTAAATTTTTTTTTAAATTTTATATTAGAATATTTATAAAATTTAAACAGAAAATCTATTAATTATATTAATTTATATTTTAAAACATTTTCTGTTTAAAATTTAATAAATATTTTGAGATTTTGTTATTTTGACCAAATTTTTTTTTTCTTTAACTAACCAATGAGGCTTAATTTTCCCAAAAATAGAGAATCTCTAGTTTTTTTGCTCGCTAATTAAGGAGGAGAATAAATATTTGGTTTGCGCTTTTAGCTATTGAAGCTGCATTCTGGAATTTTTGGTCTTTAAAGTTGGGAGCATTTGATCAAGAATTATTAAATTTCTTTGTGTTCGAAAATTCTGGACTTGAAATTGCTCTAATATGTTTTTTTTTAGCCTCCGAATTATTAAAAGGGGTTTCTATTTGAATGCTGATTCTCTTTTTTGGAGTACATGGCCTTATCTTAAAATTATCTTGCAAAAGATAGGATTGGTAGTCTATAGTATAGTCTTGGCAGTCCTCAATAAATTTACGAGGAGATCCCACACAGCTACTCACAGGACTAAATACAGGATTAGGTGCTCCTGACTTGGAGATTCATATTCGAGAGATTGGAGTTCTGACATCCTCTAGATTAACTTCGTTGGAATTTAAACAGCTTTCATATTCAAAACCTTTGAGATCAATTATCATCAAAATTAAGTTATAACTTTATGGTTTTTATTCGATACTTATTTTTATCAAAAAAATTATTTTATAGTTGAAATGTCTTGAGAATAAGCCATCATGCTTAAATTAATCAGTTCTTATATTAAAACATAATAAAATGCTGATGATTATTAATAAAAGAATTCACATTGAAAAATAAACAATAAAAATAATTTATTAATTTATTCGTAGTTCAACTATTAAATTAACTATAATTATGATAAGCACAATCAGTAATCATTATAAAGCATAAATCTTTAGTATTCCAAGTATTAAATTTAAAAAATTCTTACTAAATTTTAATTATGTCCCACGTTATCAAGGTTCCTCTTATATAGATCATTGATAGCCGTATAGCAAGATTTTCAACAGGCTCAAAAGATACACCAATCCACTCCAGAAAAAGTTTCTCTGATTATAGACATGTAAAGCTTAATCCTATTGGTAAATCGCTTCAAGGCGTTAACAATATAAATTCTCTCTCTATTCAGCCAGATTATAAAGAGCAGCCAAAACTGGACGATATAGAACTAAGGGAGGCTCAAAGTGTGTGCCAATCCATACACCCAAGTCCCTCGATTTCTGATGCATTCGATAAATCTCCAAAAATTAAAAAAAGAACGATAAAGAGAATCCAAATCAAAGAATCCACACAACCAGCCGATAAAACAATTGAAAATCCGCCTGAAAAACCAGTCGAGCCTGCACCTGTAAAATACCCCGACTTTTGGAGAGAACTTCGAGCGAAAATGATAAAAAATCTTCAAATTCCAATTATTAAAACCCCTGCATACACTTTTATCTTATGAAAACATACTTTAAAAAGAGGAATTAGTCAGCTTTGTGTGACAAGAAAAATCAAAATCATTGCAACTTCAACAATTCAAAAGAATTGGCGAAGATTTTTGAAGCAAAAAGAATATAACCTCCTCAAGCTTTCCACATCAGTAATAAAAGACTATTGGCTGCATGTGAGGCCTGAAAGAAAAAATTTCAAAAAGGCCCAGTTTTTATCAAGATTTTTATATAGATATGCAAAGATCTCATATAGGAAAAAAACTAGGTCAGCTACCATCATTCAAAAATGATATAAGAGATTTATAACAATGAAAAAATATCAGCCAGCTATTCAAGAAAAATTGAGAGCAAAGAAGCATAGAGATATGATGAGGAAGCAGCAAACTTTAGTCCAAGAAAGAAATAGAAAGAAACAAGCTGCAAGAAGAATAGAACAGTAAAATATATTTAGGGGGTGGCTTGATTATATGAATAAGAAAAGGATGAGAGATATAAGGAAGTATCTTTGGAGCCTTCCTTACGAATGCAGATTGCTATACCTCAAATTCAAGCAAGTAAAGCAAGACGCAGATATGCTTAAAGCGGACGTTGAGCAAATGATTGCAAATAAGCAAGGAAGTATTGCATCAAATGTCCCGGCCACGGAATAAGTTAGTAATATTGTTTCTATGTTTTATTATATATCTCGTCAATAATGGGCTATTACAGATATTAAGAAGAACACAAAACAATCTTGATTATTTCTGCACAAATAGTCTCTAACTTAATACAAAAAGCATCAGCTTTAAATTATAAAATAATAAGCCTGAGGTTCTCAAGCTCAAATTGGCAATATTGATCAGAATAATCGAGTAAGCTGCAATTGATTATCAACAAGTAAAGCTAAAATTCGTTAATTAGGCTTCCTTTCTTAAACAATAATTATTGATCTTTACTAACTATCCGTTTAATGCGTCTTCTTCACTTTTTGAGCGCATAACTGTAGGTCTTACCATTGCTCTCCCAATTGATCCGATCCACGCTTCTTTGTCACTTGGATCTAAGGCACTGAAATAAAACACTCTATCCCTAGTATCAATTCTGAAAGAAAAGTCTTTCTTGGTTTCCTCTTCTGCTGACTTCACTGTTGAACAATCCTGCAGTCTTATGCGCTCTGTTGGATTGTCTCTATATCCCTGCTGCTGCTTGAAAGAAAAAAGGTATTTGGGTGTAAGAACAAGCCATCTTCTTCTCCATTCTTTAATAAATCTGCTCCTCTTCTCAATCCAGCCTTCTTTGAGAATTGTTTCGAAATTTTCCGTATCACTTCTTTCCATATTATATCTCTAAGATTAATTGCATAAAAGTATAAATTAAAACTATTTCTTTTGGAACTGTAATTTTCCATGCGCTCGAAGCGATCTCATAATCTTATTTCTATGATCAATTGGAATTAATCGTCCCAAACTCCATATATTTGTAATCTGTTGCTGAACCTTATTCAGTTCCCTTACATAAACGAAAAAATATAGAATAAAAACAATGAAACAGTACGATGAACTAATTCATATAACAAGATAAGCATCTTTCTTGATCATATCTTTTATATCAGACTCATAAAGATCAATAAGAGTTGTTCCTATTTCCACCAATTCTTCTTTAGTCTCACTTATAGAGTCCAATGAAGTATTTTTCCCTTCAACAATTTGTCAATATACATCTCGGATGCCTAAATAATATTCGTTTAAGGAAGCATAATATCCTTTTGATAAGGTGATGCATTGCTCTGACAAACATGCGTCATCTCATATATAATTATTGTGCTTTGAGCTTCTCTTGAGTGAAGAAAGATGGCGAAAAAGTAAATTGTACTCTGAAAAAACCATCAGCTCTGAATTAAAGATAAAGGCATAATCTGGGCTTATCTCATATTGACTATAAGGGACAATCCATTTGTAGCCATAACTTAAATTCGCATATTTTACTTCTTGAAGCCAATAAAAAGCAGCATTTGCTGCTGAGGTTCTCATCCCTGCCCAGTTGTTTATTTTTGGCTTAATTTCTAATGTATTTCCGAAGGTCTCGTACCCGATAAAATAAAAAAATAAGAAAAATGCTGCGGAAAATAAATAATAGACTGTAAGTCTTACCAATATTCCTTTTCACTTATTTGTTGCCTTAATATTACTTCTCTCTTCCAACGATTTAAATTTATTTTTATCATTTTTTTTATCAGACTCAATCCCATGGGTTTGCTCCAGCCTTTCTTCGCATCTGGATTTGAGTTCAAGGACTAAATCAATTGGCAATAAATAAAACAAACTCCAAACTGTCTGGTTAGATTTTTCGACCTGTCTTAAAGTCGGGATAATAACTAAAAAGAAGCAAATAAACATAAGCGCAACTGCACATGATGCAAGAATGAGAATCACTTCTAAAAACTTTTGCATGTTTTCTTCTGCGTCATCTATGAAGTATTCGATAGATATATTAAGCCCTTGCATTGTTTCTCCATAGCTGTTTCGGTATATATAAAAGAAATTAGGGTTTTGGGCATCAATTTCGTTTAAAGGAGTATTATATAGCATAAGTGCTTGAGAGACAAGGTCGCGCATTGCGTCCATAAGGTTTACATCTGTGCTGTTAATGACCCCACTTTTTAATTCCCATGATTTTATTTGAGAATCCTGATACATGTCTTTAGCTTTTCCATCTTTCCAGCCTTTTAGATTGCTTTTTATATTGTCTATAATTTCATTATAGCGATTTATGCCTGTCAGAAGTCTCTCTCTGCTTGCAGATTCCATTGATGGTGGCAATTCTCCAAGGTTAATAAGATGTAGGGTTCTTGCATCCAATGAAAAATAGGTATTTAATGTCCGACGTTCAGCAAGATCATTAATAATTACACTTTCCAGGTATTTGGTCGAGATAAACTCCAGGTATATCATCATAGATAAGGCAGCTAAGTTAACTATAAGACACTACGTAAAAAATACAGTTGCAAAAAAGGCCACTTTAAATCTGAACATTGAACTTGTCACACCGGTTAAGAGAACTTGTGCTTCTTGGCTTGAAGTAAAGCTTGCATTGGAACTCACAGCTGAGCTAGCTATGCTGGTTCCTGATCTCTTTTTGGTAATATCTTCTTCTATTACAGAATTTCCATCTTGCAAGATGGAAATCCATTTTGGCTCGGCGACAGCAAAAACAAATCCCAGAATTCGGCCGTAAAAAAAAAAAATAAAACGGCCGGAAGGCCAAGGGGGGCCGCAGATGGCAATTCTCCGGGGTGGGGTGCAGGCTTGGGCTGACTGGGCTTCCCCTCGACCCACAGGCAAGATACCGACGGCGCAACATCAATCAAGCACTTCTGGAGGAGCATTATGGTGCCTGCGAATGGCACAGGTGGTTCCAGAAGAAGACAATGGACGATCCTCTCATACCCTGAGCACCACCAGGGGTTAAGAGAGTCCTTGCCGAAATTTTTGATCCAGCAGGGTCGGGTGAGTCTCCCCGACAGACTGAGGACGTCACCATTTTTGATGGCTCCGAAGAAAAAGGGCGTTAGGTGGCTTTAGTGCTTAGTGCCACATGAAGCACGAAGCTGAAGTCCGACTGGCTAGGGGCTGAAATAATCCCCGCTTAGCCTCTCTAACTAATCTCTCTCTCTCTCTTCTATTACAGAAAACGAAACCACTGAAGCAGCATCCCCAGGTTTTTCAGAGTTATTAAACAAAAACCCTCCTAAGTCTTTTAAATCAAAAATTTGTCCTTCCTGAGGAATGGGGGCATTTTTGGTTTCTTCTTTTTCACTAGATTTGTCTTCTTCATCATCGTCTTCTTCAACCTTTTCTTCTGAAAGTTTTACAGGCTGCTTCGAAGTGGTTGCATCTTTTACTTTCCCTCCTGCCACGTTTTTTCCAGCCTTGAAGTCAGTTTCCCCAATTTCAAAAATCTGTGGGCTGATATCAAAAGTCACATTACAATTTTTATCACTTTTTTGACGTGGTTCTTTCAAAATCCCCCTTTTTTCCTTTTTTTTTACTTCTTGCGTTTGCTCAATTACTCCTAAATCTCGCAAATCTTCGAAACTTGTGGTCTCTTTATTGATTTTTCATGATTTTACTTCATCCTCATCTGAAGTTACGTGCAGCATTTTAAACGTAACTTTACCTATTTTTAGATCAGTGAATCTCATTGTAAGAGAATTGACTATTCCTGGGATCATGTATTCAAAAATTGTGCCAGGTGGATATTTTTCCCGGAGAGAGTCAAAATTATTTATGACTTTGTTAGCATCTAGTTTGTTTAAAAGAATAACCTCTTCTGAATAGCCTAACAGCCGAGCCATTCCTCTTGTATTTACAGTTATCATATTAGAATCATCATATAATAAGCATTCTCTTGCCTGAGAGTTTTTCTTTATTGCTGAAAGAAAAAATGGGTAAGAATCAAGTGCTACAGCTCTTCCTTTATAATAGCACTCAATAAGATATCCATGGGCATCAAGCATTATAATATTAAGATTAAGATTAAGATTACGCTGGGTATTTAAGGTCCCTACTACGTCCGAGGTCGCATGCCACGGTTTCCCGTGTGGTGGCAGAGCGTTCACCAAGCCGGGCCGAAACCCCCGGTTTCTCGGTAGAGGTATTGTCAAGGGCCGTCTCATACCGGCTTTGCTGACCACCTCCATTTCCAACTTGGATCGTCGCCTAAGTTTACGCCAACTCCGCTTCGTCGTCCGCCAGATCTGCCCATTGAAGGGCACCTTTTAAACTGGAGAGACCCCCGTTTTGTCGTCTAACTCGCCTCCCCTCTTTTCCGGTCATCCCGAGAAAGAACTCAACAGCTTTCGCCATTCGGGGCGAGCCACAAAAGCAGCTTAGGCAGGTAAATCGCCCTGCCTCATTTCGGGCACTCACTGGGCTGAGCGCTGCTGGCAAAAAGAAATCACGAGTAACTGCCCATGGGTCTGGTCGCAAAAACAGCGGTTCTCGCGCTTAGGCCTCTCGCTTCGAGGTCCCAGACGTTGTTGGGCTAACTCCTGGTTCCAAAAACCATGCCCGGATATACATGGGTTACCACCACTGAGAGGGTGGGTCGGTCGCCATACGCCATTTTATGTATATGGGCATCAAGCATTATAATATTGGAACGGGGCACACACTTCAGTGGTGGTTGTGGTTTTAAGATATTCTTCCATTGCGCGATTATGAGAATTCACTTGGTTTCCAGGAGGTGGGATATAGTTAGCAATATTTTGTCCAATTGTATATCGGGTGGGAACGCCTAGCAAATTTCCTGCCTGCGTGTTCATATTGGTTATATTCCCCATATCGTCAGGACTACCAGAAACAATGATAATTCCATTATTTTCGTCAAAATAATTAAATCTCTCTCCAATCATTGCATTTTTTTGTTCCTGCTGCAGTTTTTCATGCTCCGCTCTACTCACGAGTTCATTCCCTTTGACAGTATTATTATAAACTTCAAGTAAAAATGTTCCATATATTCTCAAAGCTTGCTGGTTCGTTGGATATTGCTTTATCAAATTTTTCGAAAACTTTTTGGCTTTTTGAATTGTTTTAAACAATTTATACCCAATTTTTTCAATTTGATGGATTTGCGGGGCTTCTGCACTCATCTCGTTCCAAAAATCCAATTGATCTTGGCAAGCTTCTTTATCAAACATAAGAGCGTCTTCATAAAGTTTTCGAAAATTTATATAGTCGATTTCTTCTAGTATTTTTCTTCTGAAATCATTAATTGTGTTTGAATATTTGTATTTTAAATAAGCGCCTTCTAATGAAAACTGGGTGTCTATTGTTTTTGTCAGCTTTATTTTGGCAAGTCCATCTTTTTTTAGGACTATATATACATATAAAAACTCCCATATAGCGCAGAAAAAATGATTTTCAAACCGATTTGCAATTTCTCTATGCAAGCTATGAATGTGAGCCCTGATTTTTTTGCCAGCAGATTTGCCTTCAACTGTTTTTTTATTCAATGCTAAAAGTTTCAAAATTTCAAATCTTACAATTATTTCACAGACATAAGGGTTTGAATAGTAAATTATTTTATCATAATTCTTCATTAGCCAATTAATCCTAAAGTGCAATATTTCTCATAGGGCCAGCTCCAAGCATGGGTAAACTAAGATGATAAAATAAAATACAAGGGTGGCATTATCAAACCAAAGCCCAATAAGTTGGGCTATGGAACTTCATGTGAGGAGCAAATAACAGCTTGAAGAAGTAAAGTTTACAAAGATTGTGTAAAATGGCAAAAAGTACAGGTAGGCACTGGAAAGGATGACGCCAATTGCTAAGCTTATAAGCAGATGAGCTGCATAGTAATCTTTATGAAGGTACCAGTGACTGTAGCATAAAAGTGCTAATAGCAAGATTTTGCATTCTTCAACTCTACTATGTGCTCGTGCATATATCATTGATTTGTGACGTGTTATATATTGTTCGTAATTAAAGCCAGCATCCATAAGAACAAGTAATACAAGTACTGGCTCTGCAAGGGCACTTAAGAAGCCTGTATAGTTTGCTGTGATGTTGCTCGAACTTAGGCCTCCATATTCAAAAACTGAGGTTTTGTCCTTGTATGAGTATTTTTGAACTGATATAAAAATATTCATAAACGGAAGAAATAAAACCAATCGAAAAATTTTTAAAACTGAGCCCAGAATATATCTGTAATTGCTTTCTTTAATTTTATATTGAAAATAAATCTTGAAATATAAGAATAGAAATATCAGAAAAGCAAAGCCAACAACACCAAGTGCGACATATCAAAATGGGACTCCAAACCCTAGATTGGTGAAAAGCATTTTTATTATATAAAAAATGTTTTATAAAATTTACTTTAAAAATAATTTACCAAGACATTTTATTTCATTTTTTAATATTTTTAATAATATCAAAAATTATAATCATATTAAAAAATCCAAAAATCAAGCTTAAATAGTCATAAGTAATAAATAGAGTTCTAGATTGGCCACTAAATAATCAAATCTGCTATAACCTACAAAAGCTGAAATTAAATGAAATGAGTCTCAAGAATCCAGATTTGGAGGAAAAGTTAAACTCAAAACTTGCAGTGATATCGTCACTGAATAAAGCATATGAACATAAAGCTTTGTTGTTTGTGTTTCAAACCTATTTATAGTATTGTAGTCTTTAAAAAGTGCATAAAATACAGCAAATAATGTTTCCATCAGTTTATTGCCGAATCTGCTTATCTTTTTAAAAGCAGATTCTTCGGATTCTTGAATATTTCCTTCATCGTTGTCTTCCATAATAATTAAACTAATATTTTATTTTTTATTCACATGTTTATATAATCCTCTTCGAAAGTTGACATAATGCAAGCTATTAGTTTTAGAATTCCATGCTTTTGGATGGAAAATTTTAAGATCAGTTATTGTAAATATTGTTTTGGCAATTAAAATTATAAATGAATCGGCCACATCAGAAGAAAATATAGCTAATTTCAATAATTTTTTTATTTTTGTAAAAAATAAATATTTAAATTTTTTTTTAAAAAAAATATTATTCCCGAAAATTGATTTAAGATTTGAAATTGAAAATTATGTGCAATGTTTAAATAAATCTAATAGCAATCATAAAAATATACTATCCTGAATTCATCTGCCGATAAAATAATCTAAAATCTATATTTATCAATTTTAGCAATTGAGATTGCTTCTGATCTGATTACTAAATCACAGCAAAATCGAATATTCCCAGATCTCTGCTTTAGATTTGGTTTGAATGACATCGGGAGACTTTAGATGGGGAGTATGAGCCAGTGTTTTCTGACAAAGTCAACTCCTAGATGGTAAATATCTAATATCAAGAGGATTTGCCATCTGAGGAGTTTTACCAGCAAAAGTTGGTTTTCAACTCTCCATCTGACGTTTCCCGACTTCAGTAAAGCCCGATCCAAGCAAGGATCAGGCTATAGCCTTGTCACAGTGCTAATTATAAAAGTTGTTCAATTCTAAGAAATATGTTAGAAAAATATTTAAATGGAAAGCAGTTTAAAAGTTGCAACAACGTACGCATGGGGAAAAAATAAAGACGGAGAATTATCTCAAGGATCTTCAAAAGACGTGCTATTACCTACACCCTGCAAAGGAATTAAAAACAAGAATCTAATCATGGTCATATCAGGAGGTCAACATTCTGCAGCCATTGACAGCACAGGCAAACTTTATACATGCGGCTCTTATCTTCACGGAAAACTGGGCATTGAAGATTTAACAACAGTGTCAGTCCTTTCGTTTACTCCTGTGACAGCATTAAAAGATAAAGTTGTAACTCATCCCTTTGTAAGATAGCATTATATTGCCAAAAATTCGATTTTTTGGGGAAATTATAGCAACAATTTTTTTTTGATAATTCAAAGTTTATTCAATTTAATGCTTATTTAATTAAGGGATAAATTTTAATAACAATTCCGTTTCGAATCATTGCAATTAAATATTAAATACTAACTCCCCCCCCATCCTTGATCGAACGACTCGCCATCGTTCGATCAAGGATGGGGTTTAAAAAAAAAAAATTTATATATAAAATAAAATATATATATATTTTTTTTATTTACTTTTAAATAAGAGGGTTAAGAGTATTTAATAATTATTTTTACAGCAAAAAATAAATTAATTTCATAAAAATACCAATTTTTAATATTTTGATTTATTAGTCACCCTTTTAAACTGTATAAATTTTAATTTGTTCCTTATTGAACTAAATTTTTTTTTAAAAATTTTAAAGAATCTCTATTTTATTAGATTATTGAGTTTTTAAGCCTAGGCTGATGACTAAATCACTTCGAATGGTTGATTTCGAAGCTTTCTGTCGTCTAAAGTCTCTAAAACAACTTAATTATGTACATCTTCCCAAACTTTTGATAGCTAATATATTTTTATGTATATAAAAATTTGCATGATATGAAAAATCGTTCGATCAAGGATGGGGGTTAATTTCCCCAATTTTTAGGAATTTTTACAGTCAATCGTTCGATCAAGGATGGGGGGGGAGTAAATAATTTTATATGGCAAGTTCATGGTGAGCAAGCAAAGGTTTGCTATTTACTGAAAGGTGAATTAAGACAAGTCGCCTGTGGGGATTATCATACCTTATGTCTCCTTGAAGATGGCTCAGTTTATACATGGGGAGGAACATTGCATAAAAAATTAGGCCAGCGAGGTGCTGGGAAAAATATCAACCATCCTGGGCTTGTGTCAGCATTCAACGATAAAGATGTAATTTATGTTGATTGTGGAGATTTTCACTCAATGGCACTTACAGCTGATGGAAAGGTTTATTCATGGGGAGGTGGGGGAAGCTTTTTTAACAGAGGGCAGTGTGGACATGGAAATACTAACGATGTGGACAACCCACAAATTATAGCTGGACTTCAAAATAAATTTATAACAATGATCTCATGTGGAGGATATCATACCTTGGCGGTCACTGATAATAACGAAGTTTACGCATGGGGAAGTGGGCTATATGGAGAATGTGGCTTCGGAGAGTTCCTAAACGCCACAAGTCCAAAACAAGTATTAATGCCATGGATCAAAAGAAATGGAGATAATCAGTATGGAGAAATTGTCCAGATTTCTGGTGGTGGTCATCATTCATTAGTCCTTACATCAGCTGGATATGTATTTTCATTTGGGTTTGCATCTCATGGACAGCTGGGACTAAGAAATACAGTCAATCAAGCAGAACCGAGACTGGTAAGTGATTTAAGAACAAAACCTGTCAAAATGATTGCTGCAGGCTGGAACCATTCATTAGTTCTAACTCAGAGAGGAGATGTATTCGCATGTGGATATGGATTCTTTGGGCAGCTTGGGCTTGGCGATGATGAAAGTAAAACCATATTTACTCATGTTTCTACTCTTGGATCTAAAAAAGTTGAAAGAATTTATGCAGGTGGAAACCATTCCTGGGCACTTTTAGATCCAGCTGAGCCTATTAGAGCTGACTATGAACCTCCGTCTCCGCTTCCAGCTGAAATGAGTCTCCTTGACATCTCAAGAGTCCCCTCGCCTCCTCCTAGCATTCAGCAAAGGTCAGGAACTCCAGACTCCTTAAACAGAAGTATGCGCCTTGAAGGCTCATTCCAAAAGCCTGAAACCTTGCTGCAAATTGCATACTCAGACATCCAGTACTCTCACCGATTTATCAGATTCATGCTAAAAGAAACTTCTCTTGAGGTCGGAAAAGCGAAAGCAGAAGAATTTGTCCATGAAATGTACATGAGTGAGCTAGGAGTCCTATATCATCGAATTCAAGAAGATGATGACATCGTAGAAGTCACCAATTCAGAGCCTATTGTAGCTTCAGCAGGTGGAGAACTCAGCTTTACTTGCTTGCTCGTATGTGATCCTACGAAAAATGACCCTCCCGTCACAATTGAATCTTATATAGGTGAGCCCTCGCAATTGACTGTATTTTTAAAAGCTCAGCAAATGACTTCAAACCCAACCCAAGCTGCTCTTTCAGAATGGGTAAGATTTTTCTTGCTGAAAGTGGGGAGTTTTTGTTCGAAGCCTCCGAAGTTCTTTGAGTTGAGGCCAATTTCTTATTATATGAATTTATAAAATCGTTAATTCAAATTTCGATTATTTAATCTTTGAGTAAAGCTTTTTGAAGTTTTCTTCGCATGCATAATAGGAGTATCCTCCGCCAATTCCTGCTCCGTAAAATATGACAGGAGCTTTTCTCTTAAAAAAAAGAAGACTGAGAAGAATTCCAGCTCCTAAGCCTACTCCAGTGTTGATACCAAAGTTCGTTAAGCAGTCGTCCCAAGTTTTTTGATTATCTGAAGCCATTAATTATATTTCACCTCTTATCCATTAATTAAGACTCTGAATTTAACTAAGTCGCATTCATCAGTGTTTCTTAGTTTAATTTCTCTTTTTGCCATTTATTTTTGGATACAACCTTTATATTTGTGTGTATTAATCAAAAAATTAAAATTATGAAAATATTTATGGTTAACTTACTCTTTCATAAGATGTATAGCCGGCATTTTTTTATTATTTATATAGTAAAAAAATTATAATTAATTTTATATCATTTATTTGTTTGTAATTGACAGGAAATTAGTTTTTGATGTTGATAATATAGATAGTGCAGTACTGAAGTTTGTTTTTCGTCATTCGGATATGGCTCGATAGAGAATAAGTTTAAGCAGTCAGAGTAATTTATTAGTCCTAAAGCATGTGGATCGACAGTATCAAGAAGTCTATCACATTGATCTAATAAATCAAACGAAGCTACCAAAGCTCTAAATTCATCTTCATTTAGAAGCCCGTTTTCATCTAGATCAACTTTCGAAAATTTTTCATTGAAAGGTGCCAAAAGTGCTTCATGTGCGCTCAAATCATAGAACAAAATGCAGTTCAAAACTTCGGTATAAGTAGCTTCTGGCTTATTTTGAGGAGTTTTTGACCTTCTTCCTGTGATAGTCGAGTTAACAGATTTTTGTTTAATTATCTCGTTTATATGATGAGTCACATAATCTGCTTCTTCTTGTGAAAAAATTGAAAGAACGATATTTTTCCATTCGTCTTCATCAAGTGTTGAAGACATTTTTTCCTTCATTGTTTCAAGCAACTGTGGCTCTCGAATATAAGGATATTTAGCTTGAAGACTTGATTTCAATAGCTGCTTTATAGAGTCTTTCAGCTGAACGAAAACATCTCTAAACTCTTCATCAACTTGATGCTTAATTATTTTCGAAAATAAAGCAATTTCTGCGTCTGAGTCCTGGTATCTTTGTATCCCTCTTGTAATTGACCCAAATCATTCGTTTATCAGGCTTTTGAGTCCATATTTCTGATTTAGATATGTGTATAAATATTGCTCCATAGTTTCTCTCGCTTGTCTTGTTTCCCTGCATTTCTCATCAAATCTAATTTTGCAAGCATAAATGTCCTCAATTACTTCTTTTAGCTGTTTCAAAGTCAAATCTTTTGTAATTGGCATCCTACTTTTCATGACGACCTTTTTGCTTGGGTTTCTAGGTATAATATCTTTTCTATCTGGAGAAGCTGAGCTTGGGTTGACTGAATTCTCAGCAGCTTGTTTTGAAAGAGAAATAATTTTATCAAGATAAACTTTATTTTCATCTTGAAGATGCTCAAGCTGGTTAGCAAGCTCATCCCTTGCTTTTTCCAGTTCTTGAGATAAAAAATCTCGTTCCTGAGTTAGCTCTTGTGCCCTAAACTCTAAGGCTTCTGCAGCTGCGAGCACATCTTCTGTTTCTTTTTTCCTGCTGACAAGGGATTGCTTTAGCTCATCTATTTCATCTTCAAGCTTAATATTTCGAGTTTGAGAATTGGCGAAGTTTGTAATAAAATGGTAGACGATGGTTTTAACCAAGTAAAAAATATCTGGATAAGTGGATTCTATATAAGGTGAAAGAACGTCCCAACAGTACTCCCACAGTTGCATTTTTGCATTAATTACGTTCTCTGTTGTAGGGTTAGCTGTCAATTGGCCAACTGTTAGTGAAACTTTCTCTTGAAATGCTTGCATAAGTGTGGAATCCTTAGAAGGCTCTTCTTTTGCGTGTAAAAATCTGATTTTATCAAACGTTTCAGCAACCTGCTTTATCTCTTCTTCAGATATCATAAGCTCCATTTTAAAACTATATTTGCCAACTCAATGCATCGTTATTAATTCCAGTATTTGCATTAATTTACCTATAAAACTGTACAACAATGTGCATATATAAATATTTTTAAAGTAAATAAAAAATAATAAATAAATTTTATTTTTACTGCAAAATATATATTAATGGCGCACTCCGCAAGAACTTTTTCTGATTATAAGTCAATTGCTTTGCGCGAGCCTAGGAATGCTAGGCTAGAAAAAGATCTTGAAATTGCATTTTATAATCTTGCAAAAGAAAGGAAAATAGGTATTGATATTGATCAGGAAATCCATGAAACTGAGGAAGAAATAAAAGAGTTGGAATTGAAAACTAAGCGTTGACTTGAAATAAAGCAAGTTTTAAATGATGTCAATGTTTCTGAAAGAAAGTTAGAAATTGCACAAGCACAGTTAAACGAAATCTGTAAAGAAAATTGAATATTCAGAGACCAAATTGATTATGTTAGAAGAGAATTGCTATTGAAAAAAGAAATAATAGATAACCTAGAAGATGATATAGAAACATGCAATCATAAAATAAAAAATAAATGCAAGGAAACAAAGAATATTGAGTCAGAGACAAATCATATTGAAATTAATCTATTAAGAAGCAAAAGTGCTAATTCTAGGCAAAGATTCCATCTTAAAATAGAAGAATTAACGAGTGTCTTGCATCAAGAAAAAATTAAGCAGGTCCAAACTGCAAGAATGCTGAAGGAGAATATAAATTTGCAATTTTATCGACCATTGAATGTATTAGGAAGTACTAAAATTCTGACTCTTTTAACTCAAAAGTGCTTAGAAAGAATAAAAGATAAAGAAAATGAGATAAAAAGTTTTGAAAATCACATACCAATTTATAATAGATAAAACAGGCTCTCAAATTAAATTTTTTTTCGAATATTTTTATGCGAAATTGTTAAAATTTGTTTTATTATATATTATTTGAATATATTAATGAATTGGAAAATATGTTTGAAGAGCTTCGGCACAGCTCAAACCTATCCTCTATTGAAGAGATTGCTATAGAATATGTCTCTTCTGAAGAAAATAATGCAGCAATTGTCAAATATTTAAGCGAAGTGAACATTGAAATAGACCAATTAAAAAACTCTCTTTTAAGTGTACAAGAATTGATTAACGAATGCAAAAAAAACCACAAGTCAAGTGAGGCTTCAGCTGCAAATTTATTTGAAGACCTAACAGCAAAAATTGATGCTGCGAATCTAAAAAATGTTGAATTAAATCAAAAAAGCATAAAAATTCAAGAGCAGATTTCGCTGCTGATTTCTTTTTTTCAGGTGACAATAATTTAGAAAACCTATGATCTTTGTAAAATGCATCCTCTCAATATCCCATCAGGAAGAAAGGCAGAAATTGAATATATTGCAGATGGGGGGAATTTAAGCAAAGATCAAATTTTTTCCAACATCGGATTTATAGAAGAGTATGCAACTTATATGAACAAAATAAGAAGTCTTCTATTAAGTGAGAATCTGTCTTTATAAAATATATCTCCATATAAATTAGCTAATTTATTTTAGTTTTTAACTTTTGTTTGCACTCTTATTAAGAATATCCAAGAACTTAAAGGTTGTTGTTTTCATAAGTGGAGCCAATTCTTGTGAATGAAAAATTTCCTATAAATAAACCAATAATGATGCATTTTGCAAGTGTGTTAATTTAGAATAATGTAATAAAACTGATTTCTTTAAAACGAAATATAGAAAGGATTTATTTTCAAATTAATAAAAAACTGCTATGCTATTAGCAAAGAGTAAATAGCATCTAAATGTTAAGAAGATAGATAGTGATACTGTTATCTATTAATTAAATTTTAAATTCTAGAAAAATAGGTCTTCTTTGATAAATGCAGGCTCTAGCATTTTTGTTGAAAAATAAACTCTTTGTGAAAATAATATTTTATTTCAATTTAATTAAATATTTCATTAACAATCTGAGCCTATATTTTAATAGAAATGATATTTTGATTTAATAGCACATGGACTCATTAAACCAAACTTATTTACTCCCCTGCTCCCTTGAGCGCATTAGAAAAATCCTTATTTTTGAGTAAAAGCCAACCCTCTGTAAGATAATGAAAATTTTTTTATGAAAAATATATTTTGATATATAAGTGCTAATTAGTGTAATGAGATATCTCGCTAATTCTGTAAATTTTAAACATCTTTCATATTTAAACATAGATTTTAAAAATTAAATTAATTTTTGTTTCCAATTTGCAAATTAGATATTGAATTCCCGAAAAAAAAAAGTAACTCGCCTGAGAGAACAAATTATTTGTTTTCGCTAATCAAGGGGGAGTTAATTTATTAATTTATGAATGAATAAGTTTTGCTAACTTCCCCCTCAGTGAGCAGGAGAAAATCCCTATTTATTGCCCAAAAGTATACCCTCCTTGAATGAAAATTTTTTTAATATAAAAAAATATTTTGATATATAAGTGATAATTATTATAATGAGATCTCGAACTAACTCTGTTTTAAATTTTAAACAGTTTTCATTTTTAAACATAAATTTTACAAATTAAATAAATCTTTGGTTTCCAATTTTTGTGAATTGGGATTTTTTAAATTTCTAAAAAAGCATTTTACTATAATATTTATATATAATAATTTTTTAAAAAAAATTAACCCAAGAGAGAATAAATTTTTTTTTGTTCGTTCATTGGAAGGGGAGTAAGTAAAGCTCTAGTCTTTTATTTCATAACTCTAATATGTGCATGATTCATCTAAATCACGATGAAAGGCAATAGATTTCAACAACTTGGTTTTAAATTATTTCTGGATATATTGTCAAAATGATGGGATATACCATACTGACTCCCCCCCATCCTTGATCGAACGACTCGCCATCGTTCGATCAAGGATGGAGGTTAAAAAAAAAATTTTCGGGAAAAAAAAATTTATATATAAAATAAAAAAAATATATAGATATTTTTTTTTTATTTACTTTTAAATAAGAGGGTTAAGAATATTTAATAATTATTTTTACAGCAAAAAATTTAATTTATTTCATAAAATACCAATTTTTTAATATTTTGATTTATTAGTTACCCTTTAAATTGTATAAAAATTTTAATTTGTTCCTTATTAAACTAATTTTTTTTTAAAAAAAATTTTAAAGAATCTGTATTTTTAATTAGATTATTAAGTTTTTAAGCATATGTTAATGACTAAATCACTTCGAATGGTTGATTCCGCAGTTTCTGTCGTCTCAAAGCCTCTGAAAACAACTTCATTATGTACATCTTTCCCAAGCTTTTGATAAATAATATATTTTTATATATATAAAAATTTGCATGATATGAAAATCGTTCGATCAAGGATGGGGGTTAATTTCCTCAATTTTTAGGAATTTTTACAGTCAATCGTTCGATCAAGGATGGGGGGGGGAGTGAGGATAAAAAAGTAAAGTCAGCTAATCATTACTCCCACCTCTGTCAGCGAGCAAAAAAATTTATTTATAAAATTTATTGTAATTTTTTTTAAAATTTAAAATACCCACATTAGAAATAATTTCAAATTAAATATTAATTTAATTTTGTAAAAATATATGCATTAAAATAGAGACTGTTTAAAATTAAACAGAATTAGATAGAGATTTCATTATCATAATTATCACTTATAAATCAAAATTTTTTGTTCGCTCACGGAGGGAAAGGGTTAGAACTTTAGATAAATATGAACAAACTTGAGTCTAGTTTGGTTTCTTGGGTAATCTTTACTGTAGATAAACAGCAATGACTTATCATATCACTGCCATTCAATTGAGGATTTATCTGATGGTATTCTCTTATACGAACTCATGGGCCAAATGTAACTGTTATTCAGCTCTTCGGATCATTTTCAATCCCAAATATCAGAAGATTCCTACTCTACTGCTTCAAAAGCACATAATTTAAATAAGCTAATCAGTGGGTTGGAAACTTTTTACTATGAAGAACTGGGGAAAAACTTCAGTAGTTTGTTGAACAATATTGACACATCAGAAATTGCTCAAAACAATGATCGATCTCAGCTTATATCTTTGCTAGAAATGGTAATGGGAGCCGTCATCAAATGCAAAGATAAAGAAACTTATATTGCAAGGATTGTCTCGCAAAACGAAGCGGTTCAATCTGAATTAATGACTTTTATCGAAAAAGTTTTAAGCAAGCTTGACAAATTTGCTCATAACGAAGATAAGGATTTAAGAACTGAGCTTACAGTACTCAGGCAGGAAAAGAGGGCTCTAACATTGAAGCTTGAGGATAGCGCAAAAGAGGTAGAAGATCTTAAATATAAGAATGAAGACCTGAGATTAGTTAAAGACAGGCTTATATTCAAGATCAATGAATTAGAAGTCGAACTTGATAAAAAACAGTCAAAGAAAGAAAATCCTGATACTTCTTTATTGAAAATGCAATTAAATCAGAAAGAAACTACTATTCGCGAACTAAGAAACCAGATAAATGATATTACCAAGAAGCATCAGGATGAAATAGTAAAACTAAAGGATGAGCTTGATATGGCACAGGAAAGAGACATCCAGTTGAACAAAGCTGAAGCAACTCTAGAATTATACAAAAAGAAGCTGGAGGAGCTTAGCCAATTTAAAACTAAAGCTAAAGATCTAGAAGAAGAAAGAGATCTTCTGAAAGACAAAATAGCCAAGTATGAAGAAAATGTTCATGATGTTTGTGGTTTACAGCAAACTTTGAGCTATTATAAAGAGCAATTTTCTGCAGAAAAAGATAAAAATGCTGCGCTTTTGATATTGGCTGACGAGAAGGAAAATGCATTAAAAAACTTTCAAAAATTGCTAACTCTTTCTCTCCATGAGAAAGCAAAACATTTTGTTCACTCACGGAGGAGGTTAATTATTTTATTAAAATATTTATAGTATCCACCAAAGTGAAAAGCTATATATATAATTTTATATTAAAAAATTTGTTGTTCGTATGGAGGGTGTTTTTTTATCCAAAAAATAGGGATTTCTCCAATGGTTTTATCCGCTCACGGAGGGGGAGTAAGTGAGTCTGAAGCAAAAAGAAATTTCTTGGACGCGAAAAATAAAGAATTAAACGATGAAATAGAGCAATTGAAATTTAAGGCAGAAGCGAGCATAGATGATTTACATGTTGCAAGCAAGGGCTTGCAATCAGAATTAGAAGAACGAATTAACTCCTTAGTAGAAGAAAACTCAAAGCTTAAACTACAAGTAGGCAATCAAAGGGTATTGCAAGAAATGAATGAGCAAATGGATCAAGCATTTTTATTTAAAAAAAAAGCAGAAGAAAATTTGCAAATTGAAAGAAAACTTACAAGAAAAACCACACAACAAATGGAAATCATGAGCAATCAAATTGAGAGCCTAAAAGAAGAAATCACAAAGCTTGAAGAAGACAGCCAGGCTGCAGAAATAACAATAAAAAATTTGAAAAGCAATATTGAAAATTTAGAAAAAGAAAAGAACGAACTATTATATACAAAGTCTGAACTTGAAAAGCTAAAAGTAGAAAAAGAATCGCATTCCTCGGAAATGAAATGCTTATTTAGAGAAAAAGAAGAAATAATTCATAAACTCATGCAATGCAAGGAAGAGGTCCATGCATTGGAAAATCAGCTTAGACACAGCGAAATGACACTAAAATCAGCACAAATTGACTTGGAGCAGGCTCAAAATAGAGTCAGCATAGCTCAAGAAAGAGAAAAATTCGCACTAAGCCAATTAGAGTTTATCAAAAAGAATGAAAATTCAGAAGGAGCGCGGAAAGCAGAAGTATTAGAAATGGAAAAAGAAATTATGAATGCTAATAAGAAAATTGCTGAGTTTTTGCTTGAAATAAAAGAAAAGGATAACTTAATATGAAGTCTACAAACTGAAAAATCAATACTTGAAGAAGAGCTCAGGAATTCATTCAGTCAAGTAGAAGAAATTTGCAGCCAAAGACTAAAAGACAAAACTTTAGCATTGCAAGAAATGGTAAATCAAAAAGACTTAGAGATTAGGCTGTTAGTCAAGGACAAAAAAGAATCAGAAGCAGCCTATGACACAGAATTGAAACTGATGAGTACAATAATGTTTGAAATTGGAAATGAAATTTTCAAAGGTAGAGCTAATAATAATAAATAGATTGTAAGAATCTCTGAAAATGTTTTTACTATAGAGAATTATCCTCCATGAAGGGTGCTGATAAAGCTTATAGCGTCTCTATCCTGAACGACATAGTCATCCTTGCCACAAAGTTCCCAGTCCATATCATTTACAAGAACAATAATCCCTGGACGCCTGCATAATTTTTACAAAGAGTCTCCGGACATAAACAATTCTGGCCTTGTTTGAAGATATCTGTCCTTAAGGTGAAAAACTAGCTGTTTCAAAGTCAGCTGAGACTCAAGAGGCACAGTCAAGTTTCTTTGTTTATTGAATAAGTCTTCAAGACCGCCACTGCATTAAAATCACCTAAAAGCAATGTGAACACTCATTAATTATATTTAAGTAAAATCTAAAATGGACGAATATCGATTTCCTTCAAGACATTCAGACCAAATTTCTACAGTCCAAAACCGATTAAAAGAGAAATACTCTGAAGAAATGAGTAAAACTTACCATGTCCTTATGAGCTACAACCCAAAACTGGCCAACGAAATTTTCCATCATAAATCCAGCATAGATATTTACACAAAAAGTGCAATAAAAATCCAGAGCTTATATAGAGGATATAAAGCAAGACTATTGTACAGAGATTTACTGTATGACAACTATATGGAAGAAGTCGAAGAAACAAGGTCAAAGGAACTGCAAAGAATGGAAGAGTCTATGCTCATGATTGAAACAGCTGTTTTACAAGAAAAATTAAATGAAAAAAAGTTTTTAGTCAAGCAAAGAAGTCTAGAACAAAATTGGGCTGCAACATTAATACAAAGATGCTACAGAAAGCATAAAGGATGATCTGTGCCAAAAGAAGTGCTATGTGTTATTGAACAAAAATCGAATGAGCTTATAATCCCAGTAGATAACCAAGGAAACAATATTATTTTGAGAATATTAACCAAAAAAGATTTGAAAAGTTTTCCTCTTGTCACTCTTTTAAGCACGCTTGATGATTTGAAAATAAAATCTGACAGTAATTTTTAATTAGAATGCGTCGAGTTGCTTACAAATACCCTCACACTAAGAGAGGAGCTCAGAGAAAGCATAGCAAAAAGCAATAAAAAGATCGAGCAAATGTTAAAACGATTGAGACATTAATTAAGAAAGGCTTGTAAAAAACTCCACAATATCTCTATCTCTAAACATTGATGAAATTTCAATCACATCTTCTCTTTCCTTGAAAGCATTGCCCATCACAAGAGCTGCCTTTTTTGTGTAATTCAGTTTATTTTGCCTTATTATCCTTTCTAAATTTTTCAATCCCAAAAATGCGTCTTCGTAAGTCATCTCTTCATACTCCTCCTGATTTCTCCACATATATCTCCCTATCGTTATTGGTGCAAAATCCCTGCTAATATTTCTCAGCAGATCATGAACTCTATAGCGTTTATGAACACTTGCTTTGAATGTAATCGGATTTAGCATAGAGAGCAAGATCTATATCCATAATATAAGTTTCTGTAATTAAAGCAAAGTGAAAAGCAATAAAGTCCTCAATTGGAGAGCGTATTAAAATTAAATCTTTTTTAAAATACTAAGCAGCGTAGCGTATTCTTATAAAGTTTCTATGCTCTTTGCTCATACTCAATGCCTTATTTTATTAGAGTTTTTTAGGTGAAGACTATAAGCATTAGACTTTTGAAAATTCAAATAGGATCTGATTGGCTTAGTGTATTTGAATTTGATCTTGGCTTCATTTTTAATATTTTGATGAACTTAAAGATTTTGATTTGTCAAGCTAAAATGAACAAAAAAAATAATGTTGGTACTATTTTATTAGATTTTATTAAAAAAACTTAATTTTTAAAGCATTTTTTGTGATATTAAGCTTTATCTTCATTCCAAAACTATGAAATAAGTCAAAATTATACTGGAGATTTTTAAGGCACATCTATTGAGATACTGCCACATACAGAACAATCATTCGCTTTATCAGTGAATCTCTCTTGCATTTTTTTTTTCACTAAGATATGCTGCTTCTCCATAATGAACTCTATCTTTATAAGTCAAGATTATGGTGGAGATTTTTAATGGTACACCTTTTAGAGCTTAGCTACATCAAAAACTTCCAATTGCCTTATCGGCGAGTTACCTCTTGCGATTTTTATTTTTTTACTCCAAGTAAGTACTCTAATAAAAGCAGAGCATTGAACACGAAAGCAGAAAATTAAACATTTAATAAGTGAATACACATTCTATCAATTGTTTTGGAAAAATTAAAATTTAATAGTCTGAGTTAATTAATGCACTTACTTCGCTTTTATATGTATGCCATCGAAATAGGCTTCGTCCTCTAATTCAATTCTCAGAGCTTTTAAAGCAAATATGCTTAAAAAGCTATATCTGCAAATTGTCCAAACTGCATTAATACTTACATCATTAAGTCTTTTGCCTGCTTCTTCACAGTTCTCATTATAAAATCTGTTAAGTTCTGCCGGGACAAAGTTAAAAGGAACTTGCATATACCCAGGAACATTTTTCGCAGAGTACCTGGTTGATATTAATAAAGGATACTCATTTTTTTGCATTAAAATATGTGTTTGCTTTAAGTCATTAAAGCTGTTCGTGTCTGTATTTTCACCTTTTAAGGTCCAAAATGCAGCTCGGACTTGCTCAGTTGACAAATCTTCGTCTATAAATAAATTATCAAGGGATAATCCAATCCTTTCAAAATTCCTATCATATGTATGGCTTGTAGCAGCTTCAACAGCCTGCCTAATTAATATGTTGCTTCTTCTTGATTCAAAGCCTAGAGCTGTTGGATGATATTTATTGAGCTCTCTTTCAATAGAAAAAGATGCTTCTCTGCATTAATTTTACTCTAAAACTCGATGTCGCCTTTCTTTTATTTCCAATTCTCTGTAAATGGTCCGAATTTGCTGATGCATATCATATGCAATTTCGTTCTGAATAAAAATTACTCTAGCTCGTGGCCTTCTTAAGGTTTTGGGGTTAATTTCGTCAACATATTTTACTTCTTTAGGTCTCTCAATAGCCTGCAAAATATTATTAGCTGTGCTTTCCAAATGCAATTCTCTCACATTTACACCTTTAGTTTGGTTGAAAGGAAGCAAAGTTACTCTAACTTGATGATATTTATCACCTTCTATGGAAGGGACATAAAAAATAAGATTGCTTAGAGAGGCATTTTGGCCTTGTGTGATGGAATCCAAATAGCTGTTAAGTACCGTGCATGCATTTGTGTTGGTTGATTTTATGTTTTCTGGAGCTTTTGTGAGGACATCAGGGTGAGCTAACTTATAAAACGGAGTTAAAAGAGATCTCACCTTGCTTGCCATTTTGTTTATTATATTTTATTTTTTGTGAGTTGCAATTTAATTTATCGTTCTTATGATCAAGCTTCACAATTTTTAGAGTCATATATATAATATTACAAAAATAAAAATCAAAAATAAAATAATTTTTATTTAATTAGTTTGAATAAAACAAGTTCCTATTTACCACTTTATATTCAAGAAAGAAATGCTAAAATATAAATATAATACAAATTATATTCAATATTGATTCTAAATTTAGCTTACTCCCCCCCCCCCCCTCCGTGAGCGAACAAAAAAAATTTTGTTCACTCACGGAGGGGGGTTAATTTTTTTTTTTTTAAAAAAAATTTATATATAAATTTTTATAAAAAAAATATTTTTTTTCGAAATTTAAAAAAATCCTAATTTGCAAAAATTGGGAAGCAAATATTAATTTAATTTGCAAAATTTATGTTTTTAAAACGCAATTTGTTTAAAATTAAACAGAATTAGCTCTAGATTTCATTATACTAATTATCACTTATATATCAAAATTTTTTTCCATTAAAATTTTTTCTATTAAAAAAATTTTTGTTCGCTCACGGAGGGTGGGTTTTTGGTCAAAAAATGGTTATTTCTCTAATGGTTTTGTTCGCTCACGGAGGGGGGGGGGAGTTACTATCTTAAATACTAAATAATTTGAATAATCTATAATTTTCCATACCCAAAAAGATGCTTTTTATACTCCAAAAAGGACCAAGGTCATACACCTAGAATTATCGGAATTTGGGCATTGGTCTTTTTAGCAAATAAATTTTCCAAACGTCACCTCAGTATAGTTTTGCACCTAAAATTCTAGAATGTGCTAAATGCATATGACAATAATAAATGTCAGGAGCGGGAGCCATAGGAATCGATCTTGGTAGTCACAGCTGTGTGATTGCTGCAGTCAAAGGTGGTGGTGTAGAAATCCTAACAAACGATCTCTCCAACCGTCAAACACCTTCAGTCGTTGGATTTGGTGATAAACAAAGATTTATTGGCGAAAGCGGATTCAGCAAGCTCAGCACAAATTTCAGAAACACAGTCCTGTTCCCAACTCGCTTTTTAGGCCTAAGTTCCAACTATCAATACCTCCACGACGAGTCAAAGTGGCTTACAAACAAACTAGTGACTTTGGAAGATGGCCGAATCGCCCATGAAGTTCGATACCTAGGTGAAAACATGGCTTTCACAAGTGAAAGAATTGTAGCGATGTTTCTAACTCAAATAAAAATCATATGTCAGAAAACCGGTCTCAATCCACAAGATGTTGTGATTTCAGTCCCCTGCTATTTTACAGAAACAGAAAGAAGAGCTCTTCTTGATGCAATTGCCATTTCTGACTTGACATGTGCAAGGATCATGAATGATTCGACCGCCTCAGCTTTAAGCTATGGGCTGTTCAGGAGTTCTGAGTTCACTGAAACACCTAGAGTGGTGGCACTGACTGATTTAGGCCACTCAAAGTTCACTGTTTCTATTGTCCAGTTTACTAACTATGCCCCAGTTTTTTTCCTATATATTCTTTTCGCTAGTTTATGTGAACTGCATTGCATAATCATTTTTAATTTAATTTTATTGTAATTCCAATGCTTTAGGAAGTCATTGGTAGTTCTTAAACATCTTTAATATAATTTTATTTTATCTCTATTTTCTTATTCTGTTGTATTTAATAAAAAATTAAAAATTTAAAAAAAAATTATCAATTAGAGGGAATAAGGACAAATTGCAAGTCCTAACTCATGTAACTGATAGAAATCTTGGAGGAAGAGACCTTGATTGGAAAATCATGGAATTTTTCGCATCTTCTTTCGAAAAGAAACATGGAATCAACCTTTTACACAATCACCGTGCAAGATCAAAAATGTCCATTGCAGTCGAAAAACTGAGAAAAATGCTTTCTGCAAACACCGAAGCAGTGCTAAACTTAGAATATATTGTGGAAGATTTAGATTTGCATGGAGTTATGACTCGTGATGAGTTTGAAACATTGGCCGCAGGACATTTAGAGAGGATTGATGAATTGTGCAAAACTGCACTGAGAAAAGCAGGAGTAGAAAGTGTTCACTCTGTAGAAATTCTGGGAGGTGGCACAAGAATTCCTTGTGTCCAAAGAGTAATAGCTAAAGCTTTCAATGTTGAAAATGTGAGTAAAACATTGAACCCAGAAGAAGCCATTGCTCGAGGATGTGCTGTTCAGTCAGCTATGTTAAGTCCACTCTTCAAGGTTAAAGAATTCTCAGTCCAAGATATCGTCACAATACCAATCAGCATCAAAGTTTCTTCCCTTGATATGGAAGTCGAAGTCGAGCCTGAAGTCATTTTCCCTGAAAAGAATGTTTTCCCTACCACAAAAATAATGAAACTCAGGAAAAACCAGCCTTTCAAGATGAACTTGTTTTATCCAGAGCCTTTAATTGAAGGGCTAGACCATACAGTTGCTGATTACGGAGTAATTTGTCCAGCAGAAGGCGTTGAGAATGAAGTCAAAGTTTATGTCAAAATGAATGGGCATGGAGTCGTCAACTTAGAAAAAGCTGAATTAATTGAAGAAATCATTGAGACTGAAGAAATCAAGCCTGAGGAAGCTAAGGCTGAGGAGCAAAAAGCAGGAGAAGAAAAGAAAGAGCCTTCAGTTAAGAGAAAATATAAGAGAACCAACCTCGAAATTTCTAAAGTATCGAAAGGACTCAAAGAAGAGGAGCTAAAAATGTTTATCAATGAAGAAAGAAGAATGACAAATGAAGACAGAATTGCTAAAGAAACTTCTGATAAGAGAAATGAAGTAGAAGCTTATGTTTATGAAGCTAGATCAAAGCTTAACTCCTCTCTTCAAGGCTTTGTTAGTCCTAGCAAGTTGCAAGAAATCTTACTCCTCCTCCGTGATCGAACAAAACCCGCTCTCCATGAGTGAACAAAATTATTTTTAATTTAAAAATCTTTCTGAAAAACTATTTTGATATATAGTGATAATTATTATAATAGAATCTCATAACTATTCTGCTGAGCTTCATTTTTAAAATATGAGATTAAGATTAAGATTGCGATAACTCTCTGTCGACCCCCACTTAGCTTAGGATCTAACAATACAAGCCCATCCTTAATGAATTCCATCCACTAGCTAACAGCTCTGAACGACGGTAGGTGGAATCGGCCTAACTGTCGAACCGTTACAGTTGCCTATGGCCCGGACGAGTCTCTCTTCGTTTCTTGAGTGTGATTCAAGTACACTTGGGGTTGCCGGAGCAGTCCCAACGCTGATTTCCTTCAGAAAGAATGAACTTCCCTCACTATGACGAGTATAGGGGACAGAACCCCTAACTCATACATTCCATTTTAATTGTGATTTTAAAATATAAATTTTATATATATAAATTGATTTTAACTTTTCACTTTTATGAAATTTTTCGAAAAAAAAATCGTATCAAATTTCTATAAATTTAAAAAAAATTAGACGGGAGTTAGCATTTCTTTCAGATACTGAAAACTGGGTATACGGAGATGGTGCTGACACACTTAAAAGTGTATATACTGAAAGGCTCGACAAAATGAGAGAACAAGTAGAGCCAGTCATCAGAAGATCCAACATCTTCAACTCTTACCCTCAGCTCATAAATGAGCTCCAAGACGCTTTGATATGGAGCAGACAGCAAGCTCTCTCTCCTCAAGAGCAGTTTTCTCATATCACTGAAGAAGAAAGAAATAGAATCATCGAAAAAGCCGCTGAATTTGAAAGCTGGCTTCAAGCAGCCAAAATCCAAATAGACTCAATGGTGAGACATGAAGACCCAACCATTTCTACAGAAGATTTTGTGAAGAAAACTATTCAAATCAGAGAAGTCACTAACCAGACTATGAGCAAGCCTAAGCCAGCCCCTCCAGCTCCTCCTAAAGAAGAGAAAAAAGAAGAAGCCAAGCAGCCAGAACAAACCCCTCCAGAGGCCCCTAAGAACGAAGAAGCCAAGAAGCCAGAAGACATGGAATTAGATTAAATATAGTAATATCTTCTTCATAGTTACATGAAGCACATTTTAAATAGCATTACTTGCTTCTTTATGACGAAAACATTTTCTTCTTCACGGCCACAGGCTGCTTCAAACTTGGCTTTGGCAGCTTGGAAGTGCTCGATACTTCTGGCCTTGCTATTTTTCCTAAGCTTGGCCTGCTTTTAAGAGTCCCGCTTTTGCTTTGCTGCATATCAGCCCTTGCTTTTGCAGCCAGCTCGTCAACCATTCTTTTTTTCTTTTCATCTTGTTCTCTTGACTCTTGTCCTCCTTGCTCTTCCTCAAACTTTAATTTCTTCTGCTCATTTTTCTGGGCCTCTTCGCTTTGCAGCTTATTGTTGTATTCGTCACTTTTTAAAATATTTCTTGAAGCTTGGGCGGACTCTCTGACTGTTTGCATGGGATCTTCGACGAGATTTGCTAATACGTTGTTAAGCTGAGTGATTCATTGGTTTTGAAGAGATTCACGTATTTGTGGGACCATTGTGGCGAATTTAATGCGGACTGAGCTGACGTTATCGCTGCCAAGACGGATAGTATCTTCGGCGAAAACTAAAGAAAAAAACTGCTTTGATTGGAGAGGTAAAATATAATCAATGAAATACAAAAATATAAGCCTATTATTGCAGCAGTTTGACCTGGCAAACTTGTCTTTTAGGATGTTACAAATATCCAGCTTTCTGGTCATGTAGTAGTTATGATACAAAATGCTTGCTAGTAGCTCAGCAGAAGAAATTTTCAATGGCCAAGTGCCTGATTGCATTTTGTAAATTAAAAGAGGAATAAATATGTCAACGACGTCTTTCATTGGAAACTGTCTAAAAGTCTCTTTAATTTGTGATAAATAAGTTAGCTGAGTTCTCCAATTTGCAGAGTTTACGACTGCAGCAAATTTAGTTAATAGCTCTGAGGGCTGAAAATAGCATTGCCAATGGTGCATGCTTTTAAGCATAGAAAGCTGGGTTTGCGGATTTTCATATAACTGAGTAGCCGCTTTTCTTAAAATTTTACAGCTTGGGTCTTGTCTGACGATTTCATGCAGCCCAGCTGCAATAAGAACTCTGACTTCAGCTTCTTCGTCACTTGCCAGCTTGGTAACAATTGCTTTAAGATTTTTGCAAGTACCTAACGCTCAAAAAACTGCAGGAATGTTAAAAGCTAGGTTCTTCCTTACTGTTATATCTGAGTTTGCTAGCCTTGCAATAGTTTCTGTGCAGGAAGTTCTGTCTTCTTTGGTTAGTATAGATTTTATTGAAAGAAAAAGCTGACCGATATATTGAGATAGCTTAACTTGAATGCTAATGGGAATTTCTACAAAAAGCTCATTCTTTATAATAGGCATTGCCTGGACTTCTAAAAAACCATATGATAGATAAGGCAGCAACTGTATAAAGAGCCCAACTGCTTCAGCCTTCACATCAATCATAGCATCATGAACAAGCTTGACAGCTTCGAAAAAAATGAGTTCTTCAATTACAGAAGTTCCTACAACTTTTGCAATTGACTGCCAAGACCTACACATTTCTTGTCTTACATCACCATTGGTGTCTTGCGACAATGCTTTTGCCCTCTGCAAAATTTGTCCTTTGAATTCTTTTCCCAGAACTTCTGCTAACCCCTTAGCCAAAAAAATTGTTTTACCTACTTAGAGTAGGTTGATTTATTTTTTAATATTTATTATATGCTTTACAGACATTTTAAATATCCAAACTTAAAAGTTAAATTGTAAATTAATTATATAATTTATGTTTTAAGACTCAAGCTTTCAAATTTTTATTGAATCAGCTTTAAAAAATACAACTCACTCATGGAGGAACTAATTTCTAAAAAAAGATAATTTTCCTATATTTTACTTTAAGTGGGAGTAGGCTGTTTAATAATTGGCAGGAAACTTGGCGTGAAATAGGTTTTTGAGTATAATCTGATAGCAGAATAATCATTGGTATAGCTTTAGATTTTATTAAATCTACTGATATCTGCGATATTAGTGAATTAAATACAGGCATCCACACTTCTAAAACTGTTCTTGAATAAAAACTTAGAAAAGTCAAGGTAAGTTCCAATGTGTCTTGGAAAAAGGACTTTGGAATATATCGCTTTTTTACAGCCGATAAAAATCCGATACCTGATGCGATCTGCATTTGCTCATCCCAGCTCATTATGTGAGACTACATAAAAATTACAAATATTCTGCTTGCTCCCTTCACTGTGAGAGCCATAATTTTTGATTTTTTTTTATATTTTTATCGTTCAAAAAACTCGAGAATATTTAATAGCAAAAATTTAGCTTATAAAATTTATGTTCAAATCAAGCCATCTAAAATCTAATAAAATAAGTCGATGATTTCATTAAAATAATTGTCAGAATATTTTATTTAAATAAAAGTTTTGCTCGCTGACATAGGAGTTAGAATTCTTGATCCACCTTCTTTTATGACAATATCAAGACTATTTAATGCTCAGATTTTTTGAGGTGGAAGCCCTGACTCGAGTAATTGGACCCCTTTGTCAGCTTCTGAAAGTCCTTCTTGTGTTGACCATTGGGCAAGCTCTGCTTCTGTCTAAATATGAATTACTTTTAAGATCCCAGAGCTGCATTCAGCTTCAGGAACTGACTCGTTCATCCAGTCTAGTGAAAGATCCATTCCCTAAAAATTAAAATGCATCTTTTACTAACTCAAACTCCAATTAATGAATAATAGTCTGTTTCAATTTTTTTCAAAAAAATTACATTAAATTTCGTAGAAAATTTATTGATTAAAACGCTAGCTTTGTTTAAACTTATGCATTACATTATTATCTATATCGTTTAACGTCCACTACGGGGTAGCCGTTAATCCAGGGCTGCCACAATATTTATCCACGTGTCGGGCCCATGGACCTCTGGACTGATCCACTTTGTTTCACCAGGGCACGGGTAAATACGATGTTCCGGCTTCTACGGGCTGCGTTCGCCTTGCGCTCCTTGACTCAGCTCCTGCGCATGTTCCGCCTAAGGTCACCTTCCTCGGGTGTGCTGAGAGGTAAAAACTTCGAGCCTCTTGATGCACTTGGAGCAGTGCCTAGGCTTATCTGCCAGAGTTAAACTGCTATGGCTGTACTGAAGTTCTCAGAAGAAAACCTAATCCCATAAATAAAATTGCTTGAGGGAGAGAAAATTAGCGGAGCTAATTTTTCTCGAACCGAATGCCATTTTATTTATGTTTAAACTTATGCACTCCTCTTTGAAATAGAATAGGTAAATTTTGATTATTGGGACCTTAAATTGGACATAAATTATTATTATTTTTCTCTTTAAAATTTTATACAATTTAAAGATAAATTTCTTTACCCAAAAAACGGAATTTAAAGGGGGAGGAGAAGTAAAGAATTTTTGAAATAGGAACTCAGTGGTTTTATATAAAGAATTTAAGGAAGAAACTAGAGGGAAATGATATTTTATGAAATTTAGATTAAAGAATATGAAAATTGATATTTTGATGTTTATAAAGAAACTTAAAGTCAAGCTAATAAAGCCATTGATAATACACATATATTTGAGTAAAAATTCAAAATGGAAGTAAAAGCCAGCATTATAAGCAAACTGAGGAGAGTCAAGATGCTTTATTTAATATATCGTGCTGTTTAAATAATTAATTATCCAAATAATTTGATAAAATAAAATTATTTCTATTCTAATTTATTTTAGATATCCTCAATATTCGCTCTTTGTTGATTCGGAAGCTGGCTATCAGTTTGGCGATCTGGATTACTTTCTTCTAATTCAGTGAAATTATTTTTAAGAAATTCAAGTGGTATCGGTTCTGAGCAGATATAGCAATGAACCGATTCTAATTCAGATATGCTTTTTCCAAACGATTCAAGATAAAATTTTAGGCATTTTGAGCACAGCTCATGGCCGCAAGGGATATTGATGTCAGCTTCTTTTTTGCACATATGGCACTTTCCATTATTCATGACTCTATCTCCAATATAATCGAAAGCTCTGGCTGTGTTGTTAAACCCAGTTCTAGCAGCATCAGAGATAGAATCTGCACTTCTCCTTGCAAAATTATTGATTGATCTTATAGACCTGTTCCACCAGCTGGTTTTTTCTTCTTCTGCCATGATTTCTATATTTATAAATCTATTAAATGTCTTTTTTCTTACTTAATTTATTTAACCTATTTTCCCACTCAATTAGTTGCTGATTAACGCCATTGATGACTTGGTCATATTCTTCAAGAAAATATATCAACTGCTTTTCCTTATGGCCAAAGAGAAGGGTGAGCTCGCATTCTTTTTTTTCTAATGCGATCAGAATTTTTCTTTTTTCTGGGAGATTATGCAGAGGATCAAAGTCGAGGTATCTTTTTAGTGCTTCAATTTTTTCCATTTGCCTCGCCAACTCCCTTATCTCATTTTCGTATTTCAAAACAAATTCAGATCTCACAAACGCATTAACAAGGAGCCCTTTAACGTCTGATGCATCAAGCAGAGGGGTGAGATTTTGGACTTTTTGGACAAGGCTGGAGTCTATTCCACCGATTAATAAATTGTCGAATTCTCTTTGAAGTTTGAGGTAGGTAGAAGATACACTTTCATGCTGAGAAAGAAGACTTTTATAGTTTCCCAAGTGGTCAGATAGTGATTTGGCTCGAATTTCCAAACTCTCAATAAGGTTAGATTCCATGGGCTTATATAAATATAATAAAAATTAACTATGCATTCAATAAAATTTAATAAGTTATCCACTATATATATAAAACTTTTACCTACTAATTGTATCTTATTTATTTCATTGAAAAACTATAGGAAATATTCAGGTGCTGGCTTTCTTGCTGGTACTTGTCTTTCGTCTTCAGGTGCTGCTTCAAAAGTTATGAAATTTTGGTTAAGATCTGAGTCAAGCTGCATAATGGCTGCTATATTCCCACATCGATAGCAATAATTAGGAGCTGACCACACAGTTATAAGTTTATTTTCAAACATGCATTTATAGCCTTCCATAACTAGCTGGTGAGCTCTTGCTATCATTTTTATATTGTTAAGTTTGCAAAACTCTCTGACTATGTTACCTCCAAAAACATAGCCCGCCCCTCTCGGTGACAATTCCCATCCATTAATTTCTTCAGGATCAGACCATAACAAATCGCACATTGCTCCATCATGAGGAACTTCTTGTTTTCTATCAATTGCTCTTATCTCATCCAAAGAGCTTACAGAAGGTGACAAACCGCCATGAACACAGAAAACCTTCCCATCTATAAGTGCTCCTAAAGGTAGATAATCGAAAATTTCTGTACAATAACGCCAAACATTAGCACTTCCATACTTTCTGATGCATTCATCATAAAATCCATAAACCTGACTCCCCTCCCTTTAAATTGGAGCGAAGTTATTTTTTTTTGAAAAACAAATTAATAAGAAATTTTCTTATATAATTTTTTTTTAATATTTCTATGAAAAATTTATTTATATAATCAAACATTTCGTTTTTGTTTAAATCAATTTTACTTATAACCCCCCTAAATATATCCAGAATATTTAAAATTTTGATTTAAGGAAATTAAATTGGGTATAAATCAGGATGAGCTAAAGCCTGTCTTAGGCTATATTGAAGCTTTTTAAGAGAGATTATTATTTTTATCTATAATAGAATTTAGCTCCTTTTTAAAGATGCTTGATTACCTAAAATTGGAAATTTTACGAACATTTTTGCTCCAGTTTAAATTGGGGAGTGAGTAATCTGTCGCGACTCATGATTTCCTCTGATTAGCATCATCCTATCAGGATATTTCACCTTAAAGGCTAACAAAAGTAGCCAAGTTTCGACACTGAAATATCCACGATCCACAAAATCCCCTAAAAATATATATAATTAATTAAGAGATTTAAAAATTTATGCGATTGAGCATTATCTTTATTCGTTACAAAAAATAGAGTAATAGTTGACCATAGAGAATTTTATTCTTTCTAATTCAATATAATTTGTTTCTGGAGGTTCTCCTCCAACTTTAAATAATTTCATGAGATCATAAAATTGTCCATGAATATCTCCACAGATCGTTATGGGAGAGTTTACTTTATGAACATTGCTTTCTTCGATGAGTAAATCTCTTGCTTTTGCGCATAGATCTTTAACTTCAGCTTCTTTGATGTATTCACATTGTTTGAGAAGTTCAATTTGACTGTCTAAGTCTGACATTAATTAAATAAGCCAATATTAAGAATCGAGGTATTTAATTAGATACTAGAAAGCTATTTAGAGGAAGTATTATATGATATTATCTATTGGCATTTTTTTAGAATAGGTTCAGCACGTCGGGAAAATTTCCCATGTGTGAAGCCAAATCTCACATGTGGAAACAGTCAATTGTATTTGGGATTTGGGCTTGACATGTGGAAAATGTCCCGATGTGTCGAACCCATCCCAAAATTATGCCAAGGTATAATAGAGTTATTAGAAAAATTCTGAGAAAGTGAAAAATTTTTATTTTTAGAAATGCAGTTCTAAATATAAGTCTAATTAGCTAAAAATTCACTAATTTATATATCTATATAAGTGAGAAACTTTTATATCCTTTAAATTAACCTTACTCCCCCCCCCCCCCTCCGTGAGCGAAACAAAACCATTAGAAAAATCGCCATTTTTTGACCAAAAACCCACCCTCCGTGAGTGAACAAAAATTTTTTTAATAGAAAAAATTTTAATGGAAAAAAATTTTGATATATAAGTGATAATTAGTATAATGAAATCTAGAGCTAATTCTGTTTAATTTTAAACAAATTGCGTTTTAAAACATAAATTTTGCAAATTAAATTAATATTTGCTTCCCAATTTTTGCAAATTAGGATTTTTTTAAATTTCGAAAAAAATATTTTTTATAAAATTTATATATAAATTTTTTTTAAAAAAAAAAATTAACCCCCCTCCGTGAGCGAACAAAATTTTTTTGTTCGCTCACGGAGGGGGGGGGGGGAGTTAGCATCTTAAAATGACATATAGTTCCTGATCCAGTTAGCATGGCTAACTTGTAAATGCTCAAAGAAAAACATATTAAACTATTGTCTCTGAAAAACACTAATTAAAATATATATCATTTTATTGGAGAGAGTTAAATATTAGGATTTTTTTTTTATAAAGATTAAATTATTGAACTTTTAAACTCTAAAACCGCAGTATATATTCCATCTTGACATATTTTATTATAATGAGTCTTCTACTTCGAATAATTATTTTTTTTATTAATACTTAAGCTGATTAACCCAATGAATTGGATTCCCCATAAACTGCCGTAGCAATATTAAAAATGTCAGTTAGGAATAGGTCCTAGCACCTGCTCAAACAGGATGGTCTTATAATCCGAGCTTAGTGAGAGAAGTCAAAGCTTCTTGAGAGTCTCGGCTTGAAGAGAAGAAGTCGGTACTGAGGCTGGCACTAACATGAGAAGTCTGAAAGGGCTTATTAACTTTAACAGTACGACAGTTAGGCCAGCCCACCTACCGTTGTTCAGAGCTGTTAATGTAGCTGGGCCTCGAGTAAACAAAGACTTAAGGCACAAGTGCGCCAGAGTAATTAAATAAACTTAAACTTAAACATAAACTTAAGCAGATAAAGCCGAACTTCTAATCAGATATACAAGAGAAAAGTTTATTAGCCTGAGACAGAAAAATTAACCTATGCATTAAATAGAGCTCAAGTATTTTCAATTTATAAAATTGATAAACAGGTCAGAAAGTCTAATTCAATCCTTTATAAGCATTTTATAAAGAAGATAAGTTGCATTTTATTATTCACTAGTGTAAGTCATCTAAAAAAAAGCTAAATCAATCAGAACATTTTGGTTTAAAAAATTTTAATAAAAATGACAAAATAATTTCCAAAAGGTCATTCGAAACTTGCTTCAACCATTTCTAATTTCAACCATTATTACCTGTATGGTAATAAATTTTGAATATTTATTCTCTTAAATGTTGTGGTGTTTTTTAGAATAAGCCACATCTGTGAGATAAATTCGTAATGTTAATAAAACAAATAATGAAATCGTGGCTCGCTATACTTTTATTTGTTGCGACAACTCCGCTCTTTCAAATTGTTGCTTCTCAACAGGTTAATACACAAGGCATCGGGTATCTTGAACAAGAATTATCTCCAAAGGAGAAGCCAACGGAAATTCCTGATTTTCAAACTGCTGTGCCTCAAGATAAAAAATTGATGGTTCAAAGTCTTTGGACCATTTTTTTACCTATATTTTTTTTGCCTAAATGTTTTTAGCCATTTTTTTGGCCAATTTTTATAATATAACTTCTATTAAAATTGATTGAAAATCACTTCGAAATAGTCTATATGAAATTATTTCCAAAGCAAATGTCCCGAAAAAAGGTTGAAAATAAATAAGAGAAAAAAAAATAGATGTTATGAAATAGTTGTCGCGTGTGAAGACACCGATTCAAAGTCTTTCTGTGAGTATATACACTTTTCACCTGAAAGTGTGCTGATTGAAGAGTCTTCAAAGGATTGGAAAGTTAAAGAGCTGTTTGTCCATAATATATATTCCTTTGTAATTCTGATTGTCATTGCTGTCTTATCTGGATTTTTCTTACTTTTTTAGTAGTTTGGGAAATTATAATTAAATTTTGATATTTTTTTTTATTTTTTAAATAAATCCTTAATTTTCCCCTAATATTACTATTTAATATACCTTATTATAATAAGCAAAAGTATTTCTAATGATTAGTTATTATCCCATTTATATTTTTAATAGATAAACTATGCCAGTAAGAATGCTTATATTTACTTCAATTAGGAGTCTAAAAATATAGCAATACATTCAAGAGTTAGGAAATTCTTACAAGTCATGCAGAGTTGAGCTTGAACCTTCAGCGATAACTTTATCACCTCGAAGAAGATGCATATCTGAAAAAGAAAAGCAAACTTTATTCGAGTTCATGAAGGAAAATAAAAGTTCCCCAAAGCTGACAAAAGAAAAGACCTGCCAACTTACAATAAGAATTAACTGTGATGCTTCGATTGAACCTCTCACAAACTTCACTTTGCATTTACCTTCAAATAGTAAAAGAGCCAAAAAGCAGGAGTCTTCAGCTGATCATCTTCTGAAAGACAGTGTAAATAAATATGAAAAACTCCTTCAAAATGGACATGGTGCCCGAAACTTTGAGGTCGTTTCAATGCTTGGAAGAGGTGGCTTTGGAAGTGTATATAAAGCCCGCCACCTTCTTGATGAACAATTCTATGCAATTAAAGTTATAAAGATCCAAGTTGGAGTAAATCAAAATTTATACGAGCATAAAGCCTTTAGAGAGGTTTTATCAATGATGCAGCTTAATTCAAAGCATGTGCTAAGGTATATCTAATGAGAATGATAAAGGCTTAATCCTGAAAACCGTTATCTTATTATTATATAATAAATTGACAATCAGTAAAATGTTTTCATTCATTCTTATAGGTATATTACAATTGTTGGCTGGAAAGTGAAGGAGAACATAATATAAGATCATATGAGCCAACAATGGAAGATGAAGAAAGTGAATTTTCAGAATCAAGCAGCTCTTCAAGCTTAGCATCATTATCCGAGCCTTACTTCAACCTAAATTTGAACATTCAAATGGAATACAGCAAAGGATGCACTCTTAAAAATTGGCTAGAAAGACCAGAAAGAACAATTGAGAGAAAATCAAATTGCCTTATTTTTAGGCAGCTCTTAAAAGGAGTCTTGCATATTCATCAAAACAACTTCATTCATAGAGACTTGAAGCCTGCCAATATCTTCATTGATAAAGATTTTTGTGTAAAAATTGGCGATTTCGGCCTTGCTGTCATCAATAATTATTTGGAAGCTGAACCATTAACTCCTCTTGATACAACCCACTCAACAAATGTAGGAAGTCCACTGTACTTAGCCCCAGAACAAGAGAATGCCTTAAACTATGATGAAAAAGTCGACGTCTACCCACTTGGCATGATATTGCTTGAACTGTGTGTAAAAATAGAAACAGATCATGAACGATATTTACTATTGAAAAATCTTCGACATAAGCATATGCTCCCTGATGAAGTCAAAGAAAAATTCGGAGTTGAGAGTCAAATAATCCTTTGGATGACTTCAAAAAATCCGAATGACCGTCCATCAGTCAGCGATATCATGAAAAGCGAACTCATGCAAACATGGGAAAGCGAATTTCAGCTTTCACCTCTTAGTCATAATATATAATTAAAACAATAAAATTATTTAAGCTGAGCCTTTAATTAAAGTTTCTTTTATTTATATCAGGTTTTATCTTCCAAATAAGAATTTAATCAGATTTTAATTTAAATTTGTTCATTTTTCCTTTGCAATTTCTCGATAAAATTTATCGTAAATAATCATTCATTTATAAGAATTTAGTGGACTCCAATGCCAAAGAAGAGAGGATTTTGCTTTTATTACTGCCTGCTTATATCCATTTTTGCTTCGCTTTTCTTGGTAAGCACTAACATCCCCCCCCCCCCCTCCGTGAGCGAACAAAACCATTAGAAAAATCGCCATTTTTTGACCAAAAACCCACCCTCCGTGAGTGAACAAAAATTTTTTTAATAGAAAAAAATTTTAATGGAAAAAAATTTTGATATATAAGTGATAATTAGTATAATGAAAATCTAGAGCTAATTCTGTTTAATTTTAAACAAATTGCGTTTTAAAACATAAATTTTGCAAATTAAATTAATATTTGCTTCCCAATTTTTGCAAATTAGGATTTTTTTAAATTTCGAAAAAAATATATTTTTTATAAAATTTATATATAAATTTTTTTTTAAAAAAAAAAATTAACCCCCCTCCGTGAGCGAACAAAATTTTTTTGTTCGCTCACGGAGGGGGGGGGGGGAGTAAGTAGACTTATATTGCTTTATTGTGTGTTGCAGATTCCTTACAACTTGACGTAGAGGATAAGACTGAGCATTCTTCGACAGTTTTTATTGCAGCTGGGTTTTATGAATTTATAGCTGTATTAATGCTCATTCAAGGCTTTTTATGCACCAAGCGTCAAGGTCCAGTTCAAAATGAAGGCTATCAAAAGTTGGAAAATAAAGAATAATAGATAGATATTAGGACTTTATATGCTTAATAATTCATTCTATCTGAAACTCAAAAATTGCACATATCTGTGCTGAAATTCAAGCAAATTAATTCAAAAAATTAGTTAATCATGAATGTAATAGTTTGGAATTATTCTAAAACCAATATGGAATTATCAGTAAATCTAAACAACCCAGAAATAAGCTTTTTATAATAAATAAGAAAAGGTATCTGTCAAACTAATATAAAAATTATCTAATAAGTACTACTATTTTGATTATTAATAATAAGTATTTTAAATACCTTAAATTAAACATAAGATTTTTATACTTCTATTTATATATAAATTAGCTGGCATCTAAAGCCCTCTGATAAACTATAAAATGGATGACGAGATTATAACTTCAAGCTTTTTCGAATGAATCGAAGCTAATGAAGACACATATGACTATCCGATACTCTTCAACTCTGCAGAGCATCTTGTGCTTACTTTTACTCTTGACAACAATCTAATTAAGTTTGATTTCCAAGAAGTCTCCGCTACTTCAAGTTCCTCGAGTGCTCCAATCAAATCATGGATAGAATGGGTAAACTCCTATTTAAATGATCGTGCAGGCGAAATTTTGACTGGGGAAATTAACCTAGGCCAAATCCTTGACAAAGTAATTAAAAAATACTCAGAATTCAAAGAGTTTGACTCAGACCAGGAAGGATTTTCTGATGAAGGAGAAGAGGAAGAAGACATGGACATTGACTATAGACAAGAAATTATTAGAGCTAATCAGGTCGAAGAAATAAAAAATGCACAAAGATATGGAAAAGGAGACCATTCCATGGAAGGAATTGCAGAGTACGCAGAAAAGCATTTTATTTTCCAAGAAGCCCAGAGAGCTGTGGAGTTGCTGGAAAGCACCTTCCAAAGATGCCCGCAGCTGAGGCACTCATGCAAAATTTATAACTACCCAGCGTTATGCAATATCAGAATTGAACTGGATCTGGCGTTTTTGGATATTTCAGACAGTGTGATGAATATGTTGGGGCTAAATTATGATAATCCATTGACGATCAGCATGACTATCAGCGAAATAAAGTTAGTTCAAAGCTTAGAAGAGACCCAATGAACCACCTCTTTGTTGGGATCGTTAGGCTTTGAAGTCCTACAAGGAGGGCGCTAATCTTAATCTTAATTATAAGCAGGTGCGAGCCATATTGGTGATACAATTTTCTAAGGATTTGTGATTGAGGTTCATCTGCTTTTAGATATTTCGATTAGGCTTGGTCGCATAAGATGATGATTCGCTAGCAAGAGTGCCTGACACAACCTTTCTTCTTGATTGCTTAAGTAAGGGCAGCCTAAATATGAGCTAAAGCGAAATGCTTCTCCTTACCTTGTGGGCTCCAGAATTGTGTGGATAGATTATGAATTTCCCTGCATGCATCAGGCTCTTGGGATGCAGCTTGAGCCAAGAAATTGCCTTGGTGTCTGTAAAGAGTGAGGCTGCCTTTCTTCAGCAGCTATAAGAAAAAGAGTAAAAGCTTGGTACCCAGGCCGATTACTTTGCTTCTCGGAAGGAAATCTCTAGTTCTTAATGACTTTACGAGTCTCCTTGCACTTCCCACTACAAAGTCAAAGCTTACCTAAAATTCAACTACGAGCGGGCCTTAATTCTTGTCTGGCTTTTCTCCCAGCCGGCCTTGGCCATAAGATTGATAAATTGTATTAAGAGGCCGGGTGTGCTTTGTCGATATTTAATATGCATCCTGCAAGGAGGCTCGATGGACTCTTATGGCTGTAGAGAATATATATTAGGAAGAGTTAGAAAATTCCGAGATGATACTTACAATTGCATAAAAGCTCATGACTACCTGCCTTCAGTTCTTGCACTGTCTAGAGAAAACAGTGTTGAGCCTGATTCAAAAGGAATTGAGCATGCCGACATTCTAGAAATGATTGAGATGGGTTTTTCTGAGCAGCAGTCAGTTGCTGCTTTAAGGATTGCCAGAAAAAATAAAGATGTAGCTATAGATATGCTGACTGGAGGCATGAACCTAGGCTATGGAGTTGATTTCCAAGATGTCATCATCCCATGCGACAATTTCTTTTATAACTTGCTTTTTTATATAAGAGACCGCCTACAAAAATGCACCAATTACTGCTTTATTTGCTATAAAAAGCATGAATTTGAGTCAATGAGACTAAGGCCTTGTGCACAAGAAATATGCGAATTTAGGTTCGAAGAGATTTCAGGACTTTCACTATATGCAGAATTAAGGTCAAATATGGACTTAGCGATGCTAGATTTGTCATTAGCAGCTGAAGCTCTTACGTCTCCTAGAGCGCTCACTATTTTTGAGCCTTTTCCAAGTTTCATGCTTAAATCTAACCAAATCAGAGGAAAAGCAGGATTTCTCAGCAAAGGAAGTGTAACTTACTCATCTGATATGGACTCTAATAAAGACATAAACCTTCTTCAACAAATTTTTAGAGCCATGCCACATCCGTCAGCTTTATTAGAACAATCTCATGATGAAAATACTCTACGCGAAGCATTAACAACGATGTTAGGAGAAAATGGAACACTTGGATATAAAATTATGAGGTATATTGTAGCTACAAACCGGCTGATGCTTGTAAACTTAACTGGGAATAATCGAATAAAGCAGCTAGATAGAGTTCAGCAATATTTCGTCACAAATCACCCAGCTGAAGTTGAGAGAGCATTTCAAGCCAAGAAAAAGCAAAACGGCTCATTTTTTGCTTTTCACGGGAGCGCTATAGAGAACTGGTACTCAATATTGAGAAACGGCATCAGAAATCTAAGTAACACGCACATGATGACTTGTGGAGCTGCTTATGGGGCAGGTGTTTATTGTGCTGAAAACATAGCCACGTCACTAGGGTACACAAGAATGTCTGCTGGGAATTGCATTTGACCTCATGGGAATCTTCATTGTTCTTCAAAAGGATGCATGGCCATACTGGAAGCTATTAACAAATCAGCAAATAAAAGCAGTGGAAGTGGCATTTATGTAGTGCAGGACGACACTGATGTTATCATTAGATATCTCTTGATTTTTAGTCAAAGTGACATTGGCGGAGTCAGCGTAAATGTGTCTGATCTTGGACTAGACAAGCATTATAAAAATTTTTCGGAGTCATTGAAAATAAGAGCACAAGAAATCAAGCAGCAAAGAATCAAGTCAGCAGTTGAAAGATCACTTAAAAAAGAACAAGAAGAGCAAAGAGCAAGAAAGCACTACGAAGAGTATAAAGTCATTAAAAAAGAAGCAGAAGAACAAGACCATCATCTTGATTCAAAACTTTCAAGCCTAGAAAAAGCTTATGCTGGCCAAGGCTCCACAACTTCAAATAAAAGGATCCTTCAAGAGTATAAGTACCTGCAAAAGTCAAAAGAATGTAAAGGCTTAACTGTGGAGTTTGAAGGTGGCTCAAATATATATATTTGACTTGTCCATTTAGATATGAACAAATTTGAGATTCCAAATGAGCTTAGTCAGGATTTCGAAGCCTACGCAAAGCGTTACTCAAGAGAGAAAGAAATGCTTTTTGAAGTAAGATTTGACTCGAATTTCCCATTTAATCCTCCGTTTGTAAGAGTAATCAGACCTCGTTTTGCATTTAGAACAGGGCATATTACAGTAGGAGGGTCAATATGTATGCAGTCTTTGACTTCATCAGGGTGGATTCCTGTGAGGACAGTTGAAAGCATTTTTATAGAAATTCTATTCAATATGGCTGAAGGTGGAGCAAAGCTTGACGCTACACAAGCTCACATCGATTATACACTTTCTGAAGCTCAAGATGCATTTAATCGTGTTGCAAGGGACCATAAATGGATTTAAGTAATATTCAAAATATTATTATAATTTCTGATTCCTTAATTTTATTGTTAGCTTATTGATTATATATAATAAACATATCAGAATCAGCTCGCTTAGATATGCATTAATTATCAGGAATAATATCTTATGATTTTATATTGCATAATAAATGTCTAATATAGCATCTGCGCCACTATAGCATGCATTGGCGCTGGTTTCCACAGCAGCTTGGAGTTTTGCGAATCACCTAAAGTGACAAGTCAACTCCAGTTGGCAAAAGCATATCCCTTTGCAAGGATTTGCAAACTTGGAGTTGACTTATCTCCTTTAGGTGGCTCGTCACAGCTCCAAGTTGCTCTGGTAAACCCAGCGCCAAAGCACATTACATCTGAGTGGACGCTATATCAGGGGCAACATGCTTTTCGAGCCAAAAGGTCGGATAACTAGACTTTTAGAAGGCAAAGATTTGCCTGCTTCATTGGTGAACACATCAGAGATGCCAGCCAAAAACCCAATATCAAGACTCGCATCTTCTCTTTGGAACTATCTTTTTCCAAAGGCACAAATCAATATGCTGGTGCGGCCATTGCTCTTTTCTGAAGATCTCCCTAAAATCAAGCCGCTTTCAAGTGTGATGGAAAATGCTCCTACACCTAGATATACATCTATTCCTGAAAGTCATCCAAAGACTCCTCCACTATCATGTTTGAATCGGATGAAAAATTTAGAGAGTGAGGCTAGCACTGTGGAACGACGCAAAAGAAAATGTCCAGAATCTCGGTTTTCTGATGGGGTAAAAAAGGTGAAAGTTGACTGTGCGGAGACAGGGGTCCAAACTGAGCTAAGAAGACCAATTGAGTCACTAGCGTATAAAGCTCAGAAGAATGCTCCAGCTGTAAAATCTATGAAGCCGACGTGGGGAAGGCTCTCTATATCTTCTGCTGAACTCCCATCAAGCAAGTGGAATGGCCTGAGAACTGTAAAAAAGGAAGAATCTGGAAAAGAGCTATTTGAGAAGAACTTTGAAAAGATATTCAATAAGAATGATTTTAGGACTTTAAGTGAAGTAGTAAAGAAGACTGATTCATTAGAAACTTCGATGGATACAAAAGGAACAGATTCAGAGGAAGAAAAAAAGAATTCGAGGCCGATATTTAGAAAAGATATTGAATCGCTTAGTGAGAACAAAGTAAAACTGTTCTTCCTTGATATTTAACTAAAAATTATATTTAGATTTATCATTAATATATTGAAATACAATTAATAAAAAAATTTTTTACTACGGGAGGAGCTAGTGTTTCCAGCTACTCTCTAGATATCTGTTCAAGATGCTAAAAGGGAGACAGCAGCTGCAATATTTGTAGGCAACCTCATAGTGGACGTTAAGAAATAGAAAAATTAAAATTAGCCTAAGTTTCCAGCCATTCTTCAGATATCAAGCAAGGCGAAAAGCCTTCTCTTTCACTTATGTCTGAATATTCCATTTCAATTAGTGGTTCAAAACCTAAACATAAAGAATCAGTCTCAAAGAAAAAAACAATTGAAATTGCGAAGGTTTCTGGCACAGAAATTAAAGCAAACACTAAATCTATAAAGGAAACGGAACCTAATAAGCAATCCAGAGTTGGCTTTGAAAAACTATCCTCAAGCACAAGTGAAATTAAAGAAACTGACCAAGAAAAAAATATTTTTATTTTCCCAGAGCCTACAAAAAAAGAAAAAGCCCAATTCCCAATTTTTGGTAATAATTCCAATTCTCAAGAGGGCTTTGGGAATTTGGTTAAAAAGGAAGAGAACAAAACTCAGCCGTTTAATCTCTTCAGTAATGTCCAAAATGCTCAAGTGGATTTAAATACAAATACTATTAAGAAGGAAGAATCAAGTGCTATTCAAAACGAAAACAAAGAAAAAGAAATTGAAAAAATTTCGAAAGCAGAGTCAAGTATTTTCAATAAAACTTTGCCAGCAACTTTGACTAATCAAAACCCATTTGTGCAATTAGAGAAAAAAGATAATGATAATCAGACTGTAAATTCCAACACAAAAGATTCATCATCTCTATTTCAATCTCAAAACCCTTTCACACCTCAAAATACCAAAGTGGATACAAAATCACTATTCCCAACTCCTTTTTCCACCCCATCAATATCTTCAACCTCAGAACCAACCAAAGTTCAAGACACTGAAAAATCCCAGCAGGTCGTAAATCCCTTCTTAAACCTGAACTCAGTCAACTCCGTTAAGCTTCCATACGTTTTCGGAGCCAAACAGCCAACTCCACCACCTATGACTTTCTCCCCCACATCAAATCCATTTGCTCCATTCCAATCACCTCAACCTGAGATGACCCAAGACATCGATATGAAAGACGGAACTCCTCAATCAAGTCCCAAACTTGCCCCTCAATCTCAGCCTATTTTCACTCAAAACAGCTTTTCGCTCTTTCAATGTGCAACTCCAGTCCCCTTAAGCGTGCCTTCAACTCCTTCTCTATTATTTTCTCCACAAAGTTCAGCCTTCATGCAAGGAAACACAAGTTTCTCATCGCCGGTGCCAATGTTTGCTCAAAGCCAGCCAGCCACCCCTTCTCCCAGCACCCCAGGATCGTTTACATTAGGAGTGGTATCCAAGAAAGGAAAAAGATAAAATTGTTGTTATATAATATTTTAAGCATTCTTTTATATAAATATGAGTTTTCCACTATCAATAAGAACACTAACGTGAACACGAGACTCCCATGGTCTATTTGACTATGAAACCAAATCAGTCATTGCTAAAAATTTCAAAACTGTGAAGACAGGACGAGTCGTTATAGCAGGCGACAACTGCGATTTTAACTGTGAGAGCTCTTTACCGAGAGAGGGTGCACTTGTACAGGTCAATGAAGTTAATGGAGAATACATCGTCAGAGCAGAAAAGCAAGAACGATTTTGGTTTGTGGTAAAAGAGTATTCCAGCGATGATGGGAATAAAGGATACAAGCTGAATGAAGAAGATATTGTGAAAATCGGCCGGATCAAATTAAAAGTGAAAGAAATAAATACAAAAGGGTATGAACCTATTCAAGAAACCAAAGAAGAGGAAAGATTGATGAATGGGGCAGCTTGCAGGTTTTGCTTAGGAGACACAGAAAAAGATAGCAACCCTTTAATAACCCCATGCAAATGTGCAGGGAGTATGAAATATATCCACTATAAATGCTTACAAGTATGGCTTATGGAAAAAGTGAAGACCAAACAGACTGGAAATTCAGTGTCCTACAGTTGAAGCCAGCTGCAATGTGAAATCTGCAAAGAAGCATACCCTACTTCAATTAGAATTGAAGGGAAAACCTGACAATTAATCGACGTCAACAAGCCACCACTTCCTTACATAATTCTTCAAGACTTAAGGTCCGAAAGAACTGAGCAAAGCCTCCACGTTTTGTCATCAGTTGACAACTCAGCTATAAAAATCGGCAGAGGTCATGAAAACGAAATCCGAATATCTGATATTTCAGTCAGTCGTTTACATTCCACAATAAAAGTCACAAAAAGTGGCTTCTATTTAGAAGACAACAACTCGAAATTTGGCACATTGGTACTGGCTAGGAAGCCAGTGCTGCTGAAGAGAAACTCTTCACTTGTAATTCAATGCAAGAGGACTGTTATATATTTCAGCCTAAAAGAGCCTCGAAATTTAATTAGTATTTGCCTTGTTTGCTGTGGAAGCAACTCACAAGTTGCTCCGGAACCTGGGCAGGTTGATGAAAGAGCAAGTGAGATGGATGGAGAAGAGGAAGATTAGATTGAAGTTAGAATGGATCTTTTGGCCCCTCTCCGCTTTCGTAGACTTTGGGCTCCTCATCCTTAGCATCGGCTCGAATTCACTCCCTTTTCTGCCGACGTCACCAATAAATGGCAGCATCACCATCTCTTGGGGAGACACACCCAAACTCCTTGGGACGGCATATCTATCAGGAGATGGGCGATAGGGAGAAGAGGGGAGGAGTTTCCTTCTGGACCCCATTATCTTCGCATTCAGATATGCAGAGTTGTCACATGGACTCTGGTTTCCTTGTCTGCAGTATAAGGTAAAAAATCTGTTGTGGTGTTCCGACCAGGGAGGAAAAACCCACCTGGCACAAGTTCCAAGCCACGCTCTCTTTAAACCCAAAAAAATGGGACTGGCCAAATAAGTCGCCATTTTATTTTTGTGAGAAGAGGAAGAAGAAAGTGAACAAGAGGAAGATCGTTCAGCATAATTATTAATTTGCAAGCTTATTCTTTTAATGTAATTTTGTTGATTTGTAAGTTTTTTTAATTCTTTTAAATATCAAAATTTAATGCTGAGGAAGAGCAGTTGGAAGATATTTTATTTTAAATTATTTAGGCTATATATCTCAAAATTGAACGCAGGCTTAAGCCTTCTTTTGCACTAGTTTTTCTTGCAAACTTTCATATGGACTAATAATAAAGTTATCTTTTATAACAATTTTCCTGCCTTTAGGCTTTTTAGGTATGCATTTTCACACAAATTAATTATTTTTCTACCAAAAATTAGGTAATATTTATTTATTCACAATGAAAAGAATAAAATTTCTTTTCCAGGAGTTTTTGCCCTTCGAGTTTTGAAAATGTTCACTCTCGAAGACTCAGCTCCTGATTTGTTTGTATCTTTTTCTGTATCTAACTTTCTAATCGGTCCTTTCGCTACTGAAGTCTGTTCTTTTTCCATTCCAATCGGTTTCCAATCCATTGCATCAGTTAATTTACAGGTCGTATTAAAAAGATCTTCCATGTCCAAACTCTGGGAAATGTTCAAAAATTCATTTGGTTTTACAACAGATCTTATTTTAAAACTTTTTCGAGACGGCTGAGGAGAGTTTTCTTGTTTTATTTCATATGCGGATTTATTTCTACGAGGATCTTGCATTTGGGGTGACTCTTCAAGATGTTCTAATGTGCTTGCCTGTGTTTCTGATGTTCTCTCAAAGGGTATTTTAGTTTTCTCGTGATTTGAAGGGGTGTGATAATGTCGCATTGTTAAACTTGTAATTTATAAAGGACTTAAGCAATTAAAGCAAAATAAAGTAAGCAAGAATGAAGAAAATCCATTTAATTTAGGAAAATATTAGCATAGTTTAGATTTCCTCCATTTTTCATCTGTAAAACGATGGAAATTTATGTGAAGTTTTAAAGGAATCTTTTAGGAAGTCTTGAATATTTGTTTAGTTTTTTAATTTAAAATTTCATATGTCATCTTAAATAGCATAGCTTCAAAATTTAATATTTAATGCTCAAGTGGAAATTCTCATTTTTTTTTGGATAGCATAATATATTAGTATGAATTGAACTTTTCTAAGCACAACGATTCCCTTATAGAATATTTTTTCTAGCTCTAATGCGTTAGTTTTTTCAGATCAGAATCTTTATAGTATAATTAATACTTTAATTTAAATGCAGGATTTTTGTTTAGGAATCTTTGGTAATAAGACTATGCTTCCTTGTATGAAGCGCTTTATTAATTTATCGCTACTTTAACTTAAGTTCCAAAGTTTTGATTTTTTAACGACTGTTCAGTGCAAATGCCAGCTATTTTTGGATTTATTTTAGAATCAAACATCTACATTAACAACATTTAATACTTAAAAGCGCTTACTCCCCCCTCCGTAAGCCAACAAAAAAATCTTGTTCGCTTACGGAGGGGGGTTAATTTATTTGTTTTTTACAAAAATTTATATATAAATTTTATAGAAAATTTTTTTTTTCGAAAATTAAAAATATCCCACTTCTCAAAAATTGGAATGCAAATATTAATTTAATTTGTAAAATTTATGTTTAAAACTTAATTTGTTTAAAATTAAACAGAATAGCTCGAGATTCCATGATAATAGTTATCACTTACATATCAATTTTTTTTCCATAAAAAATTTTGTTCGCTCACGGAGGGGGGTGTTAGCATGGTGACAAGGGTGCTTTTCCTAGTTATTTGCAAAATATTTCTAGTAAGTTCTTGCTTGTGCCCAAGCATTTACTTGGGAAATGGGCATTGTGATTCAGCGTGCGATAATGCCGCTTGTAACTATGATCAAGGCGACTGCGATAAAGGAGGTTCAAGCAGTTCAGATTCAAAGAGCATAATTGCAACCATCGTGGGAGTTGTGGTTGGGATTTTTGTTGTTTTTTGGGTGTAATAAATATTTAGAGTTATAGGCTGCACAATTTATTGTAAATACCGTCAAAAGAAGAAAATCCAAATGGAGAGCTATCAAAATGACGCTGAAGCGAGTTCAGTAAGAGCCTCAGATGTAGAATCGTCTAAGTTACTGACAAAAGACGTAATCCAAAGAATATGTCCTTTAGAAAATTACTATATTGGAATTCCGATCGATGGAGAACCCGTGTGCAACCTTTGCATGACTGACTTCAAAATCGGCGACTGGATCAGACGAACTCATTGCATGCATTCATTTCATGCGAAATGCCTCGATGAATGATTATTATATAAGAATTTGAATCCCAAATGCCCTACTTGTGATATGCTGTTTTTGAGATAGTATATGAAGATTATATGTTTGAAAGATTATATTAAATTATTACAAGTTTGTATTTGCGCGACCTGATTTTTTTCTAAAAAACATTTGAGACAAAGCTAAATTTTCGTCTGCTTTTATAGCTGAATCTAGTGAAGAGTCTCTCATTTCTCCTTTTGTATCCTCAAATGATTTTTCAAATCTATTTCTGCGGTTTGGATTCTTAGTTGGAGGACGGCTTTGGAAATTCATTACTGTTTCATAAGCTTTATCAGTGTAATAATTTACGACTTGGCTTGGTGTAGACGATTCTAAATGTTGATTACGTGCCCTCACAACAGTTCGGGTAGATTTAAACCCTCATTCATGCTTTTCTTTTTCTTTTGGAGGTGGAGCGACGACTACTGCTTGTATTTGCTTATGCCCTTTTTCAAGCTGCATAATTTTCTTTGCCAATTCATCATTTATTTTTCGCAAATTCATTATTTCGTCTTCATCAGAAGTCTTTTCTTCCTTAATAGCATTTTCAAAATTTTCAGCTTTTTCTCGCAAATTTTGATTTCTCTCATGTAACTATTTAAATCAAACCTGTAAAATTTCGGATTCTTGGGCTTTTCTTTTATTTTTCAGCTCTATTAAATCTTCTTTAAGCTTTCTATTAGAATTCATAATAAGCTTGAATAGTTTTACGCTATCATCTAGTTTTTCAGCTAAAACTTCTGTGCTGTATCCGAATCCTGAATTGTCTGATTCATAGTTTTTCGCAGGAGCTGTAGGTGGCGGCCTTGATGACGTTGGCTCCCTTCTAGACTGGGCTGACTCTATGTTGTTACGAAGTGCTTGAATTCTTTGAATATGAGAAGATTTAAAGGGCATATTTTCAATTTCCCTCAATTTTACTGCTTGCTCTTTTTTCTCCAAAATTGAGATTTCAGAAAGCAAATCGATTTGTTGATAGACTTCAGATAATTCTTGTTTTAAATTTTTAATTTCGTCCTATATAGGAATCACCCTGAGCTTTTTTGTCATTTTGCTTTTAGGGTCAATGTTCTTAACAGGGATATTAGAAATGCTTAATGCTTTGCTTGCATAAGAAAGAGTGCTTAGATTTTCATCAAGATAAGCATCAGAAGGAGCTAGGCATGCAATCATCAACGTAAAACCATTTCCGCCTATGCTTTGTTTTAATATACTTGTTAATTTTGAATCTCTATAAGGAACATGCACTGTTTCTCCTTCTCTTTGTGAAGAAAGAGCTGTGATTACTTGCCGAAGTGTAAATAATGACTTATTGATTTCAATGCTTTCTTTTAGAATAATGCCTTCATTTCCAGTAATTGACGGTCTCTCACTCCCTGCCAAGTCTACCAATTGAAGTTTGCTTGATAAAATCCCTCCAGATTCAGAATCAAGTGCTTCAATCGTCAGAGTAAATAATGTATGAGACCTTGATGAAATAGAATTTAAGTTATGTGAAGCCATAATTTTGTTTTTAAGCCCAGAATGATAATGCATCATGACTTCTTCAGGACTATAACAAGCATGCATAAAAAGATTGTCAATGTAAAATTCTTCCAATTTATTTCACCTCAGCTTCAGTCCTGGATTTCCTGGTTTAAGCTGAGCAGGGTTCAATAAATCATAAATCCTTTCCTTATAGACTTGTATATAAGTGCAATATACAGTGTACTCAGTGTTTGAAGAATTATTTTTGATTTCTTCAAATAGGCGCTTGATCACTCTTGGAACTACTCCGACGTTTTCGTTGTTTACTTTTATTATTGGTTTTAAGTTCTTGTCATATTCGTAGCCTTCCATTGTGTAGGTTTTTCCTGAACCAGTTTGTCCATAAGCAAATATTGTTACATTAAAGCCAGAAAGCAGTTTGGAAATTAAGATGCTTAAATTGCAGCTTTCAAAAAAGTCCTGCTGGGAGGTTGTTTGGTCTAAAACTTGATCGAATTTAAAAATTTTTGTCTGGGTGCTTTCAGGCATTGAGATTCTGAATTAAGGTTACATGATTCTTTGCTGAAGCTGATCGCATGAAATTCTGGAGACTTGGTGGCCTTGGGAGACCTCTTCTTGAAGAAGTGGCCTTATCCTTACAGCTACTCCGATGTTATTTCTACTTTCCATAAATTAAATAAAGGTTTAAAACGAAATTTTATTGTTAATTTAAAACAATATATAAAATTACTTAAACTCTTATTTTAAAGCTGTCACTAGTCATGCTACTTCAAATAGAATTTAATTTAGGCCCTCTTATCTTATTGATTCTCTAAATTTTAAAATTCTCTCCTTGATTGACAGAATTATTTAGACACAAACCTTAACTAAAATGCAATTTATTTTAGTTAAAAAGCCAATAGTTTTTAAAAAAGTACCAGAAAATACCTACCTGCCATTTTTACGGGAAAAAAAAAAAGCTTTTTGAGAGTATATAATTACTTTAGCTGAAGATTTAGCCTTAAATATCTAATCTAAAGACTTTCAGTCTTAAAAAAGTAAGTCAAATGAAGAAAAATATTGCAATGCATTTTAGCTATATATTTTTTGACGTTCAAATTTTTAATCAAAATATTGGTAAGATATAATGCAATTTCTTTCTTCATCGGCTTAAATTTTGAGAGTTCCGAATTTAGATTGCAGCAAATCTTTATATATTAGATCTTAAAGGCTAAACCTTCAGCTAAAATAATTAGATACAGATAAAATACTTTCAAAAAAGAATTTTTTAATACGATTTTTGGATAAGAAAATTTGGTATTGGCTAAGATGCAATGCAATTTCTTTCTTCATTTGCTTACATTTTTAGGTTTTAAAATGGGTGCAGGCCAAATGACTTTGCCTCTTTGATAGTGTCCATTTAACCGAAAATTGATCGAAAATTTTTGATAGTGAGACATTTGACCCAAAAAAAAAACGCTAATTTTTGGCCAAATGTCTGCACTATTAAAAATTTTCGACCAAATGGATTTCGATGAAATGTACACTGTCAAAAATCCACATTCATTTGACACGGAGTTTTTAAAATTAAGATTGCAGCATTAACATTAAAATTCATTATAGATTAGGGCTCTTCCTCCTTTTACGTCTCACCTGAGACGAGTCTTCGCAGAAACTCGTTTGCTGCTAGCGAACCTCTCTGGGTATGCCAGCATTTGCACTAGAGATAGCTCTCCTCCGGCTTTCGGCCTGATTCTTAATACTGTATCAGAACCCCGGAGTATGCAAGTTTAGGACTTGACGGCTTCTGCTTAAGTGACTAGAGTTCCAGCTAGGGATAAACTCCCTAGATAGTACCGATGCCAACTATGCCTTCGTCGTGCTGGCACTAGTTGTCTCTAGGTGTAAAAGCCTTTTTTCTAAACGTCCATCGATAAGACACAAAGTCTTTATTGCAGGACGAGGGAGGCAAAGCCCAGCCGAGGCATAAATACGAAGCTCATATAGATTCCGCATCCTGCTCGGTTTGGCTTCAGGTCATAGCAAGGTGCCCAAACTCGAAGCAGTCTCAGGATAGGACGGGTTGGTGACATCGCGATTTTGCGTGGATTAAAGAAGCAAGATGGATATAAATAACTGATTTGGGTATCACAGGGAGCTTTTCGATAGACTAACTTAATGCAATTAATATTAGACCATGAACTTATATATCTGGTTTAATTTTCAAATATATTACTTCCATTATATTTTCATATGAGTGAACAAACAGAAAATTCACGGTTAGAAGACTTATCCCAGCATCAAGCATCTTCAACTGAGATCACTCTAAACGAAGAAGAAGTTCCTCAGATCCTTAATTCTTTACAAGGAGAAGCGATCTCAAAAATACTCGAAGAAGACTATATTGGTGCAATTTCTATACTAAAAAGATGTGAAGAAATTCTAGAATCCGTGATAACTCATGGAGGAAAAACTGATCCTGACCAAGTCCTTGCAACTTTGCATAACTTGGCTCTTTGTTTTCAAAGATTAGGAGACTTAGAAAAATGTGCTGCTTATCTTGATGGCTGCTTATTTAATTTAAATTCTTTTCAAGTCATGACAAGTGAGAAATCTCAAATTTTGAATGAAATTCGAAGAAATACTTATAAATCGAAAATTCATATACAGTCTTGTGCTGTTTTATCACAGATGAAGAAGCATAAAGCTGCATTAACTCATGCACAAAACTCATTTAAGGCTGTAGCGAATTGTGTGAAAATGACAATAACTGCTTCTGGCTTGCTGCTTAAATCGTTAAAAAATAAGCCTCCAGACCTTGGCAAACAAATACATAAAATAATAAACTCTGCAGTTCCGACAATAAAAGTTCTTGAAAATTTCATAAAGACTGGAAAACTAAGCCATCCACCTAAAATTCGATCAGTTTTAGGAGTAAAATCCCACCCAGACTGGCTTGATTCTTTTACAATTGCAGATGTCATGCTTATGCAGCCTATAAGTTCAGAAGAACTTAAGAAATCAATCGGAATGCAAGCTGAATTCACAAAAGATTTTATTCTCTATAAAGTTTGCTTGCTTGCTATAAGCAATTTTTGTGTTGCTACAGAAATTCAATTTATCCATTCAAACCAAATTTTCAGAGAAAAAAATGATAAAGAAGCAGAACTTTACCATGAAAAATCAATTGAGCTCCTCCGAGTTTTTTTCCCTCCTGAAAGTCCTCTTCTAAAGCACATCCAAGAAAGCTACATTAAAAGGTTTATGGACTCTACAATTGAAGAACAAACTATGCCTCTGATCTCTGCTAAAACTAAACCAAATAAAAAAGCTCGAACTATTTCTAAAACTCCTACCCCAAGAATTGACAAACTAAAAAATGAAATAAGGCCAGGGACAATTGGAGGCTTTAAAACGTCTCATATGAGAACTGCAACTCCTACCCAGGAATTCAGAGTTAGCTCTGACAAAAGACGACACCGAAGTGAAGACTCGTCACGACTCCTTGCATTCCATCATTTAGAGTAATTTAATGTATATGACTAATTTGTAGTAAGATTTACTTAAGATCAACTGCAGTCGAACCTTTAGAAGCACCGATACCTGGTCTTCCGTGCTTAACTGGCTTGTATGTAAGCGAAAATTCTGCTAGGTAATGTCCAATCATGTCTGGCTTGATTTCAACTGGAACAAAGGATTTACCATTATAAATTCCAACAACTGAGCCTACTAATTCTGGCAAAATGATTGCGTCTCTTAAGTGTGTCTTGACTGGCTTTGGCTTTTCTCCGACTTGGGTATCTTTCTTGGCAGCCACACATTTTTTGTAAAAGCGGATATATTTGTGAGGAACTTCTCTGTTTAGAAGTCTTCTTCTTTGTCTGCAGCCAAGGAGCTTGAGAAAATCTTCTTTTTCCATCTTCACCAAGTCATCGAGGTCAACTCCACGGAAGGTATACTTACGGAATGCTCTTTTCTTTGGCTGAGATTCTGCCATTTATAGTGTTATAGAGAGAGCATATAGGTTAGCTTCCTTTATGCGCCGAAATTTTACTTTGAATTAATAATAGATAGATAAACACATATGATTGATAAAACAATCAGAAACTACTATAGATCTGCTTTTTCTAATGCTGTGAATACAATATTTCAAGGCTATTTATCAAATAGAGTTAATGCTTTGGGAATTGATAAATATTTAGCGTAAAAATTAAATAATAATTTTATGTTAGGATTAAAAAATACACAAATTGCCTTCTCGGCTCCAATCAATGGGGTTTTGATTTCTTTAGCAAACGAGCCATCTCTGGGATTATATTATGTTCAGCAGCACATAAAAGCAACAACTCCACTAAATGCTGAAACTCAAGAAACAGTTGAAAACGCGCACGATACAATGAAAAATGCTTTGCCTGATCTTGAAAATACAATTGAAGAAGTAAAGTTAATATCCGAATTAATGGACAAGTGGAGGCCAGGAATGTTTGCATCAATGCAAAAAATCCATGAAACTTTAGATAAAAAACTTAAGACTGTTTAAATTCGCCACTGATTAAATTCTGCTCTTTATTTTTGCTAGCTCCCCTCCATGAGATAACAAAAAATTTATTCGATGTGGAGAGGGTTAATTATTTGTTTAAAAAATTTATATTAAAATTTTTTTTTAAGTTAAAGAAATTCCAATTCGTAATATTGAAAAGTAAAATTAATTAAATTTTGCAAAATTTATCTTCCAAAATGCAAGCTGTTTAAAATTAAACAGGAATAGTCTGAGATTTCATTATATTAATTATAGTCTATTGGATAAAATTTTGGATTATTCATGGCGTGTGAAGAAATTCCCCACATTCTAAAAAAATTCCCATATGTGAAGACATGCAAAAAGGCAGCATTTCACATATGGAAATTTTTTTAGAATGTAGGGAATTTCTTCACACACCATGAATAATCCCAAATTTATGCAATAAACTATATCAACTATATAACAAAATTTGTTTTACAAAAAATTTTCGTTCTCTTACGGAGGGTGGGTTTTTGTGAAAAAAATAGGGATTTTTACAATGGGGTTTGTCCGTTTACGGAGGGGAGTAAGAACTAATGGCATCTGTTTAATTTTTTTTTTTAAATTTATATAACCATAAACTCTCCTGTCTTTAGTGGTTTAGGAATATAATCAATTTTTCTATATTTTTCTGTATTTTCTGAACGCTCCCTTTCAATTCTTACTCCCCCATCCCACCTGTGAGCGAACTAAACAATTAGATTCGCTCACAGAGTGAGGCTGGCTCTTATAAAAGATGTAAGATAGGGTATGTGCATGAAATAAAGACTCAGTATGTAATTCATATGAGTTACTTATTTTATGACTTAAAGGTTTCGTAGTTTATATTGCTATATTTTTTTTACCACATAAAATAATGGCTTTTTGCTCCTTGTTATGAGCTACTTGTAGGACATAAGGATTTCTTATCGCTATGAAACGCTAAATTTTTTGTAATACACATAAAGATTTTATATATACTATACACTCCGGATCTCTCAAACTCTACAAAAGTCAGGGAGGTTCTTTTAAAAAATTTCGATAAATTTATATTATTTTTTTTTAAAAAAATGCTAAATTAATTTAAATTTATGTTTTAAAATTCAACAGAGCTATTATAGTAATTATTACTTATACTTCAAAATATTAAATTTTTATTTTAAAAAAGATTTTGCTCGCTTACGAAGGGTGGGTTCTTACCCTAAAGGGCTCACAGAGGGGCAGTTAGTAATGTCCATAAAGTTCTTCTAAATAGCTCTAATATACACATAAGCATTAATATAATTTCTGCGTTAAAATAATCATTTTCAAAAAAAGTAAGAGGAAGAAGCGAAAGAGATCAGGCATATCTGAGAAATCCATTACAAATCATTATGAAATAATACAATTTCTTTTCAAAATACAAGTTTTCTCTTAAAAGGCAGCCATTTTTAGAGTTTCTCACTAATCCCCAATCTTGATAGTAGTCCAAAAACATTGTAAATTCACTGCATATAATGAAAACTGAAATCCAAATGTAGGCTTGCTGGCTTTTTTGTAGTCCGAGATAAGAGATATATATTATAAATAAGCTTTGGCCATACTGAGTCTCACATATATGAACTTCCATAGTTCCGATGTCTCCCTAAGAGATCCGAGGGTTGGTTTAAACCACTTATATTAGTTTTTATCAACCCTCAAATTAAAAAATTTGCCTAATCAAGCAGATTTGCCAATTTGAGGGCTTGCTTTACTAACACAAAATTGGTAAAAATAACTCTTGGATCTCCTCGGGAGACACCAGGACTATGAGAGCCCATACTCTGGAGACTCTATATCTTACTAAATTAACATACTGTTTTCTGAAGAACGGAGGATCATAATAAATTTTATTACAAACTTGCATTAATCTCCAAATAAAAGGTAAAGCTGAAATTATAGTTAAGGTCAAGACATCTGTTGAGCATGGAGGCTTTTCTTTCTGATTTCATAAATTTCCTATAATATAGCACATTGTCAAATAAAAATCTCTTAAAGGTATTGTCATTGATGTTAGCCAACTTGCTAACATATAGTTTCTAAATTTCACAGGCCCAAAAGGTGCAATTACTACTTCTGCTAATGTTTTTAGCACTCTCATTCTTGCGTTTTTATGCATAATATTAAAGGGGCAAACTAAAAGAAAAACATATATTCCTAAAAATAATATTGCTGAGCTATTGTTAAAGCGAGGGACTAGTCCAGTGCCAAAACTATGGGCGATTTTAGTTAAAAAAAAAAATGATCATACTGCATTTAGAGTAAGCCCCAGCCTTAAAATTTGCATATAGGATATTCTATTTGAAGGATCTATTTCAAAAATATACATTCAATTCAAGGAATGAGACTCAAGCATATATATTAGTCATGATGCTCCAATAAACACAAAGTTTATTGATAAGGTTAGCCTAAAAATGGAGAAACACAGAAAGATGCCCCCAAAAACAGTTTTTTCAGAGAGAGATATCAAAACAAATGCAATTACAAGAGATGCAATAGTGACACCAATTGAAAAATATATTCAGCCTATATCAACTAGCCTGTAATACTTAGAAGTTCTGGTAAGTAATTTCATCGCTTCTAGAATATCTCCACCTAAAAATTCTTGAGCAACCTTCTCATACAATAATTTCCTCATTTCTCCTAATTCTTTTTCATACTTTGAGAATTCTTGTTCTTTCAAAAGCGAAATCAAGTCAATCGGATGCTCAACTTTATCTATAAGTCTCAATGCGGAAATATAGTTAACTTCACAGAAAACTTCTAGCCATCATATTCTTTTGTGCAAATTTGATAAGGATTCTCTAAAGCACAATGCATTATCTGATACGCAACCATCTAAGTTTAATACATGTTGTATTTCATGATTTTTTAAAACTGAATCGTTTAGCATTATCCTAATTCCTTTAAAAATAGAGTTTAAATCACTCATAGATGCTGAGCTTTGAGAAATATAGAATCTATTGATCTTATAGAATTGTTTTTTAAAGCTTTCTTTAATATTAGTTTCTTTTATTGCTATTTCATCTTCGTGTGGCTCAACTGATAGCATCCTTGCCATTTGACAATCATAAATCATCTTTTTAAGATAAGAGTAGTCAATGTAATAAGCTGACCATTCAGGTATTTTGTAATACTCTAATTGTTTGGCGAACATTATAATTTATTATTACTGGATCAACAACGGAAAAATGGTTTAAAATTCACATGGAGTTCTCTTTAAAAATGGTTCATAAGGCTACTAGCAAGTCTTTTAATATTGCGATCACAGGTAAGATCCAAAACTTTACAATTATATAAATGAAGACATAAAAATTTCATAAAATAATAAATTAAATTATTTTTTTGTGCAAGCAGCATAGGTTTATATTAATTAGAGAATGCTTTACGTTAAAAAGCTGTAAAAATAAATCAATTTCAATATGGATGATGTTGACAATATTTATCTAGATGACTTACACTCATTTGATCCAAATGAATGGCCAAACATTCCCAAACCAATTGTTATTGCTTTCAACCTCCTTAAAAAAAGTATGCTAAAACAAGAAGAAGCTATACAAAATCTCAAAAAAAACTCTGAATTTATGAATGACAGATTTACAAAGAGCTCTGAAGGGGCGATATCTTTATCAAAAATGCTTGTTGCAAAATCTGAAGAAAATCTAAAGCTAATAATCAGAGAATCAGAAGAAAATCAAGTATATTCCTTAAACATCTTGCAAAAAAAATTAGACAAAGAAGAAGAATTCCGAGCTCTACTTGGAACTAACATTTCAGCACTTTTATCAGAGCAAGTAGATTTACTTCAAAAAAAAATTAGTGAACTGCCTACACTCAATAATATTAAAGAAGCTGAAAAAAATATAAGAGAAGAATTAAAGGAAGAGTTTTTAAATGATGTCAAGCACAGAATAGTTTTGCCTGAAATAAATAATGTGCATTATAAAATCAAAGACAGGTTAACGTAATGGATAATCAGCGAAATTGAAGGAGAGATTAAAGAAGTGAAAAAAAGAATTCTTGATGAGGGGTTGTACACTTCGAATAATATAAGAAAAAACTATGAAGATATCACAAAAATAATTGAAAGCATAAGGGAGCAGTCTGGAAAAAATGAAATAAAGGTTGATTTGTGCACAAGCAGAATAAGAGATTTAACAGAAAGCGTTAGAAACTATGAAGCAAATTGAAATAAAACCATGGTGGAAATGTGAGAATCATTGCAGCAAGATATCAAAATCCTTAAGATAAAAGCTGAAGAAAAAGGCCCTAGAACTCCTGTGGTCAAAACTATTAGTCTGTCTCCATCCTCATCTCATTTAAATCCAGCTCCGCAGCCTCCTAAAACTCTTATAACGGCCCCTGATTATGCAAGAAGCTCTGAAGTTCCAACTGATGAACTGAGACATGAAATAAGAGAAGAAATAAACTCAGTTAAAAATGAACTTCATGCATTATTAAAATACAGTGAAGAAAAGTCAACAAAAGATTTAGTAGATTCAGTCCAATCTATAGAAAATAAAATTTCGCTTGCCAAAATGACTCTTGAGAATCAGTTTCAAGAGCTCAGGGATAAGTTTTCTTGGCTGCCTATGAAATTTGATCAGTTAGAAGGAATGAGTCCGACTGAAGCAAGAATTTTCACTTTGGAAGCAAGATTAAGATCTGAAGAAAACTCACGAATTCAAGGGCAACACCAAATATTGAAGTTTATGGAAAACAAATCAGTACAAAGCCAGGTAAGAGCGAGCCCTGAAATTGCATCTTGCAGAAAAGAGTGCTTTACTCCACAAATTTTGACGAGTAGGCAATCTTCTAGATCAATTAATAAAGTTTTTGAAAGAAAAGTCCCTCCAGGGGGCATGTGCGGCGGAGATATATGGAAACGACCAATTGATTCTGACAGGAAAAAAAGTATAGACGGCGAAAGTGTCGTGTTATATGGGTCGAAAATGAGGGCTCACTCACCGATTGATTTGAGCTTAATAGAAGAGAGTTGCATAGAGCAGCTAAAAAAGGAAAGACTTAATAGAAAAAGGAAGAGCATTCCGAAATCGTTTGATAGTATGGATGGATCAACTCCTAAATACTTCAATAAAGAAAAATCATAACGATCGTTTTAAGCATTTTTTATCATACTAAATGAAATTTTTTATATTTTCTGAGCAGTTCTGATATCTATTTTAAGAAAATAAAATTAAAATTACTTTAATTTCAATATTTTAAGAAATAAAAAAATTTCTTAACGGTTAAAGGATCGTTGCGACATCTTCAGGCATTTCCTCAATTTGAGTTGAATAATGTTGTTCCAAATCTCTTAAAAACTGAGCATCCTGTTCCGTCACAAAATTAATGGCCACTCCTTTGCGGCCAAATCTTCCACTTCTTCCAATACGATGCAGATAATTTTCGAAGTTATTCGGAAGATCATAATTCATAACCAAAGAAACTTGCTGGATATCAATCCCTCTGGCCAACAAATCAGTTGTTATAAGAACTCTGCTTGACCCACTTCTGAACTCCCTCATAATAAGTTCCCTTTGATTTTGCTCCATTTCTCCATGCATAAATGACACAACAAAATCTTTTTCAGTCATAGACTGAGCCAGCTCTTCCACTTTTCTGCGGGTGTTACAATAAATGATTGCTTGGGTTATGTCTAAGTTTTCATATAAATCAGTCAGAGTAGGAAACTTCCACTCTTCTTTTTCAATAGGGATATAGTACTGTTTGATACCTTCTAAAGTCAACTCATCTTTTTTTACTAAAATACGGATCGGATTTCTCATGAAATCTTCGGTTAGCTTAACTCCCCCCTCCGTGAGCGAACAAAAAAATTTTGTTTACTCACAAAGGGGGTTTAAATGTTTTTTTTTAAAAAAAATTTATTAAATTTTTTTTTTCAAAATTTAAAAAAAATCTCACTTCTATAAAAATTGGAAAGCAAATATTAATTTAATTTGTAAAATTTATGTTTTAAAACGCAATTTGTTTAAAATTAAACGGAATTAGCTCGAGATTTCATTATACTAATTATCACTTATATGTTAAATTTTTTTTCCATAAAAAAATTTTCTATTATATTTTTGTTCACTCATGTAGGTGGGTCTTTGGGCAAAAAATAGATGCCTTTGTTCACTCACGGAGGGGACGAGTAAGTATGTCTGAGGGCATAGTTGCAGAAAGCAAACAGCACTGGATGTTGCCTGGGAGATGTCTGAAAATTTCTTGGATTTGTTCTTTAAAGCCTAATGAAAGCATCACGTCGGCTTCATCCAGGATGAAAATTCGTAAGTGCTGAGCAGACATGAGGTTTCTGTTGAGTAAGTCAAAAACCCTGCCAGGTGTCCCGACGACAACTTGCACCCCTCTTTCAAGTGTCCTGATATCTTCTTTAATGAGGGTGCCTCCAATGCACGCATGCACCTTAACGTGCATGTACTCGCCGATTTGGCTGACGACGCGAAAGATCTGCTGAGCGAGCTCTCTGGTGGGTGCAAGTACCAAAGCTTGGAGTCTATTCACGTCTGTATCGATCAGTTGGAGCAGACCAACAGTAAATGTGGCTGTTTTACCTGTTCCTGATTGCGCCTGAGCAATAGTATCATGTCCCAGAACAATTGGTTTGATACCCTTTTGCTGTATGGCTGACGGTTTTTCGAACCCATAAGAGTAAATTCCTCTCACTCCCCCCCTCCGTGAGTGAACAAAACCATTAGAAAAATCGCTATTTTTTGCCCAAAAACCCACCTCCGTGAGTGAACACAATTTTTTTAAATAGAAAAATTTTTTATGGAAAAAAATTTTGATATATAAGTAAATAATTATTATAATGAAATCTAGAGCTAATTCTGTTTAATTTTAAACAAATTGCTTTTTAAAACATAAATTTTATAAATTAAATTAATATCTGCTCTCCAATTTTTGCAAATTAGGATTTTTTTAAATTTCGAAAGAAAAAAAAATTCTATAAAATTTATATATAAATTTTTTTTAAAAAAAAAATTAAACCCCCTCCGTGAGTGAACAAAATTTTTTTGTTCACTCACGGAGGGGGGGGAGTTAGGAGTTCTTCTTTGAGTTCCATGTCATCAAAACTCTCAACTGATTCATCCCAGTTGGATTCGATGACATAGTCATTTGATAATGTTTCTGACATATTATCTTTGTAAAATTTGAAATTCAGGCATTAATTTATCATCTTTTTGATAAACAAATTATTTTTATTAAGACTGCAAGGTAAATAAAGCAAAACTGATTAATTTAAGATCCTGTGAGATTTATAAATGGAACAGTGGCTTGTATCAGTTCAGTGCCAACCAAGTCAAAAGGATAGTATCACTCAAGTAATCGAGCAAGAAGTCATGCAGACGAGCTCGCGGCCACTTGGAAGAGTTCACTTGTTCAATTGTCCAATTCATTTCAAAGTGGGATCTCTTGACCAACTTGTAGCTTTAGCAGATGATTTGAATAAGCTGGATCATCACCTTGAAGGCGTTGTGAAGAAAGTGGAGCGCCAGTTTGTGGAAATAGAGCCAAATCCTCATCTTACAATTGACAACCCATTTGTAGGAAACCAGCAGTCTTTTGCACCAATAGATTATGTTGCCAATTTTCAATGGAATAATTCCAAGTACCCTCCGACCAAGACTTTGCAAGAACTCTCAGCCCTCCCCTTTAAATTGGAACAAAATATTGTACTTTAACTCCCTTAAAATTGGCAAATTTTTTTAATAGGAAATTTTATAGGTAAAAATACTAATTTTTATATAATAGATTTGGCCTAATTTAATGGAAAAAATGAAATTAGAATATTATTTATAAATTTTTGAATTAATTCTTCATAAAATAAATTAATTTCAAATATATAGGTCCAATTTTATATTAAAAAATTTAATACAATTGTTTTTCGTCCTTAAATATCAGCAGGAATTTTTGTTCCGATTTATAGGAGGGAGTCAGGACTTATAGAAGAAAGGATGAGGGCATTGGATGACGATGTGAAGAATAAGACAGTGAGATACCAAGAAGCTAAAAACTCATTGGGAGCAATCACTAAAAAGGAGTCTGGAAACCTCTACTCCAAAGATCTTGCAGAAATCATTACATCTGCTATAGCTTCGCCTGAAGATTTCATCAACTCAGAACACTTGAAGACTTATTTAATTGTGCTGCCTAAGAAAGATGTTAAAAAGTGGTTGGAAGGCTATGAATTTTTGGACTCTGGAGTGGTGCCAAGAAGCACAAAGCAGTTTGACGTTGAGGATAAAGACTTGACCCTGTGGAGAGTTGTAGTTCTTAAGCCATCGGCCGATTCCTTTGTGCCTGCAGAAATAAAATGGTGACGTTGACGGAAATTGTTCTCTGAAGCGCATTCCATATGAAGCAGGTAGGAACCATCCTGATGAAGCAAGGCCTCTGTCCCTTTTTGAAGTAGGGCTTCAGGTTTGAGGATGCCTTGCCGAGAAGGGAAGTTTTGTTTCTCCCCGAAGGTTTTCCTGTCTCTGTCAGATAAGCTCGACAGGCTTTACCTGCGGTGTGTCTGTCCTTGTCGTCACTCTGCAAAAGGTGGCTCTGCCCTAGGGAGATGAGCTCTTGGAGAGGTGGTTTAGATCGAAAATTCAAAATTGCGACCTTCCATTTCTCTCTTTTGTCTCGTGGATTGATTGAAGCTGATATTTTGGAGTCAAGACAAGGTGAAGGCTAATCCTTGTCTGCTTATTTCCAGCTTAACCTTTAAACTTTAACTTTGTGTCTGCAGTAAAACAAAACAAATGGGCCGCAAGAGAATTTAGCTTTGATCCTGCTTATACAGAGAACCAAGCAGCTTCTAAAGAAAAAGTGAATAAGCAGTTCCAAACCCAGCACAATTTACTATGGAGAGCTTGCAAGGTCGTCTTCAGCGAATTATTCATTGCGTTAATTCATCTCAAAGCTATGAGAATTTTTGCTGAGTCTGTTTTGAGATATTCGCTGCCTCCTCAATTTGTGTCATTCTATATCATTCCAGAAAGAGATAGGGAAAAAAGAGTGCTTGACAGCATGGTCAAAAAGTTCATGAGGCCTGGAGAAACTGCAGATATGTACGGCTCAAGAGATGATAGTGATGAAAACGAAGATTTCTTCCCATTTGTCTTTGTCAGGCTCCCATCGTTTTAAATTTATTATTTGGAAGTTATGCCTAACTAATTCAAGAATTTCTTATCCATTAAAAATAAATAAGCTATGATGTTATCCTAATTTCATATAGTAAATATAGCCAGCAGCAAAGTCAATAATTATCATAACTAGTATATATGACTAAAGTTTTTTAATTTCATACATTTATTTACTTATTTAATATAAGAAAGTTATCTTTCAAAATTTCATTTCATCTTTATCGATAAAATAAATTTCATTGTGAATTAATTCACATTTTTTAAATTTAAAAATCATCGTTAATGTCAAGGAGTGAAAATAACGGTGCATGAAAATTGATCTGAAAAATTTTCTCTGAAAAATTTGCTTCTAAAATATGATCAAATACCGAAAAATAAAAAAATTTTGACAATAAATCCTGGGAGAATATCACAAAGAGAAATGCTTCGATCAAATGAAATGCAGCCGAAAATATCAACGTCTCGCTTAGATTTCGCCCGCTCAGTTCTCGCGAAATCGATGATTTCGAGACAAATATTTGGAATATTTCAAAATCAGCAGTATCACTCAAGCAAGAATATTTGCATGTCCTTGCAGAAGCCAAAAGAATTGCAAGAATTCCTAAATCCTATGCTTACAGTAAATTTCATTTAGATTATTGTTTTTCTCCAAGAGATTCAAATCAAGCAGTTTACGAGACTGTTGGCAAAAGAGTAGTTTTAGCTTCTTTAGAAGGCTATAATGGAACAATTTTTGCATATGGGCAAACTGGTAGTGGAAAAACCTACACCATGATGGGTAGTGAAGGCTCTGAAATGGATTCAGCAGATGAAAGAAGAAAAATGAACTCTACCCCAGTCCCTAAAACAGACAGAAGGTCAGTTTCGCCTTTTAGAGTGAACCAGTCATTTCAAAGGATTGCTCCTATATATAAAAAGCCAACTACAGAAAAGGAAAAAGGCATAATAATTTATGCTTTAGAAGAGCTATTCTTAGGGATTAATAAAAATCCAGAGAAAACATATTTTTTGTCATGCAGCTATTTAGAGATCTATAATGAACAAGTTTATGATTTATTGACTGAGAGTTCACATTTCCAAGAAGAGCCTTTGACAATTAATGAAGACTCTGAAAAAGGGTTTTATGTGAAAGGTCTTAGTGAGCACGCAGTGAGAACAATAGAAGAAGTCAAAAGGTTCATTGAGAGAGGAGAGACAAATAGGAGATATGCAGCTACAGCTATGAATCATCACAGCTCAAGGTCACACACTATTTTCAAGCTTAGCGTAGCTAGTGTTGCTTCAGATAGCGGAGAAAATGAAGTTGAAGAAAACAGCATCACGACTGAAAGTGTGCTAAATTTCGTAGATTTAGCTGGATCTGAAAGAGTTAACAGTGTACAAGCAGAGAATTCTTATAGCGCAGTCAGAAAAAATAGCAATGACTCTTTAGCCCTTGAAGGAAAGCACATTAATACAAGCTTGTTCTATTTATGTCAAGTTATTAACAGACTCAGTGAAAAAACAACCATTAAATCTGATAACCATATACCTTATAGGAACTCAAACCTAACCAAAATCCTTAGATCTTCACTCGGAGGCAATGCAATTACCTGCATTATATGCACTGCAACTCCTACATTAAACCAATTTGAAATGACTTTAAGCACCTTGAGATTCGGAGGGACTGCAAAAACTATCACAAATAACATTGAAGCCAATATTAAGAGTAACAAAAGTGCTGAGCTTATTGAAGCTTATCAAAGAGATATAGAGCAGCTTAAAAAAGAGCTGGAAATAGCACAGCAAGGAGGACAAACTAGGTTTGAAGAAGCTATCCAAGTAAAAACACAACTTGAAGAAAGAATTTCTAGACTAACCCAAATGCTCATAAACCAATCTCGCCAGCATGCTCCTCACAATGTTAAAAAAGAAAAAAAATCTCATGAGACTTGACTCATAAATGCTGGGGATTTATCGGCTGATAGGAGACTTGAAATTCAAAAGTTTTCGCCAAAAGATACTGATAAAGAAAATACTTTTGAGGACCGAGGTAGGATGGCGTTCAATAGAATGAAATTGATGCATTTAGAAGCTGCTGAAAAAGATAAAGAAATTGCTGAATTAGTCGAAATGAAAGATGATTTAGTGGAATCAAAAGCAAATGTAAGAAATATTTAGCTCAAAAATGATTTAAAAAAAGCACTAACACTGTGTAAAGATTTATCAGACAAGAAACAAAGTTATAAAGCAAAATGCAAAAAATTCAAAGAAAAACAAAAAATGTTGACACAAAAGCTAAGCTTGCTTGAGGTTCAGCAAGGGCTTGACAAGCTATCTTCAGAGCAGCTCCAAAAATTGGAGAGTTTTTATTTTTGCGCCTTGGATTCAGTCAAAAATGCAAAATTTAGAAGAAAATATGAAAGCCAATTGAGTATGATGAATCAGCATGACTCAGGAATGGAATATAGCCCTCATAGTGACCACAGCAAATTTTTAGACGAACTTGGGCTCAACGAAGAAGCCTCAGTTTCAAAAACTGAGTCTGACCCGTCTTTTGAGTTTAAAGGGTCTTTCTACAGGAGTAGAACGGGAAATGACAGCAGCTTTGCTTCAACTGCCCAAGACATGAGCACTATGCTGTTACTAAATTTATTAGACAATGAGTATGAAGACAGCAGATCTCCAGTCAAACAAAGAAACATCTACGGGACCCACAACTTAAAAAGCCCTCTGAAAATTATATCTGAAAGCCAAGAAAGTCTTGTGAAAAATAAATAATCATTTGAATTTAATCGCATTTTTTAGTCAATTATTTATTGTCATTTTTTAAATTCTATTACTAGGCTGATTAGTCGTGTTAACAGTAGCCAGCATCAACTGAGTAAACTCATCTAGATCGATTTCTCCGTCACCGTTCTTGTCTGCGTCCATTATCATTCTCATAAAAACTGTCTCGTTTTCCTCTGTCCCTCCAAGTGCTTGTTTAAGCTCATCCAAAGAGATTTTCCCATTCCCATCTTTGTCAAAAATCTTAAATGCGGTTTGCAAACGCTCCCTGCTCAAAGCAGTGCTTCAATTAGTAGCTGCAGTTAAAAATTCAGTATAATCTACATAGCCATTCCCATCTGCGTCACATTGGTTCATAAGTTCATCTACGTCGACCCCAGAAAACATAGGGAACTTTGAAAACCCTTTTACAAGCTCTTCTCTGCTGAGTTTTCCATCACCATTTTCATCAATTTCTTGGAAAATGTCCCTTAAGTTAGCTAGTTCGTCACCAGAAACAATTTGGCTTACAATGAACGTCATGGTCGCTCTTTGAAGCCGGTTTTGGATGTTAAAGTTTGATAAATGCTGCAATGACTCCTTTGCTATTGGTTGGTCTGGAACACGATTGTGAGCTCTGCTTTGTATCCAGGAATGGTTAAAAACTTCACCTACGTCGATTCTTTTTTCAGGGTTTTTGTTAAGCATCAATTTTATTAAATCTTTGGCCTCTTTTGAAATGAAGTTCCAGCGAGATGAGCTGAATGATAAAGGCCGCTTAAGAATATTCGCATAAATGGCGTCATCATCTGGACCGTTAAAAGGAGGAGTCCCTGAAAGCATTATATAAAGAATAACACCTACCTTCCCCCACCTAGCGAACAAAGATATTGGAAAAAATTGCATTTTAAACATAAATTTACAAATTAAATAAATATTTGATTTTCAATTTTTGCGAATTGGGATTTTTTTAAGTGAGCGAACAAAATTTTTTTGTTAGCGCACGGAGGGGGAGGGGAGTAAGCTCCAAACGTCGCATTTTTGGTCATAGCTGCCGTTGATGACTTCAGGAGCCACATAGTACGACGTTCCTATAAATTTTTTCATTTTCTTTCCTTTATTGAATTCTTGAGACGTCCCAAATCCATCATTTACATTAAAATAGCGTTGTGAGCCAATCAGTGTTAAAAATATTCTCTACCAGCAGACTTATTGGAAGAATCGGAAAATTTTGAAGAGAGCAAAGTGCTTGAAACATCAGGAGGGTTTGCTGGCGAAGTAGAGCGCAAAGTTAGTTTAGCCAAACCGCATGCTCATACATACACTAGCCAGTTTTTATCTCTTGGGAGAGGAAACTCAAAGTTGTGTAAAGGGATAGTCCAGCAGTCCAGAATTGGGTTTCTTTGCTTAACGAGCATCCCAGCGAGATGCCAGGCGTTGTGTCCTGGCCGTAAGCGCAAGCCTTTGTCTGTGAGAACAGTATAGTGGAAGGCCATATCCAACTGGCAATTAGTGGTGGAGTGGAAATAGAGGCGAATAGTTGCCTGTGAGCCTACTGGAAACTTCTCTATAAGTAAATAAGGAAGTACGTCCCAAAATCAATTAGTTTTAATCTCGCAGTTGGCGTCTTATTTTCCAACAGCAAGTTTTCTGGCTTTAAATCGCGATGAACAATGCCAGCCTCATGGCAATATTTAATGGCAGAGGTGATGTCAAACATATACTTCGCTGCTTGGTTCTCACTCCCTCCTTGGTGAACGAGCTAAAAAATCTTGTTCGAAAATCACTTTTTTTAAAAAAAATGCGGAATTTGTAAATATTTTAAGTAACAAATCTCAAAACTTTATGGTTTAGAATAAAGTTTCATATTATTTTCACTAGATTTCACTATTATAATTATTAATTATACATTAAAATATCGTTTGCAGCAAGAAATTTACACTGAAACATTTTTGCTTGCTAAAACGAGGTTTAATTTCTCAAAAAAGAGATTTCTCCAATAGTTTTACTCTGAGAGTCAGAAAAATAGTCCAGCTCTTTGATTCTGTCAAACAATTCTCCTCCTGTACATAGCTCAGTGACCATTGAAAGATATTTTTCGTCTTGGTAGACTTCGAATATTTTGATAATATTAGGATGGTCAAGCTTTTTTAATATATTCACTTCCTCCATCAATTGAGCAATCTTGGATTTATCAATTGAAGAAAGAGGAATAAATTTAATAGCCCGCTCTAGTTTGGTCTCTTTGTGCCTGCCAAGTTTGACTTGACCAAAGCCTCCATCTCCGATGGCTCTTACAATCTCGTATTTATCAGCCACACTTCCCTTGATTAATTGAACCAGATTGCTTGTGCTGACTGAAAATTTTCTGTCTTTAAGATTTTTGCCGCTTTTTGGCTCATTATTGCTACCTTTATGTTTAGGGGATTTTGAAGTTGCGCAGCAAGCACCCATTTATATGCAGTTATATGATTATATTTAGCCACTCATGATAAAATAAAATAAGCCAACTGATCTTATCTTGCCAAAAAATATAAATCTTAAGTTTTCATTGGCTTGATAAGTTGATTTTTAAGGGTATTTTACCCGTTTACTGAAGATTAAGCATTACTACTAGTTGGAGATCAAAAAAGGCATTCAATAATTATGCCTCAAGAATATGTAAAATTAATATCCTTACTCTCTCTGGTTGAAAAGAAAAATACTCCTTTTACGATTATGGCTTTCTTGAGCCAAAGCTGAAGAAAAAATTAGAGCCAGAGAGAAAAAACTACCAAGGTTATTGATAATAATAAAAATGAATTAAATTGAAATTATCTGTGACATAAGCTGCCCTTATTTCTTGAAAATATTAGCAGAGAAAAACACAGTCTTTGCAAATTTATGATTTAAAAGCAAACTTACAAACACTGTAGGTATGATCATAATCATAAAATGGCAACATTCTTGAGGTGCCGATCTGCCCTCGTACCACTTACTTAACATTTTATGATTACAAGACTTCGTTTTCATAAGAATTTACCCGAGAAAGGCAATGCAACAGGAGGGACCCCTGCCCTCAGGCCTGCCCAAGGAAACCTAAAAGCACATAGTTTTTCACTTCCAACCTGCGGCAGCGAAGGTGTCTTTGATCGTCACACAGCGTCAAGGAAGATAGAAATCGCTCACTCATAGCTATCGAAGGCGGTAGCATTATGTCTAACTCCCCCCCTCCGTGAGTGAACAAAAAGATCTTGCTCACTGACGGAGGGGGTTAATTTTTTTTTTTAAAAAAATTTATTTCGAAATTTAAAAAAATCCTAATTCGCAATAATTGGAAAGCAAATATTAATTTAATTTATAAAATTTATGTTTTATAAAGCAATTTGTTTAAAATTAAACAGAATTAGCAAGAGATTTCATTACTAATTATCACTTATATATCAAAATTTTTTATTAAAAAATTTTTGTTCACTCACGGAGGGTTGGTTTTTTGGGCAAAAAATAGCTATTTTTCTAATGGTTTTGTTCACTCACGAAGATGGGGGGAGTAAGTGATTCTTGGTGGTCAAAGCAGACTGGCACAGTGATCTGCGGGCACGACGCATCCAAAGAAGAAGGGCGTTCTGGGCTGGTTACTCAGTTGCTGAACATTAAAGTATCTATTAAGTTAAGTTAAGCCAACACTACAGGTATGATTTTAATAAATTGCATCAATTAATTTTAATATAAATCTTCATTAAGAATAATTATAGCACATAGCCTCGTTTGGATTGCCCTGGGCTACATGATACCCAGCGAACTGGGTGATTTTGGCTCGGGCATTGCCAGTTGGCAAGTGAAACTTGATATGTCATTTGGCAACTGATAATGCACTAGCTAAATTACCAGCTGGTTGGACATCAAGAAGCCCAAACCAAGAGAGGCCATGGGCTATATAACTTATCCCTCCTTTTGTCTTGGGCTTTACCGATGTCAACGGAGAGCTGATTTTACCAGCTTTTTGGCAAGCTTATTACATCAAGAAGCTCTTAGACAATAGACGTGTCCTTTAACTAAATAAGCTATGGCAATCAATATAAATTTTATTAATGGAAGAAGAAGATTCGACTGGGAAAAAGCAGGATTTTCTTGCCCTCACCAAAGACTTATTATCAAGAATTGAATCATTGTCAAATAAATCAGAAAATCTTTCCTCAGATCGAATTTCTTATATGGATTTGAAGAGTAATCTTCTGCTAGATTACTGCATCAATTACGCACACAATCTTTATCTTAACACAAAAGAGCAATCTAGTCCAGAAAAAGTGAAGCATTTGGTCAAGCTTAAATGTTTGATGGAAAGAATTAAGCCGCTTGATATAAAAGTCCAATACCAGCTTGACAAAATTTCACAAGGAAATTTAGACTCAGAATTAAAGTTTAAACCAAACCCGAAAGAAATGGACTCACAGCTGCATATAACAGAAAAAAGCGACGTATATAAAGCACCGAAGTTCCAAGCTGCAATTTATGAAGAAAAAGGAGGAAAAGAAGAAAGGGACGAAAAAAGATTGAAAGAAAAACTCAAGCGCTCTTATTTGATACAAAGCTTGAAAGAAGAAATTGGAGATGAGCCTGTAGAAATAAAGACTGGAAGAAGCAAAAGACTGAGAGAAATAGAAGAAGCACAGCAGGAGTATGAAGAAGAAAACTTCACAAGAGTGCAGATAACCAAGAAGGAGAGAATTTTGAGAAAGAAATTGCAAAAGAAGGATGAGGAAGAAGAAGAAAATATTTCTGGGTTTATGAGACTGCTCAACAAAAAGCATTAAAATTTTGATAAATACCCTTTATCATTAATAGTGAGTATTTATTAAAAAATAGCCATAGTATATTAGGCTGAATTAGTCATTTAATATCGATTTTTTTCATATTATCTAAAAAAATTGATTGAATATTTTTGAATGAAGTAACTTAAATTACAAATAATGGAAGGCACTTCGCCACTCATATATACAACTAACACATCAACTGAGTTTTCAGATCCTTTGTCTCCTTTTAACTATATCCAGCCTGACTCTAGTCCTGAGCCAAAAGTAAATATTTCAATCGAAAGGCAAAATTCCAAAAATCGGCCAGCAAGCAAAACTCCAGTCGTTAGAGTTCATCTATCTCTCGCACTCAAAGAAAATTTAACAAATCAGACTAAAGCAATAGAGAAAAACCCCGAAGAAAAAGAAAAAACTGAGAATCTTCAAGATAATTCTGGAGCATCAATACCGACCCAGCATTCAGAAGAAAAGTCATCAAAGACTGAAGATTTAAATTCTGAACTGAAGAAGGATAAAGCTAGAAGTTTTATAAAAACTGGCAACGGGAAGCCTCATCAAAGATGTGGAAGCCAAGATTCTTCAAAGCAAGAAAGTAACTCAAATTATATCGTTCCTTCTGCAAAGAAAGTGAAAAAGTTTAATATCATTAGCAGGGTTAAAGCTGGAAAAAATCTAGAAACTTCGACAAGTTCATCGTGAAAAACTTCAAATTTTAATCTTGGTGCAAGGAAGACCCAACTTCTAGAATATTCAAGTCATGATACTGATTATTTCTCTAACTCCCCCATCATTGATTGATAAGATAACTCCATTTAAAATTCTTAAAATGAAATTTCATATGGGCAATCATGCAGCTCCCCTCAAATATAACGTCCTATATTGATAATAATGAAAATTAGTGATTTGCAGTATTATTGCTTCGAAGCAAATCTAATGAATTTTCTAGCATATTTTTTAAAATATTGCATATCACTAACTCCCCCCCCCCCCCCTCCGTGAGCGAACAAAACCATTAGAAAAATCGCCATTTTTTGACCAAAAACCCACCCTCCGTGAGTGAACAAAAATTTTTTTAATAGAAAAAAATTTTAATGGAAAAAAATTTTGATATATAAGTGATAATTAGTATAATGAAATCTAGAGCTAATTCTGTTTAATTTTAAACAAATTGCGTTTTAAAACATAAATTTTGCAAATTAAATTAATATTTGCTTCCCAATTTTTGCAAATTAGGATTTTTTTTAAATTTCGAAAAAAAATATTTTTTTTATAAAATTTATATATAAATTTTTTTTAAAAAAAAAAAAATTAACCCCCCTCCGTGAGCGAACAAAAATTTTTTTGTTCGCTCACGGAGGGGGGGGGGGAGTAAGGAATGATTATATTTTTATGTATATTTTTTTAACACATCCTTGATCAAGGTTGAGAGTAAAGGAAATGTTTCTATGCCGAGCAAAAGTTTATTTAAAAATTCAGAGTATAAAAGTCTCTCACCGTATAGCGTTTCTTTAACATTCAAATATCAGATTCCAAAAAATTCCAATAAGGCTGACGAAGAAGCCCAGGAAATACAATAGTGTATAAATAATAATCTAATTTCTTATTTAACCATTATAAAAAGAAGCATTGAGCTAATTCTCTGTTATCCCATTAATAGGTATTTTATGTCTTTTGGCATCCTTTATCGCTTGCATGGTATCGAATTCTAAAAGTAATCTAACCTAATAAATTTAATTTAAAGATATTAATAAGCATAATTTCAACGTTAATATTATAGTTAACTGAAATAAATTTAAAAATGAGATACGCATTTGTTCTAGCACTATTGATTATTTCACTTATTCGTGGAGAGAGTGAACTGGATACATTTCTGTCAGATAATATAGAAGAAGAAAATAGTATAGATGCTATTATTAGCCAGCTTGAAATAGTAAATAACTATTCCTCTGGAGATTCAATATTTTTAACTGTTTTGGGATCAGATGAAGATGAAGAAATCAAAACAGGAGATGAGCTAGGAATAAGAGCAGGTGGCGAACCACCTCTAAAAACAGGTGAAAAGGCTGGCAATACAATTGTCGCGTCCACCAAAATGAGATTTAAAATTCCAGATATGAACGCCTAATAAGTTAAATTTTTTATTTTATTTTACTTAAAATGCAAACTTATACCGATAATGCAAAAAATGTAGCTTTGAGGCAGCAACCACAGCTACATGAGGACCATACACGCTTTCTCTGATTACAGAATGCTGCCAAACCTGCATAGGCACCAAATAGCTGACTCTTTCAGACAGCGCTGCTATATCTTCTTTGAAATCTTGTCCTGAAATGACCACAACTGCAGGACCAAACATGCAAAGAAGAGTTGCAATTCCGACTCCTGGGTCAGTGTTTTTCAGCTTTGATATGTCACCAAGAGGGACTCCATCATCTCCTATCAAAATTCTCCCTCTGAGTATGACACAACTTCTGAGTCCTTCGTCAATAACTACAGAAATGAGGGTGTTTGAATGCAAACTCTGTTGACTCAATAGTCCGATTGCGTCAACATCTCGACAAATTGCGACAGCTCCTATACTTATTTGTAATGAATAGAAAATAGCAGCTATCTTTTTTCATGACTATTAGTAGATTTTACTAGTTATTGTAAATGGTATAGATCTTCGAGACCTTCTCTGTATTTCATCTGCTTTTCAGTGATTCCTATTTTTCTTATAGAGTATTCTTGATTGGCATGCTCACACACTGTATCAATAAATCCTGCAATTAAAAATGGGATTTGATCTTCTTCTTCGATTTCAAAAGCTTCATTATTTTCTAAGGCTGAGAGCACAATAACGTTATTTTTAATATGGACTCCTACTTCAAGAACGTTTTTTGTGGGTGTTGTAAAGCAGGCATCGCCTACTTCGTCCTCATGGATTATGTTTATGATTTTGCTGCATTCTCGAGATTTTGCTTCTGATTTTAGATGCTTGAAAGGTTTTAGTAAAGAAATGCGAAAACGTAAATGCTTGCTGCGGAACCAAGAATAAGAATTGTCCCAAGAAAATCTGTAAAGCCCAGGTGACTTTAGGAGCCTTATCCCAGAGACAGGGTTCTGGTCGCATTGAACTTTTTCTTCATGCAAAATTACTTCAGGAGTTGGCAAGTCAACCCTTCACAATGTATAAGAAACATCATAATATTCTGTTGCAAAGCCCCACTGTAAAATACTGTTAGGTTCTTTTACTTCAATTACGTAGTATTTCTGTTCTCCAGGCTGGATTGTAATACTTAAAGGAAACCCAGCAATGATTTGGATATCGTCAAAATCAATCACATCTTCAGCTACTAATAGATCTATTTCTTGATCTATATAAGCTTCATTTTTAAATAATCCCTCAATAGCTGCCTCACTTTCTAGTTTCCCTTTAAACTCGCTATCAGTATCAGAACTATGGGTAATTATATGCAAAAATTTTGCTGCCTTTGCTTTATATTCGCTTATCCCTCCTGATGCAATTTCTACTAAATTATTAAAAATAAGTGTGTATAGAGACGGTCGGTGCTGAGGGTATGCATACCACAGCCGAATTAAGATTTTTAGCAGATTTTGAGTTATAAAAATATCTGCTGGTTTCAGAATATTTAAAAAATTGTAGGCTGCATAAAAAACGTTTTCAAACATAGAGTAATCTTTGGACTCTACAATTGTGTATAAATGAGACTCTGATGACTGATCATAAGTGGATAGCCTGATATTGTAATGAGTCTGAAATATCATATGTTCAAGGATCTTTTGGATTTTTACATAAATATCTCTATCAGATGTTCCTAATAAAGAATTAATGACAGGATTAAGCTGGTTTCCAAAAATTAGATATTGTTCTTTTAGTGACTCTCTGCTGCTGAGTAAGTCCATTAATCTATTCATTCCATATGGATTATTGCTTTTTACCTCTTCTATAATAGGTTCCAGTACTGCTTTCACATCTATTGTGGGTTTCTTATCTAACAGCCTTTGCACAATTTGAGTTTGTTCAGCGCCTAGTCCTCCATGCTTGAATAAGTGGACTAGAATTCCATTTACAGATTCTTGCAAATTTTCAGCGACCTCGGTTCCGCTCAATATATCACAAAGCTGTAAAATATCATTTGACAATGTAATTAATAGTGCTGAATCTGTTTTGGGGATGATGTCACAGATCTTACTCCCCGATTTAATAATAATTTTTTTCAATTTCAGTTAGGGTATAACTTTTAAACATATTACACTGCTTATTTTCAAAAAATGATGGTTTTGCTTGATATCAAATGGTGGTGGGGAGTTAGTGTAAATGTGGCCAACATATCTGACAATTTGATAGTCTTCATTATTAGAAAGCTTGCCAAGCAGCAAGACTGTTTTGGAATTAATAAAAGGTTTTGGGTCTATGTGTGTTACTAAAATTTTACTTGCATCTCGTAGAAAACTGACGCATTCTGTAATGCTCTGTGCCTTCAGCGCTAATTTTAACTTTTCCGCAAAAGGATTTTCAGACATGCTATTATAATTTAAAGTTACCAAAACAAACATCTACTCAAAATTCTTATTTAATTTTTGATAAATTCTTATCATTTCTTAACGAGATAAAATATTTTAATACAAATTTCCTCTTATTGAAAGTAAAAAAATATCTTTATATTATCATGGCTTCATAATAATTATTTACGACTTAAATTTTTTAAATTAAACCTTGGACTTATTTTTCATAAAACAAAATTAACCCACTCGATTATTTTTTCTTACTTAAAATAAAAAGCTATAAATCATAGAAGCAGATACTTCATTTTATAATTTCCATTAATAGAAAATTTGTTACTTATATCTAGCATTTCCATTATTTTCCGTTCAAAACACTATTAATTTGGATTTTATACAGACATTTATTTATTTAGCTAATTATTTTTTACCATTATTCAAATACAAGTAATGAGCAATTATACAGCTCAACATTATTCTAAACGCTTGAGAAGCCAGGTTCCTTACTATCAGGCCTCTTCAAAGGAAATTATAGATGACCTAAAGATGATGAAAATCGATCTTAATTATCAAAATGACAGTTTCAATGCTGAAACTTTGCCTAAGCCGAGCAGACGAGTAAAATCAATTATTATTGAAGAAACTAACTCTGAGGATGACGCTCTGGAAGGTCTGGCCAATCTTATCGTAATTGAAAAAAATCAAAAGAATGCTGCCCGTCAGCCAGTAATAGAAAGAAAAACTTACTTACTTAATTATCTGGTGTTTAAGGTGTCTAGTGCCGCAGCCCAAAAAGGACCTATGGCAAAACTAGTGACGTAGGCGAGCCATCTTGGAACAGGTCAGCCCCGGCAAAGCCTTCTATCAACTCCTGCTTCACCAGCCTCGCTGCACGTCTCACCCGCCGCGATGCCGTCGCCCTTGTCGCTCGACTCAGCTCCTGCGCGTGTTCCCCCTAAGGGTCATCCTCCCGTGGGGATGTGCTGAGAGGTAAAAGCCCGAAATCTAGAGAGGACTGAGGAGCAGTTCCTCTGGTTATCCCCAGAGTTAAACCGCTATTGCTGTCCAGAAGTTCTCGAGTGAAAACCTAACCCTATAAATAAAATTCCATGAGGGAGAGAAAATTAGCAAAGCTAATTTCTCTCGAACCGAATGCCATTTTATTTATAATAGAAAGAAAAACAGATACTAAAGTACCTCAACAAAATGCCTCTAAAAAACCTGAACCTAAGGTGCAAAAACAACAGGCAAATATTCCTAGCCAAGGGGAAAGACCTCCACAGGTAGCACAGTACCCTCAGATGTATCAGTATTATCCTTACGCGACAAACCAATATTGAATGATGCCAATGGATTGGAGAAATATTAGTATTGCTCAGCAGTATCAGCAAATCGCTCAATATAATCTTATTGCAAACATGCTTAATAGACGCTCTGGGATTCATGTAAAGTTAGCTCATTGGATCCAACAAAGGCAAAACGCAATGCGAAGGGCGATGAATAAATAAGGATTTTTAATAAAAATAAATTGTAAGAGGTATATTGTTTATAATTATTAATTTTTATTTAAGGCTTTTCCAGTAAACTTTTATCCAGCTATACCAGGAAGATCACAGCACATAGACTTTAACTCCGATCCTTGAGATTTTAGGAGTATAGGGCTTATCCATCTGACATCCCATATAAGGAAGACACTTACTCTCACCTCCGTAAGTGAAAAAAAAAAAAGTTTGTTCATTAACAGACGGGGGTTAATTTTGTTTTTTAAAAATTAACTTAGGCTCTAAGATATAGTCAAAAAGCAGTATCGATAAAGTTTAGCTTCCAAATTCTATTTTTTGCCTAGAAAACCACCCTCTGTGTGTGTGAAAAAAAATTATGAGAAAATCTTTTGAAGTATAAGTGATATTAGTATAATTAAATTTCTAGCTAATTCTGTTTAATTTTAAGCAGCTTGCATTTTAAACATAATTTTAAAATTAAATGTATATTTGCTTTCTAATTTTTGCTAATGGGATTTTTTTAAATTTCAAAAAATAAATTATTATAAAATTGATATATAAACTTTAACCTCACTCAGTAAGCGAACAAATTTTTTTTTCACTCACAGAGGGGGAATAAGGAAAATTTGCTAGCTAATCTTTTGCCAAATGCTTTTTTTCGAATATATTAGAGCATATATAGTAATTTTTTCCCAAAAATTTAAAAAAAATCCAATCTAAAATATTTTAAAGGCAAATATTAATCTAACTTATTAAATTTATGTTTTAAATGAAAGATATTCAAAATTTAATAGAATCAGATCGAGATTTCATAATAAAGGGTAGGGATTTTTCCAATGGTTTTGCTCGCTCATCGAGGAGTGGGTGTAGGCGGAACACCTGCAGGAGACAGATCACAGCAAGGGTAGCACATCTTGTAGAGATCTTTACAAGGTGGGCGGAGTCATTGGATAGAATGCTACACATGACGCATCTGATTTAAAAGGGTAACGCTAGAGATTGCTCGTCATGTCATCAGTCTAGTCTGGAATTCAAATAATGGGCTCAGACATACCTATATAACCCCTGCTAAAGAGGATGAAGCACGCAAAATCTAAGTTAATAGTTATTAGTTAATATTTATATTTATTCAAAGCTTCTGCACTGGGGTATTTTCTATTTTTTATAATAAATAGAGCAATAGTAGCCATAAGGAAAGATTTCAATATTACAATTAAATTATCTTAAAAATGAACCCATATTGAAAATTAAAAATAAATGGAAATTACACAAATCGTCAAGAAAAGAACCAATTTTCAAAATTATATCTTTTTATCTTTACTCTAATATTTTTTGATTTTCTTTTTAATTCTTATATGAGATCGTTGATAATATTTTGATTATAGAATAATAATGTCTCATCTCAGATTTCAACATTAAAATTTTCAATTTATTTTGACTATAGCAAATATCCATTTATTATTAGGACTGTATATAGAAATAACCAAAATACTCATCATCGATCAAAACAGTTTTAATCAGCTCTAACGCAGTTCCAATATAAACCGACAATATATGTTTGCACTTTATAAAAATTACCACAAACTGATCATTTTTTTTAAGTGCTTGTGTAAAAGCAGCACATGGGCAAAATTGCAAATTAGCAAGGACATTATAACTCTCATTATTGCTTCCTTCAATTTTATAAAACTTTCGATTACTCTTGATGGCTTTTATACAAATTATTTTGTGAGAGTCTATGATATTTAAGGATCTTTGAATTGTTGATAGAGGAAATATAGCATTTAGTCTGATATATAGTTACTTTGAAAATGATTCACTATCAACTATTTATATCTCACTTTCCTTGGCTTGTCGGATATGATTTAGAGCTGAGTTTAAGATATCCCTTAGCTCCATTATTCTAAATAAAAGACATATGTTCAAGCATGAAACCCACTACCACCCCTTCCTGCCCCCAACTTCTTCAAAAGCAACTACCTAATCTCGATAATTAGCAATATAAGAGATATTGCAGTGCATTCTCTATTGGCAACTTTATATGTTTCCTAGTAAGTTTTGGATATGTTAATTTAATGAGATATAAAATGGTTGTGCTCGAATTGATTTATTTGTGCCTATCCATTATAATGTCGAATTCGACTAAATTCGTATTTAAATGAGATAATAAAGTAAATCCAGCTTATTTCTCTATTAACTAACTAATTTATTATCATAAATTTTTACTATATTACTTAATTCACCCTTATAGCTTTCCATAGAGCCAATCTCTTAATTTCTAACCAATTTTGTCAAATTTGATCATTTTTGACTTGCAAATATGCTTGCCATTTCATCTAAAAGATGCTCGCTTGTCACATCTATTTGGGTATGTACGATAGAAAAGGCGAATCGTAAAAACTGCTTTTAAAAATCTATTAATATGAATTAAAGTATTTATTTTGCTGCCATATATGCTATAAATTGCCTTAAAAAGGCTTAGAGGTGAATATACTGCAATATCTCGAATATTACTTTTTATCAAGACTAGATTGTTTAAAAGGGGGGCAAGGTAAGTTTTATACTCGGCCAGACACAACAAAAATATTTTAGAAGAACAAAGAATTCTTCTATTATACGCAGAATTATTAAAATAGTGTGATCTAAGGTGGTCTATGGTGTTCCGTGGGCTGATCCAGGGCCTATAGGAGAGGAACTTCATTGCGATCGTTCTCTGGGGCGGGTTTTTTGGTTTAGAGTTAAACCCTCAACCTTTTTTGTTTTGCCTGCAGACGTTCCTATGGGCGCAATATCCCTTCACACTCCATGATAACATTGTCGAGTCTGCAATATTACTCAGACCGGCCATGGAAACGAAAAGGCAGTCTACCCATACTCCCTGTCCTGCAGAAGGTCCGAAGAGTCTTGTTCGTTGATTAGGACTAAGGAAAACTAAGGGCGATCTCCCAAGAGTCCTCCTGCTTCGCCATTTTTTTGGTAAAGTCAGGAGTAAAAGGGGAGGTAAAGGATAAGCTTAACATAACGCGAAACAATTCATAGGACAGTGAGGGGCTGAAAAATCACTCTAAACCTCTAGAATTTAAATCTAATCTATTATACCAATTGAGAATTCTGCTAAAGTTAAAGCTTATAAAAGCTCAATCATAATTATTTTATAGGTTTTTATTTCCTATAATTATTTAAACGGTTATAACATCATCCATCTCAGTTTCTTTTAGTTTATGGAATCTGTACTTTCTTTTCATAAAAACTCTCTGCAAAATAAGCCAAATATTCCCTGTACAGCAAGCCAAAAATGCAATTATCACAAATGTCCAGCCATACTCCAAAAAGAGGTAGTAGCACACATATATTCCAATTTCTAATGCAGCAGCATACATACTGCAAACTAACCCAAAATATTCCCCAATTGTTATGCATAAGTAAAGAGATTTCAAAAAAGGAAGCAAATCCCATTGCTTAGTTTCAGGGTATATAATATGCATGTAGCTCTGCAAAAAAGTTGAGTTTTCAGCACAAAGTAATGCGATAGCTCCCAGTATAGATCCTAATGAATCAATAACAAAAGAAATAGAAAACTCCAAATTTAATGATTGATATGAAAAATAAGCTATTGAAATATTGTAGCCAGAGAACGCTCCTATTGTAAGCCCAGCAAGAATATAATATTTAAGACTGCGTATTGAACATAAAGATAAAAAGCCATCATTTAATTCAGGCTGGTAAAGCAAAATACTCCTGTTAAAAGATCTATTTCTAATGAATAGTCCAAGTGCTCAGAATACATAAAGTCCAGCTAAAGTCCCATAGATAATTCATTGCGCAGAGCAGAGATGAATTTTTAGCCCATATTCGTATATAAAGACGAGAGGACTTAAAGCTATCAAAATGTTTGCAGTTCTTGATTCCATATATGATGAACTATTAATAAATCTAAATCAATTTTTGTGTTGTCTTTCATTAAATTGTTAAAGTTAAATCAAAATCAGACTCATAGTAGACTTATTTAGAACACATTTATTAAATTTAAAAAATTATAACATAAGTAATCTAAATAGCAATCACTTTTCCTTAAAAATTTTCTCTAGTCTATCTTGTGACTTTACAGGCGAAAATAAAATGGACAACGAACGGCTTATAGACGAATCTGACTCAAGCATACCTGAGCCAGCTAAACAATTAGGATCAATAAAAGTAGAGGAACCACCCACAAATGATATGGCAAAAACAAAATCCCGTTATCTTACTCCCCCTTTAAATTCCTTCAAAATAATACAAAATTTTGTTTTACTTTGAAAACTTTATAGGTAAAAGTAGAATTAGTTTAGCCTAATTTAACGAAAAAGTCAAGTAAATACTATTTAAACAGTTTCACACCGTATCAATTAACCTTTTGAATTATTTCTTTATAAAAATAAATTAAAATTCAAAAGAAACAAATTTCGCTCCCTTAAATTGATAAGGATTTTTGTTAAAATTTGAAAGGGGAGTTATGCTTTTTTTTGCATGCTTTTTATGCTTTGGAAACTATTACATTTACGATAATCCCTCAGCACTGCAACCTCAACTCGAAAAAGTAATTTATAGTTAGCGACTTAACATGAACAGCTTCGAGTTTAATATGCTTTACTCAGTTTACTCATTTCCTAACGTCATCTTACCTTTGTTTGGAGGCTATTTTATTGATGCTATTGGTGTGAGATGGGGCATTATTATCTTCTCAGGCTTTATTTGTCTAGGACAAGCTATTTTTGCTATTGGTGTAGACGCAGGGTCTTATCCAATTGCAGTTATAGGGCGCTGTGTGTTCGGCTTGGGAGGAGAAAGTCAAAATGTTGCACAAAGCACAATTGTATCAGCTTGGTTTTCTGGTAAGGAATTAGCTATGGCTTTAGGCATGAACGTCAGTATATCAAGGCTTGGAAGTGTTTTTAATGATCTCACAGAGCCAGCCTTCGATTCTTTGACTGGATCTGTTGATTTTGGGATCTGGTTTGGCTTCGGCCTATGCTTGGCATCAATGGCATGCGGATTCGCGCTAATTGCTATGGATAAGAAAAGAGACATCAAATTAGGCGTTCTTGACAAGAAAATTGAAAGCGATAAGGTGAAATGGTCTGACCTAAAAACGTTTAATTTCAGCTTTTGGCTCATTTCAATCAATTGCTTAGTTGTATATATTTGTGTGCTTTGCTTTAACAATATAGCAAGCGACTATTTTCAGACAAGATTTGGGTTCAGCTCAGTTATTGCAGGAGTGTTAATTTCTATTACTTATTCTATTTCTGCAGTTTTGTGCCCAATTATTGGGTTTTACATAGACCGCGTTGGAAATAGGGCGACTCTTATAACGATTTCAGCTGTCATTATGGTTATAGTTCACACAATTTTCATTATAATTCCTGATTGTGATCAATGCGCATGGGGAGCCCTTGATTTGGTTTTGCTTGGGCTTGGATACTCATTATATGCATCTGTTATGTGGGCGTCCGTTCCTTTAGTTGTTGAGCCGAAGACAGTTGGGTCAGCTTTTGGCATAGTGACTGCTATACAAAACTTTGGCCTTGCCTTTGGACCAATGGTAGTTGGGGCAATTCATGATAATTCTTCTGGAGAAGATGGCTATTTGTGGGTCTCATTTTTTTTCATTATTATGGGAATTCTTGGAGTTATAACAGCTATTATCCTCCAAATTAATGATAAAAAAACTGGAGGTGTCCTCAACTCAAGCAATCCAAAGGAAGCATTAAAATTAATGTTAACAACAAAGAAAGCTACGATAGTAAGTGACCAGTCGCTTCATGAACACTTAGATACAGTCGATAAAGAGAAAAACGGTTTAAATAATGACGAAAAGAGTAGTTCATAAAAATAGAAACTAGTGAGATATCACGGTAACTTAATGATTCTTTCTTAGGTAATTTAAAATAATTAATTAAATGGCTGAAAATATTGCTTCTGCTCAGCTGAGGCTTCTTGTTCAAAGCATGGAAACGTATTTAAAGCAATTAGACTCAAAGGATATATCAAACTTAGTAAAGCGAAACAGAGATATTGAAGGCATTTATGAAAGAACTTCTCATATAATTAAAGCATCAAAAATAGCAATCTCAAATTCTGCCCAGGAAGTTTTACATAAGTCAAAAGACAATACAATATAAAAATGATTTATTAATATTTATCATACATCTGACTATCTTTTTATAAATACAATCTCCAGTCATTGTTCTTAGTTTATGCTTCTTGATTTTATATTCCTTTAAGTTTGTTGAATCGATAACTTTTGGCTTATAAATTTAAATTGTAAATTTAAGTGGTTTATTTCACCCAAAATTTAACGCCTATGAAAATAAATAATGGCAGGCAGACAAGCAGGTGCAAAAGCTTTTAACCCTAACTCCCCCCTCAGAGGGCGAACAAAGCTATTGGAAAAATACTTGTTTTTTTGCACAAAAACCCACTCTAAGTAAGCGAAAAAAAATTTATGAAAATAAATTTTGATATATAAGTAATAATTAGCATAATAAAATCTTTAGCTAAATCTATTTTATTTTAAACAGCTTGCATTTAAATGAATATTTGTTTAAAACAATTTTATACATGCACTATCTAAAAGTGCATATACATTTTTAAAAAAAATTAATCCCCTCCGTTAACGAACAAATTTTCTTGTTCGCTTATGGAGTGGAGGAGTAAGCAATACGAACGCCCTGGACTAACTGAAGACGAAATTGAGGAGATTAAAGAAGCCTTTGATCTTTTCGACACTGATGGATCTGGTACTATTGATCCTAGAGAGCTTACCTCTGCCATGCAATCATTAGGTTTCGAAGCAAAAAACCAAACCATTTACCAAATGGTCAGCGATCTCGACAAAGATGGCTCAGGCGCCATCGACTTCGATGAGTTCTTAGACATGATGACTGCAAGAATGAGTGATAAAGACACCAGAGAAGATATCCAAAAAGTTTTCAGACTCTTCGATGATGACAAGACTGGAACCATTTCAATTAAGAATCTTAGAAGAGTTGCTAATTTTCCCTTTTATATAAATTAAAAAATACATCTAATCAAATATTTTAAAAAAAATAGTCTTTTACTGTGGAAGAGAGAAGTAAGGAACTTGGAGAAACCATGACTGACGAAGAGCTCTTGGAAATGATTGAAAGAGCTGACTCTGATGGAGATGGTCAAGTGTCTTTCGAGGACTTCTACAACATCATGACCAAGAAAGCATTCCCATAAGTTAAAGGTTAAAGATTTGAATTAACTTAGTCTGCTTCTTCTTCACTAGTCCACAATGCTAGATTGTCTTAATTATTAGTATTGCCTTCTAACGTTTGATCACCAGTCCGCACGCAACCTAGTGCTTTGTTATTCCTTCTAGACGATGGACCCATTTGCTCCCCAAATCAGAGGGTTTGTATCACCTTGCAGGGTGTCACAGAATTGTGTACAATGGAAAACTTCGAATTTACGAGTTAGCTGTCTGCAAGAATGGAAGCTCAAGTCAAGGACACAAAACTCGGAATTGTGCTGGGTAAATGTCCATATCGGCCGAGAAACACCCTTAAGAACTGCTGAAAAAAAAAACCTTCCCAGCACTGTGTCCTGTTTCCTCATTAGAAAATCTGCCCAGAAATTGATTAATTGACTGACAACTGGGCATTGCTGTCAAGTCTGCATCAGTAAAACCTTGCTGAATGCACATATCGGACTCCTCCCTTACTTCCTTAAGGTCTCCCTCTTCTTTAGCGAACCGGCTACAGAAGTAAAGAGGCCAGATTGATTTGACACACTATTTTAATATGATTGTCTTTAATCAAGCCAAGTATTGATGTGGCTTCTTTATATGCTCTTTCATCCAAATCATCAAGCTGAGGTAACGCTTCATCAAAAGCTGACTTCGCTAACTCAATTGCTTGAGCAGTTTCCTTAAGCACTTCGTATTTAAATACTGAATAATTCAATGCCAAGCCAATGCGGATTGGATTGTTTGCTGGTAAATTCTTCGCCACATCTGAGGCCTGCTGATATGCTTCATTACTGCTTTCTACTGCAGCAGCATCTCCTGACTCTGACATATATCTGTAATAGTCAGCTTTCATTTTGATATAGAAGAGCTTGATATCATCTGGATCGCTATCACGCAATAGTTTTTGGTCGATCAGACAAAAAATTTTGATTGAGAGAAATTGATCTTATTTATTTTCCTCAACTATCCAGACAAACATTTTTTAATAAGCAAAATCATTAATTTACTAACAGATGCATGGAGTGAAAAATTAGAATAATTTATTTCTATACAATATTTGCTTGTAAGTTTTTCAATTAGAAATTGCTTTCGATCAGACAGATTATTTCTGAGCAGAGGGCATGAAGCTCTTTATTAATTTTTTCCTTGTATTCTTGAGTGATTTCTAACTCCTACTTTAAGAGTGAGCAAAGCAGCTAGAAGATGCTTATTTTTGAGAAAATATTTATTTGCTAGATAGCATTTTCAATATAAATTATTTATGCAAAAACAATTAATAATATCTATGATATATTTACAAATTTAGATTTTTAAAATTTTAAAACTACTTTTATTATAATTTTTTTTTTAAAAATATAAAAATAAACCCCTTTAAGAGTGAGCAAAAAAAGCTAATGGCCCTTAAAGGGGAGTAAGTTACCTTGCCCTCTAGATTTTTGTTTTTGTTCATAGCTGCTGATTATACGATATGCATTCCTGCGTTCTCCGACTGCTTGCTTATATGCAACGCTAAGAAGTGTCCTTTCTTCGTTATTGATATCTCCATTGGCCTCGTCAATTAAGCTTTTCATTGAGGCTATCATGTCTCCATATCTTTCAGAGTGCTCACTCCTACTTTTAAATAAGGAGCAAAATGGAGGTAAAATTTCCATTTTTTCAATAGAAATTATAAGAATTTTTTCCATGTTAAATCTGATTAATTTTCATAAATATAAATATGATGCAAATTAAGTATTTTTAATTTTAAAAAAAATTAACTGCCTTTAAATTCGAGGGGGATTTTTTATTCAATTTAAAGCAAGGGAGTCAGCAAGCTTTGCATTATATGAAAATTCCTCTCTTTGCATAACTTTATTGGATCCTTTTTTTGATAATGGAGATCCACTCGATTTTAAATGGATAAAGTCTGAGTTTTCAGTAATTTAAAAACAAAAAATTTTGATATAGGGAGAAAATAAATTTGTGGCAGTTTTGCAATAATTTTATAAGGAAAAATTATATGAAGGCTCGATAGATTAGATTATATTATATTAGATTAAAGTTAGAATGGATCTTCGGGGTTATTTCAGCCCCTCTCCGCCTTTACCGACTTCAAGCTTCCCGCCATTAGCATCGGGTTGTACTTATGCCCTTTTCTATTGACGTCGCCAAAAATGGTGATGTCAGCCTCACGCGGAGACGCACCCAGATACTTCATTGGACAACTACTAGGCGGTCGGCATCATCTATCCTGGGATAGGCGGTAGGAGGCGACCCTGAATCCTCCTCTGGTCTCCATTACCCTTCACATCCAGAAGCGTGGAGTTGTCATATATGTGTCTCTGAGTCGGGGTAAAACCCTGTCGTAATGTCTCAACCATAGATAAAAAGGTCCAATCCTCTTAAAGCCAAAAAAACTCCTAGGGTATCGGAGAAGAATGGGTTGGATAAGTCTCTATTTTATTTATGTATAAAGGCTCGAAGATCCTTTAATTTATCTTTTTCGTTTACAAATGATCCGAATGCAAATTTGTGGAATTTAGAGAGTAATCGCACTTTGTGCCTATTTCTCTCAGTTTTCTTTCTTGTGAAATAAAGTATTTTTCTCTTTTGAAATAAAGTCAGTTTCTTAAGATTTTAGTTTTACTGTTTCTTCATTTTATTACTTACCCAATTAATAGAAGTAAAGTATTGAGAATTTGTCTTATCAAGATTTAAACTTAATCCGCGATATGAAAAATAATTCTGCTTCTCCATTAATAAAATGGGAGACGAGGAAATCCCTGATTGTTGAGAAGATCTTGATGCTCAGATTCCCGAAAGTGTTGTAGAAGGAGCTATTAAAGTCGCAGATTTTGATTTTACTTCGAGTCATCAAAATAACGATCGTCCTTTAAATATGCAGGATGCAAATCTCTCCCAAATGGATCACAATTCTTTATCATTCCAGCATTATTCCCAACAAAAGACAGAAAAGCCCAAAGCAAACTCAGAAGAAAAGAAAATCCCAAAACCCCGCAAAATTGAGCCAGAATCAGTCCCAGCAATCAATAAAGATGGCTTAATTTCGTCACTTATTGAAGCAAATAAATCACTAGAAATTAAGCTTGCTGAGCCAGATAGCCGAGACCCTGTAAACTTAGTTTTCATAGGGCACGTCGATGCAGGAAAATCAACAGTATGTGGCAATATTTTGCTTAAAACAGAAAAAATTAATCGAAGAGTAGTCGAACAGTATGAGGAAGAAGCAAAAGAAAACAACAGAGAAAGCTGGTGGTTAGCTTATATTATGGATATCAGTGAAGAAGAAAGAATAAAAGGCATAACTATTGAGGTTGGCAGAGCATTTTTTGAAACAGATTCAAGAAGATTTACTATTTTAGACGCCCCTGGACATAAAAGTTATGTTCCAAATATGATTAGTGGTGCTGCCCAAGCCGATGTGGCTGCAATCGTTATTTCAGCAAGAAAAGGGGAGTTCGAGTCAGGATTCGAAAGAGGAGGACAGACAACTGAACACACTATCTTGGCAAGAGCAATGGGGGTCAAAAATTTTATTGTGTTGGTCACCAAAATGGATGACCCTTCAGTTGGCTGGTCTCAAGAAAGATTTGAATTCATCAGAGCTTCTTTTTCACAATTTTTAAGATACACATGCAAAATTGTTGATGAAAATATTTTTTGGGTGCCAATAAGTGGATTACTTGGCTTAAATTTGAATGAAAAAGTGCCAGCTGATGTTTGTCCTTGGTATCAAGGATTATGCTTATTTGAACTCCTTAATGTTATTCCTTTACCTGAAAGAAATTCGAATGAGTCATTAAGAATCCCTATTTTGGATAAAATAAAGGATGTAGGTCTAAGTGCTTTAGGCAAAGTAGAAAGAGGAACTGTAGTGAAAGGACTAAAAACGATGATTATGCCTATTGAATCAGAAGCGGAAATCCAAGAATTATATGGCCCTGAGGATGCAAAGTTTATGTATGCAAAAACAGGAGAAAATTTAAGACTGAAGCTAAAGGTCGGTGAAGGCGTAGAAATCCAGCCTGGATATGTCCTATGCGATATTCATGATGTTTGCAATGTAGCCACAGAATTTGAGGCAGATTTAATTCTTTTTGATCTTTTACCTCAAAAAATGCTTGTTTGCCCAGGCTATGAGTGTGTAATTCATCTCAACAGTATTCTTCAAGATTGCCAAGTAACTCAAGTTATAGCCAGATATGACGAGAATAAGCATAAAAAAATTAAAGTCGATTTTTGTAGAGGGAATTCTAGAGTTATTGTCAGGCTATCTACGCCGACTCCTATCTGTGTTGAGAGATATGTAGATTTCCCACCTTTAGGCAGGTTTACTTTGAGAGATGAAGATACCACAATAGGAATTGGAAAAATTACAAACCTCTTCCTATAGCTTTTAAACACCAGCTTAATTTTAATTATTTCATGGGTAAATACTTTCTGTGATATTAATGCGTTTTGTTAGTTATTGAGGCATAAAAGCTGAGTAAGATAACCTGGCTGTATTTTAAAATCACTAGCATTGCTAATAGCTGATTTATATGATAAAATTTTCAACTCTGTTAAAAATTAAGTCACATGATATAAACTGTTATATTGATTAAAAATAAGTTATGCAATAATTATTTAAATGCGTCAAAGCATCCAATACAAGCAAACAATTGAGTCGTTAAAGACTGAAACGAAAAAGCTAATTCTTTCCTTCGGAAAAGTAAAAAAATAATGATTGAAAAATTTCTTTCTAATAAAGAAAAAATTAACCTCAAACGCAAGCAAAAAATTTGATTCCTCACTAAGGAGATAAGAGAGCAGCTATGCTTAGATACACTCCAGCAGTCCCATCTCGGTGTTGAATCTGAGTTGGCCAGACTTCAAGAGCAAGGCGATGCTTTTGCTTATAAAATTGAGCTTGAGAAGCAAAAAATAGCAGACTTAGAGAATCAAATCACAATTATGACAGAAAAGCTTAAAGCCCAAAGAGAGTCCGTAGGAGGTTCTCAAGGCGCAAAAGAACTAAATGAAGGGGTGGCTCGAAAAATCAAAGGCTTAGAAAATAAACTTGACAAGTCTCTTCAAAAATACAATGAAAGTATCGCTCACAATAAGCAGCTTAGGGAGCAAATTGATAAGCTCAGAAGAGAAAGGGTTGTTTATGACAATATTTATAAGAAACTTGAAGAAGAGCTGCAGTCAAAAAAAGAGGAAATGAAAATGGTAATAAAGAAAAGTAATAAAGCGCAGAAAAAAAGAGACGAAATTAAAGAGAAATTTCAAAAATTAAAAGAAGAAGCAGAAAACGAGCAGGCTGTGTTCGACAACGAATGAAAAGAGCTAGGGAATTTGATTGAAAAGGACAAAAAAATGAAAGAGTTCTTGACAAATGAAGAATTAGTCCCATCAGAAACAGTCGATGTCAAAAATCTGAACAAAAAAGTTGCTAAAAGTGCATGGAATATTGCAAAAGAAAAATCCAGCATCAAAATGTACCTAGAAAAGGTTGAAATGTATGAAGAAGCATTCAAGAAGATTGAAGATGCAACTGGGATATCAGATATCGATGAGCTGGTTAGGACTTTTGTCGATGCTGAAATGCAGAACTACAGCTTGTTTAACCATGTAAATGATCTCAGCAATGAAATGGAAAAGCTTGAACAGCAAATTAATGATATAAAATTTGAAATCGATAAATATAAGAATCAAGGCTCTTCTAATGAAAATCAAAGGAAAAAACAAATGCGAGAGCTCGAACAAAGGCTGGAAAAAACAGAAGAAAAAGCTGGCGAATATGAGAAAAAATGTGAAGGCAACCAGCTGCTTTTAGACTCCCTCAAAGAAGGAATTGAAACCCTCTTTGTAAGAATTGGCTGTACTTCAGAAGGAGAAACAGAGTCCAAAACTCCAATTGGTATAAACGATTCAAATATATTGTACTATATGGGACTTATTGAAGAAAAAACCAACGAAATCATCCACATGTACACTAATTCCCAGCAGTCAGCCAATCTCTATAATATCCAATTTACCAACACTTCAGCTCCACCACCATTACTCCCTATTGGTAAAAAAATGGATATTGAGCTTCCATCTGTCCCTGATAGAGAACAGCCTGACGAAGATGAAGCTTCAGCTCCTCTGAGTGTGAAAGAAATGAAATTCAGGTCTCTGAAGAAATATGAAGAAGAAAAAGATAAGAAGAAAAAAAAGCAATAACTTGATTGTTTAATTTTCATATGTTTAAATGAGAAATAATTAAGTATATGCAACCTAGGCTACATAGCACTCGGTCAAGTCCTAGGATTACGACTGGAAATGTGAAGACACCTAAGTATTTCGCGAACGTAATTGCTACTGACCTAAAACAGGCATCTCCAAGGCTTTCTTATGACTTCCCAACTGATTATCCACATACTTCTATAACTGATTCCTCTAAAGATTCATTGGTAAAAAAGCCATTGTCTCGTACACCTAAAGCTTACTCGAACCCCTTTTCTTTGACTTCTCAGACGCCACGAACGTCAAAATCAATCAGAGACTCGATCTCAAATGGAGCAACCCCTAGAAATGTGTCGACAAAATCTTTAACACCTCGAGGGTCCTCATTGAATCCTAAGAGCTCTGAAGCTCAGCCTAAGCAAACAATTTTCCACACCCCTTCCTCCAAAAGTTTGTTTCAAAAATCTTCCAGAACTTTTAGCGCTACTAGCTCCAAGAAAAAAATATCCCAATCAATCTCCACCTCAAGTTTATCACAAACAGGATCAAATGATCCTTATCGTGGAAGTCCAAAAACAGCTGATAATAAAAATGTGTTGGCCCAAATGATAACACAAGTAAAAACCTCTGAAACCCCTAAAGGCAGTGCTGAATTGTCACCTGAAGACCTCCAAAAAAGAGCAGACGCTATATATAAAGAGCATTTATTCCAAACCTTTCAAGCCTTGAAGTTTGTCAGAACGATGCCTCCTGTTGACCAAAATCAACTGCAACAAAAACGAATTAATCTTCCAAAAAGAGGAGCATATTTGAATAAGAAAACTTTAATTTTTGATTTAGATGAAACTTTGGTCCATTGCTGTGAAGATTTGACGACTTCAAATCCTGATGTCATTTTGCCGATCACCTTTCCAAATGGCGAAGTTATCAATGTAATTTGTATATAGGCTGGAGTTAATATAAGACCATTTGCAAGAGAGGTCTTGGTAGAAGCAAATAAGGACTTTGAAGTTATTGTGTTTACTGCAAGCCATCAGTGCTATGCAGATGTGGTTTTGGATTATTTGGATCCGACTCGTGAACTAATTCATCATAGACTTTATAGAGATAACTGTATTATGTCTCAAGGAATTTATATAAAAGATTTGAGAGTACTGGCCAATAGAAGATTGCAGGATATTGTGATTATTGATAATGCTGCGTATAGTTTTGGATATCAAATAGATAATGGAATCCCAATAATTTCCTGACATGATGATCGCTATGACAAAGAACTTTTTAATCTTTCAGATTATATAAAAGTTCTGGCAAAAGTGCCAGATATTCGTGAAGTTAATAGAAAAACTTTCAGATTAAGTTCATTTTATGAAGATTATATTGAACAATTTTTACAAGGAGATGAAAACAAGCCTAAAACGGCATCAAGAAAGATTAAGAGAAAGCCAAAGTTGAACTAAACAGATCACAGAGCCTTGCAAAATTTTGTAATAAAGATAAGGTTAAATTATATCTTTGATCCTTTTAAGCTAAAGTTTTAATAATTTTATAAAGATATGAGTGATGATGTTATGCAAATTGATCGAGAAGAAGAAAATGAGTTCGCAGAAAAACTCAGAGCAGCAGGCCCACTAAATTTAGCAGTTGAACACAATATTTTCCTTCCAGGAATGGAAGCTACTTATGTCAAAATCTTAGTTGATGAGATTCCTCAAGGCCCGCCACAAATAATCCCAAAGCTTTTTAGAAGTATTCGCTGTGGCCGAGAAGACTTTAAAGAAGGAAGGAAAATCTGAGACCTTTCCTTTTTGAACTCCTCCTTATTTCCAGTTAGAAAAGTAGAGCCTCCTAACGATTTGTTTGCAACATGTGGGGGACCTTTTATTCACGTATATAGACTAAGTAGGCCCTTAGCTGATACTTTCGAAACCCTTCATATCTATGTGAATACAATTCAAGACGACGATTTATACACCTTATCATGAGGATTGCTAAATGATGGCGAACCAATCCTTGCATGTGCTGGGAAACAAGGGATTATTTTATTAATAAATGTTTACACATATTCTTTAGTAGGCCACCATCTAGTCGGACACAAGAATGCAATCCATCAATTGAAGTTTGCCCCTGGAAATAGTGCATTTTTATTGAGTGCCAGTGAAGATTTGAGCATTCGGCTTTGGAATATTTTGACGTTTACTCAAGTTGCAATATTTGCTGGGGACTTAGGGCATAAACATGGAGTTCTAACAATCGATTGGCATAGCACGGAAAATATTTTTGCGTCTGGAGGAAGGGATGGAGCTGTCAAAATATGAAAAATTACTGATGAACTTAAAAATGCAATGGATGAATCAATGACTTGAAACCAAAATTTTATGAATAATGGCGCAAATATTCCATGTGCAAGGACTCCTTTTAGAACAAAAATGATTTTTGAGCCTGAATTTTCAACTAATCGTGTCCATAAAAGCTATGTTGATTGTGTTAAATTTTATGGGAATTTGATTTACTCAAAAGGACAAGAAGGCTGCATTGTTGTATGAAAACCGCATCCTGAAAGAAACCCTGACTCAGTGACTGTGCTATTCACTTTGAATTTTCCTAGAAATTCAGAAATTGGGCTTAGATTTACTATTGATTATGAGCAAGATTTGCTTGTGCTTGGAGGAACAGAGTCGAATTGCTATTTATTTGATTTGACATGAGAGTCAACGGAATTTAGGGAAATTAAAAACGCGCTACACACATTTAGAAGTCCTGTTCGGAGTGCAGGATTTACAGCGGACTCTAGCAAGATGGTTTACATAACTGATGACTGTTTCGTGCACCTTCTACAAAAAATATAGGTTATATGTCATTAATATTAGATTAAAAATACTTTTATTATCAGCAATATTTAAAATATATTATCTCTTAATTTCTTATTTCAGCTTAAAATTTTTACTATTCATTCCCTTCATCCATTTATAATTCTTATAGGAAAATTAACTCTTACAACAATTTTAATAACTCTCCTAGTCAATCATATCAAAAATTAAGAAAATTACATTTTAATCACATTTATTTCTCAAAATATGAATCTTGAGCCAGTTTATTCCTCTTCTTCTTATTTTACCAACAAAGAAACAATCGTTGAAACTCTTCAAAAAGATGCTGAATATTATACAAGGAAGCTTGAGCACAGTCGAAAACAAGCTGATATACTAAATCAAGAACTAGAAGAAACAAAATCTAAGATTTTAGCCCACCGGTCAAGTCGCCTTTCTTTTAGCGAATCCAAAGCCAAAATTCATTCGCTTATAGCTAAGGCAGCTTGGCTTGAAGACAAGCTTGCTTTAGAGAAAAGTAAACTAAATAAAAGTTTTCTTGAAAACAAGCAACTTAAAGAGAAAATTGAATTCTTGAGAAGAGAAAGGCAACTTCATCAAAAAGTTTCTACAAGTTCAAGCCAAGATCTTAGAAAAATGCGATCGTTGACTGATAGAATTAAAAACAAAAATTTCCACTATAAATCTGAGACTGAAAACGTTATTGAAAAAATTGAACTAGCAAAAGCAAAGTTTGCGAGGTCTAAAACGAATTTGAGATCTCAGATTTTTAATCTCGAAAACAATTTGAATAAATCATTTGACTCATCTCCTGAAGTAGCAGACGTGAAAAGGCCAAAAACTCCTATGGAAATGTATAATTTAAATAAATATTTTACTGAAAAATTTGGAGAAGTAGGCAAGGGGAAGTATGCTGAGATCGATAAATTTAGAAAAAACCGAAAAACATTGATTTCTGCGTTTAATGAAATGCGAGGACATGATTTAACTATACCTGAAGTGGTCAAAGCATATTTAAGCTATATAAATCAATACAATTCATTATGCAAAACACTTGGAGAACTGTCAGAATCAGTTGACAAAGTAACCAGTGAGATAAAAAATAACAGAGACGAAATTTCTGCATATAAATCAAATGCGATTGGAGAAAGAGCCAAAGATAAATTAAAATATGAAGCTCTCAAAGTAAAAATTTCTAAAATTCAAGAAGAATTAAATAGAAAAAATACTGCCACAGATAAAATCAGCAACCAACTAGCAATAATTTCAATTCCTTTGCGATTGATTCGAAGTTGATCTCACAATTTAAAAGGGAAAATTCCTCAAACTAATGATTTAAATGACACTGAAGTGATATTTCACTCAGCAAAAGAAGCAGATGAGTTTGTTGATATTTTATCATTTCTTAAATTTATTAAGCCAAAACCAGAAAATCAAACAATGCCTAAAACTCAAGTAAAGAGAAAAACTCTCAAATTTGGAGAAGATATTGAGGGTGGTAATAATGCAGAAGACGATAAACCATTTTCTGTGGATAGGTTTCGAGCTGTTGCTAAAGAATTTGCTTTTAAGGCTAATTAAAATTATTTTGTTAAATAAAATTAACTCCCAAATGAACTGTATCTCACCAGTGGTTTTGCATTCGACTTGAGTTTTTCATAATTAAACCCTTGCTTGTGTCTATACTTGGTAGAGACTGGAGTTAATTGCGAATAGCTTGGAGTTAAAATCGGCTCACTAATGTGTTTTTCTTCATTATCAATTTTTTTCATCTTAATTTGAGGAGGGTTCGGAGGTGGAACTCTAACATTTGTGCTTTGCTTTTTATCCATCGAATAAGGCTTTATTGCTATTTTGGGTTCTTTTATTTCATTTTCAGATGGCGATGATTTTTTCTGACAACTATAAACACTTAGAGATAGAGTTATTGCTTTTTGTGCTAGATCTTCCATGGAAGATATTGAATTATGTGAATTGTGTGCAGATATTTTTGGAGATAAAATAGGTTTAAATGTGCATTCACTCATTTGCTCTATTTCTTTGCTTTTCCTTTCAGTTTCAATTCTTTCATCTTTCTTTTGATTCCAATAGCAATTTCTTTCTATTAACGACATTTTACTGACGTCAACCCTTTCCTCTTCTTTTTCTGGCATCAGCAACTTGCTTCTTGATTTTAAGCTTTCTTTTAAAGATTCATAAGGAATTTTTAGCTCAGTTCCAAGACTTTTATGCTCTTTAAAGCTGTCATCCTTGTCAATAATTCCGTTAGCAAGCTTTTCAGCCATTTCTTTCTCTTTCTGCCTTCTCTTTGCTTCTATTAAGATCTCTTTTGATTTTGGGTTAATTTTTGGGGTTCCTGTATTTACCCTTCTTTCTTCTGCTACTTTTAATATTTTTAAAGTGTTTATCCTTGCTTTAGACCTTTCATCTTTGATTCTTAGGACTTCTTCAATTTTTGTTGGTATATCAGTCATCGAGTTAGATTTTCTTAGCTTTAAAGGCTTGCTATTAAAAGATTGAGAAGATTGGCTTGGTGAAAATATTTTATGATTATCAAATATCCTAGGAGATTGTTCTTTATCAGGCTTTTTGTATTTGCTATATGACATTTTTATTAAATATAATTAAAAGGTTCTTATTATTTGATGTTATTACAGCAACGGATAATGTCTAATGGCTTGATGCACAAATTTATATTACAATTAATTTACCTCTGTCTTAATTCGTTTTTCTACACCTTCGTCACTTTCCTCATCCTCCAACTTTCTTTTATTGTCACCTATTTTTGCTTCTTTAAAATCTAATTCTTCTTCAACCACCTCTTCATTCCAATCAGGCAAATTCAGCTTAATTAAATCCACAACGTGGTTTGTGCAACTCAAAAATGAATCTTTAAATTCTAAAGCATTAGCATCGTCTCCATTTTCAAATGATTCACATTTATTGCTTAATGTAAAAACCTCTTTTAAATATTCCTTAGAAAAACTAGAAGTGATATTTTTTGCGTCAATGATTACAGATGAAAGCTTCTCTTTTGCAGTTTGTCTTTGGTATATCTTTTCTTCAATAGTTCCTGAGCAGAATAATCTATAAATGTGAACAGGCTTTTTTTGGCCATCCCTTCATATGCGTCCCATAGCTTGCTTATCATTACTTGGATTCCAGTCAGGATCAAACAATATTAATCTATTAGCGCCAATCAAATTAAGCCCGCATCCTCCTGCTTTGCAGCTAAGAAGAAAGATAAGAATATTTGATTTTTCTGAATTAAACTCTTTAACTAAATCAAGTCTCTTTTTCACATTTGTAGCTCCATCAAGTCTAAGATATGTATATTCTCTCCTTTCACATAAAGATTGAACCACATCAAGTGTCTTGGAAAAATTTGAAACAACAACAATCTTATCATTTGCCTCAGCAGAAAGTTTTGCAATGGTGTCGAAAAACATCATTTTGCTAGAAAATAATGCTCTTTCTCCTTCACTTCTATAATCTATCGGAAATATATTCATTGCTGTATGCCACGCTTCTAATAGTTCAGGAGATTTTGGAGGATGAAAATAAAGCAAATCAGGATGATTCACAATTTTTCTTAAAGAAGTAATAAGTGATAGTGCATTTCCTGAGTTTCCTGTTTCCAAAGTTGTGTATGCAAGTTTTGATGTAAGATATGCTAAATACACTTTTTGCTGCAATGCAGTGGCCTTACAGAATACTAAATATTCATTTCTAGGCGGTAGGAGTGATTCTAACAAAGACCCGGTTCTTCTTAAAATAAATTTTGATGTAACTCGGCATAGCTCTGATGATCTACCCCACGCTAACTCTTTAATAAACTCAGAGGCTCCAGGGTCTTGACCTTTCAATATTGGTTCGGTAAATAATCTATTAAAAGCTTGCATAGTTCCAAGTATCCCAGGGTTTACGAACGAGACACAAGCATAAAATTCTGATAATGAATTTTGTAGAGGTGTTCCTGTCAAAAGAATTCTTTTTTTGCAATCTAAATCATGTATCGCCTTTGTAGTTTTAATTTGAAGGTTTTTCAACCTATGTCCTTCATCACATACAATAATATCACAAGCTTTATTCAACCTTGCAGCATGGTTTCTGAAGGATTCATAAGAAATAACTAATAATGCAGCCTGGCCTTTTTCGAATACTTTTAAGGAGTTTTCATTTTCATGCTTAGTCCCTGCACAGACTACTGGGCAAAGCTTAAGCGGACCTAGTCATTTATAAATTTCATCTCTTCAGTTATTAAGCAAGCTTGAAGGAGCAACTATTATACCTTTATTAGCGATTTTTTTATATGGGCTGTCTTTTCTAAGCACTGTATAAAGAAGAGCAATTGATTGAAGAGTTTTACCAAGCCCCATAGAGTCTGCAAGAATACAGCCAAAATAACCGCTTTCTCTTTTTCCTGTAATGCAATCATACATAAACTGAATACCTTCTTTTTGGTGCTGTCTTAAATGCTGTGCAAGAAATTTCTCAACATAAACGTTATTTTCAGCGTCTAATATTAATGCCCCTTCAGGGATTGTAAATTCTTTTCGTTCTTCATTTTTAATTGCGTGATAATTTGGATTTACAGGAGGAGGCTTATTAAAAAAGCACCTTCCTGATGCAAAATCTTCATATGTAATTTGATTTTGTACCTCTACTTCATAGTTTCCTAGAGTGATGACTTGGCTATCTCTTAGAGCTCGGCATTTACTGAGATTTGGCTTTTCTATAATTTTTTTCCCTTCTGAATCCTGAAGAAAAAAGCATTTCATAGAAAGAATAAGAATTCCGTCTTCATATGATTTTTTCTTTTTTTTGCAAGCTCGTGTGAACATAACAGAATAGTAAGTATCAGTGATTTGGGACTGCTGAAGATCAGTTTTAGAGGTGGGAGGGTTTAAGCCAAGCTTTAGTTGGTGGTATTTTTTGGGCAAAATTGCTTTGTTTTCTAAGGGCTGAACGGGTGCTTTAGTTTCACAAGCTGGAAGATTTGGCTCGAGAGAGTTGAAGGGGTTATATAAATCTCATAATTTGGATTGATTCAAATCAATTTCAGTAAAAGGCTTTACATTTTCGTCTTTTTTTAAAATAATAGACTCTGTTGAATCAAAATTTTTATCTGTGCTCTGCATCTTTTGAAAGCTTGTATTAAATTGGGAGTTTTCCTTTGATTCGATTACAATAATTTCTTTGCTTTCGATCTTATTTAACAAATCTGGCTCTTTAAATTCTTTCTCGCTTTGTGCAGGTTTAATTATTGGCTGATTATTTAAAGAAGTTCTAGATGAAGCAATCTCAATGATTTCAATATCTTTTTTTTGATTATTTCTTCAGTTTATTTTTGTATGTTTCTTAATTTTTTCATTAAGGCTGGGTTCTTCAATTTCTTTTTCATTGTTATAACATTCATCCTTTCTTTTAAATTCCTTAGATTTTTCAGTGTCAATTAGAGATCTTGATAGCAAGCTGTTTGTGTTTATAATTGATCTCTTCACTCCAATTGTTTTATGCTCAGTTTTTTCTTGAGAAGGGTTATAGTTCGTTAATGGTGATACGAACTTTTTGCGGAGGATGGGATTTGAGTTTAATTCCATTTATAAGTCCCGCGCAAAAATTCTCATTTTTTATTTGTTGTTCATTTGACATGAAAAATCAGAAAATCACAAAAGTTCTGCTATTATGTAAACAATTGTTTTATTAAATTTTTAATTTTATGCTAATTTTTTTATTATTAAAGCATTGCGCAGTGATCCATAGAACACAAATCTCTTGAGTCTTTAATCTGCTTTTCGCATGACCTTCAATCATCATTTGGGATATGTTTGTAGTTTTCTGGCCTTATTCAGTCGAATTGCATTTCGTTTAAGTCTTCGGGATCATAATCGTAGTTTTTATCGAGCTGCCTTCTAAATTGTTTGAAACTTTCTTGCACTGAAATATCGTAACTGTCGCTTTCTAAACTGTTTTCTTCCTCTTGTTGCTGCTTAAGGTATCGATTTGACATATTTCCTTAATATCTTATTCTGATCCAATTGATAAAATTTTATAATATAGCATCTTAATAAAGAAAACCTCATAACAAGAGCCATAGCTAGATGCAAATTAATTTTTTTACTTATATTAAATATTCACCTTTTTAGCTAGATATTTTTCCAATTTTGAGGATTGAATATTCTAGAATAATTTGTAATTTTGAAACATTTTCATATTTATTGATTTTCAAGTACTAAAGTTTTATTGATTTACCATTTACAGATTTCATTATATTATTTAGTTTTTGAGTTTCTCTTATCTTTTGAATTTTTCTCCATTTCCATATCTTCTTTCTTCTGCATTATCTTGACGATTGCTAGAAGGAGGAGGTCCAGGCGGTAAATTTTTAACATTTAGATCTGTGTCTCTTGCTAATTTCTGGATTAGCTGCATCTTTTGTCCTTGAGAACGAAGATAAGTCCCATCTTCTTCATGATCTCCCATTCTTTGTGCTTCCCTAATGCTTGCCTTGGTGTCTGCCATTCCTACTTTAATTCTATGTCCTTTAATTTCAGCTCCATCCATTTTCGTGACAGCTTCTCTTGCATCTCTGCTTTTTTTATATTGTATATAGCCTACACCTCTATTAACTTCCACATGCTCTATCTCTCCAAAAGGTGAAAACAGCTGTCTCAGTTCTCTTGCTCCAATATTTGCTAAAGTATCTTTCAATCCTGCGACAAATATTTTATTCGGACCTTCTTGGGGCATTGAAAGCTGCTGTCCAGCTGCTTTTGCCATTTTTGCAGCTGCTGCAGCTCTATTTTTCTCAGCTTGAGAAGGCTGAACACTAATAGCTTGCCCATTAATCATTTGCCCTGATAGTGCCATACTTTTTAAAACGGAATCAGGAGAATAAAATTCCACATAGGCGACCCCTTTGCTTTTCCCAGTTTTTTGGTCTCTAATAATCCTCACATCCCTGACTTTTCCAACTCCTGCAGATGAGAAAAAATTATAGACATCCCACTCAACAGCCTTAATATGAAGCTTCACAACTAAAACAGTGCAGTCGTCTCTTTGGGCTTCTTCGGCTTGTTTTTTTGCAACTTCAAGACGCTTTTCTAAGTCATCAACTTCGATTCGTCGTGGAGATATTTTCTTTACTTGAAGCTGTGGAGGCGTTCTGGAACGGTGACGTCTAGATCTGCCTTTTTTGACATATTCTTCGAACTCTTCGATATCCATTTCATCGAGGTTAGGAAAAGATTCTGCCATTATAAATTTATTATAATAAATAGAAGAATAATTTGAGTTAGTTACTCCCCCTCTGTCAACGAATCAAAATTTTTTATAAAAAAAATTTTGGATATATAAGTGATAATTAGTATAATGAAACTTTGAGCTAATTCTGTTTAATTTTAAAAAATTAACCCCCTCCATGAGCGAACAAAATTTTTTTGTTTGCTCATGGAGGGGAAAAGTTAGGATTGCTGAATTTCGGATTCACATTGGTAAAATTTATAGCCAGTAATTGCGAGAGGAGAATCGATTTTTTTGGATGCCTCATGTAGGACTTGTTTGACTGATTTTTCGCCTGGTTCTTCTGAAATCATGAAGGTTTGCTCAAATAGCGTCACTTGGTCTAAGGATTTTTCCAGTTTGCCTTTGACGATTTCATCATAAATATTTTTTGGTTTAGCTTTGGTTTTTTCATCAATTTGCTCCTCTACTGCCATTCTTTCTTTCTCTCTGAATTCTATAGGTATTTGATTTTTAAATAAAAATAGCGGCTTTGCAGCAACTACTTGCATGCACAAAGAATTTGCTAATTTTGAAATTCATTCTTTATCTTCTTCTGCTAAAGGTTTTTCAGCTTGAAGTTTCAGCATGCATCCTGATTGTGAAAGTAAAGAGTTGACTGAATTATGAAGGTACAGCCCAACTGCACTTTTTCCGCATTGCTCCATCATTTCACCTCTTCTTACAAGGACATTTTCTCCAAGCTTGGAAATTGATTCTAATTTGGCTTCTTCAAGAGTCTGGTTAAAGCCTTCTAAATGTAATGAAGAAATTTGTGAAAAAGGTAATTGAGATTTTGACCAAGACATTAGAGTATCAGTTGTGAACTTTTGAAACATATCAGTTCGTGCAACAAAATCGGTTTCACAGAGGACTTCCAGGAGATAGCCAGCATTTGGAGTTATTAGACCTCCCACTAAGCCAGCACTGACCGATTTGCCTAGTTTTTTGTGGGCTTGAGAAATTCCTTTTACTCGTAGCCACTCTTGGGCTTTTGTTAAGTCTCCAGCTGATTCTTCCAAAGCTTGCTTGCAATTAATAATTGGAGAGCCTGTTAAATTTCTGAGCTGTTTGATAAGATTCGCAGTCACACTCATTAGCCACAAAAGTTATTAATAAATTTCATGATTGATTTATTTGCAAATCGATTAATTCCATAAATTATAAGTTAATTATCAATTAGGCTCTTTATTCAAAGTATATATATTTTAATTATACCAATTAGGATAAATAACTATATGTACTTATTTATTTTATTAGTTTTCCACAAAGTACTACTTTACTTTGCATGCTACTGAGAGTAAATGTTTGTAGAAATGAAATTTAGTCTCTTTTTCTACAAGTATTTTTATGAATTTCCCAATGTATACGTTGACAGTCTCGAGAGCAATAATTAAAAATTTTGCATCTTGAGCAACGAAATTGAGAAGGCTTGGTGCATTGAGCACAAAAGCACGTCTGCTCATCATAATCAAAAGCATCAATTCTTTTTGGCTCAAAAATAATCAAAGATTTTATAGGATTTCTTATATCATTTCAATCAGCATTATGAAATTCTATAGAAAGCCCAAAACGCGTATAAGTGATCTCTATCCCTAAATTAGTTGAGCTTGATTTTTTATCAGGCTCTCCTAACCGTCTTACAATATCTGAATTGCACTGGCTCCATGTAATTCCATATGGCAGTTTATACGGATAACCAGGCACCTTTCCAGGAGCAAATAAAATTACATAGCAAACTTGGTTTTCCTTAACCGCTATTGAATAACCTTCTTGCTTATTCGTCAAATATGCTATATCAGAAAATGATTTCTCTTCAATGCCCTGAAACTCTAGTTCTTCCTTCCTCGCTCCAAGCAAACTATATCAATTAATCATTTATTATTTTAAGATACCATTAATTTGTTTTTGGTTCAATAAGATCTATCCCCATTATAATAATACTAAAATCATCTGAAAATTTGCCTTTAAATTTATCTAGTTCTTTAGGGCAAAGCTCAGCTCCGATTTCTGGCTTATCTTTTTCATATCTAGGTGTTGACCTAGATAAATTTTCTTTTGGAATAAAAAAATATGTATTTACCCAACATGAAAATTTCAATTTTTTGGATTCAAACTGAAAATTATAGTCTTGATCTCCAACTATATCATCAGGAAAAGAGTACTGCAATGAATCAAGATTAAATGTTGTCGGCTCAATATTCCCTGACCATACAACAGAATCATCTAGCCTAGAAATTGTAATTTTGGCATCTAGCACTTTTTTAACTGGCCCAATATTAATCCCAACTATCTGAATTTTCCTCGCAATTAAGGCTTTGACACGCTTCAAAGTATTCGCAGTTTTAACTATAGACGGAACTTTATTATAGTAATTATCTACGAAACAGTCTTTTAAGAACTTATTGAAATAATGGACATATCTGATTTGGCTTGGGATTGTTAAGCCTTTTCCATTATGAGTTCTTCTTCTCCCATAAAAATCAATTGCTTCAGTGGGGGTTGGAAAAGCTTCTAAAAACAACAAATAAGCACATATCATAAGCCCAGTCCTGCCTTTTCCAGCTTTACAATGGACAGCAACGACATTGTCAGGGTGCTGGGCAAGATACAAATATACATCAATACAAAATTCCAGCATTGTCGTCAAGTCAGTTGGGTTATGGTCTTTCATAGGAAAATAAGCAACCATGTCTGATGGGAAAGTAGCAAAGGTATAATACCGATTAATTTCTTGGCATAAATTATAAATCTTATAATGTGTTGGATAATAAGAGGTAAGAAAACTAATCACTTCTTCTCTGGAATTCCTGTATATAGACTCAAGACCTGTTGATGGATAGCCCATCGCAATTACTCGCTTCGTTATATAAGCTAAATCAAGATCAAAAAAATCATTTTGGAACCTGCGCTTTTTTTGAGAGACACAGGATTTCAGTTTATTTGAGGTGTAGAATTTTTTTGAGTTTTGGAAATAATGATTCATTCGAAGATTCCATGCTTCGTCTGAAACGTCGTCAATTTGTTTGTCGTTTTGCATTTGGTAGAGGTATCGTTTGAGTTTTCCAAATCGACTGGCCTCTAGGTTTACTGCTCTAAGCTGCAGGTTTCTTTCTCGCTCTTTAAGTCTTCTCTCTTCACTTAAAGTATTTCCCATTTTATTTTGATTTAACAATTAATATTTTATTTATATTTTCTGTACTACAGCTATAGTTCAACCTTTCCAAGGAAATAATTTGAAGACGTTGGTCAGAATTATTAGTATTTTGAAGATTAACTATTATGATTTGGATTAAATAATTTGAATGAAATAATGAAAGAATTATTGAATATTTATCAATTATGCTGGATTTATTTATGAAAAGTAAAGAAAATACTAAAATTATTTAAAAACTGCTCGAGCATAAAAGAATAATACTTTGCATTATATTAGGATGGCTTCACACTCAGGACATTACTTTCCCACTTGTGAAAGCTAAATCTCACATGTGAAGCCCATCCCATAAATAATGATGATTTTTCAGAATCATGAAAAGAGAAGGAAGCCTTTTTTTAATTAATTAATTAATTAATTAATTAAATTAAAATTAATTATGATTGACTTGCAAATAAATTCCCCTCCTTCAATTCTTTTTCAGTAATTTATTGCAATTTATCTGTTATTATTTTTAGTCTAATATGCTATTAAATCCATCTTAATTTTAAAATTATTTTTTATTTTGTAAATTTACTTCTATTATATTATGAAAATATTATAGCCGAGTTGGATATTTACTTTCAAAATATATTTCACTATTTTTTTTAATATCTAAAATTGAGTTTCCATATGCCTAAGAATGCTCTGCACAAGAATTGTGGAAGCAAAAAGTTCTAAAAACAATAGTAAAAGTCCCCAAAAAGTCATCCAGACACAAATACTCTTACATAAATATCAACCAAAACGACCTCACATCTCAAGCTAAGCAATTAATACTCGCAATTCTTGGGCCAACAGCTCCAAACTTCCGTCTCTTAACCTATATCTGTGGACTACTCGTAATAATGACAGACACTTTTCCCATCTCCTTTTTCAAAAAAGAAAACAGATTCATTATAGAAGTCCAATATATTGGCAAATCCAAAAATATATTCGGCCGCAAAGCTTATAGGAATTCAACTTATCTCGATAGCTTAGGCCTTACCAAATATTTCCCTGCTCTAAAGGAGTCTATTTTTGACAAAGCAATTTATTTCTGCAAGAAAGGCTATGCGTCAGAGCTAGAAAAACTTGTGGAAAACTACTCACTAAATAATCCTCACGAAGAAGATTTATGTGCCCAGTCTCCACCATCTATGTGAACTCTTATTCATTATGCGTCATATCATGGCTACCCTAGAATTATTTCTTATTTAGTTGGTCGAAGAGTGAATTGTAATAAAGTGACTATTGATGAATGAACCCCTCTACAACTTTGTTGCTATCAAGGACATGCGGATTGTGTAAGAGAACTTCTCATGCACCCTAATTTACAAATCGACAAAATGACAAAGTTTAGAGGAACTGGGCTTCATTTGGCTTGCGAAAGAAGCTATGTAGAAATAGTCAAGATTTTGCTAGATGCAAATGCATATATGACATTAGAAGACTATAATGGGAAAATCCCAATAGAACTTGCAAAGCACGATGAAATTCTTTCGGTACTTCCTGTGTATATGGGGAAACAAGAGCTTAAAAAATATTCCCATGAGTACCCAACCCCACCTCCTTTTTGTGGAGAGGTTTATTCAACTGGAACTTTATTTATTCATGACAGGCTTGAATTTTTATTCATGGACATTGACAAAGGCCTTCTAAATAGATACCAAAAGAAAGAGAATTTTTTAGACAAAGCAGAGCCAGACCTTTCAATAAGACTAGCAGACATACAAGATGTAAGAATAGAACAAGCACCCATTTTTGGTGGAAAAAATAAATATTTCTTTATAGTTGAGACGTCTAAATCGACGAGCTTGTATTATACCAAATATAATGATTTAAGACTTGAATGAATAGACAGGCTTAAATCTGGGATCAGATATTCTTTATTACATCATATGAACCAGCCAACTGATGTAAGAAGAAGCATGGGGCAGCTCCCAACAGATGTGGCTGAAGACGAAACCAAAGTAGCAGAGGAAAATACAGAAAAAGAAATCATCAACTTTAAAAGCTTTAGCATCCTTGATGAAATTGGAAGTGGAGCCTTTGGGATTGTGTATAAAGTTAAGAAAAATAACACAGCAGAAATCTATGCAATGAAATCACTCAGTAAAGCTACTTTGCAAAAACAAAAACAGCTAAAATATGCTATAAGCGAGTGTAAAATTATGAAGGAGCTAAGCCATCCATTTATAGTGACACTATATTATGCATTTCAAACAGCCCACTTTTTGTATCTAGTTTTAGAATTTTGCTCTAATGGAGATTTATTAAGTTTGGTGCATGCAAGAGGAAGATTAGACGAATATTCAGCAAAATTTTATTTAGCTGAAATAATCCTTGCTATTGAATACTTGCATAGCCTGAATATCATTTATAGGGATCTGAAGCCAGCAAATGTACTATTAGATGACGAAGGCCATGCTAAGCTGTCTGATTTTGGCTTAGCAAAGGTGAGCGCACAAGAAGAAAATGTAGTCATGACAATGGCGGGGACGCCAGCTTATCTCCCTCCTGAAATTGTAACCAAAAAAGGTGTAGGGAAGCCATCTGATATTTATGGCCTTGGGCCTACTTTATTTGAACTTCTTACAGGACATCCTCCTTATTATTCAGAAGATCTTGACGAGCTGTTTCAAAACATAAGGCAAGCTAAAGTTTCTTTTCCTTCTTATATAAGCCACAACGCAAGAGATCTTATAAATTCAGTTATGAACAAAGACCCATCAAAAAGGCCACAAATATCTCAAATCAAGCGACATCCATTTTTCAGAAAGCTAGACTGGGAAGCTTTGCACGCAAAAAGGATAAAGCCTCCAAAAATTGATGAAAAAACTACAGAAGCGATGAATACTTCTTATGATGTGGATCTAGATTAATTACTAAAGTTATATTATGAGTAATCTATAGCAATGCAAGACATATTATCAGTGCTATGTAAGCTAAATATTTATAAGTATATAAAATTAATTTATATTTTGATCTTTGAATATCTCATTATTGGAACACTATTTCTTGGTGGGGTCATTGCACTTTGCTTTTCAGGGACATTCAGCATATAATTTTCAAGAGTTCTGTACATTACGTCGTCTCTTTCAGTAGTCGTACTCATAGATGGTATTTTGTAAGGTCTAAATATAAATTACCCTCTCACATGGCTGAGCTTGAAATGGGCCTTTTCAAAGTCTCTCAGCTCAATTGGCTGAGGATTATTCAAAGTATGTTCCAAAACTAATGGTTTTCTCTCAAGCAATTTATCAAATCCTAAAACTAGTCTGCTTAACTTTGGTATAAGAACTTCTTCATTTCTTTCATAAGGTCCAAGGGAAATTTTTTCTTCAAAAAATTCTTTTCTCCCCATCATTTTATTAAAACTGATAGTTCTTGACCTCTTTGTTCTTGTATGAACAGGAGAGTCGCCATTATCGAAATCAAAACGTTTCTCATTGGGAGGATCTTGAGGTTTTACAAATTCTTCTCTACGCTTTTGCTTATGAAGAGGCAAAGGAGCTCTAGATTTCTTTTGAAATTTTTCTGGGATTGGACAAATATTTCCTTCTTTTACGTCTATTTTAATGTCATAATCTTTTATACAAGAAATTGTTCTATTTAGTCTTTCATCAAATTTTTTGAAAGACATGTTTGTATTTGTCATTTCTTTTAAAGAACTTTTATTGTTACAAGATTTTGGGAAGGTGCAGTTTAGATCATCATCTAAGCAATTTGGTAGAAAAATCACTTTTTCTCTTGGAGATTGAGAAGAGTTGTTAATTTTTGGGATGTTATTGTTATTAGGATGCACGAAATTATAGCGAGGAGTGTATGCTCCAACTCTTGGAGATCCTGTACGATTTCTAAATGCAAATTCATATTGTTCTCGGGAAACCGCAACAAAGCTTGAGGTCGGACGAGTAGGTTTAAGCTTTGCTGCTGTTTCTTCTGTAACTCTTTGCTTTTCAAGATCTTGCAATATGTTTCCAATCTGTGAGATATCAATTGCGTCAACAATTTTTTTCTTTGGCTTTCTTTTGGGTCCATCATACAAATCAGGATGATTATGAGCGCTTGCTTTTCCTTGCCTAGAAAATAAAGAGCCTTTAATGAACTCCATTTTGTGATGCAATTAATTACTTACGATTTTAGTAAGCTTTTATGATGCTCATGCTGGGCTGAATAATATATATAAGCTCGCAAATCAGTAAAAAAAAGTTTATCAATTAATATAAAAATTATGCCATGGCTTTATTTTCTACAACAAATATGAGATTTCAAGATCTCAAGTTGTAAATTCAAAATGGAATATAAGTTTCTTTTTCTAATAAGTGAAGACTATATAGCAAGAATCTTTCTTTTAAATTTGATTAATATTAAGATTTAAGAGCTTAAAGTCTCTCAGATTTGAAGCCTCCGCACACTTGCGACTATCAGAGAGGTAATTCAGTTGGCTGAACCCTGTCTCCAATGGTCTACTCGCGGGACATAGGGCTTGCACCGATATCCCTGAGTGCCGACGGGTTAGAAAGACTCCTCTTGTGCTCGTTCGTCTTGCGGTTGCTATGGAGGTAAGGTTAGCCCGATGCTCCTTCGGCCACCCTGAGGTCAGGTGACAACCAGGAAAAAAGGTTACGGCCCTCCGGAACCGGTAGGGGAAAAAACCTTAGCCAAAAACCATCTGGATAATTAATACTCTGGACTGGAATGGTCACCAGCTGGCTTCCAAGGCTACCCACCCCATACGGCGGCGATAGGCACGCTAAGGGCTAGAGTTAAAGGGGCCTGGACCTTGGTTTAGGCTATAAAACCATTTTTAGTGCCCAAAGGATGCGACCTCCGTAAGGACATATTTCGTCACCACCATATTAATTATTCTTGATTAATAGGAATAACTTATAAAAATAATATTTCAGACTCAATAAAAGGATTTTATATTTATCTTAATAATTTTTATATTATTTGCTGAAATAATAAAAATATCTAAATAATGATAAATATTATAGAGCATCTATAGCAGCTCTTATTAAATTATTTGAATTTAGCTTAAAGATCTATTTTGAAACGAAGTCTTTCTGGTGATATAAATATGTTGAGCATAATCCCAAAAAGAGCTGAGAGCACTAAAATCTACAAGAATCTTGAGAAATACATCAGAAAGCATTACGATAAAGCTACCTTACTGCCCCTCCTCCGTGAGCGAATAAAAAATTTTGTTCACTTATGGAAGAGGATTAATATTTTTTTTCTAAAAAATCCCATTCGTAAAAATGAAAAAAAATTATATTAATTTGTAAAATTTATGTTTTAAAATGCAAACATCAACAGAATAGCTGAGAGATTTCATTATAACGATGACCCCCCCCTCAATCTTCATGTCTATTGCAACAAAAATTTTTCGAAAAAAATCTTCATGCCTACTGCAACACAATATTTTTATAAAAAAAAATTAATGCATTTTTCTCTAGGTGAGTTTCTCAAAAAAAACCATAAAACACGCTGCTGTAGGCATGTCAATGACCTTTTCATCGAGATTTGGACGGCTTTTTGTCATCTCTCGCCATTTTTATTAAACTTATCTAGCTAAAAAGTATGGAAAAATTTAAGATGCGCATCGAAAATTTGTTGCAAGAGGATTAGGATTATTAAAGAAAGGCGCTAGCCATATTGGTGACTGCGTCACCAAAAGACCTCCCGTACGGAAGGTTCTACCGCTTTTCGACTCCGCCCAGAGGGTCTATCCCTCTTACGAGTGCCCTTCCGGTACCTTCTTTCTCCTCCTTGCCTTGCGGCTTCAATCTTGAGTGGGCGGCTTATGGATTTCTGCGACCCTGCTACTGGAGATTGGAGTAGCTTGATTCCAAGGATCAGCTATCGGGTGTCAAAGTGCCTTCCTTCGACAGCTACAGGAAAAAGACTGTTTCCCTGTGGGCCTGGGCCGAAACCCCTAGTTTCTCGATAAAGGAATGCTATGGGTCCTCGGATACAAAGGACGTTGTTGAGCACCTCCATTTCCAACAACAGGAAAGCAGCCAAAACCTACCCGGATACACACTTCTTGAGCCTGCGTCTGATTCTCGGCTCGGAGTCCGTCCCAGCTCGCTGTAGCCATAAGGTCTGGACTACTGCGCCAAGAGGGCAGGTTGGCAAAGTGTCGCCATTTTAATGTATATAATTTGTTGCAAGAGACATGAAAATTATTATTTTTTTTATATAAAAATTTTATATTAAAAAATTGCATTTTTGTTGCAATAGACATGAAGATTGAGGGGGTCATCGTTACTAGTTATCATTTATATATCAAAATAATTTTTCATAAAGTTTTTGTTTGCTTACTGAGGATGCTTTTTACGGATTTTTCAAATGGCATGTTCGCTAACTGAGGAAGGGGGAGTTAGTTAGAAAGAGTTGGCCCTTTCATTATGGATGCTGAGCAGACAAGAGAACGCTTCATCCAAGCAGGCAGCCCTAGTGGTGATCAAATTCCTCAATACCTTCAATCGCTTTCAGTATATTACAGATACGTTAAAGCCTTAGAAAACCGTTTACCTCTTTCCTCAACCAATATAAAGTTCACCTGGCTTGACTCCTTAAGCAAAAGAAAAATGCAAGACTCCAATTTCCTGATCGAAAAAATAGGCATTTTATATAATATTGGTGCTGCATACAGCAAACAAGGTGCCGATATCAACTTAAGTTCTGCAGACGGCCATAAGCTTGCCTTAAACTACTTCCAAGTCGCCGCAGGGTGCTTTAACGAGGTGAGAAAATTAGCTGTCGAGGTCAGGCAGTCAGCCACTATTGATATTTCTCCAGAACACTTGACTTTTGCTACTTATATTTTATTAGCTCAAGCCTACTTTTGTATGTATGACAAGCTAGATAAAGCAACAGCGAATAAGCTGAACCTTGCCAAACTAAGCCAAACGATTTCGAAAAATTATGGCCAAGCTTATGAGCTGGCGGTGTCAGAAGCGCTTAGCAGGCACATAGGGGAAGAAATGAAAAATATACTGAAATTTCAGCAGCTGAGTTTTGCGGCGGCTTCGAAGTATTGGATGTCGTTTATTGATAGAGAAGAAGGGTCAAAGCTGGGCAGAGGGTTTGGAAAAGGGGTTAGCAGGCTTAGAGTAGGATTTGATCTTATTCAAAGAGCAATGCAAACTAAAAATATAAGAGGACCTTACTTGGAGTCTGGCAGAACTTTGCTTCACCAGCTGAAAACCGAAAAAGAGCACGCAGAAGCAGAAAACTTAAGCGTATATATGGACAGCATTCCTGAAGCTAAAGCTTTACAAGACCCAGAAGAGCTTACTATGATAGCTCCTAAGTTCCCACCAATGGTAGATATAGTTTCTCCAATCAATGGAGAACAAGTTTTGCAAGCTTTAGTTCCTCCAGCAATTTTAGCACTTTCTGCAGAGTATAAAGAGTTACTGCACAATATGATTTTAGAAGAATCAGATAAGGTAGCTGCCGCTACTAGAAATACAACCCAAGCATTGGAGTCAATGAATTTGCCTCACAAATTGGATGCAATAACTGTCGACAATGGACTTCCAGATTCAGTATGGAAAAAAGTCCAGCAAGTACAAAGCTATGGAGGTTTCGCACATATTGAAAATGGGATCAATAGTCTTAGACAACTCAGTGAAAACAGTCAAAAGTTCATCGCAGAACTGGAAAGTATGGTTATTAGAGAAGATGAGGAAGATAGAAGCCTCAGACAAATGTATGGAAGTCAATGGGGTAGAGCCCATAGTGCCGCCGTTAATACTCATCTTACCAGTGATTTAGAAAAATATAAACAGAAGCTTATACAAGCAATAAATCTCGACAGGACTAATTACCAGATTCTAGAAACTAATAATGAAGCTTTACAGCTGTTAAAGAAATCTAAGGTTGAGCTTGACCAAATGATGCCTCCAGTTGAAAATATAGGCCAGGAACAAAGTCCTGTAGTTCAAGCTTTGAAAGGAGCTTTAGCAACAGTTGACCAAACTCAAAAATCACTTCAAGACCAAATGGCTTCTCTTACATCTCAAGCAGATCAAGACAATATAATTGAGCATCTAATGGTCATTGAAGAAACCAAAACACCTAAAGAGCCTATTTTCCAACAAGAAATCTCGAAATTCAGTCCTCAAAGAGAAGGGCTATTAAATACAGCAAATCAGCTGAGACAGACTATTGATGCAGTTGCGAGCGCAAATTCAGCTTTTGATAGAGAAAGAGGAAGCTACCAAAGTAACCCAGTAAGAGTGCAGCTATTGCAAAACTTAGAAACTGCTGTCAAAATTTATAATGAGCTTTCAGCAAATCTGGCACAAGGGCACCAGTTTTATACGAATCTTTCTCAGCATTTGAGCGTTCTGCAGCAGAAAGTTTCTGATTTCGTTTATTCGAGAAATCTTGAGAAAAATGATTTGTTTGCAAAATTAAGCCAGTCTGGATTCCCACAAGGTGGAGCCCAAAACCAGTATCGTCCTTCTTATGGACAGCAGCCAAATCCATACCCTTCAGCACATTCAAATCCTTATCCATCAGCACAGTCAGGATATCCGCAGTATCCACCTCCCCCTCCTCCAGGAGCATATTACCCTCCTTATCCAGGAAAATAAATAATCAATTATTAGTTGAAATTTAAAAATATACAGTTAAATTATTCTCTTCGAAAATGTTGAATTGGCACTTTGGCAGATATTTTTCTTCTATAAAACACTTTACTCCCCCATTCTTGATGGACGATTCCATTTACATTTTCGAAAATTAGAAAAATTATCCCCAATCCTTGATCGAATATTTTCATATAGCCTAATATGAAACACGCCTCAAATTTAACAATCTAACTTTGACAATAATAAATCTTAAAGTTTATACAGTATATTCTCCTCACTATTTAAATTATTGCATCAATATCTCTTGCAACCCATAAATATTTATATTATGGGAAAATTTCAATAAAAAATACTTCTTTTTCAAAATTATATTACGCCTAGCCTCGATGGAACGATGCCGATCTATTCAATCAAGTACAGGGGAGTTGGGAGGTGAAGGCTCATAAGACTGCTTAGAAGTAGATGCACTTCTTATGTAAGGAGAAAAATCAAAATATTTAGGAGTTACAAATGAGCCATTATTCGTTACTTGAGGGTCAACTGATTTAAATTGATTTTGAGGCAGCCTTAAAGGCTGATAATGCATTGCGAGTTCTTCTTTTCTGTATTTTTCTCGATTTAATTTATCCTTAAGCATATCATTTAAGTGGCTTACAAGATATGCTTTTTCTCTGTTAATGTTTGTTCAAGACACACCATTATCTTCAAAATTAGTGATTTGGCCATTTCTATCAATGCTTTCTACTGAATGCTTTTCTACTGGTAGGTTTGGATTTCAGTCGACTTGTGGGATATTTGACTCCTCTTTTTCTTGGCTTGAGATATTAACGTTTCTCGATAAGTTTGATTTTGCAGAATCTCTTGGCCTTGGTATAATTTTTGCTAGCGGCTTTTTTACATTTATAGCTGGATTCTGCTTAGCTGGATCTTCTTTTTTGGTTCTATCAATATTTGCACCAGTCCAATCTGCTCAAATATCTCCAGCCACTTTTAAGTATTTTTCATATTTTTCTTTATTGTCTGAGGAATACGCCTTTTTAAAGCCTCCTAAATGGTTGTTTTCTCATTTATTTCTTTTTTCCTGTGCAAGTCTTGCAATTTCAGCTCTTTCTTCTTTAGTCTCTTTAAAGTTTTTGCCTGAAATTGCCCGTTTTTGGATCTCAATCTTTTTATTTAAAAAATAATTTTTCCGATCCCTAGCTCTTACACAGACCATGATCATAGTTTCTTTTAAGACTCTTTTTTTTATTTTCCAATCCAAAGGAGAATCAGTTGCAAAGGAAGGGGCATGGTTTACTTCCAGAAGCCAAGGTTTTAAATTGCTATCAATTATGATATCAAATCCTAGAAGTTCAAAGCACATATTGTTTCCGGCGTCTTCTGGCTGGCATGATTTGTAGACATGAGCTAGGGACGGCTGAATTGCACATAGTGTTTTTACAATAATTTCTTCAATTTGATTTTGCAAAGTATCAACATCATAATTCATGCTCCTTAATAACTCATAAGTAGACTTAAGGCTTCGTTTGTGTCCTGATCCATCATCTTCTGGGTCATCATTATATATTCCATTTCTTCTAAATATTATTCTATATAACATATTTTATTAAAAAATAAGAAAAATGCTTTAAGCATACAAAATTTGGATTATTTTTATTGATCGCATAATTTGTCAGATGCATGCACATTTCTTTGTAGTTCTGAAAATTCGGAGGAGAGTATTCCTCCGTTGCCAGTCTTGTTAGACCATCTTCATGAATATAAATCCTCAAGGGATTACACCCAGTTACTAATACATAAATCCTTAAATCAAACTTCAGCCCTTCAATCAAAAAAGGATCCATAAGATATTCTTGTGCTACATATCGTTCAGTTGAGTTTACATCTTCAGGCCTTCTCGCTAAAAAAATTCCTCTGCCTTGACTAGAAGCTTCTGGCTTTATAATAAAAATTTTTTTCTTGTTGAACTGCGATTTAAAGTCAGGATAATCTCCTGGGAGTACTCATGTTTTGGGGTAAAATGAATAGTCGTCTGGCAGAAGTTTTTGCATTCTATTTAAATTTCATGCTAAATAGTTCTTTTTGTGAATTGCGTGCATGCCAGGAAAGTGGTTGATTCTTTGATATGATTTCATTTTGCTGAGCTTTTCTGGGGTGATTCCTAAGTCACATCATGTGATATCCCATTCTTCATCATTTTCTTCAAAACTTAGTTTCCAGCCCATAGATTTTGAAGCAACATGTTTGACTACGTCATATTCAGTTTCTGCTACATTGCAAATGATAATTGGTTTTTTACGGGGTTGTGTAGGAATTGGGTTGCTTTCCATGATATTAATTAAGATTTAACGCTCTTATATGGAAACATTTAAATACCTTAATAACTGATGAAGGGTTTGTCCTTATAAATAACATTAAATAAAAGATATTACGATGCTCTATTAACTATTAAAGGTAACTTCATCATCTAAGAACTCAATTCCTTTTTCTGCGTCGCGCTGTCTATGAATGTTCATTAAATCTTCAGCTTGGATAATATTAGTCCATCCTCCTGCATGGACATGATAAATTCTTACAACGCCACCACTCATCGCGTCCCTATGTCCAGCATGGTAAATAGCTCTTCTTCCCAATTCGACTGCTTCATCTAATGTCATATCCCATCTGTAATGTGAGTCAAGCACTCCATATGCAAAAATAGACCCTGATCCAACTGAAAACCTGTTTCCTTTTAAGCACATTCCGTCATTGTCTACAAAATAAAGTCCAGGGCCTTTATGGTCCCACCCTGCAATCATTGTGCCTACACTCAGTCCATATCCTCTATATTGTCCAAGCATTTGAGATAAAATTTGTGCAGCTCCGCCTACATTAGGCCTTTCGCCGTTCTTTAGCTCATAAAGCTTACAAACTCTTGCAAGATTATTTTCCCAATAATAGCAATCAGCAGCACCTCCTGCCATAGTTCCAAGGAGATAATCGTTGATTTCAATGACTTTTTTGACCTTTTGAGAGCCGATGAAGCTCCCCATTGTAGCACGAGCGTCGACTGCTATTAAAATTCCTCCTTGGAACACAAATGCTAATGTTGTTGTTCCTTTTGCGAATTTAAAGAGCTTCTTAGCCTCTTCTGAGTCTTTGCCAGAGAATTCGCGGATTGGTGGGACTTCTTGAGTTAGAAGAGTGTTGAATTCTTCCATTGGGTCTTGTTTTGGCTTAAAGTAGCTAGGTAAGCCAAACTCAGGGTCATCCAGGAAAGAAAAGTCTATATCAGCTGCCATTTTATATAATTCATCAAGAAATGCCAACTGAAAAGCTCCAATAGTCAATTAATTAAATAAGTTTAGTTAATTGTGAAACCCATCTCTATCATTTTAGAGTTTCATATTTTCACTTTTCCCTCCCCATTAATTAGCAAAACTTTTGCTTATTCATGAGAGTGCTATCCCCCCCTCCGTGAGTGAACAAAACCATTAGAAAAATCCCTATTTTTTTGCCCAAAACCGTGAGCGAACAAAATTTTTTTAATGGAAACATGTTTTATGGAAAAAATTTTTGTTATATAAGTGATAATTAGTATAATGAAATCTCGAGCTAATTCTGTTTAAATTTTAAACAAATTGCGTTTTAAAACATAAATTTTTTACAAATTAAATTAATATTTGCTTTCCAATTTTATAGAAGTGAGTTTTTTTTAAAAGATGAAAAAAAAATAATAAAAACAAAATTCCTATATAAATTTTTTAAAAAAAAAAAAATTAACCCCCCTCCGTTAGTGAACAAAAAAATTTTGTTCACTCACGGAGGGGGGAGTTAGCACAAAATTTTCATATAGTAAATTTTATTTGATAATCGAAATTTGTTTACTACTGGAGGTTTAATGCCCAAAAAATATGCATTTTTGACATTTTCTGAAAAACCCTCAAATAGCAATCTACTCAAATAAAATTTTCTATTTAACAGTTTTGCGCTAAAATCCTCACGAATAGCCAAGAATTTTCTTATTACTGGGGAGCTAGATTTTTGTTTTAGTAGGTTCTGTCGCGAGAGTTGCTGAAGAAATTTCGCTTATATCGATTTCATCAACTTCTTCTATTGATGGGCCTGGAGTCAACTGGCTTAATTTGTACGGGACAACCGGCCCTTCATAATGGGAGATTCTTAAACTGTCTTTAGGACTGTTCACAAAATTTGTTTCATCACATATAAGTAGAAGAGATGGAGCTGGCTATATAATAAATACTGGAGGGTCCCTTTGAGTATTACTGCAGCATGCTCCCATGTTGAAAGAATTATTATAATTTTTGAAAATTTCCTATTTTTCTCGTAATAATATTGGTAAATAAAATTATATATTGTTATTGAGCTTCTGGGTGGACTTTGAGCTCTATGTATCTATACTCGTTTCTTTTTTTCATCCTTAATTCTTGAAGTTTGCTTATTGCTTCTAAATAGTGCCTAACCCCAAGCAGCACATAGAATGAGGTATCGTAAATCCTTAAAAAAGGGTTATAGCTTTTTTCTTCTTTAAGTGTGCTTGGAATTGCGACCATGTATCTTGCCCTTCTTTTAACGACTCAGGAAATCTTGTTATCAAGCAGCCTGTTATTCGGCTGTAAATATTTAGCGAATTTTAAAGTAGTGTCTGCATATTCATGCCCAGGGAACATATAAGTATCGTCAGGAAGCCCCAAAATCTTGCTGATACTGCTACATGCCATCCTGTAGTCTCCTTCAAAAAAAGCACCCATCCCTCCCACAAATAAAGTATCCCCTGTAAAAAGTATTGAAGAAGTCCTCTCTGGCTCAATAAAAAAGCATGAAGAGCCTTTAGTATGGACCGGGGTATAAATTAATTTAATTTGCGTCGAGCCTAAAGCTATCATTTCTCCATCAGCCAGAGGGTTTGTGATTTCAAAGGCTGTTTCTTCTTTTGAAGCGCAGGATTTTAAATTGGGGTAATAATCTTTGAGCTTTTTGAGCCCAGCAGAATGATCTCAATGCTTGTGTGTCAAAAGTGCCAGAGAAATAGGGGTTTTGAAAAAGTTCTCTGCAATAGAAATAAGATAATCAGGATCTCCAGGGTCCACGACTGCAAGCTGTCCGGTTGCAGCGTCTTGTATAAAATAAGAAAAATTAGTGCGGCCGAGGGGGACGATTTTGATTTTTACAGAATAAAAATCAATGATTTCTTTGTCTACTCGCGAGTGGTCAAGTCCAAGGCCGCTGCGCAATCTTCTTTCATGTCTATTCCTTATCATGCAGTTGTGGAACCATCTTCCAAGCTTGCTGTTATAAACTCCGTAGAGACACATGAATATGCACCTAATTGACATTTTGAAAACTGTTTAATTGCTTAAAAAATCACAATTTCTGAAATAAAATCAGCTATTAATATATACAAATATTAAATTCTTATCAGTTTCTTCTAAAAAATATATAAATTTTTATTTTATTATATGCATAAAATTTGCTTCCTCTAGCAAGGCTAATTCAAGCCAAAACTCCTTGCCTGTGCATGTCAAATAAATTAAAATAATTTTAGTCCAAAAATAGTTTTTTAAAATCATTATTTTATTGCTGTATAATTAATGAGTCCACTAATAATTTAATGGAAGACCGATCATATTCTTGGCTTTTAAATCTACTTTCGTCAAAAGTAAATTCATTAAATCTGCTCGACACTTATACTATTTGTGACCAAAAACCCTCATTCTTTTACACAAAAATAAAAGGGAAAACCCTTTCAAAGACCCAGCAAAGTTCAAATTTGCGTGATCTTCTGCTTGAAATTTATAAAAATTATACATGGAAGCAAAAGATCAAGGATTCAGGGTCTCTAATTTGCTATTTTATCCACCAAAAAGAAAGAAGAAGAATTTTTGAGTCAGATCTTAGAGAGATTTTATCAGTACCTTGGATTTCTAATTTAACTTATATCCAAATGGCGAGGCCGAATGCAGAAATGTATGAAGTCATTTATAATTTGAGGATGATTTATACTTCCAAAGGATATGTCACTAAATTTTCGAGAGTTATTGACAATATTGATGTGGCTGCTATAGTCAATGCCAGCTTAAGCACAGCATAGGTCTTGAGATATACATACCAACTTGAGAAATAGCCAACGATGGCCCTCATTTCCTTAGAAATTTGTATTTAACGAACTAGTCTATGCTCATACTGAGCTAAAAATCAGCATGGGCTATACCAATTGTTATCAAGTTTATGACCAAATTTGTGATTCAGCTTTAACGTTAATGATTCTAATAGAAGAAATGGAAACCAAGCGTGTGATGATCCTTGATGTAGACTTTATTGAAGACATGGAAAAGAATATATGAGTTTGTTTTACCAGAGAAATAAAAATTGCAGTGCCAGAGCTGTGTCTAGAAGTGAAAATAGAGGAGCCTGCTTGGTCAAGCACAGGTAGCAACCCTACACCCCCACCCCCCCTTTTTTAATGGTACCCCCACCCCCACCTCCCCCCTAAAAAATGGCACCCCCCACCCCCCCTTTCACAGATGGAACCCCCACCCCCATCCCCCTTAATATAGCATAAAATATATGAAAAATGCCAATTTAGAGCAGACGTAATAAATAAATTATTATTTAAATATTCAAAATTACTGATTTATACAATATCCACATAGCGTAGCACAATCGATTAAGGAGTAGATGGAATGGGGTGAGAATTTCGTATAACTAGTAAGCTCACCAAATCTGAAAAAATTTGTTAGCAAGTTAATAATGATCTTTGGTATTAATTAGCAATATATCCTGCATATATTTATGAACTTTGTGGAGCAATGGCTAAAAGTCGAATTAGAGATCCAAAAGTAAAACTGACAATAGCAAATGCTATTTTTATTGCCACTATGAATCCTGTTACCAATTCAGTCCTGCAATCTTTGTACAACGGTAATTAGATTAGCTTTAATTTATGAATCCATAAATTTAATGCAAGTTATTCTATTGTGCTTGGCTAATCTAATAATTAATGCCATTATCTATATCTTTGGCATTATATTTATAGATATAAAAACAAATTTAATATATTTTCTAATTAATTGCTAATTAATTTAAATTTATTAATTAATCATAAATATAAAGTAATTTGTGGACTTAATTAAAAATATAGTGTTTTAATTGGGTTATGTTTAATTTATTCTGCTTATTTCCTATCAAATACTTCTATAGGATAAACCCGAGAGGAGGGGGTGGGGGTGCCATCTGTGAAAGGGGGGGTGGGGGTACCATTTTTAGGGGGGGATTCCCTTATTGGAGGGGTGGGGTGTCTGGTTGCGACCTATGATTGACCACCTGCTGATCTTAATGATATCCCAGTGATGAACTATGCTGAAGAAAAGCTCAGCAAGCTCGTTAATGGAGAAGTTTGGACGAAAAAGCAAACCAAAGTATCAAAAAAAATGAAGGAAACGAAATATGTAGTACAAAGAGGGCACATTAGAAATAAAGATAGTATTTTGAGCAGTCCTATTAAAATTTTGAGGCCAAGTGAACTGAAACTTATTGCAAGTAACAGTGAAAAAGAATTACTAACTGGAAATGCAAAAGAATTTTCCGATAAATTTAATTCAGCTAGTCCTGTTTATCGAGACACTCTGAACTTTGAGTCTGTTTTTGAAGGAAAGAAAAAAGAGATATTATATAAAGAAATCAAAAAATGGCCTGAAATGAGATCTATGCTTCGGAAAGCAGGATATACAAATATTTTGCAAGACATAAATAGATGCTCTCTGAAGTATGCATTAGGGAAAAGCAATACCCCAAGAGACATAAATGACGATAAAAATGAAATAAAACAGAAAAAGAAGCGCCATCGTCCAAAAACAAGCAGACTAAAAATTCATTTACCTTTTAATGGATCTAAAACTACAAGAAATCCTGAAATCAGAAGTCCAGCCACTGAGCTGCAAGATAGCTGGAGAAAAACTTTTCATATGAAATCAGCACTTAATATCAAATCAAAAATAAATAAGAAAAAGTTCAAATTTATCAGTAACCCTGGGAGTGCCAATTTTACCCCAAGAAATATATCTGCGATTGAAGTAGAACTAAAATCTTGTTCATATCTTGCCAATAATGTATATACAAGTCCAATACAATTTAAAGTAAATGACAATAGTAATTAGCTTTAGAAATAAGTAGAGCCTAAGTATAATTCAAATTTGCAACTTAAATTAGTTTTAGCTGTCAATTATATTATTAAAAGTTTAAATATTACAGTTTCAAGCTTTTAATATATATACCTATCTACAGTTATCGAAAACTTTCTGATTGATTAATCATTTTCCTTAATTGTGATCTGAGTGCAATGCGTAAGAGAAGGCATATCATTCTTAAAACTAAATCTTTATAGGCTTAACAGGATTTCCTGCTAATTTTGGAGTCGATCTAGAAGAAGATTTTTTCCTTGGTTTAATATTGTAAGAATCATGTAAGACTCTAGCATTTCAATTTGTTGAATATGGAGATCTGTTTCTTCTTGCATTTAACGGACTTAATTTCCTACGACTTCTGGATTTGCTCAATTCATCATAGAAGACGTAATATCTTGTGTCGTTTTCGTCAGCTTCGATTTCTGTAGGTATAAATCTATAAGATTTTGTATTTGCTCCTTTCATGGATTGATCTCTTTTCAAAAGAGATTTATTGCTTTTAGATCTCAAAGAAATAGCTCGAGCAGTTTTTAGCCTGGTTGATGGCCTTATCATAGTGTCTACGATAGAAAATGGGTCATAAAGCTGAATTCCTACATTAGCTATATTTAGACTTGTTTCTGCTAATGCACATGATAAACGGGGTTTCAAATAGCTGTTAACTCCCCCTCAGTGAGCAAACCTGGAGTTAATTATATTTAAATTTTATAGTAAAAATTTTTTTCCGAAATTTTAAAAATTCCAATTTATTAAAATTGAGAAATAAAATTAATTTAATTTGCGAATTTTATTTTTTAAAATGCAAGCTGTTTAAAATTAAATAGAATTAGCTAGAGATTTAATTATAATAATTATGACTTATATATAAAAATATTTATTAATAAAACATTTTTGTTCAGTCATGGAGGGTGATTTTTATCCAAAAATTGGGGATTTTCCAATGATTTTGTTCGCTAGCAGAGGGTTGAAATAAGGATTTTTGCTTGGGATAGAATTCGGGAGCTCGCTAATAAATTTATTCCTGATTCAATCCTTTGAGGTGCACTCCGCTCTAAGGCATTTTGTATCATAATTACTTGTATTAATATGTTAAAAACAGTTAAAGATACATTCTCTATATGAATTTGAAAATTTCTATTTTTGTTAAGCGCAAATGGAATTTTAATTTTTCTCTTGGTTTTTGGGTGAAAAATGAGATTAATGATAGCAATTTTTACAGAGGATTAAAACATATAGAATAAAATTAATTAAATGATTTCAATCAAACACAGCTGTGAGCATAAAGAAAGAGAAAAATGAAGATCAATGTCGAGTAAGATGTATTAATCTTTTATTATTTAGCATCAATTATAATAACGGAGAAGCAAGCTAAATCTTAATATAATTAATTCAAATATTTCTAACTAATCAAATAATCAAATTCCTCTTGCTGCCTTAAACTCTGAGCAGTGATTTTTTCTATTTCAGCTTCCAAGCTACTTTCATAACCCGCTGCAGCTGTCTCAAAACTCTCATTAATTTCCTTAATCATCTCTTCTCCTCTCACCATTGTTTCATCACTTTCACTAACTTTTTGGTTTCAATGGTTTATAAGATTTTCAAAAGGTTTTTTAGTTTTTATCGAGTTCATTTTCGTTTTGATATCATTTTCATGTGTTTCAGTAAGCTTATTTACCTCATCTAGCTCAAAATCTCGTGAAGAAAGTGGGTTTATCAAAAATTTGTTTGTTCTTTCTACAAGTAATGCTTTTATTTCTCTTAAAACGCTAGCTCTTGATTGAGCCATCATCTTGTAATCGGAGATCTGTCTCAGTAACTCTTTGGTTACTTCATGCAATTGTTTATTCATTGAGTCTTGAAGTTTAAGGAGCTTTACGCTTGATTCTGTCCTCTCTATTTTAAGCTTGTGGAGATTTGTGGTTAACTCATGTATAGTTTTGCTGTGGGCCATTGAATCCTCAAGGATTCTGCGTCTTAAACTTTCGATGTTGGTAAGGAGATCATCCACTATAAATTCGATCTTCCCAGATACATTTTTGAGGCTTGTGACTCTTTCTTTGCGTGCACTTTGAGACTCGCTTAAATCCATAATTTGAAATGAAAGTAAATTAATATAGGATTTGCAGGCAAATGAAAATCATTTATTGGCAATCTTTAGTTTTAGGATAAAATTTTAAGCAAGAAATATTGAAAAATAATTGTAGGCTTGCAGTGACTCTTCTTATAAAGAATTTTTATTTATGAAAATTTGATAAAACTGCCAGATTCAATCTTAAGCATCTATTTAATTGGTGAAGAGAAAAAAATTGGTTTGAAAATATTTTTCAAGGCATCGATAAATAATATGATGGTGGCGATTAAATATATCCTCCACGATGGTGCACTAACTTGGTCGCAAAAGTTACTTTATAGCCTAAATCAAGTCCAGGCCCTTTTGCTCTAACTCTTAGCGCAGGCTAAATGGGATGGATTACTTTGGGGGCAATCTGGTGGCAACTCCTTGCTCAGATATTAGTTATCCAGATAGTTTTTGGCCAGGGTTCCTAAGATCCCCTCCCCTTAGGTGGCCGAGAGGAGGCATCAGGCTACCTTTACCTCCCATAGACACGATGAAATTTTGATGGAGGAGTCTCTCAACTGTCTGTCGAGACTCTTGGGTTGTGATGCAAGCCCTATCCCTTAGTAGATCGCTGTTCCAAATAGCAGCTGAATTTCTGCCCGGCAAGCAGGTGGCTATTGCTGAAACTGTACGGAGGCAAAAATAATTATGGAGAAGATTTTAAGCACTTTAATTTAATTTTCAAGGTATCTTAAAAGCAAATATTATTTAAATAATATCTATAATACCTATAGAAATTTTAATATGCAACTTAGTTCACAGAATCTACTCAATTTGCTTAATTTTCAAAAAGATTCTGCTGAAGAAGACTACAATAAAAAAGGAAAACAAGCTCAAGTCCAACACGATCAAATTTCCCTTTCTCAACAGTTAACTTATGAAGAGCTAAAAGCTAAAAGATCTGAGATATTACAAAGCCCCAATAATCCAGAAAAAGAAGAAGATTACAGGAAAACTTGCTCATTTTTGGAAAGCAATAATCTTATTGCAGATCCAGAAATCCATCAGGCTCACCAAGAATTTATAAACACTTATCATCATATCACATCTCTTTATCTCTTTTCTAATGATAGTGGCAGAGCTAAATTGTTTATTTATGACACTGAAAGTGAACGTGAAGAAATAAAGCTACTAGAAATTCCAGAGCCATTAGATTGAGGCAGCTGCGCTGTCCAACTTCCTAATGGTGAATTATTCTGCTATGGTAAAAATTATCCAACTTCTGGGATTACATTGATAATTGGTACAGACTATAAAGCTCGACTTCAGCCTTCCGGAGAGTCTTGCCGATTCTCATCAGCTATATATTTTAACAGATCTGTATATTGCTTTGGTGGATGAGACGAAAATCACAAATCTTTAAGTCTATCAGAGAGATTTGATTTGGATGAGAGCAGATGGATTAAATTAGCCCAAATGCCTCAAATTGATTGCTATTGCCATAGTATTATCTTTAGTGGTAATATTTTGATTTCTGGATTACTAAACCTCTTTCTCATTGCAATTGAGCAAATATTTTATTCCACGTGGATTTTTTTTTTAAAATTAAATTATATTTTAAATTTAAATTTCTTTTGATAGCTATTACTTATAGATTAAAATATTTATATAAAAATAAGTTTTTAAATTGTTTATGGAGGTATAAGTAAAAATCTTCTTTTATATTCAACTGATATTGACTCGTTCTCACAAATTTCTTATGACTTTGGAAAGGATAAAAGAAAGATATTGATAAATGGAGAGAGAATATATTTGATTCAGCACAGTGGACAAATTTATGAAAGTGAAATTGGAGATATTTATGAGTGGTATTTAGTTGGAAAATCAATAATTTATTTTTATGCTCAAGTTTATTGGGTATATAATAAAGGATGCATATACTTTGGGTGCAATGGTGCTGACAAAAATTATTATAAGTTTAGTTTAGATAAAACAGTGGTGACTAAGCTCTAGCACAGTGCTTTATTTATAATAAATAAAATTAAGCTTTTTAGGGAATATCTGCAATGATGCATCTTAAATGAAAATTTTAATATTTATTTTAAGGATTTAATTGCTCGACACGCGTTCGTTAAATATGGAAGGATTGTCGTGCAAATATGGCAATTAGTATAGAAAGTGAAACTGTTTTTGAATAAATCCTTTTATTCACAGATTCTAATTCTATAGCTACCGATAGCAGCTATATAGTCTTTTTAAATTGTATTGCGATGATTTGCTTATCTAATTATCTGATCTCAATAATAAATAATTTTACATATTATGCATAATTGGAAAAGCCAAAATATCACACCAAAAATCTAAAATTATAAATAAATTCTGCAATTTCACTTTATTGCCTATTCATCTCTATTATTTTTTTCAAAAATTCTCAAAGGACTAATTTATCTCTTTATACAAATTTATCCTAATCCTAAATCATCCCATGCTTTCTTTCCTCCAATTTCCCCTCAATCTTCCCCTTTCCTCTAGCTATTTTCATGATCATTCATTTTTCGCCATCAATTTCTATTTCTATTCACATCTGTCACACACGTAATAAAAATAATGGAATCACATTCTAAAATCCAAGCTGAACTTATCCATCTGATCGGCGAATATGTAGCCCTACGCTTCACAGTTCCCGAAGTTACTTCCTCCACTGAGGTAGAAGGAGATGAGCTTTATGCAATGTTCGCAGTTGACAAAAGCGGCTCAATGAGTGGGTCTCCAATGAACGACGCCAAAGGTGCAGCAGAAAGCTTGACTACCAAATTCAGAAAAATGGACATCCCAGTCGCTATTTATCCTTTTGACAGTCGAGCCAAAGAATTCTGCTCAGACGTAGTTGGATACGACACTATCGTTGAGAATCTCCAGAAGCTAAAAGCAAGTGGTGGGACAATCTTCCAAAACGTGATGGAAATGATGGTTAAGAAAATCAGGGAGCAGCATTTAAAAAACATTTTTGTTGTCTGGCTTACTGATGGCCAAGATAACAACGGCCTTGAATCGTTGATTCCAATAATGGACGCCCATAAGAAAGAATATGAAGACCAAGGCGTTTCGATTTCAATTCAATGCATTGGGTTTTCTTCAGAACATGATGCTACACTCTTAACGAAACTCTCCACTAGTGGAACGAGACCTGGGACTTTCCAATATGTCCCTGAAGGTGGCAGAATCCCAGTGGCAGTTAATAATGTGTATAATCTGGCTTTTGAGTCGACTACTTGGGCAAGATTCATAGCTAGTGAAGGGAAGAACTATAAAGTGTCAGTAGAAAAAGTGGAAGGAAAAGACGAATTGAGAGCCTTAGTATATGTCTCTGAAAATGACCTTGAAGAATGCAAGGTAGAGCTACATAAAGGATCAGCTGTCTCTGAGTTTGAAGTCGAGCTAAACAGATCAGAAAGCAGAGGACTTGAAGACCTTGTGTTTTTGGCCACTGCATTTATTTCTTCAAAAGTTGTACAAGCATTAGAAAAAGGAATTGAAGGCGCCGGGCAGAGGCTTGCAGAAATGGCTCCACTTATTGAAGAAACAGACAGAAGGGTCGAAAACTTGTTGGAACAGTCAAGAAGGCTGAGGCCTTATAAACAAAAGCAGTTGCAGCCTTATTTTAACGCTGCTAAAGACTTGACAACTTTCTTTTTCCAAATTACCAAAACTTTAGGTGGCGGAGAAATTTCTAATGAAGATTTCGCTAAAATTAATGGTTTAGCAAATGCATTGTTCCTTAAAAGAAACCTCGAAAGAAAAATCGCTAAAGAGTCTGGAGAAGGGTTAACAGCCCTTCAGCTTGGAGAAGAAGAAATCGACAGACTATCTCAAGACCTTAAAATTGAAGAAATAAGAGGCACATATGAAAGCCAAGCCCAAGAGCTCGGGGCTTGTTCTATTTCTCGTAAAAATTGGATTGATTGCGTATCTACTGGAGACTGCTTGTGCATCACTTTCCAAGTCGAAAGGCCTCAAAACTTGATGGGTAACCCATACGAAACTAAAGTTACAAAAATAAATGCGACCATGCTTTCTCATGACAGCTTCTTAAACTCCAACCTTTTTGAGACTAAAGCAGGACAGATCATCCAAGGGCCAAGAAATTATCAGCATGGAAAGGAGCCAGTTTTGGCTTCACAACTTGTAGATGGGCTTTTTGATGAATATATTACTGGCTTGATGCCAATTTTCATCACAAAAGAACACTGGCAGTTTGCAAGACTCAGGCTTAAGCAGATGCTTGCGTATGCAATTAGTGTTGATGTCCTGGACTACAATGAAAACCAAGTTAAAGTTTTCCCATTCTTAATCATGGCCAGAGCCCTTTCTGAGTCTGATAAGTATTCTCAATCAATTTGCAACCATATAGTTGATACTTGTCAACAGGTTTATTTAGAGAATAAAGACTCAATAATTCCAGATATCCATGCTAAACTTATGGAATATATCACAAACCCTAGCCTTCGCTTACTCCCCTACTTGGTTACCTAGTAAAACCATTGAAAAGCTTCTATTTTTAGTAATCACCCTCAATCTTTAACAAGCAAAAAATTATTTTAATATAATTTTTTCTTAAGATAATAAGTAATAATTTTTGTATTGCCATCTTCATTTAATTCTATTAAATTGAACAACTAAGGCTCTGAAAAATAAATTAGATTGAATATTTCAAATATTTACAAATTTAGATTTTAAGATCCGAAAAAATTTTGTAGAATTCTTAATCCTTCCGTTAGCGTGCAAGGCAATCCTGCCATTAATCAAGATGAAGGGTTAGCGAATTCTATTGTTGATAACAGTGTCATTTTATGCCAGTTGCACTTTGCAAACTTAGCAGGAGATCTTCAAGAATACAGAGGAGTAGTCCCATATATATTTGAAGAAGAAGTAAGGCGCTCATTTAAGCATCATGAAGACTTGAAATTCAATGAACTTTGCCTCAAAGTTTTAGGAATAGACATGCTTCCTTATTTCGAGCCTATCAGAACTGCACTTATGAGCGGCGAGGCTTCATATGCTGACAAGTTTAGAGTTGTGAAGCAAGGTGGAAAGCCAGAAGATGCTAAAAAAGAAGAAAAAGGAGCCGTAGAAATAGCAGAGCAGCAAATTGAAACTCCCCAAGGAATCCAAACATTAGGAGAATATGCAACTAACACATATAATTCTATATTAGAAGCATTTACTCCAGGCGAAAGTCTAGGAAAGCTTGGTCGAATTCTTAAGCTCTTCGGCTATGACCAAAGCTTAGAAAGCTTAGGCCTACTCACAAATGAGCAGAAATTAGCCTTCATGCTCCAGTGCATCGGCCATAAGAAAGATGCTGATCGAACTGAAGCTATCCAATCTGGAAAATTCTGCGACCCATTTAATGCTCAAGCTGCTCACGACTGGGTGCTCCAAACTTATAAATCTACCATTGAAAAAGAAATCTTACTCCCTCCTTTAAATTGGAGCAAAATATCAGTAAAAAAATCTAATTTTTTTATTTTTATAAATTATTTTTGACCCAATTTAATAAATAAAGCGCAAGTGGAATGCTATTTAAACAGTTTTCACGCTGAATCAATAAATTTTTTTATTTTAATTCTTAATAAAATAAATTAAATTCAAAGCATCGTTCTCAATCTATATTTTTTAAAATTTTTTAAAGTAAAAATTAAATATGAAAATACTAATTTTATAAAATTAAATTTCAACTAATTTTATGAAAAAGTGCAAGTAGAATGATATTTAGCACTAATTCGATTAAATTGTTAATAAAAATAAATGAAATTCAAAACATTGTGCTCAATTTATATTTTTTTAAAGAGATTTTAATAAATTTTTTATAGTGAAAATAACCCCCTTTTAAATTGGAACAGGATTTTTTATTCGAATTTAAATGGGAAGGTAGCTTATAAGTCTCAGCTATTGAATCAAATCCAAGGCAAAGAATCTGAAAAAAGAGCAGCCATCTTTGCAATGAGTGAAGACCTAGAAGATGCAGCAGGCTGTGTATATGGGATGACACAAGGAAGCTCAGGATTCCCACAATTCATTAAAGCACTTAAGCAGCCAAACATCCCTCATATCATTGAGAAAGTAAAAATGATTACTTTGGGACATTTTGAAGGAGTTAAGCTCATTTTGGACGAAATTCCAGGCACAATCGATTTTGTGCAATGGAAACCGACGAAGAAAACAGTCCATGAGATTTGGAAAGTTCACAAAGATGCAGGGACAAAAGAGCAATGGCAAGAAGCATTCCCTCATAAGTTTGACTATTTTGATCATATTTACTTGAGAATGCAAGGAGTTTTTGTGCCTTATAGCAAGCCAAAGAAAAACGTAACTGATCAGAGGCATTGGGAAGGAAAAGATAGGACTAAGAGGTCTCCAAGGCCAGCTGGAAGTGGCAGAGGTAGAGGTAGAGGCAGAGGTGGCAGGGGTGGCAGAGGTGGCAGAGGTGGCAGAGGTGGTAGAGCTGCACCGAGAGGAGGAAGAGGTGGCAGAGGAAGAGGTTTTAGAGGAAGCCCTTAAATAAATTAATCATCTTTCACAATTCTTTTTTATAATTTTTAAATTATTATCTAAACTAATCATATTTAATGATATTACCCTATTAAGCTAATTTATTTTGCAGGAGGCGGAGGGAAGTAGATAGGCTGCATAGCTTCTTTAGAGTTCGGGAGATTTTTCAAGCGTTCCTCATTTGTGATCTTCCACTGCTCAAAATTTGGGATTGCTCTGCCTTGGAATTGAAAATCATGAATAAAATGGCAATTATCACCACGCGCACATCCAATTGTTGAGTGGAAATTTCTGCAAGGTAAAGTTTTGAACCCTGGAGGCTTATTTGTGAGTGGATTTATGAGGAATGGCTTCTTCATTGCTGGATTAGTGGTGAGAGGGTTTGGAGGATACCCTGGCATTGGCTGGTAGACAGGGTTCATAGGAGGATAATATCCTGGGTTTATAACTGGAGACGCATATGAGTTAGGCATCATTGGCATCGGCATCATAGGATTAGGAGCCATTGGCATCATATAAGGGTTATATGGATTCATAGGGTTTGGCATTGGAGAAGGTGTATACATAGGCATGGTAGGCTGTGGGGGCATTGCTTTTACCTCTGACTCTTTTAAGCTATGGAATTGGAAGTTCATTGGAGGGCTATAGCTTTCAATCGGAATTTGGGAATTTTGAATTGGTAGGTCTTGAGGAGCTTCTTTTATTGAGATTGTCTGAATGTGGCATCCTTGCTGAATATATATTACTCTATATGGAGGAATTTTCATAACGCTTATATTTAAAGATGAACTTGCTCCAGTATCTCTAGGCATTTTTGGAATCTCGCTTTCTCTTTGATAGACACATTTCATGTTTTCTGATTCTCTTCTTGTTTCTTCTATATTTTCCAAACTTTCAGCTTTTTTTCTTACTCCCCCCCCCCCCTCCGTGAGCGAACAAAAAAATTTTGTTCGCTCACGGAGGGGGGTTAATTTTTTTTTTTAAAAAAAATTTATATATATAAATTTATAAAAAATATTTTTTTCGAAATTTAAAAAAATCCTAATTTGCAAAAATTGGGAAGCAAATATTAATTTAATTTGCAAAATTTATATTTTAAAACGCAATTTGTTTAAAATTAAACAGAATTAGCTCTAGATTTCATTATACTAATTATCACTTATATATCAAAATTTTTTTCCATTAAAATTTTTTCTATTAAAAAAAATTTTTGTTCACTCACGGAGGGTGGGTTTTTGGTCAAAAAATGGCGATTTTTCTAATGGTTTTGTTCGCTCACGGAGGGGGGGGGGGAGTTACACTTTTGTGAAATTTCTATAGTATTTTTTTAAAAAATTTTAAAATATTCCGTAATTTCATAAAATTTACCCATAAAGATTTAGGCAATTTTTTATTAAAGGTTCTATGTTATTATTACTCTTATCAATGTTATATTCAACTTTTGGGATCATATTTTCCAAAACACGCTGTATAGAAGCTTCTTTTTCTTTTTCCTAAATAATGTTTACCTTTGTATTAAATTCTTTTTCAGACTGTAACTCATGCTTCCTTAGGTCAGTGATGTTATGGATTTCATGCTCCTCAGCGTCAGGAACATATTGAGGGCGTTTTGTAGCACAGTCAGCATTGGGTTCATCACTTCGCCAAAAATACTTGACCCGCTCTAAGCGGTCTTCATCAAATCTATTATAATTAGTTTAAGTTCCTTATTATATAAAACATACCTCACATGTCTTTTAAGAGAATAATCTTCATCATTATCATTTTTATTTTCCATAATTTCAGTTTCTTCCAAAGTTTCTTCTCTAGGATGCTTAGCTGGCAGCTCAGCTACAACATCACTAGGAATTGGATTTGGCTTAGCTTCAATAGGCTGCTTCATTTCTTTTCATTTTTTTCTCAAAGCTCCTGCTTTAGTTTGTAAATTAATATCAGAATGTTTACATATACTTTTTACTGCTTTATATATTTTAGTTCTTTCAAGGATATCTAAATTTACGACAATTTTGTTTAAGCAAGATATACCATTTATAATAATTGAGGTATTAATTATCTATTTATTATAAGAAATGACAGAAATATGAAATATTTTTAAATAATTATAGATAGGTATAAAATCCGATGCAGTACTGAAATTTCTTCGGAGTTAGAGCTTTGAACTAGTTCATTGATTCATTTGCCGAGGGTTTCAATGCCACCTACGCTAACTCGCCCTTAAGTATGAACAAGAGTTTTTGCTCTCTTCTAAGAGGTTTAAAAAACTATGCTAAATTACTTAATAACGATTGTTTTTGGATTTTTAAAAAAATCGTAATATGTAAATATATTTGAATAGAAAAATCTAAAATTTACATTTAATGCAAAATGTCTATTATAATAATAGAATTGCGAGATATCTTGCTATTGAAATAATTATTATAAAAAATATATAGAAATTTTTTATGTAAAAAAAATTTTTTTGCGTTTATTTTACCAACATAGGCATTTTTTGAAGGTTTGTTTTTACTCTTAAAGAAAGGAGTGAAGAATCTGTTGTATACAGCTTTTGAGTTTTCTTTCGTTTCGAGGAGACTTTGAATGAGGATAGATTTTTCTTCGGTGGAAGAAGCAGATTCCATAAGTTGGACGAATTGGCTCACAAGCCGAGGGTCTTGAAGGCCACCATCTGGTCCTGAGATGTCAGTCAGTTTGTTTTGGAGTTCAGTGAACGAGTTGCTTCTGATCATCCTAGCAAATTATATTTACCATTTATTCTCTTTAGTTCAAATGAAATAGAAGAAGAAAGGAGTCACAAAGGTGATGGGACAAAGAAGGAAATGAAATGAGGAGCTATCGGCAAGGAAAAATAAAATAATTACTGGTAATTTTTAATAGAGATAGAGATATTGAGGAGTTTGTTATATTATTAATAAAACTTTTAAATGTTTAATATATGGCTCTGATAGAGCTGAACCTTTATTTGAATAAAAAAACTAATTGTAGTTAACTATTATAATTGATTGAAAAATTATTTAAAATATTTGTGGATTAATAATCTGGCAATTTGAAATTACGGCCACAAAATGTTTATAGGCGAATGCCTAATAAGTTCAAGAAGCTGATTATAATAATTTACTAAAGTATCATTATTATATAATTATGAACTAGTATCTAACAGAAAATCTAAATTCTCCTCCCCAAACTCATCCATGTCCTCGTAATTGAAAAACTCATCAACTTCTAAATCGTCTCTTTTATAACTTCCGTCATTTGAGCTGGTTTTACTGTTTTTTCCTTCGTCCATGTTATGTGACATATCCATATTTCCATCATTGATTTTTGGTCTTTTTTCTGGGCTTCCTGGTATATGAGTAATAGGCAAATTATTGTCTCTCATAAAAAGCTGGCTTGGGAGCTCTTGGCCATTAGATTGTATATACGTTGCCATCATCACTAGAACTTGCTCGATACCTCTCATTTTTTCCTTGCTCCATTTATAACGCCGTTTTTTTATTATTAAAAGATAAAGAATATTTATAAATTAATTTTTTTAATTTTCATGCCTTGCTTGTTATTAATGCAGTAAGTTAGTTTCCCAGAACTGTGACGCAAGCACACGATTCTGTTCAGTTAATTCAGAGACTTTTTCTTCAAGTCTCTGAATTTCGGTTTCTGACGTTTGAGATCTTCTGTGGAGCTGGTATAATTTTTGCAATAAAGGTGATATTTCAGCTTTACTGAACGTTGACCGCTGTTGGACAGGCCAATTTGTCTCAGAGTTTTTCCTATGGATCTCTTTGAGGAGATCAGGTCTTCCCCTCAAAAAGAGAGGGTGCTTGAAAGCATGGTCTTGTCCTGCAACTCTGCAAGGGGGCACAATCAATGATCGTCACTTTAATAATATGCATTTCAATTTGAAGAAAATTCGAAAATTTTTTATAATAGTTTACCATTTTGCCAAAATTTAACAGTTTTTTCAGTCAAATGTCTCGCTATCAAAAATGCTTACTCCCCCCCCCCCCTCCGTGAGCGAACAAAACCATTAGAAAAATCGCCATTTTTTTTTTTGACCAAAAACCCACCCTCCGTGTGAGTGAACAAAAATTTTTTTATATAGAAAAAATTTTAATGGAAAAAAAAAATTTTGATATATAAGTGATAATTAGTATAATGAAATCTAGAGCTAATTCTGTTTAATTTTTAAAACAAATTGCGTTTTAAAACATAAATTTTGCAAATTAAATTAATATTTGCTTTCCCAATTTTTGCAAATTAGGATTTTTTAAATTTCGAAAAAAAAATATTTTTTATAAAATTTTATATATAAATTTTTTTAAAAAAAAAAAAATTAACCCCCTCCGTGAGTGAACAAAATTTTTTTTTTGTTCGCTCACGGAGGGGGGGGGAGTTAGAAGCTAGGAAATATCGCACTATCAAAAATGCACGGTTATTTCACATGGAGCCACTCTGCACTTGTGGAAGTCATACATATAGCGTCTGCCCCGCATTAGATTGCCTCTGCGAGGGTTTTCTGCAGCAGCTTGGAGCTCTGACGAGCCACTTAAAGGTGGCAAGTCAACTCCAAGTTGACAATTCCTTGCAAAAGAGATGCTTTTGTCAGCTAGGAGTTGGCTTGTCACCTTTAGGTGGCTCGTCAGAGCTCCAAGTTGCTGCAGAAAACCCTCGCAAAGGCAATCTAATGCGGGACAGACGCTATATTCAACTGACGTACAAAACTTGCAAGATTGTTGTGTTTGAAGTACCTGGGGAGGACCTTCTCACTGAACTCATTAACATTTTTGATAGCGAAGGCTGTGCCATCTTCAGTTCAAGAGACTAGTTCGCCTGACTCTTCTTGCTCAAGCATGTCATATGTTTTTTTTAAGAAGGATGCGGGTATTGATGCTGAAGACTTCTTTTTCATATATTTTATAAACTTTGCCATAAAATAAGAGAGATGGCATGAAATTATCTGCTAATTAACTAGATAAATTTTATTAGTTGGGAGTAAAGAATAGAGTGTAGATTTTTTATAGCCATTACGTGTGCAATTATTAAAGGTTTTAAAATGATTCATTAATCAAATTTTAAAAAAAAGCCTAAATAGCCTAATTAAAATTGATTATGGTGGATATCATTTATAAGCTGATGATGCAAGTATAAACAAAGCATGCGAGCTGTGCTTGAGACTAAACTTAATTTCTATGCGCTAGCTTAATTATTTTAGATTTAAGACTGAAGATATGCTTATGGCTGTTTAATTGAGAGTAAAAATGTCTAAAATTTATCTGCTGATTAAAATTACAAGATTAATTTAGAAGAGAATATTTTATACTTTGCCTCTAAATAATCTATCGGCTCTAATACAATTAAAATTATGATCTCTATAAGAAATATGTCAGAATCTCTATATTACTGCAAGAGCTTATCATTAAATGAATTAATTTCAATGGAATAAAAGATTAATTAACTTATTATTGTGTTTTCCATATTTATAATAGTCTGCTACTTTAATTTCTTGTCTTGCTTGGCGTGGAAAATTTACTCCAACATTTCGAAAAAATTTACACTTTCCGATAAGATAAGAAATTATCGCAAGGCATTATAAAACATTGAACCAACTTCTGGCCTCCTTCACTATAAAAATAAAAAAATCATATAAATTCGATACATCACAATTTACTATTCTCTAATAAAAGATTACGCTAAAATTGGAACGTGCTGCAGGCTTTTATTTCTCACTCAGCCATTTTGTTGATTAATATTTAAGAGAAATAAGAATGGTAAGACCTAATTAGTTTGGGAAGAAGGCTGAAGTGGTTTTAGAGCTCGACAACCTAGAAGGGCGCAAAACAGCAACATTCAAAGAGAGCTCAGGAAAAGAAGTCTCACTTCCTGTCTATACCGTACTATCCAATTAGGGCAACGAGGATATTTCAGGCCGTCTCGTCGTCAACATGAAAAGAGGCAAAAAAATCGAGCATCAAGGCATAAAAGTAGAACTTATCGGCCGCATAGGTATTTTTCTATATAGACATCACATATGAGCGTAACCAAACAAGCGACTTCGTCTCCATGTCCAGAGAGCTCGAACCTCCAGGGACAATTAATGAATCTGCCACTATTCCTTTTTCCTTCAACAAAGTAGACAAACAGTTCGAAACCTACCAAGGCCGCTTCTGCAAAGTCCGCTATATTATCAAAACAACCATCCTGCGTAAGAATTTCTCCTCAAACATTGTGAACGAGCAAGAAATTTCAGTCTTGAACACTACAAATGAAGCTGAAGACAGTACCTCAATCAAAATGGAAGTGGGCATTGAGGAGTGTCTACATATTGAGTTCGAATACAATAAGCATAAATACCACCTTAAGGACTGCATATTAGGGAAAGTCAACTTTTTGCTTGTGAGAATTAGGATTAAGTATATGGAAATTGCAATAATAAGAAGAGAAACCATTGGAGCTGGCGCTCAAGCTACCAATGAAAACGAAACTGTGGCGAAATATGAAGTGATGGACGGCGCTCCAGTCAGAGGAGAATTTATTCCTATCAGAGTCTTTTTAGGAGCTTTTGACTTGACTCCTACTTATTACAATGTCAACAATAAATTCTCAGTCAGACACTTCTTAAACCTTGTGTTGGTCGACGAAGAAGACCGTCGCTACTTTAAGCAGCAAGAAATTGTGCTCTGGAGAAAAGACCTTTAAGTAATAGGAATTATTTAAATGGCTTATTATTATGGTTTAGCAGTTATTCTCTTCCTCTGACTCTCTCAACAAAATCTCTACCCTTACTTAGCGTATATTGAACTCCATCCCCCACTAATGAAGGAAGTTCAGTCCAAAAAGCTCTGTGAGGTATGCTTTCTGAAATTGACAATTCTGGGTCGTTTTTTCTATTTATTACAGATCCGACAATACAATATACTGCAAATATAATCACAGTAGCTACAATCAATAAAGTTCCAGTGCTTAGTCCTGTAGATTTTTTAGTTACCCCACTTTTGCCTGGGCATACATTTTTACTGTTGATTTCAAAGGTATAGACACATGTGGAAAATTCTTCAATCATTGTTATGCGAGTTTTTTCTTTTGCGCAATGCAGATTGTATATGACTTGCCGAGGGCCATTGTAGCAATTATCGCCATTGAAGTAGGTCAATTGAATTCCAAGGTCTGGGTCGTCTGAATTTATGTAGGTTGCTTTTGGGGGAGCTCCGCTTTGCCGAGCAAGCACTGCGACGCAGTTTCCATTGTATTCCCATTGTGTAGCAATTCCTGGGTCAGCTCCACAGGTCTTATGGGCATCTCCACAGATATTAACGCGATATACAAAATCCATAGCATCCATTTCGTAATCTGGAACTTCAGTGTATAGAGAGCTCAAGTCAATCACGTTTCCGTCAGGCATTGTGAACTTGCATGGGTATTGGCCTGCACTAGATAAAGAGAATAATAATAAAATCCACATTTATAGTTTAAAAGTATATAGGGTTTTCCCTATATAGCCCTGTAAGGGCTGTGGATTCTGTCCAGAATCCTTTGGTTGGTGGAACCAACAAGTGAGTTGGTCCGACCAACGTACCGAGTTGGTCCCACCAACCAAAGGATTCCGGACAGAATCCACAGCCCTTACAGGGCTATAAAAGGCAAAGGCCAATATATTCTATAGTGGTGATCTCATTTGGATTTTGCAGTAAGCAATCCTAAAGGAAAATAAAATTATAAAAGTAATTTTTCTTTAGACTAGAAGCAAGAATGATAAATTAAACAAGAGTTAAGTTTGTTACAAAAATGCCTTTTTCAAAATTTTTATTTTAGGTAGAGTTTCCTGAATAAATATAAAAGCTATGCACTATACCTATAATTAAAAAAAATTAATCATTATCGAATCATTTGGTTTAAATCTTAATCAAAATCATAAACATGCGAATATAAATTTCTATAAGTAAAAATTCGAAAATATTGCTTAATAATAAATATGACCTCTATCAAGCTCTTTTTTGCTGATGAATGCCGTAGAATTCCACATGCACCTCCCACCATCATCCAGCTTCGAGAAAAAATAAAAGAATTATTCGGAGTTGAAAATCCACTTATCCAATACAAAGATGAAGAAGATGATTTAATTACAATTCAAACTCAAGAAGAATACACCGAGCCTCTCACTTCAACACGAGGGCCATTAAAGCTATATATCAGTCAGGTAGTCAACTTCGCATCAATCCTCGCAAGTGTTCCTTTATGCAGTTCTGATGCTGGCCACGAAAGTGAAGAAGACATTGAATTGCTTGAATCTGGATCAGCAGAAGTTGACGCAGCTGTGCCAAATGCTGTTGAAAAATCAATAGAAACAGCAGAAATTGAGTATCAAGAAGTAGGGAACTCAGTTATTGTTCCACAAACATCAGAGCAAGCCAGCAATACAAGTTTGGTAACAGAAGAAAAAGGGATCATTACAACTGATTTTCAAATGATTGATGAATCCTGCTGCTCAAAAGTAGAAACTGCTGAGAGTGGCTGTGATGCAAAAAAATTCTCGTCTCAAAATATAGAAACTGTACCTTTTCAAATTGAAAGCGTGGAATCAGAAACAGTGGCAATTCCTATGATAGAAAATTCTTCTAATACTGCAGAGCTGCAAATGAAAGAAGCAGGGGTTGGCCCTAGAAAAGGAGGGGAAATAGGAGTCCAAAGCATTGAAGCCATGCCAGGACTGCTTGAAAGTTTAAGAAGTATCATTAGAGAAGAAATTGGGAGCCTAGATAAGCTAAAACTGTCAGGTTTACAAGTTGTGCACCAAGTAGAGTGCAGAATATGCCATACGAAGCCTATAGTTGGAATTAGATATAAATGCCAAGAGTGTGGGTTTAGCCTTTGTGAAGTTTGTGAGGATTCTTTTGACCATGAGCATCCGATGTATAAGATGAAAAAAGCTGAGGAAGCTGCAATAAAACTTCCTCCCCCTCCACCCCCAGTTTTTAATCTGCCTCATCTGCTGCCTAATATTGAAAAAGAGCCAGCTAAAAAAGTGATTGAACCTCCAAAGCCTATCCCTGCTATACCAGCTCCTATTAAATATCCTGATATTGAACCAATAAAACCACAAAATCCAATCGAAGAAATTAATAGAGTTAATAAAATGTCAGAAAGGTTCCAAAAAGCCAAACAATTGGAAGATCTAGGTTTCAAAGATGCAAAGAAAAACCTAAGAGCACTAGAAAAAGCTAGCTATAACCTGGATCAAGCAGTTGAAATATTATTGGAAGAATAAATAATATTATTAGATTAATTCCTTCAATAAATCATTATAGTTAATCAATGTTTCATTACTATAATACAATATCTGTTGCAATCTAAAAACTAGAAAGAATTCCGCAATTATAATAAGATTGCCTACTAAAACTATAAGGAGCAATTTAAAGGGCTTTTATACGTACTTGAAATAAACCTGCATGAAAAGGCCATTGTTGTCTTTTCTTTTAAAAAAGCTTGGGCTATCAAAAATGCAAAAAGAAAAGAGAAGAAATTTGATTAATATTGATCATTATTTATAATATTGGTCCAGTTTTTTTATGATTAGAAGTTTGGTGTTACATTTGATTTACTATTTGGAGTGTCGTTTGGAATTTGTATCATTTCATGAGATGCTGGCCTCGAATTATTCGTAGATGTTATATATTGCATCATATTATGAGAAGCAGGCCTGCCAATCAGAGTGCCATTAATATAAGCATTTTTCAAAGCAACTTCAATTTCTTCTGTTGAATTAACCCTCAGCGGAGATTGATACCAAGAACTTGCCTGTGAGCCTGTTGTAGATTGTTTTGAATATGGAGAAGTCTCATGCGAATCTAGCGTGCTTACTGTTCCTTGCGAAGGATACACTAGTGGCCTCCATGGAAGTTTATACCTGCTATCCTGCTTTTTAGGAGCATAGCATGGGAAGTTGTTAATTGGTCATGGAACTTCTGAGCTATGAATCATTGAAAGTGATGTTGGTCGTTTTACTGGATACTCTGCATGCTTTAACGGAGGTGCTTGATATTTGATAATCCCATCAATATTACCCTAAATAAAAGTTACGTCTTTAAAAAACTGATGCTCCAAAGCATCTATAGGTGAGATTCGCTTATTGGGATTGTACTCCAGCATTTTTTGGATTAATTCTAAAAAGTTTTGGTGCTTATCGATATCTTTCTTCACTAAATGAATTCCAAGAGCTTCTTTTAGTGATTTTGGATACTGCTTATTTTTGTCTTCATGAATCGGTTCATGCTTTAACTTAGGAGGCCCAGATACATCAAAAAAATTATGAAGCTTTTCGCTTCAAAACAATATTGAATTTGGTGGAATCCCTAATAGCTCAGTAATTTTTGCCATTTGGTCAACTTCATTTCTTCCACAAAATAAAGGCCGTCCTATATAAAGTTCAGCTAAAATACATCCTACGCTTCACATATCAATTGAGTGCCCATAAGGCTGTCCCAAAATTACTTCTGGAGCACGATAGTACATGCTTTGCACACATTTATAATAAGTCTTCCCTGCTTCACACGAACTTCCAAAGTCAACTATTTTAATTCCTGATCTATCAGGCACTTTTAGCATGATATTCTCCGGTTTTAAATCACAATGGATTATTTTTAGTTTCGGTCGCGAAAGTAAACACAAAGCTAGAACAAGCTGCCATGCAAAATCCCTGACTTCAGATAGAGAAAGTCCTTTAAAGTCTGTATCCCTGAGAAGTTGTAGTAAAGTTTTTGCTAAATATTCAAAAACAATACAAGTGTGGCCATTTCATTCAAAATGGTCCAGCATTCTGACAATATACCCTTTTTCTTGATCATATTCATTTAATTTTTTTAATGTTTCAATCTCTCTCTGTGCTATTTTGGCTAACTTAAGCTTGTGTTTAATAATTTTTATAGCAACTTTTTCATTACGCTCACGGTCAAAAGCTTCAACTACTTTTCCAAATGATCCGCTGCCAATGTGGCCATGGACGTAATATCGTCCTTCTTTAAGCTCTACTCCACCGGCTAAAACTCTTTTAAGATGTTCGCGGGTTTGAAGTCGGCCAATATGATTGTAAAGCCCCGTTAGTGAAATTGTTGTTAGCCTTAGTAGCTTTTGAGAAACTGGCGATGATAAATAATCACTCCCAGAGTTTCCACTCGAGTTATCGTTGATTAAATGGGCTTTGGCAGAGCACGAGTTTAGAGTGTTCTCCATGATATATATTAAAGTAATGCAGAATTATAAATTTCTATGGAAGAAGGTTGATAATTTTTTTTGAGAGTTAATAACTTTGAAGAAAAAGTTTGGAGACGGGCTAAAATGGCAATAAGAATGCTAATATGCTAAAAATCTTGAAATTTAAAATCATAAAACTTGGTTGGATGATTTTTAGAGATCAGCTAATTAAAAGTGAATGGAGATAATAAATTGAAGTACAATGAAGAAAGATTTATTTGGAGAATACTAATAATTTTGGCTTTATAATCTTGCTATAAATCTGAAACTAGCATATGTGGCCAGGAATGATTTTTTAAATTTCCATTAAAATGCTTTTTAATTTATTTGTCATTATTTATTAACTGATTATATAATAATTGCTGTTTTCTTGAACATTATATATATTCTTATTCCATTCAAACTCATATTAATTCAATATTTTATCAAGTTCTCTCTTAATAAAATTAATCAATTAAAATTAAATTTGAATTATTATATACTGACACTTAGCGAACATTATAATATTCCTGTGTCGCAGGGCTATAAAAGCACTTTAAAACACTATCATATACTAACTCTTTCAATTCTTCTGATTTTCTATCAGAATTATCTTCCTCCACTAAAGGTGGAGAAAACTGTCTATGCTGAAGTGCATCCCACATTCCTTTCTCGAAATAAAAAGGTTTTGGCAAATTGATTTCTCTAGTTTCTGTTTCCGATTTTCCATTAAACGAAAGCGGCATTTTATTAGGCGTTTTTGTCAAAGACCCATCTTCTTTTCCATCATATTCAATGCTTTCAGTTAAAATTTCTTCTTCAACCTCTTCGCCTTCTTCATTCTTTTTACCATGGCTTTGGAATTTAGAATAGAGGTTTATTTCGACAGGCTTTTCTATTGGCTTTGGTGGCTTTAGCTCTAGTGGCGGCTTTCTAGGAGTATTCCCACCACTTGATATAAGCGATTTCGGCTTAGGAGGAGTAACGGTTTTTCCTGTTCGGATTCTTATTTGGGATTTTAAGCTGTTGTCTGGCACTTCGAATTCTCCTACGGATAATTTTTTTGCTCTTGGGGTAACTCCACAAGTTCCTAATTTTTGAGGTCTTGGCGGAAGGTTGATATTTTTTCGGCTTAAAGGTGCTGATTTGTGAGGCCTTACTAGCGGTGTTATGATTGAGCTTCGATTTCATGGCGACGCAGTCCTGTTTCCAAGCTTCCCCATACTGATGTTTCCTGATATAAAAGGTTCAGTAGTCGTAATATTTTTTCCGTCTATTTTTTTTGGAATTCTTTCAGAAGTCAGCAATAAATTTTGAAAGTCCACATTTGTCATAAACTCTAAATGTTTTGGAAGCGGTTCATATCCTGTAGCTTTACTTTCAGCATCAAAAATCGGGCTTCTTATCGTAAATACGTTTCTTAATTTGCAATACGCAAAAATAGTTAACCCATCTAAAGATCTATGCCCTGCATTACCAAAGCATAAATTAACAAAACTTTCAATATCCACACACAGATTTATTCTGGTAGCATAAAAAGCTGCTTTTTTTCTATAAAATTAATAGTAAATAAATAGTATTTTCATTAACCAATTTATTCATTTATTTTTTTGAATGTCAGTTGGGATTCTTGCATTCAATGGATTTACTGTAAGATCTTTACAGGCTGTTGTAAACAGAATTCTACGTTTTGCATTGGCTCTATCAGTTATGCGTAGCTCAAATGAAAAGTTGTGAGAGCCAGGGATGAAAACTTGCATCACAAGGTATTGCTGGAGCAATCCGAGCTTGTCTATATCATTTGAAGGGAATGCAATTTTTGATAGATGAGTTTCTAAACTGAAAATGTAAGACTTTGCAGATTGGTCGTAAAATGGCTGATATGATTTGCCGAGCTTCAAATTTTTGTCTTTAGGATTCAAAATTTCAACAGCTCTGCCACTTTGGAATGTCTCTTTAAACATAATATTGCATTTTTTTAATTTCTTAGATTTTGTTATCTATTGGATTCAGTTTTTGATCAGAGTTAAACGAAAATTATAGGAAATCGTTATTATAAGAGTGGAAAAGCTTAATTAGAAGATAATTTTTAGAATTTAGAAAACTGTGGCAAATAAATAGTTTTATTTTAAATCAAGAGAAAAGAAGCATTTCTTACTCCTTTACCCTTGTGGGCGATTTACTATTGCTCGATCAAGAATGGTTAAAATATAGATAATTTGTTTTATAGTTATTATATTAAAAACTTTCCGAAAAGAAAGTCTTTACGAACGAGAGAAAAAGATAGTTTTATGAATATATAGGTAAATATGCTAGATATCACATAGGTACGGGTCAACTGCAATACTCTAACATTACTATTATAAAATAAATAATTAGATTTAAGGCGAGTTAGATGAATTGATTTTTATTTTACCAAATGAAATCGTTCCATCAAAATTCCCTAACTCTAAGAAATAAATAAACTTTTAAATTTTATAAAGAATTCCTATTGAATTTATATCAAAACTATTTAAATAAAAAATATCATTTTTATCAAAAAAAAACAAAAATTTTTTTGAAAATTTTTAAAAAAAAAAAAAAATTAATTTTTTTTAAAATTTACAATCAAGGATAATAAATTTATTTAAATAAGATGCTCTTTATACTTTTATCTTTAAAAAAGAGCAAGATATAACTAAATTTTTAATTTTAGTTAATAAGAAACATTTAATTTATATTAAAACTTTTTAGATAAAAATTATATATAATTTTTTATTATAAAATTAAATTTTGTTCCAATTTAAAGGGGGTTAATTTACCAAAAAAGTGGAAATTTTACCGATATTTTGTTCCAATTTAAAGGGGGGGGAGTAAGAAATTTCAATAAACTTTTGTATAAAGGTGGGGAAGCTATATCTTTATAGTATATAAGATTGATATTCCAGTGCTTTTAATTTTAAATTTAAGAACAGAAAATAATTTATGATAATATTTGAACACCGAAAAGCTTTTATCTTTATAAATTAATGAATTTACGTGTCTATCCATAACTTATTTAGATTAGAAATAACTCTTACTTTTTACTTCTTCCTCCTCTCAGTAAGCTTTTCTCCAAAGTTAGAATTGGGCTTTCTACCATAAGTGATAATATAGTCCCTGCAATAGCTGAAAACAGTAAAGTCCCAACTGCATGATAACAAATATCTAGATCATCATAATATAGTGCTTGATCTCGTGAAAAAACATACCAATAAATAAACAACGGGTGAACGACATAAAACGCAAAGCTAACTTTCGCAAGTGGAGATAAAATACGAAGTGTTAAAAAATATAAAAGGCACCTGCAATATCCAAATATGCTGATCTAGGCATGATGTGAGCAGTATTTTATTATATGCTTGGAATGAATAAGAAATAGAAACTTTATATGCATAAAAAACTTATTGTTTTAATTCACTCTTAGCAGTATAGCATAGGAACGATGAAAAATAGAAGCCCAAAGCAAAAGCCGAAATGGTCAAATGTCATAAATGCAGCTTTGTGAGGTGTTGACCAATAATCAAGCCCATGCTCATTGAGCTGAGCCGGTGAAAAGTTAATAATTACCATCAGAGTAAATCCAAAAATATAGCCAATGTAACGGAATGCTGGGACATGCACCCATTTGAAGGCTTTGATTTCATAATATGTAACGATATCTCTTTCTATAGGAATACTTGGCTTTTCTTCTTGAATAAGATTGTAATGAGGGTTCAATTCGACGTTAAGGCTTTCTTTAGCTGCAGCTTTTTCTGCCTTTGCATCTACTGAAGCGCGGTACATGAATCCAACGATTATTCCTAGTAGATAAGGAGACATTCTTGCATAAGGCTTGACATAATTGCTTACCTTTTTCTATGAGTTAGTAAGTTTTGGTTTGCTTATTAATACCTAATTCTTCTAAATTTAGAAAAAAATAGGATATTTGAGAGAGGAAATTTTTAATTTAATATTAAAAATTTATGTTTGAATTCGAGATGCATAAAATTTAAAAAGAATATGCTGAATTTTGATAAAATATATATATTTTAAGATATATTGCTCTTTCAAGAGGTGGGTTAGAAATTGGTCTTTATTCCCAAGCCCATTCAGCAAAGTAGGATTCCAATCATTAATATTAGCCTCAATCCCTACCACAAGCCAATTGACTCCTATCAAGCCTATACAAATCAAATATCCCCATAGTTTTTTTCTATAATACAAAATAAGTATTATAGGAGAAAACACGTAAAATTGCACATCATTTGCAATGTACCAGCCCCACCCCATGCATGAAAATTCTTCTGTTGGGAAAAAGTTATTAAGAAACAGCAAGTTTGACCACCAATAATTTTGGCAAGATTCAGGAGTAACTTCCACAAAAAGTGGCCATTGTGGGCCACTACCTACATATCTGAGAAGAAATGCATATGTGAAAAAGCACATATAGTATATAGGAATCAGTCTAATAAATCTATGCATCTCAAATATACCCCAATTCATTCTTCCTTTAGATGCCTTTAAATGAGCTGTTGTAAGAAAAGCCAGCAAAAATCCAGCCATCAAAAAGAAAACGTCCACCACATAAATAATCAGGAATAAATGCTGCGTATCCATCCACAGATCAACGAGCCTAGCTGGATTGGAAAATGCTCCAGATAATTGATAAATGTAAGAGTGCCCAAAGACGACCATGACCATTGAAAAAACTCTTATACCATTGAATATTTGTAATGTGTCAAACTCAGTAGGGATAATCAAATATGGTGTCGTCCAATCTTTCTGTTCCCCTGAACAGAAAATACTCTTTTGGCCGTTTTGATTATGAGGTTAAGTCTCGCAAAAAAGTTTATTCTGGCTATAATTGAATATTTAGCCTAAGGGTATGAAACTTCGGACAGCGATCCGATAGGAAAATAAAATTTATGTAAGTGCATAACTAGCCCGAGATGGTGGAGATTAGGATCTTTAGGATGTAGGTAGGTTCGCCGGAGCTGGAAAAAAGAAGAATGTCGAAATCAGAACACCTTTAGCGAAAGAACCAGTTCAACGAAACCAAATGGTGCCAGACATTTGGTGGGTGTGCAGAATTAGAATCCCGACTATTTGATCCTGCATAGGATGTTAAGCGATGAAAGATATGAATAATTTAAGTTAAGTCAAATTCAGTGGGAAGAGCAGCCAGCTTTTTTCAGTTGGTCACTAGAGAAAATGCCATTGTTGTCTGTGAAATCGGCCCAAATCGTTTGTGAGGATTTTTTTGAGCCATAAGGTCAAAAATAGTCCCAGCAATTACAGTAACAATTAATAAAATTCATAAAATAAGGGTGAAAATTGCTTTTCCATCCATGCCTTCGCTGTTGAACTCAGTAGGAAAATGAGCCTTGTAACCTGTAATTTGTTGAAATTGGCTCAGGTTTAATTTCTCATAAATTTCTGCTCCAACCTTGCTATAATCATCAAGAGTACAGTTAATTGGCCCACAAAAACCAAGCATTATTCTGAAATCGTTTAGCTTGGCTTCAATAAGTGCATATTTAGCTGTTGTTAAATTATTGCATTCATTATACAAGCCTAGGTCGTCAAAGCCTCTGCCAGAATAATAAATCATTTTTTGGCCTCCTGGGTAGTGAGTGGGCATGTCAGTTATATCATTCCTGCACTTTTCAAGCTCTGCAAGAGCACCTAGGAGTATTGCAATAAAGATGCAACACTTCATAGTTAATGTATATAAATGACGTACAAGAACAAATGTGAGGACAATGTTTTAAATTGAGAGATTCCGAGATTTTTAGTTTTTAAGTCTCTGGTTTCTTATTAATTATTATTGATCTATATATTCAAATAAGAAAAATCGCAAACAAAGAACGAATTCTTAAAATAAAATTTTTCAAAATGTTGGTCTTGTTTATGGTTGCAAGAGAAAATAGTTTAATTTAATAAGACTGCTGTTATAATAAGAAGCACGCTTCTAGGGCTCTTGCTTACGTTTTAAAGTAACTAAAATTATTTCATATTTGTTTTTATCATCTTTATAAATTCTCCCATAACCTCTCATATTTCATATTGAAAAGAAACCTTTAGCTTTTTACTCCACCCAATTTAAATTGGAACAAAGAATCCGATAAATTTTTTGGCTAATTTTCCTTTTTAATAAACTTTTCTCTAAGTTAACCTCTTCTTCCTCATCAAGGCTGGAAATTTCCACCCCCACTTGCTCATTGTCCCCGAAGTAACTGGCATGTACCCTTCCTCGCCACTGCAGGATGGATTCACACGACCGATCTTGATTTCCATGACTCCTGGAGCTTATGAACCAATCGCCTGAGCTGAAACTCCCAGTTTCTCGTTAGGCAGATGCCACCTCTTGAACCCTATTAGAGGGATTTAGCAACTTGGGGCTTCTGCTGGTCCTGCCTTTCCAATGATGGACTAATAGACAAAAACTCAAAGTCCCAGTGATTAGCTCCTAGTGCCCAAAAGCCTCACCCGATATACAAAAGGATTACCGGACCTCTTTATGCCCTTCTCCCTCACACTGGGCCATTACTGCTGTTGTTGAAGAAAACGGGTTAGGTGTGGTAATCTGTTGTCACTTATAAATTTTTTCTCTATAATTTTAAAAATTAAATTTCATAGTTTTTATTTTAATTTTAAAAATTTAAATAATATTCTATTGCCTTTTTACCATTAAATTATGTCAAAGCTAATTTTATAAAAATAAGTATTTGTCCCATATAAAATTTTCCTATTAAAGGGAGTTAGCAAAATATTATGTGTGATAGCCAAATATAAAAATTTAATTTTTCAAGCAAAATTTTGTAAAAATTATCAAACCTAAAGTCAAGGCTCAATAATAAAGGGCAAGAATAATTTTATTATCAAAAATTGTCTATTTGCAAGAGATTATAATTTATCTAGCAAAGAATAAAATCCTAATTACCCCTTATATCTAATTCTCATTCAATATTTTATAATCTCTAATTCTAGTGCAAATTCAACAACATATTAATAACTTTATAATATTGCTAATTTAATGGCAGCAAAAATTCTCTGGGCTTCTCAAACCGGCAATTGTGAAGAGATTTCTCGGATAATCTACGAAGAAAGTGCTGAAAAAAGAATCCCCTGCGAAAGATACTGCCTCCAAGAGCTCGGGACTACTTTTAACATCTCCCAAAAAGACGTAATAGTTATAGTCGTCTCAAGCACTGGAGATGGCGAGCTTCCTGACAACGGTTTAAAATTCTATCGCTGGATAAAGCAGCAAGAAGGCACAATTTTTTCCCACGTAAAATACACACTTTTAGGCCTTGGGGACTCAAATTACAGCACTTTCCAAGGAGGTCCTAATATAATTGAACATCATATGAAAAAGCTAGGAGCAACAGAGTTTTATGAAAGAGGCGTTGTTGATGAACAATTAGGAATAGAACAAACTGTTGATGCCTGGATTGATGGACTTTGGGAGCCTTTAAAAAAACAAGTAGAAGAGTTATCTAAAGCAGGAAGCGGAGAGCAGGTCAGCCAAGCTATTGAAGACATGCCAAGCATATGGGGAAGAATTTTGGAATATAGAGTGCTGACTGAAGAAAATGCTACGAAAAAAGTCATTGAGATTAGGATTACTACTGAAGGAAAAAGCTATATACCTGGAACAGCTTTATTTATGTATCCCCAAAATCCTGATGAAAAAGTGACTGAAATGATCACAAAATTAGGCTTAGAGGCGACACAATCTATTATTGATAAATCCCACATATCGAAATCAGTGAGTCATAGATTCCAAACACCTATATCTATTTTTGATTTTTTTAAGAGGTTTGTGGATTTCCAATCGGCCATTAAAACCCGATGTGCGATCTTTTTAGCTTCAATACTTTATAATCCAACAGAAAAAGAAGGATTAACCCATCACATTGACCAGTCGAAAATTACGATGCCAGACGAGTTTACCTTTGAAAATATCATAAACAAGTATCATTCTTGGGATATCCAATCTTTAGATTCTTTATTGGATGTTATTCCAATACTAAGCCCAAGGAATTATTCAATATCATCTTCTCCTACAACATCTCCAGGCTCAATTACGATTGCATTTTCAGTTATGGGCTTATGCACTAGGTATTTACTCTACCGAGAAAGTATTGAAAAAATGCGTTTTTTTGAAATTAACCTCTTTAAGTAAAAACATATTAACATAATTTTTAATAAAATATTTTTATATATAATTAATTCTATGAAACTAGACAGTTTATATATTTAACCGAAAATTTATAAATCTAAACAGATTTTCTTTTCAAATATTTGCAAATTGAGATTTTTAGAGTTTGACAATTTTTTTTATCTCTAAAAAGCGAGCAAGTTTTTGCTCTGTCCTAAAGAGGGAGCTAGAGCATGCAGCTTTGAATGATCTCAGTGTCGAGTATTCTCTTCAGAATGAACCTGGGGTATTTTGGGAAGGCATAAAAGCATCGCCAAGACCTATTATGATCTGTACTGGGACAGGAATTTCTCCTTTCAGAGGCATCCTAGAGCATTTGGTTTTAAATGATCCAAAACCTGTTTGGGTTATTTATGGTTGCAGAAATTCCACGAAAAATACTCCTCAGAAGAACTTTGACCATGTTTATCAAGACGACATAAACGGAGCAATCAGAGTACTTGGAGGAAAACTGAGCGTCGCCAATTCTAGATCTGGAAATGGGCCAAAATACATTCAAGACATTATAAAAAATGAAGCAAGAGAAATCGTAGAGTGGGGAAGCGCAGCTATTTTATGCGGAAATTTCGATTCAAAAGATATAAAAGCGAAACTCCAAACGATAAATGAAAATTTCGAAGTCTTCTCCGAGATATGGGAATAGCATAATAATTTATTCCCATTTCTTTAATCATATAAATATTTAAAAACAAGCCTAATCAATCAATTGTTCACCATTAAAAGCATATTAATTTAAGATCTTGCTGTATTATAAGACCCACAGTTTGGGCATTTCATCCCAATAATATGAAACTTGACTTCGTTTTTTCTGACTAAAGCTTACTTCAAGCAATCATTGCACAGAATAGTACACCAAACGTTTTCGTATTCTGGTGGCATTGGAGTCGAAGCGACTTCTTGGTCCAATTCTTGATAAAAATCTGAAAAATCAGCAATAGACTTACAGCAGATTGGACAGGTATATCGATGATGCTCCATCATATCCCTCAAACAAGAATTATGTATAAAATGTCCACACCTAATGGGAATAACTGATTCCCTACTTGTAAACATATCTTCTTGGCATACAGCACAGTTAGATTTCAAAACACCTGGTATGCAGACGTGAGAGTCTCGCAAAGCAATGCTAAGGCACGCTTCACAAGTGTCACAGTGGAAAAAATTTTCTCTAGGACCTACACGACATATTCCGCATTTATCGCAGTGATAAATTTGTTTAGACATATCGTGGTCAAATAAGTGGCAGATCCCACAGAAATAGTTGCCTAACTCACCCCCCGCCGCGAGCAAACAAAACCATATTTTTTGCCAGAACCCACCCTCTGTGAGTGAATAAAAAGTTGTTATAAAAAATTTTTTTATAATACGTAATAATTATTATATGAAATCTATAGCTAAATCTGTTTAATTTAAAACAACTTGCATTTTAAAATAAATTTTTACAAGTTAAATTGATATTTAGTTTAAATTATTACAAATTGTGATTATTTTTAATTTTGAACAAAAAAAGAAATTAACTCTCCTCTACAAACAAAAGATTTTTGAAGTAAGCAGTTCCCACAGACTTCACAGTACTGAGCAATGCCCTGAATATGCATGCATTCACGGCATCTAACTGTATTCACATCAGCCCTGACCATTTTGTGCCTTTTTGTCAAATCTTTTTCCTCTTCATACTTAACCCGATCATGACAATATCTGCATGCGAAAAACTCTTCACAGCATAAGGATAAAAGGTCGCATCCTCTGGCGTAGTGGGTGCAAGGCTCCATATTTTATTAAGTTTTAGACAAATCCATAAGATAGGCGAAAAAACGCCAGTTGTTAAATCTTTACTGGAAAAAATTAATTAAGCAGTTGAGATAAGGCTGAATTTGTTTATAAGCTGGATAAGTAGAGCAAGAAAAATAAAGAAACCTGATAAGATTTTTTATCAGCGATTTTACTGGATTTCTTAATTTTTAGATTTATTAGCTTTTTAGGATGAGGAAATCAGAAGCAGAGAAAAGTTTTCGGACTAAAAAATCAACAAATCAATAGGTATAAAAGCTCCATATATAAATTAATGGAACACGAAGAAACAGTTGACGTTGTAGCTTCAGGAGCATCAGAAACTTACCCAAGCCAAGTCGGATCACTTAAGAAGGGTGGATATTGTGTCCTTAGAGGCCATCCAGTCAAGATCATGGAAATTGCCACCGCCAAAGTCGGCAAGCATGGCTCAGCCAAAGCCAAAATTACAGGAATCGATGTTTTCACATCAAATAAATATGAGGAAATCCACCCAACTTCCCACAATATCTGCGGTGCATGATTTTTGATGCTATTTAGGGAATTTATCCGAAAGTTTTATAGAGAAAATGCCTGTCTATCTAAAATTATATTTAAATTAATGTCTTAATCTAAGTAAAGCTGTCAAAAAATAGAGAGCAAATGACGCAGCCCAATATCGACGTTCCTAACATTTCAAGAATTGACTACACCTTGGTCGATATTGCAAGAGATGGGTTTGTTTCCTTGATGGACGACGCTGGAAATACAAAAGAAGACTTAAAGCTTCCTGAGGACGAAGAAGGAGCCAAAATCCGTGACTTGTTCGAGAATGGAGCTACAGTTTCAGTGACTGTTATGAAAGCTATGGGACAAGAGAGAATTATGGCTGGTAAAGAAATCTAAGCAGCTAATACATATGATCTCTTTTAGATAAGTCTTAGTATAAGAAATAACCCAGAAATATTGGGATCTTTTGGCATAAAAACTTCATAATTCCAGGTCTGAGATAGTTGTGGGAGTTGTGTCAGAACTTAATGGATTAAAAAATGCCGCGGTAGACAACAGTGGTATTGCTGATTTCTATTTATGAAATTTAATGCCAGAAAAGCTAGGAACCAAAGTAAATGCCTATGATAGCTTTTTATTTAATATTGCTGCTCTAGTATATAATGTATTGGTAATATGTTATTTTGCTTATTTATGGTAAATAAATTGATTTTTAAAATGTCAAAAAAATTTTGACATGTCATTATATATAAAACTGAATCTATAGTATGTTAAAATTTTTTTGACATTTTAAAATCAATTTACAATAAATAAGCAAAATGAAATTTATGCAAGGGATTTATATTTATTGCTAGGAAAATCTAATAATTTTTAAAGGCAGAACACATCAAAATTCCATTTTTTAATGTTTAATAAAAGCAATAGAAGTGCCATGACAAGACAGAAAACAGATAAGCCCAATAAATCAATTATTTGAAACACTTTCTTTATTTTCTTTACGATTATTACTACAGGATCTTTCCTCGGATTTTTGGTTGATATTTATTATATGAGCCCAAAAATTTTAATGAAAGAGTTAGATATGAACAATTTGACTGGCCCGAAGTGGTATATGCAGAACTGCCTCGCATTTGCATGGATCTTTAAAATATTGTCTGTCACCAATCTTATGCTGAATAAATCAGAATTAAGTAGAGAATTTTTTCCAATAATTAAAGATATTGGAGTTACTATTGCATTCTGACTGGAATATTACATTTCGTTAACTCACTCCTCCATTAGCGAACAAAAAAAATTTTGTTCGCTTATAGAGGGGGTTAATTTTTTTTTTATAAAATTTAAAAAACCCATTCGTAAAAATTGGAAAACAAAAATTTAATTAATTTGTAAAATTTATGTTTTAAAATGCAAGATTTTTAAATTAAAACAGAATTAGCTAGAGATTTCATTTACTGATTATTAATTATATATCAAATTAAAATTTTTTGTTCGCTCGCAGAGGGTAAAAATATGAATTTTTCCAATGATTATTTCGCTCACGGAGAGAGAAGTAAGGCTTTTTTCGCTTTCAGATTATACTTATAAGCTTTCTGGCCACACTTTGATTTTGACTTCTGTGACTTGCATGATATTAGTTGAAGCCCAAAGAAATTTTTTAATTACAGGGAATATTAAAGTGAAGAGAATTGGCAAATTAATGATGCTTTTGAATAGCTATATTTTATTTTGGACCAGCTTTGCATATCATAGTTATATAGAGCTTTTATCTGCATTAATGACTGGAATTTTTACTGCTTGTGGATTCCATCTATATATTAATGAGTACTTAAAGATATAATTTTTTAAATATTAGTGTTTACATCATTTTGTTTTATATCAAAAGATGATGGTTTTGAAGGAAAACATGCAGTGACTATACTAAGATGTCTAGCTTCATTATTGTATCTTTCTAGAATTGCAGTTTGTTCTAAGTCTGGGGATTTTGGCCTGGATTCAGATGAACTTTCTTGTAAAATTATTGATGAATCTTTAATTTTTCTTAAAATAATTTTAAATTTATTATTTATTTAAAAATTTAATAAGGCGATTTAAAATAAATTTGAACTCTGGGTTAGTAAAATCAAATTGTTTTATACCTTTAGGAGTTTGAAAACTTCTTGTAAATGTCAAATAAGATGACTTAGGAGTTTTAGAAGTTCTTCATGAATCAATGCTGCACACTCCTCCAGGAGAAATTGTTTTTCTTATAATTTGTGAATTTCGAGTTTTAGATCTGTGAGCCATTGGAGTTGAACACTTAGGACGGCTTGCTGTGACTTTAATTTGAGGCTTATGATCAATCTTTATGTTTAATATTTCTGATTAATATTTACCTTGATGAATTTTTTCTCTCTCTGAAATTCGGTTATTTTCTTCTGTCCTCAATCTAGTTTCTAATACATATAAGCGAGCTTCCACTGAATTGAAATCTTTGATTTCTGAAAAATCCATTGGAAGCCATTCAAGCTTTTTCTTACTCCCCTTTCAATTTATATTTTTTTTAAAAAAACACAAATTATACTAAATTTTTCTAAATTGAACCCGATATTTTTGAATTTTAATTTATTTTTTATTTATAATAATTAGTATTTTAACCTATAAAATAAATTTTCCAATTCAAAAGGGGTTAAATTATTCAAAAAAAATGGAAATTTTACTTATATTTATTCCAATTTAAAGGGGGATTTAATAAATATAAGTTCATCATCTAGGTATCCACGAAGGTCTTCTTTAATATTCAATAATTTTTTATCGTGGGATTCAGCTAATTTTGTTGATTTTTTTTCTAGAAATTCATTAATTTCCTCTTTAAAAGCTTTCAGCTCTTCTATTAAGCCATTTCTCGATTTTTCTGCTTGAATTATTATATCATCAATCATATTTACTTTATATAGCGCTTTATTCACAATTCCATCCAATTTATTTGTAGCATCTTTTTCTTTCTTATCAATTTTATAAAAAGTTTGCACCATTTTTGAGTCCAGATCTTTTATGGCGTCGCAAATTTTCATATTAAACGCTCATGAATTTTGGGTTAATTCATCAATTTTTGCAGTAATCAGTTTTAATGTATTTTCATTCCCTTTATCAGAGGAGCTTTTGAGTAGTCTAACTTCTGCTTTCATCTCTAATGAAGTTTTTGCCAAATGGTTTTGAGTTTCATTTTCTATTAAAAGTATTGAATTCTTCATGGCCTTTTCAAACCTATCCATATAGTCAGAAATATCTTTGATTTCTGCTGAAAGTGAGTTTGTCTCCTCTTTTAATTTCATCGAAAAATCATTAGTAAGTTCATCTTTCCAAGAAATTATTGCTGCAGCAAAGTTTTCTTCATTCTTATGGCAACTTCTGGTTATAGCAGCTATTTTTTGAGAAATTTCTTTGATTTGTTTATTGTTTTCTTCAATAGAATCATTTGTCAGTTTTTCAAGCCTTTTGATTTGGCTATGCATAAACATTTCATTGTCAGCGAGGCCACTTTTAAGTTTATTTTCAATAAACATGAGCGCTTCATCGTTTCTTCTTGATTGATTTAAGCTTGGACTTTTTTAATCTAACATGGGTGAAAATAAACAGGCAGGGTTCAGCCTCAAGGCCACCAGAAATGAAGGACTTCAGGTTCTGGGTTTTGGTAGAGGTGGAGTTTGCTTTGGATATAGGGCACCCAACGACATGCTGCCAAAAATTCAAGACACTAATTGCAAAGAAAAGACCTTGAAGTTCTATTTGTCGAAATATGTGGTAAGGAAAAAAGGCGACATGAGAAAAGAGCTGTACAACTCGTTCATACTGGCCCTAGAAGCTAGCACTAGAGGAGGAGACGTCTTAAGAAGCCTGATGCTACCATCTGGAGACGCCATAGTGACATTTGCCGAAAACGATGCGTGGGAAGACTTCAAATCGAGAGGCAGGTTAGCAGTCAATCATGAGGGTAGGAAATTGTTGGTTCCATCTGGCCCAGTCTTTGAGGGTGGAGACATTAACTTTCTTCGATACAGAATACAGGTCATGATTCCAGTTGGAACATCCCTTGAAGAACTCATTGAGGAGCTAAACAAACTATGTCGCATCGTTGAAGTCACAGTAGATAACACCGTAAAAATCGGTGAAGAAAATTATGATGTCCACTTCAGCTCCAACTCCAGATATGCCCTGTATGGGGAATTCGTGCGCGGTAGAGAATGCGCTTGACCTACCTGATGAAATTATGATCAATGGAAGAAAAATCTGGCTGAATCATGCTGCCTCACTCTTCTGTGAAAAATGCGGTAAGATTGGTCACAACGAAAAAGGGCACGATGCAATAGTTTGGAGAAAGGCAGAGCGGCTTGAGAAGGGAAGGATAAAAAGAGAAAAGAGGGAAGAAGAAAGGAAGATGAGTAGAGCAGCCAGGGAGGAATTGAAGCAGAAGCTGGTGTACGAGGAGCAGGATAATTTAAGTAGTTCATCGTATATAGAGGTAAATGGAGGTCAAGGGTTCAGTAAAGCCGATAATCTAAAGAAATCCGCTGCGTCTGTAGAACAAGTAGCTCCTGAAGACCATGCAGCTCCTGTAGAACATATAGCACCTGTAGGATGTGTAACACCTGCAGAGCATGTGGAACCTGTAGAACATGTAGCTCCTGTAAAACATGTAGCACCAGTAGAACAGGCAGCACCTATAGAGCATGCAGCACCCGTAGAGCATGTAGTACTCGTAGAACATGTAGCACCCGTAGAACGTGAAACACCTGTAGAACAAGAAACTCTTGTAGAGCACGCAGCACCTGAAGAGCATACCAATAATGCAGGGAGATTTAGAGGCACTTGCAACACCTGTAAAGCAAGAATCACCTGTAGCACATGCGGTATATGACACACCTGTAACACTTGCAGAGCCAGATGCACCTGTAGCGCTTGGAATACTGAAGACACATGCAACATATGCAACACTTGTTATATCGGTGGCACCTGCAGCACCTGTAGAGCTAGAAGCATCCCTTACGCATATGCTGCTGGAAGCACAAGTGGTACCTGCAAGTCTAGAAACACAAGTAGCCCTTGCAATTTTGATGACACCTGTAGCACCTGTGGAGCTAAAAACACCTGTAGCACCTGTAACGCTGGAGGCTCATGCGCCACTCGTCACTCATGCAGCACCTGTAGCTCTTGAAACGCCTACATACAAGAAGGGAAGAGAAGTTATCCATGAGCAGATGGCGACGAGCATCGAAGGAAAAGGATCTGTGTGAGCAGAGTCCTTACGGTCGGACATGTGAATGTGTATGGAGTCAACCAAAAAGGAGAACAACTGAGAGAATTCATCGAAGAACACAACCTAGACATCCTGGGCATCTATGAGACTTACCTGAAGGAGAAGGATAAGGCACCTTATGTTCCAGGCTACAACTGGTACCATTCGCCTGCAATTGGCCATAGTGCAGGTGTAGCCTTCATCTACAGGAATAATCTTGAACTGAAACGGCTGCTAATAATACATGACTCGAGAATAATAGGATTAATGATCGGTGACTTCGTGATTATAGAAGCTTATTGCCCTGTGGAGAATGCAATCGAAGAGGAGTTGGAAGATTTCTATGAGAAGCTAAACATACAGATTGGGGAGATCAGGGCTGCAGAGCAAAGAACGCTGGTTCTCGGAGATTTCAATGCTCACGTCGCTGGATGGTATTCTGGTACAACCAATCAAAACGGAAAAAGACTGATCAAATTTTGCAAGGAGTGACAGCTAAAGCTAATGAGCCTTGATAAGCCCACCCACACGCACTCATCAGGCAATGTTTTCTGCCTGGACTACTGTGCTACTGACTGAGACTCCGCTGATACAATCACCGACTTTGATACATGCCCTGGAAACCCTATAAAAAGTGATCACCTGCCGCTTATAGTTAAGATCCTCGCCCCAGTAGTTAGAAAGAAGACTCCTGATAGGAAAAGAATCAGAACTGACAGACTCCAGAGTAGAGTATACCTGAACGTATACCAGAAGGCGCTGCACAGAGAAATAGGATGCCTGATGGCAGAGGAGCACAATTCGGAGTCACTGTATAACGCCCTTGTTAATGGGCTATTGACTGTCGGTGGAAGGGTTTTGGGCAAAACAACGCGATTGGAGAGGCCAGGACTAGGTAGAGGCTCACTTATTGCACTAAGGACAGCGAGGAGGCATAAATGGAAGGCATTCAAAGCGATTAATGCAGGCAATAGACCCAAATACCTGGAGGAAATGAAAAAGCACAGAGCCATGATGAAAGAATTTAAGCACCAACTGAAGCAGGATAAACAGAGCTCACGAATGAAAAGGGAGATAGAATGAGCAGTTATAGGCGCAAAAGATGAATGGGAGCTAGTGAGAAGAATCAAGAGGGCGAGGAGAGCTGGCCCTGTCAAATTCACGAGCGGCGAAGAAGGCAAAATTTTGGACTGGTGGAAATACCAGTATCAGGACTCTGGGTGAGATCAGCCTGGCCATAACGGCGACCCGCTGGTCCCAACTAAGGAAGAAGTTAGCGACGCTATCAAGCAGCTAGGGAACAGAAAGGCGGTAGGTCCTGATAATCTACCGGCCGAACTAATCAAGGGCGGTGGTGAATTGGTTGAGACGTTGTGCATAAACTGATACAGCAGATATGGAAGGAAAGAAAACTCCCCAAGGAAATGAACTCAGCACTAGTAATGCTCCTGCCGAAGAAGCCTGGATCTCGGGATCCTCAAGACTTCAGGCCTGTCACCCTGCTGAACACTATCTACAAGATAATCGACAAAATTTTGACGAAGAGAATCTTAAAGGATGTTTGTCAAGGAAACTTGATACACCAAGCACAAGCTGGCTTTATGCCAAACATGTCTACCGGAGATCAGATTTTTGCCCTGGACACGATTCTGGCTCACAGTAGAAAGAAAAAGAAAGGCCTGGTGTGTGCCTTCCTGGACATCAGTAAGGCCTTTGACTCTGTTAGGCATGCAGATATTTACAGGACTATGAGAGACAGAGGAATAAGCAGTGATTCCATCGGCATGTTGCAGGCAATGTACTATGAGGGAAGAAGTCGCATAATTGTGAATGAGCATCTAACTGAGCAAATAGACATAAAAAAAGGAGTCCGACAAGGTGGAATCTCCTCTCCACTCTGCTTCAACTTTATTCCAGATGTGCTGGCAAGAAAGATTGATGAATCCAATTTAGGAATCAGGCTACGAAAGAATGGGCCAAGGATAGGCATCTTACTATACGCTGATGACATTGTCCTAATTGCTAGAAACATTGGACACCTGCAGCTACTCTGTGACATCACCTGTGCATGAGCTTATGAGTTCTCACTGTCAATAAATATTGCTAAATCGATCTGGATAGATTACAGAAAGAAATTAACCGATCAATCCCTACGGCTCGGTGGATTAAAGCTTGAGAGGGTCGACAAATTTAAATGCTTAGGGAAATTTACTGAAAAGCGCTTGGAGAAGAAGACGGACCAAAAGTTGACATTAGAAAAAATGAAAACGGCGTGCAGAGCAGTCCAAGGGATTAACTCTGGGCTTAAATCCTTGCCAATAGTCAGAAGGGCAGTAATAGCTGAGGCTCACACAGTCTCGACGGCACTATATGCTAAAGAGTGTATGCAAAGTGACTGGGATCAGAAACTACTGGACTTATTAGAAAGGGAGAGGATGAAAATAGCTAGAACTCTGCTAAACGCTCCGAAAGGGATCGCTCGTGAAACTTCACTGGAAGATCTGGGCTGGATAACGATTAGAAATCACTGACGGAAGAGAGTCCTGACCTTTAGAAAAAGGGTGCTCGGATCTAGAAGCGTAATTATGAAGGAAATTGTTAGGGCGAACAGGGATGAGGAACTGCCGTGAGAAAGAAACTGCACGTCCCTACTAAATCAGTTTGAACTAAATGAATTTTTAGATAAAGAGCGCATCACCTCACTGGAAAAAAGGAAATGGGAACTCATGCTGACTAACAAAGTCTCAGCTCTCAATCTGAAAGAGGTCTTGCACAGACTAAAGACGGAGACAGAAAGAACGACCAGGCTTTGGAGATGGCTAAAGGATGGTGCAACGTTCAGCTTCATCCCTACATTTATGAGGTTTAATCTTGATAGGCAATTGGCTGCAGGAGCGATACACAGGCTAAGAGCGGGCTTCAACTACAGCAATTACAATGCATATATCAGGCATCTTGTACCATCTGGTAAATGCGGCACATGTGATGTGGATGAAACAGAAGAACACATGCTAGAAGTCTGCCCGAGATTCGGTCCCCTGAGGGCAAGGCTGGAAAAAGAACTTGAGCAGTTGCAAGTTCCACTTAGGCAGTTCAGATTGATGGAGATCACCCTATATGGCAATCGCTTCGAAGAATTCCTGAAGACTCTAGAAGAAGAAAGGGGTGTAGCCTTGATTGCTGACATAGACAGGCATATCAAGATGTTTCATGAGGGAATCCTAAAAGCAAAGATGAAAGAACTGGAGGCAAAAAAGGGAGCTACAGCTACCGGCGCTACTGAAGGCAAAGTTAATAGGCAGAAATCTCTAGATAGTTGGATTATAACAAAAAACCCATAAGGGTTTGCTGCAGGCTTGCCTGCTGAATAATTGATTGATTGATTGATTTAAGCTTGGATATGAACTTAATACTGAAGGCGAGGATAAATTTTCCGAAGCTTCTTGAGGCTTGGCTTTTAAAGCAATTAAACATTCATGATCATACTTGAAGAGTTTAACTAAAGTTGATATCGCAGCGATAATTGGGCTTGGAATATTAGATCAGCTTGAAGGAGAAATTTCTGAAAGCTCCTTTAATATTTCTTCTTCGCTAATTTGCAAGTCCATTAAAAGATTAGACAATCATGTTTATTTAACAAAATATGAATTAAAAGCTCAAGATTTCTCTAGGAAATATACGCTAAAATATAAACTAAAGCAGCATTAAGATAAGCGAAATAAATTTGGAGCTCAAAGCATCACATTTAAATATCTCATTTTCAAATATTATGCCTATCTGTTATTATTGAGGAAGAATTTCTTCTTAAAAGGAGTGTGTTAGTAAAAATCTAAATTTACTCGATTTTATAAAAATCTAATCAAATTAAAATCGTATAATTTTATTAAATTTAAGTAAATCTTGAAAATTAAGACAGCTCATGTATGTATTTAATTAAGGTTAAATGGAACAATTTTTAATTCATTCTACAGCTAATTAACTTATCCAATATATCTTAACGAATGGAAAAACCTCATCAAAGCACTAATATTAGCCTCTCTAATCGAGAACCCACCTGACCACAACAAGTTGCTAAAAAATCCTACTTTTTCTTCATTTACCTGAGGTAGCACAACATTCACAGTCTGCGTTACTTTTTCTGCTTTCGTTGATACTTCTTCCTTATTCTCTCTTTCTATTTCTGGGCAGAATATAGCTGCAAACCCAATATAAATCGCTTTTAATTCCTCTGCATATAACCTTAAGTCTCTTTCACATTTTTCTTTGGAGAAAGTCAAGGATTTTTTGACTTTGTCTTTTAAGTCTCTTAAGCTTTGGGCCATATTTGAGACCTTGAACTCGTCAACTCGAATTTCTCCATATAAAAATAAATCTTTTTTAGAGAATTCTAAATAGTCAGAATCAGCTTGTTCAGGCGGCAAAGGCTGTTTTACTATATGTTCAATATCAAGTGGTGACGTAATATAGCACAAATACTGCATCTCTTCACCTGTTTCAGTTCTTCTTTTTTCCCAGAAGCCAAGAATAGTCCCTGATGGTAAAATTTCTTCATTAGGATTCACTATAGGAGGGCTTGGATCTAGCTGGAATTTGCATTTCATCATATAAGGTTGACATATCAGATTTAAAATCCTATGTAGCTTGTATAGTCGTGTCATTCTGAATTCTCTTCCGAAATGGAATAAAGATAAATCTGCACTTTGCTTTATCAAATAAGTTATCAAGTCTATCGCAGTAACTGCAATTTTTTTTTTACTTTCTTCAAAAAGCCCTGCTGGATATTGTTTTTTCTGCAAATAATCAGATTCAAGAATTTCTTGGGAAATTGTTTTTGGTACTTTATTGATGTCAGAAACAGGACTTGTCGCGAATTGGCTGAATTGGTGTCTCAAGCTGTCTCTTGCATTATATAAGTCATTTCCAATTTGTAGCGCTTTTATTGCATCTTTAGTGATTTTATGGACTTTTAGCTGCTCAGCTTTAAGCAGTTCTTCATATGAAGTTTCTTTATTTTCTTCGCCAGGGTTTGGCAGATATTTAAACCCAATTCTTGGCCTATATTCTCTTTGTAGTATCAAAATATGGTAAAGTTCATAAAACAGCAAATGAGGAGAAATAAGTAAAGACTCTTTCATTGCTATCTGAATGCTTGACTCTATAATTGCTTTCGATTGATCTAATAATGGAAGCCATTCTTCTATTAATTTTCTTGAAAAATTAGGAAGGTGTAGCAGTGTTTTACCTGACCCAAGATCATAATCTGGGAACCTATGGGCGATTTTTTTATATTTATGCCGCTCGTTCGCTCTTCCTCTATAGATGTTTTGGAAGTCATTAATTCCTTTAACGAATTGAAGCCTTAGTAGTTGAGCTTTAAGGTATTTAAGTGTAATAAAATGAGGAGGCGTCAAATGCAGTATTCTTGCTGCAATAACTTCTGCTTGGTCAATAATCTCATATTGTTCTTTTAGTTTTTCTTTTTTATAGTCTTCTTGCATTCATGCTTTTACATATGAAATTTCTAATTTCAAAAACTGCTCTAGATTGAGGAGGTATATGTTTGGAGGAACTGTCCCATTGATTGCGTCAGCTTCAGCTTGAACGCTTACTAAGTCTTCTTTTGGAGGGGCTTTTTCTACAGGCTGTGCTGCTTTGTTTTTATCTTTTGGGTCTGGAGCTTTTGCGACTTCTTCTTTTCCTGTTTTGATAATCAGAATTCCATTATTAGCAGCGTCTCTATTGATATCTTGAGATTTAATAATTAAATATTGCATCTCAGCACTTTGCTTTGTGGCTGGCTACTTCAAGCACATATTTAATTATATCCGGCAAGGTTTTGCCATCCAAAAATGGACAGAAATGCTAGGAAAGCAATTCTTGACGTATCAGAGCCTAGCCCAAGTCCGCTTTCAAAGATGGATTTTACCTCATGGGAAAGGGTAGCGCTGAAGTTGAAAAGAAGTCGCCCAGCAATGTCTGCAGGCAACGACTGTAAAGCCAGGAGTTAAGCTAGGGCAGGTGTTTTCCCTTTTTGCTGAGAGTCGATTAGAAATTTCATTTTTTGGGATTTTGTGCGGAAAACAGTTGTTCCCTACCCAGCAGACTCAAGCAAGGCTGCCCACTCAACACTGAACCCAAAACATAAGGAGGAGACACTGGCACCCCTGGTTGAAGACACTGTCGCAAAGCTGTTGAATCTCCCATATCGGAGATTCTCAGTGATTGCGTCAAAATTATGTCAGCCGTTCTGTTAATAAGTATTTAAGATATCTTGAGATTTCAAAACAAACCCATTTTTATCCATTAATTTCCATATTTTTTGTCGTGCAAGTGCAATAGCTTCAAAAGCATCAATAAAGTTCCCTCTTTCTAATAGCAATTCTGAATAATTAGCTAACATCCCCTCTGCGAGCGAACAAAATCATTGGAAAATCCTTTTTTTTGGGCAAAAACCCAAACAAAAATTTTTATAAATACATAAAAAAAATAATCCCCATCTTCTAGCGAACAAAATTTTTTATTAGCTCGCGGAGGGGCAAGGCAAAAATAAACTGTGGATCAGAATGGACTGATTTTTCTCCTTCGCTACGCATTTTTTCAAAAAATTCTATGCATTTATCCATATTTCCTTGCCTTAGAGAAACATAGGCTTCAATTTCATAAGAAAACCTTCAGAAGAAAGGCTCAGAAACAGCTTGTGCCTCTTCTCTTAATGATAAAGTATTATTCAATGCTTCATTATATCTGCTTTGCAAATATAGCAGACTGCATAATTTTTCTTTGATTTTAAGCCAAAATAGTGGTCCAGGTGTATTTCTGAATTCCCAGCTCTCTAAAAACTCTTGTAAAGCCCTTTGTTTTTGTTCTCTATTTGCATCAATAATCGGTGTGGCTTCTCTTCCTCCTTTTTTAGCTGGCTCTTTTTTCTCTTCAACTTTTTCAATTGGGGCAAAAGCTTGTTCAGCTCCTAGTTCCACTAATAATTTCCCTTGTGAAAATCCTTGCAAATTTATAAAGCTTTGTCTGGCAACTCTTATAGCAGCTGTTAAATCGCCTTGGGCTTGTTTTATTTCTACTAGACTTAGCCTAATTCTTCCAATCAATTCTAGCCTTTTCACCTTTCTTTCTCCATCACTCAGGCTTTCATCATTTCTAAAGAAATTCTGCACAATTTGTTCTTTCATAGGGACATCATTTATTTCAATGCCCCCAGCTCGTGCTTTAATAAATTCTTCAATATTCCCATTTTCCTCTTCAAATTGTGATTTTATTCTTGCTAACTCATCTTCAAATGATAAATTTTTCAACAAATATCTCAAAGATTTTTCTATTTCAGTAAAAATTCCATTTCTGAGCCCTTCCGAAGCTGGGTTATCAATATTTTCAGATTTTGCTAAAGATAGAAGTAAAAGACTTTTAGCGTAAACTGTTAAGTTGTAGACAAATAGAGAAGCTTCATTCATAAGTGCGGGAGGAACGTCTAATTTCATGAGAGCTTGGATTATTTCTTGGTTTTGCTGGGCTTCTGGGGGTAAATTCATATTGTATTTCATTTTTGGCTTATAATAATGGTGCTCTTTGTCTCGAAGCAGATGCTTTCTAATTCCAGGTTTCGGGAGGTCTTTCATAGCGATTATTTTTTGCAGAATATTAAGTGAGTATTCAGGATATCCTAATTGCGCCAATGCAACTACTTTTCAAGACCGGGATTTCAAGGCCATAGCTGAGTTCCACAGATAGTCAACACCTACATATTCTAAAAATGATAGCAATGGTATCGCATCTGCAAAAAATCCTCTGTCAATTAAAGCAACTGATATATAATCCAAAGCTAAGCCAAGCTCGCCTAAGCTGATTTCTTGGCTTACTTCAAATAAATTAAGGTTCGGCGCAAGATCTCGCATACGATAAAGCGAGTGTTGAATAGGGTGCTGCGGATGTGGTAAACTCAGCCTATATATTGATGAAAATAACAGTCTTGCTAATAGCACACAGTCCAGCTGCATTTTCATATTTTTACTTTCATATTGAGTGCTTGCTAGCTTCCACAGTACGATTCCTGCCAATAAGCATTCTTTTACTCCATATTTATCAGCTAAATTTTCTTCAGTTCTCCACTCATTGTCGTCTGATAAAGAAAAGACCTTTCTGAAGTTTTGGACTATATAGAGGCTTTGGAATACAGTATCTACTGAGTCATTTCAGGAAGTTTCAGCTTCTTCTAAAATCCCTTCACTAAAGCATAAGTTCCCTAGCTCATTTAATGCTTGGGCTAATAGCCATTTTTCTTGCCTTTTACGAAGTAGCTCTACAGTCTTTCTATAGCTGCTTAGTACCATATTAGCAAATACTTTATGAGCTCTTTTTTTTACTTTTAACGCAGGATCGCTTGAATCCTGCTGCAGATTTCTCGCTTCATTCCCATACTGCTCTAGTAATTTTCTGCTCTGCATTAAGCTTTCTTCAGCATTACTAGCTCCTTTTTTAAGCTGCTCCAGCTCTGCTTCACTTTCATTTAATTTTCCTAACAAAATTATTTCTTTTGCTCTTTTCCTTTCAATTTTTTCAATAATTTCTTTACAATCTCTTTCAAATTCAATCTGCTCCTGTGGGATTTCTCCAGTAATTAGCGCTTGCCTTGATTTTCTCCTTTTGCTTGTAAGTTTCCAATTTTCGTATTTTTCTTTTCTTTCTTCCAGCTCTTTTTCTCTTTGTTCTCTTCCCTGTTTAGCTCTTTCATATAGAGCTCTTTCTGCGTAGATTTTGAATGGCAAAACAGGTCCAGCGAAATAATGCTGGGTTACTAAGTTCATGGAAAAACAAATGTATTGGAGATATTCCCATTTTTCTGCAACTAGTAGACATTGTATAGCAAATCCGACGATATTTGAGTATAAATGAATGTCCACGTCTTGGCGGGCTAAAAACCAAGCCACTTCGCTTTCTTCTTCAAATGCAGAAAAATTAGTGAGAGAGCCAGTTTGTTGTGGAGGCTTTGTTTCTGCTGCAAAACTTACAACTCTTGGTTTTTCGTTTTCTGCCTGTTTTTCTTTTTTCGATACCAAAAGTAGCAATAAATCTTCAGCAATGCAGGCTATATATTTTCACGATTGATTTTGTGCCATACTTTCTGGAGTCGTTAATGAGCTATTTAATACATTTCAAAGCGCTTTGGCGATATTTTCTAATTGTTTCCACGCTTTGCAGCTTGCTGCACAGTTAGAAGCTTTCATTAACGTCAATAAAACAGCTTCAATATTTTCGCCCTCTCTTGAATCTTCTTTTATAAGGCTCCCTACGTCCATAAATTTAATAAAAAATGATCCTTTAGACTCCTCAAATTTTCTGGAATTTTTCTTGATGAATTGTAAAGAGCTTTGCAATAAAAACCATTCAGAAGTCCATAAGGTTAATTCTAGATTGGTAAAAGAATGCTCAGGAGTAGGTGCCAAATACTCATCATCTGAGCCAGCTGTATCTTGTGAGCGGTTCGGTGGGCAGTCATGTTCTAAATTTGACAAAGAAATTGCTATTTTTTCTTCTAGTGGTGGCAATGCTGGGACCACAACTTGTGAGGAATTTAAAATGATGGTATCAATTACTGCACCTTTATCAATCATTGACCATAAACATTTACACATAAATTCAAGGTATCGAGGGTTATCTTTCATTGTATTGAGTTTGGCAAAGCCTGAGTCTGGGGCTGATTTAATCCCATTCCAAAACTCACTTAAATCGTCTATGATTTTTCGCTGGGCTTGTTTTGCTTCTTCAGGGGCTGTGATCGCGAGTAATGATTCTTTCATTTTGTCGTTAAGACCTTTGCTTATTTCTTGAAGCTCGATGTGCTGAAGCGTTATTTCGTATAATGATATAAATTCTTTTTCTTTAAGAGAAATCAGCTGAGGCTGGTCTGGCTGCTGTTGTTCGTATTTAAATATAGGAAGCTTTGTATTCATTGTAAGTGTCAGTTTTGGCTCATTTGAGCTTAAAAATGATTTTATATATAAGTTGGAAAAAACACAGGAAATTTTTCTGAAGGAAGAGTCCCATAAGTCATTAGGGACTTGCTGCAAACTAATATAGATTTTTGATAATAAGTGAAGCATTGTGCTGGAAGACCCTTCTAAGAAAAATTGCTGGTTTATTGTATTTAGAATTTCATGAAGAGTTTTCTTGATATTTAGAGACTGGTGAGTAATTATTGATAAATCTAACGCTAGCACCAATAAATTCGCTAATTTATGTTCTCGCTGCTGTCTATCTAGAATCATGATAGGCTTGTATGCAGGATTTCTAAGCAGTTTATTTCTTTCTTTTTGCTGATCTGACCTAATCAAGCATTCCACATATATCAAAATTGCCTTGCTTAGGTGTCTCAGCTCAGGATAAGACGAAGAATAAATTTTCTTCATATTCAGCCTTGACTGTAACAAATTAACCGCAAAATTTGGTTCTAAATAATGAGCAAGCACTTTTTCAATGGCTTGAAAAGAAATATACAAGTGCCCAAGCTCGAAGGCAGTTTCAGCTAAATAGCTCCACAATAAAGGTATCGGTAACGGAAAAAGAGTAACCACAGATTCACAAGTTTCTCCAATTCCTCCTATACATTCCCCTTCTTCTGTATATGCTGCTGCAGCAAAATGATAAGCCTCAAACGGTGTAAGCCCAGAAATGACCAAAACATTGTCAAATTCTTGCTTTACATTTAACCCTTCATAATCATAATTTGTTAGCGACACATTTGTCCCTGTTTTGGCTTCCTTTCCGAATAACGCCAAACTATTAACTGTTTTTACATTAAATTTATCAACAATTTTTGGCTTAAAAAATGGCAGTTTTACTGCAATAGAAGTTGGAGTGCGGGCAATTACAGTAGGCTTAGGTGGAGCTAATAAAGGTTTTGCTAAAGAATTATCAGCTAGATGCTTAAATGGGTAATAATTCAAATGGTTGTCCCCAGTTTGGCTGTTAAAAAGCTTGGCTGCCTCTACTTGTGGAGCATTTTCTGTAGCAATTTTTCCCATGTCTTTTTCCATTTTTTCGCAATTTTCGAGAAATTCCATTGCGTCTTTTAGGATAGATTTTTGTTCTTGGGAGTTTGTGCGGAATTTTGACATGTTGAGGTATAGTAAAGCTTGCTGGTATGGGTTCTTGGCATTATCAGAAATTAAAATCTTTTCTGTATGTGAAGGAGTCGCTTTCTTTGGGGGGAGTTTTCCTGATTCTTGTAAAGCTTGCTGGAGCTCTTGTGTGTCTTTTCTTATTTTTGTAGCTGTTTTTCCTTTGCTTAAACTTAATTTCGCTGTAATTCCTGCACTCAGCCCTTTAGTTGATAATGGTTTTAAGCTTTTTGATGTAAAAGTTTGGCTCACAACTGTAAGATCAGAAGTTTTGCTTTTATCAAGCTGAAGTTCACACCTATAAAGACTCGCCAAAGCTTCAGTGTGCAGATTAAACAGAATAATTTCATTTTCCGGGATCTGCACCATTTTATTAAACTGGCTGCTTTCTTCAACATTTTTTTCATTTTCTTTTATTTTTGTCAAAACTTCCCATTCCTCTTCTGCATATTCTTCTTCGTCTAATTCACGCTTCCTTACAGCGCTCCTTAAAGATCCTGCTACCCAGTGTTCCCATTGAATGCAGCTGCTTTTCATATCCATTCTGATATTTTTAACAGTCTCCAAGTCACAAGATATGCAAGAAGCTAAATCTTTGTCTAGGGCTGATCTTACACCTCTTTTCATTATATGTTCTCTGGCGTCTGAAGCTTGTGACACTACAATTCTCAGTGTTTGGACGCCATATCGTAAATTTCCTGACTCTTCTTGTAGCTGAGCAAGGTTTAGCCCTATATTTAGTAACGTAATAGGGTCTTGAAGATCTACACGAGATGTGAAAACTCTAAATAATACTTCTAAAGCTTGCTCAAAAGCTGGCCTAACCTCATTCCACCTCTGCATCACTGGGTCTTCTATTTCTCCTTGTCTGTATCTTTCAAAAGCAATCTCTTTTGCTTTTAATACAGGGTTTACAAAATTATCCCAAATTTTAAGGCAGACATCTAGCAATATGTCAGGTGAGCATTTAGAAAAATAATCCCCTGATGGACCAATGATGGCGTCTCCCATCTCTCTAGAAAAGTTATCTAGTAAGTTAACATCCCAATTCAAGCTTAAATGCTTATCTACAAGAGGAATTCTATCAGGCTCAATTGTGTCTTTGTTTTGTTCTAGCGCTCTAAGGGTATGCAAAACTCTATAATCCCTTTGCAGAGAGTGGACTTTTTCTTCAGTCCTATAGCAAATGTAAACATAAGTGTTATTTGGAACTCTTTCTTGGTCTTCAGGAGTTTGCCTTAAATCAATAGGGATTTTGATGTATCCTTCAGGAGGGGTGACGTCTGGATGTTTAGAAATTATGGCTTGGACATCAATAATTCGCTTTAAAATCATTTCTTCGTTTTCTGGCTTGAACTTGCTGACTACCATATATGGAACTTTTATAGTTGACTTATTGTATTGCTCAATAGGGATAGATACAGCTTTGTCGCCTGGGTTTATATTAGGCCCTGATCTTTCGTCAGCCATTTTTATTTCAATAGAAATCAGCGCGTCGTCTTCTGTTTCTTGTTTTTTCTGCACTAAATACACATAAGAATGGTCAATTTTTACAGTTGGCAGCTCTGGAGGTGGCTCAATCACATTTTTCTGCTGTGGGGCAGCTGCACCTTTACCTCTGGATTTTGGTGGCTCTTGTTTTTTCTCTTCCTTTTTATTTTCTTCCTTTCCTTTTTCCACTTGTTCTCTGACCCCCAGTCTAACCATTTCTTGCTTTAAATGGGCAATATTAAGATCCACATCAATTTTCTCAAAAGTTTTAGGGATTTTGCTGTCTGGCAATGCTGAATAGATCACATCTAAATCTTTCACTAGTGGTGCCTCTATTCTTCTATGTAAAAGTCTTATATCAGCCCACTCAGACAAATTATAAAACCAGTCCCAAAGTCTGCAATCATAAGCATGCTTTAGCAATTCTATATGAATTTCTAATGGAGCTGCTTGTGAAGCTTTTTTCCATACAGTTTCTTTAGTCATTAATGCATCAGCTTGTCTATTTGTAGCAAGCAAGGACTCCCTTGTGTGCTCAAGTGCAGGGTTTGCAGTAGTTTCTAATAGTCTGGTATCTCTTCCTTTTTTTTCGTAAATTTCCTTTAAAGCTTTTGCTACAACTTGTATGTCTTGCTGAACTAAATCAATTGCATAAGTAGTTATCAATGATTTCCAAGCAATTTTTTGCCCAGATTGCAAGGCAATTCTTGACTGGTCTGGCTTTACTAAATTTAAGCATTTTAATGCACATGCAATTTTTGATGGCTTTGCAGGAAATTCTTCTAGTCGCTTTTTTCATTGATCTGGGGTTAAAGTACCTAATAAGAGGCCATATTTCATGTCAAGAGATTTTACATGCTCTATTGCGGACACTAGGGCTTGCTTTATGACGTCTGGGACTGGGTTTTCTACTTCTTCGATTTCTTTTAGCTGCTGGACTTGCTTGCTAGCGTGAATTATAACTTTGCTGGCTGCTTTAAAAGCTCCAAGCTGTTCATATACTTCTGCAAGCTCTGTATATAAAGTAATTCTCCAGGGCAAGTGCTTAATTGAAGTAAGGATGATATTACTTTCCATTGTTACCATGCAGAATGCTAAATATTTCGTTGTATCTCGTGCATATTGGCTTTTACGGAGAAGCCTGCACCATTTAAAGATTTGATGAGTGCCATTTAGCATTGCCCAGTAGGAAGTTTCTTTGGTGTTTTCTGGCATTTTCAAGATTTTTTCAATTGAGATTTTGATTCGTTCCATTGCTTGTACCACTGAAGAAGCGGTGTCAGGCCTTTCTACGAATTTATCTTTTTTTAATAAATTTTCTAGCCAAGCAGAACTTTTAGAAATTTCTTGATCAAGCTCGGTTGATGCGGGAACGTAAACTTCACTCTCCATTTAAAACTTTATAACTGTTGGGAAATTATATATAACTATAATAAATTTATTAAATGCAATTGATAATTTGTAAATTTATTTAAATTTTCTCCTAATTTTAATTAAATTTATGTAAAATAATTATAAGGAAGCATCGCTATAAAATGACTCATGTTCATGAGAAAAATTTAAAAATTCTTCTAGTAATTTCATATGATTTTTTAAATTGTGAATTAATTATATTTTTTATTATGACTGATACTTGGCGAGTGAAGCTCACTCAGTGTAATCAAGCCATGCCTCAATGCCTTATATCCTGTTTTCTGGGATGCATAGGGATAGCTATTGTGCAAGTTCAAGCCTTCAACAAAATAGATAAACCCACTACGATGCCATGTATCTGTGCATTGGCTTGCTGCTGCTTTGGAACTGGCTACAACCGTAAAAAGCTAAGGCATCACTATAAGATCAAAGGAAGCTATTTTATAGATTGTATCCTCTATGCTCTTCCTATTTATTCTTGTTTAGCTGCCCAAGAATATGCTGAAGTTATTAAGCGAAAAGAAATTAGAATAGAGTCAGAACCAGTAGTAAAATTTATGATCCCACCGATGCTTTCTCCTGAACCTCAACCTAATCCTCCTTATGACAGAAAGTCAGAAGCAGATTCTGATCAAAAATCGTCAGTTTCAATAACTTCCCTTTAAAAATAAAAAAAATTTGTAAGGTTCCGTTTTTGGTTGAATTAACACTTTAAGCTAAAGTAAAGTTTTATATTTTATATGTAAAATAATAATGTATATCTTAATACTCAATATCAAAAAACAAAAGATTGCATATAGCTGAATCTATTTTAAATTAGGGCTCGGCTGAACACTATTTTAACAAATTAGAAATAAATTTTTGGAAAAAATATTTAATAAATTAACCACTTTTTAAGTTTAAATTGGAACTAATTATTTTGGGGTAGAGTAAGTGATATTAGCTTGTCAGGAAATGTCAATGAAGAAGTGGAAGTCCAAATAATTTCTCCCAAAGAGCACACTTTTGCTGATAATGACCCTCTCGCTTATATTGAAATGTATCCCTTGCACTACATGCAAAAAGAAACGGAAACTTCAATTGAAGTAGAAAATTCGATGGAAAGCTATGTGGATTTAATTAAGCCAGAAATAGGAATTTTGCCATTGGATGGGGATAATCCAAATGTGTATTCTTTTAAAATAGGCTATGGGCCATTCTCTTTTCTTAAAGGTGATCCCTACTACGAAGCTGGACCACCCCCGACATATATGACTCTTGAATATTTAAAAACCCCAAAGCCTACAGCGACTAAAGAAATTTTATATGGCCTTGAAGTACACAAAAATGGAGGACTAATTTGTGTAGATCAGGAAGCCATCAGCAAGCAAAAAGGAATTATAAAAGAAGTTATTGGCAGCATTATAAAAAATATTGCAAGTGGCCTTGGAGCAGTCATAATTAAATATGGCGTCTTCACCTGACATAGCCTCCGGCCATGTAGCTTCCGAGCACATATTTAATTATATCCGACAAGGGTTTTGCCAGCTCCAAATAGGGCAACAATGCTAGGTAAGCAATTCTGGTACTGTACAGAGCCTAGCCCATGCCCACTTTTAGAGTTGGATTTTTCCTCAAGGGTAAGGTGGGGTTCAGACTTGGAAAGGGCAAGCCCAGCAGCGTCTACAGGGAACACCTAGACCATTCGGGCAATTGCCTAGCGTGAAACCGGGCGTTAAGTCCCGGGGTCTGGACTTTTACCTTTTGCCGATAGGCGACCAGAAAATTTCATTTTTTGAAATTTTTGTTTGGCCAGCCTTGACACGCAGCAGCCGCAGAAGTCCATAGCCAGCCCACTCAACATATCGCCCGAAAAGGGGAGGAGAAGACGTCTTTGGGGAAATCGGCACTTCTGATGTCCATGGCAGCAGGGTCTCAAGAAGATGAAGGAAGGGGTCCGAGCTGAACAACTGCCCAGCGAATCCTTTTCCCAGTCGATCAAGATGGAACCGGAGATGGCGCAAAGCTGGTGAACCCTCATGGGTCCTTGGTGACTGCGTTAACAATATGGCAGCCGCCTTCTAGTAATAATGTTAATGTTAATGGCCTTGGAGCAGTCTCAATTTCATTGCCAGTCCGAATTTTTGAGCCTAGAACAGCTGGAGAGCGACTAATCGACAAGTTTTCATTTGCCACAATTTTTTTGAACCAAGCTGCGCTATTAGATAACCCTGTAGACCGCTTCAAAAGGGTTATGGCTTTTGCAGTCAGTGGCTTATATCTAGGAGCTCGCCAAGAAAAGCCTTTTAATCCTTTGCTTGGAGAAACCGTCCAATGCCATTTTCCAGATGGCACTGAAGTATATGTAGAGCACACTTCACATAACCCACCAAGAGACCATTTTGACGTCATTGGCAAAGGATATAGGATGTGGGGATACTTAGAATTAGACGGGACACTAAGCTTTAATACACTTACTGGAGAATTTAGAGGAAATACATTTATTTATTTCAATAATAGCGGACAATTAGTCAAATTTACACAGCCAAAATTGAAATTAGGAGGAATGATGACTGGAGATAGGACACTTAATTGGGAAGGAGAATTTGAATTTAAGGATCAAAAATCAGGGCTGTATGGGGCTATAAGGATTGGAGACGATAAGAATAAATGGGCGTTGAAAAAGAAAAAAATGAGAAAAGATGATTTTGTTGGGAAAATTTGGGAATTTAATTATGCGGAAAGTAAGCAGGTGAAAGCGCTGGCGACTGTGACTGGGTCGTGGATGAAGAAGTTTGTAGCTTTTGGGGAAAAAAAAGAAAAGATCTGGCAGATTGATAGAGATCTTCCTATTAGACACATACCAGTGGATATACCGTTGCCAAGTGATTGGAGATATAGAGAAGATCTAATATGGCTAATTCTCTCAGTTAAATTTTTTTTAAAAAAATTATTATATAAATTTTAAAAAATCCCAAAAAATCAAAAATTAATTTAAAACTGGAAAATTTGTGTGTTTAAATGCAAGCTGTTTAAAAATCAACAGAATTAGCCAAAGTTTTTATTACACTAGTTATCACTAATATATCAAAAATATTTTTTATATTTTATTCTGTCACAGAGGTGGGCTTCTAATCAAAATAAAAATTTTTTCCAGGTACGAAGGGTGGTATTAAGCAAAAAGAATTTAGATTATGCTTCGCATTGGAAAGGTAGAATTGAAGCTAGACAAAGAGCAGATCGTGCGCTAAGAACTGAGCGCTTATTGAGAAGCTGGCTGTAATTCTGCAAGGACTATATCCGCCCGCACGCTCCCTTTGCCTATTTGCCTTTCTAACAGCGGCTGCTCTTATAGACGAGGTTCTGCACTTGCTCCCCAGTAGCTGAGTGAGCTTGTTCATCGTACAGCATGCCAACAGGGTTGTCCACAATTGAAAATGGGTTGAATTTTCTGGCTGATATCGGCCAAAAAGGAAATTCAAGCCCAGGGATAACTCCTGGTATCACGCTGGGGAGCAATCCTTATTGGCCAGGATGAACACCCCTAACACTGCTGAGATAACCTTTTCCAACTCTCAGACCCATTTACCACTGATGTTAATTAGCCCGGATTTGGATTAATGCTTGCGATCGGTTAATTCGACATTGCGCTTTACCAAGCCAGGAAAAACTGGCTAAATACGCATTCCCAAGCTTCATCCTCAAGATCCCTACATGCCAGCTACAGGAGTTTAGAGGGTGGGTTGGTTCGTCACTCCATTTTAATATATGCTAAAAGCTGAGCGCTTAAAAAAAGAAATAATTTTTTTTATATTTGAAAAAATCTTCAATTATAACCCTTAAAAACTTATATTTTTTAGATTAAATTTATCATAAAATATTAATAAATATTTTCCATCAGGCATATTAAATGGGGCTACCTTAATTAATTCGCTCATTTTTAAAATAAGCCCGCAAAAATTTATCGAATCGCTTTTCCTTTATAAAGAAAGTGAAGTAAAAAGAGAAGTTTAAGAAAAAGATCAAAAGATTTATAACAAAATTTAAGTAAAAATGAAGAATATGATATTAGAACCTCATGAGAGGAGCTCTAGGCAGCAGCAAGCAAAAATATTCCCATTATCTTTATCTCCATCACTCTCAAATACTTTTTTTAGCACGATCTCAAAAGCTGCTTCTCATCTCTGAAGATTTTTATTTCCAAAGGCAGAAATAAATTCAATAGATCGAACCTCATCATTTCCTCCAAAACTTATACCTGTTTGCCAAGAATAGCCCACTAAGGAGCATTTTTGGTTCGCCATTCTTAAATTTAGTTAGCCAAAAAATATGCCATGCCAAGGAATTTGGCAAGCCAGCTATTATTATCCGCCAAACAAAAAATGCTCCTTAGTGGGCTATTCTTGTAAATAAGTATAAATTAATTGAGCCCATATCTCAATTTATAATCAGAGAAGATATAAATAAATTACCTGATAATTTTGATACAGAAAATAATCAAAATTTCATAAAGCATGGCTCAGTCCCTTTTCAATATGAGCCAAGCCCTAACTCCCCCCCCCTCCGTGAGCGAACAAAACATTAGAAAAATCGCCATTTTTTGACCAAAAACCCACCCTCCGTGAGTGAACAAAAATTTTTTTAATAGAAAAAAAATTTTAATGGGAAAAAAATTTTGATATATAAGTGATAATTAGTATAATGAAATCTAGAGCTAATTCTGTTTAAATTTTAAACAAATTGCGTTTTAAAACATAAATTTTGCAAATTAAATTAATATTTGCTTCCCAATTTTTGCAAATTAGGATTTTTTTAAATTTCGAAAAAAATATTTTTTATAAAATTTATATATAAATTTTTTTTTTAAAAAAAAAAATTAACCCCCCTCCGTGAGCGAACAAAATTTTTTTGTTCGCTCACGGAGGGGGGGGGGAGTAAGAGCCTTGGATGCAAAAGGAAAATACCAGAGAGCCAGCTAGAAGAAGGAATAAAAAAAGTCAAGGTTAATAATGAAGATTTTGAGTCTCAAACAAATTTTTTAAAACCAGAATTACCAAATATTTCAAAAGACAAAAAACGAGCTCCAACACCTTATAAACAAACCAATTCAAGTAAAACTGATAGCAAACTTAATATGAAAACAGTTGACAAGAAATTAAAGGAAAGCGAAATTTTTGCAAAAAGGTATGAAGAATATTTTAAGGACATCGATTTTAGGACTATAAATGAAATTGGAATTAAAGAAAACAAAAAAATAGAACCTCAAAATGATAAGTTTGCAAAAGAGGAAGAAAAATTCAAATATAAAAATAAAGATTGGAATTTGAATGAAGAAGCTTCAAAAGAGCAAAATGAAATTATAAGCAGCAATTGTGCAGAAACGCAGCGTTTAGATAGTGAGCACAAAAGAAGTGTAGAAGATAGAAATATTGATACTAACCCAAAATATAAATTTGCTAAATGCGTACCTAAATTAGCAATGAGCTCTGATTCTGTTATCAGTATAAATCAAGACAAAAGAAACGAAAATTTTTGAATTAGCCCAAGTAATCTGCATAAAGAAAAAACTATTATTTCAGAAATTTCTCCATTTGAAGCAAAAGATGCAAACAAAAGATCAATTGCATTAGAAAGACAAAGCAGTAATTTAATCGCAAATAATAAAGATAGAAAATTAATAGAGAATCCGTTTTGTGCTAGCGAAAAAAAGCAAGAATTCCCAAATGGAGAAGAAGGGGTATTTAAAACGAATTTTTATTTTAATTTTCGAAAGGATAACGAAGAAGGTTCTTTCACTCCTCGAAAGAAGTAAGAAATCAAGTCTTAAATAATTTTAGATCTTTTTTATCAAACTTCAATTAAAAGTTCTAAGAAATTAATTAGAATTATCAAAATAATTTGAAAACAAGACAACAGTAAATCATGAATAATGACCATAGTATATTTATCAATAAATTCACCAGGTTTGTAGATAAATAAGAAAAATACATCAAAATGTGATAATTTATAAATTCTTCTTTGATATTTCAAAACAAAATGAAGAGACCAACCGATGGATTTCATAATGAACGCTTTTTAATAAAAATTAATTATTCTATCAACATCATGGAATCCAAGAATCCAAGAAAGCCTGAACAAAACAGCCTTCACTCCTCTAAATCTTCAAATATATTAAACGTCAAAAGGAAAAGTTTAGGAGATCTTCCACAAAAAAATTCTCACAAAGGAGTTCTTGTGACTTCAGGCACCTCATCCCCTCAACTTAGTTTTTTTTTGCATGAAAAATCTCCTGATAAATCAAAATTAAGAAATATTCGTTCAAGTTCTGCATCTCGGCAAGCAAAATTAAATGTTTCTAAAACTGAATCCAAACGACTAATACTAAAACCTGGTTTACCAAGCAGAATTACTTCTCCACAAAATGATAGTTTGAGTGGCTCATCAAACTTAAGCAGCGCTATTTCAAGAAGTAATACTAATTCAAGGTTAAAAGTGCCAATATTTACGAATTCTTTGGTAAACGAAATAAATCAAGTCCGTCGAAATCCGAAAGCCCCAATCCGAAGACCATTTAGATTGAGACCAGGTAGTGGACAACGCGCCGGGAACCTCTAAGTAAGGACAGAAGCCTGTCCAGATAATGTGGTATTGGACGTTAAACGAGAGATAATATATAGCTAACTAAGTGTTAATAAATAAATCCCAACAAAATTAATGCAGAAGTGTAAAATTCAGGATTCTAAATCTGATCCAGAAGCTCTTGATATGAAACTATCGCAGGATCTTGCTGCTTGTAAAGGCTCAGAAGATCTAAAATTCATGGCTTATCAAAAATTATTTGATGAAATCATCATAAATGATAAAGAATTTAGCAAATTGCTTATGAAAATTAAAAGTGCATACGAAAAGATGATTTCCAAAAGTTATTATGACGACTCAAAAGAAATAAAACGAGATAACATAGAGCTCACCTTAAAACTCGAAGAAAAAAACGCTTTAATTAGTAGTCTTGAAAAAGAAAAATTAGAAATTTGAAAGGAGTTAAAAAAACTCAAAAAAGAATTAAACGCATTTAAATATGATGAAAAAGAGCCTTCAAGATTAAGCCAAAATAAAGAAATTTCTGCATTAGAAAAAGAAAACAAAGATCTGCTTAAAAGAGAAAAAAAATACTTACTCCCCCTCCGTGAGTGAGCAAAAAATCTTGTTCACTTAATTTTTTTTTAAAAAAAAAATTATATATAAATTTTGGAGAACTTTTTGGGACGGCAAAAATACTGCAAGGCTCTGCAAAAAACTGCAAGGCCAGTAAAAAAATGGCAAAGCCAATCAAAAAAAAAATGCAAAACTTGCAAAAATTTTGCAAGTTTTGCAAAAACATTGGACAAAAGCAAAAGCAATTTAAAAAAAAAGCAAAGCCATGCAAAAATTTAAAAAAAATGAAAAATTTCGCAAAGCAGGCAAAACTTTTGCAGGGTGGCAAAAAAGTTGCAAAAATTGGCAAAAATCACGATTAGAAAATTTAACAGTAAAATTTAATAATTTATTGGAAGTGTAGTACAATGTTAAATTATTTAAAAAACATATAATATAGAAAAAATAGAAATTAATTTCGTGAAATAAATGCTAAAGTTTAATACAAATATCTTTTAAAGAATTTTCTAAAAGCATGACTTAAAAATTTTAAAAATTTGGAAAATTTAATTTTGGCAAAATTTTAAAATGAGATACAACAAAGTGTTTTGCCAAAATTAAATTTTCCAAATTTTTAAAATTCTTAAGTTATGTTTTTGGAAAATTCTTTAAAAGATATTTGTATTAGACTTTAGCATTTATTTCACGAAATTAATAATTTCTTCGGGACAAAATGGCGTTTTTCGCGCCAAAGTGAAAGGAGTTATCCTGAGTTGCTTTTGAGAAAAAGCAAACAGTAAAGGTGAGGAAATATGCGTCAGCATAAATTCTTGCAGTGATGAATTATTTTTTTGGGCTTGAAAAGTTGCAGATGTGTAGTTTTTCTAATGGCCGATTTTGGAGGAATGCAAATCGGTGATTCATTGGGATAAAACTCGGCCTCTGTAACCTTGAAAAGTCCTTCTGTTGTTTTTTATTGAAATTGAAGTTGGTGTTGAAGTTGATGTTGATGTCGATGTTGATGCTGATGTTGGCATGTGCTGATGCTGGTGTTGATGTTTGATGTTGACGTTTGATGTTGATGCTGAAGTTATGAAGTTTACAAAGTTTATGAGGTTTATGAAGTTTTAGAAGTAATTGGTCTCTTATGAGGCGATAACCGTTAAGTATTAGTATTAGTATTTCACGAAATTAATTTCTATTTTTTCTATATTTATATGTTTTTTAAATAATTTAACATTGTACTACACTTCCAATAAATTATTAAATTTTACTGTTAAATTTTCTAATCGTGATTTTTGCCAATTTTTGCAACTTTTTTGCCACCCTGCAAAAGTTTTGCCTGCTTTGCGAAATTTTTCATTTTTTTTAAATTTTTGCATGGCTTTGCTTTTTTTTAAATTGCTTTTGCTTTTGTCCAATGTTTTTGCAAAACTTGCAAAAATTTTGCAAGTTTTGCATTTTTTTGCTTGGCTTTGCCATTTTTTTACTGGCCTTGCAGTTTTTTGCAGAGCCTTGCAGTATTTTTGCCGTCCCAAAAAGTTCTCCATAAATTTTTATATAGAAAAAAATTGTTTTGGGAATTTAAAAAAATCTTAATTCGCAAAAATTTGAAAGCAATTATTTATTTAATTAGTAAAATTTAAAATTTAACAGAATTAGCTCTAGATTTCATTATACTAATTATCACAATTATATATCAAAAATTTTTTTCGCTCACGGATGGTAGGTTTTTGGGCAAAAAATAGGGATTTTTCTAATGATTTTGTTCGCTCACGGAGGGGGAGTTAAAGCTTTTTTCTCTATTAAAATCCAAAGGATATCCTATTGACGAAGGATTCGCCTTTCTAAACTCTAAAAATCATAACTCCCCCTCCGTCGGCAAACAAAATTATTAGAAAAATCCCTATTTTTGCCCAAAAACCGCCCAATTTTGTTTATGAAAAAAATTTTATATATGTATAATAATTATTATAACGAAATCTCTAGCTAAATTCTGATTAATTTTAAACAGCTTGCTTTTTAAAATATAAATTTCGCAATTAAATTAATTCTTTTTGCTTCTCATTTTTAACAAATTGAAAATTTTTTTAAATTTTGAAAAATAAAAATTTCTATAAAGTTTACATTTAAAAATTTTTAAAAAAATAAATTAATTCTAGGCGAGTAAACAAAATTTTGTTGTTCGCTCACAGAGGGGAGGGCTAAGAAGCTTTCAGATTTTCTTAATAAATCAAAAGAAAGCATTAACGAAACTGTATATAGCAATCGTCAAGAAGATTCAGAAGGAAGCAGTACAGCTTGTGAGAAAAAATCAAACAGGATTAAGCCTCCACATTGCAATCGCCCAAATCTATGCTCCACAACTCCAGTCCCAAAACTTTCTTCATTTAACTCTACCCAAATGAGTTTTCAAGAAGAATTTATGTCAAATTATGATAAATTTTCCGAATCTTGGCGTGGCCAAATTCCCAAAAAAGACATTCCTTTATAACTACTATAAATTTTCTAATAAATTTTTAATAAATGCCTCGAGACTCCAAAGGCAAGAACAAAAAATGGTCAAAACATAAAGGAAAAGACTACGGAAGATCAAAGCTTGAAAAGCTCCAAGAACTTGCCGCTAAAAGAGGCGTAGAAGTCTGGGAGATCGACCCTAACGAAATTTCTTCTGGCGATGAGTCAGAAGAAGAGGAAGGGATAAATGAGGCAGAAGAACACGAAGAGGAAGAAACCAAAACTCCTCAGGAAGAAAATAAAAAAGTAGAACAAGAAGACAGCGACGAAGAAGAAGACAAATATGAAGGAGAAGTTGTGGTCGGACATCAAGGACTCATGGAAATATCTAACCCAAACAGAGCAAGAGGAATACCTAAATCTTGGGATCCTCCACAAGAAAGCGGAAATAGAAGAGGAGGGTATAAAGGACAAGAAGAAGGGAAAAGCAAAGGGCCAAAAGTTAGTAAATCTGATAAAGAAAGACTTGAAGAAATAAGAGCAAGAAGAGACGCAGCATCGAAACAAAGAGAAGAAAATAAGAAAAAACAAGAAAAGCTTAAAGAAGAGGCTTCGAACAAGTTTAAGAAAAAATAAATAACCAGAGTAGTTGGTGTTTAAGAGAAAGATAATAAGGGATTTATCTAATAAATAGAGGGATCATAAATGGCTAGCTCGATAGGTAAAGCATTTGCTGCGGACCCCAAGATTGAAAAAGACGATCTAATGGACTACATGCACTGGGTTAAACAAGTCCTTGGCCTGATTTTCGGAATTATTGCTGGAAGTATGAAATTTACAGGTTTCCCAGTAATTATTATATTTGCAATTGCTCTCAGCGCTGTATCCCTGTTCTATGCTTGGAAAATCATCCAAACCGAAGAAATTGAAGCCTGGGACATCGTTTCTGAAGCATTTGGACCAGCATTTTTCAGCTTTGTCCTTGCATGGATATTATCATACACATTCCTATAATAATTTAGTTTATGAAATTATAATTAATCTAGTTTAAGGTTTTGACTGGTAATAACATTTGGCTATATTGAATTATGCAATTTTCAAATCGATATCGAAAAAAATGCATTTCTTTATAACTACTATTTTATTTAATAAGAGTGATGCACAATTTTAAACTGCTAGTACCTACTTTTTAAATGTTTTTAAATTAAGTTTCTTTGCTCAAATATATAATTTCCATGAATTTTTATATAAACTTTCGTATAAATAGTTAATAAATGCCTCGAGACTCCAAAGGCAAACACAAAAATGGCTAAATATAAAGGAAAAGAATATAGAGGATCAAAATTTGAAAAAATCCTAGAGCTTGCTGCAAAACAAGGTGTAGAAGCCTGGGAGATCGACCCTAATGAAATTTATTCTGATGATGAGTCAAAAGAAGAGGAAACGATAAATGAGGCTAAAGAGCACGAAGAGGAAAAGACCAAATTTCTTCAGGAGGAAATTACTAAAGAAGAGCTAGAAACTTTGAAAGTAAGAAGAGAAATGATAGGAGCGATGCTAAAAGATGTTGAAGAACAAGAAAAATACAAGCCTTATTAATTTGTGTAAGAAAAATAACTAATATAGTTTTGTATTGGAGAAAGATAATAAGGAGTTTTGCCTAAGGTAATGGCTAAATGAAGCATGGGATTTTGCTTCTGAAATATTTGACCCAGTATTTTTAGATTTGAGCTTGCATTGAATAGTCATAAAACCCCTATAACACTTAAATTTATGAAATTCTTATTAACCTAATTTAAGGTAATTCACTAATAGTAGCTTTTGGATCGTCCACAGTAACATTTAATATATAATTTCCATATCCTCTTTCTCCTTTATACATACTTGCACATACAACTGTAAAAGAATTTCCTTTATCAAGCGGTACCTCAGCGCTTACTACTTTTAAGTCAGTAGGGCATCCTGATGTTTTTAATATATTTTTGCTAGGATCTTTGACACGTTGGTTTCCATAAAAAATCATGAATATTATGGGGAGTTTTCCTTTAAACATATCAACAGCTTCTTTTTGGGTTAGGACTATAAATGCAGTACATGGCTTGGATACTTTTATAAGATATTGTGGGTTATCAGAAAATTCAACTTGTGGGTTATCTTTGCAAGGAAGGCCTGCCGCTCGTTTTCCACTCCATGCTCCTTCAATTTCATTCAATTTATTCCATTTTTTATCATCGAAAATTCTGCAGATATACAATGATTTATATTCCCATACAAAATCGTCTAAGCACATTCAGAAAATCCCATCATCTTTTTCTTCAAATTTAAGCTTTTCTTTGAATTTTTTGGTCCATTTAAAGCTGCTGTCACACCAGTCTCCACGCCATTCTGTTCCATACTGTCCATGAGGGTTTTTTAAGTTGATAAGCCTTTCTCCATCGAGCTCAATTATATTTAATATTGCATAAGCATGGCCCTGAACTATCCCATTTTCAGAAACAGCTAAATCGCCTTGAGGGTTTTCAGGTGAGCCTGCGCCCATTAAATACCCGTTTTCATAAAAGTTAAGCATTTTGCTCCACAAGGCGTCTGAGTTGTTTTGAGCTGATTCTAAACGAATTTCTTCAGGTGCTCCTTTAGTAAGGTCTTCAAGAGCATAGTGAACTTTTCCAGCAGCAATGGAATCATATGAGCCATATAATTTTGCATAAGCTTTTTCTAACAGCATTGGCCATAGTTCAGTCCCAGAAACTGTTCTTGCAAAGGCCCATTCACCTTGCTCGTTAATTGGAAACACATCATCAACAATAATGTAAACCTCATCACCATTTCTATAAAATTTCATTATATATGCTCCGCATTTTGGATCAGGCTTTTCTCCTTTAAAGATGTTTTCGACCCTATTTAGGCTTTCTCCTGAGGCATTATTTGGTTGTTCTTTCGGATTTACCCCTAAAACACAAAGAGCGCTTAAAAAGTAACAATCTCCTAAAGCACCTTGTTTAATGTCTTCTGGGGACACTCCGCCTTCATATAAAGTGGATTCATCACCAGCTCTTTTCCAGCCAGACACAAAATGACTGCTTTTTTCTCCAAGAGATTTTTTATCGGCGGGGAATTGCTTGTCAATGAATTTTTCATGAGTCGCTCTAAACCTTTCAACGATTTTTTGATATTTTTCAGGGCTATCAACCATCTCATCAATAGGAATGTCTTGGCGATTTTGCTGCTCTTGTTTAGCTTTTTGTCTCTGCTCATGGATTTTTTTGGCTGTTTCCATACGTTTCAGCATAGCTTTTCTTTCGACTGATTCTCGTTTTTTGATTATTTTTCTTTCTTCAGCGAGCTCTACTTTATATTGCTCCTTTATACTTTCAAATCTGATTCTTTGTATTGGATTAAGCTTTTCAAGCTGCTCTTTGGCTCTTTGATATTTTTCAAATATTGATCCTCTTGGTCCTAAATTAATTTGAATCCCAAAGGCTTTAAGCTCTACAGCTTTCGCAGTAAACAAGCTATTTAAAAACATAATTTCATTGCTTTTTGATGATACAGCTCCAGATAAAATTAATAACTGGAAGTTTATCATCAATTCTATCTCTTGAACGTATTGCTTTTTAGCCCTCTTTTCTTCTTGATGGATTTCAGCATAAATATCTCTTAAATTTCCTAATTCTCTTGAAGATGACCTCCATGCTTTATTTTCATCTTTTTTAGGAACTTCAAAAATTGTTTTTTGCCTTATGGCTTGAGCCATATGATTTAAGTGGTTTATTTTGTCTTTACTTTCAGCATAAGAGGCAAAATCTTCTGCTCTGGAAGCTCCTTTTTTCATTAAATAGTTTTCTTTAGCCTCAAGCCAAGCTTTTTTCATTGCTTTGGGATGGGTGGAAGGGTTCACATATTTATAAGCAGTCCCAAGCTGTACTGGAGAAATTCCAGTTATAAAAATAAATACTAAAGCTATTAAAACTTCAGCTAAAGAGCCAATAGCTATGCCAGCAGAAACCGGATCAACCCAAATTATACAAATAACTCCATATATCATGATAAGTCCAATAGTGCCACACATCATAAGTCCAAGCTCGTTATATTTAATTAATCTATCATTTTTAGTCTCATATTTGTATATAGGGAAAATCCATGGTGAAAAAAATATCGGCTCAGTCCTCATACGATGAATTGAGGTAAATAGAGAAATTGACGAACATATAAAGATAAAAGCGACACAGGTATAGTAAGATATTGTAAAACCTGCATAAATTCCAAGCCTTTCTGTTAGGTAAAGACCAACGGCTAATCCAGTCCAAGACACTAAAAATATAAAAATAATTGATAAATATTTGAGGATAGAACTCTTCCACCAGCCCTTATATACAAACTTGAAGAGCCTGTAAATATGATCAAAGAGGAGATGAAGGATAGTGAGACCAAAAAATGCTATAGAAAAAGAAGCGCCATATTTGTATGTTCCATCAACAGCGTATATAATTCCTGCTTGAAGTCCCAAAAATATAAGCATATTCAAATATGAAAGTATTGCTCCGTAATCATTTCTGTGTAGCCTTCCTGTGAAAAATGCTTTGACAAAGTTTGTTTCTTTTTTCCATTCCCTCAATAATTTTGGAGTTGATTCTCTTACCTGACCCAATTAATAGCAAGCAAAAATGAATTATTCTTCCAAAACCCCAAAGTTTTAAAAATTTATAGATTAATAATAATTATAGTAAGCCTTATATTTTTCAATAACAGAATCTGCAACTTTACAAATCAATATTAAAAATATCTCCTAGAATTTTTAAGTTATAGAGCAAATCGACTTTGCTATTGCACGTAGTTAGTGTATCGATATTGATCATTCCTGATTTAAGCTTCATTTCTTCTCTTTTATCTAGTGCCACTATATATGTTTTTTCCAGACTTTTTTCTTCCTTCAGCTTTGACTCAGCTTCAGCAAGCTTCATTTCTTGCAATTGCTTATTTGTAAGTGTCATACCAACCATTTGAGCCATAGATGGTTTTCCATCTTGGTCTTGATTTACCATCATATTCAACAAATTTTCTTGGTATTCACTAATTCTATTTATCAGCTCATTATCTTGCTCGATTTTTTTCTTAGTTTTATTATTATATTCAGCCACATCCATCACAATGGAATGATCATTTTTCAAATAGTGATAATAAAAATTCATATAAGATGCTACAATAACTGGCATGAAAAAGAATAGCATCATTATAGTAGGCTTATAAGTTGCTAAATAAATAGCAATTCCTGATACAAAAATAACCCCACTTGTCAGAGTTATCACTATCCAGTATAAGTCGACTTCTTTAAAAAGCATAAAATATTCAACTCTGTCTTGCACTCCTTTCATTTTTCTTATAAAAAGTCTTAAAGATACCAAAATCCCAAGGAGAATAAAGGTAAAAGTAATTGAAGTGATTCCAATCAGCCAAAGTGGGTAGTCATAACCTGAAATGGTTAGACTTGTGAATGGGATGTCGGATGGGTCAACCAAACTATCAATGACAATAACAATACAATAAGTAATTGTCATAAATAAATATACAAATTCTCCTGATTTCGATATATCTTTTTGCTGAATTTTAGTTAAATCCTGCTTAATTGCGGTGGATGCTAATGGGAAGCGGACATCGATTAAATTTAAAAATAATATTGCGCTAAATAAAATGTAGGCTAATGAATAGCCAAGAAACCATCATTCGCCAGTCCAAATAAAAATGCATAATCTACAGGTCACTGCTATTAATGTGGGTTCAAAAGAACCTTCAGAAAGTCCTGATTTCATAAATAGATATAGCCCAATATCTGTTGTCCCTATTAAGAAAAAGTTCAAAAATCCTAGGGCTTCGTATTCTGTATAGAACCAAGCTAAAATTCCATAAACAGCTAAAACTATGAGGGAAAATAAATATAATAAGGATTGAGCTAGCCTTTTGTGGTTATTAAACCATGTACTGTCAAAAAGTGCATGAATTCCTCCAGATAAAGGCGAGTAGCTAAACTGCTCATCAGCTTTATTAACTGTAAAAAATTCATAAATTTCCCCTTTAGAGACCACCACAGAGTCTTTTTTCTGGTTTTCTAAAATTTCTTTAATTGAACCCTCAGGCACATTCATTGGGTCACCATCAGGCAATTCATTTATAAAAGTGTTTATAGTAACTCCTCCTTTAGATCTCACTATATAAATAAGCATAACTATTACAATGCAATTTGAAGCAATGAAAATGCTCGAAAGTCCAAAGAACCATACTTGGTCTTGCAAAAACAGAACTTCAATTTGGAAGGCCATATAAAGAGCAGCTCCAAGGAGAATTGATAAAATAGAGTACCAGCTGATTTTATAGCCTTGCCATTTAATTCTAAGCGCACCTGATAAGAAAAACATAGCAGAAAAGCATATAAGAAATACTGAAATCCCAAGAACATAATCGTATTTTCCGCCAAATTGAATTTCGTTGTAAAGAAGAGAGCCAGTCCAGCATAGTAATGTAATTATAGGCCATGCTAAAATAGTGAGAATTATGAATTTCAGGAATGAGATACTTCGACTGAGGGCTGATGGGTCTTTTAAAAATTCTCATAATCTTGATGCAATGTAAATTTCAATAAAGCGGTGATCACCTTTGATTTTTTTCATAAACCCAAAGAAGATTGCTAGTGAAAAAATAAAGAACACACCCATTTCTGGAGCGATGCTGGGGACGTCTATAAAGCGAGTTGTAACCATTTTATAACTGCTAAAGGCTTAGATTCTTTACTCTATTTAGCAATTTTTTGTATTAGTTTTGCTATTGCATGTCTTTTATTTCGATAATGCTCGTTGATTAATATATAGTCAGTATAAAAGATATTCAGATAATAATTTAATATGAAATTAGTTTATTTAGCTGCATTCTGAAACTGTTATAATAATTTATTTTTAGTTAAATCATATTTGTTATATTAAAAACTTTAACGATTAAGAATAGGCTCTAAAATTTCTTTTTCTTATAATTATGCAATAGAAATAAGGTAGTGAATTTGCTCAAAAAAAATTGAATTCATTGGGAATATCAAGGACTTAAATTTATACACACATAAATAGGGGGTATATTTGAGTAATTCTGAGCTAAATGACTTGAGATTTTGCTATAATATTTTATATTCTAAAAAAGTAGACTTACTCCTCCCTTTAAATTGGAGCAAAATATCGGTAAAATTTCGATTTCTATGATTCACTTGTTCAGATATATCTGAAAGCTCATATCTTCATGATAATACGTAAATTAGCCTCTTTAAATTAAATGAAATTAATTTTTCACATTAAAATATTATTATATATAAATAATAGCTTTTCTGAATTTTAAAATCACCAGCATTATACATATTTAAAAAAAAATATAATCTCTATCAGATTAATTTATTATAATTTTATAGAGGAGTTAGGATATATTGATTCTAATGATAAAACTTCAAGTTTTGAAAATAAAATTTGTTGAGAGCAAGAAAGTTTATAAAAAAGACACAAAATATATATTAATAATTATTTAATTTGAATCCAAATAATTCTGTTATTTATAAAAAGTTTAATTCAAATATACATTTATATTAGATTAGAGTTTTTACCCTAATCAATTGCATATTGAAGATTTAAAATCAAAAGCAATAGTAAAAATAATTTGTTTACTCAATTTAAAATTTACTTTCGTAAACAAACAGCAATAAATGCTCATTCTGAAGGTAGTAGAGAGAGCATTTTAATGCACTTTTATTTGATAAAAAGAGATAAGCTTCTTTTCTTAACTCCCCCCCCTCTGTGAGCGAACAAAACCATTAGAAAAATCGCTATTTTTTGCCCAAAAACCCACCCTCAGTGAGTGAACAAAAATTTTTTTTAATAGAAAATTTTTTTATGGAAAAAAAAAAATTGATATATAAATGATAATTAGCATAATGAAATCTAGAGCTAATTCTGTTTAATTTTAAACGAATTGCTTTTTAAAACATAAATTTTATGAATTAAATAATATTTGCTTTCCAATTTTTGCGAATTATGATTTTTTTAATTTCGAAAAATAATATTTTTTATAAAATTTTATATATAAATGTTTTTAAAAAAAAAAATTAACCCCCCCTCCGTGAGTGAACAAAATTTTTTTGTTCACTCACGGAGGGGGGAGTAAGATAAATTAAAACACCGCCACTAGAGTAAACTCGATCGCCCGGCTAGTTTTATGTAAATCGAACTAATAGATAATATGAGAAATTAGTAGTTTTGATTAGATTGACTGCTCAAGCTATTATTATTTCATTGCATGCTTAGAAGGGTAACCTTTTTTTATGTTTTAGGTTATTAAGTCTTTGAGGATATAATTTCAAAAGTTTTTGCTTTAAAAAATTTTGATTAATTGTTTCCCATAAGCAGAGCAAAATCCAATATTCTAATTTTATTATAGAGCGTAAATTTCATTTTCCTCATTGCTTCCCAAAAATTGGATTTCATCATCCATTTATGTTTCTTATAATTTAAATTCATACCTAACTCCCCCCCCCCCCTCCGTGAGCGAACAAAACCATTAGAAAAATCGCCATTTTTTGACCAAAAACCCACCCTCCGTGAGTAAACAAAAATTTTTTTAATAGAAAAAATTTTAATGGAAAAAAAATTTTGATATATAAGTGATAATTAGTATAATGAAATCTAGAGCTAATTCTGTTTAATTTTAAACAAATTGCGTTTTAAAAACATAAATTTTGCAAATTAAATTAATATTTGCTTCCCAATTTTTGCAAATTAGGATTTTTTTTAAATTTCGAAAAAAATATTTTTTATAAAATTTATATATAAATTTTTTTTTAAAGAAAAAAATTAACCCCCCTCCGTGAGCGAACAAAATTTTTTTGTTCGCTCACGGAGGGGGGGGGGGAGTAAGCAATTTCTGATATCCTCTTCGAAATCAATTTTAATATTTTCTCATTCTTCTCCACTTAAATATAAATTTCAAAACCATATTCCTTGATATATCTCTCTATATTAGATTGACAAAACGCTGTTATTTTATTAATATAAAAGCAGATAGATGCTAACCATAGAATTGAACCGATTAAATATAAACGGGGATATAATATTATAGCTATCTTCAAATGTCCAACCTTTTAAATTTCTTGAAATTTTGCTTTCTTATGATTATTTTTTAATCATCCAGAAACTTGAAGCTTTACATTAACTGAAATTCATTTTTACATGATAAGTTTGCTTTATAAAGCAATATTTTAAAAATTACCCTTTCCTTAAATTTCCAATATGCATTATAATGGCGACACGTGTCAGCCTGCCCTCTTGGCGCAGCAGTCCAGACCTTATGATTACGGCGAACTGGGACGAACTCCGAGCCGAGAATCAACTGCAGGCTCAAGAGTTGTGTAGCTGGATAGGTTTCGGCTGCTTTCCTGTGGTTGGAAATAGAGGTGCTCAGCAGCATCCTTTGGATCCGAGGACCCTTGGTATTCTTCTACGGAGAAACTGGGGGTTTCGGCTCAGGCCAAGGGGAACAGTCTTTTTCCTGTAACTGTCGAAAGGAAGGCGCATTGACACCCGATAGACTCCAAGGATCCTTGGAATCAAACTACTCCAATCGCCCGCAGAAATCTATAAGCTGCCCACTCAAAACTGAAGCCACAAGGCAAGGAGGAGACAGAAGGTGCAGGAAGGGCACTCGCAAGAGGGATAGACCCATTGGGCTGGAGTCGAAAAGCGGTAGAAACTCCCGTACAGGAGGTCTTTGGTGACTGCGTCACAATATGGCTAGCGCCTGACTTTAATAATCCTAACCCTAATCCTTAAATTTCCATATTTCCACCAGTAAAGAGTTAAATTTAATAAAATATAAATAAAAGTTGATGAAATCTAGCAATCTGAAGCATTAAATTGAAAATAAGCTAACTCTTGCCATTTTTAATCTATTTAGCTCAATGTATAAAAAACTATAAAATCCTAATAGTTAGGAAATGTTAAAGAAGCTAAGATAATATAATAATAAGATCCTATCTATTTCTGATCCCTTTTTTTAAATTCATAACTAATTTAAAAACTGGTGCCTTTTTATCAATTAAGCAACCACAATTGCTTCCCTTTTAGACTTAAGGTTATCAAATTTTCTTTTTAGCCATTTCTTTTAAGAAATTTTGGACAAATATCGATGCCATATATAAATAAGTTCGCACAAATTGATTTTGCTAATTCTGGAAATTGCTATATGGCCACACATTTATAGATAAAATAATTTATTTATTAATTTGTAGGCCCATACGTTAAAAATTATTCAATAAGCAGAAGCATATATAATGAAAAGTGAATGCAACTCGGTACAAAATGAGCCTGAAAAGATTCCAAGTGTTTTTTCGGGAATGTTCTCTCTTCTTCACGAAAGAGTAGACACCAACTCAGAATCTCTGTGTTTTAAACTCCCCAATATTTTTGAGGAGCTTCAAGCACCTCAACCTATACATACTCCACTTCTTCCTAGTGTAATGATGCCGGTCCCACAGAGAGCAACTAAAGAAAACACAGCTTGTCCACACAAAAACAGAAAGCATTATGCTAACTTCCGCTTAATTAGCCTGAAGCATATGGTAACAGATCATTTTTTTATAAAGTAGTTATTTTTTTTTTCTCATATAATTAACTCGAGGCATTTAAAAAAAAGATTAAATAATAAAGCAACTTCTTTCATATTTTAATTAAAATTTTTCAAATTTGGAAATAAATATCTTTAGCGATTAAACAATAAGATTTTTTCCTTTCACAAAGTTGAAAGTAAGAATATGTGCAATAACTGCTACCATAGGCTTGGTAGAGTCAAAGCAGCTTGGGCTTGCCCACATACAGATAGAAGGCATTATGCTAAAGGTAAATGCCAATTTTGCTATATACAGAGCTATCATAGAGATAGAGTTTTAAGGGAGGACAGTGAGCTTAAATTTGAAAGTTTGAACTCATAAATCTCCCTGAGACCCTGAAGTTAAATAACTAATAGATCCAATTATAATTTAAGATTTTCTTCAGATTTATTATGAAATAATATATTCTAAACTCAAAATCCCAAAAAAATTAAGGAATAGTTCAGCAAAAAAAAAAAATTAAATGCCATGTCTAAAAATTATATGATAAATATCGATATTAAATGCTGAAACATCAGCCTTTTGAGTCTTCAAGTAATTATAATTAATATTAATGAACTATATTGACTAGCTTCAGGTCATACCACCATGGGTGTTTTTCTACGCATTGCTTCGCGACTGCCCGCCATCTGCCTATCAGCCAACTCCTCCAGAAATGTGCTCACTAATTGGAGTTTAGTGAGTTGCATCACTGTTGAACAAAAAAGAATTGACTAGCTGAGAATAGAGCACGTTGCTCAGGGTGCAAGCCCCGGCATCGCACTAGGATATTATCTGAGTGGTTCTAACGACTTTTCTAGGCTTTTCCCTTTCCAAAACTGAGCATCTACACCCAATAGAGGTAAAAACTTGACATGAAATGAGCTTGCGGTCGTCCTAATTCAGCGTTGCGCTCCGCCAAATCAAGTAAAACCTGGATGGATATGCATCACCAAACGCCATCCTCCTTTCCACGAAGTGTGGGTCTTCCCAGCTACAGATGTTAAGAGGGTAGGCTGATTCACCATGCCATTTTATGTAAACTTGAGTCTTCATGTCAATTCTATAAGAAATTTTAAAAATTATGATTTATTTTTATCATAGTGTAGCGAAGAAAATCTTAAAATTTTTAAACTTTTACATTTCTAATAGACTTTAAGCACTTTAATTGAGCCGCTGAGAACTCAATGCAACTTATTTTTCTTTATATTTCGTGGCTCTTGAGAGATCTCAATTAGCATTATTTCATCGTAATGAATTTAAATTTTCAAAGATAAAACTAAGAGAGATTAATAAACCTAAATGCGAAGTAAAATAATTTTTATTTGAAGTTCAGTCAGGAAATTGTTAAATTTCCTTATATTTTGGTAAAATAAGCAGGACTGAAAACATCTTCTATTTACATTAAAATAACCACAATAATTTGGATAAAATCTATTAAAATTTGTGTTTAAAACATAAAAGAATTTTAATATTTAAAATTCTTCTAAACATACGAATAAAATAGAATAACCAAAATTTTCTTTTGAGCAATCAAAAATTTATTGAAAATTCACCTTCTTAATACATTTGCAATTATTTCTAATTTCCTTGTAATTCATTTTAATTAAGAGAATTAATAAAATTTTTCAACATCACCTAAGTAGCCACACCAAACTTTAAATTACTCATTTTATCTCTCCTTAGCTTTTGTCCTTAATCTATCATATTAACTTCCCCATTCACATAACTTAAAACCCATATTATTGGTGAAATAATTATAATGAAAGCATTTCTTTGCTTTGGTTTAATTGGGCTTGTGCTCTCACAGGTCTCAATCCCAATTTTCTCAATCTACGACACTCCTGATGCTGCATATGCTCACTTCAAGAGACTTCAAGTACGCGAACGATTGGTTAAGAATTCCAATGTTCCTTTAACGAATTATCTGGACGCCCAATATTATGGGCCAGTTCAAATTGGAACTCCACCTCAGAACTTTTTACTGACCTTTGATACAGGATCCTCTGATATCTGGGTTCCTTCAAGTTCTTGCTATTCAACTACTTGCCACCTCCACAATCAATACAACCACAGCAAATCTACCACCTATGTCGCTAGTGGTAAAAAAGTTGCTTTTGACTATGGACAAGGAGAAGTCTCAGGATTCCTTTCAATGGACACCCTTACATGGGGCGGCTACACTATTCCAAACGTTACTTTTGGAGAAATCACCTATATGCCTGGCTCTGAATGGGGATCAGATAAAAATGACGGACTTCTTGGAATGGCTTGGCCTTCACTTGCCTGTGCTGAATGCACACTTGGATTTTCAAAGCTGTTTGCTACTGGTGCTTTGGGGACTAATAACACCTTTGCATTTTATTTGACTTCTGGAGACTTGCAGACTGGAAGCGTTTTGACATTAGGAGGGTATGACCCAACCTTATCAAAGAACGACTGGACTTGGCATAATTTATTATCCCAAACTTATTGGCTGATTAGCCTTGACTACATCACTGTTGGAACAACAAAAATTGCGGTTTCAGGAATGCAAGGAATTTTAGACACCGGCACAACTCTACTTGTAGGAGACCAAACCGTTGTAAACCAGATTCTTGCTAAAATCCCTACAGTAAAAGAAAACTGCTCAAATGTTTCTAAGCTTCCTAATGTGACTGTCACTATTGATGGAACTAATTTCCTTTTGACTCCTCAAAATTATGTTTGGAAAATCCACGCTTAATTAGACTTATGCACACTAACTACCTTTGTTCACAGCCGCACGTCAAAGTAGGTAGCCCAACAATGAAAATTCAAAAGGTTTAAATTGTAAGCTGACTCAAGCAAAGATGGAAAAGGAGCGTTACGCTGGGAAGCTTTCCTGATTAGCCAAAGAAAAATAGCTGGCACTACTGGAAGATTCCTTACAACTCTCAGCTTCATTTCCCATAAAGAAAAACTTGATCCTGGATTGATCTTGGGTTCATCTGCTCAGAGTTACCACTCTACCTATGTCAAGACAACCTTTTCGGATACACTTGATTAGATGCCCAGTCTCACTTACTCGAGGTGACCTCTTGAGGGAGAGCAGGCCTGAGAGGAGCAACTGGAAGACCTTAGGCATGCTGGGATCACAGAGGAGATCGCGCAGGAAATCGAATGGCAGATTTCTGAGAAGGAAAGAAAGGACCTTCTGCTGGAGCAAGAGGCTTGGCGCACAACAGCGATGGTCATTGAATCATCCGGCTGCTAAAAGGCGGCAGAGTTTTCTGCGTGGCGGGCCTGAAGGAAGGTCGCCGCGGTGGAATTCTGCCTCACGGGGGAAGGACCTGATGGCCTGAGAAGAGAAAAAATATGGCCTGTGCCGATCTTTAAAACCCGTTGGCCTCAGGAGTTGCCGGCGTGAGTTGTGGAGCTGATGTTGGCGAGGTTTTGGAGCTGCTGTTGGCGTTTTTGTTGTGTGCCTTGGGCACAATAAAGCATTGGGAAGTTATGAAGAAGCAATTAAACTTGAACCAGACTATGCAGATGCATATAACAATAGTAGGATAGGGATAAGCATAATTTTCTTCTTACTCGAGGTTCCTGTACTCTGTTGAGTTAGTGTTACTAAAAGATTTAAGACGGTGGCCTTATTCAACAGCCATTTTAATGCATAAATGTTTGGAAAGTCACTTCTGAAGGGCAAACTCAGTGCATTAATGGATGGCAAGCTGAAGATTTCTCTGGCACCCCGCTTGCTAACACCATCATTTTGGGAGACCTTTTCATCAGCACTTACTATACTCAGTTCGACATGGGAAATAAAAGACTCGGCTTTGCAACTGCAGTTTAAGATAAAAGATTTCGCTTAATTGTTCATTTTTATGGATAAATCCTTAAATTTAATCTAATGAGGATAGGACAGCATTATTTTGTCTGGAGAAATAGATAGCAGTTTTTCATATTGATTTCCCTGTGGTGAAATAAATAAGATGAAAGCATTTGTCGCCTTCATTGTTATTGGAGCTGTTTTATCAGCAATAACGATTCCAGTTTACTCAGTTTATGATACTCCAGAGCTGGCATACTCCCACTTCAAAAAGATTCAGAGCTACAGTAAAAAATTCCTCCAAATGTCAGATGTTGCCCTTACCAATTTCGAAGATGCTCAATATTATGGATCACTCTTAATAGGAACTCCACCACAGAACTTCACTGTCCTTTTTGACTCAGGATCTTCAGATCTGTGGGTTCCTTCAGTTTACTGCTATTCTTCAACCTGCCGTCTCCATCATACTTATAATCATCAAAAATCAACCAGCTATGTATCCAATGGGAAAAAGGTTACTTTTGATTATGGACAAGGAGGAGTCTCAGGATATCTTTCACAGGATACAGTGACTTGGGGTGGATATAAAATTCCAAACGTTACCTTTGCTGAATTAACCAATATGCCTGGATCTGAATGGGGTTCAGATAAATTTGATGGGCTCTTAGGAATGGCTTGGCAAAGCCTCGCTTGCAATGGCTGCTCTGTTGTTTTCCAAAAACTTTATGCTACTGGTGCTTTAGGAACAAATAACAGCTTTGCTTTCTATTTAACCAATGTCGACAATAAGGCTGGCAGCACCTTAACCTTGGGAGGATATGAGTCTAACCTATCTCAAAATGATTGGGTTTGGCATCCTTTGCTGTCACAAACCTATTGGCAAATAAAACTTTCAGGAGTTTCAGTTAATGGGAAAGCTATAACTGGAACCAACATGAAAGCAATTGTTGACACAGGAACTTCCATTCTTGTAGGAGATGCTCCAATTGTTGATCAAATCACTAGCTCCCTCCGCTAGAAAACAAGGTATTTTTTCTGTTCAAGGAGGGATTAAATGATTAGAAAATTGTATATATAAATTCGTTTGCTTGCTCACAGAGAGGATACTTTTCTCAATGTTTAGACATTTTTTATGGGGGTAAGGAAATCCCAGAAATTAAGACAGACTGCTCTAACATTAAATCACTTCCAAATGTCACAATCACTATTGATTCTACCAACTACGTGCTTACACCTCAAAATTATGTCTGGAAAATCTTCCAAGATGGGATCTATGAATGCACTAGTGGATGGCAAGCTGCCAACTTCCCAAGCGAACTTGCTAATACTTTGATTTTAGGAGACCTCTTTATTAGCACTTATTATACTCAGTTCGATATGGGAAATAAAAGAGTAGGCTTTGCAACTGCAATTCAAAGCTCAAGCACTTAATTATTAAGTAATCTTTATTTCTATGAACAATTTTCTAAAGACGAGCTTAAATAATAGTAATTAATTTTCTCTGATTTATGTCGGCTAAATTATTGCTTAAAGTCTATAAGACTTGATATATAAAAATTAAACCTATTAAGATCTATTTTTATCTTCTGACATTTAAAATAATTATAATGGCACTTTTCTTATTAAGGAAGTTATAAGATCCTAATTTTTTTATTCTTAAAACAATATTTAACTATGGAAACTCAGATTAAAGTCAATTACCCAGATTTCTTGCTTAATAAGCAAGATAATCCTGCCAGAGCTAAGTTGCCAAACCCAAACAAATCAAAACTTAGCTCTCCGAAATATTCAGTTTGAAAGCCTTCCATAACTACGATCCTAAATCATGAACTTCTCCCTCCCTGGCTTCAAGATATTGAACTAAAGCCAATTGGATATCGTGGAAACGGAGTAAACATAGCTGATTTTTGGTCTCTAAAGCAGCGGCACGACGTCATGAAAACTATTTGTCATTCAACTATCAAAAGTAAAATAGGAAAAGTTTTTCATGAAGCTGATGGCATGGATAGAAAAAAACACCTTGAAGAAAAGTTTTCTAGCTTCCCCTTCATGAGCGAACAAAACCATTAGAAAAATCCCTATTTTTGCCTAAAAGCCCACCCTCTGTGAGTGAACAAAAATTTTTTATGAAAAAAATTGATAATTATTATAATAAAATCTCTAGCTAATTTTGTTTAATTTTAAACAAATTGAGTTTTAAAACATAAATTTACAAATTAAATAAATATTGCTTTTCCAATTTTTGCAAAGTGGGATTTTTTTAAATTTCGAAAAAACAAATTTTTCTATAAAATTTATATTTTTAATTTTTTAAAAATAATTAAGCGAACAAGACTTTTTGTTCGCTCACGGAGGGGGGAGTAAAAGAGATATAAATTCTTGGAGGCATAGATCATCATCAATACCGAAAGGAATTAAAACACCTGGACCACCATCTCCACAATCAGTTCCACATAGCCCGCTTTTTAAAAACCAAAAAATGACATTTGCTGCTTTAAGTAGCAAAGTTTTGCCTTCACACACGAAGACAGCTGACAGCAGACTTAAACATAAATTCAGCTCTTCTACAAGACCATAATATATATGAAAATAATATAAATAATTATATATACCTCAGAAATTGATCAGTTGTAAAATATGAAAATTCTTTATTTATTTAAATAATCCTAGCTTAATTTTTATGTGCTTTTTACTATATAAGTGTTTGGTTTAGTTTTCTTTAATTGTCGAAAATTCAATAAATTAAATATGATTTTGCTCCTCTTGCTATTTCACTACTCATTTAGCTCAACAATCACGACTTTTACAGTGAGCCCCTCTTCTTATATAGTGCGAGACTCTACGATTTATCAAATCTCGTTTAAACCAGGATCAACAATGCCATCTGGGGGGAAAATTTTCCTCACTTTACCATCTCAACTTAGCACAACATCCTCAACTTGCGCTGCTACAAGTGGATTCAACGGGTCTCCGTCATGCTCAATATCTTCAAACATAATTACTATATCTAATGGCTTCTCCACTGCAGTTACCTCGTCAAAGTTTATTATGTTTACAGTCTCAAGTGTCACAAATCCCCAATTTGCAGTTTCTTTATCCAATTTTCAATTAACTACTCAAGATAGCTCAGGAAACACTGTAGATAGCGTAAGTACTCTAAGCTCACCAATAACATACAACCCAAAAGTGCTTTCAAGTGTAACAATAACCCCAAAATCTACTGTAAATGGTGCCTCAACGACATGGACCATTGCAACTACACTTGATTATACCTTGATATCTGGAGGCTTTATATCATTAACATTTCCTAATTGAAATGCCAATTTAAATCCTCCATCAGACCAGGTAAAAAGCTTTTTAAGCTCAACTGTGACATGTACAGGGATTTTAAACATGGAGACGAATCCTCAATGCTCATTTGCCTCTAATATTTTAACACTGACAGTGTCTCAAGATGCAGTTGGGAGTATACAATTTACTATTAATCCAGTTAAAAATCCACCTAACACTAAGCCTGTTAGTGGGTTTTATTTGTCAGTAGGCCAATCTGGAGGGCTTATTGAAGATTCCACATCTCTTACTATTAGCGTCTCCACATCTACTCCAGGCGATTTAACATCAGCTACAGTTAAATTTTATGATGGAAACAGCAAGGTGAATTCCCAGTCTATCTACTCTTTTGATTTTCTCAAGACAAATCCTGTTCCATCTGGAAGCAATATTATCGTCACCTTTCCATCTGAAATCAGTATTAATGGCTTCATCCAAACAATCTATGGCGTTTTTGGATTCGACAGCATTTACCCGAATTTTTCTTTAAGTGGGCAGATTTTAACAATAACCTCGCCAATTTCGCAATATCAAACTGAAGACAAAGTAATTAATTTTCAGGTCACATCGTGTAAAAATCCTCCATCAAATAAGCCTACTGCATCAATACAAATTTTAATTCAAACATCGGATGGGTATTCGATTGACCAAATTACGACTGGACTGTCAATTACAGCTGTAGCTGGGACTGCGAAGATAAGCTCAGTTGTACCGACGAATACTCAAATTAATGCTGTTACGACTTATGCGTTTACTTTTAATTCAAATGAAGCTATTTTATCTGGGTGTGGAATTTTAATTACTGCACCGAGTGGAATTTCTATAGAAAACAGAGACACGGGATCTTGCACAAGTATTACGTCAGGCCTTAGCAGTTCAGCATTGTGCTCTGTGACGAATAATAAAAATATTTATATCACAAACGGTTTTCCTTCGGATTTTGGCACTGGGAATGTTAGTTTTTCTCTGAATAAAATTACCAACCCATCAACTATAAGCACGACTGGGACTTTTACTTTGCAGGTCTATATAGATTCAAATTTCCAATATTTAATATCGCAAATAAGCCAAATTTCTATCACAGCTACTGCTGGCACATTGAGCTCAGTCAATATTTCTCCTTCATCTTCTACAACAGGGGATATAGCCACCTACACATTTACAATAGCAACTTCTAACACAATCCCTACTGGTGGGATTTTACTTGTATATCTCCCTTCTGATATTTCTATTAGTGACACCACAAGCGCTTGCTCATTTATTTCAGGATTTGAATCTACTGCAAAATGTACCTTGACATCCACCTCTATAACCATTACCAATTGCTTTGCAATAAGCAGCTTTTCGCCTGGGACATTGAAATTTTCATTAGGAAGCATCCAAAACCCAGTCTCCACAAAGCCAACAGCAAGCTTTAACATCAGAACCCAGACTTCTAATAACCTTGATATAGATTACTTAGACTCAGGAGTAACTTTAACTATGTCTACAGCTCATCAATTAAGCTCGGCTTCAGTATCATCTAGCTCTTTAGTTGTAGGAGGCGTTTCAGACTATACATTTAACATAACCCCTTACAACCCATTTCCAAATAATGGAATTGTGGTCATAACTCCTCCTAGTGATATCACAATTACCCAAGTTTCTTGTGCAGTTGCTGGAAGTTTAACTTCAAGCGTCAGCTGCAGCTCATTAGGGACTGCCGTAAAACTAACCCTCACTTTTTCTGCTAGCCAAGTCACCTCAGAGTTTTCTTTTGTATTAAAATCAATTACAAACCCGCTGTCTACAAAAATGACCTCATCGTTTCAGATCTCTACGAGACAAAACACATATTTTATAGACCAATTAACTACTGGGCTTACAGTCCAAATGACGAGTACAGGTGCAATTTCTCAGCTTAGTTTATCATTAGGAAATAGTGGAATAAATCAGCAAACCCCATATACATTTACCTTTACAACCTCAAATACAGTTAAAGCTGGGGGGTACTTAGCGATTCAGCTGCCTTCTCAGATTTCAAGTGTTGCTTCTCCAGTCTGCAGCTTAAGCAGTGGGAGCTCAGTTTCTTGCTCATACTTGTCAGGAATTGTTACTGTAAATATGTTTACAACAGATACAGCTCCGGGTCAGTTTGTTTTAACTGTAAATTCACTTATAAACTCAGCAAGCGCTTTGACTACTGACAAATTCAAATTGACAACTAAAACTTCTGATGGATTTTTAATCGACAGTGATACATCCTTGACAGCTACAATAACCTGCACAAGCCCATGCGCGACCTGCCAAAACACCCCAAGTACTTGTCTTTCGTGCATCTCTACTTCATCAACTCCATATTTCTGAAATGGAGTCTGCAACAGTGCATGTCCAGACGGTCAAATTGATGTCAGCAATAACAAAATTTGTTCAAATAGCGACATAATCAAATATAGTGTCATCCGATTTTTATTCTCCAGAACAGAATAGTCTTTTTGGCCAATTTTGATTCCAGCGATTTATCCGAGCAATGATAGAGTATTTAGCCTGGTGTGTTGCTTTGGACACCTCCTTTACTTAATTCGAATTTTTAGGAGTGTGCCATCAAACCTAAGAGAAGAGACTGGAACCTTTAGTCTGTCTGACAAACAAAAGTTGGTGTGCCCGAAAGCTGGAAGTACTGCTGTCGAAATCCGAACACCGAAGCTGATAAACTATTCAGATTAAGACAAAGCATCATCTCGATTCAAAATATAAGCAATTAAGTTAAATTTAAATTGTGACAGTAATTGCAAAACGTGCCAATATCAAGCTACTCAATGCACTTCATGTGTGCAGAATTCCAAATATCCTTATTTATATAACTCTAAGTGTATTGAGAGCTGTCCATCAAATACCCTAATAACAAGCGATTACAAGTGTGTGCTATGTGATCAGACTTGCTATACCTGCAGTACTACCTCAACCTATTGCACATCTTGTATTGACCCACGATATTTGTACCAAAATCAATGCATTTCTTCCTGCCCTGTAGATATTACAGTTACGATTGGCAATGAGTGTGTAAGCTGCAACACAAATTGTGCAACTTGTTCAGGCACTGCTAATACTTGTACAAGCTGCGCTACTAATAAAATTTTATTCCAAGGGGCTTGCTATAGTTCTTGCCCTGCAGACATATCTGTACCTTCTGAGTCATCATGCTCTGCTTGTTCTACTAACTGTAAAACTTGCAGTGGGACTGTGGGCCACTGCACGTCTTGTGATAGCAGTAAATATTTGTATCAGAACTCTTGTGTGGCTATATGTCCTGATCATTATTTTATATCCGGAACGTCATGTCTACAATGCTCAGATGAGTGCTTAAAATGCACTGGGAGCTCGAATTACTGTACAAGCTGCCAAGAAGGATTATTTAGTTATGTAGGAAGATGTGTAAGTACTTGCCCATCTGGAGTTTCTATTCAAGTTGGCAATGAGTGTATAAAATGCTTGGATTCCTGCTTAACCTGCTCTGTGTCTTATGACAAATGTACATCATGCCCTACAAACTCATTTTTATATAAAAGTGAATGCTTATCAACTTGCCCTATCAATACCTTTGAAAACAGTGGGATTTGTACAGATTGTGACGTTTCTTGCAACCAATGCGAATCCTCACCAACTAATTGCATGTCATGCGCGTCTTCATATTATAAATACGAGTCTGGGTGTATTTCTACTTGTCCTGATAAATATGTAGGAATTTCCGGAGTTTGCTATGAATGTGACAGCTCTTGTGCCACCTGCTCAAACACAAGAATAAACTGCACCTCTTGTACTGGAGACTATAGCCTTTTTAATTACGTTTGTATGCTAACCTGCCCAGCAGGCTATATTTCAGTAAGCAATGTATGTACAAAAGAAAATTCCTCTAATTGTGCTGATTTGTGCACAGAAGAGCTGCTTGACAATGATGTTTGTGATAAAGTTTGCAATGTCACAGCTTGTGATTATGATAATCAAAAATGCTTAGGACCAAATTCGACTGATATTGATGACTATAATAATAAACCTACAAATTATTCAACAAGCTTGTATGTAAGTGGCGACCCTTTTTCGATCTCTACAGTAGGTGGGATTCTGACAGCCTCTACAGGGGCTTCCAGCATATTTGCAGCTTCTGCATTTTTACCTTCTACTCTTGGAGTACTTGGGCTTCTTGAATCTACTTCTTGGCTTTCTCTGATAGGAGTGGTTAACAATGAAGAGTCTACAAAAGGAAGAGCTTTACTTATTATTGATGACAGAGATGTAGGCGTAGTTTTTGGCTTTTTAATCTCAATTATCATAATCCACTACGCTATGAATATTTTCTTCTTCATCACCTATATGCAGTCTATACGAAAAAGAGACATAATGCATATTAATTGAACCAAAAAGCACCCCTGGGCAACAATTCTTGCATGCTTTTTCTCAATTATTTTATCATTTAAATTCATGAGGATCTTGATATCAAATTTTTGCAGCATTTCTGGCTGTAACGCAAAATTCGAAAGGATTAGCAGGTTTATTAACCCAATGATATTTTTGACATATCTGCATATTGTAATAGTAACTTTGCCGATTATTGGGATAGAAATATATTTATTGACCCTATTTTCGACTGGATGCTTGACGTTTATTGTGGCTATGGACAGCTTGATAATTACAATATTTGTGCTGATTTTGTCGATTTTTGATATTTTTTATATGAAAAAAAGAGCTAATAATGAATCTGATGATAAGCTGAAATCGAGAGCAGTAAATTTGCCGACCACAATAGGGGATAATACAATCGACAAAAATTTAGATCTTGACGCAACTGATCGTACAGCCACGATTCAAGATTATTTTGACAATTTAAAAGACACGTCTCCAACTAAGCGAGAATTACTAACGTCCGGATCAAATGATCTAGTATTTGATATTAATGCGCTGCCAGCTATAAACAGGACGTCTATCTCTATGTCTGTAGATATAGAAATGCTAGAAGAACATAATTCAAATATTGAAAAAAATATAGAAATTCGCAGTGAAAATGATGATAAATCTTTGGAAATCCCTATTAAAATCATTGCTAAAAATCCTCTAGAAAGCAAAATACCTAATAGAATAAACCTCAAAGACTTATCATTACAATCAGAAAACGACATAAGTTTCCAAATGATTGACCCACTTGAAATCTATGAAAATGACTTAGACCTAGACTACGCAATCGTTAATGAGTTCGACGAAGAAGCAATTGATGTCAAGCACAAGCCTACAAATGAAATGATTATCATAAAAAAATCCTTTATAGGAGGACAAATAGTTGATGAAAATAGAAACCCTATCGACCCTCAGCCAGTAATTGATTTCAATGACTATGAGCTACAAAAGGTAGATCTTCTTGATTTAAGATTCGCCACTTTTGTTAATAAATATAATGGCAGCTTTATTAAAGTCAAAAGAAATTTTGATGGCGCTGCCTTGATGGATCCTTTTGAAAATAAGCATAAAATTGAAAGTGTGGAAAAAATTATTTTGTCGAAGACGAGTACTTGGAATTCGAAAAGGCAGCTTGGGATTTTAGATGAAGAAAATAATGGGGTGTTAAGCTGTGAAAGCAGTGAAAAAGTGATATTAAGTAAAGAAACTTCAAAGAATAGTACCAATGAACAGAATATAATCAAGAAAAGTGAAAATGTAGGTAAAAATATTGCTGGATTTGAGAATGCTGAAGAACACAAATTAATAGAAAATAAAGGTGCAATTGTGCATGAAAATGCTGAACTTGTTAAAAAGGAGCCATCAAAAAACCGGCTTACTAAAATAGCGAAAAGAGCGCCTGATCCAAAGAAGTTTCAATTCGGCTATGTGCCTAGCTCATTAAATTAACTGCTCATTGAAAAGCTCCCTTTATCAACCAAGATGGAAACTCAAACCCGAGGATGCAACTCTCAGAATCCCTCTTTGTGCTTTCTCTCCCAAAGAAAAAAAAACTGATCTAGATGTGAGCTTACGGTCGACTAGCCCAGCATTGCGCTTCGCCAAGCCCGCAAAAACCTGGTTAGGTACCCATTCTCGAATGTCATCCTCTTCTCCTTCTTCCAATGAGTCTGCATGTCGAAAGATGCTAACAGGGTACGGAGTTGTCCCTTTTAATGTGTTTGGCTATTTATCTAGCACAGAATCACTATCTGCATACCCTGAAGATAGCAGCAGTATTAACATGGTTATATTTGACAGCTCATGGGCTCCTCAGTCTACAACAAGTAAAAAAAATCCCTAAAATAATGTTTATTTTAGCTGTAATAATGCAATATTTATATAATTTCCAATAAAATTATTTATTTAAATGCAATTCATTGGCAGCTACCATATTTTAATCATAATAATCTAGGCGACTTTCATTGTATATAACTTTTATATTTGATGGTTAAATTAAATTAAGCAGAACTTTAAGAATTGAATTAAATATTGTATTTAATTGCCTCTTAAAGTTCTTACACATTTATGAACGAAGAAGTTTTTAATCACTCTTAAAACGGGGTTAAAATTTTTTTGGATTTTAAAAATTTCAAGTTTGCACTTGAACTTATTTAATTTATAAAATATATATTTAAGAATGCAAGCTATCTTAAAGTTATAATGTAGCCTAGATATCCTTATAGCAAAAGTTATTTATATTTAAAATATTTCACATAAAATTAATTATAATAAAACATTGTTTTGCTTACTCTTAAAGGCCTTAAAAGGGGTTTTTTCCAAAATATGGAGTTAATTTTACCTAAAAATAGGGATTTTTAACAATTTTTTTGCTGGCTCTTAAAAGGGTTGGGAGAGCTAATAATTTTATTTTGTATATAAAATTTATTATTATAAATTTTCTTTTTGCTATATATGCCGCTTAAAGGACTCATAAATATATTAAGCCGCTTATTAAATACAGTGTTAATCATATATAATTGATTCAAATTTATTACTGATATTCTTTATTTTAATACGAAGGAAAGGAAGAAAAGCACAGAGACTTAAATCAAAAAATCACAACAAGCATAAGATAGAAAATTATAGATTGCAATAATAGAGTTTATTATGGGTAGAAGTCTTTGCTCAAAAATATTCTTTTGATTCGAAACAGATGATATAAATTAAAAATGGCGTTGCCAATCACCCGGCCTCTTAGCTCCTGCTGCTGTAACCTTGCTGGGATGCGGACCTTGAGCCATCCGATGTGCATATCTTATTAGGTTTTTCTTTTGCAGGCGGAGATGCTATCTAATCAGCCAAAGTTCAAATTCTTTTACATGTTTTTTCTCATGGTAAATGGGACACAAGGTAGGAAAGGGTTCGCATCTGTGTCAAGGGATGCTTTGGACAATCAGAGCACAGCCTAGAGCGAAGCCAAGTCCACTTTTGTGGTCAGGTAGCTAGAAATTTCAATCCTTTGAATTTTCTATGGGCAACCTTCTTCAGAGAAGCAAGTGTAGGCCCTCATCCAGAACGAGCAACACAATAGGCTGTATGCAGAAGATCAGCAAACGGTGGAGTGTTGGCTTAGGGCACCAACAGTGTCTTCTTTATTAATATAATTAGCGAGTGACAATCCCAAACAGATGACAAATTTGAAATCCCATAAATCCATTATACTTATTTATTAATCCTTAATAAATTTCAAATCGCTGTGTGTTGAATAAATTTTAGAAAAAGCCAGCATATTTTTTGATAAATGGAATACTTCAATTGTCTCTTGTAAATTATAAAATTTTTAATATATTATCTAACGTGGTTGTTTCAAGAAAAAGTAGCAAGTTTGATAACTTGAAAGAAAACAATAGTTTCTGGGAAAAAAATAATTGCATTGCGAAGCCTCAAGTTATGTCTTCTTCAGAAGCAATATTTCACGGATGACTGGAAGTCTATCACAATAACTTTTCCAGAAAAAAAAGATTTTTCATTCTGACCAAGAACTTTATCATCTATATTTATCTATATAAATCGAGAATTAGTAAATAAATATTTTTTTTAGGAAAATAAATGGTAATTTTATTAGAAATATTAAGAAAATTAATTTAATAAATTATATTACAAAAGCCGTACTGATAAAAGAATAAAGAAATGAGTTGCAATTACTTGGCTGAGACTTCAGCCGTTTTATATCCCTACAAAATCAGGAGACCAGTATGGCTTTAGACTTGAAGGAAATAAGAAATTTCAAGACTTTTTTGCAGAAAACCAGGAAACTTTAGACATTTGGCTTGATAAGCTTTCTAATTTGACAATTTTAGAAGATTTAGAGGACGATTTTGCAATTCAAAAAGAATTAGGAAGAGGGAAATTTGGGAAAATTTATTTAGCAAGCGAGTTTTATACAAGAAAAATCTATGCGGTAAAGTGCCTTCCGAAAGAAAACTCAGAATCTGAGGAGTCATTAAGCCAGCAATTTAAAAATGAAGTGGAGATAATGCGAAGGCTGAATCATCCAAGAATTTTAGGACTTCATTATTTATACTAATTTGCGTTATATTTGGTAAAAGTTGTGCAGGGAAGAGCATTATTTTGTTATAAATTTAAATAGTTATCTTGACATTTGCTATAGGCTTACTATTTTACTATAGTATATATGAATCTGATCATGACATTAAATTAGTTTGTGATTATGTAAAAGGTGGAGACTTGACTCATAGAATTAGGAGCTTAAAGAAATACCCGGAAAACTTGACCATAATGTTTATGGTAAATTTGCTCGAAGCTGTAGACTACCTTCATTCCTGTGGCATAGTTCACCGAGACTTAAAGCCAGATAATATTCTCTTATTCCCATACTAATCAAAACATATTTAAATAAAAATTATTATAATTTTTTATTTCTTAACTCCCCCCCCGTTAGTGAACAAAACCATTAGAAAAATCGCCATTTTTTGCCCAAAAACCCACCCTCCGTGAGTGAACAAAAATTTTTTTAATAGAAAAATTTTGTATGGAAAAAACATTTGATATATAAATGATAATTAGTAATATGAAATCTAGATCTAATTCTGTTTAATTTTAAACAAAATGCTTTTAAAACATAAATTTTACAAATTAAATTAATATTTGCTTTCCAATTTTTGCGAATTAGGATGTTTTTAAATTTCGAAAAAAAAATTTTTTATAAAATTTATATATAATTTTTCTTTAAAATACAAAATTAACCCCCCTCCGTGAGAGATCAAAATTTTTTTGTTTAATCACGGAGGAGGGGGGGAGTAAGCAAAAAAATTGGTTATTATTAAACAGGCAGAATTAGAAGATCACGAAGGCTTTAAAATTTGCGATTTTGGCCTTTCGGCCCAATTTGAAATTGACAATGAGCTTTGCTCCAAATGTGGAACCCCAGGCTACATTGCCCCAGAAGTTTTAAGGGACGAAAAGTATGGCACAAAAGCTGACATTTTTAGCGCCGGGATTATTTGTTATCAGCTGCTCAGCGGGAAATTGCCATTCGAAGGATTTGATGCATTAAGTGTTTTATCCAGAAATCGGGACTGCAATATAGCTTTTCGTGAGGAAGATTGATGCAATATTTCGGATTCGGCAAAAGATTTTGTAATTCGTTTAACGAATCCTGATCCTCAAAGAAGGCTATCTGCCAGAGAAGCTTTAGAAGATCAATGATTAAGTGCTGTCTGGGGAAGAAAAACAGAAAAAATTGATAAAGGGCTGTATGAGAGTACATTAACTTATTTTAAAGGTATAAATCACCCAATACGATAATGAAATGGACCAAGATTCAAAATAAAAAGTGAGGTGTTTTAGTATACTAAAATAAATTTGCCTTATTTGAGAGTTCGGGATGTGTATTAGGAATACATTAGCATTTCGGACTGAATTTGTCAAGCATTCTGAACTATCAAATTTGGTAAATAGTATTAATTTTGCTGAGTGTCCAGTGTCTTTAGCGTAGAGGCTCAACTACTTAAATTCCATAAGTTTATTAATGAAAATTAGTTTATACTAGCTCTCCCTCAACAATAAACAAATTCTTGCTTATTTCGTTAGGAGTTTAAGCACACAAAATTTTAATATAGTAAGTTTATATGAATATATCGAAATTTGCTTATTATTGGCTGTAAATAATCAAAATAATGCATTTGGACAAATTAATTAAAAATCTTGAAATAAAGCATATTTCGATCTATTAATTTAAATTTACTATTTTAAATTTTTGCGAAAACATTCAACCAATCAGAAGGAATTTGCTCATTAATGGCGTAGAGATTAAGTACTAACTATAGTTTCAATGCCTTCTATAATCTCTTTATCAACATCAGCGCCTTCTTGAATTTCTTTTACATAATCTAAGTTAATAGACTCTTTTGAGGTATCATGCTTCTCTTTTTTCAGTGGTAAACTCATTTTGGGCTGTAAAATCGAGCTTTTTGGCTTTCCTTGTCTTTCAGGATTATTTATTTCACTAAATGACCCTGAATATTGGCTGATTAAAAATTTTTGTTTTTCCAGCCCTATACTTTCCCAGTTAAAAATATAGAAAATAAAAATTAATTATTTTTTATTTAAATCAATATAAATAGCAATAGCAATTCTTGAATTTCTTGTAGATGATAGTGAATACCCTGACGATTCATAATTTGTGGAATCTCTTGATCTCCTGGAGCTTCTTGTAGAGAGAACTATTTGGTTTGAATTTTGGTCAATAATCTTTCTTTTACTATCAGGGTACAATGGCGCCTTTTCTATTATTTCTCTCGTTTCTGGATTCAGTGGCTTTGAAGTCGCAATTCCATTAGCTTCTCTATAATATTTTTCTTCTAAAATGTCTTCAGGAATATACAATTTCAACGATGTAATTTTTTTCGTTTTTTTCTTTTTAATTTCTTTAATTGACCGCTTTTCGGCTTTTTCTTCAATCACCATCTTTTTGTGAGAATTTTCATGCAAACTACCAAAGCTTTTAGCGCTCGAAATTCTCATCATTTTTACATGAGAATTATAAGAGCCAGCAATGTCTTCCATTTTCCTTAAATCTTCTTTACTCAAATGTGGAGTATAAAGTACTTCGTCTGCTAACTGGCCAGAATACAATGAGTGATCACTAATTTTTTCGTCTCCATACAGCTCCATCCATTCTTTGGGCAATGGATCTGCCGTTATAAAGCTGTCTACAGGAATATAAATATTTTGATGTTTTGCCAATTTTACCTTGATTTTTTTACTTGAAATTATTTTGTCACAGCTGAAACCTACAATTAATGCTAGGTTAAATGTGGGGTGATTTGAGTGGTTAAATAAGATTATTTGATTTTGCTGATACATTGCAGTGTCTATAGGCAAATTAATAGGCATTTCTCCAAAAATATTACCTTTGCTATGTGCGAAAATAAATTCGCCAATATGGATTACAACTTCTAACTCCCCCCCCCCCTCCGTGAGCGAACAAAAAATTTTTGTTCGCTCACGGAGGGGGGTTAATTTTTTATTTTTTAAAAAAAATTATATATAAATTTTTTAATTGTAAAATAATATTTTTTTATAAGTTGAAAATTATTTAAAAATATTATGGGGGGAGAGTAAGGGAATTTCCCAAAAAAAAAAAGAATACCATTTGATTAAAGGTAAAACACAGCTTAATTTTTCAATAATTTAATAATCAATAAACCTATTAGTAATAAATATATGCATTCAGTTAAAATATTTTATATATTTTCTTATTTAATATAATAAGCAAATTCTCTCTATAAATCATAATAAAAAATGTACAAAGGGAAAAGAAAGTACATTGAAATTTGGCAGAAAGTTGAAATTGCTGAATTTTACATTCAACACCAAAATGAGATGAGCATGAGAGATGTTGCTGCAAAGTTTCATGTCAACTCCTTTAGCTCGATTTCCGAATGGGTGAATAAGCTTGATGAGTTGAAGAAATCAGTAAAATCTGATAAAAAATTAAAATTAGAAAGCTTCACTCAATTTCCAGAGCTAGAGAAAGAAACTAGTTCATTGGTTTACTGCAATCCGTGAGCAAGGTATTCAGGTTCTCAGATCAACGATTGAGGAGAAAGCAAAAAGTTTGGCGGCAGAAATGGGATTGGCGCGATTCGGCTGTGGAGATAAATGGTGGCAAGGATTTAGGACCAGAAATAATTTATCTTTCAGAAAAAATCAATGCCTCAAGCATTAAGCCAATCGAAAAAGAGGCAGAACTTGTCAGGCAATACCTAGATGATTTAGCGTCATTGCTTCCTCAATTCGTTCCATCTAACATTTACAATTTCGATGAAACGAGATTTGATTGAGATGTAAAAAGCAAGTTCACTTATGATTTCAAGGGAACTCAACGAATTCTAGGCGTTCAATCAGCTAAAATGAACCATTTTATCACTGTTATGCTTATGATTAGAGCTGATGGAGAAAAAATGCCTGCTTTGCTCATTTTTCAAGAGAAAAATGGCCAGATCCCGAACCTTGTAAGAGAAAGACTGAATATTCCAGAAAATGTCATCATAAAATCAAATAAATCTGGCTACATTTCTGACCAGATTCTTAATGACTACCTCAGAACAATATTGAGACGAGAAAACCAACTGCTGATTTATGATCAGGCTGGAAGTCATAAAACTATCATGATTTCTAATGCAATTTCAGATTTAGATGCAACCAAAATTGTGATCCCTGGAGGGTGCACAAAGTAGTATTTGCAACCACTTGACGCACTGGTAATTGCAAATTTCAAATCAAAAACAACAGATTTCAGAATCAAATTCCAAACAGAGCAGATTGAAAGAAGATCGAAAAGAACTGGAAACCTCAAAGCTCTTGATCGCCAGCAACTGATAAACATTGCTTCAAAGGCGTGAGATGCTGTAAGCCCTCAACTTGTCAGAAAATCATTTGAGTTGACGGGTTCTTATGGCGTTAATCATCCAAAGATTTTCAGCCATCAAGTTAATATGAAGAAGTTAATTATCTAATCGATTTCTTCTATTCATTTTTTTGTCTTAAATTTAAAATTGTTAAATTCAACCTTTTCACTTATGGTATTCTTTTTTTTAACCCTTTGAATAATATATCAAACAAACTTAATAATTATTTTTCAATATTATCCTCTTTATTTGTATTAAATATAGATATAATAAACTATATATAAAATTATATGTAAAAAAATTTTTTGTTCGCTCACGGAGGGTGGGTTTTTGACCAAAAAATAGGGATTTTTCTAATGGTTTTGTTCGCTCACGGAGGGGGGGGGGAGTAAGCTATTTGAGGCTAAAAATTCTTTTAGGTTTTTATCTTCAGGCAAAAATAAATAATGAACCCTTGTGAATTCTAAATTGATGCATTTTTGTCCATAATATTCTTCAATTTTTCAATTAAGTGGATAACTTGTGATATTCCCTGCAAAATTCAAGCTTAGTCTGATATCATTCGAACTTTTAACTGTTTTTATATCAAAAAGCCTAATAGGATGTAGCAGGACTCTTCACTGGACTAGTTTTTTTGGCAAAAATTGCAACTGAATTTTTAATGCTGGATCTTCTTCATACCCTAAAATAGTTTTAGGGATATGAAGAGCTTCAGCCATTTTTTCCTCAATTTTTATCAATTCAAATTCACTTGTTACCAGCAAATAGCAAAATTGGCATATTCTGACACTTTGTGATAATAAATCCGCTGTTGTTAACTTTAAATGTGAAGTATCTCAAGGCAAATCCATCCTTTGGGTTACGTGGACTTTATAAAGCATAAGCATTCTCACAGAAACCAGATGTGAGAGCTCGTTATTTGGATAATGTAGCCTGCATAATTTGCAATGGACAAAACTTATTAACCCTTTTTTCTTTTCTTCTAATTCTTCACTATTAACGGGTTTATTTTTTTGTGAATTCGGCCACCATTCTTCAACTGGCTGCAGGCTGTTCGCTAAAGTACTCTCGTCTATTTTTATGCTTTTACAGCCACAAAGCCACACAACTCCATTAGAATCCCTTAAATAATCTAGGATTATTTCTTGTATTCTTAAGTTATAGCCTTTATTTAAATAAGTAACAAGATTTTTTGCTTCTTTTTCGAACGGTTTTAAAGCTGGCCCAGAAATTTTATAGATTTCTAAGGTCTCAGGCTTGTCCATATTGACTGCACATTTTTGTATATTTGACTCTGTAATTTCTTCTTCAATATCAAGCCGTTTTGCGAAGTAAGCAAAATTTGCTTTATTTCCTTTAATGTGTGAAAAATAATGCAGTCTTGTAACAGAAGGTTTTCCACCAGGAACTTTTATATATCTCTGCATTAGACTTCCAGGATTTGTTTCATTTCCTATCATTTTAACTTTAAATTGATTTCAATCAAATAAAAATTTTTGCATGTTTTGGATTTGTTCGTCTCTTCCTCTCATAATTGCAGCGATGTGGTCAAAAATGTCTAAATCCTCAGAATCTTTTCTGTATTTTTCCACAATCTGCATAAATTTGTAATTAATTATATCTGTTGTACATTGGACTTTTCCATTTGGATTTGTAAAAAGAAAATATAGCCTATCAGTGTAATATAAACTTTCTGGGATATTTTGGTTGAGCTCAGTTATGTCTGCTTTTGGAGCTTTAATTAGACAGTCAAAAAAAGAAAACCCCGGTTTTATAGGGATTTTGTTATATTGTCCTTTGACTGAAGTAATAGAAACTTTTTCTTTTAGTTTTTCATAGCGATGTTTTAATATTGGCTCACTTTCTAATAATTCTTGAGATTTTTCTTTAACTCTTTTAAATTGGAACAAATTTTCTATTCCAATTTATTATTATAATTAATCTATCTATCGCTGCATGAGCAGCATTTCTCTCTTTTTCTCATAATCGAATAAATAAATCTTTTTATTTCCATATCAACATCTTCAAATTTCTCCTTATATTTTTTATTCATCAGCTCTACAAATCTTATTCCAATTTAAAGGAGGGCTAATTTTTATGTAAATTAATTATATTAAATTTTCTCTATAACCAAAATTTAAAAAATAAAAATTGAATGCAATACTTGGAATTTCATTCATTTTTATGAAGAACTAATTTAAAAATTTATCAATTCAGTGTGAAAACTGTTTAAATATATTTTACTTTCACTTTTTGCATTAAATTAAGTCAAAATTAATTTTTTCACTTATAAAGTTTTTCAATTTAAAATTAAATTTTCCAATTTAAAGTGGGTTAAAATATCCAAAAATGAAAATTTTATCGATATTTTGTTCAAAAATTTAAAGGCTAGGGGGAGTGAGGAATTTTGCTTTAAGCGTTCTTGAGAGTTTTGATGATAATTTTTGATGGATTTTGTCAAGCTTAGATTGAGATAAAGAGTTGCTTAATGAACTATGACTTAATTCAAAACCTGTTGACTCAACAAGAGTTTGGGCTTGACGAAGCTTGATAAAATCTTCTAAATTTGAATCTAAAGGCTGAGGATGTTTTGGGTAGTTTTTGACGTTTGTTGAAGTTAGGAAGAAATCATCATCTTTGAGAAATGGTTTCATTTTAATTTGAGAAATAAAGTGGAATTTTAAATTTTTGCGAATAATAGTTAATAAATTATGAAATTTATAAGAAAATAGAATGAAAATTAATTATATAATTTATATTTAATACTCTTAATTTAATTAATAATAAATATATCAATTTCTTATAGCATATATCTTTAGTCTCTTAATTTGTAAATGCTATTGGTAGTCAACTGATTTTTATATAAAACTTATTCAATTCAAAATTTTAATTATTAAAATGGAAATAAAAATAACTCTTAAGGCTTCTTATTTTAAATTATATTGAGAAGATAATAATAATAATAATAAAGTAAGAATTATAATTCTAGTTTTATAAAGATTTCAGCTCAGTCAAAATTAATCAAATAAATAATCGAATTATATTTACTTCACAAAGTTTTTCATATTTTAATAATTTTTCTGATTGTATTTTATATTCAAGAATTACTAAAATTCAATATTAATTCTTTGTTAAAATAATATAAAAATTCATTATATTTTAAAATGATTTAAATTTACTATAACTATTATCTAGTAAAATTAAAGAATCTTATTATTAGAAAAGCTTTGAAAATTTTATTTAATATAATATTCTAGATAAAATTTATATAAGCTAATTTAGTCTTTATAGTTTACTAATTTTAAGTAGTTAGAATAAGATAAGGACAAATATAATCGAGCAAAGAATAATAAATAAAAGCTAATAAGTTAATAGTGGCTTAATCTTAAGCTGATGCTTTACTCCCCCGCTCCGAGAGCGAAACAAAACAATTTCATTCGCTTATGAAGGGGGTTAATTTTTTTGTAAAACATTTTTTATAAATTTTATAGTTTTTCGAAATTTAATCCTAATTCGTAAAAACTGGAGGCAAATATTAATTGAATTTGTAGAATTTATGTTTTAAAAACGTAATTTATTTAAAATTAAACAGAATTAGCTCCAGATTTCATTATAATAATTATCATTTATATATCAAAATTTTTTTTCCATAAAAAATTTTTCTATTAAAAAAAAAATTTTTATTCGCTAACGGAGGTGAGGGATTTTTCTAATGGTTTTGTTCGCTCACGGAGGGGTGGGGATTTAGCAATAGTTATCTTTTCGCTTTCATTTAGACGCTTTCTCTTTCTGTTGCCATCATTTGAATCCTTTTATTATTAACTCTTTAAATGAAATTTTTATATAAAAAATTCATAGATATTTAATATAAATTTTATATATATTTTTTTTCCCAAAAATTTTAAAAGTTAGACCTCATTTAATAACGAACAAAAAAAGTGTTCGTTATTAAATGGGGGGGGAGAGTAAAAGAAATTTTAAATTTTCTGATACTATATGATAACTCCTTACAAGACATATTAACAAAATTATGGATAACTTTTTTTAAAATACTGAAGAGAGAACTTCAAAAATTAAAATTAGAAAATTTCCCCATATAGCAAAGAAAGGAGAGAAAGCAGTTTCAACAATTTTTCCTGCGAATAAGAGAAATGTAGCAAAATATTTATTATAAGTTTCGTAGCATTCTTACTAATCATTAATTTATTGAATTGATTATTTAGTATTTTCTTTAATTTCTATATAATATTTATTAGTCGCCTTCATTGTGCTTTGTTTATAATAGTTCATTTCAAAAATGGTAAATTCTCGTTTAATAATACTTCAACAATTAAAGCAAAATTTGAGATTTCGAAGAATTAATCACTAACTTTAGATATTAAGTTAACTTACTCAACCCCTCCGTAAGCGAACAAAACTATTAGAAAAATCCCTATTTTTGACCAAAAAGCCACCCTCCGTGAGCGAACAAAAATTTTTGATATATAAAAATAACTATTATCATGAAATCTCTCACTAATTTTGTTTATTTTTAAACAGATTTCACTTTAACACATAAATTCTATAAATTCGATTAATATTTGCTTTCCAATTTTTTAGAAATGGGATTTTTTTAAATTTGAAAAAAATTTCTATAAAATTTATATATAGTTAGATAGGATGACTGGAACTGCCGGCAAGCCAAAAAGCCCCGTTCCAGTCATCCTATCTAACTATATAAAACTTTTAAAAAAAAAAAACCCTTCTGTGAGCTAACAAGATTTTTTATTCGCTCACTGAGGGGAGAGTTAGATAAAACATATAACCACTAATTTTATTATGTGCAGTAAAAATTAAATTACCCGTAAGAAAAATGGGATCTTGCGTTTCCTCTAAAGGTTTTACAAATAATCATAAAAAACAACACAAATCTGCGGAAAAGGAGAAAAAACAAATTGCTAAAGAAAAGAGAATAATTATTACCAATAAAATTCGAAATGCGCCTATTCTAAAACTAGAAGGAAATGAGCTCTATACCAAAAGAAAAAAGCCATTTTTGGCCAGTCAAGCCAATTGTGAAATTGGCTACGAGATGTGCATAGAAGTTACAAAAATAAACACAAATAGCTTTACTGACAGACCGTCACCTTTATTTGATTAATAATTTAAATTTTTAAACTATTTATATAATTTGAACTATCCCAGTTTCTACTTAGCGTTGAGAATTACAGAATTTATGATTTTTTCTCATTCAATTTCATTCATCATGGTTTTTCATTTTCTCAAACTTGGAAGTTGAATTTTATAGGCTGATAATTACTGAATAATATTGATAGTCTAAAAATTATTTAAATCAAGCTAACTATAGCTTACACCCCGTTTTGGATCGGCCTTGAGTACCCCCTCCCCATGCCACCCACCCCCTAACGGTCCCAAATATTTAAACATGCTAAACATTAATTTGACAAATTAAAATATTTGAGGGGGACTTGCCAAATAATATTTTAACATTTAAAATTTTCAAGACCGCCAGGGGATGGGGGACATGGGGAGGGGGTACATAATGGCGAGCAACCACGAGGGGTGTGCTATATGTCTAACATAATCTAAATTTCATATAGCACAGTTTTGAATTTTTAAGCTTACTAATGCTTTTTCAATAATTTTAAATATTATAATGGCAGATGAATTAGACTTGCCAGACACTTTTCCTGATTTTTCATCAGTAGAATATTGAGATTCTCGTTATGAATCTGAAATAAACGTTTCTTATGACTGACTGGTATCTTTCACACAACTCCGTTCAATTTTCCTATCAAAACTTCATGATAATTTTGATGCTGAAATTTTAATAGTTGGGAGTGGAAATTCTCATATGGGCGAAGAGCTTATAAAGGAAGGCTACAAAAATATAACAAATATTGATTTTTCACCTGTACTTGTTCACCAAATGAATGAAAGAACACAAGATCTTGGCGAAGAAATGGAATATATCACTATGGATGCTTGCAATATTACATTTCCAGTAGGCATTTTTGACTTAATTATTGATAAATGCACATTGGATTGCATATTGTGTGGAGATAATAATTTTCAAAGAGCTTCTAGTTATTTGCAAGGCGTTTATAGATGCTTAAAACCTGGTGGGTCTTTTATTGTAGTGTCATATGGAGTTCCTGATTCAAGACTTGGATATTTAAAAAATAAATTTTTGCCTTGGGGAATTGAGCAAGCAAAAATTACAAAAAGCTCGAGTGATTCCTTTGCAAGTTTTGAACAAGCAAGATATCATTATAGCTCAGAACGGCATTTAGCTCATCCTGGGCTAGCAAAATTTTTGCTGCAACTCGTGGAATTGGCCCAGCTCCATAAGTTGCCAAACTAACTCCATGAGTTGTAAAAGGCAGACATATGCTCACTTGTCAGCTCGTGTGGAGTTGGTTTGGCAACTTATGGAGCCTGACCAATCCACAAATTGCAGCGAAAGTTGCTAACCCAGGACGAGCTAAATGCTATCCTTGGCTATACCTTTATATTTGCACTAAATCTTTAACATAAATTTCATAAAATAATATTCTTATAAGAGAAAGAAAGCTTTATTGTTAACTAAAATAGTTATATTATAATAAACTCATTCAAGGCAAAGAGCAATTTTGATTATTTAGGCTAATATAAATTAATGGCAGTTAAAATTGAACGCCATTACATTTTAGTTGCCAAGCTACACTTTTTACAGTAATTTGATTATTTTTAGCATTTATATCCCTAATTCCACCATTTATTAATAAATTTTTTTATCTGACTTTAGCACTCTTTTGATTCCAAGTTCATATTTTGAAGCTTGTTCACTATTAGAGCAATGCAGAGTCATCTTTTCCTTTCTATTTTCTTCATTTATTTCTAAAACCACATCCAAGCCACTCTTTACTGTATTATTTATTTGTCTCGCATCAATCCACCCACTAAGCTTTAAAGAGCTTACATCTTTTCATTCAAAATAATACTCCTCATTTTTATATGAATATTTTAGCTCATTTGGCACCAAATTTACTATAAATGGCTTCTTTACGAAATCTCCTTTAGAAATACATATTGTTCTGGGCTTCAATAAATATAGTAAAATTCTATCCACTTGAACAGCACTTTTGCTTCTTTTTCGTGACTGCAGAAAAGACGCATCAATATTTTCTGCCTCAGTTTTGGTTCGTGCATCAGCAATTCACATGAGTTTGCGTTCTTGCAATTGGCTGAGTTTCTCCATTTGGACTAATTTTTGTGATTTTTTTTTAGAAATAACTGGATCACTGGCTGCTGAAATTGGAGACTCTGATCGAGTTTGGCTGTCAACAGCACTTATTAAGCTTCTTTGAGAAGATGCTCCTAGTGTTAATTCTGATAAAGATTTCATATTATAGCTCATTGGGTCTTTTCTGCATATATACTGAGAAAATGATCCTTTTGGGCAAACTACAATGTTTTTTGTCTTAGGGATATCAATTGATATTTTCCTGGCACTTCTCAATTGGAGTTTGTTTTTTGAAGTTGCTGAAATTGAAAGTGATTTTGTATGCAAATGAGAAGTTTCGTGGTATTGATAATAAAGCTTTAATAAGATCTGCAATAAAAATTGGTTCTCATTTTCTGATGAAGTTTCAGATTTTATTCTGAATCCTAATAAATAGGTCATAATTCATATAATAATTTCTGCTTAAAAATCAGCTATTTTTTCCAAATAAAAATCCATTATTTTTAAAAATTATAGTATTCCTTTCTTTTCCAAAATCTCAATATTTTCTTCTCACGTTTTTCCAGTTTCATCCAGAAATCTATTTAATATAACAGATAAGCCTTCTTCTTTGAAATTCCGAAGAATTGTATTTAAACTGACTTGGTCCTTGGTATTTTTCTTCATGACCTTATTGTACCACTCTATTGCTGCATTTATGTGACTTTTGTTAATCGGCATTATTATAAATAAAATTATTGGTTAAGTTAAAAATCACCAAATATACTACACATATTGATATTTATGCCTTTTTGGCTTATATAGCATATGTGATAATGCTAAAAATGCTTCATCTTTTATTGAGGTGTCCAATGAATTTTCTTGTGATTCTGGCTTTGTGCTTTCAAATGATTTATCCATTTTTACTCTTCCCATAGGTCTTCCTTTGGCGTTTTTTATTTGAAAATTCATCCCAGAATCGCGTGGCCTTTCCCCTAAAAATGCAATAATTTGTCTGGGTGCAGGGGATTCTGTATAAGAATTACGAGCCCTCACAATGGTCCTTTTGGATTTTCAGCCTAAGTCTGGTTTTTCTTTTTTCTCCTTTAGAACAGGCTGAAAAACGGTTTGGATTTGTTTATGCTCGCTTTCAAGCTGCAAAATTCTTTTTTCTAGCTCTTCTCTTTCCTGCTTAAGCTTCATTATTTCTATTGACCCTTTTTCATTTTCTCTATCTTTTATCCCAGACTCTACGTTTTCTACTCTTTCTTGTAGCTCTTGATTTTCATTTTGTAGCTAAATAAAATTTACATGTGAGATTTCTGATTCTTGGTTTTTGTTGATAGATTCAAGCTCACGGATTTCTTCGTTAAGTCGACGATTTTTGTCCATTTCGTCGCGGATCATTTTTACGCTTTCATGAAGTTTATTGCTTAATATTTCAGGTGTGTATATAAAACTTGAATGCATTTCAGAGTCTCTAGACCTAACAGGGGCTGTTGGAGGGGAAATTGGGAGGGAATGAGATGTTTGGGCCCTATTTGACTGTGCAGACTCAAGATTACTTCTCAGCGCATGTATCCTCTGCATGTGGTTTGACCTCATCGGCAAATTTTCCATCTCTTTAAGCTTCACTGCTTGTTCCCCTTTTTCCAAAATTGCAAGCTCCGATAGCAAATCAATCTGCTGATACGCTTCAGAAAGCTCATTTTTTAGCTCTTTTATTTCTTTCTACATCACAATTACCCTTAATCTCTTCACAAGTTTGGACTTTGGGTCAATATTCTTCACAGGGTCATTAGAAATTCCTATCGCTTTACTTGCATATGCCAATGTGCTTAAATTTTCTTCATAATAATTATCAGACGCTGCCAAACAAGCGACCATTAAGCAGAAGCTGTTCCCTCCTATGCTTTGCTTTAGCAAACTTGTCAATTTAGAATCTCTATAAGGCACATGAGCCCCATCCCCTTCTTTTATATTAGAAAGTGTAGTAATGACCTGCCTCAGCGTAAACAAAGATTTATTTATTTCAATGCTTTCTTTTAAAGCTAAGCCTTCATTTCCAGTCAACGATACCCTTTCACTACCTGCTAAATCGACCAGCTGTAATTTACTTGTCAAAATTCCTCCAGATTCAGTATCTACAGCTTCTATTGTCAGCGACAATAAACAATGGGACCGAGAACTTGTAGAATTCAAGTTATGGGCAGCCATTATTTTGTTTTTTAAGCCTGCATGATAATGAGAGAGCACTTCTTGTGGGCTATAGCATGGATGCACACACAAATTTTCGACATAAAATTCTTCTTGTTTATTTCACCTTAATTTCAAGCCTAAATTTCCAGCTTTTAACTGTGCAGGGTTTAATAAATCATAAATTTTTTCTTTGTAGATCTGAATAAACGTGCAATAAACTGTATGTTCTACATGTGAAGGGGCAGCTTGTATTTCATTAAATAAAGCTTTTATTATTCTTGGGGTAATTCCTATATTTTCATCATTCTGCTTATGAATTTACTTTGATTATTGGTTTAAGCGAATTATCATATTGGTAACCTTCCATTGTGAACGTTTTGCCAGACCCTGTTTGCCCATAGGCAAAAATTGTGGCATTAAAGCCTTCAATAACTTTTTTAATTAAAAGCTCGAGATTGCATTTTTCAAAGACTTCGTCTTGTGATACAGTTTCATCCAGGATTTGGTCAAATTGAAATCGTTTATATTGCCTCATGTCGGGTGAAGATAATCTTGATAGCGATTACGTTATTTGCTGATTTAGAAGATCACAGTTTATACGAGAATTTATGTGGCCTGATGAAATCTCGTCAGGTAAAAGGGGACGTAGCCGTATAACAACGCCAATATGAGTAGTTGTTTCCATTTTATGAATTTATGAATAAAATATTTTAATTTTCAGGCTACCCGCAGCAACCTCCAGTCTTTGCAATTGAAGTTCCTGAGGTAACACGTGTTGAGGTGGGAGCGTAACTGGTGCTTGTGGGTCTGGTGGCGGAGACTGTTGATAGGATTTTTTTGGACATATTTTCGAAGGCTTGTTTGACATTCTGAGAGCTTTTTGCTGAAGTTTCTATACTTTAATATATAGAGTAAGCAAGGTTATAGATAGATCTTGACTCCCCCTTTCCTCACCCTATCCCCTAACAATTTCAGTTTAGATGAAAAACAGAAAAAATCTCAATTCATAATGATGACTTACCATTTTCTTTACCTATTTATTGAGAATGAAACTGTAATATGGTGAGGGGAATTCAAGGTCGAGCCATAGCTGTTCTCGAAATATATTAATTTTTAAATATTTTATTTTTAAAAAATTATTTTATTAGGATGGAAATATCAATTTTATTTAATTATAAAGAGAATATATATAATCCATCCCAAGTCTTTCTGCAAGTTGTTGAGCTTCGTCTTGCTTCACTTGTCTTTGATGAGATAAATCACTTTTGTTTCCGATCAAAAGCTTCGGGACTGAGCTCTGCAAATAGCCTTGAGCTTCTTCATGCCAACGTGTAATATTTTGGAAGCTGGTAGGATTTGTAATATCATACATAAGCATTATACCTTGAGCTCCTCTATAATAGGAAGCAACAATATTTCTAAATCTATCTTGTCCAGCTGTATCCCAGAGCTGAAGTTTGATGACTTTTCCATTTATACTACTCTTCTAAGCTAGATTTTCCATTTTTATACTCAAAACTATACGCTTATTTTGGAATATAAAGCTTATTGTATAGAGAATACATTTAGATTCGCTATTTTGAAGTCAACCCCTATTGTTGTCTGGAATTCTGGGCTGTACATGTCGTCTACAAATCTTAAAAGCACTGAAGTTTTGCCAACTGAACTGTCACCGATAATTAAAATCTTGAAAAGGTGATCGTATTCTTGATCCATATTATCTCCTAACAGATTATAAGGAAAATACCAATTTATATTTATGAGGAAAATGTTGATGACAAAATGCATTTCTTGATTTCCGAGACGTTAAAGCAAATTAACAAAATCACAATTGCTTTACCTGGTAATAAATGGAATCTTTAAATGGAATATAATATCGTATTAAAAGTAAAATATCAAAATACAAATATTGTTATAAATTAATAATAAAACAATAATTTATGAAATGAAATTGATATAGGATATATCCTATTGTAAGTAAAATATATTAGTTAGAAGGGTGAATTATGTTCATATCTAGTTCTGCAAAATGTTTCTTTGCACTCACCTCAGTAGCTTCTTCTTCCAATATCCTTACTGTGCTATCATATAGCTCACTTGCTTCTTCCGGAGAATTAGCAATAGCTACAAAGCCAAAATTCCCAAATTCCGAAATGGTCGAAAACAAGTGAAAAACGACTCCAGTCAAATTTTCCGAGTCAAATTGCAAGTCGGGATGAGAATTTATAAAATCAATGAAACAAGTAGGGGTTAATCCTGTATATACATCATTTTGTATCGCATCAGTGGCTACATAATATTTATTTTGGTCATCACATCCCACTAAAACTCCATCCTGCGACAGTTCAGCACTCGTTAAATACTTCGCAGTCATCATAGGATGTGATGTGCCACCCCATCTGACGTTAATTTCAATAGCAAAAATCGTATAGCCTTCATTTTCCTTCTTAACTACAAAATCAATTGCAAACCTCTCTCTGCATCCTTTTTCAGCCAAAACTTTTCCAATTTTAAATGCATTTTCTATCAAAATAGTCCGATATTCAGGCTTTGCTGGGAAAATGCAGCCTTTATAAATCATCCCATCAAGCATTTGTTCATGAGTGGACAAAATCTCCACAACACCTTTTGGATTTATTATGGCTTGGCATGAAGGTGAGGAAATTGCATCATCTACCCACACTTCAACAATAACTCCATGGACTTTTACTTTTTCGACAAAGCTTTCCCAGTCTTCCCCTTCACATGTGAATTCTAAATGCTGGCTTAAAGCTACCTTAATAGACTCCAATAAATTGTTTTTATCTTACTTACTTAGTTACATAGTTTTTAAGGTGTCTAGTGCCCACACCCCTTAATGAAAAAGGGTCAAAGCGACAACTAGTGACGTCACCAAGCCATCTTGGAATATGTGGTCAGCCCACACCCAAGCCTTCTATGAGGCTAGTCGCCAGATAAATCGCCGCACATCTCACCCGGCGCGTTTGCCGTCGCTCGTCCAGACTCAGCTCCTGCGCGTGTTCCGCCTAAGGGTCATCCTCCCGTGGGGACGTGCTGAGAGGTAAAACTCCGAAATCTTGAGTGCACTGAGGAGTCGTGCCCTTTGGTTATCCCCAAAGTTAAACGACTATTGCTGTGCAGAAGTTCTCGAGAGAAAACCCAACCCCATAAATAAAATTCCATGAGGGAGAGAAAATTGGCAGAGCCAAATTTCTCTCGAACCGAATGCCATTTTATTTATATAAATTGTTTTTTTATAAAATATTTAGTCTTAATAATTGAATTTCCTCGCCCAGAAAACCCAACATCAAGCTTAACTATAAATTGAGAAATTTCATAGTTTTCTTCAGTGTAAATTTTCGCAATTGTTTGAGATAATTCTTCAATTGAATAAAGTAAGCTGCTGCCTTTAGGAAATAGCACCCCAGACCTCTCAAAAACTTCTCTGCTACCACTTTTTGTACCCCAGTAGCTTAATGAAGGGTCGTTTGCAAATAAAGGGACTCCTAGCTCTAAGGCGAGCTTTCTTTCAAGATTAGAGCTTATATAGCAGCAGACATATGCTTTTTTGGGGTCAATGAAATTTTTAATTTTTTGCAATAATTTTGGCCTCCTCAGAAGTTTGGAAGAAAGAGGTGTGAGGCAGCTATCATTGCAGCTTATTAATAAAAGTCGTTTTTTGGCTTCTTCGACAGTTATTAATGATGATTGCTCTAATATTCTAAATTTAATAAATATGGTTTTTATCAGCCTCAGAACCCTATCTTGAAAGAATTATCTAAAAACGCATAGAGCTAAATAATAATCAATAATCGACTTTTCAATTGGCATACTAGTGGCGTATACCAATTTTAACTTGGGATTAACTACTTCCCCCCGCCATCCTTGATCGAACGACTCGCCATCGTTCGATCAAGGATGGGGTTAAAAACAAAATTTCGGGAATATATAAAATAAAAAAATATATATATATATTTTTTTATTTACTTTGAAATAAGAGGGTTAAGAGTATTTAATAATTATTTTTACAGCAAAAAATTTAATTAATTTCATAAAATATCAATTTTAATATTTTGATTTATTAGTTACCTTTTTAAACTGTATAAATTTTAATTTGTTACTTACAGAATTAAATTTTTTTTTTTTTTTTTTAAATTTTAAAGAATCTCTATTTTTTTAGATTATTGAGTTTTCAAGCCTAGATTGATGGCTAAATCACTTCGGATGGTTGATTCCGCAGCTTTCAATCGTCTCAAAGCTCTGACAACAACTTCATTAGGTACATCTTCCCAAACTTTTGATAACTAATATATTTTTATATATTTAAAAAATTTGCATGATATGAAAATCGCTTGATCAAGGATGGGGGTTAATTTCCCAATTTTTAGGAATTTTTACAGTCAATCGTTCGATCAAGGATGGGGGGGGAGTAAATAAAATAAATAGCATAGCAGCCTTTCTTCATAATTCAAAGCTCCAGGCACTTTTTCAAGTTCAGTTCTTGGCAGAGATAGAGATGGTACAACGATAACATCTTCAGATTCCCTCGTTCTCATGGCCCAGCTTAGCTTTCTACTCACTTCATGATTTTCCAATAGATCTATCATAGTTGCCCTAGAAGGAGTTCTAGGAACTTTCCCATTATTATCTTCAGGATTTACCTCAAGTTTTGACTCTTCAGACTTCTTTACAGACTGTGGATTATTTCTCTGACTTTGGGTTGGTCTCCATCTGATTAAAGACCCACAACTGAGGACAAAAAGAGCTGTGTTGATTGATAGCCACATTGTAGTTGAGACAAGCTGCAAAGCGATTTTGCCGCCTGATTTTATGAGTGTGTAAAGGTCTTGATATTGACGCGATAAATCGTTTTCTGACATTTTATTGATAAAGTTTGGTGAATAAAAAAAAATATACAGAATTATAATAAAAATTAACTGATTTCTAAAATAAGTTTATTATGCATTTATTATGGTTAGAAAATTGGATTTTAGGCGTTAATTCTGCAAATAAAAAATAGAAAATTAAAAAATGAATCGGCAATCGGCAAAGTTTTTAAGTTCATAAGGATTCCTGAAAAATGAGCCCTGATAGAATTTCCCAAAGTTTTTACTTAAATTTGCACTAAAAATAATTAAAAAGGGCTAGGTTAGGTTTTTCGTTTATTATTTTTATCATAAAGAAATTAATATGAAACTTTTTAGCTTATTTTGAATCAGAAAAATAAATACTTTTATAAAAAGATATATATATAGTTTATAGATAATTAATTACTTTTTTATTAAAATTGCTCACTCCCCCCCCCTTTAAATTGAAACAAAATATAGGTAAAATTCCTACTTTTTTGGGAAATTACCCCCCCTTTAAATTGAAACAAAATTTTATTATAATAGAAAATTTTATAGGTAAAAATCATTATTTTATATGTAAATACGTTAATACCCTATTTAATATGCTTCAAACATATAAGATTTAGAAATTAAACTCTATTTTGTCCAATTGTTATGGGGAGAGTTAGAAGAATACCATTTCAGCAAGTTTACACTTTGAGATTGAGAAATTTATGAATTAATTTTTCATGAAATTAAAATTAAATATATAAATTTTTTTATAAAAAAATTTTCTTAACCCTCTTTAAATTGAAACAAAATTTTTTGTTTCAATTTAAAGGGGGGGGGAGTCAGAGTAATATTATTAACAATATCTAATTATAGCTAATACGAAATAACTTAATTATGCCCCGCTTTCCAGAGTAGATTTCAAAGTTTCTAACTTTGTTATATCCTTCAACATAGCAGCCTTAGCCTTTTCATGCTCTTGCACTTCTCTTTGCATGCTTTGGAAAGTTTCCTCAGACTCTATCAACCTTTTTTTCACTTCTTGGCTGTCTTTTTGTATTTGCCTTAATTGTTTTGCTTTACCGTCCATATCTTTTTTAAAGTTTCCGAACTGTTCATTGCTATTAACTAAGCTCTCCTGAAATTCCTCAAACCTAGCTTTATACTGGACTATTAGAAAAACGCTCAAAGGGCGATAATAAATTTTTTTTTCCTATTAAATATGCATTTTTAAAATAAAAAAATTTAAAAATATTCTGTTACTTTACTTTAGATATTTTTATTAAGGCCACTTTATACTCTTCTAATTGCTTTCTCATTTCATTTTCCTCCTCAGTTGGCGGGGCTTCCAATTGTGATTTATATTCCTCAAGCATTTTGGTTTTTGTTTCTAATTCCCCTTTGAATTTTTCATCTTGCTTTTCTACATGTTCAATCAATTCTTTAAGTTTTTCTCTTAATAGCTCATGATATTGGAGCAATTGAACTCTTTCTTGGTTATTTTGTTCCAATTTCTGCGAAATCTCAGTTATGGAAATTTGGAAATTCTGACTGAGGGATATTCTTTTCTGTTTTTCTTCTTCTGCGATTTTTCTGCTTTCATCTATAATTTGCCTATTTTGCGCTTGCAATTCATGGCAGAAATTCTCAAGTTTTTTTCTCAGCTGTTTTTCTTTTTGCAAATCATTTTTAATCCTCTCATTTTCTTCAGTTTCTATCTCCAAGTTTTCCCTTGAGGCCAACAATTCGATTTCCCACTTTCCAGCTTCTTGGATTTCTTTTAATAACCTTTCTCCTAGCACTTTAATGCGCTGCTCTGGATCTTGGTACCCGTCTGCCAGTTTTTTTATGTCCGTTTGGGCTTTTTTCTGGAGTTTTTCTAGCTATTTCTTACTGAATTTCCTTTGGTCTTCTATGGACACTAAATTAGGCCTCATATTTAATTTTAATTAAAGGTAAATTGGCAGCGAATTAAATATCGCAGTTTTATTTGTCCTATGTCGTAGACTATATATTCGTTATAGCGGAGCTCTGATTGGGCTGCTTGAGGATTTTCTTTTAAGTTTCCTGTATAAAGGGACACTCCGGGATAAACTTCGAATTCGTCTGTAGGGCTGGTGCGGCCAACTCCTAAAACACTGTGACAAGGAGAAGGAGGGCGCTTAAAGGATTTTGCTTTTAGGACTTGATGAGAGTTGCCGAGGGCTACTTCACAAAGGAGGAGGATGCCTTCAGGAGAGCTTGGACTTGCGTTACAGTACATCGCTGATTTTGATGATAAATCAGCAAGATAAATCCCTTTTCCGAACATATAGCCGCTGGAAGGGGCTTCTTTTGGAGCGATTCGTAGACCTTGTGATAGAATACCAACAATGTTGGTAATTCTAGAGCCATGCCATAATAGTTTTTTATTAGGAAGTCTTGAAAAAGACCAATATCTTGTGTATTTAATTTTTTTTAAAAATTAATTATTAATTAAACTAAAATAATTAGGCTAAGCCATCAAGAAATTTATAGAATTTATTGCCAAATTTAATACAGCATGCCATAATAAATAAAAAGATTTTAAAAAAAATATCTTGCAGACTCATTTTCTCTATCAATTTCAAAAGCCTGCACCACTTCCATACGGAAATTATGCGACGGCGCATGTGTACTATCAATCCATCCTTGCAAAGTCCCTTTAAACTCATTAGAAACCGCACTTATTCTGCATTTTAATTGTGAATAATACACATCTAAAGGATTTCTCGTCTCCAAAAGCTTCAAACTTCTCATAGATAGCGAATTTGCAATCTCTAACTCCCCCCCCCCCCTCCGTGAGCGAACAAAACCATTAGAAAAATCGCCATTTTTTGACCAAAAACCCACCCTCCGTGAGTGAACAAAAATTTTTTTAATAGAAAAAATTTTAATGGAAAAAAATTTTGATATATAAGTGATAATTAGTATAATGAAATCTAGAGCTAATTCTGTTTAATTTTAAACAAATTGCGTTTTAAAACATAAATTTTGCAAATTAAATTAATATTTGCTTCCCAATTTTTGCAAATTAGGATTTTTTTAAATTTCGAAAAAAAATATTTTTTTATAAAATTTATATATAAATTTTTTTTAAAAAAAAAAAATTAACCCCCCTCCGTGAGCGAACAAAATTTTTTTGTTCGCTCACGGAGGGGGGGGGGGGAGTAAGTCTAAAAGTGTATCTAAAAGTGCCAATTTTTCTTTTACTTTTGGGACACGATTAATTGGTGGCGGTCTTTTCATGCCAAAATTCTGAGGAATATTCGTATAAAAATCATTGGTCAGTTCTAAAATTTTAGATTCCCTGTTACTTGTCGTCAAAACTTGGTAAATTTCTCTTAAAATTTTGTAACCTTTTTGTATTTGGGATTTACTTAATTGGCCTAAAGGGCATTGCTCAGGGTCTAAATTTAATTCTCTCATGGTTCTTTTCATACGATCAAAATCCCATATAAATTCCATTAAATTAGCAACCTCTGTATCACATTCAATAGGAAAACTTTTCGCTTTTTCTACTAATTCACGGCGCTTTTTCTCAAATCTTATATGAGATTCTAATTTTTTATTATCAGATTGCACGTCCACAAGGACGTATTTTCCTTCTGCACGATTAAATTCAGTTCCCCATTCATTTTTTGTTTTTTGGTGGAACTTTTTTTTGAATTCTATAATAAATTGTGTCCGACTGAATATAAAATAATAAGAAATAATTATTAAATTATGTAAAATAAATTTAGAATAGGATAGCTTCTGCTTTAGAAGAGCAAGGACTTAAAGAAGACGCAGGGTTAGGAGCTCCAACTCTTCCCCACTTTGCCCAGAAATAAAACCCATTATCTTCTATAACCATAATTTGGTAAAACTTATTGTGGCCTTTTACCCCATAAGACACATCTGTAAGATTTAGCATTGCTGAATAAGGCTCCACTACTTTTGGGTTTGGCAAACCAGTTTCGATTGATAAAGATCTATTTACAGCTGCAGGAGCTGGCGGCTCTATTTCCATTTCTGTTCCCGCCATTATGAATATTTATTATAAAACTTATTTAACCTATTGATTTATTGCATTTCATTATTATTTTCAATCTCCGCATCCTTTATTTTCTTTATTTTTCGTGGTTTTGGCTCATCATTGTTTTCTTTTGATCTTTTTGAAGGAACTTTTTGGTTTTCGCCGTTATTATTTTCTTTTTCTTCAACTCTATGCCATTTGATCAGGACTTTTTGCTAGTAAGATATTTCCTTGAGAAATTTGGTTGCAAATTTTTTTCTGCGAGACATTTTTTGAGAAAAATCTTCAAATATCTCACGATAAAAAAATTTCGACTCCAGAAGAAATGTCTTTTACACCAAAAAGTCCAGAGGAAAAAATATGTACCTTTTCTTCATACTCTTTTTCTAACAATTTAATAAGGCTGTCTACTCTTCTCTGCAAATCACTTGTAGTTCTTGATCTTAGCATATAATCAAATCTTAACAGTGGAGACCTTCTTAAGCAAGCTTTAAGCTCTTCTCAGTTTCCATACCCAACTGTTTTAGTCATACAGACTAAAATTCTGTCATTGTCTTCTGTGTACAGCTTTGATTTGTGAGAAGGCAGGACGTGGAATTTTAGCTCTTTTCAAGGTTCTTTATATTGTGAGTATTTTTGATCTAAAAGCTTTTGGGAATTTTTGTGTTTTTCGACCATGCTTTGTCTTTTCTCAAAAAGTTTGAGGATTTTTTCTTTTTCTTCAAGCTCATCTAGCCGTTGCCAAAAGACTTCTGAATAAGATTTGACTTCTTCCATTGTTTTGCTTCCCATAACTTCCGATATCAATGCATATTCTTCTTTTCCATATAATTCGCAGCCTTTTAAAAATGAATAATATTCTTTTCGGTTCCACTCAAATCCAGTCGCTAAAAGTTTTTCTAATTCTTGTTTTTCTTCGTCATTAATTTCTTTAAAAAACTCTTTTTTCTGCAAATCAATCAGCCTTTCTCTATTTTGGCAGAATCTATAATCTGGGACTGGCTTAAACTCTTTGCCTTTATTTCCTTGTAAAATTTCTAATTTTGGCTCAGTGTTATATAATTTTCTTTCTCTTCTAGCTTTATAATCATCTAAAATTTTATCTTGCATTAATAGTTCAATAGCTGCTTTAGAGTCTTCTTTTCTCTTTTTTGAATAATCTACACTTTCGAAATTTCACATATCGATTTTTGACTCAAAATCGACCAAATTCATTTTTTTCTTATCAAGCTGGTTTTCTAGGTCTTGGTCAATTTTTTGCAAATGTTGCTCTCCTCGCTGTAAAATTGCTACAAGATCTTCTTCTGTTATGTCAGAATTTTCTTCAGTCGCGTTAAAAATTTGATCTGCTCCATAGTGAAGCATTTCTCTAACTCCCCCCCCCCCCTTTAAATTGGAACAAAATATCGGTAAAACTTCCACTTTTTTGGTAAATTAACCCCCTTTAAATTGGAACAAAAATTTAATTTTATAATAAAAAAATTATATATAATTTTTATCTAAAAAGTTTTGATATAAGCTAAATGTTTTTTCTTAAAAATTTAGTTATATCTTGCTCTTTTTTAAAGAAAAGTATAAAGAACATCTTATTTAAATAAATTTATTACCCTTAATTGGTAAATTTTAAAAAAAATTAATTTTTTTTTTTAAAAATATTTAAAAAAATTTTTGTTTTTTTTGCTAAAAATGATATTTTTTATTTGGATAGTTTTGATATAAACTCAATAGGAATTCTTTATATAATTTCAAAATTTACTTATTTCTTGCTTTATTTTAAAGAATAGAGTATAAATAACATCTTATTTAAACAAAATTAGCACTTTGATCGATAAATTTTCTAAAATTTTTTTTATCAATCAAAATAATAATTTTTGTGTAAATAATTTTGATACCAATTAACAGTGGCGTATTAACTAATAATGAAAATTTAGTTATATCTTGCTTTATTTTAAGGGATAAAGAGTAAATAGCATTTTATTAAACAAATTTATTGATCTAATTCGATAAGTTTTTGAAATTTTTTTTTGTTGAAATTTTTATATATTTTATAAAAAAATTTTATATTGATATTTTTTTTTTAAAAAATAAAATTAACCCCCCTTTAAATTGGAACAAAATTTTTAGTTCCAATTTAAAGGGGGGAGTAAGTTCTTCTTTTTGAAGTGGAGCATTTTTTGGAGCAAGCCTTCCAGTTTGAATTATAAGGGAATCAAGTTTAAGACGAAGGCATTGTCGCTCTATTATCCTCTCTTCAAGGCTGTCTTTTATCACCAGCCTATACACATTAACCTGTTTTTTCTGTCCGATACGATGGGCACGGTCCATAGCCTGCAAATCTGTTTGTGGATTCCAATCAGAATCATACAAAATCACTGTATCTGCAGAAACTAAGTTTATACCTAAGCCTCCTGCTCTAGTTGATAAAAGAAAAATAAAATATTCTGAGCCTGGCATATTAAATTTCTCGATCATTTGTTCTCTTTCGTATATATCTGTTGAGCCATCTAGTCTGCAGTAAAAATAGCCTTTATATGAGCAATAATCTTCTATTATGTCTAGCATCATTGTCATCTGTGAAAAAATCAAAACTTGTGAGCCATTTTCTTTTAATTTTAATAAAAGTCTGTCTAATAGTTTCATTTTTCCTGAATGAGCAACTAGTCCTTCGAAATAATTTGTGGTATTTTGATCTTCAATGCCTCGAATTAAACATGGCGTCTCGATGTTTCGTGGTTGGCTGCGCCGACTCCCTTCGAGCACATATTTAATTATATCAAGCAAGGTTTTGCTATCTCAGAAATGGATAGCGATGCTAGATAAGCAATTCTTGACCTATCAGAGTCTAGCGCAAGCCCGCTTTAAAGGATGAATTTTGCCTCAAGGGGAAGGTGGCACGGAAGTTGAAAAACATTGCCTGCATGCAATGCTTAGACCTATCGGGCATTTCACCAGCGTAAAACTGAGGGTTACGACCGCCTTGGACTATGCATTTTCCCTTTTTACCGAGTCGACCAGAAATTCTATTTTTTGGGAATTTTTGTGGAAAACCCTTGCTCCTTGTCCATTAGCCTCAAGTAAGGCTGCACAATCAGAAGACTGCCCACTTAACACTGGAGTCAAAAGTTAAGGAGGAGACACTGCAGCCCCTGGTGGAAGGCACGGCTGCAAAAAGTTCGAGTCTCCGGTATCGGAGATCCTCGGTGATTGTGTCAAAATTATGGCGAGAGCCTCTCTATTAATAAGTTAATTTAAATTAAGATCTTCAATGCCTGGGAAAAGGAAGGGGTGATTGCAGACTTTTTTAAGCTGCATGACGACGTTTAAATAGTGGCTTTTACTGTCTAGCTTCACTAGTTCATTTGTTAATATTTTTTTATGCTTTTTGGATAGATCATGCATTAAAATATTATTAATAGCCCATATTTATTATTCAAATAATACAGCATATATAAATCTCTTTGTAGTGCAGTCATATTCAATGCTACCAAGATTTCTTTTTTAGCTGGAATTCCTTTTTCTACTTCAGATTTCGTTCTTCTTAATATAAAAGGCTTAAGTATTTTGTGAAGCTGCTGGACCATTTTTACATTTTTATTCTCGATTTCTTCAGTTTTGAGACCTTCTTCGGTGCCTAGATTAAACCATTCATCGAATTCTGATGATGAAGAAAACAAGTCTGGGAGCAAAAAGTTCATTAAGCTTCAAAGCTCATGCAAATTATTCTGTAATGGAGTTCCTGTAATTAAAATACGATGGTCACTATGCAGCTGTCTCAAAAGTTGAGCAAGATTGGATTCATCGTTTTTTATTTTATGAGCTTCGTCAATAATAAGGAATTTCCACTTGTATTTTTTGGTAACATATAAAAAAACTATAATTTTTTTTAAATAATAATTTTTACTATTATTATTCAACAAAAATAATTATTTAACTTATTTTTTCAGATAATTTTGGCAAATAAAGATCCCTTCATATGAAGTAACACAGATGTCAAATTTTCCGGGAATAAGCTCATTTTTTAGTATTTCTTCACGATATGGCTTAGCAGCAATTAATTTTACAGTGCGAAATGATGGGCACCATTTAGAAAATTCAATAATCCAATTTCCTAGGGTTGACTTCGGGACAACTATAAGATGTGGGCCATCTATTTTTTCTATTTCTTTAAGATATGCTAAGAAGCCAATAGCTTGAACTGTTTTCCCAAGACCCATTTCATCAGCAAGGATTCCATTTATCCCAGCTTTAAATAAGCTAATTAGCCAGTTTATCCCATCTATTTGATATTGGCGCAACTGGCCATTTTTTATTATGGAAGGCTGAGTACTTATTCTAATAACGCGCTGCTGCTTACTCATATCAGCCATATACAGATTATCTGGTGTTTTATGAGATTTTTTTCTTTTTGTGGTATCCTCACAAGCTTCAGATGTTTCTTCATCATTATAAAATAGAAAATTGGCATATTTTTCAGCTTGCTGTAATAAGTAGCTAATCTTTCCTAATTTAAGAGCAAACATAAAATCTTGCTCGCTCTGCTGAAAGGGAGTTATTTGTTTTTAAAAAAAATAAAAAATTGCTTTTCTATTCCAAATTTGTGCTTAAGAATAGCAACTGTGATAAATTTAATATAATTAGCTAGAGATCTTGCTATAAAAATTATTAAATATTTATTATAGACAATTTACATGAGAAAATTATTTGATCTTAAGGAGGTTTAATTTTTCCAATGATTTTGCTTGCTTTTAAAGGGGAAGTAAGATTTTCTTGGCAGTCTTTATGGTGCTCTTTAAACTCTTTTATATCTGTTATGAGGTTTTTCTTTAAATTTTGCCTGCTTTCCTTATAGTCTGAGCTCGAAAATGATGCATTAGAATCTGAGCTGCTGTCTTCAATATTTTCTATAGGCAAATCCTCCATTTATACGAAGGGGGGTTTTAATTAATTATTTGCATCTAAAATTGAAGATTTATATGAAAAACTATTAAAAACACAGAAATTCAGAGATTTTCTATTAATTATCTCCCCTGTCACGTTTCAGGCGGATAATAAGCTGCAGCCCCAATCTGCATTTCTCTCATTTTTTCAAGATTTTTCAATCTGATTGAGTTGGTTCTTCTCCATTCTTCTAAATTGGGAATAGGTCTTCCTTCATAAGTCCAGTCGTGAATGAAGTGACAATTATCGCCATGTGCGCACCCAGCAGGCGAGTGGAAATTTCTGCAGGCTTCAGTTTGATAATTTATAGGTTTATTTATATTTCCTGATATAAGTGCCTTTGGAAAATAGCTAGGGAGAATTGGCTTTGCATTTCAATTATACTTTTTTTATTTATTTAATATTTTTTATATATTATTTTATTTTTAGATAAATTTATACGATAAAATATACTAAGGTTTGATGAATCCATACCAGCCGACGGCATTTGTACAGGAATATAATTGGATACATTAGGCTTTTGGTTCTGGTCAATTTGCGGAGTAGCTTTTTTAGCAGGGATTTTTGTAACATCGACGGGGACCGTGCATGTAATATTTGATTCTTCAAAAGGAGCGTCAGGAATGTCTATTGTTGTGTGGTAGTTTGCTTTTAATGAATTTTTTTCTCTCGCGTCTTCTTCAAGAAATTCAGAGGAATTTATTATTTTTGGTTTTATAGAAGAAATAGTTGAATATTCTATATAAAAAATACTTAATGGAAGTGAGTAAAACACGTAAGGCACCATGCTTTGTAAAGCGCTTTGTACGGCTTGGTTTTCTTGATTGATCTTTATATACAGTTTTTATATAATTATGCTGTTTTTAAATATTTGTTATTTATGTATTAATATTATCATAAAAAGAATAAAAAATTACTTGTGAATTCATTGATTTTTCTAATTGGATTTCTTTATTATAGCTTTCTTTAAATGCGGTATTGTTCATATATTGGCCTCTTAAGTCTGGCAAAGGTCTTTTAGTTGCACAAGAAGTGTTAAAGTTGTCGAATTTCCAGAAATATTTCACGCTCTCGAGACCTTCAGCCCATCTTAACTATGAGTTTATGTCTTTAATATATATATACCTTACTATTTTGCTTGAAGAGCTTGATTCCGAGGTATCCGAACCTATCTCGTCGATCTTTTGTCTTCATTTTTCTTACCTTTTGATTATTTTTTCGTCTTCTTCTATACCATTTTCCTTATTTTTCCCTATTAAATCCCCATTTTTCCTCATAATTTATATTAATTAATTAAAGAATACGTCATTAAAGAATCCATTCCCAAATTTTTTGCTTAAATTTTTGCCAAGCATTTGGATATTGAGATCTTGGGAATTTTCTAAAGATTTGACAATTTTCATTAGATCATTATCATAGAAGTGGTCATTAGTTATGGTAAAATTGGTTAGGACTGAGAGAATGCCTTCAATTATATTTTTATCATTCTTCTCAGTGGACTTCTGATGATCTCTTAGCCAATTAGCCAAATATTTCGTTCCGCCTAGCTGGGTGAACTTGATAAATACGGTCCTTTTCATCAACAAGGTCGTATGGATGATCTTTAGCAAAGCCAAGCGCCCTTCTGGATTCAATGTATTGCGCATTGATTCTAAAAGCCTTTCAGCTCATTGATTATCTGCTTCCTCTTCTGTACTATTCACAATATTTTGAAATTGCCTTTCAAGCTCGTTTGCAGTTGACGATATATATTTTTTTATTTTTTTAAAAAATATTTGGCATGCTAAATCTATTTTTGGCTTAATTTATAAGCATTTAATATGATAAATATTAATTTATATAAAGTTTTTGCCATTAAATACCTTCTCAGCAATATCATCTTATTTATTACTTCATTAGCCATAGTTCCTTTTTATTAAACTATATTTTTTGCAATATTTGAATTAGGAAAGTAGCGATTTTGTATGATTTCTTAACAAAGGATTTTAATTACTTGCAATTAGAGAAATATGGCTTCAAAAGATGCTCAGTTTCGAGACAGATTTTTTGATTCTAGATATAAGGTGGAGAAGACTAACAAAACATCAGCAGAAAAGTTGAACGAATTAAAAGCCAAGCTAGAATCTTCATTTAAATCCCCAAAAAACAATATAGACACTTCATGAAAAGCATTTCGCAGTGAAATCCGCACACAGTCAACTACTAGCTTTACTATGCCTTCTTTTTCTCATTATCAAGACATTTCTAACTTCCGTCCTACAACGCCTAATAAGAGCTCAATTTTATCGCAGCCGGGCAGAATAAGACACCAAACAGAATTATTTAAGCAATTTTCTCCTTCAAGGACACCTAGTCCTTTGATACAGTCTCCAAGCGCGAATAAATTAATCTTTTCAGCAAATAAGAGAAAAATCCAGGAAACAGTCACCCAAGATGACTTGAGGAAAGCACTGGAAATTTTAGAAGAAATGAATGAAATGGACTGCAGTCAAATGAGTGCAGGGTATAAGCAAACTCTGATTAAATTTTGTAATCAAGTTTTGAGCAAACTGAGGTCAAGAGGCTTTTAAAACTGAAGTAGCTTAATTTAAATCTAATTTAATTCTACACAAGATTTGTATATAATAATTTTTATGGTAAATAAAATTAATATTTAGTTCTAAAAGTCAGCCATTTATATAAAGACAGTATAAGATTTATGAGACTGCAATGGAATCCAAAAATATGAAAAAATTTTGAATAGAAATTTACTATTAAAATGGAAGAAAAAGCTGAAAACTAAGCCATGATCTTCAGGCGAAGAAATTTCTGACATAAGTATCCATCACATTGATTTTTGAAGCAAATCGACAAGATGATTATAATATTTATCGCAATGAGTTTGGAAACAATGGAATACAGAAAACTTGGAACTTCAGGGCTCAAAGTCTCTGCCCTAAGCTATGGGTATTTGACGACCACTTTTGAAAATGATCACGAGCTTCATAAAAACTTGCTTGACCGCTGTGTCAGGGCTGGCATAAATTTTATAGACACTTCCGAGTTCTATGGTAACGGCAACTCTGAAACCATCCTCGGTGAAAATCTTAAAGAAATAGACCATGATAGAGATGATTTAATTATTTCTACTAAGCTTCATCCTACAGCTTTAGGCTCTATCCAAGGACTAACCAGAAAAAGAATTGTCCTTGGGCTCAATAATTCTTTACAAAGGCTCCAGCTTGACTATGTTGATGTCCTTTCTCTCCATAGATTTGACTATGAAGTCCCTTTAAAAGAGCAGATTGCAGCTATTAATCAGCTTATTGAGACTGAAAAAGTTTTCTATTGGGGAAGCTCCATGTTCACCCCTCAGCAGCTTGCTCAATGTTATGCAATTTGTGAGAAATATGGATATTTATACCCAATTGTGGAACAATGTGAATATAGTATGCTGCAAAGGCAGATGGTAGAGGTTGATTATACTCCACTTTTTGATGAATTTAAGTTGGGGACTGCTGTGTGGGGGCCGTTAGCTGGAGGATTATTGAGTGGGAAATATAATGATGGAAATATCCCGTCTGATTCAAGATTTGGGAAATATCAGCACCCAATTTTGGATACTCAATGGAAAAAACTTGTGGGGTGGAGGAAAAATAATGGCTCAGAACTTTTCCTGGAGCTTAAAAAAATATCAGAAGATCTTGGCTGTACTCAATCTCAGCTAGCGCTTGCTTGGGTACTTAGAAATCCTGATGTATCAACTGCGCTATTCGGGGCGAAAACTTTGGCTCAAATTGAAGATAATTTGGGTGCTCTTTCTGTCATTAAAAATCTGAATAAATCTACTCTTGATAGAATTGAAGAAGTTCTTGACAATAAGCCTGCGACTGCTATTAACTATAGAACTTTTACTCCAAGTCCTCCAAGAATTTAAATTAATATTAATTATTTTATTATAAATTACCATGCAATTAATAATCTATTAATTTTTGGCAAAAATAAAATTCTGAAAATTGATAATTATTTTAAACTTGTCAAATTAATTATGCCGAGCTGCATCCTTTAATATAAATTTAGCTATTGTTATGTGTATTGCTGCTCTGCAAGGGCCAGGTGTTCCAGATTCTTCTTTTAAGCCTTCCACTTCTCTAATGAATGAAGATAATCCTAAAACTGCATCAAGCACTTTATGAGAAGTTCTTTTTTTGTATTTTTTTATTTTGCTTTTAAATTGCATGTGATTTCCTTTTAAGTATTCTAGTTCTAAAACTCCACAAATTTCTTCTAGATCCTTAATGATGTCTCTTGGATTTGCTTTCATTCGATCAGATTTTCGCTCAGATGAAGAATCGTTTTTCATATTGGCCTTTTTTGTTCGACTCTTTTGAAATTATAACAAAATCGAAAAATCTTTTAAAATACATATTAAATTTTTATCAAAATTATCATTATTATTTTATATTTTGATTTTTAAGTTTTTTTGTTACAAAATCCACATTCTTCTCATTATGAGTTTGATAAGCTAAAAATTCTTCATAGTGGCTTTCCAATTTTTCTTTGCTCTGCACTTTGCATACTAAAGGCAAATCATAAACAATTTCAAACTCTAAAAAAGGATGAAAAAATGCAACAGATTCGTAGATTTCTTCAATATTTTTTATATCACATGATGCAGATATAAACCCTGAATATAGCTGTTGCACCACTCTTGCATTTTCAAAGTTTTGGGCTTCTCTATGGTCTTCTAGTCCTGCAGGGCCTTCTTCTCCGTCTCCAAAGCACATTGATATATTATTGCATTCATTTTCTTCAAAAACTGGTGGAGATTCATGATAATCTGGACCTGAGTAGTATAATAAATTATAATTTGTCTGATAAAAAAATTTGCTGATCATCAAATAGAGAAGTCCAGACGCTGCAATTCTTGGGGTTATTTTAGCAATTCCGATATCGAGAACTCCAATGTCTAGAACTTGTAATGACTCTCTGAATCTCTTATAAGCTTGATGGTTAGAGTATTTGAAGACAATTAGCCTTTTTTCAAGCTTTTTTTGCTCTTTTTTCTTCTGATCTGGGGGCAGGTGATCGAAATCTTTAGGCTTGTTATATATTATTTTAAAATTAATAAATAATAAAATGGTCTTATAAATGCTTATAATAATAAACACTTAATTTTTGTTTTTTTGGTTTAGAATTACCCTAAAGTATTATAATTTACACAACCAAAATGAAACTCTACAAATTTATCCCATTGACTCATAAGCCAATTTGTCCAATTATAAATTGTGGCTGGGAAAATTTTCCAGTCAAGCCTGCTCAGAATAATTTTTTCCATCATCTTAATAGCAGGTAATGAATATCCATTATCAGCAGATTTAGCCCACTCAGAGATTTTGGGAGCATAAACTTCTTCAGTTTTGGCAGCAATATACATAGCAGCTAAGCCAATTAATTGGAATTCATCTTTTTTTATTCCTTTTTGGATAGATAAAAATCTATCTACATACGTAATCGACAGATGAAAAGTTTCACGTTTTAACGTAAATTCAGAGCTTACTTCCATCATTCAGTCGTATAGAATTGCACGCATAGTCGCCGTTATATTGTTAGCTTGAATTGACTGTAAAGCGAAAGGATTAGGCATATATTCATACTAAAATTATTAAAATATTTTATATAAATTATCTTTTTTTAAAAAAAATTATATTCATACTCTTTTTCAATCATAGACTTATGACATTTTACATTAAATTTGGAATTATTATGCGCTAATGCAAATAACTGAGCTATTGATTAAATATAAAGTGCAATAATAAGGATAGCATCAATTTTAATATAAAAAATTGTATAATATAGTCTTTATTTTCTGGTTTTCAATGGGAATGTGGAGCTTTTGAAATTTCTTCAATTCCTGATGTCTCAAATTCTGGCGGTGGAGCTTGAACACCATGAAATTCTTGAATAAATGAATTAGACCCTTTAGGAGTTAAGATCTGCTCGTTATCAAAAATTATCTCGCCACTTGAGGTTGGCTTACAAGGATAAGAAATAATTTCTAAAATTTCGTTGCATTCAAAGTCAATAGGAGAGCCACATTCGATTTCAAATTTTGTGGAAAAATTAACGCTTTTATGCCTTTCTCTTAAATAATCTGTATTTGGCTGTATTTATGATATAATTCTATTAAGATATTGTCTTTATTCATTATTATTTTAAATTTAATCTAAATATTTAGTTATAAGTTATGCTGGCCATAAGCGGCTAAATCTACTAGCCGTTGCTCACCTTGACTCAAAAGGGTAGCCCTCTTGGATAATCGACCTGAACCACCATAGCTTCCTAGGGCCTAGCCACGTCTATAGAGAACCCAGATGGTCTCGATTAGGGAATACCTATGTGGTAGGCAAAACTTGTCTAGCCCATATGGCAGAGACAGGAAAACTTTTGCCGGAGAAACAAAAATTCCCTCTTTGGCAGGTCCTCTCCAAGCCTTAAGGCCTAGTACAAAAAGTTAATAATCACTATTCTTATATTTACTTCAAAAAGTGACATAGGCTCTATTTCAGCTTTATCAGGATGGTCCTACTTGCTCCATAGGGGAGTGCGCCCCGAAGTCCACTTTCCGCCAAAATACCAATTTTATTTTTTATCTAAATAGGAATGTCTTGATTTTAAAGAGTTTTTTATGTTTTGCTGATAAGTGGAAACCACATTATTTTCCTTTGGAATTGAAATAGTTTCTAAAGTTGATTTTCTGGAATGGTTAGGTCTTTTACTTCTCGTTTGTATTTTTTGCATTTCTATTTCAAATTTATGGCTTATTTTCTTTGCTTCAGCTTTAGGTGAGGTAATGTGCGAGTCCTGCGTATTATTTCCATAATTTAAATTATGAAATGATATGAAATTAACCTGAGTTTTTTATAGGGAAGTATTTAAATGGAATTTTATGAAATTGCTATCATATGCTTGCTATAAAAAAATTTTAAAACATACTTAATTAATAATTTTATTTTTCTTCATGAAGTGGGTCGTAGTTTTTAGGTTCATTTTTAGCTTCAAGTTCTGTTGAAGCTATATTTCTAATATCAGCCATTTCAATTTCAAGCTTACGTTGTGATCTTTTATATTTTTTGTAAAAAATAAATGCAGAAACAAAAGAAAATGTAAAAATAATTATAACACCCCAAATCAAAACTTTCCCAATCCAGCTTTGTGTCCAAGCCGCTTCATGTGACACACTTATAGGATTATAAGCAATTGTATTCATAGATCAGTTATTATACCATTCGCTTGATTCTGAAGCAGGCAGTATGGCTAAAATATTAATAACGCCATTATAATCTTCTAACTTCCCGTAAGCGAGGAAAATGTTTTAGTATAAATTTTTTTAAGTTGATATATATGCAATAATGAGCATAAAGAGAAAAATGCTGAAAAATCAGCGTTAAATTAACGTAATAATAAGTTGATATATAATTGATAATTAGTATAAATAAATCTCTAATTAATTCTCTTTAATTTTATATAGCTTGCATTCTAAAACAAATTAAGTTAATTTTCACTTTTTCAATTTTTGTGAGGATTGTTTTTAAATTTTGAAAAAAAATATTTTTTTTTAAATTTATCTATAAATTTTTGTACAAATTAACCCCCTCCTTGAGTGTGAATAAATTTTTTTTGCTCATGGAGAGGGAATAAGTCAATCATATAATAAGTCTTTCCATTTTCAGTGTTTCCTATATTTTCACCGTTATCATAGCGGCAAGGGTAGTAAGTTCCACAATATGTAGACTTTTCTTCATGATCATCAGGAGTAAAGAAAATTTTATAGTAAATTTCATTGAGATTTTTTAATTTTTCACCATTTTCATACATAGGAGCTTCCCATGTTAAATTTATCCTTTTATATGTAATTGCGCTGATAGAAATAATTGACTATTAATGGTGAATATTTGGATATGAGTATAATTTATTGCCTATTTTGTGAGCTGAAATAATACCATCATTACCAGGAACTATATTGACTTCTTTTGGCTGGCCAGGTTTTCTTAATCTTGCATAAATTTGGTAGCTTGCTGCTTCTGTTGTAGTAGTGCTGTTTAGCTGAGATACAGTGATATAATATTTACCTATAGCGTTATTGATAATTCCAGTAATTTTTCCATCAGTTATTCTTGCTATTTCTATATCAGGCTCACTCTGGCTAAGTACTGTCCAATTAGATGAAATTTCAAGTTTAACTGAACCCTCACAAGGCTTTACAAAAATTTCAAGTTTTCCTTTAAGATTAACAATAATTTCATACCTATGAGATTTGATGTCGTTCCAAAACGATCCTAAAACAGCATCTCCTTCCTTTAGTACTAAATATTCCATAGATGAAGAGCAAACTAGTTCAAATTCCCCTAGATCACTTGCAGATTTATTTTGATTCGAAATACCATAAACTGCTAAATTAACTTTTGCATTTAATAAATTTGGATAAAAATAAAAATCAAGAGTATTAGTCATGCATTAAAATGCTGACACTGCCAATCTGCACTATTGGCACAACAATCAAGACCTTGAGGCCATGGTGAACTGGAAAAGACTCTGAGAAACAAGTGCAGCCTTAGCAAATGTGTATCCAGTTCGTTTTTAGATGCTCTCCTGTGGTTGGAAATAGAGGTGCTCAGCAACGTTCTTTGGAATCTTGGGCATACCATACTTTACCGAGAAGCAGGGGGTTTCAGCCTGGGCCATAAAGGCTAGCTAGAGCCTATCTTTAATAATCTAATCATAATCCCAAGAGAATTAGTCATCCAATAATAATTTGAAGAATCATAAGATTGATCATATTTTTTTTCTGATGGAAAATCAGAAGGGGAAGCATTGGAATTTCCTTCAATATAAGCATATACGGTTGGCTGAAAATCTGGAGTGTAGGATCTTAAATTACAGAGAACGGGTCTAGGAAGCCCACCAGTATCTCTATACGTGAAATATAATTTATCTTGGGAATTATATTCAAGACTATATGTCTGAGGCCACCCGTCTATTAGATTAATATAGCTGTTTCTCATAGTCGCTATAATCGAATATGAAATGTCCTCTTCTCCATAAATAGCTATATAATACAACCCAATTTTCAAATTAGGGTCATTTTCTCTTATATGAATATGCTTTATTTGCGAATCTTCATTAGAAGTCCACAAGTAACTGTTTTTGTCTACATTTTCATCAGTATTTATATAAAGATTCCCTTTTCCACTAAATAAAGTAAAGGAAATATCAATATCAGCTTTACTGATCACTTGAAAATATAAGAACTGATATTCAAGCGAACTTATCCATGAATTATGCTCAGTTTATAAGATTTAACCATAAGACTGATACTGAGCATTAATTAGAATTGTTATATTAAGCTTTATTTTAGAATAGCATAAATTGTACACCATTCTGGAGGAGAATTAATGACGAGGTTGTAGTGGCAATAATGCTATAGGAACAATTGGAATTATTTGATGCAACACTTATGACTAATGTGCAAAACTTACATAATCCAGGGTCATTTTCAGATATTTTTATTGAGTATCTGTTATTACTTGATATGCTTGACCATACATAACTTGAACTTGAAGGGAGTTTACTATATAAACTATCATCTCTTGACTCAGGATTTACATACAAAATTGGATTTCCTGTGGTAGGCGTTATTTGAATTGTTATATTATTTTTGGAAAAATTCTCGAAATAATAATATAGTACTTCGTATGAATAAAAACTCTATGTAAACCCTTAATTATTATTTAAATCGCATATAAATTATATAAATCTGTATAATTAGCACTATTTTGAAGTAAAAACCCATAATTTGGCTTCCCTTCAGCCAATCTTGTAACTCCATGAAAGTTGCTACTTGCTGTTAAGCTAAAAGAAGACAATGACAGCCCATAAACTCCGACAGTATATAGCCCGTTCCCGGCTATAGACTGGGCTTAGCCCGATCTTTGCCGGGAAACTCGGGGGGTTGTCCACGTCACTTTGAGGTGACGAGTCAACTCCCCGAGTTGGCAAATCACCATATAGCGGCTATTTGCCAACTCGGGGAGTTGACTCGTCACCTCAAAGTGACGTGGACAACCCCCCGAGTTTCCCGGCAAAGATCGGGCTAAGCCCGATCTATAGCCGGGAACGAGCTATAGAGGTTTCCTCTATATAGCGCTAAAAGCGCAGACATTTTCCCAGGAGCTTTCCAAGTTCGTCGGACCAAATCGCTTTTTGGTCCGACCAAGGCATTGATTTGGTGCAACCCTACCGATAAATTCCGATCAGAATTTATCGGCCTTACAGCGCCAAACATAGGAAACTTCTATATAATACCCTTTCATAGTCACATTTTTCTCTTTAAAATATTTATCGTCAGCTGAAATCACCACTGTGTCCCCTCCCCATCCGTTGGAATTTCATATTGAGTTTTCCAAGCTAGGCCTTTTTTCTTTCCCTTTATTAATATATAAATCCAGATCCTCATTGCTAAGATCAGTTAATGTAAAAATCAAATTTGCATCATCTTTATCACAATAATAAGAAAAATAAGCAAATTGATCACTATAAATGAAGCTATATTTTGGCTCACCTTCTAGAAGGGTGTAAATCAAATTTTGATTGGCTTCTATTGTATATTGGCAATATTCTAAATCGTAGTACGATTTTTTATAGGAAAATGCCTTTTCTTTACTTCCCTCCTTCAGAGCAAGCAAAACAATTAGAGGTTTTCTATTTTTAGAAAAATCAGTCTACCATATAGAGCAGCTTTTTTTAGTTCCAATTATTATAAGAAGTCGCATATCATTCATCTGAATCCAAATTTTGGCTATTTATATCGCAGAATAAGAATAGTAAAGCCTAAGGTACTATAGAGGTTTCCTCTATATAGCGCTGAAAGCGCAGACATTTTCCCAGGAGCTTTCCAAGTTCGTCGGACCAAATCGCTTTTTGGTCCGACCAAGGCATTGATTTGGTGCAACCAACCGATAAATTCCGATCAGAATTTATCGGCCTTACAGCGCCATACATAGGAAACTTCTATATCAGAAGAAAATACAGAAAAAGAAAATTCGAAAAAAAAAATCATGTAGTCAAAATCGTAACACCGCACACCAATCAATGCTATACAATTTCCACTCGGACAATGTGAAGGTAATTGAGCTTCATTCATTCTGATCTCGTTGAGGAATGGAGTGCTGCTTCATGATGAATATTGATTAGGAAAAGATGGAAAAGTCATCCAGAATGAGACGTTAGATACAGCTAAAGTGTCGGCATCTGTTAAATTTATATTAAAAGAGATAGATCCTTTTGAGGACTGGGTGCTTATTAATAATGGCATTGACGTTGATAATGAATAATAGTAACAGCTGTATTTAAAACTATTCAAATAGCCAATTTCTGGAATATTTGATACCAGATATTTAGGCATATTCTGTTTTGAGCTAGCTCTGATTGTATAAGTGCTATCTAACGCTCCAGAAACTCCAATATAAATTAAGCAGACTGCGCTGGTTTCTCCAAAAAGTCATATACATAAAATGGCCGTAGATGGGTGAGCCGTCTCCCTAGGCGGGCGTCTCTATGTATATCCGAACTTTTTTTTTTAATTATAGGGGCTTGAGCCAAAAACACAGGGTGACTTATCTGCCTAGGTTGCTTCGTGGCTTGCCCCGTTTCGCGTAAGCAGTTGAGCTTTTTTCTTTGGTGATGAGCAGGATAGACAAGGATCTTGAGGTTCCAATCTCTCCAGTTTAAAAGGGTCATTGTAAAAGGGGTTATAGAAATTGCCCGAGGATGGCACTGTTTTGCGCCATCCTCAGGCAATTTCTATATCTGGCCTAAGCTAGGAAGGGTTGGGTAAGCTTGTTGCTTGGGCTGGAATTGGAGGTTCCTAGCAAATTCTGTATAGCTCGGACCATGAAAATTGAGGGTTTCGACGCGAGCTCAAGTTAACCGTGGAGCGCACGGCCTCAGGAAGAGGGGGCTATAAATGCACATCTTAATCTAATCTAATCTCCACAAAGTCACTTTACATTATCATAATAAAAAGAAATTGCATCACTTCCAAAATACCTTGAAGCTTCTATAATATTTTCATGATTAGATTTTGCATAGATCATCAAATCTGGATCTCCAGTAAGTGCTGTGACCGAAATAGTGATTTCTGGGTGATCCTCATGAATTTGATACACATAAAAATTTTCTGCTTGCTGAGTCACTGCATCAGTAAAAGGTATGTCATCAGAAAGAATTATGCCATCATCTCCAAATGATACAACTATAGAATAATCCGAAGAATTATCATAGGAAAATTCGTCTCCACGTACGTATACACCATATGTAGTATCGCACTTATATAATATGTCTGATGGAGAAATAGTTATGGTACTGAATGGTAAAGTTCCATTGTAATAGATTACACCATCTGGGGAAATAAGCGAGCCAAGGTTTATTTCTAATCTGGTTCCAACGTATATTGTAAATTTTCCTGTAATAGGTATTAAAGATATCTTAATGGCTTTTTTGTCGTCCTTTGGAAAGTGGACTGGGAAATAGTAAAGTCTGTATCTGACATCGGTAGTGTTATAAAGGGTATCTCGTTGAGGATGGCCTGGGTACAGCAATATTTTTGTATTTTCATCAGGAGTGCTTTCTTTGGCTACAATAGAAAAAAATGAGGAAAGAGGGGAGTAAACTGAAATATGGTATTAAAATTAGCATGAATATTAATACATAAAATATCATAAACAATTGAGACTATTTAGGCTTAAATGAATATTCCCCAACTAGTGAATCTTCTGTAAGCCCTTTCACATATTTTATTGATTCTATCATCGTTCCATAATTTCCTGAATATTTTTCATAATTGTTGATACTTGGCTTAGAAATTTTTGAGGAAAAAAGATTAGGGTCGCCTGTAATAGGGGTTAATATGAACTCAACTTGTATAGTAGTCGCATTAAATACGCTATATTTGAAATATTTGTATTCATTTCCTAAGGTGCTCATAAATAATGGTCTCCCTTCTTGCAAAAACTGCTCTTTAGTGCTATCTAAGGTAGCTAAAATTGTATAGTCACTTTTTAAGCTCGAATTTCCTTTTACACCTATAATATATCTGCAAGGGTTATTTGCACTGCAAAATCCTGACTGGTGAATAATTAAAAACTGTGATGTCAACGGAAGATGGACTCCAAGACACACCATCTGTAGAGTATGTAGGGCTGTCCTGATGAAGCCGAAATAGTGCCCCTGTCACTTTTGAAGTAAGCGTTCAGGCTTGGGGAAGCTTACTGAAGAGGGAAATTTTTTCTCCCCTGAAGGTTTTGCATGTCCTTGCTAGGTGGGCTAAACACGCTTTGCCTCTAGCTTAGTTTTTACTTATCGGGGCTAGCGAGGCATCCTCAAGAGGTGGCTCTAGCCTAGGGAGCTAATACTCAGGCTAGGTAGGTTACACCATAAAGACAGGCTATTGGCTTATCCGCTTATGTCCTCATAAAATTTAACTTTGACTCTTTGACTGGTGATTTATAAAAATATAATCATTCCCAATTTGATTTTTCGAGGAAAAAATTGATGGGCTATTTAGTTCTTCTTGAGAAAATTGGCAGAGTTTTATGCTCGAGGATAAGCATAATTTTGCATATAAGTCAGGGTTTCCAGATAATGCTGTAAGATAGATAGAAATATTATAGCTAAAATTAGAAACCAAATCGATATGATGGAGCGAAATAGCGTCAGGATCAGCATAGCAAGTCATTGGAATTCCAGAAAACAGAGAAATCACGCTATCTTGATTAATTGAAGCTGCAATTCCATACGCAGAAGTAGAAATTCCATATATCCCAATATAGTAATACCCAACTGCTTTATTTATACTTTTTCTTTGCGAACCAGTAATTACCAAACTATAATTCCCTGCCCCAGCAGAATAATAATCATAGTCTTTCTTGCTCGGAATCTGCCCAGCTTTTATATAAATTTCCGCTTCCCCTGAAAATTGAGTCATCACAACAGAAAGATCCTCATTTTCATCGTCCACATAAATTGAATAATATTTAAAATCACTATGATTTACAATCCCATAACTGGTCGCTGATGCTTTTAAGCTGATAGTTTCCGTTTGGTTTAAATTTAAAATAATTGAGAACTGAGAATCTTCTAATGCAATTACTGCTGCTTTATAAAGAGTGCTTGGAGAAGGAGAGGGGTCAATAAAAGTTTCTCCAAAATATCATAATGCACTTGTGGGCAAATTATTACTTGTGGAAGGCTCTTGACCGTTTTTAGAAACGAAAAGTTTGATATTTCCTGAGATAAGAGAGATTTCTATAGACAGTTGTGGAGGGATAGCAATCGGAGTTAAAAAGTTGTATTGCGGAATACATTAATGTTTTAAGATTACAATCTCTATTATATAGCTATTAATTTTTAGTTGTGAATAAGTCTAATTAATCAAAAAAGCATAAATTTGCTGTTTTCCTTTGGATAAAATCCCTGATAAAGGGACTCCTGGAGTTAGCACAATTTCTGATACATGAGACACTGTAAGGGAATATCTGCAGTAAGTGAAGCATGAGGCTTTAATATAATAATCTGTGTTTTCTGATAGCTCAGATGAGGGGATTACAATAGAGCCAATACCCCAAGTTGCACTTTTCCAATCATAATCATCTAGATTTGGATGGTGGCCTTGAGATACTAATAGACTTGGGCTACCTCAGTCAGAAAACGTTGTAAGGGTTAAGGCTAAATCAGTGTCGGCCACACCAGAAACGTGAAATTTGTAAATCTGAGTACCTCCTATGCTCATTATACTGATAATGCATTTTATCATGACTAAAATATTTTTAAATAAGCTTATTGTGATATGTATATAATTGAACTCTGACTACCATCAACAGTTTCTCCGTCCTGTATAAGTATTTGACCTTTTATAAGTGCTATTAAAAAGAAAAATATCATCTATAAATGATAGGAAATGATAGAAATATCTGTTTGAATTATAGAATAATCAGTAAAGATGGAAAACCATAAAAAATCATTATTCTTCTTTAATATCAGCATTAGCTTCAATAAAGCTCTATTAATATTCTTTATTTTACGCTCGTCTAAAGAGGTATAATGAATATTTATTTAAGAGAATACTTGGCTTATACTAAGTCATGCATCTAGTCTATTCTTTTGAAGTATCTAATACGATTATTTTATTAATTGCCTTGCATTTTGTTTTTAATTTTTATATTAAATTTACATAACAAAATTTCATTTTTTTCATAATGTTTTAGCCTAAATTATTGATATCTTGCAACTCCCGCTTTCTGTTCCTCATGCACTTGTTGTGCTGGCATGACTGGCTGAGTCAGTGGGACTTCTCCAAGCTCTGCTTGCACTTGTATGCCATGCTCTGAAGCAATTTGGCTCAAAAATTCGTCTACTTGGCTTCTTGGAGCACTCGTTACAGTTGCTGTTTCTAATGACTGATTTATTGTTCCTGATACAGCTTCATATATACATTAAAACGTCGTGACGAATTAGCTCATCCTCATAGCTCCTTTAGATGGCAGAACTGAGGACTTTGAGGAAAGATGGCGGTCTGAAGATGAATTAAAGAGATTTTATAGCATAGGGATAAGACTAATACTAGGTGAACGATTCTGTAAGTAGAGTCAAGAGAAGTTAGCAATAAGGTACTTCATCTAAGCGAAGCAAGCTGAGGATAAATACTGATTCATTATCACAAGAAGCCATTCAATAACCTCAATAAATACAACTTCAAAGTTCTCAAATACACTTTCAAACTGATTCATAGTCCTTGCAATGTGCTCTGGATTCATGGATTTTAAGACAGAATTCATTTGAGGAATGACATGGCCAAATTGCTTGGTCAATTCTTGGGTTCGGCTTGCGGAGCGGATACGTGATTGTACTGGTTATAAAAATAGTTTTAAAAAAAAATTATATGGAAACTAATTAAGAAAAAATAAAATTTTAATTTTAAAAATTTATTTTGCATTGTACAGCATCTAATTTTGATGATAATCGCAAATAATTCAAACTCTCATTGTGGAATCTTATAGCGTTTTCCCCATATATCCTGGCATTGTCAATCATCCCTTTTTTAAGACTTGCTGCAGCTTTTTGCTTTTCTATGTTGCATTGCTGTTCACTTCTCTGTGATTCTTTGGCGAGCTGTTTTGATCCCATTCGGAAGTTGAAGATAGTATCTTCAAGAGTTTCTTTTGATCCTTTTCCTCCCATTTATACAACAGCTTTATTATCAGATCATTTTAATTAAAAGACTTGAAATTACATTATTTTTGTAGATTGAAAAGCTTTGATTAATTATTTATGAGTATTCTCTCGGGCTATTTAAAATAAAACGCATAACAATTATTGGTAAAAATATATTCTAAATTTAATTGAAACTCAGAAATAATTTTCATAAGTAGCCTCAATTTTGAACAAAAATATAGATCTTTAATACATAAAAATTAATAATTGAAAGCATATAAATATGTGAATATAATAAATTATGATATTTAAGCTGCATTAAAAGCAAATATATAAAGGTAAAAATCATTCAAAATTTTATGTTTAGGAATAAAAATTTTTCCTTTTTAAATTTTTTAATTTTGGTGTGATAAAATTTTCCCTGATAAATTGGCTCTCATGAATTCATCAATGTAAAGATATTGCGTGTTTTGATAAATAATTTAATTTTTCAATGTGAACAGAACATATCTCGAGATAATTTTACATGCAACGCCATAATACCAATAAAATGGGAGCATTACAAGCAAAAGCGTATTGTAATGAAGCGCAAATCCAAATAAAAATCACAGGACCAGACACAGAAAATAAAGGCCCTCGAAGAATTTCTGACTTTTTTGAGGCCTTAAGCTTAGCATTTATTTGCTATTATTGTGCCTTATAAATATTTGAATACCCGTAAAATCGTCTACTATTCACCACCGAAAGTTAAATAGCAAACTGGTTTTGGCCTGCAAGTCAAGTCTACCGGCTTTAAAATATTTACAAGGCACAATAAAATTTTAAAGTGTTTTCCTTTTCCTCAGCAAGCCGGTCTAACAATAATGGCCTGATATAGAGGTTTCCTCTATATAGCGCTAAAAGCGCAGACATTTTCCCAGGAGCTTTCCAAGTTCGTCGGACCAAATCGCTTTTTGGTCCGACCAAGGCATTGATTTGGTGCAACCTACCGATAAATTCCGATCAGAATTTATCGGCCTTACAGCGCCAAACATAGGAAACTTCTATATTTTAACATGCGTGTTGTGACATCTCATCCATTATACCTTGCAAGCATTCATGAAAACCCACCAAAAGGTCAAAGTCCTCATGGTATCATTATACCCTGTCCAAACTTGGTGTTATGCATACAAGTCCCCTCCTCGGGTGCTAGGTAGTAAAAACTATAATTCCTTCTTGGGCTACTGAATTACCCTATAAGGTAATTTCAATATTGGTATGTGGATAAAGATTTAGCTGAAAATTGAACTATGTAATAATAAATTTGTGGTGAAGGAATCGTTCTCAGAGAACTTATTCCGGATTTAGCTATTTTATTATATAATTTAAGCTTAGCACAAATTCCAAATGATATCATTAATGGTTGTCAATTCAATCATTTAAATGATGGTCTTTCTCTATGTAAAGAGCCAGATGAACTAATGAGTTCTCAAGAATCTTAATTAATTTAAGTCAGGCAGCTCAGAGATATTATGGATTTATCCACCAATTCCAGGCTTGTCACCAGATAGTGTGCCCGAGCCTCCTTTTGGATCGGACGATTGTTCCTGTACCTCTGCTCTCCCTATCTTCTTGAGCTGTTAAGGCGGTTGCATCCTCTTAATTTAAGGTTGTTCAGACTTGCTTGAGGTATTTCCAACCTGAGCTGCCAACCAGAAAATATTAAAAAATGAAAAGCCTATTTTTTATAGTTTTCCACCTAGGAATAGTCTATACTATCCTTTCCAACTCAATGTCGCTTGCCCCAAGAGACAAAAATAAAACTGAAATTGAACTTAGGCTAAGCTCAAAACACTGTCAGAGTTGTTTTTCTAGCATCCAATAGATTTTTGAAATAAGCGCTGGTCAGCATAACTAAATTAGTATTTAATGCTAACTGGCCTCTGGCTAACTCCAAAAAAGTCGCCATATTTTAATAATGAGTCTCAAGACTCAAAAAGCAGCCGAAATAGCATGTCTCTTGAACACACACTAAAAGACTGTTTCGGCAATATGAATTGTATCACAGACTTATGTCCACGATTTTCTTATACTTAAATTAAATAATTAAGAAAATTTTTAATGTATTGTTTATTCTTTTAGAGGAACATAGAATGGTATATCAAATTGATAAATTTAGCAATAAATTTAATAACGGAGAAGGGAATTTTGTGGAAATTTTAGAAGCTGATTTTGAGGCATGTGAAGTCCCTGAAGAATGCAATGAAATGGAATTATAAATTTGGGACTGAAGCAGTGTAATTTAAATTTAAAATTAAAATTTATAATGGAATTGAAAGGAATATGGAGAAAAGAATTGCTTGTAAACTGGATTTTATTTCCAATAATTTTAGGTAAATTAAAAATTGAATCATCTACTCTCACTACGAATAAAGAGCAAAAAAAATTAAAAAATTCGGAAAAAAACAGAACTCAATGATTATAAGAAATTTTTTTTAAGTATAATTGTTCAAATAATAACTCGATATTAGATTAGATAGGTATTTGAAGTCCCACTTCACTGTTCGCTCCGTTTTGCAGTATTGTGCTGCGGGGTTTTAGAGTGCTGCCGTCTTGCAGCCCGTACTGAAACCCCTAGTTTCTCGGTAGGGATTTACCTAAATTATATTTAAGTAGTTTTCATCTTTAAAAACATATTAATTGAAATTCCATTATATATTTAAAAATTTGATATGTATAAAATGCCATAACGTTCAACCAGTACTCTCATTGACAGAAATAGGTAAAAAAATTATGTATATAATTTTAATATGGATTTTTTAAAAACTAACCAGTTAGCGATCAGAAAATTTTGGACGAGAAAGGAGTTAGAAAAATTAAGTTGATATTAATACGCCAAAAATAACAAAAATAAAAATCATAAAGTTTATTTCATGATTTATTTATATAAATTATAAATATTTTTCAAAATAAATGCAAATGATAGTAATTATGCAGCTTTTTTCTTATTTAAATGACACTATTAATCAAATCCCTGTATTTCCATATAAAAAGTTCCTAAAATTAATATGGATTCTTCAGAATCTCAAAGTGAATTCATAGCTCTGATAAATGATTTTACTCGTGGTACCATTCAAATTGGAGAGTTATATTCATACATGAGAGACAAAAGTATAAACCCTTCTCAGCATACAGGAAAAGATGGCTACACAGCACTTCATATATGTGCACTTAACAGCATGACCTCATTAGTAAAATTTTTGATTCGATATGTCCATGAATTTTTCCCTGAACAATCAGATAATATACTGTCTCTAGCTAGATTAAAATTATAATAAGGCTTAATTTATATATCATTTTAAATATTTTTCTGTATTAAATACATTTATACCAGAATATAATAAAAACCTGAATAAACCAGCCTTCGACTGAAGGGTTCACATGTATCCAATTAGCAGCTTTTAGAGGAAACACGGTAAAGCTTATATAGAAATTAGTAAAATTCTTACTGAGGTTCGGTGCAAACACAAAAACCCTCACAAGCCAAGGGATGAATGTTATGCATGTAGCAGCTCAAGGCGACCAAATGAATATGTTAGTACTATTTGGAAGCATGGGAATTAATTATAATTTGAGAGACAAAAAAGGATCGACCCCTTTGCATTTAGCAGCAAATCAAGGATGCGAAGTGGCTCTGTCAGTTTTATTGTCCTGAAGTGCTGAAGTAAATGTAGCTGATGATGAAGGACAAACTCCTCTTCATTTAGCAACTATATCTGGAAATGCGAGATGCGTTAGTTAAGTTAGCCCTATAGGTCTTTGCCTCGTCTTGTCTCTAAGGAAAAGCAGTCACTATTTACATTGGAATTTCTCTAAGGAAAAGCAGTCACTATTTACATTGGAATTTAAATGAGTAATTTAAAATTTTCGACCTGAAGTACCTAATGAAGGTATTAGTAGCCAAGACAGACTCATACCTAGATTATGCCTTGATGGTCTTTGAAGGAAGGCCATATGTAGCAAGTTGTCTAGTCCATCTGACAGGGAAAGAAATAAAGCTTACTTCTTCGGCAGCATCCCCAAGTCTGGGGACCTACTTCGAAAGCGATTTTCAGCTTCATTGTGACGAGTCCTAAGGAGTGTGTCTTGGAGTCCCATCTTCCAACGTAATAATTTTATTTCTTTGAGATGCGTTAGGAATTTACTATTAAAAGGTGCAAATCCAAATTTAAAGAATAAAAAGGGTCAAATACCTATAATGATTGCAAAAGAGCTTAATCATGGGACCATTATTTCTCTTTTAAAAGAGCCAGGGCTACTATCGATTTGTGGAATAAGACCACCGCAAAGGCCAGTTAAATATAGAAGAGCCCTTTTATGAATATTTTTTGGACTTTTAGTGTTTGGAGCTGCTGGGAATATTGTATTTATTTGTAAAAGCAATTATTATATGGTGATTTCTGGGATGGAATTTATATTTCTGTTAATTATTTGAATTAAAAATCCTGGATACCTTAAAAACACTAACTGCCCCCCCCTCCGTGAGTGAGCAAAACCATTAGAAAATCCCTATTTTTTTACCCAAAAACCCACCCTCCGTGAGTTAACAAAAATATTTTAATAGAAAAAATTTGATATATAAGTGATAATTATTATAGTGAAATCTAGAGCTAATTCTGTTTAATTTTAAACAAATTGCTTTTTAAAACATAAATTTTACAAATTAAATTAATATTTGCTTTCCAGTTTTTGCGAATTAGGATTTTTTTAAATTTCGAAAAAAAAAATATTTTCTATAAAATTTATATATAAATTTTTTTAAAAAAAAAATTAACCCCCTCCGTGAGTGAACAAAATTTTTTTTGTTCACTCACGGAGGGGGGGAGTAAAGAAAATTCCCTGCTAGCTTTATGCGAAGACTATGAAAATTACCAGATTTGTGTAGAGTGCGTAATTAAAAGGCCTCCAAGATTTTTCAAAAAAAATTATTTTACTATAATAAATTATTTTAAAAAAAATAAAAAAATTTCCTCCAAGATCAAGACACTGTCTTAATTGTGGTGTTTGCGTAGAAAAATTTGATCACCATTGCCCTTGGATTAACAACTGCATTGGTGCTCGCAATCTTGGGCTTTTTTATTTATTTCTTGTCATGACTTTAATTGTTCTCACTTCTAATGCAATTTTAGATATTTACTCTTTTCTTTCTTCAGATTATATATTTATTATAGAAACTCCATTACTTTTTCAACAAGTTGTATCAATAACTTTATTAGCAATTTCTAGTAGCTTTTTAATACCTGTTTTATTGCTATTTATAGTGCAAACGAGGAATTTCTGGACAAATACAACGACAAATGAGAGATATTCAAGATCTACAAGAATTGAGCTGACTTTAGACAGACAAGATTCAGATTCTATGGTAAATAGAAGCAGTGTCCTTACGAATTGGAAAGAAATGTGCTGCAATTCAGATCAAAAATTGTTGGCAGGGGTGGCTTATGAATTAAATGAGCCGATGGATAATGAAATTAGGTTTACATGGGTTGCCAAAGAGCATGAAAAAGCATTGAAAAAGCCTTTACTCGATAAATAATCCTATTAATATAATAATTAAAGTATTTTCTTATTTTATTTTTCCTTTATCTATTCATCAATAGGATAAATCCTTGTAACACCTCTTATCAAAACCCTACACACTGGACAATTAGCTAAGTTTATATTGCAGCCTGAACATAAGCACATATGTTTACATGGCTCAATAATAGTGTCTCTATTGTTTTCAAAGCAAATTATGCACTTATACCTATCCGGAATTTCCCCGAATTTTTTATTATATCTTTTCCTTTTTCATTCTGTTCATTTTTCTCTAGTAATCCTTCATGCATCGGATAACCACGCAGATCATAAAACTAGCGTCACCAAAGTAATAAACCTCAGCTTTTTAAGGATTCTTTTTAATATAATTCCCTTCGTATGTCCTATATAATCAGCAGTAATTATATTTTGGGAAGCTTTTCCTATAACTACAATCGCTGAGTCGCAAGCTATTACTTTTTCTGTTGTTGTTTTAAAATAATCTGAAGTAGACATTCAAGAGGTTAGAAGTGATAAAAAAGGCTCAGTTTTAGTATATATCGGATTTATATAAATTTTGGTATATGACCCAGCCTTGACGTCAATTTGGGATTTTTTATCTAATAATGTAAACAAGCCTCCTGTTATTATAGATTTTTTTTTCAAGCCTTTTTCAACAATTCTTGAATAAACAATATCTCCATAGGTTTGATCGAATTTTGACTAATTTGAGATTACTTTAAAAGAATTTTTTTGCCTAACAATCCCTGATATACAGACAAGATCATTTTTGGATTTTGATGAGCGCTTCTTGAAGTCTTCTATTGTGGTTTCTTTTAAATTAAGCAACTCACGATACTTTGAGAGCTTTACAGCAAATATTGAGGTAACTACTATAGTGGCAATTCCGGCGATAGCATAAAAAATTTTATCAGAAGTTCTCATTTAAGTAAAAGTTATTAATTTCATAAAATTTTTATTCTATCATTTTAAAATAAAATTTGCAAAAATTCTAACTATTCTTTATATTTTTATAAAAGGTGCCATGCAAGGATTAAATACAAATTCTCCCCATTTTCTTTAACAAATAGGCTGCATGCAAACTAAATGGCGGTTATCTTTTGAATTTATCAAAGGGTTTCAATAAATCAAGCTTTATTTTGCCTACTTAATAGATTAATTACCATAAATCTGTAAAAAAAAAATTATTTTTCTTAACACAGTTTTCATTATTTATTCTTCTTTGCTATTGACTTAATAGATTAATTACCATAAATCTGTAAAAAAAAAATTATTTTTCTTAACACAGTTTTCATTATTTATTCTTCTTTGCTATTGATGACCCACATAATGGGCACGAATCTTTTTGAATCAGCCATCTATCAATGCAGTCTTTATGAAAAGTATGTGATTCATAGCAAGGAAGTACCTTAATTACATCTCCTTCTTGAAACTCAAATGTGCATACTGAACAAACATCATTTTTATATTGATTTTTAAAATCATCGTTCATAGAAATTTCTTGTAAACCATATGCAAGTAATTTATGCTATATTAAAATAATTAAAATCCTAATAAGTTTTGATACAATAACTGCTATAAATAATGGCATTAGGTTTGAGAGAAATTAGCTTTGCTAATTTCCTCTCCCTTATGAAATTTTACTTATAGGGTTTGGTTTTACCTGGAGAATTTCTGAACAGCAACAGTGGTTTAACTTTTGTCGCATAAGGTTAGAGGAGCTGCTTCTCATTACATTCATGAGAGACTTAGGTTTTATCACTCAGCACACACCTGAGAGCTGAATCTGAAGCGGAACACGCGCAGGAACTGAGTTGACAACGGTAACTGTTACGCTTCGGGTGAGAAGACTGGCTTGGACTGGAGGCGGACATACCAAGGAATACCTGCCCATATGGTGTACCATTTTAAGTGGTAGGATGGCCCGTGAGGTCAAAAGGAGTGGGCACCGGGGACCTTAAATACCATATCTAAATTAATGTAATATACAATAACTGACATTTATATAAAAAAGCATAAATTTTCAATATCTTCTATTTCAGCGCCATCCTGCAAGAAGTACAAAAACTCAGGAAATCCTCTGATAACTGGCTCATTGTCATCAAATTTCAGAACAATGATTCCAATAATAAGCCTTATTATGAAAATCATCATAACTTTTACGCTCGTAGAATAAGGGTTTGCTAAGTTTTCGTCACATGTGTTTCCACTCACGATCCTTACTAATCCATATATTATCCCATCCTATTTCCTCTAAATAAGCCTATTTTTCTTAACTTTTTTTTAAAAAATTCATTATAAAATACCATAGTAACAGATATGACGATATATTTAAAAGCTCAAAAGTTTTAAAAATCGAAGATCTGACTAGATTCATCAGCCTTTTTATTGTAAATCTTGTATCATCAACTTTGATGCGTGACGACAAATAGACCAGCTTTAATAAAAGCTTAACTTTTAGGGGGATGTCACAGAATTTCACCAGGGAAAACAAAACCAGCCAATAAGTTAAATATTTGTCACATAGAAAGCTATTTCCAAAATTGCTGTAAAGATATTTGAAAGATATAGTGGAAATACAGATACTTGTGATAAAGGAAATTGTAAATTGGTAGTAGAGATATTTTAAACCTTTGGAAGGGTTTAGAAATTTCCAGTCAAGGGGGTGACTATTTGTTGTAGTCGGCATTATTGATAATTATTGTAAATGACGTTTAGAATTATAAAAAGAGAGTAATTGCAGGCTATTATATCTAGCCTTATTTAATAGGTAAAATTTAAAGCAATTAACGTCTTTTTGGGAAAAATTATTCCTATTTAGCAATTTTCTATTTAGATGTCTAAAAGCAAGCTTATGGAGAATTTTAAGCTTAATTTTTATTGAAGCGGATTTATTATTTTAAAAATCTTGCTGCTGATTAATTTTTTTATCCTAAAGACAAATTAATTTTATTATATATTTTTGTAAATGATGGATGACTCTCTAAAGTAATTTTCATCCAGTTATTTAGAAGAAGACTCAATAATCTGCATCAATTCTCCTACCCAGCGATCTTCAGACATAAAAGGCTCAATGGGACTGGACTTCAATAAAATCCAAAACGACAAAAACCCTCCTCAAATTTTTACTCAAAATCATTTTCATTCATATTCATGCTCTACCGTTATTCCTACAGAAACTCATTCGTCTCTAAAATTACCTATAAAGACTCAGCGGCAAGGCCAAGTTTTTGAGCGATTAGTCCAAGATGTGAATGCCAGACATGAGTTATTCCTATTAAAATTAAATAATTATTTTAAAAAACAATGCAAAATAATGTATTAAGTTATTAAAATATTATAAAAGCAAAAATAGAAGAATCCAATAAAATTCTTGAAAACCAAAAAGTTTTGGAATTTAAGTCAAAAAAGCGAATTTCTTTAAAAGAAAAAGACGATCTTTATAACAGACTTGTGGAAGATGAAAACAGAAGAGAAAAAATTAAAAGAGAAATGCAAGCCATAGCAGAAGCTCAGGAATTAGAAATTCTGAAGAAGAAAAAATTATTGACAAAAAAAGAAGTCAATGTTTTATTAGATAGGCTACATGGGTATCATGAAAAGAAAAAAGAATGATTAGAAGCTATTGAAAAAGAAAAAATTAAACTGGAGCAGCTAAAATTAAAAGAATTGGAGAGCTTTACTCCTAGAAAAACAAGGGACTCAGATTTGTTTCAAAGATTAAGTATTCCAAAATCTCCAAGAAGTTTTTTAGAAAGTAAAGTTAGATGGTCACTTAAATAAAAACGTTTCAAAATGGCGTAATTAGTTTAATAATGAATTGTTTTGAGCTAAATAATACTTCGTTTTCTTTTTATTATTAGCAGAATAATATTGTGAATTAAAGTCTATTTTATTGATATTTATGCATATTTTTAATTAAAATTTGTATAAGTTTATTTTATTATTCTTATGCTAAATAATTGCATCATAAAGCAAGCAAAACTTCTAAAAATTCAAATTAAATATGGTTGCCTCATTTATTTATTTTTTAGTGAATAGAGATTACTTAAAAATCCAAGGTAAGCTTTTGCCTTCCTTTACTCTGTGCTGATATTCTTGATATCTTTTCTTCAATATATTATAAAACGTTGAAATCCAATAAAACGACAAAATTTCGAGCGAAAATGCTATAGCTCTCACGGGCCAAAAAACGCTCCAAGAAGTGACTACTTCATAAATAATCACAGGTCCAATAATAAATCTCGCAAAAATAAACGTAAAAATATATGTCAGCTCTGCTAACAGATAAATTTTCGTGTCTCTTTGATTATTATACCTCAGGATTTCTTTAATCTGTAAAGATGGATTTGGTAAAACTCCAATAAAAGACCCATACAATATTTCCACAATTCCGTTGTTGCTTGAGAGCCCACAAATTGATCCAATAATTACGAGTGAGTGGTGGATCACAATAAAATTGTCTGAGATCCCAAACTTTATTTTGCAAATTGTGTCGTAAATGTGGTATCCTAACATCCACAAAATGATTTTGATTTGGAAATAAGTGTTGTCTGAACCTAGCTTGGCTTCATTGATTACTGTGATGGTAGTGAAAGTAAGGTAGAACACTCCATGTATAAAAGTGACGAGGCGGTTTCGGAAATCCCAAAGCTGTCTTGTAGGCAAATCAGCTTCTACAAGCTGTGAGAACAAGAAGAATAGGAAAGTCCAAAATGCGATTGATATAAATAAAGTTGAAACGTAGTCTATCATTTAATTTTTATATGATGAAATTTTTGTAACAGATAAATGGACTATTAAATTTGTAACCTACATGATAAGATTACAAAATAAATGAGCTTTTGAGGTTGAGATATATAGAAACATTAGTTATTTATTGAAGAAAAATATTATTTAGACCGATTGAAATTCACATATAAGCCTTCAAAACGAGTATTTATATACTTAGATCAAAAATATTTAATAAGAGTTGATTTTCTAACATTTAGAGGAATAATTAAAATAGTCTATCATAATATAACTCAGCTAGAATCAATGTCATTATTTCTTGTCTCTATTTTTGATAGTAACACATCATCTTAAAATTAAATAGTCATATAGAGTAAATTTATTAACAATATAAAAATTCTTCATAAAGTTATTTTTTCACAGAAATTTATTAAGATAAGAGCTTATCTTTAAGCAAAATCAGTTTATTTGAGTAGATTCTTCAAGTAGTTTGCATTTGGAACTAAATTAATAGAAAAATTCAGATTCATGAATGATAACTATTTGATTATTTTATTGCTAATAGTCTAGCATAATAAATATTTAAAATAATTTAATTTATCTTTCATAATTGATTAGAAAAGCAGTATTCTTCAAAATACAACTGAAATTATAAAAACAAAATTTGACTGATTAAATTTGAAACCGACATTTTGAAGAATTTTAAAATTCAAAATGATAAAAATATCAAGTTTTCTTGGACCAAAAGCTTATTTAAAGCATTTATAAACGCTAGAGTAGTTGTTGATAACACATTTTCCAAATTAAGCCTATAGAATTTGAATTGACCTTTATGAGATTTTTCGGGATAATTATATAATAAAACTAAAATAAATTCAAATTAAATTTAATTAAAACTTAATTTGTATTTATTTTCAATTTTAATTATTTGCTAAAATAAATTTTTTCTAAAGCACATTAGCACATTTGATGATGAGGCATGGAAATACATTAAAGTCGGATATCTTTTAGCAGAAATTGCAGAAATCGATGACTTAACTATATGTGAAACCAGTTTAAACAAAGAATAGAATTAGAGATGACCTACTAAATAATTTAAATAAAATTGAAAATTTAGGTTTAAATAGGGATGCTTAGTTATGACACTAAGATAAATTTATAGATTCAAGAAAATGGTTTTATTACAAAAATTAAAATTTTATCTTTCTATAATTCACGTTTGGAATTACATTAATTGCGGTGCGAGCATAGTTTGCATATTTATAATTGCCGCTGGTTTTTCTCTTTGTCTGTACTTTTAGGAGTTTTTGATTGTGAAATTGGATATATTCAAAACTAAATAATATGCGTGCTTATAAATGAAAATACCAAAGCGATCTCTGAATGAATTTTAGTAACGATTTATATAATGAGCCACTATTTTTTGCCTTTTTACAAAGAATTTTTGCTAATTTTAACATTGAATTCTGGAAAATAAAACGAAAATAAAAAATCACTCGAGGATATTGAGCTAGCTGATTTTGATCCTTAAATAATAATTATAGATTTCAATTTTAATATTTTTTATTACTAAATTCTTTATATTTCTTATTATTCCTTTTCAGGAATGAAATTACTTTATCAATTATTCCATTTTCTTGAACCTTTGATAATTATAATTATCATGGAATGCTGAAAGCAGAGATGCCAAAATAAAGAAAAGTTTTTTGCAAATGTGAGAATCATATCAGCTACTCTTGCGTCACTCATATATATAAGCGTCTTCGAAATGAGTCTATTAGAAGGCATAAACCTGAAACCTTAAAAGTAAAAGTAAATCAAAGAAATAAGGAAGCTTTAAGTGAAGAGTTACAAAAGCTATCAAAACATTGCTTGATGTAAAAGAAAACTTAAACAAAGACACATATATGAAAATGCAAGAATTAAAAATGCCACTTATTAAAGCTCTAGAAAATATAGAGAGAATAAATCAAGTGGATTTGATTAATAAGATTTACTCCATCAAAAAAATATCAAAAGTAAATCCATATCCGTTTGAAATGCTATTAAGCTTAGATCCAGAGAGTGCCCGAAAAAAGTTGAATGAGTTTTGGTGCAGTTTTAATTATTGGGATTTTGAATTTAACAAAAATGATAGAATCGATACTGTTGAAAACAATGAAATTGTATACTTCTTTAAATATTGTTTTATTTTTATTAGTGAGACATATTTTTAGGGCTAATACAAAAACCTTGGTTAGAGTAAATTTGACTAATTTTTCAAATTCTGAGCAGGAGATGGAAATTCTTCAAAACAATGCTAGTCGTACTTATTGTATTTCAATGTGCCTTCATGATAAATCTATATTTTGCTATGGTAATTATCCTGCAACAGCATTTATATTAAACCCAGATAGCACTATTAAAAAGCTTTCAGATGGAGATCCCCCATCAAGCATGGGTGCTGTGTATCATGATGGCTTTATTTGCTTATTTGGAGGATGAACCGCTGCAGGCAATACAGCAGCAAAATATAAGCTATCAACTGATACGTGGCATTACCTAAAGAGCAATTTGCTTCGTGCTTTGGCATAAAGTTTTTCCATATTGAGTAAAGTATTATGTAGTTCTTAATTTATTAAAATGTTGATATAAGGAAAAAATTTTAGTAGAGAATATAAAATTTGCTCTCTGAATGAAGCTCTGCGCAACGTTTCATGTATTGTAGGAAATTATGGAATCGCATTTGTTGGCTATGAAAATAGCAAACTATATTTATATAATCATGCTCAAGATATTTATAATGAAATTTATCTCAACTTTGCAGCTAAAACTTTCAAAGTCTTGCTCCAAGCAGAAAATCGAGTATTTTTAATCGATTCCGCAAAAAATATATATAAAGTGAGCCAAATCAGCTAAGCAATTGGCAAATTATAGTAGATTCGCAGATTAGCTATGGTTGCAGAGTAGCATATCAAGCTTACTTCAATCAAAGTTGCTATTTTACGGATAGGGAATGTAAAATATATAAATTTGATATGATCAGATTAGATTTAGCAATGATTCAGGTATAATGAATCAAAATTTGAATAATTTAATTTTGTTTTTAGCATCAAAATAAATAAGTTGTAATATTAATTTGTTATACTTTCACAATTGAACAAATTGATTTTCAAGTAGACGATTATTTAGCATAAATTTTATATATCTATTAAATGACGATTGCGCTCAGCCCATTCTCTCATGTGACGGTTAGCTATGCATATCAGGGCAATATTTGAAGCCTGGAGTTAGACCAACATATGGTGCCACAAAGCGAGGGATTAAAGCAAAAATCCGTTTCTTTGTCCCTGATTCAATGTGTGATTACTCATGATTTATTTTTGCAAGCAGCACTCAAGCTAGCGGATGCCCGAATGGATCGAGTGAGCACCTACTCATGCTGCTAAGGTGATCTACCCTTAATCGAGGAAGATATTGAGTGCTTTTTGGGTGACCTGGCAAAAGGGAAGGTTAAAGGGCTCAGAAAGGGAGTGATATTGACCATGGATGATGGGTAGAGAGATTAACTATTTGACCGAAGTGACCAAGTCAGATACGGTGGTACTCCTGCAAAGGTTCGACCAAGCAAGATAATACCAGTAATGGAAACCAAGGTTTAGCCTAGGTTTGGAGTTATCAAAGGTGGAAGTCACCCAATCCGATTGTACTCCAGGCTGTTTAGTCGGCACAGGATCCCGTCTGTGTGAAATGGGGAGCTAACTCTTCCCTTCGTGATTGAAGTTCGCTCACAGAGGGGTTAATTTTATTTTTTTTTAAAATTTATATATAAATTTATATTAATTATTTTTTTAAAAATCCATTTTCGTAAAAATTGGAACTAATATTAATATAATTGGTAAAATTTATATTTTAAAATGCAATTTGTTTAAAATTAAACAGAATTAGTTAAAGATTTCATTATACTAATTATCACTTATATATCAAAATATTTTTATAAAGAATTTTATATTAAAAAAATTTCTTTTCCCGCAGTTTTTACCTATAAAATAGAGATTTTTCCAATGGCTTTTGTTCTTTACAGAGAGGGGGTAAGCAAAATTTATTATTAATTTAAACCCTAAAATTAAATATTTGTTATTATAAATCATTGTTAATCCTTTGCTTATAGTTCTCCTTTCAGCTCCTATATAGACAATCATTTTATCACCGCATCTCTGGTAATCGATATAACGAATTGTTTCTTTATCTATGGACTCTATTTATTTGTCCCAATGCGTGGCAATTTTTACTGCGAGACGAATGTAAGACCTAAATTGTGGTTTGAAATCTCAGCAGTTGATATTATTTAGGCTATGCTATATAACCCAAAACCTCTTTTGGCTCGACTTCTCGATCTTCCAATAAAATAAGCGAGTAGGTTGAACCAACTTATGTTGGTCAAACAAATCGGCAAATAAATGAAGCCCAAATCGAGCAAGAAATAAATATGACTTGAATTAAAATAATCTTAAAATATTTTATTATACACCCAGAAATAAAAATATTTCTATTAAATTGCTCTATTGCTACATAATCAACTTTTGATCGTTGAACTAATTTGATATTGCCTTTGTTTAAATAAACCTGCAAGATAGAGATAATGATAATAGGCATTTTCATTGAAATAAATGGCTGATGAACTATAGAAATGGTGCTTAAGCCGGCTATATCGATAGAGAAATCAAAAAAATCAAGGAATTTTATGGACTAAATCCAAATCTTCTGCAAGATATAAGTATTTGATAAAGATGTAATTAAATCTTGAAAAATTAAAGAAAACGAAAAAATTTATTTGGGGTTAATTTCTTTTGAAGAAGTTACTTAGATAGTATGAGTGGATTATTCTAATTCAGTAAAGGCCATAGATTGTATAGCAAGCTTCATAAACACCTTATAAGAAAAATCTATAATTGCATTAAATAGGAAAATATGGTATAAACTTAACTTTAAATTATTTTGGCTTGCACTTAATTGATTATTCTAAAATTATATAAATTTCTTATTTTCTGAAATAATTAATTTAATTAAATAAAGTGGAATGAGCATTTAGTAATCCTCAGGAATAGGAAATTCTAACTGAAATGAAGCTAAAGAACTCCATTTTTTAATTGAAATTTAGTATTGCCTTTAATTATAGATGATTGGCATGCAATTATAAAAATAAAATTTTTTAAAATGACACAAAACTCAAATAGGCTACATTCAATAATAATGATAATTACTGTATATAATTTATTTAAAAATGAGAATCTCATTTTATTTAGAAGAAAGTCAATGCCAAAGAAACTGTAGCTGCTGTCCAAAGACTATAGAAAAAGGAGACTTAACAGTAAGAACTTGATATTATTTAAGATTTTATTTTTTTCACCTGAGCTGTTATACCCCAGGGCTCAAGCAGCCCATCTATAAAAAAGACTTACAAATTTGACTAGCAAACCCAGAAAAAGAAAAAATTTTCAATTTATGGCTTGAGAAATGAAATAAAAACTTTGCTCCAATAAATGAACTCGAAATTGATCTCCCAATGGCTTCTAAATTCACTTACTCGAAGCCTTCTACTTATAGAAGAGCATGATTAGAAACCTTTAAATTTCTAAACGCAAAAGAAATTGCTTTATCAATTTCTCACGTAAATAAAGATTTTTACCTCATTTCATGTGACGAAGAATTATGATATTTTAATTCTATAAGAGATTATGGCAAAATAGAGCCTGATATAAGAAATTATAGAGAGCAATATATTTTATTTACTTTGAGAAACTGTGTGTATTGCCACAAAAATGCTGACGAGGATAATATTGTAGGAAATCTTTATAATAAGTCGATTTGTAAAGCTTGCAAAGGATTGAGACGGTTTGATAAAATGACTGTAAAGCAAATAGAAAATCGATATGAGGTTGATCCAAACCTTTTGGGTTTGAAATTTGATATGAGTGTAGAAGGCTGAAAAAGGACTTATAGATTTATGGCGATAGAAGCAATAAAGAAAAATAACGCAAGCTTTATAAAAGTCAATCCAACTGGGATCAATGTAGGTGAAGAAAATAATTTGGACTTGGTAATGCCTTTACATTGAATTTACTCGCAAAATTTGCTTACAGTTACTTTTGTTTAGGATCTTATATACTTAATTTGATTGTTTTAAATTAATAAAATAATTTTTCATATGTCTTTTAAGATAAAAAATAGAAAGAGTTGCCCATTTTATATGAGAAAAGCAGTAAAAATTAGTATAAATACAGCTTATATTTTTTTTTAACTTATAATGTATTAAAGGGCTATATCCCAAATGACAGCGTATTTTATAGTGCAAATTTCATCGAATCAAATTTAGTCAAAATTTTTAAATAATGAGATATTTGGTCCAAATTTAACAGTTTTTTTGGCCAAATGTTTCACTATCAAAAATTTTCAACCAAATTTCAGCTAAAATATACTTCGGTGAATTTAAACTATAAAAGGTGCTCGATCATTATACTTACACCCTTATTAAAGCATACTTCCAAAAACGCCTTTGAATAAAAGAATTATAAAAATAATCATAGTTGGTGACTCAACTGTCGGCAAAACTTCTCTCATGAATCAATATGTCATCAAAAGGTTTTCTGAGGTATACAGAGTTACTATTGGTGCTGACTACATGGCGAAAAATATCAATATAGATGGCAAACTAATGACTCTTCAAATCTGAGATAAAGCAGGCTGAGAGTGCTATTTCAGCGAAGAAGCTGCGTTTTACAGTGAAGCTGACTGCTGTATATTGGTCTATGACATAACATCATGTAAAAGCTTCGAGAATCTTAAATCATTAAAAGAAAAAATTTTGTCGCTCAGGAACGATAAAACTGATGTAAATTTTCCATTTATTGTAGTGGGAAATAAAGTTGACAGAGAAGATGAAAGAAAAATCTCAAGTGAAATTGCGAGGCAATGGTGCAGAGAAAACGGAAATATTCCGTTTTACGAGACCTCAGCTAAGGAGTATATCAATATTGATAACGCTTTTATGATGATTGCAAGAAATGTACTGATGCATGCTGAAATAAACACATCTGAGTGTGATTTTCCAAATCCAGATGCTGAGAAAACCATAAAAAGGAGTCCATCATGCGTTGTTATCTAAGTGCAAAAAATTATTATTGATAAGATTTTATATTAGTTGAAATTTTATATTATTTGACTTACTAATATTTTTAGCATAACTTAAAATTTGAAAGATCATAATTCATCAGCTGATGTATAAATTATGAAAGCTGCACGAAAAACAAAGCTGGCTACCATTTATATCTTAAACTAGTGTCAACACTCATTGTATCAATTGCACAATTGCTTATTTCAATATTTTTGGGGCTTGGAGGCTTTCAAGTCAGGCTATTATTGGGAGAATAGGCAGTCCATCATAAATAGTTTAAGATTTTAAAAATTTTCTAATAATTCGGATAAACCTCAAAATATTAATGCTAGGCTATTTTCTTCTGAACTTAAGCAATATATTATATGTGCCGCTGGTTTTCACTTCGTCCGTATTTTAGGAGTTTTTGCATTTACTTCAATTATCAAGCCAAATTGGGCATATTCAAAACTAACTAATGTGCGCTTATAAATGAACATACCGAAGCGATCTATGAATGAAATTCAGTGGCTATCTCTATAAAGCGGCCACTATTTCTTGCCTTTTTAAAGGATTTTTGCTTATTTTAACTATGAATCCTGGAAAATAAACTAAAATAATAAACCAAGTAAAGATATTGAACTAGCTCTTAAATAATAATTATAGATTTAATATTTTATTTCGAAATTCTTATATATTTCTTATTCTTCCTTTTAAGAACGAAATGGCCTTATCAGTTATTCCATTTTCTTGAATCTATAATAATAATAATCATGGAATGCTGAATGCAAGGGTGTCGAAAAAAAGTTAAAGTTTTCTGCCAATGTGCGAATCCTGTAGCCTACTCTTGCGCCGCTCATATATATGAGCATCTTCAAATTGCTTCGTTTTTAAAGCATGATCCTCAAACCTTAAAAATAAAAATAAATCCAAAAAACAAGGAAGATTTAATTGAAGAACTACAAAAGCTATCAGAAGAATTGCTTGATATAAAAGAAAACTTAATAAAAGAAACATATAAGAAAATACAAGAGTTAGAATTATCACTTATTGAGGCGCTAAAACGTATTAACAAGATAAGACTAAATCAAGGTGAATTAATTAGAAATATTGAGATGGTAAAAAAATTACCAAAAATAAATCAAAATCCGCTTGAAAATCTTTTAAGCTTAGATTCAGATAGTGCCCGAAAAAAGTTGAACGAGTTTGGATGCAGTTTTAATCGTTCAGATTTTGAATTGAACAAAAAAGATAGAACCGATATTGTTGAAGACAATGAAATTGTGTATTTTAGGGCTAAATCAAAAAACTCAGTTAGAGCAATAATAAATAATGCATCCCAGCCTCAAAAAGCTAATGAGACTCAGGGAAATATGCTAAGCCTAGATTCAATTGCAGCTGATCAATCTCACTGTTCTTTAACCATAGCCGACCTCATAAAGCTTCAAAGTGTGCTTCGAGGATACTTTGATCGAAAAAAGACAAAAGAAGCTTGCACAAGTCTAAAAGCTGATCAAGTCGAAATAGAGCTAGGAAACCAAAAGGCAGCTTCCGAATCCCAACCTCCCTTCTTCAGAGGCTACATGCAAAATGATATGCAAGACATCCCTATAACAGGCACCGAAATCATCCTGATTCCTGATGGAAATGTCCCAGATTATTCCAATAATGAAACAAGAGCTGCCCAATCCAAGCTTGGGAACTTCAGCCCTCCTCCCCCTCCTAACGATCAGACTGTCAAAACAAAGCATGGGCCTGCTCAGATTGAAAATGGAGCAATTTATACAGGGGAATGGAATAATGATAAACAGAGACATGGCTATGGAGTCCAAGTGTGGCCTGACGGCTCGAAATATGAAGGGTACTGGATGTTTGACAAAGCAAATGGAAAAGGAAGACTCATACATGGAGATGGAGAAGTCTATGAAGGAGACTGAAAAGATGACAAAGCCCATGGCTATGGAGTTTATATGCACACTGAAGGAGCTAAGTATCAAGGTAATTGACAAGATGATAAACAGCATGGAAAAGGAATAGAAACTTTTCCTGATGGAACTAGATATGAAGGAGATTATATCAATAGCAAAAAAGAGGGCCGAGGCATTTTCATTTCGGCCGATGGGAACACTTATGATGGGGAGTTTCAAGATGATAAACCCCATGGAATCGGAAAATATACATGGAGCGACGGCAGAATCTATATAGGAGAGTGAAAGAACAACAAAATGGATGGCAAAGGGCTATTTAAATGGCCTGATGGGAGAAGCTACGAAGGTGAGTATGTTGAAGATAAGAAGCAAGGATATGGCACTTTTACTTGGCCAGACGGAAGGAAATACCAAGGATTTTGGTTTAATGGAAATCAGCATGGGAAAGGTGTTTTTTTCTTTGCACAAGGGAATAAAAGAGAAGGAGAGTGGAAAAATGGGATAAGAGTCAATTGGATTTTAGATGAAAATAATAATTAGCTTAACTTCAGATAGACATTCTTCAAAAAATGTGAGTCTTTCTGAAGCTATTTCTATGTGTCTTCTTCCTGATAAATCTATATTTTGCTATGACAATTATCACCATTTATATTACACTCAAATAACACTATTAAACATCTTTCAGATGGAAATCGGTCATCAAATATGAGCGTTGTGCATCATGATGGCTTTATTTACTTATTTGGAGGATGAAATGCTAGAGGTAGTACATCAAATAAAGCAGCAAAATATGGAGACTTTGCAAAAATTTTATAATTTTTGTAAATATTTAAAATCTAAGGTAAACTTGCAGGTTTAAAGTATAAAAAGAATTAAGTAATCAATCAAACTAAAATACGTTAGATTTGAGTTGGAGTATCAGGTTTAAAAATTTTAAAATGTTTATGAATTTTAATCATTTCTATAGATTAAGGAAAGGGAAGAAGCTAGAAAGATTAAAGAAAAAATAAAATATAATGAATTTTAATTAAAAAGGTCTCATACGATTCTTTAAGTTGCAATAAATGGCATTTCTGGTGATAAATTGAATAAACTAATTAGAGATTACCTATTAAACGTCACATGATTTTAAATTTCCATATTAAAATTAAAAATTATAGACAATATAATGCTTTTTCTCTCTCGGAATATTAAAATAATGGGAGTTAATTATTCAATACCTTACCAATTTCGAGGAGCAAAGCAGTTATAAAAGTCCGTTTTTTAGAAAAAATAATCCCACTTCATTTGTATTATTAATTTTTAAAATATTAAGAAACTCTTGATGCTATTTATTTAATTGGCTGGTTTGTATCTCTTCATTCGTTATGATTTTATTTCTATTTCCAAGAAAAATTGTCTTTTAAATTTTCATTTATTAACTGTGATTTTTTCATTCATGGAAACAGAACTATCCATGAAAAATTTCTCCATTTCTTAACTCCCGTTGTCTACAGAAGCTAAATTAGAGGATTAACCATGTTTTGTAATAATAAACTTTGCTTAGATTTTGACTTGAAAATTATATTAAAAATATTTCGTAATTTATTTATTTTCATGTTAAAAAGCAAATTAAATTATGGAAATTTTAATTTATTATTTCTGAATCATCATTAATTCTAAACTCTTCATATCAAATTTATATATTCTACAATTATTGTCAATAAAATAGCAACTTTGATTGAAATAAACTTGGTATGCTGCTCTGTGGTAAAAGCTAATCTGCGATGCTCCTATAATTTTCCAATTGCTTAGTTGATTTGGATCGCTTTCATATATATTTTTTGAGGATTCGATTAAAAATACTTGATTTTCTGCCTGGAGCAAGACTTTATGAGTATCAACTGTAAAATTGTGATAAATTTCATTATAAATATCTTGCATATGATTGTATGAATATAATTTGCTACTTCGATAGCCAACAAATGCAATTCCATAATTTCCTTCAACGCATGAAACTAGACTAAGAATTTCCTTCTGAGGACAAATTTTATATTCCCTAATAAAAATTTTTTTCTTTCTTATTTTAGCATCACAATAAAATAGAACTATAATACTTTACTCAATATGGGAAACTTATGCCAAAAGCATGTAGCAAATTGCTCTTCAGATAATACCACTTATCAGTTGATAGCTCATATTTGCTGCTTCATTCCATGCATCACCTGAAGCATTTCATCCACCGAATAAGTAAATAAAGCCATCATGATACACAGCACCCATACATGATGACGGATCTCCATCTGAAAGCTGTTTAATAGTGTTATCTGGGTGTAATATAAATGCTGTTGGAGATGCAGGATAATTACCATAGCAAAATATAGATTTATCAGGAAGAAGACACATAGAAATGCAATGAGGATAATTAACATTGTTTTGGAGAATGCCTATTTGCTGCTCAGACTTTGAAAAATTGGTCAAATTTACTCGAACTGAGTTTTTTGTGTTAGACCTAAAATATCAATTTCATAGTTTTCAACTGAATTGATTCTATTATTTCTTGTTGAATTCAAAATCGGAACGATTAAAACTGCACACAAACTCTTTCAATTTTTTTCGGGCACTATCTAGATCTAAGCTTAATAGTTCTTCAAATGGAGTTCGATTTATTTTTGGTATTTTTTTTATTGAGTCAATCTTTCTAATTAAATAAACCTGATTCAGTTTTATTTTATTGATATGTTTTAGCGCCTCAATAAGTGTTAATTCTAATTCTTGCAATTTCTTATATGTATCTTTGATTAAGTTTTCTTTTATATCATGCAATTCTTTTGAAAATTTAAGCAGTTCTTCAATTAGAGCTTCTTTATATTATTGATTTAGTTTTAATTCTAAGTATTCAAAGTTGTGCTGTTCGATAGAAGGTGATTGAACATGTTCAGACATGTGGATTTTGCAAGAGTAGCAGGCAGGATTAACACATTTGCAGAAAGCTTTGACTTTATTTTTGCATCCTTGCTTTCAGCATTCCATGATTAAGATAGATTTATAAATGCATGAAAATGAAAAGATTAATAAGAAAAATTGTATTTTTAAACATTTGAATATAATTTATCTAAAAGAAAATTAAGCATCTATAAAATACTCAAGACTAAAACCGTTTTGGTTTTAAAATAGATAATAATTATATAAGCACCAAAAGCAGTTGCTCAATATCTACGCTGGTTTTTCATTTCTCTTGATATTCCTCAAATTTACAATAAAAGTGGTACCTATTATTTATATTAAAAATTGATATTAGTTTTGGCATAAACTCATGAAGAAAGAGAGCGACTGAAATACCTAGAACAATTATTTATGATTAAAACAGAGCTTAATAAAGCTGCACTTTAGTAGGCATGTTAATATAGCCATTTGTTTTGGCATATAAAGGGAAATTATTATTTGTAGGCTTATATTTGCTTCACACGTAGGAATATGTCTCGACGTGTGATTCCTCCCAAAATTATGCCATGCATAATATTATTTCTTTGTAGAAAAGATGGATGAGTGGCTTAATTTTTAAACGAATGCTAGAATCTACAACTCAAAAAATAATGCTGATTTTGAATCCAATTGGAGTATTTTAATAGCAAAACCTCCAGAGTTTGGAGCAAATAGATTTTACTAATCTTTATAAAAACAAAGAATTTGAGTAAGGTATTCTACTCAACTTATGTAACTGGAAGAATGTCTAGAATAAGAAATGCATGCGAATTTAAAGGAGGCATGAGAAGAAATTGTGGTATCAAATTTTTTATTGCATTTTTTGAAGCTTTAGAAGAGAGATAAAAAACTTTTTTAAAAGAATATTTGCACTCTAAAACAACACACTTTATAATTCAAATAATGCGGAAAATTAGTCAAATCTACACAGAGTTTTGCTTTGATCATTATCAAAGCTCTTGATTGGCAATAAATCTTTGATTTAATCACTATTGATGGCTGGGGGAGATTTATAATGAAGGCAATTTTAAAAATTAATGTAGGATGAAACTGATAAAAACTTATTTGAATGTGCTTGTGGAAATTCAATAGTTATAAGACTCTTCTTGGTATCTCCTAAAAGATTGCCAATTGACCCCGTTATCACATCTAAAACAAGTATCCTCGCCAAATCTTAAAAATAAATCACCATCTTTAACTTTTCATGAAATTTTCTTTATTCCATAATCAATAAATTTTTAAGGCTGGATCTGAGATTTAGATATTAATTAAAATAATATTAGCAATATCTGAATATTTCGCTGTCAAGATAATTTGACTTTTCCAGGGCAACTATAAAAATGGAACAACACAGCATAATTCATTGACTCAGGAAGTATGACTAAATTAGATTTCACAGTCTCAAGCTGCTCGGAATTACTATAAAGGCAGTTTCTATGCACTTTTATCGCATATTGACTTCCACAATTCGATTAGAACTTATTTTAATTGTAGGTGCCTTTTTTCATGTAGCAGAATCACTAATTCCATGAAGAAAACGCTTTGAGCAGAGCGAAGAAAATTAATCTCTTTAGGTAATCAAATTTGTCCCTTTAAGAATTCTTCTACTTTTGAAGATTTTGGTTAATAAACAAATTCTAATATCCCTCAGAAATCGTTATCAGTCACATTCCAAATTTATCTAAAAGTAAATGACTAAACCATCTTAAATCTCTATAGCAAAATTTACTAGAAAGAAGGTTTCACACTGGAACACTGCCTATAGGTATAGTAGTACTTATAGATTGGCTGAGAATTTTTTTTGACCTCAAATTCTCCCTTTAAAAAATCCAGAAAAAATTCAAAAATCAAAATTATTTTATTTATTTTTAATTCCAATAAAAAGTTTCATATATAATTTTAATTCCACGATATGCTCCTAAAACCCTAATTTATTCTCCAACAAAATTAAGACCATGATGAAGCATAATAAAGCTATCATAGATCCCAAACTTCCACATACACAATGCATCATGAGAAATATCGCTTTACCGTGATTTCAAAGTAGTCATTTAGATCTTTCATTTTTGGCCAGTAGAAATTGCCATAGTTGAAACTAGGAAAAAGAGTTTGGATGAAGAATGCAATCGATTTAAGAAATCCTAAAGCTCTTGACAGATAATTACTGAAGATATATGAATCAAAACAATCGTAAATACAAAAGCTAAATTAGAGAGGATCAAACATTCTTTATAATAGTAAATATCAGGTTTAAATTAATAATAAACTTTGCTTAGATTTTTCATTAAAAAATATTACTTTATGAAAATAAATTTAGTTAATTGTGAAAATATAACAAATTAATTTTACAAATTATTTCTATTGATGCTAAAATGAAAATAAATTTAGTCAATTGCGAAAATATAACAAATTAATTTTACAAATTATTTCTATTGATGCTGAAATGCAAATAATTTTAAGGAAATTGATTTATTATACCTTCTTCATCGTTAATTGTAAGCTTTTTATATCAAATTTATATATTTTACAATCCCTGTCCATGAAATAGCAACTTTGATTGCAATAAATTATATAATTAAAATATGGCGTCTTCGTCTGGGTATGGCCTCTCGGCCATGCATACTCGACACATATTTTAATTATATCCGGCAAGGTTTTGCCTTTCCGGAAATGGGCAACAATACCATGGTAAGCAATTCTGCAGAGCATGGCTCATGCTCAAACACCAGAATGGATTTTATCCTCGAGGGAAAAGGGAGCCTAGGCTTGGAAAGGGTAAGCCCAGCAAAGTCTACAGGAGATGCCTAGACCAATCGGGCAATTACCTAGCGTGAAACTGGGCGTTACGTCCCAGGACTTAGGAATTCCCTTCTTGCCGACAGGTGAACAGAAATTCCATTTTTTGGAATTTCTCGAAGCCAACTCTTGTCAACCCAAGCAGCAGCCGCAGAAATCCATAGCCCGCCCACTCAGCACTTAAGCCGCAGGAAATTGGGGAGAGGAGGAGGTATATGCCCCCTTGGCTGATCTTCATGGCCAGTTGGGACTATATAGGAAAGCAGGTGAACCTCAAGAAACCGAGGTCCTTGGTGACTGCGTTAACAATACGGCAGACGCCTATTAATGTATAAGTTAAGTTGATTGCAATAAAATTGGTATGCTATTCTGCAATGGCAGCTAATCTGCGATACTCCTATAGTTTTCCAATTGCTCACTCCCCCTTCTGTGAGTTTAAAAACAAACTTGTTCGCTTACGGAAGCGGTTAAATTTTTTTTTGAAATTTAAAAAAAATCTAACTTCTCAAAAATTGGAAGGCAAACATTAATTTAATTCGTAATTTTATGTTTTAAAACGTAATTTGTTTAAAATTAAACAGAATTAGTACTGTTATCATTTTATATCAATTTTTTTTTCCATAAACAAATTTTTTGCTCGCTCAGGGAGTGTGGATTATCGAGCAAAAAATGGGGGTTTTTTCCGCTCACGGAAGGAAGGAGTTAGTTGATACAGCTCACTTTCATATATATATTTTGAGGATTCAATTAAAAATACTCTATTTTCTGCCTGGAGCAAAACTTTTAGAGTATTAGCTGCAAAGTTGAGATGAATTTCATTATAAGTATCTTGCTTATGATAATATAAATATATTTTGCTACTTTGATACCCAACAAATGCAATTTCATAATTTCCTGCAATACATGAAATCAAATACAGAGCTTCCTTCAGAGGACTGATTTTATATTCTCTACTTAACTTTTTTTCCATTATTTTAGAATCTTGATCAATTCAGAGTTGTAGGGTTTTGCCTATATAATACTTTAATCAATATGAAAAATTTTATGCCGAGAGCATGCAGCGAATTGCTTTTCAGATTATACCACTTATCAGTTGATAACTCATATTTTGCTGCTTTATTCCATGCTTGACCTGAAGCATCTAATCCTCCAAATAAATATATAAAGCCATCATGATACGCAGCACCCATATTTCCTGACGGATCTCCATCTGAAAGCTGCTTAATATTATTAGTTGGATACAATATAAATGCTGTTCCAGATGCAGGATCATTACCATAGCAAAATATAGATTTATCAGGAAGGAGACACATAGAAATGCAATGAGGAAGACTAACATTGTTTTCAAGAATGTCTAACTGTTGCTCAGACTTTGAAAAATTGGCTAAATTTACTCTAACTAATTTTTTTGTGCCTCCCCTAAAAAATATATTTTATTAATATATTTAATCATTGCTTTAAAATTTTAGCTTTCTGTTTTTAAGAAAACCAAGCTTTAGCGAACTCATATTCCTTAGATTACGCCATAAAAATAAAAAAATATTTAAAGAAGTATGCAATTTCATTATTTTCAACAGCATTGATTCTGTCATTTTTGTTCAATTCAAAATCCGAACGATTAAAAGTGCACCCAAACTCTTTCAACTTTTTTCGGGCACTATCTGGATCTGAACTTAATAGCTTTTCAAGTGGATTTTGATTTGCTTTTGGTAATCTTTTTATCGAGTAAATTTTTCTAATTAAGCATTTATTGTAAATAATTATAAAATTATAATAATTTAATGATAAAATCTTTATTTTACATAGAAGCCAACCAGAGCACGGGAGTTTGCAAGGAATGCTCAGGAGTAATATTAGAAGATGCATTGATGATTAGAACTAGGAAATACAATAAATTTTATTATTTTCATTTGAACTGTTATACTCTTAAAGTCAAAAAATACATTAGTAAAGATGAAATAGAGATTTGGAATTTAGACTCAGAAAATGAAAGGATTCTCGATCTATGACTAGAGAAGTGAAATAAAGATTGAACTCCTGCAGACAGAACTGATCATATAATTCATGAAAATAAGACTCATGACAATACAGCTCCTAATAATAGCACTCCAAAAGTCTACTCAGAGCTCCCTAAAAATAGAAGGGTATGATTAGAAGTCTTAAAATTTCTATCTCCTGAAGAAATGATTAGATCCATTTCTCAAGTCAATAATTACTTTTATCTAATCTCAAACAATGAAGAGTTATGAAAATTTTATTATTTAAAAGATTTTGGGAATATAAATTCTAATGAAACCCATTATAAGAACCAATATATTGCTCTTGCTGCAAAATGCTGTTTTTGGCTCCATAAAATCGCAGATGAAAATAATCATCTTCTATCAATTTGCCCAAGATGCGGAATTTCTGAAATTAATCCTCAAGCTTTGAAATTGAAATTTAATATTTGGGATCGTCTCTCAAAAAAGAAATATCAAAATAAGTTAAACCCGGCAATTGAAAAATTTAATATGAAGAAGAGAAATTTAATAAGAATGATTCAAAAAAAGTTTAAGGATTATAGTCTAGCTAATTTTGCTGGAAAAGGGAAGTGTGAAGAATTTATTGATCTAGATTCTGTATATTCTTTACTAGAAATCGAATCATCATTTAGTTTCAGAGAAATAGAAATAAGAATACTTATTATTGGAGACACTGGGCTGGAGATAATTCTATTTCAGTCAATATTCTGGTAAAACTTTTACTTCTACTTCAGGATATAACTTGAATAGTTGAAAAAGGAAAGTTAAAATGGAAAATAAAGAGATAATTATTCGATTTATAGCAGTTGGGATCCGAAGCTTCATATGCATGCCACCTTATTTCTTTCACAGCTCTGACTGTTATATACTAGTCTTTGACATAGCATCAAGAGAAAGCTTTGATCATCTTGAGGAAATAAAAAAAAGACTTTTAGCTTACTTGAATATAGAGCCAAATGAAGATTTCCCATTTGTGGTAATAGGGAATAAGACTAATATGGTAAGAGAAGTGCCATATGAGATGGCAAAAGAATGATGCAGAAAAAGTGGAAATATTTCAGTATTTGAGAGTTCAGCAAATGATTATATCAATATTGCTACAGCATTTGAGATGGCAGCAAAGAAAGGAGAAGAATGGCACATAAAAAAGTGATTTGAGAATTGCATCAAAAAATCCAAAAATTAAAAAGTAGGTAATAATAAGCATTTGAAGTACATAAGTATTATGATTAAGATAAACTTACGGGTTTTAAAGCCAGCATCTCTCATAAAAGCAATTTAGAAATTCAAGAAAACGAATTCATAATTAAGCTAACTCCCCCCCACCCTCTGTGAGCATGAGCGAACAAAAAATTGTGTTTGCTTACGGAGAAGGTTAATTTTTTTTTTCAAAATTTATAAAAATTCTATTTGTAAAATTTGAAAAGCAAATATTAATTTAATTTGTAAAATTTATGTTTGAAAATGCAAGCTGTTTAAAATTAATCAGAATCAGTTAAAGATTTCATTATAGTAATTATCACTTATATATCAAATTTTTTTTTCATAAAACATTTTTGTTCGCTCTCACAGAGTGTGAGCTTTTGGTCAAAAAATAGGGATTTTTTCCAATGGTTTTGTTCGCTTACGGAGGGGGAGTAAGTATTTCTACAATTAAAGAAAAAAAATTATTTTATTGGAATTCTATATTATATTGTATAAATTTCTTATCTCAGCTGAGTTTACATTAGAAATAAAGTGAATGAAGCTTATTTTTTACTTTGCAAAATCTAATTTGATCTTTGCATTATTTAATGTTCTATTTTGGATAATGATGGCTGCGGAATCTTACTTAAAGTGTTGCACTTAGTATTCTCAAGTATATCGAAAAATTGTGTAAAAAACAAATAAAGTGTGATGTGGAGATAATTTATTTCTCTAGTGTTATGATTATATGATGCAATACTATGGCAAGTGATTGTGATGCTCTATTGCTATTATAATAGCATGATGCTATACTTTGCAATTCTGCCGTTGGTTAATGAATCGTAAGTGCGTCTTGCAAGCGAGATGCAATAATACATCATATCATCCTAATAAAAAAAGCAAAAGAATGCTTCAAGAGCATAATCAAAAGAATTAACGTCAAATGAGTAGATTTTATTCAAGAAAAAGCTAGCATAGGACAAAAGGTTGATTTATAAAGAAAATTAGTTTTCGCGCAAGTTTAACTTGAGAAATCAAATGTGCAAATGATGCAGAAAAAATAGAATTAGGAATCCTAATTATCATAACCAAATACTATTCTCACCATTATAATTTGTTACTTTTATTACTGCTCGTTGGCTTTAGAATTAATTTCGATAAATAATTATTTTCTAAATTAACGAATTTTTTGGACTAGATCTAATCATCATTAATGCCCTGCAATAATTGAGAGCAAGCTATACTTCTTTATAATCTAATATACTAAATCTATTTTCCTTTTGATGTTCAATGCTGTATTGCTTATTTCCAACTTCCACCAGTAGAGGATTCTGAGGAGCTTCAGATGGAATTGAAGTAACTCCTTAGCATTGAGCCGGATTCTAAGGAGCTACTGGGATATTTCGGTTTAAAAGATCACTATCCCTTATCTGACTTGACCATTTTCTAGCTAAAGGTTTATCTTCCTCAGGGGATTAGGCAGAAATTACTCTTCCATTTCTCATAAACCTAGCGTCAGACTAATACGTAGGCAAGTATAATATTTAATTTTTTTTCTAATTGAGAAATTTATAACTTTTTATAATAAGCATTAGGATAGGATATGAAAATTGCCACGTTAAATCAAAGTTTATCACGCTATACTTAATGACTTTTAGAGTTTAATTAAGATTGAAAATTTCAGGATTTGCTCGAATATAGACTTAGATCAATAGAATAATTTATTTGAAGTGCCAAAGCCTGAATAAATCATTGATAAAGCAATTTATTGATTGATTGATTGATTATTTATTCCATCAATCTACTAGGGAATGGGCTGTAACTTCCAATTTCACGCTGGACAGCAGCCCATAGGTGCTGATAAGATATTAATTTTCAAACTCAAGCTCTCCCTTAGAAGGAAATCAAAAATAAAAATTAATTTCTTTTATTTTTAATTCCCATAAAAACTCCATACATAATTTCTATTCTACATTATATTTCTGAAACCCAGTTTATTCTCCAAAAATTTTAAGACCATGATGAAGTATAATAAAGTTATCATAGATCCATACTTCCACGCACGCATTACATAATAAATAAAATAGCCTAAAGAAATCGCAATTACCATCATTTATGTCTTCCATTCGCCAGCAGAAATCGCTATAGTTGAAACAAGTAAAAAGAGTCCATGGATTAAGAAAACAATTGATTTAGAAATCTGATCTTTTTTTGGTAAATATTGACTACCAGAGACGCATGGATAAAAATAATTACCTATACAGAAGTTAAATTAGAAGATCAACAATGCTTTATAATAGTAAATATTTTATTTTTAGGAAATTAATAATCCGCTTTGCTTAGCTTTTTGACTTTAAAATTTGTATTAAAAATATTAAACTTTGAAAATCAATTTGATCAATCATGAAAATATAATAAATTAATATTACCAGTTATTTGTTCTGATGCTAAAACTAAATTAAATTATGGAAATTTTAATTAATTATACCTGAGTCATCGTCAATTGTAAGCTGTTCATATCAAATTTATATACTTTACAATCTCTGTCCATGAAATAGCATCTTTGATTGAAATAAACTTGATATGCTGCTCTCCCATAGCTAATCCTCGATGTTCCTATATTTTTCCAATTGCTTAGTTGATTTGGCTCACTTTCATATATATTGTACGAGGATTCGATTAAAAATAATCGATTTTCTGCTTGCATCAAGACTTTGTTAATATTAACTGCAAAGTTGAGATAAATTTCACTATAAATATCTTGCTTGTGGTTATATAAATATAGTTTACTACTTTCATAGCTAATAAATGCGATTCCATAATTTCCTGCGATACATGAAATACGACTTAGATTTTGGTTCAGAGGGCAAACTTTGTACCACCTATCAGTTGATAGCTCATATTTTGCTGCTTTATTCCATGCCTTACCTTTAGCTTTTCACCCTCCAAATAAGTAAATAAAGTCATCATGATAAACAGCGCCCATACCTCTTGATGGATCTCCATCTGATAGCTGTTTAATCGTGTTATCTGGATACAATATAAATGCTGTTCCGGATGAAGGATAATTGCCATAGCAAAATATAGACTTATCAGGAAGAAGACACATAGAAATATTATTATGACTTGCATTGTTTTGAAAAATGTCTATCTGCTGCTCAGACTTTGAAAAATTAGTCAAATTTACTCTAACCGAGTTTTTTGTACCTCCCCTAAAAATATGTCTCATTAAAATATTTAATCATTGTTTTAAAATTTTCAGCTTTCTGCTTTTAAGCAAACCACTCTTTAGCGAATACAAATATTTTTGATTATGCCATAAAAATAAAAAAATAGTTAACGAAGTATACAATTTCATTGTTTTCAACAGCATCAGTTCTGTCATTTTTGTTCACTTCAAAATCGGAACGATTAAAACTGCATCCAAACTCATTCAGCTTTTTTCGGGCACTTTCTGGATCTAAACTTAATAGCCTTTCAAGTGGATTTGGATTTATTTTTGGTAATTTTTTTACCGAGTCAATCTTTCGAATTAAATCGGCTTGGTTTAGTCTTATTTGTTCAATGTTTTCTAGTGCTTTGATAAGTGAAAATTCTAATTCTTCTATTTTCTTATATGTATCTTTGATTAGGTCTTCTTTTATATCAAGCAATTCTTTTGATAATTTATGCAGTTCTTCAATTAGGGCTTCCTTATATTTTTGATTTGGTTTTAATTTTAAGGGTTCAAGCTTGTGCTCTTCAAAAGAAGCTGCTTGAACATGCTTAGAAATGTGGATTTTGCAAGAGTAGAGGACAGGATCCACACATTTGCAGAGAACTTTGACTTTATTTTTGCATCCTTCCTTTCAGCATTCCATTATTAAGCAAAGCTTATTATTAATTTAAACTTAGAAATTAAATATTTGCTATTATAAATCATGGTTAATCCTTTGCGTATAGCTCTTCTTTTAGCTCCTGTATAGGCAATCGTGTTTATCGCCGCATCTCTGGTAATCAATATAGCAAATTGTTTCCTTTATCTATGGGCTCTATTTACTTGCCCTACCACATGGCAATTTGACGGCACGACGAATGTAAAACCTAAATTACGGTTTGAAATTTTCGGCAATTGAGATTTATTTAGCGATTTTATATTGATAGACAGCTGGCTTAATGCATGCTATTTTTAGTATTTCTATTTAAAGAAATATAGTATATGTAAGAATGGATTAGAAACTTCAGCAAAAAAAGTTTTATATATAATTTCAATTGTACTGAATACCCGTTAATTCTCCAACAATTGTAAGACCATAATGAAGCATAATAAAGTTATAATAGATCCCAAATTTTCTCATATGCAATGCATCATAAATAAAATAGCCTAAATCGCTATTACCAAAATTTCAAAGTCGCCATTTAGGTCTCCTATTGGCTAGTAGTAATTTCCATTGCAATTAAAGCAAGTAAAATAGTCTATGGATGAAAAAACAATAGATTTCAGAAATCCCAAAGCTCTTTGGTATGCAAATTTGTATTGACTACCAGAGATGCATGGATTAAAACAATTGTAAAAACAGTAGCTAGATTAGAGGATCAACCATTTTTTAGTAGTAAATATATATTTTCAGGTTTAAATTAATAATAAGCTTTGCTTACTCTTGAATTTTGAATTTTTATTAGATTTTAAATTTTAAAAATAATAAACTAAATACAGTAAATTATTTGTCTTGATTCTAAAAAGCAAATTAAATTATGGAAATTTTGATTCATTATACCTGAGTCATCGTTAATTGTAAGCTCTTCATATCAAATTTATATAGTTTATCATTAATGTCCATGAAATAGCAACTTTGATTGAAATAAACTTGATATGCTGCTCTATAACTATAGCTAATCTGCGATCTTCCTATAGTTTTCCAATTTCTTAGTTGATTTGGTTTGCTTTCATATATGTTTCTTCCTGATTCGATTAAAAATACTCGATTTTCGGCCTGGAGCATGACTTTATCAGTATTTGCTGCAAAGTTGAGATAAATTTCATTATAAATATCTTGCTTATGATTATATAAATATAGTTTGCTACTTTTATACCCAACAAATGCGATTCCATAATTGCCTGCAATACATGAAACGCGGCTTAGATCTTCCTTCAGAGGGCAAATTTTATACCACTTATCAGTTGATAGCTCATATTTTGCTGCTTTATTCCATGTCTTACCTTTAGCATTAGATCCTCCAAATAAGTAAATAAAGCCATCATGATACACAGCACCCATGTTTGATGACGGATCTCCATCTGAAAGCAGTTTAATACTGCTATCTGGATACAATATAAATGCTGTCCCTTCTCCAGGATAATTGCCATAACAAAATATAGATTTATCAGGAAGAAGACACATAGAAATAGCAGCAGAATGACTAACATTGTTTTGAAGAATGCGTATCTGTTGCTCAGACTTTGAAAAATTTGCCAAATTAATTCTAACTGAGTTTTTTGTACCTGCCCTAAAAAATACAATTTCATTGTTTTCAGAAACATCGGCTCTATCACTTTTATTCAATTCAAAATCTGAACGATTAAAACTGCAAAAAATTGACAAGCACAGATTTAATTTAAAAATTAAAACAGATGGTCAATAATGATTTACTAAAATACTGGGGCTATATATCAAGCAATTCTTTTGATAATTTATGCAGCTCTTCAATTAGGGCCTCTTTATATTCTTGATTTGGCTTTAATTCTAAGGGTTCAAGCTTGTGCTCTACAATAGAAGGAGCTTGAGCATGCTTAGAAGCATGGATTTTGCAAGAGTAGAGGGTAGGTTCCACACATTTGCAGAAAACTTTGACTTTATTTTTGCATCCTCGCTTTCAGCATTCCATGATTAAGATAAATTTACATATTCAACAAAATGTCTAATAAAAATCATTGTATTCTTAAACACTTCAATATAATTTGCTTAAAAGAAAATTGAGAATCTATAAAATATGCAAGAATTACTAAAATTGTTTTAGTTTTAAAATAGATAATAATCATTAATCATCAAAAGATTTTAATTCAATGTTTCTGCTTGATTTTTCATTTCTTTTGATATATCAAAATTCACAATAATAGATCCCGAACTTCCACACACAATGTATAATAAATAAAAGAATCTAAAGAAATTGCAATTACTGTATTTTAAAGTCGTCATTTAGGTTTTTCCTTTCGCCAGTCAGTAGGATTTATCATAGTTGAAAAAAGGAAAAAGAGTCCATGGAGGAAGAAATTATCGTAGGCATTTCACCAAGATGCACAGGATAAATGGTTGTCTACAGCTACTAAATTAAAGGATCAACCATGCTTTATAATAGTAAATATTTGCTTTTCAGGATTAAATTAATTATAAACTTTCATTAGGTCTTTACTTTAAAATTTTTTATTGAAAATATTTTGCAAGCTATTTATGCTGATGCTGAAAAGAAATTAAATTATGGAAATTTTAATTTATTATAGCTGAGTCATCGTTAATTCTAAGCTCTTCATATCAAATTTATATATTCTGCAATCCCTGTCCATGAAATAGCAACTTTGATTAAAGTAAACTTGGCATGCTGCTCTCTCACTATACCTAATCTGCGATGCTCCTATAATTTCCCAATTTCATAGTTGAATTGGCTCACTTTCATATATATTTTTGGAGCTTTCAATTAAAAATACTCGATTTTCTGCCTGGAGCAAAACTTTGTAAGTAAAAGCTGTAAAGTTGAGAAAAATTTCATTATAAATATCTTGCTTATGATTATATGAATATAGTTTGTTACTTTGATACCCAACAAATGCGATTCCATAATTGCCTGCAATACATGAAACTAGACTTAGATTTTGATTTAGAGGACAAATTTTATATTCTCTATTAAAGTTTTTCTTCTTTATTTCAGCATCTTAATAAATTATCTACTTACCCAATATAGAAAATTTTATGCCAAAAGCATGCAGCAAATTGCTCTTCAGATAATACTAGTTATCAGTTGATAGCTCATATTTTGTTGCTTGATTCCATGGATTACCATAAGCATTTCATCCTCCAAATAAATAAATAAAGCCATCATGATACACAGTACCCATACCTCCTGACGGATTTCCATCTGAAAGCTGTTTAATAGTGCTATTTGGATACAATATAAATGCTGTTCCTTCTCCAGGATAATTGCCATAGCAAAATATAGCCCCTGAAATGTCATAGATCATTATTAACCATCCGTTTTAATTTCCAAAATTAATTTGCACTTGTCAGCTTTTTTGAAAAGTAAAAATGAAATTGAATAATCTCCATTTATGGTTTTAAGGTACCTAATCAGACTTATACTGTATAAGGCAGGGCCTGCATCATATTTTTTCTAGCCGGTATTCTGCTGGGGCATAGAGATCTATTAAGGTGCATAAGCTATATAGATTTATCAGGAAGAAGACACATAGAAATAACATCAGAAAGACTAGCATTGTTTTGAAGAATGCCTATCGTCTGCTCAGACTTTGAAAAATCGGGCAAGTTTACTCTAATTGAGTTTTTTGTATTAGCCCTAAAAAATATGTCTCATTAATAATTTTAATCATTGTTTTAAAAAATTTCAGCTTCTAGTTTTAAGCAAACCACTCTTTAGCGAATTTAAATTTCTTAGATTATGCCATAAAAATTTAAAAAAAAATTAAAGGAGCATACAATTTCATTATTTTCAACATCGATTCTATCGTTTTTGTTCAATTCAAAATCCGAACGATTAAAATTGCACCCAAACTCATTCAATTTTTTTCGAGCACTGTCTGGATCTAAGGTTAATAGCTTTTCAAGTGGATTTTGATTTATTTTTGGTAATTTTTTAATTGAATAAATCTTTCTAATTAGATCCACTTGATTTATTCTAATTTTTTCAATATTTTCTAGTGCTTTAGCAAGTGAAAGTCTTAATTCTTGTATTTTCTTATATGTGTCTTTGATTAAGTTTTATTTTATAGCTTATATGAGGATTTTCCTTCAAAAATTGGCAAAAACAAATTAATTTAAAAAAATTGGCTAGACAAATTTAATTTAAAAATTAAAATAGGTTGCTAATAATGATTGATTAAAATACAGGGGCTATATATCAAGCAATTCTTTTGATAATTTATGCAGCTCTTCAATTAGGGCTTCCTTATATTTTTGATTTGGTTCCAAGTTTAATTGTTCAAACTCGTGTTTATTAATCGAAGCAGCTTTATGATGCTTGTACATGTGAATTTCACAAGAGCAAAGGGGAGGATCCACACATTTGCAGAAAACTTTAACTTTATTTTTGCATCCTTGCTTTCAGCATTCCATGATTATTAAGATAAATTTATAGATTCATAAAGATGATTAATAAAAATTTTTAATCATTTGAATATAATTTACCTAAAAGAAAATTAGGAATCTATAAATATGAAAGATTTATTAAAATTGTTTATTTAAGCATCAAAAGCATTTCAATAATTCCACTTTATTTTTCATCTCCCTTAATCTCCCTATTCACAGTAAAAAGTAAGCAAAAATCCTCTATGTCTTTTATTCAGAATATCACTTGATTTTGACAGAATGGTATAATACTCTTCCTGGTATACTCCTAAAAGCATGTTCCATATATTTTTGAAGCTCCAATTAATTCTCCAACAGCTTTAAGACCAGGAGGAAGAATAATAAGTTATCATAGATTCCAAACTTCCATATACATACCAAATAGCCTCAAGAAATAGCAATTACTGTAATTTCAAAGTCGTCATTTAGGTCTTCAATTCGCCTGCCAATAGAAATTGCTATAGTTGAAAGAAGTAAAAAGAGCTCATGAATGAAGAAAGCAATATATATCAGAAATCACAAAGCTCTTTAGCAGGTAAATTACCAGAGATGCATGGATAAAAACGATGTCGATACAGAAGCTAAATAAGAGATCAACCATTTTTACAATAGTAATTATTTAATTTTTAGGTTTATATGAATGGTAAACTTTGACTTGAAAATTTATATTAAAAATATTTTACTTTAAAATCAATTTCTAAATTGTGAAAATATAACAAATTAATATTAGAAATTATTTATTTTAATGCTATAAAGTAATTAAATTATAGAAATTTTAATTTATTATAACTGAGTCATCGTTAATTGCAAGCTCTTCATCTCAAATTTATATATTCTGCAATCCTTGTCTATGAAATAGCAACTTTGATTGAAATAAACTTGGTATGCTGCTCTGCAACCATAGCTAATCTGCGATGCTTCTATAATTTTCCAATTGCTTACTACCCCCCTCCATGAGTGAACAAAAAAAATTTTTGTTCACTAACGGAGGTTAATTTTTTTTTTTTATATAAATTTTAGAAAAAATTTTTTTTCGAAATTTTAAAAAAATCCTAATTTGAAAAAAATGGGAAGCAAATATATAAAATTTATGTTTTAAAAAGCAATTTGTTTAAAATTAAGCAGAATTAGCTCGAGATTTCATTATACTAATTATCACTTATATATCAAAATTTCTTTTTATAAAAATTTTTTCTATTAAAAACATTTTGGTTCACTTGGGTTTTTGGGCAAAAAATAGGGATTTTTCTAATGGTTTTGTTCACTCACGGAGGGGGGGGAGTTAGTTGATTTGGCTCACTTTCATATATATTTTTTGAGGATTCGATTAAAAATACTCGATTTTCAGCTTGGAGTAATACTTTATAAGTATTAGTTGCAAAGTTGAGATAAATTTCATTATAAATACCTTGCTTATGATTATACGAATATAGTTTGCTACTTTCATAGCCAACAAATGCGATTCCATCATTGCCTGCAATACATAAAACGCGGCTTAGATTTTCTTTCAGAGGGCAAATTTTATATTCTCTATTAAAATTTTTTCTTCTTTATTTCATCATCTTAATAAATTCAGAACTATAATAATACTCAATATAGAAAACTTTATACCAAAAGTATATAGCAAATTTTTCTCTGAGATAATACCACTTATCAGTTGATAATTCATATTTTGCTGCTTGATTCCATGCTTTATCTGCAGCATTTCATCCTCCAAATAAGTAAATAAAGCCATCATGATACAGAGCACCCATACCATTTGATGGATCTCCATCTGAAAGCTGCTTAATAGTGCTATTTTGATAAAATCTAAATGTTGTTCCTGATGCAGGATAATTACCATAGCAAAATATAGATTTATCTGGAAGAAGACACATAGAAATATTTTGGGGTTGACTAACATTATTTTGGAGACTGTCTATCTGTTTCTCAGACTTTGAATAATTGGTCAAATTTACTCTAACTGAGATTTTTGTATTAGTCCTAAAAAATATGTCTCACAAAAATATTAATCATTGTTTAATTATTTTAGCTTTCTACTTTTAAGCAAACCACTCTTTAGCGATTACAAATATTTTAGATTATGCTATAAAAATAAAAAAATATTTAAAGAAGTATACAATTTCATTGTTTTCAAAAATATCGATCCTGTCATCTTTGTTGAATTCAAAATCGGAACGATTAAAACTGCACCCAAACTCATCCAACATTTTTCGTGCACTATCTGGGTCTAAGCTTAATAGCTTTTCAAGCGGATTTTGACTTATTTTTGGTAACTTTTTTATTGAGCAAATCTTTCTAATTAAATCAGCTTGATTTATTCTTATTTTATCAATATTTTCTAGTGCTTTAATAAGTGACAATTTTAATTCTTGTATTTTCTTGTATGTTTCTTTTATTAAGTTTTCTTTTATCGCTAATGTGCCATAATAGGCTAGTATGGCTAGTCAGCATACCAACTAAAAAAAATTGCCCATGACGCTTGCCTTATCAAGTCTATACTCATTAGATACCCTAAAGCCATAAATGGAAATTTGTTATTTTTGTTTGAACTTTTAAAAAATTGACAAGGACGAATTTAATTTAAAAATTAAAACGGATAACCAATAATGATCTATTAAACTGCAGGGGCTATATTTCAAGTAATTCTTTTGATAATTTATGCAACTCTTCAATTAGGGCTTCTTTATATTTTTGATTTAGTTTTAATTTTAATGGTTCCAGCTTGTGCTCTTCAATAGAAGTAGTTTGAACATGTTTATAAATGTGGATTATGCAAGAGTAGAGGGCAGGATCCACACATTTACAGAGAACTTTGACTTTATTTTTGCAACCTTGCTTTCAGCATTCCATGATTATCTCCCATCCTCCATTAGAGAACAAAAAAAAAATTAGTAAACTTAAATTTTTTTGGGATTTAAAAAATTCCCAATACACAAAATTAAAAGTAAAATTAATTTAATATTATAAATTTATTTTTAAAATGCAAATTCAACAGATTTCATTATATTAATTATCAATTTCACATAAAAATATTCTTCACTCAAGGAGGATGTTTTTGCCCAAAAAAATAAAAATTTTTCTAATGGTTTTGTTCGCACATGAAGCAAGAGGAGTAAGATAAATTTATAGATTCATAAAAATGATTAATAAAAGACATTGTATTCTTAATCATTTGAATATAATTTACCTAAAAGAAAATTAAAAATCTATAAAACATGAAAGATTTATTAAAATTGTCTATTTAAGCATCAAAAGTAGTTCAATAATTCCACTAGATAAAAAGTAAGCCAAAGTCGTCTAACTCATGATACCGATTATTGTGCTGTATATTGATAATAATTATTCATTAGCTTTCAAGCCAAAATTTAACAATAAAATATATTTCAACATTAAATTTATTTAATAGAGATTTCTTCAATTATTCATCATAATAATTATAAAATGGGAGGAATTATATAGAAAATTGGTAAATACTCGAGTAAATGCAAAAAATGAATATCATCAGGAGATTTAATCATTAAACTTTCTTGAAGTAATTTGATTTGAAGCTTCATTTGATGTGCTATACTTCTGAACTAAAGCAACATATTTATAATTGTCGCTGGCTTTTCACTTTGTCTTATTTTTAGGAATTTTTGTAATTATTTTAATTGCCAAGTAAAATTGGCGTATTCAAAATTAACTAATGTGCTATAAATGAAAATGCCAAAGCGAATTTTAGTGACAATTTCTATAACGCGGCCACTAATTTTTGCTGATTTTAACTGTAGTTCTGGAAAATAAAAAGAAAAAGGAAAAATCAAGTGAGGATTTGAGCTAGCTGTTTTTGATGTTTAAATAATAATTATCGATTTTCAATTTTTATTTCTTCTTTTATATTCATTTTGTCCCTTTTAAGGAATGAAATGACCTTATCAATTATTCCATTTTCTTGATTCTATAATAATAATGATCATGGAATGCTGAATGCAGGGGTGCAAAAATAAAGTTAAAGTTTTCTGTAAATGTACGAATCCGGTCAGCTACTCTTGCGGCATTCATACATATAAGCATCTTCAAAATGAGCCTATTAGAAGTCATACTGCTTTTAAGCTTAAATTTGTTTTTCTTTGTTTCAGCATCTTTAATCATGATTAAGCTTGAGGTGTCAGCTACTGCAATATATTTCCCATCATAAGAAAAAGATATAGAGGTGATTTCATTGTACAAAAAAGGATGCTCCTCTAAAGTTCTAATGTCTGCTAATCTAGTAAATAGCTTTTTATGCTCAATATCTCATGAATTTAGTATATAATCTATCGGCTATAGCAAGCAAAGTTCCATCATTTGAAAAAGAAATTGCAGTAATATTTGTATTGTTCTTGAATTCTTGGAATTTAAGGCCTGTTCTAATATCATGCATAATGGCGGTGTTGCGGCAATCATAAGCTAAATAATTACCACAAAATGAGAAAGCGATAGAATTGGCAAGATATGTGCTTATAACTTAGAAGCTGCCCAAACCAAGCATCTGATAAGTCACAGTTACGGAAATTAGAATCATATATATTTTTGCATATAAAAAAATTGACCCGTTTTAAGTTGCTTCCTTCGAATTCTGTATTTACCTGAAACCTTAAACTTAAAAGTAAATCCAAGAAACAAGGAAGCCTTAATTGAAGAGCTTCAAAAGCTATCAAAAGAATTACTTGATATAAAAGTAAACTTAATGAAAGACACATATAAGAAAATGCAAGAATTAAAATTGTCACTTATCAAAAAACTTGAAAATATTGAAAAAATAAGAATAAATCAAGTTGATTTAGTTAAAAAGATTTACTCAATAAAAAATCTACCAAAAATAAATCAAAATCCGCTTGAAAAGCTATTAAGCTTAGATCCAGATAGTGCACGTAAAAAGTTGGATGAGTTTGGGTGCAGATTTAATCGTTCAGATTGTAAATTGAACAAAAATGATAGAATCGATGATGCTGAAAACAATGAAATTGTATACTCCTTTGAATATTTTTTTACTTTTATGGCATAATCTAAGGCATTTGAGTTTGCTAAAGAGGGGTCTTGAAAGTTGAAAGCTAAGATTTTTAACTAATATTAAAGCAATTATTAAATATATTAATGAAATATATTTTTTAGAGGAGGTACAAAAAACTTAGTTAGAGTAAATTTGACCAATTATTCAAAGTCTGAGAAGCGGATAGACATTCTTTGTAGCGATGTCATTTCTCCTGATGTTATTTCTATGTGTCTTCTTCCTGATAAATCTATATTTTGCTATGGTAATCATCCTGCATCAGGAACAGCATTTATATTGTACCCAAATAACACTATTAAGCGACTTTCAGATGGAGATCCGTCAGTAGGTATGGGTGCTGTGTATCATGATGGCTTTATTTACTTATTTGGAGGATGGCATGTTAATGGTAAGCCATGGAATCAAGCAGCAAAATATGAACTATCAACTGATAAGTGGTATTATATGAAGAGAATTTTGCTGCATGCTTTTGGCATAAAGTTTTCTATATTATAGTTCTAAATTCATTAAGATGTTGAAATAAGAAAGAAAAAATTTTTAATAGAGAATATAAAATTTGCCATCTGAAGCAAAATCTATGTCGGGTTTCATGTATTTCAGGCAATTATGGAATCGCATTTGTTGGATTTCAAAGTAGCAAACTATATTCATATAATCATAAGCAAGATGTTTATAATGAAATTTCTCACAACTTTGTAGATAATACTCATAAAATATTACTCCAGGCAGAAAATCGAGTATTTTTAATCGAATCCTCAAAAAATATATATGAATGTGAATCAAATCAACTAACTCCCCCCCCTCTGTGAGCGAACAAATAGATTTTGTTCGCCCATGCACGGAGGGGGTTAATTTTTTTTTTAAAAAAATCCCACTTCTCTCGAAAATTGGAAAGCAAATATTAATTTTATTTGTAAAATTTCTGTTTGAAAACGCAATTTGCTTAAAAATTAAACAAAATTAGCTCGAGATTTCATGATACTATTTATCACTTATATATCAAAAATTTTTGTTCGCTGAGGAGGGTGAAAAAATAGGAATTTTTCTAATGGTTTTGTTCGCTCAAGGAGGGGGGAGTAAGCAATTGGAAAAATATAGGAGTATCACAGATTAGTTATAGTTTCAAAGCAGCATACAAAGTATATTTCAATCAAAGTTGCTATTTCATGGACAGTGATTATAAAATATATAAATTTGATATGAAGAGCTTACAATTAACGATGACTCAGGCATAATAATAAATAAAAATTTCCATAGTTTAATTTGCTTTTTAGAATCAGAACAAATAACTGGTAATATTAATTTGTTATATTATCAAAAGTAAAACATTTTTAATATAAATTTTTATGAAGCTCGCACGCCTTAGTACTCTAAAAGTATTACTCCAGGCAGAAAATAGAGTATTTTTAATAGAATCAGAAAAAAATATATGAAAGTCAACTAAGCAATTGGGAAATTATAGGATCAGCGCAGATTAGCTATGATTTCAGAGTAGCATACCAAGTTTGTTTCAATCAAAGTTGCTATTTCATGGACAGAGATTGCAAAATATATAAATTTGATATGGAGAACTTAGAATTAACGATGACTCAGGTATAATAAATAATAAATTTCCATAGTTTAATTTGATTTTAACATCAAAATCTCTATTTCTAAACTAATAAATGAGAATAAAAAAAGCGAGATAGACCTCGAAGACAGTAAGGAAGACTTTCATAATTCTCAAAGAATTAAGATTACTCTAAAACTTACCAAAAATAATAAAGCAGAAAGAGAACAAATGATCCAAGAGCTAAGAGAGAAGAGAGCTGAAATTTTAAATAGGCCAAATGACCCAGAATTAGAGCGAGATTTTAGGATGACCTGCTCAAAGTACAGTAGCGATATCTATGCTGATTCCCAGTTCTTCAGCAAGCTTATCAAGATTATATTAATCCTTATCGCCAAAAAACATCTCTTTATGCAATTATAGGAAAAGACAACAGAACTAATTTGATTATTTATGATACAGAAAATCATAGAAAGGAAGTCAGGATAGTAGAGACTCCTGAACCATTGTATCCCCACACTTGTATTGCTCAGCTTCCTAACGGTAATTTATTTTGCTTTGGTAATTATCCACATTCTGGAACTTCATTGATAATTGATGAGAATAATATTGTTCAAGAGCTGCCATCTGGAACTCCTTGCGCATACTCATCAGCTATCTATTTCAATAATAGTGTTTATTGCTCTGGAGGATGAAATAATAACAGATCTTTAACTCTATCAGAGAGATTTGATTTAAATGAAAGCGGATGAACTGAATTAGAGCCACTGCCACAAGCTGATGACGCTTGCCATAGTGTAATATATTGTGATTTCTGGAAACAGAAATAAAAATCTTTTGAGGTATTCAATTGGTAGCAACACTTTCGCAACAATTCCTTATGATTTTAAAATTTATAATAGCAAGATTCTTATAAGTTCAGAGAGACTGTATTTAATTGAATGTGATTATACTGGATCAATCTATGAAAGTGAATTGTCAAGTGACATGCCTGGAGACGAATTGGAAACTCAATAATAAAGGATTATTTTCAAGTTTATTTGTCATATAATAAAGGAGGAATAAATATACACACTTCTGGGGTGGTGCTACTAGATACTTTAAGTTTAATTTAGAGGCGAAAAGATTAACTAAGCTTGATTAAAATAATTTGATAATAAATAGGTCTCATTTAATAATCTTTTGCTATTAACTCTTTCAATATCTTTTATCGATCAATCTGACTTCAAAGTCGTCATTAAAGTCTTCCATTCGCCAGTAGAAATTACCATAGTTGATATAAGTAAAAAGAGTTCATTAGTAAAGAATGCAATCGTTTTCAGAAACTCTAATAATTTTTGGTAGATAATAGCCAAAGATGCATGGATACAAACAATTGTCAATACAAAAGCCACATTAGATAATCAATAAGTTTTATAATAGTAAATATTTATTTTTCAGGTTTAAATTAATAATAAACTTGCTTAGATTTTGACTTAAAAATTACATTAAAAATATTTTACTTTATGACAATTACTTGATCAATTGTAAAAATGCAACAAATTAATTTTTGTTATGCTAAAAGCGAATTAATTATAAAAATTTTGATTCATTATACTTCAATCATCGTTAATTGTAAGCTCTTCATATCAAATTTATATATTTTAGATTCCCAGTCCACGAAATAGCAACTTTGATTGAAATAAACGTGGTATCCTGCTCTTCAAGCATAGCTAATCTGCGATGCTCCTATAATTTTCCAATTACTTAGTTGATTTGGCTCGCTTTCATATATAATTTTGAGGAATTGATTAAAAATACTCGATTTTCAGCCTGGAGCAAGACTTTATTAGTATTAGCTGCAGAGTTGAGGTAAATTTGATTATAAATATCTTGCTTATGATTATATAAATGTAGTTTCTACTTTGATACCCAACAAATGCGACTCCATAGTTTCCTGCAATACACATTTCTTGTAAAGTAGCCTTGATTTTAAAATTTACTTTTTCTTAAAGATATCAATTTCATATTTATCATCTCTGTTATTAACTTACTTACTTAATTATCTGGTGTTTAAGATGTCTAGTGCCGCAGCCAAAAATGGCCTATGGCAAAACTGATGACGTAGGCGAGCCATCTTGGCACGGGTCAGCCCCGTCCAAGCCTTCTATCAACTCCTGCTTCACCAACCTTGCTGCACGTCTCACCCGGCGCGTTGCCGTCGCCCTTGTCGCTCGACTCAGCTCCTGCGCGTGTTCCGCCTAAGGGTCATCCTCCCGTGGGATGTGCTGAGAGTAAAAGCCCGAGATCTTGAGTGGACTGAGGAGTGGTTCCTTTGGTTATCCCCAAAGTTAAACCGCTATTGCTGTCCAGAAGTTCACGAGTGAAAACCTAACCCTAATAATAAAATTCCATGAGGGAGAGAAAATTAGCAAAGCTAATTTCTCTCGAACCGAATGCCATTTTATTATTCCTCTGTTATTTAACAATAAATAAAAGCCCTTATTTACCTGTAAAATTTTATGAAGTTAATAAAGTTATCATAGGGTCAAGCTTAAACCCAACTCCCCAACCCCAAACCCAATCCCTCATCCCCTCCAACTCCTTTAATCTCGAATCAAACTGCATAGTCTTGATAATAAGAAATATAAGAGCTATTGCAGTATTTTCTCTTCATATTATTAAATCGCTATTTATAGCATGTTTACACATGCATTTAGACTTTATTTTGTGTCTCTACTATAAACAAAGATTTTATATGGTAAGATTTTTAGACTAATAAATAAAGGAGTTAATAGAGAAATACGCTGCATTTTGCTTAATTGTTATTTTTTTAAAGATTAATATGCTCAGATTCTGCTTTAAAAATAAATAGACACTAATAAATCAATTAAAACACATTTATTAATCTAAGATATATATAATATCTAGCATTAATTATGCTAAAATAATGAGTTCTAATAGATTAAATCTGCTTAAATAGCTTATTTTTGCATATATAATTGATATATCTCATTTAAATTTAACACACAAAAATATGAGCTAAATTAGCTAGCTTTTGAAAATTTGTATATAGCAGAGATATGAAATTAAGCAAACATGCTATAAATTGCGTTGTATTAATGTAATAGTGAAAATGTTACAATTTCTTTTATATTTCTTATTATCAATTCTAGGTAATTTGATATTGAGGGGGTTTGTGCTTTGATTGATCATAGATCCCAAACTTTCACATACACAATGTATTATACTTAAAATAGCTTCAAGAAATCGCAATTACTGTGATTTCAAAGTTGTTATTTAGGTCTTCCATTCATCGGCCAGTAGAAACTGCAATCGTAGTTGAAAAAGTAAAAAGAGTCCATGGATGAAGAAAACAGTCGATTTCAGAAATCCCAAAATCTCTTTTGCAGATAATTAGCAGGAATGCATGGAATAAAAATGACTATTTACAGAAACTAAATGAGAAAATCAACCATGTTTTATAATAGTAAATATTTAATTTTCAGATTTAAATTAGCATTAAACTTTGCTTAGCTTTTGGCTTGAAACTTTATATTAAAAATATTTTACTTTGTGAAAATAAATTTGGTCAATTGTGAAAATATAACAAATTAATTTTACAAAGTATTATTTTGATGTTAAAATCAAATTAAATTATTGAAATTTTACCTCAGTCATCGTTAATTGTAAGCTCTTCATATCAAATTTATATATTTTATACTTATTGTCCATGAAATAGCAACTTTGATTGAAATAAACTTGGTATGCTGCTCTATTACTACAGAAAATCTGCGATTGTCCTATAGTTTTCCAATTGCTTAGTTTATTTGGCTCACTTTCATATATATTTCTTGAGGATTCGATTAAAAACACTCTATTTTCTGCCTGAAGCAAGACTTTATAAGTATTAGCTTGGAAGTTGAGATAAATTTCATTATAAATATCTTGCTTATGATTATATGAATATAGTTTTTTATTTTGATACCCAACAAATGCGATTCCATAATTTCCTGCAATACATGAAACTCAGCTTAGATTTTCTTTCAGAGGGCAAATTTTATATTCTCTACTAAAACTTTTTTTCCATTATTTTAATATCCTAATAAATTATAATACTTTACTCAATATGGAAAACTTTATGCCAAAAGCATGTAGTAAATTTCTCTTCAGATAATACCAATTATCAGTTGATAGCTCATATTTCGCTGCTTGATTCAATGGATCATTAATATAATAATCATCATCATTCACATTATAAGCATTATATCCTCCAAATAAGTAAATAAAGCCATCATGATACACAGCACCCATACTTCTTGACGGATCTCCATTTGAAAGTTGCTTAATAGTGTTATCTGGATACAATCTAAATGCTATTCCAGATGAGCGACGATCGCCATAGCAAAATATCGATTTATCAGGAAGAAGACACATAGAAATATGTTGAGCAGAGCTAACCTCGGTTTGAAGAATGTCTATCTGCTGCTCAGACTTTGAAAAATTGGTCAAATTTACTCTAACTGAGTTTTTTGTTTTAGTCCTAAAAAATACAATTTCATTGCTTTCAAAATCTGAACGATTAAATCTGCACCCAAGCTCATCCAACTTTTTTCGGGCACTATCTGGATCTAAGCTTAATAGCTTTTCAAGTGGATTTTGATTTATTTTTGGTATTGTTTTTACCGAGTCAATCTTTCTAATTAAATCAAGTTGATTTATTCTTATTTTCTCAATATTTTCTAGCTCTTTAATAAGTGATAATTTTAATTCCTGTATTTTCTTGTATGTTTCTTTTATTAAGTTTTCTTTTATATCAAGCAATTCTCTTGATAATCTATGCAGCTCTTCAATTAGGGCTTCCTTATATCCTTGATTTGGTTTTAATTGTAAGTGTTCAAAATCGTGTTTTTTAATAGAAGCAGCTTGAGAATGCTTATATCAGTGGGTTTTGCAAGAGTAGAGGGCAGGAACCACACACTTGCAGAGAACTTTGACTTTATTTTTGCATCCCAACTTTCAGCATTCCATGATTAAGATAAATTTATAAATTCAACAAAATGATTAATAAAAGCCATTGTATTCTTTATATAATTTATCTAAAAGAAATTTAAGAATCTGAAAGATTTATTAAAATCATTTATTTAAGCATCAAAACCAGTTCAATATTTCCACTTCATTTTTATCTCCCTTTGATCCTCCACAATTCACAGTAAAAGTAAGCAAAAATCCTCTAACTCATGATACTTATTACTGTGCAGTAGTGATATTAAGTTTCAATAATAATTATATTAGCTTTCGCATTAGCTCATAAAGACAACGATTATATATAATCAAAATTTTACTTTGTCTTTATTTTTAGAGTTTTTATAGTTATGCCAATTAAAATATTGTCGATTGAAATTGGGCATTGAAAATGATGAGCATCTGTAAATGGAATTTAGTGCCACTAAATATAATTTTATTCCCAATAAATGTGAAGCCAAAGGCAAAGGGCTTTTAAACACTTTTATAGTAGACAATCAAAAAGCTAATTTCTACTATGCTACCACTTATTTTTTGCCAAAAATTTTTAAGATTTTTGCTTACTTTGACTGTAAATTCTTAAGATTAAATAGAATATTGACTGAAGCTTTTGACGCTAAATAATAATTATTGATTTCAGTTAATTTTTATTTATTTCTAAATTCTTTTATATTTCTTATACTCTTCTTTTCAGGAATTCAATGGCCTTATATTTATCTTAATCATGGAGTGCTGGAAGCAGGGATGCAAAAATGAAGTAAAAAGCTTTCTGCATATGTGTGAAGCCTGCAAGCTACTCTTGCAGCATTCATGTATATAAGCATCTTCAAAGCGCTTGTCTCGTAAAGCACCAACTTGAGACCTTAAAACTAAAAATAAATCCAAAAATCAAGGAAGCCTTAATAGATGAGCTACAAAAGCTGTCAAAAGAATTGCTTGAAATAAAAGAAAACTTAATCAAAGACACATATAAGAAAATACAAGAATTAAAATTACCTCTTATTAGAGCACTAGAAAATATTGAAAAAATAAGAGTAAACCAAGCTGATTTAATTAGAAAGATTTACTTAATTAAAAAAATACCAAAAATAAATCAAACTCCTTTCGAAAACCTATTAAGCTTAGAACCAGATAGTGCCCCAAAAAAATTGGATGAGTTTGGGTGCATTTTTAATCGTTCAGATTTTAAATTTAACCAAAAAGATAGAATCGATACTGGTGAAAACAATGAAATTGTATAAATCTTTAAGCATTTAACGTAAATTATTATAAATTATAATATTTTAATGAAACCAGCCAGGATAAAACAGTTTGCAATGAATGCTCAGGAGCGTTATAACTATTTATAAAGAATAGTCATTGAAGAATATATGCTCTAAGACAAAATACAAATGTGGTAATCCATATTTTTCTTATTAAATATGTACAGTATATTAAAAAAAGCTTTAATGATTAGGACTAGAAAAAATGATTTATCTATTTATTTTTCTTAAAGAGCTTATGCTCTTAACAAGCTCTTAAGGGTTTTTTAGTAATTGTTTTTCCAGATAAGATATTAAAAAAGATATGCATGCTTCCTCAAAGTTTGAGGATAAAGCGATTGATTGATTCCTTTTGAATGTTGTAGTCAGCAAAAGTTCTTTCATCTTCCAATTGTTTACTTCCGAAAATGAGTCTTTGCTAATTTTGAGGAATTCCTTCTTTGTCTTAATTTTGGCTTTGACGTTGCCAACGGTCTCTAAGGATTCAACACCAAGAGTAATCGTTCTTCTAGTCAGAGTCCTTACGAAGATCTGCGTACCCCTTTTGAGTTTGAAGAAATCAAGTAGCGTTCCCTGCTTAGGTCCTCTCTGCCAGCCTCCTCCCTTTTCTCCTTTTCCTAAGTTCTTTTTTTTTTCTTTCTCCATCTCCATCTCCTTCATCGCCTGAACCTACTTTAACAATATTTTATACCTTCCTCTCATTTGACCAAGTTTTCAAAATTTTGCTCGTAAAAAGCAACCTCAATCAGCCCTACCTCCCTCCAGTTGCAATTGGCATCTTCCAGTAGTCTCTCAAGTCTCACCCTTTGGTTGCTGTATTTTTGGAATCTGCCATAAGTGCATTTTGTCTCCTCAATCCCGCAGTTCTTGCACAATGGGCTGCTTGCTAGATGCCTTAAGTGAGCATTATGGTTGCAGAAAAAAGCCAGCCCTTAGTTGATGAATTGTACAGATTGCTACTTCTTGGTGAGGTTTGGACTTCAAGAAGGTAGGCAAATCTGTGTTTACCTTTCCCTCCATCAACTCCCTGGACATCCGGGTAGTTTTATCAGTCTCCTGCTCAAGCCTTCCAAGGCTCTCCTTTATATTGAGCACTCTTATCCTGTTGTCGAATTAGTCTCCCACTTCAACCTGCCTTACCTCCTCTTTGTCTCCAAACTCATTTAGGCAAGCTTCTCCATAATTTTCTTACACTTTCTCTCTCAAGAGAGGTTTAGTAAGCACTGATCTCTCTCATCTCCTTCGTAATCTGATTTCTTGACTCAAGGATTTTTTTGCGAAATGTGAGAGTCCTCTTCCATGATTGATTTTTAAGAGAGACTCAGCCTACGCCCTCATATTAATTAAAGTGGAATAAATAAAGAAGATATAAAAAATAATGGGATATATCCTAATATTTTATAGCTGGATTATACCTGTAAAACTCTACTTATCTTTCTTGCATTTCTAATAGAAATCCCATGAGTATTATCAGCCAAAAAATTCCATGATGCTAATACTACATAATTTATAGGTATCCAAGAATAAATCTCCTAATAAAGAATGCTACTATAAAGACCAATCTGGCAAGTAAATGAACTTTGTTTTCTTTGTTCGCCAATTTAAGTATTTCTTTTATATTCTTTAAATCTTTTATAGGAAGTCTAATTATCTTATATTAATAGATTGCTAGTTTAATAAATCTTATGTAAGAATTGATTAGAGTAACTTCACAAAAAAAAGTTGGATAAGAGTATTCGTGCTTAATTAATTATGAAATTTTTCTTGGAAATTAATTCGGGGCTAATTTGTTATTAATTATATCTAGAAATTTGTTAAAAATCATTTTTTAAAATTAATATTTTGTTTTATTTTTAATTTGTATAAAAGTTCATACATAATTTCAATTGTGCCATATGTTCCTGAAACCCCAGTGAATTCTCCAACAACTTTAAGACCATGATAAAGCATAATAAAGTTATCATAGATCCCAATTTTACATACACTTTGTAGCATAAATAAAATAGCCTAAAGAAATCGCTATTACCAAGATTTCAAAGTCGTCATTTAGGTCTCCCATTTGCCAAATGGTAGTAATTGCCATAGCGGTTAAAGCAAGTAAAAATAGTCCATTGGATAAAGTAAACAATAGATTTCAGAAATCCCAAAGCTATTTAATAGGCAAATTTTTATTGACTACCAGAGATATGGATTAAAAAAATGTCAAAACAGAAGCTAAATTAAAGAATCGGCCATGCTTTATAATACTAAATATTAATTTCCAGGCTTAAATTGATAATAAGTTTTGCTTGCTCTTGGATTTTAAAAATTTATATTAGGTTAAATTTTAAATTTCAAAAATATAATAATTAATATAGCAAATTATTTGTTTTGATGCTAAAAATAAATTAAATTTTTGGAAATTTTGATTTATTATTATGCTTGATTCATCTTTAATTGTAAGCTCTTCATATCAAATTTATATATTTTACAATCACAGTCCATGAAATAGCAACTTTGATTGAAATAAACTTGGTATACTGCTCTGGAACCATAGCTAATCTGCGATGCTCCTATAATTTTCCAATTGCTTAGTTGACTTGAATTACTTTCATATATATTTTTTGAGGATTCGATTAAAAATACTCGATTTTCGGCCTGGAGCAAGATTTTATGAGTATTAATTGCAAAGTTGAAATAAATTTCATTATAAATATCTTGCTTATGATTATATGAATATAGCTTGCCACTTTGAGCCCCAACAAATGCGATTCCGTAATTTCCTGGAATACATGAAACGTAACTTAGATTTTCATTCAGAGGGCAAATTTTATATTCTCTAATAGTTGTTTTCTTTCTTTTCAACATCGTAATAAATTATAATACTTACCCAATATAGAAAGCTTTATGCCAAAGTGCGTAGCAAATTGCTCTTCAGATAATACCACTTATCAGTTGATAGCTCATATTTTGCTGCTTGATTTCATGGACTACCTGAAGCATTTCATCCTCCAAATAGGTAAATAAAGCCATCATGATACACAGCGCCCATATTTCCTGACGGATCTCCATCTGAAAGCTGTTTAACAGTGCTATCTGGATACAATATAAATGCTGTTCCTTCTCCAGGATGATTTCCATAGCAAAATATAGATTTATCAGGAAGAAGACACATAGAAATAGCTTGAAGATAACTAGCATTGCTTTGAAGAATGCGTATCTGTTACTCAGACTTTGAAAAATTAGTCAAACTAATTCTAACTGAGTTTTTTGTGTTAGTCCTAAAAAATATGTCTCATTAGTACATTTAATCATTCTTTAAAAATCTTAGCTTTCTGCTTTTAAGCAAATCATTCTTAAGCGAATTTATTTCTTAGATTATGCTATATAAAAATTAAAAAAAAATATTTAAAGAAGCATACAATTTCATTGTTTTCAACATTATCGATTCTGTCATCTTTCTTTGAGTTCAAAATCTGAACGATTAAAACTGCACCCAAACTCACTCAACTTTTTTCTGGCACTATCTGGATCTAAGCTTAATAGCTTTTCAAGTGGATTTTGATTCATTTTTGGTAATTTTTTTACCGAATAAATCTTTCTAATTAGATCCACTTGATTTAATCTTATTTTTTCAATATTTTTTAGCTGTTTAATAAGTGATAATTCTAATTCTTGTATTTTCTTATATGTGTCTTTGATTAAGTTTTCTTTTTATAGCTTATGCGCCATAATAGGTTAGTATGGCCAGTCTGCATAGCGAACACAAAAATATTGTCCATGGCACTTCCTTATCAAGTCTAAGTCTGATTAGGTACCTCAAGCCATAAACGGAATTTGGCATTTTCCTTTGACTTTTCAAATTAAAAAGGAAAAATTTTATTATAAATATTAAAACGTGCCAATAATAATCTATTAAAATACAGGGTCTATACTTCAAGCAATTGTTTTGATAATTTATGCAGCTCTTCAATTAGGGCTTCTTTATATTCTTGATTTGGTTTTAATTCTAAAGGTTCAAGCTTGTGCTCTACGATAGAAGGTGATTGAATATGCTTTAGCATGTGGGGTTTGCAAGAGTATCAGGCAGGTTCCACACATCTGCAAAAAACTTTGAATTTATTTTTGCATCCTTCCTTTCAGCATTCCATCATTAACTACCTCTTCCAATAGCTAGCAAAAAAAATTTTGTAAGCTCAATTTTTTCTTTCTAAATTTTAAAAATTCCTTATGCGCAAAAATTTGAAACCAAAAATTAATTTAATTTGTAAAATTAACGTTTTAAACTGTAAGCAAAATAGACAAAGTTTGTATTAACCGCTTGCTTTTCTTTATGATGTTCTTAATGACTTATATAATAATCGTTAGCAAATTTAAATAGAATTGAAAATTAAAACTTGCCTATCGGTTGCTTTTTAGTGAAAGGATAAACGAAATTCTAATTTACTTATGATTAATTGCTTTCTAAAAGCCAAAGTTTGCATTGTGCGCTGATTGTTCCTTATAAATTTCTTAATGACTCATATATGTTCTCTAGCAAAATGAAATGAAATTGAAAATTATTCGATCGATTTGCTATTTATGGGAAGGATAAATTTTAAAATAATAATATAATTTGATTTATGATCAATATTTCTATAAAAGCCAAAGTTTCCTTTAAGCACTTGTTGTTTTTTATGAAGTACTTAACGGCTTAGATAAATTTATAGATTCATGAACATGATTAATAAATCCATTGCATTCTTAATCATTTGAACATAATTTGCCTAAAGAAAATTAAGAATCTATAAAAAATGAAAGATTTATTAAAATTGTTTATTTAAGCACCAAAAGCAGTTCAATACCTTCACTTCATTTTTTATCTCCCTTTGATCCTCCATAATTCACAGTAAAAAGAAAACAAAAATCCTCTAAACAGTTTTTGTAAATAATTATAAAATTATAATAATTTATGATAAAATCTTTATTTACATAGAAGCCAGAAGTAATATAACTATTTATACAGAATAGTCCTTTTGCAGTTTATGCTCAAAGACAAAATGTAAATGTGGTGACCTTCGTTTATTCAATGTTATAAGCTCTACATACTTACTCCAGAAAAATTTTTAGAAGTCGCTATTCAAAGTATTGGGTCATTTTATAATTGGACTGCAAAGCGAGTTTCCAATTATATTTTATTCATCTAGTCACTAGGATCACACTTCTGGACGCGTTCTTCTGGTCATAAGGAGACCTATAAATGCATATAGAAGATGCAATAAAGGGATGCTGAAAATAGGATTAAATGGATTTTTAACTGTAACAATTGCATAATATCGAGTTAATCTATCTTTGAGCTTGTAAGAAATATTGAAATATAAACACTAGCAAGCATATAATTATAAATAAACAAATTATTTTTGCGCATTTTTTGTAAAGTAGCCTTCATTTTAAAATTAACTTTTCCTTAAAGAGATTATTAAGCTTAATTTCATAATTATCATCTCTACTATTTAACAATAAATAAAAGTCCTTATTTACTTTTAAAATTTTACTCATTCCCCCCTCAGTGAATGAATAAAAAAATTTTTGTTCGCACACTTGAGAGGAGTATTATTTTAAAAACAAATTCCCAAATTTATATTTACAGAATTTTTTTAATTCATGGAGTGTAGAATTTTGGACAAAAGTTGGGATTTTTTACAGGCGTTTTTTGTTCGCTCATGGAGGGGTGGGTTAGCTTTCTTAATCTTCACAAATCAAGGCAAACTTTGTCCTGCTCGGCGCCTTATTTTGTATTTTCTATATCTTTTCTTTACAATAAAATACATGTCTAACAACCATTTTAATGAATCCATTTCTATATAAAATCCCACTATTCTTAGTAGCCAAAAAGCATTCCACGATGTTGCGATTCCATAAGTTATTGGTCAAAGAATAAGTCTCATAATTAAGAAGGCTACTATAAAGGCCAATTCAGCAAGTAAATAGGACTTTGCTTCCTTTTGTCCAGCATATTTTAGTATTTTTTTTATATGTAAGAATAGATTAGAAACCATAGCAAAAAAAGTTGGATCAGAATATTTATGCTCGTATTAATTTAATGAAATTCTATTGGAAAATAAATTTCTATAATCCCTTGCCTAAATTTTCGTTTGCTTTCATAAGTAAAGTGAATTTTAAAATTTCAAAAAGCAATTTTAAACTCATTGTATATGTAATGACATGCCAAATTCTTTTAAAATTTTAAAATTAATTTACTGTAGATAAGCAAAAAACGAAATTTTACCAATACATTATATAAATTATATCTAGATTGTTGAAAATTATTTTTAAATAAATATCTTTGTTTCATTTTTAAATCCCATAAAAGTTCCATAAATAATTTTAACTGTGCCATATGTTCCTGAAACCCCAGTTAAATCTGCAGCAAATGTAAGACCATGATAAAGCATAATAAAGTTATCATAGATCCCAAATTTTCAAATACGCAATGTATCATAAATAAAATAGCCTAACTCCCCCTCCGTGAGCTAGCAAAGCCATTAGAAAATCCCTATTTTTTGCCCAAAGCACACCCTCTGTGAGCGAACAAAATTTTTTTAATATATAAGTATAATTATTATAATGAAATCTCTAGCTAATTCTGTTTAATTTTAAACAATTGATTTTAAAACATAAATTTTACAAATTAAATAAATATTTGCTTTCCATTTTTTGGGAATTGGAATTTTTTTTAAATTTCAAAAAAAGATTTACTATAAAATTTATTAAATAAAATATTTTTTAAAAAAAAATTAATCCCGTAAGCGAGCAAAATTTTTTATTAACTCACGGAGGGGGAGAAAGAAATCGCAATACCGTAAGTTCAAAGTCGTCATTTATGTTTCCCATTCGCCGGCCGGTAGAAATTGCCATTGTGATTGAAACAAGTAAAAAGAGTCCGTGGATGAAAGAAACAATGCGATTTCGAAAATTCGAAAGTTCTTTGGTAGGCAAATTTATATTGACTACCAGAGATACAAGGATAAACACGATTGCCCATACAAGAACTGAAAAGAGAACTACAGGCAAATAATTAATCTTTTTTTATAATAGTAAATATGCAATTTCAGTTTAAATTAATAATAAACTTTGCTTGCTCTTGGATTTTTAAAATTTATATTAAGCTAAACTGTTAATTTTGAAAATATTAAAAATTTGGCAAATTATTTATTTTAATACTAAAAGCAAATTATGAAATTTTTGATATATTAAACTTGGGTTATCGTGAATTGTAAGCAGCCGATGCCGCATATATATATTTTACATTCACCGTCCATGAATACAATTTTGATCAAAATAAGCTTGGTATGCTGCTCTGCCGCTATAATTAATATGCGATGTTCCTAGAATTTTTCGATTTCTTAGTTGACTTGGCTCACTTTCATATATATTTTTAGAGCTTTCAATTAAAAATACTCGGCTTTTTGTTAGGATCAAGATTTTGTAAGTATATGCTGCAAATTTAAGATAAATTTCATTATTAATATCTTGATTATAATTATATATTTATAATTTGCTACTTTCATAGGCTCCTTCACTCGAAGTCTATTTCATGACGAATATATTTTCTTTTCCTATTTTTTTTACCTGTTTTTCTTTGGCTTGTTTTTTTAGCCTATTTTAATTTGACTGATTAAATTTCGAAAAATTTTAAAATTTCAAAAATCTTTAAAAATATCATACTTTTTTGGTGGGAGGTTATTTAAAGCACTTATAAGGGCTAGAGTTTATTTTGATAAGATATTTTCCAGTTTAAAACTATTAAATTTGAATAGACTTTCATGAGATTTTGATCTAATTATATAATAAAACTATAAATAAAATTTTTAAATTTAATTTGAATTTATTTTCATTTTTTAATTATTTATTAAAATGAAGCTTTTCCAAAGTATATTAGAATATGGATGATGAAGCATTTAAATGCATTTAAGTAGTCTATATTTTCGGCAGAAATTGCAGAAAACGAGAACTTGACTATACGTGAAACCAGTTTAAATCAGAATAAGAGATGGTATCACTACATAATTTAAATAAAATGGAAAATTTAGATTTAGATTTAAATAGAAATGTTTAGTTGCGATCCTACTTATTAAAATTTTTGAATTAATTAGGCAATCTCAAATCAATAGGCTTATCTATCATGTGAAATAGCTAGCTTAATTATGGCTGTGCGCGATAGCAAGGCAATTTTTGTCCGTAATGAACTTTGAAACTATTTTAAAATACATAAGAATTATATAAAATTAGAAAAACAAGTAACTGAGGCTATTTTCAAGTTTAAGATAATCTCAAAATTTTTGCCAAAAATCAAGCTTGATAGCCACTTAAGAGCTTTAGAACAGTTTAAACTTATTTTACTCTACTAATTTCTATTTAATTAAAATCCAGGACAAGCTTTTTTCTTCCCTTACTCTGACTTGATGATCTCGATATCTTTTTTACAAAATATTAAATAAAGATGTTACCTAATAAAGGAATAAAATTTTCAACAATAATCCTGTGGCTCTTTTCGGCCAAAGCACACACTCCAAGATGTCACTAGCAAGCAAATCATCACTGACCTCATCACAAATCTTGCAAAAATAAACGTAAAAATATGTGCCAGCTCAGCACACAAGTACATTTTGTTTCTCTTTTTTATTGTATATCTAAATATTTCTTGCAGCGGTAAATTAGTAGAACTCCAAAATAGACCCATATATTATGTCCAAATCCCATTCCTGCAGAATAAGACACAAACTGCTCCTAAAATTATGAGTTAATGATGACACGATAAATGAATTTGTAAGTTGAAGCTTTATTTTGTAGATTGTATTGAATATATATTATGCAAGTTTATATTAAATAACGCTAGTTATCTTATATTATTTTTAATAGTAATTAATTATGAATTGGCATATCCTAACACACAAAAAATTGTGCTAACTTCAAAATTGCCATTGTCTAAGCCCAATGACTTTCCGCTTGCAAGTGTAATGGCAATGATTGTGAGGTAAAGCATGGCAAACACAAAAGTATAGCCCTGGACAGTTTATTGCTCGCCATAGAATGAAGGTCAAGCTTAACTAGTTTACAAGTGTGCCTTTTTCAAATCTTGAAATTGGCTTGACAGAATAAACTTTTAATTAGCAGCCCAGAGCGGGCAATAAGCTGTCCTGGTCTATAGCCATGCGGCTTCTGATATCCCAAAGCTCTCTTCAGGTAAATCAATCTTTATGAGATGTAAGACCAAGCAGAAGAGAGAAGTCCAAAATATAACTGATGCTGATAAAGTCGAATAAGTTGGCTATCATTTGATAATTTAAATAAATGATAAGGCTCCAAGAAAGAAATTATTTTGCGAGAATTTATTTTTTAAAGTTCGTAGTGATGATTTATAAATTCTGAAAACGATGGGAGTGCTTAATTTTTAAATCAAACTAAAGTAAAATTCAAAAATTTTACTCCCGCCCTCTAAGTTGGAACAAAAAAGGTATAATTCTCTTCAAATTGAAACAAAATTTTAATTTTATAGGTAAAAATATAATTTCTTTATAAATCGCTGTTATCAGTTTAATGTTTCCAAAACATATAGCTTGTTTAATTTTAAATGGGCAAGCACAAGCATATGATATTTAAACAAAAAGAGCAATAAATTTTATTATAAAAAAAATTAATTTGTTATTAACTCTCTTTAAATGATATATTTTTATTATTATTATTATGCTTTATAGAAGGTGGTTCGACTATAATTCAGAGATTTGTAATTGCATAGCTATATCTAAAAGCATTTCGATCGGAGAATTATAGTTCATTTCGAGGCATTCTAAGAGAAATGAGAATTTTTAAATTAATTATATTAATTCGCTTTGTAAAGCATATTTTAGAAAGTTTAAGTTAAAACTTATGCTGGCCATAAGCGGATAAACTCACTAGCCATCGCTCCTTTTTGGATTTTCGACCTGCTCTAACTGACCAAGAGATCAGTTTCTAGAGCATAAACGCAGTCTATGAGGTTGCCCTGATGGTCCTAATGAGAAGAGATCATTCGATAGGCAAAATTTGTATAGCTTAAGCAGTGACAAGAAAACCTTCGAGCCTTCTCCAAGCCTGAAGACCTACTCAAAAGTGATATAGGCCCTATTTCAGCCTCATTAGGATATGTCATGCTCTATGGGAGTGTTTCAGAGCGTCAACATTTTATTTCTATATAATTTTTAGAAAGAAATATAAATATGCTATGAGCAGCATTTCTTTGAGCATAAAATGAGGGCATAGCATCATAATTAAAATGGAAAGATAAATGAGGATTTTTATAGTTTAACTTATAAATTTCTATCCAAAAGAGCATGAAAACGTTGGCAATAACAAATTAATTTTTCAAATTATTTATTTTGACTTTAAGAAGCAAATTGAATTATTGGAAATTTTGATTTATTATATCTGAGTTATCGTTAATTGTAAGCTCTTCATATCAAATTTATATATTCTACAATCACTGTCCATGAAATAGCAACTTTGATTAAAATAAACTTGATATGCTGCTCTGGAACCATAGCTAATCTGCGATGCTCCTATAATTTTCCAATTGCTTAGTTGACTTGAATTACTTTCATATATATTTTTTCCGGATTCGATCAAAAATACTCGATTTTCTGCCTGGAGCAAGACTTTCCTGGTATTAGCTGCAAAGTTGCAATAAATTTTATTATATATATCTTGCTTATGATTATATAAATATAGTTCGCTACTTTGAAACCCAACAAATGCGATTCCATAATTGCCTGCAATACATGAAACGCGGCTTAGATTTTCTTTGAGAGGGCGAATTTCATATTCTCTACTAAAGTTTTTCTTCCTTATTTCAATATCTTACTCCCCCCCCCCTCCGTGAGCGAACAAAACCATTAGAAAAATCGCCATTTTTTGACCAAAAACCCACCCTCCGTGAGTGAACAAAAAATGTTTTTTAATACAAAAAATTTTAATGGAAAAAAAATTTGGATATATAAGTGATAATTAGTATAATGAAATCTAGAGCTAATTCTGTTTAATTTTAAACAAATTGCGTTTTAAAACATAAATTTTGCAAATTAAATTAATATTTGCTTCCCAATTTTTGCAAATTAGGATTTTTTAAATTTCGAAAAAAAATATTTTTTATAAAATTTATATATAAATTTTTTTAAAAAAAAAAATTAACCCCCCTCCGTGAGCGAACAAAATTTTTTTGTTCGCTCACGGAGGGGGGGGGGGAGTTAATAAATTAAGAAACTACATAATAGTTTACTCAATATGGAAAACTTTAAGTCAAAAGCATATAGCAAATTGCTCTTCAGATAATACCACTTATCAGTTGATAACTCATATTTTGCTGCTTGATTCCATGCATTACCTTGAGCATTAAATCCTCCAAATAAGTAAATAAAGCCATCATAATACACAGCACCCATATTTCCTGAAGGATTTCCATCTGAAAGCTGTTTAATAATGCTATTTGGATACAATATAAATGCTGTTCCTTCTCCAGGATAATTGCCATAACAAAATATAGATTTATCAGGAATAAGACACATAGAAATAGCATGAGGATGACTAACATTGTTTTGAAGAATATATATCTGCTTCTCAGACTTTGAATAATTGGTTAAATTTACTCTAACTGAGTTTTTTGTGTTATTTCTAAAAAATACAATTTCATTGTTTTCAATATCATCGGCTCTATCATTTTTGTTCAATTCAAAATCGGAATGATTAAACTTGCACCCGAACTCATCCAACTTTTTTTGGGCACTATCTGGATCTAAGCTTAATAGCTTTTCAAGTGGATTTTGATTTATTTTTGGTATTTTTTTTATCGAGCTAATGCTTCTAATTAAATCAACTTGATTTATTCTTATTTTTTCAATATTTTCTAGCGCTTTAATAAGTGATAATTTTAACTCTTGTATTTTCTTATATGTGTCTTTTATTAAGTTTTCTTTTATATCAAGCAATTCTTTTGATAATTTATGCAGCTCTTCAATTAGGTTTTCTTTATATTTTTGATTTACTTTTATTTCTAAGATTTCAAACTTGTGCTCTTCAATAGAAGTAGCTTGAGCATACTTATACATGTGGATTTTGCAAGAGTAGCTGGGAGAATCCATATATTTGAAGAGAACTTTGACTTTATTTTTGCATCCTTGCTTTCAGCATTCCATGATTAAGATAAATTTATAGATTCATGAAAATGATTAATAAAAATTATTGCATTCTTAATCATTTGAATATAATGTACCTAAAGGAAATTAGGATCTATAAAAATACGAAAGATTTTTAAAAATCATTTATTTAATCACAAAAGGAAGTTCAATATCTCCACTTGATTTTTTGATTATGCATAATTCACAGTAAAAAGTAAGCAAAAATCCTCTAAGTGCTTGATCAAAACGCGAACACGAGCTCTGGTTCTTGTAAAATAATTAAGCCATTCTAAAATCTCGCTCTATCGTTGAACTAATTGCTCTTTTCAAGAGAGCTGATACTTTATTTTCTAGTCTTTGGGGTTTAATGACTGCTCAATAAAGTGTTGATCGAACCTCCTGCTTGAGCTTGGTTAAGCTTGAATATGTAATCTTCAATAGATTAAATTTATTTAAGTAAGCTGGCCTGAATTTGATTCATATTAAGTGTTGCTTATATGAGCTAGACCACTAAATTTAATTTATTAAAATATCGTTGCTATAAAATACTGACTACATTTTTGATAGAAAGAAGCCCTGCAGTGAGATTTATAGCAAAAGCAAAAAAAAATATCAGAATATATCTAATTTTCCAAAATTATCCCTAATTTTAATGAAATTATAGTTAAAAAGACTTACTAATAAACCCTCGAAAAAAAGTTTTAAATTGGAAAATATAAAAGACTAATAAATATTTTATAGTTTAGTCATCAGCTTTAACCCCAAAGAAAATCTGTAGTAGTGTGGCTCTTCATCATTTTGCAAAGTCCCAATATAGATGCCGCCTTTATTATATGAGCAATTCACATGAAAAGGATTATCACTAATTATATTTTCCTTAATTTTTTTTCAAGCATATTCGTTTCCAACATCGCTTTCATAAATAAATCCATTTCGACACTCAAACAAATACAGCCTTTCTTCTACATTTATCAAGATTTTTCTTTTGCATATTGAAAATTCATAAGGGATTGTGGAATAAGAGTCAATATCGATTGAGTATAATAATAGATGCTTATTCTCTAATCCAGAAATCAAAATATCCCCCTTAAATATCACGCTATGGCTCATATAGTAAGCCTGTGGCATTGGAGCAATGTCAAATCAACAATTTCTATCAAAATCATATCTACGAGATCGAGCTAATTGACTATCATTTCATTTTTCTCCGAAGCAGTAAACATTTCTATTTAAATAGATAGCTGATGAACCAAAATAATACGATTCATATTGCAATTTTCGAAATTCATAGTTTCTGTCAATTATAAATGTACTTTCAGAAAACCCATTTTTACCTACAACAAATAATTCACCATTTGGAAGTTGAGTAATTGCTGCGTAAAAGCAATCTAAAGATTCAGAAATTTCTAAAATTTTATTTTCTTTTGTTTCACTTTCAGTGTTATAAACATATAAATGATTTTTACTATTTGCCTCTGAAATAAAATAAAGAGATGAGAAATGATGATAAGTGGTAATATACTCATTATAAGCTTTGCTGAGCGCTTCGTCAAAACGTGAACTCTGATTCTTGTAAAATAAATAAGTCGTCCTGAAATCTCGCTCTATTGTAGGGCCAATTGCTCTTTTCAAGAGCACTGATCTCTTATTTTCTAGCTCTTTAGGGTTTAATAACTGATCAATCGAGTGCTGATCGAGTCCTCATCTTTGGGTGGGCTTAAGTTTGGATATGTAATCTTCAATAGATTTAGCACAGTTAAATAAGTTGGCCTTATTTTGATCCATTTAGGGTAATTATATGAGTTAGATTTAAATTTGAATTATTAAAATTATTAATTACTTAAATGGTACAGGTTATATACCTTAGCACCTCAAAATATATCCGGCCTACTCTATAGGTGCGCCAGGAGTTGCTGGATTTATTTCGATTATCAAGTGAAATTGGTATATTCAAAACTAACTAATGTGCATGCTTATAAATGAAAATACCGAAGCGATCTATGAATGAAATTTAGTGCTATTTCTATAATGCGGCCACTATTTCTTGCCCTTTTAAAGGATTTTTGCTTACTTTAAATATGAATTCTGGAAAATAAAACGAAAATGAAAAATCAAGTAAGGATTTGAGCTAGGCTCTTCTGATGCTTAAATAATAATTATCGATTTCATTTTTGTTTCTAAATTCTTATATATTTCGTATTCTTTCTTTCAGAATGAAATGGCCTTATCAATTATTCCATTTTCTTGAATCAATAATAATCATGGAATGCTGAATGCCGGGATGTCGAAATAAAGTTAAAGTTTTCTGCTAATGTGTGGATCCTGCCAGCTACTCTTGCACACTCATATATAATGAGCGACTATATGTTTTTCCTCGAAAAAATTTTCCTATTGCAGGCATTTTCAACACAATTTTTGCACTTTTTTTTTTTTCTGTCATTTGGTCAAAAAATACACGCGAGCAAATATCTGATGAGAAAAAGCTTCAACCAAATAGGGCCAGAAAATGTCTGTCGGAAAAAATATAGAGGTTTCCTCTATATAGCGCTAAAAGCGCAGACATTTTCCCAGGAGCTTTCCAAGTTCGTCGGACCAAATCGCTTTTTGGTCCGACCAAGGCATTGATTTGGTGCAACCTACCGATAAATTCCGATCAGAATTTATCGGCCTTACAGCGCCAAACATAGGAAACTTCTATAAACTTGACAAAAAGAATCTGCGTATATGAGCATCTTCAAATTACTTCTTTTTTAAAGCATAACCCTCAAACCTTAAAAATAAAAATAAATCCAAAAAACAAGGAAGCTTTAATTGAAGAGCTGCAAAAGCTATCAGAAGAATTACTTGATATAAAAGAAAACTTAATCAGAGATACATATAAGAAAATACAAGAATTAGAATTATCACTTATTGAGGCGCTTAAACGTTTGATAAAATAAGACTAAATCAAGATGAATTAATTAGAAAGATTGACTCCATAACAAAATTACCAAAAATAAATCAAAATCCAGTTGAAAAACTATTAAGTCTAGATCCAGATATTGCCCCAAAAAAGTTGAACGAGTTTGGGTGCAATTTTGATCGTTCCGATTTTGAATTAAACAAAAATGACAGAACCGATGCTATTGAAAACAATGAATTTGTATACTTCTTTAAATATATTTTTTTAATTTTATAGCGTAATCTAAGAAATTTGAATTCGCCTAAAGAATGGTTTCTTTAAAGTAGAAAGCTGAGATTTTTAAAGCAGTGATTAAATATATTAATGAGACATATTTTTTAGGGGAGGCACAAAAAACTATGTTAGAGTAAATTCGACTAATTCTTCAAAGTTTGAGCAGCAGATAGACGTTCTTCAAGATAATGTTATTTATCCTGATGCTATTTCTATGTGTCTTCTTCCTGATAAATCTATATTTTGTTATGGCAATTATCCTGGAGAAGGAACAGCATTTATATTGTATCCAAATAGCACTGTTAAACAGCTTTCAGATGGAGATCCGTCAGGAGGTATGGATGCTGTGCATCATGATGGCTTTATTTACTTATTTGGAGGATGAAATGCTGCAGGTAATTTATCGAATCAAGCAGCAAAATATGAATTATCAGCTGATAAGTGGTATAAAATTCGCCCTCTGAAGGAAAATCTAAGTCCCGTTTCATGTATTGCAGGCAATTATGGAATCGCATTTGTTGGGTATCAAAGTAGCGAACTATATTCATATAATCATAAACAAGATATTTATAATGAAATCTATCGCAACTTTGCAGCTAATACTTATAAACTTTTGCTTCAGGCAGAAAATCGAATATTTTTAATCGAGTCCGAAAAAAATATATATGAAAGTGAGCCAAATCAACTAAGCAATTGGAAAACTATAGGATCATCGAAGATTAGTTATGGTTACAGAGTAGCATACCAAGTTTATTTCAATCAAAGTTGCTATTTCATGGACTGGGAATATAAAATATATAAATTTAATATGAAGAGCTTACAATTAATGATGACTCAGGTATAGTGAATCAAAATTCAATAATTTAATTATTTTTTAGCATCAAAACAAAAATTTGTAATATAAATTTCGCAATCGACAAAATTTAATATAAATCCTCAAATTCAAAGAGCTAGGCATAGTTTATTATTTATATAAGCTTGGAAATTAAATATTTCATGGTCAATCCTTTGCTCATAGCTCTCCTTTTGGCTCCTGTATAGGCAATCGTGTTTATCACCGCATCTCTAGTAATCAATATAGCGAATTGTTTCCTTTATCGATGGACTCTATTTATTTGCCCCACCACATGGCAATTTGACGAAACGACGAATGTAAGACCTAAATAGCGGTTTAAAATTTCGGCAATTGAGTTATTTAAGCTTTTTTATGTAAGAATGGATTAGAAACTTCAGCAAAAAAGTTTCATATATAATTTCAATTGTACTGAACACCCAGTTAATTATCCAACAATTGTAAGGCCATGATGAAGCATAATAAAGTTATAATAGATCCCTAATTTTCACATATGCAATGTATCGTAAATAAAATAGCCTAAGTCGCTATTACCAAGATTTCAAAGTCGCCATTTAGGTCTCCTATTGGCTAGTAGTAATTGCGATTGCAATTAAAGCAAGAAAAATAGTCCATGGATGAAAAAACAATAGATTTCAGAAATCCAAAGCTCTTTGGTATGCAAATTTGTATTGACTACCAGAGATGCATGGATTAAAACGATGGCAAAAACAGTAGCTAGATTAGAGGATCACCCATTTTTTTAGTAGTAAATATATATTTTCAGGTTTAAATTAATAATAAGCTTTGCTTACTCTTGAATTTTGAATATTTATTAGTTAAATTTTAAAAATAATAAACTAAATATAGCAAATTATTTGTCTTGATTCTAAAAAAGCAAATTAAATTATTGGAAATTTTTATTAATTATAGCTGATTCATCGTTAATTGTAAGCTCTTCATATCAAATTTATATAGTTTATCATTATTGTCCATGAAATAGCAACTTTGATTGAAATAAACTTTATATGCTACTCCGCGACCAAAGCTAATCTGCGCTGCTCCTATAATTTTCCAATTCGTTAGTTGATTTGATTCACTTTCATATATGTTTTTTCCTGATTCGATTAAAAGCACTCGATTTTCTGCCTGGAGCAAGACTTTGTTAGTATTTGCTGCAAATTTGAGATAAATTTCATTATAAATATCTTGCTTATGATGATATAAATATAGTTTGCTACTTTCATACCCAACAAATGCGATTCCATAATTGCCTGCAATACATGAAACGCGGCTTAGAACTTCATTCAGAGGACAAATTTTATATCACTTATCAGTTGATAGCTCATATTTTGCTGCTTTATTCAATTCATTACCATAAGCATCTCATCCTCCAAATAAGTAAAATAAAGCCATCATGATGCACAGAACCCATACCTGCTGACGGATCTCCATCTGAAAGTTGTTTAATAGTGCTATTTGGATACAATATAAATGCTGCTCCAGATACAGGATAATTGCCATAACAAAATATAGATTTATCAGGAAGAAGACACATAGAAATATTAGAAGAATATTTAACATTGTTTTGAAGAAGTCTATCTGCTGCTCAGACTTTGAAAAATCGGTCAAATTTACTCTAACTGAGTTTTTTTGTGCCTTGCCTAAAAAATACAATTTCATTGTTTTCAACAGCATTGTTTTCAACAGCATTGTTTTCAGCAGCACTGCTTTCAACAGCATTGTTTTCAACAGCATTGCTTTTAACAGCATTGCTTTCAACAGCATTGCTTTCAACAGCATTGCTTTCAACAGCATTGATTCTGTAATTTTTGTTCAATTCAAAATCGGAACAATTAAAACTGCACCCAAACTCATTCAATTTTTTCTGGCAATATCTGGATCTAAACTTAATAGCTCTTCAAATGGATTTTGATTTATATTTCGTATTTTTTTTTACCGAGTCAAATCTTTTTAATTAAATCAACTTGATTCAATCTTATTTTATCAATACGTTTTAGTGACTCAATGAGTGATAATTCTAACTCTTGTATTTTCTTATATGTTTCTTTTATTAGATTTTCTTTTATATCAAGCATTTCTTTTGATAATTTACACAGCTCTTCAATTAGGGCTTCCTTATGCTTTTGATTGGTTTTAATTTAAAGTGTTCAAACTTGTGTTCTTTAATAGAAGCAACTTTAAAATGCTTATAGATATGGATTTCGCAAGAGAAGCTGGGAGGTTCCACACATCTGCAGAAAACTTTGACTTTATTTTTGCATCTTGCTTTCAGCATTCCATGATTAAGATATTTATAGATTCAACAAAATGACTAATAAAAATCATTGTATTCTTATACATTTCCATATAATTTATCTAAAGAGAATTTAGCATCTATAATATTCAAGAATTACTATAATTTATTGCATAAATTGCTTAGTCATTAAACCTTCTTGAACTAATATGCTTTAAAGCTTGATTTGGTGTAATATACTTCTGAACTTAAACAACATATTTATAATTGCCGCTGGTTTTTCACTTTGTCTGCAATTTTTGGAGCTTTTGTATTTATTTCGATTATCAAGTGAAATTGGACATATTCAAAATTAACTTATGTAAGTGCTTATAAATGAAAATACCGAAGCGATCTGCTAAGAAATTTTAGTGACGATTTCTATTTTTTGCCTTTGTTTAAGGACTTTTGCTTACTTTAACTGTGAATTCTGGAAATCAAAATGAAAAATCAAGTAAAGATTTTAGCTAGCTGCTTCTGATGCTTAAATAATAATTATAGATTTAATTTTAATATTTTTTATTCTAAATTCTTTTATATTTCATATTCTTCCTTTTCAGGATAAATCGCTTTATCAATTATTCCATTTTCTTGAATCTATAATAATGCTAATCATGGAATGCTGAATGCAGGGGTGTCAAATAAAGTTAAAGTTTTCTGAAAATGTGTGAATCCTGTCAGCTACTCTTGCAGAATTTATATATATTAGTGGCTATATGCTTTTCATCAGAAGCATTTCCTCTTGCAGGCTTTTCGAACTCTATTATCCAAACTTTTTTCTCTTCAGATATTTGGTCAAAAATACCAGTCTTTGTAAGCAAATATCTGATGAAAAAAAACTTCAATCAAATGACTCACTCCCCCCTCCGTGAGCGAACAAAACCATTAGAAAAATCCCTATTTTTTGTCTAAAAAAACCCACCCTCCATGAGCGAACTAAAATTTTTTATGAAAAAACAAATTTTTTGATATATAAGTGATAATTATTATAACGAAATCTCTAGCTAATTCTTTTAATTTTGAACAGCTTGTATTTTAAAACATAATTTTACAAATTAAATTATTATTTGCTTTCCATTTGCGAATTAGGATTTTTTTAAATTTCAAAAAAAAATTTTTCTATATATTTATATATAAATTTTTTAAAAAAAATATTAACCCCCTCCTAAGCGAACAAGATTTTTTTGTTAGCTCATGGAGGGGGAGTAAAGAAATCACAATTAGCGTTCCATTTGCTGGCTAATAGAAATTGCCAAAGCTAAAACAAGTAAAAAGAGTCCATATATGAAGAAAGCAATAGATTTCATAAATATAAATCTTTAGTAGGGATATTTGTATACTACATAGGATACAAGGATAAGCACAATTGTTGATACAGAAGCAACTTTAGACAATTAATTAGTTTTATAATAGTAAATATTTAATTTTCAGGTTTAAATTAATAACAAACTTAGCTTGCTCTTGGATTTTGAAAATCGCAAATTAATTTTACAAATTATTTGTTTTGATGCTAAAAGCTAATTAAATTATTTAAATTTTGAATGATTATATCTGAGTCATCGTTAATTGTAAGCTCTTCATATCAAATTTATGTATTTTACCAGTATAGTCCATGAAATAGCAACTTTGATTGAAATAAACTTGGTATGCTGCTCTGGAACGATAGCTAATCTGAGATGTTCCTATAATTTTCCAATTGCTTACTCTCCCCCCCCTCCGTGAATGAAACAAACAAATTTTGTTCACTCACGGGAAAAAAATTTGATATATAAATGATAATTATTATAATGAAATCTAGAGCTAATTTTGTTTAATTTTAAACGAATTGCTTTTTAAACATAAATTTTATAAATTAATTTAATATTTGCTTTCCAATTTTTTGCTAATTAGGATTGTTTTATATTTCGAAAAAAACATTTTTTATAAAATTTATATAAATTTTTTAAAAAAAAAAAAATTCACCCCCTCATAAAAAATTTTTGTTCACTCACGGAGGTGGGTTTTTGGCAAAAAATGGCGATTTTTCTAATTGTTTTGTTCACTCACGGAGGGAGGGAGTTAGTTGATTTGGCTCACTTTCATATATATTTTTTTCGGATTCGATTAAAAATACTCGATTTTCTGCCTGGAGCAAAACTTTGTTAGTATTTGCTGCAAAGTTGTGATAGATTTCATTATAAATGTCTTGTTTATGATTATATGAATATAGTTTGCTACTTTGATTACCAACAAATGCGATTCCATAATTGCCTGCAATACATGAAACTAGACTTAGAACTTCATTCAGAGGACAAATTTTATATTCTCTACTAAAATTTTTCTCATTATTTCATTATCTTAATAAATTAAGAACTATAATATTGACTCAATATGGAAAAAATTTATGCAAAAAGCATGCAGCAAATTTTTCTATAAGATAATATCATTTATCAGTTGATAATTCATATTTGCTGCTTTATTCAATGCATTACCATAAGCATTAACATCCTCCAAATAAGTAAATAAAGCCATCATGATACACACCACCCATATTTCTTGACGGATCTCCATCTGAAAGCTGTTTAATAGTGCTATCTGGGTACAATATAATGCTGTTCCAGATGGAGGCCGATTGCCATAGCAAAATATAGATTTATCAGGAAGAAGACACATAGAAATAGCATTAGGATGGCTAGCATTGTTTTGAAGAATGTCTATCGTCTGCTCAGACTTTGAATAATTGGTCAAATTAACTCTAACTGAGTTTTTTGTGTCTTTCCTGAAAAATATGTCTCATTAACATATTTAATTATTTCAGCTTTCTGCTTTCAAGCAAACCACTCTTTAGAGAATTTAAATTTTTAGATTATGTCATAAAAAAAAATATTTAAAGAAGTATACAATTTCATTGTTTTCAGCATCATCGATTCAATCTTTTTTGTTCAATTCAAAATCGGAACTATTAAAACTGCACCCAAACTCATTCAACTTTTTTCGGGCACTGTCTGGATCGAAGGTTAATAGCTTTTCAAGTGGATTTCGATTTATTTTGGTAATTTTTTACCGAATTAATTTTTCTAATTAAATCAGCTTGATTTATTCTTATTTTCTCAATATTTTCTAGCGCTTTAATAAGTAACAATTTTAATTCTTGTATTTTCATATGTGTTTCTTTTATTAAGTTTTCTTTTATATCAAGCAATTCTTTTGATAATTTATTCAGCTCTTCAATTAGGGCTTCTTTATATATTTGATTTGGTTTTAATTCTAAGTATTCAAAGTTGTGCCCTCCAATAGAATCAGCTTCACCATGCTTGTACATGTGGACTTTGCAAGAGTAGCAGGCAGGCTCCACACATTTGCAAAGAACTTTAACTTTATTTATGCATCCTTCCTTTCAGCATTCCATGATTAAGATAAATTTATAGATTCATAAAAATGAAATTATTAAATAAAGGCCATTTTTTTCTTAAACATTTCATTTTAATTTATCTAAAAGAAAATTATGCATTTATAAAATATGCAAGAATTACTAAAATCGTTTTGGTTTTAAAATAGATAATAATCGGTTAAGCACCAAAAGCATTTGTTCAATGTCTCTAATGATCTTTTATTTCTGTTTGATATTCCAAAATTCTCAATAAAAGTGGTGCATATTATTAAGCAGAGTGATATTTAATATATATATTAATTTTGGCATAAACCCACAAAGAAAGAGAAGGATTGAAATGCCTAGAACACTTATTTATGATCAAAGCAGAGCTTAATAAAGCTGCTCTTTGGTAGGCATATTAGTATAGTATTTTGTTTTGGCATATAATGGGAAATATTATTATGCGTTGGCTTAATTTTAATTCCACGCGGGTAATATGACCTGATATGTGGAGATCTTCTCAAAATTATGCCATTGCATGACATTATTTCAGTACTAGGAAGATGGATGAGTTACTTAATTTTTAAGCTGAATATTAAGAATCTACAACTCAAAAAATGATGCCAATTTTGAATCCAATTGGAGTATTTTAATAGAAAATCCTCCAGAATTTGAAGCAAATAAAGTAAAGAATGTGAGCAAGATATTCTACTCAACTTGTGGTAGCGTGAGGAATATCTAAAGCAAGCAGAGTTTATTATATGAATGTAAATTTAAAAGGGGTCGTGAAGAGCATTAGAAGAAATTGTGATATCACAATTTTATTGCATTTTTTGAAGTTTTAGAAGAGAAGATGAAAATCGTTTTCAAAGAATGTTTCCACTCAAAAATAACGCATTTTATAACTCAAATAATGCGGAAAATTAGTCAAATCTATACAGAGTTTGCCTTGGACATTATCAAAGCTCTTGATTAGCAATAAATCGTTAATTTTAGTCAGTATTGATGATAGGGAAGATTTATAATAAAGATCATTGAAAAAAATTAATGTAGCATAAAACTAATAAAGACTTATTTAAATGTACTTGCCGAAAATTCAAGATAAATAGGATTTTTTATATTAAAAATTACAGGTGAGCTTTATGTTGAAAATGTTTCAAGATAGTGGCTACTTTCAAATTAATAGATATAGATTTAGATGATTTTTGTTTATAAATAAATTATAATATCTCTCAGAAATCACAAACAATTACATTCCAAATTTATCTAAAAGAAATTACCAAGGTATTGCAATGACAACTTTGGAGAAATCTATTTGGGAATCAGCTATATATTTTGCCATAAATAGTGCCATTAGACAACTGACTCCATGATTTGGTTCTGCAAGGTTATTTTTTGTTTGAACCAAATTTTAAGCAGGACCGACCAAAATAGCCTGGCTGAACCAAAATATAGAATTCATGGGCTGATGGCGCTATCATAGCAAGAATCTATATAACTTCCAGTTTCACGCTGGATCACTGCCAATTGGCCTAGTAGTACTGATAGATGCTGCTGAGATGTTCATTTTCAAACTCAAATTCTCCCTCACGAAGGAAAATCCAGAAATTTGTCAAAAATACAAATTACTTTTTTTTATTTTTAATTCCGATAAAAGTTCCATAATTTCAATTGTACCTTATGTTTCTGACCCAGTTGATTCTTCAACAATTTTAAGACCATGATGAAGCATAATAAAGCTATCATATGGATAAATAAAATAGCCTACAGAAATCGCAATTACTGTGATTTTATAGTCGTCATTTAGGTCTTCCAATTGCTAATAGAAATCGCAATAGTGAAAAAAGTAAATAGAGTCCTAGGATGAAGAAAACAATCAATTTCAGAAACCCCAAAACTCTTTGGTAAATATTGACTACCTTAGACACATGGATAAAAACAATTGCCTATACAGAAGCTAAATAAGAAGAATAATCATGCTTTATAATAGTAAATATTTAATTTTTAGGTTTAAATTAATATTAAACTTGTTACTTTTGAATTTAAAGTTTATATTAAAATGTACTTTGTGAAAATCAATTTGTTTAATTGTTTAGAGATTATTTGTTTTGATGATAGAAAGCAATAACTTAAAGAAATTTTTATTAATTATACCTGAGTCATCGTTAATTGTAAGCTCTTTATATCAAATTTATATATTTTACAATGAATGTCCATGAAATAGCAACTTTGATTGAAATAAACTTGATATGCTACTCTGTTAGAATAGCTAATCTGCGATACTTCTATAATTATCCAATAGCTTAGTTGATTTGGCTCGCTTTCATATATATTCTTTGACGATTCGATTAAAAATACTCGATTTTCTGCCTGGAGCAAGATATTATTAGTCTGAGCTGCAAAGTTGAGATAAATTTCATTATAAATATCTTGCTTTTGATTATATAAATATAATTTACTACTTTCATACCCAACAAATGCGATTCCATAATTTCCATAATTGCCTGCAATACATGAAACGCGGCTTAGATCTTCCTCCAGAGGACAAGTTTTTATATTCTTTATAAAAAGTTTTTCTTCTTTATTTCAGCATCTTAATTAATTAAGAACTATAATATTTTACTCAATATGGCAAACTTTATGCCAAAAGTATATGGTAAATTGCTCTTCAGATAATACCACTTATCAGTTGATAATTCATATTTTGCTGCTTTATTCCATGTCTTACCTTGAGCATTGCATCCTCCAAATAAGTAAATAAAGCCATCATGATATACAACACCCATATTTCCTGAAGGATTTCCAGCTGAAAGCCGTTTAATAGTGCTATCTGGATACAATATAAATGCTGCTCCAGATACAGGATAATTGCCATAGCAAAATATAGATTTATCAGGAAGAAGACACATAGAAATAGCATTAGGATGAATAATATTGTTTTGAAGAATTCGTATCGTCTGCTCAGACTTTAAAAAATTGGATAAATTTACTCTAACTGAATTTTTTGTATCTTTCCTAAAAAATATGTCTCATTAATGTATTTAATCATTGCTATAAAAACTCCAGTTTTCTGATTTTAAACGAGTCTTAATCTTAAATTATTTATAAACGTTTTATGTCAACTACGGGGTAGCCTCGTCCAGAACTGTCACCATATTTGTCCACGTGTCGGGCCCATGGACATCTGGAAGATCCACTTTGATTCGCCAAGGCACGGGCAAAGACAACGTTTCGGCTTCGAGGGGCTTTGTTGCCGCCACGGCTTTATTCGACTCAGCTCCTGCGCGTGCTCCGCCTAAGGGTCTCCTTCCTTGGGTGTGCTGAGGGGCAAAGACCTGAGCCTCTTGAGTGCACTGAGGAGTAGTTCCTCTGGTTATCCCCAGAGTTTAACCACTATTGCTGTGCAGAAGTTCTTGAAGTAAAACCCAACCCCATAAACAAAATGGCATTCGGTTCGAGCGAAATTAGCTCCGCTAATTTTCTCTCCCTAAGCAATTTTATTTATGATTTTAAACGAATCATTCTGTAGCGAATTAAAATTTATTAGATTATGCTATAAAATAAAAAAATAGTTAAAGAAGTATACAATTTCATTGTGCTCAACATCATTGATTCTTTCATTTTTGTTTAATTCAAAATCGGAATGATTAAAACTGCACCCAAACTCATTCAACTTTTTTCGGGCACTGTTTGGATCTAAGCTTAATAGCATTTCAAGTGGATTTTGATTTATTTTTGATAATTTTTTAACCGAGCCAATCTTTTTAATTAAATCAACTTGATTTAGTCTTATTTTTTCAATACGTTTTAATGCTTCAATGAGTGATAATTCTAATTCTTGTATTTTCTTATATGTGTCTTTGATTAAGTTTTCTTTTATCGCTTATTCGCCATAATAGATTGCTATGGCCAATCAGAAGAAGAACAACTAAATATTGCCTATGGCCCTTACTTTTATCCAGTCTAAGTCTGATTAGGTATTCAAAGCCATAAATGTAAATTTGGCATTTTCGTTTGAGCTTTTCAAGAAATTGACAAGGACAAATTTAATTTAAAAATTAAAATAGATGGATAGTAATGATCTATTAAAATACAGGGGCTATATATCAAGCAATTCTTTTGATAATTTATTCAGCTCTTCAATTAGGGCTTCCTTATGCTTTTGATTTGGTTTTAATTTTAAGGGTTCAAGCTTGTGCTGTTCAAGAGAAGCAGCTGAACATGTTTAGAAATGTGGATTTTGCAAGAGTAGCAGACAGGCTCCATACATTTACAGAAAACTTTGACTTTATTTTTACATCCTTGCTTCCAGCATTCCATGATTAACTCCCATTTCCAATAGCTAGCAAAAAAAAATTTTTAAGCTCAATTTTTTCTTTCGGGATTTAAAAAAATCCCAATAATAAAAATTGGAAAGCATAATTTACTTTTTATATTTTCAAAATTTCAGTTTTAAAATGTAAGCTGTTTAAAAATAAACAGAATTGGCTAGAAATTTATATTATATTAATTATCACTAATGCATAAAAATATTTGCTTACTTATGGAGGATGCTTTTTACCAAAAAATAAAGTTTCCAATGATTTTGCTCTCTCATGAAGCAAAGTAAGATATATTTATAGATTCTTGAAAATGAAAACGATTAGTAAACATTGTTGAATTATTTGAAATAATTTACCTAAAAGAAAATTAAGAACCTATAAAATATGAAAGATTTATTAAACTCGTTTATTTAAGCATCAAAAGCAGCTCAATATCTCAATTGATTTCTCATCTCCTTTGATCAAAGTATAAAGCAAGCAAAAATCCTCTAGCTCATGATACCAATTATTGTGCAGTATATTGATAATAATTATTCATTAACTTTAGCATTAGCTCATAAAGAGAATAATTATTTATAATCAAAATAGAGCGCAATTGAAAGCAATAAAGCTGCTTTTTGGTAGCCATATTAATTCAGTTTTTCACTTTAGCATAAAAAAAATATTATTTGTCTTTGGCAGGAAAGACGGCAAAAAATAGGGATTATTTTAATGGTTTTGTTCACGGAGGGGGAGATTAGGATAAAAAAATTGACCCTTCCGTTAGCGAACAACATTTTTTTGTTCGCTCACGGAGTGGGGTGTAAGATAAACTTATAGATTTTAAAGCTAGCATTTCTCATAAAAGTAATTTATAAATTCAAGAAAACTAAAATACTTCAAATGCATAATTAAACTAAATTAATTTTTGACTGTAGCAGTTAAGTTATCTTTGACCTTATAAGAAATATTGATACAAAAAGCACTAGCAAGCATACAATTAAACTAATTATTTTAGCAAATTTCTTGAAAAATAGCCTTCATTATAAAATTTACTTTTCCTTAAAAAGATTAATTAAGCTCAATTTCATAACTATCATTTCAACTATTTAAAAATAAATAAAAGTCCTTATTTACCTGTAAAATTCTACTTATCTTTCTTAATCTCCACAAACCAAGGCAAACTTTGTCCTGTTTTGCACCTTATTTTGTATTCTCTATATCTTTTCTTCACAATAAAATACATAGTATACGCCCACTTAAATGATTGCATTTCTAATAGAAATCCCATAAGTCTTACCAGCCAAAAAACATTCCATGATGTTACGACTCCATAAGTTATAGGTGGCCCAAGAATAAATCTCCCAATGAAGAAGGCTACTATAAACACTAATTCAGCAAGCAAATGGGACTTTGTTTCCTTCTGACCAGCACATTTAAGGATTTCTTTTATATTCTTTTTTCTTTAAATATAAAATTAAATCTATTGTAGGAAGCCTAATTACCTTATATTGATAAAATAAAGCTTTATTTTTATTAATTATATTTAAAGAAAACGATATATGTAAGAATGGATTGGAAACTTCAGCGAAAAAAGTTGGGTCAAAATATTTATGCTTGAATTAATTTTATGAGATTTTACTGGAAAATAAATTTCTATAATTCCTTTCATAAATTTCTTTTGTTTTCATAATTGATTTTTAAAATTTCAAAATAAATTAACATGTCATAGACATAATTTTATATGCCAATTTTTTTAAATTTTTAATAAATTTATATAAATTACGCCAAAAATAATTTTTAAATAAATATTTATATTTAATTTTTAAATTCCCATAAAAGTTCCATACATAATTTCAATTGTGCCATATGTTCCTGAAACCCCAGTTAATTCTCCAATAATTGTAAGGCCATGATGAAGCATAATAAAGTTATCATAGATCCCAAACTTCCACATACACAATGTATCATAAATAAAATAGCCTAAAGAAATCGCTATTACCGTGATTTCAAAGTCGTCATTTAGGTCTCCCATTTGCCGGCCGGATGAAATTGCCATTGTGGTTGAAACAAGTAAAAAGAGTCCGTGGATGAAGGAAACAATGCGATTTCGGAAATCCCAAAGCTCTTTGGTAGGCAAATTTATATTGACTACCAGAGATACAAGGATAAACACGATTGTCCATACAGGAGCTGAAAGGAGAGCTACGAGTAAAGGATTAACCATGTTTTATAATAATAAATATTTAATTTTCAGGTTTAAATTAATAATAAGCTTTGCTTGCTTTTAGATTTTGAAAGTTTATATTAAGTTAAATTGTTAATTTTGAAAATATATTTATTTTAATATTAAAGGCAAATTATGAAATATTATATTATTAAACTTGGGTTACCTTGAATTGTAATCCACCGATGCTACATTTATATACTTTACTATCATTATCCATAAAATAGCAATGATGATCAAAATAAACTGGGTATGCTACTATGCCTATAAAGCTAATATGCCCTGTTCCTAGAATTTTTCAATTGCTTGCTACCCCACTCTAAACATAAAAAATTTGTTTGCCTACGAGAGGGTTTATTTTATATTTTTAAAATTTTAAAAAAAATCCATTTGTAAAAATTGAGAAGTAAAAATTAATTAATTTGCAAAATTTATGTTTTAAATTCAAACTGTTTAAAATTAAACAGAATTACTCATGATTTCATTATAATAACTATCACTTATGTATTAAATTTTGTTTTTCATAAAATATTTTCGTTCGCTCAGGGCGATTTAGTTGATTTTGCTCACTTTCATATATATTTTTTGATGATTCGATTAAAAATACTCGATTTTCTGCCTGGAGCAAGACTTTATCAGTATTTGCTGCAAAGTTGTGATAAATTTCACTATAAATATCTTGCTTATGATTATACGAATATAGTTTGCTACTTTCACAGCCAACAAATGCGATTCCATTATTGCCTGCAATACATGAAACACTACATAGAACTTCCTTTAGAGGGCAAATTTTATGTCCCCAGCTAGAATTATTTCCACTAATTAAAAGATCTTAATAATCTCAGAACTATAAGTATTTGACTCAATGTGGCAAAATTTCTTAATATGCCAAAACCGTGTAGCAAATTGTTCTTCAGATGATATCACTTATCAGTTGATAGCTCATATTTTGCTGCTTTATTGCATACACCAAAATCATCAAATCCTCCAAATAAGAAAATAAAGCCATCATGATACACAGCACCCATGCCTGATGATGGATCTCAATCTGAAAGTTGTTTAATAGTGCTATTTGGGTATAATATAAATGCTGTTTCGGAAGGAGGAAAATTACCATAGCATTAGGATTAGGATTATTAAAAGCCAGGCGTTAGCCGTTTGATGACGCAGTCACTTAATACCTCTGATACGAAATGGTTCTACCGCTTTTCGACTCTATCCCAGAGGGTCTAGCCCTCTTACGAGTGCCCTTCCGTAGCTTCTATCTCCTTGCCGCTCAGTCTTGAGTGCAGCTTATGAATTTCTGCCGCCCTGCTACGGCGATTGGAGTAGTTTGATTTTAAGGATCTTTTGAGTATATCGGGTGCCGAAGTGCCTTTTTTCGACAGCTACAGGAAAAAGACTGTTCCCCTGTGTCCTGAGCAGAAACTCCCAGTTTCTCGGTGGAGGAATGCCTATGGATCCTCGGATGCAAAGGAAGTTGTTGAGCACCTCCATTTCCAACAACAGGAAAGCAGCCAAAACCTATCGGATACACACCACTTAAGCCTACTTGATTCTCGGCTCGGAGTCGGCCCAGTCCGTCGTAGCCATAAGTTCTGGACTACTGCGTCAAGAGGGAAGGTTGACACGTACCACCATTTTAATGTATATATAACTACCATAGCAAAATATAGATTTATCAGGAAGAAGACACATAGAAATAAAAATAGGATTGAGTATAATGCTTTGAAGAATGTCTACCTTTTTCTCAGACTTTGAAAAATCATTCAAATTTACTCTAAATGCGCTTTTTGTCTTAGTCCCAAAAAATATGTCTCATTAATATATTTAATCATTGTTTTAAAGATTTCAGCTTTCTGCTTTTAAAACAAACCACTCTTTTGCGAATGCAAATTTCCTCGATTATGCCATAAAAATAAAAACATAGATAAAGAAATATACAATTTCATTGTTTTCAACTGTATCAATCCTGTCTTTTTTGTTGAATCCAAAATTCGGACAATTAAAACTGCACCCAAACTCATTTAACATTTTTCTTGCACTATCTGGATCTAAGCTTAATAACTTTTCAAATGGATTTTGATTTATTTTTGGTATTTTTTTTATTGAGTGAATCTTACTTATTAAATCAACTTGATTTAGCCTTATTTTTTCAATACGTTCTAGTGCCTCAATAAGTGAAAACTCTAATTCTTGTATTTTCCTGTATGCTTCTTTGATTAAGTTTTCTTTTATATCAACCAATTCTTTTGATAGCTTTTGCAGCTCTTCAACTAAGGCTTCCTTATTTTTTTGGTTTATTTTTAATTTCAAGGGTTTAAGTCTATGCTCTTCAATAGAATCATCTTGAGTATGTTCGTATATATGGACTCTGCAAGAGTATCTAGCAGGATCTACACATTGGCAGCAGACTTTGACTTTATTTTTGCATCCTTGCTTTCAGCATTCCATGATTAAGAAAAAATTATATATTCAAGATAATAAAGACCACTAACATTTTTATCATGATTTACTCTATGTAATATATAAGAATTAAATAATAATTTTTAAGCATCAAAAGCAGCGAGTTCAATATCTTCATTTGATTTTTCATTTTCCTTTGATTTTCCAGAATTTACAGTAAAAGTAAGCAAAAATCCTCTAAAAAATTGGCAAAAAATAGGTGGCACCATTATAGAAATTGACACTAAAATCCATTCACAGATTGCCTCAGCATTTTCATTTATAAGGAGGTTTGATGGTATTGAATATGCCCAATTCCACTCGACAATATTAATAATCGAAATAAATACAAAAACTCCTAAAAATACAGACAAAATAAAAAACCAGTGTCTTTCTTGAGCATTGAATGTGCTTTTTGATAATAAAAGTAAAGAATAAACAAGGGAAGACCAAGCAAGATTTGAAATGATAAAGCAGGTTGATAAAAATACGTAAATAAATTCTAGAGGAAGAATGTGTACACTGTTTACCTCATCAACTAAACTAATTATAGGTAAAATTGAGCATGAAATAACTCCTAAGTATAATAATAAGTGCCTTTTTCACCTTGGTAAAGATGAACCGAAATGATAATAAGCTCCAGTGTACATTAAGATAAGGACTAGTGCAAAATATGTGCAAGATACGATAAAAACTCTGTCATGGCCTCTAAAACGGGCTTTATATAAAATTAATCAATAAATTAAGCTCCTTTTAAAAAAAAAATTAAATATATTTTAAGCAACCCACTAAAGCAGCCTAAATAGCCCAAAGTCGGCAAAAATGTAAAGCACGAGAAATTAGTTGCACAGGCTAGAATTAAATTTCCATAAACCATACCAATCATCAATCCTGAAAACCAAAACATAAGTTTAGGAACATTAATTGAGTATATCGATCTTCCTTCTTTTTCTCTATAACTAAACACTGGGAGTGAAAAAGAATGCCTAAACTCTTTGTCGTTCCCTTCCATATCTATTACTTAATTGAAAAATGAACGACAGGTATAAAAGTCTTTTTACAATTACGAAATTTCTCCAAAATTATGAATAAATGTGGGAAAATGCTTAAAATACTCATTTTTTAGGCAAAATTACTTTATTTGAGCTAAATTTGAATTATTTAAAGTACATAAATAGGAAATTTAGCAGGAGAAAATTCATAAATCATAAAAAACCCCAGATTTCTTTATTTATTCTGGTTTAATAGCAAGCTATTTATTTTTCCAATAAATACCAAAACTGTAAACTAAATCTTATAAATTTTTATCAGTATTTTTATATTTGAAAAATCAATTAAAAATGCTGCTATTTATTAATTATTTTTAAATCAAAAATATATAGAAATATGCCTAATAGTTTCATGATAAAAATTTAAAAATTAATCTAATCTTCCTTAAAATAATCTAATCATTTCTTATGGAATTCGTTAGGGGCAATCTTAATTCTAATAATAATAAAATGCCGACCAATGCAGAACTTGGTGCGTGCTTTCTTTCGAGGACTCTTGACCTCGCTGCAAGGAAGCATTACAACTCATTTTTCAAAACAACAACATGATCCAATGAGCCTCCACCTATCCAGTCTCCGTCGCCAGTTCAATCGCCATTCCCTCTTCTATCTCCTTCACCTTTACAATCTCCCTCTCAAATTTCACTCCGCAGTGAGTCCAGCCATGACCTATTCCCCCGTCTCGACCTCAACCAAGTATCCCGTGCTTCTCATATTTCCCATGACTCTAGTTCTTCATCAAGAAGGCGATACACCAGGCTCGAGATGCTTCGCAAAGTCATTGACAAGTTCATCCTCAGCATCAAAATCAACATGGATCAAGAAGCCTTATGGAGATGGCAATTCGTCAACCAAAAAATGAAAAAAATAGAACAGCTTAACGCCCTCCGTGAAATAATGAAAAAGAAAAAAGAACGAGACTTAGTAAGCTCCCTTCACAAACTCAAATGGCAAACCACAGAAGACCGGCTAATACCCCAAAGAGGAAGACTCACCCCAGCCGACAAAAGAGATGTGCTAATGAAAGTTGTGAGGAAAATGATAATAACAGGAAGGGTCAACCTAGAGCAACGAGGACTATGGAAATGGTACATAAAGGCTATTGATTTTTACCCATATGCCCCGCAGCCTTCGAATCTTCAATTGAATGCTACTGAAGCTTTGCATAGGACTATTATGAAGAATATATGCAGAAGAGTTAACTATAGAGAATTCCAGGCTAAAAAAAGGTGCTTTAATTCGTGGAGAGACCCTGATGGACAAATTTTGGCACAAGTAGTAAGGAGAACTGCCACAAATCCAGGTGAGCTAAGAGCTAACAAAAAGCTGCTTGATAAAGAAAAATCAGAAAAACTAGTTAAAGGGCTAGAAAGACTTGGAAATCTCCGTCAAAATTTCGGCAAGCAGGTAATTTGGAAATGGTATCTTCACACTTTTCTCCAAAAAACACGCCAAGACTCTATTAAAAAGATTTTGCTTAAGCTAAAACTCCTCAGACTAGGGAAAAAAGAAAGTTTTTCTACATGGAGACTTTCCAGTATAAGCAAAACTGAAGAAATTTTTGAAGAAGAAAAAATAGTCTCAACAAAGTCAAAACTAATTGGAAAACAAAAACAAGTCAAGGTCAGATCAGGCAGAAATCAAGGCCAAGAAGTCGCAGCCATAAACTTGTCAAATTTAATCAAAAAAAGAATTGCTTCTACAATGAACAATATGAGAATAGCTTCTGAAGCAAATGATAAAAGAAAAGCCATGATCAGAAAAACACTGCAGAACTTAGCCCTCATTGCAAAGCAGCATTTAAGAAAAGGCTTTGAGGAATGGAAACTTAACGCAAAAGAAAGAGAATTAGAAACCTCTAAAAGATCAGATAAAAACCAAATCATGAAAAAAAGCTTGAAAAATCTAGCCCATATCGCCAAAGAAATGGTGCAAAAGAGATTTAATGATTGGAAACTTTATTATAAAGTGGAAACAAATGACGATTTTTATGGGGAAAAAATCAAAGATAATAGAAAAATGACTGTAAAATCCAGCATAAGGAACCTTTCACATATAGCTAAAGAAAAAGTCCAAAGCGGGTTCAATATATGGAGAGCTCATAGAGACGAAGAAAATTCTTATAAAGAAAACGCTATCAAAAAAGCCCTGAAAAACCTATCACATGTAATCAAAAATACCCTTCAAAAGAGCTTCACTATGTGGGAAAATGCTGCAGGCATTGAAATCACTAAAAATAAAGAAAATTTGACACGAAAAAGTTTGCAGAATTTAGCCCACATTTTTAAGGAAGGGCTGCAGAATGACTTATTTAATTGGAAATTATTTGTGGCTATAAAAGCAAATAGAGCGTTATCAAAAACAAGGGTTGGAATGACTGTGAAATCCTTTGGAGGGATCCAAAAAGTAGTAGTCCAGCCATACGAAGAATACGAAAATGACGAAATTTTTGTAAAAAGGTTCAGCTCAGTGGTAAGACCAGCAATTTTGTTAGAAGAAACAGCCCAAAAGCGCCAAACCGCTTATAATCCTATCACGCGTGTACTGTCAGTTCCAGTATTTGACTATGAATATAAGCGCACTATGAGAGCGGTTGACAATAAGCCACTGATATCTTTAGAAATTATTGATGAAAATAAAGAAATTTCAAGAAAAATCCTAAATCTGGAATGGGAGCAGAAAGTAATAAACAAGCTTAGAGTCGGGAAAAATTCGCCTTTGCATAGAGTTACCAGACCGATTTTGATGCCAGAAATAAAGCACTCAGTTAATACTCAAAGCTCTAGCTATAAATTACTATCAAAACCTAGCGTTCACATTGAAATGCTGAATTTCAATAAAATCAGGTCGAAATCTGCTATAAATAATCTTTCAGCATATGCTAGGCTCAGCTTGCAAAAATTATTTGATAACTGGAAACAAGCCACAGTTTTGGCATCAGATGAAACTTATAAGAAAATTTTAGCAGACAGATTTTCAGCTGAAACTGATAAATTCAATGAAGACTCTATGGGTAAATTAGTTAAGAAAATGGCCCAAATTTCTGATATAAGAAATAAATTTAGGCAAAATGCTTTATATAGGTGGCTGAAATTCGCAAATAAATATAATCATTTTTTATATTAAAATTGGCAATTTGCCTTATTTCTCATCATTTATTTATAATATAATTTTAAGCAGTATAAATACTCATCATTAGCTATCAAAACATTATCTTCAGCGACCTCTGAAAGAAACAGAACAACCCTCAAAAAAGCTTTTGAAAAGCTCATCCCTGAAGATACCACTTCTTTGAATTTGTCTAAAAAACTTCACCTAAATGTCCTCAATAAAATCGCTATGTTCAGCTTATTCAAAGCATTTGGGATTTGGAAACAAAATATTGTAGAATTTGAAGAAATCGAAGAATTTGTGACGACTACTAAAGCCTCACAAGAAAGAAAGGTGTTTTTGCTTACTCCCCCCCCTCCGTGAGTGAACAAAAAAATTTTGTTCACTCACGGAGGGGGGGGTTATTTTTTTTATTTAAAAAAATTTATATATAAATTTTATAAAATTGTTTTTTTCTCGAAATTTTGAAAAAAAATCCTAATTCGCAAAAATTGGAAAGCAAATATTAATTTAATTTATAAAATTTATGTTTTAAAAAGCAATTCGTTTTAAAATTAAACAGAATTAGCTCTAGATTTCATTATACTAATTATCACTTATATATCAAATTTGTTTTCCATAAAAAATTTTTCTATTAAAAACATTTTTGTTCACTCACGGAGGGTGGGTTTTTGGGCAAAAAATAGCGATTTTCTAATGGTTTTGTTCACTCACGGAGGGGGGGGGAGTTAGGTCTAAAGTATTTAGTGTCCCCTATTTAAATTTCGAAGAGCCTGTTATAGAAAGACAAAGGTTTAGAATTGTAAATAAACCGTTAATTCAGCCTGAAATCGTGGATTTCTTGAATACCTTTACGAAAGCATGCTTACTCCCCCCCCCCTCCGTGAGCGAACAAAACCATTAGAAAAATCGCCATTTTTTGACCAAAAACACACCCTCCGTGAGTGAACAAAAATATTTTTAATAGAAAAAATTTTAATAGAAAAAAAATTTTGCTATATAAGTGATAATTAGTATAATGAAATCTAGAGCTAATTCTGTTTAATTTTAAACAAATTGCGTTTTAAAACATAAATTTTGCAAATTAAATTAGTATTTGCTTCCCAATTTTTGCAAATTAGGATTTTTTTTAAATTTCGAAAAAAATATTTTTTATAAAATTTATATATAAATTGTTTTTAAAAAAAAAAATTAACCCTCCGTGAGTGAACAAAATTTTTTTGTTCGCTCACGGAGGGGGGGGGGAGTTAGGGAATTTGAAGCATATGTCAAGAATTAAGACACGACAAGCTTTTAACACGTGGAAGGAGTCAACTGACTTCGAAAATGACGAAATTTTATCAGCTGCCGTAAAAAGAAGATTCTTAAAAGGAAAGCCATCAAAGCCTAGAAGCCAAAAAATGGACACTATAGTCAATTACTTATTCAGGATGCATGAAACCAGAAGCCAGCTTCTTGGTAATGCTCTATTTAAATGGCTAGGCTACAGACTTGCAGGACTTTCTACCCAGACTACCCACAATCTTCTATATAAACCTTTAACAATCCCTGAATTAGATTATTCATTTGACCTAAAAGCTATAAAATATTCAGGAATTTTAATGAAAAAGCCTAGAGTTATGATTGAAGAAATGGACGAATTCAAGAGAAATTCCCATTTATTAGCTGGAAAGCCAAAAGACAATGGAAAAATGAGCTTAATTGTGGAGAAACTCTATAAAATTGCAAAATCAAAAGAACATGCAAGTGAATTAGCATTATTTAAATGGTTTAGTCATGATATAGATGAGAAATGTGAGAAATTATATTATAAAATATTTACTAAGCCTTTGACTATAGCAGAAATTGAAAGTTCTTATGAGAAATATAGTGAAAAAGTGTTAGCAAAACCAATTGCAATGATTGAGGAAATAAAAGAGCTGACTCAAGACCAAAAAGAAATTATGAAAAAGAGTGTAGTCAAATTGGCAAGAATTTTCAGAGGGAATCTGCAAAAGGTTATTAATAGATGGAAAATTAACCATCATAAGAAAACTACTGCTATTGCAAAAAGAAAGACAAAGGCAGTTAAAGTTAGATCAGCGCCAAGAAATAGGCCAGCGTTTGAAATTTTAAATAAGCCTACTTAAGTTAAATTTTTATCAAGTATTATCGGCTAGCCATGTAGAAGTTTTATGCCCATTAATTCGCTGCACCATCTTGCTTGCCAGTCCGGTTCCACAGTTAAAGGCGTGTATTGCTCCTTCTGAATGAGGGCTTGCTCTAGTAATCTAGAGGTAAAGATACTGGGTCGCCGTGCCATAAGTCAACAGAATTAACTGTTCTGGAAAATTTGAAAAGTAATTCGAGTCAGGATGTCGACTGAGATGAAACCGTAGCCCATGTTGTAACTCCTGTATCGCGCTGGGAAAATACCTGATGGTCAAGAAAACGCTCTCTGGCCTTTCTAGGCTATACCTATTCAAATTCTAACCTTTCTCTTGGCAAAAACTTATCCCCGGATGTGAGCTTGCGGTCGGAAGCCAGGCATTACGCTACCAGGCCAAATAAAACCCGGCTGGCACATTTAACGCACGCTGCTCTCCTTCCACAATATTCCTAGACCCTGTCTGGCTACAGGTGTTAATTGGGCAGGTTGGTTCACTAATCATTTTTATAAGCCTACAACTCAGCTTGAATTTATTGATCACTCAAAGACAATCAAAGATTTGCTTACAAACTTAACCCACGCAGTTAAATACAATTTACTCAGATCTCTCAATTCTTGGAAGAATAATGCACAGCTAATATCAGCAACAAAAACTGAAGCTCAAGTCACATTCAGTGTAATGCAAAAGGTATCAATTGCTCCAGAAATCAAATACGAAGAAAATGCAGCAAAGAAAATGCATTTAAGAGTCTTAACTCTCCAATAATGACGAAAACCGTCTTTATTAAATGAGATACTAATTATTTAGTTAAAAGTTTTATTTCTATTTTAAAAATCAAGAAAAATCAAGAAAAATTAAGATGAATATTTTGTATTTTAAAAGTGCTGGACAAAAAATCTAATTCCATTTAAAAGAACCTAAAAAAATTTAAAGTTTATTATTCATCAAAATGAGTGCATGTAAGCAAAATCGTCATGTTTGGACTGCATAAAGCATTTGATACTTGGAAACAAAATTTAGTAAAATATGAAGAAGTCGCAGAAATACAAATCTTTATTCCTATTAGCAAGCTTATAGTGATTCCAGAAATCCAATCAGCCCCAACTCTTATTTCCTTAGAAATACAAAAGACTTCTATACTCGCCCTGCCAAGAGTTCTTCCAGAGCTTTCAACAGAGCAACAAATACACGATATGGAGAATAAATATAGACAAAAAGTCCAAATCACCTCACTATCAGCAATTCTTCCTCCACTTGTTGCACCTGAAATTTCTATTGAGCATAAAGCAGATAAAGTCCAATATTTCTCTTTGTCGAAAAAATCTATTGTGTACCCATTCTATCAAGACGAAACTACAAAGAAAATAGGAGCCATTGCAAGGCATTTTTCAGCAGTCTCACAAAAGAGAGAAGAGTTTGCGAAACTTGCTCTATTTAAATGGTTCTCAAATACTAGAGATAGTGATATCAAGAGGACTTCTAGAACTATTTTCTCTGCATTTGCCAAACCTTTGTCGATGATGCAGTGCTTGATTGATGCAAAAGTTATTAGATACTCTGAAATAGTTATGAGAAAGCCAAGAATGATGATTGAAGTTAGCCCAATTTATTTAATTAAGATAAATATATTTATGTTTTTTATTGCTTAATATACCTTATGTGCTCATAGATAAAGCTAATAGTCATTTCTAAAATGAGGTAACGCTTTTAATTATTTTTGCTCAGAGCCTCATATTTATTTATAATAATTGAAGAAACTGATATAGTCAAGAAAAATTCGCATTTATTATCTGAAAAGCCTAAAGACGACCAAAAAATGCAAATGGCTGTTGAAAAGTTATACAGAATAGCCCAACTCAGAAAAATATTGACTGAAGTTGCAATCTTTAGATGGATTAGTCGTGGAATTACTGAGGAGGTAAAAAAGTTAGATTATAAATTATTCACAAAGCCATTAACAACAGTTGAGTTTGAGAATTCTATTGAAGAGCACAGATATGCAGCCAAAGTTGTAGCCAAACCAATTGTGATTATAGAAGAAGTCGAAGAATTGACTCAAAGCCAAAAAGAAATCATGAAAAAATCAATTTATAATTTAGCTAGAATTTTCAGAGGAAATCTTCAAAAAGTTATTAATAGATGGAAAATAAACCATCATAAGAAAAATACAGCAATTGCTAAGAGAAAGACAAAGGCAGTTAAAGTCAGATCAGCTCCAAGAAATAGGCCAGTATTCGAAATTTTAAATAAGCCTACAACTCAGCTTGAGTTTGTGGACCACTCAAAGAATATCAAAGATTTGCTTACAAACTTAACCCACGCAGTTAAATACAATTTACTCAAATCTCTTAATTCTTGGAAAAATACTGCAAGACTAATATCAGCAACAAAAACTGAAGCTCAAGTCTCATTCAGTGTAATGCAAAAGGTATCAATTGCCCCTGAAATCAAATACGAAGAAAATGCAGCAAAGAAGATGTGCATAAGAGCATTAAGCAGAATTGGAATGCTTGGACTAAATAAAGCCTTTGAAACTTGGAATCAATATTTAGTTCAATATGAAAAAGCTAATAAGGAAACTCAGATCTTTACTCCTGCAAATAAACTTATTATTACTCCAGAAATTCTATCAGTCCCAACTCTTGTTTCCTTAGAAATACAAAAGACTTCTATACTCACCCTGCCAAGAGTTCTGCCTGAAATTATCGTTGAGCCTAAAATACAGCATATCCAGCATTTCTCTTTGTCTAAGAAATCTATTGTTTTCCCACTTTATCAAGATCAAACTGTAAAGAAAATAGGCAGCATTGCCAAGTATCTATCAATAGCAGCTCAAAAGAGAGATGAATTTACCAAAACTGCTCTCTTTAAATGGTTTACAAAAATTCATGATAACGATGTAAAAGACACTTCTAGGTCTATATTTTCAATATTTGGGAAACCTATAGTCATGATTCAATACTCGCTTGACGCTAAAACGGCGATATCTTCAGAAACTATAATAAGAAAGCCAAGGATAATGATAGAAGAAACTGATATAGTCAAGAAAAATTCGCATTTATTATCTGAAAAGCCTAAAGACGACCAAAAAATGCAAATGGCTGTTGAAAAGTTATACAGAATAGCCCAACTCAGAAAAATATTGACTGAAGTTGCAATCTTTAAATGGATTAGTCGTGGAATTACTGAGGAGGTTAAAAAGTTAGATTATAAATTATTCACAAAGCCTTTAATCACAGTTGAGTTTGAGAATTCTATTGAAGAGCATAGATATGCAGCCAAAGTTGTAGCCAAACCAATTGTGATTATAGAAGAAGTCGAAGAATTGACTCAAAGCCAAAAAGAAATCATGAAAAAATCAATTTATAATTTAGCTAGAATTTTCAGAGGAAATCTTCAAAAAGTTATTAATAGATGGAAAATAAACCATCATAAGAAAAATACAGCAATTGCTAAGAGAAAGACAAAGGCAGTTAAAGTCAGATCAGCTCCAAGAAATAGGCCAGTATTCGAAATTTTAAATAAGCCTATAACTCAGCTTGAATTTGTTGACCACTCAAAGAATATCAAAGATTTACATGCAAACTTAACCCACGCAGTTAAATACAATTTACTCAGATCTTTCAATTCTTGGAAAAATACTGCAAGACTAATATCAGCAACAAAATCTGAAGCTCAAGTCTCATTCAGTGTAATGCAAAAGATATCAATTGCCCCTGAAATCAAATATGAAGAAAATGCAGCAAAGAAGATGTGCATAAGAGCATTAAGCAGAATTGGAATGCTTGGACTAAATAAAGCCTTTGAAACTTGGAAGCAATATTTGGTTCAATATGAAAAAGCTAATACAGAAACCCATATATTTACTCCTGCAAATAAACTTATTATGACTCCAGAAATTCTATCAGTCCCAACTCTTATTTCCTTAGAAATACAAAAGACTTCTATACTCACCCTGCCAAGAGTTCTGCCTGAAATTATCGTTGAGCCTAAAATACAGCATATCCAGCATTTCTCTTTGTCTAAGAAATCTATTGTTTTCCCACTTTATCAAGATCAAACTGTAAAGAAAATAGGCAGCATTGCCAAGTATCTATCAATAGCAGCTCAAAAGAGAGATGAATTTACCAAAACTGCTCTCTTTAAATGGTTTACAAAAATTCATGATAACGATGTAAAAGACACTTCTAGGTCTATATTTTCAATATTTGGGAAACCTATAGTCATGATTCAATACTCGCTTGACGCTAAAACGGCGATATCTTCAGAAACTATAATAAGAAAGCCAAGGATAATGATTGAAGAAACTGATATAGTCAAGAAAAATTCGCATTTATTATCTGAAAAGCCTAAAGACGACCATTAACATTAATTACTTATATGAAAGTTCACTGTAATTCCCACCTAAGGGCCTACCTCCACCTCTAACTCTCCACTCCCACCAATCGTCCACGACTTTAAAAGCTTCACTCCTACAGAAGACGTGCACTTGCTACCTGTGGTCGATGATTTGTGTCACCGTGCTGTACGCAAACTGAGTTGCCTTTTCCGAAAAATTCAAAGGGTCAAATTTTTGGTCGGGCTGGACCAAAATGGAAATCCAAAGCCAGGGAAGCAATGCCCAGTATCGCGAGAAAAAAAAGATGGACCAAGTAGTAACTCTTGGTGGGTTGAGCCACTCCTTTCCAATCTGAATACCATTTCCTCAAGAGGTAAAAACCTACGTGCTCTAGACCAAATTCAACATTGCGCTCAACAAAACCAAGTAAAACCTGGCCGGATATACAATCCGAGCACCAATTTCCCTCCACAAGGTCCTCGCCGCCCTGTCGGATGTCAGCTGCAGGTGTTTAAAAAAGGCTTGTTCACCATCGCCATTTTAATATATATGCCAAAAGACGACCAAAAAATGCAAATGGCTGTTGAAAAGTTATACAGAATAGCCCAACTCAGAAAAATATTGACTGAAGTTGCAATCTTTAAATGGATTAGTCGTGGAATTACTGAGGAGGTTAAAAAGTTAGATTATAAATTATTCACAAAGCCTTTAACCACAGTTGAGTTTGAGAATTCTATTGAAGAGCACAGATATGCAGCTAAAGTTGTAGCCAAACCAATTGTGATTGTAGAAGAAGTCGAAGAATTGACTCAAAGCCAAAAAGAAATCATGAAGAAAACTATATGCAATTTGGCAAGAATTTTCAGAGGAAATCTCCAAAAAGTTATCAATAGATGGAAAATAAACCATTATAAGAAAAATACTGCGATTGCTAGCTCCTCTGTTCTAGTAAACAAATTTGTATATTTTTTGAGCTTTATTTAAATGGCTGGTTTTGCATACATTGCAAAGAAATTTTAAATTTATTTTTTTTTTTTCATAAAGCTTTAGAAAAAAGGATGAAATTAACTGTTAAAGCATTTCTAGCTAAGAAGGCGATGAATTTTTCCCTAGTAGTATTTTTCTACATGAGGAGTAAGAGGAAGACAAAAGCTATTAAAGTCAGATCAGCTCCAAGAAATAGGCCAATATTCGAAATTTTAAATAAGCCTACAACTCAGCTTGAATTTATTGACCACTCAAAGAATATCAAAGATTTGCTTACAAACTTAACCCACGCAGTTAAATACAATTTGCTCAAATCTCTCAATACTTGGAAAAATGCAGCGCGACTCGCCAAAGCCGAGACTGAAATACAAATCTTTATTCCTATTAGCAAGCTTATAGTGATTCCAGAAATCCAATCAACCCCAACTCTTATTTCCTTAGAAATACAAAAGACTTCTATACTCGCCCTGCCAAGAGTTCTTCCAGAGCTTTCAACAGAGCAACAAATACACGATATGGAGAATAAATATAGACAAAAAGTCCAAATCACCTCACTATCAGCAATTCTTCCTCCACTTGTTGCACCTGAAATTTCTATTGAGTATAAAGCAAATAAAGTCCAATATTTCTCTTTGTCGAAAAAATCTATTGTGTACCCATTCTATCAAGACGAAACTACAAAGAAAATAGGAGCCATTGCAAGGCATTTTTCAGCAGTCTCACAAAAGAGAGAAGAGTTTGCGAAACTTGCTCTATTTAAATGGTTCTCAAATACTAGAGATAGTGATATTAAAGGAGTTTCTAGATCTATTTTCACAACGATTATTAAACCTTTGTCTATTATTCAGTGTTTGATTGATGAAAAACCTATTAGATACTCAGAAGCATTGATCAAAAAGCCAAGGATTGTTATTGAAGAAATGGATATCGTAAAGAAAAATTCGCATTTATTATCTGAAAAGCCAAAAGATGATCAAAAAATGCAAATGGCTGTAGATAAGCTATTTAGCATTGCAAAAGCAAGAAAACTGATGAGTGAAGTTGCAATATTTAAATGGATTAGTTGCGAAGTTTCTGAAAATAAAGAAAAATTGTATTATTGTCTCCTAACAAAACCAATAACTACGATAGAAAAAGAATCCTCTGTAAATTCATCTATAAATATAATTTTGTCAAAGCCAATTGTAATAATTGAGGAAATAGAAGAATTAAATGACAGCCAAAAAGAAATGATGAAGAAAACTATTTTGAACTTAGCCAGAATTTTCAGAGGCAATCTCCAAAAAGTTATAAATAAATGGAAAGTTAATCATCATAAGAAAAATACTGTAATTGCTAACTTATTACTATAAAAGTAATTCAAAAAATAAAATAATTATCAAATATTAAAAAAACAAAAAAATTTTTTTTATAAAATTTAGATCATGTGAGGTAAGAGAAAGACAAAAGCTGTCAAAGTAAGATCAGCACCTAGGAATCGACCTGTATTTACTGTATTAAGTAAACCAACAACTCAGCTTGAACTTATAGACCACTCAAAGACGATCAAAGATCTCCTTGTAAACATAACACACGCAGTCAAATATAACCTACTCAAATCTCTTAACTCGTGGAAAACGGCTGTGCAGCTAATAAAAGCAACAAAATCTGAAGCTAAAAAATCATTCAGCATTACTCAAAAGCTTTCAATTGCTCCAGAAATAATTTTCGAAGAGGCAAATCCCCAAGTCAAAGTCTTTTTCCCTGCCAAAAAACTTATTGTGACTCCACAAATCGAATCAATCCCTATCCTTATCTCATTAGAAATTCAAAAATCTTCCGTCTTAATTGCACCAAGAGTTTTGCCAGATTTCCTAACAGAACAAAAAATCCATGATATGGAAAATAAGCATAAGCAATCAGTCCAAGTAGTCTCGTTATCAGCAGTTCTTCCTCCTGTTGTTGTGCCTGAAATCCTATTAGAACCAGAAATCCAGCATTTTTCATTATCTAAGAAATCGATTGTGTTCCCACTCTATCAGGATGAAGCTATAAAGAAACTGGCTCCTTATCAAATGACCGTGTACTGCAGCATTTCTTCAGGAAATTCTGTCAAAATTGATCACGAATAAGAAACTTCGATCAGATTCCTTTGCTAAAATGCACTCTATCAAAAGTACACAATAATTGGGGGCCTTCACCCAAAAACTCGGTAGCCTCGCAAGACATCTTTCATTAATCTCACAAAAAAGAGAAGAGTTTGCAAAACTGGCTCTATTTAAATGGTTCTCAAGTATCCGTAGCAATGACATAAAAGGAACTTCCCGGTCTATTTTCTCAGTATCTTCAAAGCCTTTGTGTATAATTCAGCAAGCTACAGAGCCATCTTTAGTAAGCTTACTACCAACTCTAACGAACTTAAGCCATATTGCAAAATTCAGCTTATTTAAAGCATTTTCTTCATGGAAAAACTCAGAACCACTTAAGCCAGAAACTAAATTATCATTTACAATTCTATCAAAACTCTCAGTTATTCCTGAAATAGTATTTGAAGACAATAAATCCTACCAAAAACTGCATTTGAACGTCCTCAATAAAATCGCTAAATTAAGCTTGTTTAAAGCATTTGAGATCTGGAGACAAAGTATGGTAGAATTTGAAGAAATCGAAGAAATTGTGTCAACAACTAAAGCTTCACAAGAAAGAAAAGTATTTTTGCCTAAAGCCAAGGTCTTTGTTGTGCCTTGCTTAGATTTCGAGGCTTCGGTTATGATTAAAACATCACAGGCTATGAGCAAGCCAATAAGCCAGCCAGAGGTTGTAGATTTCTTAAGTAATTTCACGAAAGCTTGTTTAGGGAACTTGAAGCATGTGTCGAACATAAAATTAAGACAAGCCTTTAATAAGTGGAAAAATGAGACTGACTTAGAAAGTGATGAGTTTCTGTCTGCGGCTGCGAAAAAATGGGCATTAAAAGGAAAACCATCAGAGCCACAAAGCAAAGAAATGGAGACTATAGTTCATTTCTTAAATCAGACACAAGAAACTAGAAGCCAGCTACCTGAGCGTGCTCTATTTAAATGGATTGGCTATAAGCTTGCAGGTCTATCTGATCAGTTTACTTATAAATTGCAATATAAGCCTTTGGTCGCCTTAGAAATCGATTATGAATTTGAAAAGAAAATTAAAAAATATTCAGAAATTAGAAAGCCTTTAATAATGATAGAAGAAACTGACATAATCAAGAAAAATTCACAATTTTTGTCTGGAAAGCCAAGGTTTGATAATGAAAAAATGAGCATGGCTGTTGAAAAATTATTCAAAATAGCTCAGCTTAGAAAAATTTTTACTGAAGTTGCAATCTTTAAGTGGATTAATAGAGGGGTTACTGAAAAAGCCATTAGGCAGGATTATAAATTGTTCACAAAGCCTTTAACAGCTATTTATATTGAGAACTCAGTTGAGGAATTTAGACATTCAGAAAAAGTTTTAGCAAAGCCTATTGTAATTATTGAAGAAATCGAAGAATTGACTCAAAGCCAGAAAGAAATGATGAAGAAAACTATTTTGAACTTAGCCAGAATTTTCAGAGGCAATCTCCAAAAAGTTATAAATAGATGGAAAATTAATCACCACAAGAAAAATACGGCAATTGCTAATTATCCCTTTCAAGCGAGCAAGGGTTTTCAGCTCCCTCATGAATGAAACGATTATTTAAAATAAATTTTTTTTTTTTAAAAATCTCAATTTGAACAAAAATCTAATTTGTTTTATTTATGCTTAGAATTTAGCATTAAAGTTTTAATAGAATTAGCTAAAAAATATTATTATAAAATTATTAAATATAAATAAATAATTTTTGGTTCAGTTTAAAGATGATTTATTTTCACAAAAAAAACAATGGCTTCTCTTTGTTGTAATGCGTAGGATTAAGAGAAAGACAAAGGCAGTTAAAGTCAGATCAGCTCCAAGAAATAGGCCAGTATTCGAAATTTTAAATAAGCCTACAACTCAACTTGAATTTATTGACCACTCAAAGAATATCAAAGATTTGCTTACAAACTTAAACCATGCAGTTAAATACAATTTACTCAGATCTCTTAATTCTTGGAAGAATACTGCACAGCTAATATCAGCAACAAAAACTGAAGCTCAAGTCTCATTCAGTGTAATGCAAAAGATATCAATTGCCCCAGAAATCAAATACGAAGAAAATGTAGCAAAGAAGATGTGCATAAGAGCTTTAACTCCCCCTTTAAATTGGAAAAAAATTCTGTTCCAAATCAAAAGGGAATAATTTTTTTAAAAAAACATTTTATATTTTTAAAATTTTTAAAAAATTAAAAGAATATAAAATTTTATCCAATATTTTTGAATTTTAACTTATTTTTATAAAGAATGAATTAATTTTTATTTTTATAAAGAATTAATTTAAAAGATTAATCGATTCAGTGTTTAAATTGTTTAAATAATATTTTACTTGAACTTTAACGATAAATTAGGTCAAAACTAATTTTATAAAATTCATATTGTTTTTTCCTATTGAGATTTGAAGGGTTGTTAAAGTACCTGAAAAATGGAAATTTTAGCTATTTTTGTTCCAATTTAAAGGATGGGGGAGTAAACAAACTTGTTTTGCTTGGACTAAATAAAGCACTTGATACTTGGAAACAAAATTTAGCTAAAAATGAAGAATTAGCTGCAGAAATCAAAATATTTACACTTGCTAGCAAGCTTATAATGATTCCAGAAATCCAATCAGTCCCAACTCTTATTTCCTTGGAAATACAAAAGTCTTCAGCCCTTAGACCACAAATAGTTTTGCCAGAGTTTTTGACAGAGCAACAAATCTATAGCATAGGAAATAGACATAAGCAAAGAGATCAAACTATATCATTGTCCGTACTTCTTCCTCCAGTTTTATCTCCTGAGATTCTCGTTGAACATAAAATGCAGGATTTTCAATATTTCTCCTTGTCTAAATCAGCTCCAATTAATTGCAAACATTTTCTGTTATTTTTATTTATTTTCTAAAAATAATTGTTTTTCCTGAAATAAAAAATTATTTATAAATTTAATTTCAAAATACCATATAAATTTAATTTTTAAATTGCTCTTTAATTTAATGTTATTATTAAATTGGTGAGATTAACAAATCTATTGTGTTCCCATTCTATCAAGAAGAGACCACAAAGAAACTAGGAGCCATTGCAAGGCATCTTTCTGCAGTCTCACAAAAGAGAGAAGAGTTTGCGAAACTTGCTCTATTTAAATGGTTCTCAAATACTCATGAAAGCGATATTAAAGGGGTTTCTAGAACTATTTTCACTGCACTTATTAAACCTTTATCGATTATTCAGTGTGTATTTGACATAAAGCCGATTAGATACTCAGAAACAGTAATAAGAAAATCTAGGATTGTTATTGATTATATAAGCTTAAATTAGATTATAGGTCTCTGGAGATTATTTTGGCTCCTCGCTGCCCAAACTGGTTTCGGGCTCAAGGTTGCCCTAAGCGCTGGCGCCACACCATTTTCTTGTGGAAGTTCAACATCTCTAGAGGAGGCTCACCCCGCCATGCTCTGGCCAGCTGTGCGGTAAAGGACTCTCTTAGCCCTGCAGCGCTTAAGACATGGGAAAAACGCCCAATGCATCCATCTGAATATTTTGCCTTTATCAGGCATGAAATTGCTTCCCAGAAGTATGAGCCAATTTTACGCCTTCGATTTTTCGTTGTGGAACAAGTAAAAAAGCCTGCCATAGAGTTCCGAAAACTAAAAAGCAACCCTGAACTTCATAAAATTATGGAATTCACTTACCTGGCGCAGAGATTTACTCGCCAGTCGCCTGAATCCATACTCAACCGGTTATCTTTTAAAAAGCAGGATTGTTATTGAAGAAATGGATATAGTAAAGAAAAACTCTCATTTATTGTCTGAAAAGCCAAAAGATGACCAAAAAATGCAAATGGCTGTTGATAAGCTATTTAGCATTGCAAAAGTAAGAAAATTGATGAGTGAAGTTGCATTATTTAAATGGACTAGTTGCGAAGTTTCTGAAAACAGAGAAAAAGTGCATTATTGTCTACTAACAAAACCGCTAACGACAATAGAAAAAGAATCCTCTGTAAAATCATCTATAAATACAGCAAGCGCTTTGTCAAAACCAATTGTAATAATTGAGGAAGTAGAAGAATTAAGTGATAGCCAAAAAGAAAAGATGAAGAAAACTATTTTTAACTTAGCCAGAATTTTCAGAGGCAACCTCCAAAAAGTTATAAATAAATGGAAAATTAACCACCACAAGAAAAATACTGCAATTGCTAACTCTTTATTTTAGTGGGCGAGCAAAAAACCATTAAAAAATAGTCCAAGCCTCCTTAGGGCTCGAGCTATATTTTTCGAGAAAAACTCTTTAGCGACAATATAAATTGATTTTTACTTCCCAATTTTTTCAGAATGGATTTTTTAAACTTTTAAAAAAGTCAAAAAAAATGTCCCTCTCTTCGAAAGTGAGCAAAATATCTTTACTTGCTAATGGATGAGTGGGTTAAGAGGAAGACCAAAGCTGTAAAAGTAAGATCAGCTCCAAGAAATAGGCCTGTATTTGAATTGCTAACTCCCCCCCCCCTCCGTGAGCGAACAAAACCATTAGAAAAATCGCCATTTTTTGACCAAAAACCCACCCTCCGTGAGCGAACAAAAATTTTTTTAATAGAAAAAATTTTAATGGAAAAAAAATTTGATATATAAGTGATAATTAGTATAATGAAAATCTAGAGCTAATTCTGTTTAAATTTTAAACAAATTGCGTTTTAAAACATAAATTTTGCAAATTAAATTAATATTTGCTTCCCAATTTTTGCAAATTAGGATTTTTTTAAATTTCGAAAAAAATATTTTTTATAAAATTTATATATAAATTTTTTTTAAAAAAAAAAAATTAACCCCCCTCCGTGAGTGAACAAAATTTTTTTGTTCGCTCACGGAGGGGGGGGGGGAGTAAGTAAACCGACAACTCAGCTCGAATATATTGATCATTCAAAGACCATCAAAGATTTACTTACTAACTTAAATCACGCAGTAAAATACAATTTATTAAAATCTCTCAACTCCTGGAAAAATGCTGCACAATTAAAGAGAGCCGCGAAAACTGAATCCCAAAAGTCGTTTAGCATAGCTCAAAAGCTCTCAATTATTCCAGAAATTAAATACGAAGAAGAAAACATCGCAAAGAAAATGCATTTGAGAGCCCTAAATAGAATTGCGCTTTTCAGACTCTACAAAGCTTTTGATAGATGGACAAAAGAGCCAGTAGAGTTTGAAGAAGTCGAAGAAGTCACGACAACAGTCACCACCAAAACCAAATCTGCTCCAGACGCTCAAGTAATTTTTGCTGCTTTATCAAAAGTCCCTGTAATCCCAATTATCCAATATGAAAATAAAGCAGATATTTTAGCACAAAAACTTCATCTAAAAGCACTAAACAAAATCATTATGTTCAGCCTCTACAAAGCATTTGATGCATGGAAACAAAACTCTGTAGAATACGAAGAATTCGAAGAAGTTGTCACAGAAATCACCAAAATCAAAGCTTCTCCTGTATCAAGAAAAGTCTTTACCCCTGTCAGCAAGGTCATTGTGATTCCTTGCTTTGGTTTTGAAGCTAAAGAGCGCACATTGACTCTCCAAAGATTTTTAACCATGAGCAAGCCAATCCTTCTTCCAGAAATTGTAGATTTCTTAAGCACCTTCACAAAAGCCTGCTTAGGAAATTTGAAACATATGTCAAGAATTAAGCTTAGACAAGCTTTTAGCACCTGGAAAGAGGCCACTGACTTTGAAAACGATGAAATATTATCAGCAGCTGTCAAAAGAAGGTTCTTGAAAGGAAAACCATCTAAGCCTAGAAGCCAAAAAATGGACTCTATAGTCAATTATCTATTCCAAATACAAGAAACACGAAGCCAATTACTTAATCGTGCTTTATTTAAGTGGCTCGGCTATAAAGCTGCAGATCTGTCTAATCAATTTACCTATATACCTCTATTAAAGCCATTTATTACCCCTGAAATTGATTATTCAATTGATGTAAAAGCAATAAAATACTCAGAAATGATACTTAGGAAGCCAAGAGTCATGATTGAAGAAATGGACGAAATAAAGAAGCATAGACATTTATTGTATGAAGAACCAAAATCTGATGACGATAAAATGAAGATGGCTGTAGATAAATTATATAGAATTGCAAATGCAAGAAAATTGATGAGCGAAGTCGCTATATTTAAATGGATTAGTTATGGAGTTTCTGAAGACAGGATTAAGATGAGCTATAAATTGTTTACTAAGCCTTTGACTACAATTGAAATGGAACACTCTGTAAAAGCTGAAATAAGTACAGAAAAAATTCTTTTAAAGCCTATTGCAATGATTGAGGAAGTGGAAGAATTGAGTAGCGGCCAAAAAGAAATCATGAAGAAGACTGTATTGAGTTTGGCGAGAATTTTCAGAGGAAATCTTCAAAAAGTTATTAATAGATGGAAAATTAATCACCATAAGAAAAATACTGCAATTGCTAACCCCGGCTCTGGCTTTGGATAGGGCTCTAATGATAGGCATCAGGACAGTCTAAGCAAAATTAAAAATTCCAATTCGTAAAAATTGAAAATAAAAACTTATTACAATTGTAAATTATTGTTTTAGAAATGTAAGCTAAAATTTAATAGAATAATAGATATTTTATTATAAAAATTGCCAAAATTTTTCTCCAGTATTATATATTTTTCGAATGGTTCTGCTTGTTTTAAAATGAGGGAAGTAAGAGAAAGACCAAAGCTGTAAAAGTAAGATCAGCTCCAAGAAATAGGCCTGTATTTGAATTGCTAAGTAAACCGACAACTCAGCTCGAATATATTGATCATTCAAAGACCATCAAAGATTTACTTACTAACTTAAATCACGCAGTAAAATACAACTTATTAAGATTTCTCAACTCCTGGAAAAGTGCTGCACAATTAAAGAAAGCCGCGAAAACTGAAGCCCAAAAGTCGTTTAGCATAGCTCAAAAGCTCTCAATTATTCCAGAAATTAAATACGAAGAAGAAAGCATCGCAAAGAAAATGCATTTGAGAGCTCTAAATAGAATTGCGCTTTTCAGACTCTACAAAGCTTTTGATAGATGGACAAAAGAGCCAGTAGAGTTTGAAGAAGTCGAAGAAGTCACGACAACAGTCACCACCAAAACCAAATCTGCTCCAGACGCTCAAGTAATTTTTGCTGCTTTATCAAAAGTCCCTGTAATCCCAATTATCCAATATGAAAATAAAGCAGATATTTTAGCACAAAAACTTCACCTAAAAGCACTCAATAAAATCATTATGTTCAGCCTCTACAAGGCATTTGACGCATGGAAACAAAACTCTGTAGAATACGAAGAATTCGAAGAAGTTGTCACAGAAATTACCAAAATCAAAGCATCCCCTGTATCAAGAAAAGTCTTTACCCCTGCTAGCAAGCTTCTCATTACTCCTGAAATTGATTATTCAATTGATGTAAAAGCAATAAAATACTCAGAAATGATACTTAGGAAGCCAAGAGTCATGATTGAAGAAATGGACGAAATAAAGAAACATAAGCATTTGCTGTCTATAGAACCAAAACCTGATGATGATAAAATGAAGATGGCTGTAGACAAATTATATAGAATTGCAAATGCAAGAAAACTGATGAGTGAACTTGCAATCTTTAAATGGATTAGTTGTGGAGTTTCTGAAAAGAGTGCTAAGGAGAGCTATAAATTGTTCACAAAACCTTTAACAATAATTGAAGTAGAAAATTATGTTGAGGAATCAAGATATGCAGAAAAAATTTTAATTAAGCCTATAGTAATGATTGAGGATGTAGAAGAATTGAGTAGCGGCCAAAAAGAAATCATGAAGAAGACTGTATTGAGTTTGGCGAGAATTTTCAGAGGAAATCTTCAAAAAGTTATTAATAGATGGAAAATTAATCATCATAAGAAAAATACTGCAATTGCTAAGAGAAAGACCAAGGCTGTAAAAGTAAGATCAGCTCCAAGAAATAGGCCTGTATTCACATTGCTAAGTAAACCAACAACTCAGCTCGAATTTAATGACCACATAAAGACCATCAAAGATCTAATAGCAAACTTAAATCACACAATTAAATATAATGCATTCAAATCATTCAACACTTGGAAAAATGCTGTACAGCCAATTATCTCTACAAAAACTGAAGCCCAAGTCTCATTCAATGCTATTCAAAAAGTATCAATTGCTCCAGAAATTAAATACGAAGAAGAAAACCTCACAAAGAAAATGCATTTGAGAGCCCTAAATAGAATTGTGCTTTTCAGACTCTACAAAGCTTTTGAGAGATGGACAAAAGAGCCAGTAGAGTTTGAAGAAGTCGAAGAAGTCACGACAACAGTCACCACCAAAACCAAATCTGCCCCAGATACTCAAGTAATTTTTGCTGCTTTATCTAAAGTCCCTGTAATCCCAATTATCCAATATGAAAATAAAGCAGATATTTTAGCACAAAAACTTCATCTAAAAGCACTAACTCCCCCCCCCCCCTCCGTGAGCGAACAAAAAAATTTTGTTCGCTCACGGAGGGGGGTTATTTTTTTTTTTTAAAAAAAATTTATATATAAATTTTATAAAAAATATTTTTTTCGAAATTTAAAAAAATCCTAATTTGCAAAAATTGGGAAGCAAATATTAATTTAATTTGCAAATTTATGTTTTAAAACGCAATTTGTTTAAAATTAAACAGAATTAGCTCTAGATTTCATTATACTAATTATCACTTATATATCAAAATTTTTTTCCATTAAAATTTTTTCTATTAAAAAAATTTTTGTTCACTCACGGAGGGTGGGGTTTTTGGTCAAAAAATGGCGATTTTTCTAATGGTTTTGTTCGCTCACGGGGGGGGGGGGGGAGTAAACAAAATCATTATGTTCAGCCTCTACAAAGCATTTGATGCATGGAAACAAAACTCTGTGGAATACGAAGAATTCGAAGAAGTAGTCACAGAAATCACCAAAATCAAAGCTTCTCCTGTATCAAGAAAAGTCTTTACCCCTATCAGCAAAGTTGTTGTAATTCCTGAAATCCAAACCCTATACAAAACCAGCTTCAAATTCTTTGAAATTTCCAATGAATTAAATATTAAGCCTTACTACGAAGACGAAGTGAAAACCCAAGAAATTTCATCAGATAAGCTCAGCATTATAAGTCCTCCTATAACGATTCCAGAATTCCTTATAGAAGCTGAAGAGCCTGAAGTTCAATATTTCGGCTGCGAACAAAAAGCTGTTACACTTCCAATTTATAAATCTTCAGAAAAGCATATAAAAACAAAATTCCAAGTATTTGATTTATTAAGTAAAGCAGATGTCCAGCCATGCTTCTCCAGTGAAATAATTACTATAATTGAAAGAAAAACAGTGCTTAGATTACTAATAGCCCCTATAATAGCTCCTGAGCTGCATGATGAACGCCAGAAGAAACATAAGTCGGTTGACTCAGAGTCAATAGTGCTTTCTGTAACTTCAAAACCAATTGCGGCACCAGAAATGGTAGAATACTCAAGAAGAAAGAGGAGAAGGACCTTCATGACTGAAAGTCCTAAAGAGGAGATGTCAGATGGGTGTTTACTTTTTGAAAGAAAAGGTTTTTCTCATTCAAAGGTCCTCAGGAAATTTGTTCAAGATTTTTAAAGGGTGGAATTTCTTCTAAAATTTACAATTTTTCTGAGCACTGGCAAACTATCAAAAAATTACCCTAGGAACTATCTATCATAAAATCGAAACTTTCCGATTAAAATAATATGTAGCCTGTCAGATGACAGCTATGAAGAAGAAATAGTGACTGAAATCACTTTTGTGAAGGTCACTCCATCTGAGATAGAAAGAACTGTGGTTTACCTTCAACAAAAAGTGCTAGTTCCTGCTGTGGTTGTTAATGATGTAGAAGTCATTGAGATTCAAGAAATGCAAAGCGCTTCAATCCAGCCTAAAGCAAAAGCCAAGGTAAGATCTGCTAAAAAAGCAAAAGCGCACTTGAATAATCTGGATCATATCGTCAAAAGATGGATTGCAAGAGCATTTTACAGTTGGAGAATAGAAGATCCTGAAGCAATAGAAAGAAGACTGGTTCAATCAAAGAAACTGACAAAGGAAACAGAGGTACTTAGAAAGGTTTATTGTCTAGAAACCAAATGTGTTGTTCCGATATCTCAGGCAGAAGACACTGAAATAATATAGATTAGATTGATTACTCGGGCTTATTTAAATACCTATCCTTCTCTGGTTAGTTTTGAGCGTTGGTGGCATCAAGCACTAACTCGTTTAGACACCAAAAAAAGGTGACGTCAGACAGTCTGTCGGGTAGGCTTACCCATCAGGTCTTGATTATTTACCAATGGTTAAGGCCTCCTATTATCAGTAAGACTTGACGTATTGTTTGATTGCTCGAAATCTCCTTCTTGGTCAATCTTCCCTACCGCAGGCTAAAGATTGTTTCCCAAGAAGCATTAAAGAATATTGCGCCTTGATTTTTTGGTTGTGGGTGAGGAAAAAGTTTTAACACCAAAAATAACCCTCGGCCAGGATCAATTTACAGGAAAGCGAGGACCTAATTACTCGCCTTTTTAATAATTCTTAAATAATAGAAGAGCTTGAAATACAAAGCACTTCAATCAAAGCTAAGCCTAAGAGGGCCAAAGTCAGATCCGCAAAGCCACATCTCAAGAATCTCGACCATATTCTCAAGAAAATCTTGTCATTAGCTTTCAATCACTGGAAATACGCCAAGAAAGACCCATCAAACGCCTATCTTCATGATATAAATACTACAAGAACTGAATTTTTCTTGTCAAGCAAACCAATTACTTCTATTGAAATCACTTATGAAGATGTAATAATCATGAAAAAGACAAGTGCAATCAGACCTAAAAAGAAAATTCAAGCCAAGCCTAGGAAGCAAAAGAGCCATTTACTAAATTTAATCCATATCGTCAAGGACAGAGTATCTCAAGCATTTAATAAATGGAGCAGAGAAGTGAAGCACCCAGTTGCAAAGCTTGATCAGAAATCAACCAATCTCTCTTAATCTTCTCATTTAAATATTAAATCTCCTTGTAGTCCTGCAGAACTATTTTTAAATAAATTTTGTGTATAATTATTATAATAAAAGTTTTAGCTAAAAAAATTTGTATTATAAAGCTTTTATTTATAAATTAATGAGCAATATTTTATCGATTTTTTGCTAATTTTTAAAAAATAATAGGCAACTTCTATTTATTTTTTTTTTAAAAAGCAGCTTGAGATGAGGATTTAGAAAGAAAAGAATATAAACTTGCATCCAAAGTTGCTATTCCTATTGTATTTGCTGAAGAAACTGTCATCGAAATTGAAGAATTCCAAGTCCAAACTGCCTCAATTCAAGCAAGGCCTAAACAAACTAAAGTAAGGTCAGCCAAGAAAGCTAAGCCTCACCTTAAGAATTTGGATCATATCGTTAAAAAAGTGCTTCTCATTGCTTTTAATGCTTGGAAAAACATTTCTGTTATCAAAGAAACAGATATTTTAAGAAAGGAAATCAGCCTCGTCACCAAGCCGTTGACCTCTATTGAAATCTTCTCTGAAGAGTTGTTTAGCAAGAAGACTCTTGGAATTAAAAAACCTCAAAAGAAAGCCCAGCCTCCTGCAAAGAAGCAAAAGAATCAATTTGTGATACTAAATCATATAGCGAAAAATTTGCTATCCAAGCCATTTAACAAATGGAGACTATTTAGCTTGCTTAAACATGAGAAAATTACTCAACAGTTTATTAAATACTCTCCAATAGCATTGCCAATAATTCCGATAGAAGTAATTGATGAAACAAGAGAGTCCCACTTTAGAGAAGCTATTTCAGTAGCGCACTATCCAAGAGTACTACCAGAATTAATGACTATGAGAAGTCCTTCTCATTATGTCCAAAGAGAATTGACGATAATTGAAGTAACTGAGACTTTTGACTATTCTCTAACTCTTGAGTCCTTGCATAAGCCACTCACAATGATCACTAATCAAACAAAAGAATTAAAAGCTTTAGCATTGCCTTTACAAGTAGCTGAAAAAGCCAAACTAAGCGAAGCCAAAGAATATATGAGCGAAGAGTCTTTATCATTTTTAGTTTTTACAAAGCCTGTTTTAGTTCCTGAAGCAACAGATTCTTCTAGAAGAAAGAAAAAACAAAGATTAGGAGAAGTTGATAATGAAGACCAATACTTATCAGAGGAAATCGAGGAAGAAGCAGAAATCATTGAAAGGGTCATAATTCGCCCTCAACAAAAAGTGCTAGTTCCTGCTGTGGTTGTTAATGATGTAGAAGTCATTGAGATTCAAGAAATGCAAAGCGCTTCAATCCAGCCTAAAGCAAAAGCCAAGGTAAGATCTGCTAAAAAAGCAAAAGCGCACTTGAATAATCTGGATCATATCGTCAAAAGATGGATTGCAAGAGCATTTTACAGTTGGAGAATAGAAGATCCTGAAGCAATAGAAAGAAGACTGGTTCAATCAAAGAAACTGACAAAGGAAACAGAGGTACTTAGAAAGGTTTATTGTCTAGAAACCAAATGTGTTGTTCCGATATATCTGACAGAAGACGCTGAAATAATAGAAGAGCTTGAAATTCAAAGCACTTCGATCAAGGCCAAGCCTAAGAAGTCTAAAGTCAGATCCGCAAAGCCACATCTCAAGAATCTCGACCACATTCTCAAGAAAATCTTGCTATTATCCTTTAGCCAATGGAAAAACATAAGAAAAGAGCCATTAATAGTCAGAAAAGAGCTGAAATTAATCAGCAAGCCTATAATTTCAATTGAAAAATTATCCACCACACCTCTTCAATCTATCAGTACTAGCATCTACACTATTGCCTCTAAAGCTGTTATTCCTGCTGTATTTATTGAAGAAACCATTATAATTGAAGAATTTGAGGTCCAAAGCACTTCTCTCCAAGTCAAGCCGAAGCAAGCTAAAGTAAGGTCTGCCAAAAACGCAAAGCCACACCTTAAGAACCTGGATCATATCCTCAAAAGGATTTTAATGCAAGCTCTCAATGTCTGGAAAAATGCATATAGGCTTCCGCTTATTAAAGAAACTGAAATTAATACTTATTCTCTGGAGAAATATCCAATTGTCCCTATTGAAATGAAGGAAGAAGATGGAAAGCAAACTTATAAGAAGCCTCTAGCAATTGAAGTGTATCCAAGAGTGCTACCAGAGATGATAACTATGAGAAGCCCATCTCATTATATCCAAAGAGAAACGTCTATAATTGAAGTTAGCGACACATTTGACTATTCTATAACTCATTGCCAGAATTATAATGAATAAATCTGAAGCATTTTATTGGTAGTGAATAAATTTATTATAAAAATAATTAAGGATATAAATTAAAAATGCGGATTTTAATAGAGCCTACTAGCATTTGGAATATTTTTTAAGGATTTTTAAATAAAATATATGTTAAAATACCCTTAACCTAAAATTTTCACTATAAATTATATTAAATCTCGTTTAAAAAAAATAGTTTTTGTCTTAAAAATATGAAAAATATTGGTATTAATAGTAGTGAGTAAGCCATAAGTCTTTATATAAACCAGTCACAATAATTACAAGCCAAGCTAAAGAATCCAATAAGCCAGCTTTATCTTTAGACACTGCTGAAAAAGAAGCCACATCTACTACGAAATTCTATACCTTTGAAAAAGCACATAAAGTTTCAGTGAAGCCATATTACCAGCTTGAAGAAATCCAAGGACTTTCTGCAGATTCTTCAGCTTTCTTAATACAAGCAAAACCTGTTTTGGTGCCTGAGACTATAGAGTCTTCAAGAAGAAACAGAAAGCAAGGAATTGAACTCTCTGAGGATGAGGACTTATCAGAAACTGTAAAAGAAACAATTTCAACAGAAAGCTTTGTATTAATTCCTCAACAGAAACTTCTGATTCCTGCTGCTTTGGTTAGTGAAACTATTGAAATTGAAGAGCTTGAAATCCAGAGCACTTCAATTAAAGCGAAGCCTAACTCCCATTGAGATAACAAATTATTACCCAATAAGAAGAATTTTTTTTATATTATGTTTTGATTATTATATTAATTTTGACAAGTCTTTAAAAATAAAATTTTAGCTATCAAGGAGATAAGAAAACTAAAGTGAGATCAGCAAAGCCACATTTGAACAACCTTGACCATATCCTCAAAAAAGTTTTGCTTATAGCATTTGGCCAGTGGAAAAACATTAAGAAAGAGCTTTCAGTTGAAAGAAAAGAGATAAAATTGATTAGCAAGCCTATAGTGTCAATAGAGAAACTTATTAGTACATATCAGTCAGCACAATCTAGAGAAACAACAATATACCATATGGAATCAAAAGTAGCTGTTCCTATTGCATTCATTGAAGAAGCAGCTTTCGATATTGCTTTTGGCCAATGGAAAAACATAAAGAGTGAATCCTTACTCCCAAGACGGGAAAAAGAGATTTTTTGCTCATTTAACGGGGGAATTTATTTATTTTTTCTTCTTATATATTAAAAGATTAATTTAAAAATTTTTTTTAGAATGTGAATTTTAATAGAGATTATTTTACTATATAAATATATAATATAAAAATCTTTTGCTTTTTAATAGAGGGCCAAAATAATTGTTTTCAATAAAATTATGCTTATTAAGAAGAGAGGGAGTTAGTAGAAAGAAAAGAGCTAAGATTAGTCAGTAAGCCAATAATTTCAATAGAAAAGTTATCAATCGCACACCAGCCTGCTCAACTATTAGAAACAGAAGTTTACCATATTGACTCCAAAGTATCTGTTCCTATTGTATTTGTTGAAGAAACAGTCATCGAAATTGAAGAACTCCAAATCCAAAGCACCTCAGCACTATCAAGACCTAAAAAATCTAAAGTTAGGTCAGCTAAGAAAGCTAAGCCTCACCTGAAAAACCTTGACCACATTCTTAAAAAAGCTTTAATATTACCTTTCAATTTATGGAAAAACGCAAATAAGCACCCTCTGACTAAAGAAACTGATATAGTTAGAACTGAAATTTATCTAGTCACTAAGCCTTTAACATCAATTGAAATAATTTCTGATGAAACAATCATTTCTAAAAAGACTGCTGGAATTAAGAAGCCTCAAAAGAAACAAGCTGCACCTGTAAATAAGCAAAAGAATCAATTTGTGATACTGAACTATATAGCTAAAAGTATAGTGTCAAAGCCTTTCCATAAATGGAGATTGCTAAGCTCAATAAAACAAGAAAAAGAATTGGTTATAAGTCAGCAGATTGTTAAATACTCCCCAGTAACTTATCCAATCATACCTATTGAGACTGCTGTTGAAGATCTTCAAATTAAATCAGATCATAAGAAATCATTATCAGTTGAAGTCTTCCCGAGAGTGCTTCCAGAGCTAATGACTTTGAGAAGGCCATCTCGTTATATGCAAAGAGAAGTTTCAGTAATTGAGGTGAGCGAAACATTTGACTATTCGCTTAGTCTTGAATCCTTACATAAGCCACTCACAATGATTACAAACCAAACTAAACAATCTTCAGAAGCCTCTGAAAAATCCACCATCAGCGATACTAAAGCTAAAACTGCTCCAGCAAAAGTTTCCCCAACTAAATACAGCTTCTTCACAAGTCTATATAAGCCTATTTTAAAGCCTAAGTTCCAAGATAAATCTAGAAAAATCACTTATCAGGTAGAAAACAAGATTAGCATTTCTCCTGAATTTGTAATAGAAATTGATAATAAATCCAAGCATTATGATGGAAAATTGACAAGACAGTATGCATGTGAATCAAAGCCTTTGATAATCCTTGAATATTTTGATGATGAAAGGATCATATTCAAGCTCAGAGAAGACCCAGTTATCAAGGACATTTTAAGCACTTCTACAATGCAGGTGCATTATCAGCAAAAACCTGAGCCTTATTTCTCCTCAATTGATAAGACTACTAGTGTGTCTCTTATGAAGAAACCAGTTACTATTCTAGACAGCACAATTGATTTGGCTAAGGCAGAACGAGTCTACCAATGCTCTTTGACGACCTATCCAAAGGTGTATTTAGAGTCTATTAATGCAATTAAGCCTACAAGATACCTTCAAAGAGAAATTTCAGTTATAGAAATCCATGAAGAAATTGAAAACAAGTTCCAGCTTTCTGCAATTTCTAAGCCAATAACTATAATTTATAATGAGTCAAATCTTCAGGGCTCTTCATCTTCGCAGTCATCTTCTGAAGAAATCCCTGAAGAAGTATTCGGAGCAGTTTCATTCCAAATTGAAGAAAAGTCTACCAAGCTGCAGTCAGAAGTCCCTGAAAACAAAAAGCCATCTGCATTATCATATACAGTCCAGCCTTTACTTCTCATTCCGTTAGAAATCCACTATGAGAAGCCAAATATTGAAGAGGAAGAAGTCATTATTTCTCCTGATATATTTTTCTTTAACCCAATTATTGACGATTCACAAGAAGAAGTATATACGTTGGCTACTAAGGTTGTTACAATCGCAGAATTCCATGAAGAAAAGACGATTGTAAAACAAGCTGAAAGTAAAGGAGACGAAGCAAAAGATATGAGATATTATGAAATTAAACCATTGCAAAAGCCTGTTGTTATTATAGAAAACATCTTTACAATTACACCTAACGCTCTATTGCATAAAGATGAATCATATTGCTCGCTCTTAATTGTAATTGTAGATAATTCTAAAATTTTAATTTTAAGAAATTTTTTTAGGTCAATTAATATTCAAATTACATTTTTTATCGAAAAAAGCAAAGAAATATAAATTTTAATAAAATTCTAACTCCCCCTTGAGCGAAGTTTTTTTGCTCTCTAATGGAGGGTGCTAGATTTTCTTTTTTTAAATTTTATATTAAATAATTATATATATAAAATAAATTTTTCTATTTAAATCCAAATTTGTAAATACTTAAAACGAAAAATCTAATTAAATTTATAAAAAATAAAGCCCTTAAAGAGCTAGCAGAAAATCTTTCTCGCTCTTAAAGGGGGAGTAAGAATTAACATATTATGTTTGCACATAAAGTTTCCAATATATTATATAGATGGCTCTCCATCATATGAAAAATAATAAAATAAAATACTTAATAAAAACTTGGAGGATTAAGAGACTTTTACACAGAGAATTTTCAATAATAGAAATTCAAGAAGAAATCGATAGCAAATTCTCACTTCAAGCAATTGTTAAGCCTATTTCTATTCTTGAAAGTAGCCTCTCAATTAAGACTCTAAAATACGAGCCAAATATTCCTGGAACTCACCAGGCTCAAAATGAATCAAATCTGCCTGAAATATCTAAAGAATCGTCACAAAAATTAGTAGTAATTCTTCTACAAAAACCAGTTATTGTTGCTGAAAGTTATATGAGTATTCATGACAGTTCTACTTTATTGTCAGGATTACAAAGAAATCCTCTTGAGACTGAGCCTCACCCTGAAGACCTACAAGGCTCCAGCTCTATAAGCTCATCTGGCCTGAAAATCGAAAAAGCTACATTTTCAATCAGCTGCAAAGGCCAAGTTTTCCCTGGATTCAAAGCAGGCTCTTCATTACAAAAATCCATCAAAATATCAACTCAAACTTATTCTGGAATTTCAAAGCCTCATATACAAATAGAATCATTTAGTGAAGAACAAATAAGAAACTACATCATAAATAAGCACAAATTTGTTACTCAAAAGAGCCAGCAAGAAATTTCTTACTCTCACTCAGCGATTTCAAGGCCACAAATATTACTTGAAACACTTTATAAAGAGAAATCAAGAAAATCGAAAGCTAGCTACAGAGATCAGCAAGAATCAGAAATTGTTGAAGCAGCAAAGGTATCATTTGCAATGAGCAGCAAAGTCCAAATCCTTCCTGAACTTTTAATCGAAAAATCTCTTGCTCAAAAATCTGAAGCTTCATCAGTTCATTCAGCTATTTTCAGACCTCAAATATCAGTTGAAAAACTTTATAAGTCTGAAGCTAAAAAGCAACCAAAATACATAATTTCTGAGCCTGGAACAATATCGAAAGAAGAATCGTCAGAAGCCTTCTCAATCATTTGCAGACCTGTCGTTCCAGTAGAGAAAATAACTGAAATTATGATACAAGAGGATATCGATAATATTTTTGTAGTAAAATACTCTATTATGCCAAAACCTCGAATTCCGATTGAAAAATATGAAGAGGATGAAATAAGAAGCTGGGTAATAAACAGAGACAGCCATTCTGAAAGCAAGCCAATTAGACAAGAAATCCCACTCTCAGCCTTTTCAAGTATATCTAGACCTGTCGTACCTATTGAAATGCTTAGTAAGGAAAAAATAAGAAGGCACCTTAAAGAAATTGCTGACACTGCTCAATACCAAGAATCATCAGTTGTTTATTCAGCGATTTCAAGGCCACAGATAGCTATTGAAAAACTATATGAAGAAGTTACAAGAAAACGGAAGGTTAATAAAGTTTATATTGATTACTCTGAAAAAAGCAAAATAAAAGAAATTGTTCTTGGGTCTAAGCCGATCTCTATTGTCGAACAACATTCTCACCTAAGAGAAAAAGTGCCTTTTGTGACTGCTGAACATATTTTAACTCCTCTTTTAAAGCCGCTTATAGTCTGTGAAGAAATATCTGCTCATCAAGCTAAAATTATTCTTGGAGCACAAAGTGCAATATCAGCAAGCCCAGATTCAGAGATACTTAAATTGCAAGCTTTCTTTAAGCCTAATATATCAATGCAAACTATTTATAAAAAGCCTATTGAAATAGTCGAAGCTACAGAGAGCCAATCCTCTTCAGAAGAAATCCCTGAAGAAGAATTCGGAGCAGTTTCATTCCAAATTGAAGAAAAGTCCACCAAACTACAGTCAGAAGTTCCTGAAAACAAAAAGCCATCTGCATTATCGTATACTTACACTTAATTAACTTATATAAAACCCGCCGTAATTCCCGAAAGACTACCTCCATCCATGATGCTCAACCAATCGTAGCACGACCTTCAAATCTTCGTTTTTATAGATTAGGATTAGTATTATCTATTTGTAGTTGGATGAGTTACGCTACCTTGCAGTACGTCAACAGAGGTTTCTCTTTCCGAAATTTTAAAAACAAATTTTCTGATCAAGCTGTCGGCTAAAATGGAAATCCAAAGCCTGGGACGCAATACCCAGTATTGTGCTGAGAAATGCCCAATGGACTGTTTAGTAGCCCACAATGTTGCTGAGCCACCCCTTTCCAACTCTTGATCTGGAAAGACTTCAGTCAACCTAATTCGACATTGCGCTGCACCAAAACAAGTAAAGCCTAGCTGGATATACTTATTGAGCGCCAATTTCCTTTCAATAAGGGCAGCGCGACTTTTCGGTTCTACAGCTGCAGGTGCTGAGACAAAGGGCGGGTTCACTCTCTCCATTTTAATGTATATGCATTATCATATACAGTCCAGCCTTTACTTCTCATTCCGTTAGAAATCCACTATGAGAAGCCAAATATTGAAGAGGAAGAAGTCATTATTTCTCCTGATGTATTTTTCTTTAACCCAATTATTGATGATTCACAAGAAGAAGTATATACAATGGCTACTAAGGTTGCTACAATGGTAGAATTCCATGAAGAAAAGGCGATTGTAAAGCAAGCTGAAAGTAAAGGAGATGAAGCAAAAGATATAAAATATTATGAAATTAAACCAATGCAAAAGCCTGTTATCAGTATAGAAAGTGTGGTTACAGTTACTCCAAAAAGACTTTTACAGAGAGAAATTTCAATTATAGAAATTAGAGAAAATATCGAGAATAAGTTCTCACTTCAAGCAATTGTGAAGCCAATTTCTATCCTTGAAGCTAGCCTTTCTGCTAATTCCTCTGCTTTATGAGAGAAAATTGATATGATTTTACGTTTGTAAATGATTTTTTACTTGAATTATCAAAGTTTATCTTTTGCAATCTCAAGCTAATCTTATAAATTTAGTCTCCTTGAATTCGAAAAAAATCAAAATCATTCAGATTTTTATTAAAATCTAAAATATAAAAACGATGCAGTGGGAAAATATATTTTGTGCACTGGAGAAGATGTAAGAATATTGACATTTCTGAAAAAGATAAACAAATTCTCCCTGGAGCTCACCAGACTAAAGATAAATCAAATCTGCCTGAAATCTATAAAGAATCGTCTCAAAAATTAGTAGTAATTCCTTTACAAAAACCAGTTATTGTTGCTGAAAGTTACATTAGCAGGCATGATATTTCTGCTTCGTTTTTATCAGAACCCCAAAGAAATCCTCTTGAGACTGAGCCATATATCAAAAATATTTTTGCATTAAAATACTCTATTATGTCAAAACCTCGAATTTCGATTGAAATATATAAAGAAAATGAAATAAGAAATTGGGTAATAAACAGAGACAGCCATTCTGAAAGCAAGCCAATTAGACAAGAAATCCCACTATCAGCCTTTTCAAGTATATCTAGACCTATCGTACCTATTGAAATGCTTACTCCCCCCTTATGAGCGAGCAAAACCATTAGAAAAATCCCTATATTTTGTCTAAGAGCCCACCCTCTATGAGCTAACAAAAATATTTTATGAAAAAAAAAATTTAATATATAAATGATAATTGATATAATAAAATCTAGCTAATTCTGTTTAATTATAAACAAATTGGGTTTTAAAACATAAATTTTACTAGTTAAATTAATATTTGTTTCAAATTTTTGCAAATTTGGATTTTTTAAAATTATAATAAAAGATTTTTTTATAAAATTTATATATAATTAGTTGATTAAATTTCTGATCGGCTCCCACGAGCCTAAGATAGATTTCACGAGTGAAAATCCATAAATTCCGCTCGGAAACCCAATATTGGCTCGTAGGAGTCGGTCAGAAATTAAGCCAAGATATTATATAGTTTTTAAAAAATTGGCCCTATCATGAGTGAATAAAATTTTTTTATTCGCTCATGGAGGGTGGGTGGGTTAGTAAAGAAAAAATAAGAAGGCACATTAAAGAAATTACTGATACTGCTCAATACCAAGAATCATCAGTTGTTTATTCAGCGATTTCAAGGCCACAGATAGCTATTGAAAAACTATATGAAGAAGTTACCAAAAGACGCAAGGTTAATAAAGTTTATATTGATTACGCTGAAAAAGGTAAAATACAAGAGATTGTTATTCTGTCTAAGCCGATCACTATTGTTGAACAACATTCTCACCTAAGAGAAAAAGTGCCTTTTGTGACTGCTGAACATATTTTAACTCCTCTTTTAAAGCCGCTTATAGTCTGTGAAGAAATATCTGCTCATCAAGCTAAAATTATTCTTGGAGCACAAAGTGCAATATCAGCAAGCCCAGATTCAGAGATACTTAAATTGCAAGCTTTCTTTAAGCCTAATATATCAATGCAAACTATTTATAAAAAGCCTATTGAAATAGTCGAAGCTACAGAGAGCCAATCCTCTTCAGAAGAAATCCCTGAAGAAGAATTCGGAGCAGTTTCATTCCAAATTGAAGAAAAGTCCACCAAACTACAGTCAGAAGTTCCTGAAAACAAAAAGCCATCTGCATTATCATATACAGTCCAGCCTTTACTTCTCATTCCGTTAGAAATCCACTATGAGAAGCCAAATATTGAAGAGGAAGAAGTCATTATTTCTCCTGATGTATTTTTCTTTAACCCAATTATTGACGATTCACAAGAAGAAGTATATACAATGGCTACTAAGGTTGTTACAATCGCAGAATTCCATGAAGAAAAGGCGATTGTAAAGCAAGCTGAAAGTAAAGGAGATGAAGCAAAAGATATAAAATATTATGAAATTAAACCAATGCAAAAGCCTGTTATCAGTATAGAAAGTGTGGTTACAGTTACTCCAAAAAGACTTTTACAGAGAGAAATTTCAATTATAGAAATTAGAGAAAATATCGAGAATAAGTTCTCACTTCAAGCAATTGTGAAGCCAATTTCTATCCTTGAAGCTAGCCTTTCTGCTAATTCCTCTGCTTTATGAGAGAAAATTGATATGATTTTACGTTTGTAAATAATTTTTACTTTGAATTTTCAAAGTTTATCTTTTATAATCTCAAGCTAATTCTATTAGATTTAGTCACCTCAAATTCAAAACAAATTATCATCATTCTCAATATATCAGATTTTCATTTATATCTAAAATATATAAACGATGTAGTGGTAAAAAAAACTCTCGTGCACTGGAAAAGGTGTAAGAATAGTGAAACTTCTGAAAAAGATAAGCAAATTCTCGCTGGAGCTCACCAGACTAAAGATAAATCAAATCTGCCTGAAATATCTAAAGAATCGTCTCAAAAATTAGTAGTAATTCCTTTACAAAAACCAGTTATTGTTGCTGAAAGTTATATTCACAGCCATGATAGTTCTGCTTTATTGACAGGATCACAAAGAAATCCTCTTGAGACTGAGCCTCACCCTGAAGACCTACAAGGCTCCAGCTCTATAAGCTCTTCTGGCCTTAAAATCGAAAAAGCTACATTTTCAATCAGCTGCAAAGGCCAAGTTTTCCCTGGATTCAAAGCAGGCTCTTCATTACAAAAATCCATCAAAATATCAACTCAAACTTATTCTGGAATTTCAAAGCCTCATATACAAATAGAATCATTTAGTGAAGAACAAATAAGAAACTACATCATAAATAAGCACAAATTTGTTACTCAAAAGAGCCAGCAAGAAATTTCTTACTCTCACTCAGCGATTTCAAGGCCACAAATATTACTTGAAACACTTCATAAAGAGAAATCAAGAAAATCGAAGGTTAGCTACGGAGAACAGCAAGAATCAGAAATTGTGGAAGCAAAGGTATCATTTGCAGTGAGCGCCAAAGTCCAAATCCTTCCAGAGCTTTTAATCGAAAAATCTCTTGCTCAAAAATCTGAAGCTTCATCAGCTCATTCAGCTGTTTTCAGACCTCAAGTAACTTTAAATTAATTACTTCCCCCCCTCTTTAAATTGGAACAAAATATAGGTAAAATTTCTACTTTTTGGTAAATTAAACCCCCTTTAAATTGGAACAAAATTTAATTTTATAATAAAAAATTTTTATATATCTAAATCATAATTTTGATGTAAAAAGTTTTGATATAATTTAAATTTTTCTTCTTAACTAAAATTAAAAATTTAGTTATATCCTGCTTTTGTTTAAAGAATAGAGTATAAAGAGCATTTTATTTAAATAAATTTATTATCCTTAATTGTAAATTTTTAAAACAATTTAATTTTTTTGTTTTTAAAAAATTTTCGAAAAATAATATTTTTATTTAAATAGCTTTGATATAAATTCAATACGAATTCTTTACAGAAATTCAAAATTTACTTATCTCTTGCTTTATTTTAAAGAATAGAGTATAAATAACATCTTATTTAAACAAAATTAGCACTTTGATCGATAAATTTTCTAAAATTTTTTTTTTTTAATTTTTTTTTATCAATAAAAATAATAATTTTTGTGTAAATAGTTTTGATACCAAGAGTAAATAGCATTTTATTAAACAAATTTATTAATCTAATTCGATAAATTTTTGAAATTTTTTTTTTTTTTAAATTTTATATAAATTTTTTATTTTATAAAAAATTTTATAATGATTTTTTTTTTTTAAAAAAAATTTTCTTAACCCCCCTTTAAATTGGAACAAAATTTTTAGTTCCAATTTAAAGGGGGGGGAGTTAGAGTATTTAAGATGTCTAGCACCTTCTCCAACTAAAGAAAAAGTGCCAAAATGGTAACATCACGGGCATTTCCAATCTAAAAAGCCAGACCATCCCAAATAAATCACCTGCCACTCTTGCCTACGCTTCGTACCTGAAATATGCTGTTGCCAATATCTGACTCATCTTCTACACGTGCTTATCCTCCTCGGATGTGCTGAGTGGTGAAAACCTTCAGCTCTTGATTGGCCCTGAAGCAGTTCCTCTTGATATCCTCAAAATTTAAACTGCTTGTTGCAGTGAAGTTCTCAAGAGAAAAATAAAACCCCATAAATAAAATTCCATGAAAGAAAGAGAATTACGGTTACCCTATACTAATACTTGATTGAATTCCAAATCAAGAGCAATTGGGATCTGGCCTTCTGTAAGGCCCTGAGTTGCACCTGCTTTGCATGCATTAAGCGTTCATCCAGTTGTTGTATTAAGCGACCATCCAGTTGTTGTACAACCATCCAGTTATTGTATTAAGCGTCCATCCAGTTGTTGTATTAAGCGTCCATCCAGTTGTTGTAAATTAAATTCTCATCACGAAGTTTCCATCTTTTCTGGTGACGTCCTCAAAAAATGGTGACGTCACCATCTACAGGGGAGACCCTTGTTCCTTTAGCTTCCGGACCTAGCGGTCACGGGTTCCTACTCCTGAGGGGTATTGGCTCTGGAGATGATGTTCCGCGCCTTCTTCACGCCCCAAGCTCCTCACGAGGCATCCTCACTTCCTTCTCGCCGTGAAGTCCATCCAAAATTGCTGTCGCACACCTCAAGGGCCTAGGGAAAGGCCCAATTTTGTTAGCAAAACTCACCCCCTGACACTTCCTTGCTCCATGGATTCCAGGTGTCGCCTTTTTGTTTTGGCGTCACCTGGCAAAAAAATGTCTATAAATTCCATGAGGGAGAGAAAATTCGTAGCTCTAATTTCTCTCGAACCTAATGCCACTTATTTATCCAAACCTCAAGTATCAGTTGAAAAGCTCTATGAGTCTGAAACTAAAAAGAAACCAAAATACATAATTTCTGAGCCTGGAACAATATCTAAAGAATCCTCAATAACTTTTTCTGCCTTGATGAGGCCACTTATAGTCTCTGAAGAAATTTCTAAAGCTTCTCAACAAGAAAAAATTCTTTCTGGAGTAGAAAGTTATTTGGCAGCAAGCCCAGACTCAGAGATATTCATTATGAAAGCCATTAATAAGCCAATTATTTTGATACAAACTGAGGACAAGAAACCTACTAAAATCGTCGAAGTAACAAAAGAGACATTTAGCATATCAGGAAAAGCCAAAGTAAAACCAGTTTTCCAACGAGACTCATCATTAGAAGAAATAGAGCCTACAGAAAAGCCCGAGAGTTTGTCTGATCACAGCTTTAAAAGCAGTGAACAGTCAGAAAGTGACAAGGACTCGTTAGAATTTTTACTACCTCAAGCATTAATAGAAGCTGTGCAAAAATACTCTCCTCTATCAAAGCCTCAAATTTTGATTGAAAAGCATGATGAAGATGAAATAAGAAGATTGGCAATAAAGAAATTCAGCAGCTCTAAAAGTCAAACAATTGGCCAAGAAGTAGCTTTTGCAAGTACTTCTAGACCTGTTGTGCCTATTGAAATCCTTACTCCCCCATAAGCGAACAAAACCATTGGAAAGCTCCCTATTTTTGACCAAAAACCCACCCTCTGTGAGTCTGTGAGCGATAAAAATTTTGATATATAAGTGATAATTCATATAATGAAATTTCCAGCTAATTTTGTTTAATTTTAAAGAAATTGCGTTTTAAAAAAAAAAAATTAACCCCTCTGTAAGCGAACAAATTTTTTATTCGCTCATGGAGGGGAGTTAGCAAAGAAAAGATAAGAAGACATCTCAAAGAAATTGTTATTTATAGTGATGCAGCTCAATCTCAAGAATCCTCAATTGTTTATTCTGCTATTTCAAGACCACAAATCGCGATTGAAAAACTATATGAAGAAGTCACCAGAAGGCGCAAGGTTAAGAAGGTTTACATTGATTATGCAGAAAGCAGCCAAGTCACAGAAATTATTCTTGAGTCAAAACCTATCACTATTATTGAGCAGCATTCTTATATTAAAGGAAAAGAGTCTTTTGAAAATATTCTGAGTCCTTCAGCTGAGATAGAAAGTAAGCCTGCAGAAAATCCTATCAATTTGCCTAAGGTTTCTAAAGACAGCCTTAGTCAATCAGAAAGTGTTCATATTTTATCTGCAGTTTTAAGACCTCAAATTCCAATAGAAACTTTGTATAAAGTACCTAACCCTGGAAATTAAATAATACCCAAAATCAATTTTTAATGTTTTATATTTATTGCAATTAATAGAGGAGAGTAGGAGAAAATATGGAAGCGAAAAAATAATTTCCCCAATGGACACTTATGAATCCTCCACCTTATCAGTACTATCTCGGCCTAGAATTCCTGTTGAGACTTTATCAGCGTCTTCTCAGAAAAAACAAAGAAGTCTTGAACTAAGCCTTTCTACACAAATAGAAAGCCAGGAAAGTTTCTCAATTTCATCATTTAAGCCTCAAATACCATTTGGAGAGATTATCAAAGCGAAATTAGGAAATCTTGAAGCAATTATTAAAGTTAAACTTATGAAAGCGTTTGCGACTTGGAAAGAAAAAGTTGTGTTCAATAGAGACTCACTACAAGAGTATTTACTCACCAGTCTATGGGAAAACCATTGAAATACTTTTTTTTGGAAATTCATCGTTCTGTGAACAAGCAAAAATTTTTTTCAAATTAAATAATATATTATTAAGTCCCTAGTTAATTCTATAAATCACCTAAAATTTTAAAGCTAACTTAAATTTTGCAATATTATAATTAAAATTAGCTGGATATTTTAGTCATTTTTGCACAGTGGTGCTCTATACAGTGTTTAGAGATCTCTTGGCCGCACAAGTGAACTGGATGGTAAATCTGTATCAGACTGAAACCTCTGACTTCTCGGTAGTTGTATTGCCCTTTTGGTTTACGGCCTACAATTTTCAACTCAGTCCTTCATCCATCTAACTATTCGGCCCACCTATCATCACTGACTAGATCACTTGCTCTTCATTTTAGGATTCGCCTATCATTGTCTAATCTCCCCCTGTTTTTTTAGGTGCCCTTTAAAAAAAATACTCAATCGCTTTCGCGGTTCTAGGTAGATGATCACAATAGCTTGAGCAGGTAAATCACCCTACTCTATCTCAGACACCACTGGCCCGGTCGTTGCTGAAAAAAGAAGAATCATCAACTGCTCTAGGATAAAATCACATAATAGCCACTCTGTGCTTGAACCTTTCTTATAAGGTCCCTAATATTACTTGACCAACCTAAGTCTGCCTGAATATGCATGGAAACCCTCGCTGAGAGGATAGGACGTCATTAGCCATTTTATATTAAATTTTACAATACGATTTTGAAAAAGAAAATGAAAAAAATCCCTAGAGCAATCCCTCAGTTAAGAAGGAGTTAGTAAGGGAGCTTTCTAGCGAAAAAGACTGGCCGGTAAATGAAAAAATGGACAAACTTGTGAAGTTTTTGATGGAAATTTCTCATAAGAGAGGTAAGCTGCTGGAAGTTGCATTATTTGAATGGCTGGAAAAGACTAAATTAAATATAATGTATAGGGATGAATATGAAACTAATATAAAATACTAATTTATATAAAAATAGCATGGAATAATAATTGATATAAGTATCTTACTATCGAATTTAGCTAAATACTGGTTAGTTCAGATCCTGAATCTTTTAGACTATCTTCAACTGGTAGTCCAATTGTTAACAGTCCTATCATTCAAGAATTGCTAGAGAGCGAAGAAAATAAGGACAAAAACGCCAAAATGTTTAAATTAGTCGAATTTTTAGTAGGGATTACTAACTCCCTCCTTTTTAAATTGGAGCAAAACATAGATAAATTTCCATTTTTTGGGTACTTTAACCCCTTTTAAATTGGAGCAAAAAAAATTTTTTTTATAGGAAAGTTTTATAGGTAAATATTCATTTTTTATAAAATTAGATTTGACATAATTTAATCGTAAAAGTGCAAGTAGAATATTATTTAAACATTTTTCACACTAAATCGGTTATTTTTTTGACTTAATTCTTTATAGAAGCAAAAATATCGCATTCAATTAATATGCTTTAGTTTAAAAAACTTAACCTCATAAATAGAAAAAGGATCTTTGTTCCAATTTAAAGAGTGAGGAGTAAGAGAAGGGAAAAGTTTTCGCAGATCGCCCTGTTTGAATGGATGGAAAAAGCCCACTTGATGGATGAACATCTTGAAGCTAGAAAAGCTGACTTAGAAAAGCAGTTTTCTTTGGAAAAAGTAATAGAAAAGATTATGCAAAATGAAGGAGAGGACAGGCCAGACAGTAAGATGAGCAAAGTTATGAATTTCTTACTCCCTTAAACATTAATATTATGAAAATTACAATAAATTATTTTTATATTTTGTCTAAAATTTAAATAGCGAATTTTTCTAAGATTGTATTGCGTTTAAATCAAATTTTTCAATATAGCCATCTCTAGCCTTCATTTTTATTGGAAATATCTAGATGCTTTAAAACCCAAAACAATATAAATAGAAAATTCTATATAAAATAAATAATCCTCACATTATTAATTGCAAAGAGGAAGTTAGTGCACTTCCAACAAAAGAGGGAAAACCAAAGTAAGCTTGCGTTATTTGAGTGGATGGAAAAAGTCAACTTGAAATATGAAAGAATCCCTGAAAGAGACGAAGAAACACCTATTCAATACTCAGTCATTTCAAGACCTCAAATCCTACTTGAAACAATAACAGAAGCATCAAATCGTCATTCATGGCAGTTTGAATATGAATTTTCAAGCTTGCATAAGATTGTCACTTTGCCATGCCTCTATGAAGAAAAATCATCAGAAAGATTTATTAACTCCCTCAAAGAGTAATCTTTATGCTGAGTCATGAAGATTTTTGCCCACAAATTGTAATAATTGAAAACAAACTGGTAATTTAATTTATAAAATAATGTTTTGATAGCAATCTAACAGAATTAATGGAGCTTTAATAATATTGATAAATATAAATGAATATTATACTAAATTGTTTATATATATAAAAAATGCAATTACAAATGCAGGAGGATACTAATTTTCTTCCAAAAAAATTATGATATTTTGTTGATAAGGAAGTAAGTCTCCTGCTATTCAGCTTTCTACCCTTACAAAACCAAAGGTCCCTGCAGAAATAATTATAGAGAAACTTCAATATCAGCCTATGCCTTCATTTTCAATTCTCCAAAAACCAATCACTCTTCCTCACCACGAAAAATCTTCAGCCATTTCCCAGCTTTCCCTAAATGCCCAAGAAGCTGCGATTGAAGCTCCTATGCTTCATCTCAGCCGCCTAGTATTTTCTGCATCCCACAAAGCTATAAATCTTCCATATCTCGAGACTGAAAAATCTTCAGAGTTCATCTCTTTATCATTTACTATCGAAAGAAAGCCAACAGTTCAGCCTGAATGCTACAGCTTCTTTGGAGAAACCGAAAACTACATAAGATTGAAGCTCAGAAATCTTGGATCAATTTGCAGATATAGGAATTGCCCGAGGATGGCGCTATCTTGCGCCATCCTCGGGCAATTCAAAAAATGGCCCCACACCGGAAATCGAACCCACGTGTGGGGCCATTTTGGTGCGTGTAAGTCGATGTTGGGCCACACACCAAAAATGGCCCCACACGTGGGTTCGATTCCAGGTGTCGGGCCATTTTTGAATTGCCCGAGGATGGCGCAAGATAGCGCCATCCTCGGGCAATTGCTATACAATGTAATGAGAGCATTTTTGCTTTGGAAACAAAATGATGCGTTAAATAGCAGCGGAAACTTCAAAGAAACTTTGGTAAGGAAACTCACAAGTGAAAAAGAAAAGCCAGACGAGAAAATGGATAAAGTTGTAGACGCATTTGGATCTATTAGTAACTCCCTCTAAACACCTATAGATTTTTTATGCTGGCTTTTTAAGAACTTATAAATATTTTTTATAAAAAATGCCTCATTATTTATTGAAGGAGTAAGAAGAGAGAAAAATTCGCTGAATTGGCATTGTTTAAGTGGTTAGAGAGCTCTAAAGATATAGACTTGAAGCCTGAAAAAGAGCCAGAATTCTTCTTTGGAGAAAGCAGTATCAGCATTCAAGACTCCCAGGGTAATCACTTTGAAGCTTTCAGAAAGGTTTGTGTTCCATTAGAGACCTACGATGAAAAATCTCACAGAAAAATTGTTTTCCCATACTTATCGTCTCAGCAATATTCAGTAGTATCAAGACCACAAATCCCTATTGATGTCATTTCCAAAGCTAAAAGAGCTAAATCTGCTGCAATTGAGGGCTCATTTAAAGCTTACTCAGCTATATCCAAACCTCAAGTATTGCTTGAATCAATAGTCCAAGCCTCATACCTTAATTACCTGACAGTCTCCAAGCCTCTTACTATTATTTATATATATGACGAGGCTAAGAAATCAGATGGCTGGGAAGACATTTCGACTCCAAAACCATCACAAAGGATCACTAAGCAGGCCAGGTCAACTCTTAAGTCAAGAAAGCCGCTTAGCAAGGCTCAAAGCTTGCCAGTCAGTGATATACCACCATTTTATTCTCCAATCACCAAACCAATTACTAGCATTGAAATTTGTGAAGAGCCTCATGAACCAGCTTGGGAAGATTTGAATACTAAAAAGCCTACCCAAAAAATAACAAAGAGACCTAGAGCTGCCCTTAAGTCAAGAAAGCCAATGAAAAACATTTCAGAGTTCCATATATCTGATAGACCAGTTATTCCTATAGAAGAGCATGCTATACCGACTGCAGAACAATTGGCTAGAATGTCAGAAAAAGTTAAGGATGCATTGAGATGTTTAGCACATATATCAAAAGATAGCCTGAGCAAGGCATTCTATAGGTGGAGATATGTATATTCTGAGCAGAAAGAATCAGAAAAGGCAATAGAGTATAGCATTTCGACTAAGCTGAAACCCTTGATACTTCTTGAAACTTTATCATCTAAGCAGCATCATCAGAAAGATAAAAAATTAACGTCAAGTGATACTATTCTATTAAAGCTGTATAATATTAATTTAGTAATTACTCCCCCAGCTTATAGAGAGAACGATTTTTTTATATATTTAAAGCGGCATAAATTTTTTATATTAAAAATTTTTACAATATTTAAAAATATAAAATTATATAAAATTTTTTATAAAATTAACTAGAGATCTTGCTATAAGATTTATCAATTATATAAGATTATTTATATAAATAAAAACTGTCCTTAAGGATTTAATTTCCAAAAAAATAGAGATTTTTCCAATAGATTTGCTCAGAGAGTTAGATATATATTATTGGCTAATTCATTAAAAAATATCATAAGACTGTTAAACTTTCTCCATTTGAGAAGCCAAGAGTAGAAATTGCAACAGAAAAAGTTGAGTACGTTATTTTACCACAGCCGAAACGTACGATATCTGCAGTAAAACCACAATTAAGCTCTTCTACCTTAGAACTATCAATTATTAAAAAACCTCTTATCTCTATTTCTAATATTTCCAGATGCGAATTCCAGCCTGAAAACAAGCTTTTGACCGATATAGAAGTTAGCGAAGAATACCAAGTCATATTGCCACGGCCTAGCATCAGAAGAGCTTTAATAAAACGGCGAAAGCACGCACCTTTCAAGAAGCCAAGATTCCACTCAATCAGTGAAGTTGAATTCCAGCCACAAAGCAAACAGCTTCAAGACATTTTTACCGCTGAGGCAGAAATCGAAACTTATGAAGCACCACAACTGCAGGAGTCTGAAGCTCCTGAAGAGCCTCTTGAAGAAATTTCTATTCCTATAGCAATTTTTGAGCAGCCGTTATACTCTGAGATAGAGCCTTCTATTGCTGAAAATACAGTGCAGGTATACACAGTAGTTTCAAAACCAAGAGTTGTTTTAGAAAAGAGAGTTATAAGTGTTGATGAAGGGCAATCTTCTAACTTAATCTGTCCAAAAATAGCAAGCGATTTTAGATTAATATGATTTTAAAAAAATTAATATAAATAATATAAAAAATTATTAATTAAAATTCAATTTTTTTAAAAAGCTAGGAATTATAATGATCTTGAGGCGAGCTAGAACAAATTATCAAGCCAAAATTAGGAAATCTAGAAGCAATTATCAAGGTTAGGCTTATGAAAACATTTGCCACTTGGAAAGAAAAATCAGCTTTTAATCCAGAATCACTACAAGAGTACATCACCAGAGAGTTTTCCAGTGAAAAAGAATGGCCAGTGGACGAAAAAATGGACAAAATTGTGGAACACCTCACAGAAATTTCCCGTAAAAAAGACAAATTTGTAGAAATCGCTATGTTCGAATGGCTTGAAAAAGCGAAATTCAACAGTTCAGATCCTGAGTCCTTAAGACTTTCTTCAGTAGGCAGTCCTATAGCCAAAGTAATTTCCTCAGAAACTGACTCTCCACGCCTATCCACTTTTGGCAGTCCTGTAATCCATGAACTACTCGAAAATGAAGAAAATAAAGACAAAAATGCAAAAATGTTCAAGCTTATTGAATGTTTAGTAGGAATCACCAAGAAAAGGGAAAAATTCGGGCAGATGACGCTATTTGAATGGATAGAAAAATCAAATCTATTGGACGAAAATCAAGCTGAGCTTGCAAAGAAGTTTTCTATGGAAGAAGTAATTGATAAAATCATTCAAAATGAAGGAGAGGATAAGCCAGACAGCAAAATGAGCAAAATTCTTAGATTTTTAGTAGAATCCCAGAGAAAGAAAGAAAACCACAGCAAACTTGCCTTGTTTGAATGGATGGAAAAGGTCAACTTGAAGTTTGAGAGATTCCCTGAAGGAATGCAGATCCAGTATTCAGCAATTTCAAGACCACAAATTTTGCTTGAAACCATAACTGAAGCGCAAAAGTCACAGACTTGGCAATATAAAGGTGAATTTTCTGCTGCCCAAAAGATAGTCACTTTCCCATATCTTGATACTGAAAAGTCTTCTCAAATTATTTCTCAGTCATTCACCATTTATAGAAAGCTTGCTGTCCAGCCAGAGTGTTACAGCTTCTTAGGGGAAACTGAAAATTACATTATTTCAATTTATAATAAATTTGTCTATCATAAGTTTTTATTATTTTATTTAAAAATATAAGGATTTAGGTATAAACTGAAGCTCAGAAACCTTGGATCTATTTGTAGGTATAATTTGATGAGAGCATTTTTGCTTTGGAAACAAAATGATGCACTAAATAGCAGTATAGTCCTGAAGGAAACTTTAGTAAGGAAGCTCACAAGTGAAAAGGAAAAGCCAACTGACGTGAAAATGGATAAAGTTGTTGAGACTTTAAGCGATATTAGTAAAAAGAGAGGAAAATTCGCGGAATTAGCATTGTTTAAGTGGATTGAAAACTCAAAGGATTTAGACTGGAAGCCTGAAAAAGAGCCTGAGTTTTATTACCAATCTGGTGATACCAGTATGAATATCACAATTCAGGACTCGAAAGTCCATGAATACAGCTTTAGCATATGTAGAAGAATTTGTGTACCACTTGAAGTCCATGATACAGCATCCCATAGAAGACTTTTAGGTTCGTTAGAAAATGAGTCCATGCAGTATGCAGCGGTAACTAGACCTCAGATTCTCGTTGAAGTTATCTCTTCAGAGAAAAAAGCTAAGATTGTCTTATCAGAGCAGCCGAGTTTATATGCAGCTTATTCATTTATAACAAAGCCACTCATACTATTGGAATCATTGCTAGAAAAATCAGACGATAAAGAAAAGCCTATAATAATCCCCAAATCTCAAATTCCTCTTGAAGTGGCTTCTGAAGCAAAACTTGACTCATCAGAACAGCCGAGCCTGTATGCAGCTTATTCATTTATAACAAAACCACTCATACTATTGGAATCAGTATCAGAAAAATCATACGATAAAGAACAGCCTATGATAATCTCTGAACCTCAAATTCCTCTTGAAGCTGCTTCTGAAGCAAAACTTGACTCATCAGAAAATCCAAGCTTATTTGCAGCTTATTCATTTATTATAAGACCTCTCATACTATTAGAATCATTATCAGAAAAATCAGACGATAAAGAAAAGCCTATGATAGTCTCCGGACCTCAAATTCCTATTGAAATGGTTTCTAAAGCAAAACTTGATTCATCTGAAAATCAAATCTTATATTCAGCTTATTCATTTATAACCAAACCACTCATACTATTGGAATCATTGCTAGAAAAATCAGATAACAAAGAAAAGCCTATGATAATCTCTGGACCTCAAATTCCTATTGAAGTGGCTTTTGATGAAAAACTTGTGGCCCCAGGAAATCTCAGCTCTTTTGAAATATACTCATTTATCATAAGACCTATCATACTATTGGAATCACTATCAGAAAAATCAGACGATAAAGAAAAGCCTATGATCATCTCTATACCTCAAATTCCTCTTGAAGCGGATTCTGTAGCAAAACTTGATTCATCCGTAAATCAAAGCTTATATGCAGCTTATTCGTTTATCACAAGACCTCTCATACTATTGGAATCATTATCAGAAAAATCAGATGACAAAGAAAAGCCTATGGAAATCTCAGGACCTCAGATTCCTCTTGAAGTAGTTTCTGAACAAAAACTTTTGGCCCCAGAAAATCTCAGCTCTTTTGAAGTGCACTCATTTATTATAAGGCCTCTCATATTATTGGAATCATTGTCAGAAAAATCAGGTGATAAAAAACAGCCTATGATAATCGCCAAATCTCAAATTCCTCTTGAAGTGGCTTCTGAAGCAAAACTTGACTCATCAGAACAGCCAATCCTATATGCAGCTTATTCATTTATAACAAAACCACTCATACTATTGGAATCAGTATCAGAAAAATCATACGATAAAGAACAGCCTATGATAATCTCTGAAGCAAAACTTGATTCATCCGAAAATCCAAGCTTATATGCAGCTTATTCGTTTATCACAAGACCTCTCATACTATTGGAATCATTGTCAGAAAAATCACACGATAAAGAAAAGCCTATAATAATCTCCAGGTCTCAAATTCCTCTCGAAATGGCTTCTGCTGAGAAACTTTTGGCCCCAGAAAATCTCAGCTCTTTTGAAGTGCACTCATTTATCATAAGACCTCTCATACTATTGGAATCATTGTCAGAAAAATCAGACGATAAAGAAAAGCAGATAATAACTTCCAGACCTCAAATTCCTCAAGATGTGGCTTCTGATGAGAAACTTGTGGCCCCAGAAAATCTCAGCTCTTTTGAAGTATACTCATTTATTTCAAAACCACACATAATGCTAGAGTCATCATCAGAAAAATCAGAAGATAAGGAAGAGACTATAATAATCTCTGGACCTCAAATTCCTTTTGAAGTGGCTTCTTATGAGAAACTTGTGACCCCAGAAAATCCAAGCTTATATGCAGCTTATTCATTTATCACAAGACCTCTCATACTATTAGAATCATTGTCAGAAAAATCAGAAGAAAAAGAAAAGCCTATAATAATCTCTAGACCTCAGACTTCTCTTGATATCGCTCTCGAAGGGAAACTTATTGCGTCAGAAAGTCTCAGCTCATTTGAAGTTTATTCATTTATCTCTATTCTATTAGATTTATACGCTTAACGTCCCTTACGGGGTTGCCCATCCCAGAGCTTCCGGGTCGACCAGCTTCGTCACCAGGGTGCACCTAGTCGCAGGTGTTGCCGACTTCGACGGCTCATGACTGAGCTACTTCGCTTGAGGACATGGGTTGCCATTCCGAAAATCCATAAAAAATGGATTTTCTGGTAGGCTTTCGGCAGAAGGGAAAACACGACGCCTGGGACGTAACGCCCAGTTTCACGCTAGGGAGTTGCCCGATTGGTCCTAACGGACTCTGCTGAGCTTCCCCTTTCCAACTCGCGTGCCTCCTTCCCCATGAGGAAAAAACATCCCTGAAAATAGACTTGGGCTAGGCTCTGAGCTCCACCAGAATTGCTTACCTAGCATTGCTGTCCCTCTCTGAAATGCAAAACCTTGTCGGATATAATTAAAATATGAGTCGAGGCTGCATGGCCGGGAGGCCATGCCCAGACGAAGACGCCATATTTTAATTATTATTCATTTATCTCAAAGCCACTCATACTATTAGAATCATTGTCCTCAAGGTCAATCGACTTAGAAAAGTCTGCACAGTATTCAGCAATAGCAAGGCCTCAAGTTTCTCTTGAAGTGATATCTAAAGAAAAAAGAGCCAAATCTGCCTTATTAGAAAAATATAATGACATTATTCTTAGTTCAGAACAGCGTTCATATATGGCATTAGCAAAACCTATAATCATGTTTAGTCAGATACACGAACGAAAAGTCCAATCCCAGGTTATGACAGTTTTAGCAGCGGCAAAAGTGATCATTCCTCTTGAATTATTGTCAGAAAAAACAGAAAGCTTAGATAAGAAAGTATATTTGCCTATAAGCAGACCTTTAACTATTGTGGATATGTTTAGCGAAGACTGGGAAGATATCACTCCCACTCAAAAATCTTTAGTAATCACCAAGAAAAAAGGTCCTGCACTTAAATCTAGAAAGCCAGTGACTAAGAATCTCCAATCGTTCTCTCTTCTGAAAAAGCCACTTGCGTTTATAGAAGAGCTTGAAATTTCTGAAAAAGTAAAAGATTCGCTAAATCTCTATTTATTGTCAGCTCATTTTTGGATTTTCAGCTTAGCCTTAAAATAAATTTATATTTCAATATTTTTTCAGGTAATAAAACCCTTTTTTAAAGCTAATAAAATGTTTTCCTTGCTATTTGGCAAAGTAAGGCATTTGAATCATATTCTCAAAGATAGGATTAGCAAAGCCTTTTATATATGGAAGCACAATGGATCTTCTGAAGAATTCATAGAAGAAGTCACTACAGTCACTTGGTCTATTGAAAGGAATGACCCTGCTTTCAAAGAATCAGCCCTAGCTAGACTTGCATTTGTGATTAATCAGACTGATGCCAAATTGCTTGGCTTTGCATTTGAAAAATTGAAATATATCAGCCAAACTGCCAAAGCTCCTGAATTTGTGTATACTGAATTGCCTAGCTATAGAGTACTTACTATAGTTGAAACTTATGACAAGCATAGGAGAGCCAATATTAAAGCTGAAGACGATCTTATAGAGCTAGGATCTGTTTCCTCATTAGAGGAAGCTGTGGAAGAAAGACAAGTATATGAAGTCCTTACCAAACCTAATAGCTTCCCAATTTGCATATTTGAACAGATTCCTATCAAAGCAGGAGAAATAAAATTGTGACGTTGGCGGAAGTTCGTCTCCGAGGCTTACTTATATGAGCAAGTAAGACCCATCCTGATGAAGCTGAAAACAGGGCCTCTGTCCTTTTTGAGTAAACCTTTAGAATTGGGGATGCCTTACCGAAGAGGAAGAATTCTTTCTCCCCCAATGGTTTTCCTGTCCCTGCCAGGTAGGCTAAACAGGTTTTTTCTCTATAGGGGCGACCTACAGAGGTGGGTCTAACATAGAGAGCTAATCCTTAGGTTAGGTGAGTATCGCCAGAAAATTCAAGAGTATAGAATTTTGGTTGTGATTTACACTATTTGCACTCTTGTGTATACGCACCCAGCATAGGCCCCTTTCCTTGTGTCAAGGTAGTCTTGCTAGTGAAAACCCACTTATGGCCTTGTAATCTTTATCTTGATCTATCAAAGTAGAAATGACCGTAGACAGCGAATATATAGTTTCCAGCATCTTTAAGCCCCTCATAATGCCTGAAATTCTATCTCCAAAAGCCCACCAAGTGTCAGACACCCTCATCCCTGGTGAAACCAGAACTATACAATTTGTCCCATTCGAAAAGCCCCGACCAAGAATTACCGAAGAAAAAGTCGAAATTGTGATTCTCCCTCTTCCTAGAGTTGATAGAGAATTAAGAAAGAGCAACACCCCTCTTGATACATCTAAAGATGAGTCATCATTTGAAAAACCTGAAGCTTCTAACGAAATCAGAGTCCTAACTAAGCCATTATCCCCATTAGCCAAAGTAACCCGCTTGTTCTTTGAAATTTCAGACAAAATGACTGTTCCAATTGAAGAAGATGAGGAATACAAAGTTGTCCTGCCGAAATCTATTATTAGGCGACCATTGGTTAAGCGAAGAAAATATGCCCCAGTAAGCAAGCCAAGATTTGAAACCAGCTCACAGGTTACTATTCAGCCTGCACAAAAAGTGATCCAAGATATTCTCATTGTAGAAGGAGCAGACACCCAAGAAGTCGGATACGTCACTGAAGACACTCATAGAACTTTGCAGCTGGAAATTAAGCCAGAGGTCACTGAAATGGAGTTTACTTTTGAATTTAAAGAAGAAGTCCCTGAAGTAGTTGATGAATATTCAATTGAACAAAAAGCAGAATCTTCAGTCCTGGTAGTTGAAAGGTTCGAGGCTGAAAATAAGCCAGAAGTGTTTGGAGCTGTATATGAAGAAGAAGTCAATGTGTATTTATTAGACCAAAAAGTGGTTTCATCATTGGTAAATGTAGAGAAATATCACTATGAATTAGAAACTAAGCCAGAGGTGCTTGAAGCTGTCTATAGACAAGAGATCAGTGAATATCTGCTAGAACAAAGACCTATACTAAGATAAGTGTTTTTACACATAATTTAGCATAAGCATGCTATTTTAGAATTTGAATATGTTGTTTATATTATTTATGAAAATAAAAAAATGTAATAATAGTATACTTCATCATTATTGCTTATTGAGAATTATCATTACCAAATAAAACCTCAGCCATTTATAACTTGTATTGAGCAAGCCATTGCTATAGAATACTCATTAGAGCATAAAGCTGATACTTCATTGTTATTAATTGAGCAATTTAAGTCTGTTCATTCCCTCCCAAGAATTCAGCCAGTCTCAAAGTCCTTTACTTCTTATTTGCCAATACAAATCGAGCGAAAAGTGGTCATAGACATTGAAGAAGATGAGGATTATTCTTTGCAATCCACTACAAAGCAGCTGGTAAAGCACACCAAATATGTACCATTCGGCAAGCCAAGAGTAAAATCAAGCTCAAACCTTGAAATCCTTCCAGTCAGAAAAATCGTTTCTGATATATTGGCAGTAGAAAAGCCATCTGATATCATTACTAAAGATAGTGCAAAAGAGCTGCAAGAAAGTGTCCTAGCTAATCCAGAGCCAACCGAGCTAGCAGTCACATTTGAGTTTAAGCCAGAAGTTGCTGACCTCCCTAATGAATATTATCCTTCTGAAAAGCCAGCTCCTTCCATGCTTGCAGTCCAAGAATTCGGTCCTCCGTATTCTCTCGCTACAGTTTACCCTTACAATGCAGAAAAATCAGAATACAGTCAAATCCGTAAAAATCCTTCTTCAATGCTATTAGTTGAAGACTTTGGCCATGAGCTGAATTTACCTGTTACTGATCCAATATATGACCAAGATTTACTAGAAAGCCAAGAAGAGTTAGTTTATAAAGAAATAGACATAAGCAGCCTCCTTAGCAAGCCACTTGTAAAAGATTTAAGTTCTTTGCTAGACTCCCCCGAAATCCAGTCAACAGAAAGAATTACTAAATCATTGGAGCCAGAAGAAGAATTCAAACAAGTCACAGGACGATCACAAGCAGAGTCACTTGGAATTGAAACCCATAGACCAGCGTCTACTTCTCGAAGAAGAGTCCACAAAGTTCGCCGTATCTATACTAAGAAATTAAGATACTACCCACTTCAAAAAGGCATCAAAGCTCTTGCCCAAAGCAAGATCGTCAAGCCAATGCAAGAAGCCTTTGACCTCCTCAAATATCTGCTTTATACTTCGACAACCCCATCTCAGCAGAAAATAGAACAGGCTCCTAATATTGAAGATTTCACCCCACGAGCCATCACAATTCAAAGGTTTGCCAGAGGATTTTTAGCAAGAAAACGGTTTGCAACTATGAAAGAAGTCCAAAAGGTCAGAATTGTCGAGCCAAGAAAAAGCAGCAGCTCTATGAAAATCAGACTGTCTAAATTTACCTTGAAATCGAGGCTTCTTACCCTTAAAAAAGTCGTACATAAGGTCCTGCTGAAGTCTAAAAAAGAATGCTTTTTGAGAATGAAAAGAAGAGACGCCAGCGCAAGACGAAGAAACTTTTATAAAATCCAAAAAGGAACCAAGGCTATTGTAGGAATCTGCTCCCAAAGGTACGCTGAAGCATTTGAGAACCTCAAGAAAAATTTATTAACGAAATAAATATCTTAGATAAATAAATGGATGGAACTGCAAAATTAATTTTTGTCCTGGGTGGTCCAGGTGCTGGCAAAGGTACCCAGTGCTTACGAATTATTGCTGATTACCCTAATTTTGTCCATTTATCAGCTGGAGACTTGTTAAGAAAAGAAAGGATGAGTGGGAGTGCTAATGGAGAACTTATACAAAAATGTATTGATGAAGGGTCAATTGTCCCTGCTGAAATCACTGTTGCATTAATAAGACAAGCTATGAGAGAGGCTGGGTGGACCACAAAACGGTTTTTGGTTGACGGGTTCCCAAGAAATGACGATAACTATTTGACTTGGTTCAGGCTTTCTCCAGATGTAGATGTGGAATATTGCTTGTTTTTGGACTGCGACCCTGACAAGATGGTGGAGAGAATTGGCATGAGAGGAGGAACGAGGAGTGATGATAACCCTGACGTCGTCAAAAAGAGACTGGTCACTTATAATGAACAAACAAGGCCAATTATTGAAAGGTTTGAAGTTCAAGGAAAGCTGCTGAGGGTTGATGTGAATGGGACACAAGATGAGGCATATCAGAACACTATTAGAGGTTTAGGATTAATAAGCTAAGCCAGATCTCCATCAAAAAGTTAAAATTGCGAACGATGATTCTATAAATTATTATAAAAAATTAAAAACTTGCTTACTACCCCCATCCTTGACCGAACGATTGACTGAAAAATTCCTAAAATTTGGAAAATTAACCCCCATCCTTGATCGGACGATTTTCATATCATGCGAATTTATATATATTAAAATATATAAGTAATCAAAAGCTTGGGAGATATACCTAATGAAGTTGTTTTCAGAGGCTTTGAGGCGACAAAAAGCTACAGAATCAACCATCCGAAGTGTTTTAGTCATCAACCTGGGCCCAAATACTTAATAATCTAAAAAATAGAGATTCTTTAAAATTTTTAATTCAATGAGAAACTAAAATTTATACAGTTGGGTAACCAAAAAATCAAGATATTAAAAATTTGTATTTTATGAAATTAATTCATTTTTTGCTGTAAAAATAATTTTTAAATACTCTTAACCCTCTTATTTAAAATATATATAAAAAAAAATATATTTTTTGATTTATATAAAATTTTTTTTAACCCCATCCTTGATCGAACGATGGCGAGCCGTTCGATCAAAGGATGAGGGCAGTTAATAAAATAATTCTTTTCTATAAAATAAATTTTAATAAATCCCAACTTAAAATCTTAAGTATTTGGCAAGCAAATTTAAAAATAATATACTAATGTGGAGAGGTTTGAGTGTGCTAACTCCCACCCCTCAGTGAGTGAACAAAATTTTTTTGTTTAATCACGGAGGGGGGGTTAATTTTATTTTTTTAAAAAATTTATATGTAAATTTTATAGAATTTTTTTTTTCGAAATTTAAAAAAATCCTAATTTCGCAAAAATTGGAAATCAAATATTAATTTAATTTATAAAATTTATGTTTTAAAAAGCAATTTGTTTAAAATTAAACAGAATTAGCTCTAGATTTCATTTACTAATTATCAGTTATATATCAAATTTCCCTCCATAAAAAAATTTTTGTTCACTTACGGAGGGTGGGTTTTTGGGCAAAAAAATTGCGATTTTTCTAATGGTTTTGTTCACTCATGGAGGGGGGGAGTAAGCTCTTTAGGGCTCTTCACATACGCCCCAGCTATGATGCTTCCTCAAGACAAAACTGGAAAAGTCAGCTACCCTGCTAACAACCCTATAGAAGACCGCTTTGTAAGCAAAAAACTAAAATCCTTCAACGCAAGATGTTCAGCTGTTTTCGATGGACACGGTGGATGGCAAATTTCTGACTTTTTATATCACAATATCATCCAGACCATTGAGGACAATTACAAGCTTGTCAAGTCAGACCCTAAAAAATCAGTCCACACCATCCTTGAAAAATCATTTGATTCCTTAGAAGAACGCATCGTAAATGCTGCTCGGGACTCTTACAAGATGGGCTTTGCCAATGTCGCAAGCACAGGATCTTGTGCTATTGTCGCGATCGTTTTTGAAGACCTTTATGCAGTTGCAAATGCAGGAGATTGTCAAGCTGTCCTTGTAAAACAAGTTGAAGGCCAAGTTATAGGGGAAAACATATGTGAAGTGCACTCCTCAAACTTGCCAAGTGAGCAAGAAAAGCTAGCAAGAGCTCATCCTGGCGAGCCTGACATCGTAAGATGCAAACATAGAGATGCGTGCTATGTAAAAGGAAGACTTATGCCAACAAGAGCTTTTGGAGACTTAGGCTTAAAACATGACGAATTTAACAACCCAAGACAGCTGGATATGACACATGGCTTTAGAAGGTCAAGGATCCAAAAATTCACTGGTCCTTATATCACTCATAAGCCAGATATTAAAGTAAGAAAAATCGAAGAAGGCGACAAGTTCATTATTTTGGCAAGTGACGGACTGTGGGACGAAATGAGTGAGCAAGAAGCAGCAGCGCTGATTTACTCGATTGATGATCCGAAAGAAGCAGCTGAGAAGCTATTGCAGTCTGCCTTGGATATTGCGGCAAACAAGAGAGGGATGTCGAAAGTTACGATGGGGCAGCTTCCTCTGGGGATAAGGAGAAGCTATCATGATGATATCACGATTGTTGTAGTTCCTTTAAAATAATTTCTATTATGAAGAAGAGTATAATTAAAAGGAGAGGAGGGAATTGTTACCTATGCTCAGAGCTGCAAGCAGCAGAGCAAGGAGTCACTTTAGGCACCCATGGAAGTGTAATGAACTGTCAATCCACAAACGAAAGTGCCATTTATTATAATCGTAAGAGTTATTAAAGATAAATTTTAGTAAAAATGCTTGGAATTATTATTTAGTTAAGCATTATCTTTAATTATATTTGATAAAATATATTAATCATAGTCAGCCTTTCGAAAATATAAATAAGACATTATGATAAAAATTAGCTGCTGAGCATTAAAAATCTTTTGGTTTATTTTTATATGGACACACATGGTATATATTTATTAACTTCTCTTCTTGACTAAGGAAAGATTATTTTGCTTGAAATAAAGTGGGGTTATAATTTTTTTGATTTTAAAAAAATATAAATTTTTGATCGCTAAAGAAGAGGTAAGCGCAGTATATGAAAATTAAAAAGTATAATAAGATAAAATATATTAAACCCAGATTACTTTATTCTAGACTTTGTTAGAAATTATGATTATTCTTCGATCTTCTTCAAATCAGATCCAATGTAGAACTGGGCACCTGTAATTTCTTTCAGTTTATCAAGAGTGATGTCATTAGCGATTTCAACGAGAGTCATTCCAGTGTCTCTTCGGAATTCGAAAACTCCGTACTCGGTCACAAGCATTCTTACAACTTTCTTGCCTGTTAGTGGGAGAGAACATTTTTTGAGGATCTTTGGAGCTCCTTTAGAAGTGTGCTCCATACAGACAATGCATTTCGAGTGGCTGTCAACTAAGTCCATAGCTCCTCCCATACCCTTCACCATTTTGCCTGGGACAATCCAGTTTGCAAGATCTCCATCCTGGGACACTTGTAGCCCTCCGAGAATAGTTAAATTAAGATGATCGCCACGAACAATAGCGAAGCTAGTGCTGCTTGAGAAAATTGAAGAGCCCTGCACCATTGTGATAGTTTCTTTGCCTGCATTAATAACGTCTGGATCTTGCTCACCTGATTTCGGGTATGGTCCTATTCCTAGCAGTCCGTTTTCACCATGTAGCACAATTTTGATGCCCTTTGGTAAGTAGTTTGGCACTAAGGTTGGCATTCCAATCCCCAAGTTCACATACATTCCGTCCTTGATTTCTTTGGAAACTCTTTTGGCAATTCTCTCACGTTTCCTGATTTGTTCAGGAGTCCCAGGAAGCTGAATTTTATCTCCAGTATTAAGAGCCAGCCTTTCAATTGGCTTTTCGAAATACTCACCTTTAACGATTCTATGAACGAAAATACCAGGAGTATGGATCTGGTCTGGGTCGAAAGTGCCAGCAGGGACGATTTCTTCGACTTCTGCAATCGTGATTTTTGAAGACCCAGCAATGTCAGGGTTGAAATTCCTAGCAGTCTTTCTGTAAATCAAGTTGCCCTCAGTGTCTGCTTTCCAAGCCTTGATAAGGCCAACGTCTCCTCTGAGCGCTTCTTCGAGGATGTATTTTTTACCTCCCCAGATTCTGACCTCCCTTGGGGCAGAGATCTTCTCTACTGTTTTCCCTCCTGGTCCAAACTTCTGTACAAAGCCTCCTTCTTCAACCAAACTGCCAGCACCAGTATGGGTGTAGAAAGCTGAAATGCCGCATGCGCCTGCTCTAAGTCTTTCAGCCAACGATCCTTGAGGAATGAGGTCAAGCTCAATTTCGCCATTCAAATACTGATTTTCCAAGGTTTCGTTTCCTCCAAGGTAGGAACAGTGAATACTTGAAGCCATCCTGTCCTTGATCAAAAGTCCAGGCCCAAATTCATTAGTGCCTGAGGTGTTGGTGATGAGTTTGAGATTGTTGATTTTCAAGTCGTGCACTGCTCTCAACAGATTTTCTGGGACTCCGCAAAGCCCAAAGCCTGCTATCATGACTGCCATCCCGCTCTTCATGTCAGCCACGGCCTCGGCTGATGAGTTGAATATCTTACTCCCCCCTCTGTGAGCGAACAAAAAATCTTGTTTGCTCACGGGGGGTTAATTTGTTTTTTTTAAAAAAATTTATATAGAAAATTTTATAGAATTTTTTTTTTCAAAATTTAAAAAATTCTAATTTGTGAAAATTAAGAAGTTAATTTGTAAAATTTATATTTTAAAATGCAAGCTGTTTAAATTAAACAGAATTAGCTAGAGATTTGATTATAATAATTATCACTTATATATCAATTTTTTTTCCTTAAATATTTTTCAATTAAAAAAATTTTTGTTTGCTCACAGAGGGTGGGTTTTTGGGCAAAAAATAGGGATTTTTCTAATGGTTTTGTTCGCTCACGGAGGGGGGGAGTTAGAAGCACATATATAATGGCGGGTATACACACACCCTATCTCTTAATGCAATTTTCACAACCTTATAGGAAAGGCGAATTTGGTGAGGAACCAGTCAAAGAATCTAAGCCGGTTTACTGTTGGTGTATTTAGGGTAAGTTTTGACTTGGTCCCTGTAGTTGTAAATTGAGATAGTACAATGTCCTTCAGGACTCTGGCCATTCTCTACCGTGAAGCCGGGGGTTATTGCCTAGGCCTTACTCCCCCCCCCCTCCGTGAGCGAACAAAACCATTAGAAAAATCGCCATTTTTTGACCAAAAACCCACCCTCCGTGAGTGAACAAAAATTTTTTTAATAGAAAAAATTTTAATGGAAAAAAAAATTTTGATATATAAGTGATAATTAGTATAATGAAATCTAGAGCTAATTCTGTTTAATTTTAAACAAATTGCGTTTTAAAACATAAATTTTGCAAATTAAATTAATATTTGCTTCCCAATTTTTGCAAATTAGGATTTTTTTAAATTTCGAAAAAAATATTTTTTTTTATAAAATTTATATATAAATTTTTTTTAAAAAAAAAAATTTAACCCCCCTCCGTGAGCGAACAAAAATTTTTTTGTTCGCTCACGGAGGGGGGGGGGGAGTTAGGAGCTAATCTTTATTTGTAGCTCCCGAAAGAGGGTACTTTAGTACTCGCTAGACTGGATTTGATCATGCTGCTTCTCAATCGCCCAATGTAGTACTGCAGAAGTCCATAGTTTTGCCTACTCAACACTTGAGCCGAGAACGCGCACACTTTAGCTGTCTATGGAATTAGAAGCAGAAGGAGAAGCAAGATAAAGCTTGAACTAGCTTGTCAATCAATTCATCTCAGCCGAGAGGCGACCAATAGAGTTCTCGCAAAGCAGATGAAGCACACTAAGGTCCTTAGAGACTGCGTAACCAATAAGGCCAAGCACCTGTTGATTTAAGATTAAGTCTATCTTAGAAGCAAAAAATCTTCTTGAGGATGAAAGCATATTTAATTACTGAGCATTTCATGGACAATAAAAAAGATGAATCTAATAATTTATCAAATATTTAAATAAGATATAAATTTTCTTTACTCCTCCCCCATCCTTGATCGAACGATAGACTCTAAAAATTCCTAAAAATTGGGGAAATTAACCCCCATCCTTGATCGAACGATTTTCATATCATGCAAATTTTTATATATATAAAAATATATTAGTTATCAAAAGCTTGGGAAGATGTACCTAATGAAGTTGCTTTCAGAGACTTTGAGACGACAGAAAACTACGGAATCAACCATCCGAAGTGATTTAGCCATAAACCTAGGCTTAAAAACTCAATAATCTAAAAATAGAGATTCTTTAAAATTTTTTTAAAAAAAAAAATTAATTTAATAAGGAACAAATTAAAATTTATACCGTTTAAAAGGATAACTAATAAATCAAAATATTAAAAATTGGTATTTTTATGTAAAAATAATTATTAAATACTCTTAACCCTCTTATTAATAAAAAATATATATATATTTTATATATAAAATTTTTTTTTTAACCCCCATCCTTGATCGAACGATGGCGAGCCGTTCGATCAAGGATGGGGGGTTAGAAATTATCAAACTAAATTTAGTTATAATTTTATAAATAATATAAAAAAAATACTCTAAATCCCCCTCTTTAAATTAGAACAAAAATATTTTTTTGATTTTTTAAACTTAATAACTAACATTTTTGAATTTTAATTTATCTCTATGAAAAATTAAATTAAAAAATTAATCAATTCAAATTGAAAACTATTTAAATCATATTCTACTTTCACTTTTAATATTAAATTCGATAAAACTGATTTTAAATAATTAGTATTTTCACTTATAAATTTTTCTATTAAAACCTAAAGTGTTCAAAAATGAAAATTTTCTTATATTTTGTGCTAATTTTATATGGTGGAATAAATAATTTTTAAAAAATATAATCATAAGAAACTATTGTAGAAATTAGCATGGCCTAATTTTAATATAGCTTATAAAATTCTGATACAAGATGATGGAGTTTAAAAAAGAGATGCCTGAATTCGAAACTCGAAGATTGGAGGCAAATCGCTTGCTAGAAGTTCATCCAACCAAGCTGCCCATAATAGTGGAGCCTATTTCTTCAAAAAACAATGCATATGGGTTTATTCAGAACAGATTCCTCGTTCCAAAGAACTACACCTTTCACGAGTTCATTTTCCACCTTCGGAGAAGACTAGAACTCGATAGAACTGATGCCTTATACGTCCTAGTTTCTCAAAAGCACCTTCCAGCATTGGATAGAAACATGATAAGCGTCTATGGTGAGTTCCAAGACCCTGACGGCTTTTTATATGTAAATTACTCTTCAGAGGCCATTTTGGGGTAAAGTGACCAATATTAACTTATTTGACTTTTTTATATGGATTATGCTTAAAAAGCTGAATTATATCTCAGAATATTTATCCAGAGCTATTGCCTTAAATAACCCAATTCAGCATATATAACTGCTAATAATCGACATCTACTAATATACGAAAAATACTTATACCATCGCCAAAATTGCCTTCTGTTTCCATTTTATTACTCTAGTCTCTTCCAGATATAAAAATGTGATAGGAATTATATGAAAATCACTAGCGTCTATCAATAGTCTCTGCAATTAGTTCAAATTGAATTTATCTTGAATCGCGGGGGTATTTCCGCTTATAGCTTTCATGTCTATCAGACCCTCTATCATGCTTTCTGTCATCATAGTCATGATCATGGTTTCTGTCTCTTCTTGGCTCTTTTCTTGGCCCTTTGGAGTTCCGATCGCTTTCTTCTCGGTCACGGTAGCGCTTTTTCGGCAGTTCCTCGTTGCTGTCGTTTTCCCTCCTCTTGTCCCCTCGGCTCTCAGCGACAACTTTAAACTTATGGTACTCCTTGCCTGAGTAGTTTTTGGACTCCCCGACCCTTTGTCCAGGCGACCTTGGCGGTTTTTTGCCTGGAGACATTTGCCGATCTCTTCGTGTATCTTTTTTGGGTGACGGTCTTTGTGGTCTAGGTGATGAAGGTTTTTCTGCATGAGGAGAAGCGCTTCGTTTTCTTGACTCGTCTTTGGGAGGAAGCGCTTTGGATGGGGATGGTTTGACGACGAATTTTTTTTCAAGCTGCTCATAGTAACTTAAAGCTAGAAGCTTAAGGTCATCTAATTCAGATTCCTTTAAAGGGCTAACACTTACCATAATATCACTTGCCAGCTGCTTCGAAGTTGGGAATTCTGCTAAAATTTTTCATAGCACGTATAAGGCATTTTTCTGGACTATGTGGGAGTTTCCTTTGAGAGCTGTGCAGAGGTTGATGCTGATTTTGGCTTGGAGCTGCTGAGTCTGACTGATAAATATCGCCTGTGTGGGGATCTGAGAAAATCCTGGAGTGCCTTTGCATTCTTTATCAAAAACCCGAGTCCAGCGGCCTAGAAGTGAAAACAGTTCAAAAGCGAATAGTCCCATGTTTTGAGATTCAGCTTCGCTACAACAGTAAATGCATGGGATGATCTGAGAAATGCATTCAGAAATCAGCTGCATGGTCGGGAATTCAGGAATTTTCAGTTTTTGCATTATTTCAATGAAGCTTACACAGTACATAGCATCAACAGGGCTGCACATTAGTCTTGGGTAAATGCATTTCTGGACAAGCTGGGATGCTAAATTCGGGTTGGCTGCTAAATTTGCTCGCTTTTTGATTTCGTCATAAAAATATGTATGGGTCACTCTCAAAAAGCTTTTTTCTACCTCCAGCTCGTTGATTTGGTTCTGGATTTTCTGTTTTTTATCACCATTTTGCTTTTCGCTGATTTCATGCAGTGCTTTTATTTCTTCAATATATTGCTCTTCTGATGCTTTTATGTCAGTTAATGAAAGTGCCCAAAACACTGTATAAAATTCAATAGGGATTTCGCATTCTTCTGTAATTGATTTAAATTGCACAATTAAGTCGTCGAATCCTCGGATAATGTCAATGCCAGGTCGGACAATACACATAATTAAGTGGATGGGAAGGCCATAGTCTCGCTTTAGGCTGATTATAGGCTGTGGAGGGAGCAATTTGCTTGAAAAGATTTCATGGTCTGTGAATTGTATGGTTTTAAAATGAAATAGGCTTAATATTTTTAAGGCTAAAATCCGTTTTTGTTAGAAATAATAAAGGCAATTCTTATTAAGCAGGATAAACTTAATAAATCAATTAGATGGACTATGCAACCAATTAAACTATCATATAAAGAACTCAGCACTTTCAAATGTGGGGTGTTTGTTTTAAATAATACATTTTGTGCCTGCTGCCCAGCCAAAATTGCAAGCTCAATTGCACAGCTCAATCCACCAATTTCTAAAGGCTGCTGAAGCACTTTGCATAGCTCTTCTGAGCTTTTTTTGGTTTTTGTCCTTACATCATCCAGTTTATGTGCTATCACTTTTAGCTTTGGCCCTGCCGCTAAACTTTTGAGCATTCTTTCAGTAAGTTTATCTGGTGGGTTCCAGCCTGACATTTTGGTTAAAATTTCTCTTAAAATACATACTTCTACAACCTGGCTATTTTTTAGTGACTCTTTTACAAAGGTCAAAATCCCTACAAGCTCTGTCTTACAGTTAACCTTATAAAACTCCCCCACAAAATTTGCAATATTTTTCAGCCAAGGCGCAATTCCACCCCTTTCTAATTTTGGCTTTGTAATGGTATTTTCTTTATAATTAATTATCATTAATAAAAAAATATAAAAAATATTAAGAAAATTCAATATAAAAAGTATAGAAAGGGCTTGGAGTATCGAGTATGGGATCACGTCAAGAAATAAGAGATTTGAATGAGGAAAACAGTTGATGAGGATCGTGGTCAGGTTATTGTAGCTTGTGACTTGGAAAATCATTTCTTTTATGACGTGGCACATACTTTTGTTCATGAACTTCTGCAGTGACTTGCTGTCTTGCTTGTTGTTTTCTCTTGAAAGTCTTTTAATCCACGCACGTGTTTCTTTTATCTATCTGTAAATTATACCGTGATTCCTTGTTTAACGAGGACTAAGCCGTCTTCTTGATGGTTTTTCCAGACTTCGTACAAGTCATATCTTTCTCGGTACGACAGCACTTGTAGAGCTTTTCATAAGCCTAGCATCACCTCGTTAGAAGCTAGAGAAAGCCCAGGCAAAATGGCTGTTTTCATGAGTTGGATTATTTTTGCTTTGTCTTCACAATGCTGGAGGATCTTGCAGACTTTTACAAAGGCATCAGTGTTAGCGCCTATTGATGCTCCTAAGACTGGAAGAATTGTATCAAGGCACTCAAGGGCTTGGCTGATTGAAGAAGCTTGGGAGATTGGTCCTGTTGGGAAATTAGGAGGCTTTGCTGAAGAAAATAGTGGCTTAGGCAGGGTTTGGTAGATTGGGTCAACAACCCAATGAATTAAGTCACACAAAGCATCAACCATAGGTGGGTAATTGGCAACTAGAATTTTCCCTTGGAACCTTTCGAAGACTTCTTTTACAACTGGCCAAGCATTCACTCGGATTAGCTCAGAAAGCACTGCTAATTTTTGGTTATTTGGGTCTGGACTATTGAAAACCTCTAAATCTTGTTCTTGCTGAGAGCAGTCCCCATTGAGCACCACAATGTCCATGTTCCTTCGAATTGACTGTGCAAAGGCTTGATAATCTGATAAGCACGCCGCCAGACTTTCTGGCTTCAAATACCCCCACAAAGACTCTAAAGTCATAAGCTGGCTTTTTATGCACAAAGCCGCAATATGGGCTAATGGTAGCATATCAGTCGCCGAATTCTGAAACTTGAACCCAAAGATATATACACACTAAAACGGTGTGGCAAACCAACCTGCATTCTTGAAAGCTGGGGACCTTGTGATAGCGCAGAGAGCGTTCGGGAATGTGTATCCGCTAAGGTTTTATTTGGCTTGGTGGGGTTGATGTCAGGTTAGCCCACAACATGCTTGCATACAGTCAAGGTTTACCTCGCGGGGAGATGGTTTTGCGGAGTTGGAAAGGGAAAGCCCAACAAGGTCAGATGTGGCTATTTAGCCAATCGAGCTAATTCCCAGCGCAATACTAGGCATTACGTCTTGGGATCTATTTTGGTCAAGAGTTTGACCAGAACATTCATTTTTCGAATTTTCTGGAAGGCGAACCCCGATAGCATTCGCCGCATCTCGAACTCTTGTATGCCCTTGTCCATGATGAGTAACACAGTAGAAGGTCGTTTTAAGACTGGAAGCAATAGGTGGAGCGTTATGCTGAGACGAGTAGTGGCCTTCAGGGTATTTCTCTATAAGTAATTTAAGTTACATTAAATAACCCAAAGATATGGCAGAGCGCATGGGTATTTATCGTCGTCAAAAGCTGCAAAAGCTCCTGGTCCTCTGGGTGTATCTCGAAAATTGCGATTGCTAAATCAATTACTCTGTTCGGGTCAAGATTATACGCCCCAATTAGTTCTTGTGCAGCTTCCAGCTTGCCAGGGGAGTTGAGCGCATAGAGCAGCCTGGTGTATCCTTCTGGCTCTTCTCTCATCAGGTTGTATTTCTGCTGAACGTAGCTAATTGGCTCTTACATCATGGTTGTCCGTAATTTGTTCAAGCGGTCTCTGAAGACTTTTGCGGTCGAAATCAGTTCGCATTGCTCGAGGACTGGTTCGTCCAAATAAGCCAAGCAGTCTTCTCCAGTAAGAAAAGAACGGGCTAAAACAGCTTCAACAATTCGGGAATAGCTGGCATGTTGGTCAGAGCTCAAGTTTTCCCACTCAAGCCCGAGTAGCCACAATGCGTCACAAAGATCTTCCCTATGCTGCTCTAGGAGTCCATAGTTCAAGGGCGAGCCATCAAAAACACACTTTTGGAGATGAGCGTAAAGTTGGCTGAGTAAATTATACAAACTCTTTTCTTCCATTTAATTATTATTAACTGATGCTTTTTGGATTGAAAAGGCAGTGAATTCTGAAGGAGAAGGCTTGGGCTCGAGTTTGAGAGAATTTCATACCCTTTTTAAATTATTTGTATAGGGATTTATGTGAGGGTATATAAGGAGGCGGCATATATAAAAAATAGACTGAGTTTTTTTTTGATAAAAAGTTTGTCTGGTTATTTTGGTTTATTACATAGAGAAGAAATAAGCGAATATAGATAAAAGATAACAAGCCTTCAAATATAGCTATTTATTAAACATATTTGTTATTTTCACCTATTTCTTCAACAGTCTAAATAATATAATGGAGTCAGAGACAATGAACTATAAATACCTTGGAAATTCTGGTCTCAAGGTGTCTGTCCTCGGTTTTGGGAACATGACAAGTGGCTGGGCAGAAGGAACTGAGCAGTGGAACTTTGAATGTATGAATAAATGTGTCAGGGGTGGCATCAATTTCTTCAACACTGCAGAAGTATATGGAATGGGATCAGCTGAGACCATCCTCGGCAATAACCTAAAGCAAGGAGGCTGGGATAGAGACGATCTAATCATCAGCACAAATTTAATCCCTACCAAAGTTATAGGAATTCAAGGATTAAGCAGAAAAAGGCTTCGTCAAGCCATAAATCACTCCCTCCAGCGGCTTCAGTTAGACTATATCGACGTTCTTTATCTCCATAGATTTGACTATGAAGTCCCTCTTGAAGAAACCATAAGAATCATCAACGACTTAATTGATGACGACAAAGCGTTTTATTGGGGAACTTCAGAGTTCACCCCTCAGCAACTGTCTGAATGCCACAGAATCTGTGAAAAGCACGGCTGGATCCCACCAATTGTCGAGCAAGCACAGTATCATATGTTTGAGAGAGAAAAAATAGAAAGAGATTATGTCCCTATTTTTAGAGAATATGGGATGGGGACTACTGTTTGGAGTCCTTTAGCTGGAGGACTTTTATCAGGGAAGTATAATGATGGAAAAATTGTTCCTGGGAGAGCTGAGAGTGGCTTAGCTGCAGCAGTTTATAAGCAGAAATTTGATAATTATATTGGGAATAGAAAAGAGGACGCTGTAAGAACTTTGAAGGGGCTGCAAAGTTTGGCTGAAGAGCTTGGATGTACGCAAAGTCAACTGGTTTTGGCTTGGGTTATTAAAAATCCTGATGTGACGACTGCAATACTTGGGGCTTCTTCTCCAGGACAGTTAGATGAGAATTTAGCTGCAGTTGAAGTTGTGAAAAAAATTACTCCTGAAGTGTTGGCTAGGATTGAAGATTTACTAGGAAATCGTCCCAATCCTTCTATGAATTGGAGAACTTTCACTCCAAATCCACCTCGGCGCTAGTTAAATTATGCATAAAGGGTGGATATATCTAACCTTTTTAATTATAATCTTATAATATTGAAGTTAAAATATTAAAAATTGGAATGAGAAGTCTTATAGCAAGCAATTATTATTAATACAAAGAAAAATAAATTTAATTAATAAGCTCGGAATCATCTGCTGATTAAAAAATAACCTTTTAGGCATATTTTTCACAATTTCAGAATTCTCAATATTCCATAAAGCATCAGATTTTGACTGTCTGGCATTATTAGGCAGCACAGCTGGTGCTTAATAGTAAAAATTAGTATTGAAAGATAATGGTAATAAGCCTAAATTTAGCTGCTTATAGCATCTCATTCATTAAATATTAAAAACTTACAAAAGGTTTAAAATTTTAATTTTCTTGCAAAATATATATAAAATACACAAATTTTCTTTGCATTTTTCATCTCACAAGTATTGTAAGCAAGAATAGTTAGGATTACTTCTTTATATGCTTTGTTCTTGCTGCTGGGGTAGTCCCTTCTCTGAATGCGTTCTTAGCTCTTCTTGGGATTGACTTTAGGTATCTCATTCTTCCGGTTCCTTCTCCTCTTCTCCTGTGGGTCTTGAGAGCCCAGTTATAGTGTCTCATCTTAGCACTTGGATAACCACAGGATGCGCACTCCAATGTTTGCTTATGCAGTGATCGTTTCCCGCAACGTCTGCAAACTGTGTGAGTGTGGCTGTTTCTCTTTCCTGCGCTTGGAGTTCCTTTTGTCTAAATAGTCTCTTACCATTCTCCTGAGAAATTAATGCCATTAATCTGATTTTTAGGTTCGATCGATTAGAGTTTTATGGGTTTTTCAGCTCAATAAATAATTGATAAAATAGAATTATAGCCCTATAATTAATTTTATCTTATAGACATATGGCTAGAAGAATTAGATCTAACTCTCTGTTAATTTATACCATTTCTCTATCTCCGTTTTCTTCAAATTTACTGTGATTCGGCTTTTCCTGATTTTGTAGTTGCTTTGGCTTGGATCAATATTGTGGGTCAGGTTTTTCAAAATCAGCTTCCTGGTTTCTGCTTCTGAGAAATCGTAGGTCAAGGCAAATTCTTTTGTGTTGAATGTACAGGAAATCAGCTCTGCCTTTACTTCTTCTTCAAAATTTATGTAAAGTGTCACTTTGTCATCATCTTCAGCCCAGGAGTAGTTTCTTATGTTTACAATTTGAGGGGTGACTTGTCGTGCTGCCTCTGCAGGAGCATCTTTTGTGATCAAAACTGGAGGGCCGCCAGTCACAATGCCTACACCTTCTAAAACTTTGGCTTCTTCAGGAATATCATTAACATTAACATTAATTGAGTATTTAACAAATTTCTCCAGCTCCGCAGGGTGATTTAACAAAGCCACAAGGGCTCACCCCAGTAGACACCAATTGGTGACGTCACTGGGCATTTCCGGATTCACCCTTTTTATCGAATCGACGGTCAACTGGCTGCCAGATCTCACGGGCTGCATTGCCTCGCTCAAAACTTGACTCCAGCGCATGTACCACCTATGGGTCTCCCTCCTCGGGAGTGTTAAGCAGTAAAACTCTGTGCCCACCAAGCATCCAAGGATCAGGCCAAGAGGTTGTGCACTCCCATTGCTTACCTGATGTAGCTGTATAAGATCTCACCAGGAAAACTGAACCCTATAATAAATAAAATACTTCTTCAGGAATATCAATGTTTCTAGGAGCGTGGGCGTAGTAATAAGACTTGTCGCCTTTTTTCTTGATTGATTCCATGAGCGCGTTTTCGCTTTCGACCATTCTAGAAATATGGATTCAATATAATTAACAATTATATTTCATTTTTCTATTATTACTCATCTGTTTTAATTCCCTCATGCTATTATTTTCTTAAATAAGGTAGACTAACAGTTTTATTTCTTTAAATATTTTTCTGTTTATTTATAGGAGGCTTGTAAATCCGCTATCGTCCAATTTATTTGAAGGCAATTTTGGTTCTAAAGGTTTTGATTTTACACTTTTTTCTGTACTTTTTTTATTTTCAGGAATATTCAAAATTTGCTATTAAAAAATTATTATGTATTTATATGTAAGGCTTTCTTATTACGATGGAATTAAGATAATACTAATAAATTATAAAGCTTTATATATAGCATATGTTTATATATTTTTGCTTTATAATAATGTTTTGAAAAATACTAGCAGCAAAGATGTTTAATTTATGCTATAATATTTAAAATTAAAATAAATATTCATTTATTACACGTAAAAATATACACTAGCCCTTTTTTTTCCTCGTCGAAGTTCCCGAAGTATTCAAAAAGCTTGTTGGAAGTCTTGATATATCACCCAAGCTAAGTTTTTGCTCATGCCTTGGCTCATTTGAATGCTGAGCACTATTTCCTCTATTTACAGTATCTGATTTTTTTATCAGATTTTCTTGAACTCAATGGTGCCTAATTGCGTCATCAGGAGTCATCCTCTTCATAGGATCCCACTCAAGGCATGCTTCGACTAGTTCAATAAACTCATTATCTGCCCCTCTCAAAATGTCTCTCAATGATTTTGAACTAGGGTACCTCTTTTTTCCTCTTGAATTAGTAATTATCTTTGGCTGCCCAAAAGGATCAAAAAACAGCTGCTTTCTTGTAGCACCTGCCAAGACTTCTTTAGATGGCATCCCAAGTACTTCCATAATGCACAAAATCTGTTCTGCTTCACTTTCTCCACAGAACAGCGGATATCCAGTAAATAGTTCAGCTAAAATGCATCCAAAACTCCACATATCAATCATGGTCGAGTATGGAAGTCCTAGTATTATTTCTGGAGCTCTATAGAACCGGCTTTGGATATATGTGTATATTTTTTCGTCCTCAAAACAAGATGAGCCAAAGTCAATAACTTTTAAAGAAGAACGGTTCGGCTGCTTAAGCAAAATATTTTCTGGCTTAAGGTCACAGTGAATAATATTATATCGCTTTAGCAGCCGCAGGGTTTGAAGAATCTGAAATGCGAATCTTTTGATTAAATTTATACTGAGCCCGTGGAAATTATTTCCTTTTAAAAAGTCGTATAGATTTATGCTGAGCATCTCAAAAGTTAAGCAGAGATGATGTCTGAATTGAAAATAGTCTGCAATGTGGACGATATTGTAGCTTTCATTTGTATCTTTTTCTTTTAAAAATTTCAAAATTTTTATTTCAACGATACCTTGCTGGTGGAATCTTTGTTTATTCCTTAACCCTTTCCTAAACAGCAAACATTGGAAAGGAAATTAATTGCTCAATTTATAATGATTTTTAAGCAGTTGAATTCATAAACTAATTTTATAAATGAGACTTTTTGGTCATTATAAAAACATTTTGCTTGCTTACGATAGGAATAGCTAGAATCTTCAGCGCAACATGCATCCTCAGATTATGGTCATATGCTTTCAGCACTATTCCAAAACTTCCTTTTCCTAAAACCTGCACAACTTCATATCTATACGCAATATGATCTCCTATAACCACTTTATAATCTCCCCTATCGTCATCATAACCATGATTTATCGTATTATTTTCGCTTGTTTTTACCTTATCAGCTCCAGCCCCAATAAACCATATTTCATTATAATTCACAACTTCATTATACTCATGAGTACTCAAAAACCTCACAAAATGCTTAAGCACCTTTGCCGGAACAACCGGCAATGTAAGCTGTTCCCATTTTTCCTCTTTTTCCACTTCCATTGAGCTACTGCTGCTTCTAGCCCTTGTAGTAGCCTTTTTGTTATTGTCAATAATATCTTCAATACCAAATTTGCTTGGAGATTTACATAGTAAGCTTTCTGAAGAGATCCCTCAATCAATTTTTTTGCTTGCAGTCTGCTTAACTGCTAAAGGCTTTTGTGCAGTATAATTGAGTATTTTGCTCGCTTCAGCTGAGCTATTTAGAGAATTATTGAATGATGCAGTTTCTGATGTCGCTGGGATTTTGTAGCGATTACTTCTTAATGATGAGTTGGACTGGAGGAATTTTGAGACAGGAAGGGTTGGGATTTCTTGGATATGCTTGCTGGGTTTTGGCTGAGTTGAAACTCGGGGCTGAAATTTTGATAAGAGGGTGGATTTGTTTGGACTTAAATTTTTAGCTGAGGCAGATTCAGCATGAATTTGAGGCTTTAGCTTAGAATTTCGGGTTGAGTGTGGCTGAAAGGTAAATTTGGCTTGCGGGCTATGAGTTGAAGTAGCAGGAAGGTCTCTTGTGGGGTGCTTTGATAACTTGTGCATATTGCAATTAAAATCAAATTTTTACCACTATAGATAATTAACTGCAAAATATATAAATTAGCTAAAATATAATTATTTAGATTTCTCTGTACTCCTTTAGACTTAATATCTTTTGATACCCCTTAGAAAAGTTGCGATGGAGTTGATACCATTTTTCATAATTCCTTTTGAACAAATTCATTGTCTCAACGAACTGTGACGCTATTTCATTTCTTGTCCACCCATTCCTCCAGGCGCACACATCGAAATTTTCAATCTGATCTAACAAACCCTTAAAGCCTTCAGAAAAGTTTTGCAAATCAAAAGTGGGATTCGTGCAGCTGCCAGAATTCATTGCTTCTACACAAGCCTTGACCTTTGTATAATCCTCAGTATCTAGCCTAAATCTCTCCTTGTCTGCATATATAGACTCAACAATGATTTTTATTTGCCTATAATGCATGTCACTTCTGTCTAATGAAAAGCAGGTTATTGTAGTGAGATGGCCTATCATTTCGACTGCGTTTCTTGTTCGTCCTGATTCTAAATCGGTTACTACGATGGTTGCCATTCTCAGAATTATCACTTTTTGGGAATCCCTCATGACATCGGTATAATAGCTTCTTTCAGCTGAAGGATACTGAGCCTGATATACAAAAGATTTCAAAGCATCCATAAAATAGCCCAAGTTTAAATAGTTTAAGATATAGAGTGTTATATAAGCTTCTTTCATTACATTTTTATACTCTTTTTTAAACTTCTCAAAGGATTTCAAGTTATTCGGGCTTAAGTCAATGAATTTGGGTGCTTGATTGTAGGAATTAATGAAAAATTGGCAGAGCTTTAAATAGATGGGGTCATTTTTATTATAGTTGATAAGGGATCCTTTGTCGGGGTAGTATTCTTGCACACAAGTGTCAAGAATATATCACTTGCATAGCATCAACTCACCTTTAATTCTCAAAAACACTGAGAAATTTATCAACTCATGCATTATGTTTCCTGCAGTCTTATCCTTCAAAGACTCATAGCTTAAATACTGAGTGTCGCACATAGTGTATCTAGAGGTATAGAGGTTTTGGATCTCTTTTAATGCTGAATTCGCTCCAAACTCATTTAGCTGTTCTCACTCTGCAAAATTATGAGCCTTTATTTCATTCAGCATTTCAGCTGACAGGTATGTGTAATAGTCATCATTTCCTGGATAATCTGATAAAATAGAATAAGAGCAGTATAAGGTGTCTTTTGGCTCTGGCTTCAGCTTTGAGTCTACATATACTAAGGAATATGCAGAGGAGCTGCCATCACCGCCAAGGCTTATGCTCATAACTTCATCTTCTGAAATTTCAGTTACACTTATATCACTGTATTTCCTCCAAATCCCTCTTTCTGAGTCGTAAATAAAAGAATAATAATGGCCTCCTTCAGCACTGCCCTCGTGGATTAGTATGGAGTGCAGGTAGTATGGAGTTTTCATTAAACCTGGAACCTTATACTGCTGTTCAAGCTCTTTTCTCAATTTCTCTAGCTCAGTCTTCTTCTTTTCCATTGAAGTCTGGCACAAATTTCGTAGATAAGCAAGCCAGTTGGCAAGGTCTTTCAACGTTTGGCTGTCGACTTCATTGTCCCCTAGGATTCTTAAATTATCTTGCTGAAACCCATCTTCTGAGCATTCTTCTTTTATAAATGCACTGGCTAACTGCAATATCTCAGGCAGGCCTAGCCCAGAATTTTTGTATTTAGTAATAGAATCTATTGTTTCTTCCATTGTTTTTATTTGCCTTCTTAGATTTTTCAAAGTCTTATGCTGCCTCTTAGATTCCTGTTTGTTCTTATATAAAAATCTATCAATATGTATAACTTTTGGAAACTCAAAGCGCTTGTTGATTTTGATAGGCGATCTTTTTTGTTTATCATAGGCCACTCTTTGAATGTGAAACAATAAAATAGATGGTGGATTCTCAATCCACACCCTCTGGCATGCAGTCGTTTCACTGCCACTCGGTGTCATAAAATTTTCAATTTTTGTGCTTTTTGAAAATTCCCATGCTGTATACAAATCTCCATACTCGACGTCCAGGTTGATTTGTCCAAACACTGCATGGTTTATTTGTGTTGCCTTCCTTCCGAATTCATTGAAAGTGATAGACTCTATATGCTTTCCATAAAACATATTAGATATCAGTCCATCTAAATTTACCATCATCCCTGAACTAGTTCTATATGATTCATATTCGTCGTCTATATTACGGTTTCTCATAGCTTCTGATATCCTTGATACCAAAATCATATTAAATTCCCCCACATCTCTTTGGCTCCCTATTTCTATTTTATTTCCAAAATCATCTGTAATTGAGCTGAGGACAGAGGTAGGGTCTATATATTTTCTGTTGCTTCCTATCATTAAAGCAAAAAGCTTTTGAAGCTGCGAAAGAAGCTGAAATTTGCTGCTGGTCACCCTTTGTGGGATTTGAAAGCTCATGACTGCTTTTACGAAAGCTGGGATTGCAAAATAGGTTTGGATTAAGGAGTTAAAGTAGCATGTGTTTCCGATGTTTTTTAGGCCAACTGGGGTCCCTTCAACCCTTATACGCTCTTCAGGGTTTAGAGGCTCAAAGGCATTCAGATCATTAATTGCTTTCTGAGTGTTATACGTCTCATAATGGCTTTGATTGTTTTTATCTACAAGCCAGTTTAATGCAGCGTCAGAGCCAGTCCCACATAGCTTTAGTGCTTTCTGAACGTCTGCAAGTGAGAAGCCCATCCTTGTGAGCTCTTCTACTTTAGCGCTATTATAGTTTTCCATGCTTAAAAATATATAGAAAGATTATTTTTGATTAGCCAATCTTGTGTAGATGTGATTTACATGTTTGTGCTACATAAAAATTACTATAAGGGGCCACTTCCTCCTTCTGGAGTGATTCAATTAAGAAACTCCCCGACTGTTTTTATTTCACAAGCCTTACAGTGCAAACATTTTGTCTGGTCAATTTTCAATTGATCCTGCTCATACGTAAAAACTCCTCCTGGGCAGAACTTCTCTTCAAGTCCTGCAAATTCCTTGCTTTACCTTAAAAAGAAATGAAATGGTGGCATTGTGGAAGAGGACTCTAGGCGCACTCTATGGAAAGGTAGGATCCATCTGATGAATGAAACAGGGCCTCTGCACTTATTTTGAAGCAGACCTTTAGGCTTGGGCTTGCCTTGCGAATAGGAATTTTTGTTTTTCCTTTGGAGGTTTTCTTGTGTCTGCAAGATAGACTAGACAGGTTTTGCCGACCGTTTGATCTTTCCTTTTCAGAACAATCGGGGCACACTCCAGGTTGTGGCTCTGCCCTATGTAGCTTATCTCTAGGGATGTATATTAAAGCGATGTCGAGAACCAACCCACCCTCTAGCAGGGGAAACCCAGAAACCTTGTAGAAGAGAGGATGAAGTCCAGTGATGTGTATTCGGTCAGGTTTGGCGGATCGCAATGTCTTACGATGCTGGCCGCAGCTTATTCCAAACCAAGGTTTTTACCTCTTGGGGAAGATAGAATCTCAAAGTCCTCTAGGCCAATCCTGTAATCTCCTAGCGAAAGGCCGGGAGTTGTAGCCCAAGTCGGGCGTACTACACTGTGACCCATCCCATGCACTCCAAATAATGTGTGAGCCCATTTCTGGAGGTGTATAGCTGATAGGCAGATGGCAAGCAGTTACGAAGTAAGGCAGAGATAAATACCCTTTTGAAGTATCTCAGGGATCTTTTCAACGATCTTAACTAATCCTTTGGGCATATGGCAGACTTAAATTTTCCAGATTTGAACTCCGAGGTCTTTTAAGATTGCTATTCCTTGGAGCTGATAAGACTCAAAAGTTAGCAGGCTTGCCTACTTATGGCCAGTTAAACCTTTAATTTAGTCAATTTGCTTGACCTTTGAGTTTGCTGCTTCTCCATTCCCATTTTAATTTTAATAAAATCTGGCTGATCTGGATCATTCTGTGTTCCCGATCTTCTGAGATTTGTTAATAAATCAAACGCTATTTTTCCATCAGGTGTAGGATACTGGATCGGCTCATACTCCTTCGCATATTTGGTCGCCTCTGAATCTCTTCACGAATTTTCTGACTTTGCCCTCAAATTCAGCTTCAGCCTGACTTCATCCTCGCTATAACTAAGCGCTGCCAAATACAAGCCCATCCAAAAGTTTCTATTAAAGCACGATCTTATATGTCTTACAGATATAAGTTCATCCCAAATCCAAGACCTCCTATATTTTTCATAATAATCATACAAGTCTTTCCCTTCAGCTTCATCCTTTGATAAAGCCTCATGCAGGACTTCAGCTGCAATCATCCCACTTTTCATAGCTGTATGAGTGCCTTTTAGCTTTGCGTAGTTTAAAAAACCAGCTGAGTCTCCTATCAGCATTCCTCCTTGAAAAGTTATTTTTGGGACTGAAAAAAATCCTCCTTCAGTCAAAGTTCTTGCTCCATATGCTAAACATTCTCCGCCTTCTAAATAATGCTTATAAAGTGGATGAGTCTTAAGACGTTGGAATTCTTGGTAAGGGCTAATGTAAGGGTTATTGTAGTCTAAGCTTATAACTAAGCCGACATGGACTTTATCTGCAGCTTGATGGTACATGAACCCTCTTCCCCTTGTAGATAGGTCAAGTGGCCAGTTCAAAGTTTGGATAGCTAGGCCTTCTTCGAATTTTTCAGGACTGATTTTTCATACCTCCTTGATACCAAGGCCGTAGGATTGGTCAATTGCATATCGTTCACCATCGTCAAATCACCCTAAATTGAATCGCTTTATTAAGTCTTCTGAGATACTCCCTTTAGATCCTTCTGCAAATAAGGAGTGCTTTGCATAGATTTCGACACCTTTTTGGTAGTCTTTTCGAGGCTGCCAGTTTTTTCCAATTCCAAAATCGCTACAAATTATACCTTCAACGTATCCTTTTTGGTTAATTAAAACTTCAGAGGCAGGGAAGCTTGGGTAAATTTGGACTCCAATACTTTCTGCGTATTTTCCTAATCATCTGGTAGTTTCACTGAGAGAAATTATGTAATTGCCTTCGTTATTCTTACTTAGATTTAGTAAGGGTTATCGTTTAACGTCATTACCACATGATCCACTCAGCTTCAGGGACTCCCCATTCACCTTCGCGCTGAGCACCGCTTGGCTTCAGTTAATTATCCCTTAGATTTGGCATTTGGATTTCGATAGATATCCTTCCAATTTTCGGGCTGGTCATAGGTTGTCTGCGTAAAAATCCCAAAATAGGAATCTCTAGCTGAGTGTCGGCAAAATGTCAGCTTGAAGCCCAAGGCATAACTTTTGGCCTCACGCTGAGTGTTACTCGATTGATCTAGTGGTACCTATAGGCGTTGATGGGCTACCCTTTTCAACTTTAAGTCTTCCCACTCCCATATGGGATAAAACCCATTTCTACATTTTATAGTAATTTTTTTCAAATTTAAAAGTATCCAAATTCGAAATAATTTAAAGCAAATATTAATTTAATTTGTAAAATTTATGTTTTAAAATGCAATTTATTTAAATTAGTCTGAATTAGCATGAGATTTCATAATAGCAATTATATGTAAAAATAATTTTTCCAAAAAATTTAATTAAAAACAATTTTTGTTCACTCATATAGGGGCAGTTAGCAAGCATAGCTGTCCATTTTTGGGGTCGTAATACATTTCTGAATATAATTAAAATGTGCTTTGTGATGCATGACTTGTCCAGATGCCCTTTTATTATAATTGCCTTCGTTATTCAAATATCCAGGCCTCACAAAGTTAGGTATGCTGAATGATTTATTTTCAGACAAAATTAAAGTCTTGAAATTTCTAACTGGGGTTTTGATAGGACTGTCCATATCACGTCAATTTGGAATGAGTTCATCAAGTGCCCTAGGCTCAAATAAGCATCCAGATACTATATGTGCGCCAACCTCTACACCTTTCTCTACAACAATTACTTGATAATCTGGGTTCAGCTGTTTTAGTCTTATTCCAGCAGATAATCCAGCAGGTCCAGCTCCCACAATGACGACATCGCATATAATTCTGTCTCTCTGAACCATCAAAGACCCAAATTTTCTTACTGCTTTCAGCATTATAAATAATAAATTTTATAATAAATCATTAAATAATTTCGCTCTTTGTGGAACGGAGAGGATTGAAAGGACGATTTTTAAAAGAGCTTGGAGAAGCTCTCATAAGTCGAGATTCAATATTCGGCGCAAACTGAGGCGAAATCAAAGGGTCGTATCTCACTATCTTATGAGAGCTTTCTTCAGCTCTTTCCAAGATCCTCTTAAGGCTTGATTCTGGCTCGAAGTTGACTCTTATTGTATCAGCTTGCTCTTGTGCTTGAATTATCTCGAATTCTTTTTCTGGATTTTTATAACGCTTTCTCCGCTCTATGTTCCCACACTCTTTAAGCTCGCCTTCTAAACCTACCATTTTTCTTTTATAATTCTGGATCTGTGCTTCAATTCTATCGAGTTGAGATCTCATGGCTTCTATTTCTCTTCTAGCGTTAATGGCATTTTCTTCTTGGCTTAAACCAATGCTGCTTCTTACTCTGCTTTTGGCTTGTGAGCAAAAGTTTTCTGTTCATAAGCCAAAGGGTTAAAAAACTTATATTCAAATTTTATATAACTTAATGGGATTTTCTAATACTTTTGCTCGTTAGTCAAGAGAAATGTCAGCTCATTTTCCAAAGCTATCAACTGCCCTTCAATCCTTATCCTTTCTCTTTCACATATTTCTATGTCCCCATGCGTTTTCATCATTTCTACTAATATCAATTGCAGATCACTGTAAGGTATAGATGCTTGCAGCATTTTTAAGAATCCTTCCAGCCCTTTTTTTTCTTTTAGGATCTGATTTGCTTTGTCCTCAAGCATTTTTAGTGCGAAAACATCACTTTCTGCAGTGGTTCTCCATTTAATTGTTTCTGATGCACTATATTTGAGCTGGTCTTTAAGCTTATTATTTTCTTCATTCAAGCTTTGCAGGTCTCTCTTAAGAGCTCCTGCTTCGTTTTGGAAAGACCTTGACTTGTTAAAGCTGCTTTCTCTGTCAATTTCAAGCTTATTTTTCTCCTCAACTAAGGCTTCAACTTCTGACCTGAGGTTTCTTTCTCTATCCTTTAGAGCTGCGTCATCAATTGATAAAGCATCATAACGCTGCTGTAACAAAAGCAATTTTTGGGCTGTGACTTGGGATTCCTGCTTCAGGTCAGAGTAGCTTCTGATTAGCAGTTCAAGCTCTTTGCAGGTAGACAAAACCCAGTCTTCAAGAAGCTGAGTATTTTCTGGGTGATTTTCATTGTATTTCATTAGAAAATTTTTGAAAGCAGGACTAATTGTAGAGGAATAAGTTGACGCAGAAGCACAAATAGAGCCAAAACTAGACAGAAATCCAGAAATGGTAGATAAGCAGCTCTTAGCACTCTTCGCAACCTTTTCTTTTTCTTGCAGACTAGCAGTAACTCTTGAAATTTCCTGCCGCAAACCACCCAGTTCTTCACTTGCTGCAGTTTTCCCTTGTCTTTCAGAATCTGCCTCCTCACGTGCCTGCTGAAATTCCTTTTTCAGCAGCTCAATTTCATAATTTGCATCATCAATATAATTGTCCCTATCCCTAACCATCTCATCCATTTTTTGCAGTTCAAGGTTAAGCTCTTCTAATTTAGCTTTAAAATTAGCAGCCTCATCTTGTGACAGTTTATGCGAACACTGCTCAGAGCTCAATTTTATTTCTACTCTGTGCAGCTCTGCTTCTAATTCTTCCTTCTCATGGGCCATTCTGACAAGTTCTTGATGGGTGTTTTCTGTGACAATTCTGTTTTCATTTTTTTCTTTTTTTAGAGCTTGGGCTTCTTTTTTGATTTTTTCTATTTCTTCTTCTTTGTCGGAAAGTTTACTTTGGAGCTCGCTTATTTCTTCTGCAATTGCGAGTTCTCGCTTTAAAGCTTCTTGCTGCTCGCCCCAGGCTTTTTGGAGTTCTTTTTGAAGGCCGTCAATCTGCCTGACTGACTGCCGAAGATCGTCTTCTTTGCTTGTGTTTAAAGAGTCTCGCATCTGTCGGAATTCTCGTTCTTTGTAAATTAAGCTTTCTTCGAGCTCTTGGGCTTTTTCTTCGGATTTCTTTTTACTGATTTTAAGCTCTTTGATGCTGCTTTCAGAAGCTTCTAGCGATTCTTTTAAATTATTTCGCTCTCTAAGCAGTGAATTATAGTTTTCTTGCAAGGCATCTAATTCTGCTTGTGTTTCTCTAAGTGTATTTGACAAAGTTGAGCTATTGGCTTGCAGTGACTCATTTTTATTCGTCAAATTTTGAATTTGCTGCTTTGCATCTTCAATTTCTGCAGAGAGTTTCCTTATTTTCTCACTCAAACGGGAATTCTCTTCACTTGAACTCTTTGCTTCTCCATCAATCTTGCTTTTATCCCTCCTCACAATTTCAAGCTCATCTTCTACCATCGATTTCATACTCTGCTCTTGGCTTAATATTTGTCTGACCTTCAAAAAATTTTCTTCAAGCTCCATTTTCTCTTTCAAAATTTTTTCATACTCCTCTTTAAACTCTTTTTCCTTATGTGAAAATTCCTCAGCGTACTCTAACAGTGCATTTTTCTCATCTTCTAGTTTATTAAGCTCTTCTTCTGCAAAAGCAAGGGATTCAGCAGCTGCTTCAAGGTGCTTGTGTGATTCAGACCTCTCAATCAAAAGATTATTGTTTTCTTCGTTTTTCTTTTTAAGCTGCTCAGACATGGCTGTGAGGTGTGCTTCTTGGTCAGCAATTATACTTTGTAGCTTGGAGATCTCTTTTCTTGTGTTGTCAGTAGTCGTTTTAGTATTGGTAAAGTCAACAAAAGCGTCAATGTCACGATGAGAAATTCCTAGGTTTTCCATTTTTGCCTCCAATGCTTGCTTGAGAACTTCTATGTAAGTTCGCTGTTCTTCTGAGAGGAGGGTTTCTGCCCTTAAGCTCTCTTCGAGATTATTCTTTTCTTTTAGGACATCGCTATGCTGGTAGTAAATGGCTGCATAGAGTTCTTGTAGTTGATTTAAAGTTAACTGAGTTGTGGGTGGAGGGAATGTGTAATTTTCAGCTAGAGGGACTTTCATTTGTGGTGATTTGTTTTCTCTTTTGGATTGAGAGCTCTGCGGGCTATAGCCTTCTGGGAATTTCCCGAGATGATCAGGGTTAACAGGGAAAGGGTGATTTGGACAAAACTCTGAAATTCTTTTTTCACATAGGATTTTATATTGCTCTAACTCTCAAAACCATAAAGCTTATAATATTTTATTTTCAGTTCATTATTTTAACACCTTAACACCTTAACACCCTGGACCTATATTTTATACTAAAAGGTAGTAAGTTTCTAAGTCTTTGGGCTTGTGATCTAACTTTTTCTCGCAGCTGATTAGCGACCTCTACCTCTTCACTAGGAGCATACTCGACCCCATCCTCTTGTGAATCTCCCTGAGATAAATTACGTCGAAACGATTCTTCCATTTTAAATGTCAAACGAATTTAAATTATCTTATTAAATTGTTGCTATTCAATAGAATAATGGAAATCAGTTTCAGGCACTGGCTGAATCCACTCGAATGCAGTTCGATGAGTCGTGTCCCAGTTCACTTTGCCATTACCTACATCGAAGTGGTTTTTTCTAAGGTTTTTAATTAAGTTGGGGTCGGCTTTTGAAACTTCCCCAAGAGAGTTCTTAAAATCTGTCCTCTGAGTCGAATTAAATAAAGGCGATTCCGCTCCATATTGAAAGTGGGTTGCTCTTAGGTCATCTAGGCTTTTTTTATCAAGCTCACTCTTTTTACCTTTTCCTTTGCCAATTTGACTTGAAGTAGTTTTATAGCTGTCTCCTCCAACTCCTAATACAAAATGATGGCCTCTAAGGTAAGTTTTCAAGTTATGGTCAAGGCCTCTTTGTTCAGAATTTTCAGTCATTGGCCGAAATGAATCTTGGGCTTCACTTTTGTTGGCAGGTGGATTAGAGCCAAAAACTATATGGGAAGACCAGTCAGATGCATGATCCCTTGCTTTTTGGGTTTCTGATAAATTTTTTCCTTCATGATTTTCACTATAAGCGGTAGACCAAGGCTTCTTTTCTGTCCCCAGCAAAAAGTGGGTTTTTCTCAGTGCGACTGAACTAGATTTTGGAGTTTCAACAGACGATGAGTGGAAGTTTTTGTAAGAAGTTGACTCAGCGTCATAATTTGGCTTGTCACTTCCAAACAAAAAATGTGATGCCCTTAAGTCACCAAGCTTTTCATAATTCAGCTGTTCTTTGCTGTTTCCTTTATTATTGAAATTCGTCTGGGTCATGGAAGCCATATCTCCTTTTACGTTACCAAGTTGGAAGTGCTGCTTTCTTAGGTCCTTGGAAAGCTCTTTAAAACCTATGGCTTTTGAGTTTTCTTTTGGCCCGAAATCTTGTTTGTTTGTGCTTGTATATGTCACAGGGGTGTTACCTACTTGAAAGTGAGAAGCTCTTACTCCCCTCTTTGTGAGCGAACAAAACCATTGAAAAAATCCTAATTTTTTGCCCAAAAGCCCACCCTCTGTGAGCAAACGAGAGATTTTTATTATGAAAACAATATTTTGGTATATAGTCATAGTTAGTAAAATGAAATCTCTAGATAATTCTGTAATTTTAAACAGCTTGCATTATAAAACATATATTTTACAGATTACATTAATATTTATAGAAATTTCCCATAGATGGCGCTGTTTGCCCTTGATTTGCCCATGAGAAAAATTTTTTGGTTTGACCAAACCATATGGGACTGGTCGAACCAAAAAATTTCCCCAGTGGGCAAATCAAGGGCAAACAGCGCCATCTATGGGAAATTTCTATACTTTCCAATTTGGATTTTTTTTAAATTTGAAAAAGTATTTCAATATAAAATTTATATTGATATTTATATTTTAAAAAAATTTACCACCTTTCCTTTAGCGAAAAAAATATTTTTGGTTCCATCACGAATGGGGAGTCAGATCTTTTTTAATCTTTAGCAAGTCAGACTCACTTGCTCTCTGAACTGTCTTGGGCCCGTAAGTAGATTTCGCAATTGATTCAAGGCTGAGAGGATCTTGCCCAAAGATGAAGTGGTGCTGCCTGAGAGATCGATCGACATCCATTCCTTCTACCAAGCAAGTGGCTGGCCTTTCACTAGGTACAAAAGATTTCGAGGACGTTGTATTGTAATCAGCCGAATCAGATCCAAGCTCAAAGTGATGCTTTCTTAAATCGCCTTTTACCTCTGCTTGGGCTTGAACTCCAGAGGATTTGAAGTTTTGAAACCTTGTCATAGACTCAGTTTTCGATAGCAATGGAGCGCTGCCTGTTCCTAAATCAAAATGGGATTTGCGAATATTTTTTCTCAGTTCTGGGTCTTGTTTTGATGTATTAAAGCCCTTGCTGTCTAAGAAATTTGCATGAGACGTAGATTTATAATTGGGTCCGTCTCCCCCAAGAACGAAATGAGTTTTGCGAAGCTGATCTGCGAGTTTCAGCCTTTGGTCTCTTGTCATATAACTGCCCTGCATATTGAATTTCTTAAAATAATTATCAATTATACAAGCACAAAATTTATGAAATCTGCAAATTTGTATAAAATTATATTAGACGAGTCTGCTTTCCAATATAAGCAAATAGTGATATATCATTTATCTAAAAGCGTCAAATATAGATAGAAAATATAATATTTTCTATAATAAAAAACCAACATATAGCGCTTGTGAAAGTAAATGCTTTATTTCTTACCTTTTTATTGTTTAACAAGCTAAACTAAATGAAATCTTAAAAAAATTTAAAATCCTATAAAATCAGAAGAAATTAAGCAATTTATACCTTTTCGGCATTAAAAATGATAAAGTCTTTTTCAACAGTTATATAAAAGTATGTCTTACCCCTACATGTAATTGAAACTCAGGAAATTCGACAATAAATCTCCCATCACAATCAACGACGAGTTTTCAAGCAAAGAAGAGGAAGAGCAACTGTTTGAAAAGCGGCTTCCAGTTCCTGCAAGACCTGTGAGTGCTAAAAATTCTGAATTTAAAGCTTCGAAAACTCCTAAAAAGAAACTGGCACGGCCGACCTCAGCAAGCAAAAACATTTTCCCAGTCCGAAACATAATGCAGCAGCGAAGAGTCACTGACCCACTTGCCTTGGCCAGACTCCGTCCTAAGAACATTCCTATGGATAAAGAACGGCTTTACGACGAAAACATGGCCCTTAAGATGAAAATCAACAGCTTAAGCGAAGACATCGTCATACTCAAAACTAAGCTCAACCAGTCTGAAAGGGAAATCATCAAAAAAGAAGGCTTTTTTGGAGACACCAAAAATCGAGGCGACAAATTCAGTGCTCAAAACCTCAAGAGTGTGCATTTAATTACAAGTCTTAAGCAAACCATTAAAGAGCTAAGGCTCCAGTTACAAGCGAAGGACGAGGATATCATGCTGTTGAGGAAAAATTTGAAATCTACTAGCCTTGCATTGTGAATAGAAAATATTTTAAAGGATTTTCTATATCAATAATAAAAAAAATTACCTACAATTATATAGGAAAAGTAAGCAATCTGAGCTGGAAGTAGAAATTCAAGCTTACATTGATGAATGCACAAGGCTAAGACATCACCTTGAAGAAGTCATGCAACAAAGAGATGCTGGGAACTCCCAAGGATTCGGCAATTTTGAAGAACAGAACTACCAGCAGCTTGCTATGATAAATAATCTGAAAAAAGAAAACGCAGAGCTCACTAATAATTTGAATCAAACTAAAGAAGAAGCACTTAGGTGGAGAGAAAAGGCTACAGAACTGGAAAGAAACAAAAAGAAAAGACCAACGTCAAAAAAGACCGAAATTAACAACTTGAAAACTGAAATTCAGCACTTGAAAATGAAGCTGACCAACGGTGAACAAGAAATAAACCAAAAAGACTCCGAAGCCAAGTCAGAAATCGAAAAATTCGCCAAAGCCAACCAAGAACTCGCTCAAAAATCCCAAATCTCTGAATCAAAGCTAAAGGAGCAATCAGCAATAATTGAGCAGCTGCGGACACAGGTATCAAACCTCCAGAAAGAGATGCAGAAAGCCCATAGGACCACTCCATATGTAGACACCTCAGGGTCACATATGATCCAAAAAATGGGCAACCCTCCAAAGCTTTTCAAGCTTATAAACCAAGTTATCACAAAGAAAAGGATGCTGATTACTGTATTTTTATCCCTGCTAGATACAAATAATAATGGGTATATTGAAATAGAGGAATTTATAAGAGGCATGAAACTCCATGGCCAGCATGTCAAGAAAAAGCATATAGAAGATGCTATGCGAGAGGTCACAGGAAAAGTCAGCAATTTTATACATTTGAGGACTCTAGAGGATGCTTTTGAAAGGTATGAATATTCAAATTCTCCGTTAAGTGTGAGCAGTGGAGACGAAATGGCTCCTGCTAAGCCTGTCCCGAAGGCGCCAGGCTTAAAAGAAGAGAAAAAGGAGCTGCCTATCTTGAATGTCAATAAAGTAGCTAGTCCAATGCATTTAGATGCAGAAACACCTGTCATGGAAAACCTGCCTGAGATACCACAAAAACAAAAACAAGAAGAAGCCAAAAAAGCAGTTGAAAATAAAGCAAAAGTTAGTGAAATTTCACCTCAAAAGCCTCAGCCAGAAATTCAGAAAAAAGTAGAAGAATCCAAGATTCCAGCAAAATCTTCATCCCTTGACATTAACCCAGCACAAAATAAAGACACAAAACCTCCTGAGAAAATTCCGCACCCTCCAAAGGAAATTCCTCCTCTTCAAAACATCCCTCCAAAAGAAGTCCCCCCTCTTCAAAACATCCCTCCAAAAGAGCCACCCAAGCCAATTCAGCCAACACCACCAAAAGAGCCTGAAACCCCGACAATCAAAGTTTCTCAAATAACTCAAATAATCAAGCATATCTCTATGAGAATGCAGCTAAACCGTCTGCCAAAAAACAAACTAATGCAAGTTCTATTTGGTTCTGGCTACAATAAAGACACGCTTATTAGCAAAGAAGAAATAAGGGAAATTCTTTCTAAAGCTCCATTAAATTTTAGCAATGAAGCTGAGCTTGATAATTTCTGCAGATTCCTGGTTGAGCCTGAAACTGACAAAATCCCTATCAGCGTCCAAAAGAGTGCTAAAGCTTCAAGAAAAGATATAGGAGTCAAGCTTTATAAGATCCTTGATGAGTGGGACGTTTTTTCCCAAGAAGATGAAAATGATTTTGATGAGCAGCTGTACAGAATTATAAGCAAGCATAAAGACGGGCTAAAAAAAGCGTGCAAGGCTAAAGATCCCAACAAAACAGGACTTATCACTTTGGATTACTTCTGCGAAGTTTTAAAAGACTTGAAAATTGAGTTTCCTCCAAAAATCATGAGGTATATGACTCTTCTGTTTTATTCTAATAAACTAGAGCTAAACTCAGTCCCTTATAAGCATTTTATCAAAGCTTATAAATCCCCACCTGAAGAAGAAGAAGAGTATGAAGAAGACTACGAAGGCGAAGAAAAAAATGAAGAGGAAGAAGAAGAGCTGACTGACGAAAGCAGAGCCAAAATCGTCAGGCACTATCTAGAAATCATCGCAGAAGCCTTAAAAGACCAGAAAAAAGCAGTAAGAGATGCTTTTAAATATGATAAAAATGGGTTTATAAACCCTGACAGCTTCATAGAAGGCTTGAAAAACCTTGGCATCGACGATATTGAAGATGAGCTTTTGGTACTTATCATTGAGTCTTTACAATATGAAGAAGAAACCAATGAAATGTACATCAGCGTTGAAGAACTAGAAGAAATTTTAGAACACTATGGAGTGCCGATTAAGAGTCATGAGTATTCCAATGTAGAAGAATATGAAGAAGGAGAACAGTCTCCTGGAAGCGACATAAGGAAGATCACAAATCAGTTCGCTGCAACAGAAGGGGAGAGAATCAAAAAAGTGTCAATGCTTGAGTCCTCTGTCAGCTCCAGCGACAAAAGAGATGAAAGCGTCCCTGACTCCTTGCCTAGTGAAGCATTTTCTGCGAAAATGCATAAAGAAGAGCCTGCAAAAGAAATTAATTTTGAAAACCCAAGCCAGTATAAAGCATTTGGCAACGTCGCTTCAATTGAAGAATTGGTTAAGAGCCAAAAATCAAGCTCCAGCTCGAGCTCTTCATCAAGAAAATCTAGCGTGTCTAGCAAAAAGTCAAAAAAATCTAGCATATCTAGCAAAAAATCAAAAAAATCAAGCTCGTCTTCATCAGAAAAGTCCAGCATATCAAGCAAAAAGAAGTCAAAGTCCAGTTCATCAGAAGAAGAGTATGTATCAGACTATAAGAGCGATAAAAACGAGAATAAATCGGATAAAGAAGAAAAGAAAAGCAATAACCGATATAAGGAGAAATCTCCTTCTGAAGAGTCTCCAAAGGAAGAGTACTCTGATTACGAAAGCGACCATGACAAAGAAACACAAAAGGAGACTCAAGCCAAAAAAGAGAGCGGAGTGCCTTCACTGTCTTATAAAAAATCTGAAAGTGAATCAGATAAAATAACCCCAAGGTCACAAATTTCAGAATCTTCCTATTCAAGCGAGAAAAAAAGTTTTAAAGGCCAAGGTAAAAAAACAGACTACGAGGAAAAAGTGTCTGATAGCGATGTAAGTGAAAAGTCAAAAAGCTCTAAACCCCCCCCCCCCCTCCGTGAGCGAACAAAAAAAATTTTGTTCGCTCACGGGGGGGTTAATTTTTTTTTTTAAAAAAAAAAAAATTTATATATAATTTTTTATAAAAAATATTTTTTTCGAAATTTAAAAAAATCCTAATTTGCAAAAATTGGGAAGCAAATATTAATTTAATTTGCAAAATTTATGTTTTAAAACGCAATTTGTTTAAAATTAAACAGAATTAGCTCTAGATTTCATTATACTAATTATCACTTATATATCAAAATTTTTTTCCATTAAAATTTTTTCTATTAAAAAAATTTTTGTTCACTCACGGAGGGTGGGTTTTTGGTCAAAAAATGGCGATTTTTCTAATGGTTTTGTTCGCTCACGGAGGGGGGGGGGGGGAGTAAGGCAAGTGTCAAGAAAGCGGCTTCAGATAAAAATTTATCTATTGAGAAGCATCAAAAATCTGAAGAAAGCTATGAAGAAGAGCAAAACTCTAGCTCAGTTTCTGATTCCAGTGAAAAGGGAAAAGCTGCTTTTGAATATGAAAAGCCACAGAAACCATTAGAGCAAGTTCCTCTGAAGGTAAACCAGCCTCCTCAAGCAATCCCTCTGAAGATAAACCAGAGTCCTCGTCAATTGCCAGAATCAAGTAATAATGAAGAAAGTCCATATGAGTCAGAGATTGAGTATTCTCCACATTCCTCAAACTATGAAGAGGAAGAAGAAAAAGTAATTCAGACTAAGCCTGAGCTTCCAAAAGTAGAAAAAGCCGAAGAGCCAGAAGAAGACATTGAAGAAAGCATAGAGTCCAAGAAATCCGAAGAAGAATATCAAAGTGACTATGACTCTGACAAAGGAGGGTCTAGTTCTGGTTCAATAAGCTTATAATGATATTTCATATATAGCATAAAGCACCATTTTGGGCAGGCTTTCCAATCTTTCCCATAGGGAAATAGGGAGTTCGTAAAGCTAAATAATTCTGGTTATGACCAAATCCTAAATACAGAGCCTTAAAAATTGTGGTTTATCAATTGGAGTTGATTTGCCAAATAACCTATTTCCCGTCATAAAAGATTGTGAAGCCCAGGCCAAAAAGTGCTTAGTCTATAGAATTAAATTAAATTTGTAAGACAGCTTCAATTTTTTCAACAAAAATGAAAGCCAATCATAATTATTAATTTATACTATTAAAACCTCATTAAAGCAAAACAGTAAGAATTTCCAGAAAGGGCTGTTTTTATATATATAAACCGGATTTTTCTATTATAAAAAGGTTTTTTTAAATAAGAGAAAATGATGGATTGGAAAGGAGCGATGACGTCTGCAGGCGGGTACTGGAAGCCACCGAAACCAAAACGAAGCTGCTGAGATCTCTGTTTTGGAGGTCCTGAATGGATAGAAGAAGTTCCAGCCTCCAGCTCAGTTCACCAGAAAGAAAAGCAAGGCAAACAATACTGGACAAAAGAAGAAGACAAAAAACTGATAAAACTCGTGGGGAAGCTGGGCTATGACTGAGAAACTATTTCAAGAAAATTTTCTGGAAAAACTGCAATTCAATGCTCACGCAGATGGAACAACAAGCTAGACCCAAGCATCAAAAGAACGCCTTGGACTGCTGACGAAGATGTCGTGCTAAAACGCTTGGTTTTAGAACTCGGCTATAATTGGGATGAAATTCGAAAATATTTAGACGGTAGGTCAGCACATGGCGTAAAACATAGGTTTCTGTCCTATATCCAGCCACAGCTTTCTCGAGAAGAAATTCAAGCTATTGAAAGAGTCAACTCTGGGCTGGCAACTGAAGAGAACAAAGAAAATAATAATGTGAGTGAATATATGGATCTTGATGGCGGGAAGGATGCTGAACTCCAACGATTGAATAAATTGATGGAAGAACTGCATGCTGTGATGCTTAGAACCAATGAACAAATCAGCTCTCTTGAAACGGAAATGTACCAACCTGGGATCAATTAAGTGGAATTTTGTTATAGATCTTTATTTAAATAAAATTGCTATTTAATTAATAAAAACTGTAAATAAGCTTCTGGGGATGATTTGTTTAACTAAGCAGCTAATTTATATTCAAGAGCTCTTGGATGAGCTTATCTTTTTCTTCTATTTCTTTGTTTTTCTCTAATATTAATTGTTTGAGTTTTTTTGTTTTGATATCTTGCCTATCATATATTTTCTTGCAGGGAATTTTGAAGACCCCAATTTGGCAATTGTTTTGTTTTACAACGTCCCCAAACCCACTAGATTCAGTCACATGGCTAACTATGTATAATATTTGTTTATCAAATGCATGTCTAAAAGAGACAAGCATCCTATATTGAGATGCAATTTGAGGATTTTTGGTTAGCAGCTTCACAAAATCGTGGAAGCTCTTTTTATAATTGGCATTCTGAGGGTCTTCTTTTAGTCCGCTTTTAAAATACTGATGATGCTGCCCTCTTCTTTCAATTTCTGCTAACCCTGGGAATTCCCGAAAATCAGGCTCCATAAATCTATCTAGCCACATTTCACGAAGCTTAAATCGGGCAGGCTGAATTTTTTGAGAAAAATAGATCTTATTCTGAAAGCGTAAAGTTAAAAATTTTGCTTGATTTCTTTGATTTTCATCTTCACGAAGCTCATCTTGATTTTCTTGGAGATTTTCATTATTGTTTATCTGCGGATTGTTTTCTTGAGCTTGCACTTGATTTTGATTGATTTCTCCATTTTCATTATTTTCTTCCAGGTTTATCACTGCTGGATTAAGTGCATCAAGAAGCCAATTCATTGCCTCTACAATGCTGTGCTGATATCTAAAGGGAATCTGATTTATTTGTTCATGGGAATATCCAGCTTCATAAAGTCTTTCTCTAGTTGCACGATCCATAAAATTAAAAGTCTACATAATCAATAATAAAATCTATCATAAAAGGCGTCATAATTTCTAGTTATGAGATTCATATAATTTGCCAATCATTCATATTATTAATTTCATTGAAGCTCTATATGCAAAAATCGATAATTAAATTTAAGCTAATTAAAGCAATTTTAAGTTCAATTTATTTCATTTTCCAAATTAGCTATTTAGGTATACTAATTGACCAAGAATAGCCCACTAAGGAGCCATTCTTGGTCTGCCAGAAAAAAATTTTGACAAAAGATCCTAATCTGCCATTACCACTGAGTTTTGGTGTTTCCAAATTTTTTGGGCAAGCCAAATGCAATAAAAAAAATTGTTCTTTTGCGATGATGCATTTGGCTTGTCAAAAAAATTTGGCAACACCAAAACTCAGTGGTAATTGCAGATTAGGATCGTTTGTCATTACCAATGAATTTTGATATTGCCAAATTTTTTTGACAAGCCAAATGCATCATCGCAAAAGAACAATTTTTTTTTATTGCATTTGGCTTGCCCAAAAATTTGGAAACACCAAAACTCAGTGGTAATGGCAGATTAGGATCTTTTGTCAAAATTTTTTCTGGCAGACCAAGAATGGCTCCTTAGTGGGCTATTCTTGTCAATTAGTATATATTTATTCCGCTACATTTTAAATTATAATGTCTAAACAGATTAACGACTACGTTATTGATGGAGTCATCAAAAGCATCCGCGACACTTTGCATCGACACACAGGCAGCATCAGCTCAGATATATCTCATAGCCCACGGAGCAATATGGTTTCAGAGAGTTACTATGGCTCAAATACCTCTTTTGAAAAACCAATAAGGCTGCCTTTTCAAAATTCCAAATCATCCCAACGGCCTTCTTCTCAAAATAGTAGACACACCAGGACTACATATTCAATGGACATGGACTGATCTAGTCGGCCTATTTCAAAAGAGCACAGCCCAATCGCTTCTCCATCCCCAGTGCTTCTTGATGAATCCTTAGAAAACATTACAACAAATCAAGATAATCGATCTTCAATAAGCGGGCTTAGTTATGACTCTTTGCATAGATTTACTCCTAGGCTTGAGTCTATTCCACAGCACAATTTAGACGTCACTTTTAAGCAGCAGCCATTTAAAGAGAAGCAAAATCAATTTTTCGATAACAAAGAAAATAATTCGAAAATGGAACTGGAGAAACTGAATGACTCCAAGGACAAACAAATTAAAGACCTAGAACTCAAGCTCAAAGAAGCTGCAAATACTAATGAAGACCACAAGAATGAAATCTGGGACTTGAAAAAGGAAAACAAAGCTCTTCAAAAAGATAGTGAAGAACTGACAGTTTTGAGGGGCAAACTTAGAGAAATGGATCAGAAACTTATTGTTTTGGAAAAAGAAAAAGATGGTTTAGGTTCAGAGAATCTAGAACTCAAGAAAAAAGTCAAAACAATAGAAATAGAAGCAAATAAATTGGATAATAGAAATAGCAATTACTTCAAAGAAATCGAGATGATCAAAAACAAATACAATGAAAACTGTGACGCATTTATTGCTTTGAAAAAAGAAAATCTAGCCATAATTGAAGAAAGGGATGGGTATCGGAAATCTTCGACCGAGCTTGCAGAAAAGTGCGAGAAAATGAGCAAAGAGAAATACGAGCTAGAGGAGAGAATAACAGATTTGAAGCGCCTTTTAAAAGAAAGAGCTGAGCTAAAGTACCGTAATATTGATAAGCTAATCGAAGAAAGCCAAATCAAAATTGGCTACTTCGATGAAAGAGTAAAGTTTCTGGAAAACGAAAACAAGCAGCTTAAAGACCGCCTAGCAGAATCACAAGCCCTCCTCGAGATCGAGAGAAATAACTCAAACATAAGCAGTCTCTCCATCAAAGCTGCAAACAGACGGTCAAGCTCTATTGGAGAGACCACAAGTCCTCTCTCCCTAAGCCACTTAGTCAAGAAAAGTCCACTAAAAAAGCATTCAAAATCGCACTTAAAGAGGTCAACCAGCAGCAGACTGATAAAAGAAATCCAAGACATCCTTTCCGTCAATTCCATAAGTCTCCTAATTCCGACCATTGTAGATCTAGCCAAATCACGCAGTCACAACCGAAGAGACCGAACTGCTTATTAATTTTTGTGTTTAAATATAAAATATAATTGAGTCTGGTGAAAATGAAAAACAGGAAAAATTCATTTGATGCTAAATTTCTTTCTAAGACCGCCAACCTCCGACAAGACCCAATTTCCTGCTATAATACTGTGGTTTCTCAGTATAATGACAGAGTTAATGTGAAAAATGGGATTCATCTGGAGCATGCATATAATGACGCTGTATACGTGTTTTGGTTCGGCTTTCAAAGATACTGATACTGACTTCTATTTATTTTATATCTGGCACCTTATGTCACAATAATCACGCTTTGCTTGTCATTATACTCTTTAATCATCCATGAAAATGCTTTGTCGGTGTACAGAAACAACTCGAAGCAAGTAAAAGATCTATTTGAAAACATGGTTTTGAACGAAGAAATATGCAAGAATGGATCAAGCCACTATCTCTATTTCTCCCTCAAGCCTCAAGATGTCGATTTCTTTCCTTTCCCCCCTACAACCAAAGAAGTTTTGAAGGCTCGGGAAAATGACGGAAAAGTCTGCTTTATGGTCTATGACAGAGTTTTTTTGAGTTGATCAGAAAACTTAAGATCTAGCCGATGCCTGATTTGGCTGCACACAGTACTTAACATTGCTTTATTTGTTGCAATGCAATATTATGTGTACACTCCACTGTTTTGCTTCAACCTACTGCATCCGGTAGAGTCGATTTCGAAATGCGGGGTTTCTGATATTAATTCTATTGTGTTTTTCTGATAATATGTAGCATAATTTTTTACTAATAAAATGTACAGTGATGTTCTCATAGTAGGCGGAGGCATGGCAGGCTCAGCTTTAGGCTGCGCTCTTGCCACTTCAAGTTTGTTTTCGAAAATCACAGTAATTGACACAACACCAATCCCAAAGGCACCTGAAAACGAGGTCCCAGATCCGAGATGTGTGACCCTGACTCCGATTTCTCAGAAATTTATGCGCTCAATTGGCACTTGGAACTTGATTGAAGAAAAGAGGAGGGCTGGATTCAAGGAAATGAAGGTTTGGGATTACTATGGAACCGGCTCGATGCTCTTTGAGGACTCATATGGCTGGGTTTTGGAAAATAAAGCGATCACTCATGCTAATATGACGAGGCTTTCTCAGTTCCCCAACGTCGAAATTCTGGCCCCAGCGAAGGTTAAAGGCTTCAGTGTGAGGACTGGGGAAGTTGAGGTTGAGCTTGAAGACGGGCAGAAGCTGACCACGAGTTTGGTTGTCGGAGCTGATGGAAAAGAGTCAAAAGTGAGGAATGATTTCAAGATTGGGGCTTGGAGGTCGACTTACCCACACTGTGGACTTGTGTGCACTGTAAAGGCAGACAACAAGGTTCCAACTGCTTATCAGAGATTTTTGAAGACTGGACCGATTGCATTGCTTCCATTTTGGGATGATTATTATTCTATTGTCTGGTCTCTGCCTCCATTAGAAGCGGAAAGGCTCAAAAAGATTCCTCCAGCTCAATTTATTGAGGAACTGAACAAAGCACTACATGACCCGTCTATAGTCAGTTTTCCAGTGAGCACACAACTAGACGCTCCAATGATTAGAGAAATAACGACAGATAGGTTTAGCTTTCCATATGCTCTTCAGCACGCATCAAAATTCGTAGACAGCAGAGTCGCTCTTATTGGAGATGCAGCTCACACAATTCACCCAATGGCTGGACAGAGTACATTATATTAAATTTTAATTTCTACCGCTTAACACTCATTACCGCATGATCTTAACGGACTCCTGCACTTGCATCGGGGTTACCAATCCAATACAGTGTGTGCACCACCTAACTTCACTTCTGAATAGTCCCTCAGCTTCGGCGTTCGGATTTCAACAGCTGTCCTTCTAGCTCTCATGGGTTGCCTCACAAAATTTTAAAAAAAATATAATTTTTTGATCGATTCCAAGTAAAAAAGAAAAACCTGGAACCGAGACCGTAACTCCTGGTTTTGCCCTAGAGAGCTGCCCGATAGGCCTAGGAAGATTTTCTAGGCTTCCCCTTCCCTTTCCAACTCCAAGCTACTTCTCCACGTGATAAAATCAAATCCTGAAAAAGGACTTTGGCTATGCTCTACATTCCACGGAATCGCTTACCTAAAATTTCTACCCATTTCTGATTTGGCACAACCTTGCCAGATATAATTAATTATGTAACAGAAGGCCCTCTCTTAGTCGCCATATTTAATTAGTGCTGGACAGGGCTACAATTTAGGAGTATATGACGTTATCAACTTGGCCCATGACCTATGCGAAGCTGCTAAGGTTGGCAAAGACCCTGGATCTCTGATGTCATTAGAAAACTACGCAACAAGATCAAGACTTTACAACACCCTATTTGCTGGCTTCGAGCAGTTCATTTTATGGAACTATACAGACTTCGGTTTGATTCATTATTGAAGAAACGCCAATTTTTCTCTTATCAACAACATCCCTCCTCTAAAGAGCTTGTTTCAAGCAGGCGCTAACGGCACATATTATGTTCCAAGCCATTGGAGTTGGGTATCAGAAATGCCTCCAGAAGAAATCCCTTTCTAACTTAAAGCACTTAATCCTTATTTTTATGAGAAATTTATATTTTAGGCATGTTAATTTTACGCCATTACTGGATAAATTTTAGAGATATCTCCTACTAGCTTCTCGACTGACTGCAGCAATGACTCGACTTGTCCTCCCCACTCAGATAAACCATCATTTTCGACTTCAAACTCAACAATACCATGGATTTGGTCCAATATTGCTTTAATTCTATGCTCCTGCACCATATTTGCAATCAGATTTTCAGCTTTATTTGGAGGAATTTCCAAGACAGTTCCTAGCTCGTCAAAAGTGATATTGTTATAGATTTTTGATATAGCGATTATATTATGCTCCATAGTAGCTGTTTCTAGCACAGTGAACCCGCTCGACAACTTTGCTTTGTGATGTTGCTGCAGCTTTTCAGAAAATCTATCAACGTCAGGTTTCTTAATGATTCTTTCCATAAATAGTTTTTCAAGCATGTCATAGGTCTCCAAGTGAACCGCTCTTTCGTCTTTATATAAAGTTGCTAGAAGTCTTGACCTTTGAGGGCCAGCTTTTGCCAGAATTGCACATGTGATCGCACACTGCAGAAGATGCAACAAGTCGCTTTCCACAACTCCATACTGGCCTTCTTGAGATAGTGCATAATAAGTCCTTGATGCTTGCAAGAAATCTTTTTTGAAGTCTTGGATCCTCGCATGGCACACCCTATGACGAAGCTTGAGCTGGATGTTTTGGCACAGGTGGATGACCATGCCTGCCTTAGAGTTGAATGTATCTGCGCTTGCCTCGTCTTCTAGTTCTAAGTAGTATTCAGCAATCTTAATATATTTATCTGCCTTTTCGTCAGCTGAAACAGTTCGTGAAGCTCCTTCTAGATTAATTGCAGAGAGAGTTCTAGCTGCCAATTGGTATTCCTTTTTTGCACTGTAGACTTCAGCTAATTGGTCTCTTATTTTAGCTTCCTCTTCTTCAAAAGCAGCAGACCGAGGTCCAAAGGATTCTAGAGTAAAGCTGGCAACTTCTATAAGTGGGGCGTTTTGCAGGTACTCCATCGCAGTTGCGAAGAAAGATATCACTTGTCTGGAGTGGACTAATGGCATTTCTGTACTCAATAAATGGCTTATGAGCTCCTTGGAGCCTTTAACGTCTTGATGGTTGAAGAGTTCAGTGATTAATTGCTTGTACTTCTCCACTTTTTCTTTGGGATCGTGGATTGAACTAATTTGAGCAATCTTTGCTGCCATTTATTATATCAGATCATTTTCGAAACATGTTTTAATTGCTTTATGTTCTTTCACAGGAATTAATAGTAGGAAAAATATAAAATGTTTTTATGTGATTTTTCTTATTTAAAAAATATTGATAAGTCTAATTGCTTAAAAGCTTCTTACTCCTCCTGAGCGAATAAAAAAATTAGAAATATCTTACTCCCCCCCCCCCCTCCGTGAGCGAACAAAACCATTAGAAAAATCGCCATTTTTTGACAAAAAAACCCACCCTCCGTGAGTGAACAAAAATTTTTTTAATAGAAAAAATTTTAATGGAAAAAAATTTTGATATATAAGTGATAATTAGTATAATGAAATCTAGAGCTAATTCTGTTTAATTTTAAACAAATTTGCGTTTTAAAATATAAATTTTGCAAATTAAATTAATATTTGCTTCCCAATTTTTGCAAATTAGGATTTTTTTAAATTTCGAAAAAAAATATTTTTTATAAAATTTATATATAAAATTTTTTTTTAAAAAAAAAAATTAACCCCCCTCCGTGAGCGAACAAAATTTTTTTGTTCGCTCACGGAGGGGGGGGGGGAGTTAATATAAAAAAAATTTTTTAAAAAAAAATAATTCGATATGTAAATAATAATTATTATAATGAAATCTTTTTTATTTTAAACAGCTTGAATTTTAAAACATAAATTTTATAAATTAAATTAACTTTTGTAAATTGAGAAATTTTACTATAAAATTTGTATAGAAATTGCCCGAGGATGGCGCTATATTGCGCCATCCTCGGGCAATTGGAGACACGGCTCCACACGGAATTGTGTTCCACGTGTGGAGCCATTTTTCCACGTGGGAAAATGTGGATTCCACACGTGGAAAAATGTGGATTCCACACGTGGAAAAATGGCTCCACACGTGGAATACGGTTCCCGTGTGGAGCCAATTTTCGCTTGCCCTAGGATGGCGCCATATAGCGCCATCCTAGGGCAAATCCTATATATATAATATTTTAAAAAAATGAGCGCGAAGAAAACTTTTGTTTAATTACGGAAGGAGGGTAGCGTGATGAAAGAAAATAAATAACTTTAAGTAGTAAGATAGCCCAGACTAGTAGAAAGAAGCTTTAATAAATATAATTAGTCAAAATTCTGTAAATTTGAATGCTTTAAGAAACATTTTAAGTGGGTTTAGAATCAATCCTTACTAGCGACTTATATGTATCTATAATTTAATGAAAATCTATCAAAGTGTTAATTTCTTTTATTATAAAATGAGAAAATCAGAAATATGTATGTGGCTAAGCCCAGAATAAGGCATAGCCTACGCAGTTCAAGTATTAATAAAGAGTTGATAGTGTGACATTAATAAAAAAGCAAAGAAATGCAGCACCACAGGAGAGCACAGTCATATTATCGGCCAAAGCAGCAAAAGCCTAATGCTCGGGCGAATAACCCCAAACCCACAGCTCCTGCATCAAGCGAAAATCAAGTCAAAGGAGCAGAGGTGCAACCACCAGATGCCAAAACCCTTCCGCTCCCTTCCTCAGAGTGACTTGCATAGGTTTTTTCTCAATCTCCGATTGCTAGAAAGATTATAAATAACAGCTCTTCTCTATAATAATTTTTATTAATGGATAGAATGCAGTACCTCCAGCTCATTTCCAAGCTAAAGCACCTACCAAGACGAGGCTGGGTACTCTCAGAGATCCAGTCTCCAGAAACAGTTGCAGGCCACATGTACAGAATGGCTATGTGCGCTTTTCTTTTGCCTTCTACATATAACACCAGCAAAATCATCAAAATGTCCTTGGTCCACGATGTGTGTGAAAGTATTGTTGGTGACATCACGCCCCACGACAATGTTCCCCAGCAGGAAAAATTTCAACTGGAGTACAATGCGATGATCAGGATCTCTGCTTTGCTGCCCCACAGCTGAAGTAAAGAAGAAATGCTCAGTCTTTGGCTCGAGTACGAAGAAGGGAGCACAGAAGAAGCCAGAATTGTGAAGGACCTCGACAAATACGACATGATCGTGCAGGGATTCGAGTACGAAAAAGACCACTCCAAAAACCTGCAAAGCTTTTTCCAAGGACTCGGGATTTTTCAAACAGAAATCGTGAGAGGATGGGCTGAAGAGCTATACAGAGAAAGGCAAGCGTATCATAATAACACATTAGTATAGGAGAGACTGAAGCGTTTCTATTGGTTTCAAGCAGTTTTTAAAGTAGGCAGACTTCTCTAATTGATTTAATTTAAATGTCATCTACCAAAAAAGTAGCTTCTAAAGCAAATGCTTTCAATTTCCAGAAAATTTTTAGCAAGAAGCGGTCAGAGATAGAGATAAGGAACCCAGGCTCAGCCCGAGCGTCTCCTCCGACTGGGTCGTCGCTTTCGTCATTTCATCACGACTCAGTCGATCTTCTTGATGAAATTCAGCCACAAACAGCCCACAACCGAAGAACAGCTTTAAACCTACAAATTCCTAAAAGAGGCCTTCAGACCCCTAGCCCGAAACACATTCCTACACCTAAAACTAAAGATCTCGTCAGGGTGTATTCAGGATCTGCCCATCACCCAATAAAGCTAAAACGGAAGCTTAGCCTAAAAGAGACACTAAAGTCAAAGCAGCTGTCTGAGCTCCCAGCAGTCATCAAGCAGAAGTTCGAACTTGAGGCAAAAGTGACTGATTTGAAGCTAGAGCTACAAAATGCAGTATCTGACTCCCTTAAAAATAAAATAATGAATTTTTCCAACTTAAATAGAATTAATTTATGTAAAAAATTTAAATTTATAGGAGGAGTGAACAAAAAAAAATGAAAGAAAGGAGGTCATTGATATTCAAGCTCCAAGAAACCCTTTCAAAACTCCTAGAAGAGAATGAAAGGCTTAAAACACAGGTTAGGAAAAACAGCAACGACACACCTGAAGAGCCTAAAAGCAGCATGGCGGTTGGAGATAACATAGGGCAGAGTATGGAAGAGTTTAAGAATAAACTCATCAAGCTACTAGGGAATCAGCCTGAAGAAAAGGCAAAGAAGTTATATTAATGGCATTTATAGAGTATAAAATAAGCTTGTTATTTTTAAAGAATCATCAATTTATTTCTCTGGAGTCCTTGGCTTGTAAGCATGGACTCAATCCATCGGTTGAATCCTGATGGCCCACAAACCCATGCTCTGGAGATATTGGGTATCTTGACCCACTCCTTCAGTTTTTCTTCGGTCAGCTTTCCTCCGACCCTTTCTTCGTCTAAGTTTATATGCAAATTCAGAGCCTTTCCTGATTTCTTCTGGGTCGCTTCAAGCAAATCTAATGCAAAGGAATCTTTTTTAGACCTAAAGGTCACGTAAAGGTATAAGCAAAAATCTGAGGATACAGAGCCGTTCCAGATCATGTAGACCAGATCCAAAAATGGCAAAATTCCTGTTCCAGCTGCGAATCCTGTGCATATTCCTGCTGGCGCAGATGAGAAGCCAAGGCCAGGTCCTAATGGACCTTTGAGTTTGTATTCACTTCCTGGCTCAAGGTCACACAGATGCCTTGACATTAGGCCATTATCATATCTCTTGATATGAAGTTTCAAAGTGTCCGGACTTTTGGATTTCTTATAGATCTTTTTTGTGATTTGGAACCCTTCTTTTCTAGCTTCACGTGCCCAATGATGCAAATCAGTCATCATCAAGCTATAATGGTTCCTCCTCTCTGGGTCAAATTCTTTTGGACTAATTTTTTTTTGGCCTATTTTTTTTTTGGCCTAATTTTTTTTGGCCTAATTTTTTTTTGGCCTAATTTTTTTTAGCCTAATTTTTTTGGGCCTAATTTTTTTTTAGCCTAATTTTTTTTGCCTAATTTTTTTTGGCCTAATTGTTTTGGCCTAATTTTTTTTGGCCTAATTTTTTTGGCCTAATTTTTTTTGGCCTAATTTTTTTGGCCTAATTTTTTTGGACTAATTTTTTTGGCCTAATTTTTTTTGGCCTAATTTTTTTTGGCCTAATTTTTTTTGGCCTATTTTTTTTGGCCTAATTTTTTTTGGCCCTAATTTTTTTGGCCTAATTTTTTTTGGCCTAATATTTTGGGCCTAATTTTTTTGAGTGGCGCATTAACTAATAATGAAAATTTAGTTATATCTTTGCTTTGTTTTAAAGGATAAAGAGTAAAAATAGCATTTTATTAAACAAATTTATTAATCTAATTCGATAAGTTTTTGAAATTTTTTTTTAAATTTTTATATATTTTATAAAAAATTTTATATTGATATTTTTTTTAAAAAAAAAAATTAGAACAAAATTTTGAGTTTCCAATTTAAAGGGGGAGTAAAGAATCTCTATTTTATAGATTATTGAGCTTTTAAGCCGAGGCCGATGGTTAAATCACTTCGAATGGTTGATTTCGCAGCTTTCTGTTGTCTCAAAACTCTCAAAGCAACTTCATTAGATACATCTTCCCAAGTTTTTGATAGCTAATATATTTTTTTATATATATAAAAATTTGCATGATATGAAAATCGTTCGATCAAGGATGGGGGTTAATTTCCCTAAATTTTAGGAATTTTTACAGTCAATCGTTCGATCAAGGATGGGGGGGGGGGGAGTAAGCTTAAAATATGAGGAAAACAGGAAAATGAGCTCAGAGATATGCTTATATTTACTCATCAAAATATTAAGTTTAATATAAGAAGGAGTATTAAAGTTAGAATCTATCTCACATCCGCATAAATAACTTGAAAGTATTATATTATAGAGCATTGAGGAGTTGGATAGAGAAATTTTATCCCAAAAAATTAGGCCAAAAAAAATTAGGCCAAAAAAATTTAGGCAAAAAAATTAGGCCAAAAAAATTAGGCCAAAAAAAAATTAGGCCAAAAAAAATTAGGCCAAAAAAAATTAGGCCAAAAAAAATTAGGCCAAAAAAATTAGGCCAAAAAAAATTAGGCCAAAAAAAATTAGGCCAAAAAAAATTAGGCCAAAAAAAATAGGCCAAAAAAAATTAGGCAAAAAAAATTAGGCAAAAAAATATTAGGCACAAAAATATTAGGCCAAAAAAAATTAGGCTAAAAAAAAATAGGCTAAAAAAAAAATAGGCAAAAAAAAAATAGGCGAAAAAATATTAGTCTGAAAGAATTAGTCTCAGTGAGGGGTCACGGCTATAATATCGTATCACTTCAGATTTTCCGATCCTTTCCCTAACCCCAAAATGCTTCCCAAGCCACTCGAAACCTTTAGGAGGGTTCTCAACAGCCCAGTCTTTAGATGTCAGCTCAATGTAAAAAGTCCCTTCTGCAATATTATATTTTCTTACAAGCTCCCAGGTCATATTCCCATAGTCTAAGCTTTGATCTGAGCTCTTCTTTGTGAGAACACCTGCTGTATAGGCGACTCTATCAATGATTAGGCTGTTTATCAGATTTTTTGCAGGCCGAGAATGGTCATAAGAAGCAATGAACCCACTGATACTTGAGCACCCGTTAATATACTTCCCTACATCTTCCCCTATAACTTTACGGATCATATATGCTCCACCAGGATGATTTTGAATAAATCCAGAAACATTTAGTAAATATTCATCATAAAAGACACATGACAGATTTTTGGAAACAATGTCATTTAGGATTTCTGTGTGAGTAGATCCCATCTGATCCATCAATGACTTTTCTAACGCAGGCTTGGCTTTGTTTAGCCGCTTTAGTTTAAAATTCCACTGTAGAATTCTGATCTTATGAGAAAATCGATGTCTAATCTCCAATAAGGCAAGCAGCACTACAAGAATTGCGTAGCACGCAAAGACTGCGTTTTTAGCAGTATCGTCACCTTTAATATCCCACCCATATTTCAAGTTTATCAGCCCAGGGATAAGAGCGCACCATCCAAGTGCCATATGAACCCTTCTGCATACCCTGAGAATGCTCAAATCTTCTTTAAAAAGCATCCACATCTTGGTCATAGCTCCAGTGATAGCTTGTGCTATGACAAAAGCACAAAGAATGAAGCCAATTCTTGAGTGATACCTTTTATTATCACTCAAATCATTATAAGCAAGCTCATCCTTTTTATAAATTTCATATACACTCCCACAAGTAAAGCCTAGGACTACATATCCCAGTAGCATGTGGCCGTAGAAAGCTAGATAAGTTCACTTAAGATACCTGATTAGCATGATGCACAATGGGGCTAAACAAAGCCACATAACGGTCATCTCATTTCCATGATCTTCATATTCACTTCCAAATGAGCTTGAAGGCAAGAAATAGGAAGAAGTTTGGTTTAAGCCTATTAGCAAAACTCCTTCTCCGTATGTGCTGTGTTCTTGGAATTTCTGAATATTGCTTTTTTGTTTATAAGCAAAACAGAAGTTTATGGCTTCGCCAGGCTTGATGACCCAATCGCAGAGGGTGTCACCTGTGTTCAAAAGCCTTGAAATAGAGCCAAGCATTCTGCCATTATTGAATGAGGAACTTGTCAGGTTCACGTCATCTCGGCAGCCTTTTCCTTTTGCACTGTCCTGTGGTGGAGTGCCATGAGAAGTGCTATACATGTCCCAGGCATCAAAGTTTCCATTTTGTCTAATAACTCTCTCTATAAATTAGGTACAAATTTTGCCTAGAGATTATAATTTTTTTTAATTTTAAGGATTAATTACCTAAAAATGGAAATTTTTAATTAATTTTGCTTTAATTTAAAGAGGAGAGTAAGGATAATCATATCTGTCTGTTTCATCGATCCATAAAATCCGATTCCGCATCATCCATCAAATGAACAATTAAATCCAAACGTAATAGAGTCTCCTGCGATTTGTCATGAAAGAGAGAAATTGGGATCTAGCACAACACTGACTTGTTCTGCAGAAGTAAAATATATTAGCTGAAGAAGTGTTGAAAAGATAAAAAACCCCATTTAAATTATGTCAACTTTTTTATACAATTCATTCCAAGTCCAGGATATTATGTTGATTCCATTCAAGCTAATAGCTGCAGTTTTCAGTCATAGCAATTAATATTAGTTTGCAATAATAAGACTCAGTGCCTTGAGATAAAAACCTGCAACGGGAATTTAAGCTTTTTCATTTTGGATCAGTATATTACCCAGTAAAAAACCATATAATAAATTCACCTGAGCGATATAAACTGCTTTCTTTAAAAAATCGCATAAATTTTCGAATAGTAAAATTTTTAATTAAGGTGATATAATATGATATTATCTATTAGAAATTAATTTTAAATTGTTTTTGGAAAATAGATTAAAACTAATCTCAGCTGCTTAGAATAATTTGGTTTTATCATTTGTATAGATTTGAACTTAGATCTCTTCTGAGGCTTTTTCTGTTTCCTTTAGCTCTTCCTGGCAATAATTTACTGAGATTTCGTAATTAATACCATCTCCTTCATATTTAGTATTTATTGGCAGTATATATCCAAGGATACTTTTTCCACAAACCTGCCATATGTTCTTTTTGCCATCTCCTAACACCTCCACTTTAAATTGGAACAAAAATCCTGTTCCACTTCAAAGAGTTAATATTTTTTTTTTAAAAATTATATTATAGTTATTATTAATTTTTGAAAATTATCGTTTTCAGCTATAAAATTTCCCTAGTGAAAATAAAAACAATTTTAAAGGGGTTAAAGTCTTAAAAATGAAAATTTTACCTGTTCTAATCTAAAAGGGGGCTAAATCATACTTATTATCAAAAGTATTTTCTTGCAATTCCATCACACTCCTGTTATTGACAATAAGTCAACAGTCAAAAGCTGCCAAAGCTGGCAGCGCTGCAGATAATCCTAACCCACTTAGCATCCCACACATTGTGAAAATTGAAGCTTCTCCTTCATTTACGACAAATAAATGCCCACAGCATGATCCTACAAATATTGAACAAATTGATGCATAAACCATAAATTGGCAAACGTACCTGATATTGAAGAACCCAACACAGTTTCCAATAAATGGGCAATGATAATCCATTTTGAGGATGCATCTATTACATATATGGCAGTGATGGCATCTGCTAGGTCGCTCCATCTCGCATTTTCCGCAATATTGTTCTTCCTTTATTCTATCGTTTTCTTCAAGAGATGATGAGCTGCTGGTAATTTTGAAGTTTGGAGGGATAGTCCCAGGATCTGTAGTAATCGCTTTATAGTAGCTCCAATACATGAGAAATAGACTTGTATGAAAAGAGATGTACACAATCGAATTAAGTAGGGTGCATTGGACAAGGAAAATATAGCCTTTGTAAAAGAAAAATACAATTGTTCAAGAGAGGAACACTATAAAAAGAATTGGAAGAGAATAAAGAGCTCTAATTCCCCATTCACTAATTATTTATGTGACTTTTTCTTTATTATTAAAGTAATTATTTTATTAATTTTTTATCAAAATTGATATTTTGCAATTAATTAGAGAGTAAGCATGGGACTGTCAATGAACATCATTTCTTTAATTAAATATAAACATAATAAGTATATCTTAAATTTCAACTATATTGTTTATATTTACTTATTATGCTTAATTTTTTAGTCAATTAAGCTCAAAGAGGAGAAACATATGATATTATAAGATAAATTTAATTATTGATGGGCTGCTGCCAAGGTAACTCCACTAACTCTCCCATTTAATAGTATAAAACCTATAAACTTATTATTCGCGATTTTATGTTAATTTTTTAAGACTCAACCTGGCAGAAAAGAGCTAAAATTAAACCCAGGAATCGCCATAATTTTTAGCCTAATCTAACCATTTTTCTTATTTAAATCTTTTTAAAAAATTTAATGTAATCTTTTTAAAAATGTATGTGCCCTAATTAATAACGATAAAAAATGCTCATTATAAATGCTAGGGAGAGTAAACAAACAGTATCTATGAAAACCTCATGCAGACTTTTATGCACATACTATAGAGAGGCTACAATAAAAATCAAAGGAAACAACAACAAAACAGAAAATTTGCATTTAACATTCACTGAGCCGATGCTCTTTTCATCTCAAAAAGTCCAAATAGACTCATATGACTTATGGATATCCAAATGCGCATTGCCCGGCATTGACCCTTGTGGCGAAAAGAAGACCTGCCAAGACTATTGTGTATTTATTAACGACGAAACAAGCGTTTTGCTAGCAGTTTTTGATGGCCATGGAATCCAAGGCGAAAAAGTCGCCCAATTCTGCTCAAGCTGCGTTGAAAGTTTTTTCCCTGACAACAAAGAACTGTCAACTGTAAATGCTATTTAGTCTGATCCTAAAGAATTTTTGATCGCACTAACTGAGAAATGTGCTGAGGACTTAAAACAGCATGAAAGTGATATTGACTCGAAATACTCCGGATGGTAACTACCACACAGCACTGCTGTCTTTGTATTCTTGTCTGGTGATGCAATTTATTCTGCAAGTGTTGGAGATTCTCGCGCAGTGCTTGGGACTTCATCTCCACCAACTGTCATGCCTGCCCCAGCTGCACAGATTAAAGAAGAAGACCGAAAGATGCTGGAAGAAGTCAAATCACGAAGACAAAGTCAGCCTGCCCTTGAAATCCTCCCTGTCCAGCTTACTAAGGATCAAAAGCCTGAAGACCCTGAAGAACTGGCTAGAATCATCCAGAAAGGAGGAAAAGTGCAGAGAATAACTGATAAATCAGGGAAAAAAATAGGACCTTACCGAGTGTGAGAGCCTGATTTGAAGTCTCTTGGTCTTGCAATGAGCCGATCAATAGGGGACTCAACTGGAAATTCTGTTGGAATCATATCAACGCCGATCTGCACAAAACATAAGGTGAACCCTTTTGCGGACTGTTTTGTAGTTGCAGGAACAGATGGAATTTGAGATGCAATGGACAATCAAGATGTGGTAAATTATGTGGAGTTTTATAGAGATAAATGCAAGAGGGGGTGCACTTCACCTCCTGTTGAAAGCAAAGTCAGTCCTGATAATACGTGCATAGCACAGTTATTGTGTGAGGAAGCAAGAGTTAGATGAATGAGTATCTTAGAGGAAGAGGATGTTATAGTTGATGATATCTCATGTATTATTCTTGAACTCCAGCCAGCAACAATTTCTTTGAGTGCTCATGAAAAACGGCCAATTCCTAATGATCATATGAAATAAAATGAGATGCTGATAGAAATTGGACTCTGAGGTACACACCCGGTAGAGCAGGTTGGACCCATCCTAATGAAGCTTGAAAGTGAGGCCTCAGTCTCTTTTTAAAGTAGACCTTTAGATTTGGGGAAGCCTGCTCTGCCAGATGATGAGCTAGATAGGTTTTGCCTATATATGAATTTTCCTTATTGAGATCATTGGAGCAACCTTCACTCAACAGCTCTGCCTAGGGAGCTAATCTCTTGGATAGGTGGCCAGATCGGAAATCCAAAATGACAGCCTCCCATTTTTTAATTTGCACTCTGAGGTTTATGGAACCTCCCTTTTTGGAGCCAAGACAAGGCGATTACAATTGATTGACTTCGCTTATCCCCGAAATATTAACTTAACTTAATGATCATAGCCCACATCGGGAAATTGAAGATCTGTCTAATCAAGAGATTGCTGAAAGCGCTTCTGTGAGGGATCCTCGTAGAGGGAGCATTATTTTATCTGCATCTTAACTGCTAATATGTTATAAATCTAAATTAAATATAAGCGAATTTTATATGAAAACTGCGTACTGGATCTTACTTTATCGCATCAGATAAATAAACACAAAATGTAATTAAGCTTTTAAATATGAGACTTTATCATAAAAGTTTTTGAGTGATTTAGCGAATTTCTCATCCAATCTTAGCAGAATATTTGATTAATTATCTATTAAATTTTATAAAGCATAGACTACTGGCAAAGGCTCGAGTGATAAATTATAATCAATAAGAGTGCTGACAACAAAAAATTTTTATTCCTATTGCCTTAAATAGTATATTTATTTACTATGAATAGCCCACTAAGGAGCTTTATGGTTATCTGGCTTATTAATTATTTTGCAAGCCAATTTAAATTGACTAACTAAAAATCTCCCTGAGAGCTATTTATCATAAGCATGTATATATATTTTTTATTCCTATAATTATCAGCAATACTCCCTTTAAAATCAATTTTTTATTAACTTCCAATTTGAAAAGAAGTCTATAGGGGGCTTTTGACGAATATAAAAATAATGTCAGATACCGCTGCACCTTCTTTCAGCAAAAACCTTCAAAATACACTCATAGCTGACAAAACTCGCTATTCTACTCAAATTTCAAGAAACATAAATCCCGGCGAAATCCTCTCAAAATACGAAGGCTGAGTACAATACTTCCATTTTTCACAAAAGCACTCTGAACTTATTGATTTAGTCAAATGCCTAAGCCTTCTAACAGGCTTAAAATCAGATTACATCTTTACCTATTTTGGTGCAGCCCTTCAAAACGTAGAGTCTGCTTGAATCCCATCAGAAATCACTGCAAAGCTTCCAAATAACACCTTCATCACATATATCCCAAAAGAAGAAACCAAGGCAAATAATACTTCGTTAGATCGGTTCAAAAAGCCTGATAAAGAAGCCTGAAAATGAGCTGAAGAGGAATGAACTGAAGTCCTCGAAATCCCCCCTCGTTTTGCTTCAAAATTTAAAAAACTCGAGCTCATTAATAAAAATGGAAACAAAGCAGTTATTGAATATATCTCCAACAGGATTTTAGAGCCATGAAACTATATTGACAAGACAGATATTTCTAAATTTAATGGTGAGCCTGCTTACTTTATTCCATGCAATTGTAGAGAAAGCCACCAGAACTGCTCAAACTCTGCGCACTGCTCATGCTCCAGAAGTTTGGTGCAAACGTTTAGGATACAAAGGTGCCTTACTGTTAAAGGCCCCAAAAAGCATTTTTTGCCCCACAAGCTAAGTGAAGACTTCAGAATTATCGAGTGCAGTGACCAGTGTAACTGTAACAAAGACCTTTGTAGGATGTCTCTCTTTAGCAATGCTACTGCGCTTGGCCCTGAAAAATTCTATGTAAATGAAACAGCCCAAGGACAATGGGAGTTAAAATGCAAGATCAAACTTAAACGAGGACAGTTTTTATTTGAGCTAGCTGGGATTTTAAGAGAATCACAGCCTGAAAAGAACTTTTTAAAACTCAGTGACGCCCATTATTTGGATTTTGAAGCTACAAATATAAGCAGGTTTCTTGTTTATGGTGATAAACCAAATGTTATTGGAATAAAAATATTCAGTCATGTAAGCGAAAAATGAATATGCAGGGTTGGGATATTTGCTACGAGAAACATCAAGTTTGGAGAAGTTCTTATTTCTTCTCGCTCGGTTTTAATATAATTTAACTATATTATAAAGCAATTTAATCAAAAATTCATAATTTTTTCTTCAATTATAATTCTTTTTTATGCTTGCTTTCTCAAGTAAAAGGCTTTTTGCTTCTAACTTTGCCTGCCTATAAGAGTAATTTGATTTTTTGGCTAATTTATTTTTAATAATAAGGTAGATCTATAATTGTGTTTGTGCACTATTAGTCATATATGAAAATATTTTATTTAAGCAAATATATTATCAATTTTTTTCTTACTTTCAAATTTTTTTAAAATAAGCATTTTCCAATAATTTTTTTTGTTTTTCATAGGAGAGATAAGATATTCAACTCATCCGCCGAAGCTGTGGCTGACATGAAGAGTGGAATGGCAGTCATGATAGCAGGCTTTGGGCTGTGCGGAGTCCCAGAAAATCTGTTAAGAGCAGTTCACAACTTGAAAATCAATAATCTCAAGCTCATCACCAACACTTCAGGCACTAATGAATTTGGGCCTGGACTCTTGATCAAGGATAGGATGGCTTCAAGTATTCACTGTTCCTACCTAGGAGGAAACGAAACCTTGGAAAAACAGTATTTGAATGGCGAAATTGAGCTTGACCTCATTCCTCAAGGATCGTTGGCTGAAAGACTTAGAGCAGGCGCATGCGGCATTTCAGCTTTCTACACCCATACTGGTGCTGGCAGTTTGGTTGAAGAAGGAGGCTTTGTCCAGAAGTTTGGACCAGGAGGGAAAACAGTAGAGAAGGTCTCTGCCCCAAGGGAGGTCAGAATCTGGGGAGGTAAAAAATACATCCTCGAAGAAGCGCTCAGAGGAGACGTTGGCCTTATCAAGGCTTGGAAAGCAGACACTGAGGGCAACTTGATTTACAGAAAGACTGCTAGGAATTTCAACCCTGACATTGCTGGGTCTTCAAAAATTACGATTGCAGAAGTCGAAGAAATCGTCCCTGCAGGCACTTTCGACCCAGACCAGATCCATACTCCTGGTATTTTCGTTCATAGAATCGTTAAAGGTGAGTATTTCGAAAAGCCAATTGAAAGGCTGGCTCTTAATACTGGAGATAAAATCCAGCTTCCTGGGACTCCTGAACAAATCAGGAAACGTGAGAGAATTGCTAAAAGAGTTTCCAAAGAAATCAAGGACGGAATGTATGTGAACTTAGGTATTGGAATGCCAACCTTAGTGCCAAACTACTTACCAAAGGGCATCAAAATTGTGCTACATGGTGAAAATGGACTGCTAGGAATAGGGCCATACCCGAAATCAGGTGAGCAAGACCCAGACGTTATTAATGCTGGCAAAGAAACTATCACAATGGTACAGGGCTCTTCAATTTTCTCAAGTAGCACTAGTTTCGCTATTGTCCGTGGTGATCATCTTGATTTAACTATTCTCGGAGGCCTACAAGTGTCCCAGGATGGAGATCTCGCAAACTGGATTGTCCCAGGCAAAATGGTGAAGGGAATGGGAGGAGCGATGGACTTAGTTGACAGCCACTCGAAATGCATTGTCTGTATGGAGCACACTTCTAAAGGAGCTCCAAAGATCCTCAAAAAATGTTCTCTCCCACTAACAGGCAAGAAAGTTGTAAGAATGCTTGTGACCGAGTACGGAGTTTTCGAATTCCGAAGAGACACTGGAATGACTCTAGTTGAAATTGCTAACGACATCACTCTTGATAAACTGAAAGAAATTACAGGTGCCCAGTTCTACATTGGATCTGATTTGAAGAAGATCGAAGAATAATAGCTAAGGCTCCATAATTTAACACCTCTATTAATATTTAATGGAAATAAAAATACATCTTCATGCCTCTTAATGTAAATATAATATTGTTATTTATCGCTAACAAAGAGCAATCTGAATTCATTTTGATCAAGAATTCCTCCCCCATCAATATCTGCTGATGCTACCATTTCAGTCCAAACATTATCAGCTACCCTTTCATCAGCTTGCAGTGCGATTTTTAGCTCTGAAGCAGTTATTTGCTTGTCGCCTTCCTGGTCAAACATATCAAAAGCTGCATTTAAATTTTCAGCTGAAACCAGAGTGTTATAGTCTATTGCCGCTTTTATAAACTCTGTATAAGAGATGTATCCATAGTTTCCAGTGTCCACAATTCTAATAATATTTTCAGCTTCTTCAGCTCCTCCAACTTCTTTGCCTAACTTCCCTCTCTCTGTGGTTGGCCAATCTTACTGGAGCGTCTAATTTTTAGAAAATTGCCATTCAGGCAAAAAAGTATTCTTATCCTATGTACCGTTAATAATAAATTTCTATATATGATTATAATTCTAAGGAAATTAGGAATTTTTTTTTTTTAAAATTAACCCCAAAAATTTTTTGCTGGGATAAAGGGGTAAGAACTTTTTAAGCCCTTCAACAAGATCATCCTTGTCTATTTTCCCATCATTATCCGCATCTAAAATTAAAAAAATTTCCACAAGACTGCTTATGTCACTTTGATAAAACAGTTGAGATGCTATATAAGTCAAAATTGTCTCAGCCAGCTTATTTTTTCTTGGATATGTCATTAAGTTATTCAAAGCAGCTTGAACAGGCTCTGCAGTCTGGCTGTGGTTGTATTTAGCCTTTTGTATGAAAGGATGGTTCAGTGCTTCTTTGGCTGAAGGTCTTTTATTTTCTTTTTGAAGCAACTGACTAATAAAATCCTTACCTTCATCAGAAACATTCCAAAGATGCTCAACCATCTTATACCTCCCTGCTTTAACATTTTCAATAATTTCTTCATCAGTATCCCCTGTAAACGGAGGAAAGCCTGTAAAAAGAGTATAGACTATCACCCCTAAGCTTCAGAGGTCACATTTTTCGTTATAACTCCCATGGATGACCTCAGGCGCGACATAATATGTCACAGACTGAGGGTCGCTGATTCTTTTCCCTGGAATAATTTTGCACGAATTCCCCAGGCCAATAAGTTTGATTTGTACTCCGTCAATGATGATACTTTCTGGCTTCAAGTCTCTTATCACGATATTCATCTCATGAAGATAAGAAAAGCATAACAAAATGCTTCGGGCTATTACGGCAACTTCATACTCTGTGAAGGTTCTGTGCTCGAGGATTTCTTGGAAAAGCTCTGTCCCTCGAGTATACTCCATGACGATATAATATTGTGACTGATCCTCAAAAAGTTCATAAAGTTTTATAATATAAGGGTGGTCCAAGTATTTCAAAACTTCAATTTCTCGCTGGAAAAAATCTCTATTATTATTTAAATGAAGGATGGCCTTTTTGTAGATCTTCACTGCCCTCAATTTTCCTGATTTTTTGTGAGTGCATTCGTATACTTCGGTAAATTCGCCAGAACCTTGCAGTTTGTTAAGATTATATATATCTCCGAACCAGTGAAGATTTCTATGTACAAATGTGTTTGGCCTGATAAGCAAATCCTCAACTCTTCTTACTGCTACCGGCCTCATTTCTACGTTATTCCTGAAGTGCCCACAGCCCATTACCTTTTAATAGGGTCAATAAATTACCAGACCATTCTGATTCTCCCCCTCAGTGAATCGAACAAAATAATGAAAGTCTTCTATTTTTTGGGCAAAAACAATACTTCCATGAGCGGGAAAATAATAAAAAATTCCCTATTAATTTGGTAAAAAACAACCCTCCATGAACAAAAATTATCTATAAAAAATATTTTGATATATAAGTGATAATTATATAATAAAATTTATAGCTCATTCTGTTTAATTTTATAGCCTAAGACAATTTATAGATTCTTAAGCAGTAATAACTATTCCTATTTAATAGGCCACACAAATACCAATTTTTTATGAAAGGGTTAATTAAAAAAGTGACAAATATGAGCTATAATTTCCATTTGTCAATTTAAATCGCACTTGTCAGAAAAATTGGCATTTTCGTGGCGTGGCCTATTCAAAAGGCAAAATTATATTCCTAAACGAGCAAAAATGGAGCTGGAGCTATAAACATCTTGAATTTAAAAAATAAAATTAAGAAATTGAATTAATATTTACTTTAAAAAAGTATTAACACTTCTGTGAGACAACGAAATTTTTTGTTCAGTAAAAGAGTGGGGAGTGAGCGTTTTTAATAATTTTGAGAATAAAAAACTTACATCTAGCATTAAATAGCTTACTGAAAAACAAAAATATATATCCTCTTTTGCAGCTGGGAAAAAAGTCATTATTTTAAAAAATCCTGTTTTGAATAAAAAATTTTGGAAATGAAATAAAATAAGAAAATTCATAAAATACATTTACTCAGCTGACAGCTTAAGCCCTCCAGAGCATGATGTAAAGATGGATAACTTTTGTAGCAAAATATCTTATGAATATTCTACATATCTATGCTGACAGAGACTTGGCAGAGCATTTGACACTAAGTTTAAAAGCTGATGGACCATTTTCAGCTACTATTCCAATACGAAACACCCCTCAGTTTAAGTTTGAAGAGTAAGTATAGAGATTGCGTTGCTTCTTATTTAGAAGAGAAATTAGACGTCCTTAATGGAATCGGTGCAAGCTCACTTGATGAGTTTTATATCTCTCTTTCCATTAAGAGAGAAAATTAAGTCGAAAAACTTGCAACAAAATGAAATAGACTCCCCCAAAATTATTTATTCGGAAACCTTTGTGCCTTTATAAAGAAATTTAGAAAAGGCAAATAAAATGATTTTTGGACGTCATGGTACCCAATTTGTCTTCTTTGTCAGCGCTGCCCAAGCAAATATGATTTGTGGATCTTAAAGAAAGCATCAAATTTTTAAAAAGCTTAAAAATTGCTTTAAAAAAACATTTTCACTACGAAATATAAGCCAGATTGATCAATAAAAGATATTGAAAGAGTGAATAGCAAAAGATTATTAAATGAGACCTATTTATTATAATTCTATTTTATCCATCAAAGTTAATATTTTCGTCTCTAAATTAAACTTGTAGTAACTAAGAATTTAGTTATTTGGGGATAATTTTTAATATTTCAAATAGATAATTTTGATATATTCTATTTTTAATTCAATTATATTAATATGAAGGAAATAGTAAATTAAGCTGATAAGTTCTTTCTGATCTTTTCGATGACCAAAGCTTGATCAGATCGGATAGAGTTTAGAATGGGTGTTAGGGTGTTAGGGTGTTAGGGTGTTAGGGTGTTAGGGTGTTAGGGTGTTTAGGGTGTTAGGGTGTTAGGGTGTTAGGGTGTTAGGGTGTTAGGGTGTTAGGGTGTTAGGGTGTTAGGGTGTTAGGGTGTTAGGGTGTTAGGGTGTTAGGGTGTTAGGGTGTTAGGGTGTTAGGGTGTTAGGGTGTTAGGGTGTTAGGTGTTAGGGTGTTAGGGTGTTAGGGTGTTAGGGTGTTAGGGTGTTAGGGTGTTAGGGTGTTAGGGTGTTAGGGTGTTAGGGTGTTAGGGTGTTAGGGTGTTAGGGTGTTAGGGTGTTAGGGTGTTAGGGTGTTAGGGTGTTAGGGTGTTAGGGTGTTAGGGTGTTAGGGTGTTAGGGTGTTAGGGTGTTAGGGTGTTAGGGTGTTAGGGTGTTAGGGTGTTAGGGTGTTAGGGTGTTAGGGTGTTAGGGTGTTAGGGTGTTAGGGTGTTAGGGTGTTAGGGTGTTAGGGTGTTAGGGTGTTAGGGTGTTAGGGTGTTAGGGTGTTAGGGTGTTAGGGTGTTAGGGTGTTAGGGTGTTAGGGTGTTAGGGTGTTAGGGTGTTAGGGTGTTAGGGTGTTAGGGTGTTAGGGTGTTAGGGTGTTAGGGTGTTAGGGTGTTAGGGTGTTAGGGTGTTAGGGTGTTAGGGTGTTAGGGTGTTAGGGTGTTAGGGTGTTAGGGTGTTAGGGTGTTAGGGTGTTAGGGTGTTAGGGTGTTAGGGTGTTAGGGTGTTAGGGTGTTAGGGTGTTAGGGTGTTAGGGTGTTAGGGTGTTAGGGTGTTAGGGTGTTAGGGTGTTAGGGTGTTAGGTGTTAGGGTGTTAGGGTGTTAGGGTGTTAGGGTGTTAGGGTGTTAGGGTGTTAGGGTGTTAGGGTGTTAGGGTGTTAGGGTGTTAGGGTGTTAGGGTGTTAGGGTGTTAGGGTGTTAGGGTGTTAGGGTGTTAGGGTGTTAGGGTGTTAGGGTGTTAGGGTGTTAGGGTGTTAGGGTGTTAGGGTGTTAGGGTGTTAGGGTGTTAGGGTGTTAGGGTGTTAGGGTGTTAGGGTGTTAGGTGTTAGGGTGTTAGGGTGTTAGGGTGTTAGGGGTTGGTTAGGGTGTTAGGGTGTTAGGGTGTTAGGGTGTTAGGGTGTTAGGGTGTTAGGGTGTTAGGGTGTTAGGGTGTTAGGGTGTTAGGGTGTTAGGGTGTTAGGGTGTTAGGGTGTTAGGGTGTTAGGGTGTTAGGGTGTTAGGGTGTTAGGGTGTTAGGGTGTTAGGGTGTTAGGGTGTTAGGGTGTTAGGGTGTTAGGGTGTTAGGGTGTTAGGGTGTTAGGGTGTTAGGGTGTTAGGGTGTTAGGGTGTTAGGGTGTTAGGGTGTTAGGGTGTTAGGGTGTTAGGGTGTTAGGGTGTTAGGGTGTTAGGGTGTTAGGGTGTTAGGGTGTTAGGGTGTTAGGGTGTTAGGGTGTTAGGGTGTTAGGGTGTTAGGGTGTTAGGGTGTTAGGGTGTTAGGGTGTTAGGGTGTTAGGGTGTTAGGGTGTTAGGGTGTTAGGGTGTTAGGGTGTTAGGGTGTTAGGGTGTTAGGGTGTTAGGGTGTTAGGGTGTTAGGGTGTTAGGGTGTTAGGGTGTTAGGGTGTTAGGGTGTTAGGGTGTTAGGGTGTTAGGGTGTTAGGGTGTTAGGGTGTTAGGGTGTTAGGGTGTTAGGGTGTTAGGGTGTTAGGGTGTTAGGGTGTTAGGGTGTTAGGGTGTTAGGGTGTTAGGGTGTTAGGGTGTTAGGGTGGTTAGGGTGTTAGGGTGTTAGGGTGTTAGGGTGTTAGGGTGTTAGGGTGTTAGGGTGTTAGGGTGTTAGGGTGTTAGGGGTGTTAGGGTGTTAGGGTGTTAGGGTGTTAGGGTGTTAGGGTGTTAGGGTGTTAGGGTGTTAGGGTGTTAGGGTGTAGGGTGTTAGGGTGTTAGGGTGTTAGGGTGTTAGGGTGTTAGGGTGTTAGGGTTAGGTGTTAGGGTGTTAGGGTGTTAGGGGTGTTAGGGTGTTAGGGTGTTAGGGTGTTAGGGTGTTAGGGTGTTAGGGTGTTAGGGTGTTAGGGTGTTAGGGTGTTAGGGTGTTAGGTGTTAGGGTGTTAGGGTGTTAGGTGTTGGTGTTAGGGTGTTAGGGTGTTAGGGTGTTAGGGTGTTAGGGTGTTAGGGTGTTAGGGTGTTAGGGTGTTAGGGTGTTAGGGTGTTAGGGTGTTAGGGTGTTAGGAGTGTTAGGGTGTTAGGGTGTTAGGGTGTTAGGGGTGTTTGGGTGTTAGGGTGTTAGGGTGTTAGGGTGTTAGGGTAGTTAGAGGTGTTAGGGTGTTAGGGGTGTGTTAGGGTGTTAGGGTGTTAGGGTGTTAGGGTGTTAGGGTGTTAGGGTGTTAGGGTGT